GGGGCAGTTAACGTCACGGCCCTGCCGGAACCCACTAGCACGAGCCCGGGCCATAAAGAGCACCTAGAGGTACTGTAGCAGAGCGCGCTGCTCAAGAAGGTGAACGTGAAGAGCCTTTGCTGCACTTTGAAGCCCACGCCGAGCCCCGAAAACTGACTAAGCCGCCCTGCACTGTCACAATAATAAGAAAACTAAATCGAAAGACTAGTGCGCAACAAATCTTTGGCCACAATCTCCTCCTTCATGGCCACCAGCTCCTCAACGTCCCAATTCACCCAGGCGAACCGACCAGAAAGGAACTTTGCCTCCTCAGTCACTGCTCAGACAACAAAGTCTCCGGCGAGCGCAGGATCGGTACTTGGAAAAACACCATCAAGACCAGATTTGATGCCCATATCCGTCTTGACCGCACCGGGATGAACAGAAATGAAGCGAGCCACGTGTTCAGGTATATCCACCGCAATAGATTCCGACCAACGGGCCAACGCGGCTTTGCTTGCTCCGTAGGACGAGAGGTGAGGCACCCGAACCGAATACGCCCCAATGGTATTGAGGGTGACCACAACGGCTGGATTGCTTGGTGACCCAGCTTGTAAAGCGGTGCCAAAAATATTGATAGAAAAGGACTTCCAGTACTCGTCCAAGTCGGCATCGAGGAAGTTAGACGGTGCTGCCAAGAAACCGGCATTATTGACGAGGATGTCCGGGATGGTTGAGATCGAAGCAAAAAGGTTCTCAACATCATCCTTGGACGTAATGTCGACGGCGTAATAGGCGACCTTAGTGGAGGTCTTAACTGTGGAGCCCAATGCCGCTGCAGTGTCCCTCAACTTAGTTCCGTCCGACCAACTAATATGACTTTGGCCACTCCGGCTTTGACAAATGATTTGGCAATGGCGGCTCCTATGCCGTATCCGCCGCCAGTAATAAGCACAGTCTTGGCTTTGAGCTCATTCAGAAACCTCTCGGGAGCAAGTAGACGATAGGTACTTAGGTGTTTGGCGTCCATCATGAAAGAAGAGTGGGGTTCACAGTGAAATGGAGGTGGAAGTGGAACTAACATCTAGCCGCAGTGAACTAATCAGAGCTTGGGTATATATAACTCTCACTAGCCCCTTCTCTACCCTCACTGCTTATAAATGTCTGCTCATGTCTGGTTGCAGGCGGCTGTGAAAGGACATTGAGGTCCATTACCGCTGACCGGCGATGTTATACCATCTTCCCGAGCTGCGGGAACCGCTCACCAACGCCAATGACGAGTTCTAGGCTATACGGGACTAGCTGATGTGCTAGCAGTACATCGACGCGGAGGATCCCAGCGCTGCATTAACGCCACGCCCGGAAGTTGATCCACATGATCCAGCCAAGTCATCCAAGCATTTTATAATAAAAGCCGCCCAAGGACAGCCTCAGGACGAATTTGTCAGTAAGAAGGCTTGGTAATTACCAAGCAGTGTAGTTTACGATTATTAAGCACCGTTGCCCTTGAGTTTGCTTGAAAATATTGGAATGCTGTTCGAATATCGATGGCGTTCTAGAGAGATATGATCTATTACTCGGTTGGATAGCGGAACATATTATTTCGGTGAGATGAATAACGTAAATGCATAGCGAGTGGGCCAGCATAGCGAGTGGGCCACCTCCATCACTTCACTAGAATTCCATCTTCTAACACATCTTACTTAACAACCAGCCATGGAGACCCCTTCTAAAGATAACCAATTGAATCTCGCTCTTCAAGCTATGGACCGTGATCCTTCCCTTTCTATACGCCGCGCAGCTGCAATCTATAACGTCTCTCGAACAACGCTTACCCGCCGCTATAAGGGGACGCCTTCTCGACGCGATAGCCTACTAAATTCGATGAAATTAACAGAGCTAGAGGAGCAGACGATTGTCGACTATATTCTCGACTTGGATGCGCGAGCATATCCTCCTCGGCTAAGTGAGCTTGGAGAAATGGCGAATCGACTGCTCGATAAGCGGGCTGCGCTACGCGTCGGTCCACGATGGGCGTCAAACTTCGTTAAGCGACAACCACAGCTCCAGACGCGTTTCTTTCGCAAGTACGACTATAAGAGAGCCTAGTGCGAGGATCCTGACGCGATAAACGCGTAGTTTCGGCTTGTGCGGAACGTAGTCGCGAAAAACGGCGTAGCGGACTCCGATATCTATAACTTCGACGAGATAGGCTTTTAGATGGGCGTTATCGCGACCGGGATGGTTGTTATAAACGCGTAAATACGGTCGAACGTTAAGATGAAGTAACTAGGTAATCGGGAATAGGTTACGGTAATCCAGGGCGTTAGCGCGACTGGATTCTACGTCTCGCCGTTCGTAGTATTTGCCGGCAAATATCACCTCTCGACCTGGTACCAAGATAACGCGATTCCTCGCGACTGGAGAATCGTAACATCCGCAAACGGCTGGACTACAAACGAAATTGGTCTAGATTGGATTCGACATTTCGATCAGCACACAAAGTCGCGAACAAAGGGCGGTTATCGCCTCCTCGTCCTCGACGGCCACGAAAGTCACCACTCGGTCGAATTCGAGCTCTACTGTAAGGACAACAACATTATTACGCTCTGTATGCCTCCTCACTCGTCTCATATACTCCAGCCTCTCGATGTTGGCTGTTTTGGTCCGCTGAAGAAAGCATACGGTCGGCAAATTGAGCTTAAGATGAAGGCGGGTACAACGCATATCAGCAAGGAGGACTTCCTCCCCTCGTTTTTAGCGGCATTCCAGCAGACAATGACGGAAAAATACATCCAGGGAGGCTTCAGAGGGGCGGGACTTGTACCCTATGACCCTGAAGCCGTTTTATCCAAGCTCGATGTGAAGTTCAAGACGCCAACACCCTCGAGGACGCCTCGGACGTCACCGGAGCCATGGACTTCCCGAACGCCCACCACCGCTATGGAAGCCCGTTCACAGTCTAATTTCATCAAACGTCGGATCTCTCGTCACCAGGGAAGCTCTCCAACGTCAATTATTGAAGCAGTTGAGCAGTTCACGAAGGGAGCAAAGGGGATCATGCACCGGTTCGCCCTAATGGAGGCAAGGATGAAGATGCTTGAAGACGAGAATGCAGTACTTAGTAAGCGCCGGAGAGCTAAGAAAACACGTCTCCGGAAAGGCCAGAGCATGACTCTAGGCGAGGGACAGGACCTTATAGCCCAGAGAGAGGTGAACACTCAAATAACACAGGAAATGCAAGAAAATCGAGGTCATGCAGGCGGCACTACGCCAACGCAGCGCCGCTGTGGTACCTGCGGGATGACTGGCCATAATGCGAGAACTTGCCAAATAGTTACTCTAGGGTCTGAATTCGAAGATAGCGATTAGTTTATATCAATTCAAGACGTTTTGGTTTTGCTGACGAGGTTTTGATTCGAGATGTGGTGGGGGTGGCCCACTCGCTATGCTGGCCCACTCGCTATGCATTTACGTTATGTCATTCTCTCAAGCATTTTGTCTCGGAACACTATAGCCAACTACTAATAATACCAGGGGTTGGAGCAACTAATGATTCGGATTAATAACCTATGCAGCGTGAAGTAATAGACGCCCCGTTGAAGGATGTATTACAATGCCCCGCACTAGACAGCTTTCACAAGCCTTCTTTCTAAATAAGCAACTGCATAAGTAGCGGGTCGTAACCATAATTGATAATAACATTTAATGATCTACTGGACTTGAAATCTATAAAATTATCGATAGGTCAATGGATGATACGTTCATTGCTAGCGCCTACTGTGCTATGGCCTTGCGGCTTTATCTGATCGGAAATTTGTTCATAGATTAGTACAAAAGGCTTGACGCCATCGTGATGTTTCCCATAGATAGTTTCGTTTCTCACACAACACCAGTCGCCACCACCAATCCGACTTGATTCTGACCTCATTGTATCCTTGCACTTTAGCACTCGTTTCATCACCTACCCCATTGAGAATGCCATGATCAGAGATTCCCTTGCAAGTGCTGCGTCATCAATTAGTTGCTAATGCAGCTTGCCTCCCCTCCAATATCGTGTTTGGCTCAGTCTGGGAATGCCGTCACTCTGGTCAAGGGCCAGAGTGCACCTCCTCGGCAATAGCGCCGAAACTGGCAAGCGTTCAATTCCACCCGGTCGTAGTGGCTGTTTGACCCTGATCAGAGGAATCCTCACCTGCCCCCGCACACTGGCCTTGCTCGTATTCGTCACGATACGGGATATGAAAGTGTCGCAAGTGGGGAAGCAATGCTCGCAGAGCTGCAGAATGAGGATACAGTGTGGTACTTATTTAACTAATTGCCTACGTACAAAGGGAATAATGAATGGTGCAGGCGCACTCCAGCGCGCCATTTATATGCTCCCGACGGAGCTCTGAATGCTTAGTCAGGTACTCCATTGTATCCCAAATGAACCATTTGCTGCTCCCTCCAATAGAAAGCTATATGTTATTGCCTTAACAGAGTTCTTCTAATTACAGGGTGCTTTCTTCTGTGGTGCGAGTTAACAATCATCAGTTTAGCCTATGTTGGTGCTGAGTCTAATGAAGGTTGATTGCCCAACTCGAGTTGATACTTCAAAGTGTCTTTGTACTGCTCAGCGGTCTTCCTAATCAAATCCTGCAAGACTCCGACGAGTTCACAGTTCTGATATTTCTTACGATTCGTGCTTCGAGACAATACAGTCATAGGAGAGTGAGGCGGTGAAGCCCACCTCTTATAACTACCGACCTCCATCCGAACGAGATGTCTGAAGGTCTCTAATAACTTGGAGATGACTTGTTCCTCGGTTCCTGGAAATTGTGGCTCCCAAACATCTTTATCGTAAACGGCAAGGCTCACTTGAGCTCTTACTAGGTACTGTATAAATCTCGACATCTCAAGGCTCAGCTCCTGCTCAGTTACAGGGAAATCTGGTAGCATTCGATTGATATATATATCTTCGCAAGAATTTTTATGGGGAGTTTTCGTGTTAGTTTGCTCCGTGACGTTATGGCCAGCATCAGTTTGTTCTTTAGTATAGGATTCTGCATCATTTTGCTTCGCAACAGAGCGCTTCACAACAGAGCGCTTCGCAACAGAGCGCTTCGCAACAGAGCGCTTGACCTCAGGATGCTCGGCGTCAGTATCATCCCCATCAGTACGCTCGGCGTCAGTATCCTCCGATTCAAGGCGGTCACTGTGCTCCGTGTCCGAATGGCCCTGTCCCGAACGCTGCTTGAACACGGGCTCTACTTGGGATATGTGCGAGCCCACCTGCTTTCTAGGAAGGTTGATCAGATATCGTCGTTTCGTTCTGCCCTTGATTTGACCAATGATTGGCGTTCGTCTTCTGGCATACTTCTCACTGAAAGGTATCGGTCTGTCTTCAGATGTTGCCGGGAAAAGATGATCCCTTATTCCCTTTCTGGTAACGACCATTGCTATGTGCTTTGTACACCCGAGTGTCTTTTTAACTTGGAATAGACAACAGAAATATTGAAAGTACATAAATTATTCATTCGTCAACAGCCACTCAAGCCCGGTTAACAACCAGGCAAACGTCGTATCATATATTTCCTAACAGTGACGAAAACAAGGCAGGTGAACTTACCCTGACGCGACCAAAACTCTTGAGACTCCTCTTGAAGGGAAGCTTAGACCCTCCATATGAGAGGCCATAACCAAGATTGGAAGTTCTCGTGAACCATCTGGCGGATTCTCTGTGTTCGGTGACTCAACGGACGTCATTCTCTTACACTCGCTTTTACGCGGAGCTGGTACTTTCATGTTTGCGCTATCCGCGGGGAAGGTCGGGTCTCGTGGTACGAAAACTCATGTGCTAATTTCCCAACACATTCCCATTAATGCCGCGTCCCCATGGTAAGCCGCAACATCCTTGCCCATGCAATAGCTGCGTTAGTGGATGACTACTGTGGTGCTCTTCTCTTCGTACGACAATAAGATTGATCGCAGCTTAGAAGCGAGATATCTTGGCACTCTTAACTATATGGCATCTATCTTCGTGCCCCGGTTGCCAACCAGGAATGATACGTAAAGACTGGTATCATCACCGGAGCGAGGGCTGTATTTTGCCTTTGAAACTGAGATACCCGCTCTCCCCATTGCGTTAGTTATGTAGGTCTCAGCACTAGATTTGAAGACAATGATAATAATATAACTGCAGCTCTTGGTTTCACGGTGCCAGATATGATGGCTTCGAAGATACCCCACGAACGCCATGTCTACAAAAGCTCGGCGGCAGCGTATACTCAAGACTCCTATTACAAGGGAATGGGACTTAGTAGGATGACTAGCGCACATTTTTAGTGATGCCTGGATGTGATATGCCGTAGCCAGTTTTGTAATGAGTATCTCCTACAGTTCTTAGCTTTTTCCAGCACCTGAAGAGCAGCTCGCGCGCCGTCAACTAATCACATCCGTTCTTGACCGTTCCGAAGCAAGTATCTGTTGGGTCTTTCGTAACAGGGGCCGCTTGCAAGTTACTTCAGACGAGTACAACACGATACCATTGGCCCATGTTGCATCGTATATCACCATTCACACATGCGAGGAGGTTGAGACTTTGTGTACAACATCACAAGATGAGCATGATTCTTAGTGATACGGTATCATCCCCGCTATCGGAAGAGAGCACTTCGCCTTCATATCGCATGCTGGTTCCAGCATCGGAAATCGGATGAGATGCCAGTTTGATAAGCCAGGAATGTATTTGCATCCTTCCGCGTGTGCCGCGCATACCTGAGTGTGTATCAGATTGGCGAGCCTGCCTGTCCAGATGAATCAAATCCCTCTTCCCTTGCCAAATCGCTGCACGAGTCTGTTCAAATTGTCTATATAAACAGGGAGAGACTGCCTACAAGAGTTGCCCGCATGCGCGATACTATCTTCACATGAGATTGTGACGCCGGCTTGCTCCGGAAGGTGGTATTAGTGCTTTGCAGTGCCTTTGGGGCTGCCTCTGCACTTGGCAAACTCGGGTTCCCCGAAGATTCTGATGCTTGGACGGTGTCTCATTCGGTTCCATGCCTGTAGTGTGCAACTCGCACTGGAGTGTGCCAGGAACCCTGGACCAATCGCAGCACTTCCTCTAGGCAACCGCACTGATGAGAGGCTGCATACCCCGGTCTCATTCCAGCTTCGGGGTCCGGGGAGAGTTCCGGAGCCCTAGTTACTCAGCGTATGGCGCCATGCATATATGCACGCACCCATCCTTTGCGTAGCAGTCGCAATGCGGTTATTGGCTAGGTTTCAATAAGTGAAGGACAGGTGTTTTCCAGTTGCCTAGTGAGTCGTGGCTGGTCTGATCCGAAACCGACGTCATGGCTCTCAAGGGACACATGCAGCCCGGGAAGGCTGGACTGGCTGTGCTGTCAAGGAAGATTGGCTAACAGCGGGATCATACGAGACATAAGATTTGTCAACGCAATGCTACTGAGAGCTTCGTAGGGCCACTTAATCGGTACAGTAGGCCGGTGCCGAATCGGAAGTCTAGTCTTGCATCTGAGTCTTAGTATGTAGCATGAAGCTCGTTCTATCATCCAGAAATGGATTGCTCTGGTATCCATGCTTGTCGAAGCGGAGTAGAAGAATGTATAAATGATAGGGCATGCTTATTTGTTCACTGAGTCCTTGACTGACAATGATTGGAGCAGTCCAGTACCCTGCGGCACATCACACGTAATAATCAGCATGCTACTTATTGCTTTTGCCGCTTACACTCTTTCAGCTCTAGCTCAACATGTTCAGGCGCAGACGACTTGCAGCACCTGGGTATATTCCCCAGATCCTACGATCTGGAACGTCATTTGTCAACCCGTCACTACAGGTCATCCCTTGGTAGGCACTGCAGCATCTCATGCACCTACGAGTCAAACGAAATCGGTGGATTCCAATTTCACATATAGCCAGCCGCATTCAAGGTCGAGGATGGGAGGCGGAATCCACAACTCTACACAGTCCACAGACTCGTCCACGAAGAGCCGTCTGATTCCCACGGTTATACCACTCGCCGGTGCGACTACTCTCCAATCTGTTAGCTTCTGCTGCACTCAGTAGTATATAATCCGCTCGTTGCAGGCTCATCATAGGGCGTGTTGAGTGTCTTTAAGAAGTTAGGAAATGATGAAGAAAGGCGAAGGATATAGCCGTTACAGCCTTCCATAACTATGGCCCGCTTCACTTTGAGTAGCTAAGAACAACTAGTGATAACGCGCCACAGTCTACCTCCGTGAATGCCTGGCGACTGACAAGTATGAACCATCATCCTCCTTCCACCCTAGAATCACCAATCTGTGTGATTCTATACGCCGATAAAGGGACGTTGCTTCCAAGATTGGACCTCACACCGGTTCGGGAGAAGGTCCCAGCTCGTGATTACCGTCACCGGGAACAACGCATCCACTCGGAGATATGTGGCAACCTGCACCGAAGGGGGGTTTGGAGGCTGCGAAGCAGGACATCGCACCCAGTTCTTGGTGGCGTCCTAACCCAAGAGGATAAGATATGTCTGTAGACATCTCGTGAGAACTGACCGAATGCGTAGAAGACGATGCAGCATAACAGATAGGGATCGTCGTCATAACCGTAGAATGGCGACATCTAGCAAGTGAGGTCAGCCTCGTGGCGGCCTGTAATAGCCACATCAGGCAGCGACTCTGCACACCCCGCGCACGCCGACTAGGACTCTTATCCTGTGATCTCGCGCTCGCGACTGAAAGAGAAGACCCATGATCACTCCCATAGCGAATGGTAATGGGCTTCGGGGTTATCAGGTACGATCCCGGAGGAGATCCGCAGTTCGTCGGCGGCGACCCTACACTGACGACTATGAGGCGGGTCGAGGAGCGCGGGAATGAGGAGTGGACGCATACTTGGCTATCAGGGCGGTCTGGATTGTTGCGGATTCCTTCTCGGTTTGATCGCTGTTGAGAGCGCTTAAAGGTTTCCAATGGCGGGGACAGTATACATAACTGACTGAGCACAATCTTTCCACATTAAGCACTACTGTGATATTACAGCCTGGTATATACAAGTTAGCGAAGCCGTGCTCCCGGCCTGGGACAGTGTCCATGCCCGGGCCAACCCGCGTGGACCAGTCTCGGAGGTTTGATGCACTCGCGCGCCCATGGACACAGTCACCTCATCACCACCATTGGCCAGCTCAGATATGACAGATTGAATGCACAGGTCACTACACGGATCAGAGGCAGGAAGCGACATGTTGGGATAATACAGTCTTTATTCTATTAAGGTCCGCGGAAGGTAGCTTTCGCTGTTTGGACTAGGGGTGCTGGTGGCAGCACCAAGACGACGTTGCAAAATTATAGACTCTGCGTAATGTCTATAGCCATGCGCCACAGACTACTCGCTGTGCACGTAGTAAGGAATTATGCTGGGCAGTGTGGCCTTGAGGGAGCCAGTGACAGACTCGGCGATGCTCGGCTTCTCAGTCGCGAAGAAGCCGTCTCCCTGCTGCCACCTGGAATAGACATTGGCAACACCGGGGTCTAGCGCGGATGCCATGTCCACCGGAGTGTCGAGCTCATAGCTCTCCCGGTTGGATAGGAGAGTGGTCCATTCTTCGATTGGGGCGAGGCCATCGTTGAGATGCTGAGTCTGTGCGTCATCCTGGGTCGGAAACTGGGGCTCGCCAGTGACGAGCAATGCGACCCTGTGAAGTCTGTCAGCAGGCCCGGCGACGCGCACGTTTGGAGACGGATACAGGTCGCAGCTTACTAAGTCACCATGCGTGCTGTAAGAGAATTGGCCTGCATGACAACGTTGATGCCACCTCGGAGTTCGACCACGGCCTTGACCCCGTCAATATGCGCCTGGCTGGTGGCGATGTTGCTTTTGCCATGCTGAGCGGGAGGAAGACGGAGGTCAGTACTGAGCGCGAAGACATGGCAGGCGATGATGAATGAATGTAGGAAATTACCTCTATGGCGGCCAGGGTGACGACGGCGTTGATGGTCTCGTCCTGGATAGCGCGGGACGAGTCGCCGACTTTGCGGCGAGCAGCGAGATGGAGTCGTTCATGAGGACCTGGGAGTTTGGGAAGCCCTTCTGGGCCAAGAGCTCCTCGTCGAGGGAGGCCGTCTGGAGAGAGACATGGAACAGGGCAGGGTCCGCGAGAGCGCGGGGCCACCATGACGGGATGAAGGGGTTTGACCTGGCATTGCGATCGAGCGGGTAGTACGTAAAGGCAATCTTGGAGAGGACTGTGAGATGTGGTCAGCTACGAGACATGGGACAAGGAGTGGTGCCCTTTCGGCGGCGGAAGTACTCACAACGATCCATCAGACGCTGGACGACATTTCGGGGGAGACGGATCTGGGGGTACGACTCGAAGGGCTCGCAGGCAGCGCCGAGGCCAAAGTCGAGGAGCACAACACCAGGACTGCTGCTGGCGCTGGGAGGAGAGGCCGTGCCGGGACTGGCCACCGGGGCGGGACGACGCCGGTGCGTGAGAGCGAGGGGCTGAGCCGGGCTGGAGTCGGTGGCGGTCAGAGGCGCATTTGCGTAGTGGCAGGGCGAGTTGCGGCGGACGCAGCGGGAGCAGCGCGGGGTGCGGAGGTCGCAGCTGTGCTTTGCCCGGGCGCAGGCGGGGCAGGAGCGGCGGAGGGTGACGGGCATAGGGGCCAGTGTCAGGAGGAGGAGGAGGAGGAGGGGCTGTCTGTGGCGTCTCTGGCGGCCATGCTCTGCTCGTGCGGCGCCTGGGCGTGGGCGTCCCCAGGGACAAGGAGGGAGGGATGAAGCTGTCACGGGCGGTGCAAACCGAGGGAAAGTGTGGTGGCACAGAAGGTTCCAGCGGGTTTGTTGTCGACAGCACCGCACCGCCTGCTAGCCTCAGGTAACGTCCCTGGATGACCTGCAAGTGCCTGCGGCTTAGCAGGGGAAGGCGCAGCCCGGCCCGTCCCCTGCCCACAACAGCCGCTCCTTCCGGCGGCGCCCTATTCGCCGTCAGTGGGGTCTCGGCTCTTTGGGTACGAGTACGTACTTTAAGTACTTAAAGTAGGTACCAATCACCACCACCACCACCACCACCAAGTACTGCCGCTGGCTCGTCAGGAACTCAATCTACTTGGCATAGCACCCAAACTTCTTGCCGTAGTTGGCAATGTTGTTGAACTGCATGTTGCAGTCCACAGCGGCGCCCTCAGTGTTCGCACTGCCCGCCTGGTCAGCAGCTACGGGCTTTGAGGCACTGCCGCAGGTCCACAGCCTGAACGCTCGTGCCGGCCATGCTGTGCGACACAGCCCTTTGTGTGTGTGTGATGTCTCAATACGGCTGACGTGGCTGCGTACGCTAGACAGTAGCCATTGGCAATTGCCCGGGCAGCACTACTTGCTCCAGTAATCCCAATGACCATGCTAGTCAGAACCTTTGAGACATCAGTGGATTGCGGGCAGGGCGATGGTCAATTTCTTGGCCAAAGTCAGCTGCAGCCCGCCGGAACGCAGGATCAAGAGGTAAGCGTGGCTGGTCATTTTTTGACCCTGGGATCAATCCCAGTATGTATGTAGCGTCGGGCGAACTCTTACCAAGAAATCTAGCCCATTCGAGCTCGTTATCCTTGAGAAACTCTAGGCGACACTGGTTGAGCCTCTTGCACCCGGCACGCTGCTGGCCAAGATCGGTGAGGTGTCGTGGTCAGCACTGAACGGCCACTCGTTAAAGCCGAGCGCCTTTCAACGCCATGGCTGTCCATTTTGACCGTTCCCATCCTCGTACTGCTTTTGTGATGCCGTACTAGGCCGTGACCTAGAAGTCTTTAGAAATATCCAGAAATGCAAAGCGGGCATTCGTAACTGCCGTCAAGCCAAGCTACTAACCACATGAACTGGTGGTTCTTAGTAGACACTTCAAAGTAGCACACCTTGGCAAAACCAGCAGACTATGCGCCACTTGCCATGGTTCCTGTTTACGCTGCACCGATGCCACTAAGTCGAGCAGCTCGACAAGACCGCCGGTAAGGCAGTAGTCAAACTTTTGACGGCAAGGTCGAGTATCACGGAACTGCCTGGTCTGGCCGTGTAATTTACCAGCTCACTCTAGGGCTCGACCATTGGGACAGTGGTGCTAACGCACCGAGCTGTGTCCAAGTGCAACAACAGAAACGCAAGATGAATGCCCTGCACCAACTAGCTTAGTATGTAACGACTACCCCGTGCGATCCTCAATTATCCTGGCAAATTCAGATGGCGGCCGCTATCTCACGGGGGCATTGACTTTACCAAGGCCTCTCCGGTCTTTGATGATACTGGTGTATTCGACTACAGGCTGAGTGCTTCCATCATGATTCCTCTGCGGGGTCTTTCCGCCAAGGTACTGACCACGTGGACTGATACCCTTGGTCAGATTGCAGGTATACTTCAAGAAGGTACGTGATAAAGTTCACGATCACATTATGTTCTCGTCGCATGAGGTTCTGCTTGGAGTGGAAAGATCACGAGATTACTTCGTCCAAATACATTCGTGCCTTCGCTAATATGGACCAAAATGGTGGGTGAAGGGACCCGGAACGTCATCCGCGAGCACCTCCGGCGCCTCGAGTTATGGCCACAATCCGATCCTGTGTGAGCGGCCGAGCGACTTGCCCGAGGGTTCAGCCAAGGACATCAAAAAAGGCCCGGGCTGAGAGTTTGCAACCAACTAGCCGTTGAGTCTGACTGGCACCAAGACCCGTCGGGCAAGATCTACACCGTCGACTACTATGACATATACGCAACAGTTGTGCAACACGCCTGGGATTCCACGGACGACGAGGTCACGAAGCCAGTGAGATCATTCGGGATTAAGGACGCGGATACGACGACTGCCAAGAGCCCGCAACGGCGTCGTATTCTAGCATATTGCGAGCAGGCAATCGAGGTGGGCAACTGTGTGGGGAGTATCTCTATGTGAGATGGTGGCTAGACTACGTAGTCATGGTCATGTTTCCAGGAGTAGGCGGCCCGTCCTTGTATTTAGCAAGCTGTATTAATTTGCTTTCCGTATAACTTATAGCACAATTGATCGGCTTGGCCCAGGGATTGCGAGGCCATGTGAGCTGGCGGTACAGCGGCCGCGCTTATACAGATCCTCCCTACTGTGTCCGCCCCAGGCTTCTTCATCCCCCGGTGGTGCACGGAGTGGGGGTTGATGGACTTGAAACTACTTGTGCTCACGGGGTTGACCAAGCACGGTGATGGGTCCCGGTTCGATGTGCTCACTCGCAGATAGCGTGGGCTTAATGCCGAAAGCCGCTGGTGCTTCTGCTGGTCGGGGTTCGATACGATCACGAACGCGAGGAACACCTGCAAACCCGCTGGGATGTTTCAAGTGCCGTGCCAGTGAGGGTGCCTCCACACCCCTGATCTGGGCGAGATTGGCACCTCTGCATACTGTCTTGGAAGGCTGGTGTCATTTGCGCATCGCCTTGGTGCGGCCCGTCCTTTTTCTTCACAGTCCAGCATCAACCTTACAGTGCTCCAGACAAACATTTGCAGCGTTTGACCAGCGCTGGAGGGGACGCGCCGCGTAAAGCGTCCCGATTGTCCATCTTGCGGGTTGTTCAGCATGGTGGCTGCATCGATCATTGCAGCGGAAGGCAAAATTGGGTCGAATATGCTGTTCATAAAGGGCGGGGCCCGGAACTTTGGCAGCCGTTTATGCATGCCAGGGGTCCTCCAACTGCCGTCGGGTGACGAGCATCCCCTACCGTGTTATTGGTCCCCTGTGCGGCCAGGAAGGAGATAGTGGCACAAGCAGCGAAGGATCAAATAGTGCAATCCACGGAGTTTGGGGATTCCGAAAGTGGATATCCCAGGCGAATCCTTTGTTCCATGAGCGTTGCTCCTTCTTCACTTTCAGTACTTAAGGCAGATCATGGTTGTCGTCCTTTGTCCGGTACAGCATCTATCCACACATTGCAACTCGTCGTCATTCATAACACCCCATCCAAAATGGACCCCAAAACGCTCCTCACAGACAAGATGCAGCTCATTGTCCCGGTCGGGGCATTGTTAGTCGGTGCGATGGTCATCGTTCCGTGGCTGTCGCCGGGTTCCGCTTCGACAGAGTTCCCTCTTGCCGGCGAGGAGCTTGGCACGTACGAGAAGCGACGAAACTACTATATTCGGAGCGCAGTCCAAATGCACGCTGATGCCTACAAGAAGGTGAGTAGTGAAGAGCCCTTGATTGCGCTGAAAATCGTCATTATTCTGATGGCAAAGCTATGCAGTTCAAGAATCAAATATACCGAATCACCGAGACGGAAGGCAAGTGGCAAGCATCCACAAGACAGACAAAATCCACTGTCCGGGTCTTCAACCTTTTCATTTCGACCGCTGGCTCACGATATTTTGCATGCAGGAGAAGTCATTGTGCTTCCAATTTCCTACTTGGAGGAGTTGAGGAATTTGCCCGACACGGTCATCAACCATGTGGAAGCCCTCAACGAGGTCAGTTCTTTGCATAGTTGCGTTCAGCTTGATAGGCCAAGAGCGACGCTGACAATGCCAGGCCATTCAAACTCACTATACGGGCCTCAGCACTTATAACCCACTCATGAATCATGTCATCCGTTCCGACCTCACCCACAATCTGCCCAGAATCAACCATCTCCTCTCCAAGGAAGTTGCCCAGACAGTACCTGAATACCTTGGCAAATCTCGGGAGTGGGCGCCAATCAACGTCAACGAAAACCTTTTAAAGATGGTGGCCGTCATCTCTGGTCACATCTTCATCGGTCCTGAGCTCAACCGGGACGAAAGATACCTGGATGCGAGTATCAACTACACGGTCGACTTATTCAAGGCAGCAGCGGAGCTGAAGACGTGGCACCGACTGATCCGTCCGATTGGCAGATACTTCACCCCCAGCGTTCACCAACTACAGGAGCAGAGGCGCCGGGCGAGGGAGTTCCTGGTCCCCGTCGTTCAGAAACGCAGAGCTCTCCGCGAGGCGGGTGAAGAAGCGCCGGACGATATGCTGCAGTGGATGATCGCCAAGGCCGACAAATTCAACGTTACCGACGATGGGGATATAGCCGAGACACAGCTCACACTCAGTCTTGCCGCCATCCACACAACCACCTTGACGGCCACGCATGTGTAAGCTAGCACGACTTATTGAATCAAGTGCAACACCGCAAAGCTAACTATGAGGATCTAGTATGTACGATCTCATCGGAAACTGCGCAGAGGTCATTCCGGAAATTCGCAAGGAGATCGCAACCGTCATGGCCGAGAACGACAACGTCATGACAGCGCAGGCGCTCTACCAGATGAAGCTGCTGGACTCAGTCATGCGCGAGTCTCAGAGAATGAATACGACCGGCCCCACGCGCTTCCAGCGCCGCGTCAAGAGGGACGTCACACTCTCCGACGGCACACTGCTGCCTGCAGGGTCAACTATTGCCGTGCCTCACACGGAGACGCTCTCTGATGCAGCAATCTACTCGGAGCCGCACAAATTCAATCCGTACCGCTTCTATGACATCCGTGCCGGCAAGGTCCAGGACCCTCTCAACTACACCAACAAGGAACAGTATCAGTTCATCAGCGTGAGCAAGGAGAACATGGGCTTTGGCTACGGCCGGCACGCATGTCCAGGGCGCTTCTTCGCCGCCAACGAGATCAAGCTTATCCTGGCACGCATCCTGCTCGACTATGACATCAAGATGCCCGATGGCGTGCGAGGGCGCTACCCCAACATTGTCCGGGTATCGTCTGTGATGCCGGACCCGACCAAGGAGATCATGTTCAAGTACGTCGGAGAGGAGTAAATCGAGGTTGTTGTCGGTGTTCATGTTCCGCCGCTTTTCTATGTAGGCTACGACCCAAGCCAGCAAAGCCTGTTCCGCCTGCGTTTGGTGTGGTTTGCCTAGTACTTATGACGCCAAAGCATTGTGCATTAGAAAGGAGAGCATCATCTCAATGAGCCAAGGTCCACAGGACTGTTAAAGTTTTCAAATAATAAGCATTGAGAGCATAGAAGTTCTTTGCGGGCTCTTCAAAGCCGGTCAAGTGAAGAGGCCAATCTAGTCCCTTCGCCCAACCAACCAACGACAAGATCAGACGGAGTGGGGGCCAGATGGGCCTGAGTCCAAGTGCCGACGCCATGGTGATTCTCAGCTAGATCATCGGAGTCCAGGGGCTGTGAGCGTGTGCAGCGCAAAGTGCCGGCGCCAGCACCCGTGCCGGGGTGACCGGCGCCTCCGCACCCGCAGCGGCCGTCCCCATAATTTGCCGGCCTGGTGCGGTCATAATGACATTGCCGCCACGGAATCAAGGTATCATTCCACCACTGCGGGCGTTACCACTTGTCGAGGGGGGCTTGTGTTTGCTCATTACGCCCGTTCCGCTCCTGTGGCAACTGACGAGTTCAATCCGCTAAGATGAGAGCAGTTGATGTCTGTCATGTCCATGCCCATGGACGCCATGGCTGGTGCTGTTGAATGTCCAGGACATCGCCAGCCAGACCTGTCTTTAACAAGAAAGAAAAAGCTGACTACCAGCAAGACAGTTTGGCTCGATACGCCAGTAGTCTGAAGCCGATAGAAGAGGGTCAAGTTTGGAGGCTTCCCCAAGCCGAAAATCTCCCAGACAGCCATAAGGCTTCCTATGCCACGTGGCGTGCTGATTGTGCCTGGAACAATTCTTCCGCCCACGGAAGCACCGGGAGAACTATCGCCAGGTGTGCAGGCTTGAGTGGGCCGATCGGTGCAACCTTGAACGGTTCTTGCTGATGACCAGGGGGCCCCTTGCATGCCCGGAGCGTTTTCCACAGGCTCGGCGCTTGGCTCGCTTTGGTAACAAGCTATCTGCTTGTGGTGAAGGAAGAGCACCGATTTGAGATCCAGCACACCCTAGTCAATTTCTTCCTCCGCGCACAGTCGCTGTCATCACAACCCTACCTACTGTCTTATTCCAGGGCGGTTTTAGGTGAAATCCAAGGGATCCACGCGCCCCACATCTCCAACAGAATCCCTGCATGCCGTGAAGTCTCGCTCATTGCCTTCCTGGACATGTCATGTCCTACGAAAGGTCTGTGCACGTAGCAGGTCTGTCTTATTCCAGCCCCTTTTCCCGCGGATTTACTCAACCTCATTACCCCAGATTCCCTTTCTACCCCCATATTTTCCACTAAATGTGATCCACCGATGAATCCACAAACCCGACAGCAGTAGGACAGCCTACAGTAGAACGATGAGTAACCAGTTACGAACCGACTCCGCGACGACGCCGGACCGCGAGAATAATCCCGATCCGGTCTTGACATACCTACAGCTTTACGCCGACCTAACATACAATGTCCTCATCTGCTGTAGACCCGAATGCCGACACGCTATTTCACCAGACGGAGCCCAGGTTACTGCACACTTATGGAACAAGCATAGTGTCCCTTTAGCGGATCGCTTAGGACTTCCAGAACATATACGCGATTACTACTCTTCGGTATTCCAAAATCCCTCAGACGCAGCTCTGCGGCCCTGTGGTTCCAAACCCCATCCGGAAGTCCAGACCTACGATGGCTTCAGCTGCCGCAAGTGCGTCTTCTTCACGACAAGCTTTCACGAGCTTACAAGGCACTTATCCTATAAGCACCTCGAAGGGCAAACGGCGACCCGACCACGGATCGGCCTACTCTACGACGATGTCTACCTGCAGTCCTGGGGTCCGGGCCGAATCGACGATATTGGAGTGTTACGGATAGGAAGGGAGGTACGGTTCGTCCAGTGCCTGGCCGCCTAGCGGAACAGAACCCTCTCGAGACACCCAAACGACCTACTTTCTCGGACTACGATTCGGCACGGAAAGATCCAAACGACAGACGGACTGCTATCTCACAGAGCAAGCCATGGCTAGATCGGACGGGCTGGCCGGAGATCTTCGAGAACGCAAACTATACAGTACTGATCGCCCTCGCAGCTCTGCCCTCCAACCCACCTACTCGACTCCTACACCTTGGAAAAGCACTCAACCCTACAAACGCGCCCTATATTAGTATCCGAGCAGACGAAATTAAGATCTCTGGGCTTGTTACTATGTTCGACTGGATACTCTCTCGCTGCGAGCAGACAGCACGCGAAACATCTCGTACGGTCCTTTGCTGGTTCCGAAGCCTCCAGCCGGATAAGATCTATCCAAAGCCGTTTACCCTAGTCTCAGCGAAGGCGAGCCGACAGAAGTATCTCCGGATTTTCCAGCGTTTTATCGCCTTCATCTTCCGCATCTACCGCCTACCAACCTTTCAATATCAAGACCTTCTCCCTATTCGATTTGATTCGGAGCAGCAGCAGCTACTTCGAGCTATCTGGTCCCATGAGGCCTGGAGCGAGGAACAGCTCCTACGGTGGATCCTAGCGGGAAAGCCCGCCTCTCAGCTACGGCCGACTGCTGAGGAAGAACGGCCTGTTCCAACTTCTAGTAATAGAGGACGGAAACAGTCCGTATCGAAACTCTACTCAGCTAAACCTCAGTTGAGGAAACGCTCGTTCACTACCTTTCAACAAGATAGTAAGTCCTACTCCTCATGGAATAAGGGCAACGAGGACGACGAGGACGACGAGGATAGAGAGGATGACGATGACGACGAGCACTTGAGCGACTCAGACTTGAGCGACAGCCAGAGCGAAACAGAGAAAAAGGTCCAATACGCAAATATAAAGAATCAGGCGATCGTCCCTAGCCCAGCGCTGAGCCAGCTTCTCGAACTACTATTCAAGCTTTGTATTACCTTCTGTACCGAAGGCTTCGCCGACAGCCATCCCAGCTCAACCCATCTCGTCTACTTCAGTGGGATCCTTGGTATCATTCCAGACGGTAGAGGCTTTCGAACAGCAAGGCTTTACACACCATATCTTTCAGCCTTGATCTATATCCAGCGACTTCTCTTCCTAGAATATGCACTACCTCTTCGGGCATACGAGTATATCGGGATCTCGAAGCAACCGCGACATCGGCAATTCGAGCGGCTCGACATAGTACGGCATAAGTATATGCTTACGAAGTCAATGACGCCCCTAATCGAGATGCTAAGCCTTCGTGACTACGGAAAAGTAATTGCTAGGACAGATACCCCATCATTCTTCCTCCACTGGAGTAACGACCTACAAACAGTGTCATACGGGGACTCCTTCACTATTACTATGGACGCCTTCCGACAGTTATCAGAGCACTTCATCAGGCATGCAGAGGAGCTCTGCGAGCAGCTGATGCTTGGTCTCCAGGTAGGCGTCAATCTTGAGAAAGTGAAAGACGACCTAGTTAATACGAAGGATGGGTTCAGTTTCATCAGCTACCCGTATAACAACCTATCGCACGCATACGCCCAGCTACTCAAACAGGCTTGCACTCCGTATTCCGGACTATTCGACGAGAGCTATAGGACGTGGAAAGCTGCCGCAGTTACCCGCTACCAGAAGACGGCAGAGAAGCTACTCGAGTTCCTTGCAGGTTGTTTCCATACGACAAGCGGCCAGACTGGCCGATCATCGGAGCTTTTCAGCCTCACATACCAGAACAGCGCCTTCGGCGAACGCGGTTTATATATCCATAACGGCTCAGTTATGACACTCACGCGGCATCATAAAGCAAAGCGTTCAACGAATCGCGAATTCAACGTTGCACGCTTCCTTCCTCTTCGAGTCGGCCGGGTTCTCTTTCGATATCTTGTATACATCCGTCCATTCCTTACAACACTAAGTGAGGAGCCCGTTTTCAGCCAGAGAGTGTCATCGGATCAGATCATCTCACCGGCTCTACTCTTCAGCTCGGGAGTAGATAGATCAAAGCCCTGGGACGCGTCGAAGCTAGCAGCTATCTTGAAGAAAGCGACATCGGCGTGCTGGGATATTTCTGTTAATCCGCAGATGTACCGGCAAATTACTATTGGTATTACCGAGAAGCACGTTGTAAAGATTGCTACGCCATTTAACCGGTACGACGACCTTGGCCCTAACGCGAATATCAATGCTATCTTTGCCTGGCAGAGTAGCCATCGCCCTCTTCAGCGCGCGACTACATACGGACTTGATGGGGCTTTTCCAACGCAGCTCCAGCCATCTCTTATACGTATCTACGAGTGGGCGTCATTTCGCTGGCATGAGTTCTTACATCAACCGAGTCGACGCATGCCTCCGAACACCCGCTCGTCACACGAGGATACCGCGACCGACGTAGATGTTAGCCCATACCTATCGGCCAATCTCATCAGATTCCTTCTCACCTTTCCTGGCTGTTGATTGATGTGTGCATCTCGCAAAGAATCACAACTGCGAGGCTTTGGACCAGATCAATGCTTGGGTCACGAATGTTGAGATCGCTTCTGTAATGGCCCTGGTTTGAATTTGGTGGATAGCTGTGGCGGCGAGGAGCTCTTCGGGAGTGGGATTGTTGGCTTCTTCTCCGTCGCGAAGGAGTTCCTTGATTCCACCTCCATATCTTGAGTTCAGCGCGGGATCCCGAAACATTGTTGGCGTGGTCTTGAAAAGCCAACTTCGGACTCTGATCTCCTGATCTCCTGAAGCATCGATCGGACACGTGTGACCGTATCCGTCGTGATAGATTTGACCAGATGAACTAAACTTTCTTTGGTGCAATGCATTCAAGTTGCCCCCTTCAGTGTTTCTGGTCCATGCAAAATTCCAATGGGCGGCGGACACCCCGCCGAGGATATTCTGGCAGGACTTTTGATTCTCCTGGAGGTTAATGCTTGCGCCCATGCCATTCCAAGCCGACAGACCTACGCCACGAGAGATTATACTTGGAAGGACAGCCCTTCAGGCTACGATAGCACGTGTGAGTACACGTTTTGAGACGTTCACTTCTCAGCTATCACATTTTCAGAACTCGCGTTACCTGAAGCATGCATTCTTATTCCCGGTCAACAGACTCATAGCAGCGAGCTTTGAACGCCTGCCTAATTTCGGTCTTTCAATCCAGGACCTTTCGCCATCATACTGATTCCTATTTCTGCTCAGTAGAGCCCTACGAATATCATCAAACATTAGCAGCTTTCCCACTTCAAACACTCTCTCGCCTCGACGTTGTAGAATGCGCCTTACCTGTTGCGCCCCGGCACCGCCCGCCGCCTGCTGGCCTTCTGCTGCTGCTGCTGACGAGCTGGATGACTTTGCGGCGCTTGCCGCCTTGGCTTTCTCGAGTCTGTGCACCACCGCCAGTCACCATCAGTATGGGATAGACTTGTATAAGGAACCTCTTGGGGTCGGGTCGGATAGCCACGGGGGAAAAGGCTACTCACTCCTTCTTGCGGATGTAGTCGTTCTCGAGAGCCTGCTCTCTGTTGGCGATGGATGGAATGTTCATGGTGACGGTGTTTTGTGTTAAAAGCTGGCGGGGTTCAATTTGTAGGATGTTGCGATGAGTTCTGGGTGATGTTGTTGTGTGAACGATGGATTGTCAAATGGACGGCTCTTGTGAGCGGTGGCTTGCTGGACGCCCAAAAAGGCGGGGGTGACGTCATCGGCTGCCTCTGGTTTAAATAGTGGGGCGGCACCCTATCCAAGCAGTACGCAATCATGGAAATACACCCAGTTTACTCTTGCGAAATGAACGGGTCAATGGTGTTCAAATTTGTATTTAATCGCGACATGGAGCCGTGCATCTCGTACTCAGATCCAAGTGTCATAACCCACGGATGGACAGTACAAATCAAATTCGCTAGTGCTTAAGAGTAATGGTGGAGATTGGGAGAGGCGAACCGTCGGCGGGTACCTGGACGGCCTGCGGATCCGCAATCGGCTCGGCCGTGTAGCTGTAATCGAGGATCTATCGCATTACCTCGCCCTTTAGACGGTAGATCCGCTAGAAGTACAGCTGTACGCCGTTACCTGGCCGAACCCCGACCTTACACGACATACAGATGAGGACCCGGTGCTTTTGGCCGCCGCTACTACTGCCGCCGCCGCTGCTCGCAGACCAGCTCAGCAGACCGACCTGGCCCCCAGCAACGCCGCCGTCAGACTCGTAGCGCACTGCCATAGCCGATAACCTGGTGCTTAATAGTCGTCATTGCTGCAGCCGAATGCATAGCAGCTTAACCAGTTGATCATACTTGCAAACCAGGAAATACGTGTCGCCTACTTCCCTCCCTCCCTCTCTCTCTCTATCTCTCTCCCTCCAACCCTCCCTCGCGCAGCCCCCTTTAACCCCTGGTCCTTACCCCAGGCCCCGGGGGTTGAGGCAAGGGAACGCGCACCCCTTGTTTCGCCCTGGTAATGACTGTCATAGTAGTGGTCGTCACTCGAGCTAACCCCCAGCCCGCCGACTCAGCCTTAACGATGGGGTAACCCCAACTTGCCCCTGGTACTAACGGTCACTACCGGCCTGAATGATGGTCAGATGTGCACCGAGTGGGTTGCCACGGAAGTCTGCCGTTGTGGCTACACGAATGTCTACAACAAGTGGACAGAGACGTGCGATGAAGCGGATAAGTCTGGGACTGAATGCTCTTCCAAGGAAGAGAAGGATGATTACAACAACAAGGCCATCACTTGCAGCGACTGCCGCGGCAAATAGTTCCGGAAACATCTGAGGCCCAAAGGTCCCGCTCCGTCGATACCTGCAACTACTTTACTTCACTTCAATCACGTCTCGGCAAGCTCGCTAGTCAGCAAGGTCCATCACCAGTCATTACCGCAGTCTTACATGGTTCATCCTCTCGTCGTCGTCGGATCAGGTTGTCCGCCACTGTTTCATCATCGGATACAATTATCCGCCCTGTCTTTACAGTAGAATTAGCTCAATGGGCCAGCCGGGGCCTGATTCGGGGGCTTGCCTGCTTCGTGTTAAGCGGGAGGAGAGCATCAGCCGACAGTAGCCTCCGCAGTTGAGGGGTATTGCCCTGACGAACCCCTAGCGGAGCGGGCCCGCCGGAGCTTCTCACCTCACCGAGTCCAGCCACTTGCACCCCGCTCCTGCCGTTTGACCCCAGGCCAACGCGCACGGAACTTACCGTGGCTGCATTTTCAAGCAGGGAGCTCCTGTGCTTCCCTGACTCGCGCTGTGGTCGTAAATATGTCACGGCCGGCGTTGCTTATCTGTCCGGCGGCGCGTTTTTTGATACAACAGAGAGCCGGCGCCATTCCTGGGAGCGACCCACAGACCCACGCACTGACAAGCCGCACCTTGCCATCTCACCTCGACCCCCATTTTTTCCACGGCCACAACAACAAGAACAACGATCAAGGAAGACAGAGCTAGTACAAATCTCTCGCTCAAGCCAGCAAGACTCAGACGACCACATATAGCTGCCACCATGGCTGCCCTCACAGACCACACGCAACACCAACCATCCACACATACAGTACATAAGTGGTCTGGGGGTACTCTTGGCCTCGCCTGCGACGAGTTTGGCGACATGTCCTGGATGGTCCTTGATGGCAACTCCAGCCATTTGGACGCTCCTTTATCTGCCACAGACAGCGGCTTTATTATGGACCTTGGGCCCGAGATGTACAATATGCCCTTGCAGCCATACGACGCAATGCCCTTCGGTACTATCACCGCCTCACAAATTTCGAACACTGCTCTTGGCGACAACGCCTCGAGCACACACTCGTGGCCAATGTCCCCAGCCAGCGATCCTACCACCTTTTCCGACATTGCCAGCGCATGGACACACACCAGCCCTAGGGGAATTACGCCGGAGCCTTCGTCGTCAGCACTTAGGTGCCATCGCTACCACCAGCTTCAGCAGCAACACAGCTCGGAGATACCGCAGCTCGCCGGCACGAAACGCAGTCATAGCGAGATACACGTGCACAGCACAGGGTCGCCAGATGCAACGGCAAGTTTCGCGTCACAGTCCACGCCGTCAGATACAACGGCCCTTCCAAGCAGCAATAAGAAGAAGAAGACGATACGCGAGAAGAACCGAAGAGCTGCGACCAAGTATCGCAACAAGACGAGGTGTGAAATTACAGAGCTCCAAGAGACAGAGACACAGCTCTCGGAGAAGAACAGTATCCTAAGCGCCCACGTCAAGGAATTACGCGATGAGATCCTCGCTCTCAAGATGGAGATCCTGCGGCATGGCATTTGCAAGGACCAGGTCATCCAGGATTACATCTTGGGGAAGGCTAGGAAGTTAAGTCTGGATTGGGAAAGAGCCAGCTCATATAACTCTTTCGCACTAAAACCTTAGAAAAGCAACCCCCAAGCGTAATTTCTCTTACCAAACGTATATTCGCCCTTTGAATGTCACTTTACCGTACTGGATCAGGCTTACTCTTCACAGGCTACTGGACTTGGCAGAGCGACGGCAGCATTTGGCTAGTCCCGTGGCTTGTGCATGTGCTATGGTGGGGTAGCGGTGAAGTGGAGTCCGCAGTTTCAACGACTCCCGTTCACTCCTGGACCCGCACGGCCCCGACTCTTCAAGGCTCCCGGCTCCCGGCTCCCGGCTCCCGGCTCCACAATGCCCCGGCCTCCACATGCCCTTAACTCTCGACTCTGCTCGGCTCCTGTCCCATAAGGAAACCCAGCGCACAACATGCAGTCCCACGTACTTCCCCTTTCAGGTCCTCAATCTTTGACTCATTCCTGTGATTACGCCATCTTCGCGAGTTATATGGACTTCGATTATCGCAAGACTCTCACGTTCTGTCTCTGCGATGGCTGGCGGGACAGGTAGCTACATTCTGCACCAGGGTTGCATTTTCGTATTTAATTCCCCTTATAGTACAGTATTGTAACCACTCTACTACAGTACGTATCTTTCCAGTAATAGCTAAAGGCTACCCTAAGCAGCGGACCCTACAGAAGCTGCTGTCAATGCATGTAGCTCTTCCGTGTCCTGAATTGTGTCATCAATGAGTCGAAGTGGGTGTTCCCCTTTCTCGTTAGACTCAATTAGCGCAACATTCGGCTCGCGGGACAAGCCGGCTCCTCATCCATGCTTGTGCATCGGGGGACAGACCGGGCATGGCTGAATAGGCACGCAGCCTGCTTCTAATCCTTGTCTCTCTCTGCCTGGATGTTACCAAAAATAGTCCTTCAAGAAGGCTAGCCAGTGAAAACGGAGACTTTGCTCCACTTGAGAGGGCTGGACAAGAAGCCTTACAAAATGCCTCATTGTTCCACCCCGCCAGTCCTCTATTTGGCACCACTAGCGCCCCGCTCTTCACTCTTACTTCAGACATGGCGGAATCCCCATTCATGATCAGCACGGGAATGGACTAGCATCCAACTGTACTCCGCAAGCCGGCAGACCTGCCAACATGTCAGATCGTGACCGATTCACTATCGGGTATATCTGCGCTGTCGATACGGAATGTATCGCCGCGCAGATGATGTTCGATGAGATTATCGACAAGCCCGATGACAGCCCAATGACAGCCCGTCCAAGGACGCCGATATCTACAGGTACGGTCATTTAGCGGCCACATGGACAGTATGGCATCTCCTCTGCAACCCGCGTTGTCAAGGACATGTCCCACGCTTTCGCCATCCGCAACATGCTCATGATCGGCATTGCCGGTGGTGCGCCACGCCACGATCACGAAACTCACAATCACCTTAGGGATATCGTAGTCATCTCGCCAGGCAACAGCAACACCGACGTCACACGGCTCTACATCTAGAGTGGGGACTACGACGACGCTCTCCACACTGCTTCATCCAAAGGACACGAGGCTATTGTGAGACTGCTTCTTGATGAGGGCGCCAAGGTCAATGTCCAGGGTGGACGCTTCGGCAATGGCCTTCAGACTGCTATATGGCTTGGACACGAGGCTATCGTGAGACTGCTTCTTGATAAGGGCGCCGACGTCAACTTGCGGGGTGGGAAATACGGCAACGCTCTTCAGGCTGCTTCGTCAAAAGGACACGAGGCTATTGTGAGACTGCTTCTTGAGAAAGGGGCCTACATCAACATGCAAGGCGGATACTACGGCAACGCTCTTCCAGCTGCTTCATCAGAAGGATATGAGGCTATCGTGAGACTGCTTCTTGACCATGGTACCGATATCAACATCCAGGGTGGAGTTTACGGCAACGCTCTTCAGGCTGCTTCGTCAAGAGGACACGAGGCTATCGTGAAACTGCTTCTTCACAAGGGCGCCGACATCAATATGCAAGGCGGATACTACGGCAACGCTCCAAGCCATACCTTCAGACTTATGAACACGTGCTTGCGGATACTATACAATTTGCCTAGACCCAAAGGATATGCAGCTTTGCTGTCGCTCTTCTTCGTTGGGGCGTCATTGATTGTCGCTGACTTCATACACACGAACTGGTGGCGAGAGCTTCCCTTGCCCTGGCTGCAATGAGCATCGTGATTCCGAGAAGGTGCAACGCCATGTAGCTGCTAGTGCTTCTTGCCTCCGCCCCAAGGGAGGCTGCAGTGGACATCGAGATGACATGCTCATGAGTTCCAACACTTGACGTCCCTGTGCAGCTTTGTCATTGTACTGCAGAAACGGCCACACTACCGACTCAGGCCTCCCGATTACAGCTGGAGCAAGGCATCATCGAGAGACATCATTAAGCGAAACGGTGGCGAGGATCAGGTCTCGAACCAGCGTCGTAACCCTCCTTAGCTTGGGGCTTGCCCAGTGGCACGCCTCCATTTCACGGTTAGCGGTGATCTAGAGCAGAAGACGAGGCGTCTGTAAGAAGATTTTGCTATTGCCTCTCCAATTCAGTATGTCGAACCTTTCGGGTGCCCACCCGCTTCCGCATCCCATATTTTGCCCCTCAGATTGTCCGGGACTGCCATCTTCGCAGTCGTTGACTGAAAGACTTCGATAACTGGAGGAAACAGTTTCTTTTCGCAGATTGCGACACAATGCTTACCTCCATTACTCTTAACCGCTTCCCGTAATTGGCCCAAGACGGTAACGAGCATGCGCAAGTCCGCCTGATTCCTATGCTCCCAGTCAGCAAATTGTGCCGCAGCGTTGGTTATTCGGCACTCTGTAAAGGTTCCTTGAGCGTGACGGCCAACAATGAGCCAGGGAGTTCGACCGAACCAGAGCTGGGGCGAGTTCTTGCCTAAGCTCTTTGGCTTGCTTGCCGTCTTGATCTTCGCCGCCATCTCCTGGGTCATTTGAGCCTTCTGCCCTGGTGGCCTGGCGATAGCTGTGTTGTCTATGGGTGCATCGTGTATGGAGAGTTTACCCATCGAGAGAGACGGGGCCTCGGACCCATCGCTTGCTTCGTCTCCTTTATCGTAGCACGCGTCCACCTCGAATTGCACGACGCACACAAGATCCCCAAGCCGGTACTGAAGAGACCGATGATATGATGCGCTGTCTTTCAACCCTTACGGATATTCTGTGAATCTGTGCTCAAAGGCTTTCCCCCATCCGGGATTCCGTGACCCACTGATGTGCTGTCGGACATTCTTTTCACAGCGTTCGATGATCAAGGTGCGATGAATTAAGTGGAGATTGAGGCGGAAACTATCCTGTCGACGGCCGGCGCTGAAGTCGAGGAGCTTCCGGGGGCTATTTCGATTGGTCAGGACGTCGACGTCGTCAAAGCGGAATGCTGTGTTCATAGAGGCAGTGGCCCGGAACATTGGCTCAAAGGGGAACGTTGGAGCGCGCGCAGCATTTTGATCCACAAAGTAGACGCCCTCGTCTTTCGGTAAGGTTACTGGCAAGATAATGCCTTGCCAAACCGCCGCACAACCTGCTTGCGGTCAGTTTGCTTGCAATGGCAAGTTGCTACCAAGATGGTAGGAGTGGAAGAGTAATGAGTGTCTTGAAGAATGGGTGGGGTTGCTTCCTCGCTATACCCCGCTTTCAGAGTTGACCTAGAATTTCACTAATTAAGGCAAGAGCCGTTGTCCATGCAGACGTCTGTGCCACCACAGCAGTGAGATACAGTATTGCCGGCGACGCACGGCTTGGAGCCTGCCTGGACGTTGCCGCTAATGTCGTAGCATTCTGCCATCCTCGATGAGAGTCCAGGCAGCGACGATACAGGGTGATAAAATGTGAGTTTCTGTGAATGTGAGGAGTGGAAGAACCCTTGGCCAAAGCAATGACTAGATGTTGCGCTTATATGTACGATGGGTGCGAAAAACAGACTCTCGATCATCATTCAACCATTTGTACAACCTGCCTCCAGCACCCATCCTTGGGGGCTTGTACGACCCATTGTGCATGAGCTGAAGTCTGTGTGGTGAGACACAGCGAACGCCCATCTTGGAAGTTTTGGAGACCAGCAACCACTTTGTAGTTCGGCGAGGTCGAGAGCCGTCACAAGCCTGCCCCGTCCTCGAATCACAAGTCCATGATCCAGAGTGGTGTCGAGTGTTGCGATAGCCCTCAAATCGGCTGCTCCGAGCATCGTTCGGTGAGCAGACGCCTTGGCTGTCTTTCAAGATCCCTTGCCGCTCTGGGGTAGTACTTAAGCCTGATGCGAGGCTACTGCTACACAACATCCGATGACCTGGGGACTCCAATACAGGAACTACAAAGGCCGAAATGCACAAGGCTTCGCCGCAACTGGCCCCAAATCAGGCAGCTAGCGAGCCTCTCTGTCCTATCTAAAGCCATAGGGTACGTCTTGCAGGCCGCCGAAAGCGGTGACATATGTATGCCGCATGCTGCTTAACGCTTATTCGAGAGCAAGGCTGCAGCTGAGAGCTGGTCGAGCTGGGAGGTTAAGCCCGGCCCCGACTCATAATGCTCTGCCTACATTGCATCCTGTGACGTCCAATGACGGTGCTCGCAGGGCATGAATTCACGCGCAAGTGCGCCGACGAAGGCGCCGCCCGGGGCTTCCGCTTCTCCGCCTTCTACTACGATGCCGCCGAGCTCGCCGGCTCTTGGGCCACAGGGTTTATAGGATACGCATCAGTCCCCACCGACTGCCTGGAAGACTACGACATGTCGATCGCCGTCCTCGAGGACCCCATCGGCGACAAGCTCGGCTGGCTCGCCGTCGGCACGCTAATTGACGACCTGGTTAACAAGAACATCTTCTACAACATGGGCTGGCGGACGACCACGGCCGTGGCCTGCGGCCCATCCGCTCCTCGGGCGGCACGCTCAAGACTTCCCTCAGGGGCAGCGCATCAGTGCTGACATTGACGTCACCAGAGGCCAGGAGGGTAGTCTTGCTTGTAAGCCGCGTCCCTTACCCCCGCGTTGATCCTGTGTGAAGAGGATCACAGGGTTGATGCAAACGTTACGCGTCAAGTGCTGACCGCTGCTCCGCCCTTGCGCCGAGGGTGGTACCCCGGAACGGGTGACAGGACGATCTATGGCATCAACATTGGCGGAAATGCTCAGCAGAGGTATGTATGGTTGCTGACGATCCTCTTTTGCTATGGTCTTTGAGCACATCGCTCTCCCGTGCGGACCTCTGCAGTAGGGAAGATTGGCGCTTCGCGTCTTCAAGAGGGGCCCAATCATCTCGATTCTTGTTTATTTCGAGCCCCTCTCAATGCGCATTGCCAAAGCTGACATGGTGATGAGTTACTGTCTGGCGGTCTGGCTATGCAAGATCTCGTTGCCTACGCCCGCTCAGAACATCCTTGAGGCTTATGCCAAGCGGACGCGAGGCCACCCCGAAACGACTCGTGGTGCTTGAGCGGTTGAACGAGGGGGTCCGAGAAAATCGACGAGTGATGAGCACCTATATGGGCGAAGTGAAGGAAAAGCGATATCTAACGATGGAGTCCCCGTTGCTAGGAACGCTCACACAAGCTGGTTGGGGCGGAGAGGTCGATTTTGGTATTTATTCCCGCGTGGATCTCATCGTGATGCCTGTCATTCAACAACAAGTCTTCAGAAAGCCGTCAGCCAGTATGTCCTGACGTCGATGCAAACCGCGATGTGAATCAAGCCGGTAATTATGTCCGTACTGTGCCCTACGCGATCGAGCGAAGGCTTCGTCAGTCAACTACATTGACGGCTTCGTGCCCAACTGGCAGGAGGCGTACTAGGTGGGGCAACTACCCGCGTCAGCAGGCCATCAAGTCGCGCCGGGGTCCGCACAACTTCTTCAGCTCCTGGCAGTCCATCGAGCCGCTGGACGAGGACAAGAAGGCGCGAGCCGCGCACGATGGGTTGCGGAGAGTGCCATCTCAGAAACAGACCCCGCGGCGTCAAAAGCGCCGAGAGGATGCGGCGGAGGTGGGAGTAGGATGAATCTCTGTGCACACTGAACCAGCTGGAAGCGCCCGAGTCAGAAGAGGCCGTGTTCAAGAGAGATACAGATCTGCGCTTGAAGATCATGAAGCTCCGTAGAACTTCTCTGGGCGTGGGAGTCAAGATTTGAAATTTACATTGGGCCACAATATTGGACTTGCGCGGGATTAATGGAGGCTGGTAAGTCTGACTGCCCCGTATTGATGGTTTGGGGCCCATCTAAAGACGATACTACAGCTGTGCGGCTAAAAGTCATCACATCCAAGGGGGTTCCTTGTCGTCGAGGTATGATGACCCTAGATGACGTCAGTCTGTGTCACGCCGGTAGAGTTCAATTAAGTAATGTCCAAGAGAATAATGTTGTGGCTGTCGATATTCCTGGTCTTGATTGGCTCGCTCGCTTGCAGTCGTATTTGCCGGTGGTCGTACTCCCTGCATACGAATCAGGAACGTCGTATTGCTCGGCACGCGCGGAAGTTTTCCACGTCGTGGGCCTTCGGACCCGTTGTGGCTGACCTGAAAACCAGGGGACCCTCGTCGGCAATCGTGGCGCAGCCAGGACCTCGCGGCTAGGAAACAAGGCAGGGTTAGCCGGGAACATATCGTGTATGTTTGCTGTCTGTCATTCCTCGAGATGAAGCTGATTCTATCAGTCCAGAAAGCGGCCAGCAAGCGGATTGGCGTTGTGATGCGTCATGAGCCTTATGGATTCCCTCACTGATGGCGAAACACGCCTCTAAAAAGGCTGTTGCGGCCTCGGCTACGAATATTCTTGCGGAGAAGGTGCCTGTACCCCGACCTTGGATGTGCGGTCGTTGTCGGACACTGCTAGCATCCAGATGAGGGGTAGACCGCAACTTGACGATCCCTAGACCAGTCCCATACAAGCTCCACCAGGCAGCTCGATGCGGGGAAGACCAGGGGAAGCAAGACTAAACCCAAACGTCCCGTCGAAATGCCTATAAGGAGGATGACCCGTCCTGCTTTGCAGCTTCGCTGGCGATTGACTCCTCACTACATGTTCTTCCGGCCATAGTATTTATCAGGCACGCAAGCATGTACGACACAAGAGCCGAAGTCGAGGCGCTGGCCGCCAAGACAGAGTGAGCCTCCCTCCCAGACTTCCAGATTCCATCACTATGAACACACTGAACCTCTACAAGCTCACAAGACTGACAAGATCCTCTCAAACACAGTCCCGACTTTGAGCAGGTGAGCAACGGATCAGCCAATGGCCCCAGATACTTGCCCCTGTCCCGCAAGCTGACACCAAGCCCAACGGCCCTCAGCTCATGGCCAGCGTCGCCAACGGCGGCGGACCCGGCAACCACCCGCGCGCCATGATGCTCGTCACGCCCTTCGAGCAGATCGCCACCTTCTGGCAGACGAGCCCACAAGGCCCCAGCCTGCCCGACACGCCGGCCCAGTACACCGTCCGACCGACCATGCGCGACGGCCACGAAAGCGAGGCCCGCGTGTACAAGCCCCAGTCGGCGGCTGCTTCCAGCAAGACGCCCCTCATCGTCCTGATCCACGGCGGCGGCTTCTGCGTCGGTCACTGGTCCCACGTCGGCGTCCACGCCCGTGCGCTCGCCCACCTGTACGGCGCGACTGTGTGCAGCGTCGCCTACCGCCTCGCGCCGGCGCACAAGTTCCCCACGGCGCCGCGGGACGTGTGGGACGCGCTGACGTGGCTGACCAGCGAGGCCGGGCTCGCAGCTCTAGGAAGTGACGTGGACCCGGCCAGCCAGGGCTTCGTGGTAGGCGGCGTGTCGGCCGGGGCGAACCTCGCGGCCGTGACGGCGCAGAAGGCCGGGCTGCTCTATGCAGATGGTTCCGCGGAGAAGCTCCCGTTCCCAATCACGGGCTGCTGGCTGTCACTCCCCTCGGTCTACGACCAAGAGGTCGTCCCGGACAAGTACCGCGAGCTCTTCGTCTCGCGCGAGCAGAACGCCCGTGCCCCCGTCATCAACACTGCGGCAATCGACTATGTTCGCGCGACGTACGGCTTCGATGCCAAGTCGCCCGAGTTCACCCCCGGGTATGGCCAGGGCGGGGACGCGCCGGCCAAGATGCCCCCGACGTATCTGCAGGTGTGCGGGCAGGATCCTCTGCGCGATGACGGGCTCATCTATGATAAAGTGCTTCGTGACAATGGCGTCAAGACTAAGCTGGACGTGTATCCGGGTGTGCCGCACGGGTTTGCCGAGTTGACTGACATCCCGCTCGCGGTGAAGAATCGGAATGACACACTCAAGGGCTTCTCATGGCTGCTTGGCAAGGAGAAGGAGCCTACGGACGAGGAGTGTTTTGGGGCGTGGAAGGTGGCTGCCGAGACGGCCACTGCCCCTGTCGAAGCAAGTGGCTGAACAGAGACATGCACAAAGAGCAATGTATACGACGGGCTTCTCGCCATGACGCGGCGATTCTCGAGTATCTCGAATGCTCGCCAATCAATTTCATGTGTAGTATGCAAAGAGCGTGAAAATGCATAATTGTCTACTCAGTATTCCTACATCCTACTTCGGGTGCCGGGGACAAGCAAGAGCATGACGCGCATCCGGAAGGTCACCATGAGATGTTGTTTCTTGTCAACCTAATTAACAAGCTCGGTCACGGTCACACCAAGCTTCGATGATGCAGCATTGAATGCAGCTGCGATCCGAGCAGGCCCTGTGGGCTGACGTCTTGTCTTGCAAACAGAGTCTTCCAGCGCCAGATTGATGTATCCCAAATCTGCGATTCAGCTAGGGCCGGCGATCTCCTGTCTGAAACCTCAGGTCTCTGGAGACTTAGACTGCATGATCCTGGCAGGATGGACCAATGGGGTCCCGCTGTCTGCTCGGTGGCTGACCACAAACAAGCTGAAAGACTAGGTGGCTTGCCATGACGGGCTGAATATTGACAAGGTGCCGGCTGTACCTCTTGGCACAAGCTCTAGAGCCTTTTGGGTTTTGCCTAGTTAGGTATGCCAGCGCTTGTAGCTCGATCATGTCACGTCCCTCGCGGTAATTTTGGGCGAGAACGGCGGGCACAGGTCCTGGGCTGATGGTGTAGTAATGATGCACCATCTCGATGAGTGAGACATCGAACAGCTACTGCAGCTCCTTCCGCTAGTTAGTTGTTGTTCAGGAGGGGGCGACCGTGAAGAGAGGATCCATCCACAAAAGGACCCCCCCGGGCCCCATGTTTGTCGCTGCTTTCTCCTTTTCCACCTGTCATACTTATCACACGAGCAACTCAGCAGTCACATCATCAGTACGGACACGGCGTGATACTGATTATGCTTCTATCAACAGTCGCTTTTCTTTGCTTGACCCTTTGCCATGCTCATCCCGAGGCTCACCCCCCGTTGACGTCCCTCCTCTCGGCGGCGACGACAGCATCGCGCAGATGAACCTTGGTTTCCAATCCGATGATCCTACCAAGGAGCTCAAATTCAGTGCCCCGAATCAATACGACTGCAAGGGTGAGCAAGAGGACTAGCCCACTTTGCCGTAGCGGTAGGCCAAACATGGCTGGGGACTGTAACTGATAAGTGGTGACATAGAGGGGAAGACTCCGCATGTTTTCACGGGCGTGGAGCTCAGAAACGCGCTGAAGATCGCATACGACTGCGAGAATTGGAACCAGGGCAAAGGTCCAGGTCCCGTGCCAGCTTGTTGTATGCTCGCGCCCCCGGATCCCGTTCCCAGTCCCAACTGCTGCAAAACACTCAATGGTACGTAATTCTGTCGATGCGAGAGCGGCACTGGTAGCTCTGGAACCCGCACAAACCCCCAGACTTGCTTATGATCTCACTTTTACACAAACACAGGCAAAACCTACCCTCGCTCGTTTGCGAATGACGGATTTACAAAGTTCCCGGTCGATGGCGGCAAGTGGCCGAACGAACTCTGGGAGTTTCCTCTGGAGTTCTACTCGGCCCACCCCCCATGGTGCGGCGGCAACCCTGATCGATGGCGCGTCATCATGGACAAGAGATACGACTTCCAAGGAATCTTGTTTCATCCCGCAGATAATGGTGGCACTAACGAGTTCGAGCAATGTATACGCTCTGTGCCAGGACCGTGATGTATGCTGGTAATGTTGTCAACTCAACGGGTCGCCACGGGCACAGTCGAACCGCGAGTACTCACCCTGGCCAGAGTTGGTTGGGTAGAATGCAAGGGAGGGCGAATCCCAGTTCGATGGATTATGACTACTTGTCCTTTGTCAATCAAGACTTCGCACATCCTGGGCCGCCTGTTCACATCTGCACCTGGCATTGTGACAGTCGGAGGTACATTGCGCAATATTCCCTGAAAAGACTTGCACCTCGCGGGAGACGATCGACACTAAATTTGTTGCTATGGCCGATTGTAGCCTACCTGCCAGACTTGACAGTTGCGACGCACGAATCAGGAAAGACTCCCGGACGCGGCCCGGCGCTTGGTGGGGCCCCGCTCCGCTCGGAGGACGGGACAAGCTCCGAGACCGCGGACGAACAATCAGGCCGCGACCGTGGCTGAATCATGTTTTTCACCTTTCGGGGCTCTGCAAATGCCCAGGAGGAACCTGAGGTGCCGCGATGATGGTAGACGTACCTCAGCGACTGCCTCGCGGATCTGATGCCGATGCTCCTGAGCTCCCAAGTCTCGAAAGCCTGTAAATACACCACCTTAACAACCGTCTCATGAGCCTCTTCATCGCCTAGACCCCCTGGTATAACAGGGTTCTGCTTCCTCCCGGCCGGAGCAATCTCCAGAAATACATTCCACGGGCAATATCGTCCTCGCCACCAACCGCGGTATATCTTGGCCTCTCTCAATACCTCTTCCCGATCTCCTACCCACTTCCCTCTTCAAATTAGCCCGCTGCCTACCTCGAAAGCCAGCTCTCTAAACGCAATGAAGCTCATCGTCTCCGGCGCGACGGGCTTTCTCGGCCGCGAGGTCGTCCGACAGTCCCTCGCCGTTCCCGCAGTGACCTGCGTGGTCGCCCTCGCCCTTGTCCCGTCTCCTTCACCGACGCCGAGCTCCTCCCTGGTTCTGACCGCGGCAAGCTCGTCGTCGCCACGGTCGCCGACTACGGCGAGTGCCCTCCCGACGTGACTGCGCAATTTGCGGGAGCGATCACAAAAGTCTCCCATACTAAGTAACACTTAATACAGTACAGTACCGTTTTACGTTTTTCAATCACGTCTTGAAACACGTGGTGGGATGGGTGTGCTAGACCCTCTAGATCTCCAAAACTACATACGTTTGATGATGCGAGATATTTGAGTAAACAACAACATCCAGTATGCCCAAGGGAACACGCATGCTTAAAGTTTAGTTCTCTTGTCTCTTGGACCACTGAATCAGTGGCCGACTGGGTTATTGGAATGCGCTCGCTCGATTGGCGAAGGCCAAATCCAGCCAACATGGAGGATTGCTAGCGTCTGCTTCTGGAGTGGCTAGAGAACGTCGCCACGAGCGCACGGCTATCATGAGGGATAGGCCAAATCGGCAGCTATCTTACGTACCTATTCCGCCCGTAGAGGACCCTCTAGACCTGCCTGTGTACATGACTACACTCGTTTGCCAAAAGTGTGCTACATCGTCTCATGTCAGGCCATTACTCATCGGATTATTCCCAACCCGGTCCGCTCGGTCATCATTCCTTCCTCATCCGAACTCGAATCGTATGCGAGTGAGCAGAGTGACTATGCGCTCCGAAACGTTACGGTACTCATTGCCGAGACTGGCCGGCTTGCGTCCGACAGGCGCCGCGTTCCTGGAATCCACAGCCGTACCCGGCCAAGTGAGACAATGATAGACACAAGAGTATGTGAAAATTAACTGCAAGACTGGTCGGAAGGAGGGGATGGGGGACAAGCTTTGCGGAATTCCCTTTCCATCACTGAGCGACCCAAGACACACCCCGAGTCCGCCATCTCCGAAGCCTTTTCAGCTCCGAGACCTTTTTCAGGCAGCTTGTAGACAAAAACTACGATTTTCTGAAATCTGCAATTGCCTGAAAAGAGCTGCTGCTGCCTGACTCCTGCTATTGCCCTGCGATCAGCTCTTCAAACCAATTCCTGATCCTTCCTAGTGCTTGCTGATCCCCGGCTTGGGTTGACTCCAGGTCTTCGTCAACCCATCCATTGGTAAAACCGCCCCCAAAGTCTACCAGCCATAAGTTGTCGTCCTTATCGACAAGGACATTCGTGGGCGATGCATCTCCCCACCCTAGACCGCTTTCGTGTAAACCGATAACCATGCTCTCCAGTTCATCAGCCCAGCGAGGGAGGTGTTTCAAGCTTTCTCTGTCTTGAGCAACACAGTACAACGTGCCAAGTATGCCTGGTCGCTTGGCTTTGATGTAAACGAGCAACATCCCAATGAGGCGCGGCCCGGACTCAGAGTCGTGGTCCACGACGAGGCCGTGGAGTCGACAGATGCGAGGGGAAAGCTCTCCATCAACCTTATCTATCGCTCGGTAGATAGCCAATTCACGAACATTGCCTCGGCCGCCAGGACCGAACCCTTTGAAGAAGTATTGAGCACCGGAGTGTGCGATAGTGACCCTGGAAGGGATTGAAAGCAGTGGGTGGCGATCTTTTCTTGCCGGAAGTTCGATGTCCCGCGAGGAATACCCACGAAGTGCCCAACCATCAATATCCAGATCAATGAGCTGCTTTGAACACAGAGGTTCGCCAGGGAGGATATCCAATTCTCTCACGAGCGTTGGCTTTACGGCTTGGTTGTCTTCGGTGAGCTTCGCCTCCAGGTAGAAAGACCTCGAGTATAAGTAGTCGTGCAGGACGAAGTGCGTCTGCACTGGTAGTTGTGGCTTAAGCTGGGTCATCAAGGTGGTGAATGGCTGCTGCAAGCGATCCAGTGCAAGCAGTCTGAGTTTGCCGTCGACGGCCTCGTCCAATGAAGCCAAGTTCTGGCGATAGTTGTGGAGAATATGTGGTGCTGCAGCCAGATTGCTGGTTGACCAACGAAGATGGAACACAGCTCCAGGACAACGGACAACCATGTCGAAGCCGTTGTTGACATCTTTCACATAAGTTAGCCTTATGAAGTCGTGCATGGTGAACCGAAAAGCTGAAAGAACAAGCCTTCACGAATGGGATGCGCGTGGAACGACAAAGTAGTGGATTGCCTGAATAGTGAATGCGAAGAGACAAATTCTATGTGTTTTTTTGGGGCGGGGGCAGATTCTTATAAGGTCCGACGACCCCGCATTGTCCCTCGTGCACGTATACGAGAATACGAATTAAAGGGGTGAAAAAGAAAAAGGAAAAAAGAAACAAGCATCGGCCCAGTTGACGCTAGGTTGCCGCCCCGCCCCCAGTAGCGAAACGGATCACCGCAAGGTCTCCAGCTTCCACAACATCTCGGTAGTCCTTTTGAAGTATTTGGCCTTAGCCCTGAAAAAGTAGTGCGCACTTCGCCAAGAAGACTTGATTCTGGTTCCGCTCGTCCCGTGCCGTCGCAGTATCGCTGTCGAAGATGCTTTGCTTATCCCGAACGCGGATTCAGCAGCCGTAGGAGAACCGTATGCGGGAACGTACGCTGATGCCCGAGACTCTATACTAAACATCAGCCTGAATCACAATCGCGGGCAACTAACTTACCTAATAATCACCGTCTTGAATCGTCTGGTTATGCAACTCTTCGATCATCTGGTTGTACGAGGCTATACAGTCCCACAGCCCACAAGGGCCATCTTGAAAACTCTGAGTAATCTCGATATTCTCGCACCGAAGCAATCTTCTAAAGCCACCAGCGGTAGGACGGGACCAACGATTCGCCTCTACAGCGTCTGGGCAAAGCTCTGCACTTGTAGGGACATATAAGGTGCCGCTAACAAAGTGTCCACAGAAGTTGGATATGGTCTGATGTTTGGACAGTTGCGACCTTGCCAGTCGTGTCCATCAACCAGTCGAAGCGGGGTACTCATCGCTATTGGTCCACCACCAACATTTCATCAGCCGCCTCACGTCGTGGTCTTGCTGCGTGCGTCTCTTCGATTCGCTTTGGGCCGAACCCTTAGAGCCTGCATTACTTGCGCTGGCACAGATGTTGTGCGACATTTGCCTAGGTGTGCTTGAGCACCACAAAGGGCTGCTTCCCCCGGACAGCAAGGCGCCGCCGACCCCCGGAGACCGCTACAGGCTGAAATTCAGACACCACGAAACGATCGACAGCCTCATCGAAGCTGGGCTCGCGGGATGCCAGGCATGCCACATCATGTGGAGCCAATACCCAGAGTCATACTGGACGGAGGCTCGTGGCCGCGGCAAGTCCAGGGATGATTCAGAACCAGACGCAACGTTCTTCCAGTGTTTGCTCACTTGTTGGCGCAGAGGGGATGGGCTATCCATACAAATGATCCTCTTCTTCGCCGAAATGCCTGGCCGGAATCGCAGGAACGTCTACCAGGCAGCGTCAGCCTCGTCCTCCACCACGATCCAGTGCCATCGGATGCGGCGCTGCCTGCGATGGTCTCCGAAACGACCGCCTCAGACGAGACTTTCTCACAGGCTCGATCATGGATCGAAAATTGCTAGTCCAGGCACTCTACGTGCAACATTAGCAGGTTCAAGGACTGGTATCCGACCCGGCCGATCCGAGTCAGCCCACTGCCAACAGGCAGAACCACGCAGACGACCAAAGACAAGGTCTGGCTCGTGCTCTGCGCCGAGGAGAAGCCCTCGTGTCATATGCGACCCTCAGTCATTGCTGGGGCACAGTCCAACCAATCCGGTTACTTCGAAGTAAAGTCGAGCAATTCAAGGGTGGAATCAACATGAGCGACTTACCCAGGGCGTTCCGTGAGGCCGTTGTCGCAGCCAGGAACCTCGGCGTCCTTTACATATGGATCGACTCGCTCTGCATCATGCAGGACCAAGACGACCCCCGCGACTGGAATCAAGAGGCGTCACTCATGCACAAGGTCTACTCCAACGCCGTTTGTAATACCGCAGCTTCCGACGCCGCAGACGGCTCTGAAGGACTCTTCCGCACTCGAGACCCGCGAGCTCAGCGCAGTCGCGCGAGCTTATGGATAACCGGCCTCGACAACGAGTACGACAACACGTGGATTCCTGTCACAGTCGTGCACAAAGCCCTGTGGGAAAAAAACGTCACTTTTTCGCGGCTGAACCGCCGTGGCTGGGTATTTCAGGAACGCATTCTGTCGCCACGCATCTTGCACTTTGGCAAGGCCCAGGTTTTCTGGGAGTGTCGCGAGCTCGAGGCCACAGAGTTCTACCCAGATGAGTGGCCGATCACACGTGAATTGCACGAGCCTGACACTCTTTTGAAGGCACTCGACCTGCAACACTACCTGGCGCAGCTGCCGCCAAGTATGTCTATGACACTCGAGGACGCACGGGCTGCCTTGTACGCTGGCATGGTTGAGCTGTACACTACACGCACGCTCACGCATCCCAGCGACAGGCTCATCGCGTTCTCGGGCATCGCGCAGCACCTCGAGGCCATGTTCGGGGACGAGTTTGTCGCTGGCTTGTGGCGTTCACAGATCGCGGGCGATCTGCGTTGGTCCACAGTGGTTGACGATGACAAGCCAAGACATCGACCGCTGCGGTACCGCGCTCCGTCGTGGTCGTGGGCCGCGGTCGACGGGCCCGTTCGTATCGGCGGATGGACAAAAAAGGGTCTGCTACTCGAGGTTGTCGGCCTCCATCTCGAACCTGATGACTCGCAGGACAAGATCTTCGCAGCAACGTTTAGTGGGGGGTGGATCGAGCTAAAGGGCTTTGTCAAGCGACTGCAAGTGGACACAATCGCAGGATCCCGTGCGATGCAATCTTGGGGTCTAAAGGATGGCAGTCTGCTCGAGGTCGTCCAACTCGACGTGTCAGAAGAGCTCGACTTCAAAGTGCTGGGTGAATCGGCACAGGTAGAGTACCATGGGCCGGGACTTTTCGCTATGGTACATTGCGGGCCCTCCATGATAATAAGCTTGCTCCTGCTAGAGCTGACAACGGAGCCTGGGGAAACGCCCGTCTTGTTCAAAAGAGTTTGTAACGCATGGATCGACAAGGGGGATCGAGACACGGTGGAGTGGGCCCAGGAGTTTGCTTCCGTCCCCGAAGCCCTGAGTCACTCAGTCCCCGGTGTTGAACGGCATGAGGATGGGCAGCACACGATTAGGGTCATATAGTCTACAGAATGTCGAAACCCTCACGGACCAATTTGTCTTGGCCCTGTTCGGTGCCATCTAGAGTCCAGCTATAATATCGAGTTCGCCTCACGCATGGCATCTTCACTATCGAAACATGAGACGAAGACGTTTGACCTGCGGTTCCCGATACCATCACTTGTGGAACCTGTCTCAATAGTGTTGTCCAGAACCACTGGCCTCGCGCCACAAGAGGCACATCCTTGTTGTCCTTAGTTAGATGAATATATCTCTACCGGCACTGAAGATCCAGCAAGTGGATTGCCTTTGGACGAGCGGAGATCTGCACTACTTGCGCCTTATCCCTTCATGGTTGATCCGTGCACAAAGAGACAATAGCTATACTTCATACACTCTCCCCGCCCGAACGCTTGGTTCACGGACTGGCGACATGGGAAGGTCGAGGCCGATAGTCCGCGCCTGAAGGAGTCGAGCTGACAGTATAAGCCTATCAGTATTTGACCTGAAGCCTCGCATTTCCGCATCGACTTCAATGTCTACGAGGGTCCGAAGCCGTGGCTGAATTGAAGGGCCGCAGGGAAGGAGGAGACCGCATAATGACAGGATCCGCACTAACAAACGGCCTGTTGAATCCTGGACCCCAAGTGGGACGACACGGAAGCCGCCTGCGATGTGAGGAAATACGTCCCATAGGACCATGGCGCGGTCTTGATCACGACGCGGTTATCGCGCCTAGTACAGCTAGCACCGCGGGGACACTCACGTAAGCTGGTCAAGGTGGACGGCCCTCTCGGGAGAGCCATCCTCGAGGCGTGGTATGGTGGTGATCTGGGAGAGTGACGTGTTGACCGATTTTAGTCGGTCTTTTCTGACTAGATGCAGGCCCCCGGGCCGGCGACCTCTTGATTCTCCTCGACAGGATGCCGCTGGCCGGCTACGAGAGGGCCCTGGGCCCTTGACCCTGACCACGCGGACACTCTCATAACCGTCAACAATCTGGACACATCTACGCGGATTAAGGCAGGCGAGCCGAAGCGGAGGCGATGTATCAGCGAGCGCCGGCCGCCCGAGAGAAGGCCCTTGGACCTGACCGTCCCAACACGCAACTGGTTTTGCGTAACTTAACATTACTGCAGGAAACCACAGTTGAGACGACACTCTGTGCTTTAGAGCCAGTGGCTGACTCAACAAGCAGAGAGTTTCAGGGCAGGAAACCTCTGGAAGAGGGCTACGACGAAGCTCCTGGTTCTTCTCTGCACCGAGCGTATTAATGTGTCAAAGGGTCAAGTCGGCGGAAACGACGACAGTTAGCGGCAGGCTGTGGCTTTGTGCTTCCTGGGTTTGCTTTTCGTGGATAGATGCTTAACTTAACCACGCTAACGTACGTTATCAGTGAGTGGCCCATATCAGCGAGTGGCCCACCCTCATACTACCCTAGAACAACCCGCCTCAATTGCAACACATCAACACTAACAAGCAACTATTATTACATCGGAAACAGCTGAATCTGACGCTTCTACAGCCTCCTGGCAAGTGCGTACATTATGGCCAGGCTTGCCGCACACACCACAGCAGCGAACCCTCGAAGGGCCCCCCCTTGTACCACTACCATCCAGCTGCATTTCTTATACTCCCTCTCTACCCACGGCCCCCTGGCCTAGTGCCTCCTGTGCACCCTGTATAGTAAGTGATCCTCTAAGCTGCACACGTGTTCTTTTGGCTCTCCGGCGCTTGCTTAGTGCCTCGTTGGCCTTGCGGAGTGAAGCGTTCTCTAACTCGAGGATGGCTACCCGGTGTATCACAGCTATTGTACCCTTAGTAAGCTGGTTAACAGCAGCTAACATCGAAGTCGGGGAGCTGTTTTGATGGCTGGTAATACGAGTCTTGATAAGCGTTGACTGCGAGTTGGCTTCTCGGGGGTTATGGGGTGTCTGGAAGACCCAAGGTTGTATAGTGCTAGGCCGTAAGGTCGGGGGTGTCGGTGTACGAAGCTTAACATCTAGCTTAGAGAGCACCCTATCTGGGTCGTACGGTACAAGGCCAGCACCTGCAAAGCCACCCTGTATATTCTTCTCTGTTATAGAGGCAAAGAAGGCCTCGCGAAAGGAATAGAGGAACTCGAGCTTGCTCATATGGTTAATGTGCATGCGTATTAAGTCCTCGACTTGGCGACCGTACGCCCGCTTCAGTAGCCCAAAGCAGCCAATATCGAGTGGCTGGAGGAGGTGGGATGAATATGGAGGCATGCAGAGCGTGATAATATTGTTCTGCTGGCAATGGAGCTCGAATTCGGTCGAGTGGTGGTTCTCGTGGCCGTCGAGGATCAATAACCGGTATTTGCCTTTCGTACGAGGTGCTGTATGGAAGTCAAAGTGCTTGATCCAATCTAGGCCTACCGCATTGGTAGTCCAACCATTATCGGTGGTTGCGATGCGCCAGTCGGCCGGGAGGTTGTACTCGGTATACTAGTTCGCGAGGTAGTACTGTGCGGCCAAGATGATGAAGGGGGGATAGCCCAGCCGAGGGTATTAACTCCCTGGATCACCGTTGCCCATTCGCGGTTGCTAGGCTGGGCTAGCTTTGCCTTACTACGGCCATCCGAGGTCGTAACTACTATACCCGCGAAGATGATGCCCATCATGAACCCAGTCTCGTCGAAGTTGTAGATATCGTCATCCACAATACCGTACTTGGCCTTGACGTTCCGAACAAGGGCAAACCACTCGCCAATAACCTTTGGATCCTTACACTTAGCCCTCTGGTAGTCGTATCTACGCGTATAACGCGTACGGAGCTCTAGCTGGCGTTTGACAAATCGATGGGCCTAGAGTTGACCGACAGGAGGCGCGTCGCGTACGCGTAGCAGTTGGTTGGCTATATCTTCCACACTATATAATCTAGGTGGAAAAGCTCGCGTAGATAGCTTAACAATATATTGAACAATAGCTTCTTCTTCTGACTGAGTAAGCTTCTTCGACTTGGGCGTACTGTCGCATCGTGCAGGCTTGCCGTCGCATCGGCGCCCTAGAGTCTTACGGGCGACCCCGTAAATCTCAGTAGCGGCTCACACGCTTAGATTTTTATCGTTTTGAAGAGCCCCGAGGGCCAAGATTATCTGGGCTTCCTATGAAGTAGATGGCATATTGGGTGACTGAGAAAATTAGGTGTTGAGAGCGAAGGTGTCGCGTCGCGTAGAAAGTGGGCCACTCGCTGATATGGGCCACTCGCTGATATGGGCCACTCACTGATAACGTACGTTATAGCTACGGGCACCGTTGTGTATCGAGGGGTGACCCAGGCGAGAATCTGGGACTTTTTCCCGGTTGCCTATGCCGCGCTGCAAGGTAAGGTTCCTTCCACATTTCTAGCCTACTTTGTTGGTTTGACACAAAGGGTACTGACCGATTCTCCCTGAACATTAAGGTACCGCACAGCCGGCGCATTACATAGTTCTTGACGAGGTTTTCTGCGTCACCCTTGGCCAAGATGCTGCCGCGGCCAATGGCATCCAGGAGCTCACACACGAGATGTGCTACATGCTCGGTCGTGTCAAGAAAGCCGTGAGCATCTGTCCCCCGGCATATTATGCAGATATTGTCTGCACACGTCAGCGGGCGTACATGGCGGACCTGTTCTCTGATACGAGCGATACGACTTCCGTGAACGGTGCTTCGTCGACGAGTCGTGCAGGTTATGGCAAGGAAATATCAGCTGAGGTTCATAAGGATCTGAGAAACTCGATGTACCACATTTAGCGGAATTTGTTTGAAATTCGGGTGACCACAGTTAAGTTCAGCCCGGGCATATGTGGATGCCTGCGACGGTCACAACGCCAGGAAGATGCAACATGACGCCCACGCCACTCAGGGGGCCGGCCCGCATAGTCCTGCGTAGAACTAGAGCCTTTCTCCCTCCTCTTATGAAATGTGTAGCCGACATCGGAAATCGTCTTCACGGCGGTGGTCGTCAAGGGCATGAGGAATGGCGAGGGCAATGCCATGGGCAAGACCCACCCTAGAGACCGGCGCGCTGCGCTGCCTGGATTGGGAGTGGGGCATCGACCACGGGTCACGCAGGCTTGGCAGGGGTGAGGACCTTGCCCACGAGGCAATGGAGTGTAGGGCGAAGGACCCTCTTTGGTGACAACATCGACCGGGATCTCGCTTAGGAGCAAGGCATAACTGCATCCCATGGTTGAACATGGCCAACACGAAAATGAACGTGCGCGGCTCCTCCTAACACTTCCCTTCATGTGATGAGTGCCCTAAATCCTCGCGCTACCTCATTTTGGCAATAACACTCGTGCGAATGCGACATCCCCAAACTTCAAGCTCGAGGACCCGTCCATGCGCTCTCACAACGGGCCGGCGTGCATCCACAACCAGGGGATGCCTGTCAGGAGTGCGCGAATTCCTATTTTATGTCAAAAGGGAACAATCAGCCTCTTTTCGAAGCGATGCCCACCTCGCATCGTGTCACCCTTTACTGCTTGTCCGTTGTTGGGCGATGGCGTCCACCTATGATGATGCTAGCTCTGAAGAAAGAACACCCACATCCTTCGTGACCCTTACGTGTACACTGCGAGTGGACTCAGGAAATCATGCTAATTATCCGGTCGGATTTTGGTTGTTATTATGGCATTCGGAGGCCCGCGGCATTGGCGCGAATATGAACGTGGGGGTTATAGCATCTACAAGTTGCGGGCGTCTGATTGATTCTTTCGGGGTGGTATTTCGAAGACAGGGAGGTATACTTGCCTTGTTCTCACATATTGAGAAGTAGTGGGGAGCAGCCCCCTGAGCAGCCAGTGCGGCGCCGAGGACAGAGGCAATCTTCATGGTCCTGAAGCGGGACGTTTGTGTTCTGGAAGGGATAGTTGGGAATGGGGAGGGAGGATGTTTTGCTTGCTGGAATGGATGCTGAAGGTCGGCGCTGGTTGTCGATTCTTATACACGACTGGCCTGCAACTCCATTTAGTGGCCAAGGGGAAAGCTCGGGACATTCAGAGATTACATACAAGCAACCGAGCAGCATACCGCTTTCAATATTGAGTATGGAAAATGCCGAGAGCTAGAGTCCTCCTTTCGGCGAATTTCCATCTCCATGTGAGGCATCTTTGCATTGCCATGCGGGCTTGTCGACTGCTTGGCTGTAGCAAGCCGCGACGCAGTAATCAGCGGCAGATTAATCGAACGGAGGGAAGCTCCGGGAATGATGGTGAAAGAGGACTTAGTCCTCGCGTCTGTGCTTGGCCAAGATCTTGGCTGTAACAGTAATGGCTGTCCGAAGGTGATCAGATGAGCGCTTGTGGGCACGGTGAGCATCGATGCAAGGCAAAACCATGACGCTGGGTTTCCAGCAAAAGCAGCAACAAACAAAACAGCAAGTGGTATTGACCAATCGCGGAGAGAAAGAGAAGCCGGGGTCTGTGCCAGCTCCCGGCTGTCACCGTTGAAGCGAGTGTCGACAGAGCGGTGTTGCATCGGACGTCCAGCCACCGACACAGCCGTATCGAGCGTGACACAACTACGAAAGTCTTGGCAGAGGGGAGACCAGACCGCGAGTTAGTAGAATGTCGGGCATAAGCTGTCGGAGCACGCCGCAGCCAATGGGAGGCCACGGCGGCACGTGCTACGGCTGAGACCCAAAGAACCCCCTTATTGGAATTTGAGTTTGGGGCTAGCCTTCTCAAAGCGTCACCCTCGACGTGCAAGAGGCCCCCGGCCGGCTCGCTCTGCCTCGCAGCGAAGAGGGGGTGGGCTGTCCACTGGACGCGACAGAACCGAACCCGCTTGCTCGAGGGCCAAGCCAGGATATCTAAGCGAACATCGACGATGGAGCGGTCCAGGACGGGCTGCGCGACTTGCCGCAAGCGCAAGCGCAAGTGCGACGAGACGAGGCCTGCCTGCCGGGCCTGCACCTCGCGCGGTGTCGAGTGCGGCGGCTACAGCCTGGAGCTGCGCTGGGGCAACGCTGTCGCCTCTCGCGGCCACCTGGCCGGGGCCACGACTTCCGTGAGGCCACCGACGTCCAAGCCGGCGGCCCGACGACAACAGCAACCGCAGCAGCAGGAGCAGCAGGACCAGTCACAGTCGATGTCACTGTCAGTCTCATTATCACAGTCGCCAGCAGCGGCTGTTCAGTGCGCCCTCTCGCCGCCAGAAGAGGAAGGCGGCATAGGCAGCGTCATCGGCGCCACAGTCCCCGTCGCCCATCAGGTCTCGTCCCTCCCTCCTCCGCCTTCAGCAACCGGGGCCAACCAAGTCGGGCCGGCCTTTGAGAAATGTCAGTACCACCATCCTGCTTATTCATGTAGCCTCTATCAAGCTGTCTGTCGGCTTGGGGATTGCCTAGCGTCGGGTTCTAACAGGTGGGCGATGTGCAGTCCTGCGGATTGGGCTTCGAAACCTGTATGCTTCCAGCGCCGATGCCTGGGTCGAGACCATGTTCCGGGAGCTGTCTGCGGACTCGCTCGCTCTCAAGACGGCCGGCGCCGCGCTCCAGACAATGGTTGACGAGGGCCGGTCGCCTCGAGCCCTGCAGGCGATCGGCGACACCATCCGGACACTTCGCGAGGAGTTGCACCAGAGCCGCGGTGCCCTCTGTGCAGCGACAATGTGCGCATGCCTCCTCCTTTCCTCTCTGCAGGTCAGTTCCCGCCCAGCAATCTCAAAGGCACCGCCAAGGCAGGCTATTGACAATATCTGTGGATGCTCCAGCTCGTACAAGGCGAGCCCTGGACTGGCAACTTCAAGCTCATGACGGACTTATACAACCTTGGCGGCAGCCTGGATGCTATTCGACCCGACCCTCAGACCGATTTCGCCCTGCGGCATCAGCTCGAGGTCCTTGCGATGATGGACATCTCCTTTCTCGTCGTCGGCAGAACCACCCCAAGTGTTGGTCTCTGGCCCAGATTTAGAAGATTACAGGACACTTGGGCAGGAGGTCGCTTAAAAGGCAATGAGACTGTCTCTGGTCTGCCCCGGTCTCTGCTCGACATTCTGGCTCGATCGTCGGTACAGCAAGACGCCCAAGTCGAGCAAGATCTCTGGCTATGGACAGGTGACCCGGGCCAGCTAGTCTCGTGTCAGCACTGGGATGCAGTCAAATATGCCGGTCTTTTGCGGCTCCGGAGATGTCGCCGCTATTCTTCTCCAATCAGCAATATGGTGGAGCCCGAGACCCCAAGCAGCGTCGCCTTGCCGTCCAGCGAAGTCATCTTGCATCGGCTGCTCAGCTGTCTCGAGGCCCTGCTCAACGGTTTGGAACGACCCGAGTACCATGACCTGCTCATCGCTCACTCGACATTGTTTCCAATGACGGAAGCAAGCCTCATGGTCTCGACCTTGCAACAACATAGGGACTGGATCCGTCCACTCAGCAGGATGCGGAATCATGGCTCGGAATATAATGGAGACCACCCACGTAACGTCTCCATACTATATGAGCTCTTGGACGAAGCTTGGAACGCTGGCCAGGACTTCCATGACATTGATAAGGCAGCACAGAGACGAGGAGTGGAGATTGCTGTCTTTTGAAAAACCAGGAAACTTCGTGAACTCACCTGCCTTTAAGCCGTCACATCATCCGTAATACATTAGTTTCCGTGTCTATGCCCTAGTGTGGGTCTAAGAAACCTGGTTATTTTGCGCCAAAGTGCCTCGAAGTTGCGTTCTTGCTCAGGTACAATGAAAGCTGCGTTGTCTGTGAAGAAACCGTACAGGTCAATGTGGAGCTCCATGATTTTGACGGGCCTGGGTAGTGTCTTTTGGTCAACAGGGGGCACGCTAGAAGTGCTTGGCAAGTAGATTCTCATATCACAGGTCAGTCCTCAACACGTAGGTTGTGGGCCATGCCAAAAACGCTCCAGACGGCACTGTCCTTCTGCCAGACATCGTCCCGTCGAGCAGTGGCATGATCAACGCCGTCTATTTTGTCAACAGACCACAGTATCGGCCTGCCGCCTGCATAAGACTCGTTGTCATGGTAGTTCGCCACCCATAGATCGTTCTGGCAAAGAGGGCTCACCGTGGCTACATGCTCTTCGAGTGTTTTGGCAGCAGCTACGTGGTCAGTGGAGGGATCTTGGAGGCCCCTAGATTTCTGCCAGGATAGGATTAGGTTTTTCAAGGTCGGCGCCTTCGATAGCCTTCTCGTGGCGACGTTGGCATTCTGTCTACCGGGTGCGGTGGGGAGGGCCCGGCCGGCGTCGCAGATGGGATTTGTGAGCTCGCCAAAGCCTGGTCGGAGTGGCGGCTGCTGCACGACGTTGTTGGTATAGCCGTCGATGGCAGGACAGGTCGCACTGATATCTTGCAAGTCGTGTCTGAAACCCGGTTCTTGTCAGCCAAGATTTTTCCGCATGCTTGGGAGAAGAGGGCTTATAAAGTGCAAGCCGGCTGGGCTCCAGCCCAGACGTCCTCCGTGAAGGCGATGCTCCCAGCCTTGAGGTCGACGAACATCTCGACATATTCGGGAGTCTCCTTATCGAGGCTAAAGCCATTGTAGTCGATATGAGCCAGGCGTCGCGGCCATTGATCAAGCTTGGCCTCATCCATCACCTCACCATGCTCCAGAACCAGGCACTTGGTCAATGTTGGCTTGGGGTTCCTCCAGCAATGCCCTAGGTACGCCATCCTGACAATATTGCGCGCTCTGCTGGTGTCAGCCTCCCTCAGCGAGATCAGTGGATGTATGCGCGGCGTCATAGTCGACAGGTCATCTGGTGGGTTTGCGACGGGATCTGAGTATGATGGAATGTTCGGCCTTCCCGCGGTCGAGATGCGCTCCCACTTCCTTTTAAGTTTGTTTTCTTCCATGGGCGGCGGAGACGCATGTAGCCCCACCTGACTCCTTCCAGCAGGTCCTGCCGCACGGCTTCGCAGACATACATTAGCTTCGAGCCCCGTCTGCACTGGGACAGTGGTGTTTGGGGAGTCGCGGGGCGTAGAAATCTGGCCCTTGGATGGCAGCGCACACCGCACTTTTCACAAGCGTGGAAAGACATGGGTTTCCTGCGAGTCTACTCGTGACCGCAAGCAGTCCTCGGCGGTTCAAACCAGTCAGTTTTCAAAGAACAGATGGAGCTCTCGTTCCTGGTAGCATCCAAAGTGCGGGCCTTTCCCCACCTACTAAGCTTGGGCTGTGTTTCGGTTGCGTAAGCCAGGTCGCAGGCCTGCCTGCCTGCCGTGCCGGCTTAGCCTATTCAAGCTGGTTGAGCCGAGGCTTGGGCCCTGTGTCGGATGCGTCAAGTCCTCCACCAAAAATCCGGGGTCCCGTCTCCACGTTATCTCCCGCCGGGATTCTCTATGCGGGCTAGCGGCCGCGATAGACCAGCATGCAGATCAGATGGTCCGTGATTGGGAGAGTCCATATGGATTCATGACGACTGAACTGGTGAGATTAACGAGGCCCTGGCCCAGCAAGATAAAGCTAGCCGAGAACCTTAAGGTGACCAGTAGGTTGCGCTCAAGTGGACTGTAGTGGTACTGGCCCATGGCCTATCCTGGCACGCTCGACCCTGCATGCACGCAGCACGGCCCAGCTCAAGGTCCGGCCTCGTCGTGCTCCAAGCCCGTGTCGGGAGCGTGGCAGACTGCGAGCACTATCCGCGACAAGGCTTAAGTAGCTTGCTTATCACCTCCACTGCCTCCGCTCCAAGCTTAATTCAGTCTTCCTTTCTTCAAGCGATCGCATCGTGAAACCTCATCATCATCTCTCATCTTGTCTGTGTGCCCATTACGACCATTTGAACACGAGAACTCACCATTGACCCCATTGAGCACCAAGCCAACGCCCTGCAACACCAAGACACAATGACATCTACAACCCCTCCAGGCACAGTTGCGTTGGTAGAGTGAGATGACCTCGCTGATGACGCGCGGGCAGTGACTCGCGGAGACTGTAATCAATGCCTCGGCTGACGGCGAGAGGTGTGTCCTCGTCGAAGGGAACTGTGGCATCACGGAAAAGCCATCAAAGTGCAAGAGTACCGTAGATAGCACCTATGACGAGCATACATCAATGCTGTTCAGCTATGTTCCGGCCATGCATGCCACATCGCAGTCCAAATCCAAGGCTCTTCTAACTCTGGGCGATATTGCCATTTGGGGAATATGTCAACCTGTAGCAATCAATGATTGGCTGGTTTTGAAACATTGTCATGAATCCAATGGCTACAATCCTGTTCATCCAGCTGTATGGCCCGTTACTGGCTGGCTGAAAAGAAAAGGGCGTAAAGTATTCGGCGTCGTCTTGTGTTACAGCTGAAATCGGAGTAGTCTGCCGTATTTCGGAGTGAAGGCCTTCCTCCAAGATACCCTTAGCGTCGACGAGGATATCAAAGCAATCATCGGTTCTCAGGGTGTATCAGGCACGTGCTGAGGCTCTCTGCTCTTCCCCATACCGTCGATGGCCATGCTGAACAACGGCTAAATCAGGCCAGGCGCATGTGTGGGGTCTACGAACTGCTGGACTTGGGCCGTGAGCACCTGGACCATGTTGGATCTTCGTTGTTCCCGTTTCGACTCCCTGCGTTCAGCACGACCGCCGCAACGACACATGCCGACGAAATCTGCCGCTACTTTGGATTTCTTCAGCGACAGTAAATCAATGGTATTTTCACGCCGGGGAGGGCAGGCCATGCAGCAAAGTGCGGGGACAAACGACCCGCTAATCTCGCCGGATCGCCCGCGCCTAGACCTGCCGCTTTCGGCTTGGTGCCTTGACAACAAAGACCCTTGCCAGATGCAAATCGACGGGCGGCTATCGCTCCGCGTCCCATATCGAACGATCTGGAGTCCGCTCTTCGGCTGCTCAGCCATACTACTGCCGGCCTATCAAGATGGGACGCTGCAGGGGGCAGCATCGCTTCTGAAGCCGATGTCGTTGAACCCGTCGAAGATATCCTCCGGACCTTGCCCGAATGTCGGTTTGTCGTAGACCCACAAAAACGTCGCATCGCATCTTCGACCATTCTACGCGCCATCTGAGCGCGTTCGTGATCGTTCTTGCTCTTCAGTCGCTGGGCGAGAATGCTACTCACGACGAAGCCAGGCTGGCCGTCTTCGTGGCTGAATGCTGCTCGGATCTCTTGCTCACCACGACTGGAAATGAGAATCCGTGCTTCTGCTTGAAACCGGGACTCCTTGAAAGCCCGTAGAAAGTGTGAAAGTGAGTCCGAGGGACCTAAATCCCAGCTATGGCCTGATCCGGCGCACTCATCGAGACCGGTACAGTGGCAGGCTGCAGGATATAGACGGCACGTTTTCGTTCTGCAGAGAGGGATATGTCCATGATCTTAATCAAATCTGGCCTTCCAGGCCATGCGGATGTGCTCCTGCAGCATGGGGAATGAATCTAGACCACTGTGACGCTAACTTCAGGACATAAGAGACAGTGGGGCAGGGCTGTGATTGGCTGCGGACCCACAGCCGGGGTTTCTGAGTGGGTTCGTGCGCAACATTACGATAGGATGACATGCTGTTGACGCGCCTGTGTTGCACAGTCTATGTTAATGTCGACTTCCCAGAACGGACCACGTTGGGCCTTCCTCCTCCTTGAAGAAACTTGCACGCTGGTCCTAGCGACTTTTTAGAGTCTGACCCTTGCCATCATCGCCGTCCACTGTTGCTTCCTCCCTGTTGCCCAAAGCACTTGGTTCATAGAAGCGATTGCGACTCTGTACGGGAGCAAACACGAGGCAAGACATATAGCCAGCAGGTCTTCAACAGGGTCTGGCTTTAGCACGTCTGACGAGATGCCACCCCAAGGACGAGGCTGTGAACAGTCAACGTGTCGTCCTAACGAGCCGAGAGAATCATATAAGAGTAAAATCTTAATGAGCGGATACCAAGAGCCTAAGAACGACTCCACAGATAGCGTTCACAACAGCCAATGGTAAGCACGACGTCTTACTACGCGACTATTCCGCACGAAAAAGACGCACGCACCTCCCGGCGAACTGACCAAATTCTCTGAATGATGAACAGCACTCGCCGGGACTCGAAAGCCTTAACGCAGGCAAGCAGCGATATCACAGAGTGGCACATTATCGAGGACGACGGCGACGACGGCGATAACGTCCGCGCGGCAGATGGCGAAATTCAGCACATCAACTGCGGGCTGGCAATGAACGAAGAGCTGCGAGCGTCCGTCGCCCAGCTCGAAGAAGAAAAAAGCCAGGCTCGAAGAAGAAAAAGTCATCCTGGAGCAGCTACTCGAGGAGCACAGGATGCAGCGGCAGGGCAAGCTGCAGCGATGCCGGTACACCCCGAGCAGCAGGAAAGGGATATATCGTCGTCGCCCAAGACTGACATACGAGACGCAAGGACCACAGACTTACAGAAAACGAACTCACATATAAAAACACAGAAACACGAAACATACAACACGAGTATGTCTACAACAACAACAGTCGACAGGACTTGGCGGTTGTGTACCATAGTATCATCATTGAGGTGGCCACGGTTTTGATGAATCAGGAAGACGGGCAAGGTCTACCTCCAGTGAGGCAGCTTAGTCGAATACGCGCAGAAAACTACTGGATGCAGAGCAATATCATAAAAGGCTGATGCCAGCATGGGTGGCAAAAGATGAGGTCTGCAATGCATATGTTGTTGTGGACTGAGAGAACCTCGACCAGATCCCTTGAACCACATGTACAAAGTCTGGAGAACGACACACCGACAGGAAGCAGCATCTCCCATGTGCATGCACGACTTGCGATTAAGACAACCGATTGTCGCCCGCTGCAAGCACGCCATGGTGGAATGGGCCAGAAGCACCACCTGCCGCAGGGGATTTGTCCTGTCTCAACTCTTAAGACAAAGTGCTTGCATGCAAGCCGCGATTTCATGTACCTCAATCTCTTAGCTTTTTTAAGAGGCAGGTTGAGTCGCACTTGACTGCAGCATGGCCATTAAATTGTGGGTCTTGCAGCTTTCGCAGCCATATTTGACCCGTACGCTTTGTGCTGAGTGCCTGATGGTCTTCTGATCACAGCTACCCAGCAGCATCACGCAATTAAGCAGCACAGTCTTCCCCTTACTGCCTCGAGATTTTCGATTCAAAATTGCTGACCGAGTCGGCGGCATTGTCTAGCATCATTCCTACCGTAGAAGTCGGGTCTTCATCGATACTAACGTACGTTATCAGTGAGTGGCCCATATCAGCGAGTGGCCCATATCAGCGAGTGGCCCACTTTCTACGCGACGCGACACCTTCGCTCTCAACACCTAATTTTCTCAGTCACCCAATATGCCATCTACTTCATAGGAAGCCCAGATAATCTTGGCCCTCGGGGCTCTTCAAAACGATAAAAATCTAAGCGTGTGAGCCGCTACTGAGATTTACGGGGTCGCCCGTAAGACTCTAGGGCGCCGATGCGACGGCAAGCCTGCACGATGCGACAGTACGCCCAAGTCGAAGAAGCTTACTCAGTCAGAAGAAGAAGCTATTGTTCAATATATTGTTAAGCTATCTACGCGAGCTTTTCCACCTAGATTATATAGTGTGGAAGATATAGCCAACCAACTGCTACGCGTACGCGACGCGCCTCCTGTCGGTCAACTCTAGGCCCATCGATTTGTCAAACGCCAGCTAGAGCTCCGTACGCGTTATACGCGTAGATACGACTACCAGAGGGCTAAGTGTAAGGATCCAAAGGTTATTGGCGAGTGGTTTGCCCTTGTTCGGAACGTCAAGGCCAAGTACGGTATTGTGGATGACGATATCTACAACTTCGACGAGACTGGGTTCATGATGGGCATCATCTTCGCGGGTATAGTAGTTACGACCTCGGATGGCCGTAGTAAGGCAAAGCTAGCCCAGCCTAGCAACCGCGAATGGGCAACGGTGATCCAGGGAGTTAATACCCTCGGCTGGGCTATCCCCCCCTTCATCATCTTGGCCGCACAGTACTACCTCGCGAACTAGTATACCGAGTACAACCTCCCGGCCGACTGGCGCATCGCAACCACCGATAATGGTTGGACTACCAATGCGGTAGGCCTAGATTGGATCAAGCACTTTGACTTCCATACAGCACCTCGTACGAAAGGCAAATACCGGTTATTGATCCTCGACGGCCACGAGAACCACCACTCGACCGAATTCGAGCTCCATTGCCAGCAGAACAATATTATCACGCTCTGCATGCCTCCATATTCATCCCACCTCCTCCAGCCACTCGATATTGGCTGCTTTGGGCTACTGAAGCGGGCGTACGGTCGCCAAGTCGAGGACTTAATACGCATGCACATTAACCATATGAGCAAGCTCGAGTTCCTCTATTCCTTTCGCGAGGCCTTCTTTGCCTCTATAACAGAGAAGAATATACAGGGTGGCTTTGCAGGTGCTGGCCTTGTACCGTACGACCCAGATAGGGTGCTCTCTAAGCTAGATGTTAAGCTTCGTACACCGACACCCCCGACCTTACGGCCTAGCACTATACAACCTTGGGTCTTCCAGACACCCCATAACCCCCGAGAAGCCAACTCGCAGTCAACGCTTATCAAGACTCGTATTACCAGCCATCAAAACAGCTCCCCGACTTCGATGTTAGCTGCTGTTAACCAGCTTACTAAGGGTACAATAGCTGTGATACACCGGGTAGCCATCCTCGAGTTAGAGAACGCTTCACTCCGCAAGGCCAACGAGGCACTAAGCAAGCGCCGGAGAGCCAAAAGAACACGTGTGCAGCTTAGAGGATCACTTACTATACAGGGTGCACAGGAGGCACTAGGCCAGGGGGCCGTGGGTAGAGAGGGAGTATAAGAAATGCAGCTGGATGGTAGTGGTACAAGGGGGGGCCCTTCGAGGGTTCGCTGCTGTGGTGTGTGCGGCAAGCCTGGCCATAATGTACGCACTTGCCAGGAGGCTGTAGAAGCGTCAGATTCAGCTGTTTCCGATGTAATAATAGTTGCTTGTTAGTGTTGATGTGTTGCAATTGAGGCGGGTTGTTCTAGGGTAGTATGAGGGTGGGCCACTCGCTGATATGGGCCACTCACTGATAACGTACGTTATTGGCAGCACATCAGTGTTTCCCAACGCTATCTCTATGCAACTTGCCCTGACGACGACGACGCAGGCTGCTGTGCTTGCGAGCCGTTCTCACCGCCGCCGCCACCACCACTGCCACCACTGCTTCTCAAGCTCTCATACCGCGCCACAATCTCCTCCACCATCCTCTTGATCTTGCCCGCGGCCGGAAACTTGGCCGCCAGCGTGCCCAACAGCTCCACCGCCAGCCCCAGATCCTCGATCGCGCTGCTCTTCGCCAGGACCACCGGCAGACTCTCCGGGCGCGCGGTGGTCGCATACACGAGGCTCAGCACGCTCGTGTACACGCTCAGCAGGTTCAGCCAGTTGTACGCGAACCGGCGCTGGCGGTGCATGCTCGCGGCCTGGCGGATCGCCATGCTCGCCGCGTCCAAGCGTGGCGACCCTCTCGGCGCTGGGCACCGGGAGCAGCGGTGACGGCCGGTACAGGATGGCCAGGTGGGTGTAGTAGTTGAGGTCGAACCAGGTGCTGCTCAGGTGCGGGACCTGGGCGTGGGTGTCGGGCAGAGGGAAGGGCATGGCGCGGCGCCAGTCGAGGAGTGTTTCGCGGTCGTGGTGGGTTTGGTGTTGGTGTTGGTGTTGGAGTTGTTGCTGGTGGTGGTGGTGATGATGAGGATGTTGTGTAAGACGTGGCGAGGAGGTGTCGGAAGGGGGAGGATGGGAGATGCGGTTTGAGTAGACGAGGCGCGCTGTCTTGCTGGCAATCTGGCGGAGGCGCAGGATGTGTAGTGGGATGGCCATGATGGATGGCTTCAGGGGTTCGCGGGGGCGATAGACGGCTGACGCATCTTCCTCGTCGTCATCGACATCGGCGAAGGGCTGCGGCTGTTAGTTGCCTTCGTGCAATGACAGAGGATGGGATCTTGGAGTGCTCTTCCACTTACCTCGACTTCAATATCGTCATCGTGGATTGCAAAGGGCCGGCCAAGCGCCGTGGACACCAGTCTAATCGAGTATGCAATCAGTAACGGGTTCATGCAGGCAGGGACGATAAGTACACAGCTGTCCATCATGTAGATGGAGAAGAAAAGTCGCTTCCTCTGCTGAACAGCAATAAAGGGAAGGTCCTCATACGTCGACGCGGAGTGCAACCCAATGCCCATGGCCAGGCGGGCGCCTAGTCCGACCAGAAACCATGAGTCTACCAAATCGCTTTAGGGATGTCTCTATCTTATGGGACTTGGAAGACTTACTTGGACCGAGCTGGTTGAAAAAAGAATAGCAGACCTGCAGCATGATAGCTTCGAGTGCAGCCTGTGTACAGGTTCGACGTCAGCATAAGCTTCTGCCTACAATCTCAAAGTCACTGCATGGAAGAGCACTCACCAAGTCGCCGTATCCAAGTGCAGCCTCGAGATACTGGAGCGCCTTGCTGTAAAAGAGCACCGACTCGGACTCCTCGGCCAGCGTGGCCGCGCTATAGGTAGTCGAGCCAATTGCCAGCACCATCCATATCTTGAATAACGACAACGGCGACTGCGCCACGGGGTCGTCGGGGCTGGCGAGTGCTCGGGCCAGGACACTGCTGAACTCCCCACGCGCCAGAAACGGGTACAATGTGTGCGTATGTGCAAATTAAAAATCAACCAGGTGCTGGATATGCGCCTCATCAGGTAGCGGCAGCGAGGCGAGGGATATGCCAGTGTCGGTAATGTCGGCTAGTGATGTATTGCCAAATAGAGGTTGCGGAAATGTTGTGGATGGACTGCCAGGTCCTGCTATGGGAAACGCCGCCGCCAGAAGGGTGGATGGCGACATGTCCTCCAGGACATTCTCAAAGACAAAGTCGGCTTTGTCGGGCGTGAGGCGGCGCAGGACCGTCTGGGTGAGCCGTGCGAAGGAGATGCCCGACGACGAGCCCAGGTGCCGCTCCGCAGTGGCTTGCAGGGACAACGTCTTCAGTTCTTCGGCCAGAGAAGTCTGTGGTCTCTGCTGCTGCTGCTGCTCAGCAATATCGAGCAGGATGGGGTCGAACGCGGCAAATGGATCTAGGGCCGTTGGTCCTTGATTTGATAAGCCCTGCGGTGGCATGTCGCCCTGCTCCTGGCCTGTCTGCTGCGAGTTGCCCATCATCATCATCATCATCCTGGCGGCCGCGAGCTGTTGTTCGAGGTCTTTGATGCGGGCCTCCAGGCCTTGCACGAAGCTAGCAGGATGTTAGACATTGACGTGGTCATGATTACCCAGACTTGTCACTAGGCAACAGTCACGGATCCCTCGAGACGACCTACGCAATGGGGTATGACGCGAGCTGGCGATCATCGTCGAGGAAGCTGCAGGCGACGAGGGCACCGCGGCAGTTGTCGCATTGGGGCAGCTTGCGGTCGCATCTCTTCTTGCGCTTGTGGCAGCGCTGGCACGAGGCCTGGGCCTGGGCCGAGGGCGCGCTCTGCGGCGGCGGAGGCATCGTGTCGGCCGGCCGAGGGGCCTGATCCGGCTCGAGCAGAGGGTGGTCAACCCTTGTTGGGCGTATAAGTCATGCCGTGCGTGTTGCCGGCTGTCGAGAACAGGCCACACGCGGGAGCCGTCGGTGCTGGTGGTGCTGAGGAAAAGTGGAGGCTACCGGTCAAGGCTGAGATGGCATAGGTGGCCGCGATCGGAACGGACGAACCATCAGGCTCAGTCAATGCAAATGTCTTCTCGAAGTGGGACTGCCGGCAGCTCATGTGACGAAGCCACTGGACCTTTTTCCTTCTTTTTCTTTCTTTGTTATCTGTCTCTGCCCCTCTTAAGCCAGGAGTCCACGACTGCCCCTTATAGCGATGACCGTCAGTGACTCTAGCGAAGTAGTGGAAGTCGATGCCGTCGCGTTGGTGCTGCAGGTGTGTATCACGCTGTACGGCATACAGTTTGTCCTTGCAGGGTGTTGGATCAGGGTGTGTTACGAGTATGCTGCTATTGCCGGAAGGGTGACTCTTGTCAGCCTAGCGCGAGCCCCGCATGAGCCACGCCCAGTGCGGGCGATGTGATCCGGTACGGATGTTTTGCCTGCTCGGATCTGGATTCTGCTTCCAGCTGGCCGGGATTTCCGGGGCTGATGAGAGGCTGCCACGTGAAGCCAGGGTTTCGGCAACCTTGCAGGGCCAGCAGAGAGGCCTGGACCCGATGAACACAACCCCAAACTCAAAGCCTCCTCGGAAGGGATGGTGCGTCGAACCCCTGGAGATCCCCGAGCAAGATAAGACCCTTACACAAGATAAGACTCTTACAGAGGCCCCCGTCGCCAGAGCATCTCTAGCCCAATCAGCAGCCACACTGGGGGAAAACAGCGTACGCCGGGCTGGCCGGGCTAAGCGGCCCACCAATGTTGGCCCTAATTAGACCCGGCACTCTTCTGCAGCCCAGCCCGCATTCGTGCTGTCGCTCCCGCCTGCCTAGCGAACTAAGGGGAAAGAAACTTTCTCCATGCAGCACATGGAACCATCTGATACCCCTGAGCGCCGCCTTTGGCAGCTACCGGGCTCGGGGGCTTCCAATGCTTCACATGTGTTGGCAGGAACACGTGGTTGGCGTCAAAAACCCCCGTTATCGAGCCCAGTCCAGTGAGCCGTTCAGGCCCCATCCTGTATGTACGTGCTTCCAGCCTCCACACCGGGTGGGCCTAGAGGAGGGTCTGCTGAGGGCCGGTGGCCGTCTCTCGAGCAGATCATTTATGGAGGCCCCACAAGTTGACGACGAGCCCCCCATTGTCCGTGTGCTCGGTTCATCTGCCGGTGCCTGGCTGTTGGTGCTAGTCTACGTGGCCCGCTGACGGTACTTGAGAGCAGCCATCCCCCTCCTGGCAGCGATCTGCGTCCCTATGGATTATTTCTCGGTTTGACTTTTACGAAGATCTCGATAATTACGCAAGTGCGCCGAAGGTTTTTCCTCGTCTAAGTTTTCCCTCTCTCCTTCCAACGCCTCGCGAGACCTACGGCTGCAGCCGTCACCATCAACATGTCGGCGTTCCTTACGGAGATGTGGGCGTGGTACGCCCTGACCATCATCGCGGTCGTGGCGAGGATGTGAGTCGACAACGCACAGATCCGGGAGAGCCGCACGGCTTATTTAACGGCCAGAGCTTCTTGCTAATCAGGCGCGCGGCACCTGTCTCAGAGTATCGCGGCGGATGTTGTACGGCTCCTTCAAGCGCATGCTGTCGGACGACTACCTAATGGTCTTCGCCATGGTACGGACGCCCTGTCTTTCCTGACGATGATACGTTATTCATCGCAGAACAACGCTATGTTGCGATCCAAAATAGAGACTGACCATGTGTGAATCCAACGCAGTTCTGTTTCACGGGCATGCTCATCGTAATCCACATTCTGACCTACACACCGACAAACCTCATCAACCCGGCCGACGGCATCGTTCTTCCCCCCGCCGACATTGAGCTGCGTGTCTACGGCTCGAAGCTGGTCCTCGTTGTCGAGGAGGCACAGATGTTCACCATCTGGTCGATCAAGGGTTGCTTCCTGCTCATATACAGCAGACTCACGTATGTGCACTCACATGAGTCCCTTGCAGAGCATTGTCCAGAGATTTGTGAAGCTGACGTGCTCTTCTTGCGCGCTGCAGAATCAGCCTCAAGCAAAACTGGATGGTCAAGGCCCTAGCCATCTACTGCATCGCCACCTTCATTATCATACAGATCCTCTTCTTCTCTACCTAGTGCCGCCCGTTCCACAACTACTAGCAGGTGCCTCCAGACGACCGTGCGTCCTACTATCAACCCCAAGGCACCCCTTTATCAGAGGCTCTTCTAACACGTGCGTATACTTGACAGTGAACTGCGCCGCCGAGACCAATCACATGATTACCAACGCCGTGTTCAACATCTCCTCGGACATCATGATCATCATCTTCCCGATACCGCTGTTCGTGCAGTCCCAGCTGGCCTTGAAGCGGAAACTCGTGCTCTGCGGCGTCTTTGCGCTGGGAGCATTTACGGTAAGCAGACGGTGCCCCCCGCGCCCAATTCTCTAACTTCCCTTGGCACAATGGACACTAATCACCATCCCCGCCCGCCCCCCTTTGCAGATCCTCGCAGCCGCGCTTAGCAAATACTACTCTCTCGGCCAGCCGTACGGCGGTGACTGGATCTACTGGTACATCCGGGAAGTTTCGACAGCCATCATCGCGGCTAATCTTCCCATGACGTGGACTCTGCTCCAGCGGCTCTTCCGCATCGGCTCCTTCAACGGCATCTACGGCAAGTCCAGCGCTCCACGCACGGGCGGGACGGGCATCAGCGGCGGTGGGCCTAGCGGGACGAACCGCGGCGCCGCGGGTGGGAGCCGGTTCCGCTCCGCGTACGGCAACCTCAGCAGCCAGGGCGGCAGGGACCACTACGAGGACGAGCGGACGCTGAAGAAGAAGTCGTCCACCGTGCACGAGCTGGACGACATCAGCCCCGCCGCCAGCTTGGAGCAGGTCAACAGCACTGCTAGTGGTAGTGCCGCCGGCGGACTGCAGCGCATGCCGCTCGAGATCTACCAGCAGAAGGACATCCAGGTCGTCGTGAGCGAGGCGGTGGTGGAGGCACATCGCACGCCGCCCGGGCTGAAGCACGGCAGGGGTACAAGCCGGGGCGGGAATGCGGCTCTTGGCGAAGGGGATGCTGGTCCGGGCACGACGCCGCAGCAGAAGAGGAACGGGGCGGGGCAGTACGGCGTTCCGTACGCCGCTAGCATCTCGTCGCTTGAAAGCCTCAACGAGCCCACAACGGCCGGGGTGGGGGACATGGGCGTCGTAACGCGGGTGTATCATAGCGTATAAGTCCAGAGCGATGGCTCCTAAGGCTTGAGTCGGCGTTTTGGCAGGGATATTAATGCAGCATGAAAGGACACTTTTTTTCTAGTAGACAATTGCAGAATAGGCACATATCGTCACCACACGGGACCACTATGTCACCTCACAGGTATTATATAAATTATCGCTTTGTAGCTTATACGTCTGCTGCTATCCTGAAGGCCCAGTAAACTTATACTCGACGCTTGAAATTCTCCTTAGGTCCCGCTACAAAAACACAGCGGTGCCCGCTTCCCATCAAGGACCCCCTCTACATCTCCACCATAGGCACGGCCTTGATCTCCACCAGCATCCTCGGATCCGGTAGGCGATGCCCGAGACGTAGATTGTGCAGTGCTGGGTCGTGGGTGCCAAGCGAGCATGGGCGTACCGTATGGGTGGCTCCGGGGCGGAGGCGTTGAAGATGAAGGGTTCGCCGTTGGGGGACATTGTAGTTGTTCGTGATAACAGTAGCAATTCTTTGGAAGAATTTCGATGAGTAAAAACAAATCCCAAGCAAGGTCCAGAACTTGTAGAGTGAAGGCAACAATACGAGTTGTTTCACAAAGCCGGGAAGAATGTAAGGCTTATCTTGGTCTCAAGAGATGCACCGCCTGCAAGTAGAAGCCACTTTCTGACTGCACTATCATTAACGACCCTGATATTTGACTGTCTTGGTTCCCGTCTCAGCCCTGTCGGGTGCTACGACACGCTTTACCTAATGGCTTTCCCCGTTCAGCCAGGCTCCACGATATGATTCGCTGTACCCGTTGGGAGCGGGTAAGCCGCCCCTGTCTGGAACGTTATCGGCGAGTCAAGCTGATTAAGACGGGCAGGGCGACGTCGGGCCATGCGCAACGCAGAGACCCCCGCACCTCACGATTAGCTGTCGGGCGGTCCGCTCTCCATCTGGGGTCCAATGACTGCGTCATCGAGGCGGCTGTGGGTTCGACTTAGCATGGGGCAGACTGTACGACTGTGGTGGTGCCCGTGACACGGTTACACGGTGACGCGTTGACAGGCTAGAGGCACGAGCAATTCGTCTGTTCGAGCTCTGCGAGGTTGATAAGCCAGACCCCTCGATCAAGCCTGAGCGCTCCGATTGACACGCAGAATCGCTCGTACCGATCTCGTCGTCGACACGCGAGCACCAACAAACGAGGCCTGCCTCGACAGACACGATGGCTTCGCAAGTCCGCTACTATAGCATCCCCAACTTCCGGTTCCAGGACGGCACGGCCCTGCCCGTCGCCAGGATCGCGTATCTCTACATCAACTCGTCCGCGTCCAAGCTCGCCCTGATCCCGACCTGCTTCAAGGGCACCTTCCATACGACGCTCAACTTCTGCACTGGCGCCCTGCGCGACCACCGCATCATCGTCGCCGCACAGTTTGGCAACGGCGAGTCCTCGAGCCCGTCAAACACCACCACCTCCTCCTCACCCACCACCGACAATAACAACAACGACAACAACGACAATGCCTCCCCCTTCCCAGCCAAAATCGACTACCGCGACAGCGTGGCCGCCCAGCACGCCCTCCTCACGCAACACCTCGGCATCACCACGCCCATCGACGTGGTTCTCGGCTTCTCGTTGGCCGGGCAGTGCACGTACTACTGGGCCGCGACGCACCCGTCCCTAGTCCAGCGCGCCGTGGTCATCTGCTCGTCCGCCCGCACGAGTGGACATAACCGGCAGTTCCTCGAGGGCCCGGCCGCGGCGCTCGAGAACGCCATCGACTTTGCAGGGAGGAAGCAGGTCGCGCCGGCGGGCCTGGCGAGGGGGCGACTCGAATGCCCGAGGGGCGTGCGCGCTTTCGCCAAGGCGTACTCGGCGTGGCTGACGAGCGCGGAGTGGTACGACCTGGAGAAGTGGCGCGAGCTGAGGTACGAGTCGCTCGCCGCGTATGATGAGGATGCCACGGGGCCCAGGTATAAGGGGAGCTTCCCGGATGACCTGTTGGCGATGTTGAGGGCGTGGCAGGGTGGCGATGTGGGTGTGTGCTTTGAGGGGAAGGTGGTGATGTTAGGTCGGCGAAGGCGAGGCTGCCGCTGGAGGATGTGCTGGGGCGGATCGAGACGCCGATATTGCTCATGCCGTGCAGGACGGACCAGTACTTCCGCTGGGAGGCGAGCGAGCGCGAGGCGGCGATGCTCAAGAATGCGGGGCTCGAGGTGATCCCGTCGGTCTGGGGCCACGTTGCCGGCGGTGGTATGGACCCCGAAGCCAAGGCATGGATGGATGGCAAGATCGCAAAGTTTGTCGAAGAGAGCTAGTATATAATATATAATATTCACATGGGCGGTCCGCACTACGATGTTTGGTTACTATCCGTCTAGTAGTCATCTACAACGACGTGGCATCAGGATGGGCACCCGTACAAAGAGCAACACGGCTAGGCTTTAGCACATTCTTACAACGATAGAGCGACGATATTTGATATCGTTTTACAGATAGTATTTGCAAATAACCATCTTAGATCACCCCGCTGCGTTCAAGCTTTCGTCCTCCTCCCAGTCTCAAATAGCGCCGCAGCCTTCAACACCCCAACATCGTCCCAGCGCCTCCCCACGATCTGCATCCCAACCGGCATCTACACCTCCTTCCTCTCCCCGTCTGCCTCAACGACAACCGGCAGCGTCCCACACGGCACGCTCATCGCCGGATGTTCCGTGATATTATTGAACGGACACGTATTACTCGTTAGCCCGACCGCCGGCGCCAGCTTCTCCAGAATCCCCGTCCCGTTCTCGCGCAGGTCAGGATGCGGCATGCTCACCGTCGGCGTGCACGGCAGGACCAGCACGTCGACCTCGTCCAGCGCCCTGTCATATGCGGCGCGGAGCTCAAAGACTTCTCGGTGCGCCTTGGCCTCGAGCCCCGCGGGGTAGGCGGTAGCGGCGGCACTCATGCCCCCCGAGAGTCGGCAGCGGCCAGCGCGCCGCTTAGGTGGATGTTAACTAGGGCTGGGTTCGATACGTTGAGCAGCTCGTACATCTGCTGGTCCGGCGGCCACTGGGGCGCGATGTGCGGTGCCAGGTACGATAGATATCCGGACGGCCGGCCCTGGGAGAGCCATTGCGACATGGATGGACGTGTCGCGGGGGTCCATATCACAGGAGCTTCGGCGTGCATTGGCACCGAGGTTATCGTGACGCTCGCGCCCGCGGCGGTGAATGCTTCGTAGGTGGTTTGTTTAATAAGCTTAGCGACGTCCGGGGACAGGCCAGAGACGGAGAAAGCTTCGGTAAGCAGGCCGACTTTCAGCACTGGCTCTGTGCCTTAGGTGTTGTTAGAACGTTTGGATAGTAACGCTCGGTATAAAGCTAACAAGGTAGGATAGTCCGGTACGTGTTCCTCGGTCGGCGACTCGGGCGTTATCCTGGGGTTAAGCCCGTCCTAGCCCGCCATAACCTTGAGCAGCATAGCAACGTCTTCGAGCGAAGACGCAATCGGGCCAATGTGGTCGATCATCGGCGACATAGATGCCGCGCCAGTGTAGGGGACCAGGCCGAAGGCAGGCTTGAGACCATATAGCCCCGTATAGCAGGCCGGGTTACGTACCGAGCCGGCCTAGTCGGTGCCGATGGCGAGCTCGACCGTCGGGCCGAAGCTCGTATAGCTGTCGTTGCTGTCCCGGCCCGCGACGACGAGAGCGTTAGCAGCGACGAGAGCGCAGGAGCCGCTGCTGCTCCCGCCCGCGGTATGCCCGTGGAGTAGAGGGTGGTACACCGGCCTAGAGGCTGACGTCCATAACAACGGCGACGCATAGAAGTTCTCACACGTCGAGGTGCTCTTGATCACCGCGCCTGCTGTCAGGAGCCGCGACACTACGGTTACGTCGATGGGCGACAAGGGCAGCTTCTCATCCTTACTCAGAATCTCTAGGTGCGTACCGAGCGTGGTCAGCAGTCCGCCGACAGAAATGCTGTCCTTAATCATAACGCTACGGCCTTTAAGGACGTCGCTTATGGGCCGTGCCGCAGCGAGGTTACAGCAGTAGCTCCATACGTTCATAGGGTTATCGTTAGGCTCGGGTTTATAGTATTCACGGGGCTGCCCACCGAGGACATCCTATGGCGCGAGGGACGGATTGATGTACTCGGGAGCCTTGTCCACATGCTATATCACCGACTCGAAGGAGCGGAGCATAAGCAGGTATACATCGGCATCTTTATCGCTGGTGATCTTGAAGTTGAGGCTTGCCGCCAGGCGGTGCAGGTCCTCGATTTCGATATGCGACCTGGCGTCGCACGACTGTCAGTCAACGGTGGCGTAGGTATATTGGGCGTGTAGACGACTCACTGCGAGGTGTCGTCAGAAAGGGCGACTATCGACATGTTTGCTAACTGCCCAATTACATAGTATTGGAGGCTCGGCCAGTATCCATGTAGGAGCGCTTCAACAGTATGTCGAGTGACCGATGAATGTTTCCTAAGATGAGCTATCGGCTAGGGTAAGGAGCCTATTCGGCACTTCCGCCACGGCACGCGGTAGCGCCGATTTCGGCCCGCCTTATCCTCGGAGAACCTGCTTGCGCCTGAATACTAGGAGCTCCATTGGCAGCCATGCCCAGTTACGCGAGTGAGCAGGATGCTAAGTCCCTTACATAACGAAGTTGGGTGATTTGCATCGCTGGCCAGCTAGTCGGCTCTACAGTATACACGCTTGAAGCATCTGTAATACGAAGAGCGAGGGCCCCGGGACTCAATACGCGAAGCAGGCGATAATGGACAAATATAAATCCCGTCCACACCTTGAGTATTCTACACCAGTCTGGATCCTGTAAAAATACAACTGTCTATAATCTCAATGGAAATTCAACTCGCTCTATCGTTATTTCAAAATAACTTCTGCAATGCTAGGTCATCCCTATTGCTGCCCGTTTGCAACCAGAATCCGTCCTCCATCCACAACAAGCGATATGCCATTTACATACGACTGTAGCCCCGTGTCAGCAAGACCCGACAAGAGTGGACAGCTACTGGAAATCAGGGATGGACTTACCCCAGCTCTACTCGCCAAGTATAGCACCGCACCGGCAATGTCCTCGTTGCCCGCCCTCCTGGCCGGCACCTGGCCAAACAAGTTGCTAAACATGTTACCCTCCGCGCCGACGGGGTTCATGTTACTCGGGACGACTGGACCGGGCTCGTCGTCAGTACACACTGGACACCAGGAGTTTCTTGCCAACAGCCTAGGACGGGAAACTCACAGCCAGGATTGATCCCATTCACGCGGATATACCACCGCCCAAACTTAGCAGCCAGCAACTTGACCAGATGGTCCGTGGCGGCCTTTCTGGCCGCATAGCTTGACAAGTCGACATTCGTGACATTGCGCATGCTCGCACACGAGCTCGTGACCACAACCGCCCCGCGCCCATCCCCTTGTCCTCCCCGCTCCTGCGCGGCCGCCGCTGCTGCGAGCAGCGGCATCAACGCCACCGCCAGGAAGTAGTGCGCCGTGGTGTTGACGGCAAACGTGTCCCGCCAGTCCGTCTCGGCGTGCGACCACATCGATCGCTGCAGCTCCTCGAGCGGCGCCGTCAGCACGTCGCACGGGATGCCCGGGTCGCGCCGGATCCCCGCGTTCGAGACGAGCAGGTCCGTTATCGCACAGTTCATCAGGTCAGTGGTGCGGCGTAATTGGGCGCGCGTCGGGGCGGCCGACAGGTTCAGCGTCCTTCCCACCTCGTCTCGGACTCAGGCGGGACAGGCGACGGGCTTCCCCGCTGCCAGGTTAAATGGAGCAAGTCAAGGACGGGCGAGGTCGGATAACCAGTGCCTATATGAATCTTGTTGGCGGCATAATCTAACTTTCGATCTCGACCCGGTTTTCCTAGCATCAAGGTGATCTTGCACAGATATCTTTGTCGCAGCCCACACCAAGCTGCGGAACACGCTCGTTGTGAAGGGTTTTGTGAAGTTCTCTTCTCAGCACATGAACAATCTCCAGGGAGTAGCAAAGTACAATATGAGCAGGGACGACGAATCTGGGGAGAGTCATTGTGTCGAATTGTGTTGCAACTCATTACCAGGCATTAAAACCACCCAGACTCGTCAGATTACGCATTCATTTAACGTAATCCACAAGTGGGTGAATCACACGAGTGGATGAATCAGTCCCCCGCTACTTTCCTACAGGCCTTCTTCTTCCCCTCTTTTCTCCACCAGTAATTATGGTACAGCATTCAGTTGAAAGTAATCTTATTCTAGCGCTTAATGCGCTTCAATTAAACCCGGAATTAAGCGTACGAAAGGCTGCACAGATCTATAATATATCCTTCTCGACCCTCCAACGACGACGACACGGCCGACCTGCGCAACAAGATATCGGACCACCCTGCCAGAAACTGACCTCGTACGAAGAGGACAGTATTGTACGATATATAATCGATCTAGATTCGCGGTCGTTTCCACCGCGGTTAAGTAGTGTTCGAGAAATAGCGGATCGACTTCTCCGCGAACGCGACGCGCTATGTGTCGGAACGAACTGGGCTACAAACTTCGTACGACGACGACTAGAGCTCCGTACGTATTTCAATCGAAGAATTAACTATGAGAGAGTCCTCTGCGAAGATCTGGACGCGTATCGCGCGTGGTTTTCCCTCGTACGGAATATAATCGCGAAATACGGGATATATAACGACGATATCTATAACTTCGATAAGACGGGCTTTACGATAGGTAAGATCTCCGCCTAGACTATCGTTACGACCTCCGATCGACCTGGTAAGCTAAGAGCCGTACAATGAGGCAATTAAGAATGGGTTACAGTAATCCAGGGTATCGGGGCGTCCGGTAATTCGATCCCGCCGTATATCATCTTCGTAGGTAAGGTCCACCTCAACTCCTGGACGTCCGAAAGCCCTTTACCGCCGAACTGGATTATCTCGCTTTCTAAAAACGGCTAGATAACGAATAAGAATAACTTATATATAAAAGACCCAGATTTTCAGAATACCTCCGGTACTACCTCTAGAATAGGCTCTAGAAATTTCAGATAGTAGTCTCATATAAGAAATCGAGGGTACCATAACGGTTTTTGAAAACTTGGTACCCTCCTTATAAAAAAACTTGGTACTCTGGGAGGGTACCAAGTTGTAACGGCCAACCAACAGGGGACGTTTGTTTGGGCATGGAAGAGTCCAAACAACTAGGTCGCAGGGTCAGGCCAAGGACAAGGGCGGATCATGTGGCAGTGCCGTCACAGACTTCTTATGTAAGCACGATAAAGGACGATAAGGAAGGTACGTACCGGTCATGCAGATATGCATGACCGACACCACGCTAAGGAGGATGGTCATCAATATATACATAACCATCAGGACCAGATTCGTGACCTGGCCACGACCATCGGGATCAGGGTCATGACCACGATGAAGGACAAAGGATATATAGATGCGGAGGATCTTCTAGATACACAGTCACTACCTTTGTACTTCAGCGATCAATCTAAGTATCAGTTTCACCACATACTTGAACTAGTTACTCAATTGCCGAGACTGGTATCTCTTCCAAGAGACACGAACGACAACCCAGAGAGAGAACGACAGCAGAGTGTTAGTTGTTATTGCACAGGCTTTACCTATCTTGCAGAACAGCAACCCCAGCGCCCTGCCAAACGGTTGACCCCGGAGGCAGGATCGTGACAATAAGGCTACCTCGGCAAAGCTTAAAAGAGCCACCTATGGATTACGATATTGGCATTCTCCTTAGCGGCCTTGCCGTTTTTACTAAGAGCGAAGGCGAGGGAGAAGAAAATACTTAGGAGTACTGGATATATATTTGGACCCAAACTCCCGACAGTGGGAGAAAGCTCGTTAAGGATGAGAGGCTGGTGATAGCTTGACAAAGCTATGCAGGCTATCTACTTCAGCGCCCTCAAAATGGTTTGATATACCGTCCGAGTTGGACCTCGACCCATCTACGTCCGCATGTAACTCTTGGCGAAGGACCTCGCGAGTCACCATAATCACGTCGCCATCCTTAGTCGACTTGTGCGGGAAGATCTCGTCCTGCGACTCGTTCTGTCCTACCGCGTGCCGAAGCGCTTCGACATGGCTCGACGTGCCGTATGCCCGCGAGTGGATGCGATTGGCATTCTTCGAGGCCGTGCCCTTATTAGTATAGGCAATGCTTCCGCGGCTCTGCAGGCGATAGGAAGCTCCCTGTTGTCTTGAGTTGCCATGGTATCGATTCGAGCTGTCCCCCGTGGAAAGCCCCAGGGCCATGTTGAGTCCCGGGATCTTCCTGGCGACTTGTCGAAGTGGCGGTATGCAGGAGCAAATTATCAGAGCACATAATTCGGCTTCACACCAGATCAGTGGTTCGGCGAGCAGATCTATCTCGGACGGTCCCAGGTCAGCAAAAAGTCAATCGTGTACGAGCCTTGCAATCATTTCTGGTATCATGCTTACATGTAATGTTCTTCCAATCAATGCTCGTGATCGCATGAATGCGGATAACCGAGATCGATGTCACACTATGCAAGGTAGATGGTCAGCATTTTGTGCGCGCGATGGGTCAAAGTTTTATCAGTTTGGCTTACAGCAGACCGAGTGACATCATGGCAATGAGACCGATCCTCTTTGCTACTGGCATCTGCAGCTTCCACATGGCTGGAATTGGCTGGATGAAAAGCGAAAGATCCGTGAACAGGTTAAACACAAACTAGTCAAACAAGACTATTAACTCCAGAAATGCCACCGTATTATATATGAGCTGCTTGGGTTATCAGACACTTACATCAGTCCACCAAAGCACCCACAAGTTAAGGCAGGTGCCTTCCATGAGCGGATCCCAGGATTTCTCGACCGGGCTACAGGCGAACGTGACCACCATTATCTCTTCTATGGCTTGACAGGCCAAAAAGGCACATAACGTGTAGTTGAGGATTCTGGAGTTGCCCAGTTAGTCAGCGTTCGCTGCGGCAATTAAGGGAGTAGGGGACCAGAACTCACCTGTACTTCGGGTTTGGAAGCAATCGTAAATACAGCACGGCAAAGCTTGCTTTGGCTGCGCAGATACCAGCAGTGTAAAGGGCTGAGGACGCGGTTTGAAGCTACTCTCCCGTTGAGTCTTCCATCTAAGCTGAACGGAGGTCTGTGTGCCTACCTTCAGAAATAACACAAGGTCGGGATAGGCGACTTCTTCTATGGGATACCCAAGACCATGGCGGGCGGCTATATGCCGGCGTAATTAGTGACAGATCGGTATACCTCCAAGTACGGAAATCGTTATCTGCAGACAGGATGTTGGTGCTGCGTACCTTCCATCACAACTGCGATCATAGCTATCGAGCATATCTTTGAAAGTCGGCGAGAGTTAGTGATCTGTCTACTGCCGCTCGCTCAAAGACGCGGTCGGGATACGTAAAGTATAGAGCATACCCAGCTGAACAGGATCAAAGCTAAGGGTTATAAATGCGAATATCAGTATTAGTAAAGGTGCACCACAAGAAGGCATAGGACATACCATCGTCAATACCAATGGAGCGAATGATGAAAAATCGGGCCCAAATCCGCATGGCCATGAAGAAGCCAGTCAGAACGAGAAAGATAACGCCCGAAGTAAAAACGTGCCCAGCTAAATTGACCATAGTAGCGATCTGCAAAGTTGTAAGATAGATGTCTTTGGCTGATTCGATAATGTGTTTTGTTACATGATATCTTCGAGTATGGAAGTGTTGTAGTGCGCTCTTTTAAATCGAGGAGGGGTTGAGGTTATGTTGTATCATAAGCTGAGGTGGTACCATGCTCCTGGCAATATTGACTTTCATGGCAAGGTTGGGAAATTACAGCGGAGCGAGCTAGGAAGCTTCCCCGGATTCCAGCGGTATCTGTGGAGGTGTGAAAGTGTGAAAGTGTGAAAGTATAAAAGGTGGGGCAACAGCCGTGGTGCAACAGCTCCCCGACGCCCACCAGTATTACCCAAATGTAGTAAACACCTACCTATAGGTATCCAGATATCCTCCAGCATGGCGTATTTCGAGGTGTGCAGACAAGAAGTGTGTTGCGGGACCAGTGCAGGGTCTACCTGACGGAATAGTCGATGTACGCGCCTTCGGCCAGAGCGTTCTGCAGGGTCTGCCTGTGCCGCCTTTGTGGCTTGGTGGCTCTGCAGATATATTGGACAGGTTTCGTGAGTGCCTCAAGGACCAAGGTGATTAGTCGTGGACCAAGGTGATTAGTCGTGGAGCTGTCTTGGCGGCGAGTGATGGAGGGGGCCGAACTCTGGGTCTGAAGACGTCGAGCTGGTCACTGAATATGACAAAAGGGCCACTCAGAAGCGAGCACCCTGGTATACCTAATACCTTAAGGTACGCTAGCGTACCTGATGCTGGCAGGCTATCCTGGGGAAGTTGGGTCGAAGCCGGGTCGAAGCTGTCACAGCTGCGGGTTCCGCGCCGTTGAGTGGCGTGCTATGGAGGGGCCGAGGCTTCGAGCTCGACGAGCTTGACGAGCCATGGATGCTGGGGCAAGGGGGCTGTTGGCGCTAGCTGCGGGCGTGGTGGGCGTGCGTGGTGGGCGTGCGTGGTGGGCGACTAGGACAACTCGAGCGACGTCCGCTAGGGTGCGCGTGCGCGACTGCTCAAGTGCGCCTGCCATGGATGGTGCGCCCCACTTCCCCAGCCTGGTCGTGGACGAGGACCTGGCTCCCGGGTCGTGCCTGCCAGCCCCTGACCCGGCCGCTGCCCCTGCCCCTGCATCCTCACCCGCTGAAGCTTCAGCCACAAACGACACACAAAACCACACAAGACCACCCAAAAGACAAACGCCCTCGAAAACCCTGCCTCCCGCCGTGTCACCAAACTGTGCCGCGCTAGATCTCGTCGACCACTATCTCAGGAGAGCCTTCCGAGCCCCTTTTAATCCTCAGCCGCAGAGAGTAGATCATCTTATAAACCGCAACCAGATCAGCACATCCGTGCAGGTCTTCTCGTACTCTCTCAGCCGTGGCGGTCGGGCCCGTGAACATTCTCTGGTGTAATGTACTCCAGGGCCCTGTTCTTGGGCGCTAACGGCTTCCCCTGAGACAACGTGCTAATTCCTCGTAAGTGCCTTATGGCACTAAACCTTCGCGGCACACGACCCGCGAGGCCGGCGCAGGCATCCCAACCCGAAAGCCAGCAGCACGACTCCTTTAAGCTTGGTTTCATCGGCCACAGCTACCCGCACGCGTTGTGTGTCGGCAACATTTGAGCTCCTAGCAGCCACGGCAGGATTACAATATTCTTCTCTCTTGGTTCAGAAGTCCTCGTTGGCCCCATTGATCAATCTTGCTTCCAAGTCCGGCTGGTCGCGGCGGAGCATACTCTTGTGCCAAGCCGAACTCTGACGGCACGGCTATGCTCACCAACTTATGCTAGCGACTGCCCAGCTCCCAGCAGCGAGTTTCTTTTTACCCCGGGATCCCGAAGTGGCCGCCGGCCCATTCCGGCATGACTCAAGTTTAGCTACATTTCCCCGCACAAATGACTCGCTCAGGGTTTTGGCGTTGTTCCCTGCGATGCCAATGATTGCTGTTCCTGTATTAACCTCGTTACTTTACGCTTAAGTCTGCGTGTCTCCTGATATAGCTTATTTATTCGCTTTTTCGTTTTAGGATCGCTGATATCTCTAAGCTGCAGCTCTTGTAGCTCGGCTAGTAGCTTTTTTATCGGCTCCGGGTCTTCCAACTTAGTGTGACGACCCGACCAACAGGGGAACTGTTTGGGGCTGAGGTAACAAACAAGCCCAGCACAAACAAGGCCGCAGGATCAGGCCAGGGACAAGGGCGGACCAGCGAAGGCTGGCGGGGAACACATTATGTAAGCACCCACCTTACGTCAGCAGCCGACGATGAACGGTCGCACGGCGACCATCATCCGTCGGTCTTGCGACAACAAACTGTCGGCATGCGACCCAACGGTGTCGCAGGACGACAGGCACGATGAAGGACAAAGGGATATATAGAGTCAGAAGGATCTCCTAGATACACAGTCACTACCTTTGTACTTCAGCGATCAATCTAAGTATCAGTTTCACCCACACTTGAACTAGTCACTCAATTGCCGAGACTGGTATCTCTTCCAAGAGACACGAACGACAACCCAGAGAGAGAACGACAGCAGAGTGTTAGTTGTTATTGCACAGGCTTTACCTATCTTGCGGAACAGCAACCCCAGCGCCCTGCCAGACGGTTGACCCCGGAGGCAGGATCGTGACACTTAGTAAGGCTCTCTAAAGGAAGCGCTAGTAATAAGGAAGGCTTGCGGCAAATTGTTATATCTTGGAAACGCTCTAGTACCTCCTTGTGAGACTTATTGTGAAAATATGAGCCCTGTCTATCTGCTATAAGAGGGGAGGCGTAGTATTTATCGTAGGTATATCGTTGTCCTTTTGGCCGGCGTGTTTCCGGCGCTCTGCCTCCGAGTGGTATTTTACTAGTAGAATAATTAGTGGATACGACCTATGCGCTTAGTGAATTTTAGTACTTACTAACGTGTAATAGACTACTTGCTCTAAACTCGTGCGGACGCGGTAGGTCTATGTAGCTAGCTCGGAAATTTGGTTGGGACTTCCGGCCCCTTACACGTAACTGAAGCGACCGGGGTAAATATGCGGCCATATCTGGACGCAGTCGATACCATTCTCTATCGAAGTGCGGCACACACACGACGGCGCGGCTTGGAATGTGGCTTGCGTGGAAGACGCCATCGCCTTTTCAGCTGTTCCAATAAGGGCACACCTAGGGAAATACTGGGACGCCACATATCGAGTTCTTGAATTTGAACTTAAGAGCCTCTCTGCCCCGGTTCTTGTCTCTATGTATGGTCTAGGACTTTTGCAAAGCTTCAATCACTTCTGCCGTTGACGCCGTGCCGCCAAACATCCGAAGAGCGTGTAGAGCAGCTAAATGGTCTTGCTCATTGCATGTGCCTGTTGCATTACTGACGGTAGTAACGGCGAAATCCATCTGGTAGGCATCTCTTGCCGTCGTCTCGACACATACATCCGTCCCTACCCCTGTCAAGATCAAATGATTGACTCCGCACTTCTTCAGGATATCTTCCAGCGAAGTTCGAAAGAAACCAGAGTTTCTCGTCTTGTCGATGACTGTTTCTTCGGGCTCAGGTTTGAGTTCGTCGAGGATATCGGCATCCCAAGTCCCGCGCATCAGGCCTTGGAGAAGTTCCAGACGATCTCCGCGGCCGCGGCCGCGTCTGTCAGAGTAGTCGGCATTATACACTGTCTTTAAGAAGATGACTGGGAGGTTGGCGGTGCGGAAGGCAGAGCGCAGCTGGTTGATGTGCGGAATAATTGCTTCTGGGTCGCTCTGCATGCCTAGCTTGGCGAAGCTGCCTTGTTTATGGCAGAAGCCGTTTTGCATGTCTACCACCAAGAGTGCTGGAGCGGAATCAAGTTCCACCATCTCGAGAATTCGTGGATGGCTGCTCTGTGTTGATGTGTCAAGGCTCTTTCGGGGGCAGGATGAGTGAAGTTCAAGATTGGATGATTCTTACAAGACCACAGCGAGGGGAGCGCCGACCTGCCTTTATCAAGAGGTTTGTGCCTTATCGTCAAGTGACCTCAATCATAAAAGAGGGGTAAGGATGCCCTTGGCGCAGCGTCTTACATGCATGGCCGTCCTTGCCCCTGGCCCGATCTTGTGACCTGTTGGTTGGGTCGTCACATGCACGCGTTTCGGCCACGATATGGTATCGTGTCAAAAACCCCAGTGCAGTCCCCAGTGTCTCACTGTCTGCGCTCTCCGTACCTCAGGGGCTGTAGTTCTTACGTCTTTATAAACGGTAACGAAGGGATAAGGCTACTGATTCAATGCGCCCGCGCGCTGCCGCCGACGCCGTACAGCAGACAGCAGACAGCCCACCGCAACGAGCAGGGGCACCGGAATGAAGGTCCAGAGGCGGCTTTCGGGCCCGTGGATGCCATCGCGCCGTCGGGCGAGCCGGATGAGCAGCAAGTCTGTCGCAGGCCCTGCTAGCAACGCACCAATACTGCTGTCGATGAGCAGTGGGATATACATGAGTCCGAGCTGCGCCGTATTATAGTTGTAACGCGGCACAGCGAACAAACTCGCCTGTGTCGTGCCGACGATACTGACGACGAAGACCGAGAGGGCCAGCTGGACGCTGGCGCAGAGAGCGGCGGGGAGGGATGCGACCTGAACCATGGAGAGGATGAGCCACCAGTACCCAGCACGGACATCAGGATTGCGGCGGAGCAGTGTTATCCCCTGGGGGTCGTTGAAGCACTGGCGTCATTTCTTGGCAGCTTCAAGGCCGGAGAGTGCAGCCATCATTGTCTCCTTATCTCAGCTCGCAGATCGTGGTTCCAAAGCTTTTGTCCCCGCCAGCTGAACAGTAACCGATGAAGGTACCGCCTCTCTGGCGGCGAGCTCGGCCGTCCTGGCAAATGAGGCTTCCTCGATCGTTCAAGCCACGTCTAGTGTCGACATGCCAAAGAAGATGAGCAGGTACCGGAACACCCAAAGCCAGCCCCGGGCGTCGATGATGTACCCAGCCGCGAGTGGCGGCAGAAAGGTCCCAAACACCACGACTACTCCATACAAGCCAAGGACTCCGCCCTTCTGGTGCAGGAAAGTGAGGTCGAGGAGAGATGTGAGATTCGTCGAGCACGATGGCGCTGAGCCGATGCCGATTAGCGCCATAAAGACGAAGTAGAGGGCGTCGGTGCTCATAGCAAGTCCGCAGGCTAAACCAGCAATGATCGAAACAGAACCGATGAAGTACGACAATCGCCGTCCGTACTTGATGGCGACTGGTTAGAGGAACATGACTTCGACGCTACCGAACATGACGAAGATGGCCTGTCCATAGTCGCGCCGGTCGTAGTTTGTTTGCAGCTCAACGACCCAAAGGCCCCAGGCTGTGGCGGCCCATGAAATGCTATAATCGCACAATCCACGACTTAGCCCTCTGGCACATTCGCGTATGACCGTACATCAATCAGCTGCTGGAGATTGACGAGTCAGGTACTCACGAGGCTGTCGCAAGAAAAGTCCAAACTAAAATGTTGGCTATGTTCCAAACCTTGTAGCCCTTGGGCCATACCTTGGGGACAAGCATTAATCATCAGCAAAAGCTTTGCACATAGGTAATGACAACATCATAGCTTGGCCTCTCACAAGAGGATCGTTGGGATTCGTCGTTGGTTTGAGGATGAGCAGAGTAGTGTTTTAATAAGATCAACATACCATTAATTAGACGGATCGTCCCCGGAGTCTTGAGGCTTGCTGTCGAAGACAGGTCCATGACTATGTATATCCTCGGGAAAATCCAAAGATGTCGGAGATGAGAGTCGCACTAGCTTCGGATGAAGTGGAATAACCGAAGCGTTACAGGACACGAAAGGTTATGTATTAAATTCTTAAGGCACGGACTGGAATTAGGCGTTTTCTGGTCCACAGCGTGTTGGTCCAGACCCTCCCATCACGTGGTGGAGGCTGAGTCGGGATTTCCGTGGTAATCTGCTGGATGGATGGGGAGCCGCCATGGACCGCAAATAGGTCCGGCGCACTTTTTGGACGTGGCAAAGGCACTGCAACGAGAAGTAGCCAAAGGCAGCAGACAGAAAAATAAGGGGAGCAACACGGTACTGAGAACCAGAGCTTTCTCTGGACTTATTATCCAATTGAAAAAATTATGAAATCCGACAATACACAAATCTCGTGTCTAGACATAGACAGCTTTCCGTGTCACAGCGGGTTATTTATGGACTACGTTGTAGTTTTTAGCTATATATAATTTGTTACGAGGATTAGTCTACCTTTCGTTCTAACACCTGCTTAACCGACATGGCAAAAATGCGCACAAGCTCCTTAATCTGTTCCGGAGTAATAATGAACGGCGGCGCAAACAACACAGCATCGGTAGCCGGCGAGCATAGGTATACAGCCAAGCCATTAGTTAGGCAGGCTTTCACGACATCAGGGGCGATGTGCCCCCTACTAGCCACGGGCGCGAACTCGGCCGCCTTGAACAAGCCGAGACCTCGGACCTCCTTGAGATGAGGCACTTGGCGGCGGACTTCATCTTCCAGCAGATCGCCCATATCAACCACCCTTTTCAGCAGCTTGTCGTCGATGATGGCACGCTGCGTGGCGAGAGCGGCAGCGCAACCGATAGCGTGGCCCTGGTATGTGTGCCCACTTACAAACGGGTGCTGTGCTTGTGCCGCCGCGATCTTTGTGTGGACTCGAGCGGCAACGAGAATGGCGGAAATGGGCTGGTAGCCGCCACCGAGGCCCTTGCCGATGGTCTGCAAATCCGGAGCGACGCCGCCCAGAGACTGCCACGCGTGCAGAGTGCCGGCTCTGCCCATACCACACATAACCTCGTCGAATAGCAGTAACGCGCCGTGCTTGTTGCAGAGTGCCCTCAGCCGAGCCAGATAGCCCACGGCGGGGGGTACCGCGCCAAGAGTGGCACCCGAGATCGTCTCCAGCATTACTGCGGCCACGGTCTTGGGTCCCAGTCTCTGGAACATTTCTTCGTACTCCTGAACGAGTCGGTCCACGTATTGTGCCTCAGTCTCATCTTCCCGACCATCTCTGGTGAAGAAACAAGGTGACACGTGGTGGAAGGCGTCTGACAATAATGGTTCAAAGGGCTGTCTCCGTGGTGGATTATATCCAGCAGAAAGGGCCCCTATCGTATTTCCGTGGTAGCCGTACTTCCGTGAGATGAAGTTGACACGCTCGGGCTCGCCATTGCAGATGTGGTATTGGCGTACAAGCTTGATAGCTGATTCGACGGCTTCCGATCCTGATTTGCATCCCGTTGTCAGCTGCGACGTTGCTTTCTTCCCACATGCAGTCCGCTATAACATGTACACACCTTTCCATAACGCAGGGGGTGCTTATCGCTTACCGGAGCTCAGGAACATGACATTGCTGAAAGCGCCATCACTGCTTTCCACCAACAACGAGGCCAGGTCCTCCGCCGGCTGACTTGTGAAGACGGAGGTGTGAGCGAACGACAGCTGCTGCGCTTGGTGGACAATTGCATCAATAACTTTCTGGTGGCTATGGCCAAGACAAGACACGGCGGCTCCGCTGCAGCCGTCCAGGGTCCTTGATCCGTCCGAGTGCACGATATAGATGCCGTCGCCGCCAGTAGCCATATTTCTTGGCCAAAGACCGGTGAAAGACGGCGCCGTGGCTGCTGGTGCAATGTATCTCAACTGGATTGGCGGTCATGGTTGCGGTCCAATTGGCAACAGAATTTCCTTACTCCTCCACGTTTCGTATCACAAACGTCCCGGAGGCCATTGAAATATGCCTCTCGCCCTCGAACATACCATATGTTTGCTTGAATTGCCTTGGCCGTCATGCAACCTCCGTTACCACACACCTGGCGCCGAAGCCGATGTCGGCATGACCCTGGAGCTTGTCTTGTCGTTAGCCGGGCTGGCCCGAGCCCACCCCACAGGCTCTCGCTTGCGCGGGGCTGGGAAGGAAGCATGGATCGGCCTGGGCCGAAGCTTGGCCAACGCTCACATTGGAAATCGTCGAAACTCAATTATGGGAGGGTGTGCATGCCGGGTGATGGTCTAATGTGATGACCTAACGGCTGGATCCGAGGCAACAAACAATGGAGAGTGGATTGATCAACGAGCCCGGCTGTAGGCGCAGTGGCTTGGGTAGAGCACACATGCCTACATGTACCTGCCTCCATTAGACAAAATCCTGTCTCATACAATAGTGTTAGGCGGTGCACGAGAGATAGCGACACTTCTGGAGTCAGACACGATAGCACTCAGGCTTCCTCTGAGATCCTTCCCAGCTATCTGCCTCCCATCACTCAAGAAATCCCACCAAATCCTGTTTTTTGCACCTAACTACTACGCCGTTGGTGAAAATGAGCTCGACAACATCCATCACCGTAACACAGGCTCCGGTCAGCCAGCCGGCACAAGAGGTCCAGCTCCGTTCAGCAGACGACGGCGTGCTGAACTGGAACATCCGCAAGACCCAGGGGCTGCACCACATTCCCAGCTTCACAGACAAGGAGGAGGAGCGGACATGGGCCAAGCAGCACATGGCCGCAGCCTTCCGGACACTTGCCCGCCTGGGCTGGGCAGATGGCGCCTCCGGCCACATCAGCCTCCGGGACCCGGTAAACCCAGAGTGGTTCTGGATCAACCCCTACGCCAAACACTTTGCGCTCATGAAGGCCAGCGACCTCGTCCTGGTTGACCACAACGGCCGCCCTGTGCTGCCGACGCCGCACAAGGTCAACGCCGCCGGCTTCATTATCCACTCATCCATCCACCTTGCCCGGCCTGACATTAACGCCGCCTGCCATATGCACTCGCCTGCCGGTCGAGCGTGGTCGTCATTTGGCAAGGGCATTGAGATGCTAAATCAAGGTTAGCAACACACAGCCTCATAAATCAAGCGACTACTTTTCTGGATCGCCACTTACCCATGGTTCCGTGTAGACTCGTGTATGTTTTACGAGAACTTGGCTGTCTACGAGGGCTTCGGCGGTATTGTGCTGGCGGAGGAGGAGGGACTGCGCCTTGCCTCTGCGCTGGGGCAGGACAAGCTCAACCTCATTCTTCAAAATCATGGGTAAGTTCTGTAGCACATGTATCAAGAGCCTCCATATGAAAGCATTCGAGCTAATTTGAAGTACGTGACCCCATTCTAGACTCCTGACGTGTGGATCGACTGTCGACGAGGCCGTCGCATACTTCATCGCACTGGAACGTGCCTGCGCCAACCAGATCCTGGCCGAGTCAGCGGCGGCAAACGGCGTGCAAAAAAAGTACGTCGGGGACGAGGAGGCTGCGTATACATGCAAGTGCACGGCAACGCCTGGATGCGCTTACATGCAGTTCCAGCCCGAGTTCGACCTGACTGTAGAGCTATCCGGTGGCAAGGTTTTGGAATAGGATATACGCCCCAAGTCCAGCTCGAGGCAACCGCGGTTAGGTGGCTTGGGCCAGGAAAGAGCTGAGAATATGGCGTATCTGGAACCCAGATCAATGTCCGGAGCAATAGAACGAACATGCCTTTGAACTCAGCAAGCCCTACCTTGGAAGAACGGCGTGAACGTGACCCAGTGCAAGGATCTTGGCGTAGTGTGGTCTAGCGGCTCGCTAGTTGATCGCTAGAGATAGGTGCACTCCACCAGGCTGAACCCAGACTGGGGCTCGGTCTGGCGGCCTCCCCTTATCTCTTAGTGTCTACTCGTCCCCAGGCATCGCTTAAGCTGCCCCGCGACCGGGCAGATGCACCTTCGCTCAACTAGCGTGACGACCCTGCCTCGCCCGAGAACACAGTTCTGCACCGTCTGCTTCGCCCATGCGAGGTTGACCGGTCTCCTTGTCGCTTGATGTACAACAACCATGGATCGCTCATCGTCCTCACCCCGGCCACTGAAAAGGACGAGGATAGCCTGCCTCGCCTGCAAGCAGAAGAAGCAAAGGGTAGGATTCCAGGTCGTGGACAGGCTCGTCTTGCGCTCCTCCCACCTCATGTCTGCAGTAGCTGGAGCTGACAGCCTTTTCTCCAGTGCGATGGCATGCAGCCGGCTTGCGGCAATTGCCTTCGAGCGAAACGAGGTCAGTTAATTCAGATCGATTCATCCCCTTGTGGCACGATCCGAGGTCAGCCAGAAGTAATGAATGAGAAGGCTTATTGAGACGTGCCAGATTGTACTATCGAGGATCCTTCATCAAAGAGACAGCTGCCGCTCAACTACATCTCCATCTTGGAGTCAAGGATAGCTGAGCTTGAGAGGCTTCTAGGCCAGGTGCATCCTGACCTCATTCGCGACCATATCGATGTTCAAACCCTCCAGGATGAATCGTCAGAGACTGCGAACAACAATCAAGACCATGATCAAGACCAATCCCCAGACCAAGATGGGCTGGAGAACGGTTCGAGAGAACATCTGTCCGCCCATGACCCGAGCAATAAGCCGTAAGTGCCACACCCTACACCAGGTCCTACCACCACGGACTGAACAGAGCACAAAGGGGGACAAGGGCCCTTCAACAGTCAGACATCACAACGCTCTGCATGAGTGCCGCAAGCGGCCAGATGCTCTACTTTGGCGAGACCTCGGGCCTTGCGCTGAGCAAGCTTCTGGGCACCATCTTGGGGGCAGTGCGGCTTCAAGCTCCTGGCCTCAGCCTGTCGGGCCCTCGGAACAGCGTGCTGCAAGGGCTGCCCAAACCACTGCCGGCCTCACTCCCGGAGCCCACATTCGGCGGGTTGCTGGTCGATGCGTACTTCCAGCATGTCCACCCCATGTATCCCTTCCTCCACCGGCCGACGTTTCGGTGTTGGGAGTCCCAGGTCCGGCAGGCTCTCAGCGAGGGCCGCACGCCTGATCCGGCCCATCACTTCTTCGTCTACATAGTCCATGCCATCGGCGCGCTCATCAACCCGGCTTTCAGTCCGTGTCCTGCGGAGGTAAAGCATGCCTCCTTACTCCTGCACCAGTCACAGGACTGCCCTTGCTGACGTCTGAACAAACAATTGAGTGCCTGTATGCATCAGCAGAGCTGTACCTCGAGCGCTTGCTGGGTTATGAGAGCCTCGAGTCTGTGCAGGCGATCCTGGCGTGCGCCATGTATTCGATGCGCTCAACCACTGGCGCTCCTGTTTGGTAAGACGTCCGCCCTCCATCCCTGCATATAACACTCACACGTAGAATCACGTCCCCCTTTACAGGACCCTATCGGGGATCGCACTACGACAATGCACAGATTTGGGCCTGCACCGCGCCTCAACGCGGATAGGCACAGATGTTGGCATTCTCCAAGACCAGCTGCAGCGTCGAGTCTTCTGGGTCGCGTACAATCTCGACCGTATCGCTGCGATATCGACAGGCAGGCCGTTCGGCATCGCGGAGGATGACATTGACGCAGAGGTTTGTTCCGGCCAGGCTTGCACAGACCACCCTTTGCGAATACAATAGAGCTATAGCTGACCAGCGATAGTACCCACTGGACGTCGATGACGAGGACATTGATGAATACCAGCTTCTCGCCAACCCGCGTACCCATCACTTGGAGCCGCCCACGCTCATGTCAGTGGCTTTGCACAATCTCCGCCTGCGACGCATCTGGGGCGACATGAAATCCCGCATCTTCTGCGTGCAGACGCCGTCACCGCCGCACAGTCACGCCAGCACCGAGCTCAAGGCGCGGCTGGACAGCTGGCTTGTCGAGTGTCCTCGGGCCGCGAGCCGCGACCAGATGAGCGGCGTGCCGTACGGGTCGTACAAGTGGCACCTGTTGACATACCACCACTCGGTCATCCTCTTCCACCGGCAGTCCCTCGTCACGCACTCGCGCGACGGCTACCCGGACTCGCCCGAGATGACAGCCGTCTACCTCGAGTGCGCCAAGTCGGCCACGATCCTGTGCAACCTGTACAAGGAGCTCTACCTGGGGCCGGGCCTGAGCGGCAACACGTGGGGCGCGCTGCACATTCTCTTCCTCGCCGGCCTGACCTTCGTCTACTGCCTCTGGGTCGACGCTGGCTGCCGCCACGTCCACCGCCGCGACGCCATCTCTACGGGTACTTCGTGCACCGTGTCCCTGGTCATCATGGCTGAGCGATGGCCCGCCGCGCAGCCTTTCCGCGACGCCTTCCTGGCACTTTGGGAAGCAACACAGTCCATGCTTGTTGAGCGGGAAGACGAGCAGAGAAACCCGGCGCAGGCGTCGAACCCTCACCCACTTCCCCGGCTGCCAATAATTAGGCCCAACTCAGATCCCGCCATGACCCAGCATCTGGCCCAGATCAATGGCATGGGCACGTGTTTCACCTCAGAGCATCTGCTTTCAGAAATGGTTCGACAGTAGAGGTCTCACAAGTCTACCCATATGGCTTTTGCTTGACGCTCCCCGCACTAAATCTGGCTTGAATTCCTTTAGACACAAGTCGCAGAAACCCTTAGGCTAAATCTATCTGTTCTTACTTAGACGATTTGCCATGAATCAAGTGGGCATTGACTGGTGTATGGGCTTTGCCTGTCGTGAAGAAAGCCTTCACATTCTCCAGCGCTTCGGTATAGGCTCGCCTCCATGCCACATCCGTCAAGCCACCCATGTGTGGTTGAATCATGACTCTGTCGTTCGCGATAAAGTACGGACTGTTTACAAGTGAAGCAGAGGTTGCTGATTAGCACTGACCACAAACACGGCGCATGTGATATGGAAGACTGCATACTTGATGTTGGGCTCGTTGTGAAAAACATCCAAACCTGCCCGAGCGACCTTGTCGCTCTTCATCGCAGCGATCAAAGCGTCCTCGTCGATGACGGGGCCCCGGCAGGTGTTGACGATGAAAACGCCGTCCTTCATTCTGGCGAACTGTGCGTGGGACAGCAGGCCTCGCGTGGAGTCGCTGAGAGGACAATGCACAGAGATGACATCAGCCTCAGCCAGCATGTCGTCCAGCGAGGCGTAGAAAGTGGCGTCCAACGCAGCTTCATCTTCGGCACTCATACGTGTTCGCTGGTGGTACAGGATCTTCATGTTAAAGGCCCTAGCCTTGCGAGCAGTGTGCTATTCCAATGATAAAGAATCAGTGAAAGGGAGTAGGGCAACGCTTGTGTAGCATCGAGTGGGGGGGGGGGGGGGGGGGGGCCGACAAACATACCTTGCCAATGGCTCCCATACCAATGATGGCGAGCTTGAGCCCACTGGGGTCCCTTGTGGGCGCCAGCCCGGTCTGTCCCTTGGTGAGCGCCATGCCCCCTCTCCAAGTGCCGGCGGCGATGCTGGACCGCAGACTCTGCACGTCCCGCAAGATGCTCAATATCATGCAGATGGCCAAGTCAGCTGTGGCTTCATTGACGGCATTGCGGCTGTTGCAGAAGGTGATGCCCTGGCTAGTCATCCAGTCGACGTCGAACTCGTTGTACCCGGCACTCGCCGACGCCAGGATCTTGCACTGTGGTACCAGCGGCCACAGCAGCTCTGCATCGAAAGGCTCGTACGGCAAGATGCCCATCAGGATGGTGATAGCATCGAACGGCCCTTCTTGCTTGACCTTTTCCGCCACCCGCGCAATGGTTGTTGGGCGGTCGCCTGGCGTAACCACCTAGAGGGGCTTTGCATTAGTCACGTAATGCGTCTTTGCGGGGGTAAGTGCAACTTAGTGTTGGCTTTACATGAAGCTCAAATTGCGACTCGAAGTCTTTCATGTAGTCCTCACCAGCCCATTCGGGGTAGGAGATGGACAGCACGCGCGGCTTATGGGTGGTCGCCATGCTTGGGAGCTTTCTAGCAGGGTGTCGGTTTTGGAGGCTATAATTGGCCGACGAGAAGGCTTGCTTGCACAGGAGGCTTAAGCGAGGGGTGATTAGTGGCTCTTTTGGCGTGTGACCCGGTCCCACGACTGTATTTACTGTCTTCCGATGCGAGTACCCAATCCGTCTTATCTAGCACAATGACTGCTCTAGACTGGCCAGAGTCTCTCAGGTGCATTTCTCCTGAGCCGGCCTGTAAGTTTAGTCAAGTTCAAGTGGCGTCGGCCTGGGCCGGCCTGCGCGATAGGAACGGCCCTAACCTCGCATGGGTCCCTGGGTTTGTGGACCCAATGGACTCATCACTAATTGTAACCGCGTTCCGATACCAGTATCATTCGGCTGGAGCCTAGCTTAACATTTCCCCAGAGTGCTACGGTCCCCGCGTGGCCCTGATTGGAGGGAGATAGGACGGCCCAAGCGTTGGAAGTCTTCTGGTTTTCAAACAGGCTCTTGGAACAGCATTCCACGACTTGCATACCATGAGCACGTCCAAGTAGTCTAATCAGCACCTGAGCATAAAGAGTCATGCTCGCCTCGGCCGTTGATATATCACGACTTTGACTGCAAGCGTAGATCTTGACGACACTTAATCAGGATTTTCCTCAATTTCCCCATCAGCTGTCGAAAAATACCTCTGCATCAAAAGTCGTTGATCATGGATGATCCCGCGCCAGATGTCAAGCCTACCCCCCGCGAGATTACTCGTCAGGACAGCTCGGGCAAAGGCGCCTCGGCCGAGCTGAGTGAGCTGGACCTGGCACTTCAGACCTATGTCCCCGAGTCTCTTGAGGAGAAGAAGCTTAGGCGCAAAGTCGACTTGTGGATGATTCCCATGTTGTGGTGGATGTGTGTCTTGTGCTACGTCGACCGCAACAATATTGTAAGCCCGCCAACCTCCATGACTGTTGCACTCCAAGCGACCCGACGCCGGGCTCGCTCTTATGTATTCGTTGCTAACATCTCATTTAGGGCAATGCCAATGCTGCAGGCATGAGCACCGACCTGGGCCTTAACAGTTCTCGTACGCAAGGCCCGCCCCGCCCCCTTTGCCCCATCATATGACAACGACGAGGATTCATCATCATGGCACACGAGCTAACATGACACGCGAGCCTAGAATACGCCATGCTCATCTCCATCTTCTTCATCGCCTACCTGATAATGGAGACACCGTCGAACCTGATCCTGACGCGTGTCCGACCTTCTTTCTATGTCCCGCTGACAATGGTCCTCTGGGGCACCATCACCGCGGCCATGTCGCAAGTTCGCAATTACACAGACATCCTAGTGGCCCGCTTCTTCTTGGGCGCCATCGAGGCTGGCTTCTTCCCCGGCGTCATGTACATCATGTCGGCCTGGTACAAGAGATCAGAGATTGGTTAGTGTCTGGCCTTTGACGTTCCACTGTTCACGTCTACTGCGACGGCATCCACAAGTCGCAAAGAGATATGAGTAGCTGACGACCGGCGCTCGTGACAGGAAAGCGGTTCTCTCTCTTCTTCACGGCCCTTTGTTTCGCAGGCGCCGTCAGTGGCCTGATCTCCGGCGCAGTCATCTCCGGTCTCGAAGGAAAGCACGGCATGCAGGGCTGGAGATGGCTCTTCCTGATCGAGGGCGTCATCACCGTCTTCTTCGGCTTCGTCGCCAAGTTCGTGCTCTTTGACTATCCCGAGAATACCAAGCGCCTGTCAGCGGAGGAGCGTCAGCTAGCCATTGTGCGCATGATGCACGATCGCCAGGCCACGGCCGTCCTGCAGACGGCCAGGCTTGGGCCCTTAGCCGCTATCCGGGCCGCCGCCTGCGATCTGCGCACCTACGTCTTCGTCGTGCTCTACATGCTGGACAACGGCTCGACTACCATCTCGTACTTTATCCCGACCGTCCTCAAGAGCATGGGCTACACGGGCACCACGGTGCAGTGGATGACGATACCCGTATGGGCCGTTGCCACTGTCTTCCTGATTGTCGTGCCCCAGGTGGCCGACAGGCTGGGCGACCGCCGGTGGTCCATCACGGCGGGCCTCACCATGTCGTTTGTCAGCGCCATCGTCTTGTTCCAGGTCCAGCACAACATCACGCGCTACGTGTTTCTGTGCTTCTACATCTCGGGCCTGTACTTCACCCTGCCGCTCATCATGACGTGGGCCTCGACGCTGATGCCCTTGCCCGCCGAGAAGCGCGCCGTCGTCATCGCGCTGACCAACAGCATTGGCAATTTGTCGGCTGTCTACGGAAGCCAGCTGTGGCCCGCCACCCATGCACCTACCTACGCCACTGGCTTCACCTCAGTCGCCTGCTTCACTGGCATCGGCGCCCTGATCGCCGCCGTGGCGCCGTATCTCTTCAAAGTGCTGCCGCGGTTCCCCTCCAAGGAGGAGAAGGAGGTCCTCGAGGCGCAGCGGAGGGCGCAGGAGGAGCTGGAGGAGTAAAGCATGGCCTTTGAACCGTTTCAAGACAAAGATTTGGGTTTGGGGTCGGGCTAGTGGATTGCAGACGGTTTGATGCCTCCTTGTTCCCTTACTTAACAGCCTTCGAGTATGTGAGAAGCCCACTGTAAGCAGTTTTCTTTTGATTTCATATCACCGAATACAAGATCTTCACTTCACAGTACAAATCCACGCAAGACCTTTCGTGTGACCGCTCTACCAAATCAATGGCCCTCACATATGTACTGGTCACGGAAGACCTATTTTCCTGGGCTACGGTGGCGAATGAGATGCGCGTACAGGTGTTGGGGCAGACTTGCATGAGGGCAGGACTATAGCATACCGTACCCTCACATTTTCACTCTAACCTCCCAGATTGGTAATGGATGTAAATTGCGTAAAGGCCAAATATCTCTGACGGCACGATAGCCCAAAGAAGGTCCTTACTCTATGCAAACCTTCGAAAGCGCTTAGAATGGCAATTGATCCTCAAGAGTGCAGGGCCCTTTGCCGGCATCCAGCCATATGGGAATTTGTCAATGCTTTTATGATACCTTCAGTATGAACCTGAATGTACTTCTAATTCCTGTCCAATCGAGTATATGCCTCTAACCATCGAAAAACAGTTCTCATAGCTTGCAAAGTAGGCCGTTGACCCCCAGCACAGACAGGTGGTCTTTGGTAATGTCCTTAATAGAAGGGCATCTGGTTCGTAAAGTAGAGAATGGGTTAGTCCAGCTCACTCGCCTATTGTTGATACATTGTCCACTTACCCTGCAAGCGCCATCGCCAATCTTAATTCATCTTCGAGGATGTCAACGGCACGCTCCACGCCCTCTTGGCCACCGTACTGTCGGGGAGGTTTCCTCGTCAGCGTGCTTTCTTTCGCTCTTGATAACGTTCCACAACTGGGAGGACTTACTGCAAGACCCCATAAGGGCACTCTTCCAAGGAAGCAGAAATCGGCACCCAAAGCGAGTGCTTTGAAAATATCGGTGCCGCGATAGATGCCGCCGTCAATGCCAATCTTGATACGTCCTCGTGCGACAGGAGCGCACTCTGCGAGCGCGTCAATTGTGGCTGGTACACCGTCAAGCTGCCGACCGCCATGGTTAGAGATGATGACTCCATTGAGCCCGTACTGAATGGCCAGCTGAACATCAGCCGGTGTGTACACTGTTGCCTCGAGTTAGCACAGCATCTTGGTTGTATAGCATTATCGAAAGTTTCTCTACACATACCTCCCTTTAGCCAAATCTCGAGCTTTGTATTTTGCTTCACCCAGGGAATGGCCGACCGCCACGAAACGCTCGCATCGCGGCCGTTGGTGTGGTAAGATCGGGCCTTGGTGGGAGTGCCGTCGGCCGACGGTGGCGGGGCCAGATTCGGGAGAGAGAGGTGCTCGGGCAGCTCAAACTTCTTGCCCGACTTCTCATTCAGGCGACGGCCCAGGACCGGCGCATCGACGGTAATAAAAAGCGCCCTGTAGCCGGCGGTCTCGGCTCTCTTGATCCACGACAACGTTGTGCTTCGGTCTTTGACAATGCTAAGCTGAAAGGCATACGGGTTGTCGCCGGCGCTGCCTTCCATGCGCACATCTTCCAACGACACGGTCGAGTACGTCGAGAGTGCCATGGGCACTCGCTTCTTTGCTGCCGCTCGGGAGGTTGCTCGTTCGCCATCTGGATGCGCAAGACAGTGCATGGCGGACGGCGCGAAGCCAAAGGGGACCGATGTCTGATGGTCCAATACGTCATCTTAGTCTCTGCCTTTTCCCATTCTGCATTCTTTTGCCCTGTGAAGAAGGAGGATATACCTTTGACCCGAGGATCGTCGTTGTTGTGTCGATAACAGAAACATCGGTAAGGATGCGTGGTCGGATCTTGAACCGGTCGAAGGCGGCCTGGTTTTCCCTCAATCTAATGTAGCTCTTCAGCCTTTGATCATGAACCAAGAGCTCCAATGGCCTTACTCACGTTATCATTTGCATGGAACCACCGTTGTAATATGCTTTGCGCCGTTGTCAGATCGTCGCAAGGTTGACACAAGAAAAGATATTTGCTTTGCTCCGGAATGACTTTCCCCGCTGGTCCTTGCGGCGAGAGTCAAATCACAAGAACTTACCGGACACAACAGGAGACATCTTGGCCGTCGCGGCCGTTCTCAAGTCTTCAATTGTCATGATTATCTCTTCCGTCATCGCTGGCCCCATACCATGCAGGTCTTGTTTCGACATTTTGGAATCGATTATTGTTGAGTGACTGTAGATGGTCGTAAGCTTTGTCCTGTGGACAATCTTCGATGTCAAGATTATGCCGCCCACTGCAAGTATGTAAGTAAAGATGTGATTGAGCTGCGCAAGGATGCATCTGTTGCCATCGACGTCCAGCGCATGTCACCCTAGGTGCAATGTGAACCTCCGTGGCTAATCGTATCCCTGCGAATGATTGTGACGGACCAGCCTCATCCGGGCGGGTCAGATCTTGGATGTGGTTGGAGAGGCCGATACCGCCGCTGGTCGGCCTGGGCCGACCCCAGCAGCTAACGGCTGAACGGCCCCAACGACCCCAACGACCCTCCAAGGCGGGGCCTGGTTCACGGTTACTGAGATCCTTGGCCCAGCTGGTGGGTCAGACCTTAGGACGCTCTCGGGATTAGATGCCGATGGCAATCGGCCTGAGCCGGCCACCCACCCCACCCCTGAACCCTCAGCGATCCTACGAGGCGGTTCCCGACTTTAGGCGCTGACTAGAATACCATCGTGCGATAAAGCAATACTGATTGAGTGATGTCCTGATCGACATACTATTATGGGGTCCTGGCTGAGCCGGAGGGAATAGCACGGCCCCTATCCGGCGCTCAAAATAGCAAAGTCAACCTCAAATACGAGAAGAGCATATCACATCAAATTGTATCCATTACGCAGGCGCGGACGACAACCGTACCAAGAACTATCGTCGTAAAAATAGTGGTAAATTGGGCTTCAGCAGATGTACAATCCGGCAAGAGTACGACCTTGGTAAGTTCTGAAAACAGCTCGGCCGTCGCATCGGTCGGCGCTCGTGCTCTTTTATATATACATGACATTCTGCTTGGTAGTGATAGGGCTACATAAAAGGAGCATTGACATTCGCGCGGCAGTCGGAATTTAGAAATATATTGTAATGATCAGAATCTTGTTGTCGGACCTTCCTGTCTGTGAAATGTGCCCCTAGCTGACAGAGAAGTTCACCGTAACTCGCACGTTTCACAGATCCTCGTGGAGCCCATAAAAACCAGTGAGGCACAGGAGAGATTGCTGGGAGATATCGTTGAGCTGAGAAGGTTGGTTTTGTTGCAAGAGCAAGCCAGAAACGCGATTGCCACAGTGGCCACCCAAGATCAGGTTCCATTTTCGTAGCAAACACCGTCAATCCGCAGCCCGAGGATCGAGTCTTGCGAGTCGAGACTGCCGGGTCTACCTTTGGGCTCGACTCGGGCACTTCGGTCGCCCTGTAAACCGTTCCACATGAAGTAATTGCCTTCGCCCTCTGTGTCCTCGCTGTCCCTCGTCTCGCACATGTCCAGCCCGCTAACTTCCTTCTGCGCGTCTTGCTCCCTGCAGCTTCACCATCCTCACTAGCTACCGTGCTAGTGTTCCTGCTGTGTATCCTGCCCACCTTCTTCAGAAGAGAAGCAGCACTCGCCACGGCTGCTGCCACTCCGCTGGACGAAGCACCGCCGCCTAGTTGTTGGTGCTCTAGGACAACCTCATATACTATGCATTAAGAAACTGTTTAGCCTGTTCGGCCCATTTTGGTGCTCTATACCAAAACCAGTCAATACTCGACTGTTGAACAATCTACTAACCCTTTGGCGGCCATTGACCTTTTGTATTCCCATGCGGCAGGCAAGTTCCCTTCTTTCAGGCCATCGATCGACTTGATCATAGCAGGCCCCAGGCCCTCGTCTTTGATTTGCTGTAGAGGATAGACATATTCATGGATGATGAAGACGCATGCGCCACTGACCGGAAACCGGAACAGAGTCTGCAACTCACAGCGAAGGCAGATCTGAAAGCCCCGTAGGAGCACGTATGATCGCTCGGCGAGTCCAGAAGCTCACGCCAAGGACTATACCGCAGCTCGGGTGGGGGCGGGGAGATCCTTCAGGCTGCTAATTCTAGCAATCTGCGCGGCGCAACGAGTATGCGTCTATTTGATTGGTTGCAATACAGGGAGGGATACATGTGCACCTTCCAATCAACGAGACATCATTATGTGCTCACGTCATGCCTGCGGAGTTACGACCAGATTCAGTGTAGAAGATTTTGACCCTTCCTCGCTCACTCCAGCCATGAATACTCCTTTGGACAAGGCCAAGGAGATTCGACATGGTTAACAAGATTACCCAAGGCGGGATGACAAGGCAGTTTTACCCCCTGCGCCTTGGGCGCATGGGAAAAAGGCCGGACTTGGTGAAGCACCTGTCTGCTATATAACTGCAGAGCTCTCAAGTCACATTGCAGGTGGCTTTCAATCATCAATCCGCCAAAACAAGGACAAAAACGTCATGGCCTCTTTGCAGCACACCGGTGCATGGCTCCGCTGCCTCCTATGGCTTCTTCTGTACCTCCCGTCCACCGCAACGAGTGCCAACCCTCCCCCCAATCTTCGTATCCAGCCTCTGGGAGACTCCATCACAAAGGGCAACGGTTACCCCGACGGCAATGGCTACCGGCAGAAACTACAGCAGATGCTGAACAATATCGGGACCGAGGTCGAGTATATAGGCTCGCTAGCTAGCGGGAGCATGAAGAACAACCGCCACGAGGGCCACTCAGGTCAGTATCTAGCGTCTATCCGCACCTATGTGCAGCTGTCCATCAGAGCCCAGCCGAACGTGGTGCTGGTGCACGCGGGTACCAATGACGTGGACAAGGAGGTGGACCTCGAGACGGCGCCAGCGCGTCTCGAGGCCATCATCGACGAGATTCACGACAATGACACCACTGGCGGCCGCGCCGTCATCCTGGTCGCCAAGATCATCTGGGCCAACGACGCGCGCATGCAGGCCAACACCGATGCCTTCAACGAAAAAGTCGCAGAGGTAGTCAAGCGGAAACGACAAGCCGGCATCGAGGCGCGGATGGTGGACATGAGCCGCATCCTGACCGTCGCGGACCTGGACGATAGGAAGCACCCCAACGAGGCTGGCTACCAGAAGATGGCCAAGGCTTGGTTTGACGCCATTCTCGAGGCCGCTGACGCCAGAGTGATCGCGCCGCTGCAGTCCGGGGGCGCCGTCGGTGGCGGCACTTGCAAGGGCGACAACTGGGACGGGGGCGGCACCGTCTTTGACCAGGCCCGGGCATGGACCGACATTGGCATCGTCGCGCCGGGGCCGGCAGGGGCATCGCAGGACAAGTTGCGGGTGGCCGACCTGAACGGGGACGGCCGCGCCGACTACATCCTGGTCGAGGCCTACGGCACCATCAAGGCCTGGCTCAACACGGGCAACATCCCCAAGGTCGGCGACGCGGCCAGCTGGAAGGCGGTGGGCGCGGTAGGCCCGGCCCGGCTGGGCAGCGTGCCGGGCTTCAACCGGGCCAATGTCCGGTTCGCCGACGTTGACGGCGACAAGAGCGCGGACCTGTTGCTGCTGTCCCCGGACGGCTCGGTGCGGGCCTGGCGAAACACGGGAGAGGGCACCGAGTTTGTCGCTCTCGACGCTGGCTGGGCGGCGGGCGTCGGCGGGGGCATTACTTCGGCCAATGTGCGCATCGTCGACATGGACGGCGACGGGTATGCCGACTACGCGATCCTGTACGGCGACGGGTCCCTCAAGTACGCGCGCAAAACGCACAACAACGGCAAGGACAAGTCGAAGCGCAACTTTGAAGACGCCGTGCTCATTGCGCCGGGCGTGGGCGGCGTGAGCGGCAACATGGTGTACTTTGCGGACCTCGATGGCGACGGGCTTGCCGACTTCCTCAGCATCTATGCGGACGGCAAGGTGGGCGCCCTACTCAACTCGGGCAGGGCTTTGTGGGGTGGCGACGGCGAGAGCAGCAGCACGGGCTCCAAGCTGCGCTTTGCCGACCTCGACGGCGACGGCTGGGCCGACTACCTGGTCGTGCAGGACAATGGCGCCGTCACGGCCTACCTCAACCGGCAGAACATCCCTCCACGGGCCGACCGCGGACGCATCTGGGCCGAGGCACAGGTCGTTGCCACCGGTGTCGGGGAGCCGGGCAGCCGGATCCAGTTTGCCGACTTGGACGGCAATGGCAAGGCCGAGTACCTGGTCGTGTACCCGAGCGGGGCCGTCGTCGCGTTCAACAACACGGGCAACATCCCCAAGGGCGACAAGCCCCCAAACTGGACGCGCCTGGGCATCGTTGCCGCCGGCGTCAACCCCCAGGGCCCCCTCGTCCGCTTCGCCGACATCAACGGCGACGGCAAGGCCGACTATCTGACCGTGTTCGACTCTGGACGCATCGATGCTTACATCAACGTGTGCGCTGGGAACCGCCATGTCGACGCGGGCATCCCCGTGGACGGCAGCATCAGTAGGGCCGGGTGGTGCGACCTGTCACATGAGCGCGAACTCACAGAGGCGGACCGGAAGCAGATCTGGGGATCCGGTCTGGGCGCCTTGGGCGTTGGCGGGTGGCTGGATAAGTGGCTCATCGCATACGGCGAGAAGGACTGGGCTATCACCCTCGCCGAGCAGGTCGGAATCGACGGGTTCGAATGCAACAGCATCGATTCTCACGACAACTGCGAGAAGAAAGTATTAGACTGTGGTGAGAGGTTCCCCCATTCAATGCTTGTTCAGCCGTGAGGAAACGATCGGCTCCCCGTGCGACAGCGAAACTGATACCGTGCTTTTTCTTTTCCCGCCCATCTAGAAAAGCTCTATGATGCAGGTCATGCGCCAGTCTTTTGGATACTACGAGCCGTCTCGGACTTCAACGATGTCCTGTTTCGGATGGCAAACATATTGACCTGGGAGGGGTTGACGTCAATACTCCAGATAGATCAGAGTGAGTAAGGCGGGCGAGGAGAAAATGCACGAGGATGAGGGAAGAGAACCATCCATGATGAGGGCCACGACAATGCTGACACTGCTGGGCTGACTAGACATCGAAGAGTTTGGATCTGGCGGAGAAGACGACTCAAAATTCGGCATAATTTCCACTGCCTTTGGAGCCGCATCCCCCATCACGGCTGCCAATGCGCCATTGAGCGGGGTGCTCAGCGGACTCTCGGCGTATATAGGTCTCTTGGATGAGCTGGGCCCGTCGGACGAGGATAAGGACCGCTTGATAGTCAGCGAGGCGCTCGGCATGGTAAGGTGGCCACAGCTGGACCCCGCAAACTCGACCTGTACTAAATTGATGTCTGATACTCCAGTTATACACATCTGTCCGGCGCAGCCTCCGGGCACTGGTGCATTTGACGACCACGGGATATTTCAAAGACTCTCCCAGTAACGATGACCACGAGGAGGAAGTTATAAACAAGCGGGTCCTAGACTCCTCGGATCTTCCCGGAGTGTCCAAGAGCAGCTACGTGAGCCCGACTGCCGCGTTTTTCCAAGACGGCAGATATCTCATCAACACGTACTGGTTGGGTAATGACGTGGCGAACTGGGGAGACTCCTTTCACGAGACAAGTACACAGCTCACTGCCACCGTCTTGCTTCGAGATCAGAGATGGTTTGTATTCATCGATGAGGACGTCGCGACCACGGAGAGCTGCAGCAGAGACGCCAAAGGCCATGATGGGCGTCGGTGGATTGACGGGTGGTGCTATGATCTTTGGGTCTTTGAAATCGAAAAGGACTCGGACACCGTCAACGAACACGACGGAGACAGCAACTTCGCCGATTGGGCGCAAAACGCAAAGTTCCGCGCCTTGCAGGAGTACGCGTCTATTGACTTGGTTGACCTGTAAGTGTTCATTGGAAAGCGCCATATCGTGTGCACCACGGTGACTGGATTTCCAGTTATCCGCACGCACTGTTATACGCCGGACTGCCATGGCTAACATCCCCGGGGGGGGGGGGGTGGGAGGACAGCTATGAGAATGCCATCGACTGTGCCAAACGGTACCCCAAAGGCGACGGTCAAGCCGATGTCGGCAGTCTAGTTACCGCAGGCGGCTACCCCACCTGTTTTTTCAACTTTCCCGTAGTTCGTGGTGTCCGCTGGCGTAGGGGTAATTTATGGGTCGTATGGCCTCCCAAGACGCCACCGTATATCAACACTTCTGATCGATGGAGAATCTACTGGGAGAACCCAGAGGATCTGAGACGGTGATTTGCGGTCCGTCCGTTAAATCCATCATGAATGAGATATGGGGCACCTCATGCAACATTTGGTGTTTCTCTCGGGGGCGCTCCGATACCACGGGATAAATAGAATAAGCGTAACGTAATCCACAAGTGGGTGAATCACACAAGTGGATGAATCAGTTATCGGGTACTCGTACGACAATGTATAAGTCAATTCAACCATAACGCCTCAAATCAATTCAAACTATTCGGAATCCTCTTCTTCAGAGGCAGATACAACTTTCTGACACGTACGAGCATTATGCCCGGGCTCGCCGCAGACGCCACATCGTCGCGCGCGCGTTTCGGGCCTCCTCGTACGACCACTATTCTGACTCGTTTCCGCCATTAACTGCCGCGTCGCATCGATTTGAGCCTTCAAATCCTTTGCCTGATCAATCGTAAGGGACCCTCCTTTCTGTAGCTGCTTTCTTTTCGTACGACGACGGCGGCTGAGGCGGTCGTTTGCATCTCGAAGTTCGGCGAGGTCTTGGCGCATAAGCTCCTGCTCGTGTACCATCATTATGACTCCTTTTCTTAGCTGCTGTACGCTCTTAACAATGGACGACGGTGAGCTATTCTGGTGTCGTACGATGCGATTTTCAATATACTTCGTCTGCGATTCGGTCTCAATTGGGTTGTTCGGCGTCTTTGAAACCCATGGGGGTGGTAGTCCAGCAGAGGAACCTGGCGGTGTCGGCGTATGAAACTTCACATCTAGCTGTGAAATCACATAATTCGGGTCGTACGGTACTAGGCCTGTCGCTCTGAAGCCTGCCTGGATGTTTGATTTGGTCATTGTAGCGTCGTACGCCTTATAAAAGGCTGGGAGGAAGTCCTCCTTTGAAACGTGGGTTACGTGCGCCCGCATTAGACCTTCGATTTCTTTACCGTACGCCCGTTTCAGAGGTCCAAAACACCCAACATCGAGAGGCTGGAGCTTATGCGACGAATGAGCAGGCATACAGAGCGTGACAATATTCTGTTCCTCGCAGTAGAGCTCGAAATCGACGGAATGGTGGCTCTCCTGGCCGTCGAGGATAAGGAGGCGGTGGGTACCCTTCGTACGACTCTTTGTATGGAAATCAAAGTGTTTTACCCATTCTAGGCCTCTCTCGTTCGTCGTCCAACCGTTTTCTGAAAGCGCGATTACCCAGTTGGCCGGTAGAGGGCTATTCGCGGTCCAGGAGTCGAGGTGGACCTTCCCGGCGAAGATAATGTACGGCGGGATCGAATAGCCGTACGACGCGATACCCTGGATTACTGTAACCCATTCCTGATTACCTTGTTGTACGGCTCTTGGCCTCCCGCGTCGATCGGAGGTTGTAACGACAGTTTCGGCGGAGATTTTGCCCATCGCGAAGCCCGTTTCGTCGAAGTTGTAGATGTCGTCATCGTGGATCCCGTATTTCGCGATTATGTTTTGTACGAGCTCAAACCACGCGCGATACGCGTCTGGATCTTCGCAGAGGACTCTCTGGTAGTCGATTCTTCGATTAAAACGCGTACGGAGCTCTGGTTGTCGTCGTACGAAGTTTGAGGCCCAGTTCGTTCCGACGCGTGGCGCGTCGCGCACGCGGAGGAGTCGATCCGCCATTTCTCGAACACCACCTAACCGCGGTGGAAACGATCGCGAATCTAGGTCGATTATATATCGTACGATGCTGTCCTCTTCGTACGAGGTCAATTTCTGGCAAGGTGGTCGGATATCTTGTTGCGCAGGTCGGCCGTGTTGTCGACGTTGGAGGGTTGAGAAGGATACATTATAGATCTGTGCAGCCTTTCGTACGCTCAATTCTGGGTTCGATTGAAGCGCATTTAGCGCGAGAACTAAATCGCTTTCATTTGATTGTCGTACCATAATTATTGGTGGAGAAAAGGGGGAAAGAAGACAGCCTGTACGAAAGTGGCGGGGGACTGATTCATCCACTTGTGTGATTCACCCACTTGTGGATTACGTTAGCTTTTATTTATAGATGACAGTAACAAAGAGACAAGAGAGAATAAGAGGTAATTTCTAATTTAAGATAGACTCGTACCCGATGAACCCTACCGATCCATAATTCATGGAGCGTTTAATACGAGGCTTCCTATAATAAGTTCTCTCTTATACTTTCAAGTAACTTATAAGATAACACGTGTATATAAAATTGAGGCACCACGCGCTGGGGTGTTGCTAGGATGTGTATCACAAGTTCCGTCATCTTTCCGGGACCAGCTTCCTTGCAATCTGGATAATGATGCATCAATGTTCTAAGTCTGTCTACTTCAAGTCCTTCCCCGGCAGGACAAGCCTGAATTCGTCAAAGCCATGAGATCGCATGGCTTTGGCGATAGCAATTCGGCTCAGGGGCTGTGGTGTAGCGTGGCGAGTTCTCGGCGCGAGCCAGCTTCACGACCGGGCTCAACACCTCGAAGTCACCCCAATCACCTTTCAGCCTCGTTGTGGACGAGCTGCCATCCTCAAAGTATGAGGGCAGAACTCCCTTCCACCCTGCCAGGACAACATCCAGCAACTCGAGCACAAAATGTTCAGGACCCGTCCTGCTCCATTTGAACTTCTCAGAGCACTGCTGGACGACAGCCGGGGGGTACAGTCCCACCTCAGGCTTGAGATGGAGGGATGCCGCAGCCATCAGAGAGGCAAAGACGTGGTACGAACCCCCCTGCCTCGTACGGTCCCGGAGAGCCATCATGGCGCCGATGGCCCCAATCAGACCAGTGAGCATGTCAGGAACGGGCAGCGCAGGCAAAACGCAAGTGCCGTCCGTGTGGCCCAGACTCCGCCCTGTCACGTACGAGCATCCTGACGCCGCATCGGCGACCTGTTGCCAGCCGGGTCGTTCAGCCATGGGGCCGTCAGGCCCGTAGCAGTTCTCCTCGACGTACACAATGCCCCGGCCCCGTTTCCCAGCCATCTCTAGAAGGTTGTGGAGACCGTGGCCTTTCCGGCCGATCACACCGGGGCGGTACCCCTGAACGAAGACGTCTGCGCCTTGAATGAGCTCCCGCAAGTTCTCCACCTCTTCATCCTTGCTCAGATCGATGTCCACCGTTCGTACACCAGCATTGAGCGTCAATTGAAGTGACTACGATGAAAAGCATATTAGCACCCGTGTACCGGAAAACCTCCAGAGGACACCAAGGGAGGGAGGCAAGAGTGCGGAAGGCTGTCAAGGCCACTTACATTGAAGTCTGGGAGCCGCCCGCAGTTGACACGGATGACGTCGGCACCAAAGGCAGCCAAAGTTGTTCCGATGACAGGACCGGCGATGATGCGAACGAGCTCTACGACCTTGATGCCAGCCAAGGGCCTCTTGTCAGAGGACACGCCCAGGGGAATGGCGGGCGTAGGCACTGCGTAAGTCTGCTGCGAGTAGTTGATGAGAGGATGCCTTTCCAGGTCCTGGGCCATGCGCGTCTTGGACCATGCAGCCGGGGTGTAGCAGATGCTGCCACAGAGGCCGCGGGACAAGAACATCATCTCCAGCTCGTTGGCAGTGTACTTGCGGACGTGCTCCCCAATCATATTAGTCGCCTCTTCGTCGGTGTCGCACTTTGCCGCAGCGTCCAGGCCGATCACCTGCAGCACCGGGTCAGCGTTGAGGGATCCGTGCAGCTGGTACCAGACACCGGGGTCCTTGGTCTCGTAGTTTGCCGTGGTGCGCAGCCTGAGCGGAGACGCAAAGGTGTCTCTCTCGAGATCTTTGGGAAATATGGAAGACAGCTTGCCCTCTTTGGCAATCTCGCGCACGGTCTGGCCGTGGCGCTTGGACATGCCGACGCTGCCAAGCCAGATGGCCGCATGATCCGTATCGACGCTGACGCGATGCGTCGAGTCCCGGCCGCTTCTGCATTCCAGGAGCTCATTGGCGACGATGCCGGCCATGGCATGGAGAGCGCCGGCGATGACGGCCGACTTGAGGGGCCCGGGGACGATTGTCTCGGGAGATCCCGTAAACGTGACCGAGTCGACCACCGCAGGATCTTTTGAGAAGCCAGGGGTGGCCCTTGCCAGAATCTTCAGGAGTCTCTTCGCATCTTCGGGCACCGGGAGCGGTGCAGAATCGATCCACGAGCCTGGACCGTAGACGTCGGCCCCTGAGACTGTCTGCATCGTGGCTGCAAGCGGGGGGGTGTCGTCTGGAAAGCGAGATAGGGGGTTTTGTCTGGGACACGAGAGCAGTGCCAGCGCTAGAAAGCACGGTCAGGTCGTCTATATAGCCTAGGCCATGTTTTCACAGGCTCATGAAATGGGCGACCACTGTTATAAACAAGAAACCGCGTTGGGGTCCTCAAGCCATGCGCAGCAAGGCGATGCGATCTCAGCATGACAACGGGCATTCTGCTGCCCCCACTAGGAAGAATTGGGGAAAAGTTGGGGGTGTGGGCCCGGTCCGGACGGTCCAGACGGTCCGGGCTCTCCAAACCCCCAAAGTCACCCGCGATCTAAAGGGGGGGGGGGAGGGGGGGCTTCAGAGAAGACGGGCGAGGTCGAAAGTAACAGGAATCGACAATGTGACCGTGAACAGACAATACACGTTGTCAAGCATTCCCTTGCACGCCACCCAACGATCGAAGAGGAGTACAAGACAGTATATGTGGCTAACTAGTGTGCAGCTCTTTGGTACCCGTGCCTTCGCCGCCTCTGTCCTCTGCATCACGTCCGCAAGACCACGATCCTACTGCCATTACTACAGCCCCTCTTGCCGCATGGGCTGAAACCGGTAGACAACGTTGGAGAAGCAGTCTTCGGAGAAGACGTAGAGCCACCGCAGGCTCTCGTCGGGCCCGCAGAAGACGCCGTGCACCGCATCGCCAGGAATCCACAGCATCGCGCCCTCGGTGACGCGGTGCCGCTCGCCGTCGATCTCGACCTCGCCAGAGCCATCCAGCACATAATACACTTCTGCTTGCATGTGCTGGTGTAGCGCCAGGCTGCCGCCCGAGGGGCAGACGGCGATCCCGACGCTCATCGACTCGGTGCTGGTAGTGGGCTTTGATAAAAGCGTCTGCCAGGTGACGTTGCCGAACTTTGTGTCCCCGAACGAGTCAATCTGCAGAGCGGAGACCACTGGTTTGTGCATTATGACTCCGGGTCGGCGGCCTTGTGTCATGGGTTCCATTGTGCTGTCTTGGCTGTCGTCTGTCTTCTCTATTCTTTCTCTCTTGCTCTGCTGTGATTTGCTGTGGTGCCGCTCAACAAGAGGTAGAATTGATTGATGATTGGGAATGTCGCTGGCAGCCACAAGAGTCAAAACTAGATGGACGCCGAGTTATTTGTATCTTGAATGATCATACATGTCGATGGAGCCCTTCCGGCTCCGCAACCAATCATAGCTCGAATCTTGGACAAGGCAACGGGAAGTGAATCCCGCATCACGCCACATCGACATTGAGAATTTGGGTTTGCACTCCGGGCGATCTGTAGAAGCTGCCCCTCCTGCCCCCTCTGTCCCTCTGTTTCTCGGCTAAACCCCACCCCCACCTTCTCCGCCGTCTACAGGACATGGCAGAGCTGCCATCCTATGATAAGCCCCAATTTTGCTGGACGTTACCACTTCCGACTCTCCAAGCCGGTAGGGTGTCCCGGCCACTCACTCAGGCTTGCTGCCGACCAACGATGACTAGCAAGAGTGCCGATTACTTTCCGGTACAGCGCATTGCCCAAGCGTGCGTCGCGTGTCGGTATGTGGGCGGATGGACCTCGCTAAACCCTTCCCCACTCTGACTCCCCCCCCTTTCCTGGACTGGCCTGTCCTCCCACAGAAGCTGATCAACGAAGACGTAAGAAATGCCGTTGCACGGGTGACCGACCTGCATGCGCCCAGTGTTTGCGTCTAGGGACCGGTCAGTGGCTTCTTCCCCTTTTCTTGACCTCTTCGTGTTTTTGTTACACCCGGGATTATTGGTCTGACTATTTCCACCTGTGCTCATTCCCCCCTTTCAATCGCGTGATATAAGAATGCACGTCTGACAGCTGGGGGAACAAAAAGAATGTACATATATCGATGGAAACCCTTCGCAGCAAGCTACTGCTCTTCGCCGGACCAGCCTTGGCGAGCTTCGAACCTCATACGGCAATACGGCAGCGGGGAAAACGCAGGTACCGATCTGCCCATAGTGGGACCATTAGGTTATACGATGATTGACACGCACCAGACCGACCATGACGATTTGACCAACGAAGTCTTGAGAAGGGTGACGAACCTCGAGCACAAGATCGAGAACCTCGGGGCAGGTCTCCAACGGTGTGTTCTTCTTCAGCCTTGTGGTTCGTATCAACAAAGGATTTCTGGGATCACAAGCGGTTGACCATCTCTGAATCAGGATTGAGCAGAGCCTGGTAGCCTTGCTGAATGGCGACACTTCTCGCAGGATTGGCCTGCCCACGCAGAGCCAACCCGGAAGATCGACGACGGCGGTAGCAGTAATGGCGGACAGTGGTACGAGTTCCAATGCGCAGCGGTCTGAATCCTTCTTCGAGGATTTCGGCATCCCGGAAGGCGTCTTCACGACTGTCATCGACACTTATTTCCACCACTGTCATAACCAGCCTTATTCCTTCTTTCATGAAGACAACTTTCGCCAAGGCCTGCGAGACCAGATTATTCCGAAACATCTGGTCCTGAGCATCATGGCAATGACCATCAGATTCTGCTCTCATCCACACTTCGCGGCACGGGTCCATGAGGTCTCTGTAGATTATGCTAACAGGGCCTGGAAACTCATCGTGACCGATTGTTTCACGAATGGCAGGGTCGCCGAAGTCTCGACAGTACAGACGGTGGCTCTGCTGGGTCTGTTCGACTTTACAGGTAGGTCTCAGGAAACGGTCTCTGGCGGGGCGCAATGTCGAACAGATGCTGAGAGACTCTGTGCTATTTGCTGACGATTGTCCTTTTTCTATCACCGCCCTGTAGCCGGCAGATCACGCCATGATTCGGCCTGGGTGAAGGTCGGGCTGGCAGTAAGAATCGCGCAGGACTGCGGGCTGATGCTGGAGAATGCCACGCACCTACCCTTTGCGGAGCAAGAAGAACGACGCCGCGTTTTCTGGTCCGTCTACCTCTTGGATCGCCTGGTGTCGTGTGGTCGCGGACGACCGCCAGCCATTGTGGATGCGTCGTGTCACTTACAGCTTCCGTCCGATGAGTCAGTATGGAGACGCGAATTGTGGTCCAAGACTCAATCGTTAGACGAGATGGCAAACCGCACGTTGTCCGTAACGCAGCGGCAGGGCGCCTTTGCCCAAGTCATAGCCATCGCACAGATCCTGGGCCGGACGGCCCAGTACATGCTGCAGGATTCCAACATTCGAAGTTTGCATCCCCCGTGGGATCCGGGTTCGGATTTCGCCGCCATGGAATCAGACCTGCTGCACTTTGAGGCATACCTGGAGATCCAGGTCCCTCTCAAAGACATACTGGCTCCGCACATCTCTGCTGATGGAGTCGTGGATTCGCAATGCACCGGGCCCATCCTCTTTTCCCGCGCGCTCTTCCACCTCTGTTACTGTTTGCTCCACCACCCGTTCCTGCTGCGCCGACGTATCGATACGTGCCGTAACCAGGCCCCGATAAGCTTCATGGAACGATCATACGATCTAGGCTGGCACCACGCGCAACAGATCATGGCACTCGTTCGCGATGCACGTGAGTGCGGCTGCTCGTTTCACTCGTCGTCGAGCGGCTACGCTGTCACCGTGGCGGGCTCGATTATAGCATTACGCACCTGCGATCCCGACCCGCACGTCTTCGAAAAAACACAGACTCTGCTCGACGAGGTTATCTTGTACCTAGACACCGTTGGCCAGCATTGGAACAACGTCATCACCATGGTCAGTCCCGAGACGCTGTTTTCGAGTCCAAGGGGCAGGGAAAGGACAGGGGGGTGGGTTCAGTCTTTGCCGCGATCCTACGCTAACATCTCTCCATAGGCCGCGACCATTCGCAGGATGGTTTATAACGGATTTCTTGGCAGCAGCCTCCGAGACTTGACGCAACCGGTGACATTCACTGATGCGGAGGAGGAAACACTTTGGGCCGTTGTGGACTACAACACCATGTCCAACCAGTGCGAGACAGTCATGGATGGGCAGATGGCTGACGGAAGTGTCCTGCCCAGTTCGTGGGTAGACCTGTTTACAGCGGCCGATTATTCATTATTCCCACCATGAATACGATGAACCAAGATTGATAAAGTGGCGATCTCTGACACACTGGGCCGCACAGTGGAAGGCCCGGTCTCCCTGGTCTCCTTTCTTTGCAATGTAGAACACGCACGCCTTTTCATGAGTGACGAGAGAGGTGTCTTGCAAGCAGCTGTACAATGCTGAATAGGAGAAGCCTTCCGGAGATTGTGACTGAATGATTTAGTGCAAGACCCAACGCTCGTGGTGAACTTTTTAACAACGAACACGACTTGAAGTAGTTCGATTTGGATCAACAGACAAGGAGTCTATAATAGCTTGTGGCACTACAACTTAGCGTTTCCCGCTGAAGAGCCGAGAGCGTCGAGGGCCTCGTAGACTACACTGAAGTCCCGGTCAGCAAACTCCTTGGAAGCCGCCAAGGGCCTGTAGGTCTCCTCCACGCATCTTCCGACGCTGAGGGGGACGCCGGTGTGCTCAGCGGCCTTGACCGCCAGGGCGAGGTCCTTGTGTGCCAGCTTGGTCACAAAGCCGCCTCTGTAGCCGCGGTGGGCCGGAGGACTCAACTCTCCGACCTTTACCTCGGGGACTGGGTGATTAATCTGCAAAGTTGTCAGCAAGTGAGTCGACGCAGCATGGGAGATAGCGTCATGCTAATCACCTCGCTAGACCAGCAGCGACCAGTGGAAGTGTTGATTATGTCGGCGAGCACCTGAGGGTCAACTCCGAGCCTCTTGCCAAGAAGCATAGCCTCACTGCACGGCGTTAGCTTCCCGGTACTCTCTTGGCCGGAGCCTGACTGAACTTACCTTAGCCCAAGCATAGTGATCCCAAGCAAAAGGCTGCGAATGGTCAGCATCCAAGATTCTTCCTCCTCCAGGTCCAAGGAAGGGGCTTTATGGAACGTACTTGTTGGCAATCTTGGCTGCCAGCCCGGCTCCGAGATCGCCGCAGTGAGTGACCTTGCGAGCCATGGACTGCAGGACAGGGACCGAGCGGTCGAACGAGGCCTTGTCGCCACCAACCATGATGGCTAGGGTGCCGTTTTCCGCGCCAACCACACCTGCGGCGTTCACACCGTCAGCCACAAGGTCGCGACGACGCGGTGCGTCTTGGTACATGGAAATGACATGGTCTTACCTCCCGACACCGGGGCATCCAGCAGGTCGGCACCGGCGCTCCGGAGCTCCAGCGCAACCTCCTTGCTGACGCTCTGCTCGATGGTGGACTCGTCCATGCAAAGGGTCGCCGAGCGTTCGGTATCGCTGAGCGTCCTGAGGGCACTCAGGACGCTCTTGTCTCCTCCGACGTACACGTCGCGCCAGTGCTTGCCCGTGGGAACCATGCTGATGATTATCGAGGCGTGCTTGGCCACGTCGTGTGGCGCTGTGGCCACGTTTAGCCAAATTGTCCTCATTTTGAGCCAGGAGCAGCCATGAGTCATCATCACATACAGGAGCACTTCACGAGCGGGACCTCGGGGGTCTCTATGCTGTGGTGCTTGATGACGCTATCCACAGCGGCCTCGTTGACGTCGAAGAGGGCGTATGCTGTCTGGCCGCCATCTCGGGGGGGCGTATATCGGGTGACGAGGTTGTGCAGCTGCGAGAACGTGGCTCAGAAACGGTGCTCTGTCGGCGTGGGGGGAAGGGGGGATTGGGGGGGGAGGGGGGGTATGCGACGGCTTTACCATGTGGTTTCCCATAGCACCCAGGCCGATGAAGCCAATCGTGTTGGCCCTATCTGTCTGGCTCGCCATTGAAGACGTTTGCGAGAAGCTTCTTCGGATGGCTGGAGGCGAGCTGGAGGCTTGAGACCAAGTCACTGCTAGTGAGCTGCAGTACCGAGAGCCGTGGGAGCACTGCGCACGGTGGATGAAGTTGACGGCGTGCATTTTTAGACAACGGGCTGGCCGAAAAACACGGACGATGGTGTGCATGAATGGGAAGACTATTGCTGGTTTGTTACGATGCAGCATATGATATACGGTCCGCAGTGCACATCCGACAACCTGAAGCCGTCCGGCCGGTGCGGGGATGCTGCGGCGGGTCGGAGCTTTCTCCACGCCGGGCTGCGCTTGTGGGCCGCCAGTGGGCCCGGTCCGGTGCGGAGAACCGGGGCCGGCAGCGCCGGGGCGCCAATGGCGACCGGGGCAGTGCGGAGAAAATATGCCACCCCAACTCAGAGAGCCTGCGACAGCTCAATGTAGCTCGCAATTAGACGGGGGCCGGAAAACCGGACAAGCATGCGCTGCCCGTCCATCGCTCCGTCCATCACTCCATCGTATCCCCTCGCGGTCCGGTGTTTGGATCCTCGTTCGAAGTGAGATACAGATATTATGTACACACATACACACACACAAACACACATATATATTATTTTCGTTTGACCACGCTGGACCATCCCCAACCTCCGCCACTAGGCCACTCGCGGCATCCTCGTTGGCAGATACCAGCCATGCTTGCCACTATCGGAAGACTACGAGTCTGTACCTCCCGTGCCGAGTGCCGCCCCGTCTTGCGAGCATTGTTTTCGTCCTCTCCCAACATGTCCTACCAGGCCTCACAGGGGCTGGGCTCGCTGGCCTCGCAGCTGGGTGCAGCCAAATCCACCGGGATTGACTCGACGGCCGGATATCGCACGACGCACAAGCATGTCGCGAACCCTCCAGACACTCCAAACTTCCTCAACAACACCTTTGTGCGCTCTGCTGCGTCGCAATGGATCGATCTTAAGGATCCAGCGACAAACCAACAGGTCACCCGCGTACCAGAAAGCACCGACGAGGAATTGCAGCAGGCTGTCGACTCTGCTGAACAGGCCTTCCCCGCTTGGAAGGCAACGATCCTCTTGCATAAACAATAGATCATGGTCAGGCTGGCTTGCGTCGGTCGGAGAGAATATGGACCGCCTGGCGGCCTCGATAGTCCTGGAGCAGGGCAAGACGTTTGCCAATGCCAAGGGCGATGTCTTGCGCGGCCTCCAGGTTGTCGAGATTGCTTGTGGTATCACCACCCAGATTCCAGGGGAGGTCGCTGCTATCTGCCCTTTCAACTTCCCGGCCATGATTCCCCTCTGGTCCCTTCCCATTGCCACCATCACTGGAAACACAATGGTGCTCAAGCCGTCCGAGAAGACGCCCGGCGCCTCCATGATCATTGCCGAACTCTGCAGGAAAGCTGGCTTCCCTGACGGCGTCATTAACATCATTCATGGTGGCAAGCGCGCCGTCAACTTCATCATCGACAGTCCCACCATCAAGGCCATCTCCTTTGTCGGCTCCAACCAGGCGGACGAGTATATCTAGGAGATGGCTTCGGCCAAGGGCAAGAGGGTGCAGGCCAACCTCGGTGCCAAGAACCACGCAGTAATCCTACCTGACGCCGACAAGAACCTCGCACTCAATAGCATCGCCGGCGCAGCCTTTGGTGCTGCTGGACAACGCTGCATGGCTCTAAGTGCACTAGTGACTGTTTGCGGGACGGAGGAGTGGCTCGACGGTCTCGTGGATCGTGCCAAGAACCTCCAGATGAACGGCGGTTTCGAGCCGGGAGCAGACCTGGGGCCACTGGTGTCTCCAGAAAGCCAGAAGAGAGTAGAGGATCTCATTGCTAGTGCGGAGCAAGAGGGCGCGACAATCCTCCTTGACGGGAGGGGTCAGAGACCGTCCAAGTACCCCAATGGAAATTTCGTAAGTCGAGCCTTGTTTCTCCCGAAATTGCAGTGCCTCGTCTTGAGACATGTTGTACTGACACATGTGCTCTGCCAGGTTGGCCCGACAATCATCGCAAATGTCAAGCCGCACATGAAGTGTTACACCGAAGAGATTTTCGGCCCGATCCTCGTCTGTCTCGGCGCTGAAAACCTGGACGAAGCCATCAAGCTCATCAACGACAACCCATACGGCAATGGGGCGGCGGTTTTCACGCGGTCCGGGGGCGCAGCTGCAAAGTTCCAGAAGGGCCTCGAGGCCGGACAGCTTGGCATCAACGTGCCTATTCCCGTGCCCCTCCCCATGTTCTCGTTTGCTGATAACAAAAAGTCGATTGCAGGAACCAGCTCCCTCAACTTTTATGGAAAGGATGGTCTGAGATTCTACACACAGTAGAAGACTGTGACTTCTCTATGGAAGTCAGAGGATATTGACACGACACAGAGTCTGGTAAATATGCCCAAGGTAGAATAGATATACGACACGCGGCGTGCGAAGATCCGCGGAAGATTATTGACCATACAAGTCACTGTGGGTCGAGCACCTGGGCCCGGGGTCGTCGCTTGCTATTCTGCAAAGTAGGTATCTTGGCATTAGACAGAGTCCTCCGCACGCGCGGCCCTAATCCATAGCCTACCCATCCGGGCGGCCTCGTGGTAATTCTGCACGATCCGGACCTTCGGGGTCGTGCTAAAGACGTTCCACCGCCTGTCAAATAGGTTTTGCCGGGGCCTCCCGTTGACGGGTACGAAATCTTACTCCAAAATGCAACGTCTAGGCATCGATCCATGTCTAGCCAGGGGTCCATGCCGTACGATTACAGGGATGTGAATATTACAAGGAGCAAGAGCCAGCTAGGCAAGCGGGGGCGTGGCACAAAGTGCGCCTGCTTCTACGACGCCATCTCAGCGGTGGGCAGGTCACTTCGCGTTTACGTCGACACGATCAGAGGCCCATGTACTTATGCGACCGTTGGCATATTCTCAGCGAGCCGGAGGGGCACAGGGCGATCTTCCGTGGTGGAGCAAGGACATCCTGGCTGATGCATTGCTCACCTTCCAATTCGAGATGGAGTCGCACCTTGTAAACCCTGCCGATCAATGATCCATGGAAAGCTCGATACGAGGATTCCTGGTACAGGTTCTCTCGTGCACTTCCAAGCACAGGATAACACTTGGGTATAAAGTTGAGGGCGCCACGCGCAGAGGAACAGCCGGGGCATGTATTGCAGGCCTCATCGTTCTAGATCCGGCTTCTCTGCTTCTCATAATCGGAGCCTGCGCCAGGATGCTCCCTAGGATCGCCATCATCGCGGCGCTGCTTCCCTTGCTCTACGGCAGGGATGCGGTAGCGCAACAACAACCAGAACAAGAGCCCGGGGATAATGCGATGCGGTTTCCAAACCGGTACATCGTGGAATACAAGCCAGTAAGCTACGCATCACCTCAATTGGAGCGCTCTCTGGTTGCCATTCGCCGATTCCGATTCAGGATGAGTACTCACACGAATAACAGGGCTTCTTGCACGCCCGCAGCACGTCCCTCCTGTCGTCCCGCGAGGGAGTCAAGTTGCGCCGCGTCTTCGACAGCCCCGTCTTCTCGGGTGCCAGCGTTGACGTCGATGCTCTAGATGCTACCACCCTTGCAGCGTTGCCCGAGGTGGGCCGAGTGTGGGCCAACGTCGAGGTTCGGCTGCCCAAGACGCAGACGCAGCAGACGATACTTTCGAGCGACGACGCAGCGGCTGCAAAGTACTCGACGTTTATCACGACGGGCGTCGACAAGGTGCACGCGGCTGGGTTCTTCGGACAGGGTGTCAAGGTTGGAGTCGTGGACACCGGCGTCCAGTACACCCACCCTGCGGTGAGTGGTTGAGCCCGAGATCGACTGTGTGACCGCTTGCGCAAGACTGACTGTCGCAATGCAGCTTGGAGGCGGCATCGGACCCGGCTTCAAGGTAGCAGGTGGCTGGGACTTTGTGGGTAACGGCAGTAAGTCTCTGCCAAAATACCTTGACCAATTGTCCAGCCAAACAGGCGAGCAGACGAAGAACGGACCGGCTCACCAACGTGCTGATAGTGTGGCCGTACGAGGGTGACAAGCTGCCAGATGCCGATCCGATGGACCAGCAAGGGCACGGAACCCATGTAGCTGGCATTGTCGCCGGCCAGAGTGACAAGTTCGAGCCGCCCCCTGCCCTGCATGCTTCAAGACTAGAAGCATCGTGAGTACTGGCTAACGTGGATTGGTCCTCCGTCCAGCTGGTCGGGAGTGGCCCCAAACGCGACCCTGTACGCTTACAAGGTGATGGGCAAGCTGGTTAGTGGGAGACTACCCTATTTCCTGCTTTCAGCCGCATCACTGGCACTTGCTAATATCTGGTCTAATGCGTGACGTTCTCAGGACCTGTCCGATACGGAAACCCTAGTTGAGGCGTTCCTGCGAGCGTACGACGACGGTGTAAGTTTCGTTCTTGTTGTCGCATCGGCCACACGCTGACGAGACTGCCAGATGGACATCATCACCTCGAGCATCAGCCCGCCCTCGGGCTCCGGCGCCGGTTTCGAGACCAACTTGTGGGCCGAAGTGGCATCACGTATCGTGGCCAAGGGCGTGCTGGTCACCATAGCCGCAGGAAACAGGGGCGACGATGGGCTCTTGCTAACGGGCAGTGGCGCGTCGGGCACCGACGTGCTCGCCGTAGCCTCGATCAACGTCGACAACAGCGCGGCCACGCCCGTCGACCTCCGCTTCACCGTCAACGGCGTTACCAACACCACGACGGCCGGCTACATCCCCGCCACTGTGCCCCTGCCCTCCACCATCAAGGACTGGCCTGTCGCGGTGCTCAACTTCAACACTAGCGACCCGGCCGACGGCTGCTCTGCCTACCCGCCCGGCACGCCCAGCCTGGTCGGCAAAGTCCCGCTGGTCCGTCGCGGCACGTGCACTTTTGACACGAAAGTAGAACACCTCGAGGCCCTCGGCGCCAAGTACGTGCTCGTGTACAACAACGACAGCCCCTTGCTGTCACCGCTCCTGGAGAGCGCGACCAGCATGATGGGCCTCATCTCGTCCGCTGCCGGGAAGGCCATCATTGACGCTGTGCGCCAGAACGGGACCGTGCTGGCCGACTTCTCGCCCGATTCGAGCGCCGTCGTGGGCGTGCCCAACCCTCTCGGCGGCATGCCCAGCACTTTCACGTCCTGGGGTCCGCTGTACGACCTACGCATGAAGCCCGACATCGCCGCGCCCGGCGGCCTGGTCTTCAGCACGTACCTGACCGACATCTACACTGTGCTCAGCGGCACGTCGCAGGCCACGCCGTTTGTCGCCGGCGTGGCGGCCCTGTACATTGCCGCCAGGGGCCACGCCGGCGTGCGGACGCCCGGCTTCGCCCGCGACCTGGGCCGCCGCATCGTCTCGAGCGGCAAGGCCGTGCCGTGGTCCGACGGCACTATCACCGCCTTTGACTTCGCTGCCCCCGTGCCGCAGGTTGGGAATGGGCTGGTCGACGCCGCCAAGGTGGTGCTGTACGACACCTCCCTCGACTATGATCCGCTCAATCTCAACGACACGGCGCGTTTCCAGGCCGCCCACGAGGTCGTCGTTACCAACGCCGGGTCAAAGCCCGTGGCGTACACAATGACTGTGCAGCCCGCGGGTGGCTTCGAGGGCCTGCTCGGTTGGGATGAAAGCACACGCTCACCGCGCGTCAAGAAGTACGACGAGCTCGAACCACTATCCATGGAGGTGGACACAGAGCTGCCGTCTTCCTTCGTCGTGGCAGCCGGCGAGAGCAAGACAGTCTCGTAAGTCACAATACCGGCTCTTCCAACAAGCACCCTCAGGTCGTCCCAATCAGCTGTGTTTTTCCTCGCAGTCGGGGCTACCCACGGCATAAAGACGGTTCGCTAAGTGCCCAAATGTGCCACAGTGTCAAATTTCTGAACCCGACCGAAAAGGGCTGGAACGGGACTGCTTTGCCCTTTTACAGTGGCCAGGTTGTTATGTCGGGAGACAATGGAGAGCAACTGTCGATGCCATACTTTGGTGAGGGGACATTCATGGCATGGAACCACGACTCAACTTTGATACTGACACATGTGCGCAGGTCTCGCGGCCGACCTCCAAAAGGAAATGTCGCCCATCTTCAGGCCGGCTTTTCCTTACTCCAAGTCGGGCCTCTCATTCACCGACATCAAGACTAAGCCCTATTACTCGTTCAACCTATCCCGCCAGTCGCAGGACTTTCCCAAGATCTATACACAGATCAAATGGGGCACGAAGCAGATCCGCTGGGACGTAAGTCTCTCCCTCACTCCTGCGTTGCTTCCGTATAATGTGAATAACCGCTCATCGCGCTCACCCGTAGATCTTCGAGCCTGGATGGGTTGAAGACAAATGGACTTATCCACCGACAACATCAAGCGGCTACATCGGCCCAGCGACTGGCTTCACCCGGGCCACAGGCGGCTTCAATCCAGCCACCCAGAACGCCAGCGACACCTTTACCTTCCCTGCCCTCGACGTCGAGCACGGTGGGGGTGAGTACTGGTGGTTTGGCAAGCTGGGGAATGGCTCCCAGATTGCGCCGGGCAACTACACGTGAGTCGTCCCGCCACACTGCTCATGTTCTTCCGCCGTCCTCTTGGGACAATTCCGTGGCATAATCTAATGGTGGGAGTAGAATGCGCTTCGCGGCCCTTGTTCCCTTTGGCCCCCCCGAGGATTCGAGTTCATGGGACATTTTCTCCACGCCGCAGATCCGCGTGCTCCCGTGCCCAGGATGTCCGCAACTAGCTTGAACGGAGATACGCTTGGTCGGAATTCAACCATGAGGCCCATTCGACATTCTTGCACGCTGTTAAGTATGCCTGAAACTCGTGTCCCTGTTCCACGTTGCGATCGAGCCTTGGTTACGGCCATCGTTGCCGCGGCCAAATTCTCAAGATGCGCGCAGATGTCGAACGCGGCCTATGTGTCTTCACTGGCTATCTTGTTCGATTCGCTGAACTTGTTGAATGGATGGAGAACTGTATGAGGGTAGATGGTTGAGGCTGCGAGAGCGAGAAGTGAGATTTATACATAGACCGTACTCTTATTCAAATTCCCATGGGATTATATAAAGTTGGTTGCTCAACTTTGCGACTCTGCATGCCTGTTTAGACCATTCATTATCGGACTCGATCTTTGGTAATGAGTAGAGAAATTCAGCGCTCTCCGTGCTCCGCTAGTATGACACTCTCGTCACTATTACGGGCCGTATCCCTCTCGTAGATAGAGTACCACTTGCTCGAGGTCGAGTTGTGTTTCTTGCTCCTTTCGTTGTCAGCAGCATTGTTACACGAAGCGTGTTCATCTCCTGAGTCCCCTTTATGGCTGATTGCCTCCATCTCATATGTGTTGCTGCCGGAAAACTCTGGCGTGGCCACAATGGTGTGCGTCCTGGAAGGCCTACTGCGTTTGCTTCCAGCAGCAGCGCTTGACCCGCCACTCCGGTCCCTGCCATCCTCTGTTCTCTTGTGCGAGCTTCCCGTCTTGTTGTGGATTAGTCTGCGCAAGGCTGGGATGCATGCGGCGATGATTGTTGTCGCGAGCTCAATCTCTCCCCACATGACCGCGAGCACACCGTCGTACGAGGGGTCCTTTGTCGCGAGTCCGGGGACTTCCGAAGCACGCATAAAGGCCATGACTCCGCCCCTGAATGACGTGAGATGCCAAGATGTCAGCCCGTGTGTGCCCATCATGGAGGGCTCAAAGAGAAATGTTGACAAAAGAGAACATACAAACATCCAAGGCTCATGGCTATACCCACACCAAACTTTTCGACTGGCCGCATCTGTAGACTCCATATGATCTTCCATGGCATCATCGCGAGCAGAAAGTCCATGATTCCAGAGTACACTACGCCGAAGCGGCAGACGTCAGTAATGATTAAACCAGGCGACGAAGGAAGTCACGACCACGACAAGACGGCATGAAACTGACCTCCTTGGAAGATGCCAAGATTGACAGTGGGCGCTTTGTTGATACAGGTTCCGGGAAGGAAGTCGATTACCACCTTGGCCAATGGCTTGCACTGGATCCAGGGCAACGTCGCCACTGGCGCTGCAAACACAACCAGAGTGACGATGATTGCCCAGATGACCCAGTTAATCCACTTCCATAGACTGTTTGCAAGGTTGAGGAGCGTGAGCGCGAAGGAGATCTTCGCGACGGTGGTGCCAACAGTTAGGATTGTGATGTTGCTCAGGCCGTACGTGGCAGCTAGATTCAGGTTTGAAAAGGGCACTGTTCGGAAAGCGTTAGCATACTCAAGGATCTTGCAAACACCGAGATTGTACGGCAATACTCACCATCCAGGCCATGCTTGCCAAAGCCCTTGGATATTTGAAATTCTAATGTGACTGAGAAAGCAATTTGGCAAACCTATAAAAGATGTTGCAAATCAGCATCATTGTTATCGATTGGACTACTGCAGTGCAGTCTCCCGGCGCTGATGTATAGGGGAAGGGGGGCGGGTGGGATACTCACGTGGGCGAAAGTTAGGCAGAGGTCATCCGCTTGCAACTTGCTATACTTCCATCGTAGCCATAGCCGAAGACCAAGGGCAACGGTACTGACACTCAAGAGCGCGAAGGTAACGCCCTCAATCAGAGGAGCCCGTGTCTCTTCTGGCTTGCTGATCCAGTCGAGAGCGCCTGCCATGTTTGACGTCGTTGAAATGCAGCAGCATTTTCGGAACAATGAGAAGTGCTGGGGGGACTTCGAAGACAAACAGTGGGGAATGAAGCCTTTAAACACAATCCCAGCGAAGCACAATAAAGGCCAGCCAGGCATGCGATCGCGGGTCGGGAAGAAAGGGTTGCTCCGCACAAAAGACTAGGAGCATTTTGGAACTGGGGCATTGCAGATCGCCCGCTTGTCAGTAATGGTGATATCGGATCTACTAAGGGGGGAGGACCCAGTGTGTGTGAGCAGCGGTCCGCTAGCCAGCATGTTTGCCAGTGTGGGGAGACCTGTCGCTCACATTTAGCCCGCAAGTAGGTAGCGGATCTACGCAGTTAGGTATTCCTCACAGCTACCGAGTGAGGTGATCACCCTCTGAGCGATGGCGCACTGCTTGGCAGAAGCCTGTGTCTTGAGGGTTCGCATATGCTGGCGCCGACTTCTCTCACTCTGCCAGGATCCCTGGAGACCTATATTTAAGGTGCCTTGCTCTGACCTGTACCTAGATCAATCCCTAGAGATGGACTTCTCAGCATGCAGAAACAGTAGTGCGCCACAGAGCCTAGATAATGGTGTGTGCCGCCAGTTGGGCTCGCGTGGTCACACGATTTAGTTACCTGACGCTAGGGGGATTGGCACCCTAGTGTCCGCGCTTTGACGCTCCGTGGTCGGTCTTTTTCAAAGTTCGAGTCGTGCTAGTGGGACAAGACGCTCCATCAATGGCCGTTTCACAGGAACAATTGGTTGCGCCCAAGCATGCGACTAAACTCTTCGCGGAGATGTGTTTTTTTGTAGACTGCAAGCATGCCCCTCCCGCCTCGGGAAGACGCTGTCGAGCCGAGATCTAGGGTTCTGTGATGGTGTAGTGTTTGAGAGATGGCGAACCATACATGCGTCTCGTTACACCACATCTCGTTGATGTGTGACATGTTTGCACTGCTTGTTGGTTGGATCGCTCCAGAAACCCTGCGCACAACCTTTGCCGCCAAGCTTCAACCACGTGCGTGGGTGACGAGATAGGCATAGGATACAGAGCGAACTGGAAGAATGCCAAGTTATGGCCGCCACGTTCATGCAAAGCCACGGTTATTGGCATACCTGGCGTAGGCTTGTCAAAGGGGCCTTTCTGGTGTTATTCATCCCCTTCTACGACTGGCCCATTGTGTAGCTGGAGGGCCTCGCGAGTACGGTGGCCCTGACGTAACAGCACCTTCTTGGTATGATGGCGAAGCGTGGTGTTAGTTTTTGAACCCCTGAAAGAGATCTTGGAGCTTGTGTTCGTAGCGTATCGGGGTAGTAGAGCGCTTTGACATCTGCCCCATGTGCCAGGACCCTATTCGTGACTTGATCAGACGGCGCCGTGCTAGTGGAGATCTAAGCGCGTGCGACAGATCCGGAGCAATGGCTAGCCGGCTTCGCCGTCTCACCGCAACTGGGGGCGAAAATGTAATGAACCCGACGCAGGCCCACGTGGGCCACATCTTTAGCTTCGAGATCTGTCTGCTGCCGGGCATGACTCGATAGTAACTGTACTGGAAAAGTACCGTCGCGGCTACACAGACCGATTCTATTTGAATTACAAAGCAGCGCACGCATCCAACCTTTTCTTTATCTGCGCGGACAACATGACCTTTGTCACTGATTATTGTTTGCATATCATTGCCGTAAGCCACCAATGTCAAGTCCCAGAATATGATATAGCACTTTGTTGTACTGAGGTTCAATCCGCGAGTAATGTTGAGCTGACACTCGCGTTGTAGATGAAAACACCAAGCATACGGGTTGATCGACATTTCTATATACTTTCAACCGCTTCATCAGTGGGTTTATTCAACTGGTAGCTCCCAACTGGTCTTCCAAGGTGTCGTAGGCATTAGACAGGATGTCGACCATGCTTTGCAACTGATCCGGGGTGATTGTTAGTGGTGGCGTAAGTAGGATATGATCACCAACGATCCCGTCAACGGTACCCTGCCCAGGATAGATGTCAAGGCCGAGATCAAAGCATTCTTGCTGCAACCTGCCGCTGAATCCAACAGAAAGATCCAGAGGTTTCTTGGTGGCCTTGTCTTCCACGAATTCCACGGCCCAGAATAGGCCACGTCCTCTCACATCTCCTACGTACTTTTTCTCGCCCAGGCGATCCCGCAGGAGCGCCCCTAGAATCATGCCTTTCTCGGCGCATGCCTCCACCAAGCCCAAGCTTTTGACAACTTGCTGTGTAGCCAGAGCCGCAGCACAGCTGACGGGGTGTGCCTGATAGGTATGACCATGGTTGTAGGCTGCGCTGCCTTGCCTCAGCGCGTGCACTACTTTGTCGTGGATGTATATCCCGGCGATTGGTGCATACCCTCCACCCAGGCCCTTTCCAACCGTGACGATATCCGGTACCACGTCTCCCTCGTGCTCAAACGCGAAGTATGATCCTGTCCGGCCTGAGCCACACATGACTTCATCCAGGATCAACAGGATCCCATACTCGTCGCAGAGCTTCCTGACCCGTTCGAAGTAGCCTTTCGGGGCAGTGACGCAACCGCCTGTAGCACCTCCTACGGTCTCTGCAATGAACGCGATGACTGAGCGGGGACCGATCCGCCGGAACTCTTCGTCCAGTTCTTTGATGAGTCGCTCCACAAACTGCTCTTCCGTTTCTGTGGCGAGTTGGCCCCGGTATGAGTTTGCTGGGTCAACGAAACTCACTCCTCCCAGCAGCAAGGAATCCTCATAGGGCACTCGGCGGGCTCGATTGGAGCTGACACTCATGGCACCTACGGTGTTTCCATGGTAGGCCTGCCGCCTGGCTACCCATTTTGTCCTGTGCGTCTCACCTCTCTCATAGTGAAACTGTCGAGCGAGCTTCATCGCCGAGTCCATGGCCTCACTGCCGGACCCAACAAAGTAAGCCTTGCTCAACCCGAACGGACGTGTGCCGAGAATGAGGTCCGCCAGGTCTTCAGCACTGTCCGTCGTATACTTTGCGGTGTGGACGTATGAGACCTTGGCGACCTGCTCGACAATTGCAGCCTGCACCGCTGGATGGCCATGTCCCAGAATGGCCACAGCTGCTCCAGCGCACCCATCGAGAACTCTCCGTCCGTTCCAAAGGTTGAGATATATTCCGGATCCCGACTGGACACTGACTGGACGGCTTCGTAGTGAACGGTGCATGAGAGATGGCTCCGGCGGGCCCGTGGTTTCTACCGCAAGCCCTACGGCTGCTGCGGCCTTCGTGGTTATTGTACTTGTCGTAGTTGATGACATGGTGGATTGATGCGATGTTGATCTTCGAGGACGCTAATCAGATTGATGTCAGGATGATTACCCGATGGCGGCAGAAAGGCCTGGGGTCAGCGGTTATTCTTGAAGAGAATCCGTGACCTATCACTGGCTCCCGACATTTTATACGCTTTTCTCATCATACCAGAGCACTGCTGCCTCGGGAACATATTAGCGACTCGGTGGGGGATGCCGTAGGCACGATCGGGAAAGACAATGCCGAAGTAGATCGGGAATAGGCGGGAGTGGGTTGGTGGGGCCTAGGACCCGGGCAAGCGAACAGTGGTGCGGTTCCGTTATCACACACCTCACTGATGGCCATCTCGGTTTGGGTAAGCCGGAGAGCGAAGGTTCGTCCGTAGTTCATCATCGCGCCTTTAAGAACCCCGTACGCCGCAATAATTCAAGCTAGCTATCTACGTGCACACCCTATTGATCATATAAAGCCGCATCATCAACTTCGTCTTCGTACCAATTACAATCATCCGCTGGACCTCCAAACGATCAGAGTACTCTCTTTCGGCCCTCAAGGATACCTGACTATGTCCACAATGCTGCCACCGCGAAGCCTCGAGATACCCTCTACCGCCACGACAAAGCTCAAAGTTCCAGGCTTGGGTGTTATCTCAGGGCTATCTTACAATGACGGCGAGTGCATCCAATACCTAGGCATTCCGTACGCCAGGATTCCAGGCCGGTTTCGACGGTCAGTGCCTTCGAAGAAGCCGTGGCCCAGTAATGCGTGGGATGGCACAAAGCTTGGGTAAGTGGCTGAGAGTCCCCTGGCAAACTCTCATCGCAGTCGCCGTTGGAAACGGACAGCGTCATCGTCGCTAGACGAGCCGCCATGCAAAAGAATTCCCATAGTAACCAAGACGCGCAGGCCGTACTGCCCACAGCCACCACGAGACTTCTATCCCGTGCCAGATCCTCCGGAGCGTACCTGGTTGAACACCCCGCAGTTTGGCGAGCTGGACTGCCTGAACCTGAACATCTCCGTGCCTAGACACGATACGTCAAAGGGGCCGCTCCCTGTGATGGTCTTCTTCCACGGCGGCGCGTTCACTTATTCTACTGGGGCGTCCCCCATCTATGACGGCCGCCTCATGGCCACCTCTTCAGCATTGGACAACGACATTCCGACTATCATCATTACTCTAAACTATCGGATCGGAGTCTACGGGTTTTTGGGTGGCACGGACCTCCAGAAGTATGCGGCTGCCCAAAGCGACAGCGGCTGCGGAAACTACGGTCTCTGGGACCAGGTGATTGCCTTGCGCTGGGTCCAGGAGCACATCCGTGCCTTTGGAGGCGACCCCGGGCGCGTGTGCATCTTCGGTCAGAGTGCGGGCGCCCTCAGCGTCGCCTGTCACCTCGCCCGTGGCGAGCCTCTCTTTGAGAGCGCGTCCATCATGTCCGGAAGGTTGGGCCTCTGCGGTGTGCTAACTCCGGAGGAGTACCAGATCGTCTTCGAGAAGATGCTCGTGGAGTGCGGAGTCTCCCTTGATAAGGATCCAATAGAGCGTGTCGAGGCTCTTGCAGCAGTTCCAGAAGCACAGCTTACCAAGGCCATGGTCCCAGTGTTTGGCATTCCAGTCATCACGATGGCTCTTTGCGATGATGGCGTACTGCTGCCCTCGGAGTTTCTGAGGGCCAATTACAAGTCGTTCCACGTTCCAAAATTTGTCAAGAGAGTCATGATTGGTGATGCGGTCAACGAGTGCATCATCTGGAACAAGTCCTGGAACCACCTGTCGGCCAGTCAGGTCCTTGCGTCCATGGAAGCCATCATGGGCGATGGAGCCAAAGTCGTCGCTGAGATGTACGGCATCAAGAAAGATGCGCCGCACGAGGCTTTATTCTCAAACATGGAGCGCATGACGACAGATGGGCTCTACAGAATATCCAACTACTTCACCGAGCTCGCCATTAAGGATTGCTACGCGTACCATTTCAACGTTCCCTCTCCATATGACAACGCTTGGAAAGGCCTTGCCCATCACAGCTTCGATAACGTCTTGATATTCGAGGTGCTGGAGCACACCTTGCCGGACGAACAGCAGGAGATCAGCAAGCAGATGAGATCGGCGTGGATCAAGTTTGCTAACGGAATCGATCCGTGGGAGCGTTTCGATGCCCAAGGCCGGATGTGCGTCTTCGGACCGCAGAATGTGCGAATGCAAAGCAAGGAAGAGTATGACGCCAAGGCGTACGGGAACTGGGAGCGTTTGGATAGAGAAGGCCTGATCATGCCACTGACGGAACTATCGGACGAGCTGTGCCTGCAGAGACGTGCGCTTCTAGCTACTAAGTCTTGAAAGTTCAATATCTGAATGATCTCGAAGTACCCAGTCACACAGCAAAGGTGAATTCAAAACATCGACGTGGCTTTGAGAATTTCCCCGAGGTCTAGTGGAAAGAAACATGGCGCGGTCACAGAAAATAAACTCCCCATAAGTCAAAGACCAGCGCATTGCTCAACTATCCAGCCACCGAAGTATTTGTGAAATCCAACACCGGTGTAATGTTCGCAACCTAAGACCAATGCTTTCTAATCCGTTGGTTGTCATTACCTGAACCCAGCTGAATTGTCCCATCTTATGAGGTGGGGATCATCCCAGACCATCCAAAGATATGACTGGTCTTCTTCCAGTGCTGCTGCACTCGCTGCTTCAAGGATGGAGTTATCCAACCCAGGCACCTCTGTCTCAGCAGTTGGCCACCTCAGCTCACTGGGCTGCGCCGTGTGTAGGGATGGGAGCCCACTACTTCCTCCCCGCTCGTCTGATTTTCGCGAGGCTTCGCCACTGGCGCGACCCGTCGAACGCACTTCTTCTCGGGTACTGCTTGGTGACAGTCCAATCAATGGGGCTAGGTTGATTGAACTCTCGAGCTGGACATAATCATCTCGCGATTTGTGCGCGAACGAATCCCGGTCAGCATAAAATCGCCCAAAGAGGTTATGAGCAATATCTATGACATGGATCCATTCATGGCCTATTGACCATTGCCTGCAGATCTCATTGAGGTGGAGGAGATTCTCCGACACCAGCTGTCTCCGCATGGCCTCCTCGCTAGGGCGGTTGAGGGACGGAAAACTGGCCGCGTACAGATTCATCAGGGCCGAGGTGAATGTACAAAGACCAGAGAACGGCGTGTGAAGCGGAACCGAGGCCTTGTGCATGTCCTGGACAAGGAGGGTGATGCGGGCTGCAGAGTCGAAGAGCTCATGAGCGTTGCGGATCCACCAACCCTCCGGGGCGCTTTCTGGGAAGAAAGGGGGATCAATGGGCCCACAGGGCTCTGCTCCCGGGCGTGGTAGGAACGGAATGAACTCGCGACAAAGAAATATCGTCCTTTGACTGGGTTAACACAAGCGTTTGTCATAGGAACACTGCACTCCCTGGCGCCGTTGACTTACGTCAGATAGTAGATCAGGTTGATATACCCAAAGAGCTCGCCGTTACGCCCAAGAAAGACGTGGGTGGTGACTTCAGTCTCTGGATACTTGAGTTGGTCATCCTGCTCGTCCCTCCATTGATTCAGCTCAGCCTTGAGCTTTGCCCAGTGAGAGGTCGATTGCCAAGGGCAGTTCTGGGCGTCTGTCATGCCGGGCTGTTTCCTCCCTCCTTTGACTACCCAAGAGTGGACTCTGGACCAGATGTCAAGGCCACGTATCACGATTTCCAGCCCGTGTTCCAGTTTCCCATGAGACTGGCGCAGTGTGGCGTCATTGCACATGTCTGTGTAGGTGACTGGTATACACTGCTTGTCAAACGCGAATGCTTCGTCGCTCGCCGGAAGTCGTAGCTCCATTTCCCTGATATCCATCATTGGCGGCCGCTGCTTGCCGGAACTCAGTAGCTTATCCAAGATGAAGCATCCCCACTTTGTCCTGACCTCTACCTCCGACATGTGCGAGCTTCCGGCTGGGGTTGTATCCTGGTTGCCGACGCTACTCGGTAGGGGCTGGTACACTTGGGACATCCTGGACGCAATCCCGCTATAGATCCATGCTTGGTAGCCAGAACCCACTCCCCAGGCGTGAAGTGCCATGATGAGGAAAGTCTGAATGAGGAGGAGACTTGGTAGTGCTAGTATGCGGTGCTGAAGTTCGGCGGCAACGACTAAGGAGTAGTCATCCTGCCGGCCGAGGTACCTACTCCCAACTGTGATGATGGCCAGGATGCGAAGCTGCGCCTCCTCCGAGATGCTGTCCTTGCTCCATCTCAAGTCTTGTGGATGTAGAAACCCAAACTCGGGAAACTGTAGCCTCAGTGCGGAAAAGCATTGGGCAAAGACACCTGGCTCGAGTCCGTCGACAAGACGGGCAATGACATGACCTGCATCATGGGCAGCCTGAGTGGCCGTCATTGCATCACCTGGACCCCTCAAGTCCCTCTTGCTTGTGCGGGGGGGTTGCTGGATCCGTGGCGCATTCTGTACAGCGACAGACAGCGGCCTGGACCTCCTGGCAGACGCTGTATGTGTCAGTGCGCAGGAGTCCGCCTCGTCGCTACGGACGCAGCCGCGGCACGGTGGCGTTCCGTCGTGGACGCATTTCGTCTTCATTCGCCTGGAAAGGCTCGCGCAAGGTCAACCCGAGGCAACGAGCTTGGGGACTGCTTGTCCTGCAGATGGTAGACATCGCACTTACCGGCATCTGAAGTCGGGTTAGCATTGCTCGAGATCCGGTGGTAGATACCATTGAAACTCACCTATCGCATGCAATTGCCGTTCTCATTGCGGAAACGAGGGTGCGAAACCCGATCGGAGGATACAGTTCAATCAGCTCCAATTGCGATCAATCCCGGCATATATGTCGCATTTGATTCCCTATCTTATCGGGGCCTCTCTGTGGCCTGACTCATGGGTCAAGCCTTATTCAGGCCGCCCCAAAGCAAGGTCTAACCATTCCGTTGTGGGGCAGAGCTGATCGGGACTGACTCTCCGACCCGCAAATGATCGGGAAAGACTATCTTCACAGGCCCTTGTGGCGTCCCTCCAAGAGCAGTGGGGGATCGGAAGACTAACGCAGCACCGGGCATGCTATCACAGGAGATTATTGGCCGGGAGCCCGCTGGACGCGCTGTATGGCTCGCTGGCGCCCTTGTAGCGATCTGGCGCAGTGCTCGCGATACTGGTCACAATGGCACTCTGGTCTATAAAGACGGGACCCGTTTCTCTGCGACGCTCGAGACAGCTTAAGAGAGACTTAAGTCGACTCATGCGATCCCACCAGCAATAACTCAGAAACTCACCAGAGCCACCAGCAACCTGTCAGGATCATGGGTGAAAAGACCGTGGATATCCCGGCTATTGTGCCGAACGAGGCTGGATCGATCAACGATGAGCCGACCAAAGAGCATGTCATAGACTCTCGCGCCGACATTGGACTCCGTTACATCGCCGAACATGGAGTGGTGGAGTTCACCCCCGAAGAAGAGCGCAAGGTGCGGAGGAAGATCGACATGTACTTCTTGCCAATCGTAAGTTCCACTGTCGACAGTATGAAACCAGGCACCCCTTCCATTTAGCTCTAACAGCCGCCTTCCATAGCTTGCGATCACTTTCGGCCTCCAGTACCTTGATAAGGTATCAATCGGCTACTCGGCCGTATACGACATGATTCCAGACCTCGGATTAGTCGGCCAGCAATACTCCTGGGCAAATTCTCTATTCTATTTCGGCTATCTGGCTGGTGAGCCAAAAAGTCCATTCCTGACGGCCCTTTGGTCTTGAGCTAACCCCCGAATCCGCTCAGGTGAGGTCCCCGCCAACTTCCTCATGCAGAAGTTGCCGATCGGGAAATTCGTAGCTGTGAACATCTTCATCTGGGGCGTGCTTGTGATGCTCTGCGCTGTGACAAAAAACTTTACCGGGCTGGCCATCCTAAGATTCCTCATGGGCGTTTTCGAAGCATGGTCAGGCATTAGCGCTCCTCTGTCGTGTTTGCACTTGATCGCTGACGCCCTCGCAGCATTGGTCCTTGCTGGGTCCAGCTCACAGGCATGTTCTACAAATCCGGCGAACAAGGCGCTCGTGTGTCTGTGTGGTACTCTATGGTGAGATGTTTGGCCTTATTCGAAGCATGGAGTCATCTGCTGACCGAACCCCCAATAGGTTGGGCTCGCCGTGATTCTTGGAGGATTCTTCTCCTGGGGTATTGGAAATATCCAAACACAAGGAGTCAAAACATGGCAGCTCATCTTCTTGATCTGCGGAGGCTTTACGGTAGTCTGGGTATGGCTCTTCTCCAGGTATCCGCGCTGCTTTAAACTTCATCAGCTGACTGTGTGCATAGGCCGTGATCATCTACTTGTGGCTACCAGAGTCGCCGGCGGTTGCAAAGTTCTTGGATCAGCGTGAGAAGTCTATCGCTATCGAGCGCCTGCGGAAGAACCGTACGGGTATCAAGAACAAGGAGTTCAAGTGGGCTCACGCCATTGAGGCTCTCAAGGATCCCCAGTGTTGGATGATCTCCCTGTGGACTGGTGTCTCTATGATGCTGAACATTGGTGGCTCTTTCAAGCCACTTATCATCCGCGATATGGGCTTCACCGGACTGACGACCACGTTACTGACAATGCCAAATGGAGCCGTCGAGATTGTCGCCATGGCCCTTGGAGCGTACTTCTCCAGCAAGCTCAAGAACGGGCGGACCATGCTCATGTTCGTCATCGCCTTGCCCACGGTCGCGGGTTGCATCATGCTTGCAGTGGCGCCGCGGTACATGACTTGGGTGCGCCTGACGGGCGTATGGACTTTGACCTGCATACCGGCGTCCTACGCGCTCTTGCTGAGTCTCATCTCCTCCAACGTTGCGGGCACGTCGAAGAAGGTCGTCGTGACGCTGTCGTCCTTCATCTTCTTCTGCGTGGGCAATATCGTCACACCGCAGCTCTTCATCGATAAGGAAGCCCCCTATTACACCACGGGCATGCGCGCCATGCTCGTCGGCGTCTGTCTTACGGAGGCTCTCACCCTCGCGCTCGGGGCATACTACTACTTCGAAAACAAGAGACGTGACCGTCTTCTCGCGGAGACTCCGGCCGAGGTGATCGCGGCCAACACATTCGATAATGAAGAGTTCCTGGATCGTACTGATCAGGAGGATTGGATGAGGTTCAGGTACAAGTGGTAGATATTGTTCAGGGCTGGCCAGGGCTGCAGGTATCCGGAATGACCATTCGCACCTCCGCCCGAATCAGCGGACGCAGTCGGGCTTCAGGTCTCACGGGGACGCGAGAATAATGGCGGGTCTTTCCAAGGCACTCTCTAGTGACGGACGTCAGTCGATAGACGTCTCTTTGCCGAGAATCAAATCTCGATTACATCGGGAATGTTAGGAGATCGCTTTTGCTAATGGTGCCTAGTTTGACTAATCCTCGTTTTTTTCAGTCATCCTCCACCAAAAGTCGCACTCCTTGTCTGCCCAATGGTACTCTCTCACATCTGCAGCGACGCCTGCACTCGTGCCTCCAGCCCGCTCGTCGTTGCCTTCTCCAAGGACCAAAGTCAGGCCATGACCATCTTGCCAGCTGGGCCACTGTGGCCGATCGGCAAACTTGGGGTTGCCCGTCTCCTTTAGCGCCTTGTTGGGATCACCGGTCAGGATGAAGCTCACGCAGTAGGCGTGGAACTTGCCTGCAACCTCGTCCTGTGCAGGCGAGATGGAGCGGACCTCTGGGTTGTATGTCTGGTAGCGCATCTGATCACCGTGGTTGGCGCCATAAAGCGCCGTCTTGTTCAGCGCCCAGTGATAGATGAAGACGGAGGGGTCCTTGGGCGAGTACGAGGTGCCCCGTTTCGCCGTCTGTCGGACGGGACAGGTGTAGGCGTAATGGCCGTAGGCCGCCTCAAGGCGACGGTATTGTGCGCCGATGCTGGGGTTTCCGCTGGTCTCAACGTAGGGTGAGTTGTTGCCGGGCACGGACGGGTCGGGATAGAGCCTCTCGAGCTCAGCGAGATCGCTCTTGCTCAGGTGCGGGAGCAGAGTGTGGAAGAAGTTACGCAGGTCGGCAGAGTTGTTGGCCGACTGTGGAACGTAAAAGGAGCCCTCATTGTGCGCAGAGCCCACGAGCAAGGGCACCTTCTGCCATTTGCCCGATCTCCAGGCGTCGAGGGGACGCCGAGAAATGATTCGCCCGTCCAGGACCGGCTGCCAGGCCCAGCGAACCGACGGGTCAGACCTTGCGAAAACCTGCTTGCCAGCTGCGTCGACCACCTCGCCAGGCAGACTTCGCAGGCAGTCGAGTATCGCAGGGTCCAGAAGATTCTTGTAGGTGCTGCAGGGGGTCAAGTCGAGGAGCTCGCGGAAGTGTTGCGTGTTGAGCTTTGCGTCGGGCGGGTGAATTATGCGGGCCGAGTGGGCGCCGCTGTCCATGATGGCCTTGTGGAACAGGCGCTTGGGCTGGTTGATATCCATTACTAGGTGGCCGATCTGGATGAAGTGACAACGCACAAGTGCCGAGTCAGCATGTCGTCCTCGATCTGTTCAACCATCAAGTTCTGCAAAAAAAGATGGAGAGCATGCTTGCTTACACCATGCGCCGCGGCACTCAGCCCCATGATAGTCACGTCGTCCGGGTCGCCGCCGAACGCAGCAATGTTCTTCTGCACCCACTCGAGGGCGACATACATGTCCCGCAGTCCGAGGTTCAGCAGGCCTTCCTTGGCAGTAAGCGCCGTGTTGAGCCCGCCAAAGACGCCAATGCGGTACTGCATGCTTACACCGATCCATGGCTCTGCCGAGTGTGCAACCATCGAGTGCGTATTATGCATCCGAGCAGCACCGCGATTGAACGCACCGCCAGGGATCAGCACGCTGACTGGCAGCTTCTTGCCCTTCTCAGCCCGGTGGCCTTTTGGTCGCCACACATTGATGGTCAGGCAATCTTCTGACTCGACATCCGGGCCGAGGCCATCGTCGTCCAGGAACGGCACGAGTTGTTTGCCGGGGCACCTGCCATGATTGTGTTCAGTTTTACGCCACCGTGGAGATGTACAGGCGAGCCGTCCGCATCTGTCTCACTGGACAATGGCAGAACTTACCGCGGGCCAAGAAAGAACGCCTCAAGGGTGCCGTTGCCATCTGGGACGGGCACAGCCTCTCGGAAGCGTCGCTCGTTGATTGGAGGTAGCGCATACGGGATGCCCATGAAGCCCTCCAGCGGTTCTGGAAACGTGCCATCGTCCACCATACGCCCGACAATGGTGCCCTGGGCAATCCGAACTGAAGGGTGAGCATCGCTCCGCGATGCAAATTCAAGCACCCCTGGCAAATAAGAGCCAGCTAACGCAATCGCAGCGACCGCAACCGCAACTGGCACCACGCCGAGCTTCGCTATCGAGTATGATTTAGTCCTGGCCCTTGCAGCCTGCGTGTCTTCAGGCATTTTTGTCTCTGATGACATGGTCATGTCTCTGTACACAAAACTATCGAGCTTGCTGTGATGGCCGCTTGATTGCTTACACAATGATTCCTCGTTGACTTTTGAGCAGCAAGCAGCTGGGGCAAGCGTGGGTACCCCAGGGCCACACAATGGTCCGAGGAGCGGAGGTTGCCCGCGGATCCGCGGGCAACGCTGCCTGTATCGGCCCCAATAAATCGCCCGGGCAATCGGGGAACGAGGCTAATAAGTTGCATCAAGGCGCGTCGATAAGAGCTGTAAGCAGCCACACACTGTTGAGTTGACCCCTTGGTCTATCTTAGCCAAGGCGAGTTCCGTGCCGCAATGCACCTGTTGTGTGGGAATCGCTGCCGTCGTAAGGTTGCCATGCCAAGGTGCTGAGTTGCCACAGGACAATGCCGCCAACAATGCCGCTGGCACATGGCCGGAATTCCGGTGAGTTCCGAGGCGATCAGCATTTCAAGGGCTTCTAATGCCGATCCCCCGCACAACAGATGATTTGATGGAATATTCGACAATATCTTACTTTGGTATGGCAATTCGCAAAGGGGTTCCTTTGGGCAGCAATCTCGAATGACATTTCTGTCTGATCTGGGCACGGGCGGCGGATTCAAGCTAAATCACTGCGATATGTGTAGACATTATTTCTACGGGAAGTACGAGACACCATTTCCAAGCTTCAGTCTCAGTCATAGCGACCAAAAATGCTTAGTTCTATGGCTGCCGGTGCCAGCCGTTAAAGGGGCTCCATCCATCAGTAGGAGTACCTAAACTTGGGGTTCTCGAAATCAGTCAGATCCTGCATCGCCTCATCATCATCCTCGCCCACTGCAGCAGCGCCAGCGGCAGCCTCGGCGGCATCGCGCTGCTTATTACGCCGGATCAGGAGAAGTCTCAGGCAGAATGCGGTCATGGCCTGCCCAACGCAGCAGCCGATGATCAGCTTGCAGCCAGTCTGGTACACGGGCGCCTCTTTGCCCAGGAACGCGTGCGGTCCAATGATGTTTCCGACACAGTAGGCCAGGAACACAAAGGCAGTCGCAGTGACGCGCTTGGTGTAACCGCCAATGTTGGCTGCGGGCATCTGCAGGGCGACGATGAGACCACCGACATATGAAGCGCACTGCGATGAAGATTTGGGTTAGTCTCGAGAAAACTCGGCAGTACGAGAATCGACGGAGCGCGCTTCAACTCACAATGTAGTACCCAGCCAGCAGTCCACCTTTGTTGGAGCGCGGCAACTGCCAGAACAAGCAGGAGGCCACGAGAGTCGGCATCAACCACGCGATCATGACCAAGGTGCGGACATTCTTAAAACGACTGGCAACAAACGGGCCGAAAAACATGTAGACGGCATTGCAGGCACCGTAGGGAATGCCGTAGGCGGTGGTGAGCAGAGGATCCGAGGTGAAACCCTTGACGATGAGCTTGGAGAAGTTGGCGATGCCGCCGTTGATGGTCTCGTTGAGCAGCACATAGAGGAAGAGCAGCCAGACCTGAGGGTCACGGAACACCTCAAAGATCTGCTCCTTCTTGATCGTGCGGTTCATGGTACCGGTCTGGTTGCTAACAGTCCGGGCAAGCAGCAGCGTCTTCTCCTCTACGGTAAAGCGCTTGGCGGTGTAGATCGAGTCTGGGAGGAAGAACCACAGGACAACGCCCCAAACAACAGTCATGCCGCCGCAGAGGACGTAGATGATGCGCCAGATGTCCCAGCCCTTGGCCTGGCCGACGCCGTAGAACAGGATGCCGCCAACCATGCTGCCAAATCCGTTAAAGCAATAAAAGGCTCCGGCACGGGCAGGCTGCTCGTCACGTTTGTACCACTGGGCGACGATGAGCATGAACGCCGGCGTAATGACGGCCTCGAAGGCACCGAGGAAGAAGCGGCAGGCAGCCATGCCGGCAAAGTCCTTGCTCGCAACCGTGATGAGCATGATGGAGCCCCAGCAGAACACAAACGCCGCAATGACCTTGCCCGTCGGCAGCTTCTGCGCAAGATACGACGAAGGCCATTCCCAGAGCAGGTAGGAAAAATAGAAAATGCTGGCCATCCACGAGTACTGGTCGCTGGTCATGCCGGTCGAGGTGAAGAGGTCGAAGACGGCGGCATAGCCGAGTGCCTGCTTGTCGATGTACTGCACCGCTGTCAGGAAGGGCTCAAGGGTCAAGTTTTGGCTTGGGAAAGGGCTCTCACCTGCAACATGTACGTTCCGCAGAGCAGGGGCAGCAGCATCCAGTCGACGCGCTTGCGCAGCTTGCGCTCTGCCTCGCCATTGGCGTCGGCGGCGAGGAGCTCTGCCAGCCGCGAGCGGGGGATGCCGTGCTGTTGGAGGAAGAGCTCGGACTCGTCGAGCTGGACGATGCTCTGGCCCGCCTTCAGGTCAATCTCGACATCGGTGTCGATGTTTGTCGTGCTCTTCTTGATGGCGTCGGCGTCAATCTTCTTCTCCGCGTCGGCGGAGACGGCCTGAGCAGGGTTGAGGTCGGACATGGTTGAGACAGGGATGGAGGACGACACAGTGACAGAGACGGGTCTGCAAGGTCACGAGCAGTGTCAGAGCTGCGTGAGAAGAGGCCTGACCTGACAGTCGCGAAGAGGCCATGACTTTTGTACGTGTTTACAGTGACATCTATCAACTCTGCCCTGCCCAGTGGAGGCGCCTATCTCGGGGCCCCATGCTTTGCCGGCATACTTCCGTACTCCACCCCCGCGATAGACCGATTCAGAGCGTCGTGTCCCAACACGCGGCGGCCCACCGGCCCATCATTGCCCGTATCAATTGTGGTCTGGCCATTGGCTGGGCGGCGGCTGGTTGGTTGCCCGATCAGGGGTTCATGCCTATCTAAGACGGGGCCCACGGCGCCCCCGACGGCTGGATGTTGGGGCATGGTTCGGCCGTTAATAAATCCCCAGTGGCCCTTGATGGTGGCTTGGCCAGGCCCCATATTGACAACATACGCTGACTGCACAGCATCCTGCTTGCTCCTTTAAAGTCCAGTGGAAGGACTGGTGACGTTGCTTGCCTTGTGCGCACTCGACACTTCTTTGCGACTTATAAGATTCTGGCCCGAAGCGGAGGTCTCAATTACAGCCTGTATCGGATTGTTTCTTCCAAACAGACGATGCATTGACGCAGTTGAACGTGCAGTGCCCAGCCAGCACTGTCCCGAGCTTGTGCCGATGCGAGCCGGTAAACCGAGAGCAGTTAACAATGCATGGCATGAAGGGAGGCGGCTGGTGGCGGTCAGCCTCACCAAGTTACAGATTGTGACTTGGTGATAAGCAGCTCTCTGTAATGCCGGCAATTTGTCCTTATCAGCTCCAGAAGATCGCTACGAGAAGGCCCGCAGAGCGGGCCAAGGACTCACTGGGGCAGGCTGGGACGATTACTGACTCAAGCACCACTTGCAAATTCGTCTTATCGGGGGCAAGATAGGCCGCTCCATAAACCCCAGCAGGTTACTGCCACCAGGAGCTAGGGCACTAGCGCGGGATAGGCGCTACTAAAAAGGCCGAATGCGGAGTGCCGACCCAGTTCTCCGCGGGGATCGCCCAAGGGTTAGCGATACACGGCTCAGCTTGCCGATGGCGTTTACGCAGGTAGATGAACCACTGGTTGTGATCACAACGTCGTACTACACGACTGGAGCTATTGAAGGTTGCAGAAGGAGCTCTCATAGCTTCAGCAACGGACTTCCAGCATGCTCAAGGACGTCATCATCGAACTCCCGGGTCACGGGAGTCTCCGAGGCTCCCTTTGCGGTACCACCGCCCACAGATTCCTCGGCGTGCCATATGCTCTGCCTCCCACCGGCGAACGGCGATGGCAGAGGCCAGTGCCCCTGCCTGAGGATTTCGTGTATGGCCGGCCAGGCGAGCCGCGAGACTGCACGCAGTATGGGGGGTTCTGTCCCCAGCCTGACTACATGATGAATGGTACGAACATATCTGCCGTGCCAGGAGCCACGGTAAGCTTCATCCACCTCGGTGTTTCCTCTGTAGGTTCCCTGACATGACTGCTTGCGGATTAGCATTCGGAAGACTGCCTCTTGCTCAACATATGGCTTCCGGACGCACAGCCACCGGCCAACAAGAAGTGGCCAGTCTATGTCTGGCTGCATGGTGGCTGGCTGCAGATGGGCAACCCCTGCATGACGAACAAGACCGACCCTTGGGAGCTCGTCGATAGGGCTGGTGCAGACCTTGATGCTATCGTGGTTGCAGTAGGCTACAGACTCAACATCTTCGGCTTTCTGGCAGGCGAGGGTGTGGTTGGCAACTTTGGATTTTGGGTGAGCTGTCCTGAGTCTGTTTCTTCCGTGTCGCCGTCGCCCACTGACGCTGTCTGTCAACACAAAGGACCAACGCTGTGCCTTGCAGTGGATCCAGAAGCACATATCTGCCTTTGGCGGCGACCCTGTTCGTGTCACCTTGGGAGGATTAAGCGCAGGCGCGTACTCGACCAATGCTCAGCTACAATATGAGTTGAGGCACGGCAATGTCGACCAGCCGCTCTTCCGGAACATCTTCATGGTGTCCAACGCTATTGCCGTAAGACAAAAGCCATCTCTGCTCAGTCGATTGCCACACATGCTAACAGGCACTACAGGTGCAACCCAAATCAATACAAGAAGGTTGGTACTCTCAGGTATAACATTGAGCGAGCCACAAGACTGACGATTGAACAGCTGAGGACCAGCTGCAAGATGTGTTGACCACTTTGAAAATTGACCAGTCGCTCTCACGGAGTCAGCAGCTTGCCGAACTGAGGGAAATCCCTCATCAGGATCTGATTTCTGCAATGCCATCTTTTCGGCTAGACACCTTCCGAGCCGTCACAGATGAAGACTTTGTTCCAGGAGGCATGATCGAGCAGTTGCGAGATGGGACCCTCGCAAAGGCTTTTCAAGAACGGGGCATGAAACTCGTGATCGGCGAGGCCGAGTCGGAGGTAAGCTCCAAGTTTGCGACTGGACCGCAATCCCCTTGACTGACTTTTGAGCAGCAACATATGTACGCAGCCATAAATCCCCCGGCGTCGCTCGAAATGATGCAGACCGCGCTGGAGAACTACTACCCTGCTGCAATCAGCGCCAAGGTCTTGGCCAAATACCGCGATACGGAAAGCGACCCTGCAAAGTTGTACGGCACAATGACATCCTACCTTCAAGTGCGCGCCCCGATCAGAGCATTTGCCAAAAGCTTGGTAGACGCAGGGGTGCCGCTCAGCAGCATTTACCGCTACAGAAGTGACTTTCGGGCAGCGTGTATGGACAAGTACATCGCACCTGAGCTTGGAGTGGTGAGTCGAACGCCACGCGCGAAGTGCAAGCACGTGATGGCCCAATCACTAACGATAATACCTTTGTACCGGCAGACCCATGGCTGGGACATGTACGTGTGGTGGTACACGGCACGATTTGGCTACAGTGAGCTGGAGAAGACTGCTATCAAGGACTGGCTTGGCCGCTCGCTCCATCCACTGATCCACGATCAGCCTTTCGACTCACAGTGCACCAAGATCGACCAGTATACGAAATTTTATTCGGATGGTACTATAGGGGTTGTGGAGGATGATTACTGGAGCGACATGATTGCGCTAGACGAGCTCTGCACACGAACATAGGAGACACCAGGCTGTTCGCTGGCACGTTTCGAGATGCACGATTGCTCCTTGTGGTCTTGTGGCAGTTTAACTTGGCAAAACTAATCTCTCACCAACCTATGTGGCTCGTCTCATCCTCAAAAGAATGGTCCTTCATAATCAGCCCGACTGCATTTGGCTACCCAGTCACCGTTCTTCGTGATATCAGTTTTGTGCTAAAGCATACGAAAGATGCCGCGTCAGCATTGTACTTCAGACATGTGGATGCACGCAAATATCAAAGAGCGGCCTAGAATCATGAAACCACACTGCATTTCGCGATATCACGACACGCCTTGGGCTTGCAAACCCTTTCCAATGGCGCCGCATCAAAGCTTGCCTGAGAGAATTGTTTTGGTGGCTGTAAATGTGGAGACACTGTGCAAGTGGCTTGACAGGTAAACCATGACGTATAGGGCTTAATTGCGCTGGACGGAATGGCCGAACGAAGCTAGTAACCATCCATGAACTTTGAATCGCGTGGTTTCCCCATAACGTTGTTGGTTTCTGCGGCCGTGCTGTAAACAGTTGCAGCTTGACAGTGGATTGGGCGAGACTCACCACCATTCAGCCAGCCTGGAGGCTGTCGAGACCAGACCCGTTCTGCACAAAGGGTCTGGCACTCTTAAAAGGATGATGCCATTGATTTCGCGTATGAATTCAATCTGATACGCGGTGTGTCTGGAAGGCGGACCTACTGCGCTACACAAAATGCCCAAAAAGTCTCATCTTTCTAGCTAGGATCCATGCACGAATTTTGTCAGTCATGGTGGCTATATGGCAGTGGCATCGCGGCTTGCGACACCGCCTAACACACCCTCGACCAGGCCAATAAAGACAGCAGGGCGCCGAGTCGTGAATGACGCCGACTTCCGGAAGTGTTACCTCTTCAGCAGTGAGACTCTATTCTTGGCTATACTTCATGCTAGCGGCTAGTGCCCGCCACAGCCCGTCACAACTCGTAACACTAGTCCATTGCAACAGCTGCGCAGGGCTGACGTGGTTGGGGCCCCAGATCTGTGATGCGCAAAATTCCACATGGGAAGTGGAGCAGGAAACGTAGCATCGGGTCGCCAGCGAACAACTCCGCCGTGTGAAGCACTACGACATATGTCGATGGTGGACTCGAAAACTTGAAGCGTGTACAGGTCGAATCGTGTATATAAGTCAAACGATATCTCCCTCTGGTCGGGAAATCTTCTCTCGTCATCACACAGCAACCACTTTCCGCATCTCTACTCTCCAGACCACCGATCGCTACTCGCAATTCTTTGAGCTCTGTTCCCATCCTCTTCACTTACACACGCGCCACTTGCCAGCAACCAACAAGTCCAAATCATCATCAAAATGCAGTTCACCATCTCTTCCATCGTTATGGCCGGCCTTGCCTCTGTCGCCATGGCTGCCCCGACTCCTGATACTCCCACCACCGGCGGTGACGGTGCTCCCGGCAGCTTCTTCCTCGTCGTCCAATCCAAGGACAACCATGTCAATGGATGCGCCGTCTCCTACCACACCGGCGCAGGGCTGTCCGACGCGACCATCGCGGACTGCGGACCCGCTCCGCCAAAGGACTTCACCTTTGTCAACAACAAGATCAACTACCTCAACTACGGTGACGATATTCCCTCGGCGGTGAATGCGCAGAACGGCCTTTCAAGCTACGACAACTGGGGCAGTGTTGTCATCAATGCCGGTGACGCCGGTTCCAACTTCACCTACGATCTGGCGACAGGGTTCCTGCAGCAAGAGAATGGTCTTGGTTTCCTCGCATGCGGCTGGGCGCACAATGGCACGTGGCAGCTCTTTGCTCTCAGCAGCCAGGATGCCCCCATCCTTCCTAACTGTGAGGCTGTCACTGTCAAGCGTGGTTGCTACAACTTTGACCCCAACTGCGTCAACAACACCTTCTAAACGGAGCCCAGGGAGATCAACCTTGCCCCGACCAACACCGTCCACGAAGTCGGGTCTCGACCCTCTCCGCCGAGTCCAGTTTGTCTTGATTTCTTTTCCTTGGTCACGGTTTAATAATAGTCTCGACGGCATCATGTGGCTGTGGTCATCAGTCTAAGACTTTGGGTTTCGCAACTTGTCTGTTGCTTGTAGTTCCTCGTTCACCAACTAGCTTCGTTCATTGTTTATCCTCATGCATTGTTTCCTCTGGGAGAGTAGGTAGAGCAGATACTTAATGTTTAGTACAGTCTTGTTCTCAAGCATGGCAGTGACGGTGGCAGCCTAAATGCCTCATCGGCATAATTTCCAGCGCAAATGCGAGGCCCAATGTGTTAAATTTCTTAATACTAGCATACTACTTTATGCTTGGATTCAGTCTCGAAGGCAAGTATGGCAGCTCTAAATTCTCTTGGGGCAATCGCAACTTTGCCGATTTGCAGTGATCCACCAGCCAGGTTATGGTCGACGAGCTGCTCTGCATTCGGCAGATAGTTGAAAACCCCGACCTGGGTCATCTGCAAAGCGCCACCCCAGAGAAGCGGAGGAGCGGCTGGACGTACTGGGGCTGGCGAGCGGTTAGGACTGGGATATCCTCAGACATGTCCAGAACTTGTGGTGGCAGTAAGGCTGAGGGATAAGTTTCCACGTTGCTGTTAAACTGCCCGGGGGCTCAGATAAGTTAGACACAGTTTGATCTGGCATAGTTGGTTCTCATCTAAATTACCTCTATATATGCCGCCGTTGTCTCTACAGCTCTTCAGCCCTATCTGAAAGTCAAATCGCTTAATCAAAACAATGCAAAGAGACAGTGGTGCTTTTGTGCAAAAGGCGCCATGCATGCAATCCCAGACCTTACTCAGTCTTTGTGGCCGCCAGCGCCATCAAGGCAGCGCCGACGCCCGAGCCGTCTTTCGCCATTCCTATCCTGACCCTCTGCTCACCCGCGAGACCAATTTCTGTTACTTGCCGCAAGGCAACCCTCATCTCGTCTTCAAAGCCAGGGTAAAACTCAATGAGAGACCCATCTACACCAATGTCGATGATCTCACCAGCCGCAGTCTCGCTGAGTATCGCCGCAGGGGCTCGGCTGCGCCAGCGAGAGATGCCAAATGCGTGGAGGACCTTCCTCGTGAACAGCGACAGAGCACCGCAGAAGTCGTCAAGTATACCCATGATTGTCGTCCGGCCAACGGCGGCGGCGGTCTTCTGCTTTACGACAACCTTTTGGTCGGCCTCCTTGCCCTGTCCGGCACCCAGGCGGCCTGACTGGATAATGACAGCTGCCAGCGCAGCCCCAGCAAGTCGGGCTGCCCGTTGCGCAATTGCCCGAGCCGCACGGCTGATGATCATCGCATCGGCCTCGCTTACGCTATCCGCCCCAACCACTTTCGAGATGAGATCTCTCGTCTTGCACACGTCGCCGGCCCCCTCGTGCTCCGCGAGCGCTGACAAGAACGAGCTGTCGATGCAATATCTCCTGAGCATCGAAGAGTCGTCCACGAGCACCATTGTCAGGGCTCCCTTGTCCATCAGGCTTGCGATGACGAGTCTCAGGAGCTCGCCCAAGTACATTCCCGACACGCGCTTCTCGAGCATCTGACCTCCTTGATCCGCAGACTCGCGGTCCAGCATGTCGTCGAACTCTGTGCTCGGCACGATTCCCATGCCGTCATCGAGGCATCCCCACTCCGTGTTGATGACCATGATGTCCTCTGATTCCCTTGCTGGATGTGGTCGATCTTCCTTGGGCAGGCGCGTGACGTTGTGAAGCCGCTCCACGTACGCGGCGTTTGTGCCGGTGCCGAAGATGACGCCGGCGAGCGTCGGCGCCGAAGACCGAGAGATGTAGGAGCGCGTCAGTAATGTGCCGACGCTGTCGTTGGCGAGCACGCATACCCGCACGGGTAGTTTGATGGCGTCAATGGCTTCCTGCAGCAAAACACAGGGGTCTTTGCCAATGGCCTCGGGTATGTCCCAGCCTTTGTCCCAGTGGATCAGCGTCCCCTGTGCCACTGACGTCTGGTCACAGGTGAAGCTGAAAGTAAAGCCGAGCCGGTACGGGACTGACGAGGTCTCGCCACTCTCCTGCTTGCCCGGGCCTAGCTCCGCGGCCAGGAAGTCCGCCAGCTTGGCCGCGATAAAGGCGAACAGCGGCTTGTAGCTGGCGTTGACCCGCAGGTCCAGGGCGACGGCTGCCTTGTTCTGCGTGACTGCGAACGTGCCATCGCCATTCAGGGTCACCGAGCAGATGCGGCAGTTGGTCCCGCCCAGGTCTATGGCGAGAAAGGTACCCTTTTCTGAGCCGTTGGGGACGCTGGTCACGAAAGCCGGCAGCTGGAACGGCTGCTGTGATTGCAGGCCAAGTCCTGTGAGGAAGGGAGTTAGCAATCTTTGTCTGTCCCTCGAGTGGCGATCGATATCTAATCAGATGAGGGAGTTCACCATACTGAGCCTGGCGCCAAGCTGCCGCGTAATGTGGTTGATGGTGTCGGGGCTGAGATCAAACTGAGCCTCGATAAGCTCAGCTGCAGCCGCAGCCGCGGGGCTGTCGCTGGCGTCCCATCGCGGCACCGGGTTCGTCATGTCAAGGCAGAGGCGACGACATGAAGGAAGAAGCCTGGCTGCCTGAGATGTGAGGTGATGGGTTCAGTCAGTTGTTGTGGTAGAGGTCGCAAGAGGCTCACGAATCAAGGTACTTGGCTCCCGAGGCGTGCCTTTTGTGACCTGGCTGGCGGTGCCAGGAAAGATTTCACCCTGTGTCGATCTCAGGGACAAACAGCGGCAGCCCTGGAAATTAGCCGGAGCAATTCTGAGCAAGCAGGGACAGCGCTAGGAAAGGCCCGACTCGGACTGGCAGCATTTCAGATGCAACAGGCAGGGCAGGCGGGCTTGTTGAGCGGCAAAGGGCCCCTGGAGAGGCCGTGCTCCGCCCCGGCTGGGCCCGGGGCGGTACGGCCGTGCCCGGCAAAAGTCGGGTTGGCCCGTCGGCTCGCGGTGGTCATGGATGGCATTTCTGGGGAGCTGGGCCCGCCGCCGAGCTTGCCCACTTGCTCCCTTACTTTGCCGGCGCTTTCACCGAGAGTCGACGCTCTGTTCGCCCGCCCTCCGCGCGACGACAGACACACGAGTCGAGCGACATGTCGGCAAACAGCAGCGAGGCCTTTCCCACAAGCACTGCGACGCTGCCTCAGCATGGCGGCCCCCGCGACGGCGGCGGCGGCGGTCAGGGCCCAGCAACAGTGGCCTCCACCTCCCCTACAGAGCCAAAGGCTCGCAAGGCCTGCAGTAAGCACCACCACAGACAGACACGAACCCCCCTATGGACCCCCTTCCCCTCACTTGCTGGCCCCCCAGAGGGCCTCCTCCTCCGCCTCCTCCTCCTGTTGGCCAAGTCCAAGTGCCGGCAGTTGGACGGGCCGCCGTGGAGGACGGGAAGCTTGGCTGACCCACTGGCTGACCCCCCTGCCACCACAGTCAACTGCCGCAAGCAGAAGATGCGATGCACTCCCATCCACGGGAGAAACGACACCTGCCGCCGCTGTCACCGTGCGGGCCTGCCTTGTGTCTTTGTGCCAAGGGCCAATGCGGCCACGCTGCCCGATCTCCTGGGGCTGAGCGAGCGTGCTCAGGTCTCGGACGAGCAGTTCAAGAGAGACGTCATTGACCGGCTCCGCGTCATTGAAGACTGCCTAGGCCTCTCCGGCTCAAAGTCTGCCACGGCAGACAGCGACCCGAGCCACTTTGACGTCAGCCGGGTCGCGGCGGTGTCTGACAGTGAGGACGATGACTCCTTTGGCGACCCTGCTTTTGGCCCCTTGTGGGACGCCTTGGCCGTGCTCAAGCAGTGCTGTCCAGTCAAAGCCGTGCCTTCGTCAACGTGGCGCAAGGCTTCGATTGCCGAGCTCTGGTCCTCGTATGTCAGACCATCCTGTCGTCTTTGTATCTGCTGTGCTGCATTTTGTGCCACGTGGTCGTGATTCTGACAGTCTCGTGCTCCCTCAGGTTCCACGAGCGCATGCCCGGCCTCCACTTCATGCCGGACAAGCAGTCCTTCACATCTCCCGTGCCGGTCCTCCTTGCGTCGATCCTCTACTGCTCCAGCACTCGCGGGCCGGCAGAGGTTGCAGAGAGTGGTCCTCACTACTTCACCGTGCTCTGCAACGCCATTGCACATCTCAGCATCCCTGGCAGCGCTATCGGTCAAGTCCCGGCAGACTTGGTTGCTGCGGGCGAGTGGGCGTTTCAGACGGTGCTTGGTATCGTCCTCGCCGGCCTGCTCACAGAAGCCAACGTCCGTGAGACGGGGCTCTGGATCTCGGTTGCATATCGCTTACTTCTCGAGCATGCTCCTGCCCTCGGGGACGACTCTGCCCGGCAGTGGCGGAGGCTGTTCAGTGGCGTGCAGATTGTCGACCTTGAGCACGCCTCGCTTCATTTGTCGTGCCCTGTGATTCCCATCGAGTCACCGCTGCCAGTATTACGGTCCTCCCATGGCGACCAGCTGTATCGCTTGTCGCGCATGATGCATGTCGGCCTGAGCCATTTTACCGGACGGCGCCTGCCAACCATCTGGTCTTGCTTTACCGACAACGTGTCGACGCCCATCAGCGACAACCTCACCAGCAGCCTCACGGCCGTCGATGCCGCCGTCATTCGAGACTGGGCCAGGCAGCTTGACGAGTGGCTTGTCGAGTTCACCAACGGACCTCAGGGCGCGGACCAGAACCGCAAGCTCATCTTCCGCCAGTATGTGCTCCACCGGCTGGTGGTTCTCTCCATCTACCATCCGGCCAGAGGTTGCAACTTGTGGTCTAGGAATATCTCGCCTGTCGAGCAACATGAGCTGCTCCTCTCAGCACAGGCCACGCTGAAGCTGCACCTCCACGACGACTCCATCTGGTCCAACTGGGATCTTGTAATGATCACGTGGGCCGCACTCATAGTTGTTCAGGGTATCGAAGGTGGCGTCGGCGAAGCGGACGGTAAGTCCAGTGTTTGATTGACCTTTAGCTGTGCCTCGACGACCTACTAACGTTCTACGGCTAGACCTCCACAACATCCGGCTGCATCTGCAGATGCTCAAGAAAATGACCAGGCCCAGCCCGGGTCTTTGCGACAAACTTATCGCCCGCCTCGAGAGCAGCCTCCAGGGCGTACAGACACCACAGGGCACAACTCTGATGCAGCAACAACAAGACGACCAAGGGGTCGGTCTCATGAACGAAGCTTCCCTCGACTACTCTTGGCAGATCTTCGACCAAGTCAGCCTGCAACAATTCGATCACATGGTATAAACAATAATTTCTAGAGACCAAAAAACCCATTTATTGCCCGGAACACCCAAAAAGAAAAGACCAGTAGTGACACCTAGTACATCGAGATCGGCATGGTGGCAGATCTGGCAGCCAGCCTTCCCGACCACTTGATCCGCGAGGCCATGTTGTCTGGCTGCAGGTCGTCATTATCGGCCGGTAATGACTCTGGCGAGTCAGGGGTGAGCATCATCGGCTCGAGCGGGTCTGACTTTGCCGAGTATTGCTTTTTGCGGATGGTGCTCTCGACACCACGGAAGTACTGCGTTTGACAAAATCGCAAGTCAGCCACGCGAGGATCAACAGAGAGAGGGCAGTATTCACCCAGGGGCGGGGTTGGTTGCTTTTTGACTCACATTCACCGTCTTGACCTTCATCTCGGCCGTCGCGTCGTTGTCCACAACCACCATGCTGCAAGGGTGCATCTGCAGACACGACAGCGTACACAGGTGGCTCACGCCGCCCTCGACGGCCTGCTGGATGGCCAGCGCCTTTGACGGGCCCGTGGCGATGATGACGACCTCCCGCGCGTCCATGACCGTCTGCACGCCCACCGTCAGAGCCATGCTGGGCACGGCCTCGACATCGCCACCAAAGAAGCGCGCGTTCGCCAGCCTCGTCTCGTCCGCCAGGGACTTGACTCTGGTCCGGCTGGCCAGGCTGGACCCGGGCTCGTTGAAGGCAATGTGCCCATCGCTGCCCACACCGCCCAGGAAGAGCTCGATGCCGCCGGCGGCTTTGATCTTGGCCTCGTAAGCAGCGCACTCTTCCCTCAGGCTCGCGGCGTTGCCGTCGAGCATGTTAATGTTGGCGGGTTGTATGTCGACGTGCTTGAAGAGGTGCTTGTGCATAAAGGAGTGGTACGACTCGGGGTGCTCGCGCGGCAGGCCGACGTACTCGTCCATGTTGAAGGTGACGACATTGCGGAACGAGATCCGGCCGGCCCGGTAGGCTTCGACAAAGATCTTGTATATCGTCAGGGGGCTGCTGCCCGTCGGCAGACCGAGGACAAACGGCTTTTCCGGTGTCGGGGCGGAGGCATTAATGCGTTCTGTAGTGGCGCACCAACGACGAGTTAGCAAAGTGTTTTCGCAAGGCAGACGAGGCAATATGTAATGTCGTATGAGTGAGTCGGGCGGCGGGACTGACTGATGATGTATTCGGCAGCGTACTGAGACGCCGATGAGGGGTCTTCGCGGATGACCAGACGCATATTGCTTGAGTTGTACTTATGTAATCGAGGAGTAGGACAAGAGTGGAGGTAACAGCTGCTCAGGAATGCAATCTGACGTCGTATGAAAGATTCAGGATGCCTTGTTCAGTTGAGGTTGTAATGGCACCGCACTAAGATGTCCCGCTGCACGCGAAGCCGGCCGTGTCCGGGGCACGCCTTATATGAGACCAGCTTGGAACGTCATGACACACTCCATAGACACCGGCCAGGCTCATTTCAGTCAAGTCACACCAACCAGCCTTGACAGGCTACCGGCCCCAGTCCTGTCTTCTTCCACCCGGTTGACATGGCTTGGCCGGTAGGCTCTGACTGGTGATACTCAAGGCGGAACGCTCTCCATTACGTGGGATTGGCTGGATGACGCGATAAGCCTTGTGGCCCACCCGGTCCCAGCTCTGTGGGCTCGGAGAAGCCCGGTCTTGGCCGGGCTGTGCTGCCTCGAGCTCGAGAGTAATAGACCCCACGACGAACCCCACACACGGAAGTTTGTGCGGAGAATTACCCTAACTGGCCTAATATTTGAACCTGTTGCCCTCCACGGTAGTATGATTGTGAGTCGGAGTAATACGTTCGATCAATGATTTTCATAAAAGAACCCATATCTGCATTCATTATACTGTAGGACAATTGATCTGCAATAAAGATCGCATTCCTGGGACACAATTGTCTGGTTTTTTGGGGGGTTTTCTTTTGACGCAACCCGACGAAGATGAATTATGTGCGAACCTGTGTAGCTAAATTTTGATTGTGAGGCAGGGAATGACTTTGAACATGGATTGCACATTATTTGTGAACGTGGTCGTGGCAGGATCTTTGAGGGATTTGAACGTAATTTTATTTCCAGCATCGTATTGATTATCTGGTAAGAGTGTCCCATGTTGTTCAGGTGGCTCATTATATTGAAGACGCACGCTGAGTTCAATCCAGGATTCACTCAGTAGCCTTGATCACTCATTCCAGCTCAAACTTGAAAGTGATACTAGGCACCTCGGTGCTGCCGGCTGGCATTGTGAAAGTCAAGTTCCAAAACTCGAAGCCGCTAGAGGAATAGAATTAGCGTCAATGTTCATGAGGCGCGCATAAAGGTTCGCCACTTACTGAATAATGCTGCAGGTTCCACCAACAAGCCCGCAGAACGTAGACTGCGGCTTGGGATCGACCGTGCCGCCAACCTCAAACTTCAAGCCGTTGATGTCCGCCAGGTCGGTGATGTCCCTCTTCTGGCCCAACGGATTCGGGGCGATCAAGAAGGTGAAGGAGCTCGACGAGTTGCCTGCCGGATATGTCAGGTTAAGCGCATACGGAGCCACGCCGACGTCAAGCGCCATCTCGCTGGCGTGCAGGGTCATGTATCCGACAGAGCTGTCGTAGGGACGTGCCCACTGCACAACGGCGGGGTTCCACTGCGAGTTGTCCGCGCGGGCACCGCCGAGGACGTCCTGGCGGAACGACTCGGCGCCGATGGTGAGGTTGGCATACATCCAGGTCGTCACGTTACGCGGGACCATGTCGTGCGGCGGGGCGAACGCCGAGGTGGTGACGGTGTGCTCCCTGGTAGACTTGAGGCTGGCGATGGTGCAGTCGGACACGAGCGAGTCGTGGAAGGGGGCGAGCACTGCAATGAGGGGCGCGTACTCAAAGTCGTCGGCGTGGGCGAGCGACCACACCCGCGACTTCTCCCCGAAGGCCTGGTCCTTGCCCAAGAGCGACCACAGGTAGATTCCGAGGATGGCCACATACTTGTTCATGTCGTAGCCGTAGGACCGGTCCCAGGGCCCGGCGAGGTTGCGGAGAAGAGGGTTGTACAGAGCCGCAGTCGTCTCCCACACCTGCTTGAGCATGCGAGCACCGTTCTGGCCCATGATGGAGTCCTGGGGCATGTACTTGGCCCACAGCGTGAGCGCGTAGATCGAGACGCCGGCGTAGGTGCCGCTGTTGAACTCGGAAAGCGTGTTGTTGAGGTTGAAGAGGTCGAGAATCTCCTGCGCGTACATTTCGCCTGCAGCCGTCATGTTGGCGTCATTGACCTTGCGGCCAGTCCACCCAGAGGCGACAGCACGCATCAAGGAGGGATTACTGTACGAGGGGAATAGATTGTCGTCGTCCACCCCACCGACACGGTAGCTGTCGCCAATGGTGTTGTTGACCATGCTCTCCACGATCAAGCCCTGCACATCCTGCGGCAGGAGATGCTGGAACTCCTCGTAGATGACAATCAGGTTGGTGCCAATAAAGCCTCTCCAGTTGGGATCCCACGAGTTGTAAATCTGTAGGTCCCCCGCCACAAAAAAGGTTAGTTCACCTCGGGGGCCAAGTTCACCAGCATGTGGAAAGGGAAATACGCACCACTGCCGGATATGCTTCTGTGCCAACAGTCGGCTGCTCTGGGTAGACTGTGTAGTCTCCGAACCACTGCAGAGTCTTGTTCTTCTCCTGATCACCAATGACGGCCTTGATGATCTTGACAGCTTGCTCAACATCGTCGCCCTTGTTCCGCTGAAGCAGGCCGGTGGCATACCAGACCGAAGAGCGAGTCTCATGCGGGCCAGCAGCCAAGGGGTAGTAGAAGTAGTACAGGTACGATGCGGAACGATCATAGATGGTGTCGAGGAAGTTCATCGACTCGTCAAACAGATCTTGCGTGTTTGGCGAGAGAGTAACGGCCTGGGCACCCCGCAAGGCCAACAGTCCACAGGCGAGCACATTGCTCACGACCGCAGAAGACTTCATCGTGGCGGCAGTCGCTAGGGGAATTATCTTGAGTCTGGAATGACGGGGTTGCCAAGATGGGCACGTAGACAAGGAAGGGCCTCTAGCCCCTCAGAAGAGCGCACATGGCAGATTTTATAGAGCCGTCCACGTCATTGTCCTCATCCGTCGGCTTGGAGCTGGGCCGATCAGGAGACGGCGGTGCCCAAGGCCCTGCTTCAAGACTGATAAGGCTACTGTCGCGCTGGTCAGCCAAGTCCCCGCACTTGCTGTTCCGGAATCACACTATATCATTGGGGTAGCGTGCGACTTGGAGACAAAAAAATCCTCTCGACAACGCTGCCATGCGTCTGGGAGGCACAGTCTATCAAGAGCCATGCGGGGTTCGACGTGGGACAAGGATTGCCGATCTCTCCAACGTCCACCAACCAGCATCGAACGTGGAGCCGCAGGCCAAAAAGCTTAGCAAACGTCCCCTTGCCGGGCCCTTGCATACGCGGAAGCGGCGGAGTACCGGTTGTGCTGCTGGACGGCTGGCGAAGATAGGCCTTGGAGAAGTCCGGCAAAGCCCGGATGACCAGCGAACAGGACCAGACCCCACATGCCTAGGACGCGGCCGCTGCAAGGGAGGCGCAGACAAGCCTTCTGACTGTGGAGAACCAATGGCTTGGCCGGAGAATTCACGAAGCGGCCGTCGTTGAAGAGCCGTGGAGAAATGTATCGCAAGGAGGAGCTCGGTCGGGTTGTGTGCGATCGTTACGATCATGTCAGAAGCCGAAGTGACAGTATAATAAACATTAAAACTCGACCCTTACCTGCATCATCATGGGCAGCTCCAGTGAGGACCGAGAGGTCGTCAAGACGAGGAGCCAGGCTTTCACTTTTTGACCGTAGGGAATGTAAGCGATACAAAAGGTCATGATTCATCTGAACAAGTCTAAAGTGGTATCTAACATAAACAAAAACACTGCGATTCGCGCGCACAGATCCTACAGCTGCCTCGCGCAACCTCTGCTCGACACACGTCGCAAATTATCATGAGCGGAGCTCATTGTCTCTCGAGACCTCAAAGCCAGCGGTCGAACCATGTGAGGACTTGTTGGACCGAGTCCTCGAGACACTTCTTCTCGGCAGGGTCATCAGGGTTACCCCTGACGGCAAAGCCGTGCCGGCCGGGTGTGTAGATCTTGTGCTCGACCTCGGGCACCTTCCTGCCGGCCTTTGCCTCCTCAGCCTGGAGCTCCTTGACCTTGCCGCAGAGCTCAATCTTGGTGTTGGTGTCCTTCTCGCCCCACCCGTAGCTGAAGGGGACAACCATGTTTTGCGCGTCGTCGGGCAGGACCATGTTGCTGGGGTGCAGCGCGACGCCAGCATCGACAAGGGGCACGCGCTTGTCGTCGACGCTAATCATGTACTTCTCGAGGGTAGCGCGGCTCGAGTAGCGCCCGCCCCAGCACATGCCGACCATGCCGATCTTCTTGCCCGTGGGGAGCGTCTCGCGGCGGAGGCTCTCGAGGAAGTCCATGCAGGTCTTGTCTGTGGGGCCGTCCTTGTGGCGCATGAGCCAGCTGATGCCGGACGGGGCGGTCATGAGCAGGCCCGTGAAGAAGGACAGCTTGGACTGCTTGGCGGCGTCGACGGGGATGGCAACGTCGGCAAACTTGAGCGGGGCGTGGTCGCCCTCGAAGAAGTCGGGCACGTAGACGAGCCACTCGCCGCTCTGTGCGTACGAGTCGGCAATGAGCCTGTTGTTGGGCAGCGAAAGGCCAAAGATGTCGGTGTACATGACAATGATGCCGCGGGGGCTCTCGCGGTTGCCAATGACGTAGGTGTCCAGGCCGTGGAGCTTCTCGATGGTGCCCTTGGGCAGGCCTTTATGTATGGAGCCCTGAGAGTGTGCGCAAGAGATGTCAGATTCAAAAACTACTTCGTGGCCTGTTTGGAGCCGCAGAATGAGGGGCAGCCCTTACGCTGATGCATTGTGTGCAGACTGGTGCGTCCTGGCCCGTCTTGTCCTTGAAGGCCTGGATGGGGCAGTTCTGTGCAAGTGTCAGCTCCAATTGCCCATGGTGTATCTCCCGCAGGTACAAGTTGGCACCGACCTCCTTGTTCTCTGTGGCGGCAGCCATGGTCGTGGTCCGTGCGGTTGTGCTGGTTGACGTTTTGTGCTTCGAGTTGTTCAGTTTGATGGCGAGATTTGCTTTGATGCGAAAGGGGCCGATGATTGACGTTGTTGTCTAAGCTGAGGATGACGAGAATGAAGGGGATGCCAAGCTGACAGGAGGCAGCCGATCCATGGTATTTATCGAGATTGGCATCTGGCCCACGGCCTCCAAATGTCGCCGTGAGCATAGGCTTTCTCTGTGCGACGGGGTGCATTCGCCGCCGATCAAGAGCGCCTCGGGCCATCTTCGTCACAGGCTGCAGCCCTACCAGCACCAAGAAACGGCTTGAGCGGGGGCCTCGTGCTGCCACAAAAGCGACGCGCGGGGGCAGAAACCGCCCGCGTGGCGTCGGGCCCAGCGGAGCCACAGGGACGTCACGGGCTTAGGCAGCACTTTGTCCACAGTAATAATACACCCAGAGCCCGCCCGAGTCGGTGCGCTCTCGCGACTCGCTCGCGGCCTGCTCGGCGGCCTGGCCAATCAGGGACCTCCTGGCAAGCCTCCCGGCGCAGAGTTGTGCCGCTCCCACGAGGCCCGAGGGCTGAGCCAGGGGGCTTGCGTTTAATCTCACCGGGCTCCACACACGGTGTGCCTGGTCGAGGTTACGCAGTAGATCTGTCATGCATACCCGGCCTGGGGTCCTTCATTTCTAGCCAGGACCCTTCAAGGATCATCTGCTCAGTGTTCCAGCCTACAGAACGGCCGCACGGCCGATGCCAGCCAACGCGAAGGTTGCATAGTGGTGTCCGCCTTGGTGGCCGTTCGGGGAATCCGCGCGCAGTTCAGGGGACTAGGATACCGCATCTTGAAATCTTGCGAGAGCGGCCATGTCTCGTTCAAGGAGCTTCACCTGGGATTACGCTGCCCAGATCCACAGAGACCAGCAGCTGTCTGCAATGTGGAAGATTCCGAGGCTTTGAACAACCTAGAAAGCGCTCATTCGAAACCCGCGGGGAATATAGCGCCGTCATCCGTCACTATTCAGTGCGGGAGCAATCACCAAAGTGCTTATCAGCTCAGGTAAACCACCCAGCCTGCATGTCCGCCATGTGAGGTCTCAGGCTATCCGGCCTTCTCCATCGGTCCTGTCAAGCTTTGTGGCCATGCATGAGGTCAGCGCTAAGACTCCGACCTGGATCAGCCCTGATGCACTGCAACCCAGACCGTCGAACAAAGCCGGTACGTGCATATCTGAAGCAGGCGACAGGACCATGGCTACTGCGCATAGCTTCACATGGATGCCTGAGCGCGCAGAGCATACCCCTCGCGAGGACCCAGCCCATACTGTGATACACGTTCAACTCGCTTCATATCTGCGACTCCAGGGACTGGAGACAGTCCAGCAGATCCATTATCCTTCATTCAACCCGCCCTCGAGATGTGCCTCTGCCAGCATGGTCAGAATCATTTGCCCTCCTGCTAACCTTCCCAGCAGTCCCAAGTCTCGAATGTTATGTCTGCTGCTAGTGTCTCTCGATGTGTGAACACCGCCCTCGGTCGGCCCTGAATCCATTTCCATGGCCATGGTCTTGGTGCCAATGTACCCGCAAGTGATATCCTCTGGCCGAACTCCTTGACGACTTGATTCGCAGCGAACTCGTCCAACAGATAAGAGACGAAGTACTTATGGGCAGAGATCATGTGCATGCAGCAAAGCCACCGCTCCTGCAGGTATTGGCGACTGATATTGGGGTTCGGAGTCGTCGTGCCGGGGCGCCGTGCGAGGGGCGAGCCCTGCGTTAGCTCGAACGTAGCGACAAGAGAATCGAAGGCGAGCTCTATGTTGATGGATATGACCGAGTTTTGGAACGCGTCAAGTTTCAGAGCGTGCTCTCCTTGCCTCGGTCATCGGGGTGCCGTGACAAAGACTATGCGCAAAACCTAAGCTCCTGTCTTTAATATATTCGGTCATTCTACCCATTGAATCTCATGTAGTGGTGAGCGCTGCCTATTTGAGCGCCTACGGCTCAGGCCAGACCTGTGCCGGCTGTTTGCTGCCGTTGTCTGTTGAACCCAGCAACAGTTCCTGGTTCCCTGTTCCGTGACTCAAAGAGCTGAGAGCAGCTTTATTTTACTTCATGGGCCCAAGAATGACATCAGGGCCGAGAGAAACTAACATCCGCACATAGGTGTTATTCGAATAACCACGGGAAAAGATTCGCCTAACCGGAAATTTTATTTCCTCGTGCGATATGCCAAAGGAGTGTGCTCTGGATTATACCAGGTCTCGCAGTTTGAGCGTCACCGACCTATCTTTGCAATTCCAGGAATACCCAGACATCAGAGTTTGGAAGGGCCTTGAGAAAAAAGCCAAAATTGATAAAAGGTCATTCCTGCAACACCACAGTCTGCAAACCCAAAAGGCGCCACGTAGATGTCCAGGATTGCCATATGTTACCACATGGCCATGGCTGTTTCAGGGAGGGATGCTCAGTCATCTGAGATCGAGTGTGTTAGCTGTCTGAACCTGAATTTATGGAAAACAGCAAGGGACACTCACGACACTGTTTGTTCCAGTCAAAGCTCTTTGGGCAATTTCCCGGAGCGTTCTTCTTGATGCACTGTCCATAACCCCAGCCCCTCTCGTGCTTCCCGTGGACCTCGCAATCGCCGTGGACACCAATGTACAGCTTCTTGCCGCACTCCCTCCAGGACGGATGGACGTCGATCTTGCACGAAGCCTTTCCCTTGCGGTATCTGCAAGGACCCTCGTGGCCACTCTTGTGCGGCCATTTCTTGTGGTTTTCCTCGGTGATGGGATGGGTCTGGACAATGACGTTGACGTCCGTGTACTCGCCCTTTTTGATATCCGGGTACTCGACGTGGAGATGCTTGCCCCGGAGCTTGACGCAGCACTTGCCAAGATGTTTGTTCTCGTGGCCGTAGACGAACTCGACGCACTTTTCATCCTTGTCCCACGTGCGAGCCTCGAGGGCATTCTCTGGCCCCAGGTCGAACTCAACAAAGGGTGTGGCAAGGGTTGTGGCAACAAGAGCCAAAAGTGAAAATAGATGGGAGCGCATATTGACTGCGGATTGGATTTATGGTGATGGGTGTATGGGTGGTAATAGTCTTGTTTGTGCCTCTGAGCTGGTTCTAATCATGTATAGTGTTGTGGACAATGCCATGATATTTATAGTTAAATTACTGCCTGTCTGGTGTCGTGTCTTCCATCACTCATCATCCCAGGAAACTCTTGACTCTGCGCGAATTCCCTCTGTCTCTTCTCCATCGACAGACTCCTGGTCTGTCGAGCGCAACCCAGAAACCATCATGACGTGTAGGCGGCACTCTGGCTTTGCCAAGTCGCATGAATTCTGCAGCCAGGTTGGAGTTGAAAAGTTGGTGGGCGCAGGTCTGTGCTGTTGGAGACTCTTGGCGACATGCCCGCACTTGAGGCAAAGTCAATGGATCGTGAAGTATCGCCCGTCGTCCTTGGGCGTCGACACGAAGAGGTTGCAGCCAGGGGGAGGGCAATCGAATGCCAAGCGTAATTCACCGTATAAGCCGCATTCTTGGCACGAGCAGAGTTGTGATGTGGCCGACCTTGCCTTATTTGAGCGACGTCTCGGAGAGTTTGGCCAGAAATCGGACTATCGTGGCGCAATCGATCAGATCTCAAACCTTCCTTCGCCTTAGCCTTTCCAGCGGCTTGAGCCACGTCCAAGAGCGTTCTCGCCCGACATTTTCCATGCATGCATTGTCTTTAGGGGCTTGGCAAAGAGCGAGAACCTTTTTGTCACCATCACAATGCTTTCTTCCCCCTTTGGGTGAGAGGTCCAGACCGATGTGGCGCTTGCCACCACGCGGGGTACAGTAGTGGCTGCTTCCCCAGCATCGTACCTCGATCTCGCAGGGGAAACTTACTGGCTGTGCCAATGGCGGATGGTTTTGAGCATTTTAAGCTGCGGCAGCGCCCGCCAAGGGGCCAGCTCACGTACGTAGCAGTCATCGCGCAGTAGCCCGGAATCTTGAGGCTGCTGTGCAAATCTGCCTGCGCGAATTGTCGTCCGGCGCTACCCATTTCCGCGGGACCGAAGCAATGCAATGACAAATGCATTCCCATTTAGTCCTTGATAGTTTCCTGACAGCAGCTTTGCTTAAGTGGCCGACCGAAAGACACACTATGAGGCCGTGGATCACCACTCAGATTTCGAAGCCTGCAGCAGGCTTAGAAACCTTACTACATCTCGCTTGACGATGCCAAGAGGCTTGCACGATATATGTGTTCTGCTGAGGTAGCCTAGCTGATCTCTGTTGAGGAAGCTCTCTTGTATCCGAGCGGTGACCCCGATCTAGCACACTCCACACCGCTGCAGCTGTGGCGAAGCGTACTAAGAAGACAACTGATTCGAATTATGGTTCAACTAGCACAGCTACGATGCTCTCTGCGTAGACAGTCGATCTGATTTCGTCCGCATTGCTAACGGAGTATTTCCCCCCCGGCCTTGTGACTAGGCACGTATGCTCTCCTCTCCCGGTGACACCCAACCTTATCCGTGCCCCTTTCCGCCAGCAACTATGCCTTATTCGTTATGTCCCTGCGCTCGAGAAAGCTGAACACGTCCTCCCGGGCCTTCTTCGCCTCGGGCACGTTCTGGTCCCAGTTGAAGCCGTGCCACATGCCCTCGTACACGAGCAGCTCCGCCTCGACCCCGGCGTCGCGCAGCCGCCAGTACATCCTGATCCCGCTGCTCATCAGGAAGTCCCGCGTGCCCACGGTAATGACGGTGCGGGGGAACGTCGACGGCTCGTACCCCGTGTAGTAGACCGGCGAGTACTCCGGGTCCTTGTCGTCGAAGCTCCCACCCGCAGCGGCCCCGTCCACCAGGGGCGGGTAGTTCTGCTGCGCCATGCTCCAGAGGAAACTGCCCGGCAGCACGTCACGGTCTCTTGCGTTGGACACGAGCGAATCGCCCGCGCCAGAGAGGTCTGCGGCAGGTGTGCACAGGTACAGTCCAGCTGTAGGCAGTGGCGTCTTGTCCATGTGAGCCCGGATAAGCATGGAGAGCAGGATTTGGCCGCCAGAGGAGCTGCCCTGGGCGTAGATATCAGCCGGGTCGATCGGGCCGCTGCCCCCTGGGGGACCCTGTTGGATCAGTGCCCGATAGACAGCCAGACACTGGTCGCGGGCCACGGGGTACCGGGCCTCCGGGGAGCGAGTGATGTCGGGCGAGTAGACGCGGACGCCGAGTTCGGCGGCGGTGATGAGGGCCGCGCGGTCCTGGGGGCTGCCGAGCGTAAAGCCGCCGCCAAAGACGTTGAACATGATCTTGTGCTGCTTCTCGGGGGCGATGAAGGGCGGCTCGATCACCACGACGGGCACACCCCCGATCGTGACCCTCTTGATGCGCAGGTCGTGTTTCTCGATGAGCGCGGCCTCTCCAGGAGCCATGTTGCTGGCGACAGTCTCGCGCAGGCTGGTGATGCGGCTCGGCATGGTGAGGACGCCAGAGAGCAGGCTGGCAAAGGGCAGATGCTTGAGCTTGGTCAGGAAGTCGACAGCCTCGGGGCTCACGACGGCCTTCTGGCCTTCAGTCATGGCGACCATGGTTGATGTTGTCTTTTGGAAACTCGTAAGACGCAGCGGTTTGAGTTTGTTGTCTGTTGTGATTGTGCAGTGAATGTACTTGCTGCCCTTGGGTCGAAGTTGAGGGGGCCAAATCAATGTGCGAAAAGTGGATGGTTTTATTCCTGCAAAATTCTACAATAGACTTTCGGCCCTCGCTTCCTGTGGTATGTTTCTTGCCTCTGCTTGAACTAGCACCTGTTTAATCCTGAATATCACCAAAGTGCTGTATCAGCCAGACGATTGAGGTCGAAGACCGTGCAAGACGCCAAGCTTCGTGGCTTGCTCCCACGATGGGGTTGGCTGACAGGGATCCTCACCCATGCAACATGGCTCATGGCTCGTGGCTTACCACCACATTGGGCTAGCGCGAGACTCTCGCCAGGCACCACCCGTCGGGGTCCCTTGCACTCTTGGGGGTCAGGAGCCGAGTCAGGGTCTAGCCGACCGAAAAAGCCAAAGCGCAATCATGCAATAGGTAGGATGTCCCGACCTCGTATGGTTTCGCCGCTTCTGGTGACTTGCGGCGATGCGAAGGTCGCTCGCGGGTAGGATGCCGGACATGAGAATGGACTTAAGCGTATGGTATGGGCAACAATATTTGTACAAATTACATGGCAGCCAGGCTTGGGATTGACCATGGCAGATTTTTCCAGCAAATATTGACACCAGTGCTCGTTCCAAGCCCATCACTACACCCAAGTTCTCCCATCTATCAACACTGAAAACAATGGCAGGCTCTACGACAGGATACCTGAGCGGCCTGTTCTCGGCGGCCCCCAAGACGAGCATCTCGTACAACCGCCTCGGCAAGTCTGGGCTCAAGATTTCCAAGGTCGTTTTAGGGGCCATGTCATTTGGCCACAAGGATTGGCGAGACTGGGTCCTTGAGGAGGCCGAGGCTCTGCCACTGCTCGAGCACGCTTGGAAATGCGGCATCAACACATGGGACACAGTCAGTGCTCTCTTGGTCCCCTCTTAAGTTTTGTCAGCTAACCAGCGACCCATCCCACCACGCAGGCCGACCTCTACTCGAACGGTGTTTCCGAAGAAATCATCGCCAAGGCCATCTCGACATACAAGATCCCCCGTGAGAGCGTGGTCCTCATGACCAAGTGCCGCTGGGCCACCAGCGGACCCGGGGAGCCCCAGATGTCGGTCTTTGACGCGACCAGCAATGACGGCCGGCTGGTGAACCGCCTCGGCCTGTCGCGGAAGCACATCTTCGACGCGGTGCAGGCGAGCGTGAAGCGGCTGGGCACGTACATTGACGTGCTGCAGATCCAGCGCATGGACCCGGAGGTGCCGCGCGAGGAGATCATGAAGGCGCTGAACGATGTCGTCGAGGCCGGGTGGGTGCGGTACATTGGTGCCAGCTCGGTAAGCCCAACTCTAATTAACGTTTTCAAGACCGGCCCCATGTGTACTGACAACAAATGACCTTGCAGATGCCCGCCTGGGAGTTCCAGGCTCTGCAGAACATCGCCAAGGAGCACGGCTGGCACCAGTTCGTCTCGATGCAGAACTACTACAACCTCCTGTACCGCGAGGAGGAGCGCGAGATGATGCCCTACTGCCGCGATGCCGGGGTTGGATGCATTCCTGTGAGTAATCCCAGCTCAATCGGCCCCTCACTAGCGGGGGGCTTCCCATGACCTGCCAGCACTGACGAAGAATGCCGTCATAGTGGTCCCCCCTCGCCCGTGGCGTCCTGAGCCGCCCCTGGAACGCCCTGCGCGAGGGCCACGAGTCGATCCGTGCCGCCTCGGATGTCACGATCCGGCACCTGGTCAACTCGTCCGACGAAGGCAACCCGGACAAGAACGTGGTCGACACGCTCGAGCAGGTGGCCAAGGCTCGCGGCCTGCCCATGGCCGTCATCGCCACCGCCTGGTGCATCGCCAAGGGCGTCAATCCGATTGTCGGGCTCAACAGCATCGCGCGCATCGACGAGGCCGTGCTTGCTGCCAACACGGTGCTCACCGATGAAGAGATTGCCCTACTGGACTCGGGATACCGGCCCAAGGCTGTTACTGGGTACTAAAGAAGGTCTGCCACATGAGCACGAAGACCAGCTACGTGTAGGAAGCCAGTAGATGTATTCCCAAAATATAAATCTATTCCGTAACAGCAATTCTTATGCCCTCGCGACCATCTGACCACTGGCAACACACTGCGCAAGCCAAGCCTGCTCCCCGTCGGGCAGCAAATTCTTCATCAGCGCAAGCACGGTCTGCAGCGTCGTCACGCCGCAGTACCCGAGCTGCCAGCAATACGGCACGGACATGGCAATGGACCGTGCCAGGCATTCATTCTCCCTGCCGTAATCCGTGCCGGCCGTTGTTGTTGTTGTTGTTGTTGTTGTTGTTGTTGTTGTTGTTGTTGTTGTTGTTGTTGTTGTTGTTGTTGTTGTTGTTGTTGTTGTTGTTGTTGTCGGGTCGCTGCTCTGCGCCGCCAGATCCACCCGGCTCATCAGGTCGTTGAGCATAATCATGTACGCAAAGTATGTGGTGATCATGGTCGCCGAGGCAGTGTCGTGGTAGGTGTATATCGCTTCCGCCGAGACGTCCGCGCCGGGCGAGTTCTGCGGCGTTGTGTGGACGAGTACAGGCTTCCGCAGGCCGTCCTCGTACGAGGTGAAGGCCTCGCACCACCGGATCCAGTCGGCCTGGAGCTTGGTCGCGTCCATATACGTGTTATGATCGTCGCATTCAGGTTGCTTGGCCTGGTGGAGGACGTTGGCCAGGCGGGCGGCGAGGATGAAGAACTCGTCGCCTAGTCCCGCGAACCGTGGCAGAAGGGGGAACTCGATGAGGCCAGGGGGCACTGCTCGCCATTCTGGAGAGTCGAGAAAGGTCGGTGTGCCGGACAGCAACGCTTCTGTGGTCTTTGCGCGTGGGGAGATGCACGTCAGTAGGGAGCAACAGGGTCAAGTTTCATGAGGGCACCAACTCACCAGGCCAGACCGCATAGCCAGAAACATGGAGTACTCGAATGCAGATTCGTAGCAGTGGCTCGGGCCACGCAGTTTGATGAGGTGGGCAGCACCGCCGGCATGCCGAACCCATGCATTGTCAACGCTGGCCACAGTCTGTGCATTGTGAGCCTTTGTCAACGTTACCCATCCACCCCTCCTCGATCATGTACTGACCTCGTAGTAGCCCAGCAGCATCGTAGCCGCCACAACCTCTGCCGACAGAGCCGTATCCGGGCTGGCCACGGCCGACCGCAGGGCCCGGAGTGCACGCCCATAGGCATACTGAGCTCGGTGGTAGGCTGTGGGGTCCTGCTGGGAGAAATAGACAAGCGCCAGCGACATGGATGCACAGTCGAGAGCCTCGCTGTGGCCAAACTGGGTGGGCACGTGCCACAGCCAGCTGCCCATGTACGAGCCAGACGCCGATCCCAGGGGAAACATGGAGGCGACAAAGGAGGCCAGAAGCTGCGACTGCTCGAGCTTTGGGGATCGGGGCTGGGACACCAGCATCGCCTTGGTGCTCAGGCGGAGGTGAGGTGGAGATGTGCCAGGACTCTGGCTCTTGTTCTTCGTGGTGGAGGCTGTCGACTTCTTCCGGGCCCGGCGCAGTCTTGGACCCTCGTCGACAAACATCATCCCACGGTCGTACCCAGGGCAGTCGCGGTCGCCCTTGCGGCATTGGCCGCATGAAGGGCGTACCTCGTCGCACTACCGGTGTTGGCGAGTCGTCAGTCCGCAAGTCTCGGCCGAGCCTCAATGGCTTTTCTTTTTAATTTAAAATGTGTGACAAACCTTGACAGCTCGCTTGAGGCACAGCGCGCAGCCACGACTCCGGGGGATTCCAACCATGGCGGAGAGTCTAGAGGTAGATACAGACTGATCACGCTCGAGCAAGCTGATCAGGTTGGCGAGAAGCGAACTTGATGGACCTGGCGACGACGTATAAAAAAGACCAAAAAGCTGGACAGGGGCTGATTAAGGCCCCACGGAAATAGCGGCTATCGCCGTGCCTTATGAGGTGGCCGAGTCCCCCCACTTGGAGCAGAACTACCGGCAGCCATTGACAACTGTAGGGCGCGCGCAGGGCTTCATCACGAACACGCCAACAGGGACCCATACACCCACACCGGCAGGGTTCTCAGAAGCTATAATAGTCCGCCTTTCCAATTATAGATAACCATAGTTCGGCATGCAACCAGGGTCCGCTGCATAGGGCTCAGGTCAGCAATGAGCATGGTCATGTTCACTCTCCGCGGCTTGCTCCATTAGGAATATGAGCACGGAGCCCGCTGGTGCATGTGGTGCCGTGCTATCGAGATCAGAATGAGTTCATGCGCTAGTCGTGCGTCATGTTGGTCCTTGCCTTGCGGCAGCCACCATCACGAGCCCACATCGCCACCGTGGTTGGTTTCTGCCGATCAAGGCCGTCGACGGCATGACCTGCAGCATCTTCCCCCACAGAAGATATTAAAACTCCATATGGAATGAATGGTAGGGGACAGCCATAAGATGGTGCCAGAGTGCAGAGGGCTTGCCAAAGGCGGCCTGCAACAATGGCTGGTCGCCCTGGCATGAGTGTCATGGTTCACGGGTGCATGTCTTCATCCTGAGGTGTGCACCCCACGAAAACACTGCTCTTGGGTCCCTCCTCAGTATCTTGGGTCCCTCAGTAGTTTCGGCGCTGATCCAAGCCCCATTCTAGTGCATGGGGCACCGCCTAAACACCGCCGCCAGGGCGGTTGAACCAGGGCCTCGCAAGCGTCATCACAGGATGAACCCGGAAGTGGTGCTCTTGCCGGACATCTGAGATAGTCAGCACCAGCGCATGCGGGACCAACAGCAAACAGGACAAAGACTGGCGCCCGCATTATTGTTTTGGTTCCAGCTTCATGATTCCAGCGCAGTGGCCAGGCACTTGCTGGTCAAGTCCTCTCCAAGGCTGGTTTCTGGTGAGCCATTCGCACGCCAACAATTTCTCAGGCCGAGGCGGATGTCCTGGATAGCGAACAAAGCCGTAGAGAGGAGATGCAACGTACTTCGACGCAAAGCTTTCCTGTCTGGCGAGCCTCCACAACGACGCCCTTGGCAACTGTGCTGGCGTGGCAGTAAGGGCACGCGGCGAAGATTAGATCTGGAGCAAGATAGCCTGGTCTGGGAGCCTGGATAATTCTCGCGTGCCTCTATCACGGGATGGACAAAGGCAGACATTGGGAAGGAGGTATCAATTACGTGAGCTCTGTCTATTTCTTTCTGCAGGAACACTACAAGTACAATTTCTTCGCACGGTGACCAGACTCCAAGACTGTGACAGATGCCGTGTCGTGAGCTGTCGCTGCGTTCCTGGGATGATGCCACCAGTCCACCAAAGCAGCCACTGTGTCATCCACTGGATCAACCGCCAAATCGCCAAAGCCTCAATGCTGCGTCTTGCTTTTTAGTAGTGTACATGGGCAGCACTTTGGTCGCCACCACCGAAAACCCGACCCATCAAGCGCCTGGGCCCTCCGGACGCGTGGCCGGACTCTCGGACGGACGAGGGGTAGGATAGACGGCGTCGTTCTTGGGGCTCTTCACCTGCTAGGTCTGTGCTTCATCGGGACGGCTGCTGTCATTCCGCATGGGGGTGTCGTCCGGCGAAACGGTGCGAGGATCCTGTCCCATTTTGATTTGTGCCTTGCCCGTGCCCTCGTCATCGCTACCGCACCCATGCACGTGAACATCTTCCTCCTGCGAAGAAGACGTTTCGAGCTGAGAAGAAGTCTCAATCTCGGTGTTGCGCGAAGGGCGATAGCCGTCGGCGTAGATGGCCTCGTCTCGTAGGTCATATTCATCCTGGAAGTCCCTCCAAAAGGCCTCCGTCAAACGTCAGCGTATGGGAGCTGGTGCGCTTGGGTGAGACAGGGAGCCAAGGCGGTCTCGGACAGGGTGAGGAATGGCCGAGTCTCGACCAGGACACTCATAACAGCACCAGGAGCGGTTCAGTCTCTTCACACTGCCCACTCCTGCACAAGCTGCTCAACCCTGTATCCCGTCGCCCAACCCGTGTCTCGTTCAATGTCCTCGATCAGCTCCCTGACCACCTTCTGGTCCCGCCGGTCTGACATGCATCGCCCAGAGTAGTACAGCGGTTGCAGCATGTGGATCCTCGTCGAGTCGTCCGGCCTGCCTAGGGCAATCGAGCAGATATGCACCGCGTGGCCGAATAGCTGCGTCTGCATGGTCTTGTACGTAGACAGGAGATCCTGCCGATGTCTACGAGGTGCTCTGGGGTGGCTCCCGCTTGAAGCAGTGTCATTGCTCGCATCAAGGAGCAGCAGCAGCTCTGGCGGTCGGTGCAGCAGCATGAGCATCCGCGCCATGTGATATGACTGCATCGTCGACGCGCACATGCTGTTGCTGTACCATGTCTCCGTATCCAAACTGGGCGAGAGCCGTGCGACTCTGACCTGTGTCGACGGCTGGAATGTGTCAGGCAGGCTGTCGTGCCATCGCGTCAGCTCTACGTCAAGCATCCGCCATGTGTCGTGGAGACTTCTGCTTCCCAGCCCACCTGCAGCAGCAGCGCAATCGCCCTCTGCCTGTTCCTGTTCCTCATCCGACGCGATAAAGTTGCCAATCTTACACAACAGCCAGACCAGCGTGTTAGCTACCATGTCATCTCGGAGCGGAGGATCGGCATCCAGCATCGAGACGAGGCCCATCTCGTCCAGCGAGAGGCCCATTGCTCGCCACATCTCGAGATCGTTGATATTAAGTCGCGTGTGTTTGCAAGAGATGACTGCACAGTTACTTAGTTGATGCCATTTGACGCACTAGAATGAGAAATACAACTCACTTGATGCCAGAAAGTCCTGTCGAGCAAAGTTCCAAAACGCAGCCCTGAGTGCCTTGGGCGGTGTCGGCGCGGCAGCAGCAGGCCGCGGCGATGGCTGGAATTGAAACAATAGCTCCTGGTTCGTCAGCCTGAGCAGCGACTGCGTCCCGTCAAGATGTCTCGACCAGCCCGTCGTGGTGGCGCTCAGGAACTCGTAGATACACAGGATCGTCGCCGCGACGATTGTCTCGTCATCGTATCTCCGGTTATAGTCGTCACGCCTAGCCCCCCCGGTGTTGCCATCCTCGTCTGAGATGGCCTGCATGAGCAGCGAGATGCTCTTGTCATAGTACTTCATGCCGTACCACATGTAGTCGGATGCGCTGGTGTCGCTGCGCGGCCACGTCTCCATGCTGGCGAGTCTGTGGGAAAGTCCGCCAAAGACTGCCTTGCGCCCGTTAACGCGGCCGAGCTGCTTCGCCGCCAGAGCACAGGCTGCGTACTTGACAAGAGGATTGCTACGAGCCAAGACGGGCACCTGACGACTGTAGTAGCAGTCGAGGTCAAAGAGGTCCATCCACCGTCCGGCTGCCTCGGAGAAGTGTCTGAGGAAGAAGCTCACCTCACGGTCCTCTTCCTCACTTTCATGAGGTGAGTTCAGAGGCTGAGGGGTAGATGAGGTGTTCTGCCGACTGAAAGAGGGTATGTGCAGGGGAACATTCTCTGTCGATGGTCTGATCGAGGGTCGATATTCTAGTTGGCCTTCGTCTTGAACTTGCATATCTTGCACCGCATTTTCGTTGCTCTTGTCTCGATCAGGCAGGCCATGATTTGAAGTAGGGCCGCGAACTTGCGTTGAACCAAAAGACTTGCGCCTCCGACTGCTTTTGCTGGCACCACATACCACCTCCGATGACGTGGTGTGTGGTCCAGCCTGCAGCGGAGGCGAGTCGATGGGTGGCAGCCTGATCCACGAGTTCTCCGTCGTCGTCGTGCTTGACCTTGACGAGCCAACAACCGTGGCCCTCCGCTGGATGGCTGGGGTCGCTAACTCGGGTGACGTCGCTGACCGTGGAAGCTCACTGGAAAAGGAAGCTCGGTGGAGGCGGAACATGCCCGTGGTCGAGTCACAGCGCCTCCCCGTCCTCGAGCACTCACCGCATGACGGAAGCTGCTCGTCACACTTGATCCTGCGCTTGCGGCAGTACGCACTGGTGGTGATTAGCCTGACCAGTCAAACGGGTATGTGGATATCTGACGGCTACTCACCAGCCACGCCGCGATCTTCGGGTGACCTTCGCCGGCCGTTCGTCAGGAGTAGACGACATGACTGCCGGACGTGAGGAGACGCATTTATTCACTCGGCGCTGTGCGGCCGATGGCGAGACGTATCTGTACCAGTTTCGGAAAGGGTCTCTGCGTCGACAGCTTGTTCTCGGGGCGAGGGGAGCTCGTCGAGATGCAGTGGAAAACGAGCATATATGTACACGGTGGCTGCGGAAGACATCCGTTGTGGGTCCACATTAACCCCGCATCTGCTGCCTTACACACGGCCCCGGATCTAGCGACCTGGACGTGGGCCTTCCCCGCAAATCTACTGTGTTCTGACTTGCGCATCAAAAGCCAGTCATTCACGAGTAAATGTTCAAAGATGCTCGATTAGCTTGCTTCAATTCCTCGACCACTATCATGCGCGCCTACAGTAGGCATGTTGTGCTCAGCGTATCTTCCCAGACCCGGAAGGCATCTATGGTCCCAATCACTGACACCCATCAAGACCGGTGCGACGCAACTGGACGTAGCTTCTCGTCACTAGTTTCCTGCATTTGCTTAGCATCCATCCGGTGCGCTACTTCATTGTCTGCCTCCTCGTATATAGTGGGGCGGGCGAGTTGAGTTGCCAACTTGTTACGGAACACAAAGACATTGTGGTTGTCCGCAAAGAAGCGATCAATGTCCTCGAGCGTTCGGTTGGCAGTCTCTGGGTAGAAGAAGTACGTCGTTGGCACGAAGCTGGCGCAGATTACTGCCCAGACGATCCAGAACTTTTCATGTTGTTAGTTCGAAAATCGAAATTTCGGTCCATCACGAGCTTCAAGAAGGCTGCCTCTCACCTTATACCCGAGATTCTCGATGCCTGGAGGCGTGATTTGAGCCACCATGTAATTGAAAATCCAATTCGTAGCCATCGCCAGACTTGCTCCCTTTGCCCGGAACGCCAGGGCGTTGATTTCGGTCGGGTAGAGCCACGGAACACCCAAAACACCCATCGCGAAGGAGGCGAAGAAGACGAAGAAAAACGATACGGCGACGATGCCCAGCTTATAAGGATCGCCTCGGCCAGTCTCCGAAAGGCCCAAAGCGATGGCAATAATAGTCCAACATAGGGCGCAGCATGTGGCAGAGACCATCATGACTTTCCGCCGGCCGTAGCGTTCGATGACGAAGTACGCCAGAAACGAGAAGAGCAAGTAATCCATGGAGCCAGCGGCAGCGAGGATGCGTGCCAGAAGCTCGTTAATGCCGATAGCGTGGATGAAAACATACTGACGACTGATGTCAGGTTTGGATGTCCGGGTTGACCAGTAAGGAGAGGTGACAGAACTTACAGTCATATAATAGGAAGTTACGTTGATGCCACTGATTTGGTTCATCGCCTGCATCCAAGCGCCGAGAATCATCCGGCGGACTACACCAGCAGGACCTCTACCCGTAAATAGCTCCCACCACGTATACTGGACCGCGTACTCGGTATCCAAGACGCTTTTGATGATGGAGAACTGCGTCCGGACGGAAGAGGACTCTGGCGTGGCGCCATTACCCTCGAGTGCAGCCAAAACCTCGCACGCCTCATCGTAGCGACCTTTACGAATGAGAAGGCGTGGAGAATCGGGTAAGAATGGGCACATGAGGCAGATGAGGAAGGAGAAGACTAATTTTGCCACAAGTCAGCTCCCACATCGTCTTTCTTGTGCTCTCATTCGCCACTACTGTGTCGTCCAGGGCGTTCGGGAAAGGTGGGGAGAAGGGGGGGGGGGGCGAACTCACATATCTGGAACGCCAGTGGGAACCGCCACGAAACACTTCCAGGCGCAAATGAGAATCCTAACGTTAACCAATTGGAAATTGCGAAGCCAGTTATACAATTGGCCATTTGAATAATGATCAATTTGCCCCGGCTTCGTGCTTTTGACGTCTCGCTTTGCCAAACTCCGGCAGTGGCTGATTTTGTGTTCACTTGTTAGCCAGATGCCAGCCAGCGAAATCGATTGCAGTGGAGACGGTTCTCCACTGTGACTCACCTGTATTCATGCCTGTTCCGAGCCCAGCGACGACACGGCCGACATACATCTGCGCAGCGGAGTACACCGAGGCTTGTATGACAGCGCCTATAGCGATAACGGAGCTTCCGACGATCAGAGTTTTTGGACGACCCAACTTGTCACCGAACCATAGAGTCGAGAGAGCACCGGCGAAGCAACCGAGATTGTAAACACTAGTCATAGTACCCTGTTGGGCGGCGTCTGGGTTGCCAACCGTATCGAGGAAGTCTTGCTTGACGAGGACATTGCCAAAGACGCCCTGTGCGCACGACAAGTATCAGTCATCTGGCCATGAACAGATACACACGATCTCAAGGGAACAGACCTGGTCGTAGCCGTAGAAGATAAGCACCGTGCTGGCGGCAAGCGAGATCCACACGGTAAGAGCATGGCCAGAACCGCCAAGGTACTTGGCCTTCTTGGCCTCATTGCCAAACAGGCCCATGTTTTTTGGTACTCAGTCGAGCGCTGAAGGTTGATGTGGGTGATGAAATACAATCAATGTTCGTCGAGAATGGATATCTCTGACGAGGAGAAGACAAGATCGTGCCATCGAGAAACGTCAACAGGTCGGTGCACACTCTCTCCTTTTATACAGCGATCGACATCAAAGCTTGACTCGGCTCCCTGACGCCGATCCATGCCGGCCATCCAGCGACACACAAAGTCCCCGGCTATTTCCACCAAGACCACGCTTACCCCGCGCAACCCGCTTTTCCCCAGAAAACCGGCAGTCGTGTTTCCCCGCGAGTCCACTATGGAGGAGCTAAGAGTGCCGTCACTATGAGCGGGGATACTGTTTTGGGCAAAACAGGCTGAATTGCCGCATTCAGCAACTTAGGCAGCGCGCCATGTTCTCCAACACGCGTGGCCAGCCCCTCGAACGAGACCATCGTTGGACACATCTGCTTGTGGTCTGTAATCATGCAGATGTAATCAAGCTAGACTTGGCTAGAGTTCCCAAAACCATCGATTGTCATAGACAACATTACCCTACAATTGCTTCAACTCTAGCCGGCATGTCATGAGGCTACTCTTGAGTGGGAGGATAATGTGCAAATAAGCTCTCAACGATGCTGTCTACTTAGTCTGAAGGTCTACACAGCAAGAAGCGGCCTGACAAAGTACATGACTGCAGACATAATCATCCACCACACTGTCACGGCGCCCAGAATCTCCTTGCCGTCCCTCGACATATAGACTACATCCTTCCTGGGGATAAAGATGCTGCGCAGCCAGTAGTGCCACTGCCAGTGCGGGTATACCATCAGGTTCTTGGCCGTTTTGGGCTCGACATACCAGTTAGTACACCCCGTGGACCAGACGAGCTGTCTCGCCCGGTCCTGGATCCACGCGTTCTCCGCTGTCTCGGCCTCCTGCCTGATCTCGACGGCCGCCACTTTGTGCTCGGGAGAGCGCAAGATGGGGTCGAGCATGCGCAGAGTGAAGTTGATCTGGCACTCGCTCGAGTAGATGACGGAGAGATGGCCGTTGACTGTGTTGGGTCCCATCATGACGAAGAAGTTGGGGAAGCCGGCGATGCAGGTGCCGTAGTAGGCCTGCGGAAAACCCTGGTTGTGTTTGTCCCACTGCCAATAATCCAAATGTTAGTTCTCACTAACCTCGAGAGAGCGGTAATTGCTGGACGTACGTGCTGGGTTATGGTGACTCCGCCCTTGCCAACGATGTCAAGTGGTGACAAGAGCGTTGTCGTCTCGAAGCCCGTGGCAAGCACAATGGCATCGACATCCAGTGTCCTCCCAGACCGAAAGACCACGCCCGTCTTGGTGATTCGCTCAACCCCATCATCCGACACAAGCTCGACATTCTTGCGATGCAGACACTCGAGATACCCCGTGTCAAACACCCGCCGCTTGCACCCAACTTCAAATTTCGGAATCAGCGCGTCGACATACTCGGGCGGCGCGTTCTCACGGATGTACTTCTTCGACGCCTCGCCTAGCTTCTTCCGCGCCTCGATGCCCGTGTCCGTCTCAAACATGGTCCACTCGGCCTCGAGCTCGGCATATATCTTAGCCCGCAGGAGTCGCATCACTCCCGGGACACGCATGAAGAGCTGGAAAGCCCGCGAGTACGTCGGATTTGGGCGCTCCAGGAGCCAGTGTGGCTGGCGGGCGACTTGGACGACGCGGTTGGCAGTCTGGGCGACGACGGGGACAAACTGCGTGGCGCTGCAGCCGTTGCCTGTGATGTTGAGGTTAGCTGGGGTCAATCACTACCAAAGGCTCCAGACAGAATATTTCGCAAGACAACTCACCGAGAACCAAGATATCCTTCCCAGCGTGGTCAAACTCGTGGTCCCACCGCGCCGAGTGAAAGAGCCTGCCCTGAAAGTCGTCATACCCAGGGATATCGCACTTCTTCGGCACGCTCAGCGCGCCGACCGCCGAGACCAGCGCCCTGCAGGTGCGCTGAAACGTCCTCTTGGCCGCGAGATCCCGGATCGTGACGATCCAGATCATCCTCCGCTGGTCCCAGACCGCCCGCTCGACCATGCACTGCAGCCTCGTGTGCCGCGGCAGGCCGTACTGCGCCGCCACGCGGTGGAAGTAGTCGAGGATCTCGTCCTGCATGGTGAATTTTCGGCTCCAGTTCGGATTGAGGGCAAACGAGTACGAGTAGAATTGGCTCGGCACGTCGACGCCGCAGCCCGGGTACGTGTTGATGGCCCACGTGCCACCAATGTCGGCCGTCTTCTCATAGATCTCGAAGCGCGTGGCGCTCGAGGCGTAGTGGCGGCACAGCTGGGCGGCCAGGCCTATGCCCGACATGCCGCCGCCAATGATGAGGACGTCTGTGTCTGCCGACATGATGGTGGCGTGACCGCAGTGCTGAGAGGCAAAGTGTGGTAGTTTGACGGCTTGTGGGACAAATGATAAATGCAAACCGATTTGCGAATGAGGAACTTCAAAAAGAAGAGAAGTCTATCTGGAGTAAGATCTTTAAATTTCAGTTCGTGTCGACCTCTTTGATCTGCGACCAGACTGCGCCAATCTGTACAGATTGGGCCGAGAAACTTATTTTCCGTGGCTATGCCACCACTCTTATCTCTCCAATAACCTTGATCCGACATGCACTGAGCAAGACAATCAGTCATGAACTTCTGTGCCAGCGATGCCGTTCTCCACAACGCCTAAATTGCCTCTTTGGGCAACCCGTACTTTCACCCCGTCCCCGTGGAGGCCCGGCATAGCTGCCGGCTAGCGCACCGGGGGTGAAGACGATCATCACACGTGGGACGAAAGTGGTCTGGTACGAGTTCATGACAGCAGGGTGGAGATCGATTCCAGACAAACACACCATCAAGCCCATCACAACAAGGACAGGGGCAAAAGCACCAGCCCCAGCAGCAACAGAGCAGAACACATGTGCGCCTGAAGAGCGTGCGCATCAGCAGCCTGACACCATATCACGAGCTCCTCCCCTTCTTCCGCCTCGGCGCAATTCGACTACACGTTAGAGGACATCACACTCAAGCAAACCGTTCCTTGCCCGCCGCTTCCATCATCGTCGAATCCGTCCTCCCCTTCCTGCGGCAGCGTACAGGAGGCGGAACCAGCGCTGCCACGCCCTACACCCTCAATTACGCCCGCGAATGTGCTCAGCCCGAGCATCCTCGATTGCGGTCTGTCTCGACATGCACTCTCGCTCAAGACGTCGAACTTGAGCGGATGCTGGCGTTTCAGGCTCAGATGATGGCTGGAATATTCCAGCTTCGGTAAAACATCTCCGGATTACGGATCACGTTAATTTGCTGCGGTGCGCATACTGGGCGAGGCAAGGGGAATATGCCTCCGGGGACGGCATCTCGGGTGTCGCGCGCCTACATGACAGTGGCGATGACATGCCCAGCATCGAGAGCGGTGACGGCTCCTACGGACAGGAGCTGGCTGTAGTGGAGGATATCGTGAGCACGGAGCTCCATCAGTACATTAGTCACGGGAGTATGCAAGAGGCTGAACACCAGAGCGGCCATCTGGCAGCAGATCCAACACCGCGAGTTAAGTTTGCGCACAAGGATCGTCGCGCACTGGTTCTGGAGTTGGGCGATCTGTGTTTTCCGCCGTGGGTGTGAGATACGAAGTCGTCTGTGATGGGAGTGCTAGGGCTTACCTAAGTCGCAAAAAGATTGCCAAACAGAGCACTCCCTGGAATGCCCTGCCAGCTCGTTATCAGTCTGCCTTGCCAAGCCCCTGCAATATGCATGCTCGGGTGACGTGGAGCTGACAGCTTTGACCCCACCGTTTGCATACATTTGCGGCTGAGAGCCTCGCGATTCTGCGGTGGTTGTCCCAGATATCTTCCTGCTTCTCATTCTCTCCAGTCATTTCGTTCTTCATGATACATGCGACGCCATGCGACGTCACCTCAAACGCGACTAGGTTGACCGATTTAGCACGTTGCAACTCTCCCGACTCGACATGCGCCTCCTCGAACACCACGGCAATCTCGGTATTGCGCACACGAAAGACTATGACGCGTCTGAGATCCCCCCCTACGCCATCTTGTCACACACCTGGGAGGACGGCCAGGAAGTCACCTTTGAAGACATCAGAGATCGGGAATCCCGCCGAAAGTCCAAAAAAGGTTGGCGCAAAATCGCCTTCTGTGGAAAGCGAGCAGCCAAGGACGGATTACGACACTTTTGGATCGACAGCTGCTGCATCGACAAGACCAACGAGGAGGAGCACCACGGCGCAATAAACTCCATGTACGAGTGGTACCACAAGTCTAGCGTGTGTTACGCCTACCTCACGGACGTCACATCAATCCACGACCTGCCGCACAGCCGATGGTGGACCAGAGGATGGACCTTGCAAGAGCTTCTTGCGCCCCGCTGCGTCTTGTTCTTCAATCGCAGCGGTGACTGTCTGGGCGACAAGGACTCCCTCGAGGACCTCATAGTCAGGCGTACTTCTATTCCGCCCAACGCCTTGCGCGGGTATCCGTTCCAATCTTTCGACATCGAGCAGCGGCTGTCGTGGATCGGCGACCGACAGACAAAATATCCCGAAGATCTCTACAACTGTCTGCGAGGTATCCTGGGGGACGACTGCGCCAGCCGTTTCGCGGGAGGCCGCCAGCTTGCTCTACAGAGAGCCGAGCGGGCCTTTAAACTCGACCAGATTCGCAAACAGCTGACAGGCAATCCAGCTCAAGTGCCTTTACACCGTCGGTCTTCATTTCCGGTACCTCCGTGCCGCCACCACGGGGCGCCATATCCAGCTGCTCCCCAATCAACGCCAATACCACAGCCATGTTCACCGGCTATTGCCAACTACGCGCCAAATTTCGTAGTCACTCTGGATGATCTCAGGGACGCCCCATCAATGCCACCGTCGCTGCCACCACCACATCCAGTACTTCCTGACTATGGCCCTCTCGTCGGTGACCGTCGACGGGCGCGACCGCCAGTCATGGGCGACCGAGAAACACGCCAGACACAGCTACAGGCTGACATGGGCCAAGACCGGGGCATGCAACAAGCACATGGGCACCCGAACCAAGGCTTGCCGAGACAACACCCACAAAGTCGGCCTGCGGTCAGGCCGGCTGTGCAGAATCATGTGACAACAAGTATTCTCCATCCAGCCCCGGGCATTTCTGTTTATATAAACGGTCAGGTTTATATATACGGTCAGCCATTGGAACCTGGAGCATCTGTGGTCCGCCGGGCCACCACCAAAGGTATAAAAGTCGCCGGTCAACAGAAAAGGCAGATTCCATCAAGCCGCCCCAAGGATCCCTTGGTCACTATCCATCATCCGCAGGCGCCGCCCGCGCCATGCCCAAATGGCGACCCCGGGAGCGGTAATGTACATAGGGCAATGCTACGTATGATGCGCCATTCGAGCCGGCACGAGCTAGCGAGCGTCTCCAGTCAGCCGAACATGCGATCAAAGGTGACCGATTTGTCCTTTGATGGCCGGAATGCCGTACAACCACTTGATGCTGCTCTCTCAGCGCAACCACTCCCAGTTTGTAAGTAGATTTGCATGCTCGAAGTGTCATCAGTCAAAATAATGTCTCCGGGATCGGAAAGGGAAATGGCGTGTGTTGGCCCGCCCATCGTGGCCTTTGCAAAACCCCCGAATTCGTCTCCAGGAACGCTCAGCTGACATCTTCTCGCTACAGCTGCAACCAGTCGTCGCTGGTCTATCACCGCCACCGACGGCGACGCCAGAAGCACCAGAAGCAGCCCGGGGATTTCAGATCCCCTGCCTTATGCCCCCGATTATGATCGAAGCCGAAGCCTGGAACAACTTCCTCACGACGTTCTCGACGCACGGACGGGACCATATCCAGACGGGTACCGGGACGCGTACGGCTTGCCGCGCCCCGGCCTGCCAATACCACCCCAAGACAATGATCGACCTTATGTTGAGGATATGCTGAGTTACAATCGTGTATTAGAGGGTCGTCATGGCTCTGGGCGGCTGCAGCGTCGAGACTCTTCGGCCGACCGGTTGCTCCTCAGCAACCACCCGATTTTACTATAAGTGGATTACGTTAATAGTTACTACCTTAAGGTAACCTTGAAAACAACAACCGAGTGATTGCGAACGTACATTGCGGTCAAGGAATACCTCGTGCTAGATTTGTTCCTGGGTCCGAGTCTAGAACTGACTTAGTGCATGGCGAAAGTTCATGGGAATGCTCACGCCATGCAGCCAATTATGCAGCAACCGCCCAGACCAAATATAGAGATCTGGGCTCCACTGGACCCGCTGCGAGCAGCCACGATGACAAATAAGCACTAGAGGGGGGTTGGATCTTGATGCACCAGGCGAAGGTGGAGGATATAATGTCCTAATTGATTACGCACTGCGAGTGGAGCGAGTCGGTGTAGTCTGCTCACTCGGAGCCAGCGCCGCTGGTGCAGGTAGCGGTGGTACAGAGTTTAGTAACAGTTCGGAGATGACGACGACCGAAGGTAGTGAGCAGGAGGCTGTCCCTGTAGGCTGTGGTCGAGTGTGGTCGAGTGTAATATTGTGGCGCCAGGGTCTTTGGTAGCCACACAGCCCGTCAATATTAGCGCGTATCCTTCGCGCCCTTGGGTCACCCACACTAGTCTGCCTCCGGCATGTGAGACATTCGGGGACTGCCCCGGTACGCAGAAGTCATAGGTTTCTCTGCAAATAAGGTTTCGAGCGTGGTGTAGGCGACCCTTCGCCCTTCTGTGAAGCGGGACGAGGAGAAGGATTCAAGCCCCAGTATCTCCTTGTGGCGCAAAATCCATGGGTGAGGATAACAACATGGCTGGCCGGTTATCGCATGTACGGACTACACCAGGCGATCATTATTTTGTGTGATGTGTCGAACGCCACTCTCCAGTCTGGTGCGAGGAAGCTGCTCCTTCTATGCAGATCTGCACTTATTTGGCGTTCTCACAGTGGGTTGCAATCTTCGCGGGATCCCGATGCTGGTCGCACTTGTTCAGCGTGTTCCAGACACCTGTAAATGCACGGCTCCTGTCAGATGCTAGCTCACCAGGCGGGACCAGTCCACTCAGTAATTAGCCCAAAGTACAGAGCCTGACCCATGCCCTGGTGTCTTCGCTTGCATGTTTGCAGCCACCGAGGGCTGAGAGCCATCCTTGGACGTGCTGGAAGAACCGCAAGCTTCCTTCCCGCCATGCATCTCAGACGTTATTTCATTGTCCGACCAGAGAAGGAGAGAGCGTGATAGAGCATACCTGCAGATACGTACCACGCACTTGGCGCTAGTTTCTAGACAATGTTGTCGCCTGCCACTTCACCCAGCTTTGCAGCTCACTCCAACAATTCAACGGACGCCATGACGGCACCCGTGGCTGCCGTGTATGGCAACCCAACACGCTGAGCCTGAGACGCTGGGTTCTGCATGCAGCTCACGATGCTGACAGCATATGCATTCTGGAACGAAACCTGGACGGCCTCCACCGACCCGGCCCTGGATCGGCTGGGAAATGAAGCGGCTGAGCCGTGCTAGCAGGAAACTGTCACGGTCAACTTGGAAGCTCGGAGGCCTTTGAAGGAATCGAGAGGCTTGAGCTTCCAACCCCTGACATGGGGGTCTACGAGGTGGGTCTTGCACGCACGACGTTCTAATGAATGCACAGATGGCGTCAGCCAGATCTGAACCCCGGGCTCATCGGATCAAACGAGGCTTGGCGGAAGCTTGGTATTCCCTGCTATACCGTGTGGATCATCCCTTCTTGCCGTTAGGATTTGTCGTTACACCACAACAACTGCTGTTATGGCATTGGGTCCCGTTGCGCAGCGCTCACCAACAGAAATGTCACGCGTGCGGATCATTTGTTTGCAGCATCGGGCACGGCGCAACTCAGGCTTCTTGATTCTGACTATCCACAAACGAACGGTGGAAGCCGATTCACGAGAGCATGGGGGAATATGCCGTCATAGCACCGAGTGGTCGGGCCAGCATCCGGTGGCCGTGTCAGCATAGTCCGCTGTCTGCGCAGAAGAGAAAATAGAAACATTTTCTATTCATGGCTTAGTGATGACACTAAGTCTCGGTGGCGCCATATAGGTCGTAACGACCAGCGAATCGCCTCAAATGCGCGGTCTGCATGAACTAGACCTTTTCGGGTTCCTAAAAGTGGCGCTTGCATGGTGCAGGCCCGCAGAGCCAATGATTAGTTTGAGCAGGCTCAACGTCGCGACTCTGTTCTTCGTGTTTGGATTAAGGGCCCTGTCAGGTGCTAGCCAGCAGGTTTATTCTCGGCATCAGCTGAGCCTGCATGGCGGAGATGACTTCTCTGTCTTTTGGATTCCAAGAGGTGTTTGGCTCTAGGCCTGGAAATGTCCGACACTATCTGTACGTGTACTAGCATACATGGTGATCGGCCTGAGTCTCGCCGCTCACATCCGCAATTTCAGGGCTGAGTTTGAGACGAAGAGGCCCCTGCTAGCCGGCTGTTTCAGCTCCTCGACACTAATTCCCTTCGTTCCATTGGGCTTGGGCCAGGACTTTGGCTTCGAACTTGCATGCAAACACTCAGCCCCTCCCCTCAGGCAGCCTAATTGAGTTTGGTCGAGGGACAGAGGGAGCACAGGGGTGATGAATTGTTTTCTGCGGCTCAGTCACCCCAGCCAGGACTCTGACCCTTTCGACGGTGCGATATATGTTCTCGAGGCCCGCCTTGTTTGCTCTCAGTCCAGATGTGCTATCCCACGAAATACAAGCTCGCGCAGGTCGACTGGCTGTTACCTAACCTTTTGCCGGTAACGTTAGAGACGGAGAACTTGGCAGATAATCTGTGCACCAGAACGCTGTTTGCCTCTTCCGACGCTGCCGCGGGACTCGTTCGCCGAAGATGCCGTCCAAAATCGCCAAGGCCGGGGACTCGGCTGCCCCGACCGCTGGGAATGTCTCTGTGGCCGTCATGCCGAGCATTCCTCTGATGGCTACGCCGGTCCTGCCATTGGACAAGATCAGGGCTTTGCAGCCGATGCCCGACATGACGGAGGAGGACGAACTCCAGGATATCGAGACCGTAGATCGGCGCTCTGAAGCAGATCTGGTCCCAGTGTTCCAAAAGGTGCGTCGTGCTGAAGTCGGAGGCAAAGAACAGGCAACAATGAGGACGAACACTTAAAATAATTTGCCCGACAGCGTGCAGCGGCAAGCATTCTCGAGGTCTTTTATGACTTATGGGTTACCGCCAACTTGGGTATCTTTATGAAGGTGAGTATGGGGCTCGGCCGTGTGGAAACCGCGCAGAACCCCCTCTAACTCGTTGCAGGTGCACGATGTGGGCAACTCGGCTCAGTTATGGTCATACATTGGATACATTAGGTAAGTCACGCTGCGCTCCCGAACCGTTCCGGGAAATACATTCTAACCACTCGCACCATTAGTATTGTCTGGTTCAACCGGTTCATCTTGTTGTGCTTCGAAGTGCGCTACGCTACCGACAGTATCTTCGAAAGATTCGCGCTCACGTTACATCTTGGTGTGCTGGTCGGCTTCACCGTCGTCGCTCCCAAGTATGATCCAGAACATCAGGTCAAGAGTGCCTGGCAGAGCATGTGTAAGCCCCCTTGGCGCGTACGAGCTGTGAGAAGCGTCTGCTGACAAGCCCGTTAGCGTTGATCCTGATGGCGTCGAGGCTTGTGCTTGCAGTGGAATATGCCACAGTCCTGTGGCACATCCGGAAATTCAAGCAGGGCAAGCTTCCTTTGCTCGTCGTTCTTGCCTCGCATTTAGTAGCAGCCAGCATCTACCTTGGGGTCTCCTTCACCTTCCATGACAGCAGCAATAGTCAGGCTTACAATGCTTTTTATGTCGTCATGGCTTTCGAGGCCGTTGTCCAGCTTGGCCTGTCGTATGTCTACAGCGTCCTATCTTTCGAGGGCACGCATCTGGCGGAACGCATGTCTTTCTTGACGATGTTCATCCTTGGTCAAGGTGAGTATTCCATGGCCACCTGAATATTACTGTCCGTGACGTGCTAAACCTAGAGTGTCCTCCAGGTGCTATGGTTATTATGGATAGTGTCGTGAACGTCGTCAAGAATAATGGATGGTGTAAGTCAATTACCACAGCATGACACAGGAACTTAGGGTATACTAACAACTACAACAGCTTCCTCTATTATCGGTGTTCTAATCTCCGGCGTCGTTACTGTCTACTTTGTCTTCATGCTTTACAAGGACTGGACAGTTGGCTTTGCGAAATTGGTAGACTGGCAGCAGCTCGTCTGGTCGATCTTACACTACCCTTTCCACGTATTTTTACTGCTCTTCATCAAAGGAAGCACACAGTTCCTGCTCTGGTGGAAAGTCGTACGTAACCCGTTGGCCACCTTGTATTCGCTGGATGTTCTGGCTGACTCTTTGGATGATAGACTGAAGTCGAGGACAGCATTACGTACAAGTTCGATCACGCCTTTGATGCTCTGGACGTTCCATACGTTACCAGTGCAGATGTCGTCGCTTCGCTGAACCAGACGATCCAAGAGGTGTGGCAAGAGTACAAACCTGTGTGGAGTACAGTGGAAGACGAGATTGCCGATTGGCTCGGCCAGGTCAACACCATTCCCGACGCAATGTGGAACGACGCGGATCCAACTACTGATCCCCACTGGAGCACATTCTCGAATGCCATAAACTACCTCCGAATTGCAGTTGTCAATAGCGTCTTTGGCAATTTCGGGATTGACGCGATCCAGGGGCTCTTCAGTTCGGGGCAGCTGGAAAGCCTTAGCTTGGATGACGCGAACCAGAAGGCATATGATAATACGACTGAACAGTTTTACTTGGTGGTCAGTATACTTGTTGCCTCAACTTGTCTGGCATTCACAATGTACTTTGCGTCGAGTGGTACTAACGTTGTAATATGCGTCTTCAGTTCCAGTACGTGTTTGCCTGCGCGGGCATGGCCCTGATCACCATGACGCTCCTCTACATTCTTATCAAACGCAAACCAACTTCGCACCGGAACGCCGTCTACTTCTACGTCCGAACGGCCGTATTTTTCCTCCTGGGTATTGGCCTCAGCTTGGTGACCCTGGTCAGTCTTGACGACAACAAGACGAGCAACTTCCTGTTCACCCCATGGATGCTTCCGACGCTCTGCTTTGTTTTCCTGTTCGTCATTATCTTGACGCACGTGGAAAGCCCATCGAAAATTGTTTTCTTTCCTCCCTTGTCCAAACCTGTCACAGCATATACCCAAGCCTGACCGCATTGCACCGAACCCACGGCGACAATCGCGCGAGGCGTCCGTTACGGTGATCGCAAGGCCCCCAGCAAAGACTCCTCTTGCAGGGTAGGTGTATTGCTGCTGCATGGATCATCTAGGAGATTGCAAAAAGGCGCTGAAAGGGGATCATATAGATGGGAATGTGAATTTTAGCCGTTACCTTGGCTTCTGCTAGACAAGCTTTGCTAACGCTGATGCACGCACATGGCGTTACGCGTCGTGATGAAGATTACACTAGTGGCTTGAGTGCAAATGCAAAGGGCAAGCTCAGATGTCTGTTTTATTGGCGAGAATGGCTGAGTATGGAGCTTCAACCCGGCCCATGAGCAAAAAGTGACAGACAACTAACGGGAGACGTGCTTTGTAATAGTAATTGCACACAACAGCGTCCAGTCACACCGTCAGCTCTGACTGGTTACACCTTGCCACCCAGTGTCTGCCCCCATCCGTCCTGTGATAGCCTCTCCCAGGTCTCCTGATATCCCTGGGTCCAGCGGCTGACCGTGTGCCCGGCACCGCTTGGCCCGGGATCATTCAGCACCTCGACCTTCCGGACCTGTTCCTTGCCAACCTCGAGCACCGTGCCGCCGACATACTCGGGCTCCTGGACGAGCCTCAGCATCGCGGCCGCAACCTCCTCGGCCGTGGCCCACTCGTCCCGCTCCGCGTCCACCCACGCCAGCTTCTCCGGGTTGTCGGTCCACAGCGGCGTCTTGATCACCCCGGGAGCGACGGCGACGACCCGCACGGGGGCGAGCCCAGTCTCCTTGGGCGGGGTCTCGAGCTGCGCGAGGCTCCGCACAAAGTTGGACACTCCAGACTTGGCGGCGACGTAGAGCGGGCACGCGATAAAAGGCCGCTGGGCGGCGATGCTCGAGATGTGGACCACGACGCCGGGGCGCTTGTGCTTGTGGAAGTGCGCGATGGCGAGCTGGGTGCAGCGGATCGGGTGTGTGAGGTTGATGTCCAGCGACGCGTATCGGGAGCCCAGGGGCGAGTCGAACGACTGCTCCGAACCAGGAGGCAGCCAGAAGTTGGAGAAGGCGGGCTCGTAGACGCCCGCGCCGGGACAGACAATATCGATGGGCGTGTTGAAGGCGGACTCGGCGGCGAGGAACATAGCCTCGAGCTGTGACCAGTCTGTCACGTCCGTCCGGTGGAAGGCTGCTCGTGCCGCCGAGGAGGTGGGATCCGCCTGGCTGTACTTGTTGACGAGGACCTGTGCTTCTTGCCGCATGGTGAGGTCGGCAAAGAGGACATTGCAGTTGTTCTCAAGCAGCAGTTGTGCAAAGGCCAGGTTGATGCCCGAGCCTGCGCCCGTCACGATGGCCGTCTTCCCAGAAACTGTGAGTGCCATGGTGGTTGGTGAGCAGTCGATTAGAGTAAGAAGAGTATGGCGACGCTAGTCAGGCAGGCGGGCAAGAGAACATGAGAAGCTGATCTACACAGCGCTCGCGTCACATTGTCGACTCCTCGGTAGTTCAATGTGCCGAAGTTGGAGGCCAAGTATGTGGTCACACTGCATATGTGTGATTCTCGGCCACGCTCATGCAGTCATGGCTCCTTTCAGGCGGGGAAATCGAAGGATTTGTATGGCGAAATGCGGGGTTACTAGACTCCTCTCGTAGGCACGAGACTATTACTGCCGTGTGGAGGCGGAGGCGTGAGCGGAGGTGCAGAATTTGGAGACGACGACATGGGAACCTTGGGAGCACGGGGAAGCGGGCAGCCTATACCTGATCGAGCAATTTAGGCGCTGGGCCGTACACCACCTCTCGTGTGCCATGTGTTTCAGTTGTATCCTTGCCGGATCCGGGGGAAGGGGCCGCGCGGTTGTGCCAAAAGCTTACTACTGAATTGTACAACCGTAGGAGTTGGGCAGGTCACACAATAGATACCCGACGTGACTTGATGCATGTTTTTCTTCGCAGCCCAAATCCAGCAATGCGACATGAACAGTGGAGGGACAGGTCTTGATTCTTATGGTCTGAAGCTGCAAAGCGAATCTATCGATGATGCGTCTCGCTCCATCCACGAAGGCCTAGTGACTAACTAATGTCCAGACCACGAGGATGCGATCTGATGTTGGTTCTTGGTCCGTAATTGGTCGCCTTTCCCTCTTCCCTTGCACACACGTCTAGACATTGTACTGTGTCCTGATGAGCTCGTAGTTGATGCGCCTGCCCAAATAGCACGACTCCCCTCCCTTGGACGACGCCCTCCACGAGCCACTGAAGCTGCGCTGCTTGCTCAGAGTCCAGTCCGCATCGTTGCGCACGTCCTGGGTGCCAATATCAGTGCCTCCGCTGAGCGCCCGAGCCCGGTACAGCGCATTGGTGCCCCCGTTGGAGCCGGCCACGACCAGGTTCTCCCAGTTCGTGGTGCTCTTGACGTTGAACTTGCCGCCGCCGTGCGCGCGGGCCCACTGGTAAATGGCCTTGACGCCGCCAGTGGTCGGTCCGTTGGGTCCCGTGTGGTCCTGCCGCTTGTGGTCGTAGCAGTAGTCCGAAATGATGGACCCGGAGAAAGCGGCGTCTTTGCCGACGCGCAAGTTGATATCGCGTTCTTCCAGGGCGGCCTCGGTGTCTCGCGCCTCGTGGAGGTCCTCGTGCTCTACGTAGCGGCGATCTACCCAGACCGTGACGTGGTCGCCGTCGCCACGCTTGAGAAGCGAGTGCTTGTACACTACGCAGATTTCCTCGTGTCAGAATTCAGTTTCATGTGTCCCCGCGTTTGGGCAGGACTTACTCTTGCTCAAGTCGACTCCATGGGCCTCGGCAAGCTCAAAGTCGCGAGCTTCGAGAATGCTGTCTCGCTTGAATCGGACCACTTGTGCGGGTTCCTGGCCGTCGGGGGCTGGGAAGGCGACTGCCGTCGTGGCAGCGAAAACGACAGCGAGAAGAGATTGAGGAAGCATGGTGAGGGATTCTAGGAGGAGAGGTAATGGAGCAGGAGTATGTCTGTCTTGATGGTTGCTTGTTTCAGGAGTCAGGAGATCCGTGCTTCTTGGTTAGCTACGAGAAGATTGTAGCAGAATGCCGTGACTATTTATGTTTTGCTCTTGTTGTCCTTTCCGTAGCAGTATTCCTATAAATGCGGCATCCTCCTTCGGCTAAGCCGGGAAATACTGATCGTACGAGAACCTATGGGAAGCAGTTGATCGACCATGCACGCCAGAAGGGTGGATGTGTCGGGGCTGAGCGACGCGGGGACTGAGAAGACATAATACCATGCGACCAAAATGGGCACAACTCCGAGCGAAGTATCAAGTCAATGACGACAAAATCTACTTGTTTGGTTCTGACACTATGGACTCCATTCAACCAATTTCGGACGAGGCTGTTTTGATTCTTGTCCCAAACAGATAGCGACATCAGGAGAGCCCAAGCCCCGAGAATTCTATGAATATCTCTTGGCGGAGGATCGGGGAGCTTCACCGCCTGCATGGCTGCGGAGTATTCCATGTGTATCCTAGACAGCTGTTACCGATACAGGTCCTATGACCAGCTTGGGACGACGGCGGCTCCGGATTGGCCAAAATGGGGAACTTTTGGAGAACACTATGCACCCGGTCTGCTTCCTGTCTTGCCTGCTTTTGCTTTTAGCATAGTCCTCAGACCAGCGAAAGACCACAATGTCAGAACGAACAAGACAATCCGCTATGAATACGACAATCCTTCCTCATCCACCCAAGGGGCTAATCAGAAAGAAATGTCGGAAACCGGCGGTTTGTTTATTAACAGACACCTCGAAACCAGACGCGCTGGCTCGTCAACACTATGGGGCATTTGCCGTGAGTTTCCCTCTTTCTCCTTCTCCAGTATAGAACGAGGTTACGCTGTCAGCGTCCGGCCTCATTCTGCGGCGGAACTCGGCAAGCCCTGCATATGCAAGGGCCTGAAGTAGTACTGAGACTACTTACATGTTGTCTCTGATTCTGATTGAATTATGACTCGCTGGCCCTAGGCATCGTTTTCTATTGGGCAGCGACCAGGAAGCATCCCTGACGATCGCTACCTGTGCTGAACGGGCTGATCAATAGGCCTAGGTATCCCTGTCCGTCCTTCGGTGATGTGTTCACTTTCAGAAGTTCAAGCTGTATTCGTGCACGCTGATTCGTCTTTGGAACCCCTCGCGCATCGGACGTGGAAGTCGACTCGGCAAGCGATGCCGTCCCAGCTGCTGTCAGCCTTGGCAACCAGTCATGGGCTTGGCCATGTCTTGCCCGTATATTAGCGGCTTGGCTACCCATTGCCTGCCCAGCTGAATTGGGGGCCGATCAGTGTGGAAAAGTTGGTTCCAGCGCTTGTGCCAGTAGCTGAGGCGAGGTTTGCATTATAGAGTGTCGAACCACTCCTAGACCATTTCAACACATGCAATCGGCGAGAAAAAAGTATCTTGATTGCTGACGAGCTTTTCAAGTTGGTTGGGCAAGGCCATGACCCCGGGTTTTGCAGAAGGGAGTTGTAATATCATCTCTATCATGAGTATTCGAGATAATTGCAACTCTAGTGTGCCATGCATATGCTTCGTTCAGCCGGTTTACAATCCCAACCACCACGACGTCTGCTCAACCTCGAAAGTCCCTGCAAGCGCCGGCGCCTCGCTGCTCTCGCCGACAAGGACATCATACGCGCCCTTCTCGCTGATCCACATCTGCCTCTCCTCATCCCAGTAGCTCGTGGCATACTTGAGGAGCACCTCGACCTCTACCGTCTTGCTCTCGCCAGGCTCGAGGAATACCTTCTTGAACCCCTTGAGCTCCTTGGGCGGCCTCTTGATCAGCGGCTTCTGCTGACTGATATAGACCTGTGCGACGGACGCGCCCGCCACAGCCCCCGTATTCTTGATCGTGACTGACGTCGTCACCTTGTCGCCACCTTTCTTGTCCACCTTGAAGTCCGTGTACTCGAAGCTGGTGTACGAGAGGCCGTGGCCAAAGTGGAACAGCGGCGCCAGCTTCGCCCGGTCATAGTACCTGTAGCCGACATACACGTCCTCGCCGTATAGCGTGCGGCCATTCTCGGAGCCGAAGTTGAGGAATGCAGGGTTGTCCTCCAGCCGCTTTGGGTAGGTCAGCGGCAGCTTTCCGCAGGGGTTGAACGCCCCAAAGAGGACGTCGCCGATGGCATTGCCGCACTCGTTGCCGCCGAAGCTCGCGTGCACGAGCGCGGGCACCTCGTTGGCCCAGGGCATCGTGACAGGGGTGCCGGACTGGATGACGACGGCCGTGTTTGGGTTCGCGGCCGCGACGGCACGGACGAGCGCGTCGGTGAGGCCTGGCAGGTCCATGTCGGGCCGGTCGAAGCCCTCGGCCTCCCACTCGCCCGTCAGGCCCGCGACCACGACGACCTGGTCGACCGTCTTGGCCAGGGCGACGGCCTTGTCGATCTCGGTCTGCGCGTCGATCTTCCTGGTGCAGCCCACGCGGACGCCGCCGCCGCGCATCGACGTCGAACCCTTCTTGCGGAACGTCTGCGTGGCGCCGGACCCAAAGTGCAGCACCACCTTGTACGTGCGCCCGGCCTCGAGGTACTTGGTGCCCGTCTCCTCGAGGGTGCCGGCGCCCATGAACGTCGAGCCGGGCCTCTGCACGGTCGCGTTGTCCACGACGAGCTCGCCGTCGACGAGCACCCTGGCCGTGCCACGCACGGAGCAGCCAAACAGGTACTCGCCGCTCTCTTCGGGGGTGATGGTGCTCACGAGGTCCATGTAGAACAGCTCCGGGTTCACATCTGGGTGTTTGTAGTCCGGCAGGAACATGTCGCTCACGTGGTACTGGACGATGTCGCGGCACACGCGGCCCTCGACCTCGGGCGGCTCGTTGTAAAACCGGCACGTCACGCCCGGCCGGCCGTCCTCGCGGGTCGACATGCTGCTGAGCAGGGGCAGCTCCTTGTAGCAGTGGCACCCGAGCGTGTACTGCGCGTGAGGGGCGTGCGCGGCGATGCCCTCGAAGGGCGTCGTGAGGTACGTTGCCTTGAGCGAGGCAGAGCCGCCGCCGCAGTAGGCTGCGATTTTCGCGTTGGGGCCGATGACGGCGATCTGTTTGGGGATTAATTCCATGTGTCAGCAATGTTCTGTTCGAGGTTCTCGAAGAAAGAATTGTCCCACCGTCTTGTCCTTCTTGAGTGGCAGGACGTTGTTCTCGTTCTTCAAGAGCACGACACCTGCGTTGGCCAGATCGCGCAGAGTCTGTCTGATCTCGGGAGTGTCGATGGTCTTTTCCTCGATGTTCTCAGGGAAGCCCAGCGGAGCGACGCGGTTGATGAGGTTGAACAGGTTGCGGATGCGGTCGTCGATGGTGTGTTCCGAGATCTTGCGGCTGCCGACGGCGACCATGATGTTGGGGCCGCGCTGCCGGGGCGGGCCGGGCATTTCGAGGTCGAGCCCGGCATTGACGGCCTCGGTGGCAGAGTACGTGCCGAACCTGTGTATGTTACTCTGAAGTTAGCTTGGATCTCTCTGTCTCTGTCTTCCCCTCTCTCTCCTGTTTTGAATAGAGTTTGCCCAGCGATGATTCAGGAGCCCCAACTAACCAATCACTCATAATCAGCCCGTTGAATCCCCACTCCTTCTGCAGAATGTCCTTCATGATCCGGGGGTCCTCGTTGACATGTAGCCCATTGACCTTGTTGTAGGCTGTCATGTATGCCAGGGGTTTGGCATCCCGCTGGCAGAGCATGAACGGGTACAGGTAGATCTCGCGCAGGGCCCGCTCGCTGACGACACAGTTGACGGCCTGGCGCTCGTGCTCGCCGTCGTTGCACACAAAGTGCTTGATGCACGCGGCCACGCCCGTGCCCTGGACGCCGTTGACCATGGCGCTGGCCATGGCGCCCGCCAGCACGGGGTCCTCGCTGTAGCTCTCGAACCCGCGCCCGCCCAGCGGCGAGCGCTGCATGTTGACCGTCGGGCCGAGCGACACGTGCCCTCCCTTGGCGATGATCTCGTTGCCGAGGAGCTGTCCAGCCCGGCGGATCAGGTCCGTGTCCCATGTCGCCGCGAGCCCCGTGCCGCAGGGCATGCAGGCTGCCGCAACGCCGTTGAAGAATCGCGCCCCGCGGGCACCGTTGGGTCCGTCGGAGAAGCGCATCGCGGGGATTCCCAGGCGCGGGATGTCGCATGTCTCCCAGAAGTTGCGGCCCGAGAGGAGGCTGATCTTCTCCTCGAGCGTGAGCTGCGGGATCAGCGCGTCGACGTCGAGGTACGGCGCCATGGTTGCTGAGCCGTGCTTGGTGGCGCAAGGAGTGTCTACGTCTATGTGTCTTTGTGTATAAATGAGGAAGCAGAGAAGAGGAACCGAACAATAAGACGGCTCTGAAGTTACGACGAGAGACAGATGGACAAAAGAGCAGAGAGGCAGGGCCATGTCATTGTTCGTTACGTGCGTGGGGTTTTCTAGGAATTCCCCAATCTCGGGACCATCCCGAGCTCAGACCCCACGGGGCCCTCGCGAGTCATGGGTACTTCAGGGACCATTCCCCACCATTGTCAGGGATTGTCCCCGAGGCTGTTGCTCCACTGGCAGGGGCATCGGCACATCAAATGTGTATCCCAGGGTGGACGACTCTTAATATTGTGATACAATAGCTAAACGTGCTAGTACGGGCCACCCATCACATCAGGTCCTTGATCGCCAGACAATACGTCCCCAGACCACAGCTGGCTCACTCCCGGCCACCACAGATCCGACAAGTCGCTATCCCCAGCCATGAGGGTCTGCTCAAAGTTGGGCAGATGGTACGCGCCGCCGTCACCAGATTTTGGCGGCATGCGCGTATTAGCTTCAAGATCCTCTCCCTTGTCACGGTGACCACAATCTCGCCATTGTGTTGTTGTCGAAGCTCCTGGGCTACGATCCTTGATAGGGGACGCCTGTTGCTGCTCCCACCGCCGGGCATCGACAGCCTGCAGAATGCAGTGACACCTCCTAGCGAACGGGATATTTCGGCTGGCGTAGCGGCCTAGGCTGGCTATACATTCTGCCAGTGAAGTCTCGAGACCAGACATTACCTCGGCCCCATGACTTTGGTCTTGCATCAAGGGCCTTAGGAGTGCGCCACGGTGGAGGAGCAAGCTGCGGAGACTCGGGGATATGAGGGCAGACAGCAAGACTGTGCCGGCTGTGTACAGGTCTGTATCGGGCCACGGGCATTAGCGATCGTCCGTAGAGATGAAAGCCTCGAGCAGATTCGGGGACACTGAGGTAATGGGGGAAGATGTGCACGGCTTACAGAATATGGAGTACCACCAGGGCGGACCCGCCCAAGCTTGTGCCGGATTTTCCAACTTCGTGACGAGCTCAATGGCGGCCGCGACGCACGCCCTGACACAGCCTGCCTGAGTGTCCTGCTGAAAGTCCGTATCCGCCGTTGCGGCTTCTATCTTGTGGCCAGGCGAGAAGGAGGGCGGCGACGAAAGATGTACCAACATTGGTCTGAAGAGCAGGATGCGGAGATGCAGGTACCGGCAATGTAGGGAAGTTGCTTGTCGTAAGAAGATGGGCTCGCTGCTATGCGACAATGTCGGCTCCAGGCTGCTGCTGCTTGTAAATGCGAGATGTGGCGGCACGGCCTTCCGCCACCGCGCCATGTCCGCGTCGAGCTCGAGAATCTTGATGAGGCTGACAGTCTGCATATTGAACGCAGCAGTGGCGCCGGTTATGACCTCCTCGGGAGGCCGATAAAGATTTCTGCGCAGAGTCAGCCTGTCAGCAACAAGTGACCGCCAGCAACGGGGGTCAATCTTATGCATGAGCACACTCACTTCAACACAGACATCATGACGTCCGTCAGCTTGAGCGTCTGCACAAAGAACTCGATCTTCGACATGTTGCCTTCGTTTCCTGCAACACCAACCATACCATCCCTGTAACTCCCCGTGTTCATCTTGAGCTGCTCGTCATCAACCCCCACCGGCATCGGGATGGTCGTCGGCCACGCCACCATCGGGGGCCGTCCCAGGGTCATCCCCAGCACCCGATCTAGCAGCAGGCAGCACCACCACGTGCGCCGCCTCTCCTGCTGCTCAGCCTGGCTCTCGGTTCGCCGGTCGAGATGGATCCCGATCCCCTGTGCCAGGCGCACGGCCGTGCCGAGGGTCACCCAGCACTTGTTGACGCTGTCTGTGCTCTGGAGGTACTGGGCCGTCAGGATGTATGCCTGGACGAGCTGGAGGGAGCCGTGGTCGTGGTCGGCGTCGCGGAGGAGAAGCTGGGAGCGGTGGAAGAATGTCTCGGCAGACTTCTGCAAGGCTGATGGCGGTGAAGACGCCTTTGTTGTCGAGGATGCATCCAGCTCGGAGGATAAGGCGTATGTACAGCCCAGGGCCAGGAGGATATTCAGTGTAGCGTGAACCGCTCGGGCAGAATGCACATCCGACTCGGGATGTTCAAAACCCCCCGGCATGGCGGAAGCCAGTTCTGCGACATCGTCAGGTCTGCTAGGCTGGCTCCAAACTGCCCCGTACCGGCGCATGAACGTCGGACGGTGCAGCACGGGGTACAGCGTGTGCGACAACTCCCAGTACCGCTCTAGATGCCGGTCAGCTGTCCGCCGGGGTGGTAGGATGATGCTGTCGAGCAGGGCCGACAGCTGTTCCTGGCCGCGCTTGCTGCGGAGGCGGGCCGGGCTTAGAGAGGCTGGGGTTGCACTGGTGGCTGTCATCATCGGCGTGACATGGTCTGCACTGGCAGTGCTGTGGCTCCTGGCCGCTGATGATTCTTGAACCTCACGCATAAACGCTGCAGCGCTAGATGGTCCGAGGAACACGGCACGGCCGGTCTGGTCAGGGGTCCTGCCGTCTGCCGCGCCCATGACATCGCCCTTGTGGTCATCGTCGTCGCTGTTGTCTTGTTCACCGACTGGTCGACCCCGCCGGCCCGTGTCGCCCCGAAGATTGCTCCCAGCACATCCCAGCGCTGGTTTTGTATGTTTCAATGGCGTCTGAAAGTACGGTAATGGTGAGATGCGAGCAGGGTCTCGAGCCATTGGAGTTTGGATTCTATGCGTGTGTTGCAGCCCCTGGCTCTGGAGACCAACCAGCCGGATAGCAGCATCGTGGCTGTCATCAAGGGCATGTATGCTGTCTCCAGTACGACTGACAGTCTCCCCGTAGGAGGCACCACTCTGCCATTGCTGCTGAGCCCCTTGTCTACCATCGAATGGTGTTGCCAAACCCTGGCTGGGAGTCGCTGGCTGCTGGACCAGACCCGCCCCCCGCTCGAGGTCCCGGATCCGGTCCTCCAGCGTCCGGACATACTGCACGTCGAGCTCCAGCGGGGCGTCCGCATATACGCACCCGGACGGGTCGAGCTTTTTGCGCGTGCAGGCGTGGCACACGGGACGCCCGCCGTCGCACCGGATCTTCTTGTCCCGGCACGGCCGGCACGCGAGCCGGATCTTGCGCCGCTTCGTTGGCCGGGTGCTGTCATCGTCCGAAAGGGCGGGCTCTGGCATCGCGATGCTCGGGAGCTCTTCCGCTTGTATCTGTGTCGTCTTTGTTGGTGATGCCGGAAGAGAAGCGCCAGCCGGCGCAGGGGGTGAGTGAGCTCGGGCCCGGTCCGAAAGGCGGCGGTGGGTCATCAGAGTGGAGACACCGGGGCCGCCCGCCTCGGATCCCACCTCGGAAGCATTCCGAGCGTGGGAGATTGCTGCACCATGCCAAGAAAGTCCGGTGAGGGCACAATGGTGTTTTCAGAAAAACACTGAGACGCTTCTTCACTGTCCGTGATGTACGGTTTGCAGGATCCAGAGTGGTGCTCATTAACTTGACGACGGGACAGCACGTCTTCGTCCACAGCTAGGAGCAGACTGCAGCGCAAGACAGGCTTGGTGAAAGCTTTACGTCAGAATTGCATCAGCATCACATTCTCATACATGGGACCATCCACCAGAGTCGGCTTCGCGCATCATTTGGTGTAAGTGCCTGCTAATCTGCTGGCTGGCTCCAGATATCCTGATCAGAGGTGTCTGTGCAAGGCAACAGAGGACTGTGAAGCCGGTTGCACAATTCAGGCATGAGAAAACAGCCGGCCAGCAGCACATTTTCGCGGCAGCCTTGGAATGAGTTTGACCCCTTCCCTTGAGCGCAGAGCGTGTTATGGGACACGTCGTAAAACGTTGTACCAGCATGCTGAAAATCCCACCTTGATTTCTTCTTCTCGTTTTCTTGGCAAGGATGGTGCCCGCTCCCGTCAGCTTGCTTTGCTAGCACGTGGTCCAGAACTGCCTGTGCAGTCTCCCAACTGAGTAAAGACGCCGATATGATCTAGACGAGGCTTGATGGATGCCTACCTGCCGCTGTAAAGGTTATTCGGATAGTGGAGGGCTCGCAGTGCATCATCTTTGTTGTCCATGTAGTCTGGGTGGCTGCCCGAAATTTGTTGCACATGCCAAGCAATGAGGCTTGATGATTCGGCCGCAGTCGGCGCGTCCGACGACTCGGTCTGGTTGCTGACGGGCTGAAAAGCTCTTGCTGCTCGATGAACATCCGCCAGCCTGCATGGCTGTCTGGTTGGGAGGGTCATAGGGTCTTCCTGCAGGTCGAAAGTATACTCAGGGTAGTCCCGTCCTTCAGTCTGACGAAAGGGATACCTCACAATGCCAATAACGTTAGGGCTAGATAGAAGCTTGCTACCCGACTGAGCCCTAGTTCCGGTCCCGGGCACCAAAAGAGTACAAGGCTAGCGGCACATGCGTTCACAGGCATGTAGATCTGAAGCACTTGAGTAGCCGACGCCCACATCGCCCTTTGGTTGCAACTGCGACCATTGACTTTTACCAGACTAGACTGATATGAGCTGAAGCCAATATTCACTCGTCCATGTGGCTCGACTATGGCCGAGTCTAGATCGACAGAGGAACAATGCCCTCGGAGTCTCCAAGCACTGGCTTTGGCCCCTTGCCGACCAGATTGCTGCCACGGCTTTCTCCGTGCCACCTTCATGGAATGAGCCTTTAGTCTCCAAGTCGCGCAATGCCTTCGACCACCAACCTCAGCGGCTGCGGGTATTTAAGCACTGCGATCATGCGAGGGATTGGTTCAGATCCGCCCCAGAAACACGTCAGATAATGCAATTGATCCCACCGGCATCGGTAGGGCTGATTGGCAGGCCAAATAACCTAGGGTCCAGACCGTGCCGGACATCTGACTAGACAGGACATTGACCCACCAAAGACTTGGCAATGACACGGTATTGAGCCTCTTGAGTGGTACACCAGTGAAGCAACACAAGCTGGAAAGGGTGTACGCACGCTGCACCCTCGAGTTCAGAAACTGGTAGTCTTTTGTCATCTAATAACTGAGGGTTTGTTCAGCATTTGAGCGGTGGTGCGATTGAGTTTGACGGTAACAATACACCGGCCTACATCTATGCATGGCTTGTAGCCTAGCGGGCCGGAAGCGCTAACCGCTTGGTGCATGAAAAGCGTCGTTCTCCGTCATGATCACCGAGTGATGAAGTAACGCGTGATGTGGAATGGAGCCCTGTTCCCTGTTCGGGCCTTGGCGTTCCCTTGCAGCGAGCTGGGTCAACTGACATCGGTCCGGGGATAACGCAGAGCCAGCGACATGACTGGCGTCAGAGAGCAAGCTGAGGGAGGGCCCGGCATACCCGCCGAAAGCTACAGCGCGCAAATGTCGTGGACGGGACCTGCACGCCTCCAACATAAGGAGGGCCTTTCTCCATGGCCGAGGCCCATGGGCGAGCAGAAGAGCCAAAGCAGAGGGTCGCCGTCTGCCCGGCGTGCTGGCCGCCACCCGGTGGTGCTCGCAAGCCATGCCATTTTCTGACATGTGGTGTTGCCATTACCGGTTCTCTTGCAGTGGTGTGGTGTCCGTGGCACAAAAAATGTGACCGTCAATCGTTGTTGCAAGCCTCGACAAGCTCGGCGCACGGACACCATGCATGCTGTTGATTCCACATTGTGGCACAAGCCAACCGGCTGGCCGGGCGCCCTGCAGAAAAAGAGCGAAAGGATTTGCAGTAGCCATTTCCGCGGAGACAGAACAAGCTAGGCAGATCTGGCTGGATCTCACACTGCAAGGCCCAGAAGTGGACGTCCCCAAAGTGGGCAAAAGCATTTCTCGAGCTAGCACCTGCATTGCTGGAATGGACACGCCAGCCAATCACGACTCACATGGTCGGAAGAGGTATCCGGCGCCGTTCGCCCTAGTTCACAGCGCTACTGCAACCAAGTGATAGTCCCTGGGGTCTGATGCGCAGCCTTGCTCTACTGCAAGCCTCCATGGGCTTGACGAACCCTTGAAGCAACAACACATCAGCTCCTATTGAGTGGCCAGTTCCGTATCGAGGCGATCACGGAGCCCAGGGTCGTTCCAGACCTGTGGAGGAAGTGATCTGCCACCAGTGGTCCCAGGAAGCAGCTGAGAAGCTGCAGAGGCTGAGGTTCTTTGATGAGGCTGACAGGCCTAGCTCCTCGGCATTTTCGATCAGCGAAGAATATTGTGATAAGAGCCATGACACAAAGTTGGGACAATCGTTAGGTCAAGGGGTCGAATGTATAAGTAACAATAGTCAACTTGAGCCCGATGACATTGAACCCGCAGCGGGCGATCACTCGCTCCATACGGCGTGAATGCGTCTGTCCAAGAACTGCCGACAATTCTGACACAACGTCCGAGCATTGAGACCCCAGTCTGGTCTTTCACCGCGTGCATGGCGAGCAGCGACTCCTCCTCAGAAGTGTCTTACACTTCTGATGAAATATCAAGCCTCGAGGTATGCCCTCCGATGATTCGCAGACATATCTTGCGTATGCTCATGCACACTCTAGCGAGGTACTGGCGTAGCTGGCGGCCCCGCCACTCACCGATTTACCGGCCGCTTCAGGGAAGAGGACGCGATTACCCCGTGTGCTGACCCCGTGACGACCTTGAGTCGTCCTCGGAGTAAGCATGTCTTCAGCCACCGCTACACCTTCCAGGACTACTCGATCGAGCACTTGTCCCATTATGACGATATTGACATTGTCAAGCCCTGGCATCGGTGGTTGATCTTGGTTCAGCCTCTCGTCATTGCCGTTGTCTTTATTACGTACAGTGCATATTTCGGGTACCGCATCTGGTGTAATTACCAGTATCGACTTTTCAAGGGCGGCCTTGCAGAAGCATCGTGGATCTTTATTTGCATGGAAGGGATCTGTCTAGGTGAGTCGGGAGGCCGGACTGCCCTGATATTGGAGCCAAGCTGACGACACACGCACAGTTCCCTACTTCTTTTGGATGGTTGTGCTGCTCATCTCCCTGGGAGACCGCAAGCGGCCCAAACTGCGGCTGAGGGGCGATGCGGTGCCCACGGTCGATGTGCTCTTCACCGCCTGTGGCGAAGTTGTTCCCATGATGATGAACACCATCCGGGCGGCCTGTAACATCGACTACCCGCGTGATAGGTACCGTATCATCGTCTGCGATGACGCCGCGGACCCTGTTTTCAGAGACGCTGTCCAGGTTTTGACTGCAGAGTATCCGCATCTCTACTACCAGGCACGTACCAAGGCTGCTGGGATGCCGCATCATTTTAAAGCCGGCAATCTCCAGAGCGGAATTGACTACGCCGTCGACCTTCCAGGCGGACCAGCTGAATTTTTAGCTACTCTCGATGCTGACATGATTCCTGACCCGGAGTGGCTGAGAGCGCTGCTTCCACACCTGCTACGAGACCCGGAGCTCGCACTGATATCCCCACCGCAGACGTTCTGGAATGTGCCCGCAGACGATCCCCTCTGCCAATCCATCTGCGAGTTCATTCACTACTTAGAGCTGCGAAAAGATCACATCGGAGCAGCCTGGTGCACGGGCAGCGGTGTCGTGTTCAAGCGCCATGTCATCGACGCCCTTGGGGGGTGGCCAACACCATCCATGGCAGAAGACCAACTGCTCTCGTCCATGATGAATGGCGAGGGCTACAAGACGGCATATCTACACGAGTTCATGCAGGTCGGCATGATTCCCGAGAGCATCATAAGTCGTGAGTGTCGGGTCTTCCCAGCAGCTGCTTCAATCAAAGACGCCTTGAACTGACCTCCTGTCATCTTTTAGACCTGAAGCAACGTACACGCTGGGCCGTCGGAACGATGCAGACTGCCAGAGTCCTGAATTGGGGCTTCCCAGGGAAATATGTATGTTGCGCCCTTTTCCCATAATCTGCGCGGTTGAGCGTCCAAGCCAACCACTGACTGCTAACATCCCCACGATTTACAGACGAGGCATATGACCTTTCCCCAGCGCTTGTGCATCTTCACCTTTGCGTTCAACACCATCATGACGATACCCGTCTTCATCGCGTTCTGGATCATCCCCGCGCTTCTCTACTGGGGCAGAGATCTAATGGTTTACACGACCGCCGAGCAACTGCGCTGGCAGCTCCGCCTGTGCGCCATCTGGGCCGTCAGCCTGCGCATCAACGAAGTGGTCCTGACGCTGCCGTCGGGCTACATCCAGGGCCAACGCTCCGCCATGGCGTGGCAGTTCATGATGCCGTATTTAGCTCTTAGTATCCTGCGGTGCTACCTCCTGCCAAAGTGGCTTGGTGGTAAAGAGATCGCCTTCCTCGCAACCGGGGCAGTCCGCGGCCGCTTGAACGAGCGGAGCGCATCTCTGCGCGCCGGGCTGTGGGTCAGGATCAAGCTCATGACGGTGCACTGCCGGATCTGGTTCTTTGTCTTGTTTGTCCTGTACTGCCTCGGCGGGGCGGGTACCGACTGGTGGCGGGCGTGGCGAGTCGGGCAGCAGACCGGCGACGTCAGGGACTCGCTGCGCCACTTGCTCGTCAACTCGATGCTGCCGCCGACGTGGTGGCTGTTTCTCGTCACCGCGTATCTGATGCCCGTGGGCTACATGCTCTTCCCGCCAACGGTCCCGGACCGCGACGAGATGATGGACTTTGACCCCAAGACGGGCGTGGGCCAGCCGAAGTGCAAGGAAATCAAGCAGGTCTGGGGCGTCCTGCCGTTGATACGCGAGATTCTTTGGGGCTTGACGATTATATACTGCATAGTCCTCTTTGTAGGGACGTTCTTGTATTGAACCCGCTGTAGTCCGTGGAAACAAGCCATAATTTCCTCGGCTGCTGTTGCTTTACACCGAATCTAAGGATTTTCAACACTGGCCGAACAATGGCTCGTGAATGATGCAACCACATCAAGGCCGATGTCTTGCCTGTGTATACTCAAATATTAGTTTCAAGGATGCACTCGCCGCGGGCAGCCGCATGGATCTGCTGACAACTCTACATGATTGGATATCCGTTCTTGGCTTTGGCTTCATCATAACTGCACATCCCTTCTGAACTTGCCCTTCACGCAAGGAACAAGACATCTCCATCCTTCGTACTGGTCATTAATGGCAGCACATCACCCTCCTCCTCACCCTCACCCTCATCGTCATCGTCATCTGCAGACTCCTCGCTGTCGGAGCCGTCGCTCTCAGGGCGCATTGTCCCCTGACCATAGTCCGTGTACTGGATGTTCCCGAGCCTCAACCCGGACCCGCCCCGATACCGACGGAGCAGCTTCCTCGACACGATCCTGTACTCTACGGCAAAGACACGGTCCCCTTCGAGGGTGGCCTCATAGACGGTGCTCCGCTCTGTCGTCCGGTGCATGCCGGCCCCGACGGCCCCGCCGACGGGAAGACCCACGGGTAGCAGCGCACCCTCGACAGAAGCCGCCAGCTCGTGGCTGGACCCCGTGCCGCGCTCGGTCCTCGACACCGCGCCGCCGTGGAAGACCTTGACCCCGACGACCATGTATATCCTGCGCGCCGCCCGGGGGCTGTAGCGGGATGGGAAGAGCGACTCGATCTGGGCGCGCAGCGCGGGCGTCGCGGCCAGCCGGTCAAACAGCTTCTCGTGGTCGCGGACGCGCCAGGTCGAGATGCGCTCCGTCGACAGGTCGCGCTGCCTCGTCGCGGCCCGCGAGGTCGCGAGCGAGAAGAGCTCGTCGAGCTTGCCGTGCACGCCGACGTCGCGGGTGGTCGTCAGGAGCAGCGAGGCGTTGATGTCCACCCCGCAGTCGTACACGAACTCCTTGTGCACAAAGTCGGGCAGGGTCTCGGGCTCGCAGCGGTCTAGTGGCGAGGTGTAGTCCTGGACAAACTTGCCCAGCAGGTCCTGCCCAGCGATGGGGAGTGGGGTGTCGAGCAGCACGAAGCGCGGGCGTGAAGACATGGTCACGATTGGCAGTCAACTATGCAGTTAATTAGGAAGTCTGCGGATGAGGAATCGTAGTGGTTGACAGAACCCCCTTCAGCCAGCGTGGTGCTGGGGGGGGAACAAAGGAACTGGTCCCCGATCCGATCGCATCGCCAAGGAAAAAGTGGCTGATGGCCAGGCTCTCAGGCCTCCAGCTGAAACCCATTGTTGGGCAGGAAGCTGAAAAGACGGCTGTGATGTCGGGTGCTCCCGCCTGCCCGTCAATGGCCATGGCCAGTCTAGGCCCAGCCCCTGCGTCGTGCTGTGCCGCCCGTCAGCCGCAGTCGCAGCCGCACCTTGTCGAGGAACCAATCAAGCCTGCCGGGGGGAACAGCCTGTCGACCCCTCAAAGGCTGCGTCTACATCTATCACATTGTGGCTTGCTGCTGCAGATCGTCTACTCCGAGCTCGAACGATTGGGATGTCTTATTTATATCCCGGCTGTGGGTCAAAGTCCCCAGTCAGAATCGCTGTGGATCCCAACCTCTCAGCAGCAGCTTGAACTACAGTCAAGCACAGTCGCAGAGATGTCGACACCAGCCTGGATGCGAGAGGCTGACTCTAGCACAGATGATCGCGACACCTGGTCGATACAGGCTTCGTGGCCTAACGCACCCACCAGGCTGAGCACCCCAGGGTTCGTGGCGAGCCATAAGCAGCTCCAATGGTATCTGGAGGATTTCGCAGCAAAGGAACCCCTCGCGGGCGATAGAGCTGCAGAAGCACGGTACACCCTGGAACAATACTGCAACTCGATACGGTCTCAATCTGCGCCGCAGGTCGGCCCGGGGGCCACTACCAAGACCCCGACACTGGTTGACATCATTGCTAAGGGGAGTGAATCACGACTCCATGCGCTGCCATGGGAGGCCCTCGAAAACGATTCCCGGTTTGTGGTCCGCCGGCGGGTCGAGACAGTCGGATCTATCGGGATAACACGCGCTGTCTCCGAGTTGAGCATCGGCAACATCGCCACCTTCAACATTCTTCTCGTTGCCGCTCGTGCCGACCAGGACGACACGGCGCCATACGGGCAAGTCGCTCAACCGCTCGTTAGGATTCTGGATTGTCTTCCACCGGGAAGCCCTTCCGTCAAGCTACAAATTGCACGTCCTGGGACGTTTGTCGCCTTGCAGAACCATCTCGAGGACGCCCGTAAACGTGGAAAGCCTTTCCACCTGGTCCACTTTGATCTTCATGGCAAGGTCCAGAAAAAGAGGTATGTAGCGACGTTGTCAGCTCAACAAGGTCAAACAGGGGATCCAGTCCACGATGAGTAGCACTTTGAATGGCTGACGGCTTGTCTAGGGCACGTCTTTGCTTTACTGACCGCGTGGTCGAAGGGCGAGAAGTGGCAAAGCTCCTCGCCGAACACGGCGTCACCTTTGCAGTCCTCAATGCCTGCAACTCGGCCGCCGCGCACCACGCCCGGCCCGAGACGAACCTGGCCCGCGTGCTTGTCGAGGAGGGCGTGCCGCACGTGCTCGCCATGTCGTATCAGCTACAGATCAGTACCGTCGGGACCATGGTCACGGCCTTTTACGAGGCGCTGCTCCGAGATCAGATGTCGTTTGCCCGGTCGGCTGCCGCCGCGCGGCGTGCCATGCGGGACGAGCCCGTGCGGACAGGGAGGTTTGGTCTCACCGTCGAGGTCTTGGACTGGATAGTGCCGGTGGTGTATACTTCCCGGGAGCAGGATCCGGTCGTGGTGACGACTTCCGTGGTCGCAAAGGCGACGCCTCGACGAGGACGGTTCTCCCTGCGGTGGGGGAGTAGTAGTGGCAGCGTTCCCATTCCGGTAGCTGGGGCACTTCAAGGCCGTGACGGCGATGTGCTGGAGCTGGAGACACGACTCGTTCAGAACAGAGAAGCTGGAATACATCATCCGCTGCTCATGACAGGAGAGCGGGGATGTGGCAAGACGGCACTGCTCCGCCACCTGACGCAGTGGTGGGTCAAGACCGGATGGATGTCGCGCGTCATTTACGTTGACCTCGAGTCCACGCCGGCAGAGACTCCCGAGAAGCTCAGGGAGGCACTGACGAGAGCCCTGGCGGGAGACAAGAGCTCGCAGGACGGCTTGATGACACCTGCAGGATCCACGCTCATCATCGTGGACCATTTCGAGGTCAATCCCCCTTTCAAACTGAACATTGCCGGCGTATCCCAGTTCGCTGCCACAACCGAATTGTGGAGGAGATGCATCGAGGGGCTGTCAGACCTTCCAGCCCGCATCATCGTGGCGTCCTACCACTTCCCCTGGTACATTGATCTTGCCGAGAGCAGCACGTGGCCCTGGAAGGCCTACTACATGCTGCCACCTCCAACTGCAGAGGCTGGGTTCGTAGCAGGCGTGGCCGGGACCGAGAAGTCGTTCCGGGGCATGCTCAGCAGCCGTCGCGACTGCGATGTGTTTGACGACATCTCCAAATGGGCGGCTGTCCACGTACCGCTCCATGAGGCCGTCGTAGCTCTATGCCGAACAAAAGGTGTCCGCGAGGTCAGCACTCTCCTGCGGACAAACACCGACCTACTCGCAGTCAACGGCTTCGAATCGGCCAGGATCAAGCAGTCCAAGGCGTACCAGGCGGCACGCGAGACGTGGAAGCAGTGCAATGAGCTGGAGAGAGCGATCCTCGTAGGCTTCGCGCCCTTCCAGGGCTCCCTACCGAGGTGCATACAGACGTACGCCGTCATCTTTGTTCTCGGCCGGCTCAAGTTCCGGAACATGGTGCGCGACCACGTGCTGAGACACGCGCCGGCTCCGAGTGTGAAACAATACTGGGCCATGGTGAATCCTTCCACGGCGAGCCTGGTCGTTGCGACACTCAAGGTGCTGATCTTCAAGCTCAAGAAGCTGGGCCTGATAGAAGCAAAGATCGCGCTGGGTCCTGCGCCCACGCCGGTGGCCGAGAACGCTGACCAGCTATACGACACCGAAGGGACCAAGCTTTACGCGATCCATCCCGTCTTTAGCATCTTCCTCCGCCACCATGCTGCGAAGGAAGGATACGGCCGTCTTGCAAGCTCAGACGACGAAAAGACATTGCTGCTCACCAGGACTTTTGTCGAGTACCACGAGCTCCGCTGCTACGAATGGATGGAGAAGGCCATGACACCAGGAGCAGCCCAGTGGGACACGTACTCGGAGTTCCTGCTGGGCAAGTCCAGTTTCACCGCCGCGCTCGAGATCCAGCTTCATCAGTCAAATTCCATGCCAGTCGACCCGGACAGCCCCCCCGCGCCAGTCTTTCTCGCGTGGTGTCTCATGACCGCCAGCGGCTTTCAGTCCCAGTTCACCCTGACGCGGTTTTCCCCCGACGACCTGCGCGAGTACTGCGAGGCTGCCTGGCCGGGGGCTTGTGCTCGGGTGCGCGAGGTTGCCAGGCTCGTGCTGCGCGGCAGCTCAACGCCACTCTTTCTTACCCTCTCGCTGTCAGTAGTGCTCCAGCTAGCGGTGTACATGAGTGAGCAATACCTCCTCCAAGGGGAAATGGTCAAGCTGCAGCAATGCATGGACACAGTTGATGGACTGCTTGCCAGTCTTCCTGTCAGCCAGGATCTGTTGTGTGCTCTGAGCCCTCAGGGCTTCCTTACCGAACTCCTGGATTTGGTGTCGGCCCTCCGAAGCATTGCAAGCGGGGAGGACGTGTGTCCTGAGCTTGGTTTCTTTGAGCTCATTGCCAAGCGCCGCCCCGACTGTGCTGGGCCAGGATGGGATGCTGTCCACAAGGTCGTCTCGCTGTACCGCCCCATTGCAGAGCTCTTGCAGGCCAATGAGCAGCTTGGATTGTGGGATGGGACGAGCCCAACAGCTGCCATTGACGGGATCAAGGACCGTCTGGACCAGATTGCCGTTGAAGATCTCGAACCGGTCTGGGATGACTTTCTGGACGAGCTGGACGACGATACTTTACAGGACCTGCAGCTTGTCGGCTTTGAGCAGGCTGAGCAGGTTTTGCTGACAAGGATCCGACGTGGCCTCATCACAGACATGGACGCCCTTGACGCTGTTCGGGATACCCAAGAGCTATCTGCAATCCCCAGCAACTACATCTCCGCCAGGATCCGAGGGGTCCAGCGAGGGCAGTCCCTAGCTGCTACCACCGCCCAGTACCAGCGGGCTCACAATGAATGGAAGAGTCAGCCGAACATGCGGAAGGCCCGGATGAAGCTGTTCGAAGACATCATTCTGCGGCTACCTGATGACACAACTCGCGACTTTCTGGAGCTTTCCCAGTTCAGGGCGTTTACTGCCGCCGGGGACTACGAGTCGATGCGCGAGTACCTCAACCTGGTAGCCGACGGCGCCCGTTTCGCGACTTCTGGTGGCTCTATCGACGCGGCACAGGCCGTCCGAAAGACGAGGCTGCACAACTGCAAGGCTGTGTGCGGGCTAATGCTGCATGACTATGACCTAGCTCGGGAGCAGCTCGAAGCCGCCTACATGACCGCGGAGGACCACTTGCCAGAAACGAAACGAGTATTTTTCACCACACTTCGCCTGTACATGGTGCTTTACCAGCGACTCGGCGCTGATGCTGGCGCGTCGGGCGCAATTCCTTCGATCCAGAGAATCCGCCCTTACTGGAAGATCCTTGCCAAAGCTTTTGAAATGGGCTACGAGCCCGGCGACAAGCTGTATGCCCGCAACGGCGCGCTTCTCGCCATTCTCCTGCAGAGCTCGACACCGACACCCACCAGTTCTGGCGGTGGCCCTTTGGTCACACCGGGAGAGTTGAGCACGATGCTGTCCTACATTCTGCCAACTGATCATTCTCCAATCCGCTTTCTCTCGCGCTTGGAGTTCCTGCTACGACGGGTCGTCGAGTCGAGCGCAGCTGACGCACAGCAGGCAAGACAAGTCATGCAAGAGGCCGAGGTGCACCTGCTGGAGCACGGCGCGCGCGGATGGGGCTGCGGGTGCCAGTTTGACCAGGAACGGGATCTCTATGCACAGCGCAGCGACGAGGGCGGCATGGCGGCGGTTCTTGGGAGACTGGGGACGGTGCTGCCGCGGTTCGACGGCCTGGACCTGCAGATCGAGATGCCGTGGACGTCGGGCATTGAGAGTCTGCTGCGCGTGTGGATGAAGCATGTGGTTCAGAAAATCCAGGGCTCGCAGCGCCTTCCGACAGCAGATTTTGCAGAGGAGGACGTCCAGGCATACCTTGCTGAGTGGCATGCTGAGATGACCTGACATAAATGCAGCAGGTCGGCTTCCCTCGTGTCAGTTTGGGTTAATCTTTCACTCTTGTATTTTTCCGGTGGGACGGTTTTGATTTGAGATTTGGTGCTCGGAGACGATTAATGATGTCAAGTATAATGCTATGAATTTGGTCTATTCGATTTTGCTTTGCAGCGAAACAATGAAAATAGGTATCGTCTGATAAAACCCAACGCTTCCAATGCCGACAAATGAAATATGCTCGCTATGCATGTAATCAGGAAAAACAACAAAACAATACTAAACAGAGCCCACACTCGACGCTCAAATCAAGCAGCCATCAACCGGACCCTGATCAGCCCCCTGCCCACCCCACGCTCCCTCAGAACGTAGTCCACAACCATGTTGCCCTCGTCGTCCCGGTCCATCTTCTCCATGAGATACTGCTTCTTGCCCGCGTCCTTGTCGGCCAGCGGCGCGAGTGAGAACTCCCACGCGTCAGCGGCATCCCAGCGCGACGTGTCCCAGGTCTTCTCCATGACCCCGCTGACCTCGACATCAGTACCGGCCTTCTCCTCCTCCTGTTCCAGCTTGTCAAACTCGTCATCCCTCATCAACCTCCCGTACCCTGCGCCGTGCTTGACAATCGAGAACCCATTCGTCATCGCCCAACCCCCGCCACCCAGCCTGAAATGCTGCAGCACGCACGCGTCGCCACAGACCTCGGCGACCCGCGCCACGCCCGGCACATCGACGTGGTGCCAGCTCTTCCAGTGGTGCACGCTGAGCGGCTGCTCCCTCTCGGCCTCGTAGAACCCGCTCGCGTCCCCCTTGAGGCTCAGCTGGCTCAACCCTTGCAGCACGCTCAGCTTGGTGGCGGTGTACCGGTGTATGCAGTCCGCGAGACGGAAGTCGCCGCCCGTGTATGCGCCCTTGCGGCGGTGCTTGTAGCACACGCCCGCGTGCGGCGCAATCTGCTCGAGTAAGGGCACCGAGACGAAGATGCCCGCGCCGCCGAAGGCGATCATGCCCCCGCCCGCAGTGTGCGGGAAGTACTCGGACAGCTGGCCCACGTACTGCGGCCTCGAGGGGTCGAAGCGCGAGTCCAGCGCGGCCGTGAGCGCCGAGAGCCGCGGGAAAAAGGTGTCGTCGTCGATCCAGGCGACCCAGCGTGTCAGGCCGGGCTCCACGGCCGCGTGCAGCGGCGCGATGAGCCCGATGTATGCGTCGATCCAGTCGTCCGCGGTCTCGAGGAAGGTGACGTGCGGGATCCCCGCGGCGGCAAAGAGGGCCTCCGCTTCGGGGATGGTCGGCTCGGCAGGCGAGGAGGCGGCAGGGTTGTGAGGCGCGACGACGATGAGGAAGCGCGCATTCGTGTGGGCCGCCCAGTGCTTGAGGTTGCGGATGGTCTCGGGGATGCGGCCGAGGGATGTCGACAGGCCAAAGATCATGTGGGATGCGTCGACGGGCCTGGTGATTTGGGGGATCTTTGCGGTGACGCGGTGTCTCGTGCCTACATGCTTGCTGATGTATGCCTCTGGTGAGAGGGAGCTGTTCGTCATAGGTGCACTGGCGAGCTGGAAGGTGGTGAATGGTGCCATGTTGCTGCCGAGGCCTTGGACTAGTGGTATCGATTGCTCGTCTCTGGTCTGGTCAAAGTGGATATCGATGAAGGCCACCTCGACGTCGCTGGCGAAGCCCCGTATGCCAAAAAGCTCATGCTGTGGTGCTGGCGTGCTCAGTATTGATAGTATCGAGCCGAACGGCGCTCGACTCCCATCTGGTGCGGTTTGGCACCACAAGAGTACGAGTAATGTGGTGATGGTTATAGACAGTGTCGCGATGGTCGTCATTATCCTCCTCCGTCGACGATGGTACGGTGTCGAGTAAGCTGTTGGTGACGGGACGAGCCATACTGGCGTCGTCCACCTTCCCGGTCCCGCCATGATCCCGCGTGGTTCTTGGTACCAGATTGTGGTGTGTTCTGTGATCAAGCTTCTGAGATAACGGATGGGCGACAAGAATCAGTATGCAATGGTAAGTTGGTGCAGCAGCCGCTCTCCGAGACTGCAGAATTTTGGGGGACTCTAGTCTGATCTTCGCGAACACATAATAGCCATGGGCATCATGTAGATTGGCCATGGCTATTTAAAACGTAATATAAGCCGGGCGAGGCGCACAGCCTGCCTCGTGCGCGGCGCGGACTGCGGATCTGCATCATCGGCAGCGGGCTGTGGAGGCGGCGTGTAGCACGGTGTCGCCAATCTCTGCGCGCCAGGCGCAAAAGCCACCCGCTGCGGGCGAGCCATTGAGAAGGATCCCTTAAAGCTGATGCCTGACGACAGAGCGGAGAGCATCAATCAGCAGAGCGGCCTCTCGTCATCCAAGATATCGCATTGCGGCAGTGGACGCCCTCGCCTGCAGGACGGCACCGCAAGTGCAACAAGGACGCACCAGAGACGGCACTGTCGGTCGAGAGAATAGGAGAGTGTGACGTCTGGCTGTGGGCAAGGCCCGACGTGATTCGCCGCTCTAGTCCAGCACTTCTCCGCCTGGCGGGGAGTCGTCGTGGCTCAGACAGTAAACGTGTGTCAGCTAAGGGGCTCCGCGCACAAGCGCCAAGGCCGTTGCGTGGACCCGTCCAGGCAGCAGAATACAGCCTCGAGGCGAATGGCGGCCGCTGATGCCAGCGCGGCAGTCGGGCCAGCCCACAACTTTAAGATTGTACCCCCCTGGGCACCGGCACTTTCCAAACGGCAGGAGGTCTGACCATCTCGGCAGCCGCAGTACGAAACTGTGAAACATCCAGCGGTGCACGTTGCTCAGACCCGCACGGGCTATAAATAACAGCGGAGCTGAGGAAGCAATATATGTACAGTACCTGGCTCGCACACCCCGGGATTCTGGCTGATGCTTAATTAAATGACAAGTCAGGAGAGCCAGAGCTGGACGATGCTGCCAGCACCAGCGACAGAACCTGCACTTTTGCACTCTGGTCTGATATGGCCCAGGGGCTTGCCCTTCTTTCACCACCACGCCGTCACGGGGTCGCTTGCATTGGATGCACAGCTACCCAAACCTGCACATTTGCCATGGAGACTCTTGGCAGGAAGAGGCTATGCATTTTCGTGCTCCTCTGTGATTTGTTCATGGGGATTACGGGCGGTGGGAGACAAACCATAATCGTCGTGAGCTCTGCCTGCTACCCAGGCTCGTGGCATGGAGATGTGCAGGGAGACCGCTTGCTGGGCACGAAAATGGACCGGCCTCCAAGTGATTTCTTTTTCCATGTACTCCCTGCGTGCAGATGCAGTGCACTTCCCGAGACTTGCCTCAACAAAGCACAGCAGCCTTTCCTGCGACAGAGAAGCGGCACTGGACCCTGTCCGCCTATCTATCAGGATCTGAGCGCTTTCAGAGAATGCATGCTTAATGTTAGACGGGAGGCTTATGGATTTGGAACAAGCGCCAGGCATCAACATTTCCGTTACTGATGACTGCTGAAATCTCCGCATAGATCGCCCCAGGCAGCCGTTTAAGGTTGTTGAGAGCCCTCACACAATGGCCGAAAGGGGAAAACGTCTTCGTGGTTATATGGCCTGATCGACCCACCCTGCCACCGTTGGCAAGGCAAGCCACAGGAAAGCTGCTGGCGGAAAGGTGGTGAACCATGATCTAGCCCGATATGTGAATTGTGCTTAAGCTACCCGTCATTTTGGATTGCATAAATTAATACCGAACACAAACGCGGGAGTGACACTATGAGGAGATTGTCACGACACTTTATCTCCGTCATTTTACTGCTATTTATTCCCGTCGTGACTATCATGATCCTCCATAGCCTAATCAATGTCTGGAAGTTCTACAGTCTGGCAGCCTTGAAAAGACATCTGTGATGACTCAGTCGTTCCGCTCATGAGCCGCGTGGCCGCCCTTCCGACCAGCCTCATGGGGGTCGACCTTGCCGTGGGCGAACTGTCCCTTTTGGGAACCGCCCGACCTGCCCGAGCTGCCAGAGTTGCCCGACCTGCCCGAAGTGTTATTGTCGTCGCTGGAGCCAATGCCGCTGAGCTTGCCGCCCTTCTCGCCCGCCTCATGGGGGTCAACCTTGCCGTAGGCGAACTCGCCGGTGCCGACGCGCCTGTCGGGTTGGCCATCCTCGCGGAGACCGCCGTGCTCTACGAGGACAGGGTATATTAGTGGGGACCACTGATGAGCGGGCGGATCTATTGGGGAGGGCATGGCTGTGTGGTGTGGTGGACGGACACGGAGTGGAGCATCGGTGGTGGTGTTGTGCCAATGACGAGGGATTGCAGTAATCTGTGTGCAATGTGCATGGTGGGAGGTGGCTGCATACCAGTGGGCTTGTACCGGTCGTCAGACATGATGAAGATGGGTTCTCGTAGGGTACGATTAGAAGTGTTTGTGTGCTTGTATTTGTTGTTCAGGTGCTCGATTCGTTTGGTGCCGAGAATGCAAACATTACCTTTTTGAGGGAAAAGTGCTTGGTTTATATAGACGATTTTCGGCCGCTGGGTCGACTTGACTTTCTGCGTGAGTCTTAGTGGTTGGAAAGGTATAGAGAGCACTGCAGGTAACCGGACCGCATCTTGACATCTCACAATCGCTGGCCAAAATCATAGTCACGCAAAGATGACATCGTGATCCCCGTGGAGTGTGGTTGAGACTAGCACGGAGTGAAGGTATCTTTGGGTCGAGTGCACACACGCTAACTTACTGGCCAATGGCTCACGGAGCACAAGCTCCCAGAAGGCCCCCCCCAACACCGCTTCGTGGCGTTGAATAGAGTATCAGAGGCGGGCGCTTGCGTCGGAGCACATGAGGGGCTGGCTGCGGCTGAGTCCCCCCGAGCAAAAAAAGAAAAAAAATCAATGGTTCCAACACCACCAGTCGCGACGTCGAATGAACCATGTCTGCGTCTTTGGTACCTCAAACCTTGATTCCTGTCATCTGCATTCAGAGTGCGTTTCCCTCTGCGCCGGGCGAGTTGAGGGTTGCGAATTGCTCCACCCCACGCGGCCCCGATTCCTTACGGCACAGCAAAATCAATGCATCGCGCCTTTCGAGGCTGCGAGTACGTCTTGACTGCTAATGCTGTTCACTGGGCATTTTCTCTAGCCGTCGCGGCTTTCATCATCCTCAAAATCCATTCGAAAATGACCAGCTACAAGAACAGACCTTAAGGTTGCTACGCAGTATGATCGCGTGATCTTGATGCGTATGTCTCCGCGGCCTGACGGGCCGCTGGTGCTCGGTAACAACGATCAGGGAGCGATGAAGACAGACACATGATCACCTTCACAGATTTGCCAAACAGGCTACAAATGTGCTGTAAAAGAAGTCGCACTGAGTGCAAACCGCGATTCTGGCAGCCCGTAACCATGACCTTTGATCCAAGTCACTGTCTCGTGTCCAGTGCGTCACGCACTACTACTGCTTCCATAGATATGCAGTCTTTTTGAGTTCACATTTACATAAACGCCACAGCATAGCGCCTTTATTTGAACCTTGGCCCTTATGGCGAATTTACTCTGCTGAATCCACAGCCCGGACAGCCCAGGGGTGTAGCCGTAGCCGGGCCCCATAGTTTTACCTTGACGATCCTCAAGCACAATCTGGAGGCGTGATACTGCGGACAAAAAAGGATTTCCCCTGTCATTTTCGGTGCTTGTATTTTATAGCAGTCTCGCAACGTCACTTGTGCGCCGAGGCACTTGTCATGATCGCACAGGTGCCTTTTCGGTGAACATCAATGCTGTTCCCGTACCTCGAATGCCGCTGGGTGAAGGCTGATGGGTAGAGTAGCCGAAGCTGGGGAGTCTTTAATGGCAGTGTATTGCATTACGAACGAGGTGATGATCCAAGATGTCATCGATACAAAGAGTACATCCATTTCCATGTTACGCGGCGGCCGCCGCAAGCTTGGGCGCCGCGACATCGAGCTCCACGTTCTGCAGGTCGACAGTCCAGTACAGGAGATTCTCGTCCAGCTCCAGCGGGTGCTCGCCCTTGCCGCCGCCGAGGATCGACCTCTTAAGCAGGGTCTGACAAATATCGCCATGGCCACACTTCAGATCCCTCTTGCGCGTCCACTTCAGCACGGCGCAATACGCGCTCTTGAGTGCCCCCGATATCCACGCATGCTCCACGCTGATGGCCTCGCCACACATCATGAACTTGCCCTGGCATTGCGGATCCTGGAAGTCGGCGTAAAAGTTCTGGAACTGCCCGGGCCCGAACAGTGCAAAGGCGCCACCAGTATACTTGTCCTGGTCCCAAGACCATGCAAAGTGGTTGAGATACATATCTCGCAGGTCCCCATACGTAGGCGGGTGCTCCAGCTTCGACTTGGACCAAACTTGTGCAATGTTCTTGAGCACCTGCTTCACGACCTCATCCTCCACATTTGGCTCACATGCACCGGGTTTGGAGTTGTCGAAGAGTGCGGCCATGCGGATCGCGTCTTGCGACCACGAGTACGATGCCAAGAGGACAGCCGGCTCGTCCTCGGCGATGTCGAAGGACGGGTAGACGATATTGCTGATTGGAAGATCAGTAGCCGAAACACCGCCAGGGACCTTGAGCAGCGGCATCCACCAGGCCTTCTTGAACTTGATGGCGACCTTCGCCGAGTTGTCGTAGTGCAGGCTGCGAATACCAGTGAGGATCTTCTTAGAGAGACCGAGCTCTGAAATGTCCATGCGCTCGAGGCAGGGCATGGATGTTGTGTTGAAGACGGCGTCGTACTCCGTGACATCTCCGCTCTCCGTCGTGACGATGATTTTCTTTCTGTCTTCGTCATTCTTGAGTGCCACGACAGCTGTGTTAGTCTTGAGCTTGGTCTCGGGCCGCTTTGCAACTTCATCAACCATTGCCTTCACAAGTACCTCCATGCCGCCTTCGACACGGTACCAGTCAGCATTCTCCGCCTGCTGGAAGTCAAGATAGTCGCAGACAGTCTCAAGCAGAGCTTGGTCGAATGAATCGTTCCGGCCGCTGCGAGTCAAGTGTTAGCGGCCCGGGAGTCCGCTTAACCAGAATTGACGGTTCGAGTTACTTACGAAACTGCAAGCTCGGCATACAACGTTTCCTCGTAGGTGTAGCTGCAGACATACGGACATTGCCAGATTGCCTGACTGGACAGATGCACCGCTGTTGTATCACACTGACTTACTCCTTGGTGAGCAGATAGGATCTAGTTGAGAGTTTGTCGAGCTTGTCATTCATGAAGTTGTCATATGCTTCCTCAAAGTTGCCTGCTTGACGTTTGTCTTTGTCTCCGGGGACCCTGACTAGGAACCCCTGCTGCAGAAGGAGCCTGTCCATCACGTCTGCAAACTTCTTCGACCTGGTGAACTCATGACCGCATTTAACAACTTTGTGGACACGACCAGACATGGAGTATTGGACTTACTCGGGGCGGCTATTCTCGAAATACCACATCTTGGGCACAATCTCGTCTGATTGCTTGGCGCTGAGCCCCTTGAGGCCGTAGTAGTACCTAGTTGTATTGACCTTCAACTTGGCAAGGAGATCAAGCGTACTACACAGAGTTTCCGATGTCAGCACGAAGGGGTTTTACGATGCCACGGGAAGTACTGACGCTTTCATCCTGGGGATATTTGGGATTCTCATCGCCCCAATATCGCAGTAGTTGTGCTTGCACTTGTTATCTGATGGAAAGTCGTACGTGAACAGCCGGCCGCCAGGCCTCCCAGAAGCTTACAGTATGTCAATGTTGTAGAACTCGGCCTCGTGCAGACTCATGGCTGCCGCAAGGCCAGCGGCGCCAGCACCGATGATGCAAATCTTCTTGTTCCTGTCAGGCAGATCGCCCCCGCCATCTTCGTCGTTGTGTGTATGGGGCTCCTGAATGACGTGTGCCTGGAACGGCAAGGATTCTGCATCCGGCTGCTTGTACTTGACTTTGTACTTTTCGAGCAGATGTTTGCTCACGGCTGAACGTGCGTGGGCTGCGCGCATGGCAATGGCCAAAAGCGGATCCGAAGTGCCCAAGGAGCCCATGGTGAAGAGTTTTGGAAACGACAAGGCAATAAGGGTGAATGTAAGTAGGCTAATGAAGTTGGAGAGGCGACATTGGTGGTCTTGAAGTTGGCCCTGCTGGAAGCAGAGCATTCTTTTATACCTGGTCTTCTCCTTGCTCCTCCATACTCTCCTCATGAAGGCCTCCGGCACCCAGCTCGCTGCTTCCTGGCGTCGACGATGCGGACGCGGCCTCGAGCCATCAAAGCACGTCGATGCGTTTGGCCAAACCCACGACAGTGTTCAAGACATGGCTGGCTAGTATTCCAAATTGATGCAACTAGCGAGCAGGGACTTCTGTCAGAAACCGGATCAGGCCTACAAGTGTGGCGCACTGTTGTGTCCTGCTGAAAGCTGAACACTGTAGTTTCAGGCGGGCGTACCCGAATCGAGGCTAGCATAGGGAAGCTCGACGCTATAGGATCGGATCGGACCGCCCTAAAGAGTGGAGTTTAGCAAGCCACATGAAGCAAGGGGTGAAGGGGCAGCGGTCTGCCCGAGAAACCCTAACACCCACGGAATTTTGGGGTGAACTCTCCCGTGCCGACTAATACTAGGCGCCTAAGCTGGTCGCCCCACACATCCTGAGCCTGTATCATGGCCTTGGTGATATGTTGCTCAGCTCTTATAGTGAAGAGTGAGAGCTAGTCCAACACGGTCGACAGCTGAAGGACATTCTGAGTGGCTTCGGCGCGCAGGTCGAGTAGAAGGAGTATCCAGGCGGTAGGCACTAGTTCATGCTCCTAACGGGCGGGACGATGTCGTGGCCTTTTTGCAGGCAGTCTTTCATAAAGTGACAGAGGGGCGCGAAAGTACTTGGGATGATGACAATCGGAGCGAGTGCATGAACAAGCGAGGATATTGGACTCACGGTTTGTACTCCAGACAACGTATCTCAACTGCGTGGTATTCTTTGGGCTATTCTTACAGTGTAGGCAAAGGGTCGATCTCCTAGATTAAGCCCTGGGTTCAATAAGGGCATGGCGCACAGTGATCGAGGTATGGATAGCCTACCTAGATATATCATTGGACTACTGCATGCCAGCGCACAGTCCAGCAAAACAACTAGAAGGCGTCAGCTTCTACTTGCTGACTTCACACCCATAGACTATATTTTCTAGATTCCGAATCGTTCGCGATGTATGGCGCCAGCCGTGCTGACGCACGGTGCGGGTGGATAGTGTGTGTCACAAAATGACGCATCAAGTGACTGCGCTTAATAAGGGAACTCCTGCCCAACCATGTTCTCACTAAGTCGCCACAGCCGGTCCGCCTCGATGGCACTGTTGGCCCACGGCCACACCTCGTCCTTGGCCTGGTCTGCATAATGGCAGTATTTGAAGTAGCCTCCATTGAAGCCTGTATGTGCTTTTTGTAAGCAACCACTTCAGTCAAGGGCAGTCGTCGTTGCCACTATCATGAATTCGAATTCACGATTCCTTGGATGGAGAAACACTCTCACCTTTAATATCGTCGTTGAACGACACAAACACGTGATTCGCAATAATGCCATCGGCATCCGTGAAGCCATGGTCAAAGCCTTCGTGGCACATTGGGTTACCAAAGATCTCATCGACAGTACCTGGTTGGTCAGATGTCAGCCAGGCCCCCACGCCCAGCAGCCACAAGGAGCAAGCATATTATTACTCACGCAGAGACTCCAACGCGTCGCCAGTCTCGCTCCAGTCAAGATGCCTGCCGAGATTAGTCATGTATGCGCCGGGGCATAGCGAATACGCCTGCAGGCCTTTCGAACCCAGCTTCCTCGCGAGGGCGAGGGCAAACAAGCAGTTGGCCGTCTTGGACTGGCCATACGCGGTCCACTTGTTGTAGCACTGTCCGTCCTGTCGGTATGCAATACAGCAACGTCAGTTTGTTATTCTCCCATCGCTGTGCCACAACATCTGACCAGCCCGAATGCCTTGAGCGTCTTTTCGAGAACTGACCTTGAACCCAACGTCGCCCCACCGGATCGGCCCGACCCGATGTCCCGTGCTGCTCACAGCCACCACTCTTGGCGCGGCAGCCTTGAGCAGTTTCCCCATGATCATGTTCGTAAACAGGAAATGCCCCAGGTGGTTCACGCCAAACTGGGACTCGAAGCCTTCTGCCGTAGTAGCGTACGGGCACGCCATGATCCCCGCATTGTTGACGAGCAAGTCAATATGTGGCACCTCCCGGGCCCACTCGTCGCTGTTCACCAAGGCGGCGGCCTCGCGCACAGACTTGAGCGAGCCAAGATCCATGGCGAGCACCATGGTCTCGATGGCCGGGTTTGACTCCTTGATGGCATCCCGTGTCGGGGCGATAGACGCTGTGGTCCGGCCTGTGAGGATGATGAGCCGTGGGGCCTTATCGGGATTCGTCTGCTGGGCGATGGCGGTGCAGAAGAGCGCCCCGATTCCTTTCGGCGCGGTACCGGTCACGAGGATGATCTTGCCGGCAATGCTCGGCGCGAACTCGCGGATCAGGGCGCTGCCTTTGGTATGCTGGTCGTAGCGAGGCGGCATTTTCCTCGTGCTGCAGATAAATGATTTTAGGATTCTGGATAAGGGGATTGCCTACGGTAATGAACAATCAGGCAGGGAAAGACGTGGAAGCATTTCAGCTTGATATTTCCGTGACTTCGAAAAGGCTCGCTGTGCTCGGGGGCGGATGAGACTGCCGCTGGTGGCGCGGGCTTCCAGCGGGGCGTCCCCTCGGCCCCGGAATGAGGTTTCCGGGAGTCTCAGTGTCACTGTCTCGAGGCCAGGCTGGCAAGACCGCACTCTTGTATCAGATTATTTGTTTCCCATAAAAATAGAATCTTCGTCGTTGCATTTCTTTGCCATATCTCGATATGTCGTGGCATCGTCCCCGCACAATCGGGTCTTGCACTGCGAGCAGAGAGAGTACTCAGGGTCGTCCCACCGGGTGTTCTGTTCCGTGGTGCGGGCAAGCACGAGTCAGGTCTCTGATAGCCCTGGCTTGCGGAGAGGAGCGAGGCAAGAGGTTGGAGTGTGTTTTTTGTCTCCGCCATTATGGTTGTCGTGCATGAGACTACTTGTATTGCCCAGAGAAAAGAAACGAGTGAGAATCTGTGCTGTCATTGTGAAAGCGCTGGGACTGTGATTTAAGTCGTTTGCCACCTCTGTGGCATTACTCAGCGAAAGAGGTTGGGGGCCAGCGATGTCTTTCATCTCTGATGTTTTTTTCTTTGTGCAGAAGAATATTTATCTCGTATTGCAGTAGTGCTGCTGAGAAGTGATGCAATTGTTCGTGCTGGCGTCAGCAGAACGCCGGTCCTTTGCTCCGAATCGCAGATAGCCTGTGTGACGTCTTCTACTATCAGCTTACCTTAAACCATGGACCGCGCGTACATTCTGAGACTATTGCCTGTCGCTTGTAAGCAACGACATGGATTGGAGTGCCCTCCTGGTTCTGTATAAAGTCAGTCACCCCTCGCCGCACCCTTGTCTCACCTTCGTCATCTAGTTGTACAGATTTATTCATTTCTCGCATTTCTAGGCCAAGTGCAGTGGATGATCAATTGAATTTCGCTGATGATTGGCTCTGATATGTGGGAGCCATAGGGTATCTGCTTCACGTGTAGACCAGCTAGACACGTTTCTCAATCTCGCCATCATGGATTTCCACCCACCTTCCTCCAGTCCCTCGCGCCGGAGAACATCATCCCATCTCCACGCCTCGAGTGCAGAACCATCGCTACCACCTAGTACAGTCCGATGCAGATGTCACCACGCACCCGCGCAGTCAAGTGCACCTCGGCCTCGAGATCGAGCTTGATGCCCACAAGCAGCGCGGCGGCCTTCTGGTTGCCGTTGTCATCGGTGGCGCCCTTGAGGAGTTGGCCTGTGAAAACCAGTCAGTGATCTTAACGACAAGCTCTTCCTTAAAGCACAGTTGAGGAGTTGCATTTACCGGCTGGTTGCGATAGACCGGATGAAGTGGGCAGATGCGGCAGGCCGTTGGTCAACTGTGTCTGCGCCAGCTGAGACTGGGCCTTGCGACCGCCTCGGGCCTGGCCGTCAGAGTCAGACTCACTGCCGTAGGCGTTGGCAGGCTTGGGCATGGTAGAAGTACTGGGGGGAGCGACAATGTTAGTGTTCCATCTAGAGGAGTACTTGATGTCTTGGTGTGTTCTTACACGTTGGCAGACATTGTGAAGTTTTGTAGATCAGTCTGAAGCTAGGGCTTGTGATTTGATGAATGGACTAGAAGAGGAGTCGTGATTTGCGTTTAGATGTGTTGCTGGGTTGAGGGATGAAGAAGCTGACGATGATGGTGTGGTAGTAGCCCCTCAAACACGAAGATCTCGAGCAATTCTTATACTCGGAAACATTTGAAAATCACAAAATACAAGACACCTCGCGTTGGGACCGACCCTATTGCTCGTACGAGAATGAATGGCCCCTGTCTGATGTGCTCGTCCACCGTCGTCTGGCCAGGGGCTGCAAAGATGGCCCCGTGGAGAGCGAAAACACTCAGGCAAGCTCGCACCAACGGTAGATGCAGCTTCAGCAATGTTACTCCAGACCCCTTCAAAAGCCCCCGATGGCCTGAGATTCGTCCCAGGAGATCTGAGATGGACCAGGGCTCTCAGGCTAAGCACAGGGGTCCAGCCCCCACGTTCCACCGAATAAGCTACGCTACCCCGGTTAGCTGCCGTTTTACTTCCGTCGCAAGCATCTGACGATCACCTGCATCGTGCCATAATCTAACGATCTCGGTGTCGCACAGACCAAAATGTGGGACTCATTGGTCGATTTCTCAGGCCAGCCACGACCCAGATTGCGCAACTACGGAGGTATTGTCCCTGCTGATAGCAACATCAGAGAACTCTGGGCGAGCCCCTGAATCCCCCGACCGAGTTTGGACCCTTTGGCCCAGAGACCATGTTTGATTTGGCTCAATTCCACTTCAGCATGGCGAGCCATCAACCAGAAACCTCTCGCAAGCACCGCATACCTCGACCGTACAGCACAACACTTCTTCCCATCACGAATGGATGACGAGCACGTCCTCAAGGACTACATTGCCCAGCTCCACGGCCAACACCTCGATACCGCGCTCACTTCCCTCAGACACGCCGTCAAGTCGGGCGACGCGCAGCAGGTAGTCATGGCGATCCCGATGCTGCTCGCGCTGACGATATGCCCGGCAATGCTGGGCACCCAAGAGGCCATCCGGCAGAGCCAGGCCAAGAACAAGCGCGAGGAGCACCGCGCGCGGCGGTGCAATCTGATTGCATCATGTGTGCGGCCGTCGATCCGGGCGGGGGACATTGATGGCAAGATTGTGGTGCTGAAGCATGGCAAGGTGGGCAAGCTCCGATGCTTTGGCTGTGGTTCCCTTTGCAAAGCCCAAGGAGAGAATGATGCGGTGATGCTAATGTCGATTCCCGCGCACGATAGCTCTACATCGCAAGCGAAAGCACTATAAGCCACGTGGACAATCAAGAAACCACGACGACAACGACAACAACAGACGGGCACCCTTTCGCAGGCTACTTCCTCCCCTACCCCGACTCTTCCTACGAAGGCATCGTGAGCACCATCACCGAGGACCCACCAATGCTCAACTGGATCTACGTCGACCGCGAGACGTATGAGGTCAAGCATGGCCTGCGCGTCGACGCACAGCCGCACATCACGGGCCCGTTCGACTGCACTCGGCAGGACCGACGGATGACACTGGAGGGGTGGGAGGGTTTCGTCGCGGTCGAGGAGACGCCGGGGGTCTGGGCGTTGTACTTCGACCGCGATGACAATGGGCTTAAAGGGAAGGTGCCGTTTGGGACGAGGGTGTTGGAGGTGGAGCTCACGCGAAGAGAGAAGAAGGAGAGAAAACCGAGGAGAGATGAGGCGGAGGCAACAACGCTGGATGAGATGATGGCGCAGCACAAGGAGAGAGGCCGTGTGGAAGAAGAGGAGAAGGAGCAGTTTCTGGGCAAAGACGAGATTTTCCTTGAGAAGTTTCCTTCAATCCGGGAGCCTGAGCCTGCTGGGTCTGAAGTGACGCAGACTGCTGCTGACGATGCCATCCCAGTGGATTGGTCGCATTTGTCACTTGGGCTAGACAACGACCGCGAGAGCGTCGGCTCGAAGACGGCCGTCCCATCAATCTGTGGCGATGAAGGCGAGCCAGGAGCAACGATTTCGGACAAACCGACTGCAGCCGCGTATCAGCAGCCATATGTGGAAGATGTTTCACACATGTAGATTATAGGATAGGCCATCACAATACCAAACACGGGTCTATGAATCAATTGCAGCCAAATAAGAGATCAACTTGTGTTTAATGCATCAAAAATGTGTGTAGCCTCCAACTATTGTCTAAGATGTACTTTTTAGCCCGCAGTAGACGACTCCCGATGTCAAGCACAAACAAAGCGATATTGGCGGGACGTCAGGGTTTCGTCATGCTTGACGGTGCGTTACAAATCCAAGACTCCCAGTAGTGTTTCAGCCGCGACCACAGCATAGCAACTGGGCCGCTTTGTCTCTCCTTTGTGGCTAGGTCAGTGCTCTCAGGGGCTGCCTGGATATGGGTCGAGTTCCAGAGCGATGGGTCGATGTCGTTCGCAAGAAGCCCCCACTCTACTGCGACGCCATGGCCTGGACTGAGGCCAGCCCTGCCAGCCGTCGGAGAACGTAGCTAATGGCTCCGAGGGGGACTGGGGTCATCATTCATGTTTTGTCGTCACCGCATTGGCGAGTCGTGGTGTACAGACAACATCTCGTTTCGTCCCATGATCCCAACTATCGCCCCCTAAAGAGGGACTGGTACCTTTGCATTCTTACAAGTATCCGCGCCAGGCACGACTTCGACATAATTACAGAGACGCAACAAGATGCTTGCTGACGCACTCAAAGCGATCAACGACGACGGGAGTCCCACAGATGGCATTGCGGAGCTTGTCGTCACGGCGCTCGGCTCCGGCGGGCAGTACTATATCTGCTGGAGGACGCAGCTGGGCACCTATAAGCAGCGTAAGAAAGTCCATGCGGCAGAGACTGACTCTTCCTTTGTGATACTGACGATACTCTTCACAGGCTCGGATGCACTCCCAGCGAGGCTAGAGCAATGGCTCTTTCCCCCAGACGGAACAACCCGAGACTTCGAGAGTCTGCAAGTAATACGTACGAAGCCCACACCCATCTGCCCACATGGCAATGACGCGCCACTTTCAAGTCACTGAGAGCATCCTAACCATCCCATGAGAACAGTCTATGGCGACGATACCTTCCTGGCCAGCGATCGCGATGGAGAGATCCGAAGCGAGCAAGCCGACACTTCCAGCCCTCGCAACCGTTTCCGGCGCGCCACGACAATGAGTGAAGGGACAGGCTGGCTCCACAGACGATCAACAGGCTTGAGACCCGAGGTCACCGATCTCCAGCATAAGCGCGCCATGTCCGCGGACCGGCCATCTGCATCGAGGGCAAGACCACTGTCTCTGCTAGGCGGCGGCGGAAGCAGCAGCCCCAGCTCACGGACAACTACAAGTGCGAGCCATCATCGAAACAGTGTCATGGGCCGCACCGAGGGACGGAACCGGCTGAAGGAAGTCGAGGAGCAGACAGGCCAATCGCTGCCGAGGCTTCTGACTAGGACGTCGAGCTTCAAGCGAGGAGTGGAGAGATCTGAGACCTGGTCCCGAACGAGGCGCTCGCTGTCGCCAGCGCTGACGGGCGAGAGCCCCGAGGCACCCGAGTCGGCGTGCTCGTGCCATACACATGACATCCCAGTCCACGCTGACTCGAGGCCACATGGCAGGCCCGCCTACGCGGATGCTGGAGTACAGACGGACATGAGCACGGACAGCTCGCCAAAAGCGATTGGCGAATTGCTACGCGGGCGAGGGAGCCAGATTGATGGAGATGAGCATCAACAGCGACAATATCAAGATGGCGTGTCGAATCGGGAATACGCCACACTCCATGCTGGTATCCGGCAATCACCTTGCGAGCATTATCATCACCGTGATGGCATAGAGACGGCAGCCATCGGTTTTGGGAGCAACCCAGTCATCATGGGGAGGATGCAAGACTACTTTCGAAGTGGCATGTACACTCTAGGCCAAGCCCTGGACCAGTGATGGAAGTCCGAACAAGGGCCATCGACGCGACACAATGAGAAAGAGGAACTTGTTGCCGGCCCCAGAGAGGAGTCTTTCCCTGCCTTGCCAACACGACATTCGAGACTATACAACTGTGCAGCCAAATGTCGGTCATTCACTGCACGTCATCAACGAATTGCCCAGCGGCTTGTGCCGTGCTGTCCGAGCTAAGCTGCTTGGGACCTTCCAGAAAAAGCTCCCGCCAGCCACCCGCTGACTGCTTAACGCCACCGCGCAAAAAGACGTGCGGCGCCTTTCAACAATGCAGATTGGGAGGACCAGCTCGTTCGGCACAGGGGCAGTGACCCAGAAATGCCGGGCCCCACAGCCAAGACCATGTCGATAGGGCAGATAGCCACACCGTCTCTGCTTTTGTGCCTTGTCCTGAGTGCCCTCATTCTCCGCATCTGCCGGTTCGGCTTGGCGACAGCTTGGCGAGGTCCACAAAGCGGCACCTGTACGAGCCTTGGCCCGCGATCGCTGCGACCCAAGACTTTGTCACCTGCCCGAAACAGGTCCAATTCGGTGGCGCCTTATCATGAAATTTAGAGAGTGCGGAGCAGATCTCCTCACAACGGTCCAACATGACGGACAGAGGCGGCTTTGTCTTCTCGGCCCGGGGACAGGCGAGTTACTTTATAAGCGCTTGAGTGCCACCAGTCTGCGCAATTGACACCTTGTGGCAGGGCTGTCCGTCTTCAATTGTGATCCAGCCAAGTCGCACACGTCTTCCTGTGTGTGTCGCTCACAGTCTCAAGCCAAGATGAAGACTACCCAAGTCGTCCCATGGCTCGCCATGGTCGCCGGCGTCGTTGCTAGCCCGGCACCTCCTGGTCACAGCCCTCCGTCATGTGGTCACCCGCCTCACCCTCCTCCTCCTCCTCCTCCTCCTCCTCCCCCGCCGCCGCCGCCTCCTCCGCCGCCTCCGGGACCTGGCCGCCCGATTGTCGAGTCCAAGAAGCTGCAGGACCTTATTGAGGAGAAGAAGTGAGTCTTTGACAAACTAGTCCCAGCTGCAATTTCAGCCTACAGCGCGGAGACTAACACGACAGCAACAGCATCTGGTCCACGCTCGAGTCCCTCAACACGATTGCCTACGCCAATGGCGGCAACCGCGCATTCGGCCTGCCGGGCTACGCGGCCTCGGTCGACTTCATCTACGGCGAGATCTCCAAGCTGAGCCAGTACACAGTCTGGAAGCAGGACTTTGAGGCGCGATTCGCCCAGGTCACCGACATCTCCTTGACCGTCGAGGACACGTCCTACTACGTCTTTGGGCTCACCTACTCGCCCTCGACCACCCCCGAGGGCCTCACCGCGCAGGTCGTGTCTGCCCCGGCGGGCAACCTGTCCTGCAACGCGGCCAACTACGCCGGGATCGACGTCCAGGACAAGATTGTGCTCGTCCAGCGCGGCGCGTGCCCGGACGGGACCACGTTCGCGGGCAAGATCCGCCCGGCCGCGGCCGCCGGTGCCGCCGCCGTCATCATCTACAACAACGTCGCCACCAACCTCACCGCGGGCACGCTATCGAACCCGAGCCCCGAGTTCGTCCCCGCCGGCGGGATCAACATGAACGACGGCCTGGCGCTGCAGGCGCGCCTCGACGCCGGGGAGACGTTCGAGGCGTTCTTCCAGGAGACGCAGGTGATTGAGAACCGCACGACGCAGAACGTCTTTGCCGAGACCAACTACGGTGACCCGCGCAACGTGGTCGTGCTGGGAGGGCACCTGGACTCGGTGCAGGCCGGCCCGGGCATCAACGACGACGGGTCCGGCACGGCGCTCGTGCTCGAGATTGCCCGGCAGATGGATAAGTTCACCTCGCCCAACAAGCTGCGCTTCGCTTGGTGGGGAGCCGAGGAGAATGGCCTGCTCGGCAGCAAGGCGTACTGCGAGGGGCTCGCGGGCACCGACGAGGCCGACGACGTGCTGGCGTACCTCAACTTTGACATGGTCTCGCGCGGCTACTACGGCGTTTTCGACGCCGACGGCACCACGCACGGCGTCGTTGCGCCGGCCGGGTCAGAGGTCATTGAGCGGCTCTTTACCGAGCACTTTAACGCCAAGGGCATAGTCACCACCGAGGCGCCGATGACCAACGGCACCGACTACGCGTCCTTCTGGAAGATCCTGGGTAAACCCTTCGGCGGACTATCAACGGGCACGGCGCCTGCACAGGATCCGTGCTATCATCAGGCTTGCGATAGCATCCAGAATCCCAACGGCACGACCATCACCAACAATGCCAAGGTCAGTCATGTTTGTTGGTTGTTGGCCGCTTGTTCCCGGGGAGAGTTTGCTGACTAACATGAGATTACAGGCCGCCGCACACGTCATGACTACGCTTGCTCTCGACGGAGTCAACCTGATTCCCAAGCCTGTGGGCAATAGCACGCGCCTGCTCGCGAGGGCCGAGCCGATCAACTGGGGGTATGACTTTGACGCCTTGAGCTTCTTGGAGGGCACAGAGGAGAGACATCTCCTCAGCTGCGGCCACGAGGTCTAGAAAGGGTCGAACAGAAAGGTTTCGGACTTTCCATAGAGCTTACGAAATACAGGTCATATTACAATGTTGGCGTGAAGTCTTAGGCGAGGCCAGGCAGAAAACTCCACCGTGTGAATGATGTCATACTGTCTCATCACACCATTAAGCCGCAGTAGCATCAAATGTCCTGGAAATCTCAGTGCTATAGCAGCGAAGTCGGTCTCTGGAGTTGCACATGATGCACTAAGTGTCAAAGACTTTCCTCACTCAGTGTTTCTGTTGAAGTGCAGGGGGGAATGTGTCTGATTACCTAATCAACTGGCTGACTAATCACTCTGTCGCAGTTTTATATATAAGGGCCGGAGTGCCCAGCCTCAGATAGTAGTGGTAATACTTGTTCCGTAATGCAACCGATTCTATATCTTGACGGGTTCAGCGTAGCTCTCCCAAACTTGTTATGGCATTTGACTTGAGTTGTGATATACAATGGCGGACAACGGCTCGATATACGTTCTTTCTCCCTGTATATTTGACCTGCCTCGCGTTCAGCCCATTGACCAATCACTTTGGCTCTCTCGTATGGCAGATCTGCCTACCTCCGCCCTTGCTGACCCCCGAGAAACCCCCTTCGAAAACCCCACAAAACGCCGCCCTGCCCTTTGTCAGACCTGCGGTTATTTGCTCACTTCGGGACAGGGATCGCCGTGGTCCCCGAGCTGCTTTCCCCACGCCATGGTCATGCACAAGGATCATCTCCGCATTCACCACAAAGTCCGCACTCTCCCTCCCCGCGGATAGGCTAATCCTCCCAGGCAAATGATTGGCCCATTCCTCCCTCGGGATGCTTATGGAAAGCTTGCCCTCGGTGTCGCTGACCGCAGGACCAATCTCTTGGCATGACGCATGCGCCATGATGTGTGCCTGCATGCATTTCTTTAGTAGGCTATCCTAGAAGGCCGGTATATATAGCATGGCCTCTACACACTTCGCGCTCGGCGACAATCCTCCTTGCCCCCACCACGCTGTCATCGTAGACCTGGACCACCTCGCAAACAACGAACATGGCACCCAGGTCGCTGCGGCCAACAGGTCACAAAGCTGCAGCAACAGCAGCCACGCTCTTCCTGCTATCAACGTCGGTCCTCGCACTCCCACAGCTCCGCGCCCGTGCTCTCATCGGCCCAGAAGACCTCAGAGATGCATATGACTACATCATCATCGGCGGCGGCGCGGCTGGACTGACGGTAGCGGACCGGCTGAGCGAGGATGCCGACAGTACGTTTCTATTTCCCCGGTCGACCCCCATGTTTTGCAAGCACCCCTTCTCCATACCGGTACTAACCCTTACCACGTGAAAAGCCACCGTACTGGTCATCGAGTCTGGCGCCCTATCAAACTCGGACCAGATCAACCTCGTCCGCGATAGCCTCACCTGGTTCACCGATCTGAGCCTGTTCCACCTGCTCAACACCCAGCCCAACCGCGAGCTCAACAACATCTCGACGCTCGCCTTTGTGGGCAACGTCGTGGGGGGCAGCTCGGCGGTCAACGGGATGCAGGCCCCCCGGGGCACAAAGGACGAGTACAATCGCTGGGCGGAGGTGTATGGAGACGGCGGCGAGGGGTGGGGATGGGAGGGGATGCTGCCGTACTTCAAGAAGGTTAGTGCATTACGAATATGCTTCTGAAATGGCGACGCCACTGTCCTCTGACGAAAACCAAAGCTTACATTTCGATGCTGTACACAGGGAACGCATCGGCAAACACCTTCTCAGGCCTCGCTTGACGTCATGCCATACTTCAAAGCTAATCCATCTGAATATTGGGGCCAAGAGGACTCAACTCGGGTGTACACTGGCTGGCCAACCTTTCAGTTCCCCGGCGTCAGTAAGTATTCGTACTTCCACTGTGGACATCTACACGAAAGCGCCAACACTGACACAAAATAGAGTACCAGATCGAAGCACTGGCACAAGTGCCTGGGGTGAAGTTCCCAGAGGACGCAGGTGCCGGTGAAGCGGGCGTTTACTGGTATCCGAGCTTTTGTAAGACTCTAGCCATGTTGTCCCACATATGTGCTCCGGAAAGCGCGACTAACAGGGGATGCCGTGATAGTCGATGGCGAGGGTTCATTCAACCGATCGTATGCAAAGACTGGCCATTGGGATGGTCTCGACAGACCCAACTATGATCTTCTGACGAACAGCGTCGTCACCAAGATTGAAATCGACGCAGGCAATCGCGCCTGTGGAGCGACTTTCCGCGGGCGGTACGACAACTCGACCACGCCGGACTTGAAGGCTGTCAAGGCGAAGAAGGAGGTTGTCCTCTCTGCAGGCACTTATCACAGCCCACAGATTCTGCAACTCAGTGGCATCGGACCCAAGAAGCTGCTAGATGAGGCGGGTATCGAGGTCAAGGTCGACTTGCCTGGCGTTGGGCAGAACTTCCACGACCACACTTCTTTAAATTTGACATATGCTTGTACGTTGATACCTATCGTATTTCTCCTCTGCCTTAAATCTCGCGGCATACTGGTTTCAAACCTTCGATCTGACTGACTCTAACTCTCTCCTTTGTAGACAAGAACTTCACCCTCCGCCCCAACCGGCGGGACGACATGGTTGGGCAGAACCCTGAGTTCCTGGAATGGGCCGACGAGCTCTGGGCCGCCAATCATACCGGCCCGTGGTCGCGCTACCTATTTAACGTGGGCGCCTGGCTCCCGCTGACCGTCATGGCACCAGACGAGTACGAGTCACTCGCATCGCAGGTCGACGCGCAAGCGGCCTCCCCAGAGACGGTGGCATCACTGCTCCCCAACGGCCAGGACACAGATCCCACCGTCGTCGCGGGCCACGCCGCGCGGCTCCAGGCCATGGCCTCGTCGATTCGCAACCCCAACGTCATCTTCTACCAGCAGGGGTTCACGGGGGACGAGCCGAACTTCTACATCACCTACGAGAACCCGCTCAGCGCGGGCGAGATCAACATCAACACCACGGACCCCTCGGGCCCGCCGGTCATCGACTGGCGCACGTACAGCAACCCGGTCGACTTTGACATCCTCATCGCCATGGCGCGCTTCCACCGCAAGCTCAACCTCGAGTCCCCCGTGTACGCCGAGTTCCTGCCCGAGGAGACGGGGCCCGGTCTGGACGTGCAGACCAAGGAGCAGTGGGTGACCTGGATCCGCAAGGAGACACAGCCCAGCGCCATGCACCCTACAGGGTCGTGCGGGATGATGCCCCGCGAGCTGGGCGGCGTGGTGGATGCGGAGCTCAAAGTGTATGGCGTGCAAGGGCTGCGGGTGGTCGATGCGAGTGTGCTGAACTTGCTGGTTGGGACGAATATTTGCCAGACCGTGTATGCGGTTGCGGAGCGGGCGGCTGATCTGATCAAGGGAGTGATCTGAGAGGTGGGGGCTTGCAGGCAGTTGTCGATGTATGATCTTCCCCAGAACTTCACTGACCGAGAAACGTCGCAAGAATAACCTTTCCTGGTAAACGTAATTAAAGTTTGAGGTCATGGCCAAAAACATCTCTATTGTCTCGCTACGGACAAGGTCTGAGAGCCAATGTCTCAGATCCGAGAAGCCAAGTGACGATTACTGAAGAGGTGCCTTTCGGCGCCATGCCTCGAACCGGCGGGAGTTTGTTCCAAAATAGACTGACGGGACAAGACAAAACTCAGCTGTTCTCTATTGAGGGCAGGAATGCGGAAATAAAACTCGTGAATCAGTAATGCGAGCTGTACCGTTGTTGGCGAACACGCACTCGACAGCGGACGGCGGGAATAGAGTTCGAACTAGCCTTGTGTGACACCAAAGCATTCCACGGTTTCTGCATACCCGAGAAGTCGGACACGGTTTAGCTAGCTGTGCCTGCAATGGCGCTTGTCACAACGTAGCAGCGCCAGAGATTCGAGTGACAGGCAATCGCCGCTGTCAACACTTTACGAATTCGCCCCCCTGGCCCAAACAGCGACTAGCTGATCATCCATTACCCAAATGCTGCTACAAGTTCTACAAAAAAGCAACTAGTAAAGCTCGAGGCGATGAATGCAAACTTCTTTTCACGACTGCAAGACATGCCTTCCGCGCTCGGCTGAGCTAGATACAAGTGGCTTGCTGGGTCGAAACCTAGCGACATGAGATTCGCAAGCCGCATCGACCCGATGTCACACCGGCTCGGGTTCAGGTACCTCTGCGGCCGAGGCAAGAAGCCAACCCACGTGGGGATTCCTGCTGGCCGTCGATAATCCCATCTGGAGCTTCCATCAGCTCGCAACCTTGAAAGCTCCGAGAACTAGTGAACTAGTGCCGGCCCAGCCGCCTGTCCCGTCAATCTTCCAAGCCACTGGACTGCATGCGGGGTGAGATTATGTGTCTAGCGAATGGTGGACGTCAAGTTTTCCCAGGATCAAGATCGCGGCTCCTTAGCGCGCCGGCCTTGCGATACGGGCCAGTCCGCTCTGTTGCGTCCTTGTTCATCTATATATAAATGGCATCTGTCGTGCTCGGCATTACTTGCCTCTCTGTTCTCCTATCCTCGTATCCGTTCTCGCTTAGTTGGCACAGCGCCGTTTATCGCCCCACGAGAAATACCAGAAAGGCTCATCAAACACTTCCAGCATGAAGTTCAGCATCACCTCCCTCCTCCTCGCGGGTCTTGCCTCCACCGCCGCCAGCGCTCCTGCTCCTGATGGCCCGGCTGCCGCCACAGCAGGAGATACCGTCGAAGCCGCCGCCAGCAAAAAGTTCTTCCTCGTGGTGCAGTCGTCTGACGCCCGCGTGACGGGCCTCTGCGTCAACCCGTACCACACGGGCGCCGGCACCTCGACCAACCAGATCCAGCAGTGCGGCCCGGCCCCGCCCAAGCAGTACAACTTCAACAAGCAGAAATTCAAGCTCAACTACCTCGGCTACGGCAGCGGCGACGACAAGACCAAGTCATCGCTGCGTGCGGACCCGGGCCTTCCGTACAGCAGCTGGGGCGACCTCAGCATGGACGCCGCCGACCCCGGCACCGAGTTCACGTATTCCAAGGACACGGGGTTCTTGCAGAAGGGTGCTGCCGATGGGCTGGGCTTTATTGCGTGCAGGTGGTCGCACGCGGGCGGGTGGCAGCTCTTCGCACTGGGGGATCAGAATGCCCCAATCCTGGCGAGTTGTGCCAAGGTCAAGCTGTTGAAGGGATGCTACAACACTGACCCGAACTGTGTGAACAACACGTTTTGAGCATAGCTGGGAAGGGAGTAGTGATGGACGGAAGTCCCTTACGGTGGGGGATGACCAGTGGTTGTTCGGGCATTGACTTTGCTCCATTAGATCATATCGAACCGCTGAATAATTCTCTGACCAACACGAGACCTTGGGGCCTTAGCATCATCTGCATGATCTGATATACGTGGATTAGATGCCCTCGCACGCTGCACTTTCTTGGCATAAAGCGACCCCTACAGAGCTGCACCCGTCCCTTCCTGCTTCTGTCACGTCGCTGATGAGGAGAACCTGGTTGACACTGCGCAAAGTTGCTCGCTAGTTGGGCTGTCAACTTGTTAGACTAGCTGTAGCGTTCTTAGAGCACCATAGGCGCTGGCATCGTGTTAGGGTTGCGCCTGACGCGTTCATCAAACCTCTCATCGCCGGGTTTGCTGCTTAGGAGACTGGTGTGACTACCGCCTTCCGTATTGTCATCAAACGCATCGTCACTATCAGTTTCCAGCTGTACAGGGATGCTTTTACCAAATTTTACTTGTTGTGACTCTACAATTGGCTATTGTAACTCTCTACAGTTTGGTCTCTCGTCGTACATGGCCAATTTCTTGTGTGGAAGTGGATGGTGCCGATCTACAAACGCGCGTGTTGGCAACCTCGGCTGTGCCCGACCTCTGAGTACTCTGCTGTGTCGGGGTTTCGCCTCCTTCATACGCCTCGTGCCAGAAGAGCTTTGGTACACAACATAGCCATGCAAGAGGCACAGCCGATCAACAGGACGAGGAACCCACTAAGCCTTCAACGCAGTAGCTCTAACCAGAACTGTTCCCTCGCTGGATCAATCCAACGTGCATGCTTCTTGAAGTCTCTGATTGCTCTCTTGGTGAGCTTGGTCGCATATGGTGGGATTTCATCACCGGGAGCCTCTGCATTGCCCCACGGCTCCGTGCCGTGGACGAGGCGTGCAAAGTCCGGACCAAAGGGTGTGGGAGTGGCCACATCGCCGGGGATTTTGCCCCAGTCATCCCATATCTCGTGCGGATCTCTACAGACCACACGTTCCGCCGTTGAGCCTCGACTGCAACTCCATGTGTAGGTCGGCTCCGCCTGAGCGTCGCCGGGGTCTGCTTGCCAGTAGTAAATGTCGCGAGAGGGGTTGGACCGTGCCCATCGCCACAAAGCCTTGAAGCTCTCAGCTCCCGAGCCGAAAGTTGACATGCGCGGCGTCACGTCGAAGATGTAGCCGCCCGTGAGCGACGGCAGTGACCAGGTCCCGTGAGGAATAGAACGATCCTGCTCGTCGACGGGTTCGAAGACGCTGACGAACGCGTCCCCCGGTTGGGACTCAAGGTGCGTGCCGACACGGGAGGAGGATCCGCTGGCCAAGTTGCCTTGGTTATTTTTCAGGTAGTCCGTGAATTCCGCCGGCGAGATGTCTTCCTTGGCTTCTGGCGTGAAGGCGGTAAACCAAGACAGCTTAGGGAGCTGGATCGAAGCGATTGCCTCGATGTGTGCCGTCGTGAGCTTGCAGTCCCTGAACTCGACCTGCTGGAGCCCGGGGGCGTGCAATGCAAGGAAGCTCGCCATCACGGCCGCGGGTATCTTCAAGCGGATCAGACTAAGCATGCAGAGGCGAGGCCAGCGAGCATCACCACAGACAAGTGAGTCGAAAAAGGCCGTAGCGAGCTCCGGATTGGAATCTGATGCTGGTGGGATGCGACACCCGGGATCGGGTTTGTAGCGAACAGTGAGGCTCTCGAGACACTGGAGCGAACTTAGGATAGTCGCAAGAGTCCTCACACAGTCCGTGCCGGAGCGAGGTAAACAGATGTCGACGTTCCTGATGTGCTGGAGATCCGCTATGGGGACGGGGCGGAAGTAGGTGACGCTGGCCACCTTGTCAGAAACGTCAAACCTGGTCCAGGAGACCACCGCGTTCCCGACCCAGTCCGACTCCTCCATGTTGTTGTTTCTGTTCTCAATGGCCTGAGCAAGGAACTTGTACGGCTCTGTCAAGCTGGTCTTATCGTTCCAGTCCAGGCTTCCGATTTTGGGGCCATCCTTGTAGGAGATTGCGCCATGGCCCTTGATAGGGTGATAGCCTGGCAAGCTGCGGTATTCTCGCAACTCCAGCGTTTGTAGATGCGGCATCGCGGAGAGCGCTGCACTGAGCTCTGGGCAAAATGCGTCCCATGCGCGGGTGCACTCGCGTGGCCAATCTCGAAGCGGAAGCCAGCAGTCATCCAGAAAGACCTGGCTCATCACTCTCGCTTTCCTGCTGTATCCTCTCAACGGGCCACCCATCCATCGTCTGAGAACGGTCTCTTGGTCAGGAAACATGACCCACTGAAGGACCTCAATCGACTGTGTCAGATAAGGTCGAGAAGCGATGCTGAGGAACGCCTGTCGATCAATCTTGAGTGGCGAGAGCACAACGCGAACGGAAGATGAAGTATTGCGCGATCAGTGGATCCTGTTGCTTGCAGAGAAGCCGCAAGCGCTTGAGGTCTTCCTTACTGAGCTGGCTGGTAATCATATCGAACAACTCGGGCGGTAGACTTTGCACGCCTGCTTTGGCGACACCGGCGTCCATGATGGCAGTGTTGCAACGTCTTTGCATCTTGGCCAGAAGGAGCGGTCAGTACAAGCGCTCCGACGCCGACACACCGTTGAGATGAGCGGGGAGTCCTCAAAAGCCCACTGGCTATTTAGAAAGAACAGTGCTCTTGTTCAAGGGGAGCGATGCGGTGCCGTGGAGACAGAGTGATGTGGTGTGTTTGATATGTGCTCGCGGGAATTGCTTGCGGCTGTTGAGGGAGCCTGCCAAGTTGATAAGCCCCTCGTGGGCGGGGAGGCGATGACTGAAGCTCGAAAGGGAAGACACAAGCTCGAAGATTCCTGGATGAAGACGCGTCCTAGGCGTGGACGCGGAAGGTGCGTGGCGAGTCTGTGCCGACCTGTTGAGTCTGGGTGAGCTGTGCGTGAGGTGTCAGATGGCGAGCCACTGGTTAACACACTTGGGGCAGACTGAGCTGAGACTCAGAGCCAGACCCCAGGTCAACCGGCCTTTGGGAAATGGAGACTTCCTCTGCGTCACTGTTGACCCTTCTGATACTGTAACGAAGCTGGGCTTGATGGGCGAGGCGTCCGGCGGGGATGAAAGTGACCAGCCCTCGAGTGAATGGCCAGGGCCGATGAGAGATGGTGTCCATCAAAGCGAAGTATCAGTGAGTCATGGGTGAATGAGAGCATCAAGCCGGACAAACATTACCACGCTGTCAGTACATTGCCAACACACTTTCAGCACGCCGTGGCCTTGTGTGTTTGTTTCTGCCTCTCTCAGGCACTCAGTAACGCTCTGGCGAGGAACTCTTTTACCTCATTCATCGTCGGATTCCGCCCGCCCATGCAGCGATACTCTGGCAAGGCACCTACCCACTGGATTCGCCGACACCTTGGCTCGTTCTGACCAGCCGTGTCTTTGTTCTTCAACTCAACCTTCCGGCCACGAGTGCCAGACTTTGCAACTTCACCCTGCAGGCACATTCCACACGACAGCCTGGCACATGTCAATCACTTCTTGGTCCTTGCCAATTCACCTGTCCACTGCCATTCGCGATTCTCTTTTGCATTTGTCAAAACAGGGACAATAGCAACTCCAGACACCCAACCGCAACCGCGACTCGACCGTCTCCCACCCGAGATCTTCGATGCCATTGTTAGCAACCTCGAACGTCCAGACCTCAAAGCCCTAAGACTTGTAAAGACACATAACGATGAATCCATACTCAGACACCTCTTCCGATGCGTTCGTCTCTCCGCCCTCGTCGCAGACCGCGAGAGCTTTTTCAGCATCGTCACACGACCGTACCTCGCCAAACATGTCTGTATCCTTCGCTGGATCACTTTCCCAAATAATTCCCACTGCTTTAGTAGATGGTTTACGTACGACGATAAGGTCCGAGAAGGGGACGACTATAAACGAGCGAAGCACGACTTCGCCGACAATTGCTGGCTCCAGATGAATACCGTCCCTTATACCACTCTCCGGCAGCTTGAAGAGTGGTCCAGCAGCCTGGGAACTGCAGTCGACAACTTGCGCCAGTTGGACGCCTTGCAAGTATTGCCAGGCAACTTGCGGGACGCTGCATGTATACCATCTGTCGCTCAGACATGCTCGCAGTGGACAACACATTGGGACAAACCAATCGATTCCACCATGGCACTGGCTCATCATCAAGGTCGACATTTCCACGTCGCGAATGCATTCCTCTGCCGCTTCGTCACGGACAGGGCCCGTGGCTCCCGCGGTGCCAGGGCAACACCCATCGCGGCGTCCTTGAAGGTCGGGTTCCTGCGAGAGGGCCGGCCACTCGCAATCCCGCTTTGGCCGACATCCTTTGCTGGCCGCCTCCATGGCGAGATTCTCCAATCATTGACACGCGCAGAAGTTCTTGTTGAACACTTCAGGCCGGAGCATCTTGATGCGCTGGCATCGGCCCTCGCACATGCACGCGACTTGCAGGAGTTGACTGTGGGGTGGTGCAAATACAAGAGACGCGGATCCAGCACGCCAACCACAGCGGCCACCACCTTCCTGGCAGATCTGGCCCGCCGTGGGATCTCCTGGCCCAGGCTGGAAGGGCTTCACATTCGACAAGTTGGCCTTCCTGTCGAGGTGCTTGCGTCTCTTGTCGCGCTCCATAGCTCCATGCTGCGGAGAATGCTCCTCGGCTGCCACATAACCGTCGGCCATATCATGGCGCTCGCCAATATTCCAGGCCTGTGTCTGCAAGACTTTTCAATCCCGTGGGGGGGTAAATCTCGGTGGATATCTGACGCTAGACGCACACAACTTGATAGAGTTTCTGAACCACAGGCCTGGCGACGAACCAGCCGCAACAAGCATACGCGAAGCACTTTCTTCCAATCCACTGAAGACGCCAGTCCATACGATCGGGAAAGGACGAGTTCCACTCTGGCAGATGTGGTTGAATCGGCACAAGACCTGGGTCATCGAGTCCAAGGACTTCTCAGGCGCCTATTGTCTCCCGCCCAAGTCACACGAGCACCTGTGGAAATGGGGCAGGAAAGCGCCCGGCGACAGTGTGTACTACTGACGCTCGAAGGATCAAACAGGGCATCCAAGCCGAATATGGAGGTTTGAATGGCCGCGACACCAGGTGGTCCGGTACGGTGTCGACCCCCACACTTTTACCTATGGATGGAGTGAGGCCTTCGGGGACACGGCGGAGCCGACGCCGTTTGGGCCTGAGTTCGCAGACTTTGTCGAGAAGCAGACTGAACTTCTTGGTGATGCATACGATGGAAATGAGCTCGTCATACCCGATGACGCGACGTGCATGGGCGCCAGCGAAGCGGAAGCCGCCAGTAACGCGAAGCGTGCCTGGGATGACTCCAAGGCTGGTAGGCTCGCATAGGACACGTTCTGGTAAGAAAGCAGATCTGCCTAGATATCATGGAATGTCTTCCCTCTATCAAGAGTTGGTATTCACAGGGAGAGTTGGAAGTCTGTTATTGTACCAACTGAAAAAATCTCCGTGAGGTCATCTGCCTGCCCGACAACTTCCACAGCTCACGTCTGGATTGCCGGACATAGTTGGATCTGCTTACTGTCCGACCTGTCTGCCACGATGCCCAAGGCGTTGTTTACTCTGTTGCCCACCTTGATTCCGGCCTGGAAGTGTCTTTCGTTGGTCTTGCACTTGTGTTCCTGGCTGCCGATGTCGCCACGAGGCACTGCGAGGAATGGCTGCCGCTGTGGCTTCCTTCGCCGAGGTGGGTATCCGACATGATGCCTGGCCTGCCGCCCTGCTCTCCTCGGCATGCCAATGAGCTTGACAAGCACGAACCGGAGTATCATTTTCCAGTGACGCCAGCAGGAGCTGGCAGAGTGGTTCACCACAGAGACCGGCCTGCCCCGCAGTGCCTGGTCTTCGCACCCATGCTGTGGCTGCCTGCCCTGCGAGGTGTACCACTCCTTCTCTGGGGTTCCATCCTCTGCATCCATCGCGTCCCATCAGCGGCGCCTGCTCAACCACTATCTTAACGCACCATTGCCAGCGTGACATCCCGTCCTCCGCCTGTCACGACTTCCCAGCACGCACAGCCTGTCGGTTGCTCGCCCTCTCTCTCTCCCAGGTCGTGTTCACTTGTGCTGACTGCTTTTCACTTCACAGATCCTCCCACCTCTCGTCGCCGCCAGTCACTCACTTCCTCCTCACCACCATGCTCGACGACGGTCGCGTCCCCGCCCGGCTTGCCGCGTCCCTGGCCACGCTCGCCCCCGAGCTCCTGGATGTCGTTGTCCGAGACCTACCTGTGGACGACTTGAAGACGTTGCGACTCGTCGTCAGTGACGAATTCCACGACGCCGTCATCGGCCGATATTTTTTTTCGCCGGGTCGTGCTGTCCCCGCTGGAGTTCCATCGGCGCGGTCTGATTTACATTGCGAGCATGCCTCGCCTGGCATGCCACGTCCGGATCCTCGAATGGCAGGCCTTTCCTACATGCGTCAGGGGCCTTGGAGTATGGACGGATGCGAATACAGACTGTGCCTTCAAGGGACGCTTCCAGGGCGTGGTCTGGAAATACCATCGTACATGCTGGCTCAGTCCGTGCAACACGCTGACCGGCCTGATCGCGGTCCTCAACGCGTCGCGCCCATGGCTAGACGACGCCCTCGCCAGACTGCCGGGCCTGGACACCATCGACGTGCAGCCGCCTCCCCTCGACCGTGCCATCCGCTCCAGCAAATATATTAACCAGTCCGCCGAGCCCCTCCACCCGCCGGGCAGAATCTTCGCCTCACCCGCCTGCCTCGCACGCGAGTTCCTCTGCCAGGCCTTTGAGGAGTCGCGGCAGCAGTCACCAACAGCTGCAACCAGCCCCGTGGCGATCCACGTGCGCGACTACCGACCGGATGGCATCGACGATGTAGATCAGGGCACCGGCCAGTCCTTGTACGGCACGCCCCGTGCCGAGTGCTTGCGGTCCCTGACCGTCGTGCGGCTGGCCCTGGATCAGCTGATGATCAATCACCTGCCGACAGTCATCTCAGCTCTGGCAGAAGCCACCGGGCTCAAGAAGCTCGACGTCAGGCCCCGGTCAAGAGACGGCTACAAATTCTACTGCGACCCAACATTTGGCGTACCTCCTCCTGCCTCGCTGCTTAGTGTTCCGTTCCTCGAGCACTTCCTTGCTCGCCAGGAGCTCGTCTGGCCACAGCTCGAGTCGCTTGTGCTGGCTGCAATCCAGGTCCGCGTCGATGCATTCCGTCACTTTGTCACCTTGCATGCTGGGACGCTGCGCGAACTGTATATGAGCTCCAGTCGTCCCTCCCCTGCTACAGTTGCCCACATCCAGGCCCTCGCCACCGTCCCGGGCCTGCGGCTAGAAAGGTTCGAGGTCAAGACACCCGAGCCTGCCCTCACTGTCAAAGAGCGGGCAATGCTCAACTACCTCGAGAATCCCCGTTGTGCCAGCAACGTCATCGGGATCAGATTGTCCAAAATCAAGCAGACCGATAGGGTTGCCGTTAGCGTCCAGAAGCCGGCTAACTCTGGCTGGCGGACGATGGACTGGTGGAAAGACACCGAAGAGATCCTTCTCGAGGTCAGGCCTCATCTGACATCGTACCGCTTCAGCACGGCCAAGAGATACGAGCGTACTTGGAGATGGGTACGGCCGCTTCCAGGCGACATGGTCTGGTACTGGCCAGTTGGAGACGACGAGGAGCCCGGCGAGCCGACGGGCGAATGGACGTTCCGTCGAGCAGGAGACTCCGAGAGCTCAGCACAGACTGGGGATGACCCGCACTCGATTTGGCACGACTGGGACGAGGCCAAGGGAGACGTCGCCGAGCCACGGCCCTTTTCGCACGAGCTGAGTGTCTTTATGGTGCACAGGGCGAGCTGCACGGGAGATGTGCTCAAAGAAGGCGAGATGGCGCTGCTCCCCAGCGATGCGCGCATGTTCGATTGGGAAGACATGCAACATATAATGGGTCAGGACTGGGTTCGGGGGCCGTAACCAGTCGGCAGCATGTACTCAAACCAGCATGGGTTTCTGGGGCAGCTTGGTGTGAAGATGTATCGTGCTGCAAGGTAGATGGTAAGGACCTCCAAAACGTGGTCATGTCTGTCTTACCATGAGTTACGTTGAGCAGCAACCATGACGACTGTAAGAACAGTCCCATGTACGCTTGCAAAATAAAGGAATGTGACTTGACAATGTTGGCCCTCCGCCCTTCGAAGTGTTGTTGTCAAGTGCATAGCACAAGCCCGGTCGAGACATAAAATCACTCAGCCTGCGCGGTCGCACGCTTTTTGGAACAGAACGTGTCCGAGGTTCTCCGGTCGATCACAGGCTTGGGTGGATCTCTTTGGGTACATCGTGACGTACGCCCACCTTTGATGAAGATCGCCGGCAGGCCGGCTCTCTCCAGCTCACCTGACCAAACCTGCTTATTCCCCCTCCTCGCTTGAGCAATATTGGCCACGACCCTAAAGTACCATGCCCGATTAAGCATCGTCTAGATCTGTGCAAGGGTCCCTCCATGGCTAGTTGGGTACCCAGACGCCTGGCAGAACTTGCATCCAGTGCGCGCATGGTGTCCCAGTCTCGCTGAATCTCCAACGTGCGGGCGCCACCTTTCTACAACTCGCCCGACATTCCGGACATTGTTACATGTACCCCTTCCGGGGGCGCTTCTATCTACGGCCTCGGACGCGCAGCCACGTGATGCGTGAGGGGATTAAAGTATCTACGTCAAAGCCAATGCCAACCAGATTTAACCTAAAAACTTAACAACTTAGTACAAGATTACGTGTGAGCTCCATCGATCTGGCTTGTCCCTGCATGACGCCTCTGGGTCCAGCTGCTGCAGTCTGCTCCCTACACCACCATTGATGGACGGACTCAAATATCTCTTTTACGCCCACTCGAGCGACACATGGCCATTTTGTGAAACACGACTAAATCAACTTATCATACCAGTTCTGCATTGGTTGCGTCATCCCCGCGATTCGGCAGCGATGAGATTTCCACAACGCTGTCGGCGAGTCTGGAAGGAAACCCCCTCCACCGCTCCCACTCCCTCATACACTGCAATCGTGAGCGTAAGGATTTCCTAATCCAGACCCAGCTGCCTGGCCCTCTCCATGATGTAACCCCGGATGAGCCGGCTCTCGCAAGCGCCATGCCGGAGGATCTCGGTCTTGAGAGCGAGGATCTCGTAGCGCAGGTACTCGACGTGGGCGCTCAGGATGCAGTTCTTCTGCGCGAGCTGCTGCTCCGTCTCCTCGAGCTCTGCGACTTCGCCCTTTGTCTTACTGCGGTACTTGGCCGCGGCTGTCCGGTTCTTCTCGCGTACCCGCCTTTTCTTGTTCCTCCTGCCTACCCGGGCCGCGGTGCGGGCTGCGGCGGCGGCGGCCGTTGTACATGACCGCTCAGACTGTGCGGCGGAACTTGCCGTTGCATCTGTCGACACTGTGTCACATGTGGAGCCTGCGCTGTGTTCTCTTTCTGGGCCCGAGACTTGCGAGATCTCGCCATGCTGTTGATCAAGTTCGTGGTGGGTGGTCCACCCAGGCGCACTTGGCGACGAAGGCTCAAGAGTAGTCTCCTCAGGAATGGTCTGCGTCAGCGGGCTGGCAGTAGAGTCGGGAAATGTGGCAGGACCGGTGCTCGGGGGTGATGGCCGAGAGGTTGTGGTAGGTGCAGCGTCGTCGAGAGCTGTGGTGGAAAGCCACAAGGGGACGAGAGTGTCAAAGGGTGCCATGTCGTAGTATGGCTGCTGAAAGGGCACGCCGGGCGTTTCGGAGCCAAGGCCCATGGCGAAGCAGCCATCTGTGGGAGGTGAAGGGGCTTGTACGTGGCCGACGTTGCTGATCAGAGCCGCCCAGGAAGTGTCACCCAGCGTGTCACAGCAGGGGGTGAAGCTACCGCCGGACCAGCCATGTGCTGACTGCCTGGGTTGTGGCCGCTGTGTACTATCTGTAGCGAGAGCCATTGTGGCAGCTTGCTTGGTGGCCTATGTCTTGCTGGCTTGTGCGGCTGCTTGTTGTGTCGTCGTCTGTTGGATCATTTGACCTTGTTGTCGTGGCCGCAGAGGCAAAAGGCAGGGCTCGTGAGGGCGTGGGGCCCTGCGCCATCCATGGCAACGAACACGCTGCCCGACGGAGCAAGCAAGCAATGCCGGTCGCTACGTGCCTATGACGACACAGTGGCCGCGTGGGAGCACGGGGGCGGCCTGTCTGTGGTGCCCGGCCGGGTGTGCAGGATCGGCGGCCGGTCTGGTCCGGCACCCGGAACGGCTGTGGGGCTCCGGCGCCCGGATTGGCTGAGCGGGCAAGACTCCGGCGAAAGTTCGTCATCATCCCCGGGGCCCCCAGATGCCCTGTAGCCTCCACGTCCTCGGCATGATCCATGGCGGAGATGACAGAAAAGGGATTAGACAAAGATCAAGTGCAGATCATGACCTACATAACTCATCATGGCAAAAGGATAAAAAGAACTCCGAATCGGGGAATCGAACCCCGGGCTTGACGGACCAGTTGCCTCGCACGGATGTGGAGAAAGTGAGAGCGTCAAATGTTAGCCACTACACCAATTCGGATGTGTTTTTCTGATTGGATGACAGTTGCCACGCTTATATACTTTTATATCAGTCTACCAAAACAGCTAGAGGTGCATGTAACGCAAAGGTGGCACCACACATGTAGAGACTGACATGGTCAAGATGACTCTGCCACTTCAACACACTACCCTGCCATCTTCCAGTGCTCTCGTTACAGCAGAGCAGCAGCAACACCAACCGCAACAGCGACACCTCCCACAAACGGCGAGGCCATCGCCCCGGCCGCCCCGCCGGGACTCGCCGTGGTCGAGACGGTGCTGCTCCCGCCCTTGTTGGTCGGGCTGGGCGTGTACCCGGCAATGCTGGGCGTGCTGACGACAATGGTGACCCCCTCGGTTGTGATGGTGCCCTCGACCATGGTGTACGAGACCGGCTCGCCTACTCCCTGCGTCACTTCCTCGTCGGCGCGCTTGTGATGAATCTGTGTGTGACCTCCTCCGCCAACAACCCTGCAGGAACTTGGTCAGTTGGTTGTCTGGCGGAGACCTGGTCACAAGCCACGTGCTAGAAACACACGTCATGCCGATCTCGTTTGCCGGTGGTATGCTTTGCAATGTAGTGGGGCTCGGTGTGGGCTTGACTTACACTGTGCCAGGACCGCGGCCTGCGAGCACTGGTGCGCCTTTGAGAGCTCTGTGATGTCGAAACGTTAGCACAGGCTTCTGGGGTTCCTGGCGGGTCGTGGACGCTCGTCATCCGGTTGGAAGGGGGGCACTTACATTGTCTCTGCAGCACCGAAGGCTGCGAAAATGGAAAGACTGAGAAGAGTGCTGAGTTGCATTGTGGGTAAAAAGTGGAAATAAAATATCGTGGATGCTCGTGAGAAAGTGGGTATATAAATGAAGTCAAAGCGGCCAAGTCAATTGGTTCGCGCTGAGAGGAGAAGGGAAAGAAAGGAGAGGTTGCTGGACGTGAGGATGATGGGTTGACTCCTCCGTCCGACATTTGGCGCTCCATTGACTCTCTTATATCCCTTCTTTCGTTCACGATGCCGGTGCAGACAACGCGTATCACGCTGATGACGCCGTTGCGCTAGTCTGGCATAGATCAAAGCAGGTTCATGGTGCTCCGTCGAATAGACTGCCGCTTAGGTCTAATTCTGGCGTGAGGACCATCTCCAAAGCCGTTCGAGAGCCGTGCGCCGCATCAGACAAATCACGACCCGCGGCGCAACGGCCACGCTTGGACGCCCCCTCCAGCCGGATTCGAAACTGTCCAAAGGCAGATGGTGTTTCCACAATCTCGCGGCATGGCTGTCGATCCACGCCAGGCGGACTAGCCCCGTTCTTGAAACAACGAGACCTTTATCAATGTTCAGTCGTCTCGAAACAAACGGCCCGCCGTCAAAGCGCACCCAGTCAATCGTGTCTCAATCCCATGTCCTTACTAGCTTAAGGAGTTTTTGATGTGCCGCTGTCGACTCCAGCATGCGCCCTTCCTCTGTCCAGCTGTCTAGATTGATGGCACACGGTTTCATCATATATCACGGGTTATGCCATTGCTTGAGATTCCACTGCCCTATCAGCTTGGCAATTCATCTGGGTAGTGACCTACTAGCCATCGTTCAGGCTGCTATACATGAAGTACTGACACGGCGGTGCTTGAGGGACAATGAGTCGTGTTTGCATATCCGGCCTAATGCGCCGTCGCTCCTTCTTCTATACCCGAACCGCCATAGGCCAGTAGTATACAGCTCTTTGCCCCGTTGGCTCTTTCCCATATCTACCGCCGCGAAAACGCATATTGTCGTGCAGACTGATCTGGCTGCGAAAATAGAGTGACTTCCATCTTGGCCTTTCTCGGCGTCGACAGCCCCAGTACAGGCTGGTTCAGCGTGGTGCTGATTATTGTGTCCTTGGGCATGTGCAAGTCCGGCAATGCAGCGTGCCACAGTGTAGAGTGTGTGCGCCCATGACGTAACGCCTCGACCAAAGTACTCCTCTCCACTATGTAGCACGTCTCTGTCCCGGCTGCCACGATCTGGATGGCCTCGAGAGCGGACCATGGTTCTAGCTTGCCCAGCGCCTCTATATGGCCCAGCGTAATACCGCACCGGTCCAGCACGAGCCGCCTTAAACTCGCGCAATGCTGTCCTACAAACGCGGCCAGGTGTGACGCCGTTACGGCTACGTGCGCCAGATGTAGAACTCTGAGGCTCCGCCAATGCAGGTTCTTCTCCAGCACATGCTCTAACCAGATGTCTCCGCCGCCACCCAACAGCCTCAAGCCCCGCAGTCGTGACCTCAAACTGGACAGTGCGGGCAGCACTCGGATCATTGTTGCCCTGTCGACCCGGTCGAGCTGGAGCTCAATCGCATCGAACCCCGTGAAAACATCCTTCGGGATACAGTCGAGGTGTATTCCTTGCCCCATCCGCCTTCGCGGGTGGGAAAGATCGCACTGGGGCGTTGTGAGCTGAAAATGGCTCTCAGGGGTCCCGGTCCTGTCTTGCCTGGTGATGCGCGCCTGCAAGTTCGAGACGATAAAGTCGACAAAAAGCCTCGACTGGGCCCCCTGCCGCACCGCCAGTCTATCCGACCTGTACCTCATCGAGTGGACCGTCACGTCGCGGTACACAACGCTCGTCCGGGGCAGAGTGTCCTGTCTCATGACCGTCGACCGCGGTGTCACCGGACCTTTCTCCCTGCTCAGCTCGATCCGGTGCACCACAAGCGAAGCCAGCCGCGGCATGCTGTCCAGGGCAGGCACAAACCACCCGCGAAACTCGTCAAATACGTCCTGGCAGGAGCTCGCGAAGGCGGCGGCGGCAGGAGCAGTGGCCTCACTGCCAATGTCGTAGCTCTTCATCCAGCACGCCTCGGCCATCTGGGCGTGCAGGGCGCGCTCTTTTGCCCAGTGCTCGGCCATCTCCCGGGCATACTCCTCCTCGTCCCGCGGGACGTCGCCCTCATCTTCTTCTTGGGAGCCCGCATCGGCCCCTGGGTTCTGGGCCATGTACTCCTCGCTCGCGGAGAGAGCCGTGTCGGGGAGGTCAAACCACACCAGCTCCTGGACGTGCCTGGCCAGGTGTGGGTGCGAGGCGATGTTTAGGAAGGTCTCGCGGGACAGCTTAAGCGTAGACAGGGAGATGCGGCGGAAGATGTGCCGCAAGATAAGGCTGTCGTAGTTGGGGCAGACAAAACGCAGCGCCTGGAGTGACGAGGGATGGAAACGAAGACATTCGAGGACCTGCTCGAAGAGCTCTGCTGGTATCGAGCAGAGGCTGGCTGGAGCACGACAGGTTGGTGTGGCATTGGTCGCCATTCCTGCTCCTGTCAAGAAAGCCGATCACATTGACAAAGTTCTCCCAGTTGTGACCGACCAAGTAGGGCGAGGGGATCACAGGGCTGTGTCTTGCTGCTGCCTTGCTTACATAAGCTTTGGTGGATGAACTTTTTGCTGCTGTCACGCATGGAAGGGCCATATACGGTCGAAGGCCGTCCTCAGTCCTCTTGTAGCTTTTCTTAGGCCCCATTGGGATGCCAATACTGAGACCTTGCAATGAGTACCCTAAGGGCTATAGCAGAGCCTTAGATCTAGCTAGAACCATGGGTTGATACCACGGCGAGAACAACAATGACGAACGAGAGGAGAAGGGATGTCCTGGAACCCAGTCTGAGCCCTCCCTGTACAACAAAACTTTCTGCCTTACCATTACCGGGATCGGCCTTCCACCTATGGGCTGCCGCAGTTGACTGCAGTTGGGAGGACGTGTGGCTGCAGATGGTCTCACAAGGCCAGCCAGTAGGACGAGGGGATGTACCCTGTGGGAGGCCAACCAACATCTCCTGGCCGGTGTCTGAGCGGCCGCTTCTGGCGACCAAAGCCTGGTCCGGCGGCTAAGTGATGACGGCTTATTTAATCTCGCCGAATGCCCCGCGGAACTCTGCTACGAACGGCAGGTCCACGTCGCACTCACAACTCTCGCTCTCAGCCTCAATCACCACCAATGGATCCGCTGTCCTCGATGCTCTCCTGCCTCTGCGGCAGCGACGACGATTATCACTGGCACAAGAACTCTGCAGGCTCTGCACAGCCCTTCATTAGCAGCGCGGAGCTTAAGCGAGCATTATCCGCACCTCGCGCTCCTCCGCCTAAACGCACAGGGGAGCGTTTCACCGCAGCAGAAAAGGCCGTCGCGGACGTCCTCTCAATCCTGCGTGCTGCAGAGAACGATACCAGCGCCGAACTACCTCAGCAGGTCGACGACATCGTGACGGCCCAGGGTGGCTGGACGGAGTGGATCGCCGAGGGCATTCTCAATGGCATCAAGGCCGTGCTGGAGCAGGGCGACCCGGACAAGATCGGCAGCGCCATGAAGAGCGCATACGATCGCTCCGTCGATGCAGCGGGCACGGCCTTCCAATTCGCCGAGGACCACCCCGTCGCGGCGGCTGGGCTGCTGACGATCGTTGCGGTTGGCGTCTTGGTCCTGCTTGCGCCCGTCGTGGTTGAGGCTCTGGGCTTTGCCGAGCTGGGGCCAGTTGAAGGTACCGTCTTCCATCCTGCTGTTCTGGACGCCGTTTCTGGCGGAAGGGCGTCAAATGTGTTTGGTCTAGCTGTGCTGACTCTTTCCTGACAGGCTCGTTTGCTGCGTGGTGGGAGAGCACTTATGCTGGGTACATCCCCAAGGGTTCGTTGTTTTCGTTTTTCCAACGCCTGGGAATGCTGTGGGGCAGAGCCTAGGGTAGCTGGCGGCGTGGTGTGGTGGATGGTTAGGCTGAGGGTCTTAAGGTGCTGTTCTTCGTTGTGAGGTTTATGGTCATATCATCGGACCAAGCTGGTCCCGTGGGAAATCATCTCGCCAGCATCTGCCTTCCATGTGGCTTAGCAGTTGTCAATCACTTCCTTCATATTTCGATGCCTGTTTACCCAGACCACATCTCTCTGCCCATTAGCCTTTTCATAATCTCACATTTATTGAGAATGAACTGTTGGCGTGACACGAAGACCATACTGCATTCTACGGTACTCACACTGGATGCCAGCCTTCTGCCTTACCTTGTGATTTTGTGCTCGGTACCCAGAAAGTTTCGGAGGAGGCAGGTGTGGTGCTTTTGAAACTCTTTGAGGCATGTCTCTGCCATTGTGCTGATATACTTGCGGTGATTGTTCGATGTCTAGTTTATGCTCTCCGCTGTCCTGCCCTTCATAGCTCACGATGTTGACATGCATCTCGACAAACCCAGATCCCAGAGTCTCTTATGTCCCGTTGCCAACAGGCTCATTCTAAACCAGCTGTCCCTGTCGTGGCCAACCGTCACTCGCTTTGCACCAGTGCAGCTGACTGTCAGTTCTGTATCAGCGCCAAATGGCTCTTCCTGGCCATTCGATGTGCCCATAGCTCCGAGTATATCCCCTCGTAACGCCATAAGCCAGGGGTGTACAGCTGACACATAGTCGCGGATGGTGACATATCCGGCATCCGGACCTCCGGCTGAGGGCGTCACCATGATAGTGGCTTCCTTATTCAGTGGCCTGTCCTGACCACAGCACTTCACTAGTTCAGCGCCGTCTTCATTGTACCCCGCATCTTCATCATCTTCATCTTCATTGTCGACCCACTCCAGGTGTCTACGGCGATATTCCTCGCTGATGGACCAGATGACCGAATCATTGCCGTTTGGCAAGTGTGGATCCGAGTGATTCCAGTGCGCCTCAGACCACAACATGTCCCAGTCGTCTAATTCGGAGACAGACACAGTAATGGACGAGATCTTAGGGTCGGTAACAGGACACTCGGCGACAGGGTGCCACTTGCCCGTCTGACGGTCGAATAGTGGTTCTTGCCGAATGATGCCGTCTTGTAGCGATAGTAGAGAGACAGCGGTCTCGAGGGGCCCGTTGAGGAGCCAGAAGATGTGTAACAAGGGTATAGAGGTCCCGATCCATCTACCCGCGGCTACGTGCTCCTCGTACGTCGGATACGGGAACTGAGTTCTGTGAGGCGCGCTCGGCAACGTGAGGCTGAAAGAGTTGAAAGAGTTCTCGGCCATTTTCGTTCTTGCTTGGCCAGTTCGGGGGATCTGCAGGCGGACGTCCTAAAGTCTGATGATGGGATAGGTGGTGCGATTTGAATCAGTGGTTTTAGGCGTTGTCCAAGCCTTGATGACTTCTACTTGTTTGGTAGTTTTCTCCGCTTTGTCGTTTTCAGGTGAGGCCTTCGCCGCAAGGTCTCATGTCATGCTCTGCTTCCCATATCTTGACTTTTTTTGAGGGCCTCCATGCACACGCTCACATCACGACTCCGAGTGGGTCCTATGAAATTTGTTCACCGCCGTTGTTGGTTCGGTCTTGAGCCTGGTTAACGACTTATCGCACTGGACTTCCACGCCAGTTCTGACACATTAGCGTAGTAAACTTGTCCAAGCCGTGCAAACCCTGGTCAGATACGGAAGGTGACACTTGAAATGTCGTCCGATAATTCTACAGGCATCGTGAGCTGAGGCCTCATCAAGACCAGTATTCGGGCCGTTCTTCGAGCCATCTACCGTATCTCGAGAGGTTGGGAAGACAGTGTTGCTTCCAACAGAATTTCTGTCCTGTCAGTTCACATTTGCGCCCAGTCAACTCACCCCGAAGTCTTGAGAAGCATAATATTCCATCCCAAGATTCAGGCAGACGCAGCGAAGCTCTCTCGCCTCAAAATCTTCTTGGGGTTCTCAAACCGTTGAGACTCTGGCGAACCTGGCAAGTAACCAATCTGACAACTCATCGTCCAGGCACCTGACATGCTGCTCCTTGCTCTTTTTGCCCTCCAACTACTGTCAGTCAAGGCGGACGATGTATGCAAGCCGGTCACATGGCTACCCGACGGCGCGAGCGAAGCGGCTCCGTCTAGCGACAACAGCACGACAACCATCCCAAGGTACCCTGCCTTGGACTTGATAACTACGGGAGAGCTCAAGCCTGGCGAGATCCGCTGTCGTTACGCGACCGAGACCCGCAAAGATGTCAACCGCTGGACGTGTGCATGGCTGGCTGAGAGGTACCACATCACGCTCGATTTCTTCTTCACGCTCAACCCGTCCCTCGGCCGGGACTGCAGCAACATACGCCCCGAAACGGCTTACTGTGTCAAGGGTTGTAAGTAGTGACCGGTCCTGAGTCTACCACATTAGAGACATCGGCCCTATCAGCAGATATAGTGGCTAACAGAATATTCTTTGACCCGAACCCAGTCATTGAGCCGCTCAGATCGCCTGACGGTCGCTGTGGTCCGTTGCATAACAACGCTACTTGCACGGGAACGACTCATGGTCTGTGCTGCAACGTTGATACGTGGACCTGTGGCAGCGAACCGTAAGTCGAGCATAAGCTCCCTTGTAGAGGAGACCCGAGAAGACGGAAAGGTACCAGGGAATTGCTAATCTGAGCTGCTGTGTTATCTGCAACAGAGCCGACTGCGACGACGGAACTTGCTACGAGGGCGCATGCTTGGGCGACAAGGTCTACAGTACCGATGGCACATGCGGCCTGGAACACGGTGGCCGCCAGTGCGCCGGGAGATGGGGGGACTGCTGTCGCAGGGATGGGCAATGTGGAACGGGAGAAGATTTCTGTGCTGCCGGCCGATGCCAGTCTGGCAACTGTACACCCTATCCAGCGCCGCCCCCGATGGTCTGGGGGAACTCGACTGATGGCAGCTGTGGAGGCCCGAACAGGTATACTTGTGATAACGTCCTGGGGCCTTGTTGTGGCAAGAACGGGAGGTGCGGAGTGGAGGAGGCTCACTGTGGCCCGGGATGGTAAGTGTGGGCGATTGCAACTTCGTTTCCGCTCTTCTCTTCCTCGTGCTTCTCTTTTCGAGACATGATACTAACGGACGTTGACGTGCAGCCAGCCGGAATTTGGTGAATGTGACCCCCGGAGTCCTCCGACTTTTCTGATGACTTACTTGTCGTCGACCCGGACTGTGACCTTGCCCTTATTCTTCAGCACGAGCTCGACCTCGACCTCGCAAGCCACAATATCCCCATCGACAGGACCATCCTGTAGCTCAACATCAAACCCGGCGACTTTATCAACAGCTGAGCCCACTACGAGCTCAACTTCAGAAACCCTACCCAGCTTAATGACGACAGATCTGAAGTCTCTCCCCAGCTGTGGCTAGACTTATCTCAGGAATATGGTGCCGTGCCGTCTAATTTCTTTCACTCGTCACACCTCGCAAATGCACCTCCGTGGCTTCCCTATGCTCAAAGTCAGCAGCCGGATTTGCCTTCCACTCAAAGTTATGGCTCATGGTATTCCTTCCCCCAACACCAGCCCATAACGGGGGCTGAAGAGCACGGCGTGAATTAGCCGTGCCGTCGCCAGGAAGTCCCCCCCCGGCTAGCGGGCGATATGATGGGGCGAGCCTGGGTCGGGAACCGTCGTTGATGATTCGCGGGGCTTCCTAAACGGTCATTCGAAATGGTCCTGGAAAGTTAGCTAGTGTATAACGAACTTTCCATAGAGGCGGGGCTAGTTGGTTCCATCCCAGAATGCAAAGGACAACATTTGGAAGAACTACCTAGTGATTGCCCAAGCGAAATAACGATGTTGGCAGTGTCTCGACCTTCCACGCCAGGCCAGGTGTTAGATGCTCGGCGGAGAAAAGAATTGAGACCCTGTCCGGCCTACAACGTCCGGTGACATCCCGGTACCGGCCTGCGGAGCCACCTTGCCATTGATATCAGAGCATGCCCACTAATCCTCAAGCAGATGGCCTATCCGGGCGTGCATCGGCCGGATAACGCCTTGCCGCAGCGTCTTGTGCTCCACATTTTCCGCCTCCAACGACTCGCCAAAGTCAAAAGTCAACGTAAGGGTGCAGCCATGGTCCTGAGTAGATAGGCCGCTTATCGTGCGGAGGCCTGAGCCCTTGGGTCTTGAACTGCGGCGTCGAAGGTCTCGGCAATCATCGCAGCTGCTTCTTTGTGGGGTAGCGTAGTTCCCTGCGTGGGACAGCGTGGACCTTCTCGACACGCGTGGACTCCGAAAATACATTTAGACATCATCCGAGCCCTGGTGGCATCGTTCTGGATCTGCAACACAGACAGCAACCCGCGCAGAAGGTTGTCAGTAGCCGAACCTCGCTCGAGTCACTCCAAATACCTGTGGGAATCTGAGCTTTCGCATCCCTCTTCGTCTCTCACTTTGCATTCCTGGACGTTACCGCCGACCTCGACATGTCGTCTGCCTTCCACGATGACGGATCGCAACTTCGTGGGCATGGGTCCACGGTCACGCGAGTTGCTGCTCCGCGTGAACAATACAACGAGGACGACGCAGAGCACCGCCAGCTCCGTCGAGTCCGAGGACCTCTGCCATGGCTACTGTTCGCTGTCTGCGTTCTCGAGATGGGAGAGCGTTTTGTGTACATTGGTCTGAGCGGGCCTCTGCAGAATTACATACAGTGAGCAAGCACAATTCTCTAGGTTGATACCGGTCGGGAAAACTGCCTCTGACGTTACCATCTCAGAATCCCGTATCCCAGCAGCAACGGTGTGCCTGGTGCCCTAGGCCGGGGCCAGTCAACTGGTGCCGCGCTTGGAAACTTCTTCAAGTTTTGGGCCTACTTATGTACGGTCTTTGGAGCTATTGTCGCCGGTCAGTCAGCACGCCCTGAATTCCTACGTGGTGATTTCAGCTGACACGTTCATATTCGGTCTGTTGGCATTTAGATCAGTATCTCGGCAAGTTCAAGACAATCATTTGCTCGGTGCCCATCTACGTCATCGGCATGGTGATTCTCGTGGCTACCTCGACTCCTGCCGGCATAACTTCTGGCGCAGCCATGGGCGGGCTCATTGCCATGATGATTCTCGTCGGCCTCGGCACGGGTGGCCTGAAATCCTGCATCGCGCCACTGTCCGCCGAGCAGAACACTTCGTTCAAGTCTTATATCAAGATGACCAAATCTGGCGAGCGCGTCGTGGTCGATGCGCAGCTGACGAATGCCAGTATCTTCATGTGGTGAGTCGGTCTGTAGTGATTTCGCCACCCATAATAGAGCATTTAATGACCAGGTCCTGCAGGTACTACTGGGCAGCCAATGTTGGATCTCTCGCAAGTCTGATCACGACTAGTGTCGAAAAGGCGCATTCTTTCTGGGTCGCTTATCTGATCCCTCTCGTGTAAGTCACTCTTAAAACACAAACCCGTTTGTGTTTTCTTGTTCGAAGACCGCAGTCTAACTCTCTGTTTCGCTGACGATAGTGTCTTCCTCATGACCTTCGGCGTGTTCATGTTCTTCAGCCGGCGTCTCACCACCGCACCAGCGCAAGGTTCCGCGATTATCGACGCCTTCAAGACGACCGCCATCGCCATCCGGGAGCGCGGCTTCGAGAACGCAAAGCCCTCCGCCCTCGCCGCCCGACGACGCCTCGAGAAGTACGCCTTCGCACGCGCCAACGATCGGTACACCGACAGCTACGTGTCCGAGATTCGCAGCGGCATTGGTGCGTGCAAGTACTTTGTCCTGTTTCCCGTATACTTTGTCGTCTGGATCCAGGCTTTTTCAAACCTGGTGGCGCAGGCCGGGTCGATGAAGCTGGGGGGCACGCCGAACGACTTGATGCAGAGCCTCGAGACTATCTTTATGCTTGCATTCATCCCGCTACTTGACAGTGAGTTGTCCCCCATCAGCATTCTGAAGGGTACATATGTGTCCTGTCTTCCTAACCACTCGCAATGTCTACAGTCATCATCTACCCCTTCCTCCGCAAGCAGTGGGGCATCCACCTGAACCCGATCCTGCGTATATTTCTGGGCTTCATCATGGCCGCGCTGGCCATGACGTACTGCTGCGTGCTGCAGCACTTCATCTACGCCTCGCCCGAGGAGAACAGCATCGACGTGTGGCTGCAGACGCCCGCGTGGATCTTCATGGCGCTGTCCGAGATTTGGGTCGTCGTCACGGGGCTCGAGGTCGCGTTCCTCAAGGCACCAGAGTCGTTGAGGGCGTTCATCTCGTCCATGTTCTGGTTGACCATTGCGTTTGGGGCTGCGGTTGGCATCGGCCTGTCGCCTGTGAGCAAGGACCCGTACATGGTGTGGCTTTATGGCGGGATCGCTGTCGCGGCGTTCGTGTCGGGCGTACTCTTCTACTTGTGGTTTAGGAATGATATTGCCAACGGCATTGTTCCAGCCGGGGAGGTGAGTGCGCTCACGGGAGTCGAGGTAGAGAAGGTGAAGGGGATCGAGGCGGGCAAGGTGTCTGTTGGCGGCGACAAGCCGCCTCTGGCAGCCTGATGCAAGCCGAAGGAGTACCTCATATTTGAGTCCTCTCGGTGGTTTGCGTGAACAGGCACACACGGTGATCCCTGATGAGTAAATTTAGCACACACCAATAGACTACCGGGTTGCGAGGCAGTCATTGTTCTCCGGCAGTGCTCGTGCGATCGTCCAGCTATACTCATGTGCAATTTCAATACTTGAAGCGAATCCAATGATGCCTCTTTGAAGACTCGAAGTCGATTTACTGATGTCTGCTTAAGCACCTAATCAGTCATGTGGACCCTTGTGCTTTTCCCATGCTGCTGATTAAAGTTTGGACCCTGCCTCTCGGCCCCTCAGCTGGCGATGGGACAACATCCACCTCGGAGACCCACGAGAACGACTCGCAGTCTCCATCTAGCACACACCACATCCGCGACGAGCCGCAAATCTAGCAACGCGCCGGGGCGCGACGATGCAGCCGTCGGTGCGGCGATACAAGAGCAAGGCCCAGAGGCCGTGCGACTTCTGCCGCCAGCGCCGTGCCGCCTGCCGCATCGTCGAGGCGGCCCCTTGCGAGCTCTGCAAGGCTTACCGCCGCGACTGCACATTCGTCCACGCTCCTCCGCCCCGTCGCCGGGTACCGGGTCCCGACGGAGCCGGCGAGCCAGCCCGTATCAGCCCGGGCATTACTGGGCCGGGGCCGGTGCGCGGTACAGCGGCGGCGACGGCGGCGAATCTAGCAGGAACGGAGTCGCACAACCTGGTTACAAATATGCAGGGTCCTCCTGTTTTATCACACGATATGGGGGCTGCTTTCGAATCTTTGGATCGCTATCAACATGCCGTAGCGAGTCACCAAACTCAAGGTGCTCTTGATAGCGACCTTGAGGGCTACCAGTTCGAACCCCTGTACGACTTCCTGACTTCTGGCCCTGTTGAGGCGCACGGCGGTCTCCCCCATCTCGGAGAGCTCGACAACACACAAAGTACGCGTGAGGAGCTAGGCCCGCAAGCTGCCAACATCTCTCCAGGTATATGGCCGGGGAGCCCTCCCGCGGTCGCGGATGTAGATCATGGCGTCCTGATCGGTCCCACAGATCCAAGTGCGTGCCGCTTCCTGCATATCATCGTGGTCAAACTCTGACAAAGTGCTGCATAGTGGATCCTCATGTCATGCGGGAATATTATTACGACGGCCTGGGGCAGATGCCGTTCAAGAGATTGACAGTCAGATCTGTCGTTGGGGGCACTGACCCTGTGCAATTCCTGATAACCCACGACAGTGCTCGGGAGCTCAGTCTCCGACACGAAGAGAGGAGAGCCGAGCTTTCAACCATCATCGCACCGGACGTCGGTGCGCGACTGCTCTCCTTGTAAGTCATGCTCTATGCTAGTATTTCATGTTTGTGTGTACTGACCAGTATCGTCATCAGATACTACCGCTTCATCTCTCCACAGTTTCCAATCCTAGCATTCGAGCCCCAGCCCACCATCGAAGATCTGTCCCCAGACGTGCTTGCTGCAGTCTACCTTCTGAGTTTGGACTTCTCTACTTTCGACGACGTCCTGTGCATTCAGACCGTCTACGAGGAGCAGCACCGCAGAGAGCTGAGGGACTTCGCCATGGTGTGTCTGCGAGAACAAGAGAGTCGGCCGACTTTGAGCTCAGTCCAGTGTGCACTCCTACTTCTCCTTGCCCCGCCAGATGACTACCTCATGCCGAACAACGAGCGAGCGTCAATCCTAGCAAGCATGATGGTATCCATGTCCAACGCTTTGGGGTTGCAGTACGATCCGGCAGGCTGGAACCTCTCGGCGGCCGACAAGGCGTTACGTCGCCGGATATCATGCCTCGTGTTGATGAGTGATGTCTGGGTTGCGGCAGTCACCGGCCGGCCCCTGCTGATTTCGCTTGACAACTGGCTCGTGGACCGCCTTTCCGTCGAGGATCTAGAAAGCAGCGGTAACGATGCACACAAAATGCAGGACGTAGTGCGACTCGTCGAGCTGAGCAATATTCTCAGATGTATCCTGCGTGATCTTTTGTACGGTCAACTGCCACCGGCTGGACTACTATATTGTGCTGACTCGCAGTCTCTTAGCTCTTTGCAAAACTCACAGCGGCTGAGCACGAACCTTCCAGATACTCTTCGCGTGGCGCAGCCGCTCATGGAACAGATCACCGAGTGGTACTCGCACACCATCGCCAACAAGGACACTGGCCTTCGCGATGCTCGGGACAAAACAAGCAGTTTCCTGGAACTGGGCTACCATATCACCAGAGCGATTATTTTCAGGGCCATCATGCGCCCACTACACAATGGCACGCTTCACCACAACCACGACGTGCCCATGAACGGAACCACAATGATCCCCGCTGGGAGCGCCGAGCAGAACGGCTCAATGCGCGTAGATGGTGGGAACGGGGGGAAGGAACAAGTGCGTATTGGTGCCATGGCCTGTGCCAGGGCATTCACGGCTTACATCGAAGGGTTAAGTCTGGACGACTTCCAATCATTCTGGCCATTCTGTAGGTTTTTCTCCCATTTCGTTGCTTCAAGTTGTGACTTTCACTGCCTACCTCCAATGCGATGCTCTACTTGCGTTCAAGAATTCTTTTCAACTTTAAATCGCCTCACTTCGCTAACGCCTCTCGACACTTCCCCACGGGCGCAGGGTCAATAGCCGGCTTCGCGTTCCACTCCCAACTCTGGCTCACACTCCTCCTTTTGGCCCCAACACCAGCCGAGGCCGCAGAGTGTTATACGTGGAACAGCCGCGTCCGGGAACTGCTGCGCACGCGGGCGCGCTCGTTCGCCCCGCTCCGCCTGGCCCTGCTGCGCGCCGACAGCATCTGGTGGCGCGGGCTTGAGAGCACGGTGCGGCTCAGCCCTGTTGTCGCTGAGGGCATCGTGCTGGCGGGTGGCGGTGGCGGCGGCGGCGGCGCAACGGGGACAGGCGGCCTTGGGCGAGGACTGTCTTGAGTGGTCCACGGGGATTTCTCAATGGATCATGATATGGGTTGGTTAATCCTGGTGGCTAGCCAGAGTTTTATCGCCCGTTGTCCTGATTAGGTTGGTAGGATATTCTCGGGCAGAATTTAGAACCCAATACTTTCGGTCTGCCGACATCATGGCTGGACGATAGCCCTGTCTCGCCAAAAGAACTAGGCCCACCGTCATGAGCAAGAGCTTGCCAGCCAACGTGGTGGGTATTTTAGTGTTCATAGGCAAGCAATTAACCTGAGAACACGATTTCCATCCTTGTCATTATTACGAGCCATCGACCATAAAGATCAAGGGCGTTTCGAGTGTCGGCGAGCACGGTGAATGCGGGGGATCCGGCATGGTGTCTGATTGGCGGCAGTGGCCAATGGCCGAGAGCGGCGGCTGTTCTCCAACGCCTATCAGCGCATCAGTAAAGTTGGCGTCTAGCGCTATCTGGCAGCCACATTCCCGGCTTGGATGTCCAGGTAGCCGCCCCGGGCCGGCATCGGGGCGGAGGACTCGCCTGCACTTGCCTGGGCTGCGGCGTAACTGGAGCAAGCCGTCGATCGGCTCTCTGTCATCGGGGGAGGGGTAGAAGCATCGCACGATGCACTCTCATTCTTATGTTGTTGCTTCTTCTGCTAAGCGAACGACATTTGCACCAAATGATCCAATATCACCCTCTCGAAGTTTGGTACTAGAGGCTTCCCTAAGTTCTTTGCGTTCCACATTCTATCATTGTGACCTGTTAGCATAGCTGCAGTACGAGCCTCCCCATCTCTCATTTCTGGCAAGCACCATGAAACCAACCAGTATAACTTGCCTGTTTTCCTTGGGCCTAGCTGGCCTGGCTTCGAGTACGAAACACGTGGACGCGGACCGCGACAGCCTTTTCAATCATGCCATTTCACTCATGGAGAAAAGCCCGCTGGTCGACACGCACATTGACCTGCCCCAAGTCCTGCGCTCCCTAGGTACGCCCTAAGTCCTTCCCCTTCCCCTCGCGTCGGCATCCCGTCCGCGGAGTTCAGTGAGCACTGCTAACACCGTAACGTCCGGGAACACAGACCGCTATCCTCTCAATGCCATCCGCAGCATCAACGCCTCAGTCCCGGGACACGTCGACATCCCGCGTCTGCGCGAGGGCCGACTGGGCGGGGCCTTCTGGACCGTGTGGACGCCGTGCCCGGAGCTCGTGGGCGACGACCCGGGCCCGGACTTCAACAACCCGACCCACGCGCTCCGCGACGCCTTCGAGATGCTCGACCTGATCCAGAACATGATCGCCCAGCACCCGGAGCACCTGCAGCTCGCGCGCTCGTCCGCGGACATCACGGCCGCGTTCCGCGCGGGCAGGATCGCGTCCCTGCTCGGCATGGAGGGCACGCACTTTCTCGGCAACTCGCTCTCCTCCGTGCGGGTGTTTGCCCAGCTGGGTGTGCGCTATCTAACCCTCACGCACGTGTGCCACAGCGCCTTCGCGTCGTCGAACGGTGGCGGGGGACCCATGACGGCGGCGCACGAGGGCAACGGCCTGAGCCCCCTGGGCGACGAGCTGGTCCGGGAGCTCAACCGGCTCGGGGTCATGGTCGACCTGTCGCACACGTCAGACGCCACGGCCCGGCAGGCGCTGAGGCTGTCCCGCGCGCCCGTGGTGTGGACGCACTCGGGCAGCCGGGCGCTGCAGGACCACCCGCGCAATGTGCCCGACGACATCCTGGCGCTTGTCGGCGACGGGCCGGGCAAGAACCCCGGGGTCATCCAGTCGGTGTTCTACCCGCCGTTCATCGGCCCGACGCCGGAGACGGCGAATGTGTCCAGGGTTGCAGACCATATCGAGTATATCGCGCGGATCGTGGGAAAGAAGCACGTCGGCATCGCGTCCGACTTTGATGGGATGTATGCTTCGGTGCAAGGGCTCGAGGATGCGAGCAAGTACCCCGTCCTGGTGGCTGAGATGCTGGCTAGGGGCTGGTCGGACGAAGAGGTGCTGGACTTGATGGGGCGGAACCTGATGAGAGTCATGGATGCGGTCGATGCGGTCAAGGAGGAGTTGAAGTACGAGTTGCCCTCGACCGCCATCTGGGAGAAGAGGAAGGATCTGCCCGCGACTTGGGGTGAGGAGTACTACCCATACGAGGTCCGGGACGCGAGGAAGAAGCTGCAAATTGTGCACGACGAGCTCTAGATGGATACATTCCATCTTGTCATGCTCAGCGCGAACGGCTTCGGGCCGAAAAGAATATGTGTGCGCCTTGCACTTGTCAGTCCTATAAATGGAGTGTACCACGGCCTGTCACAACTTTGTGTTCAGGAAGAAGCTCGGGGATACATGATGATACGTTTCAGCCAAGGACAAACTCAACGGTCTCAGCCTCAGTCATTAAGTCAATGACTTATAGGATGGCAAAGTGACGGCGCCCCCGAGATGGCGCTTATGCACGCAGGATGTCGGTTCATCCGCAAATTCGAGTCAAGTCCTCGACTCACTGTTTAGAAGTCCCTTTAGCCGACCGCGTATGTTGCCACGCCGACCATTGGGTCTCAATTTTGTTAATGGTGCGCGGGAACGCTCGCCCGGGAAGGCGCATGACGTCTGCACGATGGCAACCGCTTCTGGCGCAGGGCGGCACGAGTCAATCGCATCACGATTCAGGTCAACTTTTGGTACGAAGAAACGCCCGAGACGTGGCCATGATCTTTTTCGAATTATTTATTATTATTATGATATAGGAGTGCGGTAAACGTGTGACGATGAAGAAAGCATCGTAGTGATAGGTACCATTATACAAGCTGGTAAAAGGGCTCGTGTGTCAGCTAGGTTACTACTTCTTGATAGCGCTGTACCAGCCGCCGGACTTGTACCCGTTGCCCCTGATGGACGACTTGAGCCAGCAGTACTTTGCCTTGCTCCAGATAGCGTCGACACAACCCGCGGTAGTATCGCAAAGGTCGGCGCACAACTCAAGAGTGGCGGTGTACTTGCTACCAATCGTGTCGCCGTCGTACTGGTAGTTGCAGGCGATCTTGTACGAGTTACCCGAGGGAGCATTGAAGGTAGTGCCATCGGCAGAGTTGTCAAAGCAGTTGATGGCGCCAATAGGGTCGGTGTTGGCGGGGCCGACGCCAGGAGAAGAGCCAGGGCTGGGAGAAGGGACGAAGTCGCTGGGCACTTTGATGGCGCTCCACCAGCCTCCGCTGCTGTAGCCGTTTGTCTTTGTCTTCTTGAGCCAGCAGTACTTGGCATCGCTGTACACGACGTCCACGCACCCGGCGGTGGTGTCGCAGAACCCGACGCACTGCTCAAACGTCTCGGCGCGCTTCGACGCGCCCAAGGTCTCGCCGCCATACTGGTAGTTGCACAGGATCTGGTACTTCTGGCTGGATCCAGGCGGTGTGAAGACTGTGCCGTTGCTCGACCCGTCCTTGCAGTTGAGCATCTTGACAAACTCCGCGCTGATCACGCCATAGGGGGTATAGTAGTGCTGGGCTTCCTGGATGGGGGTGGTTGTCATGGCGCAGTATGAGCCAGAGATGCTCCAGGCCACGTAGGTACATCCTGGGACTGCCTGCCCGGCTGCACAGGCATCGATGCATGACTCAATGGTGGGCCACGGGCCGCTTGGGTACTGCCAGCTCCAGGAGCCCTTCTCGGCGAAACAGTCGATCTCGTAGGTTTTGCCTGATGGCGTCACATAGCGAGTATGGTCGCTGGGGCCTTTGTTGGGATAGGTACCGCAGTTGATCGGTGACGTTCCGCGGGAGAAGAGGGCGGCTGCAGGAACGGCCTGCACAGCAGCAGCCTGGGCGACGGCTACAAGGCCGCCCAAAAGGGCAGTGGTCTGAAGCATGATACTGGTATTTGGAGCAAGGGAGCTAGAAGCGAAGAGACAATGAGATTGTTGTGCTGGTCAGTTGACGATGGGTCATGAAGATTGGGGAGACATTGATGAAGGGGCAAGACGACAATGGACATTATATATGAGAACAAGCGAAAGCGATCAAGCCGCCTTATCCCAGATTCAGCTGGTCATGGTCACACGGCAAGACCCCATGGGGGAACTGACCCTGAAAATGCGTCGTCGAGTATACTGGAGCCTCAGCTTCAGTTCAGGTGCAGAGATTTACTGTGGCTGCGTGGTCGGCCCCGTCCTTGTTTACGATCTATCGACTTGATAATCTCCACGAAGGAGTATAGTAGAGATGTCGAAGACACTAGAACATGACCGGTACCTGCGTTAGCGCTTGGTTGCTGTGGGCATAAAGCCAATGGTCCACTGCTGTCAGCCAGGGGCCACGCTATTTTCCAGCTGCCCCGCATCTGGGGTCAAAGGCCATGTGGACATGGGCGCGGTGACCATTTCCATCTGTGAAATCTCCACAAAGGCGTTGCTGTGGTAAGCTGATAGACTTCTAGCCGAAGCACCATGCATGGAGTGGCCTGATCGTCAGTCCAGGTCTGGCTCGCGGGCTTGTGGCCCCAGGCCTCGCCGAAAGCAAGTGGAAGTTGGATGGACCTGCTGCTCCAGTGGCACCACGCCAAGAAACGCTTTCACGAAGCGGTAAGTGGCCGGCAAGTGGCGTGAAGCTGTTTTGCTGCACTGTGGTTCAAAGGGTCCTATTTTGGACCGACGCAGGATCCTGTCAATATTGGCATAGAATGTCATAGTTCCCTTGCTCTTTGTCGGATGACATTTCATTGCCCCAAAATTTGCTTGTCTGCTCGTCCATTCCTACCATCTGCCCGTCCAAGGGCCGAATCTGGCTGCGATGTGCGAATCGAGAGTGTGGTTTGTTCCCTAAGGGCTGCTCCTTTTGAAACCATCAATCCGGTCGAGGATATTCAAGCAAGCTCTCATTAATATTAGTTTCTTATAAATTCTACTTTCTCAACCCTATCATTTAACGCAATGAGACCGCTCACTACTGTCGGCACGTGATGATGACTTGGATGAGCCTCATACACTGTACCGTCGTCGTGTCCTTGTGGAAGCGACTTCACGCCTGGCTTTGGCTATGTGGATGACTCCGACGACAAAAGTTGGTTTCAACACCCCGCAACCTCCTCACGCAAAGGGGATCAGCGTCCAGCTGCGCTCCTTGTAGTCGGCATACGCCTGCCCAAACGTCCTCTCGAGCCAGCGCTCCTCTTTCCTGATCCTGCCCACCAGGTGCGCCCAGGTGAAGCAGATGATCGGGCCCATGCTCACGGTGAAGGTGGGGAAGACGAGGCCCGGGCAGACCATGAACTGGCTACCCACAGTCCACAGCAGGAGGCCGAGGTATCCCGGGTGCCGGAGGAAGCGGTACGCGCCCGTGGTCAGGAGGACGGGCCGCATGGGCTTGTCCTTGTCGAGCAGCAAGGGGCGGGTCTCGGCGCCAGGGGCGTCGCTGGCCAGTTGGCTGCGGACCGCGGACGACGCGTGCAGTAGTGCCAGGGCGCGGAGGACGTGGCCTGCAAGCATGAGGTGGATGCCCACGACGGTCAATGGCGGGATTTCGAAGAATGCGAGGTAGTATATGCGGGGGGCCGAGAAGCGGACGATGCACTCGACCGATGCGACCGCATAGATGGGCCAGCTGTCAATGCCGGATAGGAAGGGCCGGATCGGCGAGCAGTCGTACTCGTCCATGTCGAAGTAGTCCTGCTGGTGGCTGAAAAGCGGGCCGCCACGGTGGCGGGCGGCGACACATGCCTCGAGGAGGTGATGGGCTGAGATGGAGGCGAGGTACGCCGGCACGCGCCAGTGGTCCGAGTGCGGCCACCGGACGTGGATGAGGACGGCGGCGGTGGACAGGCCGGCCAGGGCGACTGCGAAGAGCACGGCCGGCAGGGCGTTGCCCGACGCGAGGGCACGTCGCGGCCAGGCGAGCCACGATGCTGCTGCTGGACTGCCTGAAGCAGAAGGACTAGGGCAAGCGAGTCAGTTTGTGAATACTTGGGTCGCAGCACAGGGCTTGTTACCTCGGGGGCGACTCTAGATCCTGTGGTCGGACGAGTCCCAGCTCGACATCGCGGGCGGCCGCGTGCATGGCGGCAGTGGCGGTGATGCGCGAGGCGTTTTTGGAAACTGTGGAGAGATTCACAATGGAAATCCGGCGCGTGTGTCGAGAACCGCATGGTCAGGTTGGCGGCCGCCGGGAGGCACCTGACCCTTGACGGACGAGAAAATCAGGCAACACCGTCCCATATTTCTAGCCGTGCTTTTGCCCCAACAGGCACATTGGCAAAGCTTGGGAAGCTTCGCCTGGCCACAAGCAGCATCAGGGGGCCCGTCCCCTGTCCTGTTGGTGCTGTCAGTGGGTCTGCGCGAAATGAGTGGCTTCACGCAATGCCCTCGGAGCCGCCGCCCTAACTTATGGGCCCGGCTCACGCTAAATGCCGAGCGCTCGAATGACTGCGTGGGATATCGGGAGAGATGCTCCGAAGGGTCTGCGGGAGGCGGCGTGTCTCTCAAATTCTAGTAGTGCGATGACACAGAAACAACCACTGGCAACCTCTAAGAGTAACCCTCATCTCCTAATTCCCCCGGGGATGTCATGCCCAGAGGCACAATACTTACAGTGCTTGTTTCCAAAAACCCCGGAGAATCGGATCGTGATACTTACATCTTCCGGATTTGGAGCAATCACCTGAATGGTTTTCTTTCGTGTGACCCGTGCAGTTTTGTCTCGTTCAGGAACAATTACTAGACTCCATACTGATGCTGTAGATCTCGCGAGACCACTTTGATAGCTTGAAGTATGAGGTAAAATCTTTCACGTGTCAGAGCTTGGCCACAGCTGTTGGCTTCGCCAGCCCCTTCAGCACATCCCCCTCCACAAGCGCGACAGCTTCAACAGCCATCCCACGCCCGGCCTGAAACCCCGTACCGCCAGCGCCATAGTTATGCACAAGCGTAACTTCCCTCTTGTTCTCTTCGCCATCACCCATGAGCAGTTCCTCACGCGCAATGCGGGCGCCGCCTTCGCGCGAGGGCCGTGCGCCCGTCAACGCGGCGAGCACTTCGACGCCAGCTGCGGGGTTCGCGGTGCTGTCGAGGCCGGATGGGTTCAGGGCTTTTGTGCGCTCCAGGATCGAAGCCGTTTCGGTGACGTATGTCGCCGGGTCGCTGTCGGGTACATGCGTCAGTTGTTTTCATGCCTGGATGCAACAGGGGAAGCGGAAAAACAAGCAATGATGAGAGGGAATGATTACGTGGATAGACATACCTGTTCATCTTCTGCATGTACCCTCCCAGCACCACATGGCCGTCAGTCCCGGGCCTGGGGATGATATACGTCTCAAAGTCTTTTCCATGCCGCATCATGTTCTTTTTGACAGCAGGCGCCCGTGCGAGGAGCACTTGTCCGCGCGTCGGATAACACAGTCCATCCTCGACGCCCTTCAGGGTACGGGCTGCCGCGCCAGTGCAGTTGAACACGAGCCGCGTGGATGGGCCATACGCAGAGAAGATGTCTGGCAGGGTCTTGCGGAGGAATGTTACGCCGTACTGGTTGCGTAGACGGCCGGCCAGGTAGGCGATGTGTTTTGGTGCGTTGATGGTGTACGTCGAGAAAGATATGCCGAAGGATGTTCCTGCCAGGAGTTCAGATGTAGGGAGGATCTTGAACTGGGCAGAGGGGGATATGTCGGTCAGTCAATGGAAGCCCTTTTCCGGCGGCTGAGCGAGTTAGGGATGGGCCCGAACTCACATCTTCGAGGTACTCGGACATGAACTTGATCTTGTCGCTGGGGATCTGCTCGTCCCAGAACTCGACGGATGGCGTCCGCTGGACGTAGGCGTCTTTGCCGTGCTTGGCCCATAGCTCCCGCAGGTACTTGTATCCTTCACGATCCCACTTCAAGGCGTTGGCGTCAGTGCCCGAGATGGCGGAGAAGTTGCAGCCGGCCCTGTGTTTGACGTCAGTCGAGAGCCGTGGAAATATCTGCAGGGCGACACAAGATCTTACCACGGAGAGCAGTACGATGGGGACGTGTCGCCAGGCATGTACTCGGCGATAATTGTGATACATGGGCCAAAGCCCTTTTCACAGAGCAGCAGGGCGACATCGAGGCCGATGATACCGGCGCTGTGATCGGGTGTCAATACTGAGCGCGTTCTCAAGTATTCCCTGCGGGTTCCTTGCGATGAAGGTCTCAATAGAGTGTCATGACGTACCCAACAATGACGATTCCCCTGTGGGGTTGGTTTTCAGACATTTTGCAGGCGTGGCGCCCGACTGCGCAGTTGTGATGAGGCTTGTCGACCTGCAGATCCCGTGAGGTGTTTGGTATTATCAATATGATATGATATGATATGGCAGCCGTCAATCAAGCACCAGTGGCATCAGACCACTGTTTGTCTGGACCAAGAAGCAGGCATTATCGCACTCCCACGCTTAGACTCGGCCCGCCAGGCAAAATTCACAAGTGGCTACACCGCCGCCGGCATCGGCAAAATGGTCATCTTGGCTAGTGGGCCTGGCGAACGTTCAGCCCAGACCGACCAAAGCGCGACTTTTGGCGCTATCCGGCGGCCCCACGCCTCTCCATCTTGAGCCTACGGCATCGTCCGTGATTGGCGGCAGATTTTGTGTGGTTCTAAATCTGGAGAAGCATCCTGTCCAGTTCGTTGGTTCGGACAGGAGTTTGTTCAGATAACGGGACGTTGGGTCAGCGAATATACTCAAGGCGGCTTCAAGGTTGATGTGAAATCCTCTGGTGCGGGCTTCCCTTTTTTTCACTTTTCGTGTGAAACATTTGTACCAATAAACATGCAAATCTTATTGCAGGCCATCAAAGACGAAACAAGGATAAGAAGGATGTGGCTGGAACCTAGACTTTTTACAAAAATCCATTATTTCCTGACATCACTTGAATTCTGTTGTTGCTCTGATATGTCTCCTATAACTTTACTTGCTCTTTTACGCTCTCTGATGGGCAAAGAGAGTCGCTTGTGGCTTATAGTGCACAACTGGGATAAAGTCTTTTCTCCGAACCTGTGACAAACTCGGAACCCTCATCAAAATATCAGAGGAGTCATAGGTGCAATTCAATCTCGTCATAGGCTTAGCTACGACTGTACGCTTCCCTGCCCGGCACTATGCGCTTCTGCCTTCCGTTTGTGGAGTTGCTGCCGAATCTGTCGTCTCACAGTACCGAGAACGAGCCCAACACCCAGTCGTGCTTGGCATTGTGCCGTGGCTGAGGCAGTGCGACCCCTGTCTCTCCCAGATCACGAAGCATTTCCTGGGCGCCAAGACCCTTTGCATATTTTGCACCCAAAAATGCAGCGCTGAGACCAGGATGGCTGTTCCAATATTAACCACATTGCCATTTGGTCACTGCTTGGCAGCGGGCACCTGCGCCTTCTCCACGGCGCTTGTGCCTTGCCCAGGCAGGGGCTTGCCATTTCGCGACTCGAATTTCTTGGCGATGTCGGGCATGCTATTACCAGCTGTGGCCCAAGGCCTAAACCTCCTCCATTTCCTCACCCTGAATCTCCCGTCTCGGGAGTGGCATAATCAACGAAACCTTCCACCTCAACTCTATCGCCACATCAATCGTCGCCTCAACGTTTCGTTTTCAGACTAGGGAGCGCAACGAGCACACTTCAACCGCCCTTGTGGAGAATCGACGCCAGCTCCTTCGGCCGCACTAACCAAAATGCAGGTCACATCCTCGCCCCTCGCGGCTCTCGTGGCTCTCATCACCCTCGCGTCTGCCGCACCTTCCACCAGCACAAACGCTTTACAACCCCGCGTTGATGTGCTCGCCGAGAATAATGCTCTGATCAACACCATCTACCCGGCGCGCGACACCGTGCGCGCCGTGGTGTCCGAGTCCCTCGCCAACATCGACCACTACCTGACAAGAGGCGCCGCGGCGAGCGAGCACGACAAGATGGCGGCGCTGCGGGACAGCATCTACAAAGCGATGACCGACATTGATGCTGCGTATGGAATGTTCATCGCGACGGGCCAGGCGTTGGCGCAGGACTATCAGAGTGTGGAGGGTCACGCGGCGACACAATGGTCTTGAGCGCGTGTGTGCTGTGGCGCAAGGAGGTGGTGAACGAGCGGCTACATTTTGAATCGTAAGGAGAGGGTACGCCAAAATCTGTGGCTGGTTAATGCGGATAGATGTGGTTGTAACGTGGGCAGTACTGCTTAAAGGGATGTCCCTGAAAGAAGCCAATATTACCAGGTTAAAGCGAGAAAGTGCTTTCGTGCCGCAGTTTTTTGTTGGTGCACGCTGCTGTTTTAACGCGGCTCGAACATAATGGCTTGTAACTCAGCAGTTGCTTCGTAGTGAGAGAGGATGCATTGCATATACCAAAATCTAATGCGTTTCTGCGTAACGTTGGTCTAGCCAAATATGTACGTGTAAAGGCTCCCTTTCATGGAAATAAAGTAGGTACGAGAAGAGAATGCAAGCGAGTGACTCGGATGAGGAGGTGAGATGACAAAAACATAGGAACACGATGCAAGGTAACAAAGAATTTCCCTCTCTGTTCTGGGCCTCCGGCAGAATCCATCATTTCCTAACGCCTTCCCAGATGTTTAGTCGAACCAGCCGCCAAGACGCTGGACAACGTCGCTGACGTAGCTGGGAGTAGCACCACGGCCATCGCTAAGGTCAGCGTGGTTAACGTTACCGCTGTTGTACTCGCGGAGAGCAGGGTAGACGCTCTTGGGCTGGTACCCGTCGCCGCCGTTGCGGTCGAGGTTACCGCGGAAGTGCTTGGCGCCGGCTAGGATCATGGACGTGATCTGGGCCTGCGACAGGTTGGTCAAGCCGGGGAAGCCCGGGCAGCCGGAGCACTGCATGATGCCCGCGGTCGGGATGCCCTCCCACGAGTAGGTAGTGCGGACGCCCACGTAGCCGTGAGACTCCTGCATAATCATGGCCAGCAAAACGCGGTTATCGATCTTGTACTGGGACGCCGCGGCGTTGATGCCGGTCTTGATACGGTTGATGTCGTTCTGGGTCGAGCCGGCGTACTTCATCATATCGTCGTTACGGTTAAACTAGTTTATAACACGTCTCTGATTAGTATACTTGTGGCCATTTGGAGACGATGAATGCCCGGACGATTCCCAGCTTACAAGATCATCAAAGGACTTCCAGGTGCTCTTGCCCGGGAACCTATCCCAGGTACCGGAGTACCACTGTGGAGCGGCCCGAGCAGAGAGTGTCCGGGTCTCGACTGTAACTTGTCCATCCTGTGTAGGAACAGCCGCGGCATTGGTGAGCGATGCCGCGGCGACAAGAGAGAGAAAGATAGTCTTGATGGAGGCCATTTCAAGGAATTGGACTGTCGCGAGTTTATGAAGGAGTATATCAGGCTCTTCTTCGATGATGTACTACTCGAGGAGATTGAGAGTGAGGGTGAGGCTGTTGGGTAAATGCTGCTGAGACGGTCGAGATGATAGCAAATAGCGAGGACAACGTCTCAAGTTATATACATGTTGCCCACGCTCACGAGCAGACATCAGATCAGAATGTCGCCTTGGATTCATCTGGACACTCAGATTCTGCAACGCGGAGTGCTGGATCTCCTCGACAACAAACTGGTAGACCATGCCTACGCCAGTAGCTGACACCTGTGGGGCCCAACCTAGACCAGTACAGTTCGCTAGATGAGGCTCCGCGCAACGTTCTATCAATCGCGCCACAGTGTACAGTGTTGCATTAGCAGTGCCCAGTTGTTCGGCATTACGCAGTGATAGTGGATCAGGGAGGCGTCAGGAGCAGTCCATCCTCTTTGGAAGACGGCTCCATTCCCCAGGCACACGGAGGTGCAGCAAGGCCTTGGCAAGTTGCGAGCAAGCCAACAGGCATGTCACCTTAGTGTGACCGGGAACGGGGCGAAACGGGCCCATGTCACTTTATCAGTCAAGCCACCCGTGCCTTTCGCAGGGGATCTAACCATTCTCGGATTGCTGACAGGGGCTGTTGACGAGACATGGTCTTGTTAGTTCTCCAACAGTCATATTATCGGCGTCTGACTTTGCAGGCGTCAGTGTTCGCCATGCTCGGAACTCCTCTATGTTCGACGGAAAGAACAAACAGCCTTAGAAATGATGTCAAGCTGTCTTTCGTCAAGCACGGTCTCGTCGAGAATCCACGTCTGTTGCATCCGGCTTACCGAGGACCCGTCAAGTACCACTAAGCTCATGGTTTCCGCGTCAGCACTTTGTGTGGCGTCCCAGCGACGGATACACCCGGTGGGCTGACGCTACATCGCCGGGATGCGCGGCTACGGTGATCAGTTGCTCGCTTAGGTACTCTTTTGAGGCTTCTGGAACGTTACTGGGGAGCCCGCCATGCCGAAAGGAAAGCCTCTTCTTCCCGCATGAAGACAAGCATACCTGATACCAGCTCCGAGGACTGCCCACGTATCGCCCGTTCCCGTGACCACCCAGCCTGAAGCTTGGCATTGCCTTGAGCTAGTATGCAGTTGCAGGGAAACAGAAGTTTAACTGCCATAAAACCTCTCTATATTTCACAACAAAGAAGGCAGTGCTTATACCTTTGCTTTGACTCCCGTTCCGAAGGACGCCAATCATCTGAGATTTAGGTGAATGTCTAGGAGATGGCCGAACTGGCGGGTTCAGGAGACGCTCGCTGCGCCTAGAGTGCAGAATCTGACGCCAAGCACAGGTGGCACGATGCAAGCCTGACGTGAGCTCCAGAGGATCGCCTGCCCCATGGAACACTGCACAGGGTAGAGGGTACGTGTCTGCAGATGCAACTTTCTATGCGCAAATTGGTACTCACTGCCGGTGGGGCAAGCCTGCCAAGGTAGTTGGGGTCGGGCAGGCGATCATGCCGCTTAGTAACTCAACACCTGATCTCACACACCTAGCAATCATATGTGTATGCCTTACATGGAGGCAGCACCGCCTCCAGAACAAGCTCCAAGCCTTGGCTTCCGAAACTTCCGTATTGGAACGTTGCGGCTTCATGAATACAAGGCGGACTTGACGACCGTCCTGGCCAGTCTCGCATCCTCGGATCTGTCCATGCTGCTGCAACTGCTCAGAACGAGAGATCGAGCACATTAAGCACTTGCCGAAATAGTTTGCACGGATCTTGACCATGAGCGGAACGATAGGGAATTGTTGTCCTATAAGCCGCTTTTGGCAGCCGCACGTGGACTGGACAGGATTCATACGAGATGGAGGCTATCATTGTTTAATGAAAGAAAGCTGGAGCGACGTCAAATGTACAAGAAGTGATGGCATTCCAAGGCCTACTGCAGTGTCATCGACCGAGCCGCAGTGGGAGTAGTGGCGGAGCGAGAAGTACGCCAAGCCTTTTCAGAATGCTGCCAAAGTCTGCGAAGACAACAGCACGTTCGCAATTGCAATTCATCCTTCTTTGTAGTGGTATGTTGGAAACATTCTGAGAATCGTTGTCCTTCTCATGATTCATAAATGTTTGACTGGGGCTTGTCTGAGATAACCCGTCACCGCTGAGACCCAAAGCAGCCCTAGTTTTTGCTCCTTCTTGAGGTCCACCGCTGCGTGTCTCTCGCAATTTTCATCCATTGGCTCAATCTCTGTACCTGCCAGCTGCTCCCATGTAGTGTCGTGCAGAATGCTGCCAGGCATTGGCACGTCCAATTTGAATCGTTCTGTTGGCGACTCGGTAGGCTGGGGATTTGAAAGTTTCGATACGGCCATTTCTACAACATCTCTTGTTGATGCTGCCATGGACAGATATACAGGCTTTCCTCCAGACGCTTTTTGGTGTTTCCAGCAGCTGCATACCGAAGTCTCTCCCCTGGGGAGATCGAAATCGTCGAGAAAGATTATATTTCCGATGACTCGGTATTGGCCTTTGCGCATCGGCCGCACAACGGTAGTGATATCCTCAGTACGTAAGATGATATCACCCGGAATGACGCCCGGATCAGCCAGGGCCACCTTGCAGTCTCCAGTGAAGATCTCTGACGGTTCTTTGTCGCCAAGCATCGACCGGAACGCCGTGGCTGGTGGTTGGTGGGCCCGCCGTCCGGAAGTATCGTGCACCAGACCCGCAGCCAGTCTGCCCGAATTGTCACGCCGAATGATACAGGCACCCGTTAATGTCGCGGGCCAGGTCCGAATCGTCATGCATGAGCCCTCGGAAGCTGAGTGCCAGGTCGTGAGATCATCCTCGCGCACTTCGAGAGCTCGGACGAGATGGCGGACATGCATGAGGTGAGAGATATAGCCGTTCGCCACGAGGTCCATGCTGAGTTGAGCTCGAGAGAGGGTGTAGTCCACGGTAGGCTTGGAGTGTCCCCTTGCTTCCCAGTCTATGAGCCGCAACGTTCCGTAGACCCTATCTCTGGGATCTGCGCACAGCAAATGGCACGACTCATCGAGCACGGAACCTAGTGTGTTTGGAGTAGTGATCTAACTGGCACTTGGCCGCGTATGCTTTGAAGCATTGGTGGTCCGACTAGCTCCATGATAGACATGAAGCCGACTGCAGGCTTGCAAGATGGGTGATTGATGGTCCCCAGCCTTGCGTGCATGATGCGAATTTCGTCCCACTCGACTGGAGTTGTTCCGCAGAGGACCGTCGTCCGACCACTACCTTCGTGGAGCTCTTGCATCACCCAGAGCCGGCCAAAGTACGGACGTGCAGTAAACGAGGCCCAGTGTCGTGAGAGCTCTGATAGTCGTCTCCACAGGCCTGGCAGCAGAGGCGATGTTCCATCTTCGCGAATCACGCGTCCTCGGCTCTCCTCTTCTTTCAAGTCTGCAAGTCGTGCGTCAATGTCCTTGGCGAACTTGATGACGAAGTCGCTGGCTGCATCACTCGGCCCTATGCAGGCAAGAACCGAGGACGCCTTCGCGTAGATGTCACCCATGATCTGCACTTGCGCGCTCTTCTCCGCAGCGTCGTCCTGGTTTATACATATCGAGTCGATCCATATCGGTACACCTGGAGAGTGATGCCGGGCTTGCTGAATGGCGAAGTGGCAATTCTGACGAATCGTCATCTGTCTCCCGTCGACGAATATCTGTTCCTGATCCTTTGGATCACCCCAGGTGTACGATATAGCATGGAACAGAGGCGCCTGCTCGAGAGCGCACGTCGTTACTGCGCAGTGAATCTCATCGTCGAAGGCCCCAGGATTGACCTGCAAGAGTCGAATACGATGCTCAGGGTAGATCAGTGGCGGCAGGATAGGTTTCTGGTTGGTGTCCGGGTTGCCTCGCGTGCCTCGCGGGGCAGCCGAGGGTCGGCGGCGTGAGCTGCGCTGGAATGCATCTCGCTGTTCTTGACCACTGTGTGATTGGGAGATGCGGCGCTTGGCCATAATTCGCTGTCGCTCGCCTGTCGAGAGGAGAGCTCGGTCAATAAGGGACGACTCGCAGCTGAGCTTGATGGCCTGTGGCGTGGTCTATGTCGCACCCAAACGTGCGTGAGGGAGAAATCGTTTTTCAGGCAGCCATGCAGGAAGCCTTGACAAACACCCGCAGCTCGGCGGTTTTGGAGCACGCGCTCGAGCTTACGGCTCAGCGTACATGGGCATGCTTTTGACAGGGATGCCCTATGGCTTGTGTCACTTGCAGCGGTTCATCTGCCAGGTACCCAAGTCCCGATTCGCCTTCGAGAAAGCAACCATATGATGAAAATCCCACAACCGAACGAGAAATATATACGGACGGGGAGCCTGCAAAGCGAACAACCGCAAATTCAGTGGCGTCGACGAAGCGAACGCTCGTCCTCCAAGGGCTTTACCCCACCAAAATGCGACTAGTAAACCGACCAACGTACTCACAACTCAGCCTGTGATTCGTACTAAGAAATAGACCGTAAGACTTAACTGAGATAATGCTACGCTGCATACGCAATTACTTCAACTTCCATTTAGTAAGGTACACAGCCCGAGGGCAGGCTTCGGCGTGTAGTGCTACGTGTAAATGGATTGTAGAAGAAGGCGAAAGTCCAAATGACATTCGAGTTACGTTCAAAGAGTTGTCATGCTCACATGTGCAAGATCGCATTAAGATTTGTTCCCTTCAACACTTTCTCAGCTCCTAAAGCGTTTCTTACATGCCTCCTTCTTGTGCCTTGCAAGTCCATCTGGTCTGGCAAAGCTTGCCCGGCAATCGTCGCATTCCCTCCGGAGTGGGGGATAGTTTGTTTCCTCGGCCCAAACCTGATGTACTGTCCACACATGGCGTTTAACTGCATTGCCCCAATCCTTACCCTCCGGACATCCTGGCTTGGGACACGGCGTTGGCCTGGTGTGAGTCCTGATGTGACGTCTGTGAATCATCAGCGCGCTTTGCTTTTCTCCGTGTCGAGGACAAAGAGAAGGAACATACGTAAGCTTGATTTGGTTCGGAAAGACACGATCACAGTCGGTGCAAGAGAACGGTGAAACCACCCTCTCTAGCGGATTCTCGATAGGCGCAGCAGGCTGAACTGAAGAAAAAATTGAGGAATCGACAAAAGCGTCTGGTTCAATAACTGAGGGGGTTTGTGAATGGAGAAGTTCGCGAAGCATGTCCTCATCTGTTTCGTATGCACCCCAAGGCTGCTGGATGGGGTCAGAGTAGGGCTCTGACTGAGGTCCTGGCAGCGGACCATGATGCGATCAAGGCATCAGGGCAGAGGAAGCAACAGATGAAGGAGCCTCTTCATGCTGAGCCGGAGTGGTAATCGAGAGGAACTGAGGGTCAATGGACTGGTTCGCGGGCGTTTCCTGGCGATGCATACGGAGAGGGAACGCGGTGGCCAGACTGTCCGCAAAGGCATGACCCCAAAAGTCGTACTCCTCCTCCCCTGAAATCAATGGGTCGTGCATGGTCGCCAAAGAGCCTCATCCGATATCGTTTGGGATCTAATTGCCTAAGTTGCAATCATTCTTCCGAAGAACCCGGGCGAACTTAATACCAAAAGATCCCCGCGCGTCATCCGCCATTTTCTGCCTGATGACGGTCGAGAGGAGGTGGCAGACCACCTCGCCCTTATCTGTCAGCTCTCACTGGTGGCCTTCGTTACCAGCCAAGGACCCTTCAGGAGGGGGTGGCAGACCACTTCAACAGCCGCCCATTGGTGACTTCTCCTTGAATCCAAGACACTGTTGGGCGCCACAAGGCTCACAGATGTGATGCCGCGTTGTCCAGGCATGGTGCATGCGTCTTGCAGGGGTTAAAGCGTGCCATCACATGAGCTACAACCAATACGACGCAGCATATAAACGAGCACTTTGGTGTTGTTGGACTGCCTGCATTGCATCGCGCAGCAATGCGCCTACGCTCGCGGTTCTGCACTCGACGCTTCACAGCCTTACACCAACCCAACTGCGAATACGGTACGGACAAGGATAGAATGAGTGGCCATCCCCATAGCTTTATCCCACTCCGTCTCTCGTATCAAACCCGATCAAATTTGTCCACGCGTCAAGATCCCATACACCACGACTCCCCAACTCGAGCGATTTTGGGCATTTGATAAAACTGCTGCAAAGAGTATGTTCTTCTCCGTTGCTGTGGCCGCGATAGCCCGCTAATTGATTTAGTGCCGACCGATGTTGACTCTTCTATCCCAGTAAGCCCTAAACGCTTGCGACGTTTCTACGAGGCTGTTAAATTTGAAGAGGCACTCAGCGAGGCTTGCCTTAAGTCCCCGAATAGTCCGGGAAGGGTACCCAGCGATCCTCCTCCAGACCGTTCATACGATCCCGAAGGGGGCTTCAGGTTCTTCATCAACAAACTTGCGCACGTCTGCGATATACATCGGGGGGGCAGCACTGTAACTGGTATCGCAGTGTTGCAGGACTTCGATGGTGTTCGTTACTTCATTGGGTCCAATGAGCGCTCAGAAATAGACCTCGCAAAGGTGGAAGAGTTTTTGAGGTCGCTCTTCCGCCTGTTGCGTGGCACAAGACGCCATGGAGAGCCTCTAAATTCGGACCCCCTCTTCGTCTCTATTTTCCACCATATTATCAATTTCAATCAGCCACGAATCAGGAAATACCTAGATTGGCTCACAAGACAAATACCTTCCTGTTTATCGAGCCTGCAGAGGGACTTTGCACAAGTCTCAGACGTTACAATGACAGGTATGCAGGAAGCCTCTATCTACCGCCATGATCCGAATCAAACTCACACAGACTTCAGAACCCGACTTGAGAGCCTTTCTCGTGGAACTTCAAAGTCTCGTCACGCGTTTCGAGGATGCCAGAGTTCGCGACCATGTCAAAGGAATCAGATGTAAGCAGGTCTCATCGGTTTCGCTCGTCAGATTCATCCCTACGTGTCGCTCACAAACACCTTTGCCACAGGCTGCGCCAGTATTATCGAATATGTTGACGCCCAGCGCGCCAAAAGTATGAGCGGCATCATACTTGCGATGTCTAGGGAAAATACGATCAACCCTGCGACCACTTGGTGCGATCTTCGTCACAATATGGCACGGCTCAAGGCCTACAACGTGTCGACTAAGTCTATCATCAGCGCATACAATTTCTGGCCTGAGTTATTCCAAGAAGACATTCATATGGAGATGGTGCCTTCTAGCCGTCCTCATCCAAACCCGTTGCGTAGATTGGACACAACCGCTGCTGCAATGTTGGGCCGTATGGTTGCCGACGACGCAGAAATTGAGCTGCGGCGTGCCGAAGCTGAACAGCTCAAGCAGTTTAATCTAGACGGCATTCTTCATAAAGCGTGCGCAAGGAAGTCATTCACCCCGCTGGTTCATGGCGAAGTCCTCGTTCACGATGCCGCTCGCACCTATCTGCTGGAGAACCCGGGTGTCACGTACTGGAAAAACTGGCGCTTTGTCGGCAGCAGCAAGCCCACCTGCCGCCTGTGCTCCTACTACTTCTCTTGCATCAATGACGTCACCGTCCGCGAATCCCATAGAATCCTCTACTCCAGGTGGCGGGTGCCTGATGTCTTTGACGAGCGGGCGGCCAAAGCGCGCGACGAGATTCTGGATTCCATAGCCAAGAAGATTCGCCAAGACGCCCTGCAAACGATGAGGAGCAAGCTGCCACAAGGCCGGAACAATGACTCCAGCTCGTTCCCGACCGTGCCCAGGTTTTTCGCCAGAGCCGCCATAAAGTCTTCTCAGTCTTCCAACAGGGGGGTGGCCCCCGTGGTCGAATTTGGTCACGGAAGTAACAGCACCAGCTCCTACGAGCATGCGTCCGAAGACCTTCTCGTCGAGATGATGGAGCGGCAGACTTTCACGGCATCTTTTGAGGATGACGAGGATGACGATGACGAGAACGGCGGCGTGCTGCTCTTTAGCGGTCGCGGGTCACGTTAGTATTCATCAGGTTTATCGGTGACAACAAATTCGAGTGCTTCTGCCTTGCACGACGCTCGGGGTCTGGACTCAGTGATCGCGATGGTCTAGGTAACTGTTCAAGGAGGAAGTTTCTGGCTCCAAGACGTATCTAGATGAACAACGTCTCATATATCAGAGTTATCAAGGAGATACCCACCGCTACATCAACAATGAGTTATCTACTATTACACTTGATCTACATCCCAAACATTATAGAGTGACGCAGCCCGTAGACGAATCGTCCTGGAATATCCCGCCAAAGAAGAACGCCTCATTGATGCCCTTCTCCTGGTAGCCTTCGAAGAGGAAGTTCTCCAGGTTAGCCCCCGTCGGGCGTTTCTGCAGGCCAAAGTGCATCTCTCCTAGGGTCGTCGGTGCCTTGCCGGAGATGTTGTTGAAGGTTGGCGGGACGACTACCTCGAGGGGTGCGTCGTCTGTGCTGTAGAGCACGGAGATCATACTAGTCGGCACCCGTGTTTAGTTCATGCCCGATGAACGGATTTAAGGAAAAGCTTGCGGCTGGGAGAGGGGTGAACGACTAAAAGCATGGAAGCCGTACTTGTTGTTAAAGTCGAGGTTAATCCCCATATTATGCCATACACCATCGACCAGCGGTGCTTCAAAGAACTTCTTGACCGGCATGTCCCACTTGTAGCCCTCGACGCGGAGGAATTGGGAGGGCACAGCAGGGCCTTCGAGCAGTGCGCCAGCCTTGACGGACCAAAAGTCGGCCTGGAAATCGGCTGCCTCGTGGAAGGCGAGCAGGTACTCGTGCGAGTAGTTGAGTGGCCGCGACGGGTCTGTACGAAACGAAAAGTGCCAGGTCTTGTGCCCGGAGACAGTGTCGTCCTTGTTATTCACCAGCAGCTCGGTCCGGCGGAGTGCGGTCTCCACGCCTTCCGAGCCCGAGAGGAAGGTAGACTCGTCGCTGTATACTTGAAAATTAGCTCATCACGTACGAAAGATTCAGCTGTCCAGCAGATTATTAGTTACGTGAGGGTGAGACCCAAAGGCTTTGCCAGGACCGGAATGTCAAACTATCCAAGGCGTCAGATATATACTCTCATGCTCATCAAGACTTCACTTTGCTAAACTCACACGAGGCGGCGGTAGCTCGGGGAACTCGATGATCTTGGCCCAAGTCAAGTTTTGGCCAATGACATATTTCGGATTGAACAGGCTCTGTGCGGATGAGAAAGTTTCCGGCGTCGAACTGAGCGGTACTCGTCCGTCGAAGCTCAGCTTGCAGTCTGCGGTGGGTGATTCCGATGCGGCCGAGACCGCCAACCCACCGAAGAGAGCAAGGATGAATGCCAAAGGAGACATGGAGAGACGTTGCCGTTGCGTAGCTCTCTCGTAGTAGTGGTCTTTGAAGTCGAGTGTCAGTCGTCCCGTGCAATCGGGAACTGGGTAAGGATAACCCGGGAAGACGGCCACGCTATGCAATCTATATATCATATACGTCGCTCTGAAACCAGCGGCCAACGATGACATAAGGTTCTCATGCCGCCTAGGCGCTAAACTTGTCAAGGAAAAGATACGACTCGCAGCGTCGTGTTTTCTCATTGTGGGCGAGCAATTAATGAATCATCCCTGTCTTCCCTGTCTGGCCCGGGCGGGTTTCACAGTCTCCTACCCTAGTACTTTCTCCAAACCTAGAATCGGACCCTGGTCTTCCGGGCTCTCCGAATGGCCAGTGCCAGAACGAAATGATCCGCTAAGCACCAGGCCTGGTTGCCCCGTCGCAGGTAGGGCGACTCTAGTCTCTACATGGAGAATGTGCCAGCATAAAAAGACGCGATGTAGAAGCAAGTTGTAGGGAGAAAATATGGTTATAGTACGTATATCAGTTAGGAGCGCAAAATCATGAATGGAAGATTAATTAGAGATAACTAAGTAGCATATCGGTAGCGCGGGGAAGAGGGCTAATGGCATCAGGTAGGGAGTACGCCTGCATGCATATGAGATGGGGCAAGAATCCGCAAAGTACTGAGTATTGTGCTTCTAAATGGTACCGGCCACACTTTTCGACCCGCTTGAAATGGCGACACATGCCAACCAAACCGGCGGCACGGACAGCACATTCTCGCTTGAACCTGTAAGTCATGGATTGATGAAGAAATTCTTCGACCGGCCATTTGTCAAGGAGCAACGGAACCGTGCGTAATCTCACGCCGACCTTACCGCAAAAAGCCTACAACTCTCTTCTTTTTCTTTGGTTCAGTGTTTGGTTCGCATGTCAGCGACAAGCTGGGCATCACTACCTCCTGTGGAAATCGATATAGCAAGCATGTTCCTAATACATCACCACGTTAGTACAACCCACGGAAATAAATCACATGGGCCCACACTCTACTTACACTGATCCTCTCGTACTTCTCGTCGTAAAACACCTCGAAGCGACTCGTGATCGCCGGGCTCGAGCCCTTTTGCCGCTCCTGCTCGGTGGTGGTGTACTCCCGATACAAGGCAGTCAGGAGAGTCGTCATTTCCGCCATGGCAAGACTACACGACAAACCACAGTCCACTATTAGTATCCATTTCTGCCACAAAGCCGTGCGTGGGTTGAAATCTGGAGCTCAGACCAGGAAAGGAAAAACGGAAAGGACGTACTGCATGCCAATACACATTCGGCCACCGCTCGAGAACGCCCAGAACCACTTCTTCATCTCGGCCACGTCGCCCAGCTCCCCAAGCCATCTCTCTGGCCTGAACTCGAGCGGGTGCGGGAACACCTCGGCGTTGCGGTGCAGCGTGTACGGCGAGATGCTCACTACCGTGCCAGCAGGGATCAGATACCCATCGACGGCGGTGTCCGTCGGCAGACTCCTCGGCTCGGAGGCCGGCAGGGGCGCAAAGAGGCGCAGTGTCTCCTTGATCACGGCATCCAGGAAGGGTAAACGGTCGACCGCCTGCACTGTGGGGATGCCGTCAGCATTGCAGTCGTCCGCAGTGATGAGGGAGTCGACCTCGGCGATGAGCTGGTCCTGGTACTTCTTGTTCTCGGGCAGGGAGAGCGCCCAGATGGCAAACATGAGCGTGTCGCTCGTCGTGTCAATGCCCGCGAGGAAGTGGTCGGCCACCTCGGACGCAATGTCCAGGCCGTCGAGCGCCGGGGCTTTGCCGGAGGTGCTGTGCTTCCAGAGCTTGGCCATGATGGAGGCCATGGAGTCGGCGGCGGCGGCGGTGGTGGAGGGCTTGAGGTCTTTGCTCTGCACGTCGCTCTCGAAATCGGTCCACGACTTGAGCGCGTGGGCCCGGATCGACGTGTATGTGGCTGGTCTCTTCATGGGGAGTAGGTTGAGGGCGGAGATGGCGCTGCCGAGGACGCCCGTCTGCGAGTAGAGCCACCGCGTGTACGCCTTGAGATGGACGGCGTACCAGGTGAGCTTGCGCCGGGCCGGGTCTAGAATGTCGTTGAGCATGGCGCGGTCCGACTCGTTGCCGCGGAGCGCGTGGGTGCCGCCGTGCTCGTTGCCATAGAGGAAGCCGGTGATGCTGTCGAGGCTGAACCAGTGCAGGCTGTGGAATATCTCTGACGCGACGTCCTTTTCTTGCTCGATGAGATTGAGGAAGCTCTTTGCGTTGCCCTCGATCAGGGGCTTGGCGATGGCTGCGGGCGAGAGGATGTTGCTCTTGGAGTAGGCATGTGCGAGGATCTTCTTGCGGTCGCCATGCTTCTTGCTCTCGGCAAAGGTGAAGAGGTTTTGTCGGCCGTAGACGTCGAACATGCGGTAGAAGTCGGTGCGCTCAAAGCCGGAGCCGGCGCCGTAGATGGTGCGCAGCGCGGAGAGGGACGAGAAGGAGATCTCGTTGGGGCTGATGCGGACAGCCGTGCCATACTCGCTGTGCAGCCCGTGGATGGCCCGCGTGCGAGTGCCCTTGTAGTCGTCGAGGGCGAGCCGCCACTTGGTCACGGCGTACGACGTTAGCCCTGGCACGCGGCATAGCGGCGAGGTGAGGGGCAAGAGGACATTGTAGACCACTCCCACGGCTATCGAGGCGGCGATAGCGAGGCCCGGGTGGGATGCCAGGCTCTCCAGGACTGAGCAGGAGGGCGATGTCAGTGCTCACAGATCAGACGCGCCGATTTCAAACAAACAAAACTGCACTCACCCTGCTGAACAATGCTGCCTCCGTCCATGGTGTCGTGATACTGCTACCTGCTACCAGTGCCAGGGTTGAAAATGAAGTCCACACGGTTCACCAAGTATCCCATTGAAGTCGAGCCGCAAACCACAGGATCCCCAACGAGGCTATCTTATCGAGCCCCAACTTCGGCTTGGAGTGCGGGCACGAGGGGTAGCATCGGCGAGCTACCCCGTCGTCCCCCGCGCTGGTCGTGGGTCGTGGGTCTCCGCCGTCGGACAGTCCGATTGCGCCGACCCGACACATCTATCGGTAAGAGTACTGGTGGTTCTCGCCGCCTAAAGATAGTCTCAATCCCGCGGCAGGAGGTGCCCCGTGATGAGATAGTGCAACCCGAGTCGGCACATCCTCGAGACCAACGCTCAGTCCGACGCACCTCATTCGGGCTTCACGTGCTAGGTGGAAATGAGTGCTCTTCCCTCGTGGCTGCCTGGGTGTGTTGAGACAGTAGATAAGCAGACAGCAACGATGACCAGTAACTCGTCTTGGTGCTCTGATACCACACTCAGACATCAAAGCGTTTTATTCACACTTGCACAGCACTTCCTCAACCCCTATGGTCTACATTGAATCAAAGTAGCCGATTTTTGCTGCAGCTTTTGAAAGTTCCAGCCATGGCACCATCAGCGATCTCCCCCATCAGTTCCCCTTCTACGGAGAAATCGCTCCCCAGCAAAAGCCAGGATGTCGATGCCATGGCCGCCATGGCCCATCGCGGCAAGTCCCTTCCCCTGATGCCCAAGTTCAAGACCCACGCCGAGACTCGACAGTGGCAGCTCGAGCACATGGCCGGGGCGTTCCGCGTCTTCGCCAGCGAGGGTTATTCCGAGGGCATCTCGGGCCACATCAGCGTGCGCGACCCAGAGCACGCAGACCGCTTCTGGATCAACCCGCTCGGCGTGCACTTTGGCATGATGCGCGCCAGCGACATGATTTGCGTGAACCTCGACGGCGACGTCATCGGTGGCAATGTCGAGGGATCGATCAATGCCGCCGGTTTCCAGATTCACAGTGCCGTGCACCGCGCGCGGAGTGACGTCCATGCCATCTGCCACACACACTCCGTCAACGGGCGGGCGTGGTCTGCATTTGCAAAGCCGCTGGAGATGCTGAACCAGGACGTCTGCTACTTCTACAATGCGCACTCCGTGTACTCGGACTATGGTGGCATCGCCAACGAGGCTTCCGAAGGAGAGAGAATTGCGGCCAGTCTAGGTCAAGGCAAGGCGGCGATCCTCATGAACCACGGCCTTCTGACTGTCGGAAAGACCGTCGACGAGGCGGCCTTCCTGTTCTGCCTCATGGAGAGGAGCTGCGGAGTGCAACTGGCCATCGAGGCTGCTGGGTTGGAGAAGCACTATGTCAGCGATGAGGAGGCAGCCTACAACTTCAAGATGGCGAGCACACCGGTATGTCTTTCCCCGGTTTCCACTACAGCTTCTTGTGCAATACTTGACTGATAAATCCCAGGAATGCCTTTACACTGAGTTCCAGCCACATCTTAGATATGAAGAGCATAAGTGCCGGGGTGACTACAAGTCTTGATGGGGTTATTTGCATTATTAGCCTAGTCAATAGCACTTGCTTGAACCAATCGGATCTCCTACCATGTGCCACCGTAATGCTCGTTGCGATTGTTGATCGGTTTCATGTGGGCTTCGATGCCTGGTCTCTACCAGTCGGGAGGTCCACTCTTAACCAAGTATGACTCTTCACGATATCACTGTGAGGCGGGAATCGTCACGTCACTAGTATTCTGGATCCTGGAAATTTAGTCATACAGTACGCCTTTGCTCTGAAATCATTCAGCTGAAATGCTAGATACAAGGTGCCTGGTCTTGCAGGAGGGCGGAAGTCTTTACTCAAGCCGACAACAGGGAAGCCACTCATTTCGGAATGGCGCTCACTGCCAGCCTTCTGCGAGATAGAGCCACCGACTTATTGCTAAAACGCCCAGCTGAACTGAGTGCCCGAGGTAAACCTGCTCCAAGGATCTGGAGCGTCCGACAAGGTTTACGACAGAGCCGTGCAAGCACCCGGCCTCGTGTCAGACTTGGATATCAAGATATGAATTATTGGTGATTGGCAACCCTTGCTGCGTCGGTTCGGCCGACAGTGTCGCAGGGGCTGCGCCAACCCTGTCCCAATTGATCGATAATCGAGTGCCGCTAAAGGTCGCCCCGGCACTGAGCCTTGTCCAACCCCGGGCTTAGCGCTGGAACGCCTCCACGCGGTGCTGCGATCTACCCCGAAGTTCTGGCCCTCCTTAGCAATCCTCCCGCAATCACTGGGCATATCAGTAGCGGTGGATCAGCGCCCATAGGGCATGTGTGTAATGAGGCGCCACTATCAGGCCCGGGACCCCAGAGCGCCCTGCCCGACTCCACCCTTATCAGAAGGTTTGTGGCTGGAATTGGGGACCATGCGCTGTCGTACGCCTTGGCTGCGCGCCCATGCTTGATTACGGTAGATTGTTGCTTGGCCCGGAACTACGAATCGCACGCAGCGTCCAACGACGACCGATTTCTATTTATCACCAAGGCCTGCTGACTCCATCCGCGAGAACTGTCCACTCTCGTATGATGTGGAAGCCAGCAGCAGCAACTGCTTGACTGCCTCATTCCGAGTTTTCTCAATCCCATCGGTCGAATCCTGCATCATGTCTGCCTCCAAGTACGCCGAGAAGGGCCCTCCGTCCGACGGGTCCCCCACCGTCGTGGATTCGCGGCCTCCCTCGGGCGACGACATCCGTGACGGCACCACCGTCGTCACCACCGCCGGCTCTCAGGCTTTGCACCGCAAGCTCCGGGGCAAGGAGGTGCAGCTCTTTGCCATTGGTGGAGCCATTGGAACGTGTAAGTGTTGACTCTTGTTCTCAACCCTTTCGTCCTACTAGCTAAAGTCATCTGTGAATGACGGAAAACACACGACTAACATGGATACCATGACACAGCCCTCTATGTGCAGATGGGTTCGGTCCTGCCCAAAGCCGGCCCTGCTGGTCTGTTCCTGGGCTTCGTCATCTGGGGAAGCGTGATGTGGGCAGTCAACGAATGCTTCGCCGAAATGGTCACCTACCTTCCTGTGCCCTCGCCCTTTGTCCGCTTCGGCGGCGAATGGGTCGACGAGGCCCTTGGTTTTGCCATGGCGTGGAACTTCTTCCTCAACATGGCGTTCCTGGTACCCTTTGAGATTGTCGCCATGAACATCATGTTCTCCTTCTGGACAACCAACATCCCCGTGGAAGCCATCATTGTCGCCATGATTGTGCTGTACGCGCTGCTCAATGTCATCACCGTGCGGTACTTTGGCGTGTCAGAATTCTACCTGTCCATCTTCAAGGTCGTCTTGATGGTTGGGCTATTCTTCTTCACTCTGATCACAATGTCCGGCGGCAACCCCCTGCACGATGCTTATGGATTCCGATTTTGGAACAACCCGGGCGCGTTTGTCGAGTACTCGTATCCTGGCGACCTCGGCAGGTTCCTGGGTATCTTCGCCTCCATGTACCAGGCTAGCTTCTCGTATGTTGTCTTCCTTGTCATCCGTTCAGCATGCTCAGTCACTGACGCTCGCATCACAGGATCTGCGGACCCGAATACATCTCCATGGTTGCGGCCGAGACGGAAAACCCTCGCAAGATCCTCCCTCCCGCCTTCAAGTCCTTCGTCTGGAGGATTCTGTTCTTCTTCGTCGGCTCTGCGCTCTGCATGGGCATCGTGATTCCGTACAACGACACGACCCTCCTCGCCATCCTTGGCGGTGAGGCTGGCGGCAAGGGCACTGGTGCTGCTTCGTAAGTCATTTCTTCAGTCCTGGTTTTAAGCAGCGTAAAGTATGAATGCAAGCTGACATCAAATGCCCCTTAGTCCATACATCATCGCCATGAACCGCCTGCAAATCCCCTTCCTCCCGCACCTCGTCAACGCCCTGATCATGACCTCGATCTTCAGCGCGGGCAACGGCCTGCTCTTCTCGGCCACGCGCGTCCTGCACGGCATGTCCCTGACGGGGTACGCGCCCAAGGTCTTCTCCAAGTGCACCAAGGGCGGCGTGCCCGTGTATGCCCTCGCCTTCGCGCTGTCCTTCTGCCTCCTCGCGTTCCTCCAGGCGAGCAGCTCCAGCGCCAAGGTGCTCACCTACCTCGTCGACCTCGTGACGTGCTGCCAGCTGCTCAACTACGGCTTCACCGCCTTCACGTACCGGCACTTCTACTCGGCCCTGAAGAAGCAAGGTATCGACCGCGGCGCGCTGCCATACAAGGGCCGCTTCCAGCCGTACACGTCGTACGTGGCCATGGGCGGCACCGCCATCATGCTCTTCTTCAGCGGGTACTACCTCTTCACCGACGGCGGGTGGGACGTCATGTGGTTCTTCCTCAACTACGGCATGATCATCTTCTTCGTGCTCGCGGCCGGCGGGTGGAAGCTCCTCAAGAAGAGCCGCTACGTGAAGCCGGGCACTGCGGATCTCTCGATGGGCGGGCTCAAGGAGGAGATTGACACGTACGAGGCGCTGCTTGTGCCGGGGCAGACTTCCAAGGTGTCCAAGTGGCTTGGGTTTGAGTAGGTGGAGTGGTCGATTTAGAATGTTTTTGTAAAGGAGCAGAGCGATGATTCTTTTTAGTTCGAGATCCTACCGAGTTGTTTGGTCTTAGAATGCAAATTTCACCCAACTTCATAAAGATACAAACCAGTATGGACTCGCTTGGAGAAATTGATAATTGGTGACATGCGATCGGATATTTGACGGAACCAATAACACTTTTCCAATCTTTGGTCAGGGCACACTGTGAACTTTGCGGCAATGCATGAAAGTAGTAGGTGGGCGGGGCAAAAAGCATTTGAATTACTATTGCAACCTCTGGTGGCAGCTAAAGAACATGGACGTTCCTTCTGCGGCACATTCTCTGAAGACGGCGATCCGTCACAAAACTCTGCTACCCCTTTCTGATATTGAAGTGTAAATGCATCCCGTATGTTCAGGAAGGTGGTTCAGATTCGACGGCAATGGAACAGAAGCACCAACCGCATAAGCCAGACCATTTCTCTGGTCGGTCGATGGTGCCAGGGTCCCACCCCCAGATCCCGCCGTAGGTGGCCTTCTTCCCCAGTCTCACCCGCCGTCCCAGACCCTCGGGTCTGCAATCTGGGCTAGAACGCATAACGCGACCATGAGAACAGTCCCCAGCGTTCCATCCAGCTTTCTCTCTTCATGCGCATCGCCAATGCAACGAGTCATGCCTGGCTCTGGAAATCTGGTCGGGAGCATTGAAGCAGGGGCCCACCTGGCTACGCCGTCGGGGGCGCTGGGACGCGACGCTACAGCCGATATCGCGGGGCGCCCGACCTCGCTGGAGGCGGGCGGCCCGTCCGACGAAGATAAGCCTCTCCCGCCACATCCCTGCCGCACCCCCTGCAGACACCGTGGAGGGTGAGCCGGGGTGGCGCGTGGAGGAGCCTTGGCCCTCTGCTTGTTTCTACAATTGCCCGACGGGCAGGATGATGTCGGGCAGGCCGCAGGCGCATGAGAGAGCAGGTCGGCCGAAGGTGGTGGTGTGAGGAAGGCTGTAGTGAGGGGCATTTCTCCCTCTATGGCGATCATCATGCTTTAAAACAATTGGCGAGCCAAGATTGCTGTGAAGTATTGACCTCGTTCAAGTCGAGTTGTCCGAGCATCAACAGCCACTGCCATCTTTGAGCCCGCCCAGAGAGCAGCCACTCGCAGCAGCCATGTCGATAACAATTGAAAGCCTCGTCAACCCACTGTGGTACCAGCAGCTCCAGGAAAACTCGACCCTGGTGTTCGCCCTTGCCGCCGCGGCCCTCGGCTACGTCACATACAATGTAAGCATTGACACAATCATGCCAGCAAGAGAGAGAAAAAGAAAACACGACGATGCTAAGACTTCTCTGTTACGATAGGTCGCCTTCCGGACCGACATCCCCTACATCAAGGGCCTACCTGAAATCCCCGGCGCCGTGCCGGTGTTCGGCCATCTTCTGAAGCTCGGCGAGGACCATGCGAGCGTGTGCGAGAAGTGGTGGCGCCAGTATAACCACTCGGTCTACCAGATCAAGCTGGGCAACACGCGAGCGGTGGTGGTCAACTCGTTTGAGGACTGCAAGAAGATGCTGCTGGGCAACCAGAACGCCGTCATCGACCGGCCGACGCTGTACACGTTCCACGGCCTGATCAGCAGCACCCAGGGCTTCACCATCGGCTCCTCGCCGTGGGACGAGTCGTGCAAGAAGAAGCGCAAGGCCGCGGGCACGGCGCTTGGCCGACCCGCCCTGCGCAACTACCTGCCCATGTTCGACCTCGAGAGCTACTGCATCGTGCGGGACATGGAGCGCGACAGCCAGAACGGCAGCCTCGAGATCGACATCCGCCCGTACATCCAGCGGTACGCGCTCAACACGACGCTCACGCTGTGCTACGGCATCCGCATGGACGCCGTGTACGACGAGCTGCTCCGCGAGATCCTGCACGTCGGCTCGGCCATCTCGCTGCTGCGCAGCGCCTCCGAGAACCTCCAGGACTACGTGCCCCTGCTGCGCTACCTGCCCAACAACGAGAAGAACGCCCGGTCCAAGGAGCTGCGCGACCGCCGCGACGCCTATCTGAACCTGCTCCTCGACAAGGTCCGCGAGATGATCAGGCAGGGCACCGACAAGCCCTGCATCTCGGCTGCGATCCTCAAAGACGAGGAGACCAAGCTCAGCGGCGTCGAGGTCTCGTCCATCTGCCTCTCGCTCGTGTCCGGCGGCTTCGAGACCATCCCGGGCACGCTGACGTCGTGCATCGGCTCGCTGTGCACGCCCGAGGGCCAGGTCTGGCAGGACCGGGCCTACGAGGACATCAAGCGCCACTACCCGGACGTGCGGGACGCCTGGGCCGCGAGCATCTCCGAGGAAAAGGTGCCGTACCTGAACGCCATCATTAAGGAGGCCGGGCGGTACTACACCGTGTCGTCGATGAGTCTGCCCCGCAAGACGGTGGTGGATGTGGACTGGAACGGCGCAAAGATCCCGGCCAAGACGATGATCCTGATCAACGCGCAGGCTGGCAACCATGGTGGGTCATCCTCGCCCCGATGCTCATGATACTGTTACACAAAGTACTGACTCTCTATCGCCTGCAGACGTCGACCACTTCGGCCCCGAAGCCGGCAAGTTCAACCCAGAGCGCTGGCTCAAGTCCATCGACCCCCCAACGGAGCGTGAGATCACCGGCCTGCCCCATCTCAGCTTCGGCACCGGCTCGCGCGCCTGCTCGGGCCAGATCATCGCCCAGCGGCTGCTCTACTCTGCGCTCCTGCGCATCCTGTCGTCCTACAAGATCGTCGCGAGCGAGACGTGCCCGCCCAACACCGACTACGTCGACTACAACCAGTTCAAGAGCGCGCTGGTGGCGATCCCTCGCGAGTTCAAGGCCCGCCTGGTGCCGCGGGATCAGGCGGTGACGGAGGAGTGCTTGCGGTTGGCCGAGGAGCGGACAAAGGACCACTACAAGGTTTAGATGGGGGGACGTGGGTGGAGAGAAAAAAAGGCCGGTGGGAAGCAGTACTGGGGCAGTGCTTAGATATCCATAAAAGAGAGCTTGCATGGCGATATACAATTATGAGTAAAACTGAATGCACCATCTGACAGGTTCTGATGCTTTTAGTGTCTGATAATGAGTTCCAGTAGACGTCTGTATAACCACTCTGCCTGGATTGTCAACCTTGCTCAAAATATAATCTGTCCGTCCCTGGAGATTGATGGTGTGTTCAGAAAAGAGCTTGATAAAAGCCTTTCTACATACATGAGCGTGGTCTGTAGTCTGATGTGTGCTTCGACAAAAGACATCTATGGCGTCTCGATCAAAGAATCAAGCGGGTCAGAATTCAACATCAGACTGTGCCCCCAGCAAGATTCATGCAGGGACTGGTCATCCGACCTCGCCCGTCCTTGTATTGCTCCATGGCTTCTACGCTTATCCCCGGCAGCGGCGGGGAAGCCCATCGCTTGTCCCGCTTGGGTCCGAGACGAGGTGGGGAGGGCCCCGAATCTATCGGCCACCCCGACACGCCCAAGCACGCCTCACCACTATTGACCCGATGAAGGTCGCGACAACGGACCTGCTTGGGTTATACTTGGAGGCCATATTTGTCTCTGAGGCTGGCGCTACGATATTCTGAAGACGATCGATTTCCAAGCGTCGACCGATCAAGCATCCACCACATTCACCCAGCATGTCATCACCATCATCTTCTCTCGACATCGACAGCCTGTACGGCGTCAAGGGCTATGTCGCTCTTGTGACGGGCGGAAGCAGCGGCCTAGGTTTCATGATCTGCCGGGTAAGAGGGAATCCCATGTCAACCTTTGTCATGCTACCGTTCCTCCGATGCGCTGCTGGGTATCTAACTTTCCCCTGCCCCAAAATAGGGCCTCGTCCAAAACGGCGCAAAGGTCTACCTCGTCGCCCTCCCCAGCGAACCTATCGAAGCCAAGGTCGCCGAGCTCAACGCCCTCGCCGAGGGCTGCTCCTCAGGCGGCAGCGCAGCGGGACTGGCCTGCGACGTGTCCTCGAAATCCGCGATCGCCGAGCTCGCCGCGCACATCGCGACCAAGGAGACCCGGCTGGACCTGCTCGTCTCGAACGCGGGGATCCGGCGCGACCCGCAGGTCCCATGCGACGTGCTGACCGCGCCGCTCGAGGAGCTGCAGCGGTCCATGTGGTCGCACGCCGAGACGGACTGGCGGGACACGTTTGCCGTCAACACCACGGCGCACTACTTCCTGTCCGTGGCGTTCATGCCTCTGCTCGCAGCCGCGGCCGCCGCGAAAGAGGGAGGGCAAGGGGATGGGCGCGGGGCGGTCGTGGTCACGAGCTCGTGCGCGAGCATGCATAATGTCACGAATGTCGACCTGTCGAGCTATGCGGCCAGCAAGGCCGCCACGGACCATCTGGTCAAGCTGCTGGCGGCAAAGTTTGGGCGGTGGTATATCCGGGTGAACGGGATCAATCCTGGCTGTGAGTGTTGCCTGTTTCTTGACCTGTTCTTAAAAACTCCTGGTGTGTTTTGTGTCACTAACACGAGTCCGGTCTAGTTGTCCCGAGTAATATGAACCCCGTCGGTGCGGAGGGCAACATGTTCAGCAACCTGTTTGACCAGGTGCCGGCGAAGAGGGCTGGCAACGAGCAGGACATCGCCGGCGCGGTGTTGTACTTGGCCAGTAGAGCTGGGGTAAGTCAATCTGTGGTCCCAAGGACCTGTGCGCCCTTCATAAACTTTGCTGACACGAGGGTATAGTCCTATGTAAATGGCACATCACTTGTCATAGATGGAGGACGGATCCTGGTTGCCAATGGACAGCAGTAGGGACGGCTTGGCATTGCACATTTTATCTTGAAGTAATGATAGAGCGAGTGAAATTAACATGGATGTTATCGACGGCTACAAAATTTCACGATCTGGGCTGGTGCAGACTGCTCCAGTTGTGGATGGATTTTCCCTTTGTCCATTTTCGAATTCCCGGGCATTGAGTTTCGGGGCCTCGTTCTTTGCATCACAAAGGTTTTGAGCCTATATACTGTACGTCCAATGAGTTCACCAGCCATGCGAATCACACATATACGGCATCCGGGAGATGTGGCGTCCCAGTCATTGGCATGTCTAAAATTGGCTGCCAATAGAGGTTATCGGCATCAAGGCACAAGCAGGCAGGGTTTCGGAGGACAAGGTGGGCCGAGATCGGCGCTACCGCATGCTGTAGCGGAAGAGCCGAATGGGCTCCTCACACACAGGCCGATAGCTCATGTGAGGAAACCTTCATAGTACGCTCCACATGCTCTTGAAGCGCTCTTACATGGACAAAGGGCAATTCCCCGAAACTACGTCATTGAACAGCTTGCAAATATGTCGATAGTCGCCCTTTCTGACGATACTTCGCAGTGAGTTGTATGATCGTCCACTCGTCATGGCCTTGGCTGACAACTGTGCAACCCAGGTCACACATCGAGATCGAGGACCTGCACGGCCTGGCTGCAAGCCTCAACTTCAAGATCACTAACGACAAAGATGCCGGCGCATACCTGCTCATGCTCCGCTCTTTCGAGTCGGTAATGCAGCACGTGGAAAAGGCCCCCGACTACATCCACCCTTCCCTCGCGCCACAAGATGTGCTGGGCGGGCAAACCCGCGAATACCACAAACCCGACCCCAGCGATAACCCCATGAACGCATGGAGCCACTGCTGCAACCTCGCCGCAGCACGGCCGACAAGCGACCTCCTCAAGGGCCGCAGCGTCGTGATCAAGGACAGCATCTCTGTCGGCGGGCTGCCCACCACACTCGGCACGCACCCAGAGATCCTCAGCAAGGATGGAGAGCTCCCCGTGTCGCCCATTGACGCAACAGTGGTGTCGCGGCTCCTGGGGGCAGGCGCCGTGATCAAGGGCACCTCGACATGCGAGAACTTCTGCGCGTCGCCACTGTCATGGACATCTGCCTCTGGGCCAGTCCACCACCCTCTGCTGCAGGGTTACACGGCCGGCGGAAGCAGCAGCGGCTCCTGCGCTCTCGTTGCTGCGAACGCACTCGTCGCCGTGGGGGGCGAGGACGGCAACGACAGCTACGAGAGCTTCGGCCCGACAGTCGAGCTTGCCATCGGCACCGACCAGGCCGGCTCGGTGCGCAACCCGGCCTGCTACACGGGGCTGTATGGTCTCAAGCCAACATTCGGCCTCGTTCCCTACACTGGCGCGGCGTCCATGTCGCCGATGATTGACCATCTCGGCCCCATTGCTTCTTCGCTCGAGGACGTCGCCGTGCTGCTCAAAGTCATGGCGGGCTGGGACGGGCTCGATCCCAGGATGACGCCCGAGTCGCCGACCGTGGACCGGGTGCCGGACTATCCTGCGCTGTTGGCTTCATACCGAGCGTCATTACTCAAACAATCCGACGACACAGAGCCTGTGCTGAAAGTCGGCCTGCTCACCGAGGCCTTCTCCGTCTCAGGCCTGTCCCCCGAGGTTGCAGAGCTCATCAAGCAGACCACGCACGAAGCATTCGCCACCGCCGGCAACGCAAGCGTCACGACAATCTCGGTGCCAATGCACACCGAGGGGCCGGTGATATGGACCGCCGCAACCCGCCCGTCCATGTCGCAGTGGCTCTCCCAAGGCCGGCCCTCGGGACACTTGTCCTACCTGGCGCCGCACATCGCGCCCCAGTGGCCGCCAGACCAGAGGATGTACGAGCTGCTCAACGTGTCGAACCCGGCGCTGGTCAACATCCACCTGAGCGGGGCGCTGGCCTCCTCTGCCCACGACTCTCGCGGCTGCATGAGTGGGCTCGAGGCCAAGGCGCACCGGAAGGTGTTTGAGCTCCGCGCCGCATATGACAGGGCGCTGGAGGAGGTCGACGTGCTGGTCTTGCCGTGCACGCCGACGGTGAGCATGCCGCATCCTCCTGATCCTGATACTCCTCTGGGCGAGAACAACAACGGGGCGCGGATTCTGGACAGGCTGGCCCCGGCGGTCGGGCTGACGAGCAATACGTGCCCGTTCAATGTCACGGGCCATCCGGCGATGAGTGTGCCGTGCGGGACGCTGCCTGTTTTCGTCGAAGTAAGTGGGAAGAAGAAGGAGGTGCAGATGCCGGTTGGGATGCAGATCGTGGGGAGGCGGTGGGATGATGTCGGGGTGTTGAAGGCTGCTGCGCTGTTTGAGGCCGGAAAGAAAAGGATATCGTGAACATGGCAACATGTAGTGAGATACTGTCTCTAAAATACTCTCTGAACTGTCATGAGGAGTCTTTCCCCGTATTCCAAGAATGTACCACGTCCTGGCCGCGTCAACCTTTTGTACCGGTGCTCGTCCTTATACTTCGTCTTTTGGACAAGTACAGCACAGTCAAACAATCAAACATCGTATTCCATACTATATACTAGCTCTCGCCGAGGAACTCTGCAATCTTGTCGTCCATCCAGGCCGCAGCTTTCGGATCCACGCCGGCGCCTGCGAGGTGGCCCCAGACCGACGGGATCACCTCGAGCCGCCCGTTCCTGAGCATCGCGGCCTCCCGCTCGCTCGCCTCCCAGCGGAAATACTGGTCCGTCGGACACGGCATGAGCAACACCGGCGTCTCGATCTGCCCCAGGGCATCCTCGAGCGGCAGCCTCGCCCGGGCGGACCCGACATCACCACCCTCCCCCCCGCCAAAGCACACGCCCACATCGCCCGCCTGCCACGCCCGCAGCATCGCCAGCAGGTCGTCCGGGAAGCTGCCCCTGTACCGGGCCCCCGTGGCGTCCTCGTCGTACTCGGCGAGCGAGTTGTACCCCAGCTCGCGCCACTTCTCCTGGTCGTACCACTCCGCGCTGGTCAACCACGCCGAGTACGCCTTGGCGAAGGCGCGCACACCGCGGGGAGACTCGAGCGCCCGCGCCTGGCCCGGCGCGACCTGTTTTCCCGCGTAGTCGATGGCGTTCTCGAGCGCCGCGGCGGGGCCTTCGAGGAACTGCCGGTTGTGTCCGCTCGTGCGGGCCGAGGAGCAGATGATGACGGCGCGCTTGACCAGGGTCGGGTGCGTCGCGGCCCAGTAGTACGCGCACTGCCCAGCCATGGAGAAGCCCACCACTACATCGATGGGCGTCGTCGTCGTGATGCCGAGATGCTGCGTGAGGAGGGCGTGCTGGGCGGCCACGCTGTCGCGGTAGTCGAGCCTGGCTGGGAACGAGGAGCTCGTGTTTGACGGGCTCGATGACTCGCCGTTGCCGAACTGCGCGGCGACGATGATGCGGTGGTCGCGCAGGGCGCTGGTGCAGAAGTTGAGTGTCGAGTGGAGGGTGCCCTTGAAGCAGGTCGGGATCAGGGCGAGCTTGGACGCGGACGGGTTGATGTCGAGATACGCGATCCGGGCGACCGGCAGGACCGTGCCGTCCTGGAAGCGGAAGTCGGGGATGTCGTAGTAGTGGACTTGCGGAGCCATCATGTGGCTGTCTAGCGAGGCAGGTCTGCTGGATGTTGGCTGGTGCTGCTGTGTTGATGGCGAGATCGCTGCGAGCAACTCTGGGCATCAATGGGAGCAGTCAGGCTTTGATCCTGGGGCACTGGCGCACCAGCCTCACAGGGCTCGAATAGACGAGTTGCTCGTGCCTCCACAGACTGTCATCGCGTCACCGTCTCACACGCACTACCATGGTTGCAAGCCCTACCCCATGCTGCGTCTAGCCGATAGCCTCCTCAATGACGCACTCATTGAACCCTAGACGGCAAGCGGACGGCCCGACAGCAGAGCGTCAAATGCGGGGGGTCCTCGGCACGCGCGTGGGCCGACGTCGCCCTGCCCTTGATTAGCCGATAACGTCCCAGACAGGGGGCCGGCTTGTCCGCTCCGAAACGGGTACGGCGAATCATGTCGCAGAGCCTCGCTGAAGGGGGAAAGCCATTAGGTAAAGCGTGTCGTCCCCTCCGACAGGGCTGAGGCCAGCCGGAACCAGGCCAGTCAAATATCAGGGTCGGTGATTATAGTCAGGCGGTAGCTTTGCAGACAGTGCATCTTTTGAGGCCAAGATAAGCTTCAACTACATTCTTATTGATCTGGTGAAACAACTCGTCTTGTTGCGGTCACTCTACACTTTCTCGACCTTTCTTCGGGATCTACTCTCAATTGTCATCAAATTCTTCTGACAATCGTCCCCTGTCGTCACGAGAATAATCACAATGTCTCCCAACGGCGAAGCCTTCATCTTCAACCCGTCCGCACCGGAGCCACCCACGCGATACGCCCACGCCCGACTGGCACCCACAACCCAACATCGCACCATCTACATCTCGGGCATCGCCTGCGTGCGGCCCGACACAGGCGAGTGGCCCGGCGCGACCCCCAAGGCGGACGGCAGCGGCGGCTACGACCTCGACGTGCGCGTGCAGACGGCCGCGGTGCTCGAGAACATTGACAACATCCTCAAGAACGCCACGGCGGGGAAAGGAGGCGTGCAGAACCTGATTGACGCCGTGGTGTACGTGGTCGACATGGAGCGGGACTATGCCGGGATGAACGAGGAGTGGAACAAGGTGTTCCCCACGAGGAGCGTGGCCCCGGCCCGCGCGACCATCGGTGTCAAGAGCCTGCCGGATCCGAGGATGCTGGTGGAGATCAAGGCCGTCGCCGTGGTGGAGATGTAGAGGGGGAGAGCGAGCACTCTGTTTTCGTGGCGAAATCTAAAGAAGGTCAAGCGTCGAGTACAAGTTCATTGAGCCTTCAGTGTGTATAGTTGAATACACGTGTAGCATCAACGATATGCATGATGCGGGCCCTTGGTTGCTGGCAGATGTGTGATCTGCAAGGCGATGGTTCGTGCAAAACCTTTTAAGTTGACAAAGTGGTCCCGTGTGGTGACTATATTTGTCTATGCTCCCGGTTGTCTATTGAAAAGAACACGTCCTTTTATCCCGCATTCATAGCCTTGAGGAACGCCAACTTAAGCCTTGAAGCCATCGCTCCATCCTCAAACACCACGATACGCCCGCGTCACGACGCCCATATCCCCGGCCCCGGGCGCCTTGGGCTCGCCGAGGCTATCAAGCGACGAGATGCTCGCAGCATACGGCACGCCATACTGCCCCGCCGCCGGACCCGGACCAGCAGCATCCCCATCGGCCCTTGCCAAATTCCCGCTCCTGCTCCTGCTCTTGCTCCTGCTGTGCTTCAGCCCCGGCGGCGTCCGGTCTACCTCGACAACCGCGTCGCTCACGACGACCTCGATGTCCTTCTGCTGGTAGATCTCGAGCGGCATGCGCTGCTTTCCGCTGCGACCACCACTGCTCCCAGTGCTGTTGACACGCTCCAGGCTATCAGCAGGGCTGATGTCGTCCAGCTCATGCAAGGTGGACGATTTCTTCTTGAGCGTCCGCTCGTCCTCGTAGTGGTCCCTTCCGCCCTGGCTGCTGAGATTTCCGTACGCGGAGCGGAACCGGCTGCCCCCGGCGCCGCCACGGGTTGTCCCGCCAGCACCACCGCCGACGCCACCCGCACCAGTCCCGCCCGTGCGTGGACCGCTGGACTTGCCGTAGACGCCGTTGAACGAGCCGATGCGGAAGAGCCGCTGCAGCAGCGTCCACGTCATTGGCAGGTTGGCCGCGATGATGGCCGTCGAGACCTCCCGGATGTACCAGTAGATCCAGTCGCCGCCGTAGGGCTGGCCGAGGGAGTAGTACTTGCTCAGTGCGGCTGCGAGGATCTGCGGAAGGCGCGGAGATTTAGTGTTTTGTTCCTCCGCCAGGGTGGGACTTGAAGAGAACTGGTAGTAGGGATAGGGAATCATCTGCTTACAGTGAATGCACCGAGCGCAAAGACGCCGCAGAGCACGAGCTTGCGCTTCAGGGCCAGCTGGGACTGCACAAACAGCGGCATCGGGAAGATGATGATCATAATGTCCGAGGAGATGTTGAATACGGCGTTGGTGATCATGTGGTTCGTCTCGGCGGAGCAGTTGACTGTGTCAAAAATACATGCAACGTGTTAGAAGAGGATATTCGCGTGCCTCCAGTAGAGGGAATTGCCTTTGGAGGGAAATGTGTGGTGGTAATACGCACGGTCATCCGGAGGCACCTGCCAGTAGTTGTGGAACGGGCGGCACCAGGCAGCAAAGAAGAGGATCTGCATGACAATGAAGGTGACGATGCAGTAGATGGTCAGGGCCTTGACCATCCAGTTCTGCTTCAGACTGATGCTGTAATGCGCAAGACGAGTGCTCGTCAGTTTTACATGTCTTGAGATACTGCTCTGCAAGCAAGGGACTCGTGTGGGCGCACATACGTAAGTCTGCTGTACATGAGCAGGAAACAACCCTTTATTGACCAGATGGTGAACATCTGGGTCTCCTCGACAACGAGGACCAGCTTCGAGCCGTAGACGCGCAGGTCAATGTCCTCGGGGGTGAGAACGATGCCGTCGGCCGGGTTGATGAGGTTTGTCGGCGTGTAGGTCAGGATGTGGACCACGATAAGCATGCCGGTGAAGCAGAACTGTGGTGTAATCCGACATGGTCAGTCTTCACTCTGAAGCGCAACATGGTATGGTCCTGAGATGAGCTATGGATCATCGTCAGATGAACAGGGCATCCATACCATGGCAAAGACCATCAGGTAGTCATCCGACAGCATGCGCTTGAAGGAGCCGTACAACATCCGCCGCGATATTCTGTGACAGGTGCCGCGCGCCTGATTAGCAACAAGCTCTGGCCGGCACACAGGCCGTGCGGCCATGCTGGATCCGTGCGGTTGTCGACTCACATCCTCGCCACGACCGCGATGATGGTCAGGGCATACCACGCCCACATCTCCGTAAGGAACGCCGACATGTTGATGGTGACGGCTGCAGCCGTTGGGTGTCGCGAGGCGTCGAGGGGAGAGAGGAAAGAATCAGACAACCGGAAACATTCGGCACTGGCGATAATTATCGAGATCTTCGCAAAAGTCAGTTCCGAGAAGCAATCCACCAGGGACGCAGATCGCTGCCCGGAGGGGGATGGCTGCTCTCAAGTACCGTCAGCACGCCACGCAGACCAGCACCGGCAGCCAGGCACCGGCAGCTGATCCGAGCACACAGACAATGGGGCTCTTCGTCACCATGCGGGGACCTCGACGCCATGAAGCAGCCCTCCATAAATGATCAGCTCGAAGGGCCGCCCACTGGCTGGGCCCTCAGCAGGAGACCCTCCTCCTCCAGGTCCACCCAGGGTGGAGGCTGTCAGCACACACTCGTGATGCCATGCGGGTGCATGAATGGCTTGCTGGACTGGGGTCGATAATAGGGGCTTTTAACGACAGCCAGGTGTTTCTACCAACGCATGTGAAGCACCGGAGCCCCCACCAGGGCAAGTACCTGCCAAAGGCGGCGCTCAGGGGTTATTGCGATCGTTCCATGTGCTGCTTGGAGAAAAGTTTGTTTAGCCTTGGCTCGCTTAGCAGAGCCGGAGCGACAGCACGAATGCGGGCTGGGCTGCAGCGGAGTGCCGGGTCTAGGGCCTACCTCGGTGGACCACTCAGCCCAGCGAGCCCGGTCGTCGGCTGTTTTCCCCAGAGGAGGTTGCTGATTGGGCTGGGGGATGCTCTGGCGGCGTGGGGCTTCTGCAACGTCTTATCATTTGCTCAGCTATGGCCAGGGGGTTCGACGCACAATCTGGTCCGAGGAGGCGTTGTCGAGCTCGGGAGTGTGGCCGCCGTGTCGAGGCCTGGCTGTATGTAGCCAAAACCCCCGGCCTCACGTGGCAGCCTCTCATCTATCCCCGGAAATCCCGGCTGGCTGGAAGCAGGGCAGGATGGAGATTGAGATCCCAGCGGGCAAAGCTTCCGTACAGGGTCGCATCGCCAGCGCATGCCATGGCTCCAGGGTCCCCCGCGCTAGGCTGACAGTAGTCACACTCCGTGATACACTTTGATCCAACTCCCTGCAAGGACAGGCTGTGTGCTATGCAGCATGATACACACCCGGAGGACCAGCACGACGTTATTGACTTGCACTATTACGTTGGAGTCGCTGACGATCTTAGCTGCAAGGGGCGTAATTAGGGACCGACATAGAAAGACTCAAGAAAGACGCAGTAGCTTCGTCACGTGAGGTCCCGGCTGTCCCACTTCTAGAAAACATGGCGTTGACGGGGCCTGGCTGGTCCATTCCGATCCCGGCCGGCTGTGCTGTGCCACCTCAGCCACGGCCTAAATATTGCCTCCATGTAGTCTCCTCCACTTTTCTTCAGCAGCACCACCGGCACTATCGGCTCCCGTGTGTGGCCTGTTCTCGTCAGCCGGCTGCACGCACGGCATGAGCTAGACCCCTAACAAGGGGTGACCACCCTCTGCTCTGCTCGAGCCGGATCAGGCCCCCTCGGCCGGCCGAAACGATCGATGCCTCCGCCGCCGCAGAGCCCGCCTTCGGCCCAGGCCCGGACCTCGTGCCAGCGCTGCCACAAGCGCAAGAAGAGATGCGACCGCAAGCTGCCCCAGTGCGACAACTGCTGCGGCGCCCTCGTCGCCTGCAGCTTTCTCGACGATGATCGCCAGCTCGCATCGTACCCCATTGCGTATGTCTTCTCGAGGGGACCCCCTGACAGTCGGCTGGTAGCTCGTCTGGGTAGTCATCAGCAGGCCAATGTCTAACGTCCTCCTAGATTCGTGCAGGGCCTCGAGGCCCGCATCAAGGACCTCGAGCAGCAGCTCGCGGCCGCCAGGATGATGATGATGGGCAACTCGCAGCAGACAGGCCAGGAGCAGGGTGACATGCCATCGCAGGGTTTATCAAATCAGGGACCAGCGGCCACAGATCCATTTGCCACATTCGATCCGATCCTGCTCGACATCGCTGATCAGCAGCAGCAGCCGAGACCACAGACTTCTCTGGCCGAAGAACTCAAGGCTCTGTCTCTGCAAGCAACGGCAGAGCGGCACCTCGGCTCGTCGTCGGGCATCTCCTTTGCACGCCTTACCCAGACGGTGCTGCGCCGCCTTACGCCAGACAAGGCCGACTTTGTCTTTGAGAATGTTCTCGAGGACATGTCGCCATCGACTCTGCTGGCTGCGGCGTTTCCCATGGCGGGGCCTGGCAGTCCGTCGACCACATTCCCGCAGCCACTATTTGGAAATATATCCCTAGCCGACATTACCGATACTGGTATATCTCTCGCTTCGCTGCCGCTACCTGATGAGGCGCATATACGGCACCTGGTCGACTTTTACTTTGCGCATACGCACACTTTGTACCCGTTCTTGGCGCGCGGGGAGTTCGGCAATGTCTTGGCCCGGGCACTCGCTAGCCCCAACGACCCTGTCGCGCAGTCGCCGTTGTCGTTATTCAAGATATGGATGGTGCTGGCCATCGGCTCGACCACGTATAGCGCGGTGACGCTGGCTGAGGAGTCCGAGTCGGTACTCTTTTACAGCAAGGCTCTCGAGTATCTCGAGGCTGCGCTTGGCTACGGCGACTTGGTGAGTGTTCTTCAATGCAGCGACTCGGATTTTATAGGCAATAGTCCGTACTAATGGTAGTGCTCGTATATAGGCTGCGCTCGAAGTCATCATGCTGCAGGTCTGCTATTCTTTCTTCAACCAGCTCGGTCCAAGTACGTCATACAAGTCCATCTGATAGAAACATCACTGACAGCGATTCGGCAGACACATGGTTTCTGGTCGGACTAGCCGCCCGCCTGGCCATGGGCATTGGGCTGCACTCCGCATCGACGTACGAGGACCTTCCCTTTATTGCTGTTCAACAGCGGAAAAGACTTTTCTTCTCCATCTACATGATGGACCGGTGTGTACTTACTTATCTTCCCTGCCTCCATGAATCCGCTGCTAATTCCTCACTCAACCAGCCTCGTATCCACGGCTCTTGGCCGCCCCTTTGCCATCCACGATGACGATATTGAGGTCGAGGTAAGCGAAAGAGCAGTACTGGGGCTCATCCCCTGCCATCGGACAAAGTCCACTGACAAGCACAGCCCTTTGCCGATGTCGATGACGACGAAGAAGATGCGTCAAGCGTCAACCGGCCCCGCGACCCCCTAAAGCCATCCATAATGGCTATTCCGTTACACATCCTGCGCCTCCGCCAGATCGCCAGCAAGACAGCGCGCCTCGTCTACTCGAACCGCATCTCCCACCCCCAATCCTCCGACATGTCCTCCCCACGACTGCCGCAGCATCCCCATCACTCTCATCATCACCAAAACCTCCACCAGCAACAACTCCACCAACACCAACACCAAACCCACCACGACCGCGAAGCCATACTCCAGTCCCTGCACAAGGAACTCCTCGACTGGCGCCGGGCCATGCCCTTCCCCTTACCCGACACCCACGCCCAGGTCCCGCACCTGAGCAGCACCTGGTTCGACCTAAACTACTACACCCACCTGGCCATCCTGTACCGGCCCTCCCCCTTACTCCCCGTACCCAGCGCCGAGCGGGTCGCCACGCTCGCAGAGGCGGCGAGCATGGCGATCCGCCAGGCCGCGAGCATGCACCGCCAGCGCCGGTTCGCGTACAACTGGCTGAACCTGCTGAGCGTGTACACCAGCGTGCTGAGCCTCGTGTACGCGACGACCGCACGCCCGGAGAGCCTGCCCGTCGTCCTGGCCAAGAGCAGCGCCATCGAGGACCTCGGGCTCGCGGTCGAGCTGCTGGGCACGCTGGCCGCCAAGTTCCCCGCCGCGGGCAAGATCAAGAGGATGGTCGAGGAGATTGTGGCGCGGTATGAGAGCTTGAGAAGTAGTGGAGGTGGTGGCGTGGGCGGCGGCGAGAATGTCGGTGGTGGTGGTGCGAATGGGGCGCAAGCACAGCAACCTGCGCCATCGTCGTCAGGGCAAGTCGCATAGACGAAGCGTTGCACATACTGATCTGTCATTGTGAAGGTAGAAGGGCACATGGTGGAATGCTCAACCCAAGTCCAAGCGGGGTCTCTCCCGGTAGATGGCTTGCTAACTGTAAGTGCCGTCGAAGCACTATGCCGAAGGAATGGGTTCGGAATGAGCAATGCACGAGAATTAAGCAGTCTCGATAGTATTTGCCAGGCATTATCAGTACCTTTAATAAACCAATAGACATGGGAAGGTGGTTTTGGCTTTTTGTGTACTTATGCGCAAAATATCACGGTTTTGACCCGCAGAAAAACCGAGGCCGGTAGATGTGCACAACCTGAGCAAATCATATCCACTCATGCGGTCTCCGGGATGCACTCGACTTTCTCAAGGGGACCATGCGTTCGGGCGACGTGCACGACACATCGATTTCGGGACGTGCTGCAAATTTTCGCTCGCGAAAGTGTTCATGTGCTGTATAGAATTACATAGAAGCGGTATGCGAAGCTCGGCTCATCTCAGTTCGTGACCGCCCAAACGACAACCTCCAAACCCCCACCGGTCCTGCGGACTGCACGGAACTGCCGCTGTGCGGCCCGACGCGAGACGCAACGATTCATTAGTCGTAGCGGATTGGCCAGGTTTCGGCCACTCCCAGCAAGTGGTGGGGAGTGGCGCAGCGGCCCCTGCCCTGCTGTCAACCAACTGCATTAGCGTCCCGCTGTGCGCGAATCAGAGATCTTGACGCGCAGGCTGCTCGAGCTCGTGAACTTAGAATCTGCAAGACAAAGACCCCTGAGCTGGATACTTCGGCGGCTTCCCCTGGTCTTTACATGGCAAGTGACGTTGAGGGATAGCGAAGTTCTTCCTCTATCTCAATTTGAGGCAAGGGCATCCCTGACGTAATTGCTAGCTAAGCAACCCCCCCATGCTTGGTTTATGGACATTTAAGGGCTCCGAAGGGTTCAGTCCCGTCTACTCAGCCTGCTCGTTTTGCATACTGCGCTTCAACTTTTGCTTTTGTGTCATAGAGCTCGCCCAGCATGGTCCCAGATCCTGATTCCATATCGCAGGAAAGTGGTCCCTCGGTCAGTTCGTCTGGTAGGACCAACACGCCATTACAATTCACTGGAGCCTCCCCCGGTCATGAGGCGACAGAACGTGAAGTCAGTGAGGGCGTTGGGCTGACAACGGGGGATGCGCCCAGCAGCTCGCTCTTTACTTTCCAATTCCAGTCTCGCCTTCCACCAGCCCAAAGCTCGCGCGCCGCTCAACCACCAGCTTCCGGCTTCAGCTTCCGCTTCGGTTCACTGGTTAACTCGACACAGCATCCAACTTCCCTAGGCCAGGCCGCCCCGCCAGCAGGCCAAGCGACGTTACAATGCATTTCGGGCCCGTCAACGCCTCCTGCATCAGTAGCACAACTGACGCAGAGCCTAGAGCGCGCCGAAATCTCCTCGTCCACGGCGGATGTGCCACACGATTCGAGCCCCTCGTACCCTGACAAACGCCCGCGGCTAGGTGTTCCATTGTCGATAGAGGCTAAGGGCACCGGCCCTGCGCCGGTCGCCTCATGTCAGTCAACAAAAGGCGAGTCTACCAGACCAACGCCGTATGATCCTCGCAAGGAGCAGCCACCTGATCATGAGCTCTTTTCCTCTGCGTTGCAAGCCAGACTTGCGAGCGCCAAGGTCCTTGTCCAAGACACTGTCAGTTATATCGGGCACAGCAAAGATGCCTTTCCCCTCGAAGCGGATAAGCTGTCTGTAGTGCTTGACTATGCGCATAAATTGCTGGAGTTCAAACCCTCCGCAATCACGAGGGTGGCCTTGCTGGGTAGTTCTGGGCATGGTGAGTTCATGCAGCCAGAGCACCGCGCTTATGGTTGCATGCTGATGACCTGATACTAGGCAAGAGCAGCCTGATCAACTCGCTTCTTCACTGGCCGGATCTGGCTGAGACGGTAAGTGCATTACCAGTGGATGGAGATCTCAATTGCTGACGCGAATGCGATAGGACGACTCTGGCAAGGCATGTACGTCAGTCGTGACAGAATACAGATATCCCCTTGAGGACCAGTCTGATCCTATCAAGATATGCATCGATTATATGTCACGAAGCGAAATCGTCAAAGTCCTGAGCGAGCAGGTCCATAACTTCAGACAGTTCTATGTACCAGGCGTCAAGGAATCGCTGGCAGCCAGGGTTGAGCACGTGCGACTCAAGAATCAGTCTGAGGAGGCGTGGGTTACTCTCAAGTCCATTTTTCGTCACGACAAGCGCTTTACGGCAGATTTCCTCAAGGGTCGTTTGGTGGACGCCGGAACTCAAGAGGCTAGTGGCGCGGGTATACTGGAAGAGGTCGAGAAAATCACCCAACAGTTGGTCGGCTGGGCAGAAAGTGCCGGATGGCTGGGCGAAGAGGAACCAGATTCTTCCTACGCCGAAGCTAGGACTGCCGCGGAATGTCATCGAAAGCTAGCTGGATTCCGGAAGAATAGACTCTGGCCTTTCGCCAAATTGGTCCAGTAAGCTCTTACTATGCTTGACTCCCTTCCCGAATATTTCTAACGCTGTGCAACTTAGGATATACGTCGACGCGGAAGTGCTTAAGAGCGGCGTCGTTCTTGCTGATCTGCCAGGTATGCACGCGATTGGGACGACCTTGATGCAAAGTTGCTTCGTCTTTTACTGATTCGGATATCGGCACCTAGGCCTACAGGACTCGAATGGCACACCGGTACGAACTGTAACCGACTATCTTGCAGGATGCGACCATTTGTTTATGGTCTCGAGGATTCATCGAGCAGTGACCGACGATACACTGTGGCAATCTATAACCAAAGCTATATCGGATTATGCCCCATCAAAGTGGGAAACTGTCTCAGACAAGATGAATTTGACCATCGTGTGCACGATGGCTGATGTAAGTTTCTTATAGAACACAAAGCCATGACCATACTGATTGACACCTCAAAGGACATGGATGTCGAAGAGCAAAGCAGAAGATTCTGTGGGCCAGGCAAGGTCATTGAAACGGGAACCATGAGAGGCATCGAGCTCGAGATAGAGGTGGCAATCGACAATAACGACCTGAGAGGACTGAAGCGCGCCCAAGCCAAGTGAGACCTAGTGAACTGATCTGCTGACCCAATGTCCGGCTAACTCGAGTTAAATCATAGACAAAAGCAGCTCCTTATGGAAGCCAGGAACAAATTCGTCAAGGCAGCACTGCAAAAGACTTTCGAGGGACAGATGTCCCACAGGTCGCTGCCCATATTCTGTGTTTCCAAGGCATTTTACAAGGAGCATGTTGCGCAAGGCAATATCGAACTTGTCCAAGCTTCTGGAATACCACAGCTACGGCAACATTGTCGTGGCATCTCCGCCGATGGCGAGCTGTCGTCTGTGTCTCATTCTTTGATGGCACGGATGTCCTTTTTGTTCAATTTGCTGGACGTCTGGCTTGCGGGACTTCCGCTTCAGACCTCTGTCGCAGGACAAAGATTCATGGCTGAAGCCGATTTTCATGAGCTGTCCAACACGGTCTTGGCAGAGGCAGGTTTCCCCCTGCTTTCCTCTAAGGCTTTTCTAACGTTTCAAATCTAGACGAAAAGGGATTTATCACGTTTGCACCTTGCCCTTGAGGATTGCTTCGACGAGGATATCACATCGTTTCTTGGTTCGTCGGCGCACAAATCGAGAATCCGACTTGAGGAAACTGAAGCTAATGTATTCATGCAAGGGGCGCGAGGAGAACATTGGAATGAGAATGCGCTTGAGCAGGTCTATAAATGGTCCAAGGTCAGTAATGGCACCGACAAATGCATCTTATTCAGCTAATTGTGGGTGCAGACTCTTTCAACATGTGGGTACAGCTTCGCCGCTATTTCAATTTGAAATCGTTAATAACTAAACGACAACAGCGGATTACTATGACTGCTGCAAATGGTTGGGAGTCACACTAATCATTCAGGAAGGTGAAATCACCACATTCAACTTGAACAGGGATCTGATTTGGCAGATGCGTGCTGAACTCGAGCAGCAGTGGGAAATCCTGGAGGATGATATTTCGCAGATCTTTGACAGGACGTTTTCAGACTTGGAAATCACCACCAACAAATTTTTACGTGATGTTCGCCGTAAGTTCTCAGATGATGCAAAATTGATTCCGCTCAAGACTGACGTCAGACCCCAATAAGCGGCTGTGGACTCTTCCAAGAGGCCAGTCTTGGAAGAAGTCTTCAACTCTCATGCTTCAGCCTTGAAGCACGATATCGAGGTTGCGAAAACTAAATTTTCCAGTCATATGGAGTACGTTTACCGTCCAGATTCACCTGAGCAGGCCTTGTTAATGATTTGAGTCCAAGGCATTTACACCATCTCTATTCGGATGCTGGGACGACCTCGATTGTCTCGGAAGTAATGTCGCCATCCTATCGTAAAGCCTCTCATGCTTGGTATGAGGGTGGACCAAAAGATGTAGCCGAATCGCAAGAAGTCATCACAGAGTTCCTGAAGGACCAGAAACTCTTCAAGGGTATGATGAGCTCACTGTCGGGCAGAGTTCGCCGCTTTATGGCTGAGACCTTGGAGATTTTGGGCTCCGAAGTGGCTACACGCGTGGCAGATGTTGTCAACCAGACTGAGACGATGCTGAAGGATGAGATCAGCTCTCGGCCTTCATCTGGAACCACTTCAAGTGACGAAGCTCTTGTTCTTCTAGCAGAAGGACTCCGCTCACAAGCTTCGACGCTGAAGAGTCGGCATGCAGATATCGCGGCAGACAGGGCAGACCAGCCGCGGTAGGCTGAAGAAACAGCGCGAAAATCAAATTTGCCTCATACAGACGCGTTTTCTTTTAATATAAGCCATCAAGCTTTTGCTCTGAAAAGGCTCCTAGCTTAGGTATTCGAAAACAAATACGTACAACCCCTCTTTATACAATACTACTGACTTAACAAAGTCTCGGGCTGAGACATTCAGTGATGCACAAGTGCAGGAATCAGAAGCAGAAGTCCGAAGCCTCCACCACAACCTGAGCGAATCATATCCATTCATGCATGCGGGCTCGAAGCAGGCTCTGGCTGGCCATGCCTACCAACCAACACTCTTGTGCCTCTGCACTGCCTCTGGTGGCATGCTGGATCCTTGCATTAGGCCTCCTACCCCTCTTTCACTTCGAGGTGCTCTCTGGCCGCCCTTTCGTTTTGTGCCTTAGCATACGCCCCCAGCACACTCGTCAAACCTCGACTGGTGTGTTCCACCATGGACGTCACCGGTTTGGCCCTTGGCGCCATCTCTCTCGGGCTCGAGGTCTGCAAAGGGATATACCACCTGGTAGACGGCGTGCGCGGTCAGGGCCACGATCTCGAGACCCTCGGGCGGCAGGCGAAAGCACTCGAGACGAATCTGAACGCAACCAAAGAGGCGCTCACCAGACTCGCCCACAGCTCGGATCTGGCACCACGATCGCAGAAGGGAGCGGTCGCGATAGCGGCAGTTGAGGATAGCGTGCTGTCCTGCGAGACCGACCTCGAGACCCTCAAGGCCTTTCTGGTGAAATATGCTGGAGGATGTTCCATCTCTCATCCAGGATTTCGACAGAAATGCCGCGAGCGCCTGAGGGCGTTGGAGTACGGTCTCCATGGGGGAAAGCGAGCCGAGATGGAGGGACTGCTGGCAGCGATCAATAGCAACCTACTCGTCGGGATGCAGGCTTTGGGACTGTGAGTACAACGCCGGACACGTTGGATGATCGACCCCCGCTTTGATGTGCTAACACGAGCAAAGGGAGATGACCATCGATTCGAATGAGAAATATGCAGAACTCAAAACCGAGATCATCGAGAGGCTCGACAGTCAAGAGACAACTCGGACCCGGTTCGAAGCAGTTGCCGAGCGAGCGTTTGATGCGCTCACCAAGCGGAATGATTCTGTCTGCACGACAATCCAGACTGTCCAGTCCCATACTTCAAGCAAGCTGGATAGCGGGCAAATCATTGCCGAGCGTATCGACACATCTGTCTCGAGAATGGAGACGTCCGTCTTGCCGACGATGCAAGCCGAGGCACGGGATGCGTCGGCGAATATTTTGAGCCAACTGGACGAGATTTCAAGCCGATTGCAAGCAATGAGCGGCATGCCGTGGGCTGGTGACTTCCCATGTCCATTAGATTCAACAGGTGGCAGTGCAAAACTCGAAGCTGCGCAACAGAATGAAATGACACTGAAGAAACTGGACATGCTGGCAATTCGGCGGTTGCTGTCGAAACGGAGCGGTCTGCGGGATGCACTTGACACTCTGGAAACTGCAGTCACTCTGCAGAACGCATACGGAATGCCGATTCGACAAGCCGTTGGTTCAGAACGTGCGACAAATGGGTACCCTCGAAGGTGTTCATGTATGCCGTACAAAATGACACAAAGGCGGCATGTGAAGCTCGGCTTATCTCAATTTGTGACCGCCCAAACGACAACCTCAAACCATCACCAGTTCTGCGAACTGTACGGAACTGCAGTAGCACGATTCGAGACGCGCCGGTTGGTGATCGCCCGACTTCAATACTTCACTGTAGCGGTTGAGGCTGCGCTCCGCATATCCTCGAGCTGGCAGCAGGGGGCGGGAGGGTTTAGCCTCAGCCCATGCCTGAAGTATAACAGCGTCGTCGATAGAAGAAAAGCCCCTGCCTTCAGGCTCTTCAACGTACTGGTTGGTCTGATGATGTCAGATAGAAATCGGCGGATCATCTTGGGCCAGACGGAGACGATGAAAGCTCTTCTCGACCACGTCCTCACAAAGCTGAGAGCTCTACTTGAAGCGCGAAAATGTTCCATCACGGACATCGATAAGGACGGGAATACGCTTGGGCACATGTTATTCAAGCTGGTGGGTATGTTTCAGTCCGGAGATTGCAAAATACATGCTGACTGGTCAGTTTAGATGCACATCTATGCGATATGTGAACGAAGTCAACTCGAGCATCTGCAAGAGCTCTTCCCCTCCTTTTTCTGGCAAATGACAGAGGTCTACGGCGTTTCCGTCGTCGAGGAAAATTACCACGGCAGGTATGGGATGCCCTGACCCGCCCTTAGATGCTGTGGCTAGGCCATAATTCTGCACAATGTCGCTGATTTCTCTTTCATGTCAGGACACCCTACACGGATCGACTGTGGCGGGAAGGAAGCGATGAAGCTATGCTCTTCTCTCACTCAGTTCTGCCGAGAGACAAACAGGGCACGCTGCAATGCCCTGTGGCACGAGATTCCCAGTTTCCGCTGTGGTTCCCGGATCCATCGCCGTACGGATGGTCGTACCCAGATCGTAAGCGACGCGATGTAGCTGGCCATCACTCTGCGATTTTTCTAACAAGGCCGTATTGATTGCGCTTAGTTTTCGATATGGGTCCTCTGAGCGCGGCAATTCTCCGAGACGAGGGTGAGCTAGTCAGGAAAATGCTAAAGGCTAATCCAGACATGGTGATGGAAGAAGCAGCGTTCGGCCTTGAAACCCATTTCACTCTGTCCACGACATTTGCCCTGTGCCTGAATGAAATCATCGAGTCATTGAAGGCGTCCAGCCGGGGTACGCTCTTGTTGCGTGACCTGCTTATCCGTAGCGATTCGGTGGGAAATACCATTGCCACCGTCGCGATCAAAGCTTGCCGGTCATGGGACAAACCTTCGTGCCCGTGGGCGAGGACGTTGGAGACGCTGTGCGAGGAAGAATGTGCGATATGGCAACGAAGCCCACGGGGCTACCGGACGACTTGCCTTGTCTGTATGCGCATCTACTCGGAAGCTCTACGAAGCAGAAGGGAGCGGCTTAAGGCGCTTGGCCTCAGGCATCTACCACGAGCTCGGATCACCGAGTTCGCGCTCGATCAAGACATCCTGCTCGATGAGTATGCTGCGCCGGTGATCCAGCATCTTCGCGTCCTTGGCGTGCCAGTTCCGCCATCTTTATATGTGGGAGAAAATGGGGGCCAGCGTGCCTCGATCTACCACAGCCACGAGTGGACGATGTGCCTGGCAATGGATCTCTACAGGGTTGGCTTCAGAGACATAAGTGGGCTCAATGCGGATGGCTTGACGCCGTTACAGACCGAAGTTCGGATGGTCTCGAAAGGCGAGAGCTGGGCGGATACTTTTTGCCGGTGGTTGATCCAACGCGGAGCAGACCCTTTCCTTCCATACCTGCCAGCGCCTGATGATGATGGAGACTGGTTCTCTCCTCGCAATGTCTCTCCTAAAGGAGAAAGTGCGCCTGCCATCGTTACGCTTGCACATGTTATCGCTGGATCTCTAGGCCGACGTATATCGCCTGAATTCCCACAGCGATATCATGATCAGGATTTCTGGATTCAGCCGTGGGCTGTGCCGATACTCTTATCCGACTTACAAGACGGCAACGATTGCCATTGCGGTCCTGAGGGCGGCTTCGTTTCTTATTCCTATTTCCTGATCCAGGCATTTCCCGACAACCGGCGCATGATCCTCGATCTCACATTGGTATCGAGAATGCAAAAGCTGTTCACCTGGCACGGCATGTTGCTTGACGTTGCCCGCTACCAGATGGTGTTTCGATTCATCACATTCGCAATCCTCTCGCTCGAGCACACCTGCTTCCTGGCGGGATCGACATCGGACGATGAAGAGAGCGACATGTCGTCTTGTGCAGATGAGGAAGAAGAAGAAGCGCGCTTTTCACTCTTCCTGTCAATCATGTCGGACATGGACAGCCTAATCGCCAGAACGTTTCACTCCGCTGACAGAGGCAATAGCCCGGGGCTGAATTTCAAGTTATCGCAAGGGAGAAGCCGGTTCGGATCGTCCAAAGACTCTTCCCATCCAAACTTCGCACGCTTCGAGAAAAGATTCGATGAGCCCACTCTGGCAGGAGTGGTTGGACTATTGGTATGAAGCAGTCAGGGCTGCCCTTGAAGATCTCGATTCCCCGGTCATGACCCTGGAAAATAAGGCAGCCGCCGAAGAGCTTGGAGTCATCTGGGACCACACCTGCTCTGAGAACTCATCTGTGAAGCCCGAAATCCAGGTCGACAATCGCTACAACAGTGCGGAGGAGATCGAGTACTGGCATCGTTGCATTGAAGAAATTCAGTGAACCTAACTTTTTGCGTGGTTCTTCCTAGTAGTAGTGGGTGGTACTAGTGGCCGTTTAGATAGCGGTGCGGGGATGTAAGCCCGGAATTAGGCTGCAACTTGACTCTGCGGGGATTAATCAGCCTGTCTCACAATGATGCAATTCCTCTTGGCACCCTCGTCCCCGATGGCCATGAGCCCTTTTTATGCATGACAAAACATCCACGTTGCCAACTAAGCAGCAGGCTATGACGACGAGGACAAGAGCAGCAGCAAAGGCCATGGCCATCCGCTGGTACCGCCTGCTCCAGTGGACCCTCCACACCGCGGAACTCCTCGAGCTCATTCTGCTCCATCTGGACATGCGCACGCTGCTGACCAGTGCGCAACGTGTCAACCGGCGGTGGAACACTTTCATCAAGGAGTCACCCGCCCTGCAAAGACATCTCTTCTTCATGTCCGATGGTGACACGATAGCGCGAGAACCTTGCAGGAATCCTCTCCTCACAGAGTTCTTCCCAGCATGGTTCGGAGGAAGCGGAGGTAGGCTTCCCTATATGGAGGGGTACCCGGAGCAACCATTCGCCAAGCATCTGGAGTCCTTCATGACGCCTGGGGCTTCATGGCGCCGTATGCTCGTCCAGCAGTGGCCCCCCATCACGCAAGTTGGTGTCTGGCAGAGGGACAGTTTCTGGACGGGTTCCATGAAGACCACCGCGGATCTCTACGCCTGCCACCTACCACGCCGCCAGAGCGACAAGACACACCAGGAAACCAGCTCCAGCAGCGATGCCGAACTCATGACACGCTATGGCGTAGACGGCTTCCTGCGCATGGGCTTGCTATACGATCTGACTACACGACACGTCCTGCTCGAGAACAGCAACCGCATGCTCTACTGGACGGGCATGTCCGCGGCAGACCGCGAGGCGTTCTGTTCAGTCGAGGATATCCGCCTGCCGCCACAGCCCGGCACTGTCACTGCTTTCAACACTCTGCTCATGGGTATCACGACCACGACCAGCGATATCGAACAGCGGCAGGTCGTTCGTGAAGAGTTTCAGGCACAGCGGCACCGCTTGGCGACCAGCGCGGGCCTAGTAATGGCCATTACCAACTTCTATGGGTGGTGCGGTACGGACTTCGAGGACAGCAATACCCTGCACTTCATAGAAACCTTTGTGCATCCCGACACGCTAAGGAGCTTCGGACAGCTAGAGGGGCGGCTGGAAGATAGGCACTTTGAAAAGATGTTTGAGTGGGAAGGGTCGTTCGCCGATGATGAGGACCCCGACTTGTAAGACACGTTGCAGTTATATGAGCCGTCATTGCCCCTTTGGCCAGTCGAAAACAGAACACCAAGCATTTGCCCCAAACTGTCCCACTGTGAATGGGCCCTGGATTCTAAGACGTGAGACCATGTAGCTCGAGTTCAGAACCACTGTTCTCTCATTTGAAGCGAGCTTTTAACCACAATGTTCGCAAGATACCTCGTGGACACACTGCCGTTTTTGGTGAGGCGAAGCAGCGTGCAAGCACGATAATGACTGACCAACACAGGTGGAGAATTGCCAAGCGCTTACCTGCGAAGCGCTTATGCCTGGCGTCTTGGCATCACGGGCAGGTGATTTTGCGATCCGGGATCCGTGGCAGCCTGTTTCAGGGCAGCCTATTTAGTATTGCCAGATTCGAGGCAACCGCTGTCAATGAAAGCGGCACCAGGAGTTTTCACCAGCCATGGCAGCCGTCCCGATACCAGGGTGTGGCCAGTCGGCCTCCGACAGAGTGTTGCACATCACAGAGCTTTTCGAAGCTATCCTCCTGCATCTCGATATACGCACGCTGCTTACACACGTCCAGCGCGTGAACAGGCGCTGGAACACTCTAATCAGTGATTCCCCCGCCCTCCAGAAACATCTCTTCTTCATGCCTGACGACGACGTTGATACGGGATTGCCGCAACACGAGAACAACAGACCCTGCCGGAACCCACTCCTGGCAGAGCTCTTTCCCGGATGGTTTGCGAGGGGTGGCCGCCTTCCCAGCGTAAACCAGTACGAGTTGGAACCGTTCGCAAAGAATCTGAAGCCCTTTATGACGCCCAGCGCCTCGTGGCGGAGGATGCTCGTGCAACAGCGGCCAGCCATCAGGCACGTCGGCATCTGGGAGAAGGAGGGTTCTGACAGAGGCCCTATGGATGTCAGTGTCAAGCTCTATGCCTGTCGCCCGCAACAGGAGCACCAGAGAGAGCTCGACAGTGACAGCGACAGCAAGAGCGCAACACCAGGCGACAGTCACGAGAGCTCTAACCACGACGGGGGTCTACGCATGGGCCAGCTCTATGATCTCACCACGCAATACGCGTACCTGAGGCATCACGAAGCGGAGCTATATTGGACCGGCGCCTCTGTGACAGACCGCGAGACTTATTGTGCGATCGAGGATGTCCGCATGCCGGACCCGGGCGAACCTGCAGGACACTTGGATGCTTGCATCCGCAAAAGGGAAGGATTCAAAGAGCAACGCCGCCAACTCGCGCACCAGGCGGGCCTAATAGTGGAAGTTGACGTAAGCCGTCCGTTGTGCGGTACGAGCATGATGGTCAACTATTACGACATCTTTGAACTGCGTCTCAGGCTTGCGAGCGGGCCGCCTGGGGGATCGCGTGAGAAATTTGTGCACCCTGATGTTGGAGGTGGTTTTAAACGGGTGGAGGCCAAGCAGTTCATACATGTGTATGAGTGGGCGGCCACGCTTGAACATGGCGAGTTTGACTGGTGGTAAGGAGTGGCTCATATCTGTTAACAGAGCGCTGCGAAGATATAAGATTTGATTTCTGTCACAAGAGCGTCAATGTAGTTTGCAATGAGTCCTGATTTTGTACCCAATATGTGCCTTGCTTAACATGCCCTGCGTGAACAAGGTCAGTCATCACGAGGCTGTCGCATTTTGAATGCCGTCTCGCACGGCACTCGGCAGTATGCTCAGCTTCGAGCCCGGATCTTACGGAGTGTAGCCATGTGCATATCTCTGGAGGACAATCCTTGGCGCACGACTTTCGTTTGTGTCTCCTGAGCTGCCGTTGGGACGAGACCCATGGGCGCTTCACGTCTTCATTAAGCCGAAATCCACCAACAGGTCGAAACCTGGAGGGAATAACAGGCTCACGCTTGAATGTTTTGGTGTAATTACAAAAACCAAGGCAACCTAAACCAAAAGCCACCGCTTCTAGCCCGGGCATCCGATGGCAGCGCTGCCAAACTCCACACCCGCCAGTTGCATCCTCTGATGGCCGCTACTCTCCGAACCTGGCACCACCAAGCCGAGCATGAAACGCACCTGCTTGCTCGGGTCCGCTGGCGGCAGCTTTCCATTAGACCACGCCAGCTCCTCGAGCACGGCAGGCGTCCCGTCCGGCAGCTTGCACTGTATCGCGCCACCGCCGGCCTCGTCCACCGTGCAACCACTCAGCGTGCTTCGGACGCCTTCGCCGTCTTCACTGAAGGCTGGCCGCAGGGACTGGCCTAGCACGATGCGCCCGGCGTCTTCACCTTTCCTGACCACCTTCTCGAGCCCATACAATCGCGGGTTGTTGCGCTGCGACAGAACGTACAGCCTGTCGAGAACAGCCCCTACCTCGTGCTAGCACACTCGGAACAGTTCGGCGGAGACGTCGGCATTCCCAAGCGGACAAGCAACACTAGGGGCCTCGTCCAGCTCCCTGCGAACGTTACCGAAGAGGACCCTAATGATAGTGAATTCGCTGCACACCTATCCATTCTCAACTTTGAGGCTATGTGGCCGGCGGCTCCCGCCGGTACGCAGTACTACTGTCCAGGAGGACGACGAGGTTGTGGAGGAACAGGATGCATTAAGCACGGAGAGAACAGCGGCAACATTGACGATGATATCACGAAACCAGGCATCCCCAAGCGCTACTCGTACTACTTCGACGAATGCAACACTTATATCGTCAATAGCAACGGCGATAAGCACAAGGAGTGTACCTGTGGCTCCCTGTACGGGGTCTACGGCCGCTACCTGGCACGCTGCCATGCATCTCCGTCCATTCATAAGGGCTGGGACCAGCAGATGATCCGTGACGCGACGGGCTCGTTGCGTGGCTAGATTGCCAACCAGCTCGCCAGCGGCAGCTGGCCCAAGGGCGTCGTGACCGTTGCTGGCAAAAACCACCCAGGCGGTGTCCTGTTCGTCCCGCAGAAGGGCCAGCCCAAGAGCCGCCCCAGCCTGGACGATACCAAGTGTTGCGAACAGCTAATGACTGAGCTGGCGGCCAGCTGCGGCTTCGCGCCTAGCTTCTGTAGCTATGATCCCGTCAGCTCCTCGGGCGAAGCACTGGGCTGGCACCAAATGGTGAGTGATCAGGTGAAGTTTGGCATGGTCGGGTAGAGTGACGACACAACCAACAGACAGGTCGTACGATCGGGCCAAGGGCAAGGGCAATTCGTGCACGAAGGAAGACAGCGCTCTTTATGTTATCCAACAACGCCCTTTGTTTTCAATCATGGCGACTCTTTGTCGCTCTCATCTCTGTGGGGGCTCACCCCAGCTTGGAATTTCTGTTCGATATTACTTGAGCGTAAACTCAATTTAGCCAACAAGGGCTCCATCCACTCTGTTGAGTGGACAAGATCGCTTCGGTCATGTTGTATTCCCCAGATATGTCGTTGGTGCCACTGCGCGAATTAGCCCCTCAGTCCACAGTGAAACGATGTGGTAAGTTCCGGGTGGGAGGCCAGTGGCCAGGTTCTAGCTGAAACGCGGCACTTGGGACAAGACGTCTGGCTCACCACGGAAGAAGCACTTTGCGATTCTGAGGCGACATTCCGTGTGCGTGGTCACGGCAGACCTAAAGGAGTGTTGACATGCCGACAGGGGCTCGACGGGTTGGCGGGGCGTGCCCCTGGCCCGTGTCCGCCAGGTCACCCCACCAACATTCGTTGCCTTGTTTATGTGCATGGAGTCCAGTTTGAGCTTGGCAAGACCGAAGGCAGGGCTCAAAGCGTCGGACCGGCCGAGTATTGAGCGCAGTCCAGCGTCTTCGCACGCAGATTGATGGCGGCTGCTAGCTGGAGGCGAGGCGGCACTGCAACGCGCCGAAGTCGCACTTGGCTTTGGTCCGCGGTGGAGTGTGGGTAGATGCGAGGCCTTTAGAACATGCTTTGGTGATGCTGCATACACAAGTGTCGCCGAAATGAGACTTTGAACATTAATTAGCGTCCAACTGCATGCGGATGAACACTATCCCTGAACCCAGAGCCGTGGGCCGCCGCGCCGGGTCATGTCGGAAGCCCTGCCAAAAGAAGACGGTCAAATGACGGCCGGTGACTGATCTTATCAGATTGATCAGAGTTTTCTACGTGGCGGGCGCTATCGGTGCGGACTAGCCTGCTTGGGACCATGGGGCCCGGTCACGATCCACCGTGCTGACTCCAGCGTCGTCCCAGACCCTCAAGGTTTTGCTGCTGGTGGCACAACTCGCATGCCATTGTCGTTACTATGATCCACTTGCACACGTCAATTGTCAGGTTGCGAGCTAGTGAGCCTGCCCGCCTGTCACGCCTGTAGACTGGCGGTGCCGTCCGATGGTTGTTTTTTGCCGCTTGACTGATGCGCCGACAGTGCTCTCGGCCGAGCTGAACTCGGATCATGATGCGGCCACAACCCTGGCAGGCTGGTGGATCAGATAACCTTAAGTCTTGGAGGGACCCCTGCTCTCGTCAAAGTCCCTCAGTGGCGCTCCGAGTCGGCATTGTTGCCGGCTTCCGAGGGTTCTCGCGTTTTCTTTTTTAAGGCGGGCCGCCCCCGAGGGCCAGGATCGGCGGCCATCGTCTGATTTTATCTCTGTCACGAGTTGTGTGTTTCTGTACGCTGATTTGTCTGATCTTCGACCCTCTGCGCAACGTGGCACAACCCAGCCCATAATGGCTGTCACAGAGAAAACGCACGCCGTTACCGACGCGGAGCTTTCGAGCAGCAGCCGCACTCCATCCTCGCACGGCGACACCTCTCCCCAGCAGACCGTCCTGATCACGGCCGGCAACAACAATGACCAGCCCTCTCAACCTGCCCAGCCGGCCAACGGTATCCCCTTTGTCTGGAAGCTCGGCGCCGTGCTGCTCGTCTCGGCCATCCGCTTCGGCTCCTCGTGGTCCGCCGGCATCACCGGCGCCATGAAGACGACCATCAAGAAGGAGCTCAAGATCAACAACTCGCAGTTCTCCCTCCTCGAGGCCAGCGAGGACTTTATGGTGCTCAACCTGATCCTCTGGTCCGGGCTGGTCACCGACCGCATCGGCGGCGCCTCTGCCATCATGTACGGCAACATCATCTTCACCATTGGCTCGATCCTGGTCGCGGCGGCCACGCAGGTGCGCAGCTTCCAGTTCATGATTGGCGGGCGCGTTATCCTCGCAATCGGCGACATCGCCACGCAGATCGCCCAGTACAAGGTCTTCTCGAGCTGGTTCCCGCCAAACAACGGCTTTGCATCTACATTGGCATTTGAGCTAGCGCTGGGCAAGATAGGTGGCTTCGCTGGCAAGAGTTCGGCGAATATTATTGCCAAGGTGTGTATCTGACATGTAAACTCGGTCAGGGCCGGTGGGGCTTGGAAATGGCTAACTCTCCGTGCCCAAGAACACCGGCAACTTCGCATGGGTTTTCTGGGTCGCCGTCTTCATGAACCTCTTCACCAACTTCGCCACGGCCGGCTTCTACTGGTTCAGCAAGGTCGCGCGGGCCCGGTTCGGGAACAACGTGGACCCGTCGACGGGCGAGCAGCTCACCGAGAAGAACAAGAGGTTCGAGATCAAAAAGGCGCTCCAGCTACCCTGGATCTTCTGGACCGTCCTTGCGTTCTCGCTGTTCCAGACTTCCGCGGCCATCGTGTTCACCCAGAACGCGACGGAACTTGCCGAGCAGCGCTTCAACGTTGACTCCATCACTGCGGGCTGGTACACGTCCTTGGTGCAGTATGCCGGGTTCTTCCTGGTGCCGTGTATCGGTGTCTTTGTGGACGTGCTGGGCAACAGACTGACACTGAGTATGGCTTTTACATTCCCTGACTTCCATCAAACCACTTTTCCCCAATCCCCCCACCTATCACTGGCACACACGCAAGAGAAAATAAACGTTCACTAACCTCCCCAAAGTGACAATCTGCGCCATCGGCATGGTCGCTTCCATGTCCCTCGTCGCCTTTGCCACCACACCCTCAGGCACTGCCGCGGCCTTTGCCATCTACGCCGTCGCCTCGTCCTTCGGTCCGACCATCATCATCGACAGCATCCGCACATCCATGTGGCACCAGTCCGTGTTCGGCTCTGCATACTCGCTCAAGATCGCCATGAACAATGCGTAAGTCCCCCTCCCCTCCCGGGCCCCTTTTAACCCTCCATTCAACTAACACACGCGCACGCGACAATAGCACGAACATCATCGTCCGCATCGTGACCGGCGCCATCCAGGACAGGGACCACAACTCGTACGCCAACGTGGTCATCGTGTACATGGCACTGACGGTCGCCGCCCTCGCCGTGGCCGTGACCCTGCTCTCGTCGTCCTTCTGCCTCTCGCAGAACCTGCGCCACCTGCAGTGGACGCGGAAGCAGCGCCGCGCGGAAGGCGCGAGCTGGAACGAGCGGCGCAAGTCCTTCGAGGAGGGCGCGCAAGGGGAGAAGAACAGGCGGGTCTCGCTGATCTGTCTGGGCTTGCTGGGCTTGCTGATGGGTGGTGGATGGGCAGCGTTCCTCTGGGGCGCCGTCAATGGCAAGACCGAATAAAATTGTGATGGTGTTGGGCCGGTAGATCAAGGATTGGATTCCGGATGCCTGTGTGTGTCGAGTATCATCTCCAATATAGAACGTGTACTTGGTCACTCGATCGGGCTCAGACGGGTTCGCCCACGAAAGGTGGTGTCACTTGACACGGAGGTCTTGCGTGTGATATTCTGCATTGCCAACTTCAAGCAGCGGCATGAAACAAGACGCTTTCGCGCCATACGTGTTTGGATCTAAGGAGAGCTTCTAAGCCGACATGAAATTGTCTTGATTACGTCCTTGTTCTGCACATCGGAGCCATTTCACACCACGCAGCCCCCACGGTATCCTGAATAAAGAGCAGCCAGGACTGTGTACTCCTGTTTTCCCTTTCCAAAACCACGACATTCTTACACGCGATCATCGTTCGCGGTAGGCCGGAGCTGCGCCTCAGGCACACTCTCGCCACCAGTCTGCTGCACCGGCCCACCCTGCCTCTCGTGAATGCTATCTCCTTCCTCGCTGGAGCTGTCATCCGCATCCTTGAGGCCGGTCATCTTGGTGATGATGGGCGCGGCGAACAGATCGCCGCTGACGTTGACGGCGGTCCGGAAGCGGTCGAGGAACCAGTCGATGGCGACCACGACGGCATACATGCCCGTGAGCGGAACATTGATGCTCTCGGCGATCATGACCGTCAGGACGAGCGAGGACGACGGGATGGGCGTGGCGCCGATGGACGCGAGAGTCGAGAGTAGCACCACGAAGACGTACTGCGTGGGGCTCAGGGTGATGCCCTGGGTCTCGGCCAGGAAGGTCACCACTACGGGGAAGTAGATTGCCGTTCTGTTAAAAGTATTGTCTGTTAGTATATATGAAAAGCAGCGGAAACAAAAAGAGAACGTCAAAACGTACCCGTCCATGTTGATCAAGCACCCCAGAGGGATCGCAAACTTGGCCACAGTGCGCGGGGTGCCGCGCTCCAGAGCACACTTCATGGTGACGGGCAGCGTGGCCGCCGACGACGCGGAGCCCCAGGCGGTGATCCAGGCAGGGGAGCACTTGAGCCAGTGCGTGTAAGGGTTCTGGCGCATGAACGCGAAGTAGATGATGGGGATGACGATGAACAGCTGGATGAACATGCCGCTAAGTGAACCCGCGATCAGGTATCCCAGGTTCTCGCCCATCTCGGCCAGGTCGAGCTTGAACATGTTCGGGAGGATGAGGTGGAAGACTCCCAGGGGGGCGAGGTAGATGAGGAACGTGATGATTACGGTGACCATAGCCTCGATCTCGTGGACGGCCCTGACGATCCCTGTGCCGGGCTTGAGGAGGTACCCAATCACCACAGACGCGACGAGCACGGCGAGCAGGTCCATGTTCGCGAGCGACTTGATGAAGTTGTCGGTGACGAAGGACTGGAACAGGTTGACAATGGACTGGGAGACGGTGTAGGTCTGCTGCTTGTCGAGCTGTGCCTCGGTGGCCTCGTCGACGTCGAGACTCTCCTGACTCACGGTCTGGAACTGGTTGGCCCAGACAAGGCTGGTCATGATGGTGCTGATGACAATGGCCAGGACCGTGGTCAGGACGTAGTATCCAATGGTCCAGCGCGCGAGGGCGTTGCCACCTGCAGTTATCTCCTTGAGGCGCTGCATGGCAAGGATCATGGAGGTGACGATCAGAGGCAAGACTGGTGGTTGAATTGTTAATGCGTTGCTCCCCTGAGGTTATAGCAGGGCTGGAAACTTTGTTAACCTACCAACAGCCTTAAGGGCGCGCAGCCAGAGATCACCCGGAATACCCAGGATGTCAATGGCAGCTTGCGGGACACTGTCAACAGTCGCCGTGACTGCCATGCCGATCGCAATGGCGAGAACTGCGGCGCCAACGATCTGCCACGGTGACCCCCAGGTCAGGACACTCTGCAGGAACGTCTTTTTGGCGGGAGCGGCCTCTCCTGCCGCCATGGGCGAGGGAGACCGTTCATGTGAGTCCTCGCGGCTGTCCATAGGGACAGTCTTGGGCTCGTAGTAGGTCGTCATGGTTGCGGCGACGGGTATGCAACAATTGGCAAGTACTGAATGGAGCAGTGATCGCCGCTTTCCAGAACAGAGGACGTCCACGGTCGAGAAGAGGGACCAGCTTGCTCTCGGTTGGCAGCGGGCGGCGCGGTATATATGCTCCCTCCCTTGAACCGAGTACTTGCCACGGGGACGCCGTGGTGGCGAGCAGTAAGAAAAACACCTTCCATTGTTGGCTTTGGCTGCTTTGGCATCCTTGGAGGACTAATTAGACCTTATCTCGCCCAGACTGCACTTATGGAGCAGCCTGGTGGTGTGGAGGACTGCACAGGCCTTGATTCTTGGTGAAAAAACGGAGCAAGCCGACGGCCGACAGACAGGTCATAGGCGGCCGCTGACGGAGCCGAGGCCAGCACCGGGGTAGCGATGCGCTTGGCGTGTTCTTGGAAGCTTCTTGGAACAATCCTCTGGACAGCGGCATGTCCTGACCTGCCTTGGGCAAGGAAAGGGACTGCGGGTTGGCCGGCGGGCGCGTGTGGTCGAGGGCCGTGCCGGTCTGCCGGAGCCAAGACCCGGCCAAGCGCAACGTCCGGGCGGAGACCTTGGCCGGCATCCCCTGGCACCTCGCACCACGGCCTGCTATTCGCCGCTCGCCGGAGGGCTCCAGTGTTCAGAGTCTTGTGCAGTGTCCGGCATCACGCGAGATAAAGACAGACTTGATCAGAATTATGCCGCCTCGTCAACTGTGCCCAATCACGACGGGCGAGTCATGATTCCAAGTAATGGAAAGCTCTTTTGCTCGCGGCTGACCCCGGACTCCTCATCTGGATAAGATCAGCATGGCAGCGGTGGAGCCTCACGCGTGCGACCTGAACATGCCGATTACCCTATCCGTCGGCTTGGCGGCCATGGACGGCGTATCGTATCAGTCCATCTGCCTCGGTCGCCTCTTTCAGTCGACCTGTCGTTATGCTTATGTGAGGCCCACTGAATAGTGCACGGCCATCAGATGAACTACGGCGACCCCTGCAGCACGTATGATCGCGAGTAGCCCGTCATGGTTCTTGCATGATCTGGAAGCATAATGAATGCTTTGAGACTACGGATCAAGCTTTGAGTGCATATTTGGAGCTGCTGGTGCTCTCAGCTGCTCTGTCAGATAGCGAGCCGATCAGCAGCCGCCGCTTCGTGGACATGGCCCGGGCGCGTAAAAATCGCCGACTGATATTTCCAACGCGGACCATATCCGTCACTTCATTGTATCCTTTGATAACATCTCTGCACAGGACCATGCCCCAAGCTATCCGTTCTCCATACCAGGTTAGATGGCTCCTGCCCAGTGTTAGTAATCCCATCTCGATCCCTTCCTCTTCTCCTATAGTCCACCTTCATGGCTTGTAGCCAAACCTGGAGTCCGTTTGAGCCACTCAGAATGCCGTACGCGGGAACAAAGCACCTGAACCCAACGCGATACAGGCTGAGCGACTCCTGCTCATCATCATCTCCGTCCAGCTCGTCGAGAACCACAGGCCAGATGCTGCCATAGAAGCCGTGCACCACAAGCCGCTCCATGCGTGCCAGCCTGCGGAACGAAGCCACCACCCGAGCAAGGTTCCCGTCCCCAGCCACGCCGACGAGCTCGCTGTCCGTGCCCCCCCTCGCCTGCTCCCGAGGTAGTGAGCATCGTGGCGGTGCAGCAAATGGAAGAACTTGATTCTGAGATCCCGGAGACGGCTCGCGTGGGAGGCCAAGCACGCTAGGCTGTCAATCCATCGCTGTCAACGGTGTGTACAACGCCGTCATGCGCGAGGACCTGCTGCAGGCCCTGCTCCTCTACTACATCGGCTCCAAGATCTCCACGTTTCTAAAGCAACACCTGAGATCCTTCCGCAAGGCCAAAGAAGGCGCATGGGCGTCACCACACCGCAAGATGGACCCACGGGATCGGGCTCGCAGGCAGTACTACCTCCGCGGCAGAGGCAGCGCCAGAAACAGCATACAGGGCCTGCGCGACAAAGTCTATCGGAAGCACTACTTCCTCTCTGCCCTCAAGAAGACCGTGTCCGAGACGTCGCAGCACGTCGCGGGCGAGATGGAGGCGCAGTACTCCGGGACCCCTTATGCGACCTTCTCAGTTCGCCTGTCGAGCACGGCGTCGGAATGTGTATCGACACGCGTTCGAACCACACGACAGGCGAGGGCAGTAGAGCAGAGAGGTGTGCGTCAGCTCGCAGGCCGATACCTCTGACGAGATTGTCAAGGTATTCCAGGCTCGCCCGAGAGTGGGTAAAGAACGACACCGTGTACCGCGAGTACAGCATCGGGGCGAGCTCCCTGTACGTCTGCCAGCAGGCGCATACCATGCCCGTGGCCGGCCATCGGCTTGTGGCTGAGCGGGAGGCGCAGCGTCCGGGGGGCTCCGTCGGCGAGTCTCTCGGTTGAAAGGGGTAGTCTCCCCGGGGGGGGGGGGGGGGGGGGGGGGGCGCTTAAACTTGTGGTCTCCCGGTCGGCAGTGAAGGTGGTCCTCGGCTGGCTGTCCGTCGAACGGCAAAACACGCGGGTCACGATAGCGCTTGGGTCGAAGAAGATAATTGTAGATGAGATTCCGGATCTCGGCCGGGAGTGCGAGAAATGACAGGTGGCTGTCGCTCGCTGGGAACGATATTTCCATCGCCTCATGCACGGTCTGCGCCGCGACGTGAGACGGTTTAGTTGCCATGGTTGATTGGAAGGAAAGCAGGCGAGCCGAGTCTGTCTGCCCTCATGGGCAAGATCCGATTGCTAGGCTTTGTTGTGACACCTGAGCTGCTAACTAAGCCCACCCGGCTGGCCCCGATCGTGCTTATCACGACCTGCCGAGGCTCCGTTGTGCAGTGCGAGACAGAGACTACTGGAGCACGATTATTTTGAATGCGGCGCTCGTGCTTCTACGACGTGTCACGATTAGCCCCACCTTGAACATCATGATAAGACTTTGTCCGGCTTCCAGGGGTCACTTAATCAGCTTACTCAGTCAGATAAAACCAGCTGTCCTAGCTGCCTAGTTGCGCAAGCCCATGATGGAAGCAGACTGTGGCTAATAGCAGTGAGCAAAATAATTTGATGTGTCAAATAATGCAAGGTTTTCCCTCAATCACTCGTAAATACACTCGGTATCAATAGTGGCGCATAAATAAGCAGATTAATATCTAATACGACGCTCTTGACCCAGTAATGGCTTAGCCAATCGAGCTCGCCAAGAGTAAACGCACTTCCACACCAGACTTTCATAGCCGTGTTTGGCTTTGGTGTTCCCCCCATTCTGCGGACCGTTACAATCAAGGGGTCACACTGCTGGGAGATATGGAACAATTGAGCACGTCTGCCGCCGGTTTGCAACTACCCTCGCCTTGCTTGGCGCTGCGTAGGTAAACTAGAATTCTTGGTCTAGTGATTCTGCCTTTGATTCTAGCTACTCCCGTGACTAGACTTGATTTACAACGCCACCATCGCCCAATGAAGGGCCCTTTCATCTGAACGTCGGCTTCAAGGTGTGTTTGGCATGTTGTCCTGCGAATCCCTGGCTGTGCTGGACGCATGGAGCTTGGCTGGTGGCGTGCTCTCACCAGGTACAAGCAACTTTGGTTGGGTTCCAGATCAGCGGGGACGAGGAAAACCCGCCCTGATCGAAACAGCCAGCATGCGGAGTGGTCGCGAACGTGTAGCAGACCTTTCCACCGGGACCGTACCAGTGTGCGCGCCGCTTCGAAGTGTCGGCGCAGATCTCCTGCGTCTGGTCCCACTCGCAATTGTTGAACCTGATGCAGCCGTCGCCGTAATGGCCAATGACGAAGCTGGAGCACTTTCCGCACCTGTCGAAGCGGATGCCGACCTTGGGAAAGTATGCGCTGAAGCTCTGGATGAAGTCCCATTGCTCCCGCTGATTGTCTGGGCATGCTCTCTGGTCGCAGCCAGACATGATGGACATCTCGCCGTCTGCCAGAGCATCGCCGACACCCCAGAGCCCGAGCGTTTCTGGTTCCGTGGCGTTGAAGGTGATAGGCAATGCACTGCCCAGGACTTTAGTGGCCAGGAGCATAGCCTTAACGGCGCCCAAGGAACGTGAGAGAAGCATGGCAGATAGGCCCTTGTTGACTCGCATAGTAATCTGGCTCAGACCGAGCTGTGTGGTTGACAGGCCATTCTCAGATGGTCTCAGCGCCCAGGAATGATCTTAGGAGTCATGAAGGTAAATCGAGGAAAGAGAGTAGTACACCCTCGCCGGAGGAAAGCAGACGCAATGAAATGAGCTGCCATTCTGGGATTGGCAGCGCCAAGACGATCCCGCGTTGGCGAGGTCCTCGCTAACACAAAATGGATTGAGTATCAATTGTGCTTATTCCACACCATACGTCAGGTTGAACTAGTCTGGGACGTCCAAAGAACAGTGTGAGGGTCATGGCCTCGAGTACGGCCCATGCGTCAAGTATTGCTTCCAGGCACATCAAGCTTGGTGCAAGAAGAACATACATTTCGACACGTGTATCTCACTTCCATCACTACGATAGCCTCTCCTCAGCAAATTCTAAGGTGTCATTGGGGCACGCGCTAAGCTTTGCTCCGAGCAATTTCGTCGCATAATCTGGCCGCGTCAACACGAAACGAGTCAGGCCACTTTGCGAACATTTCAAACGTCTCGTCCCTGTCGGTTTCCATGGCGTAATCCACCGCAGTAAACCCAGCGTTGTCCTTGATGCTCAGATCTGCAAGATTTCCCCACACCTCGAGTATTGAAGCCATCACGGCTGGGTGTTTCTCCTTTGCTGCATGAGAGGCCGCCGTTAAACCTGTCTTACTGCAGCGCTCGTTGATGTTGTAGCTGGGGGCTGCATTACGCAGCGCCTGCACAGACTGGAGAGCCCTCTCCCTGTAATTGTCGTACCACCGGTTCAGGCGATGCCAACCACCTAATGCGAACATCACCTCGAGCGGCGTGTGGTGCTCTGTCGCAAAGCTGAACGTGGGGCTCGACAGCAGAGCTACCAGCGCGTCCGCGCGACGGAAAGGGTCCTCAAGAATAGCCGATAACGGCCGGACACCTGCGATGTCGGTTTGACCGACGTCGATCGTTACACTGGCCATGAGAAGATGGAGCTTTTCGACGTTGCCATCTAGCACGGCATAAAAGAATGGCGTGCGACCTTCCACGTCGGGATTGTCAAGTTGCCGGGGATCCGTTACGGGCAACAGCATTGTGAAGCTCTCGAGATCGCCATGCTGGGCGCTGTAGGACAGTGGACTCCGACCTCGACAGTCGACAGAACTCGCTTGCACACCTGGGAGCGAGAGGAGCCTGCAGATGGCGGGCCGATTGTGTTTGGATCCCGCAGCCCACGACAAAGGGGTTCTCCCACTATGATCCGGTCGATCAGGATCAAGTGCTGGAATGAACTGCAACAGGGACTCGACAGCAGACATGCGAATATCTACCAGTTTATCATCGAACTGTGAAAATCTTTGCACGGCATGAGAGAGAGGTGTCCGGCCTTCAATGTCTGTTGCATCTGGGTCGCATCTTTCGTGTCCCAGAACCAGCTTAATGACTTGGAGCGGTGTCTCGCTTGAGAGTCCAGTTCTGAATATCTTCGTGAGCCAAGTCTGACCTCCGCCATCCATTGCATTGACGTCGATGTCCTCGATACCCAGCAGCGTTTGCACAATCTCGAGATCCATGCGCCACACGGTGGTATGGAAAGCAGCTTGAAAAAGCCTACGTCGTTGTTCTTCAGCAAAGTTTGTGACAAGGAGCTGCTCCGCAATGGAGACTAGGGATTGATGTTGCTTATGCCATACGGTGTGCCACAATGCAGTGTGGTACGCTTCGAAACTCGCATCCGGCGATCCCGAAACCTCGGGGAGAGCTCGATAATCGATCTGGCAGCCATCATACGTTACAGTATCGACAAGCTCAAAAAAAAGATGCTTCTGCCAAGAGTTCTCTGAGGGCACGTAGTGATGGAGCAAGAATTCGACCCATGCAAGACATCGAGGATCTTCGGCGAAGGGAAGCCACCAAAAGTCGACTGGCCCAACACTAAGACTATGGTTCGCAGTCAATGCTTGCATAATGCGCTTTTCCTTGAGTAGAGAAAACTTGTCGGCATGAGCGAGTGCCTTGAGAACAAGGTTTGATCTTGTCTTGTGATGGACCAGCAGCTCCAGAATCAGGGCATGGTTATGCTTCAACGCAGTGCAGACGGCTCGTTCAAAGGCATCTCCAAGATCTTTACATCTTTTCAGAAGTATGCGCGCCGTTGACAGGTGACCATGTCTGGCGCTGAGCACGAGCGGGTGATGGTCGTACCAGTCGTCGTTGTCGTCGTCTCGTGTTTGGTCCCGAGAACGACGACCATTTTCGTAATCTTGAATACCCATAGAGTAAGCCCGAAGTCCATGACAATCATGACCGCCGTTGAGCAGCGTGACTACTAGGCTGTCTAGGCCCCAGCGCGACGCGACTGAGACAGGCCCAGGCTTGCGCAGTCGACACTGCACTGTGAAGAAACCCATCGATACCCAACCGGCACGGTCTACCCACATCCCGTGCTCGAAGGTCTCGTGGTCAGGATGCCAGTAAGTGGCTAAAGCTCTCTCATTCGTGAGAAATTCCATAGCAAGACTTTCGTCCGTCGGTGCCGTCGTGCCGCGCAAATAGTGGAAAGACCAGTACTCGCGTGCATAAAGAAGGAACGGCCACCGCTGACTGTCAACCAACGGCAGATCCGGGAGACCCCCATGACTATGCAAGTCTCCCTCGCCAGGCGATGTAAGCGTCAAGCTGCTTTCCCAGTCCTCATACATCTTCACAACCGTGTCGTGAAGTGGCGGGACCAGGAGATATGTTAAGCACGACCGCGCCAGCGTGTTCACCGGGATCGGCGCAAAAGCCCGAACATCCACTTTCGCTAGGTGTTCTTGTACAGTGTAGTGGACAAGGCGCACGACGTTCGTCTCCAGGTCGACAGTAACGAGGCCGAGACAGACGGCCAGAATGATTTTCAAGGTCGGCACGTTGCCCTTAGGATCCTTGAAGACGTCAGGCCGGATAGCGACGGCATGCCGCAGTTCGATTGGCGTGAGGGCACGCTGGCTCTGGAGAATCCAGCCAATAGCTGACTGCGCTAGCTCTCTCCGTTGGATGCTCTGTGCGTTGATCCGGTGCAGAGTGGCCTCGTAAGTCTTGCTCATAGCGTCTTGCCCTGTTGACATTGCGTCGAGGGTTTCGAACACCTTTTCGACGGTAAAGGCGTCCCTCAGCGAATCTGCGTGGAGGCTAGCAAGTAGAAACCTTGGATTGATGTCAGTTAAATCAACCGACTCGACAGATCAGGAGCCTGGAACTTACAGGCCATCAGCAGCCTCAAGGATCCTGTTAACGATTCTGATTCTCAACATATCGGCCTCGTTACCGTCGTCGTCTACTTCAGGAAGCTCATCAAGATCTTCGACACGCTTCTCAAGATAGAGTCGTATATCTTCCGCCGCGGAGTGGATCTGAATAGTCGTGTCGGGATGAAATGATGCCGTGAGCTCGGTACCCGGCCGTGCTGTCACCAGCAAGCGAAGCTGGTGGCCTTGTTGGTTTCCTGCATCAGTCGCCGCCGTCGCCTGAAGTTGCGTGACACAGTTGAGGAGCCCCTTACACCCGTTCGCTCCGACTTCATTCGACAGCTCATCCAACGCATCGAGGATGATGAAAGTGCGAGGCGCGAGTCCCATGAGGTGTTGAAGCAGTGCAGTGATGTCGCCCACACACGGCTCGACTCTGGCATGCTTGTCGTAGAACTCCACCACCACTTTTTCGAGCCGTATTTTCTCGTGAATAAACTGCCACAGGATAGAGAACAGTATACGCAAAAGACCTTGCTCCCTTGTGATTTGTAGTCAAAGAACACTACGGCAACGTTGGAGTCTTGCGGTGGAAAGTGTGATCTCAGGTAGTCTGTGGTAACTGATGCAATGATAGTTTTGCCTGATCCTGGCATGCCGGGACAGAAAAGCGTCTTGGACGTGCCCGAGGTCCACCGTTGGAAAGGTTCAGACTCGAGAAACCATCGGCCGGTCCCTGGCTGAGCCCTGCCATAGTGGTCGCGCTGGAGTGTATCGTAGCGATTAGACCGCTGCTCGACCCAGTCAAGGATCGTTGTTTTCTTGGCTTCCTCTTCTGAACTGATCTGTGATTCGATGATTGTGGTGGTATTTTGCTTGATGGCACGAAGAGTGTTGCCATGAGAGACCGTTCGTGCACTGTGCTCGCATTAGGCTTCGATAAACCGGCGATATTGTGAGTAACGGTTACGTACAGCGTCTCGCTGGCCATAAATAGCTCTATCGTCCCTCTCAGGCGGTCCAGCCTCTGGAATCCCTTTTCAAGATCTGCTTTATCTGTCTTCCAAGTAGCAAGCTGGCGGAGCTTCTGAAAGTTCTTGGTCGTGCTGCACTCCTCCAGCTTCTCGTGGATACCCTCAAGAGTTGTTTGGTACTGGCCCAGCACATTGTCAGACTGTAACAAACTGTTGAAGGCGTCTAGAGGAGCTTGACCAGCACTGGAGCTATCAGATTCAAACCGGGAGATGTAGTCCTTCAGCCGCCAAAGCACAATGCAAGACGATTGCGCCTCGAGAAGGAATTTGCTGATCTCGGCAGGAGCATCCTTGATATCGCGAAGCAGGTTGATGATCTTCTGCCCTGTATCGAGCAGAGTTATAATGTTGACGGTCAAGCTGAGTGGATCCATCGTGTCGGGGGCGTCTGGAGCTGTTTGCTAGTGGTCCAGCAGAGCTTGCTTGACGAATCTCGCCCAGTTCCTCTCTCGCTGATGTCGCTTCATGTTTTGCGCGGGGAGCATTTTCCTCGCATGGACTGACGGTGCGGGGTCGACTTTGGCGGGTACCGTTCCCGCCAAATTCCAGGGCGCACTGAATGCTGGCTGATGTTTCTATCTTACTTACCCGATCCTTGTATCAGTCCTACTATTTACCGGAGTGAAATGGGGTTGTCTCCCTTCAGAAGTTTTCATTTGTCACGACCCGGTGGTTTCTATCCCACTGGAGCCTGGTAATGCTGATTGTCTCGTCTTCAACGACGTTGGCGTCGCTCCTAAGTTGGTTTGTATTCGCCCTCGTCGTGATTGCAACTAACCAGAACAAGTATACTTGCCATAATTTGCGATTTCGATCCTTTCTTGCGACAGTCCTCTGCGGAGACTACACTTAGAAACTATGCTCACGTTGGCTCACCATAACCGCACACCCGGCAGAATCCCAGCGCCACTCCCCACGAGAATCAGGACCGCGAAAAAGGGGCTAACAATCCTACCGGTATGCCACTTCTGCCACTTGTCAAACAGCCGCTGCACCTCCCTGGCCGTCCTTTCCTCGTCCTCTTCGCCAGTAATGCTCCCGTTCAACCCAGAGGAATCGGCAGCTTCTCCTCCTTTCTCAACCCGCTGCTTCTGGCGTCCTTCCAGCTCTTCCAGACCTTCCAGCGCCCTCCCAATAGCCTCGATCTCGCGATTGATCGGAAAGATGAGGTAAGCCTCCCACGGCGCGGTGCAGCCGAGCGCGAAAAGGGCGATGAGGTAGTGCGTCCAGTCCTGCTGGACCTGCTGCCCCTCCCCAACACCAGCGACCGTGTGACCGTGGTTGCTGTGGTACCACGTCACGCCCGCCAGCCCGAGCAGGACCACGGGTATAAGGCGGCTGCTCGACTGGAGATACTTGAAGCCCAGCGAGATGACGTGGTTGAACTGCCGGATCTGGGTTATCGTGTTGTTCTTGGTCATAGTGGGATTGGACGTGGAGGCGGTGGTTTTGCCAGGTCGCTGGACCAGGCTGATGGCGGGCATGACCCAGACCCGCAGGCTCAGAGCAACACCGCCGAGGGTGGCTAACGCGGCGATTGTGAGGCTGTGCGTGATGTTGATTGCAGCGGCGGCGGTGTTGGAGCTGGCCATCGTGGCGGGAATGGATTTCGAGGCTCGTCGTGAAATCTCGTTACTGGTGGGAGGCGTGTGGTCTGGGAGAGTGCATGCAGAAGCGGGCAGATACTGTCAACGTCGAGACTTTTAGTATGTGGAGGCTCCAGGTCCAGCTCAATCTGCACAGACGTAGAGGACTGTATGGAGAACGGAATTGGCTTGCTTACAGGCGCGACGTGGGACTTATTTATTGCTGTGCGTGAGACATTGAGGCGGCTTACTTCGCGCGGTCATCGTGCAGTCATGCCAAGCTTTGGTGTCAGTCGGGGTTTTCCACGGGCCGTTAGTCGGTCATTGCTTGCCCTCTTCTAGCTTCAACGGTGCGAAATATGGCCGACTTGCGGGCCTCGTAAGATAGACACAATGTGTGTGGCGAGAGCATCAGAGTCTCGCGCTCGGTTGATCGACACTCTCGAAGCTCATGTAAACCCTGCCAGGGACCAGGATCGTGACACTCACATCGCGAATCATCCAAGGCCAAGCCTGGTTGTCGTTGCACGGCGAAATTAGAGTTCGACCACGACCGCGACCGCTCGGGGACCAGATTCTCGGGCGCTAGAAGGGTCCGATGTAGGGATCCAATTTACGGCTAGCTCGAAAGGAAGCACATCTTCGCGTCATAGATCCCCACCTCAGCCCTACATGCCTGGTCTGCGACCGGACCCCTATCACAAGCCAACGGTGGGCACACTAAGCTAGCAACGTCACAGTCGGTGCACGCGGCGCCTATAGTGGCCGACATGTGGTCAGAGGTCTATGGGACAAGCCAACTCAGTTAACAAGCAAGCCTCCACGGATTCTGCGGGAGTGCCCTTCCCCGCCTACCAACACGTTCAAAGTCGCAGCTGTGACCAGTTTCGGGGATGTTTGAAGCCCGGATAGCATTTTCCTTTCTGATTTGGATCAAAACATGACAGCACCACCAGAGTTTATAAGTCAGAAGTCAGAAGCGGCATAACGCACAGCATCACACCATCCCGCACAAATCACAATCCCAGTACCGACATCAACATACACGGCATTGTCGTCCAACGCAACCACATCAGCTAGAGACAGCATGCCGACCTACGCGATCCTCGGCGCACCCGGTCAGGTCGGTGGCCACGTCCTGCAGACCCTGCTGAAGCGGCAAGACGTGCACATCCGGGCTTTTGTCCGCTCCCGGGCCAAGGTCGAGAAGCAACGACCCGAGCTCACGACCGACGTAGCGATCCAGAAACGCGTCTCCTTCTTCGCAGGCGATATCACAGACGTCGACGTGCCATCTCCCTGCCTGAAAGGTGCAGACGCCGCGTTCCTCTGCGTCGCGGCAGCCGCCAGCCAGCCTGCTGCAGCTGCCTTTTACATCCAGCTCTGATCCATATCTCCCGCTTGACTCCCCTTTACACTGGGTAATGCAGCATGCAGAGTTGCAACGCCGCATCGTAGCGCGACCGGAACAGAAGATAAGTTTTCAACACAAGCGAATAAATCAGATTGACTACATCCGTGATACGCCACAGGCCTGGGAGTTCTTTTCTCCTGTCCTTGCGTCTCCAAATTCCTTCCATTAGATCAAGGTCGGCAGTGCCCGCGGCGGACAGGGTTCCACAGAAGACCACAATCTCTCAAAACGAAGACCTGTAGCAGGGGTCCAATGACCTCCTCAACACAAACACGCTCATTGAGCTGGCGTGATGATAAAAGTAGCCTTGATCAACAAGTGCTCCGAGACCCAGCCCTTATCCATCTGCAAAGCATTTTTTAGCTTCGACCGTGCTTCCTGGTCTTCAACCTCGATGTTGTGGCCATACGTCTCGAACTTCTTCGCAAACAAGCCCTCCCCGCAGAACAGGACCTTGTCCGCCCTGGCCATGCCGTTGAGCGCCCGGCGCTTCTTGCCGGCCGTCGGGCCCCAGGTCGCGCCGTAGCCCTCGACCCCGCCACACTCGAAGTACACGTCCAGGAGCCGCTGCTCGGAATGCAGGCTCCGGTCGGCCGCGCAGACGGCCTTGAGGTCCCCGCCGAGGATGGCCAGGTCGGCAATGTGCATGTGAGCTGCTGCTTCGGCCAGCTGCTTCCTGCGGTCGTCGTCGAGGACGTAAGAGTAGGGGTCCAGCTGGGTCGAGCATAGGCGCAGGGTGCGCTGTCTCCTAAGCCTGCTGGCGCTGTTGCCAGCTGGGACAACGGAAATGTCGACGAACAAAGCATCGTGGTTGCAGTTGCTGGCGGTGTAATGGATTCTGCCCACGCTGGAGATCAGCAACGTCTTGGGTATGAGGATGCACGTCCCTAAATCTCACCGCGTCAGTGGAACTCCGTTGTGAAAATAAGTGACGAAAGACATGGGGTTGACTGGTTGAGACGATCTTGGCGGGAACCAACCGTATTGTCCCTCTCCTTGAAGACCACAGCCCCAGAAGCTGGTGTTGATATCAGTCAAGTAAAAGTGCTTGCGGACCCAGTCGAGCGATTTCAAGCGCCCAATAGACCACTCCACAACCTCGTTGAGCATGATGACGATGTTGAGGGCCCTTATGGCCGCTGCCCGACCATGCTCTGCGGGGCCACCCGCTGCGTTGGCTGCAGGTAACTCCATCCCCAACTTTCTTGCCGCTCGTTCCACGTGGGCGTGGAGTTCCTCGAAAATTGCCTTTGTTCGATCCAAGCGCTCCGGCATCGTCCAGTCCATGTTCCAGGACAGCACCTCAAGACGTCCTAGGAGCCCAGGCTCTGTTTCGTCTCTTGCCGGCGCGGTCCCGACCGGCTCCCAGGTCCGCGTCTTCATTGAGAAGGCATAGTACGGCTGGTCGTAGAGCTTGCCTCTGGTCCAGGGGTGCTTAGCGGTCGTCTTCATAGGGGACATTGTGAGGTTGGCCAGCTTTGAATCTCTGCAGCTTTGCGTTCGCACGTGTGTGTCTGAGTATGTGTATGTGGATGCGTGGCGCAGTGTGTGAGTGTACAGGTGACAAAGCAAGATTCCGAACACTCAAGTTAGAGTAACAGAGTGATGTACACCTGCCATTGTCGTGATGCCCTATGAGGCAGTGACGAACCTGCTGCCTTGTTGGCTTCGTAGGATTGTTCTAGCTTGGCCTCAGGCATTTCCCAATGACAAGGACTGTCACTGGCGACAGATCTGTCGGGATGGTGGATCGAGCTGCAAACAAGGCACTCCAAACAAGACATTGATCTTCTTTACTGAACGAGAGCCTGAGGTTCCGTTCGATTGCAAGGCAAACAAACTCATTTGATGCCTGCAGCACTCCACAATCACGCCTCAAGGCTGCCGCTCGCAACCATCTGCCTCAAACTCTCCTCCAGCCCGACAAATCCCGTCCGCCCAAACCTCGCCAGAAGCTCCAACGTCTGTGACCTGTCCACGACCGCTTGAATCTTCTCACTCGCTCCGACGTCCCCGCCACTGCCAACCTTGGCAGGCAGGTCTCGTCCAGGATCCATCCGCTTCATGAAGTCGATGACATCATTCCCATCAAACACCTCCCCAATTCCAAGCACCCTTTCCCCCTGAACATCTGCATGCGTAAGCGCGGCAAGGTGCAAAAGCCCCGAGTCACTGAGATTGAGCAAACAGCTTCCCTTTCCACCCACGCCAATACTCCCCCGAACAAAATGCAGCAGCCCCTTGACCCGCTCCGCATCCGGCCCGCCCTTCCAGATCTTCCACAGCAGACCGTTGGCGCTGGACACCAAGCTGGGGTGTACAAGCTCGCCGATCTGCGTCGCGGGGACGACAGTGTTGAGCACAAAGCTGGGCTTCTCGGCCGCAACGAACTCCCAGCATGCGCGCTCAGAGAGGATCTTGCTGCTCGCGTACACGGCGCCCGCGTTGGCCGGGGAGTAGGGCTTTGCCCAGCCCTTCTGTACCGTTTCCTCGGAGGCCCATGAATCGGGCCCTGTGGCCGTAACTGTGACACTGTGCGTCGTCTCGCTGCTGTTGATGTTGTTGTTGTTGTTGTTGATGGGGACAAGGAATGGGGGCAGGGTCGAGGTGCTCGAGGTGAACACGAACCGCTTGATGGTCGGAGTAGCGGCCGCAGCGCGCAGCATCGCGGTTGCGAGGTTGACAGAGGACGGGATCACGACTTCCGGGTCGGGGGAGAGGGACGTGTTGCTTGCCATGTGGACTACTCCGGCGCAGCCTTTTTTGACTCGCGCGCGCGCCCGTCAAGTCAGCAGGTGCAAGGCATTTAGTCTAGCTTTCATGGGCCTTGGCAGGCAGGTCGTTGTGAATGCTCACCTTGCATAGCATCTACAAGGTCGGTGTGGACAGTCGGGTCTTGCACGAGGCGCGTCTCAAATGCGGCCTGTCCGTAACGAGCGTGGAAGGCCTCGCGCAGGTAGCCAGCCTTGGTCTCGTCCCGCACTAGCGCACGTACGCGGTACCCTGCCTTAAGGATCTCGTTGGCAACTGCGCCGCCGACGGACCCAGTTGCACCGGTGCTGCAAACGACAGTCAGTCGCGCTCGTGAACTGTGATTAGGAGTGGTGCAGAATCGTGGCTAGCTTACATCAACACGAGGTCCCCCGGCCTGATTGCGAGTTCAAACGACATGGTGAGTTTTAATGGAGGGGTTTTGAAAGGGCAATTGCTACACCGGCGTGAACGAATGGCTACACCGGCGTCACTCTTATACAGGCGTCGCTTTTACGGCCTTTGATTGGTCCATCCCTTTTTGTTAGTGCATTTAGATTCTGCCAACAGCGCCCGTTGTACCTCGGGCTTACCTCTCCACCGCAACGATCGACGCGCCTTATGGAAGCTCTTCACCAGCTAGCTACTACACTAATTACCTCTTTGCCGCATGTCGAGCCTACTTAGAATGATTTTCGCGAAAGATACGGTATTTGTTAAGGTCACAGGGCTGGAGTGAGGTGTGTTGGACCCCTGCTGAGACCAAAACTCGAACACAGGCTGTATCAGATCGCGCCAACAGCCTCATCTAGAATCGGCATCGCAAAGCAGGTCTTTACTTTCTGCCCGAAATGAGACCCTTCTTTCCTTCTTTCATAGTCGAATCAAGTACTCTTTTACTCATCTTCTCACCGTGCGTGCGACACTCCCTATCGCGATCGAGGCCGTCATGTCCCAGCCCGAGTCTCCATCTAGCTCCCTAAGCAACCAACGACGACGAAGCTATCAATTCCGGCCTCGAAAACGACAGCGGCAGGACCAATCTGATAGTTCAAGACCACCTTCCTCTAATAGCACAGGCACGAGCATTGGCCGACACTACGGCGTCGGCGACGATGAAGCACTCTATAATCTTTTCGCCTCATATCCAGAGACGTTGACGACCGCGCCACGGCCCCGTGGATCGCGCGGGCTGAACGAGCCACCATGGGGGCTACGATTCGATCAAGAGATTCACCTTTCGAACGATTTCCCATCCCAAGGAAGACGGTCCCAACGAGTTAGAATCCCTATACCAGGCCCAGAAACGGACCAACTACCTCGCTCCTCTCCACCGCAATCAGTACAAGAGCATCCCTCTCCCACCAAGGCCGAGTTTCATTCTGTTCTCAAGCTAGTACGCGAGGTGATTGGGACACACCGGAGACTAACCCTCGAGCTCGTCCGGTCATACGAACAAGTCCGCCAATGGCGTGAGAGATGGGGTTACTCGCCGCTTAGTTCAGATGCACTCGAATCACCTCCGCCCTACTCGCCTCCCCGAGACAGGCACTCTCCGACTATAGCTTCACCGCCCTTGCCCGACCTCTCGTCATCGCCTGTCCCTGACGGGATCCCGAACCCAGCTATCCCAGGCGACCCAGCGCCGTCAGCCGAAGTCCTGTTCGAGTGGGTGAATACTTTCGCGAAGGCTAATGGCTTCGGTATTGTTCGACGAAATGCACATTCATATAAGGGTCGGAGGATCCGGTACACTTTTCAATGCGATCGATTCGGAGAACCAGCCCCTAGTCAAGGCGCAGGACTTCGACGACGGAAGTCTCGAAAGTGTGGATGTAAATGGATGGTTGTTGCCGAGGCGTTAGAAGAGGGGAAGTGGCTCTTACGACAACACTCGAAGCCCGAACACAGCCAGCATAACCACGGCCGCAGCATCGGGCCATCTGCTCATCCCTCCCATCGGAGACTCACCGAGCCTATCAGGACAACGGTCGAATCGACAAGCCGTCGGGTCGGAATTCGGGCCCGTGACGTACGTGCTATCGTCCAGGAGCAGCATCCCGAATCATCCTTTACACGGAAAGACATCTATAACGCCAGATCTCGTATCAACCGAGACAAGCTGGATGGCCATACTCCTACTGCAGCACTGATCAAGCTGCTTGACGAGATGAAGGTTCCCTATCTCGTTAAGTGGGGAGACGATGAGCCAAACCGTCTTGTTGGCCTTGTCTGGACATTTCCTTACTGCCTCCAGATGTGGAAGCGGTTCCCCGAGGTGATCAGCTTCGACAACACATATAACACGAACCGCTTCAAGCTTCCCTTATTCCAAGCAACGGGACAGACATGCCTTGGCTCTGTCTATAACGCTGCCTTCGGTCTGATAGATAACGAGAGGAGAGAAGGGTTCCAATTCCTCTCCGAGAGCATTCGACAGCTAGCAGAGCAGCACTCCATCCGGCGACCGGATGTGATCGTCACCGATTTCGACGACCAGATGAAAGCCGCATTGAACGACCAGTTCCCCGATGTACAGCAGCAGCTGTGCATCCACCACATCAATTCGAACATCCTGCTTAAGTCAAAGCAGAGGTGGGTTAACGCCCGCAGCAGCAGCAGAAGTAGCCCTGGTACCAGCGACGGAGAGGCAACTACCCCGCAGCCACAAGCTCAACTAACCCCTCAAGACCGAGAGTTGGTTCACACGCCAATAACCGAGGCTATCCCTCATAACTATCGAGGAGTTCTCATCATGTGGAAGCTCGTCTTATTTGCTGAGACGGAGGAGGCCCACGACGAGGCATGGGCAAACCTCTGTAAGGAGTTTGATGACCAGCGAGCTATCCTGCGGTATCTCCATGGAACCTACATGCCCGTCAGGGCCCAATGGGCCCGCTGTTTCATCCGGAAGTATCGCAATTTCGGGGTCCGTGTCACCTCTGGTACAGAAGCAAGCAACAACAACATCAAGAGCTATCTTCTGAATGGTATGAGCAATCTTTATCGCCTTTTTGAGGCTATGCAGGACATGATGAAGGACCAAGAGCGGGATTTCAACGATGCCTGCGCAGCGGATGAGGTACTTACCGCACGAGAGTATATGGGGTCCAGCTCGGAGTATCTTGGCGAACTCCGAATAGCGCTCTCTTCGAAGGGTCTCGGACTGATCACGAAACAATATCGGCTGGCAAGGAAAGCAATGCCGACAGGAAAGAATCCGTTTCCTGACCCTCTCGGGGATTGCGGCGAGGAATGCTCGGTTTCGACCGAACTTGGAATCCCCTGCTGTCACACAATCTACTCAAAGCTGGGAAGTGGCACGCCTTTCACCAAATGGGAGGTCCATCCTCGGTGGCGCCTACGAGAGCCATCCTCTCGAGATCCATACCGACGAATCCTCGACCCTAAGATCGCCACTGCTCTCCGGGGCAGACCTAAGAACACCACGCAGGTTGTTCCAGCGCGGCTAGCCATCGGGGCAAGCAGCCAGCCCAGTAGCCAGCCAGCCAACAAACCAGCAAGCAAGTCACCACGGCGCAGACGTGGTCGACCACCGGGAAGTCTCAACAAGTCAACGCTAGCTAGGCTTCCACTGGAAGTGAGCCAACAGACCAGCAGCCAGGCTAGTAACCAGGCCAGTACCCCATCCCAGCGCCAAACGCGCAGCCGGTCAGTTGTTCTTGGAGCTGGAAGAACTACAGGAGTACGTGCCAGCGGGCGGCAGACGCAGCCTAGCATTCGTAGGCGAAGGAGTCAGTGGGAGCTGCTTGACAGCGACGAGGAGGTACTTCCCTCGATAGTAGTGAGAGGATAGCGATATGGAGAGCTGGCATCTAGAGCATACTTGAATTGGTCTTGTTCTGCAGATCTTGTTATGAGCTCGATCTAGACCTGGGTTGACCCTATTGGTTCTTTACCGAAGCTGAGGGACTTGTTAAGGGAGCTGGCTTCACCGCCTTTGCGCCGATGTACCTGTGGGTCGAAGGAAAAAAGAGCGAATCAGAGGCCATGGAAGTGACGCCTGTGTAAGAGTGACGCCGGTGTAGCCATTCGTTCACGCCGGTGTAGCAATTGCCTTTGAAAGATGGTACGCTGGTTGTGACGGCAGTAGATGGAAGCTGTGGACTTCTTATAAATCGTCTGTTTAATAGCCGGCGATATATCGTAATTGCTATGCATTGCCGTCACGGGCCATGGTCAGAGGAGCATGCCAAGGGGAGTCTAAGCCCCGTCTCCTGCCACAAAACAGCCCGTGGGGCCGCTGTCTTCCAGAAGGAGCACGCCGAGCTGAGTCACGGCCGCCCCTGACCTAGACGTAGCGAACGGTCCAACGCACCAATTGGATCCGCTGCATCGTACGGTGTTGACGGCTGGGCCTTTCACGGGAGCGGCCCGTGAGTGTACCCATAGCCTAATGCCTGCAGAAAAAATGTAATTGGCGGAATACATAACGTAATCCACGGGTGAGTGAGCCACACGGGTCAGTGAGCCACTTTTCAAGTACTCGTACGACAATGTATAAGACAATTCAACCACAACGCCTTAAATCAATTGAAACTATTCAGAATCCTCTTCTTCAGAGGCAGATACAACTTTCTGACACGTACGAGCATTATGGCCGGGCTCGCCGCAGACGCCACATCGCCGCGCGCGCGTTTCGGGCCTCCTCGTACGACCACTATTCTGACTCGTTTCTGCCCTTAACTGCTCCGTCGCATCGATTTGAGCCTTCAAATCCTTTGCCTGGTCAATCGTAAGGGACCCTCCTTTCTGTAGCTGCTTTCTTTTCGTACGACGACGGCGGCTGAGGCGGTCGTTCGCATCTCGAAGTTCGGCGATATCATGGCGCATAAGGTCCTGCTCGTGTGCCATCATCGCCATCCCTTTATGAAGCTGCTTAAGGCTTACGATTATAGACGACGGTGAGCTATTCTGGTGTCGTACGATGCGATTTTGGAGATACTCCTTCTGCGATTCGGCCTCAATCGGGTTATTCGGCGTCTTTGAGACCCAGGGGGGTGGTAGTCCAGCAGAACCTGGTGGTGTCGGCGTACGAAGCTTTATATCTAGCTGCGAAATCACATAGTCCGGGTCGTACGGTACTAGGCCTGTCGCTCGAAAGCCTGCCTGGATGTTTGATTTGGTTATCGCAGCGTCGTACGCCTTATAAAAGGCTGGGAGGAAGTCCTCCTTTGAAACGTGGGTTACGTGCGCCCGCATAAGACCTTCGATTTCTTTACCGTACGCCCGTTTTAGAGGTCCAAAGCACCCAACGTCGAGAGGCTGGAGCTTATGCGACGAATGAGCAGGCATACAGAGGGTAACAATATTCTGTTCCTTGCAGTAGAGCTCGAAATCGACGGAATGGTGGCTCTCGTGGCCGTCGAGGATAAGGAGGCGGTGGGTGCCCTTCGTACGACTCTTTGTATGGAAATCAAAGTGTTTTACCCACTCTAGGCCTCTCTCGTTCGTCGTCCAACCGTTCTCTGAAAGCGCGATTACCCAGTTGGCCGGTAGAGGGCTATTCGCGGTCCAGGAGTCGAGGTGGACCTTCCCTACGAAGATAATATACGGCGGGATCGAATAGCCGTACGACGCGATACCCTGGATTACTGTAACCCATTCCTGATTCCCTTGTTGTACGGCTCTTGGCCTCCCGCGTCGATCGGAGGTTGTAACGACAGTTTCGGCGGAGATTTTACCCATTGCGAAGCCCGTTTCGTCGAAGTTGTAGATATCGTCATCGTGGATCCCGTATTTCGCGATTATATTTCGTACGAGCTCAAACCACGCGCGATACGCGTCTGGATCTTCGCAGAGGACTCTCTGGTAGTCGATTCTTCGATTAAAACGCGTACGGAGCTCAGATCGTCGTCGTACGAAGGTTGAGGCCCAGTTCGTTCCGACACGCGGCGCGTCGCGTACGGCAAGGAGTCGATCCGCCATTTCTCGAACACCACTAAGTCGCGGTGGAAATGATCGCGAATCTAGGTCAATTACGTATCGTATAATACTCTCCTCTTCGTACGAGGTCAATTTCTGGCAGGGTGGTCGGGTATCGTGTTTCGCAGCTCGGCCGTCTCGTCGTCGTTGGAGGGTTGCGCGGGATACATTATAGAGTAATGCAGCCTTTCGTACGCTCAATTTTGGGTCAGATTTAAGCGCAGCTAGCGCTAGAACCAAATCGCATTCATTTGATTGTCGTACCATGATTGTTGGTGGAGAAATAAGGAAATGAAGGTTATCTATTCAAAATGGGGGAAAAGTGGCTCACTGACCCGTGTGGCTCACTCACCCGTGGATTACGTTATAGAGATAAATCACGGCTATCTCATCGGGCACGAGTAGCTTAGCGTCAAACATTATTGTTGTTTAAACCATTTATCGCTGTGTCCATTATTCATACACAATCTTGAACTTTTCTTTTGGACTTTCGGCCACCCAGATTCTACTTTCCCTTTCGCTCCTACAACTTCTTCTGCCTCTGCTTCTTGCCACGCCCTCCAAAGCCCCAGCCAATCTGGTTGGGCATCTTGACATCGGCCTCCAGGTCATCGGCCATCTGGAACACCAAGCCGGGGTTCTTCTGGAACCAGCGGCCAGCAAAGATGACGTCGAGTCCGCCAGCCGTCAGCAGATCCTCGGCGAGGTGGCCGTCGTGGATGGACCCGACCGCGCTGACCGCCAGCTTGTCACCGACGGACTTCTTGACCGCCTTGGCAAAGTGAGCCTGGTACCCCTGGCCCGCCTGGATGATGCCCGCTCCCTTGGGGTGCACGCCGCCGCTGCTCACGTCGAGCAAGTCGACGCCCGCGTCCGCCAGGAGCGGCGCGAGCCTGCTCGTCTGCTCGACAGTCCACGACTCGGCCGCCTCGGGGGGAACCTCGACGCCCTTCTCGGCGGCGAATTCGAACCAGTCGGTCGCGCTGACGCGCACGAGCAGGGGCATCTCCTTGGGGATCACGCCGCGGACCGTCTCGACAATCTCGAGCAGCAGCCGCGTGCGGTTCTCAAACGACCCGCCGTACCGGTCGGTGCGCTTGTTCGAGACAGGGCTCAGGAACGAGTGCAGCAGGTACCCGTGGGCCGAGTGGATCTCGATGGCGTCGAAGCCCGCGCGGAGGGCGCGGCCGGCGGCCGAGGCAAAGTCGCGCTTGAGCTCGGCGATCTCGTCGAGAGACATCTCGCGAGGGGTCGGGTTGACGCCCTCGGTAAAAGGGATCGCCGAAGGGGCGACGACGTCGTCGGGCCAGCCGCCCTCGGAGGCCGGGGCGGTCGCGTTCATGCTCAGCCACGGGGCCACGGTGCTGGCCTTGCGGCCCGCGTGGGCGAGCTGGATGGCCATCTTCTGGCCCTGGGAGTGCGCAAACTCGGTGATGCGCGCGAGCGGCGCGATCTGGCTGTCCTTCCAGAGGCCGACGTCCTGGGGCGTGATGCGGCCCCGGGGCTGGACGGCGGTGGCCTCGGTAATGGTCAGGCCGGGGCCGCGCTGCAGGATCCCGCCCAGGTGGGTGAGGTGCCAGTTGGTCGCGTGGCCATCGTCGGCACTGTACTGGCACAGCGGCGCCAGCCAGATCCGGTTCTGAAAGGTCGTGCCGCGGAGGGTCAGGGGCGTGAAGAGCTTGGGGATGGCATCAGAGTCGGCCTTCTTGGAGCCCAGCCCGGTGCCTGCCGGGGGGATCTGGGCTGGGGTGAAGAACGAGACGCCCTGCGCGGGCACGTTCCGGATGCCCTCCGAGTCTTGCTGGGTACTTCCCATTATGACGGGTGATCTATGGCACGAAATGGAAGATGAGCAGAAGCAATTCCACGTCTCAATCTTCTGGTCCTTTTACCAGGGAGAAGGAGTATTGCTTTCGACTGTAGAAAATTGCACCAACTAAGAAAATCTACTGACGCGGGACTGCATCAACTATTATATTGCGCCGAGGCGCCCGGCACTTGGATGAACCCGAAGTTTCTGGCATTAGCTAAACAGCGATCGAGATGAGGTCACTTGACTAAGCATCGGGTCGACGTGTCTTGGTGGGGATTTGGTGAGGAGGAATGTTTCCCCTTCTTTACTAAAGGTTCTATTCGTGGGGCGGCGTCTCCACCGCCACAGATTCTTGCACAACTCCAGTGCGGCCATAGGACCCATCCGAGCCTAGACAGAAAGACGTGGAACAGGCCGAAGCTCCGAGCAAATAAGAAAGAAAAATTGGGCAATGGGAACTTCCGCCCCCGACCCCTCATCTCGTCATGCAGTGCACAGCCCAGACGCTGCTGGGTTGAAACAGACAGTCATGGATTACCAGCTAACGGGACAGGCGGGAGCTGCATTGACGGGATCACTACGTATCCACCAAGTCACGCAAGGACATTCGAGAACTTGGCCAGAAGTACCCTCCATGCTTTCGGCCAGACGATATGCGCACTGTTCCTCCTATCGACACCCTTCCCGTTCTGCTATTCCCTTTTAGGCCCGATTCCGCCCTGACATCTCTGATGCATCGGCCGTAAATACCACCACCTCTCGGCTTTGCGCGCACAACAGGTTGGTGCAAGGCCACTCAAGCAAGGTTCTCCACAGCGTCCTCCACATCCACCTAGAGCTTCGTCTTGACCCAAGCAGCAGCCTCCTGGGTGAAGACATTGAAGTAGCTCGTGTGGGCGGACGGGTCGCGGCCACCAGCAGCGCACACGTTGTCGCCGGACAGGCACCACGAGCGCATGACCGACGAGTACGTGTTGAGCGAGGAGAGCTGGCTGCTAGAACGGGGCCACATCTGTTGATATTCACAAAAAGCTTCATGTCAGCAATCAAGCTTGTAAATTACCGGTGCTCTTCCAGGGAGCGAATTGGATCGCGGGAAAGATAATATAGTAGCACTTACACCAGCACCAGCGGCGCCAGAGCCCGTGTTGTACGACTGGCTCGCGACGTGGCGGACGTCTCCGAAGAACAGGGCCGCAGCGACTGTATCATGTTGGACCTCTGTCAGTCCCTTGTCTTCAAAGTTGGATGCAACTCTCGGCTGCGAGAAGACTCACTCTTGTTACCAGGCGAGCTGGTGCGGCTCAGGCCAGTAGAAGTCTGCTGGGTGCAGCTGCCCAGGTTACCGCCACCGCCACCAAGGATGTCGCCAATGACATGGGCACCCTGTACATGAAACAAAAAGATGAGCATCATTTCAATCTCCAAAACAGATAAGCAGCGGAGGACTGACCTGCGAGTAGCCCGTCAGGACGAGCTTGGCGTTGGGGCAGCGCGCCGCGTACGCAGTGATGGCCGCCTTGCCGTTGACCACGCCCGCCTGCGCGGAGGTGCAGTAGTTGTCAAAGGTCGCAGGGTACGTAATGTCCTCGTAGCCGCAGCTCGAGATGCCGCTGCAGATGGCGGTCGCCAGAGCGCCCTGGCGGCCCGGGTACGGCTCCGTGGACCCGCGCGCGATGAAGACGTGCACGGACTGGCACGCCGCCTGGCGCTCGGCCAGGTCGCCGAGGGGCGAGGCCTGGGTGCCGGCGAGGAGGAGCAGCGCGGTGGTGGCGATGGAGGCGAGCATGTTGGCGATGACGGGCGAAAGATGGTGCTGGTGGACAGTCTGAACGAGGCGGGTGTGTGAATTGAGGCAGACTGGTTAGAAAGTCTGGTGCCTTGGTTGGAACCCAGTCTCGTTTTTTCAACACCTATAGAGCAGATTGTTGCTGGTTATTTATACCAAAACACGCTCTCTATCCCTATATTCCCCTGAAATAAAAGACTATCCACAGCCAAGCCTCGGCCGTTGCATCGGCAGCGTCATTCGCCCAGCCTGGTTTTTCATCAAGCTTCTTCATACGGCAGGCCCCTCGTTGGACAGGGATCACACCCCTGTTCCTCCATGGTTGTTTCTATGCTTAATGTACCCCGGATTGAGCAGGTGACTGGTGCCGCCTGTACGCAATCCTGCCACGCGTTGCGACGTCAGTATGCTGCACCCCAATCTGCAACGTCCGAGATGGCGCCGGCAGTATGGCGCTCCCGAGGATCTCCCGCCTGGGCCGTGGACCTGGAGGGGGAACTAAACCCCCGGGATTGCTCCGCCGCTATGGAGAAATGCAGGGATGACTTGGGGTTGGAGATGGTGATAGGCACGTGTTTTGGGGGTCACATAAACGCCAAGAATTGCGGTGGAGTTGGAGTTGGAGTGGTAATGTTTGCTAGACTCGACTGTCTGCATGGTGAATCGTGAGTGGTCTCTCTAGCTGAGAAAAATGTTGGAGTCCATCATGAATTTCCGAAGCTGACATCAATCCGGCAGCTCCAAATGGCCAACAAGCCGGCTCTGGACCTCGACTTGCCGTTCTCGTGTGCTTGCACCGGAGGCACAATGTTCCGGCAGAGTTCAAATCGTGCTTGGGAATTGCCGACTTCAGGTCCCGATTGATGTCACAGATGCCCACGATCTGAGCACTGGACGGCCCGAATCTGCGCGCTTGGTAAAGCGGCATGGCCGAAACTCAAGTGGAGGTAGACCGAGGCAAGACTTCCACAAGCGTAACATTCTCTCAGGCTCAATGCGACTAGACGGAGTTCGTCAAAGCGAGTGACGCAATTAATAAGGTAGAGTCGCGTTTTTGATGACATCAGCACCACATTGCTGATGATTGTATTACCACCAGAATTTAGATATTCCAGTTTCGTTTTCACGCATAAGGACATGAGGATCTTGGTCACAGATCGGGAAGAAGCCCAAGTTGGGCTTGATGTGGCGATCCTGCTCCTGAAACGATACCGAGGTAACCATCAGAATAAACATTTCGTGTAGCCATATCTGACTTAATTACGCTCGATTGTCTTTGCTAGCTGGCTGCTCCCACTGGTAGTGCACCAGCACACTCTAGCCGATCAACACAGAATTAGAATCGCTGCAATTGGCCAGATTCGATTCGAGAGAACGTTCCCAGACGCTAGCTGACCTAAATGTGTCATGCTAGGACCTCCTTCCCAGCTTCATTAGTCATGTCTCTGCGGCGAATCTATCTGAGAACGACGAAGTCTGGGCCCTGCGCCTGTCAATGGGAACCTTAAATGCAGGTCCTGCTATAGAGGATCGTCGGGACAGCATCCATGATCGATTGCGTGATTGAAGCCGGGGACCTAGCCTCGAGAAGACTCTTGCCCAAAGTTTAATGCATCCTGCAGTAACGTTTAGAATTGGCACGTGTTTGAAAGTTGGTGAATTATGTTTGGGCCCGGCCAAGCTCAAGCATTAGACAATTTGAACGGCCTGGGATGCTGGCGAGCATGTACTGCGGGATCGAAACATAGGGATAAGACCATTATTGTCCCGAGCTGAAGGCAGCACAAATGTCAATATTCCACCAGCAGAGGTTTTTAATCCATGACTTATCCATGGCCATTACTTCTTGGTGCTCTGGAACACACTCGCCCCTTATCAGAAGCGTCTCGCCTTCAACCTCAGGCTTGGCACCCTAGAATGTCTCGGATCCATCGCTCGAGCTCATGCCAATGGCAAATGGCAAGGCCTGACCTTATGCCGTTGTGGGTAAGATGGATTTGCCGTCCTATCACAATCCGCGTGGCACCGGAGGTCTTTCCGCCTCCATTGCCGGATCTAGACATACACTTCCTTGGCAACACAGTCATTCAGCTTTCTACCAGGCATGATCCTCCCCATTTGATGACCTCGCTAGAATCCAAGGCGGACGGCTATCCGCACATGATGGACCGTCCTACGTCAAGAAACAGGCCCCCTTCCCCACGCTCTAAGAGCCGTCCCAGGACCGAAACATCTATCTCGTATCGCCATTCGAACATATCGATGCCTACCACACGCCGTCTCCCGATATGAAACGCAACATATTTACAATCGTAGTATGCATCACCAGCAGCGCCTTTGCTGCGGCCATTGAGCCAAGGCAGATCAATGTCCTAAGCGTGGTCAGCTCGCTGCTGGGCACCCGGTCATCGACAATCAGCAGTTCGACCCATATGTCGAGTACGTCCCTTGCGAACATGCCAACTAGTGCCTCTGTGACGCACTCCATCTCTTCTTCTGGCTTATCCGCGCTGCCTACCGCCACATTCCAACCACAGGCCATGATCGAGGAGCTCGACAATATCCAGAGAGAATTCAACAAGATCGCACATTTACCCCACGCCGGAAGTTCAGGCGGCGCCCCGCCTTTGAGTGATGCGGTACGAGACCATTTTAACATTGATACGCACAAACCTTTGTGGAACGCGTCCGCGAGATAGGGGCCAAATAATCTAATACACCTCACAGGCGCTCATCAACCAGCTCGGGACCCTCAATACAACAGTGAGCGTTGAAGCTGCCGCCCAGCTTGTTGACGTCCACGTTGGCACGATTTCACTCGATGTCGAGCTCGAAATCTGCCGTGCGGTCCGACGAGTAAGTTGACCTTGTTCTTACCGCACTCTCACTCACTCCCCCTTCGCCCTGCCCAGAAGACTAACCATTCCACAACCTGGACGCAGGTCCTCCAAGCCGAGCAGCGCCTCGCCGTGCGCCTTGAGAATGACTGCACCAACAGGCACGGCCGGATCGGCAGCTCCACGCGGCTGGAAGAGGTGCTGACGTACCTAGCCGCCGTCCGCGCCGGGGTCGAGCGCTTAACCAAGACGATGGGAGACCTGGGCATCATTCCGGAGTGCGCCGAGAACACCCGCCTCGAGGAGGCCAACATCCGCGAGACTGTCATCGGCCTTCTGATAGCCTTGGAAAGTCTGGAGAACAACGTTAGTACTGCCCATGTGGACCAGCTCGCCCTTTCGCTCAATGTGCCGGGCGGGATCAAGGGGCCCGTGGCGCAGGCCATTGGAAAAAGGCCCAATCGGCGACGGGATGAGGACGGCGGACTGACTATGAGGGCCAAGGGGTGCGATGATGAGGTCTATTATGTGCCGCCACGCTTGCTGTAACTGGGGCCAAGTGTAATGCTCTCGTGTTCAATGATGAGAGGGAAGAGATATGAAGGTGGTTGTTGGCCATTGGTTCATTTCCACGAGGACGCGGGAAGTTCCGTCGAGCGTTGAAGACCGTTGAAGTGAAAGTTTCGTCACTGGTTCAGTGAAACGTGGATGCGGAAAGTTCCGTCGAGCATTCTCACTTGGCTTAGCAGGCAGAAGGAACAAGCTTCTATACCACCAAAGCCTCCTGCTTTTATCCTGTCTGTTCATAGGTGGGCTTGCTTAATAACTACGTATTTGCCGTTGAAGTCATTCCAACAGGTCTTTCGCGCAACACTTAAAATAAGTTCTCTCAAGAAGACTTGCATTTATCGTGTCCCGTGTAGCAAGCTAGCCATGAGACCCGTCAAAGCCACCCTCAGCTCAACCCGGCTCTAACGCAGCAGTCTCTTCACCTGTTATGACCGGAAGTCCTTTAACGGCCTGGCCAGTCAGCTACACACTGTTCACTGCCTTTTTCGGGAGCCTCGATAGTACTTGGTCAGAGCATACAGCGGGTCTATCCCCCAGGCGACAATCATCCCGTGACCCGAAAGATGCTACTTGAGACCAGCCGCAGCCTCAACTACTTCAACTAGCTTTTCAACATGCCCATCGACGAACCACGGGGAGTGCCCTGCGTCAATCTCGACGATCCTAGCACTGCACCCCTCCGCCATGTCGCGTTGCGCCTGAGGCACGACAGCCTCGTCCCGCGTGCAGACGACGTACGTCCTGGGTACCTGCAGCTCGGCGGCGGAGAAGGTGTGAGGCGCGCCCAAAGACGCGGCGCTCTGCCGCCCGAGGAGGCTGTACAATATCTGTCGGGTCTGGCTATCGGGCATGTCCACACCGTAGAAGATTTGTGCGGCGTTGGGGCGGAGAACGAAGGTTCCCGAGTCTCGCTGGGGAACGAGTGATACGTCAGAAAAGAAACCGGGGTTCAATGGTGGAGTTGGTGTGGGCACGTCTCTAATATCACTCACGTCGAGATCAAAGAAGGCTCGCTCCCCCTGATGGTGCTTAGACTGCTCAGGCGAACCAGGTGGCGCAAAGGCCGCCAGGTACACTATGGCCCGAACGCCACCGGTGAGGCCCCTTCTCTTCCGCTCAGGAACGGCCTGCGCCCCGGTGAACTCCGTGCCGGGCTTCCCGCCGAAGCTGTGGGCCATCACGACAAGCTCCCTGCCGGCGTCAAGGTAAGGAGCCGCGACCTCGGTGATGCGCGCGACATCGTCCGCCAGGGCCTTGCCGACGATCGAGGCATCGGGACCGGAGCTGGGAAGTGCAGGGGCAAGCACGGTGTATCCGGCGCGCTGGATGCCCTTGATGAGGGGCGTATAGTGGCAGGGGGCATGGAACGCCCCGTGGACGAAAAGGATGACGGGCTTCTCGACGGCAGTGGCGGCCATGGCTCGTGGGAGAGCAGGGTACTAAATGTAGCCTTTTGGTGGATTTCGCCTGTTGAGTAGACCAGATGACGACACGTACTTATGGAAGACCACACGGGTAGGGACGAATCCCTTACCTAGATGACGTGGCGCCTCGGGATTCGGGCGGTGACCAGCTTCCCGTATGTACAGGGGTAACCCGGGTATTAGAAGGGTATACCCGTGATGTGGATATAACTTTGTTGGAGCAGTGTATATTAGTCAGATTGGGTGTCTCTCGCAGAGGGCAGAAATTATAGGGTGCCCGGTTTTGAACGCAGTAAAGACTAAGAAGGCTTGATTTGTTCTCTGGTGGTCATTCCCCGGCATCGCACGACGCTCCCCGGTACGGGGGCAAATGAGCCCATTTTCGACGAGGCCCGCAAGCCGACTGGTATGGCTGCAGCCGAGTGCAAAAGGTTGTGCACGGACATGTCCTTGCCGACCCTGCCGTGGGGGGCCGTATTGCCCAGGGAGGAGGCGGGAAGCAAGTTGGAAGAGGTGCAAGTCGGCAGGTCCATGTGAACCGCATCGCCGCCGTGATTGTGACAAACGTTGTCGCCCAGAATCTTGCATGTGCACAAGTCCGCCTTACCACCACGATCACAAAATGCCTAGTCCCCGTACCATCCCGCCGTACCTCGTCAAGTTTCGTCATATTGCGCCTTGCTCATAGCCATCAATGTCCGCTGGAGTTCTACTAGTAGTGGAAACGAGCGGGTCAGTCTCTTGCCTTTCACTGTGAAATTGAAGCGAAAGATTATGTTGCAGGTTCACGTCCTGCGTGCACATTAGGTAACGGCGCGAACTGCGCACATGAGTATTGATACACATCCAGGCGTAAGATAGTCCTGGCTCCCCGTATCGACATGACATCAATACTCCCCACAGCAGTGCTCCAAGAAACCCAAAATCTACTCCTGGCCAGCCGCAACTCCAATCACCTCAACCAGCTTCTTGACGTGGTTCTCGACAAGAAAGGGTGAATGGCCAGCATCGATCTCGAGAATCCTGGCACTGGCGCCCTCCGCCATCACACGTTGCCACTTCGCCAGGATGGCGCTGTCCCGCGTACACAGCACATAGGTCTTGGGCACCGCGATGTCTGCAGCCCCAAAGGTAATGCCCGTGGAGAAGGACGGCGTGCTCTGGTTTCCAAGATGGTTGTATAGCGAGTCCTGCGTCTGCGTGTCGGGGATATCAGCCTTATAGAAGCGCTCAATTGCTAGGCGGTGGGGTACTGCAAGACCCTTCTCGCCCTGCGAGTGCCGACGTTGCGCGTGTCAGTAAATAGTTCAACGTAGGCAGGGATTTGAAGAACAGCTCCGAGACTATGAGAAAACGGTAGGCATGAGAGTAGACTCACGTCGATATCGAAGAAGTCCCCGACCGGGTCATAATCCATCAAGCTCTTCCCTTTCTCCGTAGGTGCATAAGAGCAGATGTACACCACGGCCCTGACTCCTCCTTTCAGACCTTGCGCAGCACGATCAGACACACTACGCCCTTCGCAGAACTGCGTCGCGGGGATGCCCCCGTAGCTATGAGCTACCACGACAATCTCTCGGCCGCCATCAAGATGCGATGATGCGGCCTCGCTCAAACGCGCGACGTCGTCGGAGATAGACTTGCCGATGATTGAGTCGTCCGGCCCAGCTGTGGCCAGTTGCGGTGCGAGAACAATGTAGCCGGCTTGTTGTAGAGAGGCAATCAGGGACTTATAGTGACCTGGGGAGTGCCAGGCTCCGTGAACGAAGAGGACTACGGGCTTCCCGGTTGCCATGATGGACGCTGGTGGGTGGCTGGGAGCTGGGCAGACGGGATTGGGAACGTTTAGTAAAGACGATGGGTGAATTGAGATGCGGATGCACGTCAGCTTTAGCGGTCCGGGAGGACCTTTGGAGGAGAGGGCTCTGGTCGAGGACGGCGATGTTCTGTTGCAACCTCGTCGGCCACTCTACGGCTTGTACAAGGCATAGCTCTCATTATATAACGACTGCAGCGGGTTAGGTTTTCTGCAGTGGAGGTTCAGCCAATTCTGGCTTTCAGGTCAGCACCGTAGGGCTGACATCCGGTCATGTCACTTTGCGGGCAAGTCGCCAGTCTAGCGTAAAGTCTAACCAGCATTTGTGCAAACAATTGGTCAACCAAGCTCCTGGTGCTTACCATTGGCATGCCCGTCGTCCGAAGTATTGCGTCAGGGAACCTTGACCTTGATACTGCCAACTCTATATGCTGAACCAATAGGCTTCGCGGGATACAAAGTCATGGGAACTGAGCAAGACAACTTACCACAGCTTGTTCCGCTTCGCACGTAACTTGGAATATATATATTCTGTATGTTAACGTAATCCACGGGTGAGTGAGCCACACGGGTCAGTGAGCCACTTTTCTCCCATTTTGAATAGATAACCTTCATTTCCTTATTTCTCCACCAACAATTATGGCACGACAATCAAATGAAAGCGATTTGGTTCTAGCGCTAAATGCGCTCAAATCTGACCCAAAATTGAGCGTACGAAAGGCTGCATTACTCTATAACGTATCCCGCGTAACCCTCCAACGACGACGACACGGCTGAGCTTCGAAGCGCGATATCCGACCACCTTGCTAGAAATTGACCTCGTACGAAGAGGAGAGTGTCGTACGATACGTAATCGACCTAGATTCGAGATCATTTCCACCGCGCCTAAGTGGTGTTCGAGAAATGGCGGATCGACTCGTTCGTGAACGCGACGCGCTACGCGTCGGGACGAACTGGGCCTCAACCTTCGTACGACGACGACCTAAGCTCCGTACGCGTTTTAATCGGAGAATCGACTACTAGAGGGTCCTCTACAAGGATCCGGACGCGTATCGCGCGTGGTTTAAGCTCGTACGAAACATAGTCGCGAAATACGGGATCCACGATAACGACATCTACAACTTCGACGAAACGGGCTTCGCGATAGGTAAAATCTCCGCCGAAACTGTCGTTACGACCTCCGATCAACGCGGGAGGCCAAGAGCCGTACAACAAGGCAATCAAGAATGGGTTACAGTAATCTAGGGTATCGCGTCGTACGGCTATTTAATCCCACCATATATCATCTTCGCGGGGAAGGTCTACCTCAACTCCTGGACCGCGAATAGCCCTCTACCGGCCGACTAGGTAATCGCGCTTTCAGATAATAGCTAGATAACGAACGAGAGAGGCCTAGAATAGGTAAAACACTTTAATTTCCATACGAAGAGTTATACGAAGGGTACCTACCGCCTCCTTATCCTTGACGGCTACGAGAGCCACCATTCCGTCGATTTCGAGCCCTACTGTAAGGAACAGAACATTGTAACGCTCTATATACCTGCCCATTTATCATATAAGCTCCAGCCTCTCGATGTTGGGTGCTTTAGCCCTCTGAAACGGGCGTACGGTAAAGAAATCGAGGGTCTCATACGGGCGCATATTACCCATATCTCAAAGGAGGACTTCCTCCCAGCCTTTTATAAGGCGTACGACGCTGCGATAACTAAGTCAAACATCTAGGCAGGCTTTAGAGCAACTGGCCTAGTACCGTACGACCCGAATTATGTGATTTCGCAGCTAGATGTAAAGTTTCATACGCCGACACCGCTAGGTTCCTCTGCTGGACTACCACCCCCTTGGGTTTCAAAGACACCGAACAACCTAATTGAGGCCGAATCGCAGACGGAGTATATTCAAAATCGCATCGTACGACACTAGAATAGCTCTCCGTCGTCCATTATTGAGAGCCTACGGCAGCTGAGAAAAGGAATCACAATGATGGTGCACAAGCAGACCCTTATGCGCTATAACCTCGCCGAACTTCGAGATACAAACGACCGCCTTAGCCGCCGTCGTCGTACGAAAAGAAAACAGCTCCAGAAAGGAGGGTCCCTTACGATTGATCAGGCTAAGGATTTGAAGGCTTAAATCGACGCGACGGAGCAATTAAGGGCGGAAACGAGTTAGAATAGTGGTCGTACGAGGAGGCCAGAAACGCGCGCGCGACGATGTGGCGTCTGCGGCGAGCCCGGCCATAATGCTCGTACGTGTCAGAAAGTTGTATCTGCCTCTGAAGAAGAGGATTCCTCATAGTTTCAATTGATTTAAGGCGTTGTGGTTGAATTGTCTTATACATTGTCGTACGAGTACTTGAAGGGTGGCTCACTGACCCGTGTGGCTCACTCACCCGTGGATTACGTTATGTATACTCAGCCTGGACCATTTACCCCTCTCGGATGCCTCGTCTCTCAAATATACCAAGCCTCAATCGCACCGTGTCACGTCACCGCCGCCATCGTGACTATCTTCTCCCCACCGCCCGCCCCGCCCGGTACTTTCGGCGTCAGCCGCACCTTGAACTCGCGATAGTCCTCGCTCCAGTCGCCGCCAGTCCAAAAGTACTGCTTCTCGAGCGGGATGTCCCCCGTGACAGGGGGCCAGCGGTGCGCCTCCTCGGCCTGCGTCACGGCCATGGTGGCCAGGTATGTCGCCTGCACGTCCCAGTGCGAGTAGGGGTGGACGAGCTGGCCCCAGAGCTCCATGGCCCGCGCTCGAACCTTTGAGTTCTGCGTGCCCTGCGCGATCTGGGCGAGGACGGGGATCGCGCCTTGTTCACCGACGAACGCGCTGTCGCGGAGTGGGGATAGCCGAGCTGATGGTGATGGTAGTGGTGGCGATGATGATGATGCTGATGACGCTGGCGATGAGGCTTGTGGCGTTGACCGTAACGACGACGACGACGACGACGACGAGAACGGTATCGTCGACGGCGGAGATGGCGTGGACGACGCTGACGGGGGACTGCTGCTTTTCCGACTGCCCCGGGTGCTTTCGACTGACGCGAGAACGACCGCCTCGGCCTGAGTGAGCAGGTTGGCCATGGCGGTCTGGTAGTTGTCCCAGGCCTTCCCGGAGACGTCGAAGACGGTGCAGATGGAGTAGTACACGACGTGGATCCTGATGGCGAGGTCTTTGTAGAAGGCGTGCGCCTCGCGCCTCTTGGCTTCTCGTGCGGCCGTGGTGTGTGAGTCCCAGTCTGGCAATCTGCCGTGTCCCGTCTCGCTGATAGCGGGCTCTGTCGCCGCTGCCGTACATTTTTCTCCCGACCGCACCGGATCATTGTCACCAACCACACGATTCTCGGACATGGTCTTCGCTGGGGCAGCGGGAACAGGCGCGGTGAGCATCAGCCGCTCCCGGACCGCCTGCTGCCACGCACCGACTACGCGCCGCACCTCGCACCTCTCCTGGTAGTGCTTTACCCATAGCTCGCTTTCCGCCGTCCCGCTTCCCACTCCTCCTCCGCCACTGCTGCTGCTTCCAGCAGGACCGCCAGAGTTCTCCGCCATCAGCACAGCCATCTGCATCCGGAGATACCACATCCCCGACAAGCTGACGCACTGGTCCCACAGCCTGCTAAACTCCTCGACGCTGGCGTCGGCCCTCGGCGGCTCCGGCCCACCAGACCGCGGGATGGGCAGGCCGAAGAGCACCTCTCTGCCCTTGGGGTAGAACGGCGACAAGGCGGTGCCGAAGAGCGTGTTCCGGACTAGCACGGCCTCGGCATCGGCGACGCCCTCGTCGTCCAGCGGGGCAGCGATCAGGGACGTGCTGGACCTCGTGCCGCCGCCGGCGCCGCCGTGGCGGTGGTAGGTTGTGCTGTAGTTGTTGTTGCTGCTGGGTCCGGCCTCGGCGATGGCCTCGGTACCGTGAGGGTTACCGGAGCTGCTCAGGCTGCCGTGGGCAATGTTCTCGCGCAGCAGGGAGATGCTGTGCGCCCCGAGCTGGTCCGCGGCGGCCGTGTTGCCCTGCAAAGACTCGAACGAGACGAGCAGGGCCGTGGCGATGAGGATTGTACGCCCCGCACCGGGCTCGCGGGCCAGCCTGGCGATGAGCGTGCGGAACTTGCCAATCGCCCGCGTGTAGTGCACCAGGGCGTGGTAGTAGTGGTCGTGCTTGGACATGGACGCTACTGTGGGAGCTGGTGCTGCTGCCTTTGCTGCTAGCTTTGCCGTCGTCGTCGTCCGCGTCTTGTTCGCAGGCGTTGTTGCTCTCGTCGAGGAGGAGGAGGAACGAGACTCGAGAGACGCAGGCGAGCTATGACCTGCGCCTGACGCGCCCATCCAGCGAGTCTTGATGAGCGGGATCCTCGAGGCCGCGCCGCCCAGTTCCTCCTGCGCCCGCGCGAGAGCCCCGAGGGCCAAGATCGCGCTGTGGACACACTCGTCCCTTGCGGCCTCGCGCATGACGGTCCGCCGCCAGAGCTCTGCGTGTCCGTACCTCAGATGCAGGGCCACGCGGTGCCGGAACATGTCAAAGTACTGCACGTCCCAGGGCTTCATGGACGTGCAGAAAGGCTCGACGAGACGCCGTGGCGTGGTGGTGGTTCCGAGTACCCCGGCCCTGCCGGCGGGCAGGATGGGCCGGAGGACCGGCTGCTGCTGCTGTTTCGACCTGCGCACATGCGGTGGCTGCGGATGATGATGATGATCACGATGATCACGATCGTCTTCACGCCGCGGTCGAGGGGGAACCTGCTGGCGGTCGAGGGGATACTCGCATGGCGTCCGGCGACGCTGGCACCGCCCGCAGGCCGGCTGCTGCTCGTCGCACTTGACGTGTGACGCCTTGCATAGTCGGCAGCCTGCGGCACGCCCGTCACGTCAGAAGATAAGCACAGGAGCAACGGATTCAACTGTCGTCTCCATCGCGCGGAGGGGACCTGCCCTCGGCCTCGGGGTAAGCCACCGGTGTCCTTAACACATACGTACCTGTCCTGACCTTGAGCGCGCCAAGTCGCCGGTTGACGGCCGCGGCCGGGTTCCCGGGCTGGTGTTGCTGCAGCGCGCCCGACGGGCCGGGGACCAGGACGAACTGCTGCGTATCCATGTCCGTGTGTGCCGGCCGGCCACTCCCGCTCCGGGCGTCCGGGTTTGCGATGTGGTTTCGTCAGCCAATGACGCACGCTGGGCTGTTGCGAGGCTCGTACGGGCGGCGCCAGAGGGTTGACCTGTACTGTGCAGTGGCTGACCAAAAAGGCGGTCGGTGGGCAGGCAGGGCCGGGTCAGGTCAGCCGCGTCGTAAAGACCGATCTGATTCCAGGCGGACCCCTGGTCGCTTTGCTTGGGCTCCACTCCATATCACGAACCAGACTAAGGCATGGGGTGGGAACCCGGGGGGCGTTAGGGCTGCTGTTATCTTTGTATCCCACTGAGGCCGAGCGGGTGGGTTCTCCGTTCGACAGGAACACCCGCTCCTCACTGTACAATCCTCTTGTTATCTTTCCAACAACTTGTGGCTCTTGGCTCTTGATTAGTCTCATCCGCTATCATAGTGTCGGCTTCTGTACAGCGCGCAAAAAACATGACCCAATCAACAAAATCCCTACACTGGCGTGGCATGTGACACCCTACTGTTTGTCCCCCGCATCACTCAGGATGACCCGGCACGTCTTTGGCTTGATAGTGAGCGTCTCCGCGAGTTTCCAGTCCTCGAGTTCTGCAGGCAGCCGGTCGAACTGAAAATTCCACACAAGCACACTGACGACCAGCTTCAGTTCCATGTAGGCCAGTTTCTTTCCCCAGCAGGCCCTGCCGCCCGCGCTGAACGACAACATGGGGCCGGCTTTGGGATTGAACGAGACGACACCCGTCTCAGACTCTGTCAGCCAGCGCTCCGGGTGGAAGTCACCGGCAGGGAAAGCACTCTGTCCCCAGTCCGAGACAGTACCTTGCTGGACACTCCCGGTAGCGGCGCCCTCTGCACGGTACCCGTGCTCCGTGTAGGTAGCACCGGTCATTGCGATAAAGACGGGGCTGCCTTTGGGTATCGTGTGGCCGAGGACCTGGATGTCCTTCATTGCCAGGCGCGATGTTCCAAAGGCAGGTGGGTGCATGCGCAGGACCTCTTCAATCGTGGCATCCAGGTATGGGATGTGGGCGTCAATGATCTCCTGCATCGAAGGCTGCCTGTTGCCCTCGAGCGCGGCGGGAAAGGCCTTCCGCAGTTCCTGGCGCAGGGTCTGCTGCTCGTCCTGAGACGAGCCGAGGTGCTTGACCATGAAAGAGATGGCCGAGTGCGTCGTGTCGTGGCCGGCGAGCAGATACCCAAAGACGATGTGGATGATGGTGTCGGTGAAGAACGAGGGAGCTCGCCCGTCGCGCTGGGCAGCCATGGCCTCCCGCTTCACGATAAAGTCTACTGCCGACAGTGGAGAGAACTGCTCGCTGCCCCCAGCCTCGTGCATGCGCCGCACAGAGTCTGAAATGTATCCGGAGATGATTGAGTCTCGATCGCGGAAGGCCTTCCGGACTTCTGACTTGCGGTTTTCCAAAAAGTAGAAAAGTCGAGGGAAAAGCTGGGTCAGTGACCGCCCAGCCATCTCGGAAAGCACGTTGAGCGACTGTAGTAAGTCGTCAACCTCAATGTCTGACGAGATACTTGTGTCCTTCTCCTCAGTGACTAGGGTGGTGACAGGTTCATGGGCATTCTTTGCAGCAGCTTGACCGATATGGCTGTTGCTCTGATTGATGTTTGTCGCTGCTGCCATGATGATGTCGTAGATCAGAGCATGCAAGTCTAGCCCAGCGTCAAAGGGACGACCATCCGAGCGTGCCATCTTGCGCTGCCAGAACTCAACGAAATGCAAGATCTTGGAGTAAGACGCTGGTGCATTAACCTGGAATGACAGACCGTGCGCATTGTGTCAGTCTGGAGCGAAGAATTTCCATATCACAGACTAGTACATACCTCATGGAGAAAGCTGGGTGTCATCAGATCTTTAGTAAGCTCCCTTGCTGCCTTCTGGGCTGGATCGCTGGCTTCCATGCCAACAAAATGCCCAGGTGCGATACCGCGCCACATTGCCTTCATCGTATAGCCCCTGGTGAAGTCTTTGCCGTGCTTGACAAGGAGGTTATAAGCCGCTGTATAATCACCAACGGCGACGACGGGTGCAAAGAATGGGCCGCGGAAGAACTGGACCACGGGAGCTTTCTGGGTGGTGAAGAGCCATGGGAAGAAGCTCCGCACGATGCCGCCATTCTTCTTCATCGCCAGCATGAGGGGCATATCCCCCATGAGCCTGGTTGCGGACTCGCGGTTGTATGGGATCCCTGCAATGGGCTGAGGGAGAGCCTGACGGTAAAGAATGGACATGCCAATGAGAGCAACTGCAATGGCCATCGCCCAATTGACCACGGCCATATTTTGAAACCGAGTTGCGGGCAGGAAGACTGCCGCGAGTTTGTCTTTCATCAGGACCGAAAGTCCGACGGGTCTGAGAGTCTCGGTGGGGATCCAGTCTGTTGAAGGCAGGCTTTGATATCCGGCACCGGCTATCGAGGCCGTGAACGAGTTCTCAGACATGACTGCGGATGAATTGTGGATTATGCTCAAATTTGATGAAAGAACTGGTGGATGCCAGTCCGCTATGGGGGAGCCATGCGACGACGAGATGCTAAATAAGTATTATATCTCGTATGGGTCGGAAAAGTGCAATAACGACAGCACAGACACATCCTCAGGGCGTCCAAGCTGTTCCGCCTATCACACACGGAAGCATACCATTGTAGCAACCTGTGATGTTACCTTACTCAAGCCCATGCAGGACGACAAGCTGCGATGTGTGGGGGCCAACAGCGTGCAATGTGGCCGGTGAGCCCCGCTTCGTGCCGCCGGCGCCGTAGCCGGGGCAGTTATATCGAATGCGGCTGACGCGAGCACATGTTGGCCAGAGACTATAAGGGCCTAGATTCGTCACTTTCCACCTGTCAGCGTGTGATCTTGTTCCGCAATGCATGCGCGGAAACCAGCCGCCATCGAGTCAACCCGGCAAACCGACTGCATGTCAGACGCACTCTGCCTTGGCATTCTCTGTGCGCACAGCCCCCACTCGGTATAGTTAGGGGCCGATTGGTGTGCATGTGAATAAGCCGGGAGACGAAAAGGGAACCCCTGCTAGGGAAATCAGCCCTCTCGGGCAGAAGCCCAACGTGCTCACGATGGTGCCTGATGCCTGAGAACCAGCTCATGCAGCCGATTGTCGCCATACTCTTTTCGGCTGGGAAAGGACTATGTGATTTGCCCTGGGGTAGCATGTTGCCGGAGATCGGAGGTGGAAGCAACCCCAAAATCATTGCGCCCAAAGCTCGAAAGGGAACTCGGCGTACGTGAGATGAGACTAGTCAAGGGTCCCGATGCGATCGTGGCCTTGCCGGCCGATTTTTGCCGGCCGATTCCGGACGGCCGGTTCTGGTTTACCAGATACGGAGCTTGATCTCACGAACGAGGCTTGTTCATGGGACATGCCCGCGCGGTTATTACTCACGAGATAGCCACGTCTGACATTGGGAGGGTGGGGGATTCGCCATTCTCCAAGCCTATTTTTGGATGATTCTCAAAGCCGCTTCCTTACGGTTCCTCGTTGGACATGACCTTGGGACGAGGCTTGCAGCAGAGTGCCAGCTCGTCATTGCACCTCTTCCGCAGGCCCGGTGCATAAGTCCTTGGAGGAGACCGAGCTGCTGACACCTGCAAGAACGTTGAGCAGCTCGAAGGCCATAAAATAGTCCAGTTGCCGCTTTGGGTCATCGAGCTAGGGTTTGCGGAAGTTTAAGCGGCCCTTGCCTGCATGGGTGACGAGTGACATGATAAGCAACGTATAGACGGACGGAACCGGCAGCTCTAGCCCCACAAGACGTTGGTTGGTCCTTCTCCCTGCATAATCAGCCAGCAAATGGAACCAACACGGCAGGGCAGCCAGGGTGAGCATTCCTATCGGATGAACAGTGATGCGGCAGATCAGCTGATTGACAACGTCGTATCATCTGCACCCAAAGACAGGGTCACATACAACCGGCTTGGCGATCAAACAAGGGCGTCAAGCAGCGACCTGATTTGCATATTAACCTCGATATTCAATCGACATCGATGTTCAAGATAACGGTGACCAAGAAGGGCAAATCAGGCATGAGAGAGTCCTATGATTGGTCGCATGCGTAAATTCCCATTAAATTTCTACCAGCCGAGAGAGCAATGATTAAACTGATGGAAGACAATCCGGGCACGATTGTCTAACCTTTGCAAATCTTGGAAACCAGGCCATGCCCCAGTCACTTCCAAGCTGCCTGTCTACACCACATGGAAAACCGATGCCTGACGAATGCTCATGTCAACGAAGAATTGAGACTACTATACTCACAAATGGTACCCAGATATTTGGCTTTCTCAGCGTTTCCGGTGCTTCTACCCCTCTGATGTAGTCAGACACAAGAAATAGGTGGACAATGTTTCTTTTGGCCTACTCAGCATTCTGCGTGTCAGTACGAACTTTCTCTTCAATCCTTCCAGAGCTTGGTTTGAGCTGGTCACATGAACCACTGTCCCAGTACCTCTGGCTGCCTTTGGGTAGGATCACATAATGCAAACGTAACATGGCACAAGAAGTGCAAGCAAAGTCGAGCGTCGCTGGCAAGTCAGCAAGACCAAGCCGTGCTCCATCAACGACTTGACCTGGCTCTCCGGCTTCGTATTTGTGTCCATCTGGGCAGATAAAAACACTTTTGGTTTGACTGCCTGAAGAGTAACTGCATCGGCTCCCAATGCTACCTATCCTCGTGTCCAAACAGGTAGATTGCGGTGAACCAGCAATCTGCAACGGTTCATATAGCGGCAATTTGAATTCAGAAATAAAAGATGTGCAGGCGGACAAGAGAATCAAGGCTGATTAGAAGTACTCGAGACGGAGTGATGATATTCTTTCTGGGTTCTGCACTATCTAGATGTCCGGACGCTTGGTGTTGGAACCATCCTGTTTCGCTGGAGGAAGGCTATGCTTTGCGGGGTCCAACGCTTTCATTGCTGCTTAGATGTCGAGTGCGGCGAAGAAAGTCTCGACCTCGGACGAGGAACCGCCAGACATGAAGTTCTTGTAGCTAGATGTAAGGAACACAAGTGTCAGCTTGATTCTAACCCATATGGAAACTCATAAATGCTGATGGGAAGTGCCTTATCCGCGAAAGGACTTCGTAAGTAGCTTACTAAGAGCCCGGAGATGTGTTAGTTGATGAAACGCTTTGGTAGACCTTTCAAAAGCGCAGAAGGAGATACACACCACTTCAGAGTATTGCTCTTCATTCAGGTCCGTCAGGTTGAACTCATGACCGTCCTCGAACACAAGCACGTCGGGCTTCCGGCATGGAGCCTCGGTCTCGGCGGGGTTTTCCTCGGTATTGGTGTGACGCAGGCCATTGATGGTGTGGTACTTGGCGCCACGGTACTGGGGCGTGGGGAAGCACAAGGAGCTGAGATAGTTACTCCGGCCGGACCCTGCGATGTTGCCCGAGCAGCCCTCCTGCCAGTAGCCCTGGGCGATAATATTCTGGTCGGTCGGAATGTTATTCCAGCTGACGGCGGAGTTGACGTCTTGAGGAATCAGGGTACAGCAACCGCTCGCGGGCATGTTGGTGCACCGCCCATATGAACCACTGCAGCCTCGGTTCCGGTACCAGTGGATGTCGATGGCGGTTGCGGTGACCGTGAGGCAGGCTAGAATGAGGGACCTGGCGAACAACATCTTGTTGGGTGGAAGAATTCGACTTTAGAGAATGAAGGACGGGGCCAAGAGGGATTGGTCGTCAGGTGGAAGATATGGAGTGAATAGTGACGATGGATGAGGATTAGATCTTACACACTTCACGGACCGACCTCGATATCTATACTAGTGGAAGAACTTCCCGCATCATACAAGGCTATCGTTGATCCTTCGGAGCTACGCAGTAGTCTCCCGAGAGGGGTAATGCCGTGGGCAGCGCTTGCTCGCTGCAAAAACCTCTGATCCCGTCGGTGAGGATGTGGGTTGATGGTTACATATGAGCAGGGTTGTGGGTAACGTAAGCTGGATCGATGCCGTATTTTCCTGAAATGGGAACGGCGAACGTAGCTAAGATCTATGCGACACCTTGGAACTGCATTCATCCAAAGGTACTGCCCAGTCTACTCCGTTGTGGCTTTCCTGTGCCTAACCACTCCCTTCCCAACCTGCACCTTCGCAGGCACGTCAGGATGGGTCAGAGATTTATAATTGTTACATTCGATCCTTGACCAGAATGGAAGGATCTCTTGGCACAACAGTTTGTCATCTTGGACGTGGCCGACATGCTCAGCATGTTCCTTAATCTCATGTCGGCTTACCAGGCGACGCCCGAACCGCCGCTGACAACATCCGCCAGTCAATGACTGGCCATGACCATTCAGGAAGGGGCCCTGCCACCCCCGCATGATCCACCTTTGTTCGAGTGCGGCACAGTCGGCACTACCCGAGGCAAGGCAGGGTCCGGGATGGTCAACCGGCTTGTCTCTTCTGAGATTGCCACACGCGAATGATCCACATCTCACGTTCCGAAACGTTTATCGGGCTGCTCATTTGAGGCGGGGCCGTCTTGTCAGCTTTGACTTGAGCACTACTACCTGGGAAGCATCCAAGACTGGGAGAACAACAAAAACGCCTCGAGAGTGGTGCTGTTCACAACACCCCGGCATAGCAGACTCCAATTCAGGTGGTAAAACGACATCTTCTCTGATGTATTGGCAGAGTTCATTCCAAGTCCTTTTTGAGATAAACCCCAGCTTCCTAACAAACGCTGAACGACCAGTACATGCGACGACCTAAACCACGACCTTGCCCTCCTTGGCAGCATCCTTGTTGCCCAGAACGTACTTCTCCTGATGAACCGCGACGTGATTGTTGAGGAGGTGGCTCGGGTCGCGGATGAACGCAGAGGCGGCCAGGGCGAGCACGCCGAACGGGATAGTCGAGTAAAAGACGATCTTGAACGCGCCGGCATAGGTGTCGCGGAACGCCGCAGCCGTGGCTGCAATGACGGGCTGTGATAATTCCGGCACGGCCGCGAAGGCGCCCGGCACGCCCACGGCATTCTGGATGACGGCGGGGATGAGAGCCGACAGGTTCGCGGGCGAGTAGCCGGCCTGGATGGCAGCGCCGGCAATATTGTTGACCAGGTCGCGGTTCACGATGGAGGTCATGATGGTGGTGAAGACGGCGTTGCCGACGGAGCCGCCGGCGCTGCGGAAGGTGCCCATCATGCCGGCCGAGATTCCCAGGTCCTCCTGGGGCACGAGGAGGCCGGACGACACGTACGAGAGGACGGTGAGCCAGGTGAAGCAGGACTGGCCAAACATGGGCAGGATGGTCCAGCCCGTCTTGTTGTTGGGCACGACGGTGGCGTACGAGGCGGTGAAGACAGTCTGGAACACGAGGGCCACGATGAACTGGAGCTTGATGTGCTTGAGCTTGTGCACGAGGGGCGGCAGGAGCCAGCCGCCGATGATGCCAGACATGCTGGCCGCCGTGGCAATGTAGCCGATCTCGACCACGTCGTTTGTGAACATGAACAGGGTGCCCTGGTTTGACAGCGTCAACGTGCCCTGCCAAATCATGCCGCAGACGAAGAGGATGACGAGGTAGACAGTGAACTCGCGGTACATGCGGAAGAGGCGCAGCGGGAACAATGGACGCTGGGCGATCGTGAAGTCGTAGACGAAGGCCGAGACGAAGAGGACGCAACCCAGGGGGATCGTGGTGGCGACCAAGGTGACGCTCCACCCGGACTGGCCGAGGGACGTGATTCCCACGAGAAGAATGGGAAGCCCGGTCGCGAAAAGGAAGAAGGCCACGAAATCGAGCTCCTTGACCTGCTGCCAGCGCGTCTTTTCGTAGTCATAACGCGGACGGGATGGCGGGAAGTAGCAAAAGAATGTGCCGACGGCGACAATGACGGTGTAGATGATGGTGATGTAGTAGCACCAGCGCCAGCTGGCCCGCAGGTACAGCTGGGTCGCAATGATGCCGGGAAGCGAGCCCCAGGGGATGGTGATGCAGAACTCGGTCCATGCCAGGCCGATACCACGGTACTTGTTGGGTAACAGCTCGCTTATGCCCGGGTACGCCACCATGATGGTGCCTGCGCCAAAGCCCACCAAGGTGGTTCCAGCTACGATGTTCAATGTCGACTGTGCTACCGCGCATACGATCTACCATTGCAGGGTTTCCTGTCAGCCTAGGTCCGCGACTGCAGCGGGCTTGTTTGTGAAACACTTACAGCGCCTACGAGGATGATGGCTTGACCGCAGAGCAGAACCCACCGACGACCAAAGATGTCACTCATACCACCAGCAATGGAGAAGGAGACGGCGGAACCGATGGACCAGCCACCGGGAATCCAAGCAATATTGTCAGTATCGCCCAGCGCCATTCCAATCTGCTGGAGGATCTGTGCGGGCATGATGAAGGCTGTCGCGATGGCCGGGACGTAGGTCAGGCCCATAAACTAGTAGGGAAGGCAGGGCATCGTCAGCTTTGCTTCCTTGCAGAGCTCGTGGCTCATGTCAGCACAATACAGGGCAGACCCACGAATACGGCCAGGATGGTGGACCATGCCACTCTTGGCTCTGGCTCATCCACATTAGTGGACGCCATGTCAATGTGGCCCGCCTCGGCCTTCTCCTCTGCAGCAACTGGGGCTATGGCAGGGGCAGAACTCGGCACGGCCTGGTCTTCGATCTTCTCTGGGGACATTGTTCCAGTGGTCGGCGGCTGTGGTGGTGGGAGGTGGACGAGACGGATTCGATTCCGCGCCGCGGGCAAGGTCGACGAGGGATGCAGCAGAGCTCGTGAGATGTTGTCCACCGATCGCCGCCAGGAGTCAAGCTTTATATCGCGAAGCCGACGCACGGCTGGACCGGGCTGGATGCCCCTGAACGCGGGGTCTGTGGGCTGGATGCCCGGGGTCTCCGCACTTCCCCAGACGGGCCAACGAGATTTGTGGCCGCGGCGCTTTGACATGCCTGATCGGGTTTGGGCCCGTAATCTTAGGTTCAGTCCCGCGGCGCTAATGCCATGCCGTGTCGAACTGGGCGGCAATTTGATGCGTCAATGTCGGAGCGCACCAACCTGGTACCGTCCCCTCGGCTATTTCTCATCTTGCGGCAAGATATATCGGCATTTTGTCCGCCAGCGTGGATTCAGACTTACATCTGGCGCTGGATATCGCTTGCGAGCGCAACCATCGGGCTCATCGGATAACAGTAATCTGTTGGCGAGACGTTCTAGGCCGCCCAGCTGAAATGCATGACATCGTACAATGCCGCGGCAAGGGGCGGTGTGGGTCTAAGGGGCTTCGAACCAGCCACTTGAAGAGCTTGATTGCCTGTAACGGTCGGCACCTGGTATGCCACATGCCGCGCCGCAGGTTATCTGCTATCCTAATATGGTACGACAGCAGTGCTTGGGAGATGGCTTGAATGATGCTACCAAACGTGTCCAAATGTCCAGGAGTGCCAAACGTGGCAGAGAAATTGTAGCAAACAAAGAAAACCGAATTATACAGGGTTCGAGGAAGGATCCAGATCAAGAAAGGCGATTGAAAAGGAAGGGCGTGTTGTAGGAATAACAGAGGGGAGTAAGCCAGCTTGTCCGTCGCCATTGCAGCGCACAAGCGGCACCCGGGCTTGATTCTACAGAGATAGTATTACATCGTGCGTGCACGCCGCTTCAAAAAAAGGGCACGTGCGCCGCGCAGTGATCATAAAAATACAGGGACGGGAGGCGGCTGGTCCCCCGTGGTCCACATGTCCCAGCCTTGCCGGCGGATTAGGACAAGGGGTGCTCAAAGCGTTCCCGCCAGGCCCCCGGCCAGTGTTTCATTCGCCCAGAACCGTTGCCATGATGAAGCCATTGAACATTGGCGTTGGCGACATGGGGTGCGTGGCGACAGTTGGCATCAGCGCTACGCTGACACGCTCGTCGCTCCCGATCCTGCCCATGAACGTCTCCTTGGCTGCCCCTTCGTCCTCGTTGACCAGGCCCTTGTAGAACAGCGCAGCCACCACGTCGTCGAGTACGATACAGCCGCCTGGCCTGGTCAGCTTGACGGCCCAGTCGAAATGCTCCCACTCGTCATCGAGGTGCGCATCGATAAAGACCATGTCGAACTTCTTGCCCTCCTCGGCAAGCCTGGGCATGACCTCCAGCCCGGATCCTAGGACGACCTCGATGTCCAGGCCCTTTGTGTTCTCCACCGCCACCTCGTGGCACTTGGGGTCGATCTCGACGGTTGTGACGCGCGCGCCTGCCTCGGCAAACAGAATAGCCGAGTACCCGCCCAGCGTGCCGATCTCGAGAACGGACTTGGCGCCCATGGCCCGTGTCAAGACAGAGAGGAATTGTCCGGCCATGGGCCGCACGCTGATCGGCGGGATGCCCGCGGCGGTGGAGCTGGCGAGGGTCTGCTCGAGTCGCGGGTTCGGACGGAGCATGGACTTCGAGGCCATGTCTTCGACCAGCTTCGCCTTGTGGAAGTTGTCAAAGTTCATGACTGCTTGGAGAGACATGGTGCCGTTATTGTGGTATTCGAGGCTGGCTGGCGAGAAGATGTTCGGCAGTGATGCGGACTATGGATAGCTGGTAGCTGTCGCTGTAACACTCGGATGATGGCCAATTTGTTCGTGACAATGTGATTCACCGGGACTATGGGCGCGGACTGGAGATGGTCTTCTAGTGCGCGGCTGCCTAGTTTAATCGAGACCGCTTATTAGGGGCCGAGTTTGTGACGGCGTGATGATTGCCTGAAGTTCCGGCAGCCACCCCCGGCATCTCAGAGCCGTTATTGGCACGAAGGGGAAGAATGGGCTGATTTAGGCAGACGCACAACAGTAGCGCGCAAGCACGTGAAGGTGTGGTTGTGGTGCAGGCGAGGCCTCGAGATGTTAGGACCTATGCCTAAATATGGCTATTAAAAATTGTGAATATGTAGTAGGTTAGGTATTACTTTTCTAGATATTTGCCTGCCGCTTCTGTCATTTTTGGTATGATCTGCATGTTCTTATTAGTTTCTGTGCTGTGTGGGGGTGCCTAGCGCTGATGACTCCGAGCAGCACACTCCAACATCCCGCACCACAATGATGGCTCCTGGCTCCTGGCCACAGGTGATTTCAGCATCAATCGCCAGGCCCAGAATCCAGCAAAGCATATCTTTGCGTGCCAGCGAGACACGTCAATGTTAGGCGTCCTGGACCCTAGGACGGTTTCCAAACTCTACCATGCAGCTAGCTGCTAGCACCATAGTGGTCAGCCCTGCCGCCGCAACACCAGCTCATTAAGCAGCGGTCGCCATAGCTTGAGCCGTTCTCATCGCGACACCATGAATGAATACTTGTGCCTCGGGTTTCCTTCTTCCATGAGAAGTAATGCTAGGACTTGAGAATGTGATGTTCATAATAAGGACACCCACTCAAGACCCGTCCATGAGAGAATAGCGCACTATTTTCCATCCCACACGCGACTCAACAAACTTGACAATGTCGTCAATTTCCTCGGGCACCTGGTACCAGTGTCCAAGCTCCGGGTACAACTTCCAAGTCACCTGGAACCCACAAGCACGCAGCGTGTCCGCAGCAGCCTCTCCAAGCGCGGGTGGCTTCTTCTCATCTAGCGCGCCGTGGCCGAGGAAGACTGGTGGTAGTCCTTGGGGTGTCTGCTGCTCTGTAACCTCAGACGGTAGAGATTCCATGTCGAGCAGATCGCGCACAAACTCCATTGCCTTGGCCGTCGGGCTCTTCTCAGCCTCGTCACCATCATCATCTCCCCCAAATGGATTCTCCTCCCCCAGAATCTCGTCCTCCTGACCAATCCCTTTCCCCGTCACCGCCTCCATGATGTCCCGCTGATATGGCAAGTACGAGCACAGCCCGATGTAACCTCCCAGCGACATCTCGGCCCCGATCGCCAACAACAACGCCATGCTCATGGCACTGCCGTTACTGATGCCGCCGAGGATCACGTTCCGGGCACCCACCTTGCGCGCCTCCTCGCGGACCAGGGGGTCCAGTTGCGCCGCCGACTCGGCCAGCCCGCGGAGCTGTGTCTCCCTGCGGTACTCCGGGTCCGGCAGGCGCGCGATGTCGAACCACATGTTGAGCACGGAGCGGTTGAACGCGCTGGAGCGCCGGCGCGCGGCGGTGGGGAAGATGAAGCGCGCGCCGGGCAGGAGCTGCGGGAGCAGGTGGCCGGTGTACGTGAAGCCTGTCTCGAGCAATTCGGTGCCAAAGTTGCGGCCCGAGTCGCCGAGGCCGTGGAGGAAGATGATGGAGTGCGTGTGCGTGGCGGTGGGCTCGACGATATACGGCGGTGGGGGTGATGGTGATGGCTGAGACTGAGGCGGATCGGCCAGCGGCGCTTGTGCCGTCCGGCCTTGGCCAGAGATGTTGTCGTCCATGGTGATGGGCGAACAGGTCTCCCTGACTTAATTGGGACGATGGAAGGCTGCAGGTAATTGTGAGGAAGGCCGATGTGGACATCAGGGATACAAAGTAGGGCCTTGGCTTGGTGGGGTGATGCCTAGAAAAGAATTGGACTTTGGCATGTGCCCAGCCAACATGTGTCACACGTGGCAAGGCACAATCGCGAATAGCCAACCAACATCCCCAAGCCCACCCGGTATGAGTTTGCTTTCCTCTGGTCTCTCATTATGGCGTAACACGAGTGCCTATTCCTACAGGCCCGGCTACACTTCTACAGGTCGTCGTCCTCCCAGTCCTCTACGGAGCCCTCCCATTTGCGGACCAGTTCAAACTCGGGATGCGGCGGTTCCCAAAAGTCCCTCGGGCAATCCGGATGCACAAACTTCTCGATGAACTCGCGAATCTCTGTCCGATATGATCCAGTCCCGCACCTGCCGTAGTAGTTGGTAATCGCCAGCACCAGCCCGGCACGCGCTGCCAGCTGGACTCTCTGATTATGGAACTCGTCCTTCACGCGCTGCCGTTCTTGCCAATGGTCCGCTGCGACACCCTCAGCGGCAGCAGCAGCAGCGGCAACGGCGGCCTGGTTCGGTGGCATGTCGACGTCTGAGATCCCACAGAAGGCACTGCTACTCCTGTCCGTCCAGGAAAGCACGATACGTTGCGCCTTGTTCGCGACGTGGCGCATGACAATGTCATACAGCGGGCCCATGCGCAGCCAGCCATCGATCTCGCGAGCTCGAATACTGCTGCTGCTAGCGGTGCTCTTTGGGTGCTGCCGCACGAGCTGGATCATGGACGCACCGCCTGTGTCGTCATCCTCTTCCTCTCTTGATTCCCTTTCGCATTGTCCACCAGGCGGTGCCGGCGGGGAGTGACACGCATATAGCTCTGACATGCCGCTCACGTCCCCCTGCCAGCTGCTGGCCTTGCGCCACTCCCCGATGTGGCTGATAGCAGGCCGCTGCTGGACGAGCATGCGGCGCCACGAGGCGCCGGCCGTCATGACGGCCGGGAAATGCTCTGACCTGGCGAAAGGCTGCCTCCCGCAGGTACTCACGGGAGGAATGGTCTTGTCTCCATTGCTGAACCAGGCCGGAAAGAGCTCCGTCAGGAGCGGGTTGTGAATGGGTAGAGTCTCGTAGTCGTCGTCATTGTGGGCCCGCAACCTCGTGTTGTTGTCGGGCATGAAGAAAAGGCGTCTCTGTAAAGCCGGAGACCCCTGTATGGAAGCGTGCCATTTCTTGCTGACGCGCTGCGCGCTGGTGAGGAGGGTGCGCATATCGAGCTGCAGCAGGATGAGCTCAAGCAGCTCGAGGGTGTCGAGAATTCGCCGAGGCAGGCGGCATTGGCGGGGATCCGTTTCATTTGTCGCGGTCCTTGTCTTGTGCGCCATGCCTGAAGCGTTGTCATGTGCGGCTGCCCAACAGGAAAGTCGCACAGAAAAGCGAGGGCTGAAAATAGGCATCTAGTTTGCATAGGCGGCCCGAGGGCGAGGCTACTATATGACAAGCGGCAGCCTAATCAAATGCGGGGCCAGGGGCCACGCAAAATTTGCTATACTTCCACACACCAACGTCATCTCAAGTCAGTATACAGGAGTATATCTGCTTTCCTGTTTCGTTACCGAGATAGGATCGGATCCATGCGTTAGCCTCACATGAGTTACAGGCCGCCGGGCACAGTCCAGAGCAGCTAACCAGCGTTTACTGGCGGCCGCCGTTACTCTTCGGATGCGCACCCCACTACCGGCCGACCCCCCTTTAGTTTCGGGTTCGCAGTCCACCATTGGCTCGGATGTGCGCAGATGACCCTTCCTTTCTGAGAAAGACCGGGTCTGGCATGAATACTACAATAAGCCATGAAGCTGACAATAATATACTGTATTACCGCAAATACGTTTAGAGAAACACTCTTAAAACCTGCTGAGAATTAGCTTATGCTGGTGGTCCCCTTACATCTACAGAGCAAGGAGGCAATCACGCGAAAAGAGAGAGAGAGAGAGAGAGAGAGAGAGAGGGAGACACACACACACGAACAACATATCACAGGTGTGATAGATATTGATCTTTTACTAAACCATCTAAGCCTGCCTCGGAGATGAACCTCTCGACCGTTCCATAACCTGATCACCGCGCACAACCTAGCTTTCTCCAATCCGAAACCTTCCACATGACGAGAGAAACTCAACCCGTGATGGTCTGAGGCGCCACCTGGGCGACATTATCCCCCGCCACGGACTCGACGTCCTTTTCCCCAAGCACCTGTGCACCACCACCACCTCTCTTGCTATACCCGGAAGCGCCGAACCCGGTACGCGCAACCTCCTCAGCATCGACGTGCGGCACGACGCCCAGCCTCGCGGCCTCGGCGGGGGTGAACGTGGCCCAGTCGTCGTAAGGGTCGAACTCGCCGGCGCCAGCAACAGGGAAGAAGAACGTGACGACGTAGAACGTGGTGAAGGAGATGGCGAGACCCGTGAAGAAGGCCGTGTAGTAGAGCTGGAAGACAGCGTCGGGGGCCGAGGTGATCCCGCCCGCGCTGGCGACCAGGCCGCCGATCGTGGGCGCCCAGCCGGCCACCCAGCAGGGGATGACGCGGAGGTTGAAGCCGTGCGTGAACCAGTAGTCAGACCCCTCGGCGCGGTACAGCTCGCCGAGCTTGATCTTCTGCCGGCGGATGAAGAAGTAGTCTGCAATCATGACGCCCAGCAGCGGCGCGAGGAACACGGAGAAGGAGCTCAGAACCGTGATGAAGGTGGCCGCCCGGTTGATGAGCTGCCACGGCTGGATGACCCACGTGGCGACCAGCGTGATTATGGCTCCCCTGCGGATGTCAATGTACCGCGGGAACACGCCCGCCAGGTCGATGCCGCCTGCCACGGCGTTGCCGCAGACGTTCTGGAACAGGATGGCGAAAGCAAAGGCCAGGGCGAGGAAGAAGACGCCCGCGCGGGCGCCCGAGGAGCCGTCGCCGTTGTCCATGATGACCATCAGCAGGTCGGGCGGGTTCCAGAAGATCTTGCCGTAGATGAGCTGGCAGGCGGCGGTGGTAACGAGCCCGCCCAGACAGACAAAGATGCCGACAATCCACTGGACGGAGACGGTGCCAATGACGAAGCCCCGGTAGCCGTGGCCGTAGCGCGAGAAGTCGCTCTCGTTGGTGATGCCCGCCACCTTTTGGCCAATGGCCTGGTTCAGACCGGCCATGATGAGCCACGACACGCTCCAACGGGAGGATGCGGGCACCGCCTCGCCCTTGTAGAAAACGGGGCCCACGCCCTTGGCGACGGACAAGGACCAGATCATCATGCAGAACATGGCGATTCCGCAGCCCAGGGAGGAGATGAAGAAGGGCTTCTTGTACCGCTCGGGTCGGACAAAGAGGAAGGGCAAGGAGACGACCCAGAAGATGATGAAGCCAACCATCTCAGGCGTCGTGGTCGGCATGCTCGGGGGCAGCGTGTTCTTCATCTTGCCAAATGAAGGCCAGATGGCGGTCACGCATACGCTGGAGAGAATAATCATGTCAGTACAGGCGTATTTGAAATGAGTTCCACACGCGATGCATGTTCAAACATTCTCCACTCACTTCACCAGTTTGCCGCCGTTCCAGCCTGACCGAGAAGAGTTAGCACGGCTCTGCTTTAGATGTGGTTGTTGACTACTGCTTGTTTGAACTCACATTGTACTGCTGTCCAGATAAAGTTGAGCAGACATCGCTGCATCAGAGGGATGTAGGCGCCACGCAGGCCCCAGGTGAATCTGTTCTGCACGGTAAAGCCAATGTGCCATGTGAGGCCACACCAGGCAATGATGCATGCGAACAGAGAGACGATGAAGCGCGAGATGACAATGATGAGCATGGCCTGGCCGACAGAAAGACCCTGCGTGAGGAACGTGTTTGGCGTCTGCCAGGTGGAGATGTTCAAGGCGCCACTGAGAGGCAGCACAAGGCAACGGTTAGTGGGACTCGCTCATGACAGTAATGTCGTGAGAGACATTACGAATGATGAAACTCACAGTGACTGGGCGCCAAAAAAGTTGAACCATCCCCAAGTACGCCGCGAAGGTGGCAGAGGGACCAAGTCACGGTTGCACCACGTCGTCGTTTCCTCGTGGCGTGTCGGGTCGGCCTTGAGGGCGGCCGCCTCCTTGACCCTACGAGCGACAGAGGCCATGGCTCTATTTCTCTCTGCTGGGGAACGGGAGAGAGTTGAGGATAGTAGTTGTCGTAAAGGAAGCCAGGGACGACAGCCAGGTCGCTGACGGGGTGCTTGGGCTGTCGATCTCTAATATCTCCATGGAGAGTGCCCTCCTCCGTTGGAGCATGCCAAGATGCAGCACGACTCGAGAATGGCCGGCCGGGCAGTTTCCGACTTCTCGAGGCCGGGCGGCGGGCGCCGGGCAAGCCAACGGAGTCCCTATCAAAAACGGGGCGTTAGCCACTAGGCTGGTCGCTCCCGGCGTTGATTGGGCTCCATGGTGACATTGATTCCATTTTCGGCGACCACGTCCCAGGGTCCTTATCGTGCCCTACGACCAGCGGCAGAGGACGACAGGGTTGTCGGAACCCCTCCGATTCTCGGCCGAGGGAGGGGCCGACACAGGCAGAGCGGCGATCTTCATGTTCGCGATGCAGTCCGGGACGACTAATAACATCTTCTCTGGCCATTTTCGCCAGGCCCCGTGGCTGGCGTTGGAGCGACATTTGTCACACCAGTATATCCCGGCCGCAGCATCATCATATCCAGCCATGGGAGGCCCTACATTGCGAATCGGTGTCGACGTCGGCGGGACCAACACGGACGGCGTGATCCTCGACCTGGCCCGCTCGTCAGAGCCCGACCGGGGCATCCGGGCGTGGAAGAAGTCGAGCACGACCAAGAACCCGAGCGACGGCATCAATAACGTGATCCGCGACATGTTTGCGCAGCAGCAGGCCGAGGGGCAGGCCCGCATCGCCCCGGCCGACGTGGCCAGCGTCACCATCGGCACGACGCACTTCATCAACGCCGTCGTCGAGATGGACCGCACGCGGCTGGCCCGGGTTGCCGTGATCCGGCTGTGCGGCCCCTTTTCCAAGGACATCCCGATCGGCATCGACTGGCCGCCGGCCCTGCGCGAAATCATCTGCTGCCACCGCGGGCTGGTCTACGGGGGGCTAGAGATTGACGGAAGCCTTATTGCGCCGCTGGACGAGGCGGGCGTGCGACGCGAGTGCGAGGCGATCCGGGCCAAGGGCATCCGCAGCATCGCCATCGTGGGCATCTACAGCCCCATCGACGTGGTCCACCGGCAGGAGGAGGCCGCCGCGGACATTGTGCGGAGCGCGTATCCCGAGGCCGACGTCGTGTGCTCCAAGGACGTGGCCAACATTGGCTTCCTCGAGCGCGAGAACGCGGCCATCCTCAACGCCTCGATCCTGCCCTTTGCCCGGCGCACCATTGCCTCGTTCCGGGACGCCGTGGCCCGGCTGGGCCTGAAGTGTCCCGTCTTTGTCACCCAGAACGACGGCACCATCCTCCCTGCCAGCGCGGCCGCTCGTCTCCCGATCCGGACCTTCTCGAGCGGGCCGACCAACAGCATGCGCGGTGCTGCGTTTCTCATGCAGCAGCAGGAAAACAACAATGACAGTAAGAAGCAGGCCATGATGGTGGTCGACATTGGTGGCACCACAACAGACGTGGGCATCCTGCTCGAGACCGGCTTCCCGCGGCAGGCAGCGGCGTACAGCGAGATCGCCGGCGTGCGGACCAACTTCTCGTACCCAGACGTCCGCAGCATTGGGCTCGGCGGAGGGTCTATTGTGCGGAGCGACAGCGGCACGGGCGAGGTCACCGTCGGGCCCGAGAGCGTGGGCTACCAGATCCGGCACAAGGCGCTCGTCTTTGGCGGTGACGTGCCCACGACGACCGACTACACGGTCCTCGCGAACAAGACGCTCACCTCGATCGGCGACCGGGCCCTGGTCGAGCAGGCCGGCAAGAACCTGGACGCCACCCTGCCCGCAGTGCAGGCACGCATCCGGGCGATGCTGGAGCAGATCATCGACACGATGAAGACGTCGCCCGACGACATCCCCGTCGTGCTGGTCGGCGGCGGCGCCGTCATCGCCCCTGACCGGCTCGCGGGGGCCAGCCGGGTCGTCAAGCCGCGCTGGGCCGGCGTGGCCAACGCCATCGGCGCCGCGACGGCCCGGGTGAGCGGCATCGTCGACTCGGTCGAGAACACCGAGGGCCGGTCCCGGGACGACATGATGGCCCGGTTGTCGCAGCGCGCGGTCGACGCGGCCGTGGCGAGCGGCGCCCTGCGCGAGACGGCCGAGATTGCCGAGATGGAGAGCTTCCCGCTGCAGTACATTGCCCACAAGTCGCGCATCATCGTCAAGGCCGTCGGCGACTTTGACTACACCCGCACCGACATGGGCAGCCTGGACATCTTGTCGTCTCCCACCAGCACCGAGGACACATCTATGAATGGCCACGACGGCGGATTCGCAGACGACACCGACCACGTCGCGCAGAAGACGGCAGGGGCTCATGGCCATCAACAGTCCTCTTCCTCCTCCTCCTCCCTGGCACTACCCGGCCGGATAGAGCTAACCAAGGACTCGATCACGGCATACCGGCCGACAGTGGCCAACCGCGAGTGGCGCCTGACCGAGACGGATCTCGAGTTCATCAGCACGGGGTGCTACATCCTCGGCATCGGAGGGGGAGGCAACCCGTACCAGCACTTCCTGCGGCTGCGCGAGCTGCACCGCCAGGGCGCCGTGCTGCGCGTCATCTCGCCGCAGGACCTGCCCGACGACGCCGTGGTCGCGTGCGGCGGCGGCAAGGGGTCCCCGCAGGTCTCTGTCGAGAAGCCGTACGGCGACGAGATGCTCGAGTCCCAGCGGGAGCTGTACCGGTACCTCGGGACCAAACCCACGGCGGTGATCCCGCTCGAGATCGGTGGCGGCAACGGCCTCCAGGGGCTCGTGATCGGGGCGTCGAGCAGCCTCGACATCCCTGCTATCGACGGCGACTGGATGGGCCGCGCGTACCCGGTCTCGTGGCAGACGACGCCCGTCGTGTTTGAGAAGAGGGCCGTCATGGTGCCCACGTGCATCTCGGACGGCAACGGGCGCATCATGCTCATGACAAAGTGCCCGACCGAGCTCGACGCGGAGCGGGCGCTCAGGGCCGCGCTCTCGCAGATGGGCAGCCATGTCGGTTGTGCCAAGGGGCCCGTGACGGGGAAACAGACGAAAGCCTGGGTCGTCGAGAACACAATGTCCCTCGCCTGGCGGATCGGCCGGGTCGTCGCCCTCGCCCGGTGCTCCAACACGGTCGACACCGTCGCCGAGGCCATTGTCGCCGAGGTGGGCGGCGCCGAGTCGGCCCGGGTGCTCTTCAAGGGCAAGATTGTCGGCGTCGAGCGTGTCCTGCGCATGGGCCACGCATACGGCGAGGTCATTATCGAGAGCACGGAGAGCACCACCACTTCTGGTGGTGGTAGTGGCCCGGACAAGAAGAAGCGGGACCGCCTCGTCATCCCGTTCAAGAACGAAAACATCTACGCCAAAAGAGTGGACGCGCTCACGGGCGCCGAGGAGATCCTGGCCGTCGTGCCCGACCTCGTCTGCGTCATCGACGCCCAGAACGGCGAGGCCCTGGGCACCCAGGAGTACCGCTACGGCCTGCTCGTCACCGTCCTGGGCATCACCGCGTCCGAAAAGTGGACGTCGACGGCCCGCGGGCTCGAGATTGGCGGGCCCAAGGGCTTCGGGTTCGACGACCTCGAGTACAAGCCCCTGGGCAAGTTTGTCAAGCCCCGGAGTGTCATTGACGAGTTTGACGGCGCGGTGGCGTGAGGCATGCACGTGACCTACTGAGCATATATACCTTATATAGAAGACACTTGGCATTTACGGCGAAGGGAAAAGGCACTTGTAGATTTCTTCGCTATGGATATGTATATTACCACGCGGAGCTGGCGTCCCTCGACCTTGCATGCTCCTACTTCTTAGACAAACCGAGAGTAAAACTTCTGCGACCCCTGCTTGTCATCAGTGTAACCCCCCGGCTGTTCGCCAACCTCGTCAGACGACCCGTTGGCCGCAAACACCTCGTCCGGCCGGACGGCGCGCTCGATGAACGTAGGCTTGGAGGGGAACGCGAGGGACAGGCCCATGTACACGGCGGCCGTGCCGACAAAGCCCAGCAGCCAGCCAAACTCGTACGGGTGCACGCCGACGCCGACCTCGACGGCCGGGTTAATGGTGTGGATGAAGCCCGGCAGGCTGGGGGCGACGCCGGCCAGGAACGCCACGACGGCGCGCCAGTTTACGCCTCCGCTGTACCGGTAGATCCCCCCCGCGTCGTACAGGGCGAGTGTGTCGTACTTGCGGCGGTGCAGGACCCAGAAGTCGAAGAGCATGATGGACGCAATGGGGCCCAGGAAGATGGCGTAGGCGGCCATGAAGTTGAGGAAGCTGCCCGCCGACTTGAGGATCTCCCAGGGGACCAGGGCCCAGCACATGACGGCGCAGATGAGCTGGCCGCGGCGGATGTTGATGAAGCGAGGGGCCAGGGCCATGAGGTCGTTGGCTGCCGACAGGCTGTTGGCCGAGATGTTGACGCCCAGCGCGGCCAGGGCAAAGGAGAAGCCCGCAAAGAAGCGCGCGGCCCGGTTGTCCCAGTGCCCGACGAGCGCCATGGGGTCCCACTCGATAACGCCGTAGTGGTAGCCGCCCGCGCTCGAGGCCGCAATGCCGATAAAGGCAATGAAGGTGAAGAAGACGGGCAGCATGGGCACGTACAGGAGCTGCCAGCGGACGTTGACGCGCGAGTATCGCGAAAAGTCGGCCTGGTTGACCGACAGGGTGGCGTAGTTGCCAATCACGGAGGTCATGGACGCCAGGAAGGCCCAGCTGTAACGCTCGCCAGACACGTCGGCCACCTGCTTGTTGAAGATGTCGCCGTCCTTGGTCGTGACGAGGGCCCAGATGAGGATGGCCACCCACGACAGGGGCACGATGGCCGTCTTGGCCATGAACAAGTAGCGCAGCTGGTTCGGGTGCATGAGCAGGAAGGGCACCTGCGCCAGCCAGAAAATAAAGAAAGAGATCATGGTCGCGTCGTCGATGCCGCGGCCCTCGGGGATGTGGTTGGCCAGCGTCAGGAACGACGGCCAGATGGCCCCGATCATGACCCGCACCGTGTTGGCACCGTTCATCGTCTGGATCGCGAACCAGAAGATGGCCAGGATGCCACGCGAGATGATGGCAATGTACGAGCCCCAGAATCCCCAGCTGGCGCGGGCAATCACGGGGAAAGGCACATGATGGATCACTCCGATGGCGCCGTTGAAGGCAATCTGCGTTGGGTACCATTTGTGAGCTAGCTTGGTCTCCCATCGTGCATCGATCAGGGTCAAGAAAAGGAAACCATACCACAATAGCGATTATGAAGAAGCTCAGTGCGACAATGCCAACACTCTCACGCCACGTGAGACCGGTCGCGATGATGCTGGCAGCAAACTGCCACGTCGCTGCGTTGAACGCGTCTGACACCCAGTACGTGATGGACGACGTGACACCCCATTTGCGGTCCGCAGGCGCCACAGGGTCCAGATCTTTGTTGGTCCTGCAGTGGCAAACTTTAGTGTCATGGTTACAGCATGCCCATGTAGCAGCAGGGGTGCTCACCATCGGGGATTGCCCTCGGCAAAGGTAGACTTGGGCTGCTCGACCCTCAGCTGAGGGCGACGCTGGAGGAAGGACGGGAGTCTGATGGCCATGGTTTGGATACGCACGCCGTGTCTCTTCGTCGTGTCCGTCGGCTGTGATTGTCCAGAGGACCAGACCGGCGACCATTCGCCTTTTGTATGAGACAAGCCGGGAGGCTTATCGCCTGGGCCGGGCCCTGCCTGTATCGGAGCTAGGTGCCGCCCCAGAGATAAGAGGCACTGGGCGCCTCGTCCCATTCGCCAATGGCTCGATTCATGTCCACGTGTGATCTGGGGTAAGCTCAGCTAGAGAAGATGTGGTCCCCACCAAATGGTTTAAGCTCTTCTTGGCGGTGCTGTGCGAGGGGTCGGACTCCGCCGGAGCGAGATAAGCCAGCTGGTAAAGGGCCATGACCATGGGTAATCCCCAGCCAGGCATCTTATCATAACTTTGCGGGATCTCGGCAGTCGTTCCAGGCCTATATGCGCACAGAAGGCTATCAAAGTTGAATCTAGCGGGGACGGGCACAGGATTACTGATGCTGACGGCGCCCGATCCAGCGCTGATGAAAGCACATACTCTGGAGACGGTCGCGCAGTGGAGGTGCTGGCGCTAGCACAGTATAACACAACTTGGCAGCGCTCGGCAGCGCGACTCTGTGCTGACGTACGCAGTTGTGGAGAAGTGCCACGACGGGCAGGGAAGTAAACGCGACGCCTGACTGGTCGGATAGCCCAGTGCTGGCGGGCGGCAGTACAGCAGGACTTCACAAGGATCTCAGAGCATCTAGACCACTGACCACTTTCCTCGGGCTCTTAGCTACTCCGTCAGTACCATGGTCGTACATCGTCCACCAGACTCTGAGCAGCCCACATTTGATGCTGCTCTGAGCACAAGCTGACGCCAGACACATGACATGAGCACCAACTACACCAGGATTGATTGACGTTGGCTTCGAGCTCCTCCGACATCCCTTTTGGATATCCGGCCCGCGAGATAGGGAACACGAAAAAACATGGCTTATCGGGTTTTGGAATACCCTTTGTGGCTCGGCGCTAGCACGCAGCACTCCTTGAGGTACGCGGCCCCACTGGCGCAACCTCGGGCATCCGTTTTCCCGAGGTTGGACTCGTTGCGCGCGAAGATTATGGTGGCATATGAGACGACTAGCCCTGAGGTCCTGCCGTGTCGGGGGTAGTTATTGGGCGAAGGGCCGCCGTGCACTGAATCCGGCGGAAGCGTGCGGCCCTGAGGCGGCATAGTCCCAAGACGCTGCGAGAGAACACGCGCATTCAACTCGTCAAATAGTTCTGTATAGCCTGGGCACGGCTAATTGGTGCTAATGTCGATCTAGTGCAACATTCGGCCATGGCTGCCAGAGGAGAAGCTCCAGATTTTGTCCAACTCGACGGGGCAGACGGGGTGGTAATGACGATTGGGTATCGCGGCGAGTTCTGTGACTGCTATAGCCTGAGATGCTTCCGAAAATCACTCCGCTGCTATGCTCAGAAATGTTATAATCAGGCTCTCAGGTTTTGTAACAAGCAAAACTACAGCATCAAGGCTGGTATTACATGCGCTCAGCACATCCCACCCCGGATCACTCAGGTCATGCCAGCCTCGTATCAGGTCACGAAGCACCTGAGAAACGACTATTAATTATAAAATTTTCTTCAAACCTCCAGCACATGACGAAACCAATGGAGGATCTTTCTAGTCAGCATCGAACCCATAGGGCACTCCGCCAACCAATTCCCCGGACCGGAGCTACTCAGTTTGAATGGGGTATTATCTTCGATTGCCTGGTCCATGCAGCCTAACCATTCAATCACTGTGGTCTATCAATACATGATATATGCACTTGGCTAGCTTCGCTGGTACACACCGCGTTCGATCAGTGTCATAAGGCTCTGCTGTACCATCTTGCGGCTAGGCGCACGGAGTGGGACTGTGAGGTACTTAGGGCATGCTGCAAAAATGTCTCTTCGGTATCAGGCCATGCACGCGAAAGCGAGGGGTCCTCTCAACGCAGGACAAAGCAAGATTTTCCGAGGCCTGGATTACATTCACGTCATCTCCCGAACCCGCTGGTGTATCCGTCTCGCCGCTTTACCCAGAACAAGGGACCTCGAGACCCTGCAACGACCCCCTTGTCAACAACAACACAATCAGATTTGGGGCTTGCACAATGCAAAGCGGCCCACACGAAATGATCCATTCCTGCCCGGAATGATTTGGGTAGAAGACCACGAGGAGGTCGTGCTGCTGGACAAATAGGAGAATCCGCCGCAAGATCACTGGCCAAGCATTACTTTCGCTCTGAATGGCCTCATCGCCATCCTAGCCACTCTTTGCCGACCCGGCCCGATAGTAATACCAGTGGCGTCAATGCTAGCGCAGTCTAAGTGGAACAGGTATGTACGTTCGGGAAGCTCTCAGGTGCTTGCCGACTATGCTGCTGTAGATGAAGCATCCGGAGGATCTTTGGGCAGCTTGGTGGCGCTGTGAAAGTCCAGGAGTGTCCTGCGGTAGTGAGACCCAGCGCTACTTGGATGAGCGAGCCGAGCTGGACTGCTGCGCCAGTGTATGAAGCCATCGCACTCACCATAGCTGACCCTGAAGGCTAAAATTGTCAAGAGAAGGTCATAAGAATTTAACGAGGTATTATTCGTACAGCGACTGTCTTAATCACTTCCTGAGTCATCAAAACATTGTACGAAGGTGTACAGTCGGTTCTATGAGATCCACCTCTTGCTTGCACGGTTCCTGTCTTCTCATCGGTATTGTCATGCCTTGATAATCTATGGTATATGCTCAAAATGAGTGTGTGTGTGTGGGGGGGGGGGGGGGGTCCTGAAAAATATATAGAACTTCCGAGAAACCCATATGCATAAGTGCATCAGAGACAGAGCTTCTTAGTGGAATCTCTTGCCACCAACGCTGTTTATCGATTCTACGCTCGAGATTATCATTGGTAACTCGCCCTTGCTGGTTCGGCGTCTTCGTGGGCCTGGGCGAACTCCTGGCCATCTTTGTCAATGGTGACCGTGTAATTCGTCGTGCGCATGATGCCGCTGCACGCGATGGTCAGCTGTAAGATCTGCCGTTGACGGGACAAGCCGAGAGGGAAAGATAGGGAACTCACTTGTACGTCATTATCTCCTCCTCTGACCCTGTAGGACTATCGCCCCTGATCTCCGTGTGGTGCCTAGCCTTGGAAATATCCTGAAGTCTAATCCCGCTCACGCCAGCTCCATATGGCGTGCTCCGGTGTCCCGGTTTGCTCCTCAATGTCGACTGGTTAGCGTATCCGCTGCCTGTGCCATTGTACCCATTACCAGCGCTCGTGCCTTTCGTGCTAGCAAACATTCTGGGAAACCACTGCACGAGCAAGGGCCTCAGCATGGGCGCAGAGGCGGTGATGATGGCGAGGTTTGTCTCAATGGCCGAGGAGGTAAAGGCGATGGAGTAGGTCGGGTCTGCGGAAGGGGCAGTGAAGAAGCCCTGATAGAGGATGAGCAGACGGGCGACGCCGACTGCTGTAACGAGGCCGCCGAGACCGAAGACGCCAATGAGGGCCATTTTCTTCTTGCGCGAGATCTTGAGCTCAAGGAAAATCCAGAAAGGTAATGCGAGGACGAGAACGTCAGTCAGGACGGTGAGACCGGCAGTGACAACATAGAAGAGACCCTGTTCGATGCAGGTGCCCTTGACATCCGGGTCGTAGATGGCTGCGACGGGGCTGCACTGGAAGATGACGACGATGAATATGGCGAGCATCATGGCGATGTTGAGGGCGTTGAGGGCGTGGATGGACCAGCGGACCAGCGGCCTTTGCACGCCGCTTAGTCTGAGGAGGAATAGCAGGACCGAAGTCTTGACCAGGGCGAGGATGGGGTTGTAAGCAATTTGGACGGCGAAGTTATAGATCAAGCCGGGTCTGGGATCGTTGGTGAGTGGGATGTCTAATCATGGGATTGCTGTGTTAGTGATCGTTATTCGTGAGATTTCGCGAGTGATTAAAAAGAACCGACCCCAGACGTGGATGCCGACGTAGTTGTATTTCATAAAGTTGTAGGTGAAGGATGTCTCCGTCCATGAGAAGACGAGCGCAGCGCCGACGAGGGCATCATCTGGATGACACAGTTGTCAGTACACCCTTCACACGGCTTTCGAATGGGGTAGGGGCGCACCCAGTCCAAACTGCTTCTTGCTCGTCCTCGAGTACACTCTCAGTGCATAGAAAACCGTCGCGAGTGCCGGAAAGAAGAAGATAATGAAAAAGCCAAACTGCTGCAACGGTGATGTTGGCCAGTCGTATGTGTACCCACCCGGCGGTGGCGGGAGAGGCGGCGGCCCTTGTCGCCGCACGACCTCTTTGATCATGATCGGCATGGTGTCAGTGACAGCCATGCTGGCTTCGAGCTTGTTCTCTGGATATCCTTGGGTCGATCGCTTGTCGATCGGCTATCGTCGATATGTTGCGTGATCGGGCCAGGCGTCCCTGCCGTGGTATTTGTGACAGCAGAGTGTCGATCGCTCTCTCACGCCGTGAGGAACAACACAAAGGTCATGGGGGTGGTCGAGGGGAATGATATACAGTACACGTCTGATCAGTTTCTCGGTTCTGGGCCACAGGGGTGGACAGGGAAGGAGCTTTCGTCTGACCAACTCCCGAGATGTCTCGCATGCAGGGGCACCACGCGACTCATTAAGGGTGCGCGGAAAGCACCGACAAAATAGTATATTGTACCGTGTACTCTGCAGACGCCAAACTTAAATGTGCGACCCCTTTTGGCGTAGATCTAAAATGGCATTCTACCGCGACACATCGTGCAGGGTCGCACCATGTCCCTCGTCATCCAACCGCGCTAAGTCTAAACATCCACGCGACAGTCAGCTCAACGCTGTGCTGCATCATAACGACGCACCCTTCTGAAGCGGCCACGGTACTCAAATCGATACAGCAGCGATGCAATGCAGTATAGCAGAATTACATTGGTTAATAATTTGTGGTGGTCCGAGTACAGGCGATGGTGCAGGTGGAGAATGCGTTTGCTCAGTCGCGTTGTTGGAGATACGTACAAATATTGTATTCGGATGTACCGGCCTGCAATGAATAATCCGGATAAATGTTCGAACGGGCAGGCACAAAGGAACCTTTTTGTCGGTGCTTTACGCACACCCCGAATGACTGCAGTAGCGCAAGTTCAGTGGCGTCTTGCTTTGTGGCTATTGACCGCGCCAAACCGTTACAGAATCCGCAAGGCCGCTACAGAACTTCTCTGCATAAGGGGTCTTCGGATTTCGTCCACGTCGTGTTCGAAACCAGGTCATTCACATGTCAACCATTCTCGAGTCCTTTACCCAAGTGCCAAGGTCTCAAGTTGATACATCTTACGAGGGCCAGATGCCTGTCTCGTTTTCAAGTTTTGCAACCAACCAACACGACCTTCATCCGAACCACTGTTTTTGGGAGGTGCTAATATGTGCGCATGTATGCAGACAGGGGGCCTGCCTGACTGATGACAAGGAATTTGAGCCGGGGCAGACCTTGTTACCTGGTAAAACACCTGAGCTACTCTCCACCTGCGGGGACCACGGAACAATCCCCGGCCAAAGACCCTTGCCGCAAAGCCCCCTTTCCAGAGTTCGAATGCCGGTTCCACATCACGTCCTCCCCGGGAGGACCGGGCCGGCAGGCATTCTCAGCCAAGAACGGCGAACTTTTCCCACGTTCACTCTCCAGGAGTCCTATAAAATGGAATTGCATCCGAATCTAGTATCTCAGCCGCACATGCTCGGTTACTCATGCACGTGCAGACCCGCACGTGGCCTGCAGTTCAAGACGTAAGCGACGACCTCTCGTGGAGTCGTGGACAGCCTCCCAAAACTAGCAGTGCAGGGGCAGGGTAGACCTCTGCAAGCTGAAGAGCAATTCCTTGGCCCTCATCCACACCCTCTTGGTCATAAAAGACGCAACGAGGATGCTAATTACCTCTTTGGTCCTGCCGATCCTTCAGCTTCAAGGCAGCCTCTGATAATTATCCTTTCTGCTAAAGTCGCACTCTGGTGTATCGCTCACCTGACCAAGATGCGCTTCCCCGTCGCCCTCCTTGCGGTGCTGCCGCTCGTCGGACTTGTCCTTGGCCAGACAATCACCGATGGCCAGAACAACGCCACATTGGGTACGTCGCACTGCTGATGAATGACGAGATATTCACAGATGCATGATCACGGCGTTAACTCACCACCACTATGTCCAGACGCCAACGAGACCACTGTCGCACCAGCGGCGCAGCCAGTCTCCAAAGACTCCAGCGCTGCCCCGGCCGACCTCTTCACCTCCGAGGCCGCCCAGCTCACCGACAATGTCATCGCCAATCTGACCGCGCTGAACCTCACCTCGATTGATCTGTTCTCCTTCGACAATGGCAGCAGCAGCACTGACGGCGCCAGCAAGCGCGACTCCGGCAGCTGCAAGTCCATGCCCGGCGATGTTCTCTATCCCCCAAACCTCGTCTGGAAGGTCTTCAACCTCCTGCTTGGCGGCGCCCTCATCCAGACCACCCCGTTAGCCTCACCCTGCTATACCAACTGGAACAACTACGATGCCGGCAAATGCAGCTACATCAGCGCCAACTGGGCCAACAACAGTTTCATGCACGCCGACGACCCCACGAGCGTCATGTGGCCGCTGTACCAGGGGCTCACCTGCATGCCCACCACTACTCCGTCAGACTCTTGCCGGCTCGGCGCATACCCCAGCTACGCGATCGAGGTCAGGAGCGTGTACCAGATCCAGCTGGCCATCAACTTTGCGCGCAATGCCAATCTGCGCCTGGTCGTCAAGAACACGGGCCACGACTTCAACGGCAAGTCCGCCGGCGCCGGTGCCCTGTCGCTCTGGACACACAACCTGAAGGACATCCAGTTCTTCCGCAACTACCGCTCCGGAACGTATAACGGCCCTGCGTTCAAGCTGGGTGCCGGTGTGCAGGCCTTTGAGATGTACGAGGCCGCCGAAAAGCAGGGCGTCACCGCAGTCGGAGGCGAGGGCAAGAGTGTCGGCGTCATGGGCGGCTACCTTGCTGGCGGCGGCCACTCTCCCCTTTCCTCCATTTACGGCATGGCAGCCGACCATGTCCTCTCGATGGAAGTCGTGACCCCTGACGGCCGCTTTGTCACTGCCTCGGACAGTTACAACAAGGACCTCTTCTGGGCTCTCCGCGGCGGCGGCGGAAGCACCTTTGGCGTCGTCACCTCTGTGGTCCTCAAGGTATACCCCAAGATGCCCGTCACCATCGCCACCTGGCAGTTCACCACATCGCCCACCGTGTCCGCCGAGGCATTCTGGAGCGGCGTGCGTGCCTACTACGACGAGTTCGTCCGCTTCACCGACAAGGGCACCTACTCGTACTTCCAGCTCGTGGGGATCGGCCCCGGCGCCTTCCTCTTCGCCATGGCCCCCTTCGTCGCGCCCAACATGTCCAAGCAGGACCTCGAGGCGCTCCTGAAGCCCATGTTCGATAAGCTCTCTGCGCTCGGCATCGCTGCCACCCCGCAATACTTTGAATACACCAGCTTCAAGCCCGCATGGGAGAACCACTTCCCCCTCGAGAGCGTCGGTTCCGCCACCCTCAAGACGGCCTCGCGTCTTTTCCCCAAGGCCAACTGGCTCGACGCCGCCAAGTCCAACGCCACCTTCTCCGTCCTCCGCCAGACGGTCGAGAGCGGCGTCGTCATGCTCGGCTTCAACATCGCCGCGGCCCCCACGGCCGGGTTCCCAGACAACGCCGTCAACCCGGCGTGGCGCAACACAGTCTTGCATGCCATCTGCGGTGTCATATGGCCCGAGGGGTCCTCGCCGGACGTCATCGCGGCCCAGTCCAAGAGGCTGACCAACGACGTCATGCAGAAGTGGCGCGACGTGAGCCCCGGTGCCGGCGCGTACATGTCCGAGGCGGATATCATGGAGCCCAACTTCCAGCAGGCGTTCTATGGTACCAAGTACGACAAGCTGTATCAGCTGAAGCAGCGCTATGATCCTTTCGGTGTGTTTTATGCGCCGACGGCTGTGGGGAGTGAGGACTGGACCGTTCGGGACCAGATTGATGGATGGCCGACGCAGAATGGACGGTTGTGCAGGCTGTAAGGCCTGATGTACACACGTCGGATCCGTTTGATGACTTCAATCTTTAGAAGCTAATACCGCGGTCGCCAATCGACTCTGACCCTAGCGCATGTGCGTTTCTGCGCCTCTCCCGTCTTCCGGGTGATGCCGCTGAGCTTGGCATGTATAATTGTGGGGGGACAGCATGGGCGGGCTAAGTGTACCCATGCCGCTTACATATACGCGTTCCGGGCACTATTGCACATTAATGAGCGACTTCCTTCATATTTGTTTCATTTCATTGCTATCCATAGAATTAGATAAGAAGGATCGACCAAATTACATTTCAGCCGCGGAACATTGATTCCGCCTCCAATGAGCTGGTTTAGTTTTGCTGGATGTGTGCGTGGTACATGCCGATTGTGCCGCAAACTGGGGCTGGAGGATCGGTCCGCAGGATTCCTGACTGGTCGACCCACCATGAGTTTTGTCCAGGGAAGCTAGAGAAGGACTCATGTATTACATCACTTATCAGTTATTGTGGCCACAGATTGGATGGCGGCTGAGGTCCCTTGCCCTTTCAGATGCAGTATCAAACACTTCAATCCTTCTGAGAATGTAAAGCGAGACACTAGAGACACTTTCTCTCACTAAAGAAGTGAGCCACCGTTGGGCTGACTGGCCGCTTCTCCGTGAAGGATTCGGGATCGTCTTAGCTCTGCTCACGGTCCAGCCCTTTTGCACACCTGTCAATTCCAAGGAGGAAGGATGTTTGATCAATTCGTGGGTAATGCGAAAATCTTCTCAGCGAGTATAAGTATAGATATATCGCATATCGACTGCTCCAGTCTTCTCTCTCCTCATCATCACCACCTCAATTTCTTAACAGACCATTGCACACTCCATTGCACATTCTATTCCCTGCCAAATCAGTCTCTGGAGCAAATCTTCCTATCAAATCGAAAACATGCTCTTCGAAACATACGCCATCCTGGCCTGCATGGCTCCTACCGCCTTTGCCATCAAAGTCCGCTTCTACCGGGGCACCGGCTGCAGTGGCAGCGAAATCGGCAACGGGTCACAGGATGCGCCTCCCCAAACATGCCTCGCAGTATCCACTACCGGCAGCTTCCGCGTCACCAACGTCCCGTCAAATAAGAAAGTCAGAGTCCAAGGATCCAAGAGAGCCTGCCAAGGAGACCCCGCCGGCGAATGGATTAGCAACGGCCGCACGGAGGTGTGTTTCAGTACGGTCCAATATCGTGGCGCCGCCTACGACATCCTGTAAGCACGAGGATATGGTCAAAAGCAATTTATTGGATACTCGGACAGTAATATCAGCGTTTGGAAGGCTAATAGGCCATGTTTGTGTCTGTGCTGCTAAGAGTCTACGTGCCTATCCGCTTTGGCGTGCTTGGTTCTTCACCTGTGATTGAATGGAATCGCGCAATCATGCGAAAATTGCATCCGATAGCCATTTCGTCTTCCCCACTCAACTGTCTCGATGGAATAAAAAGAATCGGCGAAGCTGGCATTCTGAGAAGCAGTAAAGCATACCTTAAATGTCGCTAAGCCTATCGTTTTCATACGCTCTTCTTGGGTGTCAAGATCTTACAAACCTGCAGTCTCTGAGAAACCCGCCCATTCGATTTAAAAGAAATTGCTCTTCAAAATTTTCGCCATCGTCACCTGCCTGGCTGCTCCACTGCTATCCGTCGACATTCTCTAGCACTGATACAATAACTGCCAGGGTCAATATACTCTTGGATGCCTTGACATCGCATTCTATGATTGCTGCTCTGTAGGAAATAATGCCACTTCCGGCAGCTTTTCGACTCGAGTCCCCAAAGACTTCGCTACCTCAGGAAAGAGGGGCACAGAGTCAGACTTTTCAGTCTTGACATGGCTGTTTCACCACAAGTGATAAGCACCAGGGACAGCCTGATCGTCCTTCCTCGCCTCGGCAGTGACTTTCGTACTTCACAATTCACGGTAATGACCCCAGCAATCACCATGTGAGGTTGAAGCATATCCGTCATGACCCGTGTCAGTGGCCAGATGTGTGGGTAGAGATAGTGATTATAATTAAATGTTAAGAATAAGAGAGTATTGATGTCGGCTTAATTTCTACAAAGAAGTGAATCCACCATGGCATTTCCGACATCTCTGCTTGTAGCCCGTAATTAGTACGAGGCAATCTCGATGATGGCAGGGCCAGCGACAACAGTGTCGTCGGTGACCTCCTTGTCGCAACCTGTCAGGACGACGTAGGTCTGGCCGGCGAAGCCCTTGGGGATGACAAAGGAGTAGCCGCCGTTGACGGGCTTGGCCTCGACAAAGGTCGGGCCGGTGACGGCGATGAAGGCGGCGTAGAGCTTCTCGCCGTGGGTCTCAATCTTGTAACCCTGTTGCGACGTCTAGTCAGCCTTGAACAGGATAATGCTTTTGAAGAAGATGGCGATTGTTTCAACTTACGGGAGTTAGAACGGTGACGGTGTCGCCGGTCTTGATCGGCGGCTTGGTCTCCAGCGTGAGCTTGGGGAACGCCTTGACGGGCAGCTTGGGGTTCTCGGGCGGGCAGGACACGATGAACTGCGAGGCGAGGGAGTAGACCTCGTCGAGGGTCAAGGGCGCGTCGAACGGCTGGGGGAAGGGGACCTCATTGATCTTGGCACGGATGTAGGAGCTGTGGCGCGCCTCAACCGTCAGGATCGAGCCGGCCGCGGTGAGGTAGTCCTTGCTCATGATGTCGGCAGCCGCACCGAGGTAGGCAGACACACCGACACCCTCGAGGACCGAAGCGGTCGCGAGGAAGGTCTTGACGTCGGTGTAAGCAAAGTTGTATGTGCAGGCCTTGACAGGGGTCGCGCCGGCAGCTGTACGAGGAGAGGGCCGTATTTGTTAGTAAAGTTGTTTCTCAAGACACGGCTAGTCAGGGACGCCGGTGTGGTAGGGGATCTATTTACCTTGCAGAGCGGTCGTGAGGAAAGAGACGTGCGTTGCTTCGTCGGAGCTGACGGTCTGGATGTTCTTGTAGACGACAGCATCGTACCCGGCATCGGCAAAGTCCTTCTCAGAGAACTTGGCAAGTCCGTCACGGTAGAACACATCCTCAAGGTGCTCAAGAGTCAGAGCGTAGTTCAAGATGTCCGCTGCAAAGGAAGAGTGATTAGCACGTGTATGCGTTTGTGCCTATCTCCGTTGCCAGGGCGGGGGTGTGCATACCATCAGATGGACCCTTGGATGGACTCGCATATCCCCTTGAGCTGAGGGGAACGGCGGCGGCTGCTCCCACGAGCGCGAGGCTCAAACCTGTCTGAAGGTAGTGCATGATGAAGTTGTGTTTGGAGGGCGAATAATCAGAGTAGATCAGAGTAGCACAGAGATTACAGGTTAACACACGATCTACCACTGTCTGCCAAAGGCGTCCTCGAGCAGTTATATAACAATTTAGCTATGGACGGCGGCTTGGCGCAAATCATAACGCAAGCCATGGCAATGTTTACGCTACCCGGTCGTTGCCGGCAGATGACTGAAGCGCGACAGTCTCGAGGACATTCCGCAGATGTGGAAATGAGACCAAAACCTTGACTACGCCGTGATGAAGTTCTGGGGTGCATGCCGCTAGCACGGCTACGATGGGTTCCGAGATGTGGACAATAGCAGCGATGAACTTTCACAGCACACTAGAGGAAGGGAGATTGACACTCCGAGCATTTCGGCTCCATCCGGGGCGGAGGATTTCCCCTGATCGTTGGCATGTATCTGTCTATGATGCCAGGAGCGTGGTCGTTGGGCTGCACTAGCGCCGACTGGTGACATTTTCCCTAGCCCCGGAGGACTCACATCCGGGCGGCACTTGCCGCCTTGGACCTCCTCTAGGGCGATCTCAGTAAAGGGCACCTACCCCACTCCTATGTTCTACTATGGTAAGGTCAAGAAGGAGTAGAGTTCAACGGTGATCCATGAGGCTGATTGTTGCCACCCTGGAGAGCAGAGGCGGCCAGTTTGATTGTCTCGATACGGGAAGGCCTCGACTATTTGTCATGAGCAGATGCACGTGCGTGTTTGAGGCTGCTCAGCTCCGCAGCGTGACCTTTGTATGCCGCGCAGGGAGAGACAAGAGGACATATCGGGGGCTAGATTGGGCCCTTGGTAATCATGACGACACTATCCACCCCTGTAAATGCCTGCTTCGCCCACGAGACTTCACCCATCCCTCGCTGGCCGCATTGTTGACACCACCTTTGGATCCTGTGCGGCCGCACGTATAGACTAGCATGCCGCCGAGCACGGCAATCTTGTGCCGCCTACATGTCTGACCCTAATCTGCCCCACGGCGATGGCCCCGGCCGTTGTGCGTGCACAACGCGGGTGTGCCCACCGTGTCCTTGTCGCATTGCGTCGTATTATGGTGGTCTTGCATCACTAGCCCTGGGGCTCGTTGTCCATCTTTGCTGGACGCTAGACAACATCGCACCCGGAATGAGGGGACCCCTAGGATAACAGCTCGGGCGACCCCCTCCTGCGCGTGCAGACAGACAAATTCAGGCACAGTTCTGCGTACACGATCGAACAGCCCCCAATATCGCCGGCTTACGCTTCGACCGATGGACGCGTGATGTTCGCCTCATCCTCATCAGTCACCATGGCTGTGCCTGATTGCGCCATCTTGGCCCACTAGCAAGGCGTACTCCGTCAGGCACATCAACTGTCCCGGGAACACCATCTGCCGAAATCGTCGGGTGCTTCCTGAGGCTTTCCGCACGCCCACTGCTTATGAAGCACAAGCCTTTTTAGCCACAGCCACAGTCGAGGCCTCTAAGCAGTACCTAGACGCCCCCCTCAGCTCTCCTCAGATCTTTATGCAGGGATCACTATATTACGGTTTACTAATACGAAAAGCGTTGTGGGGGGCAAGTAGAATTGGTACGCCTTGAACCAAGGTTGGCGGCCATGCAAGAATCATACATTCTGCAAGTCGCGCGCGGAGTCCATTAGTGGTTCATTATTGAGCCCCACACCCACCTGCGGGTTGGGCTAATAACCAAAACATCGGCAAATTGTTGTTGTCTCATCAATCGAGTCGCCCTCCTATTCATTACTCCTCATCTAGATTTCTGTAGCCAGATGGTACAAAGGTCGTTGCCATGGACTTGAGAGAGGAAACTCAGACAAGGCCAAGCGCGATAAGCTTCGAACGCAGACATCGGCACGTGTGGGTGCAAAGCCAAGGCCAAGCGCGAGCCGAGAGATACTATTATTCGAGCGCGAGTACAAAAGACTAGAGGAGATATTATGCAGTAAATAGGTACAAGTGTCACCCACAATGGATGCGTGGCGAGAATGGTGAAGCTAGGCAATTTGAAAAGTGATCTCTGAGGCACTGAAAGCGTGAGAAGAATCACTCTTCATCTTCCCCATCTTCCTCCTCCTCCTCCTCCTCCTCATTTTCCTCGACGTCACGGGTCTCCAGCCCCTCATCTTCCTCTTCCTCATCCTCTTCATCGTCCTCCAGAGGTTCGGCGGCACGCTTCACCGTCGATCCAGATCCAGTCCCAGTGCTGGACGAATCAGTACCGGCAGAACCAACATTTGTGTTGCTGGATCCAGTTGCTGCCGCGCCGGTGCTCGACACGTCCGTGGCTGCGGCCGCAGCAGCCGAGGAGACGCGAGTGATGAGAGTGGTTGGGGTGGCAGCGGGAGGAGCAGAGGTCTGAGCAGCAGCCGCGGCGGTGGTTGTGGTCTTGGCAGCACCAGCCTTGGCCTTCTTTCCTTTGCCCTTCTTGCCCTTGCCCTTCTTGCCTTTCTTTCCCTTCTTCCCCTTCTTCTTGCCCTTCTTGTTCTTCTTGGCGCGGGTCTCGAGCTCTTCGGTGTCGTCGATTTCGAGATCCTCCTCGTTGTCGTTGTCCTGCTCGTCGATCGCAGAAGTGTCGCGAGCGGCGACAGCGCCAGCAGCGGCACCAGCCGTGTTCGCCGCAGCAGGAGCAGCAGCAGCGTTAGAGGCGGCAGAGGTAGCGGCAGCAGGGTTGGCAGCCGCGGGCTGAGCCTTGGCAGCCTTGCCCTTCGCCTTCTTGCCCTTCTTCTTACCCTTGCCCTTCTTGCCTTTGCCCTTCTTCCCCTTCTTTCCCTTCTTCTTGCCCTTCTTGTTCTTCTTGGCGCGGGTCTCGAGCTCTTCGGTGTCGTCGATTTCGAGATCCTCCTCGTTGTCGTTGTCCTGCTCGTCGATCGCAGAAGTGTCGCGAGCGGCGACAGCGCCAGCAGCGGCACCAGCCGTGTTCGCCGCAGCAGGAGCAGCAGCAGCGTTAGAGGCGGCAGAGGTAGCGGCAGCAGGGTTGGCAGCCGCGGGCTGAGCCTTGGCAGCCTTGCCCTTCGCCTTCTTGCCCTTCTTCTTACCCTTGCCCTTCTTGCCTTTGCCCTTCTTCCCCTTCTTTCCCTTCTTCTTGCCCTTTTTAGCCCGAGTCTCGAGCTCCTCGACGTCATCTTCCGTGTCAACCTCGTCAGCGTCAACGAAGTCCAGGGAGCTCTCTTCCGCGTCCTCGACGTCGCGAGCAGCGACAGCACCGGTACCGGCAGTGTCAGCGGTCGAGCCAGTAGCGGCAGTGGCGGCAGGTGCAGCCGCTGCGTCGGTGGCAGCAGAGGTAGCGGCAGCGGGCTTGGCCTTGGCGGCCTTGCCCTTTGCCTTCTTGCCCTTCATTTTACCCTTGCCCTTCTTCCCCTTCTTCGCGCGAGTCTCGAGTCCTTCAACCTCGTCCTCCTCGTCGACTTCTTCGACATCATCAGAGGCATCGCGAGCAGCAACAGTGCCGGCGGTAGCAGCGGTAGCAGCGGTTGCAGCATTGGCGGGAGCGGCAGAAGTGGCAGCGGCAGGAGCAGCAGCAGCAGCAGTGGTGGTAGCCGTGGCCTTGGCCTTCTTGCCCTTCTTCTTTCCCTTGCCCTTCTTGCCTTTCTTGCCCTTCTTCTTGCCCTTCTTGTTCCTCTTGGCACGAGTCTCGAGCTCTGTGGCGTCCTCGATGTCGAGATCCTCGCCCTCGTCGGCCTCATGCTCCTCGACGTCGGGGGTATCACGAGCAGTGACGGCGCCAGCTGTGGTAGCAGCGGCAGCTTCCGTGGCGGCAGGGGCGGCAGAAGCAGCAGCAGCAGCGGTGGTGGTCGCAGCCTTGGCCTTCTTGCCCTTCTTCTTTCCCTTGCCCTTCTTTCCCTTCTTGCCCTTCTTTCCCTTCTTGCCCTTCTTCTTCTTGTTCTTCTTCGTCTTAGCGCGCCCCTCGAGCTCCTCGGTCTCGAGCTCGTCCTCATCCTCGTCGTCCTCGGCAGCCTCCTGGATGGCGGCAGTGTCCCGCTTAGTGGCTGGGCTAGAGGCAGAAGAAGCCGGGGCAGCAGACGCAGCGGAAGAAGCAGCCGCCGCGCCGGAACCATTGGCAAGCTGTACAGGCACGCAGCCGCCAAAGGGCCCAGCGCGGGCCGGGTTCTGGCATCGGACCATGCACACGTTGGACTGGCCCGCCACCGTACCAGTACAGGTCTGTCCGGCTGGGATATCGGCCACGAGAACCTGGTTCAAATACAATGGTCAGTATCAAGGTGTTGCTGTGAAGAGATCCGCCCAGGAAGACCCGCAACTCACGTTATCCGTCTTGGAGCCCTTTTGGTTGACTCCCCTCGCGCTACCGTCGACGTTGGTGCTGACGGTGATCGGCACCCACTTCGCGCCCGTGCCCGTCGCGTCAATCATGCAGGTGTATGCGCCTGCCCCATCGGCGTTGACTTGGTGCAGCGTCATTGTGAGCTTGCCGCCCGCGCTGACCTGCGGGAGCTGTGTCGAGTTGCCGGCCGCGGCATTGGCGGCGAGGATCGCAGCCGTGCCTTTCTCGATGTCGTTGTCACCACCGGCCAGGGTCCTGCCGCACACGTCGGCGGCTTGACCCCGGAAGGCGGTGGCGTCTTGTTGGAAGGGTTTGCGGCCTGTACCATCGCGCGGTGTGTCGGCGATGACTGTGCAGGTTTATGTGTTAGCCCGTGAGATGTTGTGATGCGTGAAAACATCAACTGGAGTGACTCACTGCCTAGAGCTGAGCCGGCACCGCCGAGATCACCTGTAGCCTGGGTGATGGCGGCATGGCCGGATACTAGCTGACCAGCAGCCAGTACGGTAGAGAGAAGGGTCAAGTTGACCATGATGACGATGGTCTTTGCTCAGGTTCGTGTCCTAAAGGATTGACACAAAACCACCAAGGAAAGGCTGTCGGATAAAGAATGAAAACTTCAAAATCAAAGAATGGCTAGCTGCCAGAGCTAGGAGGCGAAAAGAAAGTGAGCAAGAGACAGTGGTGTCTTTGATGACGAGCTGCTGCCGGTCAAAGGAATGGGAGCAAAAAGCCGTGCGGCTTCAGCGTCAGCTTTATAGCCTCACTCGTCTCTTGTCCGGCGTCCGTTGTGCCTGGCCCAAGAAACAACCTGGGGATGGGGCTCGGCTACTGTGGCTCGGCCCAGGGGCAGCTCTCCAAGCTCCCGCCACGCGGCCGTGATCTCGTTGTATGCCGACTTAACCGGCGGGACGCTGCCGTCCCGGGCATGTTGATCCAAGGGTTCACAGGAACAGGGCACAGAGGTCCAGAACATCTGCCCATGTGGCGGTCTTGCCTTGTCTCATGTTTGCAAGTTGAGCTCTCGCCAGGGGCCGCGGCCAGGAGTGGACCGACTCCTGGGGTGACGCGGCTTGGCATGGGTCCCGATGGTGCGGCACCCCTGGCAGGACAGAAAGAGGGAAATGAGAAAGGCACGGCTTTCAAGGGCAGTACACGGAAGAGATATATGCCAATCAGTCAGTATTGGAAGATGCATACTCTTCAGACTATACTCTAGAGCGGAAATAAGTCTTGGCAGCCATGGAGATCGCCAGCGGCGACGAGCCGCAAAGCAGCCGCACTCAATCTGGTCTTTGCCGGCTGGTGGGGTCTCGCCTCATCCACCCGAATTGCTCGGCGCAGAAATCTGGGGTCAAAAAGCTTGTCCTTGGAGCTAGCAAGGGTGGCCCAGGTCACAGAACACCCAAGCAGGGACGAAGCTTCACCTGGAATGTCACACCGCGTCCGTCGCCGTTTCATCCCGTCAATTTTGACGGCTTGGCTTACGACAGAGCACCCATGAGGCCTGCAGCTCCTTTCGGGGCTGGCTCCTCTACAGGCATCACGCCTTTCTCAGGGGCGCAATCGAATCCGGTTTCAGTAAGCTTCTGGTGACTAAACCGTCCGCGTGTAGATCGGACGTTCCGCAGAACGCGCCAAAGGATTGGCTCGCGCGCATGCCGAAATTCGAAGTGTTCCACAGCCGGTGAGACAATATTTGATTGCCTTATAGCCCCGGTCACACCCTTGCTCGTCGCAGATGGTGCCAGCGCCTCGTGGAAGGCACAACATTTACGCGCGAGAGTACAGCTGCATCCCAGGAGGGTGCATGCAGGATCACGACCGCGGCTACTACTGCTCGTCGCTCTCTACATTGGTGCAAGAGTCAGATCATTCAACTAGGCTCTTTGTTCACTCCCATCCTCATGCGACTTTCCACCACATCAAGCTGGTCGATTGACCAAAAAGAGTGAAATGTGCATGTCTTGAGCTAGATGTGCCAACAAGCAAAAGCATTATCTCTGCTCGCTTTCCATTCATGGCCGAGAGTCGACGGATCGTTCTGCCTGGGTATCACAGCTCGCAAAAATGGACAGATCCCGAACTGGCGACAGCAAAACTTGGTCCAGGAGGTTTCAAGGCGCGTTTGAACAGGACGAGGTCTTTCGGCAAATCTAATTGGCCTGGGCGCATACCGAAACGGGCATGGAAAGGCGTCATCCGATCACTAGGCTAGCACCTCAGGTATCTGAAACCATGATTGGCCTCATGTAGACAAGAGGCCGCCCTAGGTGTCAGCCGGAACCGTTCAGTCCCTAAGAGCTACGTTCTGTTCGACCTTCTTCAGGAGGAACCGGAGGCAGATCAGTCTACGCACACTCGAGATGTAGTTTTCGGATCATTTCTCAAGCGTGTATGCTGCACAGATCAGCGCCCGGTTATGTGATGTGAACATGCGTGCCAGATCAGACTCAACTCCTTAGACTTGGTTCTTGTGCTCCATGACACTTGTCTTATCATTTTCTTTTTTTGTTCTGTTATTGCTTCAGGCCCTCTATTTTTCTCTTTTATTTCGCATAAAGAATTGCGCTTTGTTCAGGATTGCGACGGTTTCTATGCTTACGGACTTTGCATTTGCATGGAAGGTTTTATGATCCTGCCTACCCGAGAGGTGGGGTCGGCTCCTGGCTTTAACCCCGCCCCAGCAGTACTGAAGACAACCATCCCAGCTTCACGATGAACCTTTCACCTCGCACGACCGCTCGGCACTATCGACATTGCTGCTGCCATACCGACATGACAAGCTTCGCGCGGGCTGTATTGACCTCGTTCTAGTTTGACAGATCGGCCAGCAAGAGGTCGAGCTCGGTCAGCGTCGTCATGTAATCCTGAATTGCGGCTGGTGCTGCTGGCGTTCGGTGAATTCCAATTCTGGTTATAAGCTTCACCAACGTTAAAGTCTGGCTGACGCCAGCCAGCAAAGAACCGCATAAGACGCAGGTGTATCTCAGTGTTAGTAGAGGGACTTGATAGGCTATAAGATTTATATCACGTCAGACAGAGGCGTATCTTACTATTATCAAAGATTGATCACATCCTCCAATATTCGGCCCCCAAACTCCAGACTCATTAGTAGAAACTCCAACTTTCATCACCGTGAAGTTGTATAAAGCGCTCTATCTACCGATGTTTTCTTTTCCATTTACCTCTAGACTTCATCCTCATCACCCAATCATTCGATCTTCAAACTCTCTACTACCATTACTGTTTCCCGATTTTAGGGAGGTTTCCTATCATTCACAATGAGGTCATGGACTCTTTTTTTGACGTTTGCTGTCTCCGCTCTGGGGTCCAGAGATGGAACACTTAATACCGGCCCCCTGGACCCGCTACCCCGAAAGAACACCCCCGCAGAAAATTATTTTCAACCTGCCATGGATTTCGACAAAGACTCGTGCTACAACGCAGTGGCGGTGGATGCTTCTGGGCGAACCGACAAGGGCCTGCCGTTGCCCGGTACTGCGACTTCTGGTTGCCGCGACGAAAGCCGCCTCAATCATCAAAACGTCTATGTTCGATCTCGCTGCAATAAAGGATGGTGCGCGCACTACTACGCGTATTACTTCGAGAAGGATATTGGTCCATTTGCTGGTCACCGTTATGACTGGGAACACGTGGTCGTCTGGACCAAGTACAACGGAAATCGCGACAAAAACGGGTACCCTCTGATCGTATACGTCTCCGCATCGCAGCACAAGGGTTACGAGACGAAACACACCAGCAACGTGCGATACCAGGAGGAGAACGGCTATCATGCCAAGATGGTCTACCACCTCGACAGCGTGACGACTCACAACATCCGATTTGCGTCTAACAATGACGAGCCGCCGGAGAACCACTGGAAGGCCTGGATCAAGGCGAATTTGGTCGGCTGGCTGGGGTTCCCCAGCGACAATGTGAAGAACAGCATCCAGGGAAATGTCTTCGGAGATGCCTATCTGTGCTTAAAGGACAGCGCTTTTGGTGGATGCTTGACCAATGCGATGCCAGATGAAGTCAAGAAGAGCGGCTTCGATGTCACCCAAGACTTTGCTTGTTCTTCATTGATGGCAACATATGGTACTTGCGTCAAGGTGTAGATATTGGCTCACCTTGACGTACGTCTTCACACTTGCGTGACGACCCGACTACAGGGGATTGTTTGCAGCTTAGTGCCACAAACAAGGCCGCCATGGTCTGGCCCTCATTGCGCTTCGGGTTCCACCATAAGCTTGAGCCACACCACGGGCCGCGCAGCCCAGACTAGGGTCCTTCTTGGCGGCACTCATGGGCCTGGCACATTACCTAAGTGTGGCTTGATGTTGTTGAGACAGGAGTCAAAGCTGAACACGGCAGAGTCGCGAAATCGTGGCTGCGCCACAAGGGAGCTGTGATTGCGCACATCAGTAGAGAAAAGGGGACACGGGGACGAGACGAGGTACGCGCTGAGCAAAATTTAACGGTGCTAAAACAGTCAATCGTCTAAGCGACTCGTCGCTTTTGCGGCCTTGTGTGTGAGAAGAAAGTAACCCTTGTCCGGTTATGCTGTACAGGCTCGCTACCATACTTTTGACTCTGATGTCCTGTCTGGCTTCCCAATTTCACGCATAGCGTCAGTGCGCCCAGGTTGGCTGGACACAAGGGACGGTGAAGATCCTGCTGAGAAAAATTGCACAAGCCCGCATGTCTGGATCTGCTCGAGATGCACAGTCGCCTCGAGCCGACAACCATGCATGTTTTAGTGCTGAGTGTTGGTTTGTTTACTCGTCTGCCTGCGCGGACCATAAGAACAAGTCTCCCCGCACCTAGTATCAAACACCACCCAGTATCAGACACCACCAAGATGAGAAGGAGTGCTTTCCTGATTCGTCCAGGGACAGCTCCCAAATAGTGCTGCCTGGACGCCTGGATAGGTTTTGTGGATCCCGCACCAGACCAGGACCAATAGAGGCTGTCGTATCGTCTGACATGGCGTCAGGTTTGCAACAAACCAGGTCAATAGGTTTCGTCGCGGGAAAGCTGGTTGGTGCGTTTGTGTCTGCCTTGGATCACCCCTGCCAACGGGCGCCAATGCTTCCTGCGTGGTTCTGATATCTCTGTCGCCCCGTACAGCCTGACCGTGTCTCAGATAAGGACCCGAATGTGCAGTTTTCAACTAGTTGATAAATCGCAGAGGTCCTCTGATTCTAGCCCAGAACCAGAACCTTCTCCAGGCACCTCGAACCAGTCCTTTTTTTTTTTTACCATCACATCCTTCGTGCTTGCGCAAGTCAAGTCAAATCACAATGGCCAGTCAAGTCACAACGACCACCCCGAGCCTCGGCGCTAGCGAATCACTCGTGATGAACCCCCGTCAGCTCTTCAGTAAGGCCGCCAACGCTCGGCTGACTGGCCGCAGCCGGGTGAGCATCCTCCTTGCGGTCTCGATCGCGTTTATATTCTCGGTAGCCATCAACCTGCACGCCCTCTACGATCGTAACTCCTATGGGTATCGCGGCGGCAACCCCAAGCATACCGTCACCATGACGTTCCTGGTCCTCCTGAGCTTGATCCTGCTGGCTATTCTGTCCACCGTGACACGCAACTTCCTATCCAGTCTCATCGTCGGGCTGACCGGCATGGGCCTGTACATCTATATCACGTTCCTCGTGGACCCCTGGACACATGGACATGGCCGCGTCATTGCTACCTGGTCGGTCCTCACCTTCTGGATCTTCTTCGTGGTCGAGGCAGTCCTGGGGTACGGCTATCAAGCCACTGGCTGGATGGAGGCGAGGCTCGAGGACAGGGACCTTGGCAGGATCCGGCTCGGCTCCGACGAGGCCAACACTGTGCTCCCGCACGAGGAGTACCGAGACATCCCCACACCGCGAGCGCTGCAGGTCGATCAAGTTGCAGCAGTCGCTGCCCTGGATCTCGAGAGGGGCGAGCGGTCGCCCCCCAAGGCCGACTCTGTTGCTTAGAGCTGTGGGTACATTCTTCCTCTATGGTCGAGTCGATGGATGTGGCGCCCACAGCTTCGGGTTGGCTGGCCCGGTCTGTTGTAGACCTCTGTTTCTGATTAGGACTGCATGGAACGTGGAAGCCAGGAGGATTGGTGCCAGGTGGTGGAGCAGAGGGTTGTGTTCTCGCTGGCGGGAACGTGAAGCCTAGAGAGAATGTCGTGTGAAACATTTTAGAACTGTGTGGGAGGTCTGATATGGAATGACTCCAGACAGTACTTGAGGCCTAGTCAACTCTCAACACTCCCCGAAGCTACCTGTGACGCTCACGATGACAGTATACTGTTGATGCAAGGCACCAGCACGACGCCCTGCCATGTTACCCTAGCGTCGACTGTGTGCATTGCCATGCCATGCCCCCACCTTGTTGTTTCCACAGGCAGGCATTGTGACTTGGGAAACTAGACGCGCGATCAATAGCGAATCGGTCGCCCGTGTGCGCAATTCTAAGCAATAGGACGGGCTAATGGTAATAACACGAGTGAATATAGGCGCTAGCCTACTGTATCAATTCCGACATGTCAGGGTACAGTGCTCACACATCACTGACGTAGTAGCGTGCACAGGGGACTGTGATAACGATGGGACCGGACTTACACCCGACGGGTAATAAGGACGCTGTGGAGAAATCTGCTGATGACTTCGATATGGACAAGGATAAGCAAGGGGTTTGCGTGGCCCTGCGTGGTGATAGGAAGACCGGCGCTCTGCCGACGGAAGACAATCAGGGCCGTATTGGTCGCTGATCGGCAGAGTCCCCGCGGATTGACTGTAACGTTGGTATGGATAGTGGATCCTAGCCGAACCTTTATTCTATCGTTGTTTATCAGTTGGGGTAAATTGGACCTGGAGCCGGACTGACTGAGGGGCGGGCAGGGTCCCAGTGCGCCGAAGATCGGATAATTGTGTACCGAAAGGTCACTTAAGTATCGTGTTGGACATCGCGCTATGGGCTGCGTTGGGCGCATCAATGAGCTCGTTGGAGCATGCGGATTGAGCTGAGTCATATTGAGACCACACTTTCACACAGTCGCGAACCTCAACAATGAGAATGTTAGGCGGCTCCCAAGGCTTGTATGGGCTGAGCCTCAGTGGCCTCATGCTTGCCCTGCAATGCACAGCAGCCGATGCCGCCCACACCCAAGGGGTAAGACAGAATTCACTGTCATGAGCTCGTTTCATTGATATCTGCTGACGCGGTGGTCTGCTCCTCGCTTGTTAGAAATCGGTGCCCCTCAACCTCGCCCCTTACTTCAACAACAAGGGATTCGGCAGCCAGCCGGGCGAGGCCGCCTTCGACACACAAAACCAGTCCTTCCCAGTCCCGCCCGCGAGCATGAGCCCGTGGTACACCTCGGCGGACACGGGCATCCGGTATAGTTTTCCCGGATACACTGGTCCGGCTGAACAGCCCGACAACCTGATCGCTACCGGCCAGACCATCCCCGTCTGCAAGGGCAGCTACTTCTCAGCCTCTTTCCTCATTGCTGGGGACGTCCAGGGTGCCACGGTCAGCGGACCAGTGTCCTTTGTGTACTCTGACAACATGCAATCCGAGTACGAGATCCGGTCGCTCAACTGGTACAGCTGGCTGACCATCGATCGGGGCGAGATCACCCTGCCGCACCGGTACACGTCCAATGGCACGAACGGGAACACGACGCAGATCTTTGAGCGCACCGCACCACTGCTGCCAGGCAAGAAGCTCACGTCCATTGTACTGCCCGACAGGAGCAATAGCACCACAGGGCGCCTGCACGTCTTTGCCATCTCGCTGTGGCAGCAGGAGCCGACCGTCAAGGTGCAGTCGGTCCGGCCTACGCAGAAATGGGTCGGGGACCGGAACCAGACACAAGTGGTCGAGGTCACCATCAACAATGCCGGGTCCGAGTGCTCTGCCGGCGACGGATTCAATGTCACGCTCGCCGGCGATGGGTTCATCACCACGCTTCCGGGTCACGTGAAGCGCCTGTGCCCAGGAGATCAGAAGACGGTCGCTGTTGGGGTGGAGGGAGCAAGCGGAGGCCCGATGAGCGTCACTGTCCATCTCACGCAAGGGTCCCACGACTGGACAACCTCGTCTTTCGATGATGTAGAGATCGGATTCAAGGACTGGACGGCCGATTCGACCAGCCTGGCGCAGCACGAAAGCCCCGACTGGTTTAACGGCGCCAAGTACGGCATCTTTATCCACTGGGGCGTTTACGCTGTGACGGGCTGGGGCAACTCGACGCCATACGAGTCTTATGCAGAGTGGTTCTGGTGGTACAGCATGAACCATCCTCAAGCTGACCGATCCAACTTCTACGGCTACCGATTGGAGACGTACGGGAAGGATTGGGCTTACGATGACGCGATCCCAGAGTTCACAGCGGCGGCGTGGGATCCAAAGGAGTGGGTGGACCTCTTTGCGGACGCGGGCGCCCAGTACTTTGTCGTGACGACCAAGCATCATGATGGGTTTGCCCTCTTCGACACGGGCGACACGTCAAACCGCAGCTCGCTGCACTACGGACCAAAGCGCGACCTGATTGCGGAGCTGTTTGATGCCGCAAAGACCCATCAGCCTTCCTTGAAACGAGGCACCTATTTCTCCCTGCCCGAGTGGTTCAATCCAGACTTTGGTCCGTACGGCTATGTCCAGCACCCGACCCCGTCGAGCACCAGTTGGCTCGGCATCCAGGCCAAGAACCCCTACACTGGAGTCGAGGAGCCCTACACCGGGCGGGTCCCCATCGGCGACTTCATTGCTGACCTCATGGTGCCCCAGATGGAGACGCTCGCCTATACCTACGGCACCGACATCATGTGGTGCGACGCCGGGGCGGCGAACGGGACAGCCGCCTTCGCGGCCGCGTGGTACAACAAGGCCCGAGCCGAGGGCCGGGAGGTGACGATGAACTCGCGCTGTGGCATCCCCGAGGCCGACTTTGACACGCCCGAGTACGAGACTTTCGCCTCGCCGCAGCGGCACAAGTGGGAGAGCAACCAAGGGATGGACCCGTACAGCTACGGCTACAACCGGGCGACCAAGGACGAAGAGTACATGAACGCGACGACCATTGTGCACTCCCTCGTCGACATGGTGTCCAAAAACGGCAACCTGCTGCTCGACATTGGTCCCCGGGCCGACGGCAGCATCGTGCAGGCCGAGGTCGACAACCTGCGCGAGGCGGGCCGGTGGATCAAGAGCCACGGCGAGGCCATCTTCAACACGACGTACTGGTTCGTGCAGAGCGAGATTGTCGGCGGGCCGGATGTCAGGTTCACCCAGACGGCTGAGGCATTCTACATCGTTTTTCTCGAGAAGCCCCGTCCTGTAGATGGCTGGGTCGTTATTCAAGCGCCAATCCCCATTGTGGACGGCGACATCGTCAGCCTGCTGACCGTTCAGGGCGGGGAAACGCTCGAGTGGAGCATGACAAGCTCGGAAGGTCAGCCGGAGCTCAAGGTTAAAGTGGACCAGATACTGGTCGGTGCGGACCAATATGGATGGGTCTTCAAGGTCTTGTATGTGGGGTGATATGGCTGAACACTATTGAATGCTGTTCACAGCTGTGAGTCCGCCACGGATACGGAATATGACCTCGTCACTTGTGGATTACGTGAGTCGTACCGAGATCCAAGGGGAAGGGCTACTAGCGACTACGGAGCTAGTATTGAGCATTATCGATGATACGCTCGTTGAGCAGAAGCGTATCTGGATAAGTGGGCTTAGTGGCTAAAACCACTTACCAGCAGACCTCTCACATATGGATAATAGACTACACCTACAAGCTACGCATCTGCTTAGACCCGGCGACCAGTCTCATTGGTGATATATCTCTGGTGACTAGCAGAGCGTCTCCAGTTACTTGCACCCTGTAGTCAGCTCACCTCTGCACCTCGTGTGGCTGGACGGACAGCGGCTGGGGTCCCTGTAGTGGCGGTGCATTCCGGGTGCCCAAGGGCGCTAACGAACCACAAGGCAGCAGCGTTTCACTTGTCTCGCCCTCTGAACGAAGCATCAATGGTTGAGCTCAGCAACACAAGCCAGAACCGCCCGCAACAATGTCGCAACCAGCAGCAACAGCTGAAGTGCACCGACCTGAGCTCTTCTTTGTCGAGCACAACAACACCAGCCTCGCCACCGAGACCATCGTCTTCCTGCACGGCGCCTTTGGTTCACATCACGAGTGGGACCATGTGGTGAGCCATCTGTCTGCCGCCAGCGACAAAGGCGGCGTGGATCAGGCGCAACAGGGGCAGTATCACATCCTCGTGCCAGACCAGTTGCAGCACGGACGCTCGCGGCAGTTGGCAGCCACGGCGGCCGAGTCCTCCGCCGCTGCACCTCCTTTCACGAGTGCCTCTGCCGCCGACGCCGTCGCCGCGCTCATCCGAAAACACGCCCGCCCGGGACCCGGCGGAGGAGCCGGCAGGGCACACGTCGTCGGGCTCTCTCTCGGCGGCTTCGTCGCGCAGGCCCTAGTGCGCCGGCACCCGGACGTCGTGCAGTCCCTGTTCATCACGGGCGCGACGCCCTTCACGCCCGCGCAGATGTGGCTCGCACGGCACAGCACGGGCCTGCACTGGGGCCTGTGGGCCGTCATGGGCAGCGGCTTCTACCGGTTCGCGGCGTGGAGGGCCGGGCTCCTCGAGCACGGCGAGCTCCAGAGGGACATGTGGGAGAACAACCGCACGGCGGACCTCGCGCAGGGGGTCTATGGAGATCTTGCGCAATGGGGCTGGGATGACGTGGCCGAGGTCGCGAAGGCTGTGGCAAGCAACAGGATCAGAGTGCTGGTGTGCGCTGGTGGTGACGGAGATAATGTCGAGGGGACAAAGGAGATGGTAAAGGTGATCAGGCAAGGCGGGACGGAAGAGGGAGGAGGAGGAGGAGATGCGGTGGACTGCCAGGGCTTCGTGGTTGCGAAAGCAATCCATGGCTGGGATTTGCAGTTTCCTGACCTCTTTGCCACTGCCGTGAGAGCGTGGATACATCAAGAGACCATGCCGCCCCAGTTCGTTACTGTCGACTCGTAGTTACGGTCATGCGGCATCATTCCCGACTAATGATTTGAGTAAGCTTGAAGAAAGTAATTGAAAACGATCACGTTGATCCAGTTATTGTTTGAGGGACGCACCAACCTCTGCTTTTCACGGCGCAAGTCATTCTTGTTACGTCATGTCTGGGTAGCTGATATCTGCATATTGTTTTCCGCAACACCGCCAGTATCTCAAAGATCTCAATCAGATATGCAGACAACATGTCAGGCCTGGGCTGGCATACCGCGGAAATGCGCGGTGAAAGGCTTCGCGACGGCCACCCACGGGGTGGTGGTTTGCCAATGGCAGCACGACAGGCGTCCATCCACACATGGTTGGTCAGAAAATGGACAGCTCCGCCACCAAAGTCCTGCATATTGGGAAGGCCAATGGAACAAGCCAGCGCCAGCAACCCTGCATCTCGATTCATGCGTGTCGATTGGTCAGAATATGGACAGACGAGAGGGGTCGCTTGGCAATCCAGATTATGGGCAACAGGCATGACACCACAAGCTCTGCATGCCAAGAACGCAGCCTCGCGACCTTTGCTGCCCCTTCATGCCGTATATATAAACTGCTGCCCGTTTCCGTGCACTGTCGTGGTGCAGTTCACTCTTTACTGCGAGACAGCAACCCACTGCACAATAAAGCTTCACAAGAACTCTTCCAGAGTACAGCCCCATCATGCAGACATCGAACCATGGCCATCAACTTCAAGATACCTCGCAGCTCTGGTTGCAGCATAACTCGCTGATCAGAGAGCTATACCTGGGCAACGGGAAGCAGCAATCGCGTACCCTTACAGAAGTCCGAGAAGTGTTGATTGCCAAACATGGCTTCCCCGATGCTCCGTAAGTGCCATATCAAGCCCACACATGTGTGGTGCACGTGCTCAATCGTTTTCCTAGTCTATCAATCTACGAGACGAGGCTTCGAGATCTGCTCAATCTACGCAAAAGACTGAAGAAACACGAGTGGGCTGTGGTTTGGGCACATTGCCGCAGACTAAAAGAAAAGGGGGCAACCCCAGAAGTGGTCATTCATGGGATTCGCCAGCCCTGGATTAAAGTCTGGAAGGAAATACGGAGAAACAAAGGCCATTTGGGTCACGTAAGTACGTATACTTACAATCCTGGGCGTGGATTCGCACGTCTCCTTGGTCGCACGATAGCTAATGCGGGTGGTCTGCAGTGATCAACCATGACGCACTCCCTCCCGGTGTCGTTGTCCAAGAAGCCAATTCATCGATGCCCCGTCGTACCTCTACCGTCACCGAATCAGGAAAGCTCTCTCTTCAGTTGTCGCGCAGCCCGCCCCTCCACTCACCACCAGATCAGGGGCATACAAACCAGAGCGTTCGGCCCTCAAAAGTCTCGCTTGTCTGTCGTCCCCTCGTCGCTGGACCATTGCGACATGAGCAAACCTCTTTGGAAGCGTCCGAAACTCGACTGGTCAAGGGAGCTGGCCCTCAATTGAGACGATGTATTCAAAGTAACTGGCAAAAGCCGTCGACTAACCTGCGCCTCGCGCCCGATGCCGTCGACCTTTCAAAGACCGATATATGGAAAGAGTGGAGAGGCATGCTTCTGAAGGACATGCCTTTCCTCCAAGTTCTGGCATTCATGCAGGGTGAGTTCTCCCAACCTCTTGACTGAAGTGGACTTTAATGATCAACGCTAATGGCTCCCTTAAATGACAGCGCCCTTGACCTATCCCCTGCAAAGAGACACAACAGCGCAGGATCTTCCTCCGCATGATGTGTCGCTGCGGGTTGAGATTGTTACTGGGTTCCTTACGAGGCCGTCCCTAGATTTGGCCAGCGTGCTACCCTCACTATTCCGCTCCCATGACGAGACTCTGCAGTCAGCTGGAGCATTGTCATGGGAGATAGACCCCTTCCACTTTCTCTCGCGCGCCATCTTCCGTTTGAGTAATTGCCTAGTTGAAAGGTCGCCGTTGTCTCGGGAAGATCGGTTCATGCACAAAATCCTGTTCACTCGTATTCCAGCAGCAGCCCTGCGAATCCTGCTGCACAGTGACCTTCCATCTGGGAGGGCTGCCCACAAGGAGTTGCTCAAACTGACAGCATCGATGGATGACCAAGCAACATTCTCGCTCATGGCCTCTGAATCTACAGCGATTACGGAGATGTCCCAACTCTCCATAGTGAACCTCCTCTTAAAGCATCGCAGCCGCCAGTGCCTAGAACTTGCCGTGCAGGGGCTTGCGCTCAACATCAGCACAGCGACTGCAGTGGCGCGCCTTCTTGTGGACGCCAGCTGGGACCACCCATACCTTCGGAGCCACTATCGCCCACTTGTTCAATGGCTGCATTCGTATTTCCTTGCGTCAAGCGCGGAGCACATCCACACTGTCCAGAGCCAAACCCGCCTACGCATCAGGGAGGGATCTGACTCCCGTTATCGCTTCGATTTTTGCTTCGATTATCATAGTCTTGCAAACAGCCTTCGCACGTGGGGCATGTCAGAGCATATTGCTGAGCGCCTGGGCCTTCTGCCAGACCAGTACGCCGAGCGCACTCGGGAAATCAAAATCTTGCAGTGGGAAATCGAAAATCACGTTGCACCCTTGTTGCTGGCTAGCCGGAGTGGCCAGCGGCGGTGTGATTGTAGTCTGTCGGAAGCTGAGGGCCTGGTAGTGTGTGCCTCTCTGCAAGACATGTTGAAGCAGATGATCGGAACACAACAGTTTCACTGTTCTGCGCAGGAGAGCAGAAATGCCGCGTCGACATGGAAATGGGCCTTGGGCACTCTTCTGTGGCAGAAGTATGCTCAATCCTACTCCAAGGGGCATACTGTGCGCAGCGTCATCGCACTACTGTCACTGCAGGAGTTATTGCTGTGGGTTGTCGATCAATTGGCACGCTCCAGAACGTCGGAAACTTTGTGGACAATCCTCGATTCTGTTTTGGATGCAGGCGCCACATTCTGCGAGACAAGCCTTCGGCGTGCAGCTACAAGCTACAACAACCAGAGTCTATTACAGCATTTCCACCAAATGGGTGCCGACATCGCTGGGCTGGGTGCTCCTGCGCTGGTGATGGCTGCCAGACTCGGGAACGTGGAGCTTGTCGCCTGGCTGCTCCAGACGGGGTTGATGCCAATGCCGTCATCGACGTCGAAGGCATACAGCATACCATCCTGGGAGCATTCTTAGACGACGAACTTCGAGACTGGCCGTTTGCCATATGGAGTTGTCACGGCAAAGTATTAAACATGACAAAACTGCTCACAGAGGCAGGCACTCGATTCCAGCACACCGGAATCGAGTGTCAACCCTTCGGGGCACTTCGAGGACTAATTTCGAGGATTTTAGGTGAGGCCGAATTGGCTCAGGCTCCAGAAGCCATACGAACCTGGTGCGATGAGGCGGCTCTCGTCAGTCCAGAGGCGAGCGTCCTTCTTGAAGCATGCGTAGAGTCTGAAGCTTGGGAAGTGATGCAGTTTCTGCTTGATGCTGGAACTCCCGTGGCGAATTCTCCCGTCCTCGCCACAGCCCTGTTGACAGGTACGCCAGACAGTGTGATCCAGCATCTCCTCCGCGCAGGTAGCGATGTCAATGCTGCCAGTAGATATGGCCTCTCGCCAGCAATGGCCGCATGCGTATCTATTAACCTCCCGGTAGTGGCGCAGCTCGCTTCTCTAGGAGCAGACCTGAAGGCTCGCGACAGGTGGGGTGACACCCTCCTACACCGTGTGTGCAAGGCCGATACTTTTACGACCTTGCAGTCTGCACAACGGATGGAGCTGATTTCTTTTCTTCTGGAACACGGGCTAGATGTCAATAGTGTGGACTGTGAAGGATGCAATTGTCTTGTAGCCGTGGCCGATGGTGGGGATGTTGAGCTCGCCATGATTTTGCTTGAAAAAGGGGCTGATCCTAACCTGGCGCCGGGCTGCCGATGGCCCAGTGCTTTGGACAGCGCTGCTGGTCGGGGGCGGCTCGACATGGTGCAGCTGCTGCTCAACGCTGGTGGCACTAGTACACGACAAGGTGCAACAGCTTATGACGGGGCGATTGAGATTGCCCAGCGGAGAGATCATGGCGAAGTGGTAAGACTTATAAGGCGACATGTTGGGCTTCTGTAGAGCGGCATGCCCCATAGATACCTTGAGTAAGCTTGAAGAAGACAATCGAAAACAGTGAATAAGAAACCGCTTTGATACAGTTCTGTCTGATAGACGGATCAACCCTCTTGTGTCGACTTGTCAACCTCTGCTTTTTCACGGAGCAAGCCGTCCTTCCCAACCCATGTTCGGCTATCTACACAACTGTCAACCGCTCTACCGCCAGTGTCTATGCCCATTCAATTAGACTCTGCTGAAGGAAACTCGTGCTGGCCACTGCCAATGGTCGCACGTTCCTTACCATGGGCTGTCATGACCACCTCGGCCATCGCGTTCGGTGGCACAGTCACTTTCAGCTTGGGCTTCTTGCCATTGTCGGCCGTCCACTCCGTCTCAATCCACCCATAAGGACTCAGATACCTCGCCCTCGCATGCGTAATCCCACCACCCGGTTCAACCCTCACCACCGCCTTTCTCCAGCCCTCCTCTTCACTTGGTGCCAGCCCGCCAATAACCCTGTGAATCCAGTCCCCCACAGATCCGAATGCATAATGATTGAAGCTCGTCATGCCGCCCCAGTTCACACTCCCATCTGGCAGCATGCTATCCCACCTTTCCCAGGTCGTAGTCCCACCCATGACCACCTGGTATAACCAGCTCGGCACAGTCGTCTGCTTGAGCATCCGATAAAACGTGCTCGTCAGGTTATACCTGGTCAGCGCATGGCCGAGAATATGTGTCCCCGCAAACCCAGTCCCGACTTTGTACTCGTTCCCCGCGATGATGTTGTCCAGCCGTGCCGCCGCGGCCTCCGCCTCGCGTTCGCTGCGGAACAGGTCGAACCACAGACACAGTGCGATACCCGTCTGCGTCTCGTTGTACACCGTGCCGTCCTTGTGAACCCACGCGTGTTGGAACGCGGCCTGCAAGTCATCCGCCCATCGGGCGTGGTACTTCTCGTCGTCGCGCTTGTCCAAGACCCGCGCCATCTGCGCGACAAGCTTCGTCATGCCCACCAGGTACGCATCCGCCACGAATCTCTTGTCGGTCTGCGCCTGGCTGGCGTCGTTCTCCGGGGCCGTAGGGTCGAGCCAGTCGCCGAACTGGAATGCGTCGCGGTCCCACAGCGCGATGTTCCGTGGGGTGCTGGGCTGGCGCTGGATGCCGCTGTCCAGCCAGGCTTTTGCACCAGCGTACTGCTCAAGTAGTATGTTCCTGTCGCGGAAGGACTGGTAAGTGTTCCATGGGTTGCCGACGACCACGTCTCCCCAGACCGCAGGGGTGATGGGAGTGTTTTGAACCCAGGGAAAGCTGGGAGTGACATTGGCTGGCGAGCCTACGCTTAAAGTTAGCTTAAATTGGGAGTCGAGGGGCTAAGCTGGGGAAACTGAGAAACAACAGATGGTGGCACATCCACTGACCGTTTCTTGCCCTCTGCTCCTCGTACACATCCCTCATCCACCCCCTCCAGAAGCCGCTCGTGTCGAACAAGTAGTTGGCGGTGCGGGCAAATACGTGCGCATCACCAGACCAGCCCAGTCTCTCATCGCGTTGTGGGCAGTCGGTAGGGACGCTCATAAAATTGCCCCTCATGCTCCATATGATGTTCTCGTGCAGCTTATTTAGCAGCGGGTCGGAGCATTCAAAGTAGCCGCTGCGCTCCATGGCCGAGTGGACCACGATGGCTCTGATAGACTTCTTGTTGAGCGGCACCGTGTCTGGCCACCCCGTGACCTCGACGTATCGAAAACCATGGTAGGTGAAGGCAGGCTCCCACTCCAGGGTTTGATTGCCGGACAGGGTGACGGTGTCTGTCTGTGCGGCGTTGCGGAGTGGTCCAATGGCCAGCTCGCCGTTCTCGAGCACTAATTCAGCATTAGCTTTGACATCGGTGGATAATCGAGACTCTTGTGAAGCTCAATGCCACCCACCTTCAGCATGACGAAACTTGATCTGCTGCCCTCTCGGCCCATCAAATTTCACTCTCAACCACCCGACAAGATTCTGCCCGAAATCGAGAATCGTCTTACCAGACGGGCTCGTCAACACATCAGCAAGCTCGACCTCACCCGTTCGCATGATCGGCGGTCCGTCCGGCGCGGCAAGCCTATCAAAAGGCGTATCGATCGTCTTCACACCGCCCCATGTCCCCTTCTGAGCACGATATCCTGGAATCATCCACCCTTCCAGCTCCTCTCGAGCATCATACTCCTCGCCATCATATATCTCACTCCGGATAATAGGACCCGCCCCGTAACTCCAAGACTCGTCCGTCTTGACCACCCGCTGCGTCCCATCAGTCATGGTGACAACCAGCAAGGCCAGGACTCCAAGATCTGAGCCCCATACATTCCGCTGGCCTCCATTCCAGCCTATACGGCCGGCATACCACCCTTCGCCGACCACGATACCTAGCACATGTCGCCCTTTATCCTCCCTGCGGTGGTGATGATCGCTCTGAAGGTCCGGGTCAACTGATCCCTGCTGGGTGAGATGCTCAGTGACATCATAAGTGTCGTATACCCGGCGGTACCCGTAGTCCTGCCACCCCGGGGCGAGGACCACATCTCCGTTGACGCTGCGCCCGTCAATGTAGGCCTGGTACAAGCCTGCAGCGGTGACGTACAGCCTCGCCCGGGCGATCTGGGGCGAGGACATGACGGCCTGGCCCCGACCGCTCGCCAGCCAGTTCTCGTTATAGCGTTCGTTGTGGCTCCCGCCCGCATCACTACCGCTGCCGTGCTTGGAAGACAACGAGAACTCTTTTCGAAACAGCCTCGGACGTTTCGCCACATCCCTGTCCTCGGCACTCGTGCTGGCAATCATCTCCGCGTCGCGCCAGTCCTTCTTCTCGAAGAGACCGGCTTCAACAAAGTACCTGTCTGACCACTCCGAGTCGAGCTTCTTCCCGTTGTTACCAACGTCTGTGATATCAGACCACTGCCTCCCACGCGCCCGGATGCGCACAGAAGCCCTCTCCCCCGCCGACAGCGCGAGCGTGGGCCAGGGCACGAGCACGCTCTCCGAGCCGTTCACGCTGAACAGCTGCTGCTGCTGAGCCTGCTCCCCTGTCGGATGACTGTGGCTGTGGTGACTGATGTCACGCGTGATCTCCATGTCGTAGCTCGTCTGGGTCCAGTTGACCGCGTCCCCGGCGAAGCGCCATGATATGCGCGGCTCTGTCTCCCCGATGCCGAGGGCGTGGGGGTAGTGGTGCTCAAACGATATGTGGCTGATGGAGACTGCCATCTCTCTGTCAGTCTGCGAGCAAGATCAAGAGGTAAAAGCCGTGAGCGATGTCCTGCTCCCTAACGCGCGGAATGGATGGGAGAGAAGGCATGTCGGACTTCGGAAGGTAGGCGTCTGAACTGCGGCCCTCACATGTCTACCTCGAGCGCCCTGCACTTACCCGTCTGTCCATGCGACAGTGGCCGCTGGGGCACGTCCGTATTACCTGCACCACCAACACCAGCGGTATGAGACTGCCACGCGGCGAGCACGTAGCACGAAGCGGTCTTGATCCAGCGCGCAAGGATGAACTGCTGATCAGTGCGTGCTGATCCTCCTCCTCCTATTCCTCCTCCTAGCCATCCTGCCAGTGAGGAGGTTTCGCCTGGCGCTGAACAGCCAAGCATCACAACGAGATTTCGCGCTTGTCGAGCCAGTCCGGGGTTAGGAGAGTGCGTGTCCTGGGACTAGACTACTGCCTCGCGAGAAAGGCAGTCTGACCAGCTGGCCCACGGGAGGTGGGGAGATGTCTGAGCAGATGCAGGGCTGGGCAGTCAACGTCGATTCGCCCCCTGTTCAAATCTGAGGGATTTGAAGTAGTTCAGGGATGGAGGCTGTGATGGGGGGAAGCCAAGAGTGTGGATCTGGTGTCGTTGCTTTTGAGTTTCTCACCCCCGCGTTCAAGTTCGTTGTGGCGGTCGCTAACGGCGATCTTAGTGGTGGCGTCACTGGGAAACTGTAATTTTAGGCCCAGCCAAGACTCGAGTGTGTCTCTCGCTTGTGACGCAGTGGACTTGGCTGTGTGACAACATCCATGAATGGTGCAAATCCGGCAATGCCATTGTGCTACATGTAAACGTCTGTTAAACTACATACACGTCTGCTCAGAGTGCCAACCCGTGGACAAAATAGCGACCTTCCACCGAATTCCCCATCAGTCCCCGCCAGAGGCTTCCGTGCCCGCTGTCGCCCATCGCCGTACATATGGTTCATTCGTCAAAGAAATAACAAAAGTTGGCGTCCGACCGTCTTCACTGGAATACCAACCGAGCCTGCAATATCAATGCAACAGATTCCGTCTGGCACACGCCACATCTGTTGAGTCCCCCCTTCCGCGCGTCTGTCTAATTCATCATCAAGCCCCTCATGAAGTCTCTGACAAGATCATAAGGAGGAATCCGGCCCGTCTTCTGGCCGTGGATGCAGCTGCGGCACGCCCACGTGTGATCCGGAGCGGTGCCCATCGTCGCGCAAGGCTTGATGCGTCCACAGAGCCTGCAGGTCATGTAGTGGCTCATGCAATAGGTCGGATCGGTCAATCCCTCACACGGCTTGCCACACTGGTTGTAGACGCCAATACCATCAAAAGCATCCATGTTGGTCACCCATGTGCAGCCTGCAGCCCTCAGTACTGCCGTCTTCAGGTCGCCACAATTAAGGAACGTGGTATGGACGCCTGCGATGATTGGATAAAGTCTTTCGAGGTGCGCGCTGTTGATGGTCAGGCGAAAGTCGCCAACTGCTTCTGCCATTACTCGGGACGGCTTCAATCGGAGTGCTCCCTCATGCCGCTCTCCATAGAGCAGCCGGGGTTTGCCGCCGTAGATGGGAAGCTCGGGTGGCTCCGGGTGTGCGCCTCCGTCCGCAGGAGCGCTGGACAAGCCATCCAAGTACACCTGCCACATGGCCTGCATGGTGCCTGGCGCCAAACAACGGTGCACTTGAGTGAGTCTGTGAGTGAGGACACGGGCGAGGACGATGCCGCGCTCGATGATTGTTCTGCCAGGCTCCGGAGGGGCAAGATCTTGTGCGAGGCCGGAAGCGTGCTTGCGGACGCCGTTCCGATCCTGGAAAGCATGGTGGTGAGAGGGATCCGTGCTTTGGACTCGGAAGCGGATATTGTGTGGAAGCTGCTGGTGTAGACACTCTGCGATCTTTGGCGTGATCTTGGCCATCAGGTCGTCGGCAACGAGCTCGGCCTGAGATGCGGTGGCCCATGCCTTGGGATAGGTGGCCAGAAAGCGAGCAGTGCCACCTGCACCAGGTGGAGGGACAACGAAGAAGGCCCAGAGGCTGTGGGAGTGCTTGCTGCCGGTCCAGGTCTCGACCCTCTTGGTCCAGTTGCGAAGCGGCGATTTGAGTTCTGGCTTCTTGGAGATGGTCTTTGTGTTGATCTGACGATCATTCTGGTTGTTGGTGGTGGTGCTTGGGCCGCGGTCCCGCTGCTGGCGCATGATGTGCCACTTGATCTCGCTGTGGCGGTTCCCGAGCTTGGCCTTGATTGTGCGAAGCCACTGCTTCTCTCTGAACTCTGATGGGCAGTAGTCTGGATCGAGGGCTGGCACATCTGCACCCGCCGCAGGCACCTCGCGGGACTGCTGCTCCACCGGGGTGGCGAGGTGGCAGCTCATGACGTGAATGTGGCTGGCAGGCGTCTGGTGAGTGACGGGAAGGGTGTCGAGGTTGTCCTGCATGGCGACATCACCGTCACCGTGGTGGCCGTCTTTCTGCTGCAGCGACTGTTCAGCCATGGCGGTGGTGGTTGGCCAAGATGCTCTCTGGCTGCCCAAGGGCGAATGGATGGAGGGTTTTCTGATGAATGAGGAGATGAGCAGTGGCAGTAGTGACTGTCGACACGAGAAGGCTGGGGAGCACCGATCGTGTTGTTGTGGAGGAAGAGGGACAGGAAGTGGCAGAGTGCACGGGGTGGGAATGCGAAGATGTGCCTTGATACATGCCTGAGGCACCACAGAAAGCAAGAGCCCGTGACGATCTGGTGAGGCTGCGGTGAACTAAGGAAGGCACCCAAGCGCGAAGGGACCGAGTCTGTCCAAGAAGGTGCGAGGCGTCCGCCCGCACTCGCCCAAGGCACCAAGACACTTCCATACCTTACCAAGAGCAAACACCCAGCACTCCCACATGCTTTTTGACAAAAGATCCCAATCCTCGTGCTTTACAGCAACCCTCCACCCCCCTTCATCACACCCACAGCCAGAAATCACAATGGCGCATCAGCAGCAACAGCAACAACCTCGTGCTGGGGCGCCCGCATCATCCTCAGACACCTCAGTCCCAGACATCAGCGACCACAATAAGGCCTTCCACTTTCTGTATGACCAGGCCCAGAAGGCGCATTTTGCTGGTAACCACGCCAAGGTACGACTGTGTGCTTTCCTCCTCCCCTGTGCCTTCCTCGGTAGGGTTTCGCGATAACGCTAATCACCTCGTGCTCCAAAAGGCCAACGACATCACCAACTGGCTTCTGCTCGAGCCAGAGTGCCCTCCCCTCTGCGAGGCCGGCGCCCACCTCATCCTCGCTCACGCCCCGGACACGGCAGACATGCAGGTCGACCACGCCCGCCGTGCCCTCCAGCTTTACCACGCGGTCGAGACGCAGACTGTCAGAGACGGACCTCGCCGCAAGTACATCAATTGGGCCCTGGCCCGGGCCCAGCGGATCCTCAGCGAGACCCTCCAGCGCTCGAGAGTGTCCGAGGAGCAGAAGAAGAATTCGATGCCGGTCACAGAGGCCGAGTACGCAACAATGTGTGCTGAGTATGTCGATGGATTCTGGGAGCAGGAACTCGGTCGGGCAGAGGACAACACCACACAGTGAGGTGAGAGCCAAATGGACGTAACAGCTGAGACGTAGGTGGAGCAAAATTTGCCAAGAGTGTCAGGAACTCGCCGAACAACGGGGAAATGATCATGGGGGTCATTCTTCCGTGGCGCGAGCACTTGACCAGATTCTGCGTCCTCTGGTACTTGCAGCGGGTGGAGGGCAACACAGCGGTGAGCATCGATCCAGGCCTTTTCATACACGAAGTCCGGAGGCTTGGTGGAGTCTGTCTTTTAGCACAAATGTTTGTGATACTGGCATGGCTCGTGTGGGGAATCAGGCTTAATATAATGGACGCTTCGCATAATATCACATGACTATATCTGCACGACTCCCAAAACGTTGAAGCACAAACACGGGCCTTCCAAATTACTGAACCGCATCACAGAGCCGTGCCACCCAGGCGTCTACCCAAGAAGCCCCTCACCACCAGCACAACACTGGGCAGATGCCGAACGCCAGCGGCCAGCCACAGCAATATCCCGCACCATGCCAGCACGCCCCGGAGCAGCAGGAACCGGCGCAGCGTCTCCATCTGCTTGCGATCGTTTACCGCCGGCAGCGGCACCCCTTCCATGTCGCCTGCGCTCTTGGTGCCAAGAAACCTACACAACGGCGCCATCCCGTCGCGCGGATTATACTCGAGCACCGGGCGGCCGCCCCGCCGTGCTGCCTCGTCGCGGACCCACGCATTGTAGGCGTGGTAGAGTTTCACAAACGCCTCTTTGGTCGGCTCGGTGCCGATGCCGAACTTGTCGTTCCAGTGCTGTCGAAAGACCATGCGTGTTAATCATTAAGCCGTTTCCACTTCGGCCCATCCCAGTGCAAAAGAAGAAGACAAAGAAAGTAGATAAATCAAGAGGCGTGAGTCCAGTTCAAGAGGCTGGATTGGTCCGCTACAGTGCCCGGGGCCCGGCCATACAGAGAGAGAGACGACGTACCTTGAACGCGCCCGTGATCATGGCGCCGTGCATCCGGTCCGTGCTGAACAGGCAAGTCGCGGCCTTGTGGTACCAGGTGTTGAAGCTCACAATGGCGCCGAGCATCGAGTCGGCCCAGAGCTCGGCGCTGTCGCGTTGGTTGAGGATGATCTTGGCCGAGGGGTACATGTCCATTAGGTCGTCAGTGAAGATGACGCCGGGAAAGTCTGGTTCGATTTTAGCGACGGGTTGAGTGAGACAGGTTCTTTGTCACGGGGTGTGAGGGGAAAACGAAGGATGGAGGCATGCACGTGGCTGATTGTGAGGACGATGTGAGGTAATGGGTACATGGAGAATATCTTTAATATCTTACCGCATGTTGCCGCGCACCCGTCAAAGAGCTCATACAATAGGGCCTGTCTTTTGACTTTGTCTGTCTCAGCCATGGCGGCAAGGACAAGCTATGCACAGCAAGTCAGCGGAACGTCTTCGAACATCCACCTGACGTCGATCCTCAACTTGGCCCGGGCAAGGTTTAAAATGAATCACACCCGAAGCTTGGGTTGCCCTGTCGACTACTACACGGCGGCCATATCTATCGTCTCGGCGGAAGGACGGGAAGGGAAAGGAAAAAACAAAGGTGGAATTCATCATACCCTCCCCCGCTCAGGATGCGGCACGACATGGGCCATGTGCATCGACGGATAGCACCCCAGGACATCCGACTCGAGCGCCTTTTGCAGCGAGCTTGTCGCGCAGCGCGGCAGGCCCGCGGCAATGACCTCCATCGTGCGCTTGTTGGCGCCGCGCTCGATGACGCGGTCGTCTGTGATGAAGCGCATTGTTATGTTTTGTTCTGGTTCCCTTCTTTTTCAGTGTTCTTTGTTGACTTTCCCGGGGCCCAGGCGTGTTCAAGAGTTCAGAGAGGATGCGGCGTATCTGGTGGGATGAAGGAGGTAATGATGTGCCGAGTGGTCGAAGATTTTCTGGGAGGCCAAGTCGTTGCACGGGTCGCGCATTCACCTTGGAAAATGGAGAGTTGGGAAATCAACAACAGGATTCGGCAGATGGCGACTCGACAATTTGAAGGAAAAGAAGAAATGACGACCACTCAGTTTTCTGCTCTAGGCTCATATCATTTGGCATTGTCCCACCACCTGCGGCGGCAGGGCCAACATTGATCGACATCCCCCTGCTTACTCTGTCTCGTTGACTGCTCACTCAGCCCGGCTGCGCGCCAAGTGCACCATGCATGCATACATGCACTGCTGGGCACTCGGTCCATGCTACAACTCGTAAGGAAATTATCTATTCCAGTCTCGACCCGTACGGGTGAGCAAGGCCAGGGCAAGCAAATAAAGAGACACGCAGGCGGCAAGCAATCAGTATTGCGCAGACACAGCCCGCCACAATTGCAGACTTCCCCTCAAGTCGCAAGGTGAACTCAATCGTACTAAATGCTTCCCTCCGCTACGAGCCTGAAGCACTCCGTTCAAGGTGCCCATGACTAAAGAAGACCACGTTGATAGTAGGCTAAGGTGAGAGACCTGCAGTTGGTGAGCCGCATACGAGGCGGGCGCATTCCTGGATGAGCTCCACCACACGCAGCGTCTTCCACGCGGCTTGGGAGTCATCGTCGCTCGGTTTGAATGACGCCGTAGCATCGCTTCCCATCAGCGGATCTGGGCCTTTCCCGAAGCAAAAGGCGATGACTCCCGCGTACAGCGATCCCAGGTTCTCGGGCGTGGTGTCCCCGACAAAGCGGTTCCTCTGGGCCCGACAGAACCGCTGGCGATCCCCGTCGGACTGCCAGGACTGAGGGTAGCCGGGGAGGCAGCGAAGAAGCTCCCACAGCCCGATTTCCGTCATGACCATGCCGAGGCCGAACACGTCGTAGGCGGGCTGCTGCGTGTTCTTTACTGATCCCTGCGCGAGGCGGTCCGGATGCAGGTACGCGCGGAGATCCGGATCCTCCACGTCGATCTTGTCCGTAGTGCCGCCCAAGCTCCGGGCCGTCTCGAAGCCAGCGAGCAGAGCCTTTGCCTCAGTGACTGGTCGCGCTCCAGCGGCTCGCGTGTCGTCCTCTGCATCCGGGAACTGCAGAAACAGGTTGTCGGTGTTGAAGCCACCGTGGACGATGTACGCGGTGTGAAGAGCAGCCAGCGCCCGGGCATACGACAGGACTAGCTGAACGCGCTGGGCGATGGAGGGTCTCATCGATGGTCGCTTAATGACTTCGCTAAGTGCATATAGCCCCTCGGCCGAAAACACAAGCGCGAAGCTGGGTGTCGACGAGGCTGCCATGTCCGCTAAGCACCGAAACGGAACGCTGGGAAACCTCGCGCTGGGGGACTGGGTGTCAGCCTCCGACCACAGCAGCATCCGGGCGAGACTCGTAAGCGCCCATTTCCTGGCCTTGTAGTCATCGCTGGCTGCCGCTGGTGGACCTCCAGCCGTGTTTGCCTGCTGGTTCCCAATTCTGATGCTCGGGGGATATGGTCGGAACTCCACCATGACCTTCTCGAGCCGACCTTCCCGGCTGAGTACTCCGAATCTCCGCGCCCGTAGCCTCAGTGCCTTTGCCTCCTCTCTCGTAAACAGGCGCACAACTTTCTGAACCCAGCCTTCCGAATCCCGGGCGTCCTCGGGTACCGCCCCGACCGGAAAATGCAGCCATTCGAAAGGAACCCACTCTACAGAAGCACCCCCTCGAGCGTCGCCGTCCCGGTTCCAAGCGGTGGCCATGCTTGCCATCTTTTCCGCTTTCATGCCCGGGACGACTAGGGCAGACAGGGAGACGGTACGTCGGCTGGCACCGCTCTTAACGTCTCGAGCTCACTATTGAGGTTTCCAAACGCAGGGATGAGGATCATTAGTGTCTTGACGGTAATGGGTGGTAGCACGGCGCAACGGGGCTCGGCGGATCCGGGCCCAGGATCTGATTGTGAAAAGGCGAGGTCTAGCGCGCGGATGAGCTCAACCAAGAGGCCCCTCAGCTTTAACATCACGGTCCTCGCTTGTCTGCGTCTGTCTCCCTCTAGATATATCCGGTTTCTAGCCTTGTCTATGATGGTGAGGTGGTAGCGCGCTGTTCGAGTCACCTCGTCGGCTTTATCAAGCAGCTGGAACTCGGTATCGGAAAATATCCTGTCCGAGATGAGCTCCCTGATACAACTGGCCGCCGCTCGTAGGAGTGTGAAGGCTGGGTGGAGGGACATTTTTATGTCTCCTTGGCGATTGATCGTTTGCAAATCAGGTTCCATCGAGGTTTGGGATTGGGGCTCACGGCCATCGAGCCATCGGTTCGCCGTGGTGACGAACTGTTGGTAACTCCTGGGATCGGGCTCATGGTGTGGTCCCAGTCTTGGCCCTCCAATGGGCTTTGCTCGTAGCAGCGGCATGTACGGAAACGCACTCAAGTCTACCTCTGCCTGCACCCTTTCCAGATGCAAGATAAGCTCTCTGTAGACGCTATCCGAGGGGTAGCTGAACTTTGCGATACCTGAGTGGTCCGCGTCGCTCGGTATCGAGATCTCCCAGGCGGTGGGTAGTCCCAGCAGTTGGGAATGCTCGGTTGTTGGCGTGTACGGGTCGCCATCCCGCTTCCACGTTTTTTCCGCTGTTGTTGGAGTCGAATTTTCCGAAGCGCTGCTGCTGCTGCCGGATGCAGTCTCTCTCCTTACGAGCTTTCGACTCTGGCGCCGCTCGTAGATGGAAATGACCAGGAATCTGGGGCAGATGTCAATGAAGTTCTGCAGCTCCCGCAGCGCTACGTCATTATCGACTCTGAGCTGCTGTACGATCTTCCGCCGCGCTGTCTGGTCAGGAAAGACATCTCTAAGGTAGTCTTCTATGTCACTGGTGTCCATCCCCCGGTGGACCGCCCCGAAGAATACCACGGCGCAGGTGGCGGTGAGTATTGCGTCGAGATCAGGATCGTCCAAGCGCTTGCATCGACAGAGGCTCTGACGTCTGTTAGTGCGTCTTGCTCTCTGCTGGATTGACTGGCGGCAACCGTAGAGGTCCCTTACCTGAGCAATGACTCTGCATCCGTAGCTGTGGCCGACGAGTACCAGCGGCCGATATAGAGTCTAAGAAATCAGTACGGTTCCAGTCTCTGGGGCCTTGCTGTCGCAAGAGGAAACATAGGATCATATACCGTGTGGGAGGATCTAGCGAGGCGAAGTTGGCTCAGCAGCTCCTTGCAAAAGTCTTCGAAGCAGTAGTTGTTGTCAATAGTGAGCTTTGTGTTGTAGCCGAAGGTGAGCACCCTGCATTTGGGAATGTCTTCCTTGAGATAGTCTCGGAGCCAGATGGCGTTGACGTCTCTGCTCGCCCATGATCCGTATGCGTTACCGTCAAGTCCGGTGACAGCAACGATGCTGTAGTCTTGTTAGCGGGAATTCCTAAAACTTGGAAGTCTCTCGGCCACTGACTCCATCGAGACGTCCTCCTCTGGGCCTGGATCGATGAGGGGCGTCATGCCCCAGAAATTCTTATCGAATCGTAAATCGGTGCCGTTAGCACGGAGATGCGCGGTTTTCTCGCTCGTCTTGTCATTCTTTACTGGTTCCAAGAAAAGCGGGACCGCGTTGGAGAATTGAATAACCGCGACTTGGGTTCTCAGGCTTGCGTCAGGCGCTGGCAAGAGCGTCCCGGTGATAGTTGTTATCGAGGCGTCAGCGTCGTCAGTGGATGCCGCAATGGCGCGCGTCAGTTCTTTCCATGACCACTGGAGCGGTATGTTTTGCACTCTGAATGCGATCATCTTCGAGGCGGACATGAGAGCAGCTCGCTTTTCTCAGACTTCGAAGTCGAGCGATAATCCCTTCGTCGCGCCGACGTGAGTTGTGCGGTCACTACCTATCGAAATGCCTGATTGCTGCCTGAAATTGGGAGACCTGTCATGGGTAGATAGCTGCTGATAGTGTTTACCTCGCGGTACTTCTGCACTGGAGAAAAGTCGCTGGGCTCAAAGGAGTCTCCGAGTACCTTCGTGCCGCCACAACTCCTCCTGATGATGCTGGCTTACCAGACCGTGGGACAACATAACTCGAATGTCTGTTAGTCTGCTATCATGCGCATGTAGCTATTGAAACTCCTTTCCCCAGCGCACCACCCCACCCATCCTTCATCAACGCTGCTTCCCCCGCCCACCACACCGTAGTTGTCGAGTTATCTTTAGTGGCTCTCCTACCAAACCTTGCCTGCGATATCATCGCCTGTCCCGAAATGGCTTGCCTGCTGCCCCCCTCGGTCGGGGATCACTCTTCGGACATGCAGCTTGCCGTCTCTCAGCTGCAACAGAACAATCACCTTATAGGCTATCGCAACCTCCTCTCTTACACCAATAGCCTTGGAGTCTCGTCTCTTCGTCGCGCTGCACTCAGCCAGGAAGAGTGGAAGCTAAGAGCCCAAGGCCAGTACTCGGCTGTCTATGGAGCCGTCATGGTAGACGGCGATCAAGCTGTGGCCAAAGTCGTCATCAAGAGGCCAAATGCATCATTCACTCGTGACAGCGCCGACATCGAGAGCGCATTGCAGCACAAAGCCCTGGTCGGAATCATCCAAGAACTGCGCATACTTGCACACCAAGACCTCAGAGCCCACCCCAATCTCCCGCGCATCCTGGGGTTGTTCTTCGAGGACGTTCGGGACCCCGACGGCACTATCCCCTGCCTAGTGCTCGAGCAGGCCGTGTCGGATCTGGCTTCGTACCTCGGCAGCGACCCCCTCGGTAGTACTACTACTCATGATATTTCAGCTACAGCCATCACGTCATTCTCCTCTGACATTGCTGCCGGTCTGGCGGCCATTCACGGGCACGGCCTCGTCCACGGCGATCTAAAACCCTGCAATATTCTCCTCTTCCTCCGCGACGGCCGCCTGACCGCTGCTCTTGCCGACTTCACCACCTGCGGAATCGCGGATCAGTCCCCGCAGCATGTCGGTATCATACCGGGCACGGCCGGATTTTGGGCGCCGGAATATTATCGTGACAGTCCTTATCACGCGTGGGTGAACTCGCCGCCACGGGACATATACGGCTTTGGTCTAGTCATGCTCTCCATGATGGGCTCCGGCCAGACGCCCCCCTTTCCGGAAAACTCCATAACATTGCAGCATGATAAAGAAAAGTGTCTCACCCACTTGCGGGCACGCGTACTGCTTCCTGATGCCGACTTTCTGTGGCGGATCGTGGAGCACTGCGTCCCGGTGAAGCCAGACAAGAGGTGGTCGCTGGCACGAATAGCATCAGAGCTGAGGAATGTCCAGGGTTTCGACAGGTGAGTGAGGCCCCTTTCGGCGCGGGGACCATGTTCGCTTCTTTTCTGATGGGCATCTTCCAGCGTCTTTCATCAGATACAAACCCACGCCGAACAGGCACTGCTGAAAGATCCCAACAACCCTAGAGTATGGCATCTTCTTGTTCCAATGCTAAAAGTCCCTTCCACCCATGATACGCGACGCAATTCAAGGTGCAGACTGTGCAAATCCTAGACCTAAGCATGCTAACCAGACTTGTTAGGTAGCTATGCTACATCAGATGGAGCTCTCCCCTCACCTCCATAGTAAACTCGTTTCCGAATATGTCATAGCCGCCAAAGAAAGCGTAGACGTCCGACTAGCCGTCACGATGGCAGCGCTATATTCAGGGGCTGTGGGCGTCGCGCTCGAAGGCCCCTACAATTTCGTCGCAAAGTCGCAGTGGCTTCTAAAAGCCGTCGAGCTTGGATCTCTCCCAGCGGTACATGCCTTGTTCGAAGATCGAAACACACTGAAGCTTATTGAGGCGCTCGGCGAGCCATTGCTGTCGTATAAGGCGCTCACCTTCTACTCGCCAAGCATCTCAACAGAGCGGCTCATCGAGCAGCTGCGGGCTTTTGCGACTCTGCCGGATGTCGAAAGTTTGAACATGTTGGGTTTTCTCGGCGGCGACGTCCCCCCGACGTTCAGTACGGATGCGGGTCACCAGTTCTTCAAACCCCGATCGTCTATGCAAGAGAAAGTTCGGGAACGATTCCCTGGAGTTTACGACCTCGAGGACCGGGAAGGTCTGCTGGAGCTCGACCTGCAAATTCTTGACGCGGATGCGTACGACTTGGCTTTCAGTCAAAAGGAGGAGATTTTCGTCCTCGCCTACAACGACGACCTTGAGGCGATGATGCGCCAGCCGGACACCGCCATCGTGCCCAACCTACCAGAACTGCTTGGCACCGCGATACTCGCAGGGAGCGTCAAGACCGTCCGCTACCTCGTTTCGAACTACGAACTGGACCCAAACAGCACAATCCCAGAAGACTCGGTTGTCGCTCACCAACCGCCAAACATGGCGGACCCGGCAATATCGCAAGACGAGCCCGAGGGTGAAGAGAACCCCGGCTCGGATTTCGCCGACTATGATGAGTCTGACAGCATACCCGATCTTGACGAGGAAGCAAACTACAACCTCAGTTTCCTTGACCTCGCCATAATCCTAGGCCGACGCGCCATCGTGGCCGCCCTGCTCGAACGCGGCGGCCGGATCCACGCCGCCCAAGGGGGCCGACCCTCGTCCCTCCATTATCTCGCCCGCTTCGACGACGAGGAGCTATCAAAAGCCACATGCCAAAGCCTACCAGACAGACAACTCTTCCAGCAAATTGCGCAGTCTACGCCATCGCAAGGAAAGCTCGAAGGAATCAGCGCCATTGAATTCAACATGTTTGCCGGCAGATGGAAGAACGTTCTGCAGATGATTCTGCAATTGCCACCGGAAACCCCAGACGACAGCAAGAGGGGCAGCAGCAGCAGCAGCAGTAGCCAGGGAGAGATCAATGTGCTGTACCTAGCCGTCAGCCGATCCCCACCAGCACCGCTCTTCATCATCGAGGAGATCCTCGCCCGGGGCGCCAATCCCAACATCGCGGCTTCCACGACCGAGCCGCCGCTGTACTGGACCATTGGGAGCAGCAACGTCGCCGCGACCGAGATGCTGCTACGGTGCGGCGCGAGCCTGCGTCCTAGCGGGGGCCCCGATCTCGTCAGCTTCGCCAAGGAATGCCTCGACGAAATCGACATGTATTCCAATGTCATCGTCGTCAACCAGGAGGGAGTTATCCGCCCAGAGGGTCTGAGAGAGGTTAAGCAAGCGGCGGCGACCATTTACGCCATGGTGGTCATTGCAGCAGAAGCAGGAGACAGTTGGCTCCGAGACCTTGGAGTTTGCATGTCTCAGTGCCGGAGGGCCTGCCTCAGCAAGATATGGCGCGCCGATATGTCTGAGCCATCAGAGACGACGATGTTGCTCGAACTGCCAATCACACCATAGCCACCAGCAGTATTGCGACGTCTTCATCATCGCGGAATGAAGCTTCTACGGCAGATTCGAGCTCCCAACATATGCCAGCCTCGCACCAGCCAAGTCGCAAGAAGAAGCGCAAAGGGTTCTCTGCGCCTTTTGAAGCCAGCGTCTCGCCAATCTCCAACTGCCTCACGCCCCAATGGTGCCCAGGCAGCTCTCACGACCAATCCTGGAGGCGAAGAGTTTTCCAATGTCGACACGAGATCGACCCAAGACACCCCAGGTACAGAACATGTCGTTAGACAACACTAATGTCGCTCGCTCGCATGGCACTTCTTGACCATCACGTTAATATGGCTATGGGGCCGGCAAGAATTTGTTGCCGGCTGCTATTCTCGGAATGATTTATGTTGTGTCATTTCCTATGCGTTTTACCCAAACTAGCTTCAGCCATGCTCCTTTATTCTTGTCTGACGAGACTAGCCTCCGGCTGAATATGTGAGGATGAATAGGTCATGAAGCCCCGAATATCCGGCCTTGAGGCTATCCACGGTCCATAGTTTAGGCGGATCAGCTTAGGCGTGATTGCTGGTTCAAACACTTCTGAAGAACGGATCGGAAAATCTGTGCATACCGTGAACGTTCGAATCATGTTGTGACATGTGAAAGATAGTCTCGATTCCTCCATCACGCCTCCCACTGTACTCTCCGCTCCTTGAACATCCTCACCATCCCCATCGGCAACAGGCCGGGCTCCACGATCCTCAGCCCGCCGACCTTGGCCACCACTTCCGGCCCGTACATGGCCACAATCCACCTCCAATACGGCTTCATCGTGCTGAGCGACCCCGTGATCCCTTCGTCCCCGGAGGAGCCGCCACCATCACCACGGCTCACGGCGCCGTACGCCGGACTAGCATTCCCTCCCAGGCTCTCAATCGCCGCGGCCACTGCGGGGCTCACATTGTGCACGCCGTCCTCGGCAGGGAGGCGCAGTAGCTCGCGGTATACCTGGCCCAGCCCCATGAAGCCGGTTCTGTTCGTGGTGGATGTGGACGGCGTGCGGTCCTCGCGGTACTTGACGAACTCGTCGTAGGGGAGGAACGTGAACTCGTCCGCGAGCGCGGTCTCAGCCTGATCCCCGCCCTCTGCACCTGATCCAGCGATGGATCGCGACCGTTTGGCGTAGACCTGCCTATCTTCTCCTCTAGTCATGCCCAGCCCTACCGACGACTCACCGTGCTGACTAGCCGGAGGGCCCGACTCCTCCCACGCCTTCTCGAGCGTTCGGTGCGCCCGCCGCTCCTCGTCGAGGAACCTGTCCAGCAGCGCGCGCGGGTCCGCCAGTACGGTCTTGTGCACCTGCAGGATCTCCACAAAGGGGCTGCGCAAATCCAGCCCGCCCATGTCGGTCGGGAAGAACAGGAAAGCGTCGGGGATGTCGGCGACGCCGAACCTGCGGGTGAGTTCATCCTTGAGGAAGCCCACCATGCTCGTCGGGGACTCGGCATCCTGCTGCCGACCTGTCGTCGTCGTGAGCGAGACCATCCCGGCCCCGGTCTGGGCGGCAAAGACCTGGGTCTGCACCCGTCTGTGCGCCGCCAGCATGGCCTCGACGTGCTTCCTGCCGAAGCAGTTGGCGGGCTTGCCAAAGTTGTGCGTGAAAAAAGTGCTCGCGTAGGTGTTCCACGACGACAGGAAGGCCACGATGCTGGCTCTCTTGGAGTACAACTGCTTCCGCAGGTCGAGGATCTGCTTGTCCACCATGTTCTGGTCTATCTCAAAGGCGCCCGTGCTGGGCGACAGGCGCAGGAAGCCCCAGCGGATGTCACCACGAGGGAGGGACGAGGTGGGAGCCGGAGGCTTGCTGTCTTTCAGGTCGATCCGCACGCTGCCCGATTTCTGCATGTTGAGGCTCGTGGATGTGACCTTTTCGAATCGCTTGACTGCATTCCACGCCTTCTCAGACGCGGCGAGGTCGCGCGACCAGAACCAGAACTCGTCCTGCAGGCGCCACAGGTGCGCGCCGTCGGTGGCCTTATTGACGCCCAGATCCAGGCAGAACAGCGTGGCCTCGCCAAAGACGTCGCTCAGCACCCGCGAGGCTGGCGTGCCTCGTCTGCGGGGGCGTAGGGGCGCATCAGGCCCGTCTTCCCCGAATCTCAATGGCGCGGCGAGGAAGCGCTCGAAGAAGCCCAGCCACTTTGGCGAGAAGCCCATGAATGCCAACACGCCAAGGATGGTCTGATGCGGGAGGCGTACGTTCCAGTCGTCGAACATGCCGTGGACTGCCGTCATCTCGCCGTAGAGCTTGGTGTTAATAATGGCCTCGGTTGAGAGCAGACGAAGCAGGCGCTGCTTCACAACCGACAAGTTCTTGGTGTTGCGCTGCTGTGGGGAGGTGGCACCACCGTCCTGCTCGACGTCCTCTTCGTGGTCGGTATCTGGTGCACTGTCAGTTTCTGAGTCCGTGTTCTCATCACTCGGGTCGTGATGCGCAATCCTCTTGCGCATTTTCTTGTGGGCCACTGCTGGCGCCGCCCTTGCCATTGACATCATCGGCGCTGCTGCTCGGGGCATCGCCCCGGGGGGAGGCGGCGGCGAGGACGCTGAGAAGGTCGCATAAGGGGTCCCGGAGTACTGCGCCTCCATCTCGCCCGCGACGTGCTGCGACGTCTCGGACACGGTCTTCTTGAGGGCAGAGAGGAAGTAGTGCTTCCGATAGACTTTGTCGCGCAGGCCCTGTATGCTGTTTCTGGCGCTGCCTCTGCCGCGGAGGTAGTACTGCCTGCGAGCCCGATCCCGCGGGTCCATCTTGCGGTGTGGTGACGCCCATGCGCCTTCTTTGGCCTTGCGGAAGGACCTCAGGTGTTGCTTTAGAAACGTGGAGATCTTGGAGCCGATGTAGTAGAGGAGCAGGGCCTGCAGCAGGTCCTCGCGCATGACGGCGTTGTACACACCGTTGATCTGGCGCTCCTGGTCAACACCGACCCCGTGCGGGCCCCAGGACCACGTGTCCAGCGACTGGATCCGCATGTTGAGCACGTCGGCCACCTCTCCCAGGATGACGGGCTGGTTCTTGAAATCCTGGAGCACCTGGCGCTTCTCGTCCGAGAGCGAGCCGGACACGATGAGGCCCTCGCACACCCAGCGCAAGACGCGCTCGTTGAACTGATTCGGCGAAGCAAGCAGCGTCTCGGAAAACTTGATGTTCTCCCGGAGCGCCTTGAGGGCTTCCTGGTGTCCTGAGTATGCTGGGTCGGTGGCGTCGGCCACGCCAAAGATGTCGGCAAGGTAGTCCTGCAGCGCCTGCTCGTCGAGGTCGGCAGCAGTAAAGACTTGCTGCTCAAACTCGGCACGGGCCTCCTTCTTGGCGGCAAGGGCGAGGTCTTCAAAGTCATCATCATCTTCCTCGTCGTTGCCGGCATCAGCCATACCCACGTCGTCCACGTCGTCGTTGTCTTGGGTGGTGGCACCCGAAGTCTGGGTTGGATGCTTGCTGGCCCCGGTCTTTTCCGAGGACAGCCATTCCGTGACGAGCTGCGCATAGAGTGAGGCATACTCAAACTTGAGGGAGCGCATGTCGAGATGCTTCAGGAGAGCGTCCTCCCAGCCGGTGGTCATGGCAGACGAGATGGACGGATCATAGCGGGCCTGGGAGATGAAGAGGTCGAGGTTGTCGAGCTGCGTGGATAGGCCTGACGAGTAGTAGTCTGCGGTGGCGCCGGCGTGGGGGTCGCTGATGTCCTGGAAGTCTTGATTGCCGTCGTCATCCTCGAGGGCGATGCCAAAGCACTTCTTGACGCCCCTGCTGAGGATCTGGAGGCGGCGGATGGGGTTTGACTCGGCGGCAAGGGCGCTGGTGACGCGGGCGCGGCGGTCTTCGTACTCGCTGCGCCGCTTTGAGAGCTCTTGGAGCTTGGTGGCCGTGATCTCCTGGAGGGTGCTGGAGAGGACGCTGCTGCCTCCAAAGGCGGCCATCTTGGCGGGAGGCGTCAGTGAGGAAGCTGAGTGGGGGCGGGTGGTGGTGGTCTGATAACCAGGCCTTGGGATGCTGAGGGCTGAGCTGGCCGGCAGCGTGTGCTATTGGAGTGATTTCTGAGCAGCGGGGACAGGGGATATGGAAGACTCAGACAAGAGGACAAGTTGATGTTGACAGATGAGGGCGCCTGGGCTCGTATAAGTAGCCGGAGGGGAAGCGACGAACGAGGATGAGTGGGAGGCGCCTGGCAGTGGCGTACCCTGGCCCAACGGTCAGTGCCTTGTACCTTGTCACTGTGGATGGGACGTGCCTGCCTTGTGCTTGTGGGGTTCCGTGTGGATCCGGGGGACCTCAGCCTCACAAGGCATCGACAGAACCCCGACTTGGCACTCCTGAGTCACTGGTGCCTGTAGGATGACTCAGCTCAGCTCAGGCACACGCACACAAACACATATGGATATCTCAAGTCCACACACAAAGACGTCCTCTCTCGCTCTCCTACTCCTTCATGCTGTTTCTACCATGACCAGTTTCTCCCTGTTGGACTCCCTGCACGCACCAACACTCTCAGCATCGAATCCAGCCCCGGCCACCAGCAGCCTTCTCACATGAGCCAATGCCATGGGGGAGCAGAGGCGGCCCAACAGCTGACCGGGACCTGTCCTTCACCCGAGGTCGCCCACGACGCACCGTCTCTGGGCTTTCTGAGCCTGCCGCCCGAGGTGCGTAACACCATCTACGCACTCGTGTGCCAGGACCTGCCCAACGTGTGGTCTCCCGTCCCCGCCCGGCTTGTGGGCCCGGACCGGCCGGCCCCTCCGGCCCTCTTCCCGCCGGTGCTCGCCTTCACCTGCCGGCAGGTCTACCGCGAGCTCATTCCTCTCTTCTACGCCGGCCGCTACGTCTCCCTCCGTCTCAACTCCCTTGACGAGCTCGTCGCCCACGCCCAACGCATCGCCGCCGCTGTCGCCGACCACCAGCAACGCCCACGCGCCCTCCTGCCCTGGCCGGCCCTGCTCTTGGTTCAGCGCCTCGCAGTCCAGCTGGCCACGCCCGCCTCGGTGCCCGATGCTCGCCGGTGCATCGCGGCGCTCGAGACCTTGGCAACCCACGCGGGACCCCACGTCCGTGAGCTCAATCTCAGCTTTGAAGTTGACTGGACCGACTGGATCAAGTTCGAGCAGATCGACGGGACCTTCATCCATCCCCCTCGTGTCGTCAAGGCCGACTGGCTTGGTGACCAGCTTCCGTCCGACGTGGATGACACTGAGGCTGCGAGCCTGCCGAACCCCATAATTGCTGTCGAGCTCAATGCCAACGCCGCCGTTTCTCACGCTGTAACCAGCTTCCGCCTCCTCGACGAGCTTAGCCTCAGAAACGTCGCCCTCGCCACCTGGCCGGCCATGCTCGACCAGAACCTCGACAAGGGCCTCCATATTCTCCCGAAGAGTGTCGCCTGGGACTTCCTGGTTCCCATGGGGAGCAAGCCCTCACACCTGCTCAGAGCTGCCTTCATGAGGGGCGCTTTCGACCCCAACGTGGGTCCTGCACCAGACGGAAAACCTATCGGTGTGTTTGGGGAGGGGAGATACACCTCGCTTGTTGATTCCCTGCGGAGCGTCAATGTGGACTATTCGTCGCTGCCCGTAGCACCAGTCTCGACGATAACGACACAGGACGAGCGTGGTGGTGACACAGCTGGGTGACCCGCCAGCCGTAGAGCTAACTACAGGAGGCATACCCTGCACTCCAACCCTCGACTACTTCGTTTAGCTTTAGCCTACCAACTTCTCGAAAAAGACAAGATATATCTGACCTGCTATAATCCTGTGCAGCAGGGCAGGCCTCACACACGACTCCCACCCTCCACATCATCGCACTGGCACCTAGATTTTCAGGCGCTGGCCATTGGGGCTATCCGGGGACAAAACCACCGCCTTACCTAACCGTGAAGGTGACCTGGCCACGGTCACAAGTGGCGATGGCAGCAGCAGACATTCCAGCGTTACCGACGGACGAGTGCCACCAAGAGGCCGGTGCCGAAGTCCCAATGTCGTTCCTCAGCCTCCCATCCGAGATCCGCAACCAGATTTACGCGCTGGTGTTCCCCGAACCGTTCCCTGACTCTGGGATGGTCAGGCCAGTCAGCCCCGCTCCCCTTGACGGGCGGCGGGAAAAGCTGTTGCTGCCAGGAGAAGACTTGCACCCTGAGCAACTTCGCCAGGCCGGCTGGCAGGAAGCAGCCCCCCAGCTCACATTCACAGAGCCGCTCAGGCACCTTATGCCGGCCTTGACTTTTACGAGCAAGCAGGTCTACCGGGAACTCGCACCATTGTGGTACACATCCTCAACGAAGGTGTTCACCTTCAATCATGTCCATGAACTCGAGTCTCACGCGCGGCTCGCTGCTGCTGCCCGGGCCGACGACATCAACGTCATTCGTCATCCTCAGCCGTATTTCTGTCATGCTCCAGTGCATCTGATCGGGCGGATTCATCTCTTCATCCTTACGCCAACCACCCAGCAAAACACTCTGCGCTGGATCGAGGCCCTGCGGGGCCTGGCCGCTGCGACTGAGGGTCATCTCAAAGAGTTTCGCCTCAACTTCAACCTGGCCCCCTCGCTGATGGACCAGTGGCATAAGACGCGTGACCATATTCGACCTCACGTCGTGTGCCCCGAGTGGCCCGACGCTCCCGAGCTGGAAGTCCTAGCCACTACTGTCCCCAACACTTCAGCAGGAGGAGAGGGAGAGGGAGAAGGAGGAGGATGGAGGGGAGGAGGAAGAGGAGGCTATACTGCAGACACCCTAGTCGAGCTCACGGAGAACATTGCCTTTGCCCGAGCCGTCGCCGGTTTCCGATGCCTACAGATGCTCGTCCTCGACAGGGTCTCCACGAAGACGTGGCCGGCGGTACTGGACCGGTACCTGGGCAGGAGCATGATGAAACTCAGGCCCAGGAGCGTCGGGCCTGCACGCTTTTCCTCTGCCGTGCGCCCGACATTCAGAGCGAAATATGAGATGAGACCGCCGGGGGACAGCACCACGGCGGCTGGCGGTACCAGTGGAGACGCCATGCAGACCGAGGAGGCAGCTGATGGGCCGCTTACTTCTTTGATCCGGAAAATACGATGAGGGATCAATTGTTGTGTGAGCTAAGGAACTGAGGGTTGGCCAGAGGCTTTGTCTTCGCGTGAGACTGCTTCAGTCGGACATGTGCCCACCATCAGCATAGTACTTGCCTTGTGGCCAGTCTGTCTTCGTGCGCCATGGAGCCGAATGTACAACTGATGGTGGGATCATGGTGTCTGCCTGAATTCCGTCGCCCAGCCAGTTAAGGGGGTCCTACACTAGGCGAACACCTACTATATCTAGGTATCAACGTAAAGACAATATCTCCGCAGCCGACTCGTTCTCATTTACTGCGCCAACGTTCCAATCAGCTTGTAGCTTTATATATTAATAGTTGTTTGTAAAGCGCTGGTGGGAATCAAGATACTCACGATCTTGCTGGCACTCAGCTCCTGCACCTGTATCGACGAAAGTCGATCCCGTTTTGCTGATCTTACTGCCTGAAGTCTGCAATACCTGCGACTTTCTCATCACCAATCTCCGGCAATTTTGTCGGGCTTGTTCCAGCCAGTCCGCTGTCCATGTCTAGACATCCGACCCTGTTCAGATGATTGAGAATAGCAGGACAGCGCATAACTACAAATTATAATGACGGAAGAGCACGGGCTGGCGGCAGTGCGTTACAGAGGCATGCAGCCCCCTCATATAGAAAGAATAATCGCTATTTCGCGACGATAAGCTCGATTTCAGTTTGTCAGTCTGCCAACCAGGGCCGGTATAAAGAACTCATGTAGAGGTTTGTGAATTATGAAAACTAATGAAACTTGACAGATGATAAATCCTTTAAGCAACAACACCGAACCTACTCCTCGGGAGTCTCGACGAACACACCCGAGTCTCGCGAGTCGCGCTTGCTCCTCTTCCGAGGCCCGATATCAATCTCCGCCTCAAAAACGGGGCCATACAGCTCGGGCGAGATGTAAAAAGTATTGACCTTCTTCCCGCCCGCCTTGCTCTTCAAGCTGACCCACGCATGGATCCCCCGGCCATCCTCCAGCGGCCGCCTCTGCACCGCGCTGATCACGTCGGTGTACTTGCTCCGGAACTTGTCGCTCACACCCACAGCGTCCATGTACCCCTCCACCCGGTCCCGGACGACCTGGTCGTCGCCCGCGTACGCGATGATGGGGAAATGCACCGTGCCCACGGGCCTCAGGGGGTCTTTGCTCGTAAACGCGAAACAGGTGAGCAGGCTCTTCCCCTCAAAGGGGCCCTCCCCTGCCTCTCCACCAGCCATGCACCGGACGAACCGCTCGACCTCGTACGCCGAGGTTTCCGGGCACAACCCCGCGAGCTTTCCCGCGATCTCGCCCGCCGTGGTGCGCGGGTGCGAGATGTACACCTTGACGCGGTTCTCACTGGACGGGCTGAGATCCAGGGAGAAGTACACGACTGCGTCTTCAGTGCCGGCCATCATGGCCTCGAGCAGGGCCCAGGACTCGGCGAGACCCAGTCGCTCGAACGCGGTGCGGGTGATCCCCGCGGCGTGCTGGCTGCCCTGGGCGCGCGGGTTCAGGTAGATCTTCCACTCCGGGCCGGACTTTGCGGACAGCGCGCAGCTGAACCACGCCGAGAAGAGACTGGTCTCGTCAAAACTTGTTGTTGCGCTGTCTCCCTCTTGCTCGGCCGTTTCACTCCCTCCGGCGTTGTTGTTGTATATGGCGAGACCAGATGGCTGGGGGGGCACGAACAGGTCCCGAATCAGCTCGAACCGGTCGAGCGACACCGTGTCTTGGTACTTGGCCCCGATCTGCCGGGCCATGCTCATCGCCGCGTCGGTCAGGGCGGGCAGGCTGTTGTGCGTGGGCTGCGCCTCGATCAGGAACCGCAGCTCCGCGGCGCCGCTGCGCTGGTCGATGGCCACCGAGTACTCGTACGGCGAGTGGTCGTTGCTCACCTCGGAGATCCAGCCAGCAAAGGCGGCCTCCTTGTCCTCGGGCGACGCGATGGGCTGGGTACTCCAGGTGCCCGTCGAGAAGGCGAGGGCTTCGGTGAGCTGCTCCTTTTCGAGGGCCGTCTGACCCACCGCGTGGGAGAGGTGTGCGATTTGTCGCTTGGCCTCGCTGAGGTATGTGGCCTGGGAAGCGGCGGGCACCACACCACCACTGTGCTCGTCAGGGAGAGAGATGGCCTTCTTGACCGGAACAGGCTTGAGCCCACACGAAAAGTGCCTGAGCCGCATATCCCTGCCCCGGGAGATCTCCACGTTGGGAATCGTGTGGCGGTGGTTGTACAACTCCAGGATCGCGGCGACCGTGTACGTAATGTGCTCCTCGGACAGCACGTACCGCGGCACCGCGAGCCTCACCAGGTTGGGGATCAAGGCCTGCTCGGCGGGCGGCTTCTTGTCCCACTCCCAGCCAAAGGGCCCAGCCTCGGCCGCCCGGATGCCGTACTTCTCGAGCAGCTCGAGCACGAAGCCCACCGAGGCGAAGTCCCCCGGCGAGCGGTCGCAGTACTTGAAGAAGGCGTCCATGTCAAGGTATACCGCGTGCCCACCGGGCGGGAGCAGCACCGAGACGCCGCTGGCCTGCAAGCGCTGGGCGAAGCGCTCGACCTGGCCGATCCGGTTCTGCAGGTACGGCTGCTTGACGACCTCGTACAGTCCGGTGGCGGCGGCCATGAGGTCCCGGCCGCTCACTAGAGAGTTTCGATTCGTCAGTCCGATCATTGCATTCACGGAAAGGGAAAGTAAAAAAAAAAGAAAGGAGCCAGTTCAAAAAGAAAGAAAAAGCAAAGACTCACTTCCGCCATAAGAGTCGTTGCCGTAGCACAGAATCTGCCGCTCCTTCATCCTCATGCCGATGCCAGGGTACTTCTTCGCAAAGAGCGACTCGTCCTTGAAGCACAGCGCGCCGCCCATGTTGGCCAGCCCGTCCTTCTTCAACGAGATGGTGAACCCGTCGACATGGGTGAACATCTCCTGCACGATGTCCTGGATCATGACCCCCGCGTAGCCGGCCTCGAAGCGCTGGATAAAGTACGCATTCTCGGCGAACCGGCACGCGTCGAAGAAGAACGGAATACCCCTGCGGCGCGCCAGCTCCGACGCGGCACGGATGTTGGCCATGGACACGGGCTGCGCGCCCGCCCAGTTGTTCGTGATGGTCTGCAAGATCATCTTGACGTCCGAGGGGTCCTCGAGGGACTCGATGTACGCCTCGGTGGCGGCGACGTCGAGGTTCCCTTTGAACGGGTTCTCCCTGCCCACGAGCTCGAGCGGGAACGGGTCGTTCAGCCCGGGCTGCGTGAAAGTCTGCAGCTGGAACCCTGCGACGGCGGCATTGGCGCCCGTCGTGTCAAAGAAGCCGTTGCTGATGATGACGGGCTGCCTGGGCGGCGCGATACTGCTGCGCGGCGCCGCCTCCGCGATCATGAGCCGCAGCGTGGAGAAGAGCAGCGCCTCCGCGCACCGGCCCTGGGGCACGAGGAACGTGTTTGGCCGGATCAGCTGGAACGGCCCGCCGTTGACGAAGCCGCCCTCCTGCGGGAGGAGCAGCTCGTCGCGGTACAGGGCCATGTCCGCCTTGCCCATGACCATGTCGTGCACAACGCGGCGGGCGCCGGCGGCGCCGCGCTCAAAGGTGTCACGGAACGCATCCAGGAGGCAGTAGTAGCCCCAGTTGCGGCCGTAGCTCTCATCTCCGCGGAGCACTGTAACGGGAGGAAACGACAAACAAAGCTGTTAGCCGCGTGCCCTGCATGGCTTCTGCCGCTTCAGAAGAGGGCGGCCGGCCCGAAGGGGGCGTCGGTGGTGCAATGTGGCGTAGTCCCACGCCAAGACTGGAATGCAACATGACGCTATTGTATGTAGGAGCAAAAGGGGGCTGGAAAGGAGAGACCAAAGGAATGGGAGTGCGGGACATAGAGACGGGTGGTAACTCACTGGCAGCCCATTGGATATCTGTCATGGCCGATGTGCCACTGTCAGAGAGGAAGTCGCACGTCACGAGCCCTGCGGGAAACGCAAAGACGTTGTACTCGACATCTTCAAGGACTTTGCGGCGCTGTTCTGGTGTCACCGCTAGTAGTGAGCGGACAACAAGAGCATTGTGTGTTGGAGGAAGTGGGACCGCGGCCGAGGCGGCGGCGGAAGGTATTGTCTTGGAATGGGAGAAGGCCATTGTGTGAGGACCTGGTGACAAGTTCTTCCAGTATGTGCAGGGAAGACAACAACGAGAAAAGATGCTAACCTCCACACAGAGTGAAACAGTTATTCGAGGTCGTCCTGTGCTTTCGGCAAGAGAGGTTTGGGCAGTGGAATCTGGTTGTCCGTGGCATCCAGCCTGCATTATATACCAGTTCCCAAGAACTCTATCAAGGAGGAGACCGTAGACTCGTACACTGTCACGCTTGCGGCCGTCGTCTACCCTGAGAACGCCACCATGGTCCTCGCCTCCGCCTTCCCCGACAGGTCATGCCATGACATGTGGTCAGCTTGGCCAAGTCTATGAACGACGGGGGCCTAGAGCCAGTTGGTCAGCCTTGAGAACCAACAGCAGCGGCAAGTCGCGTGTTCCGCTCGCCCTTTCCGCTTTTTTTCTCACCACCCAAGACACCATGGTCTAGCGTATCACCTGGCCAATCCAAGGAGGACGCAGTCCAAGATCCAGGGATGAAGAACTCAGCGCGAACGCCTCGGGTGACATCTTGGACCCCGGCCCAGGCCGCCAGGCGGGCCCGAGGCACTGGGACTAAGAACGAAAAAAGACGTTGTTGCAACGCATGTCTCAGTTCGGGGTTTGTCCGCCTGGGCCGGCCTGGCGAATGAGAAGGCCCGGACGTGGAGATCCCTAGGACCGGACGACGTCCCCTCTCGGTCAGTTCTAGAAGTCTCACTGGGTTGCGGGCATTCCATCAGGCTGGGAAGTTTTCCCGTACCCGCGTGACCCAAGACACCCGCGACCCGCCCTGATGGATCGCCCTCCTCTTTCTGCTCAGCTGGTCTTGGTTGCCCACCCACCGGGCGCGGAAGGTCTGCAGGAGGGCACACATGTCTCACAGCAAGTGGAGGTGGCTTGTTGGGGTCGTGGTACCCGGTAGGCAGACTTAGACGCAGTCGGACCAACCGCCACTGGCGTACGGCGTCTTACATGGGTGTGAGTGGGGGGAGCCGGTGTAAGTGAGGTTTGCCATGCTGCGGTCCTGATCGTCGATTACCAATGCCAGGGCAGACCGGATTGAAATGTGTCATGCTAGACACGGCGCCCGGTAGACTGCCTTGCGAAAGGTTCATGTCACCAGCGAGAACGCCTTGTCCGTGGGCCCTGAAAATGAGGTGAGCAGGCAGGCTCGTATGTCAGCGGCCCCCCACGGGACGATCTTACGCCGTCGAGATATCGACCCGCGCACCACGCGTCCGCGGCTGCAACCCCGAGGAGCCGCGGACAACTCGCCAAAACTTTCTGGCTCGGTCATTATGTCTCTCTTGACTCGTATGGTCTCATCTTTGTCGCTTTTTATTCGCCCGGGACGGGATTTTAATCTGCCGATTCTGCCCGTAGGTTTGACAGCTGTGGCGTCAGTGGAGCGCAGCGATATGCAACCGCGCGAGACGAGGAGAATCCCGTTCCGCCATAGTTTCCAACCGAGCACTACAAAAGTACTCCTCAAGCCACTTAAAGTTTAATATTATGTGTCTTGGGGCATAATGCGGGAGATCTGGTGCATTTCCAAGTCGCCAGAGGGTGTCGTGTTGGGCATTTCGGTGGGTGACAGGGTTACGGCTGTCTTGTCTGCCAGCTCCACGAACGACAGGGGTGCCGAGAGTTGTCGAGGGCCAATCGCCGGCATTTCAGCCGAGTCGTCTTTAACTTGCGAATCAGGGCGGGACCTTGTGTGACAAGGTACAGCATAGTCACACCAGTGGGCTGCGCAGCCTATCCTGAATTCTTCCGTCATACAACGTGACCAGGCGATCGGATCCCCCTGTCAGAACTCAGCCCTATGCCCTGCGTGCTGACGAGAGTCGGCTATACCAATCCGTGCATGCTGGTGTCATCACTGATATCACATGCGGGCACGCCTTGCCATTGTGCACTTTTGGGTGTCGTTGGGGCTACGCTGTCCGGTGCTACTGTCGTATTCGAGGTCCTCAGAGCTGACTTTCTGTGGTCATCCTCGAACACATTGCCACACCAACAGCGCGTCTGCCCCGAGTCGCGCCACCACTAACAAACCCAAACCCGACCCTCCTTTCACGTCACGGCACTTCTATGATGTGCCGGTTGGGTTTGCCGGTGGGTGCCATGGCTGCAAGGTACCCGACGCGAGACTCCTGAGGCAGTCTCTGGGCACGTGCGAGAGGCGTCAACCGCTGAGCGGACCGAACCTTCGCTCCGGCCGATGAGCTTGCATGTGCAGCGACACCGGGCGCGTTACTTTCCGCCTTTGAGTTTCGTGGTTCGTCAAACTCTGCATGAGTTCTAGAAGTTTACCCAATCGCGCGATCTGGTAGTGCGGTGTCAAGGGCGATGCTGGTTCGTGACGACATACTGCGCCAGTGTACGACGGAGGGTGACTTGTTGGTCCGACGGCCTGCGTATGGTGCGATTTTGATATATAGTTTTGCCGTGTATTTCAACCCTCCGGTTGAAGCACGAGCTCTGAAGCCACGTCGCCAGGTGGCCATACACAGTCCTCATAGAAAGACCGGGAGGACTGTGGTAAACTGAGATGCGGACTCGCTTGCTGAGGATTTGTGATTGGTCTGGTGGATATTGAAGATTTTGCAAGCACTCAAACCTTCCTGACTACCCGTATGTGGAAAAGAACTATCACGGTGCTGCAGGTTGGTTCATATGCATGTTCCCAGAGGCGCGGCCCGCAGCAAACGCTATTTCTCCCCGAAAGACCTTTTCCCATGTTGGAAACACGATCATAGTCCTCCTGGTCTTCTTCAAAGGCTTCTAAAGCATGTTTGAAAGCCATGTACGTCAAGCTTCAGTAAATGCGAGGCAGTAGCTTTGCCACCCGGGTTGGTGCGTGCCCGTCTCCTCTGGCGTTCCCGTGCCTCCGTCACAGCGATCCCTCCTCCTCCGTCTCCTTGGCCTCTCTTTCTTCTTCGCACCCAGACTCATCACCCTCACCATCCAATTTTCCCACCATATCGCCATCCTGTCTAGGAATGAGCATGTAGCCCTGATGATCGTCGGGCTTTACTCTCAACTTCTCCCTTGCCCATAGGGACACCCAAGCGACGCATATCGCCAACAACGTCCACAGACTCAGCACCACAAACCCCTCACCAATCTCCGCGTGCATGCCTCCTCCCAGAAACCCAGCCCTCATCCCGCCTGCACAATCAGGAACCGCCGCTGCATCACTCTCGACCCCATCAACAAGCCTCTTGACCCTCCATGCCTGCACCCCCAAGACCAGCACCGCAAAGCCGTAGACCCCACCCAGCACCGCCAGGCCACTCAGCCGCCTGCGGCTTCTGGCTCCGGGACCCATCTCTGACTCTGCCTGTATCCGCTGCCTCCCGTCGGGACACTCATCCGCCTTTCTTTCCTCCGTGGCGGTTTCTTTGCTGCTGTTGTTGTTCTTTTTCTTCTTCTTCGTCGTGTTGGCCAAGTCCCCTGGTGCGTAAGAGAGCATGTACACCTGCGTCACGACGACAGCTACCAACACCATCCCCGCGGCATAGTACGCCAACAGGGGGAACAAGTTGTTAAACCTCTTGCTGTTGACAGTGCGCCTGGGCACCAGCTGGCCCGTGCTGGTGGTGTACGTGTTCGCGTGCCGCCACCACGCAAGCAGAAAATCGTTCGTGCAGGGCATTCTGCTCCTGGGCGGTAGGGACCTCCTGCTGCTGCTCCAGATGCTGCTCCATCCCCAGATGCCTGCCCTAGTTTCTGGGGCCAGGAGGCACGCGTAGTCGTCCTCTGGTAGGCCCATGCGCCGCGCGACGAGTGCCAGGTCCGAGGGGAAGTGGGCGTAGGCGGCGGACCAAAGGCCGTCGATGTTGCGGATTATCCCCGTGGAGGGGGACCAGCGCGGGGAGGCGGGCCAGGAGAAGGCGAGGCTGTTGAGGAAGAAGGAGATTTTGATTTGGTAGTATGCCGTCGTTGTGGCTGGCGCGGAAACTGCTGACGGGGAAGTCGGCTCGCCTGAGTCATTGTTGTTGTTGATGTTGTTGCTGTCGTCAATGACAGTGCCGCTGTCACTTTCTTCTGGGGAGGGCAGGATCCCGTAGAAGTGCACCGGTGCGAGAGAAGGGAAGACCAAGTAGCCGACGCCGTCGGGATAGTCGCCATCCATCTGGAGGGTGCCGGCCATGAGTGTGGCCAGGAGCGACAGGCCAGTGAACAGGGTGCACAGCACCGCAACGGCGGCGAGGAGCGTCCGTGTAGCACTTCGCATCCTGCTTGCTATTGATATCATGGTGACCTGTTGTGATGTTGGATTAGGATACGTATTGCCTGAATTACACGGTGACGCCAGGCGGCAAAAAGGGGGTGCCGTTGGCATTGCTGTTGAAAACAAGTTGGAGTGGAGGCAGGCTGTGTCGCAACAATCCACTTAGTCAGCCACCCAGGCCATAGTCAGCTTCGTGATGGGCTTGGCACAGGAACAGGGGTACATATAGCAAGGTCTCCCATGGCAGTCACTAGTTACAATCATGAGTCTAATAACGGCATCCTGAGCCGACGTCGGGAGTCAACGACGGATGATACCATTCTCGTAAAAGAGGCTTCTAGATTCTATCGTGTATGGCGCCCATGGTGTCCTGTTCTACAATTATGCCTCGTCCGGGTAAGCATATGTCTGAAGACCCTGCACAGGCCGGGGCCCAACGTCCGCGACAAGGCTAGCCTTGAAGTCGCGGATGTCTTTTATGTCGATACGACCTGTTGTGGCGCCTTGGTTGGTTGCTGATCCTGCGTCCCCAGCATCGAGTGGTTGCTCGGCAGCCTTGTGCGAGCGGAGGTATATCGCCAGTGTCGACCTTTGAGACGAGCCCGGTGCAATATACGTGCGCACAAACTCCATAAGGTCCTGTTTCCTAACGGCCAGCACGTGCTGTGCGTCTTTCTGGGCTGTTTTGCAGCTACGTCAGCGGGTTTTCAGCACACACAAAACGCCGGGCATGCAGTCTCGAAACGTACCTTGCTCAAAGTCATACCCCTCATCACGGATCCGCACCCAAAACAAGTCGTTCTCCTGCGTCATATTCTTCGGCTTCTCCAGCATCTTGTCCACGACGCCCTTCTTCTCAGCCTCAAACTCCGAGTCCGTCATCTTGCCGAGAACCGTCTCTTGACCGTCCCGAGCCTGTTCCGATGGTGATGATGATGGTGTCGACACCACCGCGGGACCGGCCACGGTCTGCAGAAACGCATCGATCCTGGCCTCGAGATACTCGGGCGTCTTCTCGGTCTGCACCTCGATCGCGAACGCCGACACCCGGCTCCCCCTCGCCCCCGGGGAGGCAGACATGCGCGTGCGCACCACGTAGCCCAGCTGCTCGGTCGTGCGGAGCTGGTGGAACACCCGCGGCCGCAGGATGTGGCAGATGAGCTGGAGCCTGGCGCGGAGGCCGCGCAGGGCTGTGGTCTCTGGCCTCTCGCCCTCGCCGGGTGAGGGCGAGGCATAGACTGTGTTGTTGGGCAGGAGAGAGTTGGGCGAAGGAGGGCCGAGCTGTATGTGGTATGAGATGCAGTTGTTGACGTCGCCCGGGTCGCGGATGGTTTCTGCATAGCGGAAGTTTACGCCGCGTGGGATGACGAGGGCGCGGGGTATGAGGACCTCGAGTTGTCGGAGCGCCGAGTTGCTGTCCTTGCTAACTTCCTGGTCCGTGTCTGTTATAACCGGCGCACCGGCCTTGGGCAGTGAGGTCGACGCTGCAGTCCCGCGTAGGCTGTCCTCCACAATCCCCGTGATCCTCTCTGCCTCCTGCCTCGTGACATTACCATGGCAGTACATCTCTACAAACAGCCGCTTCAGGCACTGCTCGCGAAACCCGCGCATCGAGTCCACAGTGACACTCTCCAGCGCCGGCACAAGCTCACGATACAGCCGGTGCGGCGCGGCGCTAGGGAAGTCGGCGGACAGCAGCCACGGCTCGTATGCGGGGATCTGGAGGCACGGCTTGCGCAGCTCGCTGTTCCTGCACGCGCGGAGGAACCTCTCACGGAAGATCTCGAGCCTGTCCCCGCGGATCTCGAGGTCGCGGAGCACCACGGCGAGGACCCTGGAGAGCAGCAAGGGCAGCTTGTCGTTGTAGCCCGACACGCGGATCATGAGCCCGCGAGTGCCTGTGTACACCGAGTAGTGCAGGCCGGCGAGGGAGGCGGCGTACGCGTAGGTCTGGAGGGTGTCGGTGACGAGCTCGGCAAAGAGGTTCGCGTGGGCCTCGTTGGTGGCGCTCGCGTAGACGGCCGGGTTGTGCAGGCTTGCTGTTATGATGGCCTTCGGGACGAGGAACGTGTCGTCCTTCTTGTGCCAGCAGCGTACAGATGGGGTGTCTTTGAGCAGGCGCGGGGTTTTGTATGCTCTGGCTTCAGTGTCGATTTCGAGGTTCTTGGGGATGAAAGGGTTCTTCGCTGGTAAGTGCAACTCGGCGGGTCGGGTCTTGTTGTTGTAAATGTCGTTGAGCTCGGACAGCAGTTGCTCGGGCAAGGGCTCGGTTGTGTACTCTGTGCCGTACCACTTCTCCTTGCTCTCCCAAGTTCCCGGGTACCTTTGCGAGATGAGCATGATCTGGGTCCTGCTCGGTCGAAGCAAGTCGAGCGCCTTCGTCATCAGCTCCAAGTCAAAGGCCTTTGCCCGCTCCCCAATGCCAATGTACCATTTTGGAGGCACCTGGGTCTGCATCCGCCGACACGTGGAGCTGGTGAAGGTCCGCGACTCGCTCTTCTGCCGGTAGTAGAAGGCGAGGTCTGCGAGGTGCCGGCTCTCGTCGACAAAGTCTTTGAGCTTGGATGGGTCCTCCTGCAGCATGGAAATGTACTGGAACACAGCCTTTGCGACGTCCTCGTGGTGCTCCAGGCCCTTTGTATAACATTTTTTGTCAGCCTCACATTGAGTTATGGGCTTCGGTGTCCTGTCGACTTACAGCTTCAGTTAAGCCAACCTCGATGCCCAGCACGCCAGACGTGCCGGGACAGATGGACGTTGTGCTCGCGGAGACGGAAGCCGCCCACGTCTTGTCCTTCAAGTAGGCCAGTAAACTGCCCTCACCCTCGTGACCGAGAATCTTGCAGAGGTACTCGCCGGGCCTGTTCTCGTACAGCAACTCCTCGTCCAGGAAGGGAAACGACACGCGCAGTCGGCGGAAGTCCATGATCGGCCGCGTGTATACTCTGCGCGGCAGCTGCTCGTCCGACCACAGAGGCACGTCCTCCCAGCGGTTCTGTGGGAGGTCCTTGTTGGGAATGTCCGAGAACATGGTCGCGACCCATTCCTGCAGTGTGTCCAGCGACTCCTTGCCGAGGACGCAGAGCTTCATGAGGTTGGCCGAGTAGTGCGTCCTGTGGAAGTCGACAAACCGCTTCCGCATTTCGATGCCCTGCTCTGCCGGCTCGTCGCGGAGGGTCTTGAGGTTTCCTGTGGAGAAGCCGTTATAGGGATGCTGAGGATTGCTGAGGGACCGACCAAGCTGGAACAGCCGACGGTCGTCGCTCTGGTACTTGAGCTTGAACTCGGAGTCGACGGCGTTGATCTCGCGGTCGACAGTGGACGCGAGGAAAAGGGGCGAGGTGAAGAACTGGCTGAAGCGGTCGAGAGCACCATAAAAGGGCGAGGGTCCTGGCTGTTGTGATTCAGAGTCGCCGCTGGCTTTGGTGTCGTCGGCGGTGACCTGGAAGTGGTACACGGTGGCGCAGGGGCTGGTGCTGGCATTTGAAGCGCCCGCGTGGGACCCGATGAAGGATTTGAAGTCGTTGTCCGCCGGATACTTTTCCGAGCCCATGAAGAGCAGGTGCTCGACGGCGTGGGCGAGCCCCGGGATGCCCCCGTCGCGGAAACTGCCGACCCCGACGGCCAGGGCCGCGCTGGCCATGTCGACCGTGGCATCGCTGGCCAGGAGAACCTCGAGCTGGTTGGGCAGGCGGACCACGCGGTACTCGCGGTCGTCAGTGACGGGCTTGTCGAGCTTGTCCGTGACGAGCTCGACCGCTCTTTTGCCAGGCGTGGGAGGGGTCGCCATGGTCGAGGCAACTCGACGCCACTGGGCAGTAGCGGCGGCAGAGTAACAAACAGCACGCTTCGCAGTTGTGGAAGTCAAGGGTCTATGTGGAATAGTTGTCGTCAATAAGGAGCGCCATGTCCTCATTGTTTGGACGGGTTTTATTGTCTTGAATGTGCTTGTGCTGTGATAGGCTTGCCAGCCCAGGAACCCCGCTCGTTCCTGTGTCCGCCTTCCATTTCAGTGCTTAGTCATCTCCCCATAGCGCGCTCAAGAACCACAGCCAATGACTCGGCTAATACTTCGTGTCTGTTCTCTTACACACTAGCGTTTGAAAAGGCATGAATCGCTATAAGTCCGTCGGATGGGAGGAGATGCAATAGACAAGAAACGTCCAGTTCTTGAATCGCACTCCTCTAAAGGGCAAACCTCACAACTTTCTATTCCTGCTGTACATGGTTGCTGAATAGACGTTGTCTATACTTGAATTTGGTGGGTTTGGTCTCACATAGAAGTTCTCGCAGATATTTACTGCGACTCTTCAACTGGTTTTATGTAGTTGGCCTGATGCAACACCCGCAGCCGCAACACTCCAGTCAAACTCGCTGGACCGCACATAAGGCAGGTCCGGCTGATTCTCAATCTCCTCGGGGGTCAGACTGCTCTGGACGTAGTGGGCGTAGCCATAGTAGCTCGCCTGGTCCCGCGGAGTAGCCGGCCCCGTCCCGTCGACATACGGATACCCCCACACGGCCAGCTGCTTGCCCTCGAGCGCCGCCGCATCCCCGGCGTCACACCCGCCCACCGTGCCGTACCAGCACCGCTGCACCGGGATCCCCCACAGGGAAGCAGCATGCCCAAACTCGAACTCGCCGGGCGGGATCGTGAAGTTGTAGAACACGGTGCTGTCAAAGTTGACCCCCTCCAGAGCGTCCTGGTCCGCGTCCGGGCTGGCGCGGAGGGCCCTGATGGCGCCGGACAGGTCGCCCGAGATGTACTCCCAGGACTCGGTGTCCATGTCCCGCGCGTAGCTCTTGAACGGCAGGACCATCGGGTACCGGTCGATAGGGCAGTCGCCGGTGGCGCCGGCCTCGGCCGTGCAGTCGACGACCTTGGTCAGGGGCATCTGTCCGCCCGGCATCTTCTCAAAGTACCACTCGGCCGTCGAAACGTACTGGCCCTGCTCAAAGTCTGATGTGAAGTCGAAAGTGCTGCATTTCCCGGTTGCAAGCCGCGGAAGGAAAGCCGCAGCCGCAACGAGGGCCATGTTATTCAAATGTCTGGCCATATTCGGAGGCGTCAGTGGTGAGTGGTGAGTGTTGGAAGTGCTTGTTTTAGCGCAGGAGGCTGATGACGGTCTGTGATGGACAGGACTTTGGAAGGGGTGACGAATCTCCATCTCATATACCGGGACTAGATATCCTGGAACAATAGACAATGTGCATCCTGCGCAGATATTCTGGTGAGTTCTCACATCGACCTGGCCTTCTCAGCGCGCCTGGGCAGAGTTGAACTTGCCTGCCCGGCAAATCTAGGCACCGACTATCAATGTCTCGTATCCCAGCCCAGTCATAAGCGCACTTGCTAAGCAAGCAATGCTGGTGGAGAAGCGCCAAACGGAAACTCGATTTTTCCGAAAAGAGAGCCGCTTCGCTGATGACCTTGCCGCACAGGCCGGCTGGGCACTAGGGATGCTCTCGTCCCAGGAGCTGTGAGCTATGGTGCATGTAGGACAACACGATGATTTAGGAAGGTGATTTACTGTCCGAGGACGGCCCACGTACTGGGAGGATTCCTTAGGCAACAGCAAATGTGCCTGTCGAGTAAGTCGCCGATTGGAGGCAACCAAGCATGCGTAGTCAGGAACGGAGTGGCTCGGCATGCCCCACGGGGTATACGGGAGGGAGTATCAGACCACCACGCAATCCTTGCAAATGTCAGGGGCGCGGCGACGGGATGCCGTCAGGGCGGAGACAAATTCCGTCCAGCCGTTCCTTACGAAACAGCACCTCAAGGGGAATTGGAACCCATACAGCACTCACACCGGTCCAAATGTCCCATGACTGAAGCAGTCCGTCATTGGAAGTGTAGGACTGGAAATCTTTTGAGTGTCGATCAAGGAATCCTGCAAAAGCTGCCACTGGATATGGCCGCACCGAGTCTAGAAGGCAATTGATCTCTACTAGTGACTGAGCGAGATGTGCTTGGCGTTACAACAGCCCAGAGTGAGCATCCCCATTATTCGCACGTCTTGATGTCTGGGCCATCAAGGCCAGAGAAAACAGATGTGTCAAAGGAAGTGCAATTTCCACGAGCACACACGAACCACAATTGTCTTTCGGAGGCCCGCTTGCGGCCGGTCAACCCTTCCTGAAGATCTCCTTGTCATACTCTTCCGCGGGACACAGATCCTCCCATCGCAACAGCCCATCAGGCTTGGTCCACACCGCACCCGCGACTTCCAGTGCAGGATTTGCCATGTGATGCTTGAGCTCCGTCTTGGGCTTGAGCGTGGCATTCCGGGCCATCGACTCTTGCAGCGCCTTGAACAGCTCCCGCGCGCGGGGCACGTACCACATGCGGTCCCAGTGCTTCTCTCGGTGGCTCTTGTCGCCGTTCATATGCCGCAGCACGGGCATACGCGACATGCATAGGTGCGTGTACAGCGGGCGCGACAGCCACGGCGACGGCCATGCCGCAATGTCGCCGTCAGTCGGGATCCTCGCATCGGCAATGTCATGTGGTAGCGCCTCCGGCAGGTTCGCCGGGCAGTCAAAGTCTGCGAGCCGCTGTCCGATCTGCGCGCTCATCGCCTTCTCATCGTCTCGGTCGCGGTATTGGATCCACGCGGCGTCGAGCTCCGAGTTGATGGTCTGGTGGCCCAGGTCGCTCGCAAAGTCGAGAAAGATGCCATGTTCGTATGGGTTATCCCCACTGTCCAAGTCCACGTCGAACTCTTCGTGGTGAAAGCTCGGGTTGAGCACATTGTCGATGGGCGTGAAGAAAACTGTCGAGGACCGCGGGCGAGTTCCCACAGGGGCGTACTGCAGCCGTATCTTCTCCCGCGCAAACTCCTGCCGGCCATACATGGCCGCGAACACGCTCTGGTCGGAACCGTGATACACATAGTCGCTGGTGTGCGAGCCGTCGTCGTCCGGGTCCATGTCTGGCTGCGCCTGAATGAACTTCCAGGCCTCCTCGTACATCTCGCGCATGGCCTTGGCAGGACCCAGGACGTAGCCCGAGTTGAGGTAACGCTGCCTGACGCTGTAGTGGTGGTTGTGCCCGATCGCGGTGTCCGTGTTGGGTCCGTAGATCTGGGGCATGGGCGAATCAGGCACCGCGTAGCATGCGACGGTATGAGGCTCGTTGGGTGCGCAGCGCTTGCCGGCACCAAAGATGATTCTCTGGCTCAGTCCCCCGTCCTGGACGGCCGTCTTGCCAACAGACTCGACCAGACGCTTCTGTGCGGCATCACGGAGCTCGTAATACCGGCTGATGAGGGTAGACCTGGGAAGCTGCAGATGGACGTCGTACGCATCGAGCATGAGGACCAGCTCGTCGTCCTGGGACGGGTCGAGCGCCTGCAGGTACTCGAGTACCCTGAACACCTTGGCCAGGTGGCTTCCTCCCCCGAGGATCCAGGCCTGCTTGTACGTATCCCGCCACGCTACAATTGTCGGGTTAGGGTAGTCCAGGAGCGAACAACCAAGGACCAACTTGCACAGATTCACGTCCTGATGGGAGGCTGGGATGACGATGTGGAGCTTGACATCTTTGAAGGATGGATGGCTTCTCGTGCTGCCGTTGCCACCATCATCGTGCCTTATGCTGCCCAACTGGGTGTGCGGTGTCGTAGCGTTGATGTAGTTGTCCCTGTACTGTCGAAGCTCATCAAGGCCAGGCCAACTTCCCCTCTACAGAGCCGGCCGGTCAGCTGAAACGCCCATAGAATAGCTCATCCGCCCGCATCGAGACTTACTGGGACCGCTATTAAGCAGAGGATAATGGAAAGCGCCAAAGCGGAAAAGCCAATGATATGAAACCTACGTGAGACAGAGGCTCGGCTGCGGGTTCGCCAAGCCTTGCTATCGGCTTCTAAACGCCTTCTGCCTATCATGGTTTTGCTGCTGCCCCGAGTCCAATGGTCGCGTCTCAGAAACGAGATGATGGTTCACACAATTGGTACGCGTGCCCTCGCGGATGCGGATCCCGCTGGGTCTTATACTTGAGCCGCACTACGCCAAGAGTGTCGAGGTCCCTGCGCCCAAGGCCCAGCGCGTCCCGGCCAGGCTTCACCCATCACGCGCTATCATGCAAGCGGCAAATGTTTTTTTCGCCGTCCGCAGTCTGTCAAGGTATGTACTAGCGCAGCGGTAAGGGCGGCCAAGCGGTGATCCAATGACACGCACGTCTCAATCGCTCAGCCTCGTGTCAAAGCTTCGACGCGCAGACATCATGACGCAATCAACAGTGCAGACTGCAGAGATCTTCAAGGCGCCCCTGAACTGATGGGACTCTGACGGTGTTTTGATATCCTTTCCGATCACAGATTGAAATAAGGAGTAATGAAGGCAGTAGAGTACCTACCCCGGCAACACGTTGCCTGACGACATTTGAGACAGAGTATGCTGGCCCCGACGGCTGGCCGTCCACCACGAAACCCGACCAAATTCGCTAAACTCGGCGGTCCAGCACGCCGTGGCGTGTCTCTTATAGGACATGGGGAGTCCAGCTTGCGCTCATGCCGTGCAATTTACAAACATCAACAAATTGATGATTTGATCGTGCTGCTTCTCACGTAAGTTGCTCAAGCGGTCTCTGCTAACGGCAAAACCGACTGTGAACCGGTATTGGAAGCTTATCAGATTGATAAGCACCGGCAGTGAGGATGATATCATGCGGCTGGTCCATGGCTAGCCACCATAGCCGGAGGGCTGAGCCGCATCATGCTTGTCCTGCAGGCTGTTTGTTCTTCGCCTCTTGCTCAGCCAATGAGACTCACCAAATGGTGGACAACCCCGTGCTGTGCCACCAATGACGTGAGGCTCTGGGCACAATGACGTATCGTTCTTTGGGCAGTTCGGGAAGGCCAGCAGGGATCTTGTTCCTGGACGGGATGGGCTAGAGCATGCAGGCTGTTGTGCTGTGGGGACTGGAGTCCGTCAGCTCAAGCCAAGACGCGAAATCGGTGGCGGACTTGGGACATTCGAAAGTCAGGTGAACGGTGATGGGTCTCGTTGCAGAATGCATTGCGCTTGAATGAGCGCTAGATAACAGTACAGGGATTGATTCTTGATGACAAGCAGAAATACAGACAAGTCTATGGAATGACAGAAAGCCCAGCGAAGGCTGTCTAAAAATAATACAACGAGCGGAACAGGCAGCGGATACAAGGCTGTCGAAATAGACAAGGACGTCGATGAGCATCCAGCGTTCTCCATGCAGACAGCAACCCATCGCTACAAGCCGTAAACTTCAGCATGTGTGGGGATAAGTCTCAACACTTCCTGGAGCCACAATATTACAAGGGTGCGTCTACTTGCTCTCGACGCTAGAATCAGGAAGGCCGCCCTGGTCAGCGCAAGGCACGGCGCAGTCACCGCCCCACTTGACGCCGTTGTTGGAGAACTGGTCCTTGACTCCGAAAGCGCACAGGCCTGCGCAGTCTTCGCCGCCCGAGTACTGGCAGGCTGACACGCGACCCTCAGACTCTGTTTGCGTGATGGAAAGTCAGTCTATGGCTTTACATGCATGATTGGGACAATGCGAGATCAATACTCACTCCAGGTATCCAGGACAATGTTGTAGCCATCCCTGTAGAAGATGTACTGCGGGTGGCACAGGCCCTGGATCGAGCACTTTGTAGTTCCCTCGATGCCGCCCCAGGCGTGACTGTCCGTGGCGGTAAACTGGACACTGTACTCGCCCATGCCTTGGTCGTCCTTGAAGTAGTGGACGGGCGGGGCATTGTTCTCAGGATCAACCCAGCCAGCGCTAGAAAAGAAACAGTGTTAGTCAAGTATGAGACAGACGGAGAGAATGTCAGAACGGTACTCACTTGAGATTGTGCGTGGCAGTGGCACCGCTGGATCCGCGGTTGTAGGTACGAATCTCCTCCTCCCCGCCAGCGTGTGTCTGGAAGTATGTCCGGCACTTGGTCTCGTCGTGCCAGACCTGGTCTTTCATATCACCAACAGCTCCCGCAATCGAATTTGCAATCTCGCCGAGGAAGGGCGCGACCTCCTTGGCGACCTCCACAAGCACCATGCCCGAGACGCCAAGAATCAGAGTAACACGTTTGTCAAGGTTGTTCTCGCCAGCAGCTGAGCCTGCCCGACGAGCGACTGGCTGATAATCGCCCTCCATAAGCTTACTCAGGGTCGTGTTGTGCAGGGCCTCGAGTTCTGCAAGGCGCTCGACGTCACGGATCGGGTGTCCGGATATCTGAGGCATGTTGGTCCGAGGAAGGGCCTGTGCCATTGGCGCGGCGAGGAGGGCGATTGCGGCAGCGGACGAAGTGAACTTCATTTTGAGACAGAGTTTGATGTTGCTTTTGTTACAAAGGTGCTGAAGGGTTTGTATAATGGTGGGAAGGTGAAGAGGCTGAGATCGCTGATGGTAGTGTTGATGTGAATGCTGGAGAAGATGCTGGTTGTGCTGTTGATGATGGTCTCGGATCCAGCTAGACAACAGCCACGGTGACCATCTTTATACTCGAGCTCGATGGCGAAAATGGCTACGAGCGACGAAGTCATCACCATCCTCTCTCATCAGTGACGTTGTTTGATGTGCTATCTCTCTTGCCTATTGTTGCGACAACTCAAAGCTGCTCGCAGGGTCAGAGGGCACAAGGGCCTGCTTGTTCTGATGATCATTACGTCTTGAGCCGGTTGCCAAGTGATGCACATCACTAGGTCCTTCTGCTCTGCCAGGCGGATGGCCAGCGCGCGTCAGCTCAAGCCGCTGTTCATGGTCAGAGATTGAGGCTCCCATGGAGACCGATGTTGACATTGCCTCTGCCAAGACGCAGAATGCCCGTCTTGGCCGACGTCTGCGCTTCTATAATAACGCTACGGTATCCCTGAGGAGTGCTGATCCAGCTGGACATATGTTGTCTCTTGTGTTCCTGCGCAAGGGCCTGAGGATGCATATCTCCATACGAGACATGTCTCCTTACCAGAGGGAGTTGCATCAGTGTGAGCCGCCAAACGAAGTGGGGCACGTCAGCATGATGATGTAATGGGTGAATTAGCTAAGCTGATCGTGATTGGACACTTGGCTGCCATATCCTCCACATAGTGGATCCAGTTATTATATTTAGACAATGACGCAGCTGGAGACGGCTTGTCCAGGCAGGGATGAGAGACCCTTACGAAGCGATAGTGCAGTTTCTGTCACATCCCTTCCCGGAGGAGGACTTGACAGTCCCGGAATGATTCTCTCAGGATCGACACCCCTGTCTTGCCACGTTTTCAAGCGCTGATCAGTCTCGCGGGTGGCTGCTTTCCACTGAGGTTTAACGTCGTAGAGTAAGGTGCTATGAAGCCCCCGTGTGCAAAGAGCCATTATATGACAGCTGGCGGATTAGACAGACTTCTTTCTTCTTCATTCACTCTAAACCTCTGGGATCTTAAAGCTTTCGAGGCTAAGCGCTATTTCACATTGTTAGTTTACTGAAGAGTGTCGGTTAAAATGATCTTTAATTATAAGTCAACCCTGGTTGTGCTCTCCAACATCCGCAATTGCATGTTTATAACGTCAAATAGAGAGTGCTTCTCCCCGCTAGGTACTATGCTCGGCAAGTTTCACCTCTTAGTCGTGGTTATGCGTCCACAGACTGAATGTCGGCAATTCCATTCGGAAAGCCATCCTCAGAATCAAGCCGTACAGACGACTCACCAGATCTCACTTCAGAAACTGCCAAAATCGTGCACCGTGTTCTGTCACAATGAAATTCACTTGGAGATAATTGGCCATTTGCAGTGTTTCTACTGCTAACCCTCTGTGACTCACCAAACTCCCCTTGCACCCTGCTTGTCTTTAAGACAGTCTTGTTAAACGAAGAAGTAAAACTACCCCGCGCTTCAGTCTATTATAGTATAATGTCGTTAAGTGCTAGAAAGAGGTGGTGCAAAATTGAATACTTACTAACAACCTATTTAAGAATTGTAAAATCATATTAATAACTATTCATAGAAGCATAAATAAGCTGAGCGTATTATAACAAAAGGGAATTTAGTTATAAGCGGCGAGGTTACGTACTTACCGCTTACGGCTTGTTTGTCTTGGACTACATCGTTACATCACTATGGTTTAGTCTAGATCGGTCCTTGATTCACGAGTGAGTCCTCGTGCTATAGCCCAGGCGTTACCTAGAACGGTTCCAGGGCCGTACTCCGAAGATTAGGAATATCCGCCTTCCGCCAAGCGTACGAGATACTGTCCTATACCATGGCAACCGCGAGTCGCCGCTCCCGGAGTGATCCACCGCGACTCTTCCAACAATTATTCTTCACATGAGCAAGGGACGCAAGTGTGTTCAATCCGAATCGAGTCATGGATGGTCGGGTGGTAGCGAGTGCAAGAACTCCGTATTCCTCCTTGGTAGTGCACGGGACGAGTGTCCTGTGGGTACAGCGTGTCTCTGTTTGTGTCGGTGGAGGCTTACAGAAACGGGTAACAGAGCCAGTTCTTGGTGACGAACATGCTCCTATTAATCATAGCTCTTTTATCGATAATCGACATTGAGTCCGCCGACGGTACCCGTCTGTCAGTCCCGGACCAAGACTTTACCCCTCTGGCTTATCTGATCTGAAGCTTAGCATAGGCTAGAGGGCGATACTTGGTGACTACAAGGCAGGGAGAGGTACGGCCTTCGCACCAGGCAATCAAGACAGCAACCACTGGTGGACGTTCTGTTCCCGGTAGCAGCGAAAGGGTCACCTTATATAAAGGTAAAGTGCACCGAGTTGGTTCTCAGGTCGGCTACGCTGTTGAAATTTTCGGCAAATCCGCGTGTGGCAAAGGCGTTTTAAGTGATGTTCAGCAGCGGAAATGTCGAGCGGGTCAGAACCAAGACCAGGAGACACGACAACTCGAGCTACATGCTTGAATGGTCCGTCAGCACTCGAGACAATACGCTTCCGCAAGATGTGATGCCTGGTCGATATGATTTCACTCGTAACGTGACGTTGTCTTTGGTATTCTCCCCTCTTATCTGGTTCGTTCGGAACTCAGAACAAGACAGTGGTTTTCCTTCGCCCGCGGCTCGCAATAACGAGGGAGGCGGCCACATACCAACAAGAAAAATGGATATTACAACTCTAGGGATCTGCATTGGCGTCGTACCTATCCTTTCCACCGCCTCGACGGGCTCGTGGCATGGACAAAGAGACTCTGTGCACGTTCTGAATTTCACGGGAGAGCACCATCACCATACCATCCGAGGTGGGTGCCAAAGAAAAATGCCTCGCCTGGTTGGTGGTTTTGGTCAACTACCTTGGGGAACTGGGGCATTTTTTTTTGGCACCCACCTCGCCATCCTATGATTACGATGGTCAATAGCTCAGTGGGTTTGTCTTTCCACTAGTCCACCGCCTCACTCACCGCGACGCCAAGAATACGAGCTGCTCCGCAAGAACGTGGGGAAGCCTGCACGGCCGCCGCGCTGATCAGACATGCGACGGCTCGCGCTGAAATAGGTCGTTACATTCACTGGATCGCCATATTTTACTACCTTGTCTGCACTATATCTGTGGTAACAGTGCCTTGCGCTAGTAAAACGCTGGGGCAAATCACCAGATCGTACGAGTATCTTGGGGCTGCACATATGCTGGTTGTTGGGCCTTGCTATTTGGTTGAGGTCGCAAACCATAATCAATTTTCCGCACCGCTGTAGCTAGATACCATTCCAGCTGTAGTGTTCGTGACCGAGAGGTGAGCTGTAGACAGTGGTCGTGGCAAGAAAATCTGTGGACGCTTGGGACAGTGGATGGAACAGCACATCTGTGCTAGTTGAAGCGTCAACGGCACTGTAAATGCAACTACGCCACGGCTGCGTCGAGGATTCTGTCTGGCGCCCTGGATGAGAACTGAGGCAACCGGTGTCTCCACGCGCATGGTCGTGGCAGTCGGCTCTGGCATTTGTGTGAGCGAGTAATGACGTTTAGTTTCGAATTGATCAGTCCTGGAGAACAGAGTTCGTGACACGACCAAGACCATGGATCTCCGAGCAGATTCCCGCATGGGGAATTACGTATGTGCACAGCATGGAACTATCAAGGGGCCTGAGCGGGGCACGTTTGGACACTACCGGCGGGCCTTTCATCATGGCGAAGCAGAAAGAATGCCGCTGGCGACGGCACGAAGGGCGACTGTGTCGAAAAAGCAGCGAAACGCGCGAGGCTGTGGCCAGAAAAACCCAACAGTTTAGGCCCAGATCGTGCAGCAATCGACCCAACTTATTCTGTCCAGTGCCTTGCCGCGCTGAAGCTTGAAAAGAACCCCTGTTGATACAGTGGGGCATCGTCATTTCTCGTATTTGCTGGCCGCATGATGAGAGAGAGCAAGGGTCCAAGCCAAGCCCTGGGGAAAGGGACCGATGATCAGTAGAAGAGGTGACCTGCTGGCTCCCGACGTTGCCGGCCCCGGCCGGCAGGGCACCGGCCGAAGAATGCCGTGATCATGTAATTGTTGGGGGCGAGATGGCTTATGGTCTTAAGCCGGACTGCGGCAGTGCCGCTCTTGTTCCGCTTTGCTTTGCACTATGATTGGTGCGCAAGGGCAAAGCCGCCAAAGTCGACGTGAGCGGACGCTTGCCACGTCTGTAACACTGTGGATGCGCTAGCAGAGGGCTACGTACTGGCGATGACGTCCTCGCCCGCTCAGGCCCGCCGCCTCGTTTTATTTTTGGGGGCACGGGCAGGTCGGGAGCTAGCCGCCCTGAGAGCTGGGGCCGTGACTCGCTCAAGAAGGCATGAGATGGATCCAGAAGCAGTCCCTGGGGCGGCCGAACTCAGCTAGTGCCTTGCAGCCGTCTGAAATCGCTGCTTGTAACGTAGCCGTCGACTTCGCCACGGCAGCCGGCACGACAGGACGATCCTGTTACGTGCCGGCCGTGGTACGAGAAACAGCGGGCTGCTCGTGTCCTTGGGAGGCAAAGATCACCAAGCCCCGCAGTTCGCATGGGTAGCGGGTAGCAACATAATGATGGGAGATGAAGACAGGGCAGGGGGAGGCCGAGGCGGTTGACAAAAAGAAAGCCAGGCACTTCACCGCCCGGGATCTGCATCAACGTCCGATTTATTTTGTCAACCCTCCCGGAGGCCCCTAGCGGCCCTTGCCCACAAGCCTCGATGCAGGCAGCTCAACTGCCGATCTGTGGCACCGGACCCCTGCCACAGCCTGCGTCATCGTGCCCGTTGTAGCGTGGACCCTGCATCGTCAGGCCTCAACTGCCGGAAGACGATTCCTGTATATATATCGCGGTCTTGGACAACCTATCGAATTGCTGTCACTCTATCATCACCATCAGCATCTACAGACATACAATCAAACACACTCTCTACAATCACACTCTACAACCACTTCTTCCACCCCAAAACCACCACCACCTCAACCGCAAACATGAAGTTCTCCGTCATCGCCGCCCTTGCCGCCACCGCCTCGGCCGCCGCCATCAAGCGCGCCGATGTCGATGCCATCTTCGACGTCAGTAGCTTTGAGGCCAGCTGCGTTCCCCACAGCTCTCAGTGCATCTACTCGTTCAAGCTCGCCAAGTCTGGCACTGGGGAGACCGAGGGCGTTTCCTGCAGCGCCTATGTCACCGCCGACAGTGGCAACACCCTCCCTGCCGTCGAGAACGGCACTTGCGAGCAGTCCAGCCGCACCTGGAAGATTGTCAAGTCGACCGACGGCCTCGCTCTCTTCGCCTCGCAGCAGGTCACCCCCGCCTCCAACGTCACGGGTGTCCACCAGATCAACAACTCTGAGCTCGAGATCACCACCCCCGAGAACCCCAACGGTGCCGTCCAGCAGTACATTGGTGCCCCGGCCTTCACCCTCGACCGCCCTCAGTACGAGTAAACCTGAGGCCCTTGTATTTCTGGAAGCATTCTCAGTCGCAAGCATAGCATTCCCTTCTGGTTTACGGCATAAATAGATGGCATTGGACATTTTGTATGCATAGATAGGCATTGTGCCAACTTTCCTTAATCATTGTTACATAATAGAGTCACGGCATAAATATGGCAGAAATTACCTGATCACCCAAATGATATCGCTGCTTACGTGATACACTTTACTACCACACTCAGCCAATCACCTGTTGAATCGTCAATTCATGGCACATTTGGCCGGAACTTCTTGAACTTTACGTTGTTCACGCCCAATCATCACCCTCTTTGGTGGTTCGAAGCTGACCACTAGTTACCAGCTGACGAGGCATGGGAAGGCGTTCTAACTTGTTAATGCACAACACTGGCCGGCTGAGCCCCTCTGCCCTGACAACTGCACATTTCACACCACACAGCACCAGCTGCCTCCACTACACAAAAACGAGAACGGATATTGTCTCATCGCCCCCACACGGTAAACACGCCCAGCCCCTACTCGAAGACACCTCAAACCTCCTTCAACCCCTTCTCCCCGCCAATTCCAGCTTGCTCACCAGAAGCAACCGCAGAGCTGTCGCTAGCCCTCTCCGCGTCCCCGTTGTAGTGCTGGTGCTGGTGTTGATGACGCCGCCGCAGGCGGCCAGCATCGTCGTGCGCCTCGTCCCAGGCAGCGAGCTCCGCGAGCGGGACCTGCACGAGCCGGTGCGTGTTGGCGCCGCGCGAGTCGACGTCCTCGAGGACCTCTGGGCGGATCTTGTAGCCGCGGAACTTGGGCCAGACGTACATCCAGACGACGTAGTAGAGAGCGCACACGATGATGCTGTGATTTTTGGGGGTTCGTGGTCAGCTAAAAAAATCCCAGTACGCGTCCTCGATGACTGCATGAAACCTTCGTGTGGGAAGAAAGCACTTACATGGCGATACCCGTGACACAGTACGTGGCGTACCAGAACGACACATCACCAGAATACGGGCCATTCTTAGGCGGCACCCATGGCATGACGAGCACGTAGATCTGCACCAGGATGAAGAAGATGGCCGCGATATGCCACGCCTCGAACTCGGCCCGGGGCAGGCCCGCGCGCTTGAAGCGGTGTCTCACAAGGTAAAGTCCAACGGCCATTGCTACCGAGAACATAGCGGATGGGTATGATTGGAGGGAAACGGCTGTTGGGTGGTGGTGGTGACTGTTAGTGAGGTGGAGACAGAGAAGGGCACCGCAGAAAGGGCGGGGAGAGAGCTTACCGAATGTGAACGCGTCGCCTGCTGGAGGCGCGATAATCATGATGACCGTGGCGACCCATTTCAGGAGATATGGGCCGATGGGTGTGCCGACTATGTGTAGTTGTGTGTCAGTCTTGTAGATCTGCGAAGTAAGACAGAGAACGTCTGGTCTTTCACGTGATAAAGGAGGTTACTTACATGGCCAGGTCGTCACCCAAAACCGCGGATAAGGGAGAACGCCTTGTCTAAAACGCGCACGGGGCAAAGTTAGTCGATCACGCACTCACGAGACATGCTCACTTTGCGGGGAGGAACCTCACCGGCCAATCTCGCGAATCATCCTCGCATGCCCAATAAGCACCGCCAGCAGGTTTCCAAAGGCGCTCAGCAGCACAAAGACGTTCAGAGCATTGGCGCCGCGCGGACCAAACACCCGAGTGAAGAAAACGGCGGCGGCGGTCTGGCTGGACGCCGCAAACTCGGCCTTGGGCACTGCCGAAAAGTACGCAACGTTGCACAGGATGTACAAGATGGAGACGATTAGCACGGACGCCGTGGCATTCTTCTTGAGCGTCGGTACGGGCCGCTTGATCTCGTTGACGACCTTGAACGCGTTCTCGTAGCCGCTGTACGAGAAGACAATGTTGACGATCGCATTTGCGAGGTCGTTGCCGTTATTCGTCGTGCCTTGAAACGAGTTCTCCCAGTTGGCATGGGGGTTTTGTATATGCGTACTGCCCCCGAGGACGACAAGACCCGTGATGCTGATGACGACGAGGAGTAGGACCTTGAACACGCCAAACACGTTGACGGCCCACAGGGAGTATTTGTTGTGCACGAGGACGCAGATGACGGCCAGTGTGTACGCGGCAACTGCGACGCCCTTGAGCTGCCAGTCCGACGGGGTGATGGCGGCGATACGCCACAGGTAGCGTGAAAGGACTGTTTTGTTGGGTCTGAGTTAGCATCATTGGCCTAGGCCGTAGATCCTTGACGCTGGCTCGGCTCACCAACGGCATTACTGCTCGAGAACGAGAGGATGACGTTCTGCACCGCAAAGGCAATCGGGAAGAAGTATTTCGGTCGAGGGTATGACTGCTCAAGGTAGGCCTGCACGGTATGTCAGTCTTCATCATCGAAATATCACGGCAGTGTCCATCGAAACTCACTACTTCGCCGCCGCTGCGCCCTGGGAAGTAACTTGCGAACTCGAGGTTAACAGCCAACCCGGACAACGACATAAGAAAGCCGATAAGCCAGAAAATCATGGCCAGGCCAACTGAGCCGGTGCTCCTGAGAATTGAGCCGGCTGAACGCGGAAAATGGTGGTTAGCTGAGCCTTTCCCATCTTTGGCAGATCTGCTTTAGATCTTCCCAACGTCGCGTCGCATTAGGTTACTCACGAGTACTGTGAAGCAGGCGAACTGGTCAGCTACGTGAACTTTCACAAACCTACCCGCCCCCCGCTCTCCGCCCCCCGCGCCGTCGAAGGTAGGATGTGCTTACGAAAAGATACCAGTCCCAATCATTTGGTTCACGTTCAGGAAAATGACCGTGACCCAGCCAACGTTATAGCCGAGCGGCGAGTTCGACTCGACAGGCGCCCCGACAGCCTCCTGATACTGAGGACCAGAGTCATTTCCAGCCTTTTCCCGCACGAATGCAAGATTGCCATCGTGCAAGAAGGATCCCTCGCTGTCGGAAGCTGATGCCTCCACGTCGACCGCCGGATGCTCGGCTGGGTTTGCATGGTGGTCGCCGCTGGACTGCCAGAACTTGAGTGACGGCATGGTTGCAGCAGGGGTCGGGTGGGAGCAGCTCTGCGCCAGAGACAGATGATCGCTAGCTCTGCCGCGCTGCTTGTGCGAGACAATGGAAGAACGCGCAGATCTTGGGCGCGGCTCAATGTGATCATAGTCGGGTGGGATCGTCCTCCCTTTTGAGCTCGTGGAAGAGCCCCATGCACAGGGTCTTGTTGGTGCTACGCTCCACTGCATATGCAATCCGCGGCCATTGTCACGCAAGCTTGCCTCGGTCAAGGGCCCTTTCCCCGTTTCTCGCGCATGCGGTGGTGGAAGCGACCACGGTGTATGGCGTGCTGGGCTTGGGGATTGCCTAATGCAGGTGTGGCCACTACCGACTGTGGTGTGGGATCGCCAATCACGAGCTGCTCTACCGAATGTTCTGTCAGACTTCCAAGACCTTGGGTGCGTGAAGCTGCAGGATGGCCAAGAAGATTACGGTGCTTGGCGGATTGCCACTTGCTGATGGGAACGGTCACCCCTTTGCGTGAGTCCTTTCAGCCTGAGGCGGTCTCTGCGACTCGCTGGTGTCACCCAATACAGCGCCATCATGGGCTGTGTCGGGGATCCGCATTGTTCCGATGTATACGTATGCATTGCACGAGGAGACCACAGCACACGACACTCTACTCGACCCTGTAGGCGCAATCTGCAGCTCGACCGTCGTACCATAGTAGGTAGGAACCATAGCCATGGCCCACACGGCAGACATGTTTGGGGATGGAACGGCACGGGGGTCCTGCGTTGCAGCCATGGTGGAGCAAATGGTCCCACGAATGGGTTATCAGACATTCTTGCCGCCAAGCCTTGGACAGGACAAAGATCATCGCACCCCCGAGATTGCACCATTGCACGCCAGCGCGGGGGTTCAAATCGCCCACAGCTGGAGCAGCGCGGGCCAGGCCGTCGCGTAATCGGACCGTGGCGGATTAGCTCGAGTTGGGCGACCAAGGGCGATGGCGTGCTTGCACTATCGTTCACTTTGGCAAATCAGCATGTCGGATATGTAAACGGCGGCCCTCTCTGGTCAGCGTGTGGTTCTGAACACAAACTCTTCTATGCACAGGCCATCAAATGTCGCCTTTGTTCACGGTCGACTGCACCAGGCTTTGCTGTTCTTTGCCCATGAGCCGCCTGATGCCGGCTGAAACCAAAGGCAAAAGCCATTGCGCGTAGTATTGAGTGCCAAACTGTCGACTTGGAAGACTGGGTGGGGGAACAACGACCAGAGCACGTGACTGCATGCCTTGAAAACGAATCATCCTATATTTCTCCACGTCTGCATATATTCTCCGAGCTGTCAACCCTGTTCCTAAGGATAGAACATAACTTCCCGGCTTGACCTGCGGAATCTGAGACTCGCGATGAGTTTCTCTCGGGCTCTTTATCGTTTCTCAGGAACGGACTCAGATCTGTTGTCCCGTGATGCCAACTGCAGCATCATCGACAAGCAAGGTCTGTTTTTCAAGAGAGCACCATGTCGCATCCTCGTCGGAGGCACATGGATGGGCCCTTGGTCACTTTCAAAAGCGTCCAGACTCGTCTCCAATCGTCCAAGTGGGCCCAGTCAGGCCATGCTTGCGGAAAATCTCCACGGCCTCGTGCAGAGACCACTTGGTCCAGTCCGCATCGGCGTGGCGGCCGTACCACTCGCGCGCAAAGTCCCAGACCTGCTGGACGGGGCGGACGTCGCCCTTGGGGATCCCCCGCGTGGCACACCATTCCTCGACCTCGGCCTCGTCGCGGAACAGGAGCTGGACCGAGCAGATGTAGATGACATTGTCCCAGACGTTGCGCATGGGCACCGGGAAGTGCACCACGAAGTCCGTCTCGCGCAGCTGGCCGTCCTCGACGCTGAGGGTCACTTCGTCACCGATGGCGCCGGTCCTCGTGGTGAAGGTGGACGACGTGCCGCGGGCGAGGTGCATGACGCCGAGCGAGCACCAGGCGCAGTTGCCCCACCACTTGCGGCCGGCAGAGGAGACGACGCAGGTTGTCGGCGCTGCGGAGAAGGGGTGCGCGACCCAGATCTCGTCCGAGTGCGGGTGCAGCACGACGCCGTGGTAGTCTGCCAGAGCTCGAAGCGCCTCTCGTGCTGCGGTCGTGTCCGTCTGGAAATGGGCGGCTATCTCGCTGACCATAGGCGGGCGTTGGTCGTTGAGAAACGAGGCGATGATGAAGTGGTGCAGGCGTGAGTGGTCCATTGCGCAGACATTGCATTGATTTGTGTCTTGGGGAACGAAGGTCGGCCAAGGCCAGGCGTAGACTTGCCATCTTTTTAGGTCGAGCTCTCCAAAACCCCAAACGTGCAACATGTTTACGAAAGCAAGGAGAGTCAGCTTGCTCAGCCGGCAGTGGTGGAACCACATCACCCTGAACGACCAAAATCGCAAACTCTGCTTCTCGTATATCCAACACGATGGGGCTTCTGGCGAGTGCGCCTTGAGTTGGATCCCCCACGTGTTTGGATTTCCAACATGAATCCTTAAGCTATCAAGTTAGGCTGTTCTCTCCTCACGACGACGCCAGTCGAGGACACAAATAGCCGGACCACGGACACTGAGAAACCACCTCCTGATCTGTCCTCCCATTTAAGTCGCAAGCTAATCTCAATCGCACCGAATGCCTTTCTCCTCGCCTACGAGCTTACCAGCCGCATTAAACTTCTGTCAGCCGCACGGTCGGAGCCTCGCCCTCGGCTACCAGACCCCTAAGGCGGCCACGTCATGAACCGGTCAGATCGCCGGGTTGGCTTTCGCCTTTGAATTGCACCACCGCTGCAGCCACACATCGGTGACACCACACAACTCGCAGCAGCACCGGCTACAGTGTTCGCTGTATGCCATCCTCATGAGGGACCACAAAGGGCCGCGTCTTCCCCCGGTCGTGCTCCTCGTCCTCATGCCGCTTGAGGGTGATCCTCAAAGCTGGCAGCGTCAATTTCGTCGCCCGCCCGCCGCCGTCTGTGGTGAAGATGAAGTGGTCGAGCCCAAAATTGCCATAATTGAGCACATCAACACCCCCCCATGTCGAATCACAATCGCGACCCAGCACAGGTCTGGGGACCCCGGCAAAGAAGTCCTCCAGGACGTGATCGCTCTCGTCTGGGTTTTCGGAAGCCTCCTCCTTCTCCTGCCTACGCTCTTTGGTGGTAGCCTGGCGAGACCAGACTGCCCGGAAAGACACTTCGCCACCACCGGTCAGGCCCATGTAGTGCAGGTCTGCACCGGCGATGCCTGCTATGCGTCCCAGCAGTGCAACCATGTCCGTGCCGTTGTAGGAAAACGCCTTGACTGCCAGGCCTTGGCGCCCCGGCACCAGGGCAAGCTCGACCCTGCCAACAGCCGCCGTGTCATCGTCATCGTCGTCTGCCCCGGCGGAGAACACGCCTCCGAAATTGCTGCCCGCCGCCTGACGAGCTGCGCTCTCTGCAGCGCTGACCCACACCGATTTAGCCATTTCTCTGAGTGTGGCTGTGGTCAGCGCATAGCGATCGCTGGCGCGGGTGAGATTTGACGCGGTGAGGATGGTGATACCTAAGTTATGCTCTGGTGATAAGATGAGATAGCTCTGGTACGCTCCAATGCCTCCATTCTTGGTGTACAAGTCAACAAGCCGCGTGGCTGCGTTGGCGTCGGCTGCTGCGTGCATGTCGATAGGTACTTCCATGCGAGTGATCTCCCAGGGTTTGCCGACTGCGCTGAACTGGCTACTGGTGAGCGTGTCGGGCTTGAGCCACTCCCGAGTGGTCGACTCAGGGAGCAAGGTAGAGTTCAGAATGGATTTGCCGATAGCGGAGAGATCACCCAAGGACATGGCAGTGCCACCAGTCCTGCGGTCTGTTGTCAGGCATAACTCCGCTCTCTCAAGAGTATAAGGCGATGTTTTTAGTGACTACTTACGGATTGTATGAGCCAAGGTCGTAGTTGAAGTTATATCCAACGAAGGGATCTTCTACCGACACATTCATCGCGTTTCCATCGTGCTTTGGAGGTACCCAAAATATCCTCCTGAGTCCCAATGGCGCCACGACGGCATCGTGGAAGGTCTTGTTGAAACTCTCTCCAGTGATGGCCTCAACAGCCCGGCCAAGAATCTGAAACCCCTCGTTGCAGTAAATCGGACCGTGGAACGTCGATGACACCGGAAACTGTCCGAGTATCAAGTGGAGCGCCTCTACAGGCCGTCAGTGATGGAAGAAAGGCTACTGCCAGCGTAAATGCTGCGCACGATATCAATGAGCTCGCGACGGCGCAGTACGCTCCGCCAAGGTTGACATATCTATTGACTGACCTTTCCAGGTGCACGCTTCCGTCGTCGTGCTGCCACACTCCATCGAATCCTTCAACACCGGCAAGCCCAGCTGTTCCAGGCTAGGGACGTGCGAAGAGTCAAAGAAGCCATCTTCGAGCCAGCGTTTGGTCAGCAAATAGCAAGGTGTCGTCGTGTGTCAGACTAGAAACAGCTACACGAGGGATCAACAGCCTGTAGAGACTCACTGTCACGCGCAATACCCGCCATGTGGCTCGCCAACGCACCGAGCGTGATCTCGGACCACTTGACTCTACGGGCGGCACTTTCACCACCCCCGAGCTCGTCGTTGGCCGCAGCGGCAGCGGCGAGCTCGGGGATGTACCGCGTCACCGGCTCGGTCCAGTATCGCGGTCCAAGTCTCGCGAGGACTGTGTAGACGGTCAGCAGCTTGGTCACGCTTCCGATGCGGTAGAGCGTCTCTCTGTCTAGCGCCTTCTTCTTCAGCTTCTTCCCACCGAGTGCCGCGCCCGGAACCTCCTCGTGGCTCGTGAGCAAGGAGCCGTGATTCTTGCCGAGGTGGTGGTGCTCGAACAGGAAGTCGACGCCGGCGACACTGCCTTGAACCCCCTTTTCGCCATCATCCTCTTCGCTGTCAGCTGGAGCCGAGGCTGTGGTGAACACGCCGATTGAGAAACTCGTGTCCACCGAGTCGATGACGCCCCAGTCAGAACCACCCTCGCGAATTGCAAACGACAGGAGCTCCGCGAAACGTGCTGCAGTGGTCTTGATGGAAGCCAGGGCATGCAGGTTGGCGGGACGGGGAAATTGGGGGCCGGCAAGCCCGCAGTTCGTTGTTGTGGAGGAGGAGGAGGAGGAGGCAGACCAGGGGCGCGCGGATATCGCCGAGGAGAGTTCCATCGCCATAAGAAAGCCGGCCATGGCGAGCAGTGGCCTATGCCAGAACGATGGGGGCGCCATATTGCAGCAGCTGGCGGCCAGTTCTTGCAGTCCCAGACAGTGAGTTTGATATGCGGACAGATGCTTGAGTAGGCTGACCGGTCACAAGCTCTCAGTGCGTGCGATTGAGATTTGTAAATGGTCGCGCCCCTCTCACAACAGCAAGGGTTCCGGGGGTTTTGAACTGATTAGTTTACCCGTTCTCGGTTGTTTGATTTGGCGGATGGTTCGCTGGTTAATTGGTCAACTTTGCATCACCCCCTGGTCATCGTATCGTGGCTGCCTAATCTTACTCCTGCCGCTTTGGGTCACTCCTCTATTATGATAACGATTTATACAGCGCGTGGAATGATCTAGCATTTGAGACGGCAGTTCTGGGGAAACCCAGAAATTGCAGTCTTTGTCGATGTCGCCTCGTCGCGTTAACTATACACAGGGCAGTGCTTGCTACTTATCGCCATAATGCACAGCTTCTGCATCGCCCCTCATCGACTTTAGCTAGCACCGGGAAGCCGCTTTCCACATTATTGTTGAAGTGTAAATGATATTGAGCATCGCAGGGGTCAACATAATCCCTACCATTCCCCTCGGGAGACTGGTTTGACCATTGTTGGGAGAATTCGCCCGCAACGAGACTGTTGCATGTCGTCACAATGCTTTCAAACAAATGGCAGACTTCCGAGTCGTAGCCGGCGGCACAACCCACAACAGAGAGCGAGTCAGACATTTGCAAGGACTACTTGACTCACATGTTGAGAGTTTGGAGTCCCAGTCACAACACGGAGTCGACGCTATTGAGCTTGCGCTCCATATTCGCGACCTCCTCTCCGCGGAACCCATACTTGATAGTTCTGTAGACGTCTCGGCTTGGCATTTTTGATTTTGAGACTCGTAGCAAACTTGGTCACAAATGCCTGCAGCTCGTCCAGATCGGATCGACACGACATCAGGCTCTGGCCAAGTACCACAAGCATTGGCATTGTTGTATTTGCAGTCGCTGTCGACTTTGCCGCAGAGGCTTCACGAATCTGCTCGAGAATCTTTTCGATCGCATCGAGGGTACTGGCAAGGGTCCTGGCTTTCATGTCAAGACCATGCATGTCTTTTGACTTGCTGTGGATCGTGTTCACGTAGCTGATGATGCCTTTGCAAACTTGTATTCCCAGCAATAGGGCGCCGAGCGCCAGACAGCAGTCTCGGCCATGTTGGGGTTGGCGCTCGAGCAGATAGTGCTGGCAGGCTTGGTTCTTGGACAAGAAGGTGAAGGTGGTCTCCCAAGGAGGGGTCGTCACACTGGCCATGACGAACGCATGCAAGGGTGGCGGCCCGAGCATCAGCTTATCACGTGCCTTGTGATGAACGTGTCAGCAACCCAGGTCCCGTAGCCGCTTTTGCAATTCTGCAACAAGGCGTGTATTGCCACAAACACAATGCTGTCGGAAGCAAAGAAAGGCCTCCTGCCTATCTTGCTTGGACTCATTGATACCAGATTTTTGCGTAAAGATGTTTATATCCCAAGGCACAACTATTGTTGCCATAATGTGTGACACGGCGCCGGACTTAGCACAGGCGATTCTGGGACAGGGTCAAGTGAGCAGAATTTGGTCAACCGCGCTCGAAAATGAGGTCAAGTGGTGTATAACATGCTCTCACGATGCAGCTCAATGGGCTCCATTGCCGTGGTGCGCTGAAACCAGACACCGAGTCGCAATTCATGTCCGGGCACAGCTACGTCCCCATCTTCATCCATTTCCTGTACGAATCGGGGAAGAACCTGGGACCAATTGTCTCGCACGGGTTGACACACCTGTCCTTGCCAGCAACCCCCTCTGCGCTCCTATCGCGCTCCCCCAGATTCGTAGATCCTACATCGACTTGATTTGTGGCTGAGAATAGCGAGCTGCTCAAAAAGCTAGCAAACATGTTTGCCACGAAGCTTCCCATGCGCAGCGTATCGGGCCCGCCGTTGAGATCGACCAGCTTCATGGCGCCGAGGACGTGATGTCGTGCCATAGGGATGTCACCGAGCCAAATCTACGATATTTCCTCTCTCAGTGCCGTGTCCCCAGGCGGAAGTGCGATGGAGACGGACCAAAAGGAAATCACGTACCTCGTCCAACGCAAGAACAATGATCTTGGTCAGCGTCATGTTGTCCTCCCCCGCGCTCTTCTGCCTATCCCAGACTAGTGGTGTTTCGTTGTCACGGTCACCGTTACCAGCCCCTTCTGTCCTACACTGCCCTTCCTTTGCTCTCCTGCGTCTTTCAATATCATCGATCACGCTCTTCACGCACCGGGCTTTGTACTCCATCGCCAGCGTGATGTAGTACTCGCACGCGTCGACTCCCGGCCGCGGCGAGCTTAACCCAGGCTGTCTAGACATATGCCGACACGCGGCCAGCAGCGTGGCTGTGAGAAGGCCGGTATCTGTGATGGCAAGTCGTGCCAGGTCGTTGTACATGATGCCGCCGTCTCCGTGTTCTCGGAGGCGGGGCCTGTGAAGGGATGAGCGCGTGGTGGAGGCGTGCCTCCGCCAGTTTGGGATCAGGATCGTGATGTCTTCTCCACAGGTCAGAAATCCATGCTGTTTGAGCAAGCCCCCTGGTAGAAAGATCAAACAAGACACAAAGGCAAGAACTCACAGTGGTCGAAGAGAAACCTTTCGTTCCGATTGAGCGTGAGAGCGAAGGTGTCGAACGGGTCGTCCCTCATGGCTGCAAGCAGCGCCCAGGGGTTGGTGGCTGAAGTTAACGCTTGGCTACCAGAAGCTGCCCTCTGAGCTTGATACTGGGCGGTGCGTGCACGACGCTTGCGGGCATGTGCCTCCCTGGCGGCCGCCGCGCGGGCGACTTTCTTGTCTGTAGGCGCGGAAGACCCGGAAGACTGGCCAGTCGTTAGGAGGAAGACCAGATCGGGCATGGCTGTTGAGCTTCACTCAGGGCACAGAGGGAAGGCGAAGGTGTGTTGATTCCAGTATGCTGGTGGTGTTGACGAGATCGTCGTTAGGGGTGGTGGGGAAGTCAAGGTTCACGCCGAAGGCAAGGATTGAGGTACGTCTCATCTTTAAAGCCTGGCCTACACTACACTACCAAAAGAGTCCGTGCGCAGCCCACATCTGAAGCACCACCATTACGAAGTGACCAACTTGTAATCGGATTTATATAGCGAAACAGTGTCTATTTGATTAAATGATGGTATCCCCGTAATCTGTAGCTTCTACGCTTTAATACTTAGTGTACCAGCTATATATATCTCGGCAGGCCTTAATACGCCGTAGCACTAACTATAGTAGTACGCGTACCTTACTGTCACGATCCGATCTCCGGGGTCAACCGTCTGATCGGCACTATGGGGTTTATGTTCTGACTAAGGCAAGTAGCAACCTTATGCAATACTGACTCCGTGCTTGTCGTGTCTCGGGGGTTGTCGTTCGTGTCTCTTGCGAGATATCACACTCGGATCAATTGAGTGACTAGGCCAAGTGAAGGGTGAGAATGATACTTAGATTGATCGCTGAAGTACAAAGGTAGTGACTGTCTACAAGAAGATCCTCCTGGTGCTATATATCCTTTGTCCTTCATCGTGCGTTCCCCAGGATATGCTTGGATATGTTACGATCCAGCATATTGTCCTGGGGCGGATGAGGGTTCTCCTGATCGGGGACAAAACAACCACCACGACCGAAGGGAGTTCACCGCTTGCCAGTTTCGGCGGTGTTTCCGGCGAGGTTCACTCTGGCCCTGGGCCAGAGTGAGGGCATTCCCAGATAAGGGGCCAAAGCAGATTTTCGACGGGGGAGCCAGCCACATCAACAACGCCCTGTTGATGCGACACTTGTGAGGGAATCTCTGATCATGGCATTGTCAGTCAATTGCGTACAAGAACGGGTGCAGAAGCGTAGGAATTCAATGGGGTGGAAAAATCAAGTCGGATTGGTGAAGCTGAGTGATGGATAATCTGGCTCCGTGCTATGAAAAACGTCACGATGGCTTCAAGCCTTAAGTAGTACTGTACAAATATGCCCCTGATCAGTCTATCCCGCACTGCCCTGACACAATATCCGTATGGATATGTCCGGATATGTTGTGATCCAACATATCCAGTTCTGCTGACATAATGAGATGCTTACGTAACCAGGGGTGTGCCCGTCCCGCGTGCATGACCTGCCCTTGTCCTTGGCCCGATCTTGCGACCTGTTGGTCGGGTCGTCACACTTACGTTCTGGGATCTCTACCTACGCGGATTAAATTATCTCTTTAGCCCGTTTAATATCGGAGATATTACGCTTCATATAATAGAAATAAGGTTCCTATCTATAGATTTAACGCTTCAAAAGCTACCATACGTACTTAATAGAGTTAAGATCTAGCGAGTAAGCTAGCCAGTCAATAGTCCAAATGCCGTAAGATTCGAGCCACTCCGTCGAAGCTATATGTGACGGCCAACCAACAGGGGATGTTTGTTACGGGCGCGAAAGAGCCCAAACAACTAGGCCACAGGATCAGGCCAAGGGCGAGGGCGGATCATGTGGCAGCACCGTCACAGGTTTCTTATGTAAGCACGATAAGGGACGATAAGGAAGGTACGTACCGGTCATGCATATCTGCATGACCGACGCCGTGCCAAGAAGGATGGTCACCAATATCTGCATGACCATCAGGACCAGATTCATGACCTGGCCGCGACCATCGGGCTCAGAGTCATGACCACGATGAAGGACAAAGGATATATAGAGTACGGAGGATCTCCTTGTAGACAGTCATTACCTTTGTACTTCAGCGATCAATCTAAGTATCAGTTTCACCCACACTTGAACTAGTCACTCAATTGCCGAGACTGGTATCTCTTCCAAGAGACACGAACGACAACCCAGAGAGAGAACGACAGCAGAGTGTTAGTTGTTATTGTACAGGCTTTACCTATCTTGCAGAACAGCAACCCCAGCGCCCTGCCAGACGGTTGACCCCGGAGGCAGGATCGTGACACTATAGCACGATAAATCCCAGCGTTATCCTACATAAACAGGTCTCCAGCCTTATAAAGCGGGAGCAATCCTGTGACGACCCGACCAACAGGTCGCAAGATCGGGCCAAGGACAAGGGCAGGTCATGCACGCGGGACGGGCACACCCCTGGTTACGTAAGCATCTCATTATGTCAGCAGAACTGGATATGTTGGATCACAACATATCCGGACATATCCATACGGATATTGTGTCAGGGCAGTGCGGGATAGACTGATCAGGGGCATATTTGTACAGTACTACTTAAGGCTTGAAGCCATCGTGACGTTTTTCATAGCACGGAGCCAGATTATCCATCACTCAGCTTCACCAATCCGACTTGATTTTTCCACCCCATTGAATTCCTACGCTTCTGCACCCGTTCTTGTACGCAATTGACTGACAATGCCATGATCAGAGATTCCCTCACAAGTGTCGCATCAACAGGGCGTTGTTGATGTGGCTGGCTCCCCCGTCGAAAATCTGCTTTGGCCCCTTATCTGGGAATGCCCTCACTCTGGCCCAGGGCCAGAGTGAACCTCGCCGGAAACACCGCCGAAACTGGCAAGCGGTGAACTCCCTTCGGTCGTGGTGGTTGTTTTGTCCCCGATCAGGAGAACCCTCATCCGCCCCAGGACATTACCCAGCCTCGGAATAGTAGTTTCGCACCTTAACGGGGTTTTGAAGTAAGGCGCTATCGTTTAGTAGCCTTCGTAATTTGCTCGCCAATCCGCTACCGTTTAGTACCGAATACCTCCGCGATCTCAGCATATTTCGCGCTAACGCCTACTACGCTAAGTATAAAGGCACGCTATTCGGGAGTGAAATCCTAGCATTTCTAACAATTACCGGATACAATGGTACCAAACTCACGTAATTGCGACATCGTAGGCCCTAGTTGTAGCTAATTAAAATTAGAGGTGTTAATGGTGGAGGACGCGACGCGTCAAAGTTAGGTAGGGCGCGCACGGATTCTTTTAGTAGGTGCGTGTTGCGCTGACAATCGATAAAGTCAAACTAACGTTAATGCAAAGCAACAAAACACATCTTATTATTTCTCTAACAGGCTCACACCACGTCTCTCAACCCTCAAATGGCGTCTCAAATGGGCGTTCCGCCTGCGGCGTGATCCGCGCAAGATGCCTGCGCTGCCCTGATGTCCAATCAACCAGTGCCGAGTGCTGTGTCACGCGGTTGTCCCACAGAACCAGGGTTCCCGGCTGCCACTTGACCCGCGCCTGGAAGTCTGCGCCGTACGCGAGGTGGTCGTACAGGAACTTGAGCAGCGCGTCCGACTCTTCCTTCTTGAGGCCCACAATGTATCGCGTGACTGCAGATATCTGTCAGCAGCCTGAACCTCGCCAACAACAGGTACAGTCGCGATTGATGGGCAGGAACAACCAAGTATGGGGAAGAGACAAGGAAAACAAGCAATGTAGGTAAAGGGGGACAGTTGAGTACTCACACTGCGGGTTCACGTATATTGCCTTCTCGCCGGTCGCTGGGTGCGTGCGAATAATCGGGTGTTCGTGCGACACAGGCTCGCGGCGTACAATGGACCCGCGAGCCCTCGCCGCAGCGGCTTGCTCGACGCCCGAGTGCACGGCCTTGAGCCCGTGCAGGCGCTCTCGGAACAAGGGGCTGAGACGGTTGTACGCCTCGACGGCATTGACGAAGAGTGTGTCGCCGCCAGTCTCTGGACGGTCCAGGATGTAGAGGAGCGTCGTCCCGGGCGGCTGCGCCTCGTAGCTCACGTCGCTGTGCCAGGCGACCGAGCTGGTGCGGGTCTCAAAGAAGGTCTCGTGGGTCTTGTCGTCGGCGCCCCGGTGGACGAGGTGGATCTCTGGGTAGTCCTTGGGCGATCCCGAGCTGGGGTGAATGTGATGCCTGCCGTAGTATGCGCCGAAATCGAGCGCATCTTGGATGGGCAGGTCGGCAAAGTCCTGGTCCCGGAAAGCAACCACCTTGCGCTCCGCGACGAAGCGCGCCAGCTGGTCCTTGCCCGCCTTGGACAGGCTGCTGACCTGGATGCCGTGGACCTCGGTGCCGATTGTGGGCGTCAGATCGGTCGTCTTGGTGCCGGCCGGCAAAAGATCCGGGTAGGAAGTGTCGGCGTCCTTGCCATGCTCGACGTGCTCGAAGGGCTGCAATGGAGGGTATTTCTGCTCTGGGCTCCACGTCGGGAGGTAGTGAGGGTACTGCTCAAGGTCAGTGTGCTACTTCAGCCGATTCCTAGTCGGGGAGAAACCCACGGTCGCGCCATTCTCGCCGAGCTCCTTCTCTTCGGACAAGGTGTACGACGCAATAACTTTGTACTGGCCAAAGCTGCTGGCCGGCTTCGGCAGTTCTGACGCTTTGAGGGTCTGCGTGGTCGTTGCAGAGGGAGCCATGACTGCTGATGTATGCACTGCCAGAATGGATCTTTCCGACAAATGGTTATTTGCAAGCCCAGAAAAACAGAAACAACTTCGTCTTGTGGATATTCCACTTCCAGCTGAGAGGATCCAGACAGTTTTATGCCAGACTGTCGTCGCCGTCGCGCGTACCAAGCTTGCCACCTCCAACAGATGACGACCCACGCACCAAAATGGTGCAAGCGCATGGTCAACATCGCGCGACCCCCGGCGTCTCCAATCAGCGTGCGGAGGGGCACTGATTGTGGCCGTTACGGGGTTGGGGGTCACCCAGAACGCCAACAGCACTGAGCGATTGCGACACCTCTTGCTGCGAGTCCGGTTTGCGCCGATTGGGCGTGACCCCGCGCGAAAGCGTGAATGGCGTGATTGGAGTGTGTATTGATGAGCGAGGTCGTGGAGGTGGAGGCTAAGCCTGTAGCTGCCCAAAAGGCTTACCAAGCCTCCGGCCACCAATTAGGGCTCGCTTTCTTGCCTATTGCTGATCTCATTCGAGGCCTGTTAAACGAGGGAGGGCCATTATATGTGTGGTAGTTGTAATTGGTCTACTGAATTGTATTTACTCTTCTGTCCGCCTGTTGAATCCTCGCAGCTTCCAATGGCCAGTTATTACGTCCAACATCATCCTTTCCCACCCAAATGGGGGCTAATTCTGGGCAAGAGTCCACGCCGTCCATGCGGATTATAGATATCAGGCGTGGTGCTCAGGTTGTATCTTCTTAAGAAGCTCTTGTTTATTTCAAGCGCGCGCTCACAAACTGGTCATCTGAAATGCCTTGGCCATCGATCAGTGTCCCGTTCTTGAGCCAGCAGTTCGAGTTCTGGCCCTTCATCGTCCGACCAAAGGTCACAGACTTGCACTTCACGCCCATGCGCAAGCTGAACGACGTCCTCGAGGTCGAGGAGCAGGCGTCGATGCAATCTTGGAACGAGTACGCCCGTAGCGCGGCAATGTCGGCAAGGCAGAATTTGTTGTCTCCGTCCGAGTAGGTTGCGCCAGGGTAGTCCATGGAGCATTGCACCACGTACTTGTCCTTCAACTGGCTAATCTGCAACGAGGAGTTCAACTTGGCGCAGTCTACCTTGACATTGTAGATCTCTGTGGCTGCTGGGGGCTCGTAGTCCAGGAGTAGTCCGTTACTAATCGTCGGGGCTGAAGTATTGGAGCAGGAGGATGGGACTGCTGGCACTGCTTCTGTTGGTGAGGGAGTCGTGCTTTCGGAGCTTAATTGACTGGTAAGGCGAGGAAATCGGAGTCAGAGGTCGCAGACAAGATCAATGATGTGTCAGAGAAAGACCTCTTACCTTCGACATTGCGAGAGTGTCGCACCCAGCCCGCCGCCCACAGCGCCTCCGACGATGAATGCAGCGATCAGGCCGCCAAGCAGTGCTGGTATGAGCCACGCAGGCCTTCTCTGGGGCACCTTCTGAGGAGGGACAACCTGATGAACTGATTGATACTCGGGTTTGGGTGATGGCGTGCCGTGGTACGTAGATGGGATCAGACCACTCTCTGGTGTTCTCTCGGGATAGGGATATGGTGGGTTTGCCGAAGGGTAATGCTGCTGAGGGGAAGGATAGCGACCTTCGTCGACTTGTAGCCCCTCGTGATGGTTGACGACCTCCATTGCGAGGCTCCGAATTGAAGAGGGCTCATTTGCACGGCGTGTGCCTCTTCGAGCACCCCGTGTATCAAATTGGTGGCTGACGGAGCCTCAGGTGCTGACAGCTCATGAGCTAGGTCAGTCCAGGCACCCTCGAGCTTAAGCACGTCAGAGACAGGAGGGGGCGCCGCGGACAGAGACGTCAGGCAAGCTGGGAAAAGGTGTGATCTCATCTGCCTATCTGCCTTGGCGCATGTGCGACCCTCGGTTGAGACACCGAAATCGACATTCGCCCGCGTTCTCGTATGGTTTAATTGGTCTTTAAGGCCTATCGCTCGGTGCTGCAGCTTTTCCCACCACCAATGACGGACACGGGCAGGGTGAAATGACGTCGCGTTTTTAGGATCCGTTACACGGCCCCCCCAAAACACAATCTCCAATCGGACCAGTGCGAAGCCTGTGAACCTGGACCCCCTGGACCCCCGGACCCCCTTGGCTGGAGGCCGCATGGTTATATGCCCAGGATCACCATGGCCACCGATGGAGAAGGAAATAACCTTCTGACAGTTTCACACACGACGCCGCCAGCAGAGTTCACAGTACCACAGGTTGGTCTATCCCCTCACTCGTCCTTAGGCACTCTTCAACAGAAAACAACAACACTGCCTCGTCAGGCAGGCTCGACAAAGCGACACGACTTGAAAATCCTGCAACGCACTCAACTTCCCTACCAAGGCGTTCCAATGACCACGGAGTTTCGGCAAAGAGAGGGTGCCTTCAGCCGTTGCAACGGCTGGCGCTCACGGACAAGGTTATGCCGGGCTCACGCAGCTTCAGAACCCCGTGTTTGCCGTTTAGGCCACCGCGCCTCGAACGCCCGTTCAAGCACGGAGGTATATCTGCATCAGGCGGCGGCGAACGGGGGGCTTTTATAGAAGAGATGTCACAAGAGGCTACGAATGATTCATTTGCCTTGCACATTTCGATATTTTCGCTAACCTTCACGTGTAACAAGACGAGCCATGGAGTCAAACTCAAAAATATGTCGTCTTTCTCTCCCGAGCTAGAGATCGAGCCCTACTACCCACGTTTCTGGATGAAGAAGGGGAAGAAGAAGGTAGAGCGGTTGTGATATTCTGTGCTGGAAGGGAGGTCTGTGACTGCGGTTGGCTGGTGATGGTGTCCTGCTGCGGCGGTGTTGTCCACATCGGCGGAGCGTCATTGAGCAGATCGACTGCTGCCACATCCTCGTGCACACTCACAACTTCGGTATGGTTTGTCCACTGCAGTGCAGCTGCGCTTGCGGGTGCTGTTGATCTGGTTTCTCTGGTCGTCGGTGAGATGCCTGGTCTCGCACCTGGATCATGCGGCCCCGCTGATGGTGATTGAGTCGATCCCGCCTGGCCGTGCTTGAAAGCAAACCATGCGCATGCTTGGTCACGGTTGTTCAAGGGCCATTTCGTCCATGCCTGTATGGCATCTGCCTTGGATTGGGACTGGGTTGGTCTTGCAACCTGTGCTGCTGCACTTCTGTAGTCGCCCAACTCAGGAATCCCTCGGAGTAGTTCTGATAGTGCAAAGTAGAGAGCGTTTTCTGTATCGGCTAGTCGCTGCTCTAAGGAATGAAGATAACCGGCTGGGAGCCCCCTGGCAAGAGTTCGCTTGATTAGCTCAAGGTTATAAAGTAGACACATGGTGATCATCGTTGACAATTACCTCCCGCTCGCATTATGGGCTTGTGCATGAATAGACGTACCTTCGACTTTGCTCAAGATAATGGCATCCATTGGGGGCTTTGAGACAATTGCTGCATACCGGCCTGATGCATTCAAGTTAACAATGTTTGATACTCAGCCAATAATCTTTGTGATAACTGTCGTGGTGGATCTCAAATTAACACCCCCATTTACCGACCTCTTACGATCACACTGCCGACGGAATAACTTGGTAAGTAATGTCCGAAACCCACACGGGAAAGGCTAGTAGACGCAGACCTTCTGCTTTTTGGTGCGGCATAGCTCACAAGCAATTGGCGCAGATTCTGTTTGCTGGTCAGTGTTTCCGATAGTTTGGTGTGCGGGGTATGAACGATGTGCATATGCGCACCTAATGGCCGATCGGCCATAATCGCGACACCGTTTGGGGCCAACCCATAATTAGATTACAGGGTGCGCTGCGGCCTTACTTAAGTCCAGGGAGGGGAATTTATGTTCGCCCCAAGGGCTTTTCTAGCTTCTGGGCATGTGCCCCTAGGGTTGTGGAGCAGGCGACGAGGCTTGGTGGGCGATCCATGATTGGCCAATGTCTGCCGGCCCGGACAAAGATATGTCCGGGTTTTACATGCTGCTGAGGGGGCTAACTTGGGCCTTACTGGCGCAACTGACTCGAGCGTCACGATATGCACAGCGCCAGCATTGAACTTCGCCGCGCCACCGTGACTCGTGCTTGAGTGCAAAGGGCTTTAATGCTTAGAGACTAACCGCAATGTCTGACTTGACTTTGGTCTTCAGAATCTAGAAACGCGTCAAGAATCAAGATCAGCAGGACACAGGAGTGCATCCGTAGCTGCTGAGTGCGTGCTGCTCGACAGATTTGACAAACATCATGGAATTGAAGCTTGTTATCAATCAGTCCTTTTGCGGAGGGGCACCAATCTTTGTTTATCGATACATTTGGAACTGTGAAGAACACCAGGCAACCATTTCCCAGTTACGCCCACTTGTGTATTCCTCGCACTCACATGCTTGGCTCACAGACCAGATATCCTAGTAGGCGAACCGTAGACCATTTTGGTCACTTGTCTTACGATTGATCCGCTGTAGCCAAAGTCTTAAAGCCCATGCAGATGCAATGGTCATGAATGCAAATGCCGAGTTGGCAGCCATTGCAGGCAGGTAACGAGGGCCATCTGAAGACGGGTAGAGGTAAGCCGTATAGATGTAGGAGGCGTTGGCCAGGACGTTGACAATGGACAAACTGACAGCCTTCTTCTCCTTGGTCTGGCCCAAGGTCGCCGACACCCATCCCAAGATCACCGAGTTGACTGCATAAGCACCGCTGGCGAACAGGAAGCATGACAAGTAGCGCGCAGGCGTGTTGAGGGTGATACAGGAGATGATGAAGCCCACCATTGCCGCGCCCATGCTGATTGTGATGTGCCAGGTGCGCTCGTTAAACCGGCCAGAGGTGTAGCCCACGGCGTAGCCGACGAACCCAGAGACGAGATACGGCGGGCAGGTGAGGACCAGAGTGATGGTGCTGTTGAATCCGAGGCTACCTACGACGGTAGGAAAGAAATTGTTGAAGGAACAGGCAGACAGATGCATGTTCTGCATAAACGCAAGCAGCCAAAGCTTGGGATCCCGTACAGCCTGCATAAATCCGGCGCGGGTGCCCTTGCTGCCCTCGTCACCAACAGTGTCTCTGATCATGCGCTCATGTGCGAGCTGTCGCTCCTCGGGGGTCAACCATTTGGTGGTCAATGGAGCATCAGGCAGCATAAATACTCCGACAACGGCCACTGCCAACGTCACGATGCCTTCGATGATGAAGAGCCACCTCCAGCCCTGTAGACCATGAGCGCCATCGAGGGTATTGAAGGTCGCGGCGGCGATGAGACCTGCGAAAGCCGTGGCGAAGATATTTCCGGAGTACAGGATGGAGATTCTCGTAGCAATCTCCTTTCTGGTGTAGAAGATGGAGAGGAGGTACAGTGCCCCGGGGTAGAAAGGCGCCTCGGTGATACCTAAGAAGAACCGCACGGCGACCAAACCTGGACGATATCGAAAGAAGTCAGTACCCGTTCCCCACAAGACCTTTGCGTCTGCTTCGCTCGCGCATGAATCGAGTGGCACTTACCAGGATAATCTTTTACAAGGGCTGTCAATGCCGAGACGGTGGCCCAGGCAGCCATGCATGAGCACATGTAGATGGACGGGCGCACTTTCCCCGAGGACATGAACATGTTGGACGGAATCTGCATGAGAAGATATCTACACACGGTGTTAGAGATAGCGGACTTCGGTCTCGAGTATTTTCTTCCAGTTGACTGTGATGTTGCAACTTACCCAACGAAGAGGATGGATATGCAGGTGTTGTATTGGGTGCCGACGAGGCCGAGATCTCTTTCCAAGTGATTTAGACGTGCATTGGCAATAGCGTTGCGGTCGAGCTGTAAGAGTAGGGTTTCAGGGCTGTTAGTGAGGCTTTCTGTGAGAATTCAAACAGGCAAGGAGTCAACGCACGTAGTTCATGAAGTACATGGCCCAGAGAATTGGCATGACGCGGAAGTCTAGCTTGCGGACGAGGGCGATTTCTACTTCGCTGGTCTTTTTGACGGCGCCAGAGTAGTCGGCTTGGCCAGCTCCTACGGCATTGTTTTCCAAATCTTTCCTGTGCTCGGAATGCTCAATTTGCTCGGCACTGGGACCTTTGGCAAAGTCCAGGCCATCGGACTTGGTGTGTTGATATTGAGTCATGGTTCGAGCCAGACCTGACAGTGCAGTGTTTCAGGTGTTGATCAAGGGTGATGATGTTTTATTTTCTGAGAAAGCTCCAAGGACCGAGTAAGCGTGGACCACAGAAGAGCAGTCTGGTGCAACGTGGAATGATGCCAACATAATAAGCAACTTTGGATACGGCGTTCTAGGCCCCACGAACCCCCTGATCAAACGATCGTGATTGCATCCTTCCCCATGGGGAACCCTGCGGCGGTCTATTCCAAGTCCGCGGCGGCCAGGGAACCCCGTGTCTTTGTCAGCGGCCAAAGAAAAGTCCGTCGCCTCCAAAAGTACCCCACGCTTGCCCCAAATCTCGCTGACCCCGCAGAAGAGTGCGGAGTTGGGCGCTCGCTCCCTCGCATGAGATCCCGTACCGCGTCTTCGCGCATCCTGCCCCTGCCCATCCACGCGGAACTGCCGCGCGTAATACGGCACAGAAACAGCATGAGCAGCGAGACAAGTCCCGGGCCGGAGCACCCGTGGCCAAGCACATGCCCAGACCCACCGGGGCATCGGGGCCCGGAAGAGACGTACCCTGAACCCAGCTCACGCGGGCCGAAGCGGCAAAAGATGGGAGTGAACGACGAGCCGGCCATGGCGCACGAGACGGGCTTGATGCGGGATGGCGTCACAGTTGGACATCCGCGCTTCATTGGCAGTGCCAGCGGCATCCACTTCATCCGTGTCGTCTCGGACGCTCTGGCTCGTGTACGCCCCGGGATATCGCGAATGGCCAGCGGTGACCTCGTTCCTGGCGAGGACGACCAGCTCTTGTCCCCAGAGCTGTTCCCGGCCAGTGTCAACACACCCACGGCGGTCTCCACTGCCCGGGCCCCCTTTTGGCGCGACAACGAGGTCATCAGCGATGCCAGCTCCGGGCAAGCTGATCCCCACCTCGGTCAGAATATGCCGACCTTTGACGACCTCGTCGTCTGGACACAGCCATATTTTGACAACTGGCATTCCTGCTTCCCATTCTTGCATGGTCCAGAAGTTCTGGACCTGTTTGAGAACGTCGCTCAGGTCGGCTTGTCCAACGTCTCCGAGCCCAATGCCACCATAGTCAGGGCACTTGTGTCGATATCTCACGCGGATGCACGCCAGTCCGGCAAGGCCGTGAGACCACGACCCGCAAGCTTTCTTTTTCTCAGTCAGGCTGACACGGCATCCGGTCTCGTCTTTGCCATGGAGTCTCCGGCCTCTGTCAAGGGCGTGCAGGTCGCTCTGTGCGTCCAGTTGTTTCTCATCTCGATGCTTCGCTTCAACATGGCATCTCGACTTGGAGGTGTCATCGTCCGCATGGCATTCCACCTGGGTTTACACCGCTGCCCCGGACGTTACGCCAACTTCTCGGGTCATGAAGCGATGATGCGGAAGCGCATTTGGTGGTCGCTTTATTCGCTCGAGCGTATGGTATCACAGTCGTTAGGCCATCCGCTCAGCATCAGGGATGACGATATTGATGTTTGCCCACCGACCTACGAGCATCACCACAAAAATAGTGCACAGGCCAGTGCCAGGGGCCAAGAACAAGGTACTCATGTTATACCCAGACTTTTCTCCCACTTGGTAATAAAGCTCTTTGCATCGCTGATACTCGAGCCCCAGGGGGAAATCAGTTGATACTATTCGGTCTTTTGTCTGACCATGCACGGCTCCGGGGATCGATCCTCGAACTGCGGAACAAGTCTATTGCTCAACGAAACGAAACTCAGGACCAGTCCATGATTGTGCAATCCGAGCTGACACGATGGGTTAATCAGGTCAACGAGGCCTTGTGTGAAGATGAAGAGGAGGACGCTGACTCACGACCCGAGAGTCCCCACCACTTGTCCTCATCACAGCGAGTCTTGTTAGCAGTAGTCCAACATGAAGCTACTATTGCTCTGCATCGTCCGCTGCTGGCTTCCAAGACGAACTCGCCATCGTCCCGTGCTGCTTTACAGACCTGCATTGGCGCCTCTCGAGCCATCATTGACACCGTCTTCTCCTACTGCCATCAGCAGAGTGAGGCGACCACTCTAAATGCCATGGTGTGGCCACTGCTCACCTGGTCGATCTGGATGAGCTCCTACATCCTCGTCTTTGCGGCTCTGGAAGACGCCACGCCTATACCATCAGCATTTCGGTATGTACGCATCCAGTGGTGTGACCTCGTGCCCCGGACCAACAAACTGATAGTCAACATGATACAGATACGCCAAGAAAGCACGACATATCCTCAAACAGCTATCTAGGCGTGGTACTCAGTGGCCCGACTTCTGTCTGCAGGCTTTGGCGCACCTGGTATCAGTGCTACAGTCGCAGGAGCCATCTGGCAGCAGGACCTTTGGATCCGATTCTGGCAGGGCGTCGACCTCGAACCATGAGCCTGAGCAGCCCCGTCAAGCCATGTCACAGATTCAGTCATCACCAACGATGCAGTCATCCACGACACCGACCCGACGTGGTCTAGGGTATACGCAAGCTGATTTTCCGCCGCCTGCTGCTCCGAGTTTCCAACAGGGAACAACGGGTTCTATGCGTCCTCTTCCAACACCACAGACCACTTCCACGTAAGCACACCTGGATCAGCTAACATCCCGCGCCATACGATTATTGCCCGCACTACTTTCCATGAAACCCCTAGCTTACCAAAGTCTTCCCAGGAGTAATGATGGCGGTCTTCCGCTGGGCCATCCAGGTTTACGGCCCCAAGATCCTTCCATGTCCGCTGAAACGGCAGCCGCCACATCGAGACCCAACCCAGGTGCTTGGGCAGCACCGTTCGACTTTGATCCTCTCAGCGCGATTGACTTCTCCAACTTCAGCCACCTGGGACTGTTGAATATGGACTTTGAGTCTTGGGACACGTGAACTGTGAAGCAGAAGGATCATTGCACATTTTCACCCAAGAATAGCAGCACTCGTGTAAGCACTATTCTTGCGCGAAACGCAAGCACAAAACCATCTTTGCAAAGCCTTTCGAATAAACAAGTTGAGAGGTGTGTGTGATTTCTGCATGTGTAAGGTGCTCCAAGTCGAGCTTCTTCTCTTCTAACTTACAAAGCCGCCTATTCATCGCCTAACTCCACGTTGCTCCAGACTCTGAGGACTTTACTTGCTCTTGGTACCATAAGACTTCCGAATATCCTCAATCACTGCATTGGCCACGTCGACCGTCCGGGCAGTACCTCCCAGATCTGCGGTAACCACGCCCGCCTCACACACACGCTCGACCGAGCTCAGCAGTTTATCGCTAGCATCCTGCTCACCGAGCCACGCCAGCATCTCCGCACTGGACCACAGAGTAGCAACCGGGTTGGAAATGCCCTTGCCAGTGATATCAAACGCCGAACCGTGGATCGGTTCAAACATGCTGGGAAACGTGCGCGTCGGGTCCAAATTGGAGGTCGGCGCAATGCCAATCGAGCCGGCGAGCGCGGCGGCCAGGTCCGAGAGAATGTCGGCGTGCAGATTCGTGGCGACGATGGTGTCGAGCGACTCCGGGTTGAGCACCATGCGGCACGTCATGGCGTCGACGAGCATCTTGTCCTGCGTGACCTGGGGAAAATCCTTGGCAACCTCGGCGGCGACCTCGTCCCAGAGCACCATGCCGTTACGCTGCGCGTTGCTCTTTGTGACCACCGTCAACAGCTTGCGTGGGCGCTTGTCGGCCGTCTCGAACGCGAAGCGCATGATGCGCTCGACTGCGTGCCGCGAAAAGATGGCGACCTCAGTGGCGGTCTCCCATGGGTGGCCGCGGTGCGAGCGGCCCCCCTGGCCCGCGTACTCGCCCTCGCTGTTCTCACGAACGATGACCCAGTCTAGTTGGCCGGTCTTGCAGTTGCGCAGGGGAGATTGCGTGCCGCGGAAGATCTTGGTTGGTCGCACGTTGGCATACTGCTGGAAAGGCTGGCAGATGGCAAGGCGGAGGCCCCAGAGGGAAATGTGATCAGGAACATCTAGCACAAAAGGAAATCAGGTGTGTTAGCTCGTGTGAGAACAGCAGCACAACGAGATTACCCGTGTCTCAGAATCAAGGGCTGACGAACCTGGGGCGCCGACAGCACCGAAAAAGATGGCGTCGTGCTTCTTTAGCTCTTCGAGACCGCCATCCGGAATGTACTTGCCCGTCTTCTTGTATGTCGCTGTGCTCCAGTCGTAGTGTTTGAACTCTAGCTCGAAGGTGCCTAGGGTTTCTGAAAGGCTGCGGAGAACATCAATGGAAGCGTTGACGACCTCCGGGCCGATGCCGTCCGCGGGGATGGAGGCGATGCTGTAAGTCTTGGAAACGGGGACTGTTGAAGGAGACATGATGGATGGCAGCTGAGTGATGGTTTCTGTGCCTACTCTTGGGGGGTCAAGCAGATCGTCGATCATTGATGTAGAAATGCTTGGACAGAGGAGTGGCAATCCTAATATTTAAATCGGTGGATTTTGTTTCCATGGAGGAAAGGAAGCCACTCCGAGGGCGTCAAGCCCGTGGTGGAGCCGGCATTTACAAAGTCCGGACGGACCCGGACTTGTCTTTGTCCGATATGGAGACACACTGGAGCCTGCTGTCCACCCAAGGGACTCACTTGGATGGTTTGGTCGACACATGTGCACACACACACACAGCGCCATGCTACCTAAGGTAGTTATGCAATGGCAGCCGTGGTCAGCGCTTAAGGTGGTTATGACGGACACCCCTTTCGCACTTCTGATACACGCAAAACTTACACCAACATTCACTAAACCTGCCTGACCCAAAGACCATGGCGATCGATCAATCTGCCATCAACAATGTACTAGAACATGTCCTCCGGCGACTCGAGCACCATAAGCAGTATGAGGGTCAAGCCATGAACAATGGACCAAGACCATTCGTTCTCGGTCTATCTGGCATGCAGGGGTCTGGAAAGTCGACTTGGGCTGCCAGCCTTGCAGACGCTCTTCGCTCTCGCCATCGCCTGAAAGTGGTCATCCTGTCCATAGACGACCTCTACAGCACACACGATAGATTGGTGCAAGTGCGGCACGCGAATCAGGATAACAAGCTATTTCGAAACCGTGGCCAACCGGGAACCCATGATGAGAGCCTCGCCCAGCGCTTCTTTTCGGCACTGCTGAGTGGACAGGATATCGCTGTTCCAGCATTTGACAAGAGTCGCTACAACGGCGAAGGAGATCGAGTGCCGGAGAGTGAGTGGAAAGTTGTGTCGGCGGAACCACCGGTCGACATCCTCATTTTCGAAGGATGGTGTCTGGGGTTTGAAGCTCTGGACGACAGAGAACTTGCCCGCAGATGGACGGCAGCCCAAGAACTGGCTGAGACAGCAACACCTAAGCCCGACAAGTACAATGGCGACATTGCTCAAGCCGATGACGACGGAATAATGTCCACAATGGAACTACACAAGCATCCCCTGAACCACATTCAGGAAGTCAACACCAATCTTGCAAGGTATAATCAGGGTTTCATGAGCCGCGCTCGATTCGATATTCTGGTACACCTCGACACACCCATGCTTCAGAATGTCTATCGGTGGCGGATCCAACAGGAGAATGCCTTGCGTGCGACCAAGGGCACTGGCCAAACAGATCAGCAGGTCGTGCCCTTTGTGAAGGTGTACATGCCAGCATACGAGCTGTACCTTGACGGACTACGGCGGCCGAAAGCCGGCTTGCCTCAGGTCAGAGTGTTGTTGGGCTCAAATCGGAAAGTCCTAAGCGTAGATCTGGTAGAATGATCTCTCCCCGACCCATCTTGCACATGATATGGGCTTCTAGGAGATTTTGCATTACGATTGCAAATGATAATTATCGCTTTCTACATACACATGTTATTGTCGACGTTGTGCAAGTTGAGCCCGTCTTCCATCCTCCCGGTTCTGCCCTTGGGCTCTCAAGCTACTTCGACAACCCTTCCAAGAGGCCAGAGGAATACCGTGCGCCATCATTTTCCTGGGCAGCCATAGACGCAGATCTCGGAAATGGGATCGTCTGTGGGGAAGTCACCGATAGAGACATCCTAATTGATGTCTAATCTGCTGAAGCCAACGACTTCCACGAGAATGGTGACAAATTCGGCTTCGTCGAAGGAGCGAATATTGAATTATGGGGCCACATCCGGCGTGTAAGGCTTGAGAAGTTATCAGCAAGTCGGCACAGATGGTTTCTGCGCGATCGCGACATCAACGTACCGGGACTGAAGTTAGACGAGCTACACCTTGAGAAACACACAAATGGCTATCTCGACTATCCTGACGACGACGAAAGGTTTCATGACATCTTCAACTTGGACGAGATATACTGCTTACCCGTTGCCATGGGCGAGAGAGTCGAACCGGAAGAATCGAAGTACACCTTCTGCCTTCTCTTGGTCCACGATGTTGAGTCTTCATCCAACCCTCTTGGCCATGACCCAGGCACGTTCAAACGCATTGGCATGACCAAGCTTTCTCTATGGGTTGATAAGTTTGCGCGGGAGCATATACTCCAGGGCTCACCGTCCGATATCAACATCCCTCACATCGGCCATAAATACGATGCTGGAACTGGCAAACATCTGATTCGTTTAATCTAGGACTGCCACAGAATGTGAAGTGCCATTGGCCGCTCGTAAGTTCCTCCAGAAAGTATGTGGAGCATTTGCACACGTACTCTGTAGCAGTGCGCATTTAATACACAATCGTCAGCATAGGAACTACTCTAATTTATTAAAAACAAGGTTCTAGACAGACATAGCCGTAGATTCCGAAGTCCTTGATGCAGTAGAAGAAGTTTATGTGTGTCGTTGAGCCTACTCTTTACTATAATGTAATGAAACAAGTCCCATGATTATGAAGACGATGCGGACGAGCGTCGCTCCATTGTCCGTTCAACGATTCTCCTCTTTCTTCTTCGTCGTGAACGCTGCGGCCCAGCCTGGCCCCACACGCGCTCTGCACGTGCTCGTTCAGCCGAGTCAGGGAAGGGGCCAAGCTCCACAGAAAGCTCACAGTCCTCCTCCAACCCTCTTCATGCCAACATCCAACCAGGGCAATACACTGGCCTGTATCAGGTCAGCCACTCGACAACTGCCACGCGATTGATAATGACAATGCAGCTTCCCCAAGAGATTGTCGATCAGGCAAGTTGTGATCATTGGCCAGACACGCCTGACCAAAAGCATTGACACCGCATTCACTGCTAGATCGTCGCCAGCTGTGTGACTGGCGAGGAGTGCGAGTCCCTCATCCTACACGGGTACAACGACAAATGGAGAGAGGGCAAGCGCGGCATGTGGAATAGGGTCGTACATGCAGACTTCAAGCGTCCAAACAATCCCATCGCCACCAGCAGCAGGGCCAACACCGTCACCTCCGCCATTCTTGCCCGCCCTACTGCGGCCGACGTCGCGGCGCTGAGGCGACTGCGACTCGTAAGCCGATCATGGAACCGCAGTGTGCGCAAGTTGCTCCGGCAGCACGAGATACTGACTCTCGACTTGGACTACATGGACACCGTGACTGGGGCCATCGTGCTGTGCACGGCTGCCGGCCGTGCAGAGGCAGACAAGGGACAGCAGGAGGTTCCAGTCCTTCCTAAGAACGTCGTCATCCTGGCTGGTGACGCACACATTCGTCCCTTCAGGCGCTACTATACGTATGATTCAGAGTTCCGCGCCGGAGTGACATTTGAGAACGAGGCGCTCGCGCTTGGAAACTTCAGAGACACGGCCGACCTGGAGGACTCGGACTCGGACCCGGAGAGGAGCTCCTACAGGCCCCGGCACCTCCAGCTTCGCCCGCGCCCTCAGAGAACAGACGAGAGCCAAGTCGGGCATCCATCAAGGCTTAGAGACGACCAGAAGCACGCACTTCTCCGAGTCTTTTTGCAGCGCTGTCACCAAGTGGCCGGACATGAATCTTCTGCTGTCAAGACCTTGAGTGTCCAGTTCCCCCCCGCGAACAGCTGGATTCGCGGGTACGACGAGCACGGCGCACAGTGCTATGACTTGCCCGCGCTGGACGCACTGATTGACGTCCTGAGGACTTCCTTGTTCTTTGTGCCCACCCGGTGGACCCAGGCGGGAACAGCGTTTGCGAGAGTCTCGTCGACTTGCGCCTGGAGCTTCCCAGCACGCGAAGCTTTGGCGTCCTGTTTCCACACACCGGGAGCGACAGCGACGACTCTTCCATGGCGGCCGACACTGCGACAAGATCACCACGACAACCCCAACCAAAGATCCTCTTCCCCCACCTTCGGAACCTCTTCGTCGCCGTCACTGACGCCACCGGCCCGTGCGGCAGCTCTGACTACACGGGCCATGAATTTGGGTACAACTTCGATCTCACCGCGATCGACGGCGACATGACAGACCCGTATGTGTCGGGCTATCCGCCGAGCAACCTGCAGCTGCGCGGTGACAAGAACCGGGACCACCAGCTGGACCTGTGGCGGTTCGTCGCGAGCTGCAGGACCGTCGAGGCGCTGTACATCGAGGCGACGCACGCGCTGAGTCTGGATCAGCTTTGGCGGGTTATAGATGGACAAGGAAGGGATGCATCGTGTGGTAGCGGTGGCGGCGGTCCTGCTACGGCAAGCGACGAGGCGTATCACTCTTCGGCACAGGACCAGCGAAGATTGCGAGACTGGACAAGGACGGGTCTTCAAATTCTCGGGCTGTCCAGGATAAACACGAGCACGGCGTCCCTTGCGCGTATGATCCGACCATCACCACCACCCCCTGAGAGTACAAGACTTGCACACGCCGCCAGCGCAGCCGCGTCGCCCATACGGCGCCTCAACCTCTGCCGCGTTCGTATTGTTCACGATTCCGATGCTCGTGCCGATGCCGATAAGGCCGCCGCCACTGCTGGCAGCCAAGCCCACGTCGAGGATGGTGATCGCCAAAGTAGCACAAGCAGCAGCGACATCAGCATCAGCAGCAGCCACTGGGCAGACATTTTCGCGGCTCTGATGCCCCGGCACTGCCCGGACCTCGAGTTCCTCGGCATGCATAACCTCTCGTACATGTCGACGCACCCGGACTTTGCGTACATCAGCAGGCCCGGCGAAGACTTCCACTATTTGTGGACTGAGAGCGGCGAAGACTTGCGGGCCCTGGCTGAGCTTTTCCGCAGCAATGAGCGTCTGGCGGTACAGGGACTAGACAGAAGGTGGCAGTTGGGCAAGGACGTGGCGGGGGAAGAAGGGCGCGACTTGATATTTGACTTTAGATTTTGAGCGAGCGAGTATATCCATACGCATGCCTGTCTGGGAAAGACTTGCTCAGCGGTTGGGTCGTGAATTGTGTTGTCAAATTTATCCAGTCTTGTTGTGGATCAAGCTGTCCAGCAATGCGCGACATGATCCACCGTTCTTGATCGCAAATTCGCGAAGCCGTGCGTTGATGCCCCTTGACGCTCGAATGAAGAATGTTGAGCCTTTGGAGGTAATTGCATAGAGGCCAATTCTCGAACTGGTCTAGACAAATTGTATGCAAGGTGAGATATGATACACAATGAGTCATCCACATTCATTCCTGTCAGACCAGGTTTCTTGATTTCAACATAACCCTACTCGCCAGGCTCCATACTTCTTCCCCTTTACTTGTACTTAATTGTAGATAATCGAGCTCGCGATACGACACTTGTAGCGTTACGCATATCACCTGCTTACTTGACATGGACACTCGGCTTCGCTTCTAAAGAACCAACGCCCTGAACTTCGACCTCGACCCGAACCGCAGCATTCAAGCATGACAAACATGGCCATAACGACAACGGAGCATCTCACCGCCTACTTGGCGGAGCATCACCCAGATCTACACTATGCCACCATCGAACGCGTCACAGAGGGCAGCTCCAACTACGTCTGGCGCATCACTCTGGCGGACAAGAAAGGCGCTCCGCCGCTCGCGCTACGTGAGGATGGAACGACGATGACAACAATGATTGTCAAACATGCGGAGCCGCATTTAGCTGCGCAGCCAGATTTCCCCTTCCCGGTCGACAGGATGGCCTTCGAAGTCTGTGCGCTCACCGAGATCCCCCGCGTGCTTGCTGCTACAGCTAGCAGCTCGAATGTCCAAGGCGATCTTGGGGCTAGCTTCGTGCACGGCACGATTCAGGATGCTGGCCTAGGTTCGGGGGCCGAGTCCGCGCATATTGATACCAGAATCCGTGTCCCGCGCGTCCTGTCATTCGACGAACAAAGTCATGTTCTCTTCCTCGAGGACGTAGGCCACACCAGCTTGGCAGAGGCTTACACAGACCCGGCGCTCGATATCCCCGACATTGGCAAGAGGATCGGGACCTGGCTCGCGCGGCTGCACGTCGGCACGACAGCTCCAGAGCTTCACCGCCAGTTTGAGCATCCTGTCGCGAGGAGGATGTATCGCTGGAACTTCAACAATCTTGCGGCGGTATTGGAACGCCATGGCCATGACGGCGAGCTGGGCAGGGCGATCAACGCCAGGTATGGCGCGCAGCTGGAGACTGACGACGAATGTGTCTGTCATGGGGACATGTGGCCGGGCAACATCCTGCTGCGCAGTGTGGATGCGCATCCCAGCGGTTCGGAGGCTGGGGATGGCATGAACGAGATGCAGCACGAGACCGGCATTCTCGACACATCTCCTACTACACGGGGGCACGATCTGGTGGTGATTGATTGGGAGGTTGCGCGTAATGGCACCGGCGCTACTGATGTGGGCCATTTCTCAGGAGAAGCATGGCTGCTGGACACACTGAAAGGCAGTGCCGCTCGTGGCTCGCTGCTTGACTCGTTTCTGGTGGGTTATATGGTAGAGAAGGCCCGCATATCTGGAACCGGGTTGAAGATGGAGGAGCGGTGGAGGATTGCCGCACAATTTGCTACGCATGTCACTCATTGGCCGACGATATATGTGAGTGCACTCTGCTAGAACCTTGTCTTGGTGGTGCGAGCAGGTGCCTTTTGAGCCACTTAATTGTTTACTAATGTCCCGCTGTTAATCATCTAGGGCTGGATTAACGAGGATGAGACGCGACGTTGCGTAGAGTTTGGCGCATCGTATTTGAGCAAGGTTGACCAACGGGACGAGGAGTGGTTTCGAGCCAGTGTTCTGGCTCCTGTCTTTGCCTGAACTTGGAATCACATGAGTCCAAGGGTGAACTCTCCTTCAGTCAGGTGGCCTTATCGCCATGATAGCCACACGCATGCGGGTTCTACCAGCTTCGTGGGTACTATTCCACTTTTGTATGCCCTGGGACCGGAGCTCTCTCTCTACATACCTAAAGTAGCCATTCCCGCATAGAAATGCCAAACTTTCAAAGAGGTCAACCCCCAAACGCCTGCTTTAATTTGTGAATCACCTTCGGACTCAATCATTGAAGGTCGCTCTGTGCACCTGATAAAAGACATGTTTCCACTCATGAGCAGGACGTCCATGCGTCGTCACCCGCACCCGCCTATCCCACGCCGATTGCAGTCGGAGGTCGGAGCTTAGCATCCTCCGGATCTGCAATTAAAGTGCGGCTATCTACGATAACAGGGGCTCCACACCCCCGAAAGCCCGCGCTAGCGGCATGTGGTGACGTCGATACCACGTCTTAAGAGCCTCAACATGGTTAACGGGCCGCGCGCTTGGTAAGTCGGGAAAGAGCAGAATTCCTAGACCAAGCCTGGCGCGTCGAGCTTGCGGAACTTGGCGCCGGGGACTTCCATGGTATTCTCGAGCTTTAGATATCCCCGAGGGAGGACACATAGGAACAAGGACCCGCTGGCCATGGCTGATTCAGACTGCTTTGTCGTGGCGCACTGGCTGATATCTATGGTGACTGCCAAGGCGGGCGCTACCGATCTTGTAGGCGTCATCGCTCACCTGCGCTTGATGGTGAGCACGTCGACGTGTCTGTCGGATCGAGCGGGATCAGACAGCCGCAGAGCTTCTTTGTTATCATCCAATTTGTAAAATGTCGAAAGCGCCGAAGCCGTGCCCCTGAAGATCTGCCTGCATCCTTTTTTGTGCAGTTCTGCTGATGTTGCAGCCCTTTCCCGTCCACCTCCCGTCAGGCATTCAGCTCTCAACAGCAACGTACACGAGCCGGCAAGATGGACGACCGCCCTACACCAGCAGACACTGACATTCCTGGCGGCTACCCCGAGACACCGGCCTCGCTTGATAGCAAGCAGCAGCAGCTACTCAGCCAGGATGACTCTGGCGAAGCGACGCCGACACCCCGTGCCGAGCAGACTTTCTCGTCATCATATTTTGACAGGACGACGACCTCTACAGGTGTAGGCTTTCAGTATGCACAGGCAGCAGAGCAGCAGGAGCCTGGCCTCGGTGGCATTGCAAACGTAAACCCAGTGTCCAGGCCTCCGAACGAGCGATCCCCGCTCGACAGCGCCTTCATCGCGCCTGTGATGCGCAGCGAAGTCAATCAGGATTCCCCCCATGCTGTCTCTGTGAACCAGCGTGAAACCACCATGCGAACCACAAACACGACTACTGCTGAAGGCAGACAGCTTGACGACAACGGCCACACAGAGCCACAATCAAAAGACCCATCAGTGGCAGTGGGAAGCTTACCAGCACGGCACGACTCGGACGAAACACTGCCCGTCGACGACACCCTCATCGCGCCCAACAAGTCCAAAAAGGAGAGCACCACAGCTTCGCCTACCTCGACAAGTTCGTCTTCCTCCAGCAGCGTCTACTCACACGACCACCCAGCCTATGCCCCTGTCCGCACGCAATCTGAAGCACAAACTCCTGCTCCCGTGGGGGCATCACGCCCAGCCTTTGCCCAGACCACCACAAACGGCAGCACAAAACGCTTTGCCACTGAAGATGACCTCTTCCGGGCCCTGTCCCGTCGGCGCACAGGCGCCTCCCAAGCGGGCACCAACGACCTCGAGGCCGTCGAGTCCCAGGCCGAAGAGTCGGCCGAGATTGAGCGGCTCATGTCCCGCCTGTTCGGCAAGGCCCGGCAGGAGCAAAGCCAAGAGGAGAAGACACGGCACTCGGGCGTCGTGTTCCGCCATCTCACCGTCAAGGGCGCCGGCGTGGGTGCGAGCCTGCAGCCCACGGTGGGCGACTTCTTTGTCGGCCTGCCCCGGTTTCTGGGCCGGCTGTTCACCAAGGGCGTCAAGGCTGCGACCGGGAAGCCCCCCGTGCGAGAGCTCCTGTCTGACTTTAGCGGGTGTGTGCGGCCGGGCGAGATGTTGCTTGTCCTTGGCCGCCCCGGGGCGGGATGCACCACCTTCCTCAAGGCATTCTGCAACCAGCGCGCCGGGTTCGTCGAGGTGCTCGGAGACGTCACGTATGGCGGCGCCACGGCCAAGGAGATGGAGGACAACTTCCGCAGCGAGCTGAGCTACAACCCCGAGGACGACCTGCACTTTGCCACGCTCACCGTCAAGCGCACGCTCGAGTTTGCCCTGCAGACCAAGACCCCCGGCAAGGCGTCCCGGCTCGAGGGCGAGAGCCGCGAGGACTACATGAACGAGTTCCTGCGCGTGACGGCCAAACTGTTGTGGATCGAGCACACCATGGGCACTAAGGTGGGCGACGAGAATATCCGTGGTGTTTCGGGTGGGGAGCGCAAGAGAGTCAGCATCGCCGAGGCCATGATTGCCCGATCGTCCGTCGCGGGATGGGACAATTCTAGCAAAGGATTAGACTCTGCGACGGCTGTTGAGTACGTCCGCGCTCTGCGGACGCTGACGAACATGGCCAACGTAAGCACGGCGGTGTCCCTGTACCAGGCCGGCGAGAGTCTGTACGAGGCGTTCGACAAAGTGCTCCTGATCCACCAGGGAAAATGCATCTACTACGGATCTGCCGACCATGCGAGACAGTATTTCCTCGACATGGGGTTCGAGTTTCCCAAGAGAATGACAACGGCGGATGCGTTGATATCCGTCACCGATCCGCATGTCAGAAAGGTTCGCGAGGCCTGGGAAGACAAGATTCCCCGCTCGGCGGACGACTTTGCCCGTGCGTTCCGTCAGAGTGACGCATATCGCCGCAACATGGATGATATCGAAGACTTTGAGAGCACCCTCGGCAGGCAACAACGCGAGCTGAGCGAGAACCAGCCCAAGAAGAAGAAGGACCGCAAGAAGAACTTTACCATTCCATTCCACAAACAGGTTCTGGCGCTAGCTAAGCGGCAGCTGTTCGTGATGTTGGGTGACAAGGCCAGTCTTGCAGGGAAATGGGGAGGCATCATCTTCCAATCGCTCATAGTCGGCTCCCTCTTCTTCCAGCTGCCGGATACAGTCAACGGATTGTTTACACGAGGCGGTGTTATCTTCTTTGTGCTTTTGTTCAACGCCTTGTTGGCGCTGGCGGAGCAGACTGCCGCTTTCGAGGCGAAGCCTATTTTGCTCAAGCACAAGAACTTTTCGATGTACCGGCCTTCGGCCTACGCCGTGGCTCAAACACTCGTTGATATACCTATGGTGTTCATCCAAGTGGTCTTGTTCGACTTAACGATCTACTTCATGGCCGGCTTAGGACCCACAGCTTCACAATTCTTTATTTCTATCCTCACCCTCTGGACAGTTACAATGACAACTTACTCGTTTTTTCGCGCTATCGCAGCGCTCTTCAAGTCGCTCGACGACGCAACAAAGCTCACTGGAGTGGCCATACAGATCCTTATTGTGTACACAGGATACCTTTTGCCACCCTCGCAAATGCCTGTATGGTTTTCTTGGCTCAGGTTTTTGAATTGGGTCCAGTACGGTTTCGAGATGCTCATGGCCAACGAGTTCTACAACCTCAACGTACAATGCGTTCCACCACTTCTCGTTCCCGAAGGGCCCGGTGTGAGCCCGGAGTACCAGTCCTGCGCGATCACAGGCTCCGAACCGGGCAGCACGGTGGTCAACGGCGCGAGGTACATTGAAGAGTCCTTTACGTACACCCGGGCGCACCTGTGGCGTAACTTCGGCTTTATGTGGGCATTCTTTGCCTTCTTCCTGGTTCTCACCATGATAGGCATGGAGAGGATGAAGCCTAACGCTGGAGGTGCTGCAGTGACCGTTTTCAAGAGGGGACAGGTGCCGAAACGCGTCGAGGACAATATTGCGACTGGTGCGCGGGACGGCAAGAAAGGTGACGAAGAATCTGGGTCCTCTACGTCTCCACCGTCGCCTGCATCTCCGGAAGCCTTATTGTCAGCCACTGAGGGTGACGATGATCTCAGAGAAAAGAAGGAGCAGGACGAAAGGAACGAAGAAGCGATGCAGAAGATCGCACGCAACGAAGCAGTGTTCACTTTTCAGAACGTGAACTACAAAATCCCGTATGAGGGCGGCCAGAGGACGCTGCTTGACAACGTACAGGGCTATGTCCAGCCTGGCAAGCTCACGGCACTTATGGGAGCCTCGGGTGCTGGCAAGACTACACTGCTGAACATCCTTGCTCAGAGAACAACCTTTGGTACCATCACTGGTGACTTTCTCCTCGATGGACGTCCTCTTCCCAAGAGTTTCCAGCGCGCGACCGGCTTCGCAGAGCAGATGGACATTCACGAGCCCACGGCCACCGTCCGCGAGGCACTACGCTTCTCTGCCCTGCTCCGCCAGCCCAAGGAGACTCCCATCCAGGAAAAGTACGACTACTGCGAGACGGTCATCGACCTTCTCGAGATGCGCGACATTGCTGGCGCAGTGGTTGGCGCTGCCGGCGAAGGGCTGAATCAAGAGCAGCGTAAGCGGCTGACAATTGGTGTCGAGCTAGCGTCCAAGCCAGAACTGCTCATGTTCCTCGACGAGCCAACCTCGGGTCTTGACTCGGGCGCGGCCGCCAACATTGTGCGGTTCCTGCAGAAGCTCGCGCAGGCAGGACAGGCGGTGCTGTGCACTATCCACCAGCCGTCTGCGGTGCTGTTTCAGCACTTTGACGAGCTGATCCTGCTCAAGAACGGTGGGCGCGTCGTGTACGCGGGCGAGCTGGGCAAGGACAGCCAGACACTGATCAAGTACTTTGAGAATAACCACGACAAGGAGTCCCTCCGCAGTAACGCCAAGCACGAGAAGGTCAAGTGCCCGCCGGACGCGAACCCGGCCGAGTGGATGCTGGACGTGATTGGAGCCGGCAACCCCGACTATGATGGACAGGATTGGGGCACCACATGGACCAACTCGGAGAACTACCGGAAGCAGAGCGAGAAGATCCAGCAACTGCTCGAGGAGCGCAAGAACGCCCCTCAGCCAGCAATTGTCAAGGATGACCGCGAGTACGCGATGCCGCTGTGGACGCAGACAAAGGCCGTTGTCCGTCGCCAGTTTGTCGCCTTCTGGCGGTCTCCCAATTACATCGCAGGAAAGCTGTTTCTCCATGCTCTCACAGCTCTGTTCAACTGCTTCACTTTCTACCGGTTGGGTAATTCGCAGATTGATTTCCAGTCAAGGCTGTTCACCATATTCCTCGTACTCACGGTAAGTCTCACACTCGAACGCTTCATCCCTCGTGTCCTCTTCTCGGCGACGGCTGTTCCCAGAACTGACATTTCCACAGACTGCACCACCACTTATCCAGCAGCTGCAACCTGTGATGCTCAAGAGTCGCAACATCTTCGCTTCAAGAGAGAACAAGGCCAAGATCTACTCGTGGTTCGCATGGACCACGTCGATAGTTCTGGCAGAGATCCCCTACGCCATCGTCGCAGGCGGAATCTACTTCAACTGCTGGTGGTGGGGCATCAACGGCGGGCAGAACCACGCCGCAGCCGACCCGTACCAGTCCGCGACCATCTTCCTGCTGGTCATCCTCTTTGAGCTGTACTATATCGGCTTCGGGCAAGCCATCGCCTCGTTCAGTCCCAACGAGCTTCTGGCCTCGCTCTTCGTGCCCCTGTTCTTCCTCTTTGTGGTCAGCTTCTGCGGCGTCGTCGTCCCACCACAAGGCCTTCTAGAGTTCTGGCGCTCCTGGATGTACTGGCTGACGCCCTTCCACTACCTCATCGAGGCCTTCCTGGCTGTCACGACTCATAACCAGCCGCTCCAGTGCTCGGCCGACGAGTTTGCGCGGTTCGCGGCTCCCCCCGGTCAGACCTGCGAGTCGTACGTCGGCCCGTTCATTCAGAGCATGGGCGGACAGGGATATTTCCAGGTCGACAGTGACGGGCTGTGCGCATACTGCGCCTACTCGTCGGGCGATCAGTGGAGTGCCTCACAGTTCAGCGTGTACTACAGCAACGTGTGGCGGGACGTGGGAATCATTTGTGGCTTCATCGTGTTCAACTACTTTGTCGTCTACGTTTGTACCTATTTGCGATTCAGAGGAAAGAATCCTCTGAAAGGACTTCTGGCAAACAGGAAGTAGATCGAGAATGGCCACGCTCAGAGGAATGAGACCCTGACCACAGGTCTTCTCCCATATCGGCATAATACAGGATCATGAAAACAACAGTCATTTATATACACCACAAGCTTCTTCATCAAAAGTGATTATGACAATAATTCCATTGCCCCTCTGATCCCCAGCGTCGAATATGTGGACCTTGTACTGGAAGAAAAGGTACGAGTAAGCCGGCTGAAATGACGAGGCGGAGGATGCTTTGCCGACTCGTTTGCAACAAGACATGACATAGATGACTGTGATCCACAAGCGTATCCACGGACTCTTCCATTCATTCATATTGCTGCTCAATGCCCTTTATAGATCTCCTCTTCGCCGTCATATCTCGTCGTGACGACATCACCACGAAATTGTACAGTTCGATGCTGTCGTCTGCAGCGCGGGCATGGGATCAATCGGCACAAACTTGGACGTGATCTCCCGATGCCCGGGAGCGGCGACAGAGTCATTGAGCGCCTGGAGGATCTCGTATATGTGGAACGCATGGTCCGCGGCCATCCTTGGGCGGCGCTTGTCGCGGAGGGCGGCTGCGATCTCGGCGAGGCCCAGGGACATGTCCATGCGGTAGCTGGGCGACGTCGCGTACAGCCTCGGGGTATCCATTGGTGGCGGCTGCGTGTCGACCTGGATCCCGCGCTCTGGCGACGGTCCGGTGCCAGAGCTCTTCGCCTCGGACTCGGGAGGAGTGTTCGGTGGCGTGTCGACCAGCAGCAGCGACGAGGTTGGCTTGGCCGTCGAGCCCCTGGTGACGGCGAACTGGACTGGGGCCTCAAAGTCCCAGATCTCGGGCACGTGGAGGATGCCCTTGTCGCCGGTGATGGTCATTGAGCGGTTGCGCCGGGCGATGGTGCCGATGGTCAGGCGGGCGACGACGCCGCTGTGGAAGTGGATCAGGCCGACGCAGAAGTCCGGGCCGAGATCCTGCGGCGCAAGCCCTTCCATCTTGTCGGTGACGAGCGTGTGGGAGAAGGACGTGACGGTCGCCGCGGGGCCAAAGAGGCTGGTCATGAAGCCGACCTCGTAGGCAGCATGCTCCCAGACGCAGCCGACGCGGAACTCCATCTCGGCCGGCCAGGACACGCCGGCGGTGCTGCTCCAGGTGGTGTACGCCATCTGGTGGATCGGGCCGTCGTCAATCTCGGCGTAGACGAGCCGCGGAGTGCCGACCACATCGTCGCGGACAAGGCGGGCGAGAGTCTGCATCGACCAGCCGAGGAAGTTGCACGGCGCCACCGCGAGCAGGCGGTCCTGCTTGGCGGCAAGCGCGATCAGCTCCTCCGCGCCAGCTCGATCCAGTGAGAGTGGCTTCTCAGAGTAGACATGCTTGCCGGCGAGCAGGGCTGCCCTGGAGATCTCGACGTGGGAAGCAGGCGGCGTGAGGTTGACGATGAGGTCTATGTCGGGGTTGTCGAGGATAGCTTGGAAGGAGGAGGCAATCGGGATGTTGTACTGCTTCGAAAAAGCTGACAAGCGCGAGGGGTCGATGTCGAACGCGGCCAGGGGTCGTAGCTCGGGATAGTTCGCCAGAGAGTCGCCGTAGTAAGCGGCAACGAAGCCGCAGCCCACAAAGGCGATGTTCATGTTCAGGAAGGAATGCTGAGTATCTCGCGGGGTGAGTGCCCGAGCAGCTCAGTTTCAGCTCTGTTGATGGTCTTCGACACGAGCAGTCTAGTTGTGGTTACGCTTCGTGCTCTTGTGGTGCCTTTTCGAATGTTGGCGGCGTAAGCCAAGAAAAGCGAGCAGAGTGTTGTATCTCCAGTCAACTTTACATCGAGACAAGGTATCGAGAAGTCAATGGGTAGCTCCGTTATATGATCCACAATGACCTCTCAGCATGCCTTCTCCCAAGGTATTGGGCGAGTCTTCCAAGTTGGACTACGCTAGCGGCCGTACCCGGTCACCATCGTCATCTGAAGCTACGATCCACTTGGATTGGTCCAACTGAGAGACCCTGCGATCCCCGCGGACGGTTGTCGGGCCTGGATCAAGTGCAGATGGAGAGATAATGCCATCAGCAGAAGTGGCTATAAAAAGGAGACATCGAATAATGCGCCTCTCCGGCGCAGCCGGTGTTCGTCCGGCTCAGCAAAGCGCACGCTTGTTCCTCCAATGGAGTGTTGCAGAATCACGACGATACATATTCGCGGAGTGTGGGGGAGCATGCCTCGCCTCCACTCTGCCGGGGTGTCGCTGCGGAGAAGCGAGTTTCGTCAACGGGTCCTGGCAGGGCGCCACACGGGTAAATTCCTGGTGCTGGCTGGGCCCTATGGGTGTCCTGTGTCAAAGGCCCATGTCGGTTAATATTGCAGTTGGGGTAGTACATTTCTTTGTACTCAGCAACAGCATGGGACGACGGTGGGATTCTCATCCTGGTAGAGCAAACCCGTGTTATGCAGTCAGTCGGCTAAATATTAGGCACCCCGCCCAGCATCGGGTGCTGACTCGTCAGCCGGCCCGTCGAACCCTGCAACCTGGATGGGCAGACGGTCCGTCACTCCCTGAAGATCACCCTTCCTGATCATGTACAGGGATGTCGAGAGGCTGTGCGGAAACTTCCCATTACTGATGTTGTTCAGAATAGCAACGAATGAGCAGACAAGACATGAATCTTCCAAATCATGATTTTTGTGGCTGTTGTCGATGTGGCGGGTGGTCCTGCCCGTAGGATTGCATTCTGGATACTTGCTCGGTTTAGACGAGGTACACCAACTCGACGACTGTTTTCACCATTTGTATTCTCCTCTGCGTGTGACAATGGCAGCGAAGGAGACTTGCTATAGAGCCAGGGGAGCGAATAAGGGCTCGCAGATTCCACTCCAACAAGATACGTGCTTCTGTCCTAGCATATGTGGTCGACTGCCCAATTAGTAGGCAGTTAGATGAGTTGCAGGATCTTTCCGGCAGAGGCGACATCATGTCAGAAAGAGGTTTGAGCTCTCCAACGAACATAGAAGGCGTGATATGCTGGAGAAAAAGTTGAAAGTCTTTACCAAAGATGGCAAGGTCCCAAGCAATAACCTGGTCACGGCAACGACTTATCGGATGACCTACAGGCATTCCCCGGATAGCCCCGAACCGCCGCCAGTTTTGTCGACAGATGCGGTCGACTTGAATAGATCCATGTCGATCAAGTGGCTCACACATGGTGGCGAGGCACCAGTAACAGCTTGGGGGCGGCGTGAGTGATGTCGTGAGTGCTCGTGCACCGTACGCCGTTTGTGAGCCAATCAGCGGAAGGTGCGCAACACAGACGAATATTGAGATCACGCGACGGCTCTTGACCCTGATGCCTGATTTACTGTGCGAACACACGGGCATCGCCATCTCTTGCATCGTCTCTGACGCGGGCAAGCGGCAACATATGAACCCTGCCAAGAAACCCCCACCACAAAACGACAAGGGCACTCACTTTTACCCAACGATCTGGGCCGCGTAGTCAGACCATGGAAGGCAGGCTTGCAGGTCGACAGTCGAACATTCAACCGACTACAAAAGTGCCTTAATCGCCTAATGCGGAGTTCCTGCCTTCCTGCAACTTGGCGACTTGTTGAAGGATTGTGATGCCTGCCGCGTCCGCAACACGTCGTAGACTAGTGCATGACCAAGTGCTGGCATACTTGCCTGCGTGGCGAAACCAGATCCTGGTTCTTCAGCTGCGACACGACACAATTGGAGTGGTTGTCAATCATGGTTGCCACTTTCGTAACTCAAGGGTAATCTGCGTGCCTTGGTCCCTGCGGTGACTGCATTCTTCCCCAGCGGAGATCGACCCGCGTGCCGTTGTGGGCGGCGGTGACAATGAGATACCATGCGTTCAGCAGCAAACATTTCGGTGCTCTCTACCTATAAGCGTCTAAGTAGATGGATCTGAAATTTGATGTTTTCCAAACTTCCGGGGTATCGAAGACCTGCGGTGAGCTTGTAAAGCCGGTTGTGATCCTCAACCAGCTTCTCCCATTGTGGTTCTTGCGCAGTGTTTTCTTCATTTACTGCAGGAGCTCTCCGGGGAAGCAGAGTTTGATACAAGAGCCAATGAAGGGGGTATGTTTTCTCCTCTTCCGCATTGTCCATTTTACTCGTGTTTGTCGTCACTGAAGCTTCGGGATGATCTAGAACCAGTAACAAGGTTCCTCTCGGCGCAGTCGCAGTGAGATGTCGCAGGAATCTTGTGGTTCTTGCGACTGAGCGCGAGTATAGTTCGCTCATGGTGAAGAAAAGCGTGACAAGCACCGGGTCAGCTCCTATCAGTGCACTCAAGTCTTGAGTTCCACAGGCTAGAATATCGAGCCCAGTAGATGTCCAGTTCAGATCCTCTGAGGACAGGGCAGCAGCATTGGACGCCCGCGCCTTGGCGGTGGCATATTTTGAGAGCGGGCGGGGTGTTGTGAGAGAGCTGTGGAGCTGTGATATCACGTTGGACCAGTTTGCGAGATCAGCAGTGGCGATTTTGAGCCGAGCCGTGGATCGTGTTGAGGCTTTGGATTCCGCAGTTGACGGAGAACCGACTTCCTGAAGCATCTCGTCAACTGATTCTGGCGGCGGCTGGCCAGCATCGTCTGTCTTCCCCGGCTCGAGGTGTTTTGTCAGTGCGGCAAGTGCCATGAATTCTGCACCGCCTCGCCCAAAGCACACAACTTTTGCTTGGTTCTGGCCATCCGGACAGGTACATCGTTCCACCCATCCATCCCCCTTCATCTCCTGGAGAACCCAAGCGAGCACATTTGCATATGCGAGTGCTCTACTTGGGCTCCAGCGGATTGCATAGGCCTCTAACAATTCCTTGGTTGCGAACGCCTTGTTGAAGTCGTGCTGGGCTATCGAGTCCTTGATCTCACGTAGTGCCGGTTTCAACGCGTCGAAGTCGTTGGAGGCAGGAAATGTGGCCCGGATGGTGTCCAGTATCAGCTGCTGAAGTTGAGTTGGCAGGATCTGCTCTTGCAGGGTTTGTGCAGGACTGTGAACAGGGACAGCAGGCCGCCGGACGGCCTTCTTACTTCGCCCTGTGCCTTTCCATTCTGGCCGACTGGTCGGCAGCAGTGTTGCCTTGGGGGCGCTGCTCACCGAGGGCGGTCCGTGTTTCGGTTGCGATTGCGCTTGGCGCTCAAATTTTGTCATCGTGGGGGTTTGAGGTTCTGCTTATCCAGGGATGAAAAAAAAGTAGAGCATGAATCTCGTCTCGTTTACCCACAAAAACACTAATCTCGAATCTGGCTGTGGGTGATCCACATATCCAGGGTGACTCAGCAGCGGCTTGATCCTTATCGGGCCCTGGTTGGGCCTCTTTGTTAGGTTGTAACACTGAATTATGTCGATCGTTCTCCTCTACTGTATTCACTCACTCCCTCCTGTGAAGCGCCTCCATTGGTGATGCACTACAAGGCTTATTCGTGAGCTGCAGCGTTCTGTAATTATTCTTGCAGCTTGTGTTGTCGTTACAAGCCAAACCTAGGATCCTGTTCCTATGTCCCTAGACGGTTCAATTCCATTTCACTTTGCTAGACAGCTGGGATTGTCAAAACCATTAATCGTAGATTAGTCATACAGCCTGTGTGCATATAGATATCATTGCACGACTTGCCGCTAACATACACTACCAAGAATTGCTTGGAAACTCTGGGAGAGCACTGAGACTCGTCGTTATGACGTCATCACTTCTGGGTGGAGATAACAGAGCGGATTCACTCACTGGCCGGAAGCTCCCATGGGTGATTGCAAGGGCAGGCAGGACAAGGACAGCTCCAAGTAAACTTGAATAGCTCTCTGTACTGCAGCCCCGCATGCAGTGCAGAAGTATACATTGCTCACACCTTCACCAGACAATGCAAATACCTCTTCTGCAGACATGGACGACCTTGCGCAGAGCGATGCGCCGACGCCCATTAGACGGAAGCCCGTTCCACAACGCGATGCAGCAACAGCGCCGCCCAGGCCCAAGGCAGCCCAGCGCGTCTTCCATGGCGGGGTCATCATCACCATCCTCCAGGCCTTGCTCATCTGCAGCATGCTGGGACCCTTGGCCTTGCCTGGGTTCGGCCGATGGTTGAGTTCTGGCACGCCAGTCCTAGCGTACGCGGTCCTGCTGGGAGAGTCGCACCATCACCGCATCCTCTCGTTTGTGCCCGTCTGGGCAATGTTCGCTGCTGTCACCCTCACGTATGCCGTGTGCTCGACATCCTGGCTCCTGTACCTGGTCTTTACCGGGCTCTGCTGGCCGACCATACTGGTCACATGCCTACGTCAATTCGACGCGCCCGGCAGGCTTGCTCGACGCCTGCTGAGAAAGGTCTTTTTGCGGAATCTGCATTTCATCAATGACCAGATTGGTCTGTTCAACATCCCCGCCCTGGAAATCGATACCGAGGTCAAGGGCCTCTTTGTGGTGCGCGCAATCACTTTATCCATCTCCACGATGACGCTCGTTGCCCATGGAGTCGAAGCTGGCATCAAGCTCTCGGACGAGATCGAGCTGGCTATCCAGACGGACAAGGTTGTCGTCCGGCTCTTCCGCGACATCCACGTCGACGATGTGTACGCCAACGTCAAGGGCGGTGACTGGGAAGTCACCTTTGGAGACCTCGCTTACGGCAAGTCGGAGCCGTCAGGCGATCCAGACGACTTCATCGCCAGGGACACGGCCATATTGAGAGCAGCAACCACCGCCCTCGACGGCACCTTCTCCCGGCCCAAGCGCGCGTCCACCATGGTCCGTACCATGACTGCCGACAGGCAGCCGGTAGAAGCCCAAGACCAGAGCTCTGCCTTTTCCAGCGTAAAGACTCTGTCCTCAAATGAGACGCTTGCAAACAGGGAGCACGAGGAGATGATTGAGATGATCTACGAGACAAGCCTCATCACCCAGGCAAAAGAGTCGCTGCGCAAGGCTGTCAAACAGGACGACGAGACACCAGGCAAGCTTGATCTGGACAACATGAACGATATGCGAGCCGCCGTGTGCGCGCATATACACAACAGTCCCTCTATACCTCATCCCCCAACCACATCCATCCGAGTGTCCACGCTCAGCAAGACCAGCTACCCTCGCGTCAAGGAGTTCCTGCACCGCCTGCCGCTGCTCTACCGCTTGATGCTCAGCCCGTTGTGCTACCTGCACCACACCAAGCTCCAGTCTGTGACCGTCGCCGGGTCGGGCAAGTGGCTCGTCGTCCTGATGCGCAAGTACCTCTTCAAGCACTACAGCAGCAGGGACTCGGAGATCCGCAAGCTCGAGGAGCGCATATCCGCATGGTACGAGGACGCCACCTTTGCCCTCGAGCTGGGCCCGGTCTCCGGCGAGGCTTCCTTCCCCGTCAGCACAAAGTACGACATCCAGTGCCACCTGAAGGTCTCGGACGTCCTCGCGTACCGCGTTCTCCCCGCGGCCACGCAGCTAGAGCAGGTCGTCCGGCTGGGCGGCGGAGACGCCCTGCTCACCATCCCGACGTTCCTGTTCCCGCACCATGAGCACATATTCCCGCCCATGGCTACAGAGTACGAGCTGCTGGAGCTGGAGGCACGCGTCAAGCAGATGGAAGAAGAGGGCACGCCCGAGGCGGCCAAGGCCCGCAGGGAACTGCGGCAGCGCAGGAAGGACCAGGCGAATATGCGCATCAGCGCGCACGCCCACCTCCCGGCGCGGTTTCATCAGCATCTCCTGAACTTTGTCGCCGCGCTCGTGAAAGCGACAAAGCTCATCGAGAGAGACAACGCGTTCGAGGAGGCCAAGATCACCTCTCTGCAGTCACAGGCCAATAATGCCGCCGCCGCCGCGGGCGTTGGCGACGGTGGCGATAGCGACAGCCACGAGGTTGAGAGCCTGTCCTCGACCGGCACGGCTGGAAGCGGAGACACCGCAGATACTACCATGACTGCCAAGTCGAACAACTCTGGCTTCCGGGATTTCATGAAAAAGGTCGACACGGGCCTCAAGACCACGTCCGTCAAGACCGTCGAGGGGATGCGCAAGGCGGGCTTCAGCACCCTGTCCGCCATGGCCAACGACCGCTGGATAGCCGCGCTGGTGGGCAAGGTGACCAGGAAGTTGGAGAGCGCGCAGGGGGAGGTCGGATATAGTTTTGATGTGCCCATCTCGTTGGACGAAGCGCGCAGCAAGCATGAATCCCCGTCAAAGCTTCTTCCATAAACATAAAGAAAGACTTGTATTCGCATCATAAACAAGGCCTTTGTTTGTTTGCTCCAAGTCCGGGGGGTAATGAATAAATTGCTCAAAGCAAGCTTCTGACAAGGACAAGCAATGCACTCTGTCCTGTACAGGATGGTGTCTTTGATTTGTACCGACTACTTCCAAATGTGGGCGTAGTGATCTTGACGATGGCGCGTCATGCAGTTACCGCGTACAAGTCTGGGATCGAAAGCATCCATCTGGGATCCTATGTGGTCAGATGCGTAAGTGACCAGTGACACACACTCTTCGAAGCAAGTCATCTCTCAGCTCATTTCACGATAAACGGTAGCACGGCGCCGCTCAGCAATGCGCCTCTCCCCTACAACACCCACGTGGAAGGGTCGCCGTCCTGCTCGATGTCCCACGAGCCAGTGCTTTCGGTCTCATCCGACTCGTCCACCCTGTCCGCCTCGGCACTCTCTCCTGCGTCGACAGCATCGCTCACACTCTCCACAACGTCAGCCCAGCCTCTTCCCTCCAACAAGTCAAGCATCTCCACGTCCTTGCGGTGCTTGCAAAGGTCGAGCAGCCCCGGATCGCACTCGAGTGCCAGAGGCACGCTCGCTCCGGCTTTGAGCAAGTCCCGCACGATCTCATGCACGCCACCAGTCACCGCAGCCACGAGCGGCGTCTCACGCGTCCGCAGCGCAGCCCCAGACCCAGCCCCAGCAGCATCAGCAGCCTCCTTACATTCATGAACCGTGTCCACCTCGGCCCCGTTGCGCAAGAGCAGCCGGACGCTCTCGGCCGACGACCCCGGCGGAGCGACGGCGTGCATGAGCGGCGTCCAGCCCGCCGCGTCGCGCGTCTCGAGCAGAGCGCCCCGGTCCAGCAGCACCTGCGCCGCCGCGAACTGCATCCTGTCGAGACTCGCGAGCAAGGGCGTCCACCCTCGGTCGTCCGCGAGGTCGAGCTGGCCCGCCATCTCGTCGCTCAGCGTGCCGTCCCGGCGCGTCTGGTGGTCGAGGAGCAGCCGCGTGACGTCGCCGGCGTCGTTGTCAGACTGCGCCGCGGCGAGCACGAGGACAGACTGGCCGGCCTTGCTCCGCGCGCTGACGTCGGCGCCCCGGGACAGCAGCAGCCCTAGATAATCCAGCCGGCCGGCCTTCGCGGCGCGGAGCAGCGGAGTCAGCCCGAGCTCGCGGTCGCGGGCCTCGATGTCCGCCCCGGCATCGAGCAGCAGCTCGCCCGGCTCGGTGTCGACAGGTCCCCCGTTGTCCCGGGGCGTGCCGGCTAGCAGCCACAGCGCGGTCGATCCCCCGTCCTCGGCTGAGCGGGCGTCCACGTCGATGCCGGCCTCGAGGAGAGCCTGTAGCACGGGGATGCTGTTGCCCATGTGCTGCGGGGGCGCGAGCAGCCTGTGCGCCCGGTCTCCGGGGATGGCAAGGTGGCTTTTTTCCACGCTGCGGCCATCATGATGAAGGCCTGGTCGTCGCAGGCGCCGCTGACCGAGGACATCCCGCAGAATGTCCAGCCTGAGATTTGGCTCGAAGCCCATCCGGCGGGTCTGGGCGGCGCGGATTGCGCCGAGCACCGCCTCGTCGAGGCAGTTGTTGTCGCCGTGGTCTGTGGCCATCGGGTCCGCGCCGTGCTCGTCCAGCAGCAGCTGGGTGGTCGAGCGCCGGCCGTGCCGGATGGCGTGGTGTAGTGGCGTGGCCCCGTCCGCGTCCCTAATGTCCAGCCTGGCACGGCGCTCAACAAGGAAGCGGACGACCTCGTCTCTGCCCTCGGCCGCGGCCAGGTGCAGCGCCGCGAGGCCGTCGAGTCTGCGGCTGTTGGGTACTCGTGGCCAGGCAGATCCCTCCCAGGCAGATCCCTCCTCCTCGTCTCTTCTGTCACCGCCCATCATGCACGCCAGGCTCTCGAGATCGCCCTTCTCGGCTGCCAGAGTGACCGCCGTGTGGCGCTGGCTCGTCGCACATGGGTCTGCCCCATACCTCACGAGCAGCTCGACAATCTCCGTGTTGCCATTCTTGACAGCCAGGAGCAAGGGACTGTTGTGGTTGTAATCCCACTCCGGCACCTTGGCCATGGGTATCTGGGCCGACGGGTCGGCGCCGAGCCTCAGCGCCCGGCTTGCCGTGGTGACCGCATGTCTCGACTTCTGGTTACACGCCCACCAGAGGGGTCTGTCGCCGAGCACCTCGGTCCGGATGTGCCGAGCGTAGATGGAGTCGTTGAGGATGGCCTGGTAGAGGCGGTTGGTTGCCGCAAGGGCAAGGGCATCCCTGGTCGGCAAATATATGGCGATGAGTGGGATGAGCTCAGGCGGGAGGTCACATATTGTTGCGGCGGGCTGCAAGTGAGCCGGTGGCGCATCCAGTGACAGGTATGCTATGGCTGCGTCTGTGGATCTTGTTTCGTTCATCGTGGATGAATGCACCTTTTCTAATTCCATCCAAGCCGGACCATAACGAAGTGTGAATGCAGCAAAACATGAGGACGAAAGCGATATCTTGCGCGCGCTGGTCCACGCGCAGGCTGAAACTGTCGCAGATGGACGAGTGGGCCAGGGGAAGAACTCTTTACTTATAATAGCTGGCTACCGCAGACCCGCTCATAATGTTGAATGACTCGTACCACACACAACAGAGATATGAATGAGGTCGAATCCCAAGCCAGCCAGCGAGAAGATGGCATCAAGGGAATATGACACCTTGCCAAGAAAATATCGAATGAAGATGTCCAAGTCGTGTCCGAAGTTGAAGCAACACCTGTCCCTTGCCTTCCCGGCCACCGCAATACTGAAGGGCCTCGGTACTTACCCGTCCGCGTCAAGGAACCCGAAGACGCCCAGTTGAGACACCCTGAGTGCAAAAGTCTAGCCGCTTCAGAGTAGAGTACCTTCTTGAGCAAGGCTAGACTTTAAAGGCAGCCTCTTTCTGAGTGGAGAGCAATTTTTCACCGAGAGCTATGCCAGTGAAAGAACAACCAGGTTTTGTTCATAGGTGGACATGCGGAGATTATGCCAAGACAGTGGTAAAGGCCGTGCAGAATGAGGAGATAAAGCTTATATTATCTCTTTCGCCCCCAGGAAATAGGAAATATGAACAGAGAGACGCTGTCTACTTGTAGTCTTGAAAATACATATGAAACGCAAAAAACCAGGCTGGTGTGTTTTTTCCCCCCTTCGCCGCCTTCAAGGATACCAGGTTCGAGTTGCACGATCCAGAACAGTGGAAACCATGTGTTGCCCTCACAACCACGGCCCGGCCTTCTAGTGGAGATCCATGTCGCCAGTCTCGGCGAGGTGGTTCGAGCACTTGAGCAGCGTCTCGACCTGCTTGGCGACCTCCTCGAGCCTGCCCAGGACCACCTTGTTGCCGTCGACGAAGCCGTGTATCGAGTACTTGATGCCCGTGTCGTCGGAGAACTCGCGGACGAGCGCCTGCAGCCTGCGCAGGTTGTGCCTGGGAACGCGGGGGAACAGGTGGTGCACCGCCTGGAACTGCAGCCCGCCGTGGATCCAGTCGAGCCAGGCCGGGCAGTCGACGTCCATGGTCGTGCGCAGCTGGCGCTGGGGGAAGGACTCGGACTCGCCAATGTTGGAGGTCGGCATGCCCCTGTGATGAATTGTAGCCCGTTAGCGATTTGAAAACCTGGGGAGAAGGGGAACGATCATCATGATTATCATGATATCGGGAGCGAGGCGGAGAAAAAAAAGGCCTACCAGTGGGACAGCGTAATCTGGACGTGCAGCGGCAACGTGACGACATGCGACACGAGCACAAACGCCACACGGATGGGCCAGTTGGGCAGGGTCCGCCACACGAGGCAGTAGCCATAGAGGAACCAGTAGCACGACATGAAGAGCACCTCCGTCGGGCGGATCCACCAGGCCTTGCCCTTGCGCAGCGCCCCCGAGCGGCTCGAGATGACGTGCAGCCACGAGAGGAAGAACAGGTTGAACCGGGCGAGGGCGAGGACCGGATAGTAGGTGTACTTCTGGTACGGCACCAGGATGTCGGCAACCTTGTCCCAGGTCTGCACGAAGCCCTCGTAGTAGGTCGAGGGGAGCGACTTGAAGAAGCTCGGGCAGTTGGCAAACAGCGGCACGTTTTGGATATCTGGGTCGCTTTCGGTGTCGTTTGTGATGAGGTGGTGGACTGCAAGAAGGTCAGTAAGGAGCAAGGAGGCTTTAGGAATCAGGAGCTCTGACTTGTGTGTGAGGATTTCCACCTGTACGAAACCACGTTAGCATTTCTGGTATTTTCCAACAATGGTGTGCAAGGCGTGTTACTTACCATCCCAGGGACAGGCCGCAGCAGAAGTCGGCAATGAAGAGACCGATGAGCGCATCAGTCTCAAAGTGGTGGGTGATGGCGCAGTGGCCCGCATCGTGCGCAGTAAACATGATTTGGTGCTGAACACGTCTTGCATTAGCTGATGTTGTTTTTTACACAGGCGTCGATATTAGTTGATAACTCACCCAGAACAAGCCCAGGAACGCCGCAGAGGTTATGTACCACTCATGGTAAAGTGCAGTCATCGACAAGGCAAACAGGGTCGTGTACCGGGACAGCTCGATGAGGTACGCGCTGTAGTGGCAGTCGTAGAAGCCCTCGTCGATGACACGCTGGTGCAGTGCCCGGTACTTGGCAACAATTTCAGACTGAGTGACCGGGTCGGCTGACGGGTAAGCGTTTCTGCTATCGTCGGCCTCCTTTTCGATGAGGAGGTCGGCATACTCGTTGCGAGTGAGGTTGATCTTGTTTGTGGAGCCAGGCGACGACAATACAGCCGCTGCGTTGCCAACATTGCGACGGCGGAGAGTGGTTGGCCTTGTGGCTTTCAAGTCACCATCGACAGAGTCGTTACAGTCTGTGGTGACGGAGCTCTGGTCGGTGACATCGCCATCGACGACGTCGCTGTCGAGATCGTCGGACGACGAGGCCGACGACGACAAGGTCTCGATGTCGAGATCGACGTCGGTGTCTTGGGCGTCGGAGTTAACGGACTCGGGCACCTTTGTGTAGACGCCGCCGCGGATGGGCGGCGTGAGGTTGTGCCAGGGCAGCCCCACGGCTACCCGGCCGATCCGGTAGGCTTTCATGCCCCTCACCACGGGCGCTGAGTGAGAGCTGCAAATAAGACACGGGGGTTCCGTCAGCATGCCGTGCCTGCAACCTAATTGGAGACTGGGGGAAAGACGCAAGACAGAATAAAGTCGCCGTCCCATCCGCGAATGGTGGCATGCTAAACTCGTTTTCTTTTTTCCCTCCTTTGTTTTGCGGACCGAAGCTACGCAGAGACAGAACACGCCTTCTCACCACCAAACAGACCCCTGGAGACAACCCCTGACCAGCCCAGAAGACACCACCAGACAGCACTCGCCATCTCGCAGCGCGGCAATCCTCGACACCCACCAAGAAGGAGCACGTCGCATCATCTTTTGCACTTGCAAAAATGCATCGCCAGGGCTTCTCACCATTTGCGCTCGTTGCGCCGACACATGGGAAAGGATGAGCATTGGGAGAGGGGGGGGGGGCAATATTTACATTTTCATCTCATCCGTCGCATCACGTCCGACCATGTGCTGGATCGCCAGCTTTCCGCCCGGGTGCTTCTCGAGCCAGCTGTCCAACCGCAGCACGCAGTCTTCGAATATGACAATCGCCTGGCCGTCGGCGATGCGGTTGACAATCGCCTGCCGCGACATCGGCTGGTCCCGCGGGGCGACGCCCATGGCTAGATTGGGGGGAGGCAGCGAGCTTCGCGAGCGCGTGCAGTGGTTACTACTCTGTCGATAATTGTCCTGCCGCGCTGCAGTGTAGTTATTTCTTGTGTCGACCACGGTACGGCGGCTTTCGATTCGAAGTGCGGCGGCGACTGCGCGAATAGTAGTCGGGGGATCCCAGTGGACAGGTTCGACAAGGAAAGGCGCTTGCAATTGGGCGTAGGTTGGTTGCGCAGAACAAAGGTCGACAAGAGTTCGAAGACTTGGGGATATGTACCAAGGTTCACGAAACACCAAGCACCGCGGGCACCGAACAAACGGGGAACCAAGACTACCTATCTATGTGCGCCGAGACCAAGACGAGACGGGAGCTCGAGGGCCGGCCGCGGGACCCCTACGCGCGCACACGACGTGCGACAAGATCGGCCAAGCCAGGCACACACCACGTGTGTGTGTGTGTGCCATGCCTCGACCCTGCCTGCCTGCGCCGACATTCTGTGGAGAAAGGCAGGTACACAGAGACAGACGAGCATGGCAGGATCCACGGGACGCCACGTAACCAGGACGGACGCAGAAAGAGGAAGCTGGGGTGGGAAACCTGCGCGGGCGCGCGCGCAGAGAGGCGACAAAGGATCACAGCCTTGGCTCATGCTTTGAGCGGAGGAGAGAATATCCACCCAAGCCAACGCCAAGGACGACAGTTGGGTGGATTGCCCCCAAACCTGGCAGCCAACATTTTTTTCTGGAACGGGCAAGCAAGAGAAAGGGGAGGAGGACGAGAGCGAATGGAGCAGGCAGAGCCTTGTGCTCCTCAATGTTCTCCCAAGGACTTCGCCGCCTGGCTCCTTTAGCCTGTGAATGGCCCTGGTCTCCGGTTCATCCTCCGGGGTGGGACCGGGGCAGAAGCGGAGGACGAGGACCCTGGGTTTCCTGTGGTCTGGGCCGTTGCGGTGGTCTCTGGCCGTGTCCGTCCTGCACAGCATGCTTCATTCAATGTTGTCAAGCGACAGCCGCCCAGTAGTTCGCCCACCGCATGTCCCAGGAGTCGCACTCAGCTCCCGACTGGGCATTCCGTCGACTTTGCCTCGCTGTCCGCGCCAGATTTGGCAAGATGCAGCACTCAGCATAAGCTCAAGAATCACAGAGAGCGAGAGAGAGAGGCCAAGACATGACGCGACAATCTCGACGCTAGCTTGTAGCTTCCAGAGGACCCTGAGTGGGCACGGAGCGGGCGCAGCACTCTACTCGCGCAGGCTTTAGTGGCTAGCTGTCTGGCCGGTGGAGAAAAGCCCTCAATCCTGGCCAGGGATTAACTAGGGCCCCTGCAGCCAGGACAAGAGAGATTGGCCTTTCCGTTCCTGGGCCATTTCGTGGCCGGCCGGCTGCCCGCGGCCCCAGAGTCGACGCATGTCACTCTCTCTGCTTCCAGAAAGAAAGCGTGCCCCAAAACAGACCACGACTGCGACTCTGACTTTTGATGACGCACAGTCAAAGCCGGCCTGCAAAGCATCTTCGCAACGAACTCGTACCGCAGGCTGCCATTTCAAGAACCTGGGTCCTTGTCTGCGGCGTACCACCGCTCAGGAAGCGCTGGCTCCCTAAAGCCAAGAACAAGATAGGGGAAATCTGCTCCGGTGCGCCGGGGCACAAGCAGCCACCGACCGCCAGGGGCAGCCCCGTAGCCATCGCCAATTGCGCAGCAGCCACTTTGAGCGACCGAGAGGAGAACCCCTCTCAGAGCTCTATTCCCACGCCCGCTTTATTACGTTCCGCCAAACTCTACCGAAACGTGCTTTTGTCTCGATAGGATCTACATGCTGCTGCCTGTTTCGACCATCCTACCACCGACACTGTCATCAGACGACTGTGACGCGAAGCTCACAAGATGATCGAACAGTGACCAGTCCAGTGTCTCCTACGAGTGAAGCGTGCGGCAGCAGACTACGAGTCGCTCGCTCATGAAGGGAATTGGTCTCGCCCAGCCGTTGACAAGAAAGAGATTGGCAGAACGGGCTGCTTGGGTCATGAGCTTGGCGGAGCGGCGCTTGGCTGCGACAAATGGTTTAAAGTGGCGCCGTTCTTAGCGCTTCCCTATGGCGCGCTGAGCCTCTAGAGGTAGGTACAGCAGCTGCTCATTTGCCCACAGGACATGGTTCGAGAAGCCGCCATGGAAGACACGTGGGCGTCACGGTCAAACCACACCAGGTGAGCACACACAGACTTCCAGATGAAGCACTCTCGTCGGGACGCGCTATTGCCGCGTCGCACAAACTCTGTTGAAAAGGTCAGTGATCGAGCGAGCTGAGACGGCAAAGCGGCATACAACATAAAAAGGCAAGTATCCATAGAAAATGGCCCCTTTCTTTGGCTGTCGTTAAGGCTGCTGGCCCGCACCAACCAGCTAACACTCGCCACCTTGGAAACTTCGAGTGCACAGAGCGAGGGGCAACGGTCCTTCGCCCCTCATGCACCCGCCATGGCTTAATAGAACCTTGAGACTCGTAGCCTCGTACCGGGCTGTAGCACTAGCTAGTCAGGCCCAACAGGCACGCACACAATAATACATGGCCATGGTCTCTCTCCTGCGAGACCGTCTGCACGCCTTTTTTGTTTCTTCCAACTTTCGTGTGCTGCTTGCTCTCGTGTTGAAAGAAGCTGGCAGGCCGACAAGGCAGAGCTGGGCGAGCCAATTTCTTGCTTGCATGCATGCAGACAGGAACAGGCAGGCCATCCACATGCACAGCAGCGTGCGTTAACCCCTGTTGTTCAGACGTACGTACTTACGCAAGTACTGTACCCCTTGGACGCGGGGGTGCCCACGAACTCCTCCCTGTGTGCTGCAAGTGCTGTGGTCCCCGCTGCGCTGCATCTTCATTTTCCCGTCGGATCTCAGCATCTCAGCTGCCACAAGCACCTCCATGCAATGCGTCCCTTGCCATGCCACCCCGCCGCCGAACCAATAACACGTCCGCAAGCCGCACGATATGCCTCATCGTGATCACGTCCAATCAACATTCCGCGTGCACGCACACACTCTCTCATTGACTCCCACGTCACCGGCGCTCCAACCAACCCGTCTCCGGAACCGAGGCCCCACAAAGAACCGAAGCCCACTGCAGCAGCGGCTTGGCCTGCCTTCCCTTCCGAATGTCTCGCACTCTATGCCCCGGTCGGGCCCAGAGCTGGCTGGCTCCTTGATTCCTAGCCCGTGCCCCAGGAATGCGGGCCCTTACGTCCTTGGCACCGGTGGGCGGGTGCATGTCGGGGACCTTCCCGATGAAGACGGTGCCCGCTGTCTGGACGCAGTAATTTACGCGTGTCGAGAACCCAGTTTCTTGGGGTGGATCTCACTTTCAGCTGCTTTGATGGTTGGCTGAGCAGGGAAGGGGGAGAGGAGGACCAGACCCCAGGCCCCGGGTACAAAGATTTGATTAGTTCTGGGAGATCTCTCGGGTCTTTTTGTGTGTCAATGTTTGAGATAAGATGAGCTGTGCTGGGTAAAGGGCCTGGGGGATCGCAGTCCTGCTCTGTTTTTGGACGAGGTTGTGTGGCCGGCTGCAAGGGCCCTGGCTTACGAGGGCTGTTTCGACCCGCGACGTCATCGCTCGAGGCATTGCAGTGCAGTGCAGTGCTGTGCTGTGCTCTGGTGCAAAGAGAGCTTCCCACGCGCCATATACGTGAAGGATACTGGTCACTGGCCCTGTACATCCCTGATCTACTGGCAAGCTGCTGTTACGAAACTTTGCTTCTTTCTTCGCAAAGAATTTCCAGAGTGACGAGGTTTTCATTCGTTGGGCCACTCGCTCAGCTGCCAATACTCAATCAAGCAGTCCTTTTGGGACTTGGCAATTCTGGCTCTGTGCAGAGACGCACACAAGCTCGCCTTGTTTCGCAGCTGCTGCTCATGACCGGCTCAGCAAGTCCACCAATGCTATAGAGTTGCAATGTCTGTGACCTCTACAAATGGAGTATCGGCCTGCATCCCAGTTCGCATGTGCGAAGTCATCCTTTCGGGGTGGAAATGGGAGCTTGAAAAGGAACTGGGAAACAGCTGAGGCTATGTTAACGTTCGCGTTTTACAGAAGAAGAGGACGAAGGGCTTGAACCAGGCAACGCCGCGAAGTCATTCTGCGACGAGCCGTGACGTCACTCTTGGAGAGCAGCCAGCTTTTACCACCACCAAAGCATGCACCAGAGCTCGCTTTCATTCCAGATTGACCTAACCATGCAATATCCTGCATTTGCGAACCACGCCAATCTTCAAGCCAGTCTTCAGCCACTGTTCCGAGTTGTCGCGGCCCGTTATGCCGCCTGTCTGCTCGATCGTTGTTGTCAAGGCCACTCTCTCGGTAGCACACCACGAGGAAAAGGTTGTGCTTGATGCACTACATATGGCCAAGAGAAGCAGACGGCTGGGCGTCAGCCAGGCGTGCAGGTATTCCCCGATCGGGAGGGAGCAATATTCCCACTGGATTGCATGATGGTAGTTTAGAAGAGCCAGGCATCCTCACGGCTCATATTCGTGGTGCAGGCGCTTCGTTGTTCCCTGGCCGAGCCAATGGCTTCTCTCCTGGCGGCGAGTAAGTTCTTCTTCATGGGAAACTAGTCCGCAAACGATGCAGACTTGCTCTGACGTTCTGTCCTCCGACTGACAGTCTTCCGCTGCCTTTGAATTGGTCAAAGTTGCGAAAGCATCCATGACTATGGCAAAGGGACTAGAATATGTCCAGCCGATGGTTGTACGTGGGATTGAAGCCGCGACTCCTCAAACGACAAGCACTCTCGTCCGCACTTGGGTGGGCCTGGAAACCGCGGTCGGTCTTTTGTTCTAAAGCTCGATTAACAATTGCAAATCTGAGCCTGTGACAATGTGCGTGAGGCTCTACAATCTTTGTGGTTAAGCCACAACAACACTTGATTGATAGCTTCCGGATTCTACCAGTCCACCTCGATTCTGCACACAACCACATTCCCTCCGCCTACAAGAACCATTCAGCGTCAAGGCACTCTCAACGAGGAAACGTGGAAGCCCAGCAGGGCGGCCAGGATTGGCTGGCTGTTTGGGATTGATCTGCCGCCGTCGGCATGCGATATCTGACCTGCGCTCGCCAGACTAGGCTGGCAGCTCGACGCCGTACAAGGCGAGCCAAGCACAGAAAGAGCCTGGCCAGCATTCTTTGAGATAAGGACAGCACTGGACGCTTGGATTTGTGGAAACAAGCTATCAATTCGGGCACCAATATAAGCCCTTCCTTGCTAGGCTTATCCCAAAGCATGCAATTCGACAACTCCGACGACACCCAGCAATACGAATTCTCTAAATTGAGCTGGAGACTGCAGACAAGGACGACTCCATCACGCAAGCGGGAGCGAAGGTTGCAGGACATGACACCGCCCAGTCTTCAATCATGGATCATCCGCCCCTTGTGGCGCGCCCAAAGCCGCTGTCAACAATTTGTGCTCGGGAAGCAACAGCGAGAACCGATCGACAACAATTTTAGAACGGCGGAGGCGCCGAGTCTGCTCGAGCTCCAACGCAGGAATTAGTGGGAGTCACGGCCCAGCGGCGGCTTTTCATGTCGTGGATGGCGTTTTGCGTCCCCCCGAGAGAGCTTGCATTGGATGTATTATGCAACACGGCCAAGAGGACCATCAATAGGCAGCCAATGCTCTGCTGGTCAAAGATGAGCCAAGATTCAGCATGCCAGCATGAGTGAAGCCTTTCGACCAGCCTGGCGAACTGTAAAGCCACAAGACCGCTGGTGATACGAGCACGAGGCTATCGTGTACAACATCCATCCTCTTCCCCTTGAGTGATACGGAAGTGAGTGGCGTCTGAAGCGTCGCAGTATTGACGGGGACAAGAGCTGGTGGACTGACCGATGGCCTGCGCAGTGCTGAAGCAGGCGCATGTCCTCGCAAGCCGAACGAGCAGTGGCACTGTTGGTCGAGCCTTCCTGCCTGGGCACGCGAGCTGCTCGAGCTGCTCCTTCCGTGCCACGTCTCCTGCCCAGATGTATGGGCAGTGCATCTCCCGCGTCTCTCCACGACTCCCACTCATCCCTTGACCATCACGAACCACCACCACCACTCATTCCTCAATCCCCAATCCTCACCACAGACCGACTGAGAGCAACAACGACAGCTCAGCCTCTCCCTATCCAGCCCGCTCAAGCCCAGCCACGATGGACTCCACCCTGCAGACCCTCACCAAGGCCATGGCCGCCACCCAGTTTGACAACGTCCACCGTCACCTCATCAAGGAGGCCCACCGCGCAATCGTCGCCCTCGACTACCCCAAGGTCTGTCTCGGTCTTGATCCCCTCCCCTCCCTACTCCAGCCTGCCATAAGCCTCATCGCTGACCACAGAGCCTCACACGCACACACACACTCAACAGGCACGCGAGGTTGGAGCTCGGATACTTGTCGATCCCCGCGCGGCCGGCGCCCCCCACGCCTTTGCGCACTACACCCTCGCCTTCTCAGTCCGGTCCCCGATCCTGCGGCTCTACCACGCCGAGAGGGGCGTCCGCACCTTTGTCCAGCTCCGCCGCCAGATGTCCCAGGGCAAGAAGCACAAGACGGACACCCAGTTCATGGACGAGATGATCCACATGGGCATCGACTTGCTGCGTGACGTCCGCAAGCACGCTCCTCTCGACGAAGAGATGGTCAAGGCGATGGGCATAGTGGCAGAACTGGAAGTGACAGGCAAGGCGGCTGAATAAGTGATGCGGACAGCAGCGATTGCTAATCCCGGAGTTTGAGCATGGCATTTGATGTTGATTAAATACATACATGGAACAACGCCTTTTCTAGAAGCTTGGCAAGGCGAGGCTCTCAGGCCCCACCGAGACCCACGCTCCGGCAGTTTGACTTTACCCAAGGCGGCAAAAATTTGTGTTTTACCCGCGGCTCTTGGAGAGCCCAAGAAAAAAAAGAGTCGCTTCTAGGTGTTGGTATCCTCTTGGGAGAGGATGCACCGGGAATTGAGCCCGATGCGGGGGTCGAACCCGCAACCTTGAGATTGAAGAGTTCTTAAGAGTCTCACGCTCTACCGATTGAGCTAACCGGGCAGTCTTTGTCAGAACTGCTTGTTGAATGACACTGTCCTTATTGAGTATTATGCGCCTTTGCAGGTGCTCCCACATATTTGCCCGCAACGCTGGGTCTGAGATCCTCGCTGCACACCACCTTGTAATGACGGCCATGATACTCGCTGAAGAGCGTGGACAGCCACTAAGGCCACCTGGAAAGTCTTCACAGTAGATCGATTAATGGACTCTTCATCGACCATCCTGTGCCCTTGACCACATGGTGTTCTGCATCCCTCCACTTGCTTGCTCTAAGCTGGTGTGGTCGCCGGTGTCGCGGCGTTAAATCATCCAATATGTCGGGCTTGTGGAGAATACTGTGCCCACGGCGTCCTGTTCGCCGCCAGCCGCTGGCCGAGATGAATAATAGTAAGAGTGAGGTTTGGCAGCTCGGCAAGGCTGATTTAATTCTGAACGGTATACGCGTCATCCGGCATGCCGCACTTCCTCTGTGCATGGAAAGTAAACAGAGGAGGCTTTCACACATAGTCTTATTGTGCTGCTGTTCATTTGAGTGCCGCTCATCGATGCGAAGCAAGAAGACTGCGCGTCGAACGCACGTCGATACTTTGTGAACCAGATGGGGACGTAGCCAGGAGCCAGTTTCAAACCTGCGAGTGCAGTTCATGGACCGGACGAAAAGAAAGCCCGTCCCATTCTCTATTTTGGATTATGCTCAAGTCCTATGACACACAAACTTCGCCCTTAGTGGTCATATCACAACACAGGAGTCATCGCTGTGTTCTGTGTTCGGGCAGCTGCAAGGATTAGGTTGGATGCACCGCCGAAAGCAGGTTTCATAGATATGGCGTGTTCAGGCGCGGCGGCGAAGTTTTTCAAATACAACAAAGCTTCAAGAATAACACGTCCTTGCCTAGGAAGACGGGCCAGGGCAGTCCTCAATCTCATCGACTTCGAACCATTATAAAACCCCACGCATGTCTGGGAATGAAGTCCTTTTTTTCTTCTTCGCACCGCGCTCGAAGGCAACCCCGGGACCGTCTACAAATTGTGAAATGGGTGCTTGCGGAACACTTTAACTTGCCGTTGTTCCGAATATGCAAGTGATGAATACTATCGAAGGGCGTCCTGATCTCCAGCAGTCACACGGAACAAGGGGCCACCGTGGCTATCCGAGGTATGTAGTACACATAGTGTCATGTTCAAAACTGCCCATGGCGAAATTCGAAGCCGGTGCGCGGTACACATAGCATCGAAGCATGCAAAGACAAACCTCTAAGAGCAAAGGGAGATGATTAGGTCTGCTCTCAGCATAAGTGGCTCACGACCCCAGGGCATACTTCCACGTGAAACTGATCAAACAGTTCCGACGCAAAGAGGGCCGTCTCGTTTCGTCTGAACATTCACAAGCAAGTGCAACTCGGCCGAGACCCTCGGCTGGTCCGGCTGATGTCAGCAGCAGCAAGGGTCAGCCTTGTGAGCCTTTTGCCCTTGAATCGCGACAGGAGTGGGGGTCCCGATTTCCAGACCCATGTCCTACCGCTGTCTCGAAATGCCTTCAACTGATCGGCCTAGCAGAGCATGCTACACTGGTACGGATGGATATATGCGCGGTGAGGGGCACCGACATCCAACATCTGCCATGTACTTCGAGGATCAATGGTATGGCGCTTCTTGTTTCTTCCGAGGCCTATCAAAGATTGTAAGGGCGTCGATGGAAACTGACAAAGTGAACGGGCTCACTAAACCTATACGCCCGATGCTGTGACTATAGGCATGCTCATGCTTGCTTCTACTTGTACTAGATCAGTCTTTCGCTTGATAGCAGTGCGAAGCTCACAGTAGTTGGAGACCGCGTGGCTCGCGCAGACTGCCACAGCAGCAGCACCTGAGCCGTATGAAGAAGCGATGCAAAAGGGACGTGACAGGTTGAACCCCCACGCAAGGTCCCTGAATCGCGCCCCTGCACGACGAAGCAGGGTGCTAATTACTCCCCTGCCCACGATGGTAATCAGTTTAGCCTTGTAGGGCTCTACGTGGGACGATGAGAGTCCATGGCCATTTCCCACGACCCAAGAACAGCCCAGCGCATCGATTTGCCCGCGACATCCTGGGACAACTTTCTGGTTGCGTAATCTACGCCGTCAGCAGTGGTAGCAAAGGCATATAATCCCAGCTAGCTAGTCATACCCTCCAAGAGAGCGAGACCGATGGCACGTCTGGATTGATCTCTTTCTAGAAAAGGCAAAGGCAGGGAAAAGTCCGCGTTGCCGACGAACATGTACACGAAACAGGCGATCTTTTGTGCGTTGCAACGGCCATGTCGAGCCGGCCGCACGATCAGAACCCCTGCCGTCATTTAAAGTTTGTTCCAGGAAACCCCCCTGCACGAGGGCAGTACCACCAGAACCCATCGAAGCTGCAATCTGGTCGCACCGGGCTGGCGGGAACTGGATGATGGAGCAACCTAAAATCCTGCTGACGTGGGGTGCTTGCGTGCTCGATCCGTTCCCGAGACGGCATTGCATTCCTCGGGAGGAACCTGCAAGGTCCCCGAGGAGAAATCCCCTGCCACTGCTACTCTGAAGATCTGCGGTCGCATTTACTGCGGGGGCAAGATACCTGGCAAAGCTGCACGGTCCTGTAAGTGGTGGCAGCTTTCCATCCTCTCAGCGTTAGGAAGGCCATCATACACGTACATCTCCGGCTATATTTCTCATCTGTATGGGCAGACCGTTGCCAAAGGCTGCTACTGGGAAGACATCAGTCCTCTTCAAAAATGGGATTTTTCGACAGGGCTTCCTTGACACACGCGATTGAGATTGTGTCTGGGACCAGAGCATGACTCGAGATCGTGTGGTGGGGCCCAGCATACATATCCCGGACCAGTCAGTAATGGCAGCGGCTTACTCGCGTTGGGGGGCAGCCCTTGTTCGCTCAGGGGTTTTGCATGCAACCCCAGCCGAAGGGTCCGTCCATGTGCATGCACATCATGATAGAGTGCTCGCAGCGCGTCTTGACTCCTCTGAGGAACTTGACTACCGCCGGGTTGGAGACCACACGCTTCAGGACGCATCGTGGAGACTAGGAGCTCATGAGGACTTAGAGATTGAAGACTCGGTGTGATATTGTGGCATCCAAGAGGGCGTGCTATACCAAAGTTGACTTCAGAAAGGCAAGCTTTCACCATTGTCGTAACCAAGACCGAGGTTCAGATCCGACCAAAGACAAGCCAAGTCATTGGCAACACCAAAAGAGTGGCATGGATATTAATCTTGAGATTTTCGCCCTTGTTCTATAGAATGTTCTTTTTTCGTCAAGTCATATCAAAGCGCCTGCTTTCCCAGCGGCCCAGAGTGAACGACCCGGGCTCCAACACCCTCCTCCTCCTCCGCGCTGCTTGCGAATGATGCCGCCGAGTCCCCGGCCCTTTCTGATCCTCTTCCTCCTCTTCCGCCTCCGGGTCCTTCTCCCATCACCATCGCGCCCGCCGCCGGCCGCCTCGTGGGCTGCAGCTCGAACCTGTCATCGTCGGACGAGTCGATGCGCTCCAGACCGCTGCCGCCGCCCCCGACGCTGACACTGCCAAACGAGCTGTCAAACATGGACGACGACGAGTTTTGGCCGGCGTGTTTCGACGAGTAGGATGACGAGAGCTTCCGGGGCTTCCACGTGCTGCTGACGCTGGCGATGCTGCTGTGCGACGTGGGCTTCTTGCTGTCGAGGTATTCGCTGCTGGGGGTGATGGCACCGCCGGGCCCCCGCGGCGGCTGGTGGTGGTAGTCGTCCGAAGACTGACCCCCTGACCTTCCTTGTTGGTAGTGATCGCCGCCACCGCCCCGGCCGGGCTGGGAGCTTCCGGGTGTCTTTTGGTCCGCGTAGCGGCTCTGCTTGCTGGCGATGGACTTGAAGATGCGGGGCCAGAGCCTGATGAGGATGAGCCGTACTGTTTTGGGTTTCCAATTGGTTAGTCGAGTGGACAGATGTACATGGTGAAGAGTGGGCGTTTGACGCGGACATAACAACAACAGCAGGGAGAGACGGAGCAGAGAGGATGGGGGATGAAAGGGAGTGGAAACTCACGAGAGGGCATGCAGGCGCAGATGGCGCCTGTGCCGATCTCGACTGTGGACCAGATGAGGGCGGCAGTGTAGTCATAGGTGATGTTGTTGCTGTTCTGGAAGCGGATCAGGTAGACGAGGCGGATGATGGACACGACGGTGACGAACGTGCCGACAAAGAACATGGCGCTGATGGCAATCTTCTTCTTCAGGCTCGTGTTGAGCTCGCGGACCTTGTACAGCGGCAGCAGCAGCATCCAGACGTCGAGGACGATGCTGATGACGGCGTTGGACCGCGCGACGGCAATGTTGTCGATGCACCGGCCCTGCTTCGGCCCTGTGCCCGGGCGGCCGCCCGGGTCGTTCCACTGTGTCCAGTTGAAGCTGACGGGCTGGCACTGGAGGATGTGGGCAAGGAGGAAGGCGAGCGCGTACAGGGAGACGACGGCGATGGTGGCCCAGGTGACGCGGCGGAAGCCCTGGCTGGGGAAGATGCGGAGGTAGAAGAGCAGGATGGAGATCTTGAGCAGGGAGATGAGGACGTAGTAGAAGAGCGTGATGAGCCATAGTGCGATGCCAAAGTTGGTAATGTCGGAAGGCGTCAGGGCCCAGACATCCCGCCCGATGCCGTACTCGGCGAGCTTTGCGTTGAGCACGGTACTGGGGACGCAGAAGATGGCGACGACGATCATGACCCAGTCGTCTGCTCCAAGCCCCAGCGAGGTGAGGAACCGCTTGTAGACGATCCGCACGCCGACAAAGACATAGACGAGGACGGTCAGGGTCTGTGATATAATGCTGTACTGGGCCACCACGTTCCGGACGGGCACACCGCAGGCGTTATTCGTGACATTCTGGACAACTGTTTTCGACTTGTGTCAGTGGCAGGATGGACCAGGAGCGGGCACATCCAAAAAGCGACTTACTCAGGGCATCCTCAACAATGCAGCTGTCCAGGACACATCCCTCCACGCTCTTGCTGAAGACAGGATCGGTACACAGACACGTGGTGTTGAGCGGTCCGCATGGCGAGAGAACGGCGTTCTTGACAAAGCACGGGACGGCGCAAGGTGTCCCAGGTGGCAGCTGGGCGAGAGTGATGCCGACGAACGAGCACAGAAGGACGACGGCGGCAGCGAGACGCATCGTGGCCGTTCCAGCGCCAGCAGCGAGGAGGAGACGATCGAAGCAATGCCGGTAATTGAAAAAGCTCACATCAAGGCGTCGACACCAGGCCAGCAGCGACCCGAGTGCAAGCGCGAGTGCTCACGCCTTAAAGCGTCCTGCCTCCCAGGCTCGCGAGTCATTCGAGGCTTTGCAACTCCCGGTTAGCGTTGCGGGCCTGGCCGCGTGGTGGAGTCAACCACGACGCCGGGCTGACGGTGCCAGGCCATCCCATAGCTAGGACCCCTCCCGAAGCACGCTATGTTCTGACGACCTATTATCCGTTCCGAGACTAGCTTGACACCGTCTCGGAGGAGCTAGAGGTCGTGCGAGTCCGTGAGCCGTCGCATCAGTCCCGTAGTAAGTAGCACGCTCCCTCGGAAATTATCTCACATGGCCAATAGCGTCGGGCCTTTTGTGCAAGATCGGACAATATCCGCCTCGCTTTTCATTTAGGGATGAGGACTGCTGGACTCACCCGCACCCTGCACTCTGCCAGAAACTTGCCGCGCGAGTCACTATAGCGGCTTCTAGCGCACCGCCGATCATTCAGCCGCGCTTGCAATCATACAGATCGTCCGACTCGAGGCTCCTATTGTCCTAGGCATTATGACCAAAACGATCTGCGGAAATTTGCTGCACAGGCTGGGCCCCGGACTGGCATCGGACAGTCAACCCCCACCTTTGCTCGTGGGCCCTTGTGTTGATCAAAACTTATCCGCCGTGCCGGGACGCAGAATGTTTGGGCAATCGTGCAGTCAGTCACCTTGAGCACAAATGGAGTGGGGTGGCTGGCAGTCAGCCTTCCCTGGCTATCGAGCACTGACCTCCACGAATGTGGAGGCCCAGTCGAGTGGCTCGCGTCTTCTTGCGCATGTGCCTATGCGGAGCTAGCCTACAGTTGCCCAGGGGGGGCTTTCCCTCCCGCACGGCTACCACCCACACGATGTGATGCCAAGGTGCTCACGGCATTTGCCGCCACCATCACCAGAAACTGGAACGAATGGTCCTGGCCGTTGGCGGCCGTGCACCAAAACCGTGCCGTGTCGCCCTTGAGCGGCGTGTTTGGCCACGGCGTTGGCGTGCCGTCCCCCACCCCCTGGGTCACTAGAAGAAAGGTCATTCTTCGATGCCAGCGGGGCTGAGGCTTGGTGAGCTGACGGCCCGGGACTTGTGGACAGGCTGCACACACGGCAAGATGAGGGCTTCCAGCAGCACACTTCTGTGCTGGGCATGTCGGCGGTGTGTGGTCCACGGCGCAACTCTGCCAAACTCGAGTCTGTACTTGTGTGTATGCCAGACCCCCACGCCTAGAGGCATGCAGCGTGCCCCCCTGACACGCGTTTAAGTCAGGTCATAGACATTTGCCTGACTCAAGCATATGCCGCCGTAGTGCTACCTGGCCAGCCACCTGCGTAAAACAAAGTCAGCGTATCGCATTGGGGCTTGATTCTATAACGCCTACTACTTTAGCTGCAGGACAGCTCGAGGGGTAAGATAGCGATTTACGTGGCTGTCTATGATGGTGTCCAGGTGTGGTGGAAGCAGCTGCGCAAGGGCTCACCCAAGGTCCTGATTTGACGTGCATTGGTGAGGTTCCAAATCCTCCAAGCCATTTGAGACGAGGACTAGGACAAGATCGGAACATCAGCGCCCAACTTCGCGAAACAAGAGGAGTTACCGTCCACGGAAGTTATGAGATTGCTTGGCTCAGGCTGCTATTTTGAGAGAGCTGGCGAGCAGGTATACCATGTCGACCACGGATTGTGGATACTCGTAGGATTCAGACCGGAGATCCGGGCATGGTCTGCATGGGCTAGATCGCTGACGAATGGGTGGGGGGTTGCGGGGAGCTAGAACGGGAGAAAGCGTGGGGAAACAACCATGGACGACTAGAGGATTACATCTTTAGAAGCCGGCATGCTTAGCAAAGGAAGCGTGGCATCCAAGCCACTAGGTGGGCCGAGGGTTCAGGGCGGACAGACTCTTAGTGTTTTAACACATGCTGTTCGGCCGCTACCCCACGCTGCTAGCGGCACAGCAAGCCCGGCGCCCTGAGCAGGCACTAGTAGCATACTGTGAGATGCGGCGTCGCTCGAGAGGCAGAGCGTTCTGCGGGTCGTGGTGGCTCAGTATTCCAGCTTTTATGGCAGAGCGCTCATGAGGAAACCCACGAGAATGAGAAAGGTGCCTTACTAATCCACTGATTGCTTTATGAGTTGCTTATGATGGACTGCACTATATTATGAGGAGTGATCAACTCGCCACAAAGCGTCATGTCAAAGGCTGCGACAGGATAAATGAGAGACTTGACATTATAACTCAGCGAGCCTTGTCATAAGTGACCAGAGAGGACCTAGGGCGAAACTCGTAGCAGCGAGCATCGCCAGATCGGCCCGGAGGAAAGTTCAAGTCTCCAACTTGCTATTGTTCAGCGGTACATCAAGGGCCCATTAGCAGCAACAATGCAACGAGATACAACACGAGTCCTCAATACCCACGCGGTATTAATAAGTTCGGGGAATCATTCTACCTTACTTCGTGAGAGGCAGCCACCTGGTCATTATGCCTGGTATGCCGGTGAGAAACAATAACGCACTAAAAGCCGCTTCTCAATTGTTCCTCAGGCCACCAGGCGGGAACGAGCGCGTATAAACGCAGGACGCTCTTTGTCAAGGTCCTTTTCCCGCAACCCGTCCTCTCCGTCTGTGATCTCATAACGAACGTCAACGTCTTTGTCAATCCTTCGTCTCTACCACTTCTCCGACAGCAACAAACCACGACAGCCACCACATCCAAGCCGCGATGGTCACCCACCAAGACATGCTCAAGGAGCTGGCACGTACCCACCCAGAGCCTGACTACATCGCTCTTGTGGTTCAGATCGAGCACAGCGTCCAGAAGGATCCCTTCAACACAGCCGAGGTCAGTCCGTCTCCATCTCCCACTGCCCTTTCCGCAAGACTGACACCAGCCGCCCACAAAATCCTCACAGCGAATCGAGATTGCCAAGAGGGTCCTCTGCGATCCTGGCTCCAAGCGACACGCGCTCTACCTCGCTTACACGATCCTCGTCGACAAGACGACTCAACCTGCCGCCGACAGAGCCGCTCACGCCGAAGCCGCACTGCGTATATTCACCCGTGCGCGAGACGGCCTTCCCGACCCGAGCGCGGATCGTGAGCAGATGGACAGGATGCTACAGCTGGTGGAGAAGGACAAGTGGGAGGCAGAGACCGAGGTGATGGGCGAGGCCGATGTAGACAAGTTGGAGGCCAAGTGATAGCGCGACTGTGCTGGTTCGAGATGGGTGCTTAGGGATATCGGGCGAGCTCATTCGTTGTACGCGGCATCTTCCGCACAACACATTGCCAAGGTCTGCAGGGCTAGGGTCTGTGCCCTGAGGAAGACGGCACGATGAGCCACGTTCGCAGCTGGCTGCTGCGAGGTTGGAGCCACTGAGAAGCCCGCGGGAGCTTGCAGACGGGAGCAGAGCAGCTTATCAGTCTTGACACCTTAATACAAAGCTGGACGCAGCCACTATCAAGCCTGCCTTCAAGGAGATAAGCACACTCATTGCCGAAAGTTGCCATGGGCCCTGGCAAATTTATAGTTGACTCCAGAGACAGACTGCGCCAATCTTTGGGGGCGGTATAGGGGTCAAAACTTTATTAGTGAAGAAACTTAACGAGATGGAAGGTTTAAAGCGAGCCGGCCGGGTTCTCATCACGGCAGATCGCTCTATTGTTTCTGCTGTGCCGGGCAAAACTAGTGATAACAGTGCAGCCGGGCGAGCACATAGTGTGATATCAGCTGCCGTCAAACGCCTCATAATACAGTACCTTGCGAGCATGGACGACAGGCGCGCTCTCCTGTCCTGCTGCATCGCCGTGTACTCTTTATTCCACCCGTGTGTCTTCTCCCTTTTTCACACAACTGAACACACGCATATTCATCCGTGCCACATCTCAGATATCCAAGTATCAATATAGCCTTTCCTTTCACAGCTAAAGAAACCCAGTCACGATGCCTTCACGAGCCCAGTCACATCTTGAGCCCGGCCAAGCAAGGTTCGCGGCTCTCCAAGCTGAGGTGCAGCGTACCGTTCTCGCCGAGGGCAACAACATCAAGGTGCGTGCTGAAGTCGCCAGAGGGGTTCCCTTTTCTTTTTTCCCCATTTCGTCAAAAGAGCACGCACGCACGCACGCACGCATCCAACATCTCGCCAACGCTGCCCGATACCAGGTCAAAGAACTCTTGCTCCGCGCACTCGCCGACCCGGAGTGCATTCCAGCCTCGCGCATGACGGCGCACATGATGCTGAGCTGGAACACTGCGGTTCGTGCCACCGACAGAGTCTACCACGCCAGCCAGACGATCCGCCTCTGCACCGACAAGCTGGGCCAACACGATTTGGAGAGCAGCAGTCGTGAATCCTCCTACCACCTGATCCGTGTGTCGAACGAGATCCTCCGCAAGGCCCGGGAAGACGTTGAGCGCGAGTGTCCGGCAAGAAAGTCGGGGGACAAGAAGTGATGGTAGATGCAAGGAGGAGATGTGTTCCGAGGCTTCTACACACCGGCAGCATCTGTGATAGTGGAGATGACGGATTGACTTGAGTACAAAGTAGCGGCCATGGACACGGGTACCTTGGCTAATGACTGCTCCAAGTGTGTAGATCGTGGCCATCCATGGAAATATCTTCGAGACACCAATCATAGGGTGGTAATGAACCGGAGAACTTCCTTTTCTACAGCGGATTGCTATTTCTACACAATGCATAAAGATGAAATGTTGTTAGACTGCCGCCGCCGCCGCCTTTCCTCCGAATGCCCACTGCCTACACCAGGCACGCATGAGCTCCGGCGTCACAGGACCAGCATCCCGAATGCTCTCGCTTCTCGCCTGTGTCTTGGTCATGTCCAAGACAATCTGCCCCTGGCCATCGCCGTCCCTCAACATGCCCCGGTATGTATCGATCAGCTTGATCCCCGGATTGGCCGCCAGCCTCCGTCCCACCTCTGCCTCGTCTGTCAACTGGTCCAGCTCCTTCTGGCTCTGCTCGAGCAGGCCAACCCACTCCGCGATATCGACAATCTTCGGAATGCCGTAGTACGCCTGCACCGCCTGCACGAGCCCACCGTTCCAGTTCGTTGCCTGCGGGTTAGAGCCGTGGTAGTAGCCGCCGAGCTCGTCCACAGCTTCACCCTCCTGGGATCCAACGCCGGCGATATCCGTGACAAGCCCGGCAATCCGGTCCACGGGCGTCCAGTCCACCCTGTCCACGGCCCCGAGAGTCCGCGGCAGAGCACCCATGGCCAGGCTGCTGGCGACCAGCGAGGGCAGCCACTCATGCCGGTTCCACACCACAACGCCTCCGTCGTCGTGACTCGTCGGCCCCTCCTGGACCACTGCCCGCTCAGAGCCGGCGACCTGGCCGACTCGGATACTTGCACCGATAAACCCGCCCTTCTGGGCGGCCGCATCCAGGATCAAGCTGGCCAGCATCTTGCCCTGCCCGTATCCGCCACCAGGCAGCGCGGCGCGGAAGTCGACCAGTCTCGTCTCCGGCACGACCACGACTGCTTTTCTGCCGCTGCTGCTGCTGCTGCTGCTGCTGTGTTCTTTGCCCGTAGAGGCACTGCTGCCGGCCTTGTCCAGGGTGCTGGGATAACCCTGGACGGTTCCGATGGAGCTGACAAACACCACGACGACCTTCTTGTCCGCGGCGGTCGCGAGGCCCGCAATGTTGCGCACGCCCTGGAGGTTCGGGGCGAACGAGGACAGGGGGATGTTGAAGTTGACCGGCCACGCGTTGTGGATGATGCGGTCCGTCTCGCGGAGGAGGCGGGCATATGTCTCGTCCGGGAGGCCGAGCTGAGGAAGCGCCGTGTCGACGTGGAGGAACTCGACTCTGGGGCCTTGGCCCTCGCCGCTCGATGGGAACGGAGCCGATGGGGCCGAAGGGGGAGAATGGTCGATGGCGCTGCTTTTGTGGTTCTTGTCGTGGTGGGTGGGATGCTTGCGCAGGTGGAGAGACTCGGCAATATCCTCTACGAAATCCAGAAATTTGCTGTCCCGGCGCTGTGCGGCCTGTGTTGTTGCCGCTGGCGTTTCTTGGTGTTGTTGTTCTCGAGTGTGCTGATTTCCCTGTCGAGATACAGCCGAGAACTTGCTCTTCCCGCCATCGGCCGCACGGTTGAGGCAGATGACCTTGCCGACCCGCGGGTTTGCGAGGAGCGTCTCGAGGATAACGCCACCCAGCGTGCCCGTCGAGCCTGTCAGGAGGATGGTCTGGTTATCCGTGGCCGGGCTCTTCTTGTGCTGGTTCGAGGGCTCGGGCAGATCAGCTGTATACTTTGCCAGGAGATCCTCCATCGCCTTGAGCGTGGCCTCCGCATCCCGACCCGATTCATGGACATCGCTGCTGCCGGTCTCAGCACCAGCGACTGATCCTTTTGCCACGAACGAGCGGAGGATGTACTGTGCCAACATGCGCGGCGTCGGGTTGGCATACACGGCACGCGGGTTGAGCGCGTCCTTGCCAGCGGCCTCTTCTTGATACCCAGCCGCCGCGAGACCAGCACGCAGCTGTCTCGACACGGTGACGACCATCAGCGAGTCCACGCCGACCGTGAACAGGTCCGTGTCAGGCTCCAGGACCTCATCGGGCACAACCTTGCCAAACAGCTCCACGACCGACCCAGTCAGCGCATCTTCCGAGCTGACGTCGAGTCTCGGCGCATCGCCACGACCGCCTGCACCATCAGCAGCATCATCAGCAGTAGCAGCAGCAGCCTGCCCCTGGACATCCTCGGCGCGGCGGTACATCTCGTCAATCTCGTCGGCGTACAGCTTGACCGTCGCCGCGCGCTGGATGGTTCCTTTACCCGCCCGCATAAACGGCTTGCCGGGCGTGCTGAAAATGACCATGTCCCGCGACGCAATGCGGCCGTGCTTGACCGTGCCTTCATTGGCGCGCTCCACGACCGGCCAGATCTCATCGAGCAACTCCTTCCTCTTCTTCTCTTTCTCCTGATCGCCTCTACTACTTCCTTCTTCCAGGTTGTGCGTCGGCTCGATCAGCAGCCCGGCCTGGAACCTGCCCGCGCCGACGACCACCGCGCCCGCGACGGCCGGATGCGCCGACAGGATGTCCTCGATGGTGATCGGGTTGAGCTTCTCGCCGTTGGAGAAGACGATGATGTCGTCCCCGCGCCCCACGTGGCGCCAGTGGTGCGGCAGCGTCGGGTGCCGCTCAAACAGGTCCTTGGTGTCGTACTCGTCCGCGTCCGGGAACGTGTAGAACCAGCCCTGGTAGCCCGGGTCTGCTGCTGCTGCTGCGCGGGCGTCTGGGCTGCTGCTGTAGCTGCTGCTGACGCTGTCGTGTTTACTGTTGGGCGTGCTGCTGGTGGTGGTGCTACCGCTCGTTTGGCCAGGAGAGGAGGAGCTGGCGCTCTGGCTGCTGCGGCCGCGGCGGCGGCGAATGACCATCCGGCACACCTCTGGAGCCTTGGTGTCCTCCTTGGTGTCATTTTGCCCCTCGGCGGTGCTGACGGGCTGCCACGCGATACCCATCGCCTCCTCGTTGAAGATGTAGTACTGCCACAGCTGCGGGTTGTGCTGGTAATACATTGTGTAAGGAGCGCACCTGGGCCACATTGTAATGAGAACGCTACCGTTAGCCATGTTTTTCCCAACTGGGTCGCGCTGCGGTGTGCGCGCGCGATTATGCTTCTTGGTCGCTGGTAGCCAAAGCTGCTGGCGGAGAGAAATAACTCACTCTGTGGCCGCAATCAGGTTCAGAAGCCGGACTCCCCGGCTCACGAGCTTGTTCCCGGCGGTAGATGACAGCGGGCCTACATTGTGTGCGTGCGAATGGAGGTCAGTCAGTTTGTTCTTGGCATTCGCCACGACGATGACGACGACGGACGGTCCCTCTCGCGGGCAAAAAGGAGATACGACTAAGGAAAAGACTCACCTCCACCGAACAAGACATGCTTCATGCGCCGCAGCAGGCTGATTTGCTCCTCGTCCTGCGCCATCAACTCCAGGATCGCAGGTGGCAGGATCAGCGCGTCCGCGTGCGAGTGCTCCGCGCAGGCGGCCGCCAGGTCAGGAGTGAGCATGCGGTCGGGGATGCCCACGGTGTAAGGAATGTCCCAGTAGATGGTGGCCATGACCCAGAAGAAGAGTCCGGCGGCGTGGAACATTGGCACTAAGACGTGTGTAAGTAGAAAGGCGTCCAATGTCAGATTCATCGTCATTCAAGAGTCATATTGCGCCAGAATAGGGGCAAGTGACAGGTATAGAGGGCGTGCTGCGGGACGATCAAGAAATATCTAGGGAGAGACTTACTCGGGCTCAATACCCCCGTTTTGATATTTTCTGCCATGACTCTGAGGAACAGGTCCGAGCCCATAAACTTGGGAACGTCGTGCAGCTGATCTGAAATTGCCAGCATGCCATGCGGCACGATCACGGGCTTTGGTATCCCAGCTGTTTCACCAATGCGACGATTGTCGCCCGAGTCAGCCAGTTGCTCACTTTGAGCCTTCCCCCTTCCTCTCATGTACGGGCAACTACGAGCGTTGACTAAGTTCCCGTGGCGATTTTGCCGGCCCTCTAATCAGTCTTGCAGAAGGGAAGGGAAGACTTACTGCTCCCGCTGGTGTGCAATACCACCAAGGGCTCCCGCTTTGCCTCCTCGTACGTCTTGGTGAAGGGCACGTGCGGCGCCTCTTGCTCGGGGAACCACTGCGCCAGGGGAGGGACTTCGATACATCGCATCGACGGTCGGCCGTCGAGGCAGGGCTGGATGAGCTTGCGCGTCGGCCCGGCGGCTACCAGCAGCGTGTCACATTGTGTGGCCTCGAACAGGCTGAGCTGGCCCTCGATGGTGTTGCGCGGTGACACGAAGAAGGCCTGTCCACACAGTTGTCAGCTGCGGGAGCTCCACGAATTGCTCCATGGAGGGAAAGAAGATCGGACGACGCTATCAGGGACAAAAGAATTAAAGCCTCACCTTGTAGCCTGCCTTGACCGCGGCTACCGTCAAGATGAAATACCGCGAGTCGTTGGGCCCGATGTAAGCGACCGTCGGCACCTCGCCCGGACTTGAAGGAGCGCCGAGGGTCTCCTTGAGCCAGAGTGCTCTGTGATTTACCGCGTTGGCGAACTGCTTCCACGTGATGGCCTCCCAGCCGTCTTTCGGGTCCGACGACCGCGGGACGCGGTACATTGTCCCCTGCGGCATGGACGCGGCACGGTCATCGACGACATGGGGGATCAGTCTGGGGCTGGTGGTGTTGTATGGGACCAAGGCCCCTGGGAGCTCGAGGTCTGCCGTCATTATGGATGGCTATGTGCGGAATTCTTGGTCGGGGGTTGCTAACGAATTTGGATGATACTTGGGAATTTGATATGCTTGCTTGTGTTGAAAAGAAAAGTAGTCATGAACTGGAGGAAGCTACATGGGAGTAAACTGGATCATGACCAGTGTAAGACAAAGCGTCTTATAAGGGGTCCGCGGTGAGTGAGTTATTCGCAACTCCGAGGTCCCAAAGGACAGACGGACTCGGCACACCACAGGCACAAGGCGATCTGCATGCGCTAGGTCTGCAGTGAGAACGCCTAGTGGCACGCCACAGATGCGGGATGACCGCCTCGAAGGAGCTCCCGGGCTTTACGGGACGCGCTTGTCGCGAGGCCCCCTGTGACCCGTGGGATCTTTTGGCAGAACAAAGAGGTGGCTACATAGTAGCTGAAAGAGGAGACGTGCGTCAACGAGGCGTATTGCGCGAGAGGAGGTGAACCAGGCGGAATGTGCCGTGATCACAAATCACCCGTCACACGGGCCCTCGCCCGCCGCCGTGCACACAGCATGGCTTTCTTTGGCAAGTGTACGTCGCGGCCCGAGATATGTGCTGTGTACTTAGTATAGTCACATTGCTGACCACCCATAAACCCTGTTCGACCACTGTATGGGGTGCTAGGTTCCCCGACATCAACTCTCGGCAGTCACCAACCATGCATGCCACGATCTGGCAAGGCGGGCCTGGCTGGGCAGGGGTAGGTCACACTCGCGGGTACAACTGCGAAAGCTTGGCCTCGCTAGCTCGCGGGAGGGCTGACCAAGGGCTGACAGCTTGCGTCACGGTACGCGACGATGGCCATCCCCCACTTGAGGATCGCTTAAGGTTACGCTTAAGTAAACGTACTATAGCGAAGAACCATGCCGCCAAGGGTCACTGTGGACTCAGGCTGCCGAGACGGATAACTTGATCTCGGAATAGAATAGAACACGTGCCATCGGCAGGATATTGTGATCAGGAGCCGCCGCGTTGCTGTGTCAGACATCGCAACACCGGGCACCAGACCTCCAAAACACCGAGAACGCGGAACGGGCGGAACGGCTCTCCGTGAATGACGTAAGCACCACTGGTCTGTGACAGGATCGGCACTAGAGCACGATGCCATCACCAGGTAACCTTCTGGCTTAGTCACAACCACCCACTCACCCCCCTCCTCTCGTCTCTCGGCACTCGCGTGTGCTGTCACCCACTGCCACCCCCCCAGAATCCGTTCACACCGGCATGCTCCTCGTCTCAATGTCCCCACGATGATCCCCGACGAGCGTGAGCCGCTGCTCCCCAGCCAGCCACATGCCAATGGCTCTCCGGCACATGCCCACGACTTTGTGATTCGCGCTCGCCTCGAGCAGCACCTCTCGCTCTTCCACGAGGCCATTGCCACACTGTCCACCACCCCAGACCACCGCAGCGATGAGCCCAGCAGTAGCAAAGGGGCCAGCCTGTGGTCCCAGCCCCGGACGCTGTACCTCGCCGTCACCGCGACCGCCCTGGGTGCCATCGGCCAGGGTTGGGCCCAGACCAGCATGAACGGCGCCAACCTCACCTTCCCGGCCGCCCTGGGCCTCGACTCCTCCTCCTCCTCCGGCAGCAGTAACAGCACCCACGACAGCCTCGTCATCGGCCTCATCAACAGCGCCATATACCTCAGCAACGGCATCCTCGGCGCCTGGCTCGCCACGCCCCTGAACCACCGGCTGGGGCGCAACGCGGCCGTCTTCTGCGCAGCGGGCGTCTCCCTGCTGTCGAACCTCGCCGCGGCCGCCGCGCCGACCTGGCAGGTCCTGCTGGCTGCGCGGCTGGTGCTGGGGTGCGCGCTGGGCGTCATCTCGACGACGCTCAACATCTACACGGCCGAGTGCGCGCCCGCGGGGATCCGAGGGGGCCTGGGCGTCTCGTGGCAGCTGAGCTGTGCGTTTGGCATCTTCCTGGGGTTTGTGGCTAATGTTGCTCTGTATGGGGTACGTAAGCTGGAGGGCTTCCCTCAAGGTGAAGATTAGAAAATGCTGGCGACTGACTGACTGACTGACTGACTGACTCTCTGCTGGCTCAGGTTGGACCCGTGTCATGGCGGCTGCAGCTCGCAGCCTCGGGGTTGCCCATGATCCCCCTGCTGCCCTTGATCCTGTGGGTGCCGCAGTCACCGGCCTGGCTTGTCAAGAACGACGAGGGGCGGTATGACCGCGCCTTTAACGCGCTGCGGCGGCTGAGAAGGACGGACCTCGAGGCTGCGAGGGAGCTGTTTCTCGCGTACCAGGCACAACAGCAACACAACAACAAACAGCTCAATCCAGAGGCGATAACAAGGGCAACAACAGCAACAACAACAGCGCAGACACAAACTGGAACACAAGCAAAAAGGCCCGCCTCTACCGCTGCGAGGCTCATCGAGCTCGTGACCGTCCCGCGCATCCGGCACGCCACGCTGGCCGCGCACACGGTCATGATCGGCCAGCAGCTCTGCGGGATCAACATCATCAGCTTCTACAGCACGTCCATCTTCACATCCGCGTCGTTCACCCCGCTCGCGGCCCTGCTCGCGTCGTGCGTCTTCGGCCTGCTCAACTTCCTGTTCGCGTTCCCGGCCGTGTGGACCATGGACTCGTTCGGCCGGCGGAGCCTGCTGCTGTGCACACTGCCCATGATGGGTTTGTGTATGCTGTTCGCAGGGGTGTCGTTTAGTCTCCCGCCCGGGAACGCCGGTGGCGGTGGTGGTCATCATGTGGATGGCAGCGTGATGGCGTCAATGACAACGACAGCGGCCGTATCGGCACGGTTCGTGCTGCTGGCGAGCATGGTGTACCTGTTCTGCATCGCGTACTCGCCGGGCATGGGCCCCGTGCCGGCGGCGTACTCGGCCGAGGTGTTCCCGCTGTCGCACCGGGACATTGGCATGAGCAGTGCCGTGTCGGCGACGAACGTGTGGGCGGCGGCGCTGTCGGCGAGCTTCCCCTGGCTGGTGGGCGTGGCGGGCGAGGGGAAGGTGTTTGGCCTGTACGCGGTGCTCAACGTCGTGGCGTGGGTGCTCGTGTGGGCGTTTGTGCGGGAGACGAGGCGGAAGACGCTCGAGGAGCTGGACGAGGTGTTTGAGCCGAGCGTGGGAGAGTTTGTGAGGGCAGAGACCAGGAGGATTGTCGATGCGGTCAAGATGATGCTTGGCCGGGCCAGGACTAGATAGATGGAAGAGATCACTTGAATGTGCCACCACGATCGATATGCTCGTCGAGTAATTGTGACTGCCGCTGCCTCAGGCTGCCAAAGCGGCAGAGCGTCGCCGATCTGCGCCAGGGTCCCCTCCTCCCCCACCCCTTCTCAACGGACTCGCCTCATTGGCAGCTGCCCCTCATGACGTGCCTGTCCCCGCAGCGCCCCCACACAAGCTGTTGAGACCCCTGGAAGAAGCTGAGCTCTCTCTGTCTGTGTGTGTGTGTGCCTGGCTGCCTCACGAATGTGCCTGACTTGGTCCTGTCCTCGAATCCTTCTCTTTGCCCCTCCGTCTGTACCTCTCACAGCTTCCCATCACCAGTCCACCCAACTCTACACCACAGACATCAACACCATCACGATGCCCCTCCCCAGCGCCCTCGCCGACCACATTGACCGCTACGTCGACTCGCTCTACCCAGACATCCACCCCCGCATCGTCTCCGAGCTCGACGCCTTCCAGCAAAAGACCATCGACTCCCTCGAGGACCAGGTCGTCGACGCCTTCCGCTCCCTCTTCAATCGTGACTCCAACAGCAATGCCCGCCAGCTCGACCCCAACCCGCCGGACGCCTACGGCGGTCAGTCTCTCCCCTTTGCCGACGAGATCGCCGCCCTGACCCGCGGGTTCAGCCAGGTCGCGGCCGAGGCGGGGGACGATCTGGGGGATATCTTCAACCTCACTGAGGGCGGCGGCGGTGGCAATAATAATAACAACAGCAACAGCCGTGCCCGCGGCTTCGGCGACTTCACCTCTGGCGGCGGGGCAGGCGGGTTCCTCTCTGCCGCCGTCAATGCCGTGCAGGACCACCTCGACAACCGCTCCGGTGGTGGTGGTGGCGGGGGTCTGCAACTCGACGGCCTGCTGGGCGTGCTGAGCGACACGGTCAAGGACACGGCGCGGCACCCGGAGGAGAAGGCCCGGCTGATCAGCCCGGAGATCAAGGAGCACGTGGGCAACAAGCTGCGCGAGCAGCACGCGCCCATCGCGGAGCAGTTCACGCGGCTCGCGCTCGAGCACATCAAGCGCTGGCTACGGGGCAACACGAGCGCCGGGGACGTCGGCGACGGGGTGCGCGGGGAGATCCACGAGCAGGTGCAGGACCTGGTCAAGGGGCTGGGCGGGCTGTTCAAGGGCGGGAGGGATCGCGGTGGTGATGGCGAGCGGTCGAGGGGTTTTAATGAGGGCGATGGTGGTGACAGTGGCAGTGGAGGAGGAGGCGGTGGCTTCTCGGCCGTCATCAGCGACAAGCTGAGCACTGGCCTTGCGCGCGTGCACAGGGAGGTCCGGCTCGAGTTCCGCACTATCCTCGGCGCCATTGAGAAGCAGCTGTTTGAGCTGCTGCCAGACCAGATCCAGGGCCCGCTCGAGAGGATCCTGGGCGGCAACCCGTTCGACTCGGAGCTCGACAGGAACGCCGGCCGTGCAGGGGGAGGAGGAGATCGGGAGCGCGGAGGCGGGGACTTTGTCGACGACGTCAAGGCCAAGCTGGTCGACCGGATCCGGGGCTTCGTGCGCAAGGTCCAAGAGCTGCTGCGCGAGAACATCCTGGGCGTGGTGAATGGCGGGCACCGCAGGTTCGAGCGCGAGAGCTGGCTGTTTGTGCAGAACATGGTCGAGATGAAGGTGCAAAAGTACCTGCCCGAGGTGCGGATCAACGTGCCCGACGACATTGGCAACGAGGGCGTCCGGGTCGATCCGCCGTCGGAGCGGTCGCAGCGGCCAGGCGGATACTGATGAGGTCTGGAATGAGGATGGCCAGCGATATCTGTCATGGGAAGCGCACAGAAAGCAGCACGCAAGCATTGACAGCACGCACTAGCCCGATGCAAAGGGACGATGAGACTACTTCAACAAAGACGAAATCGTACCCGCGTACCAATAGGACCTCTGCGGGTGAAATAATTTGTTGGATCTTTGATTTACTGCTCTTCTAAGCATTTTTAACCTTTACAACGACGAGATGTCAACCTTGCTCCACCAGAACTCACACTCATCCCGGCTGCGATCCTCTTCCAGCTCGGCTGGGTGGCCACCATCCACTGCCCCTCCCACCAGCTCCTTGTTCTTCTCGCCAAACTTCATCAACATCGGCTTGTCCCGCGTATACGTCTCCCACACGGGTCTGCTCCGGACCGCCTCCACCACGGACCCGTCCACCTGGCTGCCCTCCTTGACCGTGCGGATCACGTTCGGGTCGCCCGCGTGGCAGATGAAGCTCGTCACGTAGGCGTGCAGCACGGCCGAGATGGCGTCCTGGGAGGGCGACACGCCCCTGCGCTTCGGGTCGCGCGCCTCGAAGGCCATGTTGTCGCCGTGCTTGGCGCCGCCAATCACGTCCGACTCGAGCGCCCAGTGGTACACATACACGGGCGGCACCACAGTCCCCTGTCCTGGCACTTGTTCCTGGTCCGGGTTGGTCGCCAGGTACGCCGTGTGCTTGGCGGGCGTGATGTACGCGTACTGCGCGTATGCGGCCTCGATGCGCTTGAACTGCTCGCCAATCTCGCCGCTCTCGACACACCCGCGCCGCCTCTCGGCGTACTTGTCTTGTCCCGGTTGCCCCGTCTCGGCCAACGGGTCCGGGTACAGCGCCTTGATCTTGGGGATGTCCTCGTCGTCGGTGAGCTGGGGCAGCAGCGTCTTCCAGAACGACACAAACTCGGCGTCCGTGCCCATCTTGCGGTTCACGTAGATGGCCCCCTCGTTGGTCGTGTGGCCCGTCATGATGGGAATACCGCGGTGCCACAAGCCCTGGCGCCACGTGTCCATCGGGGCGCGCCGGATGATCTCGCCGTCGATGACGGGCTGGAAGGCCCACCGCAGAGAAGGGTTGTAGGCCCCAAACACCTGCGTCTGGGCCGCGGCGATGGTGGTCACGGGTAAAGAGCGCAGGTACGGGAAGATCTCGGGCTCGGGCGTGCCGGCCGGCAGCGACACGGCGGCGAGGAAGTCGGCAAACTGCTTCTCATGGATCGTGCTGTCGTAGTGTCGCACCGCGCGCGAGGTCGGGCTGCCGGACTCGATGATGACTCGGTGGAACAGGGGTTTCTTGCCGGGCTCGTAGTCGAGAAGGTGGTGGCCGATCTGCGTCAAAGTCCCCGTTGTTAGCCTTTTTTTCTTGAGAGCAGTATGTTCCACGGCACAAAGCAAATCATGCATGTAATGAAGGTAAAACAAAACTCACCGAGTGTGCACCCGCCGACAGCCCAAACAACGTGACCGAGTCCATGTCGCCGCCAAAGTGGTGGATGTTTTCCTGCACCCACTCCATGAGGCAGATCTGGTCCTTGAGCCCCAGGTTCAGCGCGCCCTCCTTTGCGCTCAGCGCCGACGGCAGGAACCCCAGCGCCCCGATGCGGTACCCGAACGACACGCAGATGAAGGGCTCGGCGGCCCAGCCCACCATCGCCGCCGAGTTGTGCATCGCCGCGTTGCCCCGGTTGAACGCGCCCCCGTGCATGTAGATGGCCACGGGCAGCAGCTTCTTCTCCTTCTTGCTCTCGCCATCTTGGCTTGCGGCTGGCGATATCTCCTGCCGGAAGATGTTGGCGGTCAGGCAATCCTCGCTCTCCGGCAGCGAGGGCCCCGTGATGATGAACTGCTTCGCGTACGCCCGCGGACCCCATTGCGAGGCGTCGATGATGGTGTCGGGACTGGCGGCCGGGACCTTGACCGGCGGGCGGAAGCGCCGGTCCCCCGTGGGCGGCAGGGCGTACGGGATGCCCTTGAACGTCTCGAGCACGCCGGGGAACTCGCCCGTCTCGCGGGCGCCGACGACCGTGCCCTGCGCGAGGGTCACGCGCGGGCGTTCTTGTGTTTGGGTCATGGCTGAAGCGGCTGTTTGTGTGTGGCTATAGATGCCCAGGGGTGTCAACTAGCAGAGGGCTCGCGTAAGAAAAAAAAAGCAATGAACCTGGGGAAGAGCACGCCTAGGTTCTGGGCCGGAACGTCAAATTCGGGGTTGAGAAAAGTCAACGAAACGTCACTCGAGCTCAGGGCTGCAAGGTGATGTCTCGGCCGACCTCCGGGCCGCAGCCCGACACTTGTACATTGATTCTCCCGGAAACCCGTCCGTTACGTTATCTGTACAGTCGTGGTTATCCCCCCTCGCAGTGCGGAGGAGCCGGACCCCGCGAGATCGGCCATTCCGTAATGCCCGAGGGTCCTGGCGGGCGCTTGCCGACGGATAAGCCGCGTTGATGGGGGGAGAGATAGGCATCCCTGCCACTTTAGCCTTTCTTAGCGGCCAGCGAGCTGCAGGGAGGGTCCGATGCTGGACTCGGGGACCAGTCACCCAGCCTTTGAAGCTGAATAGCTCTTGACGAGCGAATGTGTCTGTCCGTACGTTGTGTCAGCACCTTCTGACTTGTGACGTCAAGGATGCCGTGGTGGTGCTTGCGGTTTGCATTGTACCGAGCTGTAAAGATTCAAGGAACGATGGAAATGCATCAATGTCTTTGAGAGACTAACATCGAGGGTCCGGAGGTCATCACATATTGAGATCCTCTTCCGTGTTTTGCTGGTGTTGTCTTGTAACCAGATAGCTGTTCGCACGATCACGCAAGGCCCTACAGCTTGGCCTTGTCCGTCGCCACCTCCTTGACCAGTCGGACGACCTGCTCCGCGCAGCCGTACGACCCCTGGTATCCCCATCCCGAGTGGCCATAGTTGTGCACGACCCAGCTGCCGTCCGCCATCTTCTCCTTCTCGATGCGGACGCCGCCCTCGCGGTACGGCCGGAAGCCCACCGCGTGCCTGATGATGTCCAGGCCCGTGACGTCCTTCCTGCCCGTGTCCCTGAGCAGCTCCGGCACCGTGTCGATCGACCGCTGCATGATGCGCAGCGCCGTCGCCGGGTCCGGCTGGCTGTCCCAGTTGCCGCGCTGGTATGTGCCGCCCAGGACGGTCCCGCCACCGACGGCGCGGGTCATGCCGTACGTGAGCTCCTCGTCGTCGTCGTCGGTGCCCGACGTGCCAAACATGACGGGCGCCACGTTGCGCACGACCACGACCTGCCCGCGCATCGGCACCATCCCCTCGTCCATCACGCCGCCAAGCTTGAGCGCCCCGAGGCCCGTCATGTTGAGCACGATATCCGCCAGCCCTTCTTCCCCTTGCCTCTTCTCGGCAAACGCCTTCTCGCTCGAGCTCCACCACCTCCGGGCATCGCTCAGGCTCCTGACGCTCCCGCGCTTGAACACGACCCCGTTCGCCCGGCACTGCCCAACCAGCCAGCCCAGGTACACGGGGGTGTTGATGCACACGCTGTCAAACTCGCACCCGCCCGCGATCCCGCCCGCCTTCATCTCGGGCGTCACCTCGAGCTCGACAAAGTTGTCCACCACGTCCTTGTACCAAGGGTCCTCGACGAACATGCCGTTGAACCCGTTGCTGCCCTTGCGCAGGGTCGGCATGTCGGCCTCGCGCCGGTACAGGCGCGCGCGCTGGTGGTGGATGCCGGCCTCGGGGACGTGCGTGGCCAGACGCTGCAGCTCGGGGAGGGTGCGGGCCTCGTACTGGGAGTTTTCGCGGTCGGACATGCTGTTTTTGGGGGGAGAAGAGGGGGCTGGTTGTTAGCGCCGGTGACTCTTGTTCCGGAGGGCTTTGACCTCGGGAGTCCTTGTGCGAATATCCTGGGAGGTCGGGTAGATGGAAAAGGGAGGGAGGACCGGGGGCATCAACTCACGGAAGGAAGTTTGCGCCCGCGATGGGCGAGGCGTACATGGCGTCGAGGTCGCCGGGCATGTGCTTGGCCACGACGGTGATGGAGTAGTCCTTGTCCCGCGAGAGCAGGAGCGCGCTTGTCAGGCCCGACACGCCGGCGCTGCAGATTCAAAGATCAGTATAGCTCAATTTCTGCAGTGGCCATTGCCATATTTGTCGAGCGACCTACCCGATGATGACAATCTTCTTGGCCATGATGGATGTGGTTGTGCTTTGTACTGCCGCACAGGTTGTGAGGACTTCAATGCCGTCGCTGTTTCCCGTAGGACTCAATGTGCTCGTCGATCTGGTTGTCGTTTGTGCTGCAGCAACCTCTGACGAGCCGAGTGGAAGAAGTATATGTATATCTCGAGGAGCAATGGCGTCTTTTCTTCTGCAGAGGAGATGACGATGTTCTTGGCAGGTCGGTTGAACGAGCCACTCTCGTATGACAAACAGACTGTCCTGGAGGGCTTGTGGTCGTGACACAGTCGTTGCCTTGCCTTGATTACCAACGTCAAACCCGGAAGTTAATGCTTTGCAGGAAGACAGCCGGCGGAAGCGCCTGGAGCTGGGACGAGGTGACGAAGCGGGGCCACCGGCAATGGAGGGCGGGCTTGACTGATAACAGTGGCTCGATGGGGTTTAGACTTTGGTCACGAGCCGGCAGACCGATCAATTCGAATTTCAGGCTGCCGACAGCTCGGCTTCCAGCTCGCCCTGGGGAAGTGCTGTCTTGTCGGGCTAAGGTCCGTCCGTAGCTCAGCTGGCTGGCTGCAAGTCTGCCAGGATTGACCCATGTGCCCGATGTCGGTGTGGGTTCCCGACTCGTTCATCGTGGCCCGTATCCGTCGGGGCGGGGACGGATCGGCTGGGCCAGGGGGTAGCTGCTGGTGCCTGCCGCCACGCTTTCTCAGCAGAGGACCTTCTACGCATGGATTACAAAGAGTGCTTGAAGCACTTCCCGTGACTGTTCTCAGCTACTTTCGCGTTGTCCTGATCAATTCTGAACATATCATGCTCTGCAATTTGCCTAGTAAAGGGTCAGGTGAGGTTGAATTGAGGCAGGTCAGTCGTGTTGAAAAAGAGCCACCCAGCACAGTCTTTAGCAGTTGACCTGATCACAGGGGAATTTGGGGGGTCATGTCTGTTTATTGGACGCGACGTTCCTTTATTCCTTATTTTTTTATATCACAACCGCCGCTCACAGCTTGTGGCTCGGGTTCAGGGCCGCCGAGCACTCAATCTCCACCTTGGCGCCCCGGGGAAGCTGGTACACGGCTACCGCGGTACGGACCTGTCATCGCGGAAACTCATGTCAGTAATGGTTGGTCTCATGGATCGATGCGTCCCATTAGCCGTCCCCCTCTCCCCATCGGAGTATGGACGAGCGGGAGCTGCACTGCTGCAGAGGGTCGGAAGTGCAGAGGAATTGTTTCAAGGTAACGACGTCCAGACGTTCAGAGGTGCAGAGGTGCATAGGTGCAGAGGGCTAGCCGGAAAAGGGCACGCCTGTCAAGACACTCACCGGCTTGGGATCGACATGGGCAAACGCCTCGTTGTAGGCCTCGTGCATGGCCGTGAAGTCGTCCATGGTGGTCAGAAAGACGTTGACCTTGACCGCGTTGGCCAGGCTCGAGCCGGCGGCTTCGAGAACGGCCGAGAGGTGCTGCAGTGCGGCGCGCTGGGCAGATGAAAAGACGGCACACGGTCAGTTTAGGGTTTCCCTCGCGCGAGCCCTTGAATGGGGTAACAAAGCGCCCGCAGGTCAGAAATGAAAACTCACAGTCTCCTCCTTGACGCCGCCAGTGACCAGGGTCCCGTTGAGGTCGCTGCCAATGTTACCAGAGCAGTAAACCATGCCATTGTACCTTATTGCCTGCGACAGGCCCGGGGGCGGTGTCGGGGCGTTGGTTGTCTTGACGGCTTCTCTGGACATGGTGGCTGGTGTACGTGCGTGTTGCGTAGTGTCGTGTGCGTAAAACGAGCAGAACGAGATCGTGAAAGGATGCACTGCGTCGTAGTCAAGTAGTCCAGGGCTTGGAGCTGATACTACATGCCGCCGGCAACGGGTCCGAGAAGCATAGAGGGGCAGTTGAGCAGGGGTGGACAATGAGCTTACCGCCCATGTGCCATAAACAGCAAGCACTGGCGGCGACTTCGGCACGAGTCAGGCTGGTTCCTGGCCGCTAGAGACCAACTATCGACGATTGAATTATTGCCGACGGAACAGGGGGACCCCGCTGGCCTGCCTCTGGCCTTGATAAGGCGTGCGTGTGGGCCGGCAGGACACGCTTCATGCTCGTCGCAAATGCCGACGAGCTGGCTTCCTCCACTAGTGATCCGATCGATAGTGATAGGGCGGTATCGCTCCGCCTATCTTTGTGCCTATCTTTTGCTGGCGCAGGCGGTGTCTGCAGGCTACCCTCTCTGCTCCGATACCGAATCATGCTATCCGGTCGCTTATCGAAGAACCAGGGTTATCGCGATTTCGCTGGAGATCCAAGCCGCTACAATGATCTCAAGTATCTTGGCAATACTTCGCTTTCATACAAGAAACAGGATGTCGTTGGACATCAACGATGCCATTAGCTTATGCACCAGGATTCCTTGCACTGTTTTCGCCCTGGAGTCATATGGGCTTAGAGAGGATAGTGGATATCCATAGGCAAATTTAGGAATGGCTCGCCCGTAAAGATGATGTCTGGAGTGTAACCGCCGAGAGCTCGTTCTATGCTGAGAGACAGTAACAGCGTGCCACACCCCGCACAGGAGCGATTGATGTACTCATTTAGGCAGTGCTGTTCCCTGCTTCCTACGGTAGAAGTCTTGGAGTCCCTGTCATTTCTCTTTCTTTGTCTGTTTCTCGCCGGTTCTTTGCTCGTAGACATCTGCAACGCGAACCTTGCTTCGCCCACATAGCCACAACCATGATAGAGGCGTTGGGGTATAGCCAATTTCTATTCGTTTCAGGACATGAATTCCACCTCGTCCCTTGACCTCGCTGCACCCGTTGAGACTTGATGACATTCCTATGTCTAGAACCCTCCAAATGCACCCCACGACGCCGTTTCTTCCTGCCCACCTCCCATGCCGAAGAACATGTCAGCCGGAATAGTCCCCGCATTGTTTCCCGAGAACATTAAACCGTCAACAGTTCCTCCCAGCATCATCATCCCCGCACCGTTTCCGTTTATCCCAGCCGGATGGAAACCACCGCCGCTCTGTCTGTGATGCTGCTGCTGCTGCTGATGATGATGACCCATGACGCCTGTTCCAAAGAGGGACTGATCAAACCCGCCGCCGCCGCCAAACCCATCTCCGGCAACACCAACCTCTGAGCCACCATCCGCCCCAGCAGCAGCGCTCAGCAGCAGCGCCGAGAAGTCCACAGCCGAGGCGTGATCCGGCTGGTCCACAGACGGCGGCTGGACGAGCGTGGTCCACTGCTGGCGGCCCTTGTCGCCCGCGACTTCCCCCGCACCCATCGCGCTGCCGCTGCTGCCGTCCGCGGCCGAGCCGCCGTGGTGCGGACCGTGCAGCAGAGGCGTCCTCGCCGCGCCCGCGGCGTAGTCGAGAATGTCGGACACCTTGGAGATGTCGACGTGGATGTTGCCGCCCGTGTCGAGCTGGGCCATGGACTCGAAGGACATGGAGATGGACTCTGTCAGGGCGTCTAGTTTCTTGGCCTGGGGTTTTTTGTTGTTTTGCGGTTAGCGTTTTTCCCTCTTGATCAGCATGAGAAGGCTTATAATCGGAGAAAGGGATTCTCTCGACAGCCCATTGAGTGAGGGGTCCTCTGCGACCGCTTGTTCAGCCGAGGAAAAGTGGCCAAGGGACTGACTTACAAGGACCTCCATAGATGGCCAGCGCTTGCCCAGCGCCCGCACGAAGCGCAGACACTTCTCAAAGTTCCTACGGCGCTCTTTCCCGGCTGCACCGCTTGATCCCGCATCACCACCACCACCACCTCGCCCGCCATGCCCACTCGCGCCATTACCGCCGGCATTTCCCACACCACTACCTCCACTGTTGTTTGCGGGCGGCGGCGCGGCAAAGCTCAGCTGCAGCTCCACGGTGGCCACCACGCCGGCGCAGTACCCCATCGTCGGGTCCGCGAGCTCGTAGCCTTTGCTCTCGATGAAGGTGACGAAGTGCATGATCCACGAGGTGTGCACGGCGGTGTAGAACTGCGCCTGCTGGCGGAACAGCTCCGAGTCGTTACCTTTGCCCTGGAGCTGCAGCGTCACGAGCAAGGGGTGGTTCGCGACGATGATGATGGTGTGGTACATGAAGCGGCTGAGCAGCCAGGGCGCCCAGTAGTCGCGCTGGGACTCGTTGAGCTGCAACGTGGTCAGGTCGCCGAGGTGCAGGTGCCGGTAGCGGTGGAGCGGTGGGAGGGACCGGTCGAAGCCCATGAACGCGGACATGATGGCGTTGTACTGCGAAGTCGTCTCCCAGGGCGCGATGTGGGTTGTTGGTGGCTGCTGGTGGTGGCTGGAATGGTGGTGGTGGTGATGTGTGGAAGAGGAGGAGAAGGAGGAGGACGAAGAAGCCGCTGCGAAGCGCTGCCTGACAAAGATCATGGCTTGCGACCAGACTTCGCCCAGCTGGTATGTGTACGCCATGATGCCGCGCTCGCCGACGCTCTCGCCTCTGCTCGGTCCGTAGAGGGTCCTGCATTCGGGTTTCAGGGCAGACATGGGCGGTAAGCTCGGGGTTGTCGGGTATGGAGACGTGAGGGATTGTGAGCCTGGCAGGTCAAAGGCGGACGGAGCCATGCCCCAGAGCCGGCAGAGCAGGCGGATGCTCCAGTATGTCCGGCGGCGTTCTTCGATGACGGAGGCTGGAACCGAGGGCGTCTCGGCGTGGAGAAAGAGGCCGTACGTGAGCGCCATGGAGAGAGTGACAAAGGGCATGGACTGGTCGGGGTTGCCGTCTGAAGGGACAGTCAGTGATCTATTTGGCCAAGATGAGCAAGCATCGACTCACCGTGGAAATGGACAAAGGCCAGAAGACATAGCGTCTGGAGGGTGGACAACTCAATCGCCCTCGTGCCGATCTTGGCCATGACAAGTGCGTGGGCCTTGGAGGCAAGAGTCAAAGAATCCTGCGGGCCGTACTCCTCAGTAGCATGCCCATGCGTACTGGCGCTCGAAGTCGTGCCTGGAGTCGCCGTCGCATCTTTGAACCTCAGAGTGAGGGCCAATATTGCCAGCAGCAGCTCGTCGGGGCGGAACCTCAGTGATCGGACAAACGTCTCTCTGTGGAACAGGTACAGCGGTTGTCCTTCGCAGTACTTCAGGTATTGGCTGCCCACGGCCTCGACTTGCTTCCACAGCGGCGGGGACTCGTCTGTACGTATCCGCTTGCGGCTGCTGCCATGACTCTCAAGCCCATCCCCGGCATCTGCTGTCCTCCTGACACCCCGCGGCGTCGGCAGCGAAGCCTGCGAGTGCAGCACCTCGGCGGACAGGGAGTGGAGGGTGCCTGCGGCTGAGACAGAGTGCAGGGTGTCCAGTACGTGGGAGATGGTCGACTCGAGCGAGTGCAGGCGAGACTCGAGGTGCTGCTGCTGCCCGTGAGTACTGCCACTGCCACCACCACCGCCACCTCCATGACTATGACTACGACTGCCCGTGGTGGGCGTCACTGGCGGCGGCAGTGACCGCCGGGCCTCGGACCCGGCAACGGTCTCGTCCGGCAGGTCGGCGTCGCTGTCGGCCTCGGGCGGGTACGCGCAGCGCTGGCGCAGGCGGGCGCAGGTGCTGCACGAGGGCCGGTCGCCGGAGCACTTGCTCTTCTTGCGGCGGCACGGGTCGCAAGCGTGCCGTGTGCGCTTCAGCACCGGCCGCAGCTCGCGGAGCGGCGGCTCCTCGTCGGCGTCGTCCTCCATCGCCTACAGCTTCCGTCTCTCCCTCTCCCGTGTGTCGTGCCGGGCCTGGATCTTCGGTGGCGGGGGCCGAGTGCGTGCCGTGCCGTGCTTGCGCCGGGCGTGAGGCGGAGGGAGACGTGCGTCGTGCCGGCGGCGGAAGCGGAGGCGGAGGCGGAAGAGAGCGGCTGGCCCGCTTTCAGCCACCAGCGCGTCGGAAATGGAGCCCGACGGGCGTGAGCTGGCACACATAGGGTCGTCATATTGCCAGCGCCAAATTGACAGCACTGCTTGGGGTCATTCTGCTCGAGTTATTCCATTCCATGATGTTGAATTCCCTCGAAAGCCATCCAAGATTCAACAGTGAACGATTTCAACATCGCGTTGTTCGATGCAATGGCATCAAAACCCACTATGGAGACCGTTCTCACACTTTGCAAAGAATGTTATCAGTATGGCAACGCACTGCAGTACTACATCCAAACCCCCACCGTTTCATTGTCCAGTCTATGGCCTGCCAGGCGAAGCGTTGAAGTATTGAAACGCTTGTTGCTGATGGCTGAATATTTACCACGGCCATTTGCAACGAGTGTCCTCTACTCTTCATGTTCAACTTCCGGAGCAGAATCGAAAATTGGGGCTTGAAGATGGAATCGAGCCAAATCGACGAGCTGCAAACTCTGCGCGCGCAGGACAGCGCTGTAGGATTCCGTTCCAAAGCGGCCCGGGAATCGTGCTATTCTTCTGTGGCTCTGAGAGAATAGGCATGAAGGTGGCAAGTGTGCTTTGACATAACTGCGCGCTCTACGTCCCATGGATCAAGAGTCAGCCACCGGTACTTGGACGGCTTGCCCACTTGCGCTGCAACACGCGTCCCAGATCTGGCCATGCATGTCAACACCATCAGTCCGCCGCTATAAGACCAATACCTGCAGATAGTAATCATGCTATCAGTGCCGTCGGTGAGTGCAGCGTGATTACGACTTCAACACCGAGTCAATATCTTCTGTGGGTACCCATCACGACTGGCCCCTTCATCTTGTCATCGCTCCGAGTCATCCAGGCAGAGGTTGGCGAAGTGCAGGATGGTGCGCAATATATACGGCTCAAAACGGTCCAGGCAGCACGTGGCTACCGATTCGGTTGCTGTGAGCTTACCAGGACTGAATCGTCATATCCTACGGCGAACGCCGGACTTGGTCTTCCCGGGCACGAACAGGGTCGTATCGGCTGAGTCAGTGCACTAGGATCTGGCCCCCCTGGACAATCCAGGAATCCTGGCAAAAGAATTGACGGGCACACAGTGCAGGATTTCTGCATGCCGCATATCCTCGCTCGTCGTCGAGCACACAGCATGCTTGCGTTGCTCAGCTGCTGCTGACGCCACGAGAAGGGTAGGAATCGACCGGCCGAGAGCGCAGGGCCATGGCTCAATGGGATGGCTTTCGCCCAACCCCATTTTTGTTCGTGATGCGTTGATAAAGATCAAATTCGACGAATGCTGAGTGGGATGGAGGCCGGCAAGCTAGTGGTCCTGGGGCACACGGGACATTGCATCCGTCGAGGGCGAAGCCGAGCCGACTTTGCCTTCGGGTGGCTCTTCCGAACTCACGCTAGTGTCCAGGCACAAAAGCCACTGCACACACACGCCTGGAAGACTCCTCGGGCATGGCAGGACGTACGCAGCAAGGGGAGGGTTCTTGGCGGGTTTGTACGGCAAGTACGTGCGGATCATGTGGGGGGGGGGGGGGGTTGCTGACCTGTCCTGTCCAGCCGAGGCTCTGTCAGTTCCGGGTGCCCTGGGCACGACACGGAGAGCCTCATTGATGCAGGGGAGGGCTCCAATGTAGGGAAGCCTGGGCATACCTAGGCTTGGGTAGGCAGGGCTCGGCAGGTTGTCGCGCAACCACTGCCGTGATAAACTCATTATCTTCAATGACACCTGGTAGCCACGCGGTCACATGGCAGGGTTCCATTTCCGCGCTCCCTTGGGGGCCAGCCGGCCCCAGGGCGAAAGAAGGAAAAAGCTAGTACTGGACCACAATCACCACCCTGGACGCGCGGGTAGCACTGAATGAAAACGGAACAAGCGAGATTAGCGCGCCCCATGGTTCATCCCGGGTGTTCGGCTCCTGCCAGTCGGTGACTCTGGAAGGGAAAACGGCCGGCCACCGTCTGTTGCGACAGCACGGGCCCGCGCCCATCACGGCATATCGGACGACATCCATCAGCGTTGACGTTCTGGCCCGAACGCACAAAATCGCGCAGCCTGAATCAGGTGGCATCAATGGCGCGATGCTGCATGACGGGGTGCTTCCCAGCACACCAGGGGCCGGGCTACTGTCAGCGATTCCATGTCCACTAGTGACAAGAGTGGACTGTTCTGGGGTCGGGGGGATGTGCTGAAGATAGGCAATCGCCGCCGAAGGAGTCTGAGGATTTCGACCAGCAACATGGATTGTGCAAAGCAGCTTGCAAGTGACTCGGATCTGTGCCGACCGGGCACGCAGGGATGAGCCCCGGCGAGCACACGGAGTACATAGAAATGATCGGCTCGACGCAGACAGGCGTCGCAGAGCAGCGCAGGGGAGCCTATCAGGGCTCATTACCCCGCCGCCGGCCCCTCAGGGTTGCGGGTGGGAAGTGACATGTGAAAAACAGGATTCACTGGTTCTAGGGATGTCACCTCGCGATCTTCTTTCTGTGTCTGTCAGAGGATGAAACCTCCGAGACCAAGGTTAAGGTTGGTTCTAGCCAGGCTGTATATCACCATGGGTTACTTGCGTGGCGTCCGGCACTGCGGCACCTGGCCTTTCCCCAGTCAGTCCAGAAGCTAGTGGCGTCGGTCCCTGATTCGGGCTGTTGGCCGTCAAAGACCAATAGCAGTCTCCATTATGGCCGGGGGGGCGTGATCGGGACGGCATGCAAAGCGGGCAGCAGGGCCGAATATCGTTGCTTAGGCGCACAATCATATCACATTACTACCAAGCAAACAGGAAGGTTGTTCAAGACATAGCAGGACTAGGCTGCGAGCTCTGGCAAGATGCATGTTATTCCCTGGCATAGTAGGTTTGGATCTGGTAGATCACGAGTCTGGTATGGCGCAAGGCATTTAGACACCACAGAGAACTGTACGCCACGTGAGTCTGTACTATAGCCCTCAATGCCCACGATTCACGAAACATACTGGTCGCAGAGCACGGCATAAGACCGTGTCGGGGCAACAATCGTCGAAAAAAGAGGGTATCTTGCGTGTATTATTCTATCGACTTGCATGAATGCTTTCCATCATTTACACACGGCATGCCCTGCTACAGTCGGCTGATACCGAGCTTTGTGCGCATGACCTCGTCCCTGTCCTGCTCTGTTGTTATGTACTCCTCGCTGGTGACAAACTCGGTCGTCCGCGTGATAATGCGGTCGCGGTCGCGCTCCTGCTGGCGCAGCTCCTCCTGAGACTCGGACCGGGCGTGGTGGCCCAGCTGGCCCAGCTGCTGCAGGCTGTGGCCGCTGCTGCCATCGTCGACGTCCTCGATATCCCTGTTGTTGGAGGTGCCGGCCTTGCTGCGGAAGTGGCTGCTGCTGGCGCCGGTGGCGCTCTTGTTGCCGCTCCTGGACGATCCGCCAAGCTTGGACGAGGGCCAGCGCGAGCCGGAGACGAGGTCTGGGCGCGAGGTGTTCTTGGTAGACCGGAGGTCGAAGAAGGATGCGATGCGGGCCATGGGCTTGCTTTCGATGATGATCTTGGGTACGGCGGGCAGGCAGAAGACCAGGAAAGTGCAGAGGATCTCGGTGATGCACCACAGGCCGTACTCGGAGATAGTAAAGGTCATGTCTTTAGAATAGATGAACGTGGTCGTCTTGTACAAACGCATAGCGGCGCAAAAGACGGAGCTATGAGTGGCTAGTCAGTAATCAGCAGCAAAAGGGAGGTGAAGAGGGGCAATGACGTACACAAGGCCAAAGGCAAAGATCATGGACAAGCCCACTCGCTTCTTTCTGTTGAGCTTCAAAGTCCAAATGACCTTCTGGGGTAGAATCAGGATGACAACATCCAGGCCAAGATTCACCGCCGCGTTGTACACCCAGATGAGCTTCACCTGGATAGGATCAAGACACCTGCCACCAACGATCGTTTTATCCCATATCTTCTCCTTGGGAAAGCATTCGAGATTGGCGAGCAGGATGACGGCAATGTACCAGAGGACGTTGATCGTGATGAGGGCCGCACAGGTCCAGAAGAAGTAATCCCGCCTGGTAGAGAAGATTCGTGTCCACTCGATAAGAATACAAGGTTTGATTAATAGAAACACGACTTCGTTAAGCACGGTACAGACGTAAACGATCTGGGAAAAGCGCTCATGTTAGTAGCCTCCTTAATACTATACTTTCGGCTGTGCAGGATCAACCTACATAGTTCAGAGTAGGCAGGTCTTTAAGCTGGACATTCCATTGATGGACAAATGAACCACAGACCCGCATGAAAGCAAAAACGCCTCCAACGTAGGCGATGAAAGCTCCCTATGATACGAAAGTTGGATGTCAGTGGCAGAAAATGGTGGGAGTCGTGGGTGGTGGAATTCCCATACAAGAGCTCCGAGGGCCATATCTGTGGATTAGATTAGCGACTAATTCGCGTTGCTTCCACTTAGCCGCCACTAATTATTGCTTACAGTCTTCTATTTGGACCTTTTTGACAATGCATATCCTGGAGTATGCCCGCAGGCCGGCCGAGCCCGTGGCAATGATGAGCACCAGCGCACAAGCGACGTAGAGGACTTCTAGTGCAGTAGACCGGTCCGTGTATTTCGGCGTCACGCCCGGCGGTGGCTCCAGGGCAGGTCCATTCCACATGGCCTCGGCCTCAGCTGGGCTTAGGTAGGGAATCTGCTCGAGCGACATGGCGGGCTATTGCCCGAGCTGACGACGGGCCTGGACCTCCCTATTCCTGTCCGTAGACTGCTTCGTGACGATGCGCTCGCCGCCAAGGGTTGTAGTCGTGGTCGTCGTGGTCGTCGTCGTCGTGGTTGTCGTCGTTGGAGATGGGTGGCCGAGTTCGTGCGAAGATCGAGAAAGGATCCGGCGACGAGCATCCGGCAGGGTGGCCCTAAGGCCATCTATATTCAGAGAACCAAGCCGCCACCCTTTCACAAGCATGAAGAACGAGGCGCATGCAGCGCTCCATCCTTGGAGCAGACATGCCTGGTGGGGCCGCCGTATCCTTGCCGCTCTTGGGCATGCCCTGAAATTCACTCACTTGCCTCTTGCCTCTTCAGAAATGCCTGTATGCTTGGCACCGGGACCTGGGGCCAGCCCACTGGGGCCCGCATGTACGTACTTCTGTACACTGGGGCGGAACTCTAAAGAGAGCCGGTACTTTCCATTAGCGTTCCTGGACAGCAGCCAAGAACTTAGCAACGCCTTATTGGCGCGCCCTAGAACACGGAGCTGTAGCGGATCTGTGTCCAGGCTGCCTCATGAGAGATGGTGTAAGGGGCTCACTTGCGTGATGGCGCGTGTATGAGCCCCGGCATGGAAAGATGGGAACGTGAGGAGTCCTGCTTCTGTGCTGCTTCCCGTTGTTCCCCACCCACTACAACACGACGCCGGTGTCTCAGGCGTCTGCCTATCGTCGGCTGCCCACCGGGGTGGTTTGCCAGCGCTCCACAGTGGTAGCTTTCGTCTGACCAGCCGGTGAGGAGCACGCGACTTTACCTTTCTTGCACGAGCCCGAACTCCCCCACCCCGCAAAGAATCCCTGGTCAAGAGGCGCCCCAGCGAGCCGAACCCAGCCGGCTGACAAGCTGTCGAGCCTGTGGCAGGAGGGAAACTAGAGATCGCCCCTGGGCTGTTCCACCCAGACGAGGCGCTGTCCACCCCCCGGCAACGGCGACTTTGGCCCGGCGTCAAGGTGGTAGCGTTGCATTGAGTTCCAATAAACAATCAAAGCACGGGGCACAATCTCAATGATCGACACGATACAGTCCAGAACGAAAAGGCATTGTCCCTAAAGAATGAGCTACTGTGCCAGGGATTCGGGTCGCAGCACGCGCAAACCCGGGCAGAGTTCCGGTGCACGACCGGCAGTGCCATCGGCACTTGGGGACCACGTGTGAGCATGGCGACGAACGCTCAGACCCTCAGGTTCCCATGAGGACCGATGATGCCGTGCCATCGGGTCATCTTTACCGCCCTTGCCACGCCGTGCTGGATACTGAGCGTCTTAATGATCCCACATATCGAGGCCCCGATTCAGGGAAGGCCGGGACTCTCCTGGCTTGGGTTCGGCAGAATATTCTTAATGGCAAGTAACGTTGAAGCCGCCAGGCGGGGCCAAGTTACGGTTCAACGTACATGCAAAGCACCATGGTGTACCTCACAACGGGGTTGGCGCAGTACCCAGCGGTGCAGCCTCCGGGAATTCCTGCCGTGGCCTTCTGAAATGCCGGCTGAGCATGCGTGGCGCACGTGTCGAGATCTGCCTCAAGGTTTTGCGCTACCATCGGCTTACCCCTGAAAGGATCAATCTATGTTCTGCGCTTTGGCCAGCCCACGCACAATGGCCACGGTACGTTCCACGCCAACAAGTACAAGCTCCAATTCTCCCAGATTGCCGGGACCAAACCACTGGAACTCTAAATCACCTTGTGCCCTGCTCTATTGGGATGCTCTTGGGGTTCGCAGCTGAAGCTTGCAGATCACCCGAAGCTGCCGGCGCCACCAACGTGATGGCGACAGCCAGCTTATGGGCGGGTACCCGACGGGCCACCGCTCAAGACCTGCTGCTCCGGCTTCACGCGCGCTAGCGCTTCAAGCCACACAGTCACTAGTCAAAGGCAAAAGCCGGAGGAGACTCCTGGCGCCGCGGTGCAGCAAGGGATCGTTGCGCTTTTACTGACGGCCACCCACAAAAATTGCATTAGCTACCCTTCCATAATGGGGGTAGTGCGCCTCCAGTTCGCGTCAGCACTTCGTCTGCTTGCATTTCATTCCTCTGTCCGTGCTGAAGAACTCGACTAATGCAACGAACGACCCGCAATGCAGAAAGGAATCCTTCCATGGACAACCCGCAACAGGAGCTTCACACGGCAGCACTCTGTCTTTGCTTCGCTGATGCCGAATGACAACGGGTGACATCTTCCCTGCAGAGATCTCGCCGACACTCGTATCCACGGTACCTGCTCTCCCACAAGGGCACCATGTCGCACTGTATTCTTCAGGGGTCCCCTGCCCCCTCCCCCTTGGTTTGCCCGGGTGGCGGGCCTGTCCCTGTCAAGACTCCATAGCGTGGCCCCCGTGGATCTGTCTCCTCGTTCTCCACATCCATGAGCCGGTTCATCACATAGCCACACCATAGAAGCACGCACGCACACATATCGGGCAGGCTCAGGAGTCCGACCCGACGGGAGATCTGGGCTGATGCCTGCACCCTCGTGCTAGCGTTCAGAGATCGTCCGTGGAGATGAGTGCAAGTCATATCCATGGGCGGCACCCACGATACCACCGCCGGGCATCCTGTTCTGCGTTGCACTATTGCTTAACCGCATCGTCGTGATGGCAGGGGACCAATGCTCAACAGCTCTCCAAAGCAATCGATAGCCGTGGTAGGCTTTTCGGCACCCCGGGCAAGCATGTCATTGCCGAATGTGGCAGTATGTCCCAGCTCCCGTAGGGAACTGAAGGCTTGTGGGCCAGAGCCCTGCCACCCACTGCATCGGTAGCAGTCAGCACTTGGCAAACAGGCGAGACAGGCGAGAAAAGCACAGAATGTGAGGCCTGAGCGCGCGGACGGCCCTGCCCGGCGAGACCCACGAGAGGCCACCCACCCACCACGCCATTGGAGCGCGCAACAATATGCATTTGCTCTTTCCGCACAGCCATGACAGTATTATATCACTCCCACTATCGGCATGGCCCGTTGGGGCAGCACGCGGTAGCTGCATACCGACGCAGGGACTATAACTTCCGTGATATTGTGGAGTCGTCGTGTTGCAGATGGTCAGAACCAGCTGTGTGCTATGTTCCAGGGCCAGAGTTCACGTTTCTGTCGACTCGGTATGGCCGTCCCCACCGTCGGTCTAGCACTGACCTGCGTTCTGGAAAGAAAATACGACAGAAACAAGTCTGTGCGATCGGAGTGATACCCGCACGACCGAAACATCCCAACAGGAGCGTCCGTCATTGAGCCAAGCTTTCGAAGCGATTGGCCAGGCGCGCAAAAGGCCATTGCAAATCGCTTGCCACTCCGCCCTCCCCGATGAGACTTAAGATCGAGTGAACATCCACTTTGGCTGCTTGCAAGTCCCACCGGCTAGTCCATGCTAATAGATGCCAAATTATGGGGAGAATATACTGCGCCTCTCTCCCGTCGGTACTGCGTAAGCTAACGTTTGGAGGTCCTGCCTGGCGGGCCACGGCCGTGCGCACATCGATGGTGGCGAAGGCCTACTCCAGCGCGGCCGCGGCCCTAGAACAGCCCTAGCGTCTGGCGAAACTTGACGGCCCCATCGTGCCTGTGACGCGTAGTGTGGATGTCGGGGGTTCACGAACACGAGCTTGGAAGCCAGTTGGGCAGAAAGAGTGCTGTGGCTGCTCGTTATATTTGTGTAGTAGCTTTCTATGGGCAGACCAGGGGAGTGTTCAAGAAGCCCTAGCAGAAAAGATCGACATCATGCGCCAGTCTGCCAGACTTTTACAGGACTAGTCTGCGAGATATATTCTCGTCAGAATTAGGAGGGTGCTTGCTGATCCCTCCCGCTTGGTGTTGGCACTGCCGAGGTTGAGATGAGGTTGACAATGAAAAGTTGGCGCCGGGACCGCTATTCCCGCGAGTTTTGGCCAGGTCATGTCGAGCATTCTGTCGCCTTGGACAAGGGGACGTTGCAACCAACATGACAAATCTGGACCGAGTCGGTCACTTGCTGCGATTCGCCTTGTTTCATCGTATCGCGCCGTCACGTCGACACACGGCGGCTACAAGACGTCATATATAGCTGCTCTGCCGCCCAGCAGTTGAGTAGCGAGTGCGCTAGTTTCGCGAATGCAACTAGGCCACACACACACACGTGTTCCCCTCCCCGGGTACTTTCTTGGTAAGACGCCACACACACGCGTTGGAAAATAAGAAGGCGCTAGCTAGTTGGGCACCATTCTAAGTATGTCACTATCTAAAGTCGTGCGACAGTAGTTGCCAAGCTTTATCGGGTTAGTGGAAGTTGGGCAGCGCGCTGGCTAAAGGAATTAGGCACCCCGAGTCCCTGACTTTGTGACACGAGCCAAACCTCGTTGGAAACACAGAGCTAGCGCGCATGGAGCATAGTTTGGGAAACGATGCGGAGATTGCGTGAAATGCTGCCCCAGAAGAGTTCACCACTCGTCACCCTCACAGGCAGGTCTCGAACAAAGCGGGGCCCCTCGCTCTCGTGTCAACTGGCAATGGCATCACGCCTACAGCAATGGCCTAGTCTAGCAGAGACTTCACGTAAATAAATCGGCTCATGACATTATGCTGCTGGCTTTCTCTGGCAATGCCCAATTGTTCAACAAATGCGATCAGCTAAGTACACTTGAGGATGTCCTACGTTAGCCGCCATACTTCTATGTCTGACACGAAATGATCCCTTCATTCTTGATCGGGTAGTCTACTGGTGTGCCACGCGAGGCTGCATCAGTGTGGTAAGAAAACTAAAAACCGAAGAAGATAGCACCCAGTTGTGTCGAGATAGCCATGGACATAACTCAGATATAGACCAAGGCAGGCTATACATCCGATAGCTGATAAGGATCGCCGGGTACTCTCGTCATCAGTCTCGCGACCATTGGATCAAAACTCTGTGAACACGACCTCAGGGCAGCCCCCGAGAAGCGACAAGAGCTTCAAGATAATGAATTTCACTCGAGTCTAGTGCTATCAACTATTCATTAGGTATATACACCTTGAGCGTGATTTAGCCAGTGACAGATTCGAATATAGCCCAGATGTATGAGTCAGTCAGATTCCAGGCGGATCCGCAGGCAGGCCGGATTCAATACGTATCTAGTAATTAATATTCTACCGAGTACCTCAACTTCGAGGGCAAAAATGTAAATAAAAACGTACAACACCGAGGATTCGCTGGTCGTCACCGACCCAACTACTAGTTCGGCGGTACTGAGCTTGTATATGGGGGAGCGGACGGGACCCCTAATTTTCTCAGTCCTATGGTCGTACGTGCCAGATTGTGTGCTTATTGCCCGTAATATGAACATACTGTCCCAGTTTTAGAGTCTGTTAATGTCAGCTCTAAGTGGAAAACTCCTGAGGATCCACGCTGGCGTCGGTGACACTGGTAACTCTGGCTTTATAGCAGTGGCAACAGTCATTAGAACCTTGAGACGAAATACTAGAACTGAAATAGTTGGGCATGTTCAACGCTTGAACTGTTGCTGAATGACAAGCGTTACCGCAGGAGAACCGTGAGTTGCGCACCTCGCCCCATAAAATCGCCCGAGACATTGCGAGCGGCGAGGGCAACTCGTGACAACATTGATTTCCGTCAATATTCAGTAACCAAGTCTGAATTTACAATGCAGCAGTCCAAACGCCCTCGTAGCACAGTCGATACGCAGTCGGAGACACTGGCGCAGACGGGTACGGCGCTTTCTCGTTGTGTGACAACCAACGAGCCTGATGCTTCCACGAACCTTTGCCTCGAAGCCTCGGCTCTGTCACAACCATGTTGCTCACGGCGAGCCGCTGTGCATCCTCAGTGGGCTGTTGCTCTGCCTCCGGGCACCAGATGAACGTGGTCGACTCACCCTGGTCGTCGCCAGCCTTTATGACTGCACGAACGCCTTCGGACGCCACATCTCAAGCAGCACCGAGAAGATCTGGTCGAAGTTCAGCACGGTCTTTAAGCCGTGCTTGTTGTCCAGCCCGGTTGCGGGGTCGAGGATCAAGCTGCCCGGCAGACTGAGATATCGGCAGTAGTGAGTATGCCCGGCCGGCTCCCGCTACCAGAGCGCGCGGATCTAACCGCCGGCGATAACGCTGATGGGCTGTGCCCTTGGTGGGGTGTGCTGCAGTCCCTGTCTGATTGGCGACAATGATAGGTCCTACCCCTGGCGGCTGCCTGGAGGAGGCTGCTCCAACCCCTGGCTAGTTTGGGACTGTCCCGTGAACGCCCGGACTTAGGGAATACTCTATACAAGCCAAAGACGACATGTCCAGCAGATATATACGACCAGCACATCGCCTAAGTTGGTTCCTTGATGAGCACAATCAACCCACATACACGAACATTTAGAGCACAACAACCAATTCCTACGTCTCAAATAGAAGCTCAATAGTTCGCAATCACAATGGCTGCACAGAATAAGTTACTGGTCAGCCGCATAACACGAACCCATATAAACATAGCCATTGCTGACCGACCTTTTGATAGATAACTGGTGTTACGGGCTACATTGGATTCCAGACTCTGATCATCGCGCTCGAGCGGAATCACAATGTGCGCGCCGTCGTGAGGAGCCAGGCCAACATCGCCAAACTGCGCAGCATGAACGCCCGTGTCGCAAAATCCCAAGACGACGGCGTGCTCGAATTCGCTATCGTGCCTAATTTCCTCGCACCGAACGATATCACAAGCGCGCTCGACGGCATCACAGAAATCATTCACTTGGCCTCGCCGCTCGCAGCACAAGTACGTGGAACCAACGGCAGGACTTGGGCCGTGTGAAGCATTTGCTGACCTCTAAAATCGTACAGGCTGACGACTATGAGCGAGAGATCATCGCGCCAGCTGTGGATATGGTGACTGTCGTGCTCGAAGCAGCGACCCAGACCCCTTCGGTCCGGAGACTAGTTATCACCTCGTCGTGCGTGACATTGGTTCCTTTCGAATGGAACTTCGCCCCCGACAGCGAGAGGACGTACAGTGGTAAGTTCGATTTGAGACCCTCCGACTGGTGGCAACACATATCTCTCCTAATCTGTGAGCTCAAGTACTAAGACGAGACTTACGAGTAGCGGACGACATAAACTCGCATCCCACACAGCCCTACGGCAACCCCATGGAGGCATACTGGGCATCCAAGGCGCTCGCCAGGATAGCAACCCGCGATTTCGTCAACACCAAAAAGCCGCACTTCGACTACATCAACCTACTCCCCTCGGTCGTCATCGGGCCCGACACTCGCATCCCGTCCGACGGGACCGCCAAGCCCGGGGACCTGACCGCCGAGGCCCGGGGCTCCGTCCTGGCGTCCGCCCTCGACGCCTCGCTCAACTCGCCGTTCCCATTCGTCGGGGTGCCCGTGCATGTCCGGGATGTGGCCAGGGCCCATGTCGATGCCGCCGTCCCTGCTGAGGGGCAGACCGAGATCGCCGGCAATGCCGAGTACATCCTGAGCTCGGACGCGCCCGAGGGTGTGGTCTGGGATCGTGACACGCCCGCGATTGCGCGCAAGTATTTCCCGGAGGAGGTGGCGAATGGCACGCTGCCGCTGGAGGGCTCGCTGACTGCCATCAAGTGGAGACTGGATACAAGCAAGACGGAGGAGGCCTTCGGGTGGAAGATGACGACCTTTGAGCAGACGATGAAGGAGATGCTTCTGCAGTACATAGACTTGAAGAACGGCCGGTAAAGTTGAGGGCCGTGCAGTAACATAGCTCCGGAAGATGTCGCCCGCCTGCAATCCTAACTCATGCAACACATTGTGCCTCGCAATTGTGAGGAAAACTACAATTCCATACCGAAGCAGCGGATAACAGCTTGTGCATGATTAATATTCTATTACAAGCATCGTTACCATCACGTACGACTATAGAATTGGAGAAAATTAGGAGCCCCGTCCGCTGCCCCCCTTACAAGCTCAATACGGCAATTTTGTTGGATAGAAGCGGATCCTAATATGATAGCGAGCTAATGTCAATCGTGCCAATCCTCACGCTGAAGCCAGAGCACTATCTGAGCCATAATGACATCGCAACCGAGCCAAACTAAGCGAGTCTGGGCTTGGCTGCCGCTGACAAGGGCATTGCTATAACGCGACCGACCTCCGAGCCGATCATCACACATAAATGCTTATGCTCGTTAATCCTGAGAACTATTCCACGTTACATTAATCGGTGAATAAACCACCTTGAGATCGACAGCCATTTCTGGACCAGAAATCCAACACATGTCCGTCCTCAACCGACACCACAACAGCATACATACACCTACAACGCGGCACAGGGGCAGCTGCAGACCACCACTCAGCAGGAGCAATATATCAGCTATACACCGATATCAACCCCATTTTCTCTACCGCATTTACAACATCTGCCGCCATACCAATCTCAACCCGCTCAGCAGCTGCGGCCACAGAATACGGGCTACTTTCCGCGGCCGCCGCGGGCACAGCATCATCAGTACCAGTACCTGGTGCAGAAGATTCCTGAGGCGTGTAACAGCTCTTCTTCGTGATATACTCATCAGCAACCTGGAAGTGTTGTAGCTGGGGCGATGTGGCGTAGCGATGACGCCCATGGCGTCGCCCTGTGGAGCGTGAGATTGTTGAGTAGAACTTGCACTATATCTGGTGACTCATTGGGATTTTGAGTAAGCCCTGTGCGAACGGCGTAGCTGGACATTCCTTGGTTGCGGGGCCAATAGATACTGATACGCTCCGAGTTCGAGAATGCCTATATCTGACATGGATCACGCGCAGCGGACTCTTTGGAGGGTCGGGAGGGGCTTGGCGACCCAGAACTTGGTATCAGACTGTGCTGAGTGGTTTAGGGAGTTTGTCACGAAGACTAAGAACGCCCGCACGTAGGCTCACGACGCGAGATGAGATGGAGTACAAGGGACATTGTCAGAGGGTACAACGTTTTGAAGGCGAGACCTATGTTTTGACCGTACAACAACAGACTGATGCAGACCAGCATGAGGAAAGCTCTTACCATGCTCTAACGACTGCTTGGTATTTCCCTCTGCTTTCGTTCTTTATTTTCGCTTTCCTTTGACTATTTCTGGAAGTTTCTCGGCTCCGTCCTGAGCTAGCTTGCGTACGTAGATGGTAGGTGAGAAATCCCTTCCGAAAGAAACAGTGTCAACCGGGACTTTCCGAACAGCATACTGTGTTAAGTACATGTAAAAGCGGTGACAGTCGTAGTACCAGGGCCAAAGAGGTCAAAGACGGTTACATAGTTCGTCGAAACATAAGCGGAGGTTATCGTTGAAGTCGTCGTAAATGACGATGTCGCTTCGACAACGTCAGTGATAGTGTCGATATTGGTCTGAGTGTCTGTCTGTGTGTCTGTTTCCGTGTCGGTCTCCGTCAAAGTCGTGGTCGCAGTTGTGGTGAGCGTCTGAAAAGCAGTGGCAATGGCCGTTGCAGTCTGAGTTAGGGTGCTTGTCGCGGTGACTGTGGTTGTGGTGGTTGCTGTTGTAGTTAGGGCCATGGTCACCGTGGTCGCACTGATAGATATTGTGCAGGGCGGTGTGGTCGGAGCGGGAACCCGGATGCCTAAGCAGTCACAGAGGTCATCGATGAAGTGCCTTGGGCCAGGGTGAGGGCGATGGAGAGCCTCGGACCACAGCTGCTCGTTCACATTGGGGCCACCGAGAGTGGCGGTCCGTTTTGCGTGGCAGGCTGGTGTGGTTGTGTAGGTATAGGGGTAGGTCGTAGCTACTATGACTACTGTGCCAGTGACAAGTCTAAGATCGTGTCAGTCTTTTACTCGGTCCGGCAAGGTCGGGAACGGAGATTACGCTGTTTGTGGTAGGGACTTACATAATGATGGGTTGATAGACGGTCGTGAGGGGGTCAACAAAGGAGGTCAGGCCGGTGTAGATGTCGTAGGTATTTTTACTACAGAAACGCCAAGAGATTAGAAGTTTGTGAGACGCGATGCCGGATGAGTTGGTGGGGAGTTACAGGACGCTCTTTGTGGTCACCGCCGTATCTCCGCGCAGCACTGTCGTTGTGGTGATTGCTTCGGTAGTGCTGGTGGTTAGGAGGGTCGTAACTTGGGTAACGGTAACTTCAGATGTCTCGACAGCGGTGGCCAGAGAGGTCTCGTTCTCGGTGATCTGGGTCGTTAACGTGTCTGTAACCTCCGTTGTCTGCGTCGAGCTGAGCACTCTCGTCTTGATAGCAGTTTCTGTCCAGAACTGATAGGCCGTGGCAGTAGTGACAACGTGACAGACTGGGGTACCAATCGCCTTGTGGGTGTGCGCGCAGTAGGACACCAGAGGTGCGAAAGTCGACAAGCACTGAAACTTCTTGTACAGCTCTTTGGTGCAGCACGGCGCGTGAGGATAAGCCCAGGTTGCAGACCCCAGCAACACGGCCACGGTAGCGACAACGATCCTGGCGTGCATTGTGAGTTGCGATTCGAGTTCTGGTCGGATTGAGAGCAGTGCGCGGACGTCCAGATGCCAAGAACGGCCTGTTCATGCAAAGAGGAACCCTCGTGGTCTTATGTAGCGCCATGATTAGCCACTCCCCGGATTTCCTAGTCTCCTGGCTGCTCCGAGTCCACAACGCACTTAGCTAAACTCATCTCGGGCGACGGTGTGGCTGGCTGATCTCAGGACGGGTTAGTATTCAAGCGTAGTAGATGCCGCGCGTTCTGCATCCTAGCTTTCCATCTCCTTAGTGAACTTTTGGTTCATATGACCCGCCGCGTGTAGGCTTGCATACTAGGCTGGTGTGGCGCATGTCCTTTCCACTTTTGCCCCACGTTAATTTCATGGCGGTGCTAGTTAGGTCTCTAAGTTCAGTCTAAGATCCCCTTTCCGGCGCTACAGTGAGAACCTCGGAAACGGGGAATCAGACTTGGCCCTGATATCCCGAAAATTACTCTGTGTTTTCCACCGATAGCTGTCAATACTCAAGCCAAGCCAGAACTCGCTTGAGTCCTAGATGCGCTTCATAGACGACGGCTCCGAGCTTAGCACGAGGTTACAGCATATGCGCGCACTATACAACCTGTTATGTAGTTTATAGGTACCTGCACTTCTCCATTACGCCTTGAAATCCGGACGTGTTCAACTTTGTCTTGCGCTCCCTGAGCTGTAAACTCCTCTGGTTTTACTGGCAATTGATGTTAAGTGTCTCGCTGGTGATGAGGGATAGCATGATAGGGTAGCCTCTCCTGTATGTTTCATTTGACGGGCTATAAGAAAAGAAAGGACTGCTCGTAGGAATCGCAAATGAGCCTTCTCCGATCTACAATAATGAACCGTATGCCTGCTGGTAACAATGATACACGCAGTTTTGGTGCGCTCATATAAGCGAGTAAATTAGGAATGGCGAATTAGTAAGCTCTTACAGGTGGCTACACGTACTAAGGCAACATACCCCTCCCAGAGGAAGCTCGATTCGCACCAGATTGAGAACGCGGTGCGCGTACTCAAGATGGACACCTCGCCTCTCGGATGCGCGCTCTTAACGAACAAAATCAGCAATAAGGACAACACCTGGCACGTACGACCATAGGACTGAGAAAATTAGGGGTCCCGTCCGCTCCCCCATATACAAGCTCAGTACCGCCGAACTAGTAGTTGGGTCGGTGACGACCAGCGAATCCTCGGTGTTGTACGTTTCTTTTTTTTCTTTTTGGTTTTTCCTCCCCCGCCCTCGGCTGAACGCTCTAGCGCACCGATTCGAGGGAAACCGTGTGTAAATCAAGTGAGACTGCTGATAAAGGCCCCACGCGGCACTCTGGGCAGATCTCGGGGAGGAGTCTGCCAATGTCATCAGTGCTCAGATTTGCGCAATCCATGGCCTCCAAAGGCTTGCTGAGCAGATATCCCCATCGCGAGCTGTAACAGGAGCTACAGGAAGTGAAATGCATCAATTATATGGCCTAGACCCTGGACAATACGCAACTATTTAGCCGGATATGAAGCAGTAGTTAGTCGTTCCGCGACATGAAATGCTGAGATGAGAATTTATATGTCGAGAACAACTCACGGGCCACGGCCAGTCATGATAAATCGACAGCCCAGTGTTGTGCAGAGGTCTGCCACTAAGTTCCCTTCTGCCCACTGCTCCACATATAACCAAAGGCCCAAGACAGCACCTTTAGTTGGGATAGTGTCCGTCCACAGGAGAGTTGCCAATGGGCGGCAGGACATTGCCGGCGAACTGCCCTACATAGTTGCCAGCCGGGCTATAGTCGCAGACGGTGAAAAACGGAGCCCTGCCGCCTGGCGCGCCCTGAATACCTGTAGCCGAGCAGTCCATGGTATAGCAACCGATCCTCATGGTATTGTACCACACCAGCTGCGTGAATTGTGAATAGGTGCTAAAGTCACCGCCAGGATTGGCTTGGCCGTAGTATGGCGCGTAGTTGTTGACTTGGGCGTAGTAGAAGTCCCCCGTGATTAACGCGCCGATCCCGGCCACCGTGGCGGGATAGCCTGCACCAATATTTTGTCCCGCCGGGGCATCGTCGATAAATGGGTTGGTGTATGCATAGGTGCAAGTCTGGGCCACGGCCTTGGCATTCAGGTAGAGTGTGGGGTCCCAGATGACGTCCGGTGCTGAGTGGTTGACCCGATGGATGTTGTGATGTACGAGGGCAGCATTGATGTAGTCTGTACTCATATCGGAGGGTGTTGGCAATACGGAAGTGGTTGTGCTGCTGGTTGTGCTGCTGGTTGTGCTGGTTGTGCTGGTGCTGGTAGAAGAGCTTGTTGTCGTCGTTGACGTGCGAGTTGGTGACGAAGCGCGAGGAGGACGCACGCAAACCTCAGTCTTGGTAGAGGTCGCCGCCTTCATAATGGTCTTCCGAGGCACGCCGACGCAGATGCAGGCCGAAAGATAGAGCAGAGGCCGATCGCCCTGAGCACGTGAGAACTTGGGCTTTGGAGGGCAGTACGCTGACGGCGAAATGGCCGCGGCAGTGTTGACAGGCGGCTTGGCCGTGGAGGTCACGGTCACGGTCACGGTCACGAAGCTTACTTTGATACTTGTGGCCGTGGGAAGGGAAGAGCAGTACGCAACGGCGGAGGCCTTGTGGTTCTTGAAGCAGCAGGCGAGCTGGTCGTCGCAGATGGCGCGTTTTGGTGAGTTGTCAGGATGGGCGAGGTAGGCCGCGGAGGACGGGCGAAAACGGCCAAAGAAGCCAGCGAGAAGAACACTACGCATTGTGAGTCAATCAAGCGCCGATTCTGCGAGGTCACACCGCGTCAGGGATCCAGAAGACATGAGGCACGATGGGCAGCCAGCGATGCTTCCCAGCTTTTATTCAACTAAATCACTGCAGATAGGAGCATGCCATCAAGGTTTAGGGTTGATCCCTGCTCTGAGTCTGGGGGCGTCCGGTTTCCCGAAGACAATTGTTCTAGACCCCCGGTCAGGAAGAAGGACCAGTCTTGACGTGTTGCTTTTTTCTTTTTTGTGGGCCGGGCATTGTTTGTGATCTAGAACCACCAGAGTGGCTTGCTTGGTGCCTGTGGAGGGGCAAGGAGGTCGAGCAGCAACTTTGTATTTCAATTGCAAATCGTTTTGGCATCGTAACGCTCATCTTTATGGCCAATGACATCTGTCCTCATCGTCTTTGAAAATATAATACTATAAATTGAATGAGAGAAATTTCTTGATCCGACAGCCTGCCAGGGCCCGCAGGCCTGCCAGGGCCCGCAGGCCTGCCTATATCAGGCTACTTACGACTCGTCCATGCGAGACCAACGACGCCTCAGACTTACAGTTTTACGCGGCTTCATTCTCGCATAACTCCCACTTCGTCGAGCATTCAACTATGTTTGGGGCGATGAGGTCGGCCACATTCAGGCCCAGATGCGCCGAAGTACCCTTGGCACGACAATGGCGATGATAGCGCGATGTGTCAATTGGTCCATTGGCAGGCCGTCGAAAGTTGACTGGTAGCGTCCCGCGCTGAACGCCAAGCAGGGAGGGGTGTCGGCGATAATTCTTTTGAATGCCTCCTCTGTGACCCGGATAATGGCTCCGCGAGACTCGGGGAGATCCTCCCACTTGCCAAAGGTTGGAAAGGGGTACTGGTCATGTCCGGCACGCTCGCTATCCCAGGTATTAACGTAAAGGACCCGGGCCGTTCTTGGACGGCGCTCGAATCCGGCCTTGGTATTATATTGAAGTCCCGGAATCATAGCACCTTGCTGTATATATATATATCGCATTGGCGCCGAAATCGTGCCGAAATCGTGCTGCTGCATAATGTGTATTCCTGTGCTGCGGGGTCCGAGGTGCGAACGAGTTAACAGCTTCGCACCGGGGCCTGCACCTGGTACATCGATACGGCATCCTTGAGACCCGAGTGTGTGAAAGAGATGGTCATTCAACGACACTGCAGTCGTAGGCGGTATAAGCGGCATGTTTGATGAATGGCTCAGCTTATCGACATGCTCTTTCGCCGGTGTAGAGGAGTACATACTGAACCAGAGTACAAGCGTGCATACCGGAGTCGTGTCGCGAGACAAACACTAGAAAAGGTGGGCATAATTCAAACCATGACCAGATGCTGGAAGAGGGGGAGGCTCGAGTTGAGGGCAGGAAGCGCCCTGCCGCAGATCGGTTCGCGCATAGGAATTTCTGCCCTCGACCACCATAAGGACACCCCCACTGCCCGCGTTCGCCTCAAAGGTCTACCTGGGAATGGTACTGCAGCTTGATATCACTGACTGAGAATACTTCCAGGCCTCGGCAACCCCACCCGGCCCGACCTTGCTACATCTCTTGCAGAGCCTTGTCCCGCGACAGTAGCATCTAGTCGGCTACCCGCTCTTCCGTACTCCCGCTCTTCCGACCGAGGTTGATTCACCCTCTTCCCGACCAGCTGGACTACGAACGGAAAGACCGTAAGGCTATGCTGCCAAGACGTCAGACCAATTAGCCGGACGGGGCACAGGCCAACCCCAGCCAAGGAGCTAAGCCCTGCGCAAAGGGGGCGGGTAATGGTCCGATAGGGACAAAGTCAGCCTGGAACCAGGTTTCAGGGTCTCTTTCTCAGCCGCAAGATCCACTTCACTGGAATTTCCTTTATCCTGCCTTAATGGCCGGGGTGTGGTGGTGCATTTGATTGCAGTGTAGCATTCGTGAGGGCCATTACATAGTAGGCTGCGCCGCCTTGGCGAGGAGAACTGACTATGGAGTGATGAGAACCAAGTCCTTGCGAGGCGAGTGGGGGTACCCGCAACTTGCAGGGTTTCCGGTGTAAGAGCGGTCACGCTTGCTCGCGATAGACGCACCAATGGCCGCTCAAAAGTCAACTCTTGGCAGGCACAGGGCTGAGGCATGCTGGACGACGCCTGATCTTGTCGAGGGAGGGAGCCCATAGCTATACTGAGCGTCGCGAGTCAGGAGTCCTGTCAACGTGCCATCTTCATGGATGATCCTAGCTACACTCATACAGAGCCGGGTTCTAAATGGGGTGTTTCTGGCCCGCACGTTCCTAGCCTGAAATGAGCCGAGGGGTCCCCTGTTTTTCCTCTCAGCCTCTCCCTCAATGTGTAGTCATTAGTTGTGGGCAGTTTGCCGATGCTCATGGGTCGCGGGATTCCGCGCCGAAAGACCCGGAACATTTCTAAGGTGCCGATTAGAGAGGTAAGAGAGGCCTCACCACAAGACGCCATGATATAACATCATCAGACAACCTCACTTCTCATCGACCGATAGTTCCGTCTCACAAACTACTATACATTACCCTCAGACCATCATCTTCCTCAACATCATCATCGTCACCAACACCACCATCAAACTCGACTAAGCAACATCCCCTTCATCATGCCGGCATGGATGGAAAAGTTTATCACACGCGAAGACGTGTCCCCAGACCCACGGCGTAGCAGCGGCGAGCGCCCAGCCGTGGACGTACACTACACGGCGCTCCATGGAGGACACAAGCGCATCCTCGGCATGCAAGGGGACACCGAACCGCGGTGGGTGGTTGAGCGGTAGTCGGTGCTTGGCGCGTGGGGGAGCAAGGTCAAAGTCACCCGCGGCGCCGGTGGCGACGATGGCAAGAAGGACCAAGGGACGAAACTTGCCGTGATCGACTTCCACAACCTCACACTGCATCCGCACATTGAGCTGGACAGACCAGACTACGGGGTCACGAAGGTGTCCTTAATGGACGGGCAGTTCGACGCGAGCGAATGCTCCGACGGCGCGCTGGGCATACTGCGCCGTAAGGAGACGGGCAGCGCGTACAACGGCGCGGCAACCTGGGAAATGCGCACATTCGACCCGTCGTTGGACGCTGCTGCGGCGGCGGCGGCGTCTGAGCTGATAGTGTCGGCATCCATCGACGCCGGCCAGCTCAACGGCGTCATCAGCATCTGGAGGGCCGGGCTGAGCGAAGAGGCCATCGAGCAGCTCGTGCTCGTAGCTGTCTCCCAGATAGAGTACATCAAGTTCATAACGAGGATCAGCCAGCGGTCTGCGGTCATGGGCGGGGGCAGGGCGACGTGGATGGTAGCTCAAGCCCTTTGAGTTCGGCTCCTGGTGTGCAGAGATGGACAAGGGCAGTTAGTCCTTAGCATGCAATTGATTTGAGAGACTTGTACCTCGAGTACCTATCCCTAGAGTGCCCTGTACGTACTTGATGGACACCGCAGTTCGGCGAGATAGTGAATACACTGCTGAAACTATACCATGAGTCTCTTCTATGCTGCCCTGGGGCTTGCCTCCCAGCTCTTCGCGGGGTCCTCAGGCCCACGCCATCCCCCGAAAGTATCAAGCTGCCCGGTCCATGGGCCTGTCCATGGTCATTATTCGATACGATCCAGATGGTTTATGTATAGTCTGCTCCTCCTCTAACTGTGCAAATTGCACAGCCAACTTCTAAAACATCTTTCTCTCCCTCGCAGTTTCTTCACCATCATCTCGGAAGCCCCTGAAACCACTCGTTCGCCGAGTCCTGCCCGCCTGTGCCCGGCGAGCATTCGAGCTCACGCTAAGGGGTTGGGAGTTCCCCGACAAGTACGCCGCCCACGAGTGTTCTGTGCCCATCGTTCGTGCTCGTCACGACGGGCACGAACGGCCGTCCCGGCTGTGACAAACGCCCATACTGACGCGCAGGCGCGACTTTGCCCACCACGAGGTGACAACGAAGGTCATGGGGCCCCTTTGGGCACAACATCATCACGGTAGGATTAGAGCGGGATATCAGCACATGGCGGAAGTTCGCTGGCTGACAACCAACACTCTGCGTCCCAGGTCCCAGTGACGAGTCCTGGTCCCGCCAGTGCCCGGCTTATCGCGCCAGCCCTCAACGAGTGCATCAGCGCTGGCGTGTCTCGGCGGAGAGCACGGAGCAGGCCAACAGTCTCGTCGATGTGTTGCTCTCGTCGACGGCCAGCACACCAACGTTTCCCTATGTCTCGCGAGAGCATCGCCGGCCTCTCCACATAATCGCCATCACCGTCCTCAAGCGCACTGCACAGGGTCGACCCGCCCCCTTTTGTCCTCCCCACAGCGTCAGCTGCCACGCCAGCGCCACACACGGACATGCCCCTACGTCGAAGCGAGGGCCCTATGTGCGAGGGCCTGCCAAGCAGAGATTTTCTCATGTCCAGATTTATTGGGGTTCGGGACATGGGACTGATCCATTAAACTTCAAGGACCTGGGCCGTTCTTGGATTAGCTTGAAATTTGTCCTTGGTATCATATTTTAAGTCCCGGAATAATAGCGTTATATAGAGAAATCGCAGCGGCTTGGTATATCTACTGTGACCTGCAAGGGGTTAATTTCACTAAGGTACCACACCTACTAGGAGCTTGCGGGCACTTTATCTACCGTAGCAGCTCCTCGTCTATCGTCTGTAGTGCCGGCCCCCTATCTATCAAGGTGTCCTATTCATGACGTGCTATCGATGTATAAATGAATTCCGGCATGGTTTGATGAGGGACCGCGGCCGATGATGTACTCAAGCTTGCGTGAAATGGCGTCACGAATGACAAGGCTGTCCAATTCAAGATCGAGGCTGCTGCTCGTCGTCACGCAGCCAGTCAAACGTGTCCATCAGTTGGAAGTTGAAGATGGGCATGTCCTCCGAGGGCATCCACTCATGCAGCGGCTCAACGTAGTTCAGAGACCCCGATGATGAGGCCAATAACACATCTCCATTGTTGGCCAGCATCGCTTGCTGCGAGGGGGCGTCGGCCGTGAACTGGCCGACTGCGGTGCTGGGCGCTATCGCCGGTACGCCGAGGTTGTTGAGGTGGTGGTCGAGCACACGCTTGATGACGACCTTGCAGTCTGCGCAGAGCTCGCCGTTGGGAGCGGACGGCTTGATCCAGTCGAGGAAGTTGACGAGCAGGGTCAGGCTCTGGATGATGCTTGACCGGCTGATCTTGGCGTCTTTGAAGTGCGTGCCCGTGAACGTGGGGCGGAGAAGCTCCAGGCAGAGGACGCCGCCGGCTGGCGCGCCGTATTCCATGACCTGATATGAACAGAGCAGTTAGCGGATCGTCAAGAGTTTAGTTTATCAGGATGGGTTCACAGGGCCAGCTGATTACGGGCGCTACTTACGAACCACTCAAAGTTCCGCCTCATTGCGTGATCTGAGAAGCGGTCCCTGTCATTCCACACTACCAGGATGAGCGAGAGCATTGCGAAAGTTGTGACCAGCAGGTCTCCGTCATCAGATGGGAGGGGATCGTGCAGCTGGATCAGTCTGCGGATGAAGAACTGCGTCTGCAGGAGCTCGAGCTGGCACGCGATCTGGAAGTACAGAAGCGCCGTAGGCACGTTGGGATTGGTGAGATGCTCGGGTTTGTACTTGAGCGACGCGGGAAAGCCTTCGTACGTATCCATCAGTCGTTGGTATAGGTTCCTTGCCGATGTTAACATTCTGGCCAGAGCAGTGGGCGTTTGCGATTCACTCACAGTAGAGATTCGCGACCGGGCCGCACGCTGGGGTCAAGAGCTATCTCGTAGAGCTCATCGCGGATCCGAGCAGTCATGCTTCGCACACGCATCAGGGTTGACGAGTTGACTTGTCCATTCTTGCTCCAGCCGTTGCTGTCAAGATTGGCGAGAGCCGTAGCCAGCCGAGCAGGATCCCACAGGTCCGCGTCTGCGATGTCCAGCGGCAAAGGCGTCGACCAGAAACGTCGGCTCGTGATGGGCGGTCGACCAGTAAAGGAGACGCCCAGCTTGTCAGACGTGAAGACGTGGGCACACAGGCGCCGCTGGTACTCTGAGCAGAAGGTGGGCTGGTAAGGCTCGGGGCCGTTCGTATGAGCGTGCATGCCAAGAAAGGTGGCCATTGTCACGGCCGCGGCATGGTATTTGAACCCAGACATTCCTGCAGAGTCGTCATGTTAGATTCCGCTTGGGGGGGAAGCAAAAAAACAGAAGGCCGAGTCGCATCACTCACTTGCGTCACCATGAACCATCGAGTCTTGCGTGCCTGCACGCCGGTTGAGGTCGACGAGTAGGACGTTGGCCTCGGCGAGGCTGGAGGCCACCTCGATGCAGTACTTGACGCAGACAGTGACAATGGCAGAAGCCTCCCTGCCGCCGGCCCATTCGAGCCGGCTTGTGGTGACAGCATCGAACATGTCCGACACGCGGTCGAGATACAGCCACATTAGGCCCAGTGCCTCCCAGCGAAGCCGGGGCCCGCTGAATTGGTCCAGCCACTCTAGATGGGTGGCACAGTCGTCCTTCATGGGCTGGGCGGTGTTGTCGCAGAGCATCTCTGCCATGGCCACCAAGCCCTCGTCGCCGAGGTGGCGGATCTCGTCGAGGCACCCGAGGATGGAGCTCGAGATGTGGTCCACCACTATGTCGCCCCAGACCTTGTGCTCGCTGGGTTCGGCCGTGGAGCTCGCAGCGCTGCCACCACCACCACTCAGAGCGAGGATCTCGTTGGCCTGGCCGGGCAGGCAGCGGAGGACATACATGCACATTTCCCGGAAGGGGCCAGGCCTTTCTCTAAAGGGTATCCGCGAGCGGTGACGCCTGTTGCTCGCGCCTGCTCCCGAGGGGCTGTGGGCTCCTGCCCCTGGAGGCTCGAACGGCCGGTGTGAGCAGGCAAACATGGCGAGGCTGTTCTTGGCCTCTTCGAAGACCACGCCGTGGCTGAGCAGGCCCCAGTATCCCGGCACGACCGTCGGCCTGTCGGGCACGGCGTCGCTGGTGTCTGACTTGGAAGTCGGCGCATCGAGCTGGGCCAAAGACATCCTCGAGCTGGAGGGGGATGTCGGGGCTGAGGACAGGGACAGCTGCTCTGCCCGGCCGAGCACGCCCGCCGACGACGACTGGCTCTGATGCGGACGGGGCCGCGGGGGCCTCGAGGCGGACGACGGGGAGCTGCGCAGGGCAGGCTCGCGGTAGACGCAGTTCATGTCGTTGGCGCGCTTCTTGCAGCGCTTACAGACGGGCTGGCCGTGGTCGCAGGCGAGCTTGCGGGCGCGGCACGGATCACAGGCCGCCGCCCGGCCGTTGAGCCGGCGGGGTAGCGCCGGGCCTGGCTGCTGCTGCATGGCGGGTTCTGGTCCATCGAGGACCCCTGGAGTCGTGTTTGTGTTGTATTGTGTTGATGTTGGTGATGTCCAAATCAAGTGGGATGCACCAAATAGCAGTTGTTGCAGCCTGAGGCCGTTGCAGTCCAGTTGCAGGGCGGCGGTACTGGCTGAGTCAGCGCCGAGATCGCTCTGTGGCTGGCCGGATGACTCAGCATAACACAACATACCCTAGGTATTGTAAGTAGACTCACACGGGCATTGCAGTCCAGAGAATCCTCGGAGCGGTATTCAAATGTGTCAATCAGAATCATATCAACTCCTTGCTATCATGAACAGGTACCTCAAAGTGTCACAAGTCTTCGAGCATGCGAGCCCGCAACTTCTAGGAACAGCAAGTGCATGTCATTCCCCGGGTTGTTCGCTATTGCAACGCAAGTTGAGAACAGACCGAATTCCTTTGAGCTCATGGAAGTGATCTGCCGTGCATACAAGTCCAGCATAGAGGCTTGCGCGGCCCGTCAGCATGGGGCGGAACCCTCGGCCCCTTGCTAAGGGGAACCCTGGACGCGCCAATGCCTACTCTCTAAACCCCCAAACCCCCAAACGCGCGGGGGAATTTTTGCGTGGTCATTGCTCTAACACTGCCGGGCTCACAAACAGGAAACCATTTTTTCTACTCTGGGAGCCGCGAAGAAAGCGGAACACAGCCGCGGCCATGGCGCAATGTCCGCGCCAGGGTGTTGGCAGCCAGGACCCCCTGGTCACTGTCACCGTCACGGTGCCGCAGCCTTGGGGTTGGGTCAGCCGTCACCATGTCCGGCAGGGGTGTCACTGCACGGCTCGTTGCAGAATCGACCACGCCTATAAGCAGAGTGGTGCCACAATCGCCGCCCCGAGAGATTGTGTGGTTTAAACTGCGACCACAGCCTTATCTCGGGCTCGGCCAGCCCGTCAGGGCCCTCTCTGCCACCAGCCAGGAGCGCGGACGGGTGGTGTTTGGAGAGGCACTAGGGTCCGCTGCCTGACATGTTTCCGCTACTCCAGGTTTCTGCTTTCTGTATATCCTCCCCCTCCTGTTATCATCCTGTCCCGAGCTGCTGAGCTCCCGGAGCTCTCCTTTCTGGGGCAACTTGGCAGCCCGTAGCGCTCCTTGACGCGGTGCATCCTTTCCCCTTCAAGGAAATGACGCGCGCCCACGGGAACTTTGTCGTATCAGGTTTCGGTCACCCTGCTGCACATCACGACCAACTGCATATCACCCCTGTTCGAAACAGCCTGCCACAACCGGGTATGTCCGTGCAAGGGGTTTGGCCTGGCTGGGCAGACACTTCCCCAGCCTCCATGCCACCCCGAGGCCACAGGGCTCAGCTGCGATCTGATAGTTGCTAATATAAGTTTGAACCGCACTGGCATACCTCCGCGTGCTTAGTCGAGTGTTTTCCTCCAAAGGGACTCCACGATCGAATCGAGACTACAGCCACACGTTCCCATCATGCCAGTCCGGAATGCCAAGCGCCCTCTCCTAGAAGAGCTACAGGAGATCCTCGGGGACACAAGGGATAGTCTCAAACACTGGGACATGGTCCATTGCTTGGCCACGACAGTCAGGGGGCATCAATGCACGAAAAAAGCCAAGAAAGTCAACATACCACCCGCCAAACGTCTGCTCGACGGCATTAGAGAAGCTGGAGAGTCGTGGGAAGCTCAGGAGTGCATTGAGGACTTGGAGCTATTCCTGAGCCACGCGACCTGCTCGGCCTTTGGAGCCGAAGGCCCTTACGGCAGGGGGCACTACGCCAAGGCGAAAGAACAGCTCGAGAAGTGGAAAGCAACACATGTACCTGATGGGATTCTGATCAGCCAGGACGAACTCGGCCAAGACATCGGCGAGCAGTCAGCAGAAGAGGAGGCGCCGGCCTCTACCAACACCATGCACGACGACACGGTGGCGTGCCAAGATGTGCCTGACGAGGCGGCGCCAAAAGCGTGCGGCGGCACGAACACTGATACAGACATCGGGGCGGATGAATTGGCAGTTGACAGCTGCGACACCGCTCATGGTAGCCCTGTGTCCAGAGGAATCAATCACACCGGTGTGAACGCAAACGTTGCAGACCTGAACGAGAGCGTGGCAACCCTATCGCTCACCTCGACAGCTTCGACTATCGCGACGATCGCGGAGACCTCCGACAGCACTATAGCAAGCGATATATCTTCGCAAAGCTGCGAGTCCGTCCCCGAGATCGACATGTCGGAGGCATCGACGCAAGACGCCACACAGCAAGAGTCTGAAGACGCCCAGGCACCTACGTCCGACAACACGGCCAGCGGCACGGAAGCTCGCCTGGCACATCTCAAACTCGTCATGAGCGGCGATCGCGCGGTCCTGTACAGCGCGATCACAAACCCTCCCACCCCCCACGACCTCGAGGAAGCGTCGCTGTACATCTGCAAGCACGACACAGCGACAGGGAAGGAGCTGTTCTATATCGGCTGGGCCCGCGGCGACCCAATGACTGATGTGTCCCAGAGCTGTTACGCAGGACAAGCGTCAGTGAGCGTTATGGTGGGGGGAGGCGAGAAAAGATTCAAGGGGGCAGCTCGGGCGAGAAAGATCATTGCGGCAGCGCTCGCGGATTCCAGACGCCGCGATACTACCAACTGCACCACCGCGGACTGCCGGCTGAACCACCGCGACTGGTTCCAGACCACGCCCGAGCTCGTCGATGTCCTGGTGAATACCTGGTCTTGCTTTGTAGGCCTGGCCTACGGCCCCGACGGGCGGATCACGGAGCAGGGCGTTACAGTCATGGATGTCCTCTGTCAGATCCCCGGACTGACTGCGATTCCGGCGGCTGTGGCTCCGGACGGGGATGATAATGCGGCGACACGATCGATTGTCGGGCCGACGTTTAACGAGATCATGCATAAGCTTGAGAAGCAGCTGCCAGAGAGAGTATCTGCCCAGATTCGCAAGAGCATTCCCGCGGGATTCTGGGCTGGCCTTCACCTTGCCGGTGCCAAAGTGAAGGGCAAGGTGAAGGGCAAGGTGAAGGGCAAGGTGTCCAAGGTCAAAGGCACCATCGCGAAGGCAGGCAGAAGCTCACGCGAGCCGACTCCGTGCGAGGACGTAGTGGCGGAGGACCCCAGTGACAGCTCCTGGCATGGGAGGATCGGGACAAGGAGCAGTGCCAAAGCCGGTTGAAGAGGTCTCGACTTGGGTCTGACTGGACTTTTGGAGGCTTGCTTGATTCCGACTCTGGTGCACGCCCTTGCTGGCGATTTCGCTTGAGCTGATAGTGTATTGAAATATATTTCACATCTCTCGAGCGTGAGAATTGGAAAGGGCTGTATAAGGGAAGTGTCACCACGCCGACTTGTTCTAGTTCTATTCATCGGACTGAAACGCATTGCCCCTATATTTACGTATATTTTCGGGATTCACTCAACCAATCAAGCCGTGTCAGACGGCTTGTGGGGTCATGGCAAGGGCGCACACTGACTCACCAGGCTGACCATGGCCCGTTGTCTGTGTCTTCACCTTGCTTGCAGTAGTCTTCCAACCTCCTCTGCAAAGGACAATAACATACATCCTTCGACCTTCACCAACCCCCCGCCTCGTCATGAATCCAGCCCACCTCCCGCTACACCAGCAGCTCGCGCACTTGCGCACTGTCCTGTCCACCAACAAGACGCTCGTCGAGGTCCTTGAGCGCGCCGCCACTCTGAGGCTTCCCAACTGGTACCTGGCAGCCGGGGCAGTGTCCCAGACGATCTGGAACCACGTGTCCGGCTTCCCTCCCGAGACAGGCATCCACGACTACGACCTCATCTACTTTGACGACACGGACCTGTCCTATGAGGCCGAGGACGCCGTCATCCAGTCCAGCCGGGCCCTGTTCGAGCCGATCCAGCCCGACGGCGGCCCGGGGGACGACGGCGACGACAAAGCCAAGGTCAAGGTCGACGTCGAGATCCGCAACCAGGCGCGCGTGCACCTGTGGTACGAGAAGCGCTTCGGCGTGCCGCTGGACCCGCCGCACGCGAGCAGCGAGGCCGCCATCGACACCTGGCACAGCACGAGCGCCCAGATCGCCGTCCGCCTCGAGGACGACGGGCAGTGGTCCGTGTACGCCCCGCGCGGGCTTTCCGACTTCTTCAACATGCAGGTTCGGCCAGCGCCCCGGCTCGGCACGAGGCAGGCGTACGAGGACAAGGTGCGGCGGTGGCGGCAGATCTGGCCGGCGCTCAAGGTGGAGCCTTGGCCCGAGAGGACAGAGGCAGGGGAGAGAGCCCGGGCGCAGGATAAAGGTTCTCAGGCTTGAACCTTGTTTTTCGTGGGGGTCATGAGGGAGCATGTTAGCGCATGTCTTGTTGCCCAGCTTGGTCTGTCTGCTGACCCGGACGGGTTGGTTGCCCACCACAAATACACTTTGAGCAACGCTCATAGCTTACCAGTATGCCTAATTGGGCCACACCAGGATCGAGTTGTTCGCCGACATCTGCCTACGCGGAATCTTGGCCCGTCCCGAGGTGGTGCTTATTGAAGCAAGGCCCGAGACTTGCATGTTGCCAGCCAAGCTATTTATATAAAACTGAGACATTGAACAATGTTGGGTCAAATGATTGCTGAAAGGTCTGCCTCGAATAACACGCAAACAGTCACGATCACAGCTTTATTCCAAGGTACAAACATCTCGCATTTCAAAGAAACACTTCAACCAACGGTCACTACTTCGCGGCGAATCATCACAATGTCCCCATCAAACAACACTACCATCCAACGCCTCCTACTCCTCAAGATCGCCTCCGAGGCGGATCAGGACCGCGTCATCTCCTTGTTCACCGAGATCCCCGCCAAAGCCCGGCGCGATGGGAAGCCATACATCCTCAACATGAGAGGTGGAACCGCGAGCAGTACCTCATTCTCACAGGAGGCGCGGACACAAGGGTACACAGTCGCCATGGTCACGGAATTTGCGTCGGAGGACGACGTCAGGTTCTGGGACGCCGAGTGCGTGGCGCACGCGGAGCTCAAGAAGATCGCAATGCCCCTTCAGCAGGGTGCCATGGTCATGCATTGGACTAACCAGATTGCTGTTTGACGGGACAGGGGATATCATAATTTGTTATTTGGCGAGGAAGGCGTTCAATCACATTGGCTACAGACGAGAGGTTTAAGCTGCACTTTGGAATCAGTCACACGAAGACAGAGCTAGTCATTCCAATTGGATCCAACATATTTTCCTGTGCCGCTCCTTGCCATAAATAGATGGATACTTTGAACTTGGCCTGCATTCTACGGCGTTGTTGTCCCTTGCGTATACACATTGAAGGTTAAAGTAAAAAATAAAATCCAATGTTAGAGTGTGATCCTTCTCATTACAGCAAAGAGTTCTTCTTCAGCTCTTCCAAGCAACAAGCCAAGTCACCCGTGTTTGCTGCACAGGCGTACACGAACCAGTCCGGCCGGAGTATCGCAAATCTTGTGGACCGTCCCAGGCGTGCCACGACTGCATCATTCGGGGAAACAGGATAACACACGCGACCCCTATCGACTTCCGCATCGGTCTTGTCTCCCAGCTGGCTACTCTTCGACAAGACAACAATGGACTCTTTCGAAAAGAGCTTCGGAGAAACAGACGCTGCCTGGATGGCCGCCTCCGCCTCGGCGCAGAGTCGCGGTGTATCCCCACCATCTTCACCACCGATGACGAGCAAAGTGAAGATGCTGTCATGCGAGCGGAGAAGGCTATCAGACAGGATCGTCTTGTCGCTGCCACCGCCGCCGCCGCTTCGCAGCAAAGTCTGCGCGAGGCGGATACCACCGCGATAATCCTTGAGACTGAAGCCGCCGGGCACACGCGAGAAGCCCCTGACCTCGACGACCCTCATCGGCTCGACGTGGCGCCAGACCGGGGGACACCTGCTCAGAATCTTGGCTACGAGCACGCTGAAATACCTCGCCCAGGTCAGCTCGTTGTTGCACAGGGATCCGAGCACGCGGGACATGTAAGCCGCGTCGTTGACGCTCTGTCGCCGTTCGAGGGCCCATGCGTCCAGCACTCGTTTGACGCGCTGGTCCTCCCCGATTGCCTTTATTGCTGAAGGCTGCGCTGGAGACGGTGCAAGCAAAAGCAGCGCAAGACGCCAGGCGAGCTGATGCGCGTCCCTCATCCCACTCGCCACGCCCTGCCCGGCAAACGGGGGAAACACGTGCGCCGCATCCCCAATCAGGATCGTCCGCCCGTCGAACCAGCGGTCGACGCACTTGTGCACGAACTTGAACGGCCGGCAGCGCAGGATCTGGATGCAATCGCGCGGGAACGCGACGGGCTGGCCGAACTCGACCACCCCTTTCTCTTCTCTTGCGCCTCTGTTGCTGCCAGGAAGAAGAGCAGAGTTGTCCCGTTCGAGCGTGACGCTTGGCATCAAGTGCTCCCACAACAGCTTCTCCGAGTAAATGGGTTCGCTGCTCTCGTCGTGCACGCGGAACTCGTGCCGCCAAGTCCGGTCTTCTGGCGGACCAAAGCGTCCCGTCGCCGTGGGCTTGCCTGGTGGGGAGCAGAAGTGCCACCCAGTCGGCCAGAAGACGTCGTAGACCTGCTCGGGGGTGTAGCCAAGTTTCCAGAGTGGGAAGTCCGGGTGTGAGTCAGGGGTCGGCAGCGTGATCTTGAGATTGCTCGCGACCCAGACGCCTTCGTACGGGTAGATGCCCTCGAGCTGGCGGATGCCGGCCGTTGGCTCGAGGAAGTGCTTCCGGACAATACCCGTCTTGCCGTCGGCTCCCACGAGGAACTGACCTCGTATTGTCTTTTGGACGCCGTGCTCGTCTGTGTAGTCAATGACGGGGGGGTTGGTGTCGATCGACCGGTGACTGTGCATCCAGAGCGTAGTTGGCAGTGTGGCGAGCCTTTGATCAGGCTCCTCATAGCCTCCTCTGGTTGATTGTGTTGCGCGTCAGTGCCCGTCCAATGACGTGATCGGAGACAGCAGTCAAAGGAACGAACCTAGCCTTGGCTGGCTCATCTGTAGCCCTAGAGGCAGAGAATGTTCGAGAGTGTCGTCCGCCATTGGCATTTGGTAGAAAGGTACACTGTCGAAGGTGGTCCGGTGGAAGTCGACATGAGACGCCTCTGGGACACACGTATATCCCGTTAGCAATTCCCAAATGGTCTAGCATATATCGAACTGCTATCGTTGTTGACTTACTGTGCCCTATCGAGCTGATCGCAGGCCCCAGGCCCAGCCCATGGAGAATGCGCACAGCATCGCCGCTGAGCCAGACGCCACGAGGGTCTGTTGCGATACCAGGCTCCCGCTCTAGGATAACTGACTTCACATTGTGCTGCCCAAGAGCTAAGCCGAGTGCAAGTCCCGAGGGGCCTCCGCCGACGATGATGACGGCTGTTTCTTCCATGAGGGCGAGTAGTGGGGATTACCTGCTTGCGATTGATGGGAAAAGGCAATATGTAATGAGTAGGATTGAGACCTAGTGTCCCTTCCAAGACAGCTGTGCATCTCCGAGTCGTCTAGAAGGCAACAAAGTAGAGGTGATTGAGTACGGTAATTATAAATTTCCTGCCCTTCACAGTTGAAAGGTGACGAATGTCGAGAGCATGAACGACCCGGCCCGACCGCTGTGGCCAGCGTCGAGGCGACCCGATGTCTGGGAGAGGCCGCGGCGAATCCGGCATGCCCGATAGTGTCACCCACCCTGCTGGGGCTCTCGGTGCTTCCTGAGAGGAATCTCAGTTGGTGCTGAACCGCGCTCGTGCGGCAAATGGCCAGGCGTGCTGGCAAGCTGCTGAGCCACCGCTGATGGGGTTCCTCCGCGGAGCATCTCCAAACCCCAAACAGGCGCACCCTTGTCCATAGCCCTGACGGGAGCTCCATGTCTACAAACAAGGTTTCGGCCTGCGGGGTGCCCCGCCCGGATCCGAGTGCGACGCAGCCATTGCTAATCCCTCAGTCCATCCGCGACAACAGCATTCCAACTTCGCTGAAGAAGATCCCACAGCCTGCCTGGTCTTGCTTTTGATATATCTCACCCAGGTCTACCGCATCACGCCGCTCACGGCAGAATGCATCTAGATCTTGTTTCGGATACCATAACACTCTCAGTCCGCGACGAATAATGGCTCATCAGAAATCAACAGTCGGCACGCCGCTGAAACTGTCGTGTGGTCTCGTGCTCAAGAACCGGCTCGTCAAGACAGCCATGTCGGAGAAGATGGCTGTCGGGGGCAAGCCTACATCGGCACATGGAAGGTTGTATGCGAAATGGGCACAAGGAGGTTGGGCAGCTCTCATAACTGGTAAGCAATACTGTGGTCGGAGCTGATCTCCAGGCATACATACTGAAGTCGACACCATTAGGAAACATCATGGTCGACGACAGGTACACAGGCGGCGAGGGCGACGTCGCGGTACCATCGACCGCTGCGTGGAGAGAAGAGACGCTGCACACATGGACGGCTTGGGCACAGGCGGGCGCCAAAGACGGCTGCCACATGATTGCGCAGTTGTAAGTGCCGCGACCACTTTTAGGAGACACGTTTAAGAATAGAGGGGCTGACCTGGAAACGGACGAGCAGAAATCACCCTGGACGTCAATCACCCGCAGGCGCCGGCAAGAGATCCTGGTTTGCAAAGACGATCGCGCCGAGCGCCATTCCACTCAACCTCGGCGATACTTGTATTGCCCGTGTTGCGAGCGCCATCGTCTTTGGCACACCGCGCGAAATGACCCAAGCTGATATTGATGATATCGTGGCCAAATTTGCGAGTGCGGCACACCTCGCAGCGCAGGCCGGGTTTCAGGGCGTCGAGATCCATGCTGGCCGTAAGTAGCAAGCAGCACTGATCGAGGGCCAAATGTGCCAGCCACAAAGGGATTATTGCATGCTGACCACTGATGGCCTTCTTGCAGACGGCTTCCTTCTCTCGCAGTTCCTCTCCTCCACATCCAACAGACGCCAGGACGCCTATGGCGGTACTCCGGAGAAGCGTGCCAGGCTAGTTCTAGAGGTTATCCGAGCCGTCCGCACGCAGGTGCCGGCACCCTCGTTCTGCATCGGGGTCAAGATTAACACGGCAGACTTTCAGGCGAACCCGTACGCTTATCAGGATATGCTGTGCCAGATCGCCTTGCTGAGGGATGAGAAAGTTGATTACGTCAACCTCAGTGGTGGCACTTACGAAGATCCTACGGTGCGTACACTCACCACTGCCAACGAGATAGCTTCTCGCTCGCTTCTTGACCTCTCGTTCTGCGGTGCTTCCTGGAGGGCCATACTGACTTACATCATCGCTGGATAAGATGCTCTCCACTACCCACTCAGAGCCACCATCATCGTCCCCCTCGGCCCCGAGCGGCAGCAGCAAGTCGAACGAAGACTCCGCGAGCGCCACACGTAAGCCTCGTGATGCTTTCTTCCTCCAAGCAAGCAAAGACGTGAGAGTCCAGTTCCCCGACCTCCCCATCATCCTCACAGGAGGATTCCGGTCAAGCACGGGCATAAATACAGCCCTCGAGGATGGGGCCTGCAGCGCGGTTGGGATTGGCCGGCCGGCGGTAAAATACCCGGACTTGCCCAACAAGATCCTCGGCCTCCATTCTTTTTCGGGAGGAATAAGTGTGGATGGAGGGAAAGACGAGCATTTCGAGGTTGAGAGTGCTCCAGGCGGGTCAGGTATGCTGGCAAAGATGATTCGGTCGGTCGGGGCTGGCGCTGAGTCCAAGTATTGGGCTGAAGTAATGCGGCGTATCTAACGATTCCTCATGCTTACCCGACCAAGTTGCTAGGGTTGGATAAATGCAGTAGGCGACAAGCAGTAGATAGCTTTATCCCAAAGGTTCGCGCCAGCCATACTATTAACCCCCTCACTCCAAGGCTTAGAGAACGGCACCCCAGTCATAGGTCGACTCCCCATGTTAGCATCACATACTAGGGCCCGGCGACCCCCTAGCTGCCTCTCTGGGACATTATTATCATCGTTATCCACCAGCCTGCCAGTTATCCACGTGCTTCGATACGTCCAAACGCCAGGGGGTAAAAGGGGCAATACTACTAAGGCAGTGCTATTAAACAGCATCGTAGAAGAAGAGGCTAATTAGACACGAATCATGGCTAGTAATAGCGGCAAGTCAATAGCGGCAAAGACGGCAGATTGTCCCCCGTCCGTGTGTCACCCATTATTTGGATGAGTTGATGAGTTACGATGTTTCTGTATTGGGAGCCTTGTGCTAGTACCCGCCTACCGGTCCCCCTATTGCGTCGAAGCAACAAGCTTGTACAACTTGAAATTGCGGTAGAAGAGCCACTCCTAGATTTATGGTATAAGCAAGCTGCACAGATCCACCCAGACCAAACCGGATAGACTCACAGAGAACCACCTGGGGCAGAAGTTGACTACAAACCCAAGAACCCAGGCAAGCTTGCCCTCCCAGATCTCGCTGCTCGGATGCCCTGTCCGCAGGATCTTGTCGACCACAGATTCAGCGTATAGCCGCGCTGGCATGCCGTTCCTGTTTCCTTTGTACTTGATACGCTCCATTTCCTGCTTAATGGGCAGGTACAGCGAGTCTGGAGGTGCGACGAGGCCATGGTGGAGGATGTTGCTCTGTACGTAGCCCGTGACGACCTCGACCACGTCGACCCCGAACGGCTGCACCTCGAGCCTTAGCGTGCGCGTGTACTGGCTGAGCGCCGCCTTGGAGGCATTATACGCGCACTGCCAGACGACGGGCACATCGCGCGTGACGCTGCCAATCTGCACTATCCGCCCTCCGATGCGGGACGAGCGTAGGAACGGAAGGAAGAGCTGGCAGAGGCGCATTACAGCGAAGACGTTAACCGTAAACAGCCTCTGGACCTCGGCTATATCCAGGTCTGCTGCTGTCGCGGCATAGTGAGAGCCAGCGTTGTTGATCAGGATATCGACACGGCCGCCGGTCGCGGCAGCTACGGTGTCACGGAACGCCTCGAGGCTGTCGAGGTCAGCGAGCTCAAGGGCAAGAGGTACGATGTTGTCGTGCTTCTTGGTCAGATGGGCGAGCGACTCGACCTTACGGGCTGTGGCGACGACGATGATGCCACGGGCGGCGAGAGTCTCGGCAAGCGCCTGGCCAATGCCGCTGCTGCAGCCAGTAACGACCGCGACAGCTTTTGGGTGAGTTGGACGAGACATTGCTGGTGGCCTCAGCTCGACTAAGTCGAACTTGTCCACATTTTCCGAATGCTTGTTGCTATTATATTGTACTTCAGCGTGACAAACACGCAAGCTCCAGCGGTGGTCCAGCAGGAACCATTTAGGCTCGATGTGCGACAGGGTCGTCACTAGATTCGGCGCAACTCTGCCCCACTTATCAGGGTTGCTCCGGGCGTTGCTCCGAGGGCTGCTCCGGGGCGGCGTCGTTGAAGATGCCCCGGGCGGAAGGGGGGGGGGGGTTGCCGCGGAACATCTCTGCCGGGGCAACCGAGTGCTGGGTTTGTCCGCGCTCGAGAGGACAACGAGATGGCCACCTTCACATGGTTCCCCACGAGCGGCACGTCTCTCGCGGCGTGTGACTAAACGATGGTGTATCAAGCCAGGCTCTTTCACACAGTCCTTAAAACCCACTTCATCTCCTGAAGATCGAGACAGGGCAAGACAATCACAGCTCCATTTCATCTCTCCGTGGCAACCCCCCCCCCTGGCCTTCAACACCGCTGACAAGACAACAATGTCCAGCCTGCCCATGACGCTCCTGCTCTCCGTCGTGTCCAAGATGCCCAAGCCCATCCGTGACTCCGTCGAAATGCGCATCCCCGACATCACCAACGACGCCTCCAAGGTCCAGCTCCTCCGCCCATCCCACGTCTACGTCGAGCATCCCAACCTCGACCAGTTCGCCAAGTTTGCTGCCGACTTCGGCCTCGTGGAAGCGTCGCGCTCCCGCACCGGCGACACCATCTACTTCCGCGGCTACGGCCGCGACCCGTACTGCTACGTCGCGACGAAGAGCAGGGACTCAGTACCCCGGTTCAAGGGCGGCGCGTTCGTCGCCCGGTCCCGCGAGGACTTTGACAAGGCGGCACGCATGCCGGGGGCGACGCTGGGGTCGCTCACATACTGCCCCGGCGGCGGCGAGATTGTGACTTTCACTCGGCCAGACAACACCTTTTTCCACGTCGTCTACGGGCAAAAGGAACGAGAGCCAGACCACCACACCCAAGGAACCGGCGCCGACGACTATAACGCCGGCGAGACCGTCCACGAGCCCTCAGCCATCACCGAGTCCCTGGGCCCTTTCAACACGCCCTTCTCCAAGCCGCGCAAGGGCAAGTTCCAGCGCTTCCACCCAGGTCCAGCGCTCGTGCACAAGCTGGGCCACTTTGGCTACGTGTTTCCGGACTTTGACGCCGAGCTCGCCTGGTACACGGGCAACTTCAACTTTGTGCCCTCGGACGTGCTGCACCACTGGGACTTTGCCAACATTGACGTCATGGCCTTCATGCACCTCGACCACCTCGACCACAAGGACCAGCAGCGGCAGCAGCAGCAGCAGCAGCCCGGCGCAGGCAAGGGCGAGATCGAGAGTGCTGAGGACGAGAGTTGGTGGTCCGATCACCACTGCTTCTTCCTCCAGCGCGCGGAGCCCCACGTCACAAAGGCCTTCTGCCACCACACCTCGTTCGAGGTGTCCGACGTCGACACGCAGCTCGTCGGGCACGAGTATCTCGCCTCCAAGGGCTGGCACAGCGTGTGGGGCGTCGGCAGGCACGTCCTGGGCAGCCAGATCTTTGACTACTGGGCCGACCCGAGCGGGTTCAAGATTGAGCACTACGCCGATGGGGACCTTGTGGGCAAAGGGACGCCGACCAAGAGGGAGGTCGTGGGGCCGTTTGCCGTGTGGGGGCCCGAGATGCCGAGTGACTTTGGGGATAAGTTTCCAGAGGCGTTTCTGAGCAAGATGCGTGGCAGTGGCGATGGGAGTGCTGGTGGGTTCCTGTCGCGCTGGTGGTGGTCTGGTAGTCAGGCGTAGGAAGGACCAGGTGTCTCTTTGTGTCGAGCACGCCCGGCGTTTTATTACATGTGTAAACAGATTGCGTAGCATACTTGGGTATCTTGTCTTGGTAATCGTTTTTGTCAAACAAACAATGATTCATACTCCACGTGCGAGCCCTCGACAATCTGCCCAGCGGACTGCAAGAAAGTGAGCCATCTTGGATGCATGGGGCTCTCGAAGCGGCGCACCACCGCTCGGACCTGCGGATACCCAATCTGCGGTGGAAGAGCCTCTTGAAAACCCTTGAAAGACACTGGAACATGCCCGAGTCAGTGATCATTGATTCCATAATGTGTCACTGGCAGCAAGAACGGAGGACTTACGAATCAGGAGCCGCGATAGAGTCCAGACCTCGGCAAACCTCTCGAGAAACAGCAGCAGGATTGTCTGAGAATGTCGCATCTCCATCTGCAACCCTGAAGAAGCTGTCGCTGTCGCCCCAGGCGAGAACTTGGCCTGCAGATCCGTAAACACCAACGCGACAAAGGCGATGATGGCCACGGCCGGGTCGACCCGCGTGCAGAACGTGCTGTCCCAGTGCCCCGCGACGGCCACGATGTTCTGGCAGTGCTGGAGCGCCAGCTGCCAGTAGTGCAGCCACTCGGCGCCCTCGTCCTCGATGCGCGTGCAATGGCCGATGGCGACGAGAAGCTGCGCGGTGAGGACGTGCAGATTGCAGACGAGGCGGGCGTGGTGTGTCGACGACGTCTCGCCGGCCAGTACGTGGCGGGTCGGGCTGAAGAAATTTGCCGGGAAGGCCAGGCGGAGGGAGGCCAGGCGCCGGCCGGTTTCATCGAGCAGTGCCTCGAACTCATCTGGACCGATGACAGCGGCGAGCTGGGAGGCACGTCCGGTATGACGGAGCGCGGTGATGGTGATGATGTGCAGGTCGCCTTCGAGGCCATTGATCGTGCCGGGAGTCGGAGCCTGGGCCAGGACGGCCTGCAGCACGTCGACCAGGTCATCCGCCCGGTATGGTAGGGTGATGCCTTGCTTCTGTTGTTGCTGCTTAGCCCGAGACGGCGTCATGAAGGCCGTGTTGATGACTCGCTCGTCGACAACGTAGGGCATGCCCGCAGACACGTTGGCATACGAGTCGAGGGCGTAGATGCACCACCAGAGCAGTCGCCACTCGTCGACCTGGCGCTCGCTCAGGGCCGTCCAGACTGGCGAGCGGCGGCACAGTATCTCGATGCGGTCGAGCCCCGTCCAGTAGGCCGACCGCACGAGCCGGCTCAGGCGCATCCAGGCCTGCTGCCCGGGACACTGGTGGTACTCGTAGAAGGCCAGGAGGCAGGCCTGGCGCATCCGGTTGAGGCTGGCGGGCTCGCTGACGACGATGTCATCGTCTTCATGCAGAGCTGGTGCCGCGAGAAGCCGGTCGATGTGCGTGTCGATCTCAGCTGCGGTGACGGTGGCGAGGCTGGCACGGGACAAGCGAGCGGCGATGACGAGCATGGCGTCGACAAGGGCAGGACTGCAGCTGTACACAGCGGCCCGGATGTCGGGCCAATCCCCTTGGGCGAACAGGGGGATGGCATGGTGGATATTGTCAAAGTACCACGTGAGGCTACACGATGGCGTCCGAAAGGGTCAGCGGCGGCAGCGGCACACAGTATAGGGGGCAACAGCTGGACTGGGGCGTCCCTACAGAAGATCTTGCTCGTCGAGTGTTCCCACCCAGCTCAGCGTCCAGGCGGGTTCTGGCAGGCCGGCACGGGCAGCTTCAGTGGCGTTGACCGTGGCATCGCCGGGCAGCGGTAGGATACCGGGCAGGGCAGCTGCGGGCGACGGCGACGGCGTCGGCGTCCCGGGCAGACCCGGCTCGGCTGGCGCACGCGAAGGAGCGCCCTGCTGGTGTCTTGCCTTGCGTGGAGCCGGGCCAGGCCTGCGCCGGACGGCCGTGTAGGAGCACGCGAGGCCGCGCTCGGCACAGCGGGAGCACGCGGGCACGGCCTGGTTGCATCGCACTTTCTGGCTGCAGCGATCTCGGCCACAGCCCGACGGGTCAGCCAAGGTCAGAGCGAGCGGCGATGGGGACAAGGGGCGGCCAGATGGCCAGAAGCTTACCGGACACAGTGGTCGCACACCCTGAGCCGGGCGGTGCCGTCTTGCGCCGTTTCTCGGGGCATGACGCGGAGTCTTCGTGTGTCGGCAGGACCAGTCGTCCAGACAATAATCACCCGCGGTGGGTGGTGGTGGCGGCGGGAGTTGTTGGAGGGAGGCTGACGAAGGGGACAAAGGGCCCGTGGAGTTGCGCCGCGGGGGAATTGGGCGCCTCAGCAAGCTAGTCTCTCCGTCGCTGGTGGCCCTTTAGCCTCTGTTCACCGTTGCGGGGGGCCACGACTACACCGAGCACGGCTCGACGGGCGAGTCTCTCAAATTCGACCTATATCATTCAACATCATGTTTTCTGACTCCCAGGTCCTCAGCAGCAAATCTGCCCCGACCCTTTCTCAGACACACCAGCCATACTCATCATGTCCTCCTTCCGCCGCCTCATTCGTTTCATAGCCACGGAAGATGGCCAGTCCTACTTTGCCGATCTCGGCACGGTCGCTTGTGATCTGCCACCGCCAGGAACCAGCGTCACCGCCGCCTCTACAACAATCCAGGGGCTCGCCAGCCTCTCCGCCGCCGACAAGGCCAGAACACTCACAGTGGCCTCCCTGCTGCCCCCTCTGCCCCGAGACGGGGTGCCAATCTACTGCGTCGGTCTCAACTACCGCAGCCATGCCAAGGAGGCAAAGCTGAATATCCCATCATGCCCACCGCTCTGGACAAAGCCGGCCACGAGTCTGGCCAGTCCCGGCGAAGACATCCCAGTCAACGACTTTTGCGCCAAGAGTCTGCTGGACTACGAGGTATGTTGGCTCATTCTCGTTGCGCAAGACCCAGCCCGATCAGTGCCGAACAACAGATTGACAAAAAATGACCGACTGCGAATTTGCACAGGGCGAGCTCGTCTTCGTCACATCCCGCGACGCCAAAGATATCTCGGTCGCCGAGGCCAAGGATTACATCCTGGGCTACACCGTTGGCAACGACCTCTCGTGCCGCAAATACCAGCTGGCCCAGAACTCGGGAGGCCAGTTCTTCTTCGCCAAGGCATTTGACAAGTTTGCCCCCATCGGGCCTACGCTCATCAGTCCAGAGATCTTTGGCGATGTGTCCAAGCATACTCTCGTGACACGCGTCAATGGCGAGGTGAGGCAGACGGCGGAATTCTCTGGGGATCTTATTTTCAAACCGGCGCAGATTCTGAGCCATATGAGTCAAGGTAGGTGAGACCAGGGGTGGAGCGCATTGAGGAGTCATCCTCCCATGTTCGCCCAAAACTGCTGTTTGCCCAAAGCTTTCTTTGCTGATGATTCTTTCAAAAATCTCCACAGGCACGACGATTCCTGCGGGCACTGCGGTCATGACGGGCACGGCAGCAGGTGTGGGCGCCTTCATGACGCCCAAGACGTTCCTACAGGACGGCGACGTGGTCGAGGTGGAGATGGACGGCGTGGGCAAGCTGAGCAATAGAATTGTGTTCAAGTGAGTAGCACGATCAATCAGTACGTTTGTTGCCAAATCTCCGTAACCTGGTTCGTTTCCAGGCTGCAGTTCCGGAGAGTTGCTGTTCCGGATGATTCTGGCTTAGAGAGTGCGTCCGAAGCTAACGTTCCTATCATCCGTTTTCACGGGACAGTGTCACATTCACGACAAGGGTGGTTGTTTTTCTTCAGTGGCTTGCCATCTCCCTGGTCACGCGATTCGTGTGAGCTTCGTTCCATATTATTGAAACATTTGTACCAGAAGCTTCTATCTATCACGGCTTTGCTCAAGATTTAATTAGATACTAAAGTGTTTTCACTCGCTGTAGCTTTGCTGGAATGACCAGACTCATATAATAGGAGAGCTTCTAGCATGCTTCTTTCTTCGTCCCACCTAGAGATAGCTATGTAAACTGGAGCCCTTGTCTTCTCATGATCAAACAGCCCTAAGGCCAGCACGCAACTTCCGCAGTGTGACGTCAACTACCTACAATTCTGTCCCTCTGTGACACCTACTCCTCGATGGGCGTCCTTCCGCAATCGTGACGGGCGGCGGCGGCAGGAAAGGGGGAGTGTATGGCCTGGGCGGCCATCCGCCCGGCATCTACTCACACTGGACGTGGTGGATACTAGATCCCACCTAATTGGACTCTCTCGCAGTTCACACCATTGGTCTGACCTCCCTTGGCAACTAAATCCAAGAACGACGGCCGCACATCATCACAAGCCAGCGTGACGCGAGCCACGCAATCTGGCAGCCCCGAGAGCTTCACCGAGAACGCACTCGTGGAAGGCATTCAATCACCTCTGCTATAGACGAAAGGTTTTTACACTATGGTATCGGTTGCATGGAGACAGAGCTAGTCCATCTATTTATATCCAACATATTCTCTTGTACCACTCCTCGCCACGAACAGCCGGATGTTTTGAACTTGGCCCTGCCTTCTATGGCGTTGTTGTCCCTGAGTATGCATACACTTTTAAGGTTATGCCAACGACTGCAGTAGCCTCCGTCATCAGACAATCAGCCCCATTCGAATCTGGCTGATCTCCATTACGATATGGAGATCTTGCAACTTATAGAACCGTTCTTGGTCTGCAGCACAATCATGTCGTGATCGTACTTGAAATGCTCAGCCGGGTCGCCGGACTCGTGCAGCGTGGCGCGTGGGATAACCTGGAACGCCATGAGCGCGGCCATGATGTAGATCTCGCAGTATGCAAGACTGTGGATTACCGTTGTCAGCCTTTGGACTTTCTGAAGACTTTCGGCCTCATCGATTGATCAAGGCACGAAAAGGGAACGTAGCGGGAAGGGGGGAGGGGGAGGGAACTCACTTCTCGCCAATACAAGACCGACTTCCCCGGCTGAAAGCCAGCAAATACTTCTGGAGCTTGTAGTTTGGCGATCCATCCTCCAGAAGCCACCGCTCGGGTCTGAACGCCTCCGGATCGGGAAACAAACCAGGGTCCATGTGGTTGATCACGGAGGACATGCCGATCGGCGTGCCGCGCGGGACGACGTAGACGACGTCGCCGCTCGCGCTCTTGTAGTGCAGGTCTTCATCCCTCGCGATGCGCGCGGAGCGGTGCGAGACGCCCGGCATGATGCGTAGAGACTCCTGTACGATGGCCCAGAAGTAAGGCTTGTTCTCGAGGTGGGACCATTTCAGCGTGGAGGGAGAGGTGTCGTCAAGGGTCTGCATAAGGCGCTTGTAGATGGCTGGCTGGTGGAGGAGGTGATATGTGATGACGGTGAGAATGGCCTAACACCGGGTCAGCACGCCGGCCGCAGATGACAATGGAAAAGAATGGGAGATGGTGGCAACACTTACTGCAGTAGTCTCTGTCCCTGCTAGCAGAAAATTGAACCCTTCTCCAGACAGGTGGAACATGTCCTTGTAGCTATCTGGAAGACTCTTGTTCTGCAGGACCTCGGCAAACACACGCCCGTTCTCCGGATCGTCCAGTGCAGCCTGGATGTACCCCGGAATGACGACATTCATCTGCCTCATGACAGTGGCAATATCCTCACCCATGTAGTCCGCCATGAGTGGGATGTACTGCGCGACCTTGCGCGCCACCGCGTTATGCCGCATCGTGTAGGCCGACTGCAGAAACGACTTGACCCAGGTCGCAAAGTTGGGCGTCCAGCCCTCCTGTGTGATGAAGCCCATGGAGGTGCCAAAGGCATATTGCCCGATGACGTCGGCCGTGTAGCAGTTGAAGGCGTCCTTGACGTCGAAGACCTCGCCGTGCTGGCTCTCGCTGGCCTTCTTCGAGGACTGCGCGATGGACAGCATCTTGTTCGTCACGAGCTGCGCGGCGTCGAGGACCTCGCCTTCGAGCTTGGCGATCTGTTGGCGGGAGAAGAAGCGCGCATAGGGGGCCTTCTTCATCTTGTGCACCTCGTGCGGGACGGTCGAGAAGGCAGTCACCGACACGGGCCCGGCACCGCCCGTGTTGAGCTGGTGGTACCATTTGTCTCTGACTCGTCCCGGACCGGCATATATCTCGTCGGTGAACAGAGGGTCGTTGCAGTGGAGCTCGTCGGGGTTGATGCGGACGATGGGGCCTGGGGATCGGGTGTCAGTCAAAGTCGTCCTACGGGAGACTTGATGTGATCTTTAGTAGTACACCCACCATATTTCTCGTGCATGCGCTTGATCTCTTGCGTATACTTCCCACCACGAATCCAATCGTAGTATGCCTCGTAAAAGTATCCTGCTGCCGCAAGCCTCGGGCCGGGAAAGCGAGACAGTGGATGGAAGGGCGAGATGTTGTACAGAGCAACGAGGACCTTGTAACCGGCATAGGCGACAGCGACGCCGGCCAGCGCACGACGGATCGTGGTTTGCTCGGCGGCATGCCTCGCGACATCAAGAGCCGCCGCCATCGTGCTTGTCGGCCTCTGTGGAGGCGGGATGGGGCTTTGGGGCCAGAGTGCCGGAGAACGCTCCGCTCAAGAAGAGCAGTTCTTCCGCAGAATATCGCTGGACACGCGGTGCCCGGGTTGACAGCGCAGCAACCACCTGCGTGAGAGGTATGTTTCAAGCTTGACAGGCGACTACCCAGTTTGTGACAGAGTGTGGAAGCCCGCGCGCAAAGATTCGAGCTTGCTTGCTTTTATGCCCCACCGGGGAGGGTCTCTTCTTCTCCGTCCTCTCTATGGGTAGTGACGTCTCACTGTACAAACAAGGTAGGCTGCGGCTTGAGAGTCGTCGTATTCCCTGTTGCGTGTGCACTGTATGCTAGCGCTCGGCACTTCCAAAACTGTGGCCGGGCCTTTCCAGGGGTTCGAACCACGATATGCAGAGCCACATGCCGGGTGGAGCACCCTGACGCCAGCCATGGACGAATGGAGGTGCACAGAAAGGCGTGGGAGTGGATGCTGTGAATGGCTCACGGTGGGAAGTGCCGTCTGGGATAATCCCAACGACACGATGACCTTGTGGACACCAAGCCCACAGTATTTTGAGCTAGTGCTGACATCGGGCACGACTACCTCTCCGGGAAAGAATTCCGAGTCTGAACATGTCATAGAGCGGTCACGTGCCTGTCCTCTAGATATTTGGAGGGAGCTTGTTCATCTGCTCTCTTGCCGCGACCCTGGCGGATCGTGGTTGGAGAACTTTGAAATGGCGTTGTTCATGGTGTGGCCTGCCAAGCTTGTGTATTTCGCTTTCTTCACGAATCGGTTTCCCAAAGGAGAAAGTAGAATGCGAATGTTGGTTGTTGATGAAGGGTGACAATGCATATGAACGGCACGGTTTCATTGGTCTGCTCTGTGCTCCGTGGCAATGTGTGCCAGGATCGTGGGCCAGGTCGGCAGGGCCGCATATTGCCAAGTTGTACTTGCAGGGGCGCTACCGAGTTCTTCTCGCTTGCCCCAGGCGGTTCTTGGGGTGTGAAGGCGCACCCAACTTGTCGATAGAACAGCACCAGCCCCTAGGAATCCCTGCCATCCCCCAAGATATCTATAGAGATCCCAGGATTAGCAAAAAAGTGCCGACACTTCTCGTCTACGCGAGTCTGAGTGAATTGACTGCATAGACAATGTATCGGAACTTCCCATAGGCGCCAAACGAAAGCAAAGTTACGCTGTTGCTTCTTCTGTTACAGACCAAGTATAATCCGGTGATCGCCAATCCTGGGAGCCGTGTACATATCACAGGGGATCATACTCGCTTCAAAATCATCATCAGTAATGTTTGCTCAATCCAGGCCCGGGCCGGCGGCTAGGGTCGCCGGTGTGGCGTGACGCTTGTGTGCCAAGGATGTTGGTCCGGGAAGCAAACAACGGCCAGGGGCTCGTGCATCCAGTGTGTTTGCTCATATGGTGTAGTTGATTCTTTCCAGATTCCCATACGAATGCGACAACGGAGTGGGGTCTTTGAGATCCTGTCCAATGATTTGCCAGTACTCTATTAAGTCGTCAGGAAGGCTTATTTCTGGTGATTAGAGTCTTGTCACTTGGAAAATCCCCCTACGCCGTCCTTTTTTTTTCTTCACTACTGGGTGCCCGTGGTCGACGCGATGCAAGAAATACGATACCTATTCTGAATCTCGAAAGAGGCTCCTTGGGGCCGTTGCTGTAAGGACGGATTGAGGTGCATCATGCTGTTTTGGCCTATCGAGCTTCTTGGGACACCAGCAAACTCGGCCCGGGAACCAACTACCCAATATCAAAGTCGGCCAAAGTGATTCTTGGTTCCACTACGGTAGCCATTGATCGCAGATTTAGCAACGATCTTCCTGTCATGGCGTGATCACATTACGACCAACATGGGGTCCGGCAACGCAGGCTTTGACTCCGGCTGCAACGTCGCCGGGCACGGCCCGACTTGCGATTGGTGCGTTTCGGCCGATGGACGCTTCCATCAACGACACGCTTGTGAATGCATTGATCTGAATCGGTGGATCCATTCCTGTCCACCTCTTTCTCGGCGACCAGTGGAGTACGTGCCAGATCCACCCTGCCTTGCGCCTCGCCTATGCGCTTAATGAACGATGAAGACTGATGCCATAGGTAACTTCGGAGCGGTGTCAGAAATGACCGGTGCGTGTCTTGCATCAAACGATCGGCAGACATAGCAAACCATCTTGTGGCACATCTCCAGACTGGGAAGGCCGTTGAACCACGAAGCCAGACCACACACCGCGAGGGATCGGCAGGGTCGTTCGGCTTCTTCCGCCACCCACCACACCTGAGTCCTTAGGCGCAATCTCGCTAACAGGAACGTTGGTTCTTGACAGGCTCCTTCATGTAGCATCCCGGGCTTGGGTGCAGGGATGTATGCCAGAGCTCGCTGGGGCCTCCATTTCGATGCACCATGTGTGTAACAGAGGTGGCGAGGCTTTTCAAGCCCCTTGCGTCGAATGAGTCGGGCCGGGGATGAAGAGAAGAGACATCGGGTGTTGGGCGAGCCAGTGCTGGCCGGGACTGGCCGCACAGTAACAACTCGAGGATTGTCCGGGGAAGAGCAAAACTATTCCGCGTCTCAAAATGACAGAATTGTGTCCTGGAACAAGTGACGAGGGCGCTGGTCGCATCGCCGCACAAAGGGGCTCCTGGCAGGGGATAGACTGTCGCACGGCCCAAGTTGAGGTGCGACGGGCACAACTGGCGAGAATTCTTCTTCAGCACCGGGCTCGGGCTATATTGCAGCATGACTCCTCAGAGGAAGAGCAAAGAGTCATTCTGCAGGCACTCTTTGGCTTCCTCGAGCCTCCACCCAGCATTCAACGACGACCATGACACAAACACTGCCGCTGACGACACCAGCACTGACATGTCTCATCACAGGCTCTCTGCTGTGGATTGCTGGTAGCGCTGTTGTGTGTTTTCGATGCCTTGGACGTTTCCGAGGCGCAGGTATTGGTGTTGACGATTGTCTTTCTGTTGCTGCAGCCGTCAGTCTCAACTCCTACAGGCGCCAAAAGAACAGCCATGCTAACATGGAATTCCTTCAGATCCTGTCCGGAAGCGCGATCGGGATAGGTGCGGCAGGTACGCAGCACTATCAGAAATGTTCCCCTCTGCTGCCTGCAGGCTGACGTTCTACCATCGATACAGTGTTCACCTCCGGAGTTGGCTATGATTTGAACCCAGAGTCTGCCGTGTATCCCATTCGTAAGCATATGTTTCCAGCATCAACATGCCCAAAGTATGCTAACGAAATCTAATCGCGCTTGTGTAGTTCTCGAGAACCTCCCCCGAATTTTAGAGGTACCGATTCAACTTGGAATGCGCCCAGGTCGAGCACAATACTGACGTCATCTTCGCTCCAGCTTACATTCGCCTATACCCTCATATACCTCTGGGCTCTCGCCGCTCTCAAGCTCAGCCAGCTCTTCCTATATCTGCGAACATTCGAGCTTGAACTGAGGTGGTGGATCTACGGGGGTATCGGCATTTCCATCGCCTGGGGCGTTTCCTTCACGTTCCTCACAATATTTCTATGTGATCCGATCCAGCAGCAGTGGACGCTGGCCCGCATCGGCAAGTGCAAAGACCAGATCACGGTGCTCAAGTCGCTTATCCTGACCAACGTCCTCACGGATCTGTTCATTGTGATCCTGCCAATCCGCACAATCTGGAACCTGCAGATGCGTAAAACGGAAAAGGTGGTGGTGACGTTGTGTTTCGCTATGGGCCTTGCGTGAGTTCGCACCGGTCGCTCACGGGAAACAGATTCTACGGCCGATGCAGCAGACTGACAATAAGCTTGGCGTAGATGTTGTATCATTGGCATAGTCCGCTTCGTCTACCTCTTCGAGATCGACCTTCTCGGCAACCTGACCGGTACATCCCAGTCGACATTTATCTTGCTCACTGTCGAGCTGGATCTCGCAGTGCTGTGCATCAACATTCCCACCCTCCGACCCTTCTATGCTCGCTTGCGCGCCAAGTACGGCTCTTTTTGGACGAGAAGCACCGACCAGGGCCCCGATACTTCCAGCAGGAGCCAGGTTTCCGGACTCGCACCGAGATCCAATACTACGAACGGCATGCGATTCGACGACGTTTCTGCATCAAAGAGGGGCATCATCGGCACGGGAACGAAGAAGAGTCAGTCCGGTGGCGCGGCTTGGATTGAACTGGTAAGTCTGCTTGCGGGTAGCCGACTACTGGTAATGAATGGTGCCGTTCATTTGCGCTTTGACTGACTTTGGATCCTCTCAGAACGATGCCGAGAGCGGAGCCGTCAGCGACGACGCTGGCTCCGAGAGGAAGTTGACTCGGGCGCCCCATCCTGACTCTGGTGTACGCGTGTCGACGAAGTGGACAGTCACAAGGGAGTAGAGGACCGGTGTCGGCAATGGGAAGGCATATTCGTCTACATTTCTGAGTCGAGCATCTGGAGGTGTGTACACGGAACACCCCGATGCTCTGCTTTCAAATCGCCCTAAAAATGAATAGAACAACGAATCTGTCCAAGGACGCTGGTGGAATTTACTGCTGCAGTTCTTGTTGTCCAAACGCCTTGTCTTCATGAATGAAAAAGCTCAGGTGCTCTTGATGTCCACACCAATTTGAGACAGCTGCGTCAAGTATTCTCGCGAAAGTCCTAACTCCGGCGGTTGTTACGACACTTATTCATGATTAGTACAGCTCAAAGAAGGCACGATGAGGTAAACCCCTGCACCCCGGCCTCACCCGGAACCGCCGAAAATGCCACCCTGGTATTGCAAGCGGAACTCTCGGTGCTGACAAAGCCAGCCCCTGACTGACACGTTAATCGCGTCCAGGTGGTATTGCTGTCTATTCAGCCCGTGCTCGTCCCTCGGTGACGTGACGATTTAAATACGACTACGTCAGGAACTACTGTGCTCTCCTTATTCTGCAGCAATCCCCTGGTTACAATCACAACGTCAAGCACATTTCCTGAGCGTGCACAAGGAGCGAGACTGGGCCAATTCTGGGGGCAATCACCGCCCATGCAACATCATGGAGGCAGGCATCTTTCAGTTTCAAGCCTTACCTCTCGAACGCAAGAAGCGGGCCTGCGACGCGTGCTACCGGCGCAAGGTCAGTTTGACGACGGCCCTCCTGAGCAGAAATGTCTAGCTGATAAAGATGTTTGTCTTTGCCTCCAAAGCTAGATCCAATGCGACTTCGGCACGCCACCAAATTGCGACTGGTGTAGACATCAAGGGTTGCTGTGCACTTTCGATCGACCAGATAAACCAGCAAAGCCCAAGGGACGACCAAAGTTAGCTACGTTCCTGCTCACGCCATCTCACATCGCACTATTGGAGCTGACTCGTCCGGCAGGAAACTTGTCACGAGATCTCTCGCAGCAGAAGAGCGCAGTGCAGACGCGGAACAGCCTGCGGCCCTCACGTCACGCGCGAGTCCGCAGGCCCCTATGCAAGGGCGGAGTGCGGTCACTGCAGTAGTGCCGAGCGTGAGCTCCCTCTGGAGCCCAGACCACAAGAATGTTTTCACTAATGGCAACCTGCCACTACACTGTTCTGATGGAAACGGGTGGATTAAATCGCGTACGGGTGAAGACACCCTAGATATCAATTTGGTAACACCGCCATGGGAGAATCCGGATCCAACTCTCAGCCACCTAGAGCCGGCAGATGCGGTTGTGGACTTACCGCCTCGCCATATCATGGACGAATACTCGGCCCGTTATTCGCGGGATGCGTTCCGGTCAACATTCCCCGTCGTTGACCCGATACTGTTAAGACACACCGTCGAGGAAACTTACAACCAATTGCCACGAAGGAGCGACTGCGAAGAGCACGCCCGTGCAACTCGAATCGCTGCAAAAGCCTGCCTGCAGGGCTTCCTATCGTTCATGTCGGTGCTTCTGCGTACGAGGAGGCTGACTCCTGTTGACGCCGACTCGCTGGCGGCGTCGTCGCGAGTGCTGCTCTCGCAAGTAGCCGACCATGGCAGCATTCTGGTGGCCCAAGCCGCCATGACACAGGTAGGCCGGCTCGCACTTGCCAGGGTTCTTGTCGCGTTCTCCTCAGTACGCTGGTTGAGGACAAAAGAAAAGACTGACAGTGACCTCAGGCATTATATCTTGAGTTCAACGGCAGGTCCCACGCGGCATCTGTCTACCGCGGCATGGCCGTCCGGACGCTGTTTCAACTCGGCGCACATCTCCTGCCGACGGCTGGCTTTGATGTTGACATACCCGCCACAGCCACCATTGCGCTTCACCGACGGCATCTTCGAAGCCTCTTCTGGATGGCATACACCTTCGACAAGGACTTTGCCCTGCGCACGGGACAGCCGCCGCTCATCCATGACGACAACTGCGATCTGACCTTGCCCGAGGGATACCTCGACCGTCCGCCGGACAAGTCCTGCGCGATGCCGCGCCCACGGCCCACAGCGGTCAGCTCGGCAAGGCTGGATATGCTCCTGCCGGGCGACCTGCGTCTCGACCTGCTCAAGTCCGAGACGTACACGATGCTGTACTCTGCAAAGGCGATGCGCAAGTCCGAGGTGCAGCTGCTGCAGGACATCCGCGAGCTGGACACCAAGCTGGAGACCTGGCGGATGGGTATAGACCCGCTCCTCCGGCCCAGATTGACCTATCCAGCCGGTTACATGTTTGATTTGGGTATCGTCCACCAAGCCACGCAAACGGACGGCGCCAATGAATTCCAGCAGCAGCGACAGCAACAACAGAAAGGAGTCTGTGTAGGCCAGCGGATGCACCACATCATGATCACGCTCCAGTACCACCACCTGATTTCCAGGATCCATGGCGCCACTGGCAGATGCCGTCATCTGAGCACAGACGAGGGCCTAAGCGCCGCCTTTGCCTCGAGCATGGCGCTCGCTGTCGAGGCCAGCCGGTCGACGCTGCACTTCATCCAGGGGCTGGACCAGGACCTGCTCGGCGGGCCGTTCTGGGTCGTCCTGTTCTACCCGCTGTCCGCGATCCATGTGCTATTCTGTGACATACTGACGAACCCGAGCGAGCCAGCGGCGATGGGGGATCTGAGACTGTTGGAGGCTACCCCTGTGCTGGTAAAGAATATGCGGAACATGTATCTCAAGGACAGCGAGGTGGAGCAGCTGGCTCGAGTGGAAAGGTTCGTCGCGGAGCTGGTGAGACTAGGCCACAAAGCGGTCGCGAGAGCTCGGGCGTGAACGGACTCAGAAGTGGTGGCAGAGTGCGGAGAGACGGCCGTGGCACACTTCGATTTACCTTTCACACTGACTAGTGCCCACAAGTATTATATCAATTGCAAGCGGAGGAGAACCACGACCGCCACCAAAGTTGAATAACCCTTGCAGGGTGGTTCCGACACTTGAGAGAGAACCTTATACTCTGAGACCTCATGCTGGCGGCAACTCTTCTCAGCACGACGGCGGAAAGTTGCTATTTAAAACTTTGCGAGAACGGAATCTTAGCTAGATAAGATGCTGCCTACTTGAACGGCTATAGACTTGAAAGGCTGTCCCCTAGTGGTTGTGTAGAGACTCTCATCAAGTAGGCCGACGCCAGCCGTCCCATGTGAAGCTGGGAACATCCTTATCATTTACAGCCTGCTCACTGTAACTAGTCTATCTTTGGGTCGGTTTTGTGTCACCCGGCCCCCAAATCCTGCGCCAAATCACCGAGAGTCCCATGCTAGGTACCCCTGTTCGTGTGTGGCTTTGCTCTACTGGAGCCACTCGCCTGAGGAGCGCGTCGCATGGGTTACACAGCAGATAAGCTGAGGTCAGCGCGGTGCTCGACTTGACCCCAAACGGTCGATGAGTCAAGGTATTCGCCACGAAGTATGCCATCGCTCTGTGCCAATAGGAGGGGCTATAGAGCCGCCTCGCTATATCGGCTTCCATCGTTGCCTCAAGTTCCACTTCGTTCGCAAGCAGGCTTCCGCTGCCAGGCACTATATAAAGCGCGTTTGCACAACGCCTGTCACTTTCCACAGTGCGCCTGCAGAGCGGTCACGAAAGCGTTGTGCAATACTGCTACACAATGGATGATTTGCGCCGTGCTGCGTTCGCGGTACGCGACGCCAGCGATAAAGTTAAAAACCACTACATTGAATCTGCCGAAAAAGTCACGGTGAGCAAACAGATCCCGTTCAACGACACTGGAGACCCTGTGGTTGATCATCCACGCCACAGGATTGGTGGTATGGTAAGGAGTTCCCGTACGACCGCCTACCGACACCGACATCAGTCCGCCTCATCAAGCTCGACCGCCCCTCCTCCGAGCGGGGAGACGACAAGATCAGTTTCGTAATGAAGACAGCCGATCTCGAACTCGGACCACGCTTCACCGCGCTATCATATACTTGGAATCTATCACGGTCGACTTGGAGCAGGGGCGCACGCCGCATATTGAATTTCTGGATGTACGAGGACTTCGATGAGTTCGTCGAGCTTTTCAGACCAGAGACAGAGTCACAGGCCGAGATGTACATGCACCTGAATGCCTTCAAGAAGGTCACCTGCAACGGCAAGCCCATGAAGGTGCATCAGAATCTCTTCCAGGGGTTGAAACAATTGCGCAAGAAAAGACAGGAAGAGTGGTTCTGGATTGACGCTTTGTGTATAAATCAGAGGTTTGTGGGACTATCCTGGCACATCTCGACTTATCTGGCACAAGACTCTTTTCCTGTTTGCTGTTTCAGTCCCTGTTCTCAATTTTGCTAGCAGCCGCTAATCGAGATGTCGCGAACACAGTGATGAAGACGAGAAGGTGGCTCAAATCCCACTCATGGGTCGAATTTATCACCAAGCTCAGCTTGTCGTCGTCTGGCTCGGTGATTTGAATAAGCAATGGGCCAAAGGTCTCCAGCTCCTCGAGGACGTCGCCGCTTCCAAGAGGCCGTTGCCGCCTGATTCTGTATTGATGAGGCTTCCGATGAACGGTGGCAAATTCTTACCGCCAATAGAGAGCCCGGCAGATATGAAAGAGTTTTTCACCATGTTCGCTACTGCAACACATCTGATATGTCGGCCGTACTTTCGCAGGGTATGGGTGGTACAAGAGCTTTGCCTTGCGAGGAAGGTCGTGTACCTGCACGGGGAGTACGAGGTCACTCCTGAGGCGTTGCAGACAGCCTGGAAATGGATACTATTCAGTACCAGCGACAAGAGTATCACACCTTGGAACATGAAGGTCATGAAGGCAGTCATTCGGCCCCTTGTTGGAGCCCAGATGGAGCTGCTACCATCCTCAGCGGCTTCCCACGAAGGCTTCTCCCGAGACAGTAAGGGAACTCTGATCAATTGGCTTCGGGTGTGCATGGGACGCCAGGCTACGCATGACAAGGACTTCGTGTTTGCAGGACTGTCGCTCATCAGGGAGGATCTGTTAACCATTGATCAGAGCTTGCAGCCTGTGGTAACCCCACCTGCGCCGCCGCCACCAGAATCCGGTATCGCGGGCCATCAACACAACAAGCGTAGCATGCACGACTACGATGGGGCGTCAAGCATCACACCGAACGGGCTTTGGCCAGTCTTAGCAGCCCGCCCTGCCGTTTCCGCTCCCGAAGTCCTTGTGAATGCTGCCGCTTGTCTGCTCACCCATGAGTCTGTCGAGACACTATTCACACTGGCCTCCCGCATGCCTGAAGAATATCATTTGAACGACAAGGTTTCCACAGTCCCACGAGAAATCGGAAAGACAGCACAGACCTTGCCGTCTTGGGTCCCCGCACCGGGGTCCTGGAAGGTGCGTTACGTTGACCCTTTTACAGGAGGAAATACAGTGCCACTGACGAGCCATCACCTCTATCTCAGAGTGAAGCAACTAGCGATTTGATTCCTCCAAAGATCAATAATCCATGGTGTGCAGGCCCTGCGCGGCACGCATCAGCGGGCGACGCCTCCTCAGTCTCGCCTGTTTGCTCCATCTCTCCTAACGGGAGAGAGCTCATCGTCGACGCTGCGACAGTGGACACTGTCTCTGCAGTCGACTTCGACGTCCTGGATCTGCTCAAACTCATGCGCTTCATGACACAAAGGCCCGTGGTGTACAATGGCGTGGCCGAGGCCCGCAAGACTGCGCGTCAGCCGTCTTTGCTGGAGGCCATCGCCTTCACCATGGTGGCCGGCCACGTCAATGGCAAGCGCATCACGCACGCTCAGGCTGGCAAGTGCCTTTGCGAGTCCATCGAGTCGATGGTTCACGCTTCCGTCCTGAGGGACCAGCATGAGCTAGCCGGGCAGACGATGGCCAGGGAAAAGAGCGAAGCGGCAGCACGCAAGGCTCACGGCAGCGGCGCGGATTTGCAAACAGCACCATCGGCCGCAGCGGAGCAGTGGAGAGCAGACCGCGAGCGTGAGACCAACACGCAGAAAAGCCTCGCCGACGTCATCGCCGAGTTTGAAAAGCTGAAGCACCTGTATGCGCACATGCCTTGGCCCGGGGAGGCGGTGAGGCATTTAACCTCGGAGGAGGCGATTTTGGAAGTGTCCAGCAACGAGTTGAGAGAGAAGAAGATGCGGCGGAAGGCAGTCCTGAATTTCCTCATGGGGCAGCCCAGCCACGGCTTCGGGGGCTTTAGAGTTTTTCCTCCAGAGAAGGATGAAGATCCCTTCTTCGACGTTGAAAGGCCTGTTAGCGACGAATGCCGGGCCTTTGAGGAGGCTTGCATGTCGATGCTTGCCTGGCGCAGGTTGTTCGTAACAAGGACTGGGCTAGTCGGCCTCGCGCCTACCTGGGTCCGAGAAGGCCACCACGTTATGCTGGTGTCTGACTCTTCTGTTCCTTTCGTGTTCTCCCGAGCTAGAGGCACAAAAAGGGATACCTGGACGCTTCAAGGCGAAGCCTTTGTTGATGGTATCATGCTCTGGGAAGCCAGAGAATTGGTTGATATGGACAGAATATGTGTAGTTTGAGACATAGATATCGAGGAGCCATCGAGAACTTTCACAGCCTTCTACAATGTGCGGAGCACAGAACGCGGCGACGACATGATTAAATGTCTAGGTAGGCTTCAGGGCAATCGCAAGCCTTTTTAGCTGACGCCGCGAGGACTTCATATGGGCACTGAATTTACATCCGTTGCTATCCGCTCGAACGGCTGTATACCCGATAGGCTGATGGGCTGGCTTCCTGCAGCGTGCTCCACGGCAGCGTCCCGGTGCCTGGCACCACCTCCCTGCCCAATGTTGCGCATGTGCTCGTCTTGTCCATAACATCCCCCCGAGAAGGCTGACGGGGAGCGCATCATGATGAACGATGCATTAGGCGGAGCGCAGGCGGCGGCCGAACTTCTGGCTCTATTGTTGTCAGACGATGTCCGTTGTCATGCGCCGAGCTCTGGTACGGCTGTTTGCAAAGTATGACACGAATTTGAGCCCGGGAGCATCGGCATAATGTTCATCGTTGATGGAGAGATAGATTAGGTCCCAGAGAGATTCGAGTGATTCTTAGTAACGACGTCCTGTCAATAGCAGCCGTCGAGGTTTACATCCTGCGCCTGTCTGAGGGCAATAAATTTCCCGGTTCTGGTGTCATGGCAAAACATGCCGAGCGTGCAACGTGTCGTCGAATTACGTAAAAGGCCGCGGCGTTACTCCCAGCCAGAGCAATCTCGCTGAGGATGAAACGCAGGCCTGAGCTTGCTCGGTGCTCAAATGAGATGAACATGATCCAGATGTGTTTCCTGATGCTCCGCAGAGTGACAATGGAGATCGGCAGTTGGGCCCTGGCATGCCGGGAGCTCGGACCACCGGGCGGGCGCCGAGGGCTTCCGCGAAGGAAACAAAGTTATGACTGACCCCTTTTCCCCACACCCGGCGCCCTGGAGCTGGAGCCCCTCGTTCCTGGCCTGGCACGTGAAATCCAGGGTCCACCTCCGAGATTATTTTTGTGTGTGTTTCTTTTTCGAGGGGTGGATTCTCAAGGCCCCAGCAATCAAAGGGTGACCCCCGGGCAGTTCCTGCTGAACACGGCATTTCATTCTGCTTCTCAAGAGATTCTCGATCGTGTGAGCCAAAGGTGACAGGTGTATGTGATCTTTCTTGCTGGGTGTCGCCCCTGAAAGGGCAGCAACAAAAAGATTGGAGCTGCAGGCATGCCCAGCAGGCCCAGGCCCTGGCCAGCCACCACAATTGGGCCGACACCGCCAGAGGCCATTGCCATCCTCGCCCGCCAAGGGACACGGGCAATCTTAGCTGGCGCTGGTGCGGGCGGCTCAGGGGTAAAACATGAATACCTGGCCTGACGGGTGGTGTTTGGTTGGATTGAAACAAAATGCGGCCCAGGGAAAGAAACGGGCGGGCGCGATAAGATAAGACGGGCCGCCGGGAGATAACACTTGTCCGGATGCTCACCGCCTGCAACGGGCGCTGGAGCGTTCCAAGGTTAGTGCAGTGGTGGGCGCTGGAGGAGGGGCAGGCACGCCCAGGCCCAGCAGCGAATTGGCCAGTAGCGTTAGGGGCAGGCACCCGCACGAGCGCACCTTCCACCACTCCACCACCAGCTCGACCTCACCTCCTCCTCCTCGCTGTGATCTCATTCTGCATCCCTTTTCCTCAACTCTCCTCCTCCTCACTCTCTCCTCCCTCTCCCTCTCTCTCTCTGGCAGGACCTGAGGCTCCAACATCGACGACGGCGCCCTCTCTCCCGCTTCCCTCCCACCGCTTCCAACCATGGGGGCCAAACCCATCGCCGGAGCAGAGCTCCAGAGCGACGTCAAATACGTGCCCACCCCTCCCGCCCAGCCCTCAAAATTCGATCTCGGCGAGGATGTCGGCGTCCCGCTGACCAACGTGAGTCCTGCTCCTCTGCTGGCCCCAATTGGAACCGTCCATCGTGACACTGACCGTTGCCCTCGTGTCTCCTGCAGTCCCCCACCATCAACAACCCGCCCCTCCCCGCCGACGGCCCTGGCTATGAGGGCTTCTCCAACTACCTGCTCGGCGCCCTCCTCGTCGGTGTGCCCTGGTACCTCGCCCGCAAGGTCGGCGGCGGCTTCAAGACGACCGTCTTCTTTGGCCTCATCACCTTCTTCCCCATCCTCATCGCCGTCTGGTTCGTCTCGTCCGCCTACAGCCCCCGCATGAACGAAAAGGTCAAGCTGCCCGGCCGCCCCGTCGAGCACTACCTCACCTTCAAGAAGCAAGAGGACAAGCTCAAGTACTCGGGCCGCAACAAGATCTCCATGGCCGCCCTCGCCGAGATGTACATTGACGGCGCCGTCGACTTCAACGGCGATGTCCTCGACATCCTCGAGTACCGCCACGACTGGGCCCACTTCGGCTTCACCTGGGACCTCTTCAAGTTCATCATCATGGGCTTCTTCCGCGACATTGTCATGCACACAAAGGCCCACGACGAGTCCCAGATCAAGCCCACCTACGACACCGGCAACGAGCACTACGCCTTCTTCCTCGGCCCCCGCATGATCTACACCTCGGGCGTCATCTCCGACACCACCCGCGAGGAGTCCCTCGAGGAGCTCCAGGACAACAAGATGTCGGTCGTCTGCGAGAAGATTGAGCTCAAGGAGGGCGAGACCATGCTCGACATTGGCTGTGGCTGGGGCACCCTCGCCCGCTTCGCCAGCGTCAACTACGGCGCCAAGGTCACCGGTGTCACCATTGCCGAGAACCAGGTCCTCTGGGGTAACGACCGCCTCCGCAACGCCGGCATCCCCGAGTCTCAGTCCAAGATCCTCTGCATGGACTACCGCGACATCGAGAACAAGAAGTACAACAAGATCACCCAGCTCGAGATGGGTGAGCACGTCGGCATCTTCAAGCTCACCACCTTCTTCCGCCAGTGCTACGACATGCTCGAGGACGACGGCATCATGTACGTCCAGCTCTCTGGTCTCCGCCAGGCTTGGCAGTACGACGACTTCATCTGGGGCCTCTACCTCAACAAGTACATCTTCCCCGGTGCCGACGCCTCCACGCCGCTCTGGAACTACATCCGCTCTCTCGAGATGGCCGGCTTCGAGTGCAAGAGCGTCGACACCGTCGGCGTCCACTACTCGGGCACCCTCTGGAGATGGTACCGCAACTGGCTCGGCAACCAGGAGACCGTCGAGGCCAAGTTTGGCGTCAGATGGTACAGAGTGAGTTTTATCTTTTCCTTTTTCCTTTACCCAGTCGACTAGCCCAACCTAACAAAATCTTCAGATCTGGGAGCTCTTCCTCGCCTGGTCCGTCATCGCCTCCCGCCAGGGCAGCGCCACCTGCTTCCAGATGGTCGTGGTCAAGAACCTCAACCACGTCCACCGCATCAACGGCGTCGCCTCGCAGTTTGGTCTGTCCGGCGCCCTCGCCGCCAGCAAGGCTGCCGGCAAGAGCGAGCTCAAGGAGAAGGTCTTCTAAGCAGGTCTTGGACTTGGGAGGTCGCCTTTTGCGGCCGTGCATGCTATCCCGCAGTATGGTGATATAATGGCGGGTTAGTTGCAGAAGGGCGAAAAGCGGAAGCATGCATGTCTTCTCATGTATGTGCCGAGGCAGCGAGCACGATGTATGTATGATTCGTGGCTGGTGAAGGGGGGCTTCTGGTATTGAAGGAAAGCATAATGATGTGGAAGATAGATCTGGCAGGTGCCAGAGCCAGTCTCTGACAGACTGTGCCAGATCACAAGTGGCCGAAAGGCAATGATGGCTGGGCTGGGAAACGGGCAAAAAACGCTCATAGAATCTGTTGGAGGCAGGGTGTTTGGGCAATCTAGTGGAACATAACTTGCTTCGGGGAGAACCAAAAGCTATTCTTTGCTTGGGGATGTACGGACATTAGAGGCGGGGATTATATAGGCCCTCTGCATTTGGGTCTGGGCTGGAGACGGCCGGCCAGCCCATGGTTCATATTTTTGAGCATATAATAGTGTTGGCAAACGATACATTCTGGTTGATAGTACATTTCGCATGTGATCAGGTCTGTTCGGGCACAGTTGTGTAGCGCCTCGAGCAGGTTATTGTTGTGCCCAACATTAGAGTGCACCTTGTTTGTGGCAAGAGGATTTGACCTGTTTTCTGTCCATGCAACATCTGTCCCACACGATCAAAGCTAGTGTATTTATCCTATTGTAAAAGCTGAGCTGCGCGCAGCCAATGGGGAAAAAAAGGAATCAGGGAGTAGCTCGTGATGCAAAGATAGTTGTGTTGGACAGACAGAGCCTGGCTGGCCGCCTTGAGGAGCATATAATGAGAACATGGTTAGAGTTTGTCCTGTTCACACGCTGGCATCTTTGCACCTTCTTGGATCATACAGTGCTCTTTGGTTCCGTAACACCCACAAAGGAGTCTGAACCTGGTTGGTGTATTTCGTCTCGTAAATTCGTGTTTAAATTCGTGAGAAAAGCAGGTGAACTCCCTGCCCTGGTGGAGAAGAATTCTTTTGTTCTCCGGTGGTGTGGAAGAAATACAAAAAGAAGACAGAACACCATGCGCTCATTCACAGTGTCCGTCCGTCCTCCGCGGCCCTTTTCCCCAATTTCCCCCGGGTTTCCCCCATCACTATAAATATCACTCAGCCAGGCAGACGGCGCTGGAAGATGTTCACCGTCCGCCGCCGCCGCCGCCTCCAAAGCCCTCAAAGATCTTGACCAGCGCGACGGCCGAGCCGGCAGCCGCACCGCCGATCACGACCATCTGCGCGCCGCCGAGGATGCCCTGCTTGACGCACCGCCGCCCGGCCCAGCCGGTAAAGACACACGTCTTGACGTACCCGAACGCGAACAGCGCCACGGCCATGACACACACCGACACCCACAGCGCCCAGACGATATCCCTCTCCTGACTCCCACCGACAAAGAAGTACGGCACCAGCGGCACGATCCCGCCGAGCATGTACCCCAGCGCGATCATCAGGGCGCTCTGCAGGGCCCGCGCGGCCGACGGCTCGGGGGTGCCGTGGTGGAACTCCATGACAAAGTCGACGTACTTGGCCGACGAGGACAGCTCGCGCGTCAGCTGGCTCAGGGTGCCTGGGGACAGGTCGTACCCGGAGAAGATGGACTGCACGTCGGCGTCGACGGCGTCGGGCTCGGTCGCGATGCGCAGGTTCTCCTGGCGGCGGGTCTCGTGGTAGGATTGTCTGTTTTTCGGAGGAGATTGTCAGCTATTAATCGGGCACAACATGGTAGTTGGGTGTCCCAGGGTCTCGTGTTCCGGCTGAGGCTCGAAGACGGCCATGTAATGCCATGTCCTGTCCTGTCCGCCCACGGGCCTCGGAGCGAGACGGAATGGCTCAAATGCAAGATGGACCAGGGAAAGGGGAGGACAAATAACAGTGATAAAGAAAGAAAACTTACAGCTCGCTCCGCGCCCCCAAGTAACCCCCCAGACCCATGCTGATGGCTCCGGCAATCAGCTCCGCCAGCCCGCCGTACACAATCGTCCTGGCCGCGATGCCGTCGACCGACGACAGGCCCGCAGTCAGGGCGAACGGCACCGTCAGCCCGTCCGACAGGCCGATGATGGCGTCCGAGATCATGCGGGCGTGCACGCCGACGTTGGACCGGCGCGTCGAGTCCACCCCCAGGAGCTGCCGGATGTAGTGGACCATGTAGGCCCATGGCGTCGGCGTGCTGGGGTTATGCGCCTGCTGGTGCTGGAGGTTCTTTGGGGAGAGGCAGGGTGATGAGGAGGAGGCGGTGGAGGCCTTGCGTTCTGGGAGGAGGGTTGAGAGGGAGGAAGATGAAGATGATGGCGATGGTGAGGGCGATTGAGACTGAGACTGGGAGTGGTGTGATGGCAACAGGGCATCTGTCTCTGTTGGGTGCCGGCCTTGTGCTACAAGAGATGAGTAAGCCAGTGTCTGGTTATGGTTGAAGAAGCCCTGGGTGAGGTGAGTAAATGTCACGATAGAGGGCTACTCACAGGCATGGCTGTCTCGTTGTGAGTCCATCTTTACGAAGCTTGTGTAGAGCCGTCTAGCACGAAGGGACGATATAGACGTATAAGAGGTGTGACGACGTGATAGTGGTTAGATAGCAGTTGCAACTCTCGCCAGATATACGCGCTGTGATGAAAAGAAAGAGCTTCCCGAGTATAGCAAGACACAAAGAAATTGGGGTATTCCGCGAGACAGCACACCCTCTTTGTATGTAGCTCGGCGCCGATACACCACCCACGCGCACGGGAGAGCTGCCCTCCGCAACTTATAAGTCCGGACTAGCTAGCTGCCTCAGGGCGGTCCATTGCGCAAGGGTCTCCCTCTTCTGCCAGGCACCCCCACTTGGACACAGGCCGGCCCACCACCAATCCGAGCAGTGCTGATGACGCTCCATTCACGGCAGTTGTGATTGGCGGACAGCCTCAGAGCTGTAATCCAGCAGAGGTGATTGGTCGGTAGAGGGAAGACAAAGGCATGCATGTGGGGACGGGGATGACTGAGGTAAGCTCCACGCACACACTTGTCCGTGCGGATGCCGGCTTGTGGATCAGTGCGCTGGTCTGGTGCGAAAACTCGAGCAAAGGAAAAGACCGAAGCGGACATGACGGAGCCAGAGGCTCAAGGATGTGATGATGCTCGGGCATCTGTCTCGGTGGCATTATGTAACAGTGCCACCATTGTGGCTTGCCATGCTGAAGGTGGTCCTTTATCTAGGCTGCCATGTTCGCTCTGCTGGAAGACAGCCAGGAAGTTGACGTATGGGGGGACTGTTGCTTCAATAGCTTGTTGGACATTAGACAGTTGTCTGTAATGTAGCTCCTGCTTTGTTGGCGATGACAACGCACGCCTTATGCCTAAGTCACTACGACCTGGTGTGTGCTGGCGAGGCAGGCACAGTACGTTCGTAATTATGGTGTCCAGGAGCAGGCAGGAGCCAGCACAGCTTGATGTAGTCTGTATATTCTTACTTAAGAGGCACTGTTTTCATCCAATCAGCAAATACTGAGCGGTCCAATCTCGATTGGTCTAGTGGTCAGGATACCTGCTTGTCACGCAGGTGGCCGGGGTTCGATTCCCCGATCGAGAGCACTAATACAATCACCCAAGGATTACCTTGGGTTCTCTTTTTGCATCTTCCTGCTCCATTGCTTGGATCTTTGTATGATGTTCGTGATTCTTTATTTTCTCTTTTTTTTTTTTTTTTTTTTTTTTCCTGACGTGCTTGCGCCGTGTGGACCGTCACAATACAGCTTACACTTGCCATCGTGGTTAATGCTTGTCAATGAAGACCAATCCCAGCCCGCACAAAATATCACGAATATTACATCAAACATGACAGATTCTTTCAGCTACCACTGCTGCAAGAACTGCCGATGCCTGCCACCCTCCGATGACACGTTGCTCTTGGTCATCATACAGGAAAAGGGCTCCTGCCAGGCTGCCATATGCAGTAGGCCAGAGATCACGAGCCAGCAACACTATCCCCCTGTGGAGCCATCCAGCGCGTTCAGGCCTGAAGACGTGATGCCTGCTCTGCAACATCCATTGCTCCAGAGGGCACGGCCATTGTTTTGTATCTCCCGAGCATGACCAGGTCGGGACCGTGCCGGCGAGAGGTCGAGGGCTCGTCGCCGAGGCGGCTATGTCTTGCTGGGCTCGGCCCCGCCGACACCCGCATTGAGTGCCTATGAGTCTTGCCCGGGCCAAACAAACTCCCGAACTTAACGGCCGATATACGCCGCAATTTGACGGATGCCTAGACACCTCATATGCTCACATCATGCGATGAAGACGTGATCTGCGACGATATCTTTGACGAGATGTCTCGAATGCAATCCATATAAAGACAGACTGTCTTGAATGCGATTCCAATACAACCAATAGTACGCTTGGCACTTTTATACTTCCGACCACATCAAGCACAAGACTGCAACAACAAATCTAGTCCAGTTTCCAATCTTTCCTTGGATCTGCACCTACCCATGGCTGCCGACGCAAGCCAAAACGGCACTGCCGCCAAGGACAACAACAACAACAACAGCAACAACACCATCCACCACCACCACAACACCATCGCCATCATCGGCGCCGGCCCTGCAGGCCTGACCCTCGGCAACCTGCTGCACAAGCACGCCATCCCCTTCACCATCTTCGAGCGCCGCCCGCGCCCGGCCTCCCTGGACGAGCTGACCAGGCAGCCCTCGGGGTTCCTCGACCTGCACGAAGAGTCCGGCCTCGCGGCGCTGCGGGCCTGCGGCGGCGGCGAGCTGTACGAGCAGTTCCGTGCGGTGACGGGCGAGTGCAGCCAGGCGGACCGCGTGTACGACCACGAGGGCCAGCTGCTGCACGCCAGCGGGAGCGGCGAGGTGGAAGGGTACGGCCAGGGAGGACGAGGGGGAGAGTTTGGCGAGGACCGGCCCGAAGTGTCGCGGGCCTGGCTGACCAAGATCCTGCTCGAGGCGCTCCCAGCCGACACGATCCGCTGGGAGCACAAGCTTTTGAGCGTCTCGGAGGTTGAGAATAGCAGCAGCAGCAGCAATAACAAACTTGTTGCTCTCGACTTCGGCCCAGAGCACGGCAGGCACAGTTTCCCTTTTGTCGTGGGCGCGGACGGCGCGTGGTCCCGCGTGCGCAACCTGCTCACGGACGTGAAACCCGCGTATGCCGGGCAGCAGTACATCTCGGCCACGGCACGGGGCCTATCATCGAGGAACGAGCAACAGCAGGGGCAGGGGCAGGACAGGAGATCAGGCCTCGCGGACCTCGTCGGGACGGGCAGCATGATGGCCCTCGGGCAGCGCAACGGCGTCATCTCGCACCGCAACACCGTCCAGGACACGGCCGTCATGTACATCGTGGTCGACGCGCCCGGACAGGAGGACTGGGCTGAGAGCACGGGTCTGAGCCGGATGACGACCGCGGAGGCGGGAAAGGTGCTGGTCGGCGAGGACGGGGTGTTTGGGAAGTGGGGGGACGCGCTGAAGAGGCTCGTCCTCGCGGGCTGCGAGGATGAGTCTGTCCACGGGATCACGGAAGAAGGCAAGGTCGGCAGCGACAAGACGGGCCAGAAGCTGCTGGACGTCAAGCCCATGTATACCCTGCCCGTGGGTCACCGGTGGGCTCACCATCCCCGGGCGACTGTCATTGGCGACGCGGCGCATCTTATGGGCCCCTGGGCCGGCGAGGGCGTCAACACGGCCATGCAGGATGCGCTCGAGCTCGCCGAGGCGATCGTCGGCGCGGTGCGAGGCAGCGAAGGGCGAGACATCTCAGAGGAGAGCCTGAGCCCGCGTGTGGAGAAGTTTGAGTTGGGCATGTGGGAGAGGGCGGCAGAGAAGGCAGGCGAGTCGGAGCGGAACGGCAAACTCATGTTTGGTAGCGACCATGGTGGAAGAGCCCTGGCCGCAATGTTCAAGAGCTTTGGGCCGCCGCCACAGTAGACAGCGCTGATACCCATGATTTGACAAGGACATTTGGGAGGAAATCTTGACTGGGTCATTTCATTTGATAGACTATTTACCATTGAAATCCAGGATATCCTTAATGTTGATAAGCTTACAGACTTATCCATCCAAAGTTGTTTGACATGTGCATGCGCCAGATTCTTTTGGTGTAGTATCTTACGTTGCCGCATCCGCGCTTATCTGTCAGATGTCCCTACACTCCAATAAGCTTTCGGACAAGTTCCGGTGCCATTGTTCCGTAAACATTGAGACCGATGCCACCAGCAGGATCAAGACATGATATGCTGGGGTCTGCAGAGGACGCGAGATCAACGCGGCGGGTCGTCAACCGACATTTATCTTGGTATTGTTCTAGTATAACATTGCCTCAAGCACCACTCCGGAGTTGGCTGGCAGGGCAGCAGCATATATGCACGAGAACCCCAGCTATGGCGGAGTGAGAAGCATATGCTTAAGCATTGGACAATCGGGCCACATTCGACTAGAAAACAACCGGATACCAAGATTGGAGTATAAATGGCCAAGTGCTGCAGGACGCTGCATGTGCACAGTGCCAAAAGACCAGAAGGGCAGGGGATAGACGGGCCTTGATTGCGGTGGGTGTGAGACTGTGAGACAGCCCGCGCCGTGCAGACCAAGGACAAGTGCGAGAGCGAGTCCGACCTCCGGCGCTAAAGTAATACCGCTTAACCCCGCAGGATACACACAAGTCGGTGCCCATGTTCCACGATCACCCGTGCGGGGATAAGATGCATGCTTACTTATTACCGGCAGCCTGACGCTGCTCGCTGTAAAGCTTGACGTGGTGAGAAAAGTGCAGAACCTCTTGACATTTCTTCCTCCTTGTCTCCGAGGAGTCGTACTCGAGACACCGCCCTGGAATTATCACGATTGCTCAGAAGCTAGTTGTACGACATAGCAAGGTGGCTTGTCTTAGTTCCTCAGCTATCTCCAATACTCAAGCCACCCGCCGTCACGCATCGACACCGTTGGTCCCCGAAGCGTCCTAGCAGCCACAGGAGCCAATTAGGAATACCTCGCTCATCACTGACAGGAAAGAAATCAACAACAAAAAATGGTCTCAGACGCCGCAGTCCGCACCTCGGTCGCGAATCTCGTCACCTCCCGACCCCTGGTGGCCGTCTTCTTCGCCGGCGCCACGGGCATCGGGCACTACACCCTGCGCGAGCTGGCGCGGGCCACGGCCGACCACCCCGGAGCCAAGGGGTTCCGCGCGTACGTCGTCGCCCGCCGGGAGAATGTCGCGCGGGAGGTGATTGCCGAGTGCGGCGCCTTGATCCGGGACGGGGTCAGTGACGTGGCGGTCGTGGACGATGTCACCGGCGGTGGTGGTGGTGGTGGTGACGGTGTCGAAGGCGATGCGGGAGCGGGAAGCAAGGCCACGGCCGAGTTTGTGTTTGTCCAGACGAGCGACCTCTCGCTGATGGGCGAGGTCGATCGTGTGTGCGCCCGCATCACCGAGCTCGAGACTGCTCGTGCCGGACGTGCTGGTGACGTCGCGAGGATCGACTATTTGCTCTTCACACAGGGGTGTGTGGTCTATCAGCCGCGAAAAGGTGCGTTTTTGCTGTGGTGCTTCTCTGACATCGTTGTTCCAGCTTTTCTATTCTGATGCTCTGACTGGCACGATTGTGCGATGGCATACGCGACCAGAGTAGTCACTCCATGCTCATCTCACCCAGCACAGAGGTTGATGTCAAGCTAACATTGTCCTACGCGTGCGACAGACACGGAAGAAGGCCTCGACTTCACCATGAGCATTCTGTACTACTCGCGCATGCGCGCCCTCACGCAGCTCCTCCCGCTCCTACTTGCAGCCTCTAGATCCTCCTCATCCGCCTCTAGCTCGTCGCCCCCAGCCGAGCAGCAGCCCGACAACCACGCAACCGTAGTCTCCGTCTTCGCCGCCGGCACCGAAGACACCCTCCACGCGGAAAACCTCGCCCTCGACAACCCCGTCTCCGATTACACCTACAACACAGCGCGCTCGCACATGAACTACATGCACACCCTGTTCTTTGAACAGCTCGCGCGGGATCCTCCTGAGCCGGGGAGGCCCACGCCCACTGGCAGCGGCAAGGGCCTGACCCTCGTGCACGTCTTCCCCGGGCTGGTCAACGGCCCGGGGTTCCAGAGCTCAGAGATGCCGTCCTGGTTCCGCGTGCTGTGGTCCTGGGTCGTCGTCCCCTTGCTGGGATGGGCGGCGTTCACCAAGGCCGAGGTGTGTGGGCGGCGGATCTTGAGCTTGACGGATGCGCAGCGGTATCCCCCTTCTTCTTCTTCCTCTTCTTCCTCGTCTCCACCCACTGGTTCCAATGCGGCTGGCGGGGGAAGTGTCGAGGAAGGTGTGGTCAGAAGCACGACCGGCGAGACCGGCCCGGGCGGTGGGACGTATGCGCTCGGCTCGAGCATTGACGACACGTTCAACTCGGCCAAGTACGCCGGCCTGGACCGCGCGGCCATGAGGGAGGCCGTGTGGCGGCACACGATGGACGCGTTTGACACTATTGCCGCGGGCAAGGTCTTCACGGGGGCTAAACAGGCGGCGCAGTGATACTGTGCACGAAGACGGAATTTGTTGCTTTGTGCGGGATGATACTGCGTAGGAAATGGCAACAAAAATAGGCTCTTCATTGCTGCTGCAGCTGGAATGAAGTCCAAAAAGGTAATGCCCTGGCTGCGCCAGAGATATGCATCCGTATGTATCTGCGCTGTATCTGTGTGTGTATATGCAAAGCGAAAGTGAAATCCTAGTAGCTCTGTCCACCAATGTATCGTCCCGGCAGGAGACAGATGAATATTGTGCTGATGAAGGCGCTGCTGCCGGCAAGGTACAGCACGCCGTTCTGGCTGACGGCCAGTACACGCGCGCCCGCGAGCGGCGCAATGATGGAGAAGACTCGGCCCCAGAACGAGGCGGCGCCACATGCAGTGCCTGTTTTCCCTTATGTCAGTATCGAGTCACCACACAGCGCCCGGAAATAGGAGATGGAGAGAGAGAGAGAGAGAGAAAACAAGAACACACCTCGAATGGGAGCCGGGAAGAACTCTGGCGTCATGCCGTACAGGATCGCGTTGAACATGGACTGGAAGCAGTACACCAGCCCGCTGATGCCAATGTAGCTGGGCGCGTTGGTCACCGTGGTGAAGGTGAAGAGCATGGCGCCAAACAGCGCCGACGAGGCGATCATGGACAGGCGGCGCCACTTGTAGATGGTCGTGCCCGCGAGAACGCCGGGAATGCCAAACAGCTTGATGTAGATGTACGACAGGTACGTCCACTGCAGACCAAGCCCGAGTTGGGCACCCTTGCTGCGAAGAATATAGGGCAGAAACGCGCCCGAAATGGAGAACGCGAACTAGACACACACACAGCAGTGTCAGCATTGATGTGACAGACAACCGGCGGCAACGAGACGATATACTCACATAGTCAAACATGTAGATGATGAAGACGCAGATGGTCAGCCACGCCATGACGGGGCTGTCGAAGAGCACGCGTAGGCGGACGAGCTCAAACTTGACCTTTTGCCATAGCGACAGATTCTTCTGCTTCTCGCCAGAGCCGAGCACGATGCGGCCGTCGCTCTCGGTGCCGCTGACGGACGCGTCGTCCTCGGTCAAACTGGTGAAGCTCTCAAGAGTCACGTTGCAGGGCACCTTGTTGAAGTTGGCAATGTACTCGAGCACCTCGACAGCCTTGGCGTCGTTGCCGCGGAAGAGGAGGAACTTGGGCGACTCTTTGAACTTGAAGAGGAAGAAGCGGGCGATGAAGGCGGTGATGGTGATGCCGCCGAGGGTGAACATGGTGTAGCGCCAGCCCCAGTTGTCGGCCTTGGCGCAGCACGGCTCGCCAGGCAGGGTGGTGTTGCAGGACTTGAGATTTGGGGCGCACGAGTGCCAGGGGATGAAGGCGTAGGAAATGGCGGAGCAGACGATGACACCGAGGGGCTGGAAGACGGACAGCGTCGGGAGCAGCCAGCGCTTGTTGCGAGGCAGCAGCTCGAGGCAGATGGTGGTGTCGATGGGGACGTTGCCGCCGATGCCAATGCCCACAAAGGCGGCGAGGACCAGGACGCCGTTGTAGGTGTCGGGCGCGCCGAGGCAGATGCCAAACACACTGGCGATGAGGACGGTGAAGTTGAATGCCCAGTAGCGGCCGATGATGTCCGTCACGATGCCCCAGAAGAGAGCGCCAGCAGTAAGACCGGCGTTGAAGGCAGTGCTGAGGTTGCCCGCTTCGATGTCACCAAAGCCAAACTCCTGCTTGATGGAGGCGAGGATGAGGCCGAAGGCCTGCGCCCAGCTGTGAAGAGCCGTGAGCATGTGGAGTGATTTGCAGGAGCAGCAGAGACTCACAGCAGATCCAGAAAGTAGCCAAAGCCACAGAGGAAAAACACCATCCACTGGTAGCGGCCCATCCCTTGCTGGGCGAGCTCGCGATTGACAACCAGAGCCTTCTTCTCGTACAAGGTGAGCCCCTCCATCTCTGGGTCGACAGGCCGGGTACCGGTCGAGTCGATGAGGCCATCCTCGAGGGAGGAGCCGCGGCCAACCTCGCCCTCTGTGGGTGACTTTGTCGAGTCGGCCATTGTGCGTGTCTGGTGTCGCCGGCAGTGTTGGCTGGCGAGAGCGATCCTTTGGTGACACGGGGCCTGGAGACAAGCAGCAAGTGGCAGCCGGTGCCTGGGAGGGACCAGGAACGCGACTGATTGTTTAATAGGACGAACGCAGTCGCGACAGGTGGAATTATGCCGGGCCTGGATTGTTGCTTGATGTGATGTGAAACCCCTGGGCGCTGGTTGCCTGAGCCGCCATGTCTTATCTTTTCCCACCTCGTGCTTTCCCCCACGAGCTCTCTGTGTGTGCCAGCTCGGCTCTGTGTGACTAGCGAGCAGCACTGCTTATTGGACTACGTCACGACTTGGGAGAGGGCCCGGGCTGTCACTGTTCGGAACACAGGCGATCGCGCGAACAAGGTTCCGATAGGGCGACGCCAGAAGCAGCCGGATGCAGCGCGAGCCCTGGCTAGTGAGGGGTCGCGCCTGCTGCCAAGGGTCGCTGTCAATGCCCTGTGCTGGTCCTCACCGGTCGCCGCCGGGGGGTTTGCTCCTGAGATCCCTTGTCTTGTCATGAGGCACAGGAAGATGCTCTTTTGTCTGCAGGGCATTTGTCTCTAGGAACAAGTCGAGGCTCCGTCTCTGTGCGGTGGTCGCTTGTCTTGGTCTGGATCGGAGTGGGATCCTCGGGGTCTGGTTTGGATCGGCGGGCTCAGGGTCCTTGGGGTCTTTTGGTGCCTCGTGGCTTGTTGTCTAGGGCTCGAGACAGCGGATGAAAAAGTCAGCCATTTGACGTGGCTGGGTATGCTGGAGGATGGGAGAATCGAATGGCAGGCGAGATCTGCGGAATGGGATGGGTGGGCAGACGCAGATCTGGAGCTACTGCAGCCCACCCCACGATCGGGTGGAGCATGGCGCTGCTTATTTCTGGAGCCGTAGCACGAATGGTGAGTAATAGCTGGAGGGCGCCAGTCGCTGTCTGCCGGGAGAATCGGCTCGGGTGGTTTGGGCTACCATCTCACCCGTGTGTGTGTGTCGCTTGCTGGTGCCACTGTTGGAACCTGTTTGCTGTCTCGAGATCTCCTGTCCCCGCCTCTCCAAACCAGCAAACCTGGTGGCCTGAGGCATTACGTGAGGGTTGGGCTGCCAAGCTTAGTCATCACCCCACACGCCTTCAGGATGTTGCTGCATCGACCCCGCTGCTCAGTGTAAACAAATCCTCTGTGACGCCATCGCGATTGGGAGCCGGACTGCACCTCTTACAAGCGGATCAGGCAGGCCATGTCGACCACCATGAAGTTCGTCGATCTCTAGCTCTCTGCGCAGCTCGAGGCTGATGGGCGGGCGTCGGCCTTCCCCCCCAACAACATCGCCAGGTACATCAGGCAGCCTCTCCACCGTCATCGTCCCGTACACACTCGTGGCCGCCGTCCGCAGAGAAAAGAAGCAGGCACTCGTCCGAGGGTAGACAGCCATTGGCCTTTTTTGCTTCTACTTTGCCTGGTCTAGATGAATGGAACTCATGGAAGGGTACATCATATTCGGTCAACATGCAACAGTCTCCCGTTCAGCTCGACATCTTCTCTTGTGTATCTGCCGGGGGCAAGTGTGTTTGCATTCCCCACGTACTTCTCTGTCTCTGCTCTTCTCTGCGGCTCTTTGTCTTTCTCTGACTTTCCCTTATCTCTCTCTCTCTCTCTTTCTCTCTCTCTGCCCAGTTGGCCCTTGATTCCCCTGGCCCCCGCACTTCCTAAGAGAGTCCATCCATTTCGCCCGTGCTCGCTTGATCTGGCTGAATCCGAATAAAGAAAACGGGGAACACTCAAAGGAGAAAAAACAAACAGCAAAGCGGGTCTGCTCTTCATCTAATCCGCTGTCACAAAAGAAAAACAACATATCAGAAAACGACCTGCGCGTAAAACACGCCGTCCCTGAGCGCGGCCGCCGTGGCGGCGCACTGCATCGGGATGCACTTCAGCGTGAGCTCCTTGCGCGTGCGCAGGGGCATAAAGGCAAAGTCCCCCTGCGGCTGAGGCTGGTCTGCTGCTTGATGCTGATGCTGCGGCTTCTGCTGCCTTGCATTTGCGGCCGTGTTGTCCTTATTCTTACTCTCGTTCTTGCTCTTGTCCCCTCCTTGCTTTTTGGCCTTCTGAGCGGCGGCCGCATGGCCATTTTGCGGCTCCTCGTGCCGGGCGCCCCGCGGCGGCGGCGGCGGCGGCAGCGGCGGTGATGATGGTGTATTCAGGTCATCATTACTACTACTCTCGTGGAGGAGTGGTGAGAGCGCGGGGGGAGGCAGGTCCGGCGCGTTCCACTGGTACGCGGTGCACAGCGCGGGCGGCCACTCGGAGGACTCGAGGTATCGCTCGGTCGTGGTGCGCTTGGTCTTGTCTTTGCACCTGCTTGAGGACTGCCCAGCAGTCCTGCGCGGCTTGGAGGAAGAAGAGGAAGCGGAACAAGAAGAACAGGAAGAAGAGGACCATGAAGATGAAGATGAAGAAGAAGGTGGTGACAGGCCGAGCTGCAGCTGCTCCTGCTCCTCAAAAGTCCGCTTGGTCACCGCGGCCACCAGGTCCAGCATCGCGAGCTGTCTCTCGGCGAGGATGCTGTCCACTTCCGCATGGCTCTTCTCCTGCTCCTGTACAGGCCCAGCGCTGGTCGTGGCGGAGGCGGTGAGGTAGTTTTCGTCTCGTCGTTGTCGTGGCGAGCAAGAGTTGCTGGCCAGAGGCGGCAGGACCGAGCGGTACTGGCCGATCATCGTGTCGTCTTGGTGTTGTGGCTCGCGTTCCACCTGTGCGGCCTGCTCTTTCGCACCGTTGCGCACCGCCACCGAGATCTGGCGGTGCTGCTGCTGGGCGGCCTGGCGCGTGATGATGGGTAGCATCGTCGCGTCCAGGAACAAGTCGTTGAAGTTGTGGATGCGGAAGCCGTCGACGTCGCGGTCCAGACGGCGGGCGAGCTGCAACAAGGCGGTGGCGTCGATGCTCTGGAAGGCTGGGGGTGTTGGAATCGCTGATGATGGGGAGCAGTTGTTGGAGTAGACCAAGGAGGGGGGGAGGGAAGAGTATGATGATGATGATAATAATGTCGAGTCGTCCGAAGACTTGGCCAGGAAGGAAGGGTCGATGTCGGGGACGGAGGTCATGCAGATCTGCATGCAGTGAATATACACACACACCTGCTGGAACGTATCCAATATGTCGCCTTCTTCTTCTTCTTCTTCTCCATCTCCATCTCCATGAGCGCCACCAGCCTGCCTCTCCTTGTGCGCAGCAATAAGCCCCTGAAACCAAGTCCGCCACACACCAAGGCACTCGAGCAGCCGGGCCTGGTCTGCCAGATGCTGCGTGGCGTCGAGCCTCTGGCCCACCGAGATGGGCCAGTACCGGCTCAGCAGCCAGCACTCGAGCGTGCCGTGGAAGGCATTCCACTTGGGCCGCAGCAGCTTGATGGTGTTGTCGTACCGCCCCGGCACGGGCAACTCGGGGGGCAGGTTGAACCGGGGCAGCAGCGCCGCGTTGTGCTCGGGAGTCTGGGCTGCCCCGCGGCCGGTGGAGGGAGGCGTCCACAGGCCGCCGAGGACGTTGGCCGCGGCGAAGCGCACGCAGACGGCCTCGGTGTTGCACAGGCTGCGGCTGTCGCCGTACAGCGGGTGCAGGCCGTACCGGAACGCCCCGTCGCTCCGCATCTCGGGCGGCGCGACGACATGCGGCCGTAGCATCGTCATGCCGGCCCCGATGATGGCGTTGCGCGAGGCAAAGTTGCCCTGCAGCAGCTCCAGCACCGCGAAGCACATGGTCCCATAGGCAATGTCCCGCGGCGACATGCTGGGAAGGGCGTCCCGGAAGGACCTCAGGGCCCGGGCATAGTTGCCCACCGCCGAGAAGAGGTGCTTGGTGCTCCGGCTGCTGCCAGGAGGCGAAGAAGAGGAAGAAAAAGAGGAAGAGGAGGAAGAAGAAGGAGAGGCAGGAGAAGACCCCTGAGACCCCGAGAGAAACTCCTCGGGCTGGCTGAGCGGGCGAAACCCTGCAGACCGCACCGCTCCGTCGCCCTGCGAGGACCTGCTGAGGTCGCGGATCGAGAGGCAGACGTACCTGTAAAAGTCCTTCTGCACGCTCTCGCGGGCCAGCATGTGCGCAAAGAAGTTGCTGCGCGTCATGCCCACGGGGTCCAGCGTCGCAAACGCCGCGTGCACAATCGCCCGCGCGCTGTCCTCGGCCGTCCACAGGTGTGTCGTCAGCCTCATCAAAGAGGCCTGGCCCGTCTGGGACATGGGAATGATGCACTGGGGCACGCGGGCGGTGCCGGACTTGGACGAGGACTTGGGCTTGCACGAGGATGAAGCTGCCCTGGGCCCTGTCGGCAGCAGCACGCGCTGCATGGCCTGCTGCTGGGCGGCCGGTGCTGCCTTTTTCCGCTTCCCGGCTCGGGCTTGCGGATACTCGCAGTGCAGAAGCAGGCGCTGGCATGCCGAGCAGCTGGGCTGGGCCTCGTCGCACCGGACGTGGCGCTTCTTGCAGGTGAAGCACCCGGCTCGAGACTTCGTGAGGTAGGTCCGCCCTGTCAGGGACTGGGGCTGAGCCGGATGCTGATTCATGCCCGCAGCCATCGTGGATATGGTGGTGGAATGCGATAGAGGGAGAGAGTGTGTGGTGATGGTGGCTGGACGGCCATGTAGTCAAATCCGGGATTCTTGCCGAGGCCAAACTCTCAATAGGCAAACTGCTACGAGACTGGGAAAGGCACCTCGGGCTTGCCGTTTTGGGACGTCGTCGACGGCCGAGTCAAAGATTGTGTCGTTACTTGAGCCCTAGATAAGCACTGTTGGAAGCTCTGGTGCCCAAGAATCAGAAGGTGAGGACGGACAAAAAGTATCCAAAGGGCCGGTTCATCAGAGTCCGTCGTGTGAATAAGCGGGCGAGCAGCTCGGATCCCTGCTGCTGCTCATGCACGTCGTATATGGCCCAACTGGGACTAGTGGCATGAATGAATAGTTCTCGAGTAGGCTACTCAGTGCTTTGCAGGCTTGAACATGGGCATGATTGGCCACGAGTCATTGTTCTCCCTTAGACCCTGGATCGGGCCGGGGATTGGGCAGGGGGCCCAGACAGCTTCGCGGGGTGCAGACTGCCCAGGTGTCCAGGGGGCCAGTGACCCAGAGGTCCTATAGTTGCCGACTTGCGGGAATGCCGTCATGTCTATGTTCAGGCTTCATCCTTGGCTGCAGGGACCCCAGTGCCCTCGATCCTCTTGGCAACCTCGTTGATCTTGCCCCAGTTGTAGTCCTCGGCCCCATACACTCTCTGCTTCCTCAAAACCGCGACGCACCCTTTGTCGCCCGCATTCTCAGCACTCTCCACAAGGGCCGCCAGTCCAGCACTATCCCACGGCCGACACCCGAATATCTGCTCCCTCCGCCTCAGCCGCCACGCCGCAACATCGGCATTCATGGGCTTCCTACGATCCGCATAGTCCGACGGCAAGACCGGATACACATCCTCCAGTGCCTCGCCGGGCTCGATCCCCGTGCGCGCCAGGTCGGGCAGGAAGTCGGCGAGCGTCTCTGGCGGGTCGTTGACCGGGTCGAACGGCTCGAGCACCCAAGCCCGTTTCTGCCACGAAGGCAGGCCCGCGACGGCCAGGGGCACGGTGATGTAACCCGTGTTGCTGGAGGACATGATGAAGGCGTGATCGTCCGAGCTGACGGGCAGCCGGCGCGGTGCGACCGTGTAGAACTTGATTCGCGGGTCGAGTATGGTGCGGAGGAAGCGCACTGTTCTGCGGATGTCCGCCTCGTCCTCGTCTCTACTGTGCTCTCCGTTGTGCCGAGGCTCGAGTTGCAGTGCTGCTACTGCTGCTTCCAAGTGCTCGCTGCCATTGGTGCCGTTGTTCGCCTCTGACTGGGACAAGATGCCCAGCAGGTCCCTCGCAGCGGGCACCAGCCGCTCGTCCTCGTCCTCCCCCAGCACGCCGTGCATCCACTCCCGCGTGTCCCTGCTCATCACATCTGCGAACCGCAGCACCCACCCTTTCCCACTGTCGATCCCGTGCGCGAGCCACACCTTGACGAGCACGTGCAGCGGACCCGGCCTGCCCTCTTTGATCTTGTTGATGACGCCGCTGGCGAGCTCCGACTGTCGCTGCGTCTGCTCGTCTGCGGAGGCGGCATACATCGCCGCCAGCTCCTCGAGCTGGTGCGTGGCGATGAGGGCGTCGGCTTTCTCCAGGGCGCCTGGCGTGCTCATGGCAGGAAGGGGTTTGAACACGAGCAGGTCGAGCTCGATGTAGTCGCGCGTCACAGCCGTGATGTAGCTCTTATCTGGCAGCGGGAGGATCTCGTCAATAACGCCCTCGACTGCGCGCGGGACCCACGAGATGAGAGCTTGGTTTGGGGTTTGGTGGTCGTCGGTGCCAGTCTCGGTTGCTGCTGCTGCAGCTGCTGCATGAGTAATCCTGAGCTTTCCCCCGTCCATGACAAGCGGGACGACATCGCCCGCCGCAAGCACCAGCAGGGAAAACATCCAGATGACGTCCTCGACGGTGTCGACGCTGCCCCGGAAGACGAGCGGGATACTCGACGTGTTGAGCGCGATGGACATGAGATCGCCCTTGAAGGAGCAGCCAAACGAGAGGATGCTCACGAGGTGCTGCATGGCCGAGCAGTCGGGACTCGTGTCGGGCAGGCGCCGCTGGATGCGGTACCAGAGGTGCCACAGCCCAGAAGCCGGGGGGGCCCACGGGTCCAGGTCCCCATAATCCAGGCGCACATCGCTGTCGAGCATCAGCTCCTCTGGCGTGGGGTCCTGTTGTTGAAGCGAGCAGATGTAAAGGGCAAGGTAGTGGATGAAGCGGAACTCGAAGCTCAGGATCTTGTCGGTGCTCTGCTCTCCGTCATTGGCCGCCGTGGTGGTGGCTCGGCCGTTCATGTGCTGTGGGATTGCAGTCTCCTGTCCAGGGCCGAAGCATAAGAAGAGCGGGTTGTTTATCTTGCCGTGCGGCACGACTCTCGACTCATGTGCGCACCAGGCCCGCGAGAACCACCGCGCCCGTAGCACTTTGGTGACGAATCGTCTCCCAGCTGCCCGGAGCCGAGCGACGGGGAACTCGGTCCCCTCATGAATCTCGCCCCCCGAGATGGCGGCCGACATGCTCTGGCACCACTCAGCCTCCCACCTAGGGAAACACTCGGCAATGAACTCGCGCTTTGCCGCGCCCTCGAGGTCGTGGTCCTTGACGTGGTCGCACATGTCCTGATAGATGTTCTTGTAGGCCAGCGCGGCCAGGACCTCGTCGCCCGCCTCGAGCTCCACGTCCTCGAGGACGATCACGACGCGCCGCGCGGCCCGGTAGATCATGTCCATGGCTCCGACGTGTGTGATCTTGTCGTCCTCGTCGGCCTGGTTGATGCACAGCTTGTCCAGCCATACTGCGCAGCTGGTCCCGGTGGTTGCTGCTGCTGCTGCTGCTGTCTCGCCAGTACTCTCCTGCCCTCCGGCAGCCTCAGCCTGAACCTGAGCTTGAGCCTGGGCAATACGCACCACCTCGTCGACCATGTGCTGCGATATCTCCCACCCATCAGCGATAGGGTCGGCGGCGGCAGGCAGGACCCATGATGGATAGTGCCAGCAGTAGCTGACGACGATGAACGAGTCGACTTCTCTAGGCGATGGCGTTGCAGCAGCACCAGCGGCGGTAGGGAGGATCATGCGCAGCTTGAGCTGCTTGATGGCCCCCTGCTTGTGATGGAAGTGCCTGGCGACATCCGGGTTCAGCTCCTCCAGCCGTGCGCATATCGCGTCTGCCTCGGCCCGCCGCCTCTCGAGCAGCTCGCTCGCCGTGAAGAGGAGCTTCCTGGTGTTATCTGCAGGGAGCCGGACCAAGGTGTGGCCGAGTGGGGCGAGGGTCGTGTTATTGCACCGCTGGACGTATTCGTCCTCGTATTCCATGGTGAGCGCTGAGCTTAGACTCTCTGAGAATAGGATGAAGCTAGCGCGGAGTTCACTGCTAAAAGTTGTCGAGTAAGGTTGGAAGCAAGAGACCGGGCGCCGCTACTTGATGGTGCCTAAAGAGTGCCTTACTAGAGGCAGCCAGGTGCGGCTGAACGTGTTGCCCCTCGTCGCGGGCACTTGACCCCTGTCATGCATAACACCTATGCTAGAAGGCTCATGAACGGCTACCGCAGCGGAAGTTGCCATTGTTTTTATTGCCGTGAACGAACAATGTCCCGGACGCACGGGAAACCTCATGTTAGACAACTAGAGACATTGTCGCGCCTTTCAAGCTTGAGCAAGGGCAGACACTGTTGTTCATTCAAGCCGAGCAACACCAGATTAACACATTCTGCATGTTTCAAGCCACTCCCGATGGAGCCTAGATATAGGTCAGCAGTAAACTCAGAGTGCATATGTTGTTCAGGGAGGGTCACTCATATACACCCGGATGAGCGGCCAATTCTGCTCGCTGGACGCAGCACACGGCGAATCTGCCGCAAGTGGCGTTGAAATCGTTCGTGCGGTATCATAATTCACAAATAATGGCGAGTACACGCGTCCTCGGTTTGCGTTCCTTGGGAGCACTTGGTCAAACCGGCTCGGGTTTTACACGCGTAGACGACATCGTGCTGCATCGGTAGCAAGAAGCAAGTCCACAGCTCGCACGATGTCGTTATGGACGGTGATCCAATGAGAGCCACAAATACGACAGCATACCGAAGTGCTCCTCGGCCCTGAGACCTTGCCTTCCTACTCACAAGACCAACTGATAAGCATCGGCGTAAGCATATAGCGCGCCGAGTCCAGCTTCAGGCCCGGTACAGAACAGAATCAGCCTCCCGGACCGCCGTCATCGCCGCCGCCCCTCAACACACCGAGTCCACCGTGTGGACCCGTGGACCCGCGCCAGCAAGATGCCCACTCACGATGAAAGAAAATTCTCAAGCGTCGATGGTGCTCTTGCTTCGGCAAGGCAGCGCAGTCATTTTCAAATAAGCAACACTCCCTTTCATCCAATCAGAAACGAGCAATCTTCCTTGTTCGTTCATCGGTCCGTTGGTGTAGTTGGTTATCACGTCAGTCTAACATGGCTCCCCATCGTGGGTTCAAGGGATCACTGAAGGTCTGCGGTTCAAGTCCGTGACGGATCATCTCCAGTCTCAGTCTTTTTGCTTGCACGCAATCTAGAAACAGGGGGCTCACTGCTTTTGGATTTTGGAGGAACTCTTGTACCTCAAACCAATGGGAAGACTCGACTTGCATCTGGGTCAGACTGACAAGCTTTCAATGCAGATATCGAACATTGATCGAACCAGGCTTTTGTGCATCCCACCTTAATGGTCACAGCATGAATAGTAACCATGTAAGATTTGGCGGAGGCTGAAGTCGAATAATCAGGGGAGGCAACCTTGAAAACAGAGGGGACGCCGGCATTTGAAGCTCTCATAACAAATGTTGAACTTATTGGTAGTCATACAGTTTTGCAAAATGGGAGTCGAGCCAGAACCACGACCTGATGCCAGGCTGCGAGAACGGCACTGTGTCACGGGATGGATCCGCCTCGAGGTAGTTGACACGGTTATCATTACTACATTATCGGTCCTTGAGCATCACCTGCTGTCTAGGCAGCCTCGGACCGCATCCATTTGCCCTCCCTTCAACGTACCCATCATTTCGAAGGGATCAACGCTCAGTGCCATGGCTGCACCGTGGTAGTGGCCGCCGGCACAGTGCACTTGTCCGCGAGCGCGGCCTTGGCCTCGGTCGAGTTGTACGGCACGCAGGGCACGCCCAGCCCGCCCTTGATGCCGTCGCAGATGATGACGGGCTCCTTGTTGCCACAGGGCGTCTCGATCTGGAAGTTCTTGAACTGGATGTTCTCGCACACGGCGTCGGGGCTGCTGCTGCAGGTCAGCCGCGCCACGGCCCGCCCATACTTGCCCGACGTGTACCCGGTGAAGTTCTCGAACAGGATGTTGGTGAGGTTCATCTTGGACGGGTACTGCGCGCAGACGTCCGTGGGGATCTGTTGTGCGGTGTGGTGTTAGTTTTGTGGGTGGTGGTGAGTTGGAGGTTCAGGATGAACTGGGATCGCGAGATCTTAATTCCAAACACCTCCAAGGGTCTTAAAACTCACGTTAAAGTAGCACGAGTCCACGTAACTAGCGTACTCATTGGCCGCTTGCCAAAAATTGCTTGAAAAACCAGTTCGTTAGCCCAAGATCCTCAAGATATCACTTTGGGAGCGTCGGTCCTACCGGAAAGTCACATTGTTGATGTAACCATAGCCGACGTGCTCGCCGGCCCACGTCTTGAGCCTGGCGCCGTGCTGGCCATTGAGCAACCAGACGTTCTCAATAACAACGTCCTCGACAAACGACTTCTCGCCCTCGTACTGGCCGAGCGAGCCGATTGACTGGCCGTGCGTGCCGTTGCAGTACATGGTGTCGACGTGAACGTTGGACGCGTTGGACTTGGGACTGAAGCAGTCGTCGCCAATGTCGACCCAGACCTGCTTGACGCGGAGGTTCTCAATGTTGAGGCTGTCAAACATGTCGGTGTTCTTGGGCAGGGCGCTGGCGTTGTTGCTGTGGGCGGTGACCATGACGTTCTCAAACTCAATGTTCTTGGAGGTGACGACAAAGTTGGTCCAGCACGGGCTATTCTTCTGGTGGATGCCCTTGATTGAGATGTCGGTGGCGTTCTCGACGTACATGAGGATGGGGCGGAGGTAGCTGTTGCTGGGGTCAAGGATCTCGAGTCCGGCAAACTCATTGTACCAGCGCTGCCCATTACCATTGAGGATACCATCGCCGTAGATCTGTCGGAAGGCGTGTCAATAATGGGATGTTCTCGCACGGGGGAGGGGGGGTTGTGTGGCGCGCAAGCGGCATCACATCGGGTCGACTCAACGAACCTTGATCTGGGATCCTCCCCATTTCCAGAACATAATTGAGTTTTGGAAGGGATGATGAAAGGCATTGGCTTGCCAGTAGGAGGTGTCGTTGGTGAAGAGAATCTCTCCCTGGAGGTCGACATGAATGTCATTGAGGAACGTCAAGTCGAGCGGCTTGCCAATGACGTAGAGCTTGTTCTTCTCGAGCCTCAAGGTGCCACCGTTATTGGCGTTCTTGATGCCCTGCAGGAACTCGTCTGCGACATCATCGAGGTCGTCCTTGGAAGACCTAATGGTGACGACCTTGCGGTGGCAGTCGGGCTTGGGCGACCGGTAGGGGTGCTTCTCCCTGAACTCGACAACGTCCCGTGGCACGCCGGCGGGCAGCACGACATTGCTCGACAAGATGGCGTCAGCAAGGACCGCGAGAGGGAGGAGAAGTTGGGAGAAGTGCATCTTGACCGAGTGAGTGGCACAGGCAGAGGAAAGAGTTGCTGCTGAGGAGCAGAGGGTAGGATCTGAAAAGATGCACAAGGCTGCCCCAAATTTAAATGCAACACTGGATCACTTCCCGGCCGTCATCCCATCATCTCTCCAGCCGATACCCGAACAAACAGCTCTGCATTCCACCTATCACGTCGTATGCACGTTTCTCCCCCAGCTGCCAACCTGCGCCTAGCCCGGCATTGCCACAGGGCGCGTACCCCTGGCCCGAGTATGCATGACATGGCAAGACAAGCAAGTCTGGGCAGTTCTCGGCATAGCGCTTCAGGGCCTAGTTTTACCCGGCACTTGTGCACGCCCCCGAACTGGGGTTGCGAGGGGCCTGTCGCCGCCTGATTTGTGGAATTCGCTGCCCGCTATTTTTCCGCGAGATTGGCTCCGCGTTTACCCCAGGTCCTGCAGTTGGGGTCTCCAGCTTTTTTGCTCCTCGTTATTGCGGAGGCGGGTTTGCGGAGGTCGTGCCGTGTAATCCGCGCAATGTCGGGTCGTGCTCGTTAGAGAAAGGGCCACAATTGGTGTCAAGTGACAGGCGTGGGCTGGGACCTACAGTGGAGGCTGAACAGACCGTGAGACGGGTCGACCACGCCGGAACGTAGTGCAGCCGGTTGCCGTGAGGTCGCTGACATGGTTTGGTGCCAGGACCAACGTGACAGAGTAAAGACGCTCTAGGGCAGGGGTGTTCATGTCCCGGGGCTACCTGTCCGATCTCGGCCATGAATGCATGCATAATTTGTGCGTCTTGCCAGCATGGCGAAACATAATTTTGGGGTCGACTCGGGGGTTTCCCTGGTATTTCGCAGAATCGCCGTCCTGTGATGACCTCCACTGCTCTGCAGAAGCCGCTATCTGACTACAAGACCTGCTTGCGATTGCTGGAGTCGAAATAGGCACTTAACGTCAATCTTGTACACAGCGAATAATTATATCAAACAATCAAGGATTGAGATGCTGGGCTGGCTCTTGCAATCTCGCTTGACGTATATTGCATACCTCTGCCAGTAACCTATTCTCTGAAGGAGGACAAACATGACCGCAAAAGTAATGGGACAGAATTCCGTCTTCACAGGGCTACGGTCGAGTTTCATGTGTCATCCTCAACAGCCCAGCCGTTTGTTTCGCGTCAGAGCTGTGAGCTTTGCAAATCGGCGGGCGGCACAGCCCCAAAACGGCCCCGATGGTGCGCATGCAATACGAATCCCAGTTCTGCACTGGAGCACAGGGCTGCTCGTTTCATGATGCAGCGGCTGATGACGTGGCACGAGATACACAGGCCGTTCGGCGGACGGGCAACCCATATATTCTCAGCACGAAGATATCAAAGCTCTTGATGTCGGACAATTCTGGTACATCCCACGCTAGCCTCTTCTTCTAATTGGTCGGTGCGCAAACCAGCATGATGGCTATAAAGCAAGGTGCATGAATCGACAAATGAAACCAAGTGATCTCATTACAGCGATCACACTAACTTGTAAAGGAAAGCCTAAGATCGGGGCTTGCGGCTAGTCAACAACATTGGATGCCACACCTCGCCATACACGCACATTCGTCGAAAAGCATGCCGGTCTGCGTGGCGAGTGTCCAGCCGGGTACCCCACGCAGTGCGGATGCACGCTTCATAGCGCACAAACTTGTGCACTCCAGAGTCCAAAAGCATGCAGACGACCGATGATGTGGCTCAGCCTCAAGGATACCAACCCACATATCAGTCGTGGCTGACTCCACAGGCAAGTGCCCAAGGGCTTCAAGGTCTAGCCGTCTCTATTAAGAAAGCTCTCTCCACCACGACATCACATAACAAGGAAATTTATGTGCAGAAACTTTCGGTGCGATCCGTCCCACTGATGATGAGCGCAAAGTTAGCCTGCACAGGGTCTGCCACGTTTTCTGGCTACAATGGACGGCACCGTAGGGACTCCCTTTAGTAACCCCACCAGGGGACATCCGTGGAGCTTCAGCTCGCAGTTCGTGGTTTTCGAAGAACGTGGTACTACATTTCTGTTTATTTAACCAACTCGGGGTTTCAAAACCGTTGAGGCCGTGGTTGTGTTTTGTGCTGTCTAGTGTTAGACTCAACCAGAGCATTGCCAATTGGACCCGTCGATAGTGAGCCTTGGCAGATTTCGATGAGGAGGATATTATTGTCTCTAACACTAAGAAGCACCCAGCTCCCCTTGCCCAAAGCACATGACCGATAACCGTTTTGCAGCTGCGATCATTACTGATAGTCATCCAAGATCTTCATCAGGTGGGCCCCAATTCAAGTTTGTGGCGCCAGTCCGGATCCGCGGATTGGTTGTTCCAGACAGACTAATAGGCTAGTATAGGTTATCGAGTTAACCCAGGCTGGAACGCGCACATGTACCGCCCAAGGCCTGACTGCTAGGCACACGCGTGCTCTTCCCGCTTGAACATCAAACAAACCCCATCTCGACCAGATGCAGGGCTTAGTGTGCTAGTTCTACAGTGGAACAAAGACGCCACCATGCAAGCTGAGAAGAAGTCGCTTCAGAAGTTGATCTCATCTGGTTAGGCGCAGCCAGCGGATTGCCCGATGGCGTGGCATCTGGATCAGTCGAAAATCTCCACATAGGCCTCCGGACATCACTAAGAGGTCACTTTCCCCTCAGCTTACATTTAGGCGGGACTGTGTAGTGTAGCAACGCCACGAAAACACATAGTCCTGTCATCCTAGCTCTTTCGTGTGTTAGCTACGAAAGTGAAAACCTAGATGAACACGTTACTATGAAACACGAGTTTCCTTCTGCAACAGGCTTGTGACCTGCCATGAAAGGCTAATGCAGAAAGATTCAAGCTTGCGCAGCCTGGAAGCGACGACTAAGGAGTGGTGGAAAGACAGAATCAATGTCTAGAAGGGCGCTATGCCGTTAGGGGATAAAGATTAAGAGCTCACCCCTCTTTCAGGCGGAGACGAGACTCTCCCGCAATGTGGAATTGTGCTACTGGATGGTTGGAAGATGCGCCGAACTTTAGTGTACCAGCCCTTCAGCCAACCGACTTTATGCACGTACTGTAGTGTGCCCGCGTGTACTTTCCAACAAACTCCTGTCCAGCCTCTGCCTATGCTTGTAGAATGCTTTGCGGTCCTTGTCACATAGACAGCCATCTTACATGGCGTACTTTACTGGCTGTGCCACCAATAGTGCGCAATTACTCGAAGCGGCCTGGTCTGGGCTTCCCGCAGCTGGCCACGGATGCCCGCAGCATCTGAGCTAAGTTCTAGGCCCGAAGCCGGTCCACCACTACGGAAGACCAGAACCGGGTCAGCACTTCGTTAGCGTGACCTGCACACATCAACAACGCCAAAGGTTACTTTCGTTTTGGAGACGACCAACGCCGCCATGCCGAAGAATATTTCTATCCCAAGTAAACCGCACGCCGTAATAACCGGCCGTGTGCAGCATTATGAAAGCTTTGACTGTCTCATTGTACCTAACGAACTTCTTCATCATTTCCAAATATTGCCACCGCACAATCTCCACCGCCTGCCAGCACAATGCTTTTGAACACAATGCCCTTCTGTGGCTGGTTGATTGTTCTTCTCACCTTGCTAGTCAATCCGCTATCTGCAAAGAGCTGCAATGGCGTGGGAGCTATCATCGCAGCCGCTGTCTCACCTCTTCTGGAAGCCCAATCTTTCTGCTCCAGAAACTTTCCACTGGCTACATTGACAGTTGTCAGCCAGGCGAAGATCAGCACTCAGACTTCCACTGTAGCAACTACAACAATCACTGTGCCGTCGACGACCACCTCAACCAGCACCTTCCTGACAACGAGCACACAGGTCACAACGACAACGACCACTACGGTTGTCACAGTGACTGTGGGCACATATACTGCCACCTCTCCGACAAATACCAACCCAGTGGTGAGTGCCAGTCCTTTGATTTCCTATCAATGTCGCTGTGCGGGTGAGTGATCGACAGCGAGGCTAAGCTCTTCGCAGAAACGCTCCCATACCCAAGAAGCAGATGGAGAAGGAACCCTGGCAGCCCGAGCTACAAACCCCAAAGCGGCTGCGCTAGCCTCACTGACTACTGCTGCGCGAGCCTTCGCATCGTCCATCTGTGCTTGTATCCAGGTGCAAAAGACCGTCACTAGCACCACCACGCCTCCCCCAGCTGTCCTCGACATCACAGCATCGACAACAACCAGTTCCACAACAACGTCAATCACAGTGACGACAAGCCTGACAATTACCACGACCACCTCAACAACGACCTCGATCAGTACGGATCCAACCTCGACGGTTACAGTGGCAATCCCAAGTAAGCATACGGAACATTGCTACCCTGCTTCGCATTCTTTAGCAAGACACTAACGACGTTGGCTTTGTTTTACACAGCTGATCGCGTTCCATGTAACCCTTACGGCAACGATTGTTCTCCCAATTGTCGATGCGATCCCATCGACGACCAAGGCACATCTAACTACTGTGTGTCTATTCAAGACTTCGATGCAAAAACCAGCCCGTTTCCGAACGTCAACTGCGCTTATTTGTGCACTTCAGACCAAGATTGCGCACCTGGCTATATCTGTGATCACGATATTGGTATCGTTGGTTATTGTTCGAAGCCCGGCACTCAGCATTATTGCATCCAGGCTTATGGCTGCACATCGACCCAGCTTATGCAAGTTAATTCTCGGCGCGCAAGGGATTTGCGACTCGCGGCCTTTGGTAATGCTGGCACCCTTGCGCCAAGAGCCAGGAAGGTCCAGGCTGCACGGGCAAAGTGGCACGGGTTGGATTGAGTCTTGTTGGCACGAGCAGCCCAAGCGGAGGTTTTCTCTGACCCCGGGGCGCAATTTGAGCTTTGTGGAGGCAAATACCATGGCATAGTTTAGCATCCTTCCGCACAAAGAGGACCTGTGGATTTGGGCAGAGAAGCTGACCATCATGAACCCAAAGGCGAGATCAAGTCACCCAGCGTGTAAAAAAGCCAATATCAAGCAAGTGTTGAGTTTGATAGGTTTCCTGTTACCAGTCCCATTGCATTCTTGGCATTGGCAACTCGGTTTCTTGGGTCCGGAATGCTACGACCATGAATAGCATGCGGTATGCGCAACTTGCTGTCCAAAGGGCGATGGTCGAAGACGCTCTCCTGCCTATGAGGCAGCGCAATGTTTCTATGAATGCTTTTTCTTTTTCTTTTTTTCAATCCGAGGACGTCCCAGGCCTCACCTCAGAGGCGGCGGGAACGACTGCGGCAGCTTGTTGCCTCTGCATCGTCCGCATCACCTCGGCCGCCTCCGCAGCATATTTGCACTTCATCCTGAGAGTCCCGCCATACTTGTGCATGATGAAGGGAAATGGCATACACGCCAGCGTCAAGAAGGCGGGGATGGACGTGGCCCAGTGAATGCCAAGGTTCTGGTACATGGCCGGCGTGAAGAGGGGGAAAACAGCACCCAGGATGGACCGGAGGATGGCTGCGGCGGCGAGCACCGACGCGGCATAGACGGTGTATGAGTCCATGAGATAGTTCGTGATCGGGAGCATGACGAGGACGCAGCCGAGCCCGAACGGTGCAGACAGGACGATGCAGACGGCCCAGTGGATGCTGGGAAAGTTGGTCCAGGCGAAGCCGAACATGCCCACGGGCAGAGCGACGGCGCCAATGATGGCTGGTGGCAAGCGCGACTCTGGAGTTGCCGTCTTTGCGACCGAAAGTCTCATGTAGCGGGTGTTGTTGTCAAATACAACATATGCGAGCCCGGCGATGATGCCGACGAGCATGCCCAGGAAGGAAAGGCCGCTGGTGGCCTCGCTCCAGCCCCTGCCCTGGCTAAAGACGATGGGCATCGCGCCCATGAACAGGTAGACGGTGCCAAAGATGATGGCAACGTAGATACATGCCACCAGCACAATCGGCTCTAGGAAGAGGAAGACCCACGGGCGCACCAGAGCCTTCTGGAAAACCTCGGACGGGGTTTTCTTGGCTTGGCCCTTCTCCAGAACACTGATGTAGTGCTGGCCGTCCTGAGTCGCCAGGTGCGTGGCTTTGCGTGCCAACAGCACGGGCCCATACGTCTCGGGCACGAAGATGGCACCAAAGACGCCGTTGACGCCGATCGCGATACAGCAGACCCCGTAGACCCAACGCCATCCCGCGTTCGCCGAGATCAAGCCACCAAGAATCGGACCAAGCGTCGTCCCCACAAACGGAGCGACGCCATAGAGGGTCATGGCCAGGCCGCGCTGAGCAGGAAGGAACATGTCGGCGATGGCACCGCCAGAATTGACGAGCGGCGACGCGCCGAAGATGCCTGCAAGTAAGCGCAGCACAGATAGTGTCGCGATGTTCTTGCTACCGGCCGAGCCTCCAAAGAATGCTATCATGCCTATGTGGGCAACAATCCACTGGATCCGCCGCCCATACAGCTCAGACTTTGTGACTAGTCAGCGCCTGGACGTGAGAAAAACTGCTCCTAATCAGGAATGCCACGTACCACTGGGCCCCAAAATGCCGGCCCGATAGCGAAGCCGAGGACGAAGAGGGAGATGATGAGCGTGAATTCTATGCGGCTGACGTCGAGATCGCGAATGAGGCCCTGAAAGGAGGAAGATGGCGCTGAGGAGGCGAAAGTCACGACAAAGACGGACATGGCCACAACAGCGGTGATGAACCATTTGCGGCTTTGCGACCAGTTCATGGGGTTGCTGGGGTCGTCCTTCTGGAATTCGACGACAAAGGGATCTTGTTCCGTCCCACTCCCAATGTAGGTATGCGTCTTTTCGACATCGCTGGCGATCGTTGGTGCTTCGCTGTCACTGTGTTTTGACATGGTGAAATCGGGCAGCTGGTCCTCTTGAGCTTTTGGTCACGGGCTGTAAAAAGAAACTGTCCTTGCATGTCTTTTACCTTAGCATGGACGACGTGCTCGAGGACGTATTTATCGAGTACCAGCCAGGCGGAGCGGAAAGTCACGCTATTGGCTAGTCTCGCCCAGGCGTAGGCAGGGGCTTGTCTAAAGCGATAGTGGATCGCCGGACCTTGTTCTTACTGGTTACAGCGCTGGGGGCAAGGGCTCTCAGTTGATTTATCAGCGACGGAACGTTGTGTGATTGGCCTCTCGCTCCTATCAGACGGAACGTGATGGTATTGGCCAGCGCGCACACACTCGTCGCATAAGCATTCCTCCCAAGGCTCGTCCGATGACTCCGGTCCATTATTGTCAGTCTATAGCAGCCGGAACGGAACTGGAAGAGACCGCCCAGCTGTCGGCAACATGACGACAATCGAGCCGCCGCGGAAGCTGCATGGCGAGCCGGTCAAGCTGTTGCGCAGACCGCGGCTGAAAACCTACATTGCCTGTGAAGCTTGCCGACTGAGGAAATCCAAATGCGATGGCCAGTCCCCAGGTAAGAGAGGCCTTTCCCCTCTCCAACTCCCAACGTCCAAAGTGGCTCACAGATTCGTGATCGGCTTGTAGCCTGTTCAAAATGTACTTCGCGGGGTATTCCTTGCGTCTACAACCAGCAGGCCAGGCGTTCTAGTCGCAAGAAATTCGAACCGGGTCCCCCAAGCCCTGCAGCAAGTGTCTCCTTCCAAGCTCCCACGTCGACCACAGCTCTACCCGTCGTCCTGCTCGTGACCCCCGAGACGTCTGCAGCTACAACGCCCGTCAGTCATGAGCTGGACTACGAATCCGATCCAAATCGTGCATACTGCACCAGCCATGGCCGCTTTGCTGGCGAGGTCGTGGCTGCCATCGACGCGAGAGCGGGGAGAACACCAAGCAGCATCTCGCACCCTGTACCCTTCGTGGATGCCGATTTATTTGGACCACTAGATCTGGAACCCGCCCGCCTTTTATCCGACTCCGCTGCCCGGGCACTACCTTCGCGCATGGACGCTGAAGAGCTGGCCGACATATACTTCAACTATGTACATCCCTTGGAGTGCGTCCTCGACCAAGCCCGATTCTTCAGGGACATCGAAGCAGCGTACTGTGGTCCTCAGTCACTTTCTGACACGGAACGTGATATCCGACTCAGCATCATGAACCTTGTTTTCGCTCTCGCCGTACAACGGCAAGAGTCGATCCCGCAGGTCACACGGCACGATCAAGGCAGCTTGTATTTCAGGCGAGCCTGGGTGCTCCTCAAACCCGAGATTGTCCTGTGGCAGTCATCTGGATCCATTGAGCTGATTCAGTGTCTGGCCCTCATGCACCGCTACCTGCACTGCACGAGCCAACAGCACAGAGCCTGGATGGCTTCCGGCCTAGCGTGCAGAATCGCCCAGGGTCTGAACTGGCCTTCTCTTGGATCTCCTGACACCGAGCGCGCTGGTGATCTGGAGTTACAGCGGCAAGTATGGGCAACTTGCGTTTCCTTGGACCGGTAAGTGAGGGAGTGGGGAACTCATGACGATCTCGCTTGTGCTCGCTGACTCTGAAACTAGGTGCGTTGCGTGGGCCCAGGGAAAAACCATCGCGCACTTTTCAGCTCCCTTGTCCAACGCAAGCAAGCTGAAGCGCTTCCCGGCAAGCAACCTCCCTCAAGCTGATGCTGCACGTGCCGCACATCTGCGCAGGGGCTCTGAGCTATTCGAGATTGGCAACCAGATACAACTAGCGCAAATGCAGATCCGGAGCCGTGGCGCATCTGATCTGGGACTGCCGCGCCTATATCAGCAGGACGAGTACCACGTCGTGGCGGTACAGTTTGACGCATGCCTTGACAAGTGGGAGTCCGCCCTCCCCGACGAGTACAAGGTGCACTCTCTCCGGGCACAAGAACCGGCAAGGTCTCGCCTCGAGCGATACATGCTCCACTTCCGCCTTTTCCACACTCGCATCTTCATGTACAGGCCCATCCTCGCGTGCCTGTGCTCAAGGCGGTCTCAGAAGGCGGCGACCCTACCGGGCGGCAAATCCTCCAGCCTCAGCGACCGCCTGTTTGAGGACTGCGCGGGCTTGTGTGTCGAGGCGGCACAGGGACTTGCCGCGCTGCTCATCGAGACCCTCGAGCCGGGTGAGTCCCTCGGCCTGATGCCCTGGTGGTACCGGCTCTACTACCTGCACATTGCGGGGATGACGTTCCTGGCCGCCATGTCTGTGCCGAGGCTCTACACGGACTCGGTGGCGCATTCATGGCGCAGCCTCATCTCGGCGCTGCACGACCACGAGCACCTGAGCGCGTATGTGCCGCAGTGTATAGACACTTTCGAGACGCTGGCGGCGAGGATCCTGGAGCCGTATGGCTCGACTGCTCCGGATGACGCGAGTGTGCCTTTCAGCAATGGCGACTTTGGCTTCGTATTTGACGACAACTTCTGGGGTGCCGGGCTTGATTTTGATGGGTACAGCTTTGCCGCTGACGATAATATGGGTAATCGATAATTCTGCTACTCAAACTTCTTGCGGGTAGCATGAGACTTTGTATTATGAGTAATGCGATATTATGATACCTATTTTAGACAGTCAAGCGGCTTTATTGTAACCAGATTACCCTCTTCAAACGATTGTAACTACAATTATGCTATTCTCAGAGCCACAGAAGATTATAAATTGGTACGAATTGCTCCGCAGAGGCGACAGCCTGACACAACCCGAGACGAGAAGGCCGTCTTTAGAAAGCCATGCCGCACAGGCCGCGCCGCACCCGAGCGCGGTTCTCACACTCATCACGCAGCAGAAGGCTTGATCAGAATCTGCTTGTCCTTCTTCAGCCCCTCCGCGACGTCGAGCGGGATCTTGAGGATCTGCGCGACCAAATCCGCCGGAGTAAGTGCGAGCCACTGCGTCAAAGGGTTATCCAGGACGCGGTCGCTCTTGTATATCTCGATCCACACGAGCTCCGAGTCACCGGTGTTCTCGATGTAGTGGCCTGTTACAACACATGATTCTTTTTGTCAGTATCCATTTGGGGAGCACAATGGACGTGCTGACGAAAGTTCCCGAACCGAGAATTTACGGCCGGCCATGTCTTTCAGCTACACATTGCAAACGGATTGGGGAGAACTTACCGCTGTTTGATGGGAAGACACCCGTGTCCCCGGCGGCAAAGTCAAAGGTCCTTGCCAGCCCGCTCCCGAGGAAGACTGTCGCTCTGGCCTTGCCCTTGTGGAAGTACAACCACTCTTCGGCCTGTGCACATGCTGGTCAGTACGACTACGAGCACCGCACTCGTCCGAGCACTGAAATCAATACTCACGTTCGGATGCCAGTGCAGCTCTCTCAGACCCCCGGGAACGAGCGTGACCACAGTCGCGGCGATCGTCTTGGACGCAGGGAAAGTCGTGGTGTCGATGATCCTTAAGGTGCCACCTCCACCGGGGATGTCCTGCAATGCGTGGTCCTTGGCATAGTACACGAAGGACGCGTCGCCCGAGAGCTCGCCGCCGCCGCCGGAGACACCCGAGTCGGAGACGTTGCCCTGCTGGATGTACGGATTTGGCGAAGGGACGCTGTCAAAGACGGACGCGTTCAGACCAAAGTTCTTGGCCAGGATGTGCTTGGGCGTGTGCTTGATCCAGTCGTCGACGTTGAAGGTGGTGCTGCATGTTTTTTGTCAGGACCGTGTGCACTGTTTCCAAATCCCGTCTTTCAATCAAGAGCCAGCATCATCAGGTGATCTTACCCAGTCGCATCAAAATCGCCGTCGTCAAACACAAGAAGAAACTCGTTATCGTCCTCGAGCCCCTGTACGGTGTGGCCTTGGCCCTTGGGGAAGTACCACACGTCGCCGACCTCGAGCTTGGCGACCTGGAACTTGCCGTCCTGATCGACCGCCGAGACGAGGACCGAGCCGGCATACACGTAGCCCCATTCAGCCTAAAGCAAACCACCAGAAACAAATCCCAGTCAGCCCATTTTGCCAGTCATCAGGAGAGAGGGCTGCTCCACCAAGTAATCCAAACAGAAGCACACAAACTCACCACACGGTGCCAGTGCAGCTCGCGCACAGAGCCCTTGGTCAGGTGCTGCTGCGCCGCCGCAATATCCCGACTCGACGGGAGGTCGGTGACGACCTGCTCGCGGACCCAGCCGCCCTTGAGGATGCGGGTCTTGGAGTCGCTGAAGCGCCACTTGAGGTTCGGCACGACGCCGTTGTCAGTGCTCTGCTGGCCCAGGTTGTCTGGGTTCTGCACGTCAATGTAGTTGTCGGTGCCTCCTGTACTTGTGTGGAAAAGAAAATTTGCATTAGTGGCACTGCGGGATGCTTGGAGCGGGAAGAGGGCAAAAGGGGGGGACGGCCTAGCTTACCTAGGATGCGAGCGCCTTTGCCGTCGTCGCTGATCGGCTGACCCTGGCTGAACCCGCTGCGCTTCTCCAGGACTGCGGCGGACACTGCTGCCGCAGTCAGAAGGACCGGCGTGAAAATAGATGAAGATCGCATTGCAAAAGGGACTGTCGCGCTCGCTGGGCGTTCAAGGCATATCCCGATTATGGAGTCGCCGCGGACAAAGCCCCATGGGCTCTGCGCAGCTTAAGTAGACGTGCATTTACCCAGCGATTCATCCCGAGAGGCTACACTATGGCACCATAGAATAGTCTCCCGCATCATCTCAGCCGTGCGGCAGCAGCATGCATCACGACGAAATGCAACGCCATGGCGTGCGAGCTGCTCTTCGCTCCAGAAGCCCGACGCGAACTGGTTGCGTCTGCCTCCGGGTGCAACCGCGGAATGTGACTGAGCGAACAGACATCCAATCAGAAAGATGCAGCATGCGCATTCAATGGCGGAATAAACAATGGTGGTGACGTATCGACCGATCTGAGCAAGCACGCAATCGTGGGGGTTGCAGCTTGGCAAATAAGCTTGGTCCAGGCTTGGACACGATTGGTCAGAGGGATATATGGATGCGCAAGAGGCAGGTGATGGTCAGTCGCAAATGGCGCCGGGCTACCGCAAGGCACTTCAAATCAGGCATGGATCTTCTAGTGTCAAGCCACGGCTGCAGACCTTTTGGTCTTTTAATTACTTTCTTTCACATGGTTTCACAATTTATGCCGACAGATGCAGGAAGGACCAAGAGATTGTTGGATTTTCATTGGTTTGAGTGAACGGATCGTCTGTGCTATGCTAGACTCGCAATATATTCCCATGCCATGTGTAAATGCTCAGTAATGTGGATGAAAAAAATGAACAAAACGAAAACCTCAAGGAAAATATATCTATGCAGCGGGTCCAACGACTGCTTTAGTTGACGAAGATCTTGCGGCTCTCGTTCTTCTTGGGCACGACAATGCTGAGTACGCCGTTCTCGAGGCTGGCTGAGACGGCCGCGACATCAACCGTCTTGCGGAACTTGAAGGACCGGGCGAACTGGCCGTACTTGCGCTCCGCGATCCAGTACTTGGCCTCAGGTTGCTGTTGAGGGGCAGGAGTCTTCTCTGTGGTCTTTTCCGGGGCAGGTGAGGAGGAAGAAGTGGCAGTGTTGGTCTCGGCTGCCAGGTCCTCAAAGTCATCCTCGACTGTCGCGTGGTGGCTTGATGCCGCACTGGAGGCTGGAGACTGGGGAGCTGCGTCCTCTACGACAACATCATCATCGGTGGTCTGAGCAGGTGAAGAAGCGGCGCGCTGGATCTTGCCGCGGACAGTGATGGTCTGGGCGTCGGTGAAGTCGATGTCAATGTGCTCCTTGGACAGGCCTGCCAGCTCGCCGTTAAGGTGGTACGCGGCGTCGGTCTCGCTGATGTCGAAGCGGGGGGTGAAGTATGGCAGGGGTTGCTGCTGCTTCTCGGCCGCTGGGGCAGGGGCTGAACCCTGTTGCTGGCTCAGGGACTCCTGCAGGACGCTCTGGAGGGCGAGGTCATCCTGCAGGTTGTCGAGAAAGTGGAAGAGGCCCTTGATGGCGATGGGCTCGGCAGCGGCGCCGTGGTAGAAGCGTGGGGTGCAGAAGGCGGCCATTTTGATTGGTCTTGATGTGTGGGGAGACTGGTTGATGTCGAGTATGATGGTGTTGTTGTTGAGAAGTGGAGATAAGAGCTCAGTAGAGGCAAGAGTGGTTGTTATGATGTGTTGTGAGGAATGGGATTTCGATTTCTCCTAGAGAGATTGTTCCTTCTTATACAGAGTTGCATGATGGGCGGCAGGCTGCGAGGAGTACGCAGACCAGCGAGCTGCAGCCTCGTCGTCAGCCCGTCTTGCGGTGTTGAGTCAGGCAGCTGGAAGGGGCTGGCAGGCTCGAGACTCGACTGGCACGATCTGTAATCAGCCTGCGCTGTGCCAGATGGTTCTCTGCCCAGTATGTGGCAGTAGCTAGTCGTGGTGGCGACAATAAAGACAGTGGCTTGCGCATGCCTAGCGTGCCTGCTGTGAGACAGTCAGCAGCGCGGTGACTAACCACCGCTGACTTTGTTGCTTAACTCCGGCCGCACTTCCAGATGACAAAGCACAAAGAACTCCTCCCAGGCAGTCCAGCTTCCACCCGTCTTCTGGAAGCTGCCAGCATGTTCGGGCATCCGAAAGTGCTCTGGGCCCCTTTTTCCGTAGTCGCTTGCATCTGCCCGTAGTTGTCTGCCCAACCGGGCCTTACCATTGTCATTGTCTGCATTTAAACAGTGTTCCAGTAGCTTGGGACAGCCGATCGCCACCCACCTCGTCGGGGCCCAGCCATGCCCAATCCGGTTAGCGCACATGGCACCAGCTGCTGACATAACACAGTTCCCAACCCCAGATGAGGACTGCTGCCCGTCGTGACAGGCCCTGGAGCGCCCGCGCGACACTGGACTCCTCACACGACATTCTTCGTACCCGTGGACATCACGGTGACTCTCCTTCGGGTCTGTTAGGGAGTCATCGCAGTTCCCAATGTAAAAACACAGCGTACTTGCGGAGCATAGGGAAGTATGGAAGAGAGCGAGGACATGACAAAAACAAAATTCAATAGGCCCATGATTGGGAGACTCATGTCATGTGGTGAGAAAGCGAGAAAAACAGCAAAAAGAAGGACCCAGAGTAATCTCTGGATGATTGTTGTAGTGCTCTCGATCGGGGAATCGAACCCCGGCCACCTGCGTGACAAGCAGGTATCCTGACCACTAGACCAATCGAGATTGGACCGCTCAGTATTTGCTGATTGGATGAAAGTAGGCCCTCTTATCAAAAGCTCTATAAGCTAATTACAAAATCGGATTACTCCTGTTTGAAATGTAAATGCGTCCCCGGCTAGGACTCGGACCACGGCACATCCTTTGCAGAACACATTCTCGGATTCGACATATCTGAAAAAGACGACCAACCCTCAATCTACGAAAAAAAAAAAAGACGCACAAAATTCGCTTGCTGTCGGGCTGGCGAGACCATGTGCTGAGCTGGTGGTCCAGATCCCCACGCGTATTAGTCCTCTATCACAAAAGGTGATCTCTTGTCTCTTCAGAAAGGACCAGTAAGGAGCAACCGCTAATAGGTCGTCTCCTCTTCTCTTTCCAACAATGACATATTCAGCCCCTTTCTACTCAAGGACAACGCTTAAAGATCTCTGACTTCGAGCACTTCACTTGCGAGACACCATCTGTCTGCCAATCCTTGGACGGCAAGACGGGGGTTAGCCTGGAACAGCCCGCTTAGAGCATCCCAATCCTCGTCGCTGGTCGTCCACATCGAAGCCCAGTCCTCGCTGAGCCTGTGTGCATACGTAAAGTCCGGGTGCGTGGAGAAGTAGGACAGGTAGCAAATCCCCAGGAAGTCCAGGGCCGGACAGCGCTCGGGATGCAGAAAGCTGTATAGCGTGGCCCATGCGCACTTCTCCGCGCCAGGATTGTCGGAAACGGTGTTATCGGGGACGAGCTTGACGCGATCGAGATTGATGCGCCGCACGGGCGAGATCTGCTTGGTGTCGTCTTGAACGGCTTTGTAGTTCGGCTGGATCATGCGTAGCAAAGCCTGCACGCTCGTGTCGATCCTGCATAGACCGAGAGTTGCCAGACCCGATCGTGTCCAGTCGTGTTCCCCGTGCTCTGCTCTCAGAAAGCCCCGTTTCTGCTCCTCCTCGTCGACTACCTCCCACAGCTCGTCTAGCCTCAGGGCCTGCGTGGCCTCGACATATAGCGCATTGATGCTCCGGCAGCTCGCTACAAACCGCCACAAATCCCGCTGGTGATCGCGATTCCGCCCGTCCCGGAGCTGCAGGTTGCTTGGCGGGAAGCCCGAGTAGTACGGGTCTGCCATGTCCCCATCGACTGCCGACAGGTCCATGTCGTTGTATCCATACTCGTAGCTCGCGTACTCCCAGCTGCCTGCGGGACCGGTGGCGTCGGTGATGGTGATGAAGAGGCTGCGTAGCTTGGGAAAGAGGCTCCGTGGCCGAGCAGCTGATCTTGGGGTGGTGGTGATTGTGTCGACGTGAGGAAAGAGCGTGCCAAAGGTGCGCGTCGTGGGAAGCTCTAGGCGTAAATCGACGAGATTCTCGCAGATCTGGTTCCTGACGCTGACGTCTACGGGGAAGAAGAAGAGATCCGTGCGGAGAGTATCCAGCAGGGAGTCTAACGCGGACAGGTCATAGCACTCTGCCCCATGCTCCTCGTACGTATCCCACCAGCTACTGGCGCTGGGGAACGAGACAGTCAGCATTGTCGTGGCAGGTCTCGAGTCACTCCCACTTGCTTGAGAGTAGCTTCGCCACAGTGCCCGCAAGAGACTACACTTCTGGTCGTCCGTTAGCGTCTCATCGCCTTCATCCCGCTCTCCAGGACATGGCCGAGCCTGGAGCTGATATGGCGACCAGCGTCCAGGTCTATCACGCTTTTGAACGTCCGCGAAATCTGTGTAGTTCGCCAGCATGACCGCCTCGTTCTCCGACGTTACGTCGCCATCAAACTCGTCGTCGTAGGTGTATACTCGCCGGAAGGGGCGGATGTGCGTTTCGCCCGCTAAAATGATCAAGTTCTGTGGCCATATCGGACTCTGTCGCTGGCCATTCGGGTGTTCCGATGAGCCGGCAGGTCTGAGCAGGTCAATGGCCCGAGTCAGACTCGGCGTCAAGTCGAGATCCACAGTCAAGATTGAGTGCCTCTGCAAGATCTTGCGCGCGCTGCGATCCCATGCGCGTCCGACCAGCCGGAGACGCCGTAGACGAGGAGCGTCGACTACTGACGGGCGTGCGAGCCGAGCTGCGGTCCAAGTCCCAGTGGGTTCGTCACCTGCCGTCCAAGGATGGAAGTCGACGTTGAGGAGCTTGTGCCATAGGCCAAGTCGGGTGTCTCCGTTAAGTTCTCTGATCTCATGCAGGGCTAGGGACTCGCACTCCTCACCATCCATGCAGTATGCCACGATCTAGCGGTGAGGAAGGGTCAGGACGGTGGCATGGCAAATCTCTGATGCAATAAGGCTGAGGCCTACCTGATCGACAATCTCTTGTGGCAGCTGTTGAGCCATCTTGTGAATCTGGGAATACAAATGTCGATGCGATGTTGGATTTGCTGATGAGGCGTCCCGTGGCTGGCGAGTGGCAGCGGGGTGTACAGTTGAGCATTCAGTGGAGCAGTTCTGGTTGGTGGAGCCGCGTTGCTGATAGCCACTGAGTCGCTGCATATCAGGCAAAGTTGTCACATGCCGCCTGTTTAAACCTGGCGGCTAAGCAGGTGGCGTCATGAGAACCTCAATGGAATATTCATGTAACTTACAGCTCAGCTAGAATTCATGTTTATGACTGCACTCTTCTAGAATCAAAAGCATATCTTGTTTCGTGGCGTCGTGCCTGTTTAGATTTCCGCACATACTTAGCCTTTGCCTGGCGGTATTGCTGCAATCCACTGGGCGCGCAGCCACTGTCTGCGACGTTCTATGTTTTTGTGCATGTCCCATATCCAGCCGTTGACTCTCGTCGTTTCTCAAGTGCACTGATATGGCTGCCACGCCCGCCTGGAGGATGACCATCTCGGAAGCAAGTCAATTTGTATTGTCGAAGTGATCTGCCAGTTCACGCTATATGCTATGATATTTGTCCCAGACTCCAGACGCCCCGTTCTAGACAATGCATACCCATGCATTCTATGGATCCATTCTTTGGTGCCGTTGAGAAGCCCGTGGCCACGCCGGTGCTCCTGCTCCTGCATCTCAAATCCCTCGATTCTAGGCATTGGCCATGGCCACGGCGCCTAGTGCGACACCCGCCCAGCTAAACAGTTGCGCTGAGTCCATCTGCGCTGGCCGAGCGGCGTTGGGTGTGGCGGTGGTTGTCGCAGACGACCTCGTGCTGCTACCGCTGCTAGCCGTGGTGGTGCTGCTGCTGGTCGACGTGATGCTGGGCGGAGTCCAGCACGCCGCCGGGGGCGTGGGGGTGCCGTGATTCACCGTGATGCCATTGAACGTGAAGTCTAGGTCCGCGTCTCCCACGAAGTCGGAGTTGTCCTCCAGGATGTAAATGCTGACGGCATTTATGATTACGGTCGCGCACGGGATCACAGTCGCGCTGCCCGTGATGGTTGAGCCGAAGAGAGTGTAGGTGAAAGTCGGGATTGAGGCGCCGACTGTCAAGCTTGCCGGGGGACCCGTGATTGTGGCGGACGGGGACGCGGGGATGGATGTTGTGGCGCTGGCGAGAGCCGCGAGCACGCTGAAGATGAGTGTCGTCTTCATGCTTGTGGTTTCTGATCGCATGAATGATCTTTATCAGTCGCTGTTGCAGGCGTGCATGGAATTGTCACGCGAAAGGAGCATGGTCATATCTGCTCGGAGAAGACCCTTGGGACATGATATGAGGTCCAGGGACGCATTTAGATCCGGGGCCGCAATGCGGAGAGCAGTCCGAGTGGGTACCAGGAATAGCAACAATAGAAGGGCGATCTCCAAAATGAAACAGAGGCTCGACCCGCTCGGCACACTCGGGGCTTGGACGGGGGCAATGCTGCACTGCCAGGACGGTCAGCCAACGCTAGATAAAGCAGTCTTCCCGCATCCAGACAACACGATCATTCAAACGTACTAAGCACGTCAGACAGGGCTCCTTGTGATGTTTGCATGCGCAATTGCCAGGACAGAGAATTTGAATATGCGAACGATGGTCATAAGGTACAGGACCTTCGCAATGACTTTGAGAACACAGGACCCGATTTGTGCGAGACAAAACTCGAATCGAAAGATAATTGTTTTTGATTGCCTGCAACTTCACCGAATCTCGTCTGTATCGTCCAGTATTTGACTGTTTAGCCTGTAAATTAAGTGTCTTAGGGAAAGTTGGGTTCTTGTATCACATGCACGTGGTAACGTAGGACGGTATTGGAATAATTTACATGTGCGCCGGGATGTTATGCTTATGCTTATTCTTCGGGTAAGCAGCACAGCCACAAGCTCACAATGCATGCCCACTAGCAGTTGGCCACAGCAGCCGCACCGACTGCAACACCAGCCCAGCCAAACATCTGCGCAGACCCGAACGCCCTCTCGCCAGCGTTGGGCCTCGAGGTGGAAGTAACGGCTCCTGTAGATGTGACGGTGCTGCCCATCGAGTTGGTTGTGGTGACGGTTGTCGAGCCCGTCGTGATGACGACGGCAGAGGTGCCGCTGCTGGTCATCGACATTGACCCGGAGCCGCTAGGGCTGCTCGCTGTACCGGTTGCAGTAGCACCGGGGATCATTCCATTGATGACGGTGATGCCGTTAAAGTCATTGGTGCCTGAGGCGGCGCCGTACTCAAAATTGTTACCATCGATAAAGTACACGCTAGAGCTGTCGACGATGACTGTCACTCCAGAGATGACTGCCCCCGTGCCGGTCACAGTGTGCGGCTTGATGGTCGACGTAGTCGATGTGCCAACTCCAACAGGGAGGGTGAGGGTCAGGCCCGGGACTGTCGCTGTCGTGGTGAACTGGGTGACGGCAGAGACGGCAGTAGCGAGGGCCGCGCTAGTGAGCAAGTTTGACGTGTACATGGTGGTGATTTAAAGTGGTGGCTAAGGTGCTGAGTTGTGCAGGCGTTTGTTTACTGCCCGAAACGATAGCGATGAAATTGCTTTCTTGAGGGAAATAGGTCTGGTGCAAGACGGCGAAGAAGACGCATTTTATACAAGGCCTTCTGAACAGGAGAGCTGTGGGAGACGTCCACGTTTTCCAAGAACAGAAGTCCCTCCTCAAAACGTCATGGTTGCCACTTTTCCGCGTCGGCAAAACATCATGCTTTACCGACTAGATCAGTTCTGGTATGCCGACCACACTCGCTGAGGAGCAATCATTGGCTCATGCATGATGAGCTGAGTAAAGAGAACAGCGGCATCGGAAGCTGAGGATCTATGCGTTTCCCTTGCGGGAGGCCAAGCTCGAAGGAAAAACATGTGCTAGACCTTATTTGTTCATCCGGGAAGCCAGCTTGGCCTTACCACTGGCCGATCTCTGCCAGGCTGAGGCCGATCGTTCCTGGGAAGTCGCCCAACAAGAGAAAGCCAAGCTTTCCTGCCAAGGCGCAGCTTGCATGAGGTCATGGTTCTCCAGGAGATCTCAGGCTGCGATGGTAGCTGCATGGAATAGTGCGTGGCCTTGGTCCGAGCCCTCCCTGATCGAGCTTGGTTGCTCCAAGTCGGAGTAAGCCCTAATCATGACGCGCTAGTTGCCTGCCCCATCCTGGTTACAGCTTACGCCTGTCGACGACGACTGGATATCGATACCATATGTTACGAGCTGATATGGCATTCACGCGCGATCGAAACGAAATGTGTGGACTTTGTCAATTCTTCCTGGGCCAAAGCTGGAGCCGCAGGGTCATGCATCTTGCGGGCCAATGGTTGCCCTGACTCCAGGCCCGGGGTTAAGTCTAGAATCACGGACACGAACGGTTTTGGAATATAGGGGCTTCTGATTTAGTACCCATCATATACATACCAGAAAGCCAAGCAACTCTGAGGATACCTAGGTAGAAAGGAAGATCTAGTGACCTCAACTTCGCCGTGCCCCGGCTTTGGTTGCGTCATGGCACCACCAAGGTCACAGGCTAGGCGCGCCATCAATGCGTAGTTTGAGCGCTAGCGGCGGGGAATTCAAGATTCTAGCACATGTCGGTTGGGTCGGCACTACAATGGCGGCTGTCGGAGCCTAGCTTACTGCCCCGAGCTTCCACTTGCCTCTCGGACTTTTGTGCGCGCTCCGTTGCAATCAGGCACACACGCGCAGCTAGTCATGCCACACTACGCTTATGCAGTCGATGGTAACATTTCCTTATTGCTCAGGGCACTCCCAAAAGTAGGAGGTAGCTAGTGAGACCGTACCACTTTTGCCTGTCTTAAATTCGATGAAGCTATGTCATGATGGCAATGACGAGCTCCTGCAGCAGTGGTGCCTTGGCTCAAACTCCCCTCTCTTTCTCCTTGGCCATTAACTCCTCTGCATGCTCCCTCACAACCTCTTTGTCTATCTTGAACCCTTCCGCGGCGATCGCGTCCAGGCGCATCTGGCATACCTTCGCAACCGACGGGCGCTTGAGCAGCCGCTGGTTCCAGGCATACAGGTGGGTGAATTGCTTCAGGAGGGAGTCCTCGCCCTCGCCAACGTCCGCCTGGATGTCTACGACCACGTGGTACATCACAAACGCAAGGTCTGCGTAGCTGCACTTGTTGCCCACCAGCCACTTTTCGCCTTCTCCACTGCTCTCAGCCAGTGCGTTGTCGAGCAGCTTCATGATGCGCAGCGTCTGGTTCTTGTAGCGCTCGCTCGCGGAGGGCAGCTTCTCGGGATGCATCCAGTTGAACCTGTGGTGGTAGTTAGCTAGAGACGCATCCGAGGAGCAACAGTTACTGCGATGCTGTGTGTCGGGCAAAGCGGACCTACCAGCCAAGCTGTCCGTAGAATGGGCCTTGCTGGGAGACCTGGAACATCAACCATTGTCGTGCCAGGTGGAACTCCTTGAGCTGCGATGTCGGGAAAGAGAGCTTGTTGTCCTTATCTGTCCCCGTGAAAATTGGTCAGTATGCCGGACTGCGTGGTGTCTCAAAGCCCGGGGCGTGGGAGCACAGCCACCAAGGCTCACGGCTTCGAGGGGAAAGATTGTACTGTTCAGCTGTCAGTGTTATGAAATCCTCAATACTGAAACCTCAGGCCCAAATATCAGTCGCTCAGCCGACTCACCCAAATTGCTCAATGATGTACAAAATAATGGCGCCTGACTCCCATATCTTGATGCCCGTATTGGGGTCTTCCATCACTATACATCACGGAGGCGGACCTCGGGATCAGCAATTGGCGAGTGTGTCGTTTTGGCTGCAAGCCTGATGAACTCTATCCGGAAACAGGATGAGATCACAAACCTGGAACTTTCCCGCCCGGGTTGACCTTGCGAAACTCGTCGCTGATAAGGTCGGTAAACGGCACATCGACAATCTCGTATGGTACATTCAGCTCCTCGAGATATATAATGGGCTATCCGGTCGGCGGTGGCGACATGGGCGAGGAAGGTTAGCCCCAAAGTAGGTGTCAATTGGCCCAACAAGACGCGCAGTCTTACCTTCCAGCCATTTGGGCCAGGAGCTGTTGTCATCATGTCCGTCAGCCGGGGTGTCGCAAATTTGATGCGGGAAAATGGCCCTACCAGTTGTCCAGATCTTGATGGGTTGCATTCTGTATGCTGTCGAGTGCATCAACACTGACTTCGAGCAAGAGCAGTCTTTGAGGTACACAATTTATGACGATTTTGGTCCAGAATGAAAGAAGAGCTGTTTGATGTTATGGTCCATGATCTCTTTTATGAGCACAGCTAGTCGTGTTTCCCAGCCCAGTGACTTGCTACCCCGCTCGGCCTTATTGCATAGGGCTGATCGGCGTTAATTGAACCAAAGGTCGTGATAGGGTGTGTCGGGTATAGATGGGTCTGTCGAGGGGCGCCAAGGTTGTGGACAGAATAGATGGGACATGTGCTGTAGAGCACGGACATAGTGAACAGAATACATGGGACAATGGAGGTCCATGTTGTCCGGCATCTGCCCGGTTTATTCTGTTCACAGTTTCGGGCGCCTCGGAAATTAAGTAAGCACTAGTCCAGCACCGGCTTCCAGGTGACGTGAGATGGGGTTTATCTCACCTTATAACCTGCGGGCTGGTGCAAGGGCAAGACAGCTGTGGTGCCACAACTGTCACGGATTGCTTTCTGTTCGGCCGAGTCCGCGGAGCTGCAGAAAGCCGTATTGATCAAGCTGACAAGATTGACGCCCAATTGATGCACTCATTAAGCAATATCTAATCAAGCATTTATCCGCATCCAGTTAGTGATAGTGAGCCAACTAGCGGCGCGGTGGGAGTCGCCCTTGTTCAATGTCTCTTACAGCTGTGGTTGCGGGCTAACTGGTGTCCAGCATGAAGCGCTGATCTGGCAATCTGACAAGGCCAATGTGATAACCATCAATATCCGTGCAGGGCTTCCAGGCGATTGTGGGTCGGTAGTCGTTGTCGGCTATCCGGTGAAAAATATCTTCGTTGTACTCAGGTGTATTCAGCATGAGCTCGGCCATGGAATAATCCGCCCGTTGGTGACAAACATAAAGAGCCTTCTTTTTCAACCCGCGGTAAAGGTCGATCGAAGATCTTGTCAATTCATGCTGTGTCAAAGGTTGCATATCCACACCGCTGCAGCGGAAGCGGATATGCAGCGCAAATTGATGCGAACCTCGAGTCGTGTAGTCGAGAAATATGTTATCAGTATAGGGGGCCCTCGGAAATCGAGAGTGTAGATGAATATAGGTCACTCCTCTCGGGCCACGTCGAGCATAAAGGTTAGGATACGTCCTACGAATGCAGAATGTCTCCCAGAAACTGGCAGAAACCAAGAGGGCCTCGCGGTGCGGAAAGACTTTATGATCGACGGTTGACAAATATATATCGCGGTGGCGCATGAAGCGATCGAGATACCGCTGTGTAACAAGTGTCAGGGATGCGCCTCTTCTCCAAAACACCACGTCGCCGCTTTCGAAACCGGCGTCAAGAATCAGGCATAGCCTCCTGGTGTCCAACCGCTGGTGCCTTGTCCCATCTGCCACGCTGCAGGCGATCGGTGCAAGCAGTTCGCCTGATGGCAGAGCGATGCTGGGCTGGTTAATGACGATACCTTTTTGGGTCCAGTAGAAATGCTTGCCCGAGCGACTTCCGTACCATGAGATGTCGTCCGAACTCCGGAAGGCGGCTGGGGTGTCCGGCAGACATGCCTTCGCGGCAGAGGCAGGGACTTCCATTCCAGTTGCTGCATCAATGTCATGAGGAACAGATGCGTCTTCGTTGTCGTCATCAATCAGGTCGCCATATGCAAAGATTGACTGATCGTCAGATCTCCTCATTATCTCTTCCAGCAGCCGTCCGAAGGCTCTGCTTCCTTCTCCGTAGAGAAGCGGCATGTTGACTCCAAATATTCCTAGCAGGCAATACGCAATGTCCTCATCTCAGAGTGTCGTGGTCCCGACGACCTTGTGAGCCTACTGTCTTGTCATTGAGAGAGCGAGGACTTCCGAGAGTTCTTCGTCGTAAGGCTGCATCCCCTCAGACGAGGACCCCGCATTTAACAGGCCACTCAATAGCCAGATGCTCAGCTGGCTAATGTACAAGATTCTATTAATAGAGCCGGTAGCCGAGCATACATGATGCAGTGAGTATCAAGTAGCATCTCTCTCGAAACATGGTAGACTGTCTATTGTTTAGGACACTTGCCTCAAACGCGATGACACGATAATCAGGGTAGCCCTGCACACATATTCTTGAGTGTCAAGTATGTTCATGGCTCCGGCGATCTTACCCCAGCAGTATGTGATACCAGTTAATTGATAGCGCCACAGCCAGCTCTCACCCTGTGCCCAGAAGCCCGCCATTCCTTTCGCCACCGTACGTGCGGGGTCAACGAATCAATGCAAAAACTTCTCCGGAGCCAGGACAAGCTTGGCCGATCTTTACGCGTCGAGGACCAACCATAGAGCTTTGTGATAGCGGGCCATGAAGCGCAGGCAGCAGCCATGCCTGGTGAGTCATGGCATTTCAATGAAAGTCGCCTCATAACTGACCGTAATCTCACTTCACCAACAGTAAAACCGCCAATTGCCAGTCTGACTAACACCGTTGACAGCCGTTGGGTATCGAATCGAACAGTCGACGATGGTCAGTTACAGCAGCTACCAGTTCTTTCAAGACTGGCGCTACGCCATCGCCAAGGACTTTGTCACTAAGTCCGGCGATAGCTACCCCTACGCCCACAACGGGCACAAGTCTTGGGGCCAGGAGGATGTGAAGCTGCCCCCAATCTACGGTCGACAGGACGGCAAATCCTTCTCGGGCTGCGAGAGTGCGTGCATCAGCGATGACGGCCGGCGTCTGGCCATCACCGTAGCAGGGACACACGATATCCACGTTCTCGAGACAAGCACATGGACGGTGGTCAGCGTGCTCAGAGCACACTCCTCGGAGATTGAGAGCCTCGCGCTCCAGCCAGGGACGAAAGGCAGCGTCCTGGTGTCTAGCGACAATGGACGGCGCGATGGCAGTGGTAGCGGCAAGCCGACAATCATTATCTGGGACGTCGCTCGGGATGGTGAACCTCCGTCTGACACTCCTCTCGGTTCCAGCAAGATAGAGCTCACGGACAACGCTATCTCGTCAATCGTAGGGAACACTGCCACGAGCGTGGCGGCACAGCTCTCCGAGGCCATGGGCATCGCCCTCAACGAAGAACAGATTCTTGAGCTACAAAAGTCATTCACATCTCCGATCCAAAAAGTTGTGGAAGAGCACAGCATTGCTACAAAGAGAACCGTTCACGGCCGCATGCGACACAGTACCAAGTCGGGGACGTTCAGCCCTTCGGGGGGATACATGGTGTACTACCCAGGCGACAGACCGCGATCAAACGACAGCGCGCCGTGGGACATGAAGATATGTTCGCTCAGACAGGGGTCGGCGGGGGTCGAGGTTCAGGACCATGCCACGCTAAGAGGTCACACTGATTGTATATTGTGGACGGGATGGAGCCCCGACGAGAAGTTCTTCGCGAGCGTGGCGTGGGACAAGACGATCCGGGTCTGGGACGCTGCCACAGGAGAGCTGAAGCAAAAGTTCGACACGGACGGGCAGAACTGGACAGGTGCTTGGTCGCCAGACTCGCGACACCTGGCCGCGACCTGCGGGACGGGTGCGTTGTTCGTATATGACGTCTCGGACGGGTCGACGGTGTGGGAGCAGCACAGCGAGAAAGAAGGGAGAAGAATGGGATGGAGACGCGCTCTGGCCTGGCATCCGGAGGGAAAGCTCTTGGCCGTCGGTGCGCAAGAGCTCGGGCGGGTTGTCGTGCTTGATACTGAGAAGAGAGAGCCTGTGTCAGAGCGCCAGCTGTCCGTGGAGCAGTCGAGGACGGACAATGAAGATGCTAGGGCGTTCCTAGGAGGGTGGATCGAAGTGAGGCAGCTCAGCTTTGTTGATGGCGGGAGAAAGCTTGTTGTCTTTACTGGGGCAGACGATAGCATCGAGGTTTATGACAGTGAGGAGGAGCAGAAATGGAGGTTCAGTAGAGGCGGAACCGACGACAACGTGGAAGGACATGAGCAGTGGAGAGACGAGGAGGGCAAGGTGACAACGAGCGCCGGATCAGGGATGTTAGTATGGGAGGACAAGACCAATGGGCTGCTGAGGTTGGCTAGTCTTGACTGTGACGGACCAAGGCTGTGGTCTGTCCCATTGACTGGAGTGTAAAACACGAACGCCTGGTCTAATCGGGTTATGATTGTGCTTGAAAGTCAATGGACTTTTCGTTTCAGTTTCTTTCGCGCGAAGTCGTGATTGTCTACCACGAAAAAGCCTCATCCACCAGCTTCACCTGTCGGCCATCTCTTGCCAGCTCGGCTACGGCTTGGCGCACCTCGTCCGCCATCCTCTCAGGGCCGCACACGACGACTGCTGTCTCGTGCCCCGTATTCGGTACCTCTTTGTCCAGGATGCTCCGGATATCCAGCCTACCATCCCCTCCCCCATCTCCTGCTACAATCATGCCCCCTAGTATCCCATGAGCAAACATCTCCTGACCGAACGCCTCCTTCGCGGTCCTCGCCAGCCCGTGGCTTCGCAGGCCCCAGTACAGCCTTGTACGCCCACCAAGACTCCCACCAGCGACTCTGGCCCGGACCAAAGGCGCCACGGCCGTGATTCCCACGCCACCAGCGATGACCACTAGATTCGGCGCCTTCGCCACTCCCCCATGTGATTGTGGGACATAGGAGCCCTCGACCAGAACTGATAGCGTAGCTGTACCGCCGTTCCTGATTGCCAGCTGACGTAGCCGAGACGTCATGCCGCCCGAGGCACGTACGAAGAAAGTAGAGCCGCGCTGATAAAACACGTTACTCGTACTTTCGCTGTTGCTGACCCAATCACCGCCTATCGTGGTGGTGCTGTTCTGTCGAGTCCATGTTCGCAATGAGCTCGCTGACTTTCGCGAGTCCGGCGTTGAGACTCCAGGCCGCTTCTCCGCGTCCACAAAGTATCTCGCCGTATCTGAGTGCATGGTGCGCATCGGCGATATCTGGTTGGCGGTGGCGATATCTGAAGAGTAGCATGCTGAGTGTCGGTTGATGAACATGGAAGATCCATCTGGCTCAGCAAGGCTTCCGTTTCTGGTGCTGTGATCGCTGCTGGATGTCTTCGGCTCCCTCCTCTCCAGCTTGTACGATTGGAGGTCGACGCCGTCGTACGGCTCTTCAACCGGTAACATATTGCCAGCAACGGAGAACGGATGATTCTCCCACAATCGCCAGCTCAGCGTTGGGAAATACAGATACGCATACCCCTTGACCACGACCCCAGGGACATCAACCCGCACATACTCACTTGTGTCACTGCGACCCCCACCATCATCGTCGACAATGAGGGTGACAGTCGCACGGCGGATGCCAAACCTGGCAAGCCTGAGGATCCGCAGCACCCTCTCGGCACCCCAGATTGGCACGGCCAAGTACAAAAGCCAGTTCTCGTACCCCCACCGCCCGTCGAACCGGTACCAGACATGCAAATACCCGGCCACGAGCACCAGCACCGCGAGCACGACATGCAGCGCGAGGAACACCTCGTAGCACCTCCTGCGCAGGGGCAAGATGCTCGCGGGGAGCAGCAGCACCACCATGGCGCCGATGCACACGATGCCCCAGATCCAGAACCTGGCGGTGGTGACCGCGAGGAACGCCCCCGAGGAGAGGTTCTGGTAGAAGTATATCCCTGCGTGCACGGCGGCCTGGACGGTCGCGATGGCGGCGATGTACCGGTGCATGAGAAGGAAGGTCGAGTGCGACCAGTCGGTGAGGAAGAGCAGGAGCGGGTTATTGCGGGCCGAGTAGACGATGAGCAATGGCAGGTTGGCGAAGCAGAGGATGCCGGTGCGGTTGGAGATGTAGGCCAGCAGTTCCGTCGTGGGCTTTGGAAACCATGCGTTTGTGCTGCCGGCCGTCGCGGGAGTGGTGGTGTAGCCGAACGAGCAGAGGGTGATATTGATGGCGAAGAGGTATAGAATAAATATTGCTTGGCCGCGGGTCGGCATCAGGAATGCGTGGCCAACAGGCTCGCGGTGGCGGCGGCCGATGAGTGGCGGGTCGACGACGATGGCGCGGAGGCGAGTTGTGAGTCTATGCGGAAACGGAAGGAAGCGCAGCCAGGATGTGAAGATGGGGACGACAAGGCCAGAGATGAACAGAATCAGCCTATGTTGGTGTTAGTGGTGGTTCCTAAGGTACTTAGGTAGCGCGGCAATGGACAGCAACCTTACCCGTAATCCACATGGCGCTCCTCAGACAATTCAAAGAAATACTTTGCGTTGTAGTTGGCGAGGTATACAGCATCCCTCGATAGAGACGGCGTGTTGAGCACCTCATTGTCGCCAATCACAGACCACTGAGAGGCGGCAGCAGTGTGTGACAAAGCTTCACGGTATGGCACGACGGGCTTTGGCAGTGTTGGATCGCTGCCAATGAGGTATGTTGCCCACCAGTCCTCGAGCGTTCCACGACTGATACTGCTGTCGTGACTGCAGCGCGTGCTGATGCAGTATGCCACACTCTGGAGGTATGCCATGTCGCCCGCATAGCAGCCGGGGGATGTCTCGAACGTGACTGAGCCGTTGACTGCGGGTAGCGATCTTTTGTTGGCAGTGATGTGGCGAGCTTCCATGTCATGATCCAAGCTGCTTTGCGTGTTATGAACAGTTGAGCAGCTCAAGCGGTACGGAGCGAGGGTGTCTCTGCATGCCGAGGCGCAAGTCGGGTGGAACATGGTGATGCCCTTGCCAATAAAGCCACTGCTGGCGTTCAAAGACTGCCCAGCTGCAACATTGGCCATTGCCACTACTGTCGAAACCAGGGAATGGGGCCGCATGGTGATTATACTGGCCTTATTTGGCCCGGAAGATCAGTGAGGCCAAGAATGCTCTAACAAGCTATCAGAATGGCCACCATCGATTCCGGTCACAGCGCATCCTTATAATGTAACAACCTCGCACGCCACAGTACATGCATCTTTAATAGAAGGGCAAAGGAATGTCGAGATCTGTTCGTCGGGCAAGTGAGGCATGCCAACGGTCCGCTAAGCTTTGGTCTGCGTATCCTCAGAAACCTTGGCGAACCCCGTCGCGACACGCCAGTAAAAAGCGACGACATCCTAGCACGCGGTTCCAATAAGATCGATCCTCGTCGTCGCCAGCCTATCACCTTGCTCATGGCACATGGTGCCTGCCGAATTCGGGTCAAAATGGATAACTTGCTCTGGCATGTGGGTATTAAGCTCCATTGCCGTTACGCGCTTGTACCGCCCTGGAAACCTGAAAAAGACGGATGCGGCACGCTAGCGTGGGTGTCTGGGCAGGTCTTTGCCAACCCGCAGCCACGTGGGGACAGATGCTGGCGGCAAGTCAACCCGATGGAGGTTCTAGAGATAAGGGCAGTAATGCCGCATTATTCGAAGCGCACTACTATGACAAGAAACTCAGAATATCGGCGCTTGGTCAACGCGGGTTCCAAAAACGTCGCTCTCAGGAGCCGCGCCTGAAAGATCTCTACCTCATCTCCACCTATTATTACTGACGTGTTTCACTTGCACACGCGCAACAGCAGTATGATACAGCCATAAAGGTCAGAAAAACGTCTTAAACAGGTGCTTATTCTCAGACAGTCCATCCAGTCTATGCCGTCTCGTTGACTTCGACGCTGTTAACGTTGCGTGCGCCCTGAAGCACTTGCCCAATCCGGGCAGTTGTCTCACCACACGGCAGGGCGGACGCTCGAGACCTTCTCGGCCTATCAGTAGCCCCCTGCTGGGGCAGGCTTTGTTTGTGATAAGTAAGTGCACAATCCTGTGCAAGGGTTTGTGCGTACTGTACGGAAATCGCCGGTCGTTTGTGAAATGAAACCAACTCTAATGCAGCATCGTTTGTGTAGTGATGTTGCAGTATGAGCACGTAAGCTCAGTCCGATACTTTTGCCCGCAAGATGATCCGGAGTACTGGACTCGTGCTATTTATGCAACCTGTCTAAAGTTGCGATTTCACGCGCGCGAACCAATGTGCGTTCACAAGAGTTTAGTAGGTGCAACGGTATTATTTGGCTTAGAGCCATGAGGGAGAAAATGCTGCAGCAGCTCCGCACACAAGCTCAAATGTGAGGATCAGTTATAGCAAACCTCTTTCCACTAGGTCATGGAGAATGCCGAAGGAGAGGAATCTCTGTGTTTACCTTTGTGTGGGATGTTGGCCCGCCGGTCCGTGGTTTTACAGCATGCAAGCCGCTGAAGGGCGAGATATGTCAGGGGGGGCCGTTGGCATGTGGGGTGCCGTGTGTGCCTTTTAGCGACAGCCAGCATTCTTCGAGAAATGCACTACTGCATTTGCTCGCAATTAATCTAGAGCAGTATTCGAAGACAAGAAGGTGATCCTAGCGGTATTCGCATACACGCTCAAGTCGCCTGGTACATCTGGGGGCCCATTTGGGCAGACGGGCAGTGGCACGCCCTGTATTGTGAATGCGCGTAGTGGGAATGGCACACAGGCAAAAGCCGCTAGCCCCTGTGTTCTTGTGTCATGCACCCCATGAAGACTCAGAGCCCCCAGCTTGACAATGAGGCAAAAAGGCACACCGAGCGGAGACAGGGTGTCGGCGCTGTCTGACACGGATTACAGGCCACTAGTTGCTTCTTTGATGCATCGTGGGCGGTTTCGGTTAATCCCGCTCGGCCCGAGTTGCGATTGTGCTCCTCGAGTGCCGGTTGGCTCAACGGAGGTTTCCCCCGATCATAACGTAGTTGCGACCCTGATGCTGGCTTTGCTTGGCTTCCCAGGTGAATACATAACCTGGCCAGACCGCCCTGGCCTGGGGATAGGGGCTTCGACCACACTTCATCACCATGTTCGACGCGACAAGGCGCAGCGATGTCCAGCGTGTCATATACGTCCCCCGACAACTTTGTGGGAGCGCTGCAGAGCCATGGCGGGTGGGTCACGCAATCCCGCTGCTGACGACTAGAATCGACAAAGCCGACACCAGACAGCCACGCAAGCGCATCAGTCACAATGCCATCTAATAGCGTCTCATTGAACGTGGCCAATGGAGATGTGGGTGCCTAGGCTTACCAGCATCCGCGACGGAGCAGTGTCGATCGCCGATCTACCAGCCTGCAAGACAAGACGACATAGGGGTCCTACCAGTGCAAGCAAAGGCCCTCCCGCCGAGTTCAGCACCACCATCCTGAGGCGCCCTTTCGCTGTGGCAGGGGGGCGGTCATCATGTCTGGAAGTGGCCAACACTACGCAGCGTCGTGTCTCTGCGCTCGGGCAGCCCCTGACGCGCCCACAGGATTCGGCCGTGCTCAACATGGGCAAGACCGGCGAGGGAGGACCCAACACAGGCAGGCCAGCCAGGGTCGGATCAACGGACATAACCGCCATTGTACGGCCATGGAACGCTTGACAATCCCCAGCAGCCAGGGTCGCATCACTGTATTTGTCCCCGACACCCCAGCCCGATCTCCAATGCCTACGTCACTCCCGGTCTGAATAACGACAACCGACCCCAAAAAGGGCATGACACGGCTTGCCGTCACACTCAACCAACAGCAGTCCTCGAGATCCGCGGCTGGAGGCGAACATGCCTGGGACATTCATGTCCCTCAGCAATAGGCGACGCCACTACGTACAGCTCGTGTGCCGAGCCGCCGTCTGTGGGAGCATCCCCTCCGCTTGTGCAATCCCGTCTGGATTCAGCTGGGACCCCTGCTGTGTGAAGTTCTGGCCAACTCCTCAGGACTCGGCAGGCCAGCTCGCCCACAGAGTCTAGGCCAGTCGCGGGCGTTAGTGCCGGGGACCGCAGAGGCCGCCCGGAACTGTCTCGCCAGCAGAAAGAGCATGCCTAGCCTATTCGGGTCATAGCCAAAGCAACTGCTCAACACGATCACTAGCACTCTTGTCTTGGGCTCCCAAGCCATCGGAAGCCGCGTCTAATCGTGGCACAGGCCAGCGAGACAGCACGACGACACCACACCAGACCGCGGGTGCCCGATCCCCGTCGGTGCACGGTGCCTCATCACTGCCAAGATCCTATCGCCATTTCCCGGTTCACACCCTCGACGCTGTTGGCTGTTCTGGGCCCTTCCCCCGTGCGACCAGGGCGTCCACGCATAATTAAGCCTGCGTCGCGAGGCACACCTTCTCAGTGTGCAGATACGCCATGCCAGATCTAACATCGGGGCTGCAACATGCAAGCAGCCGTTTCCAGGACTGCCTCGATCTACAGCCTTTCGGAGGCTCTGAAACCTGCCTGGCGGCCATCTTGTCTGCGTGCCCGTGCAGAAAACACCTCAGATCCGAATACAAGTGTCCTCCTACCACCCTTCCAGCGCTGCTTGCTTCCCCACGTCGTGATGTGCTGGCGCCGCCGCACTCCGCTTGGTTCTTCCGCTGCGGCGACCCCTGCACCACGGTACGGCCGGCATGCGACGGACCGACCATGGTCGCCAACCCAAAATCAGCTGGACCCCGGGGGTCCCCAGAAGAGCAGCCCCCTTCCAAAGTCGCCCCAGGTGATGTTCGGTTTCAACTGAGCATTGATGGATGGGAGGCCCAATGGGGCTGCCTGCCTCAGTCAGTGGCCGCCGACAGCACTGCATTCTTGGTCAGCCCCCTACTCCTTTGACATCACCCGTGTTCCAAGACTGTACCCGAGACGGGGTCTGTCTTTGATGCAAAGAACAAAGGCTGTGACTTGCTTATTCTTCTCCTCCTTCCGTCTTTGACAGCACGCCAATCTCTGACTCGAGGTGGGAATACTCTCAGCACAATCTCGTTCAAAGCCCATCATTTCACAAACCAACGAGGAGGCGCAAAAGTCCAGCGCAAAAGGGACCCGTTCACAGCCTGACTGGACAGCATGGGGGTGGCATACAAAGCACCTGCGCTGCCCATGATGCACATCGTACGGCTCGTGGGAGCGCAATCGTGGAACCACTGCCAACACGTTGTAGTCGGCTCCGGGATATAATAAGGGTTCCTCCTGGACTTTCCGCAGACCACAGTCAGGTATTCGCAACTGCACATTTCGTTCTTCCCGAAACACCACTTCGACCCCTCCACTGCTTTTACGTCTCTCCTGCGAATCGGGCACAACCCTAGCACGACGACAGAGGGTGACCACGCCTGACACTAGTCACCAACTGGTTCGGTCCGGAGTGGCTCAGTTGAACCTCGTCGTTCGAACGAAGCAAGGCCCACTACTTCCACCAGCAGCGGGAGCATCCACAGCAGCTATTACCATCAGTTGGCCTCAAAGAAAGAGAGACCCTTCTACTCCGCCAACACTCAACAGGCAAAACGAACCTCCAAGGAAAGGCAAAAAAGACAAGGCTCAGACAACAACAACAACCCCCCCCCCCTTCTTCGTGCCTTCCGACACGCCTCTCTTTTTTTATTTCTTTCCTGTTTCGTTTTGCCGAGATGTGCCGCGCCCACCCCCGGAGGCACCCCTGCTCGCACACGTCGGTCCACTGGCTGTACTGCCCGCGCGCGCACTTCGACGTGCGCAGGGGCCGTGTATCTGGCCCTTGCAACTCGCAGACGCAAGCGGCGATGCAGTCCGTCGGGACGAGATGCACGCTGCAGCACTGCGCATTCGGGGACCTCGGCGGGGGCTGGCACTGCTGCCAGTGCGGCCAGGGGCCCAACAGCTTTGGCTGGTGCACGGCTCCGGCTCCGCGGGACTCGGTGCTCGCCGACGGCGTGTGGGGACAGCAGCAACAGGACGAGGATTGGGCGAGTACTGCTACTACTAGCACTGCTGGTGGCGGCGGTGGTAGTGCTGGTGGTAGTAGTGCCGATGACGATGATGTTAGTGGTGCGGCGGGGCCGAGCAGCAGCAGCAGTAGTGGTGCTGGCGTGACGGGGTGGCCCTACGCGGAAACCTATCCCAACTTGTGCGGACACATGTGCTGTGCATCTTGCACGCCTCTTGGTGAGTTCACCCCCACCCCCCCTCCTTCCCCTTGTGTGTGGTTTGCCAGCCGCAGACTTTGCCTGTCAGGGAGGGGCTATCGGCTAATACAGCGACGCACGCACGCCTTTCCAGACGGGGAGATTTCCGCGACAGCCACCACCACCAGCAGTTCCCGCCGCAGCAAGAGGAGCCGCAAGGACAAGTCCGGTTCAACGCGGCGGTAGATAGACGCTGGGCCACACGCTGGTGTTTTTGCATTCATTCACTTGGTTATCTTTTGTTTTAATGCGAGGGGCTCCGGGTGGTTTTGCTGTCTTCCGCATGTCGGTTTCTTCAGGGAGGGTGTCCATCCAACAACGGCGTTATTCATTCATGATGTTTTGCAGTCTCTTAGAAATGGCCAGCTCCTAGGCTCACGGGTCACTTGGTGAGGAGAAGACAAACTCGCAAGGGTTTCTACAAGTGCGTAAAAATATGATTACAAGGGGTGACGTCCAAACCCCCAATACCGTGGTCTCTCAACTCCCTGCAGGTCAGGCAATATCAAGAAACTTCATCAGTAGCCAGTGACGTGACGAAGGTCTGATCGAGTAGGGATGAGGTCCTACTACCCAGCAACGGTGACGATCCTGTCTCCAGATGATGCCAGAATGATAGATTCAAGTCTCCATAAACAAAAGTGGCCGCCCTCCCTCAGCTTCACATCTCTCCTCTTTGTGTCTTTGTGTCTTTGTGTAATGTAACAAGCTTGATCGTCGTTGCAGCACGCCTTTGTGGTGTGTGGTTGGCCCGATCGCGGGGCAGCATGTGCGTCCGCCAGATCGGTGCAGGGTGCAGCTCAGATCAAGAATGCAGAAGCTAGAACCTTTGCTTGCTAGAAGCACACCACCTGATAGGTTCAGTCGAGTGTGTGACGTCCCAAGCGCTTGTCCGGAGTCAGCCCCGGTGCCTGGTCCTTGGTACTATGCTCGCTCTGGTACAGGACCAACAGTCAAGTGTGCCCGCCTCCCTGACGCAACAAGCCATCAATAACACCCTGGCAGGCGTGCGGGGTGGCGGGGCGTAACAGCCCTGCCAGTGCAGTGCACCCGCCGGACTTTCTTGCCCAGAGACACAAGGGACCCGAGTGATAACGTGGGGGTTGGCACTAAGCGCCGAGGTTCGTGGGCGCTGAAGCCGCTGCGCTAATTATCCATCGCCCAGCACAGCAGTTCGAAAGACGTGGTACAGGAGCAGCATATCCAGATATCCTAACCACCCATCTAGAAAATGTCCCAGGTGGTTGGCTGGCCAAGTCGACCTACGGCACGTAGACCGTTGTTGTTCTGCTTCATGTGGGCTGAAGCTGTCGGCCTGATGCTGGCTCAGCCTCATTCTCAACCCTACTTGGTAGGATGGCATGTCGCAGCCAGATTGTATCAGGTTACACAGGTGGGTCGAGGGCGACGCATGGTGCAAGCATGAAGAAGCCGCCCAGCGAGACCCTGTTGCCAAGCCGGACCAGCACGGACGAAACAGACGGGCAAAATTCCGCATGCCAATCAACCACGTCCGAAGGCTTCTGATATGATGTAAAGTCTGTGGTGGGGCTCAGTGGGCAGCAAGCCATTCAGCTGCCGAGACTGGATGACGGCCTGGCTGGGATCAGTTCGTCCGGCTGCAGGGAAATCAGAGAAAAAGGAAAGCATCCCAGCACGGTCCGAGCAGTGGAGCCATGGTGTCGGGGCGAGGGCCGCAAGTGCCCCAACCTAAAACTGGCGCATTTGTGCGGCCCGCTCCTAACAAACGCGCCATTTCTAGAGTGGTGAGCCTCGGGCCGCCCCGGGCTCGCCGGGCAATTCACATGGGCCGTACCCACCCATTAGGGTTCCCAAAGTTCCTGGATCTCGGGGAAATGGTCGGCCCTAGTGGCATCCTTGTCACACCCGTGCTACACACCCGGCCAGGACAGCACGCCGTTGTGATTTCGGTTTTACAAAGATGCGCGCTTTGATGCTGAGGGGGTATTCCTTGTTTCCCAGTATGCGTATGACTGATCGTGGACTGGCACGAGACTCTGGGTCATGGTGATCGGACCCCCTTCGTGACACCATGCTAGCCCTCTGGCTGTGGATTAGTGAACACCTTCCGCATTCCGTCTGGTGGCCCTCGCGCTGTGCAACGCGTGCTCTGGCCAGAAAGGTGACATGTCGTCAAAGAACAAACTGTGCGAGCGGAGCATGTGCCTACACCATTGGCGAGATTCTTGAAACACAACGGGCTACAGATCCGCCCATGCCAAGACCGCATCATCCTTGCATCCCAACCGATCACATTAATCGAATTTCAGATCACCAATGTATCCACAAGGTACCCGATTCGCGAGGACCCCGACCCGTGTCTCGGCTAGAGGCGATTCCGATCTGGAGCTGCAAGATCATGATAATCGACAACTGTAAATCTTGGATGCTGCTGCAACATGACCCGTAGGCGAATCAACACTTCGCTCTCGCCCCTGTGCATTTAGAGGCGTAAAAGGCGTGCTGCGTTTTACCCATCAGTGAGTGCGAGGCAAAAACACCGTTCTCCTCCTGGACGAGCAGCCCAGATCAGCAAGGCGGGGCCCACGGAATTAGATCCAGCACTCTTACAGATGGTGTACTTGGCGGGTGTCTTTCTCTCCGCTCGTTCGGCCGACTGCCTAATCAGCTGCAGAGGTGGCGTGCATAAGCCACTCGAGGCAGGCCTTCGCCTACGCGCTGCGTGGTGACGGCATGCCTTTGCAGATGAGGGACATGCGCAAGGCGCAATGACCCCTGCTTGTGCATGTCTGACTCGCTCCATTTATCTGTACGAATCCTCAACCACCTTGCGAGGGCCAGCTTTCGACCTACGAGCCTGCCAGTCGGCAAACCTGCACGTGATGGAGAGGCCAGACCTTCCTAGCGAATGAGGGCCAACTGCCACGACGTTTCGGCGTCGGTTGGGGCTGACATAGGGTGAGACAACAAAAGAGCAGCAATGTGATCCAGCATCAGTCATGCCAGCCAGCCAGCCACGGCGAAGCAATGTCCGCTACCAGGCTGCTTGAAGCACAACCCCTGCGTGCCCTACCATACATAGCATCTCAGAGCCAGCGAGCGCCGCGAAACCGGGCGGCGGTGCTGCGGCGACCCGAGGGTCCTGTGTAACCTTTCCATACGCAGGCACGCGGGCGCACGCAAGCCACGCTGAATCCAGAATTCAAGATCACATATCCGCATGGCGTGCCTTTCCCAAGACAATTCCTGCTCCGCCATTGTCGTCTGCCTCGCGTTTATAAAGTCAGACACTGGTGTGTGAACCGCTGCATCTTTACAGGCACTAATTAGGATCAGCAGCACCGTCCCAGACTTTCTTCATCCCCCCTCCCCCAAGACCAGCTTTGATGCACCACCAAACACCACCAACACGGCCATCAAGGGCAGCCCCGGGATTTGCTTTAGTCATGTGGGTGAGGATCGGTCTCGGAAACATGCCTCGGACCCAGCAACCCGTATCTCGGATCTTGCATCGTGCGCCATGTCTCACCCACTGAGACACCGCACGGCACTCCATCACACCATACTCTTCCTTGCGGATCTCAAGCCATCGTTGCGAGAGGCGCTCTAGAATTCATACGTGCGCCTCGCTACTTCCTGCGAATAGCGGATCGACACGCATTCCCAGACACTAGCGTCTACACGATATGCTGCCTTCACCGGAAGAAGGCACCTAAACTGCTGAGCTGAACCTAGCAACATTTCTGTAGGTCTCACACTAGACGTCGGCCTTGTTCAACGTTGGCTTTTTGAACCATTAGCTGGGTGGCTTGCTGAGTGTTGACTCGCTGTGCTTGGTTGTCCACGGGCATGTGCTCGAAGAGCAGCGCGGTGTGGCAGGAGGTCGGGATGATATTTTCATAATCCCGCAGCCTCATTCCTACGTAAATGCTCAGCTGGAGAAACCAAACGCTACATATAAGGACTTTGAATTAGCCGGAGGGTTTAACAAGCTGTAACAAACGTAGATCCCCTAGTCCCGGATAAGCCTCTCCTCGTGAATCACATCCTCGGCTCTAGGCATCTGGTTCTTCAGTTTCACCTCACAGATCCTGCAAACCGCGATAGCTATCTCCCAGGCAAACTCCAGCTGCTCCCGAGTCCCGCCATTCCTCACCACCCCACGCATGTGCCACCCGACCTCCACAGGCACGTCCATGGGCACCAGGCTCGCGACGTTGAGCTGCGACGTCGTCACCGCGTCCAAGATTGCCGTGTCGGACTGGTAATACCCGTATATCGTGGTGACCACGAGGCGGCGGAGGTCGGGCCAGTGGGCGTCCATGTTGGCCAGGAATGGGTCCAGGTCGGCACGAAAGATGCCGCGCATGTAAGCCTCGCCACGGGCGTCGGTGTCGGAAGGGTTGGTGATGTGTGCGCGAATGGAGGACGTCTCGTTGGACTGCGGCGACGGTATTGCTCTGATGAGGGCACGGTAGGCATTGATCACGCGTGGTATGCCGTAAATTATGCCGGTCTTGAGTAGGGCTTCTGTTGCATTGTTCTTTTGGTATTTGTAACTGAAAGACGCTGCCAGGAATGGGGCTTAGGTAGAAGCTCGCCTTTGATTCTCCTGAGAACGAAACGGTGGTATTCGTAGTCTCCGTCGCGACCGGAAGTTGCCTGACGAAACACTTCGGCCACAAGAATTCCCTGATTACTCGCTGCGAATGCGCATGCCTTGTTTGCCAGTCGGCATGTAGATACAATGTCAGCTGAAGATGCTCACGCCAATGCAAAGGACAAGAAGTCATGGGACGCGCACTTACAGCGACGCAATACCATGTCTCCTCTGCATCAGACCCGATTGAACGCGCATTCAGCGATTTGATGTACTCGGTTGCTTCCGCTTCCATATTCGTGATTCGTATGAGCAAGGCTGTATTGCCACTCGGGCACACACGGACTGTGTGGATTTGACGAGGGGCACTTGGCAGTGATGTTCATTGCGAGCTACAGCCATCGCGAGGACAATGTTCTGACTACATTCCTCGGGCATGGCCCGCAATTCGTGCGTCTCCGCCCAGCAGGTTGGCCAATGGGAGCACCAAGTGGCATAAGGAGGTTAAAAGATGGGGAACTGAATCATCGAAATCGTGGAAAAAGCCGCTACTGAATCAGTCCCGTCGCCAACCCAGGGCTCCGCGGTGCCGAGTGTGGGGTAACGGGCTTCTCCCGCGGACTTGGATATCCGGCTACCACGGCCGTGGTTTACATTAGCACATGGGCTGCTTGGCTCGAAGGAATTCAGACGATAGTTGGACACGTACTCGCTCAAGGATTGCGGACTAAATCTCGTAGTCAGGCCTCATATTCGAAAACTCATCAAGCATGGCAGCAACTCCGCCAACTCAGCGGCGTCCGATCCGCATCGGCGGCGCATCCGGCGGCTTCACCGATCGTGTCGCCGCGATGAAGCGCCTGGCAAGTGATCCGGACATCGACGCTGTGGTAGGCGACTGGCTGTCCGAGAATGTCATGACGGGCTACGGGGCCGGCAAAGCACAGCAAGATTCCGCCGCCTTGGCTCCCATGCCCCTCTCTGAGCGAAAGAAGACAGCCATGTACGCGAGTACCTTCCTCCAGTGCTTCGAGCCCGCGATCGAGCATATCGCGCGGAACAAGACGAAGGTCGCCGTCAACGCGGGGGCCAGCGACACCGAGCTGCTGGCTCTGGTGGTCAGGGACATGGTCCAGGAGAGGGCTATCCTTACTTGAAGGTCGCATGGGTCGAAGGCGACGATGTCACAGCGCCATTCAAGCAGATGGTTCAGGATGGGCGTGTATTCCGCAGCTCAGCGGATGGTAAGACGCTGGAGGAATGGGCCATGAGCCGATTTGTGCGCTGGCGTACCTGGGAAGTCTGGGGATTGCCGAGGCGCTGCGCCAGGGGGCGGACATGGTCATTTGCGGACGGTACAGATTTTATTTCAGCCCCACGATCTTGCCCATCAAAGTTAGAGAGACAAGACTGATCCGGAAGTAGAGTGTCAGATGCTGCGCCGACAGTCGGCCTCGCCGCGTGGTGGCACAACTGGAGCTCCGACCAGTTCGACGAGCTCGCGGGAGCACTGATCGCCGGTCACCTCATCGAGTGCTCCGTGTTCGTGACGGGTGGGTATTACAGCCGCTTCAAGGATCTCATGGCCGCCAAGAAACACCTCGATCTCGGTTTTCCCATTGCAGAAGTATTCTCGAATGGCGAATGCCGGGTTGCCAAGGAGAAAGAATCCAATGGCATCGTCAACATCGAGACCGTGACATCGCAGTTAGTCTACGAGATCTCTGGGCCTCTCTACTTCAACTCTGATGTCGTGGCATCTGTCCATGACATCAAGCTCGAACAGATCAGCGAGGACTATGTCCATGTCTCGGGCGTCAAGGGTCTGCCGCCGCCTGATACTACACGTGTGGGTGTTACGGCCCACGGCGGGTATCAGGCAGAGTGGCATTTCTATCTCGTTGGGCTGGACATAGAAGAAAAGTGCCAGTGGATGGAGGAGCAGGCTCGCCATGCAATCGGCGAGGAGATTATGAGCCAGTTCACAATGCTCAAATTCCAGGTACACGGCACAAGCCCTGCCGACCCCGCGAATCAAGAAGTTGCCACTGTCGATTTCCGCATCTTCGCACAAGGGCCCCGGGCGGAGCTTTTCGATGGCAGCAAGCCGGACGGGTTCGCGAGGAAGCTGTACGAGACGGTCCTGCAGTCGTGTCCGGTACGTGTCGTGCGGTTGGAGGTGACATGTAGCAATACTGACTGACGTCCCGAGCAGGGCGTGTCTCGACCAAATGACCTGCGGCAATCCACAGCAAAGAGCTATTGGGAGTACTTTGTCACGCTCATCCCTCAGGCCGCCTGCTGCCACCGCGTACATCTCCTCTTCAACCCGGCTCACGGCAACAAGACAGTCATCCTTATCCCTTTACCCCCGAGGACGAGCGTCTACGGCCCCCAGGAATCATACGATCCTCCTGAGCCATTCTCTCCAGAGACTTATGGCCCAACCGTCCACGCGCCACTTGGCACCATAGCGCTCGCCCGCTCTGGCGATAAAGCCTCCGACGCCAACGTTGGCCTCTTTGTCTCCCATGACGCAGGCGGCGACGTTTGGCAATGGCTCCGCACATTCCTGACCATCGACAGACTCAAGCAGCTGCTCGGCCCGCACGAGTACAGCGGCGGACGCATCGACCGGTTCGAGCTGGAGAACATCCGCGCCGTGCACTTTCTGCTCAAGAACCACCTCGACAGGGGCTACAACTCGGGCAGCAAGCTCGACACGCTGGCCAAGAACCTTGGCGAGTACCTCAGGGCAAAGCACGTGCCTGTCCCGGTCAAGTTTCTTGCGACTGCGAGTCTGCGACCAAGGATCGGTCCGGGTGAAGGCCGCGGTCATACTACCAGAGACGCACGGCAAGCAGGCCAATTCAGCGACAAAGTCATCGCAGTCACGGGTGCGGCGCAGGGGATTGGCTACATCACGGCCGTCGCGCTCGCCGAACGCGGTGCATCGCTGTCCCTCGCTGATGTACAGCCCGCGGCTCTCGCGCAAGCAAAAGAAAACATCCTCACCAGAGCCCCCAGCACCAGCATCATCACCACCGCGCTCGACGTGCGCAGGGAAGACCAGGTCTCGTCCTGGATCGCAGGCACGGTCGCACACTTTGGCCGCCTCAACGGCGCGGCCAACATTGCGGGCGTGGTGCCCAGGAGCATCGCCAGCGAGGCCGGGCTGGTCGAGCACCTCGACGCCGACGAGTGGGAGTTCGTCATGGGCGTCAACGCCACGGGCGTCATGTACTGCATGAAGCACCAGCTCTCCGTGATGCGCGGGCGGGGATGCGCCGTGGTCAACGCAGCGAGCATCGCGGGTCTGACGGGGAGGCCCAGGACAGGGGCGTATGCGGCGAGCAAGCATGCCGTGGTCGGGCTGACACGATCCGCGGCCAAGGAGGTTGGGGAGAGGGGAGTGAGAGTAAACGCCATCTGCCCGTGAGTTGCTCCGCCGAGACTGATTTACATTCTGGTCGAGTCTTGGTTTGACGCCAACACTAATCATGAGACGAGGGTAGTGGAAGGATCGATACGCCAATGTCTCGCGCTGCTGCTGCCGCCGCCACGGTAGTGGGCAGAGGAGCAGACTACGATAAGGAGACATTGTCGGACATTGCGCTGCGGAGAAAGGGACAACCAGAAGAGGTGGCGGACCTGGTTTGTTTCCTGCTCAGCGACGAGTCTTCATACATCACTGGCAATGCTATAAGCATTGATGGCGGATGGAATTGCTAGACGTGCCGACGACATGACAGCCTGGGAGAGGCGGAGTCCAAGTCATGCCTCCAACGTCGAGCACATGTCTTGAGTCTCACGTCCTGTCATGAGGGTCGGTGGATAGCTGCACATCCTGCTCCAGCACCAGCAGCTAGCTGTGGTGTCACGAGGCCGGATAGAAAGTCGGGACACGGCCAGAAATACTTTGCGAGATACTGATGGCTCTGGCCAGCAGGTTGCCGACGTTGAAGCACAGCTTTATGATGAGAGGACACCATGACAGGCTTGCAGCGGAGTTGTGGCATTCTTGACGAGCATTCCTGACGAGTTGTCGTCCAGAAGCTGCCAACAACAATGTGTAAACATAGTCGGTCATAGCATAGCTATCTCTCACCGCCTTTGCAATCCCTCCGGGCTAATAGCTCATTTGGTAGAGCGTTCGCTTTGCATCACGTCGCCTCCTTGGTTTCTCGTGTCCTCATCTGCGAAAGGTACAGGGTTCGACTCCCTGTTAGTCCATTTTTGCTCTTCCTTGCCGCGTGGTTTTTTGCAAGTCTCCTGGATGTCGCCGTCCCCGGCCGATTGGTGTTGCAAAGCACTTGTCGGCGTTCCAGTAGTTCGAGCCTGATAAGCATGACTCGCGTGACTGATGCTTGGTTCTCGGTAGTAGCACATGTCCCTTCCACGCCTGACTGGAAGCTTGCCCCGCCCCAGCAGCCAGCTCGCAGGGCTGGCACACCGAAGGCTCAATGGGGGGCTGCGTGACAGAATATTTAGGGCGCTCACTCAGGTTGCTGGTGGTGAAGTGCGTCGGTTCTTTTTGTCAAATGCCTGGCAGGCGCAGCAGGAGAATAAGCCCTGTCAGCCAAGGCAGCCCTGCAGCCGCCCAAACAAGCTTGGTCGCGATGACGCCTTTGGGCAGCGTGACACTGGTCCCGGCCTATCGGACCCGCCAGAGATGGTGCCATTGCCATCTGCAGCCGTCGACTGGACATGATGACGATTGCGTGATTGCTCACCTGGTGGTCTCTTTTGTCGCCCTTGCGCTGCCGCCTCAACCCCTGGCTTGTGGTGCAAGCGACGGGTCAGAGATGGGAAAGCTGCGGGCATCCTGGTGGGAAGAATGCGATTGTTCGTTCGCTGTGCACCTTGGCAGCATGCACGAGGGCCCCTTTCCCTGTTTCTCGGGCACCAGATTGGGAGGCGGTTCCGACGGCGTTGCTCATTGAGCTTTGCAGTTTCTCCTTCTCGACGACGGTGATCTTTTCTGCCTGGACATATGCTGCCTCTTATCATTCTTCCTGCCCGACGTCTTCGCTTTCGTATACACGTGCAGGCTGGTGCAGCCCCTTCCCCGCCGATCCGTCGCAAGCACACCAACCCGCGTCTACTCTGCTGGTGATTTGCTGCGAGGTGTGCTGCCAGCCGCGACGATCACACCCGCATCCCGCGTCGGCGTTGTCCGCACGAGTCCTGCCCGCCGGCGATCTCACAACTCACCGGCCCCGCAGCGTCTCACATTTTCCAACTTTGCGATGACGACTGGATGCACGAGGAGCAATAAATAATATATTTGCAGCATTGGCGGTATTGTTTTCTTTCGATTCTCGGCTTGATTAGAACTTTCTTCGCCTTTTTTGATTGCGGACTGCTTTTTGCGCCATGGCTGGCTACGAGGACACAAGCAGGCCACTCCTCGGGCCAATGTCGAGCGGCGACAATCAGACGTATGGCTCCTTTGGCTCCGCGTCGACACAATGCGGGAGCAGCAGCATAAGTCCCAGCAGCAGCTCCCCAATAATACCACCAAAACGACAACAGAGGCACCGCAGATACGACTACAGCGACGATGACGATGACGACAACGGCGAGGACTACTGGCTCGCCAACGACAGGTCCAGCATCGCAGACATTGATCTGGAAATGAACACGTCCGCCGAAAAGCGGCACTCGCTACTCACCACCACAGGCTGGCGACAGCCACCATCAGCAGCAACAATAACAACAAGCACATCCGCCGCCACGCAGATCCTAACAACCCTGATCCCGGGCATTTCCTGGCTGCGCAGCTACTCGGCCTCCTCCGTCATCCCCGACCTCATGGGCGCCTTGACGGTAGCATCGCTTTACATTCCGCTTGCCTTTTCCTTCGCCTCGGTCGCCAACGTCCCGCCCGCAAGCAGCTTGTACGCCTTTGTCTTCCATCCGCCTGTCTACGCCCTCCTGGGTACGTGTCCGCTCATGGTAACTGGCCCGGAGGCCACAGGGTCGCTGCTTGTCGGCGCGGCGATCCATGCGCTCGGTGGCAGTAGCGGGGGCGAGGAAGAAGATCCGGCAACGAATGCGCTCATTGCGGGCGCCGCGACCGCGCTGGCCGGTCTGATTCTCCTGGCCATGGGCTTTTTGCGGCTGGGGTTTCTGGACAACATGCTGAGCAGGCCGCTCATGAAGGGGTTCATCTGTGGTGTGGGCGTGGTCCTGGTTGTGAAGCAGGCCGTGCCTGGGCTTGGGCTGCAGGATGTGTTGCGGGAGGCCATGGGTGCGTCTGATACCACTCCTGGCAGTGGTGAAAAGGGAGGCGCCGCGTCTGCGCTGGATATACTGCTCACGCTGCTGGGTAGTGTGACGCAGGTCGATCTTCTGGCGGCAGTGTTCTCCGTGGGGACGCTGGGGTTCGTGCTGGTGTGCGCGTAAGTCTATTATTCCCGATGGCAACGGCCATGTGGTCATGATTTGTCTCTCCCGCGGCTCATACTAATCTCTCACACTTGCAGACACATCAAGAAGGCCCATGTCAAAACCCTCCCCAGCATCGTGTACATACCCGATCGCTTCATTGCCATCGTCGTGTCCGCGGTGGTGGTGTACCTCTTTGATCTCGAATCGCACGGTCTCGAGATCGTTGGCGCGGCCGGCAGCTCGAGACCAGGCCTGCCGACCTTTAACGCCGGGTTAGTCACGGATTTCGACCGGCTAAAGTCCGTGGGCAATACGGCCCTTATGATCGCCATGCTGGGATATTTTGAGTCCTCAGTCACAGGGAAGAGCATGGGCCGGCCAGCCACTGCTACGACTGCTGTTCCCCCGTTACCAACAAGCGATAACAGCGATGGATCCCCCGCTCCCCGCCACCATCAAGTCATCACCAGCAACAAGAACAAGACGCGTGCAACAACCACGCATCGCCGACACCTCGGCAGCAGCACCGCCGGGCACTCAAGCCACGCTCAAGCACGAGGACCCCACCAGACCAGGCCCCAAGCCCAGCCTTTGCCGCCGTCGTCGCCGCCCTCTGCCGACCGCGAGCTGGTCGCCCTCGGCGCGGCCAACGTCCTGGGCGGCTTCTTCTCGACGCTGCCCGCGTTCGGCGGCTTCGGGCGCTCCAAGCTCAACCTGCAGGCCGGCTCGCAGACGCCCATGTCGGGCGTGTTCCTCGCGCTCATCACTTTCCTGGCCATCCTCTTCGTCACGCCCCTGCTGTACTTTGTCCCGCGGGCCACCCTGGCCGCCATGTCGTGCGCAGTGGGCATCGCCATGGTCGAGGAGTGCGCGCACGACGCCGTCTTCTTCGTCCGGGCCAGGGCGTGGAGGGAGGTCGCGCTGATGGGCAGCGTGGCCGGGGTCATCTTTGTCCGGGGCATGGATGTCGGTGTCGTGGTGGGGCTGGGTGTTGCGGTCGTGATGCTGGTCAAGGGCGCGAGTGGTGTGAGTGCTGATGTCGTCGTGCCTGAGGCGTGGGTCACAACGAGCAGCAGCAGCGGCAGCCATCACAAAGTTGGCTTCCACATGGACCACCAGGTCGTGCTCAACGTCCGGGGCACTCTGAGCTTTGTCAACGCGGCTGCCCTGGTTGCACGGATTGACGAGGCTGCTGGCGGAGCGGGTGCCAGCGGCCCGGCCATCCTTGTTCTTGACATGCTGGGAGTCACTCGCGCCGATGCTTGTTGTGGACAGCTTCTCGTCGAGGCACTGCAGCGTCATGCTGGGGGCGGGCTTGCGGTGGTGGTTGTCTGCAGCCCCGAGGCGGAAAATGTGTTGCGGACCATGAAGAGATGCGGGCTGTTGGAAATCGGCCAAGGGGTCAGGTTAGCCAGTGATCACGACGAGGCGATGGAGATGGTGTCTGAGATGGTGTTGCGGGGGAGGCCCCAGTCATTATTAGCATGAGAATCGCGAGAAGACGATTGGTCCTTCGACATTATAGACGAGCATCGCGCAGCTTGGGATTTCTCTGTTTCTATCAGCAAGCGAGCGATATACCCTTACTTCATTCCGAATAAGAACATTGATTAGTTCAAGTGGATAAGACTTTGGAGGTACGAGAAAGGTGGAGCAGTTCTTGACAGTAATTCTATGATTCACGTTGAAGGCTGGTCTTGTTCGCTTAGTTGCTCCTCTCGTTGAGTCGAGAGCTGGTAGTGTGGCCACAGAAATGTTGTTCTCATAACATATGATGGATCAAGCACAGTTTCGAACTGTTTCAGTGTCGGTCTGGAGCCGTACATGGTAACAAGCCAGCTTGTCAAATTAACTAGTGCAGATCTTGTGTAGTCGTGTCGCATGATTTGAGGCACAACTAAACTGGTTTGTGTGCCTGTCGTTTCTCTTTCATTAGATATCTTCACATGTACGAATTCGCCCAAAGGAGAGATGAGGCTGCCCAAAGGTGGTCATGAGTGCCCACATAATCATGATAGCAGTTTTTGTTCATAAATGAGTAGTAGCCTTTATTGTTTGTCATGTACTATGTAAAGCTACTTGCCCAAGCTTCCTCTTCTCACCAGACCCGCCAACACGCAACGACACCGCAACGACATTAGGTGATGAAACGGAAGCCGGTGCTGACAGCCCTCTTCTCGTCCTCGGTGAGCACCCGCCCCTCGGCCTCGAAGCCGACCACGTCCAGGTTCCTCTGGTCCAGCTCGTCAAACTGCCGGTTCTTCCTCTTGAGCGCGTACCTCAGGAACAGGATGCACCCCAGGCCCAGGCACTGGAAGGCGAGGATGCCGCCCCAGCTCTCCCTGTAGTCGGGCTCGAACTGGTCGAGCCAGAGGTAGTTGCCGACCAGGGAGGCCGTGTTGGCGAGGGTGTTGGCGACGCCGATGGCGGCGGCGCGCTTGATCCGGGGCTGAACAATGGTGGACGAGAGCCAGGTGTACGTCGTCGAGTAGATGCCAAATGTGCCCGCGCAGATGATGAAGGTGAGGCCGTACTTGGGCCACTGCGCGCTGCCGGGCAGCGCGATGGTGCAGACCACGCCGGCGATGGCGGTCACCGAGGAGATGATGGCGTGCGGGGAGTGCTTCTGTCTCCGATCGGCGTCGTAGGCAAACGAGACGGCCCAGAAGAAGGCGAAGAGGTACGGCGGGGCCGTGAGCAGGAGCACGGTGGTCGAGTTCTTGAAGCCGAGCTGCTGGATGACGGTGGGGAAAAAGTGAGAGAAGGAGATGGAGATGGTGGTGGCCATCTGCAGGCAGGCAAAGATCCACACGCGGTAGTCCTTGACCGCCCAGTACAGGCCTTGCCAGATGGTGACCTGGTCTTCTGAGGTGACGTCCTCGCTGCCGGCGTCGGCGGCAAGTCGGCCCTGGGCCACAATCTTCTCCGTCTCGGACAGCCACGAGGTCGTGCCGGGGTAGTCGGGCAGGACGAAGAAGCAGATGACACCGAGGCACACGGTTGCGAGACCCTCGATGATGAACAGCCACCGCCAGGCGGCGAGACCGCCGACGCCGTTCATGCCCGACAGGATGCCCGCCGAGATAAGGCCGGCAAAGCAGTTGGAGAGGAGGAGGCCGCTGACGAGGAGGGCCATGCGCAGACCAAGCTCGGACTTCTTGTACCAGCAGGAGAGGAAGTAGATGGCACCGGGGAAGAAGGGTGCTTCGACGAGGCCGAGGACGAAGCGGACGGCGAGGAGGCTGCCTGCGTTGGTCGTGGCACCGGTGCACCCGCTGACAATGGCCCAGATGACAATGACGGACGACTGGTGGAGATGATCAGCGAGAGCCTCGTCGATAGGGAACAGGATCACTGCTATGGAGAGAGACATACCAGGAAGATGTGAGGCTGGAACTTGCTCATCATAATTGTCGACGGGACCTGCATGATAATGTAACCAGCCGAGAAGATAGAGATGGCCGTCTGGTATGTTGCTCCCTGCACGTTGAGGTCCTGCTGCAGGTTGTACAGTCGGGCCTGCGTGATCGAGTTGCGGTCCAGATAGTTGAAGAGGTAGATGAGGACCACGAGCGGCATGAGCCGCATGTCGATCTTGCGCAGCAGCTGGGCCTCGGTCGCTCTAGCCACCTCTGGAGACAGCGAGCGGTATTCATCGAGGAACGTGACCGCCTGCTTGGCAGCCGAGGAGTCCCTCCGGTCGTCCTCGATGTGGACGCCGTGTACCTTGTCGTCCTCGATGCGATCAGCATCACAGGTTTGGTGAATGGCCGCCATTGTGCAACTGTGCCGGTCGAAAATATGAAGGAAGAGCGCTAGGCAGGCCAAGCCAGGTGGTGGTATGGAAGGCGAAGCTTGGTTCGAGCTTGGCTTCCTTGGCCAGTCTTGGAGTGCTCTTGGCAGGGGAGCCAGCAGCATCTTAATAGTCGACCGCCTCGCCGTCTATCCTTCCCCCCCCGATGTCGGGGCGTTTCCCCAGATACTCCGCGGCCTGGGGTAGGCGCCTCCCCGCAGCCTGGGCCAATGCTGGGGTGGGTGGCTCGGAACGGGGCCGATGCCGACAGCTTGCACGCGGATGGAGGCCGACCCGTTAGTCGTAGTACAATAGCTTGGGGCTGGCCGTCAAACTCGAACGATATTTGGCCTAGGCCCCCTTGCTAATGAGGAGCGTCGTTGAGCCTGAGCCCAAGTGGTACGAGTCAGACACCGCTAGCCTAGCCACGCCCAGCTTCCGAGTACGAGTCCGGTAATTAATTGTGCAAGGCCCGGCCAATGCATATGATGCTTCAATATCTCTCCCGTGTGATCTTTTGGGGGTATCCATGATGTTAGTCGGGAATCGACACGCCGACGTCCTCGCGCATAAGTGGTACGGCCTTCTCTCAGCACACTCGTAAACGCGCGAACGGGTGCAATCCTCCACTTGGCAGACTCCCGTACCAATAGGTAACCTGCTTTTTCGTCATCAGATCTGCTCCTTGTCTCTCTTTGCAATTTCGATTCACTGTTCCTCGCAAAGTGGCCCGTTCGCGAGTTTACGAGATTGCTGGGTGATGACGCTCTCAGTTATGCTCGATTCATGTATTCGCTATCATGTGCATGCAGGCTACCCCTACCGTCTACAAAGTGACCAGGTAATTGTACAAGTTATCCACTGCCCCAATCGCAGAGGCCAGCTGTGCATCCTCGGTCGCAGCACCAATATGCGGCGTGCTTACGACATTTGGCAACTCCCACAACTTGCCATATCTCTCGCGCGTCGGGGGCTCCTGCTCATGGGCATCGAGCCCGGCGCCCCAGATCTTGCCTTCCCGTAGCGCCCTCTCGAGGTCGTCCTCGTTGACGATGCCGCCCCGTGAACCGTTGAGCACGATCGCCGTGCTCTTCATGCTGCACAGCTCCTGGTATGCAATCATGTCCCGTGTCTCGGCCGTTAGCGGCACGTGCACGGTCAGCACGTCCACAATGCCCAGCATCTCGGCCACGCTGTCCACTCTGCGGTGCGGTATCTCGCTCCAGGGGCCATCCGTGCTCGCGGATGCTGGCATGTAAGGGTCATACGCGACAATCTCGGCGTCAAACCCGCGCTGCAGGATCCTCGCGACACAGCGCCCAATGTTGCCCATCCCGACCACGCCGACCGTCTTGCGGTGCAGCGTCAGCCCTGAGCACGTCTGCTTGTGCACGGCCTCGCCGCCCGCGACCTGCCGGGTGTAGATTGCCGGGATGTTTCGCGCGACGGAGAGAGCCAGGGCGACCACGACCTCGGCCACGGCCTGGGCGTTGGCGCCGGGCGTGTTGAGAATCTTGATGTTCCGCTCAGCGCAGGCTGCCTGGTCGATCTTCTCGATGCCGACGCCGTGCTTGCCGATGGCCACCAGGTTCGGGCACTTGGCGACGTCGAAGGCGGTGATGGACGAGCCACGGACGAGGATGGCGCGGGCCTTCTGCTGCCAGCCGGCAAAATCGGGGTCGGTGTGCAGGATGACCTTGGAGAAGAGCTTCCGGGCGCGGGCGATGGCCTTGGGATACCAAGGGTCGAGGACGTAGACCGTCATGGAGGAAGCTGCGGCCTCGCCCGTGCCATTTGTGCCACTATGGGCTGGTGTTGTTTCCGCGTGCTGCAATGCGGGAGCCATCATTGTCTGTGCTTTGACAAATGGAACCTGGGGAAGAGGATTATTGGGGAAGATGTGGAGGAGAGTTGGGGAAACGCAGCAGCCAAGGGGATGACGGGGAGAGATCTTGGCAAGGCTTGACTTGAGAGCGGCCTGCCTTGGCGCGCTTGGCTCACTGTCGGCGTCTTTTGCCTCAGGTGTCGTCTCCCAGCCATTGGCGTCATTCCGTCGCGGAACCATCAAGCCTCAGGCGGTCATGGGCCGGACGGCGTGGGAGTGTTGTGCTCTCGGATCGGGCCCGACCCGAGCGGCTACCCCACAGCTTCTCCACAGCCTCTCCGCACCGCACGGCCCACGGCCCCACTCATCCCCAGTCCGGGGTCAGCCGACGGCCGGCGCCCGCAACGCCACCACCCACCACTTGCACCGACGCCTCCGTCGGCATCGTGGCTGCCGGACTCGAAACCTATTTGGGCTTTATTGGTCCGGCGTACGCTGCGTAATCACTTTCCCTTCGTGGCTTCCCACGGAATCGTATCTGTGCATCATATCTCAACAGCCACGTCACCATCGCGCCATCACTTGGACAGCAGCTACACAGACGGAATTCTCCCACAATGCTCAACCACTCCCGCCTCGCGTCCCTGCTCCTCCTCCTGATTGCGTCCCCCACCGCCCACGGACTTCCAAGCGCCACCATGGCTTCCCCCGAGGCGCGAAACAACAACAACTTCCACGGCACTGGTGGTCCCGGGTCGGCCGTGTCCCTCCTCCCACCCGGATCATGGGACAGCCACGTCCACGTCTTCGACCCGGCCCGCTTCCCCTTCAAGCCGAACCGCGCCTACACGCCCCAGCCCGCGCCCCTGGCCTCCCTGATGGCGGCCTCCTACGCGCAGAACATCATGATCGTCCAGGCCTCCATCGAGGCCAGCCCCGAGGGCCTGCTCGCGCACCTCGCCGAGGCCAAGAGCCAAAGCTACCACCCAGGGCAACGGCGCGCGTTGTTACGGGGCACCATGGCCGCGGACCCGGATCCGGAGAGCCCCTGGCACCTGGAGAAGCTGGCCGACGGATACTTCCGGGAAATGCACGCCGCCGGGGTCCGGTGCATCCGGATCCACGGGTCGTACGGCGGCTCCGGGTCCGAGCTGGACTGGGTGCTGAGCCAGCTGCGCGCAGCGGTCGCCTCATACGGTGTGCGGGAGCTGGGGTGGGCGGTCGCCGCGCAGCTGCCCGTCAAGACGTGGGTGGCGCTCAAGCCGCACGTCGACAGCATCGTAGCTGATGATGAGCAGGTGACGGCGACGGCGGCAGGTTTACCATCACAGTCGGCGCAGCATGGCTGTAGCGGCGGGAAGAAGAAGGTCGTGCTCATTGCGGACCACAACGCCTCGGCTACCCCCAAGGACTTGGGCACGCCCGAGTTTGCGGCGTTTCTGGAGATGCTCGCCGCCGGGCAGCTCAACGTCAAGATTGGCGCGCTGCATCGCAGAGCTGCAGGCGGAGACCTCAGGACCATGGATAACGTGGTCAAGGAGCTTGCCCGCGCGGCACCGGAGGGGATCGTGTGGGGCAGCGACTGGCCGCACGTCAATGCCAGCCGGGCCGGGTTGGAGCCCGGCCCGCCCCTGGAAGGTGTCGACACGGCAGCGGAGCTGGGGCTTCTGCGCGAGTGGCTGACGGAGAAGCAGTGGCTGGGGATGAACGTTCGCAACCCGGCGAGACTTTTTGCTTGGTGATTGGGTGGGCGAGTCTGCTAATAGATCGACAAGACTGGCAAAGAGCTGGAGGGGGCCCTGTATAGATGTGATTGGAGATGGGGTATTACAGTACAAACCTAACCCTACCTAGAAGTAGAAATAGTGGCCACAGCCGTTGAACGCCAAAAGGTCTAGACCGAGACTACAAAGACCATCACCAGCTGGCTACCTCTTTGAGCCGGGTCGCAACCAATATGCAAAACCAAAAGCAACAGACCATAATCTACACAGCCGCTGGGCCATCAGTGCGATCCACCCCCCCTCCCCACCACCCCTGCCCGGCACGACCCGAGATCATCTCAAAGTTCTCCGCAAGCCTCCATGAGCTCATGCAGCTCCCCCGCCCTCGCACTGCCGACATTGCGGAAGTATCCGAGCTCCGTGAAGCGCGTGTCATGCCACACTCGCGTGTCGAGCAAGCACGCCGCGAGCCAGGCCAGACCGACGGCATGCCTGTGCAGTCCGCGGAGCTGCTCCTGATGCTTCTGGTGCGGCTGCGGATCATGGTCCTGCTGCTGCTGCTGCTGCTGCTGCCCGCCGCCACTCCAGGGAGCATGCACTGGCAGAGAGATTCCATTTAGATCTGCAGTGGGGTGACAGGTGTAGTCGCGGAGGTCCGCACGGATGAGCGACATCGCGCTGCCCGTGGTGTCTTGGGCGACGGCATGTGGCGACGGAGGAGTGTCGATGCTGTCCCACAGCTTGCGCCAGCGAGAGATTGCCAGGCGCAGTGATGGCGCGACCTGGGGCAGCATCGAGCTGTGGCGGGCGGTGAGAATGATGGCGTGTATGCCTAGGTGTAGAGGACACATCAGTTCAGGGTGCGAGACAAGATGCCAATGACGAAGATAGAGAGACTCACCGATAATGGTAAGAATGAGGTCGGTCCTATTCACGGTCGCCCAGACGCTCCCGGCAACAAGCCGCCACAGCCTGTCCTCGCTCGTGAGCATCTCCACGAGCTGCGCGATCGAGCCCGGCACCCGGCTGTGCAAGGTCCCCGAGCGAGTCAGCACCGCCCGCCTCTCTGCGTGCTGCGCGGCCGCGGCCGCGAGTAGACCGCGGAACTCGCCCTCGCTCTGCGCCTGCCAGAGCTCGAGAGGAGACGGGAGGGCCGCCCGCAGCTCCGCGACGCCGGTCGGGGGCTGCGCGTTGTGGCACCCTGACTGCAGCCAGTCGTTCATCGCGCCCCAGTTGGCGATTCTGCCCCAGGCGTGTCGTTAGTCAAATATGCTCAAGGTTGCCGTGTGACCTGCAACATCACCATCCAGAACCCCCGTAGAGATATTGAGAAGGGCAGAAAGCAGGCTGTCCCCACAGAGAGAGCTGGAGAGTGGTGTAGACGTACCTAATACAGGTCTCTTCGTACACAAACGTGTGCCAATCCGTGAGCTCACCACCGTCTGTGCTGCTGAACAGCGGGCGGCTCCGCCTCGCCCGGTCGAGGCCGCAGGCTCGAAGCGCAGAGCTGATCTGCTGCAGCCTCTGCACCGGTATGCCAGAGCGCAGGTACCGCGCCCCCTCCTCCGACGCATCGCTCACTTTCGACAGAGCACCGTTGGCCGTGAGCGCGGCGGCGACCACGTCCAGGACCGTCTTGGGTATCCGCCGGTTCTGCTGCTGCCGCGATGTCACTCCGTCGTCATCATCCTGCTGCTGGCAGATGAACTCCTGCATGACGGCCTGTAGCCGGGCAAAGATCCACTCGTTACTCAGCTTGATGAGCTTCCGCGCCGCGAGAACATAGTCGTGCGGCGCGCAGTGGAGCGAGGCGCTGATCATGATCGCAAGCACGAGCTCTGCACATGCCGGGCTGCTGGATCCGGCGTCGTTCTCGAGGCCGGCGTAGAAGGACGGCTCGTGGGTGACGGGGGGGAAGTCGGGAATCGCGTCGCGGAAGTAAGTGGCGATCAGGATGCGCGCATGTGTGCCTTGGAGGAGCATGTCCGTTGTCCCCTCGTCGATGGGCCCGAAGTCGTCATGGCTGGTGCTCAGGGTGCTTGGGGATGGAGCCACGCTGATGGGAGCCGATGAACATTGGTCGAGTGTGTCGCGCAGTCCCTGCTTGATATTGGCGAGGATGTGGTCCAGGGCCGAGCTGCTCCTCTCGAGGTCGAATATCGGGAGGTCCATGGCGAAAGTCTCTTCCGTGCCAAAGTAGTCGTCATTTGGAGAGAAGAAGTCTGAGATGAAATCCATGTAATTCAACGACGCATTCGTCGATGAGGTTGGGGTGAAGGCGGGCCCAGGCATGGCTGGCTGCTCCTCGCGGAAGACGGCCATGAGAGTGTCGTTGCAGGGCTGCATCATGTTGAGCAGGAAGGTGACGGATGCCCGGCTCTCCTTCTCCGCAACTCCTCGGTCCCCAGCCACAACGGCACTGGGGGCCACTCTGAACATGTCCTGCGATGGGTGTCTGTCGTAGGTGCATGGAACCTGCCGGTCATGGCACCGCTTGCATGGTTGGTCTAGGCTGCAGGCCAGTTTGTTTATGAAGCACGAGGTGCAGGCGCGCGGCTTCTGGCCCCGTCTGGAGGCTGGAATCGGGAAGGTCTCGTCCTCGCTCGGCCGGCTGGGGCAGGCTGAGGCATGTTTCCGGCAGACGTCGCTAATGACGATAGAGGTGAGTGGATGTTTGTGCGGCCGATGATGGGGGAGCAGAGCACATACCGTCGGGAAAAGGTTTTGCCGCAGTATGGACAGGCAAAATGGTTCGAAGTTTGGTCTCGGCCACAGTCAGTCTGGCATGAGCAAGATCGCAGGGGGATAGAGACAGACGGGGGGGACTTACGAGTAGCCTCGTGCCGCCGCAGGTGTGTGCTCCGCTGGTAAGACTTGCCGCAGATGGAGCACGTGAGAGGAGCCATTTCGCGACGACAATGAACCAGAGCCTTGACCGGGGCCAATCACGGTCGAAAAAGGTCAGGGAGCTTGCTTGTTGTCGACATGAGCTGCGGTGCGTGGGCGGCGCGGATGTTGAATCTGTGAAGAGGTGAGAGACAGGTGGGTTCAGTAGCCGCAGGTGGGTTTTGTCCGAACAGGTGGGTGCTCAGGGTTTCGAAGCAGGATGAGCTCCGATTGGACAACCATGGCAAATCCGTAGTCCACCCGTCGATTCTTAGTCACTCTGGACGTGTCGTCGCTTGTCAGATATCACGTCCTTGGCAGGATACTCATGTGGCTTTCATATTATTGATCCTGGGATTTTTCTATTTTCTTCTTCAACTCGATCCCCATCTTGGCACTTTCAACACTTCCGCTTGAAACAGTCCAAGATGCTGAGGTACAACGCTCTAGGTATGTCTGCTTTCCACGCAGCGTTCCAAACATTCTTTCGGTGTATATCTTGTTAGCTGACAAGCCCTCTCCAGTTTTTGTTGTTCGTCCAACAATATGCTGCCTCACTCTTGGCGCAACACGTCCGTGTGCTTCCCACCGAATCTCTACCCACTCAAGACCCTTCAGTCAGACAGCAAGTTTGCGAAAGCCACAACCTGACGCAAAACCATCATCGCATGCCCTTTCGAGACGTCGAGAAATCCCACTGGACCTGCAGAACAACTCTTCTGCAGAATATGTGCTGTAAGCACGACATCCCTAAACCACCACCACGGCACCTCATCCGCGCCGGCTAACAACTTTTGCGACTGCCAACCAAAACCAGCACGACCCTAGACAAACTCGCCGGCTGGGCTCGCAGCGGCTCCCTCTGGCCCTTGACCTTCGCCCTCGCCTGCTGCGGCATCGAGATGATGCACGTCTCCATGCCGCGCTACGACAATGACCGGCTGGGCATCATCTTCCGCGCCTCGCCGCGCCAGGCAGACGTCATGATCGTCGCCGGGACCGTGACCAACAAGATGGCCCCTGCGCTGCGGCAGCTGTACGACCAGATGCCCGACCCCAAGTGGGTCATCTCCATGGGCAGCTGTGCCAACGGCGGGGGTTACTATCACTATTCGTACAGCGTGGTCAGGGGTGTGGATCGCGTGGTTCCCGTGGATGTATATGTTCCGGGATGTCCGCCGACAGCAGAGGCGCTCTTGCAGGGGATACATGTGCTGCAACGAAAGGTTCGAGGGGAAAGGAAGGCGAGGATGTGGTACCGCAAGTAGTTTGAGGTTACTCGAGGTGCATCTATGCAACCTGTGTATCATGCTAAGAGCTGTTCATGGGGGCCAAAACCCTAGCGGCTGGCATCAACCCTTGATTCGGAGGCTGTTACGTTGTGGCTATCGCGCAGGTCAACCAACATGCTGCCGCAAGTCAAGGACAGGACGGCCATATGCAGACCTGGTGGGATGCAGGTCTGACGAGGGCCGGCGCTAAGGCAACTGCTCTGTATGGAGCCACAGCCATTCCCCAAGCGCTCGGCGCTTAGCAATTCTGTCGTTCCCTCTCAGCCGCATCGTCCAGGCGGCCTCCATAGGTGCTTTTCATAATCCAGTCCCTAACCCGGTTTGGCTACATGGGGTGCAGAAGCTAGACATTCAATCTTGACTTTTCGAAGAGCGGCCCTCAGAGATCTGACTCGAGACTGCGGATTGTTATGGCCGAATGCACTTATGTTGTCGACCCCGACGGAGACGTCATCCTGACCCTTTACAACCCCGATGCGCCATTTGCGGCCTTGCCCCAAGACGAGCGACGTCGTTCTGATATTCTGCCGCTTGCGGACCTTCAAACTCCGCAACCAACGACGACCTCGAAGCAACCGACGGTGGCAAGTACCGGAGGAGAGCCGAAGGAAATAAAACAAGAAAGCCCGGCAAGTCCGTGTGTCCGAGTCACGACTGTGTGGGAGGATTTCACTGTCCACTCTGACATTGGCAGCAGTTACAGCGTCCCAGAATGCGGAGCTCACCACTGTTGGGCGGGCGGACCATTGCCAAAATGCAAACGCATCCGTTGGCAATGCGACCTCCAAGTCAGAGAGCAGCCCATCGAGCATCACTCAGCCACCTACCAACTCTGAACCCGGAATGGAACATGCTCTCTCGGCATTGGTGCTTAGCGACGATCCCAGCAAAGAAGCACCGGCGGCTGCATCATACCAGGACTTCGTCTCCAAGCGGAAAGTCACCATACGGCTCTCTGCAGCGCACCTCATGCTCGCATCTCCGGTTTTCCGGGAGTGGATCGAAGAGGATCACCGCGAAAACCCAAACCAACTATGCCTCGAGTCGTTCTTGGCGGCAATAGGTTGGGACGTCGAAGCGTTCCTTATCGTCATGCACATTATCCACGGTCGTACGCGAGGCGTTCCTCGCTCTGTGAACATTGAGCTGCTTGCCAAGATTGCGCTTATTGTTGACCACTACCAATGTCACGAGGCAGTCGACCTCGTGGTTTCCTTGTGGTTCACGCAGTTAAGATGCAGACTTCCCATAAACAATGGTCGTGATCGGGTACTATGGCTCTTAGTCGCATGGGTGTTTCACCAAGAAGCCCTCTTTGAGGCAATCGCGACGATGGCTGTCAACGATATAACTAAACCCTTCTCTGCTTTGGGTCTTGAGGTTCTAGAGCCAATCGCAGGTGAGTGGGAGAACATTTTCCATGCAAGATTGACTGCTAATTAGATACCAGAGATGATTAATATCAAAAGGCAACATTGGGTTCTTTCGATTGTTCTTGACCTCCTGAAGCTCCAACAAGGCCTTCGCGATGGTCAAATCGGGTGCTCATTCGAGTGCTCATCAATGCTCCTTGGCGCGCTTACGATAGAATCGACCAGACTCAAGCTCCTTGTCACGAACACCGATTTCTTGCTAAACAATCAAAGTGTCGATTCGATAGTGACCAACGTGCAGGGGATACGATCACCTCAATGGCAACGCCTTGGCGGCTTCGCGTCACCGGGACCTCGCAGCAGGTGTCTGTGTGACCTTCATTCAATTATCCAACTCATGGTCGCGAAACTGCCAAACCGTACAGCGAAGTTGGGAGATCTCAGTGACAGCGGGAGGTCAAATCAATCTGACGACTGGGCACCGTCGTCAGTCATCACACTGGACTTCTACATCGGTGAACCAGATCTACCGGCACGTCCTGTGGTGTACGACGATCCAGAAGTTAGCAAGATCCCTTCGACCATCGAAGCCTCTGGATTCTATGATGACAATGCACATGACAGAATCGACCGGTTATTGTCTATCAATGCACAACCCAAGTTCAAGGATCACTCTCCCGAGGAGCTGCGCTTGGGCGACTACGCCAGGCATTCCCAGCTTTACTTCAACCTCCTTCGGAAATCCTGATCTTTCAGCATTTCTGCCCATGCAGGACTTGGATCTGTAGTTCTGCAGGGCGTAGATCGTTAGTGGTGGTGTGCACCTCGTGGCCCCTTTTCCTTTTTCTTTTGTTTGCGCAAAGCTGTCGGTGTGCTCGTTTGTTCTCTCGTTTCTAAAACCATTGACTGAAGTCAGGGCACTTTTGCTTTCGGCGCGCCGCTCGTTTTATTAGACTGTAGTAGAAACTGGACCTCTGAAATACACACCAAAAGTAATTATCTTGCACCGTACTAGCGTTCGCTTCCTTGGTGTATGTTCCGGGGTGTCCGCCGAAGGCAGAGGCGCTCCTGCAGGGGGTCCATGTGCTGCAACGACAGGTTCGAGGGGAAAGGAAGGCCAGGATGTGGTATCGCAAGTAGTGGGAGGTATGGAGCCATCTTAGATGGGGTTTCGCATAGGAGAATGTGAGCAAGAAGCAATGTACTGGTTAGGCTGGTGCATCATTTTTGAAATCATTGCGGATAGTCGTCGAAGCAATGACACGTTTGTCCCTCATACTTGGAAAATATGATAGGAGCTGGATACTCAGCTCACACAGCAACCCTATTCAATGAGGACCAATACCCCTCGCTGTCACGTGTGCCCGACTTGCAGCTATGTTGGTTGTTTGCAGGGTTGGCTGCCATCTTGTCGCTCACAATGTCCAATCACTCCCGGCGGTTGGTTGATAGCAGCCTGGGCGCTGAGTACACTCCATCCCCCTCGCAGTTGGGCCTCACATGCACCTGCCCAACGTTCTTTCCACTTCTGCTTCATCAAACCGACTATATCAAATGCAAAATAACTCTTCAGGCAATGACTAGCAGCCAGTGATCGACGGCACAACGAGAAAGAGACCACGAACTGTATCATGGCAGACCATACTTACGAGATCGACCCCGATGGAGACGTCGTTCTGACTCTACGAAACCCGAATGCGCCATTTGCTGTCTGGTCAGAAGAGGGAGACGACAGCCGTTTCCCTCCACAGGCGGCAGAAGAGAGATCAAGGAAGAAAGGGAAGAAGGGAAGAATGAAAAAAGGCAAGTGCACCCAGAGAATGCAACACTTTACCCATGCAAAAGCTGATATCTGCATTAGATGCACTGCTCCAACTTCAAGCAGCCGCCGAGTCCAGGATGTACACGATTATCAGACCAGAAAATGAATCACCTGCCAATCTCGAAATACCTAGCCCAGTAGAACCGGAAGTGGAACGCGCGCTTGATGCACCACTGCCGAATATTGAGCACAGTGGAGATTCTCCAGTGCCAGAGCCACCAGCCGAAGCCACCCCTGAGCCAAAAGTTCATATTCGGCTTTCTTCAAGACATTTGATCCTTGCGTCTCCAGTATTCAAGAAGATGCTCCAAGGGGGCTGGCAAGAAAGTGTGCCGGACGTGCGTCGTGAATATATATTAGGCGCAACAGATTGGGACATCGAAGCTCTCGTCGTTCTCATGCACGTCATCCACGGTCGAACTAGAGCCGTCCCTCGCCATGTAAGCCTGGAAATGCTTGCCAAGATTGCTGTCCTGGTGGACTACTACGAGTGTCACGAGGCAGTCGATATAGTGGCTTCCCTGTGGACGGAACCGTTAAAGGGGAGCATTCCTACGACTCATTGCAGGGATCTTATCCTCTGGCTCCTCGTCGCGTGGGTATTTCAGCTACTTGAGCCTTTCAACACCATCACGACAACGCTCATCATGACCATGACTGGCCCAGTTTCTGCCCTGGGTCTTCCTATTCCGGAAGCGATCACTGGTAGGTGACCGAAGACGTTAATTAGGGATTGTTGCTAACCAGAGTCCAGCGGAGCTTGACAAGAATAGAAGCACTCGACTCCGTGCCACGCTCTATAATATGCAGCAGCTTCTCCATGACCTTCGTGGAGGTCAGGTAGGATGCTCATTCGAATGCTCTTCGGTCCTTCTAGGGTCGTTGACGATAGAGCTTGCAAGACTTCAACTGCTCGACAGAGAGCTTGACGTACCATTCCAAGATCTGAGTGTTGAGTCGACGTTGACAGCCCTGCAGGAGATACGGTCACCTGAATGGCGGAAGACGGGGGACTACAATCCACATCATGACAGCCAACCTGAGTGCACACTTGGTTCAGTTGTTCAATCCAGGCTTGATAGCCCGACTAAAACTAGGAAAAGCGGTCTGAAGTTGGTTGACTTTAGAAACGGCCGTGATGTAAGACGTCTGCTCCAGCATTGGGCAACCTGGGCAGCGGTTTCGCAGCTCTTGAGCTCCACCCGGGGGACCTCGGAAGTCGGAGGCAGTTTCTCGTGGTCTGCGGCTCAGTAGGCAGCGTAGCGTATCTCACGCTGGGGATTGCAGTATCACGAGACTTTCAGAGTCATCACTTTGCATGGAATTTCTGCGCAGATCAGATTTGGACGTTCTCCTGAGGGACCCTTCAATATCGGTAATCTCCTAACTATGGACGGTATTTGCGTTCGACGCAGCCAGGAAAGGGGGACGAAATATGACATCCAGTAGCACGACTCGCAAAGATCGTTCTGGAACGGCAAGCAATTTCGGGTTGAATCGCAGTGCGCGATTGTCACAACGATTTGATGTGGCTCTTACTTCACAGCAGTCTGTCATGTCTTGTATCCCTGTTGCTTTGACTGAATTGTGGTGTGCGTCAGCTCCACACGGCGCGCTCCTTTCGTGCCATTAAGTGTCATGAAACTGGAGCTCTGAATTTAGCATCAACTTTATATTGCCCTATGCTTGCCAATACCCTCAAATCCTTATCTCAGCATGCGACCATGTAACACCAAAACCCTCCAAAACCCGTGGGCTGTCGTGTCTGGCACAACTCTGCCCTCTCCTAGTCATGATTTTATTTCCACAGACCAGGAACACTGCCACCTCTTCTCCCGCAACAAGCACAATGACAACCCCATTTCACGCAGCATCTCTCCCATGAGCTCATGCCCCTCCGAAGGCTCTGCCCACCTTCCAGACTTCCGTACTCTGTCGATCATACTCGACTGGCCCCTTGGCGTCCCGAGCAAGGCCATGAGCGTTCAAGCCTTGCGCAAGGACCCAGCGCGCACAGTTCCGCATCAAGCTGGTCCAACACAATGGCGTGGTCACCGAGCTGACACACGTCGCCGGCTTAGCGCGCGCCACTTTCAAAGTGATCAGCACCAAGCCGGCCAAGTTCTTGAGCAGCGCGGCAGGCACTGGCACGCCGCACTAACGATGAGCAGTGTAGAAAGGTCAACTCGTCAAGAATGGATGAATGTTGGGAACCAACGAAGCTTAGTGGAAGGGCGTGTGCCAGTGCATAATGGTCAATGAACCCGCAAGGGATACGTCATTTGCATTTTTCTAGCAAGAATATATACGCAAGAATCTAACCGCGCAGCAGGATCTGACAGCCTGACAAGCATCCACAGCTACGTCACTCATCAAGTCGTAACACCCTCTCCGGATCATCCCTCCACTGAATCTGTGCCCACTCCTGGACCAATTGTCATCAAGTAACCTCATCAGAGGATCGTCTCAGCTGAAACCATGCCCAACCTAGTTGGCGCCAGTCCAGACAGCCGGGCCGGGGTAAGGGTAGCTGTTGAAAGAGCCGTACAGGCTGAAGAGAATACCGGGGTCGTTGCGCTTGTACAGGCTGGTGCCGGGGGTGCCGCCAGGGAGGGAGACGGAGCCGGAGCCGCCGACGACGATGTTGACGCACTGGGGGTAGGCCTGGGCGCCGTTGTCGCTGCCGGCGGCGTGGAGGGCGATGATCTCGTGGCGGAGCACGTAGTTGCCGGCCTTGAGCTTGGCGGGGATCTTGACGGTGCTGCTGAAGTTGCTGGCGATCAGGGTGTCGGTGGCCCAGTTGCCGGGGTTGCTGCCGGAGATGTAGCCGGTCTGGGAGATCTTGGTCCAGCTAAGGGAACCTGGAGTGGCAGAAGCGAAGCCTGTAGATGTGCATCGTCATTAGCAATGCTCCTGTGGCGGGTTCATCGAAGAAAGACGTCCGTGGGGATTGGGATATCCCCCGGTCTGTACTTACTAGAGACAGGGGCCAGGTAGTTGTTGATGGGGCCCTTGTGCGAGTCGGGCCAAGTGTTCCAGTAGACAGTGACGGTGTCGCCGGCGTTGGCGCTGACGAACTTGGTGTTGGTCTTGGCCGACTTGTGGCAGTTGATGTCCGCGGATCCGAAGGAGGCAGGCTCGACGAAACCATTGTCCTGGTTCAGCGCCTTCCAGCCAGCCGTAGCTGGTGAAGTCGAGACATAGAACCAGTTAGGATTTTGAGCCTCCGTCCAAACGCCGTTAACCTTGGTTCCAGTGACGTAGCCGTGGCCCTCGACCAGGCTGACAAGGCTGGCGGCCGCGGCGGCCAGAGTGAGAGAGCAACGCATGATGACTAAGGCTTGTCCGAAAGCGGTAAGATAGGCTAAAGATAGCTTGAATTGAGGCTCTTTGTTGTGCGGATGAGGGACGGGAGGGACAAGAGAGAATTTGAGAAGGTTACGGGTCGAGTAATATATCTGGCGGATGGGTTAGTGGGAGTGGTGGCGTCGAGCACGCAACCCACGGCAACGGGTATGCCACCAAGCACGGGGTTTCAATTCACCAGAGCCAAGCAAGACGTGATTCTACTGTCTAGACGAAACTGACCACAGAGGATGCCCGGCAATGAGTCGTGTGTGGTCACGCGTCGGCCTCGTGGGAGCTGCAGGGCCGGCGGCACCGCGGTGGGACAGCACTGGTGTGGGGGAGGACAGCGGCGAGGCGACGTGCTCAAGACGAACACAATATGGAGCAGCCAATCACGACACATCGAGTAGATGAAGAGCCGCCGTGACGGGCCGGCTTTGCGCGGGTGCGGCCTCCGTGCTGCCCCTTTCGGCAGTCGCGGCGGCACGGCTCCGCTTCTTGGCCCCGGCAACCACCGCCGGACAGGGGTCTGCTGGCCCCTAGAGTCTAGCCACTGCTCGTTTATCGTTTCTCGTTCCTTAGGCAGACGAGCCGCATCGTCTTGGCATTATTGTTTCTTGCGTTAGCGGCTGCGTGAGGCGTTTCATCCGAACTTGGTATTGTAGGTGTCGATCGAGCGATGGCGGAGTTGTTTCCGCCTCTGTTCAGTCCGCATGTTCAGTGCCAGCTGAGCGCAGGAGAGGCAGCTCGAATCCACGAAGGCATACACGATGGATAAAAACCGCAAAGCTCGTGTGTCTGTTCATTGTCTGAGGAGTAGTGGATGTTCGCACGAATTGAGCCTTCGGTCCGATCTTGACGAGATATCAAAGTCTAAAAACGTGATGCTGCTGACAGCTGATTGATGACGTGTGTGCAAGCCACGACGACGGCTTCGCTACCCATACAAGATACGCGATTCATATTCGCGAGTGCAACCATGCCGCCAGTACATGCGTGTCAATATATTTTCACACGCCGCAGGGACGCGCGGCAGCAACCGCTGTCCTCGTGTCACACCGCAGCTGTCAGAGAGAAAAAAACGTGCCAGCGTGGCAGTGGGAGGCTGATGACCCAGCCGCACAGAATGTTGGTGACGGCAATGTCGGCCCTGCGCATCACTTGGCGCTATTGGCAAAGATCGGCGATAAGGTCGTATATATGAAGCCGAGAACCTGGCATGCTTGGCTCGGCTGTGTCTGCACGAGCCGTTTCCTGTCCTGGCACTTGGCACTTGTGTTCGAAATGCATTGCACCTGTCAGTTTGCGTTGTGGCCCATGCTCCGCGGCTCGTGGAAGCCTGTGAGCCGGCTTGGAGTTACAAAGCGGCCTTGGCCTCACAACTATCTTGAAGTCAACACAAAGCTCGGGTTGACACGGTTCCTGGCCAAAAGTCCGCGCCAACATATTACCGCGGCATTTCTCGTGGCAATTGCGCCATGGCACGAATGCATCAACTTGATAACCAAATTTCAGGAAAAGTGCTTTAGTGTTTTTATTCGAGGTATTGTATTGCGTTATCTATAAGGCTTTAGCGTATGACGTGTACCCGTGAGAATCTCCTCCATTGCTTCTCCTCCTCGTTGTGCAAAGCGAGTCGGCTGGCCATGGCCATCCGAAATCTCATGTAAATCTCATATGAACCACTTCTCGAGTTCGGGGAGCTTCGCGCCTCCGATGGCCGAAAGGTCGCCGTTACCATCTGTGTCCTCCAGAATGATCTCCAGGAATGCCCGCTCGTAATGTCCGAGGTGGGTCAGGAAGCCGGGTGCTTGCTTGTGTCTCATGTAGTTGAATGCTGGTGATGCAGTTGCAAGGTTGCCCTTGATGTGCCCCAGAGCAATTCCAAATGCTTTTGTGAAAGCCCACGGCAAGGTTGCATCGATGGTTGGGACATCGAAGCGATACTGTCCAATGAGGTCGGTACTCTCGCCACTGAACTCAACTGGAGCATTGTTGCGATACGCATCGAAGAAGATCATTCGATCTGTTTTGTCCATCGCATCTTTCGATGTCGTCCTGAGCTTGTTGTACCAGTTTCTGCACTGCTTCGCTCTTGAATGTTATTCTACTAACATGGCAGTCGTGGTAAAGGCTGCGATACACCGAGCGCCTGGCCATGTTCCTGACAACACCGACTCCCGACTGCAAGACTTGCACATAACGGTCGCAGTAGCGGGAGCGAGGAGCATCACTTGGGGTCTGGCATTTGAACTCGCGCAGGCACTCACAGCAGTGATGAGCGTGCGGTCCAGAACAACCGAACAGCATCCATTCTCCAGCACGGGGATGCCAGTGGCGATGTCCAAGTTGGTCTGGCGCACTCGCTCAGCCGCAGCGAGCAAGGCTTCACGCAGGTTTTCCCTGCAAATCCATGTATTGATACAAGTCTCCCAAGCTGGAAGAAGCGGCAACATTTCGCTGGAATTGGCCTTCCACTCCAGCTGCTTGCCAAGGTCCTCGACGACTGTTGATGAAGTGTAGAGCGCGACTTTTGCCTGGTCAAGCAAACGTCTGGACCCGACCAGGGAGTTCCCGCCGTAGTACTGCCGGTCACCAGACTTTGTTTGACCACGGGTTTCGACCTCTGTAGAACCCGACTTCTTGCCCAGGCTCATAACCGGGAGGCAAAACATCCTGCGTCACCATAATCGTCTAACTTCCCAGAAGCTAGTGAGCCTTCCCCCCTCTCTGGTTGTTCCTGGCGATCTCGGAAAGATCTCGCGGCCAGTGATTGAAGGGGTCACGCTGGTGACACTAGGGTCGACGATGAAGACGTCCAACTGTGCCGCGGCAATGATCGTGTTGCGAAGCTCCTCCCACAGGCGGCGAGGGCTCTCAGGATCCGAGGGGCGGCTGCCTGAAGATGCCTCAGTCTCGGGAATGATGCTCGCGTCGCCGTTGCTTTCGACCAAGGTCGGCATGGGCGTGCGAGAGCGGCGCTCAGGGACACGTGGTGTCATCTCGACGTATGTGTCGCGCGATGCCATAGGGCGGCGGCGCCAGCGCCCAATGTACTGATCTCGGTGAAGGGGTCGTCCAGCTTGTCAGTTGAGATGCTACTGGAATGCGAACGTCTGCCGCGGGATGCTGGGTTCTCATCTGATGCTTCCCCAGAGGCATCGGATGCTGCTGACGACTCTGTAAGACGAGTCTGCTGAATTACATCATCGCGCACCCGGAGAACGTTTTGGTGCATACTGTGAGGTTGCGAATTGCCGAACGATGACGAGATCGCAGTCGGTCGCTGGAGAGGAAGGCTTAGACTTTCGTCCGAGTCTGAGATTTCTTCCTTCTGAGTCCTCTGGCTGCGGAGGTCCTCACTCTTCATGCGGCGGACCGTCTGCTGGCTTGCAGGACGGAGCGAGAGTCGTGTGGGAGTGGATATGATCTCGGCGTGCAAGTTCTCCAAGGCGCAGCGGTGTCGGCACGGGAAGGATTGGCCTTCTTTGCGGGCAGCGTTGTCCTTCGTTCTTCTTCTGTCTCCCAGGATGTGTGCTCGCCTGTTTGACCAAGCCCCCTGCTGGTGTGGACAGAACAGGTGCACGTCGCCAGGCCTGCTACAGTCGTGGGAGGGCGAGCAGCACAGACACATCCCAAGCCAACATGCCTGGCAGCAATCCGTCCCTAAGGAACCGGGCAAGGTGTCCGCTGCCCCCCGCCCCGCCACAGCCACAGCTTCAAGCAAGGTCCACCTGAAAGAGCCGACAAAAGAAACCAGGTGGTGTCCAGCGTGTGAACTGGGAACCCGTCAGGGGGAGACACCCAGCTGGCAGAAGCGGGAGCTCATCCAGCTGGAGGAGTGCCAGCAACCGCGATCGAGATATGCCCGGGCTCGCACAGCCCCTGAGAGGTGGGCGACTGGGGATGGCAAGGCTCATAACCTGCATATGTGTCCCCGTGGCCGCCGGACGCTACATGGTGCGTGGCCGAAAGGGAGACAGCCGCACATGAATGTCTTGAAGTTGCCGGGCTTGGCTATGCTGCAGACCCCTCGACCACCTCGTGCTTGTCAGAGACCTCTTGCTGTCCTCCCGCCATGAGACCCCCGCTCAGCCGGGCTCATAACCGAAAACTTGCTGGCGGGTGATGGGAGCAACACGCCTCTCCTGGCCGGACGGTAGACACGTCGGGTCTGTTGCAGCTTCGACAGGAGGCGCGTTGGTCACTGACGACGTGCAGAAGGGAGCGGGAAATAGTTGGTGGCGAAGCCTCGATCACCAAGTGAAAGGTGAAAACGAGTTGAGGTGGTGAGGATGGGGTGAAGCGCGTCTGCCTGGCCCCCTGGAGGAGAAGCCTTTGTGTAGTAGCGAGGACTGTCCGAATGGTGTCGTGGAGACGAGACCCCCCCACCCCCCAAAGCCGCTCTGACATGAGCACCTTCGTGCAGTGCTAGGCAGTGCGGCTGTGGTACAACTGGCGCGCTGCAAAGCGCAGCGCCCATTCGCCCAAAGTCGAGGTTGCAGCATGTCGTGTTGGACGTGGTGTACAACGCCCGCGAGGAGTGTCAGACGGGCTTGGACCTCTTCTTTGGGGGCTCCGAGGATGACCATTGCTGAGGATACAGTCAGGTCCTCCAGAGGACGCTCTTGCACTCGTTCTATCCACGTTTCCTGGATATGGTGCAGGACTCCAACCATGTCATGATAGTCACACGTTTTGATTAGCTGCTCTATGAAGTCTTCGTTCGGCCATGGCCAGACTACGTTTGGTGACCCATGAAGGACACTAAGGACGAATGTGAGCATGCTGCCATCATAGTCCGGGAGGTCTACAACCCATTCGCCCTTCCTCTGGCTTTTTCTCAGCCCGAGGACTGAAGGGGAGCCTGTCAAAGAAGGGCGAACGTTCCGCCCTCAAAGTTGAGCTGGCATGTATGACGATTGGCGATTGTCCAGCCCGCAGGAACACACGGTCAGAGCACCTGCAGGCAATCGGGGAAAGGGGCCGCTGTCTTGGTTGAGCTGCCTTTCTCCTGGACCACTGCGCCTCCCTTGCCGCTGACATCAAAGAGGCCGCCAGCAGCTGGTCCATCGGACAATCGGGCTCGGCATCGATCCACGTCATCCCCGAGACCTTCGAGTCCGAGCGGACCACGTCGCCGGACTGTGGGTAGACCACGACATGGCTTTCCCCTTCGAAGACTCGACCCAGGACGGCATCCGCAGCCACTGGCAAGAAGCCCAAGGCATGGATCAAGGCCCGGAAGATGCTGATGCTCCCTATGCGCTGGAGACTAAGGCACACACGGCTGAGTGGCTCACCGAGGCGGAGTACCCAATGGGCAAGCTACAGGAGCTCAGGTACAACCACCAGACCTTGTCGATGGAGTGGATGCTTGTCACATCCCACGAGAAGACCAAGAGCCTCCCTCGCCTCTCAGAGTACAAGGACAATGCCTTGGCGATTACTCGAGCCAGATACTTGTTCTCTCCTTGCCATTGGTTGGGAGCTTGGAGAGACCTAGGCACGGCTCTGGGAGGTCTGCCGGGCGAGACGGATGTGGCCAGGCTCATGTTGGCGTCGGCCACGTGGCGAGCGACTCGGGCATCCAGGCTCATAACCTGAAGGATGCGGGCAGGCCCATGATTATGGGTGGCTGCATGTGCCTCACTCCGTGCTGACGGCCATGGCATCGTTGGCGTCATTGGATTCGGGAGCGATGACGGCCGTGTGCTGCGACGACCCCTGCAGCTTGGGATGCCTGCAGAGAGGGCGGAAGTTGACTGCCACAGGGGCCACACTGGCCGGAACTTCGCGGCGGAGAGAGTCGATGGACGGAGGCGTGAAGGGGTGCCGTGGGAAGTTGAGGGATGGCGACTGGAGGTGGTGGTATCCTGGGGTGGGTGTTTGTCGAGATCTTGCACGTCTTGCCTCCCTTGTGCGACGTGTTGGCGTCCGACTCCCGGGTCGGCTGGCAACGGAGCAATGGCTCACTCGGCTCGGCCTGATGCATGTGGTTGTGGATGACGCGCTGAGGCCGAGTGCCGGCAGTGTCGAGCTGGGTGAAGAGACGGCAGGACCTTGGACATGGTGAGCATTGAGGCCTGTCTGTGACCTGGCACCGTGGCCAACAAAAGAATGACCTTGCTGGTGGAGTTGGCTGATTTTCAGTGGAATGGACATGTCTGGGATCCAAGGCTGAGGGCGGCCTGGGTGACTCAAGAGTGCCCTGGGTGTGTCCGTCGCGAACGGGGCCACTGCCAGGCTGGCATGACGAGCGACGGTGTGATGTAATCCCGGGCTCATAACTTGGGGATCGATATGTGGGAGGCGTGTAGATGGTGTCTGGTATGTTTTGTAGATTTCTGGAGCACTGGACGCAGCGTCTCGCGGGCTGGTGGCGGGTTCCCAACCCTTGGCATTGGCATTGGATTGCTGCTGCTGCACGCTCCTGCACAAAGTCAGCAGGCATGAACTGATAACAGAAACACGAGATGCGGGCCTCTGACCTTGAGCGGGAGATGCAAGCATGAGGATGCTGTGGAAGCACGTCGGCGGGAGGAAGATTGAGCGGTTCCAGGCTCGACTGGCCGTGTTGCGTCTTGTTGCAGAAGTGCGCGCGACAAGCGGAGACTTGGGCTTGTGTGTGAAGCTCGATGTGAAGCTCGAGATGCTCTGGGCGGTGGTTAGCAGCCTTGAGGAGGGTGGTTTTTTGCATCGCTGTGCGGATTGTTGTTTGTGTGAACGCGGCGCGGTCAGACGGACGCGTGGGAGGACTGTGGATGGATGTGCGAGATGAAGGAAGAACTGCTCGAGATGCACATCAACAGTCAGTGTGTGTCCAATGATTGCAAAGGAAGGGAGAGGAGACGATGGTACAGACTGTAAAGAGACTGAAGGCAGAAGAGGGATGTGTGTGTGTGTGTGTGTGTGTGTGTGTGTGTGTGTAGGTTGTCTGTTATTGAGAATGCGAGGCCAATGGGTGGGTTGTGCTGTTTTGGGGGAGCCACGTCCCGCTTGTGTGCCTGAGGCTCTTGTTGTTGCCGTGTGCCTGAGGCTCCTGTTGTTACTACGTGCCTCAGGCTCTCGTTGTTGCTGCGGCGGTGCTGCTGCAGCCAGTGTCTTGATCATGGGAGTGATGCCTGCCTCGCCGAGTTGAAGACAATTAGCTGGAGATCGACGAAGACGGGTTGGGGACATACCTGAATGTTGTTGGTCTGCAGTCTACCTGCTGACATTGCCCGCCGTCACCATCATCACTCAAAATGCCCAGCGGGCCTCTGGGAACCGTTGTGATATTCCAAACACCTGCTGAGGTACTTGCTTACATCCTTCTCCCTCTACAATCGCTTCAAACCCCCCCTTGCCATGACGAAACGCCGTCTTCGTCAACCCATCAACCCCAAGAGCAATATCCTCCTTGTCTGCCCCAACTCCTGATCCTCCCTCCCGAGTTTGTGACCAAGACCTCTTGTAGCCCGTGATGTCCCCAACACCCGCAGGTGGATTCTCAACGAGCCGACCGGCAATGCCCCTTCACTGCACCATCACTTGGCCACCCTGCCGGCACGTATCTACCACAGCACCGGGCGGTGTGAAGTGGTGGTGTTGCCAGGGAATACGCTGATGGCCATGCCAACAGTGGCCCGCTGAAGTTGCCTGCTGGTCAGCCCTAGATGTTGCAAAGGGCGGCGCTGATGCGGCAGTGGCTGGGCCGTCCAAGTGGCAAGCAAGACCAGGCGCACGCATGTGCCTTGCCGGGAGCCTGGGCCTCGATCTCCACATCCAGGCCAGTCGTCCATGGCCTGGATGTGGAGATCGAGGCCCAGGCTCTCGCGCGCATCTCGCACACGTGCTCCGTGTCCGCAGCAGAAAGTGCGCGAGGACACCAGACAGAGAGAGACCTGTTGGAATGGTTGATGAGTCCACCATCACCAGCCAGGCTTGGTCCGGACAAGCCTGGTTGAGAAGACGTTGGCCGAACTCTGGCCTACACTCGACTTCCAACCTCGACCAGCAGACCAGGCCAAACATCCGCACGCTCCCAGGCTCATAACTGTGGGACGCGGGACAGACACTCTGTGAGCTGCTGTTCGACGGACTGGACTGGCTGGGCAAGGGGCTCAAGACTGGACATCCGAGAGCTGCTGCTGGATGGTCTGGGATGGTGGCTGCTGGTGCACTTGAGGAGACGCATCGTGCTGGTCCTCGTGGTCCCAGCGCGCACGGCGCAGCTCAGCAGAGGTTGATGAGCTGTGCATCTGTTGGTAATTGCGGCTGCGGTGTCTCTCCTCGGCCATCTGCATTCTCAGGGCAGAATCGCTGAGGGGGAAGTCCTCGTCGTCTGCCTGCAGGGCCCGGGACTCGCGGCCCTCCAACTTCGGGGAAGTATCGTCGTCGATCTATTCATGAGTCGAGGTCGGGTCAGCAGGATGTGCTTGCACGGCGAGATTGCGAGTGAATGATAAAGACGACGATGGATGACGGGGATGATGGAAACTTACACTGCCGGGATATGACATCCCGCGCCCTTCTGTGTCGAGCCAGAAGGCCTTCGTGGTGCTCCCACCTCCCGCAGTTCGGGCACCTATCCTGGAAGCGCTCCTTGCGGCTCCCCTCCCCTCCCCACGACGGCTCTTGAACCAGCCGAGCAGATAGATCTGGCTCTCGGCGCCAGTTCTGCGCCGGGAGGTCTTGCTTGGGAGAGAAGCTCTGGTCGCATACTCGGCCAGGACCGCTCGACTGGCTGAGGCGGTGGACGAGGCCAGACTGGCCTTTGGTGCCAGGAACCGTGACTCAGGCACCGACGCAGGAGTCATCGGGGAAGAAGCGTCCGGAGGTGGACGGTCCGACCGGGCTCATAACCCTGTGCCGTTGGCAGCAGCCCGGCTTCGACACACTCCTCCAAGTTTGCCTGGTGCTCTCTCCTGAGGAAAGGCGCACCGGCATCCTGTTGCTGGCGATGGCGTGAGGATGTGCCGCTCCATGGGAGTCGGCATGCGCGACGGGGCTTTGTGCGAGAGTCGATACGCGGCGTCGAAGGCCTGGATGAGGACCATAAGCTTTTGAGCCCATGTAGATGATTGCCGAAGGACTCAGGAGGCGCGAGGGAGCGACAGGCCGGCGAGAAGAACAGGTCAGAAGGGAAGGGAGGGGAAGCAGCGAGGACCACCGATGAAGGCACATCCTCGCCCCTTCCAGACGACCCGACTGCCTCTCTCCAGGAGAACCGGCGTCCACCAACACGCACCCACCACAACACATCCCCGAGACCGCCTCCCAGACAGGAGGAGCAACGCACGAGACCTTTGTCCACCACCAACCCAGCTCCCCAATGACCGGAACCATGTGCACCAGACTTGGCCGAGAGCCGCATCGACCAGCACCTCCTACGGAAACCCCACTCTGGCCCACAACCTAACGCAACGCCGATGCTGGCGTCCACAGGACAAGAGACAGCCATGGGACGCGGGCGTGGCAGTGCAGATGGCTGGCTTGCGAGCTGTCTGGGCTTCGCACACCGGGCTCATAACCTCGTGTGTGTGTGTGTGCGTTCATCGGTTTCGAGAGGAGCGGGGTGAAAGCTGGGCCACTCTCACGGCAACTCAGCGGCAATGTTTGGTGAGAAATTGCTCTGGTTGACTTGTCTTGCGTGGCTGTCATTATGGGTGCAGAGTGCCAGTCTCACGCCTGCAGTGTCGCGATGCTACGGAGGAGTTGCTGTGGTATGTGCGTGCCGGGGCGACACACGCCATCAGCCACCAGGCCGGTGTGGAGTTCCGCAGCTCTCCCTCTTCCCTTTGGCGCACTTTGCCAGCGCGGCCAGCCTGCGACGCGGGTAAGGCTGTCGAAAGCAAGAGGTGTGCTGGCCAGGGTCACGACCTGCAGGGATGACATCGTCGAGGAAGTTGGCCGACTGCAACCAAACTGACCGGCCGACTGCGACCTGGGGTTGTCCTGGTTGTGAGGACTGCGAGCGACGGCACACTGGCGGCTGTCTTTGTTGGTGCAACGCGCCTCGGAGGCTCCACCACAACAGACAGACACTCACAGTACCGGGCTCATAACCGGGTGGGACGCTGTGTAGATGCGTGAGTGCTGCTGCCGTGGTGAGAAGGCTGGCAGGGTGTATCGAGGATGCCATTGCCGCGGACTGATCAAGCTGTTCCGCCCCCAGCGACGATGGCTGCTCGCGATTGACTGTGACACTGGCGGCGCAGCCACGCGAAGCATGGGACGGCAGGCATTTTTACTGACTGGAACGTGTCGGCTCGCGGCTGGACTGCGATGCGTGTGCCTTACCCTCCGCGCTGGAGGCAGGGCTGATCCCGCGTGGAAGCTAGTCGGGAGCAGGCACGACAGTGGTATGGTGGAATGAATGTGCTCCATCGTCAGGTTGAAGCACAGGTCCACTGGTGATGGGGCGGTCTGGTGGCCTGGAAACTCCACTCCGGGTAGACTGTGCATCTGGGAGGGCTTGGGAGAAGGTTGATTCGAGCAAGGCAGATCTGGAACCAGGATATAAAATATTAGTCTTGTTTTCAAGTCCGAGCTGGAGAGTGTGATGCTGTAACTTCTCATGAAGGGGGAGCGATGGGCAGGACAGGGCAGGACAGGGCAGAGATGAAAGGGGAATGAGACTCACCAAGACGGCAAGTCAGACCTTACTCGTCTTGCCAGCGGGAATCCCCACATTAGATGTGAGCATCTCTTGAATCTTCGGACGCCCAATGACCAGCTCGTCATCATGGACGAACTCCCAAGTGCCTTTCGGTGAGCCATGGTTCTGATTCAGCTTCTCCACGGTGTTGGCGCACTCAATTAAAAGAGCAACAAAACGGTGGCTGGTCGTAATGGCCTTGCTCCGATGCGCTCGTGCGTCAAGGGCTCCGTACGCAGGTGCCGCGGAGAGGACCCTCTCCCCATCTGCTGAATTGGCCGCATACATTGTCAAGCCCAATGTCAATCATTGTGTTCACAAGATGAACGACATCGACCGCCTCGCGGATCTCGTCCACCAGAGCGAGGATCCTGTGGATGACGAGGCATGCGCACGCCTGCATTACGATGTCAGCACCGTTGCTCAGCAGGCAGAGAGGAAGAAGACGGAGGGAAGATGACGTGGGGAACAATAGCGTCACTTACAGCGCAGGGTATGGCCGCAGTGGTGGCAACCCGAGACTTGCTCGCCATAACCAGCACAGACACACTTCCACCTTCATTGCCGGGAAGGATCCGCCACCAGGACTCCATGGGCATGTCCCCGGGCTCATAACCACATTTGTGGGGGATGCTGAAAAGAGCTAGAATAGAGCTACGGCATCCACGGGGGTGTCGACGACGGGAGGAGGCGGGACTGGATCGTCAGCCAGGCGAAGCAGTGATCTGGGTCGGAACTAGAACGAGACAACACGGTTAGTGACCTTGTAAAAGGGTCGGGGGTGACGGAGAAACTCACCTCATCTCCCTGGGAGAGGAAGCCTCCGGGTTTGTCAGTACTGCCGGACGCCCCGGCCACCCCCGCACGATTGCCAGCGCTCTTGGGTGGGTTGGGTGCCTCCTTGTCGGTCTTGGAATAGGCGAATCTCCTTGAACGTGCGCGCGAGGCGAGTCGTGGCAGCTGAATTTGCCTGGCATGGGGCCTTTCTCGTCTCCTCTTGCCTCAAAACGGGAAAGCCCTTGCGAAGAAGGGGAATGGTGAGTGTCCCTTGCGATGTATTGCAACCCCGGAGGCCGGTATGGTGAATTCCCGAGGCGCGTCGGCACACCGACGGCCTCGTGTTCTCGACCTGCCTGTTGATAAATTTCACGTCAGCGGGGATTAACTGGCGGAAAGGGTTGGAGAATGGGAAGAACGAGAGGAGGAAGAGGAGGAAGAGGAGGAAGAGACTTGCTGTAGTGGTGCCAGCGGCCGCCATTCAACACCATAGACTATGTTGTTGTGCTCGCATCGAGTGCTCCATCGCCCTTGCCCGCCCTTTGACGAGATTGACCCCTCGTTGAGCAGACCCTTCATCGGATGAGAAGCTCTTGGGGATCAGGGAGACCTACCACCCGTTCTGCTCTTAAGGCGGACCTGGGACGGTCGCACTGCTCATGGGAGGGGGACTCCAGGCTCATAACCTCAGGAGTGCCGGGCTCGAAACCGGTAGTGAAAGTATGTGGGAGGGAAGGACAGTGCCTGGCAAGGGTTGGTGGTGTGGTTAGATTTCCTGGTCTTGAATTGGTCGGAAAGATGAGTTCAATGGTTGACTTGTGTAGGGATGTTCGGTATTTTGATGGCTTGTTGTTCCTGTCCGTGCCTCAAACTTTCACCTCTTTCTCTGTGTGTGTGGTGTGTGTGTGTGTGTGTGTGCTGTGGCACAGGGTGCTTGTGTATTCGTAAGCCCTCTTAGATCCGTGGCAAGAGTTGACTTGGTGCCATGAGTACGATGTCTTTGATGAGAGATGAAAGAAGATGAACAGATGCCACTTACCAGTCATGCCTGACGGCGGCTCTGCTCTGTCACTTTGGTTGGTCAAGCGCAGCAGTATGGGCGACGCGAGGCCCTGCTGTCATCTGGTCTGCCACGCCAGGGACGCGTGGCGGCCCGTCCTGGTGATGGTGAGATGAGTAATGAGGGGAAGTCGTGTGGAAATTGATGGAGCGCTGGCAAGCCGGCAGAGCGGGATGATTTATGGTGATGGAGGTGAAGGGAGACTTCAAGGCCATGATGGACTGTCGGTGTGATGGAGAGTCGTCCTCAAGGTGGCGGAACATGAGTGTGAAGTGCGGGGTCACAGCAAAAGGGAGAGCCGCAACACAATGTGTGTGGGATGGTGAGGCGACGATTGCGGATGCAGACAACTGGACAGCAGCATGATGAAGTAGAGAGGAGGACCGAGATGATGGAGATTGGGGAGGAGAAGCGTTGATGATGAAGGAGGATGGTGTTGATGAAGTTAAAGGGGGACTGGTTTTTGGTTGAGGCTTGGGGAGGGAGGGGCAGGCGGTAGAGGCCGATGATGATGATGATGGAGGAAAGCAAAGAGGGGTAGGAAGTAGAAGGAGGGAAGGCCTTTATTTATGATGGCAGAGGCGGAGAGGAGGACACTGGGACAGAGGCCTGGCTCCCTCGAGGGCTAGACAATGCCCTGCTGCCACAGCGCCGTGCTGCCATGGACGACCCCAATGACAGCGCCACCAAATGGCCCAGCCTTCCCCTCACCGCGACTGAATCATTCGTCCGGCCATTCCCGTCGAGGCATCACGGGGAATGATTTGATGCAGGCAGCAGGGGGCTGACCAGCCGGTAAACAATGAGTCCCTGCTCGAGAGCATTGAGGACAAGGTGTCGCACGTGATACCGCGTGATGCCACAACGATGGACCACATGATGACGACCGGACGCCAGAGTAGACGATTGATCATGATTCACGGCTTCTAGGCACTTGATGCGTCTGCAAACTGGCTCACGAGGGCTTCTCTTCGTCTTGAAATGGCGAGATCTGCACAGGCAGCATCCCCCTCTGTGACGGCACAAGGGGCTTCTTTTGTGATCACGAGATTGTCCTACCTCGAAGAATCGCAGAAACGATTGTTCCGTGTGCGTTGAGCTCCAGTGGCGTCCTAGCTCAAGCTGTCTTTGTCCCGAAATGGGGTGTGATTGATGGCAACGAGTTTGCCAGGTGTCATGATTCCCCTCACTGGCCGCTAGCTAGCACTGTTCCAAGGCCATTGCAGAGGGACTGCTGCCCTAGCACTCAAGATGGCTTCAAAGAGACGCGTCTTTGTTCTTGCGGAGCCACGACCTTGACATGTGAAACACGGACAGACATCATGACCGAAGCGGTTTCCAGTGGAAGGCGACAGGGGCACCTGCGTACACGACAATCATGGGCTGGTCCTAGATGCCCTGCCTGCTCACGAAGCTTCATTTGCCCATGGGCATGGCCATTGGCCGGGATGGGTGTCGCGGTGTTGAGCAAGAAAACATCCTGCCCCGTTGAATGGTATGGTACAATACGGGGCAGCGGCATCCGGACAGACGTCCCCGGCCTGCGAGTGTCCACAATGGCAAAAGCCCACCCACTTACAGGCAGATGCGGCACGGCAGGAAACTAGGGCGAAACAAGCCGCTGATCACGTGCTGACAGCCCGCTGCTGGTCCACCAGGGAGGAGAGCGGTCCAATTGCAGAGCTTAGAGATGAGAGGAGGGTGCAGTCTGGCAGGGGGTTGCCCAGCCCGGGTGACTCAGCCATTCTGGACTCGATTGGCTCCGGATTATTATGCGAGAAGCTGACTTTTTGGCTCGACTTTGCCATATACACAGCAAAGCACGGGGATTCGACAGGCAGACTGCAAACAATGCAGGCTTGCCCTTTGTCGAGGACCACCTTGCCATCAAGCCTGCCCCCAGCAAACATCATGTCTCCGGTTGCGTGTGCCGACAAGGAGCAGACATGGACACCAGTTCCTTCACTCGAGGCCCAAGTCCTCCAGGCCTGGCAGACGACGGGGCCCCCAATGTGACGATGACGACGCAGGACACCAACACCACCAGCACCAAGCAGGAGAGCAGCAGCCGGCGGACGGCCCCTCGCCTGCCCCCGGCCGCCGTCCAGATCCTCGAGACGTGGCTGCTCGAGCACCGCGACACGCCCTACGTGTCTGCCCTCGAGCAGGACCTGCTCAAGGCCCGCACGGGACTGCGCCGCAGCCAGATCAAGACGTGGTTCGCCAACGCCCGCAAGCGGCGGCGCATCGAGAGCCTCGTGCGGCCGGGCATGGGCTCGGCGACGACCAGCGACCAGCAGCAGCAGCAGCAGCAGCCCCTGTTCCACCCGGGCGAGCAGCCCGGAGGCCGCCGCAGCCCCCGCGAGCCATCCCACTTCAACATGGCCGTGTTCCCCCAGCTCGCCGGCCTGGACCCCTTTGAGCGCTGGCTGCTGCTCGGGCCCGAGCACGAGGCGGCCACTGTGAAAGCGATCCACGAGGCCATCGAGGAGGACGAGAGGCAGCAACAGGCGGCATCGGCCTCTCTATCCCCAGGCGAACCACCACCAGCCAGGACTGGCCGCCGCACCGTGCCGGCCTACAAGGTCATCAAGCGCACCCGCAGCCAGCGCTCGTGGCCGTCGAGCCTCGAGATCCGCTCGTACGCGGCGAACAAGTACTCGGTCAAGTCGGACGACTGGAAGCCTAGCAACAAGGTCACCACCACCACCACGAGCGTCGTCGACGGCGGCGGCGCAAAGTCGGTCGACTACGTCGGCCCCTCGAAGCCGGCCAGGCGGCACAGGCGCTCAGAGCCGTCCCTCGGGGGCAGTTCTGTGCGCGGTCTCCAGCGCGCGGTCTCCCTCGGCGGCGACAGACTCCCTCCCAACTTCAGTCTCAGTCACAACAACACCAACACCAACAACAATAACAACAACAAGACCGTCGCCTCCCCAGGCCCCAAGCGCCGCTTCCAGTGCACCTTCTGCCCAGACGCCTTTGTCAAGCGGCACGACTGGCAGCGCCACGAAAAGTCGCAGCACCTGGCCCTCGAGTGGTGGACGTGCTGCCCGGACGACGGCCTCGCGGCGACACACATCGACCCGCTGACCGCCGTCGTGACGTGCGTCTTCTGCGGTATCCGGGACCCGGACCGGCAGCACCTCGACGGGCAGCACGGTCTCGCGGCCTGCGCGGCCCGCAGCGTGGCCGAGCGCACCTTCTACCGCAAGGACCACCTCCGGCAGCACCTCCGGCTCATGCACGCCGAGTGCCCCTTCACCCAGGCCATGGAGGCCTGGAAGACGGAGCTGGTCGAGGTCAAGTCGCGCTGCGGCTTCTGCGGGGCCGAGTTCGAGACCTGGCCCGCGAGGGTGAACCACCTGGCGGCGCACTTCCGCGCGGGCGCCACGATGGAACGCTGGCAGGGCGACTGGGGACTCGAGCCGGCGGTCGCCGAGAACCTCGAGAGGGCCACGCTCCCCGCGGACCGGGCGCCACTGGCCGCTGCTGCGGCTCCTGTCTCGATGCCCCAGTCTCCAGCTGCTCCTGCTCCTGGCAACAACATCACGTCGTGGCCTGGCATGGATGACAGCCCCATGCAGGAAATCGACGGCTTCCGCTTCGACTCGTCCTTGGCCGCCAACGTCCCGCTCGCCCCGCCGTCCATCATGAGTGACACCTCGGGCCTGCCGTGGGACCTGTCCCTCTTTGACCTCGACACGCTGCCGAGCATGTCCGTGCTGGACCCCTTTGACGAGTACTCGTTCTCGGCCGCCAGCGCGCTCGACTTTTTTGGGCACGACCACTACGGGAACCTTCAGCAGCAGCAGCAGCATCTTTTCAACGACATGATGCTCCCGCTCACCACGCCGCCGATACAGGAGGGCAATGAGACGCCCTTCCCACAACAAACACCACCACCACCACTCCCACTGCTACACCTCGGCGGCGGCGGCTACGACGGCCCGACCTCGGCGCTGCTCGGCTTCGCCGACATGCCGCAGCTCGGCGACCCGTTCGCCCAGCTGCAGCTGCAGCAGCAGCACCCGCACCAGAACCTGTTCAACACCGAGACCTTCCTGGGCGTTCCCCCGTACTACACGGAGGACGACTACTGTAGTGTAGACGGAACAACGGCGGCGGCGGCCGAGATGGCGGCGGGGGGCGGTGTCGGGGTTGATAATACGACTGTGGCGCCGGCGGCACTGCATGTGGACGATCAGGAGGAGAACAGCAGCTTTGGAAAGCTTGTTTTGTAACACCAGCAGCATGATTACCTTTCGAGGCTGCAGGGAAGGGGGGGGCACAGGCGCATGGTGCTTAGATGATGTGTTTGAGTGTAGCGGGGCTTTGGAAAATCATGTTCAACAATGAGAAACTCGGGAGTAGGCGTTTATTTTTTTTTTCTTTGGACAGACACATAGAGTGGTGTTTTTCGAGGGGAAGAAATGTTTATTTGTCAGAAAGTCACATCGTACAAGACGGTTTCATATTGGCGCCTGAGTGCTCGTGCGTCCATTGTGTGTGCTCGCGATTCGAGAGGTTTCTGACCCCGGGAAAAGAGTGCCCCCTCGCCGCCCCTGGCCGTTCATTATTCTTCATTGATCCGATCCTCCTGAAGAAGGCATCTCATGGCGTTTAGCAAGCATCTTTCATCCCTGTTTACTCTGATGCTCAATTGTGCCGTCGAGCTAAGGCCCCAATGCTGACGCGTCGTATTTTTTTCGTGATGATTGAAAATGGCGTGCCTCAAGCTGCTCGCAGGTTTTGGTTCCTAATGCTTTGTTGTTCTAGCGCAAAACACTATGCCGCAGAGTCGCAAAGGGCAGCCGTAACACTGACTGCCTGACTGTTAATGCGCTGACCGAGTCTCGCCTGCACCGCCTGCCAGAGTGGTCTCCTTTTCGCGCACCATCTTCGACATGGACTCGGCGTTCCAGCAGCACGCGCCCCGACGGTCCTTGCCATGGTGGTGTCCGTAGTCGCGGCAGAATGCCAAAATTCTGACGCGGTAGGATATCAGCTGGCGTATTGTCATCGCCATAGTTGGTGTCATATGTTATAATGTACGTCCTGCAGGAGCTCGATAGTGTACCATATCGGTAGGTGTACCTGCGACCCGTCCGTCTCAGGCTGCCTTGTATGTACTTGCATGAGTACATCTCCTTCCCAGAGAAGACAGATGGGTTTGTGATGACCTAGAAGCGCCGACAGAAGAGCTACCGCGGTTTAAGAGCATGCAGCGATCATGGCCAATTCAGCCACGGCATGTCGACTTCACTGCTCGTGGTCGTGTTGCGATCACAGTGCGTGACGGTCAACGAGATGCCCGTGCTTGCGAATGCGCCTTGAACCATTCTGGACGCCCTCGTGTACTCTTCGAGGAAGTCTTCCGGACTTGGGGGGTTATGACCGTCTTCCATGTCCATGGCCGACGCGAGCACCCTGATATCCTCAAGATTGGGGAACTCGCCCATCGCCGCATGTCGGGCTAGTTCCCGCAGGTCGCCCCATACATGGGAGCCGTCCCACAGGCGGATCACCAGCCGCTGGATTGAGGCCGGCAGCATGGTGATCAGGCAGGTGTGCGCTGGTAGGCCCGCCGCATCGGGCTGCTGGCGCCTGCGCTGACAGAACGAAGTCTCCTCGAGTGCTAGCTCCCGGAGCTGGGAGAAGCCGGCCAGTGTGCCTGCAGGCAGACAAGGCTCGAACTGTAGCTGCGACGAGTAGCTGCAGAGATCAAGAGTCAGGGCCCTCAGCGTCTCGCGGCAGGGTTGCAGGCAGTCGACGAAGTCGCTCGCCGTGGCATGTGCGTCAATCATCTCCCCGAGAAAGACCGCCATGGCGCTGAAATGAAATTCCTCGAGGTTGTGTGCGCTCTCGCATATCTGCAGCAGGAATGCCAGCGACGATTGAGAGCTGCGGTCGAAGGCGGACTCGGACAAGACCAGTCTGCGGAGGCCGGGAAGTCGCACGTCGCGCATGCAGTCTCCCACTGTATCATATTCAGCTATAATGTTGTGTAGGACCAGCTGCTCGATTGTCGCTCCGGTGGCTCGCAAGAGCACTTGGATGGCACGACAAAGGAATGGCATCCCATAGTCCCATTGAGTGGTGAGATGAATCGTCCTGACACGGGAGAGCGGTAATACCTCGGCTGCGCCACTTGCGTGCTTCAGCACATCTAGTTTTGCCGACAGGAGGTCGAGATCGAAGCCTGACCAAGCATCACCATTGATGTCCAACCTCAGTCTTTCGAGTTGAGTTGCGTAGATCATGACAAGCTGGATAAAGATGTACTTGATTCGTTCGCTACCGATAATCCCACTAGCAGGGAATGGGTCTCTGTCGTCGCATATGTCGAGCTGGGTCAAGAGTCCGATAAGGGGGCTGGGTTTCGTCTCCATTTCCCGGAAGTAGACGTATCTGCTCTGTTCGAAGACGCGGATCAGCCCCGCGAGCCGGGCATCTTCAGACAGCGTGCGAGTTAGTTCTTCCACCTTGGTGATGTGGCGCACAACGTGAAAGAGGTGTGGTTGCGCGACCCGCGCGACGGTCCTGGAGGTTCGACAGAGCGACGCAAGGGCTCTCCTGTCTGCCGATTCGTGGCAGTTCGAAAGCTCACAGAGGCCATCTGCGACGTGGTCGCATTTCTCGCACAGACGTCGACAAATGTTCTCAATAATTTCTTGAGGTAGATTCGACAGTGTCTGAAGTCTAGGGCTTGTTTGTAAGTCTGTCGCCATTGCGTTGACAGGTCGGTGGTGGATGAAGGAGGGCAAGCCATTTTCTGGGAATGACTCGTGCGCTCATATGTTAGTAGGCCATGATTCGACCCACACGCGCTTGGACAGTAGTCCTGAGGCGCCCTAGATCCTTCGCCAAGTCCCCGGGACCCGAAGTGGCTCTCTTGCATGCCCGACGGTCCTGCTAGCAGTCGGCATTGCCAAGACAAGGTGGACCGTGCGCAGAGAGAGTTGTGTCCAGCGAAAGGAGACACCGATTTCGGATTCGGCTGTAGCGAAGCACCTCCGCCCATAATACTAAGTGGGCCTGGCACATGGCTCTGTTTGAAGCTCTGGGCCAAGCAGCCACTAACCATCTCGTGCGTCAATTGCCACGTTGATCTACTTGGGTTGAGGGCGACTATGTTGCCCGATTTGACTACCGGCCCGAAGCTGAGGTGAATGCCAGGATGCGACTGCCGTCGCCGACGAAATCGCGAGGCACGATCGGGGCATCACAAGTCGCATCGAATATCTCAGCAACCTTGACAACTTAGCCGCACTGCACCGCAAAGAGATCATGCGGCGCGGCGGCTCGGGGAGTAAGACGAACGCGTCGAGATCGCTCCAGCTCACTGTCAACAAGGACGTCGCACCCATCTCCGAGGCTAATCTTCTGAAAATCATCCACCACGCAAACAAAAAGTATCGCGTGGAAGAGGTCGAGGACATATCAGAGGAAGAGAGGCAAGCTTTCGATCGTCGTGTACCCGTCAAGTAGCAGGATAGCTTCATCTCTCTACAGAGCGACACTGCGGAGCGGATCGCCGATGAGCTTGCAATCACCAGCCACCAGACAGCAGCCGAGGCACTGGACACTGTAGACGTCGTAATTCGGCACAACTTCCGCACATCGAGATTAATGAACGGCCTGCCCTCTGTGGATGTCAAATACGAAGATTGCGTCAGTAACCTTGGCATTGCCAGCGAGGTCGAGGACGAGGGAAAGCCGCGCTGGGACAACCTCCAGTTCAACAAGCGAGGCAAACTGAGAGTCCGCGCCCATCAGATACGCGACGCGACAAAAATCATGAAGATGCTGTTATCGGCATTGCGATCGTGCTTGCTGGCCAACGATGTTGGCAGCGGCAAAACCATTACATCTGGTCTAGCTATTTGGGCGCATTGGCGCCACCAACACAGTTTGTGGGAGGCAGCCAAGGACCCAGCTGCCGGAATACCTCGCGTCGAATTCCAGCCGTCGCTCTACTTCGTCCCAGCCAATCTGCTAACGCAGACATACGAGGAGCTTCGTGACAAATTTGCGGGCCTCTTTGATGGTCGGCTACTATATGGCTCTCTCAGCACTTCCATGGAAGATCAGGTGCGGAAGGAAGCGACCTTTTCTAGCGACGCCTGGAATAAATTCACACTCGAGGTGGTCAACAAGAAGGACGACCCGACATTAGGCAGGTGACATCTCGTTGACCCTTTGGCGTGAACGCAAGGCTCGAGCCACCAGGTTCCACTTCTTTGACCCCACTCTGGCTTTTCTTCCTGAGTGGGCCACGGCACAACTGTCAACATTCACAACCAACACAGGCTCCTTCATGCGCATCTTTTCTCTCGCACCTTCACCCCATTGCCAACCCTCTCTGCTCACTCTCTGCCGACAGCAACGATCTCTGCACGAGATCTTGAGCACCCACATCCTCGCGCTGGCAACTAGAACACCACATATCACGAGCAGCTCGTCCGTGACAGTCAACGCGCGCACCTCGACAGATTGACAATGGCGTCCTCCGAGACTGGCTTGAACGGAAGGTGAAAACTTCATCGAAATTGCTCTTGGGGAAAACGACGCTCACATGTTCACAGCATGGCCCATCATACTACTGTCCTGTACACTCCTGGAGGATCTCCTAAGCGCCACAGCGACTTCATCGGCTCTCTCTTTCTCACGGCAGACTGCAACTCATGGCCGCAGCGGCCACTTGTCCCGGACTTCCAGATATGTGCAAAGCCATCACAAGAGAACGGCTACTTGACCATGGACTACGACGAATGCAGAATCGTCGACCCAGAGTTCCCCGGATTGGTCTGGCACTCGCTGCGGGCATATTACGAGTGGCACCGGGCCCAGTTCCACTGCGCGCAGCCAGTCGCCCTGGCCATGGAGGAAGAACACGACATCTCAATGATCAAGGAGCTGGCAGAATCGTACAAGGAGTCACCCAAGATGGTCCCTCGCTGGCAGAAAGTCTGCGAGTCGGTAATGATGCGCGGCGTCATGCTCAAGTTTGGCTCGGCCAATGCCGTGGCCGAGGAGCTCCGCTGTCTCCTGCTTGAGAGCGGCAACAACTCACTCTTCGTCGCTGATGAGAGTGATCGGTTCTAGGGGACCGGCCTCGACAGGCGGGAATCAGACAGCGTCATCATGGGAATGCTCCGCAACCGTAGACTGGATCCAAGGATGGGCGACAACAGGCTGGGCTTCCAGCTCATGCAGGCCCGCGTGCGCTTCCGCGGGCTGCAACTAGATGGTATTGGATGGCTCGAGAAGGAAAATCAGCGCATCCAAGAGTGGTGGCTGGAAGAAAAGACTGAGATGAGCGAAGAGGCCCGGAATGCCCGGAACCCCTACTGGATGAAGGGGGGCGGCCGACTACCCAGAGTCAGGTACCTGAACGGCTTCTAATCGGCAGACACAAACCCCTGCGGCCCCCAGCCATAGAGCAAGGCGCGATGACACAACATAGGAGGCGCATGATGTCTTCATCGTCGATCGTCTCGATTACAATTGTTTGGCTCGGATTAGGCTTTTTGTCGCACGATCTGCTCCGCCAACCCCCGCTCTGGCTTTGATGCCTTTATGGATCGGGATCCCGGATGCTGGTCGCCCAGCCGCTCCCGGTAGAGAGCAACAGTAGCCCCTGTACAGGCACAATGATTCGATTGTGTCAGGGTAGTCTGGATAGGCCTGATCATAGTGCCAATTAGTACAAGGGGTACTCCATAAATTGATTCCATCGCGATGTTTTTCCATAGATGCTAGAGACACACACAGCACTAATCCAAGCAGTTTTCGACACATCTTCAGTTTTGCATTTCCATGTCCAGAACAGTAAGGCATTTAATCAACAATACCCTGATCAGATAATCCCTCACGATTGCGGCTACACTAATTTGCGCTATCGTTACTGGCTTCCCCGTCAAACCCATCGCCATCCCCAAAAATAGTGAGCCTCGCTAGCAATACCACAGAGTCTGGTAGGCGGTGGGCTGCCTTTGGTCGTTGGGTGCTTGTTCTTCCCATGATCAGAGAGAATCCCGCGTTGCTCCAGCACACGATGTAGGGCAGATGCAAGTCAGTTGATGCACATTGCCCAGGCAGACCGGACCATATCCTTGTTAAGAGTAAATCGAGTCAATTGAGCTATGATACATGCCCCTGAAACCCTCCTCCATCAGCAAACTTCCACGCCTATGATACAACTATGTTTATACACTCATCATCCAGCCGCCTCTTAGCAGGCGGCAATAGTGACGGCTCCAAAGAGCGAGCCGCCAGGGACCAGGCCGATCGCGGCCTCGAGGGCCTTGAAGACGTCGTCGCAGGTGCCGCTGTGGTCGTTGGCAGACCAGGTAACCTTGTACAGGGCGTTGGCGCTGCCGTCGTCGCCCGTGCGCTGCAGAGACGTGTACTCGGGCACGCGGTAGTAGTGCGCGGGCGCGAAGGCGCAGCCCGAGGACGTACAGCCCGAGTCGGTCGTCTCCTCGGTCTGGATCGACTTCTTGATGAAATCGCGCACGGTGTCTTGGATGCCGTCCGTGTCGCTGCCAGAGTTGTCGCCGTCGATCTTGATGCAGAACGCGTTATCACATGACTCCCGGTTCACGTCACAGCCTTTTTCCGAGCGTTAGTGCATTGCTACGATGTCAGAATAGCGGTGGGGGTGGTGGCATACCGTTGGAATCGCACTGGTCGACGATGTTGTCAACGAGACCTTCCAGGTCTTCCAGGGAGTACCCGGAATCGCGCATAAGCTCCTCGGCAAAGGCCTCGCTGTGCTCAATCTGGGTCTTCCAGGCAGAAACGCCGGTCAGGGCAAGGAGGCCGATGGTGGTGATGGAGGCGCGCATTTTGTTGGTGCTGAGGTTGGGTGTTGTTAATTTTCAGAAGCCTTGGGCTGGGGCGTGTGCTGTGAGGGAAGATGTGAAAGATACGATGAATGGAAGTTGCAATGTTTGTGTTGTGATGCTGTTCAAAAAGTTGTTAGGAGCTGAGGAGCGATTGATCTTTTTATACTCCGCGGTCCAACTGTGGACGAGCTTGCAAAGTCTTTGCGCACAACACAATGCTCCGCAGGCACTTAGACAGGAATCGCAAGATCAGCAACTACTTTCACAAGGAATAGTACGATCAGCACAGAGTCTTCACTTTGGGAGTAACGGTTGTGAGCCTGCGTCACGGCTTGGCTCAGCCGCGAGTGTTACCAGGGGGCAAGGCTGACGATCAGCACGCAGCTGCCAGGGGTCCAGCCTTGGATTGACGTCACCCCGTGCGATTTCTCCAGAGCCCCCGGAGTGGCTGTGGGGGGCGGCAATTCTATTTTAATCGCATGTCAGATACCCGGGCGTCACGCTGGCCTGGAAGATCTTGCCTTCTTTCCTGAGACCAGCAGGCCAAGCTCCACTGTCAATTTGGATCAAGCATGTGGAGGATCAGCCTTGTCTCCTTCGACCAGCGTCTTGGCTGATATAGTATGCCATTAATATCATCAGCGGGGACTTTGCGTCCTAGTGGCGATGGATCCTGAAGCGTCTAAGATTGTGCAGGAGTGAGCGCTGCCTTCATACTTGTTCTTGTCGAGGTTTCTACGCATGTCTAGGCCTGTCGACGTGCGGGGGATCGACAGCACGCACGTGTGTCCGTACATAGGTAGGTACGCAGGTCTTTGAGACTTGAGCTCAAGGAGGCACAGATGCTCGAGCCTTTCCACCTGCAGAAGAAAGCGAGGTCTTCGGCGTTCTGCCGTGTTCAGGGCCGTCCTTTCACAGCTGCTTCGCTACGTGCGGTTATCCCCAGATGCTGACGTTGTCCCGCGCGGACCAACCACCCCCTGCTACCTACCCGCCTCCGCCTCCGCGCTTGACGCATGCCAAGACAAGTGCATAAGCAAAACGATCTACATGAGGTCTCACCCACACACGCCTTTTACAGCATCTATGCCCGATTCGGAAGAAACGCGCTGGATTAAGATCACCAGCGTGCGCATCTTTTCCGGCTTCGTCACGATCGGATGTTGTGAAGGAGAAGCAAATCTGACTGAGTGCGTCACACAAGGCTAATGTTAGCAGCATGAGCTGACCTCAGGGGATGTCTCATACAGCAATATGCCTCAACGTCACGATGTTGTGCGCTTTGCCAATCTCGATCAGCACTACGCTTGTGGTCATTTTTGGGTCGATTCGTCCTGGTCTCAGAACCTTTGTAGCTCATGGGAGAGTCTGCTCTTTCGGGTCGCGCAAATCCTTCATGGAATACGCTTGAATTGTCCTTGTGATAGCCTATCCATCAAGCCTACTTAAACCCCTAAACCATGAGTCCACTCATAAATGCTTAAAATCCTCAGCACGACAGAGAGGAAAGGCGGCCCACACAGAGATCAGCGTGTTATATATCCGCGGATTAGTGAGGAAAGGGAGGGATGTCTTCATTTTGTTTATTTCTACTTACAGACGTACAAGAACCCTCATATGATGTCATTCATGGTTCATGAGACTTTGTATATGGCTAACGTTTGGCGCATCGGCGTTCAATCTTTTGACTTGAGCTTTCTCCTTATCTGGTAGTCGGAAATGTACGGCATTGTACTGAATTATGGCTCGACCGACACAAATGTGGGTGATCTTGGCCGGCTATTCTTTGAAAGCGCCCCGAAGCCCCTAATGTGTGATTCAATTAGAGAAAATGTGAGAAAGAAATCTGAACGCCGTGTCCATTTCTACGAAGAAGACCAGTCTGAGTGTCAAGACGACTCGTCTGATAGCAAGGACGACGACGCCAAGAATGACGAAGACGAAGACGATCTGGACAGCGATAGCCACGACCTCGGAGATCAGGATCTCCGGCGACAAGAATGACCACGACAGTGAAGAGCACCGGGGAACTGGCGATGTCAGCCATCGTGACCGCGAAAGTCATAAAAGATGAGGGATTTGACAGGCTCGAAGAAGGCTTGAACCGAGAACTTGAAGAACTGAGTCGCGCCCCGCTTCAAGTGACGCCGGCGAACAAGAGGCTCTCGAAGGAGGGATTGTTAGTGAGAGGGGCGGATTACCCGGCTCACCAGGAACCAGTATGTCCAATTCAGAGCCAGCGTCCTAGAAGTATATCCGGACGTGGATCACTTGGCCGCGAAGCCAGAAGGCCCGTCGGAGAACCAGGCTCGCGGTGCCGCGTTGATGCGTCGGCTCATTTGTGTCACTCATCGTCGCGTCTGTCGGATTCCATGGCACAAGCGCGAAGACGAGAATACTGCGCCGGCGACATACTGCTTCTTCCTTGCGATGCGTCGACCTAACCCACACGTCGTTAGCGACGAGATCGTGGCTGCAACTCCCGCAGAGATCTTGGAGCTCGCAGGACAGCCAGATGTCGCTATGGAGGATCTCCTCAACTGCGAATGCAAGCTCGACCTGAACGAGTTGAGTTTCGGCATCTACCTCGACCTGCTGAGGAAATGCCATGCCCAACTACTGCAAGACTCGGCGAACCACGTCGCTGAGCCGTACACTGGGAGAGGGTTCAGGGAGAATGGGGTATTGGTGTCCGCTGGTTGAATATCACCGATCGTACTTCAACCGGTCTTGCTTAAAGGACCTGAAGCCACATTCGCATCACGCACAGGTCACTTCCGGCCGGAGGCCGCATATACTCGCACCGAGTCTTCTTGAACGCGCCAGCCCTACCGTCAAACCGCTGTCGCCTCTTGCCGAGATTTTCTGGTGCATATTTTGGGGCACAATGGCCAGAGAACCCAGCCGAGACCAGTTTGACAACGCAGAAAGCCGCCAGCTCTGGGATCCTTGCCGCTCGGAGACGTCAGACAGTCTTCCAAGCATGCCACGTCTCAACTTTGCCAACCCACTCAAGCAGTTATTCTCCATCGGAGATCTAGACCCCACTGCCTGTGAGCGGTGTGGCTCCGATCTTGGCGGTGAAGGTGCTTCCACGTATCTGTGCACAGAGTGCACGACCAAAGCGCTCGAGAGCTGCACTGATGTCGATGAAGAGCAGTGCGAGGCTGACGGATGTGCTGAGCGCCAGGCGCGTCGTGGTCTGCCTCCACAGTATGGACTGCGACAGAAGGCAACTCTGAGTGTCAAGTATAACCGGCTCTGCAAACCATGTCAACGACGGCTGCTGAACGACCTTGACGACGAGACCAGGGCTGCATGGTCGAAACAAGTCGAGGACGCGCGATGCACAACTGACTCCAAGCTGCAGTGCATCGGAGAGCTTTGCGCCCAGCGCAAGATCCAAGGCTTGTTGCCCTTCAAGAAGGCTCTGGGTCACAGGAGATGCAGTCGCTGTCTCAATGATCGCTTTCGAAGAACAAGGCAGATCCCGGCTGGAACGTTGAGAAGAAGCGACTTGAAGACGCCAAGACTACCAGCGACCCAGCGTGGCAGTGCCTGGGAGAACCTTGCCAGGCAAGGAAGAAGCGTGGCAAGCTTCCATTCCGTCGCAAGAGCAAGGGTACCAAGCTCTGCAGTAGCTGCTCAAATCGCCTGCACAAATATCGCAAGAAGCATCCCGAGCAGTGGAAACTCGGGAAGGAAAGGAGAGAGCTGGCAAAGCACACCAAGGACCCCAAGAAGCAGTGCAGCAATGAGGGCTGCACAATTCGACGACGAACGGGCGGTCTAGTCTGCAATCCTTGCTATCACAAAGAGTACTGGGTCGAATAGGCGCTCGGGAGGGCGCAGGGCGAAAATTGAGAGTCGAGGAGGCGTTGCCGTGTGCAGAAACGCTGTCGGAGGACAAGAATGCGGAACTCAGCCAATATGAGGGCGAGTGTCCGTCGCTGGTTACTTTCCAAAAAAAACGCCCAAACCACGAATACTAAGCATTCGTCTGATGATTGTGAACCAGAAAGTGTCCAGAGAGGGTGAACAAAACTTGATATGGTGATTAATCCACAGAAAATTTGTATATAAAGTATCTATAAATGAACAAGTCGTGCGCACGTTGCCTCACGCCCGTGGTTTGAGATTATTTGGTGCTTAGCTGTCGCTATTCACCCCGTTGTACGCCAACTTGTTCTTTGTGATTCCCGCATTCTTCACCGCGCCTTTAGTCGCGATCGACTTGAGATACTTGCACATCTCTTCGGGCGTCCTGTACGCGGCGATGCTCAGCATGTAGGCCCCGAGGCCGGCCACGTGCGGACTGGCCATGCTCGTCCCGCTCAGGGTGGCCGTCTTGCCGTCCTTCCACGTCGACACGATGCCAGTGCCGGGGGCAAAGATGTCGACCAGCTTGCCAAAGTTGGAGTAGTCGGCGCGGTTGTCGTTGATGTCTGTGGCGGCGACGGTGCACGCGTCCTTTGCATTTGCCGGCGAGAAGCCCTTGACCAGTGCGTTCGCGTTGCCCGCCGCGACCGCGACGAAGACGCCCGCAGCGACGGCGGCATTGGTCGCGTCCTTGAGGGCGCGGGACTTGGGCCCGGCGAGGGACAGGTTGATGACGGACTTTTTTACGCGGCCCTGGGCCTGGGCGTTGCTCACAGCCCACTGCAGGCCCTGGATCACGCCGTCCGTGAAGCCCGTGCCGTCGTCCTCGAGGACCTTGACGGCGATGAGCTGCGCCTTCTTGGCCACGCCGTACGTCGCGGACCCCACGATGCCCGCCACGTGCGTGCCGTGGCCGTTGCCGTCGCCCGTCTGGTTGGCAATCGCCGAGTATCCAAAGGTGGCGCGGCCCTGGAAGTCCGGGTGCGCCGTGTAGATGCCCGTGTCGATGATGTAGGCGTACGACCCTGCGCCCGCGCGCTCGTCGTACGCATAGTTGTTGACGTTGGGCTTGCGCTTCGAGATGCGCGCGAGCCCCCAGTTTGGCGGGTTCTGCTGCCGGACGATGGCGCTCGTCGTGACCTTGTAGTTGGGTTCGATGTAGGCGACCTGCGGGAGGCTGGCGAGCGCCGCGGCTGCCGACTGGCTCCCGCTGATGGGGATCGCGGTGAAGCTGCCGATCGTGACGGGTGCGCCGGCGGAACCTTGCTGTTGCGCGACGGCCTGCTGGACGACGGCGCCCGCGCTGGAGACGCCCGTCTCGGGTTTCAGGACGGCGATATACGAGTTTGGAGCGGCATCTCCCTGGCGTGGGCGGACGACGGCAGCGCCCAGGACGGCCAGGGGACCAAGCAGGAGTGTGGTGGAGAGGAGCACTCTCATGGTGACGTTGGATGGGGATACCCGGTTTTGTTTACCCACGCGGCCTGTTGTCTACTTGTGGAAGACGAAACGATGACGCTTTGACGGTGCGCGGAATCAACACGAGATGACCGGGAAAAGCCATTGCCAAGACCTGCGCAGGGAGGCTGCCATGCCTCTCTTATATGGGTGGTGTCCGCCTTGTCGCGCGGCACGCCACGAATAAGCGGAGATGCCATGCCAGAGAGGGCCCGGCTGCGTGGTTTGCAAGTTTCCAGTGCCTGCACATCATGCAAGGGCGAGCCACTTTAGTGTTGGTCCGTCGGGCTGTCGAAAAGGCAAAGCCCCATCAAGGGGGAAGCGAGACACACAGAGCCAGCTGTGATTGGAGCAGCAACGCTAGCTGAGCGAGTTCTCGGGATGGACGTGAACCGCCTGAAGTGTCTCACTCGCGCTGGTGGGAAGTCCACTTGGCGGCCCATATCCAGCAAAGGGGCGCGAGGCAATAACAGCCACATTCTTCGGGGTTTGTCTTGTTTTGTGCCTGTAGTAGCAGCCGACACCGCCGTCGCAGCTGAGAAAACGTCAAAGTAGTCCCTTGGGAGCGGGTGCATCTTTCGCCACGTGCCGCTCAGCCCGACCTGGGAGTGCTCCAGCCGAGCAGCAAAGTTCAGCAAGACAGCTCTCGCCCATCTTGCCGCAACCTTGGACGGCCAAATTCTCAGGCGGGTGCGACTAGGCCCGCCCGCCCGTCAAACCTTGTCGATAGCATTAGGCTCGGTTAGGGAGCCTCCGTGACGACTAGCACTCAACTTAGTTCGAGCCAGCTGCGGGTGTGGCTCGTCTTGGCGAACGGTCGGGACCCGCCTCGTACCTGCGGCTGGCCACAAACGGGGCAAGCACACGGCTTGGTGAAGAAGAGACCTGAGGAGTCTTTCCTTGGGAAGGCTTTCCTGGAGAGAAAAACGACACGTCCAGACCCGAAAGTGCTGTCACAAGGTGAGGTCATGCACAATCCGACCAACGGCAACTCCCCACTCGCCAGGCAATGGCGGCAATTGGACGGCGTGTGGATGACTGATCAGGACTGATGTGAGCCGAGACCCGAAGGAATGGACATGTTTCACACAGTGACGCAGCAGTGTTGCCGTTCCATGCCGGTCGTCATATGCTCTCCTACCTCTGTCCCGGCAGCTGCTCTGGCGAGTAGTATTGGAGACGAGGGGCCGATGGCTGTTCCAGCCGCGTTGCAATAAGGTTGGGAACATCAGCTGAAGGTAGCCAGACGACACTCTTCTATCTGGGGTCGACGAGTCTCGCCGCAGCCGTTCGCCATTCGGGACTGAACATCGCGCCCGCAAGATGTGAACACGGCTAGCGCCTTTATTTTGGCTGCAATGTGTACGCGCAACCCATGCCCGCTCCTCTCGCAGCCAGCATACCCGGTCTGAAGCCACCTCGCAATGTCTCACCCATACCGCAACAGCGACGCCACGTCAACGCTTCCATTTGAAGTTTAAATTCATTGAGGACAGCACTTGCGCTGCTGATTTTCCTGACTGTGCCCGCTGAGTACAGCACATGGTTGTCACAGAAGCGGGATTGCCCCTTCCCTTCCAACAAACTCGTGTTTGGCAAACAGCTCTATATCAGCCAATAGTCCACGTCACAAGCAATTATGACCCTAGGACCGAGAATTTGAGTGTCCCGTCCGGCCTCTATACACAAGCTCGATGAATACCGGAAGCTCGTGTGCACGCGAGCGAATATGTGGCCCGGATCTTGGTATCAAGCCCATATCTGCACAGGAGACCACGGTATCAAGCTGCGACGGAGCAGAAAGCTCATGATTATGTTAGACGGATGTGTCGCTTGGAAGTCAGTGATGCTGTCGAGCTGAAGCTTTTGCACGACTGAGGGGGACTAAAGAGTCGCTTCAGGGGGGCTAAGCGGGCGCAGCTGTCATTGGCTATGCCGTGTCCTCACCTGCCATGGTCTAATGGGGCATGTATGTCAAGTGAGTCATAGGGTGAGTTGCAGCCTGACTGAGGACACGGTTTGTTACGATTGACTACTGGTGGACATCTCGACTTCTCACTTGACCTACTACACATACCGGTACTCAGATCGATACCGTTGGGTAGTCAAAGACTACAACGGGAGTGCTTAATAGCGATTCACGGGTAAGGAGCTAAACCCGACAGAGCGAGCTATGCATTAGCAACAACTCTGCTTTTATATTAGCACCCCATCAAGACGATCGAACCCCGTACCATCAGATGGAGAAAGTCAAGGTCCGCACGTACCTGCCGACGGTACCGCTGCCGCTCGTGTCAGAGGGACGCGAAGAGATACGTACAGAGCGCCTGATACTGCGGCCATTTACGCCGGGCGTGCTAGAGGACATGCATTCCCTCCGAACCCAGCGCGAAGTCATGGACTCCAGCCGGCGAGGCCTGACGGACAAGGACCTGGCAGAGACACTGGAGCATATCAGCCCGGTGCTGCCGCCCAACGACGCGACGACGTACAGATGGGTCATCTACGAGGCGCAGACGGGGAACTTTGTAGGGTCCGGCGGGTTTACTATATTCTGCGAGAGCATGGGGTGGCCCGAGATCGGTTATATGCTGAAGAAGGAGTACTGGGGCAGAGGATATGCGACGGAGTTCCTGTGCGCGTGGCTCGAGGCGTGGTGGAAGCTGCCGAGGTCAGAGGTCGAGATCGAGGTCGCCAAAGGTACGATCGAGGAGGACACGCCGGTCGTCGGGGCGGATGGCGTACGCGTGGTGAGCAAGGATCGGGTGGTCGCGCTGGTTGTGGAGCACAACAACTCGAGCCGGCGGGTGCTGGAGAAGGCAGGATTCCGCCAGGCGACACTGCTGACGGAGATGAACAATCGCGCAGGTCTCGAAGGGACCGAGATCACCTCGTTTGGGTTTGTGGCCACGGCTCCGGAGAAGGACATTTAGACTTGAAACAGAGATGTGCTCCAAGGCGCGGCAGTGGAGTAATATGTGCATTGTTCCCAATCCGGCTACAATTCCCTATTGGGCTACTATTCCATGTCACTTCACTACTGTCGCAGCCTTGTTCTCGAGGATATATTGGTCCAGCAACTTTGAGTGTGGAGCGGCTGTGGCTTAGCGCTTATCTGAAGATTGAGAACGACTCAGAGCGGCGCTCTGCCTCCCAACGACAACGTCAATAATGCCAGATTTCTCACTCTCACATAGGCTCGGCATCTTTGTTATCCACACATAATTGATTCGACAGCACATCTGAGATCAGCCAAATCCACTTGCCGAGCGAAGACGAAAATATGGCGAATACCACGAAAGACCGCCGCGTCCCAATGCAAGTTCTATCACTGGGCATGCCCCGCACCGGCACTGCTTGTGAGTGATTCTCACGTTCCTGAACGCGCGCGCGCAGGCCTGCTGACTATTGTCGGCCTCTGGATAATATCAGCCATACGTGAAGCTCTGCGGATCCTGCTGGATGAGCCTGTGTACCACGCCTTCGAGCTCTTGGACCATGTCGACCACTGCCCTCGCTGGGAGGCCGCCATCACTGCCAAGTTTAGTGAAAAGGACAGATTGTCGCCTCTCGCGCAGCAGCAGCGGCAGCACCTGGACGAAATGCTTCCGTTAGGCGACTACGCTGCCGTCACCGACATGCCTGCCGTCTGTTTCGCCGAAGAGATGGTCGCGGCGTATCCGCACGCCAAGGTCATCCTCGTGGAGCGCGATATTGAGAGCTGGTTCCGGAGCTTCGACAGCATCATCGCAGCACCCATGTTCCACCCGGCCAACAACATCATCGCTGCCATAGACCTGTGGTTCCTCGGGCCCGTGGCACGAGTGCACCACAGCTGGATCCGAGGCTGGTTTGGGGCGCGCACGCTCGAGGAGATGCGGTCCGGGGCGCGGGGCCACTACCGCGACTACTATGCCATGGTGAGAAGGGTCACACCACCCGAGAGGCTGCTTGAGTACGAGCTGGGTTCGGGCTGGGAGCCGTTGTGTGAGTTTCTGGGCAAGCCGGTTCCGGATGTGCCTTTCCCCAAGGTGAATGAGTCTGCCGTTATGGAGGGAAAGTTCACTTCGATCTTGGCTCGAGCGAGGCGCAGTATCGCCTACAACTTTGGGGTGTATGTGTTACCTGCAGCCGTGGCCGCTGGAGGGACATGGTGGTACTACCGGAGATAGAAATAGGCAGGTGGAGTGGGGGGCAGGAGGCACAGCCATTGGAGACTTCGTCCTTTCTTAAGGGCGATTCTGATCGTTCACTCGATATTTGGTTCATTTTCAACCCCCGAAAGGAAGAAGTTCCTGGCCGGGCGTGATTGGCCCTTCCTCTTGCAGCGTTCAAAAGCGCAATCAACACATTTTTAGACTCTGCTGTTCTCGTACCTGCATAAAAGTATGCAAAATGACGCAGTGTACCCCTTCTTTACATCACTGGCGAGAAGGGAATATACAGGGATATTGCATGAAGATTGGTCACTCCACACTGCAGGCTTTTGCATTCCCAGGGTAGTTGTGATCACATGATGCTGCTGCTGCATTTTTAGACTTCGAGGACTCCTCTGACTCTCGCAGGCGTCACCTGTCAGGCTGCACGTTAGGGTTGCATTGAGTGGTAAGAACCTCGGCACATAGCCGTGAAAACGTGGTCGCGTGGTCTCATGGTCAGGCAACGCCTGCACTCCCGAGTCAAGAATCATGCTCAGCTTGGCTGTGGTCTTGCCCTGCCCGGTCGTGCCGAGCTGATCCTTGACTCTTCGTCCTGTCGCCAAGCGTTCCTGACAGTGACGAAGCTCAGGCATTGGCGCGCATGGGGCCTGGCATAAGACACGATATAGGCAGGGACCGGGCTTCCACTCGGCCAATGCTAGCCCGCCGCACCGACTGGGATCCGCGCCGATGAGGATTCCCCAGATGCTCCCAGGTTCCCCACAGCCTGGGGACAACCCCGGATTACCTGGATCCCAGTGGCGCCCGGCAATTGACACGTGCAAAAGTTCACGGCGTCAATGACGGCATTACACGCGACCAGCCGGCTTGGCTGCGGGGACGAAGAAATCAGCTGCCAGTATAAAGCTGTCCGTGGTCGACTCCGCAAATACCAGCAAGTGGCTCTGACGCACCACGAGTCCCCGCTTCGTGTCTCTCCCGCTCTCCCTGCTGCTGTCTGGACTCATACGCAGTCTGATCTTCGCTCAAGATGCGCTTCTTCAAGGCCGCCGTCCTCGGCCTGGTCGGTCTCGTCTCGCAACAGACACTGGCCAGCCCTACCCCCGTCGACAAGCGCCAGACGCAGACTGTTTCCGACCTGACCATCTTCTCCCCACCCTCCAATGCCGGCTGGGTTGACCCGCGCGTCCTGTACGCCCGCGCGATACAGATCACTGGCGGCGCCCTGCTTGCCACTTGGGAGAACTACTCGCCCGAGCCACCCTTGGTCTACTTCCCCATCTTCCGCTCGACCAACAACGGGCAGACCTGGACCGAGATTGGTCGCGTACGTGACACTGTCAACAACTGGGGCCTGCGCTACCAGCCTATGCTCTACGAGCTGCCCCAGGCTATTGGTAACTACCCTGCTGGCACCATCCTCCTTGCCGGTAATAGCATCCCCACCGATCTCAGCAAGACCAAGATCGATGTCTATGCCAGCAGAGACGGGGGCGCCACCTGGACCTTTACCAGCAGCGTTGCCGCTGGTGGCGAGGCTCGTCCCAACAACGGCCTGACCCCCGTATGGGAGCCTTTCTTGGCGTAAGTTCATCCCCCCCCTACCACACTCCACGCGGCTGTCATGTCTGACATTGTCAACCCCAGGGTCTACAATAACCAACTCGTGTGCTACTACGCCGACCAGCGCGATCCAAAGTACGGCCAGAAGCTCTCGCACCAGGTCACGAGCAACCTGATCTCCTGGGGACCTGTGGTGAACGACGTGGTCGACGACAACAACTACGAGTCGCGCCCGGGCATGCCGACCATCGCGTCCCTCCCCAACGGGCAGTTCATCTTTGCCTACGAGATCTGCGGCGGCAGCGGCGGGTGCCGCGTCAACTACCGGCTGACCCGCGACCCGTTGAACGTCAACGCCGCGGGGCCCAACATCCCGCTCGTCTCTACTCGGGGCACCGCGCCCGTGAGCTCGCCTTTCGTCGTGTGGACGCCCATCGGCGGTACGAACGGCACCATTGTGCTCAGCGGTGGCAGCCCCTCCAACATCTTTGTCAACCGCGCCCTCGGACACCCGAGTGCCTGGGTCGAGTATGCCGTGCCGCAGCCCAACGCGTACTCGCGTGGCCTGGCCGTGTTCAAGAGCAACCCGGGCTGGCTGGCCATTATCGGTGGCGGGTGGCTGCCCCCGAGCTCGGTCAATCGGGTCAGTGTCAGTGTGGTCAATCTGGCTCAGCTGATTGGCGCATAGAGGTGTTTGAAGTGAAGAAGGATAGCCCACAGCGGAAAAGGACGCTGTATTGACCAGGTGACTATTTCACAGCTGATTGTGTTCAAGATTTATATAGCGTTTCAAGCACGGCTGGGTCTGAACTCCTTTGTCACCCGTTTCGGTTCATAGTAGGGCTTCCCGAGTGGTACAAAATCCAAGTCCTTGTACCCAAACTCCTTTGGACCTCCAACCTCGATTCCCTTCTCCGTGTACCTGCAACGTATTCTATGGTCAGCCTCGAACGAACCGGGATTGCCGTCAAGACCATCTGCAAATGTATGCTTACCAGTGAGGATGCGCCGTAAAGGCAACGACGGTGACACGGACCCCGTACCTGAGATCCTGCGTGCCGAGGGCGTAGCCGTCCGTGCCGACCAGCGAGATCAAGTCCGGCACCGTGCACAGGATCTCGCCTCTGTCCTTGGTGCTCTGGCCAGGGTTGAAGAGCTCGGCGTACAGATACTCGTTCTGGAAAGGAAGACGCATGTGACGTGTGTCAGTGAGGGCAGTGTCGCCGTACTCTTGCTCGTCGGCGCCGATGGGCTTGAGTTCCACCAGACCCTCTGTGTAGCCGCCCGAGGAGACATGTCGGGTCAGGGAGATGATCTTGCCAGTGTACAGAATGCGTCCGGATGGGTTGGCCTCCATCTGTAAAACGTTTTTAGTGAAAGCTCGGAAGACTAGGCACGCGCGATCGCCCTCGGAAGGTGTGATGCCCATGCACTTACGATCGCGTCCATAATACTTGTCTTCCGCTGCTTGGCGAGGTAGACGGCACGGCCAATGTACCAAGCCAGTGATGTAGTTCCAAGAGTTCCGACCTCTTTGACACGCTTGACGTTCATGGGTGGGCAGACCAGCTGGCTGAAAAGCCCGAGCTCCAGTCCGGCCTTGCGATGGATACGCTCGACGGCGTGGAAGTCGGCTGCCTTGTGCACAGTCACCACATTGCCGTTGCCATCGGCCTGGGTACATGGCGTGGCAGACTCTCCAAAGACTACCCACTCTGTCAATATGTAGTGAGAGACTGACCTCTAGCAGGGCATTCAACTCACGGAACGGCGTCATGAGATATAGACGTGGATAGGCGCGACCCATATAGTCACCATCAATGGTGGGAACGTTGTAATCCGTGGCGGTGACCAGCGGTCGCAGGCCATTCATGCCACCAATCTCAATCTGGAACACCAATTAACGAAATGATACCCACATTAGAAGGGACGAGAGGGCTTACAGCAATCTGGGCTCCCATCTTGACGCCTGGGAAGCAAGTCAGAAGCGCATCTGTCGCGTCCTTTGCCTCTGTACCACTGGGGAGGCGTTCCGTCGTGACAGTCGGTGCACTGTAGAGCGCGTCAGCGACTTGTTCTGTCTTCCCATGCGCCAATACCTCACTCACCCGTATGATACGCTCCCCATGACCCATGTGTCAGGATCGAGGTCATCTGCCTCCACGATGGGTAGCCGGTGCCCTTGCTGGATAGCCGCCCGAGCTGCTAGATAGCACATGTATCCAGGGCCGCCTCCGCCGCAAGCAAGGATACTGCAACCTGTGGCAAGGAACTCGCAGTCAATCTCGGACACCCACCAAATCCCCTTCTCGTCGACTTCTGGTCTGTAGTCACGAATATCTACCGAGGCCGATGGGCTCACGATGAAGTCTGATGCGTGCTTCTCCTGGTTGCTCATAATCGATGCCTTCTGATGCTCGGTGATATCATCGGCGTGCGTGGTCGTAGATTCGTACCTCCCGCTGACCAGCAGTGCCGTCTTGGACAATGGTCCCGCCTGTGTGTCTCGTGAGTAGACTGTCCTCGGTAAACATAAACCGAGCATCAAACTCACAGCGCGTATGATTAACCTGGTCGCCTTCATCGCTACGTATTCGAGAGGCATGTTCTCCACGGAGGTCACTTCGACATACAGGGGGTCCGCGCCGGCCTCAATGGCTTTCTGCTTGGCTTCTTCGCATGCAGCAGCCACGACTTCCTTCTCGTCCCGACCTTCGAGTACCTCGACCGTATCGACCTGCCCCGATACCTTGGCGATGGCTGCACCCACCGCGTTTGCGCAATCGTGAAACCTGTTGATAAATTGAGCATCGTTAGTACCTCTATCCCCGAGCCAAAGGTCATGAAGAGGAATTTGACAATACATACTGCGGTCGGATAATCTTGTTCACCCCCTCCAGATCGTCCATGTGCACCACACTTCCTCCACCAACGAGGATCACGGTGGCGTCATCAGCGCTGAGCTTCATCGAGTCAACCGAGTATTCGAGAAGCTTCTTGATGCGCGAGCGTGCCTGGGACAGCTTCTCGACTGGGATGTCTTTAACCCGGCTGGCGTCGCCAATATTCGCCTTGCCGAGGGCGACAGCAACATCTGCGTGTACGGTTATAAGCATGCTGCCACTTCTTCATGATGGTGCGTCTTGGTAAACAACAAAACGTACCGGTAGTAGTCAGGGTGTTCCCTCCAAAGACAAGGCCTTCAGAGATCAACCTGTGGCCCACGGACTCGGGCCCCACGTGGACTTTTCCATCCGAGTCTACCTCGACCTTGGTGCCACCTCCCAGGGCGACCGAGAAGACTTCAGGCATGGAGAACGAGCTTCTCACGCCACCAATCTCGACCCAGGTCCCGGCTTGTCGCGGAAAGCCTGACGGTAGGCTGACCACAGCCATGTTAGAATTCCATTACAATATCCTTACAGCCCATCCCGATCAAGAAGAAAGAGAGATACTTACAGGGCGCAGACATCCGTCGTCGTACCGCCGATATCGGCAACAATGACCTGTGCATTCGTCGGCCAAGCGCCTCTCGTGTCTAGACCGGACAGGTAGGCAGCCCCAGACATGGAGTTTGTGGGGCCGCTGGAGAACGTCTTGATCGGACACTTTTCTGCCTGCAGCGCGTCGATGATTGTGCCGTCGTTTTGCGTTAGAAAGAGGGGACACGTCAGCCCCAGCAAGGAGATGGCTTGCTTGAAGCCTTTGATTGTGGACCTTGCGAACTTCAAGATTGACGTGTTGAGAATCGTGGCGTTTTCTCTCTCCAGGTAGCCGAGTTGACCAACTATGACGAAGGCTTAGCTTTTGTTCGAGTCCGCCATTTACCGCTGAAGGGTGCAAGCTGGGAAACCAGGGCTGCATCATACTCTCGCTGGACAGCACCACGTCTGCGTCGGGCAGCTCTTGCAGCACGATCTTGCGGACTGCTTCCTCCTGCAGGCCCTTGATGTCCAGTGGAGAGAAGATGCCCACAATGGCAATATCCTGGATGCCTTTGGAGCGGAGGGTAGCGCACTCTTGGCGGATCTGATCCTCATTCAGGGGCATGATCTCCCTCGTGTCGACTGCAGGGCCACATGTCAGCGAAGTAACCCGCACGCCTGGGCACAAGGTACGATATGCTCACATTCCAGCCCGCCATCCAGATAGGAAACGTGGCCTCTCATGATTCTGCGGAGGATCGGGGGGAAGTCAAGAAATGCCGGGTTCTCCTTGGTGTAAGGCCCGCATATCCTCATCACACCCACCGGCCGCAGGTGGCGTTCGTCTGCTTGAACAACAGCGTTGATAAAATGCTAAGGGCGTGAGAGATTAGTTGACCGTCTCGAAGCACGTTTCTACTCGGTCGGGGATGCCAAACCGTGGTTCCTATCATCACTGAGGCAATGCTGTCCAGGGTAACATCTGCCTTGTTTATGGCACCCTGGATAGCCGCCTTGATCCCCTCCGTGACATCTGGCGTGGTTGGCGTCTTGAACGCGCTCCGAATGCCGCGATTGGGCTCGGACGATTCCCCCGGGTCTGGCGGTGCGCAATTAGTCACTTGCAGATGGCGCAATGTACGGGATCCATGAAGAGCCTACGAAGAATGACAGCGTCCGTATTCGTCCCACCTGCGCGGCTCCGTGTTAGACTAATATGATCAGGGGCGGCACGTTTGTGTTCAGAACTCACCAACGTCTACACCAATGCGGTAGTGTGCCCCTACTGCCATTCTGAAAACTGATGGAGTTTGATCAAAGTCGAGTCAAGGTGTGCCTGCAAATCCTGCCTTCGCAACCCATGCATGTAGTGGCGCCTTTGCATATGAGTCGTGGATTGAGCTGGTCTGAACAACGATCAAGTTATGCACGTGGTGCTCGCACTCGATGCCGCATCTCCAGATGGGTTGTCTGTTTTGGCAAAGGCACGCTAAGACATGATAACGACAAGCTCCGCCGGCGCACAGGGTCGGCACACCATGCCGGCGGCACAGTGGCGAGCTGCTCCGACCCCGCATGGTGGCTTGCCGTCGGCGAGGCCTTCCTTTTGCGGCATTGCCCAATCCAACCCAGCGCCTTGGAGCTGTGGCCGGCGCCACTGGGTTGTGTTATCAGTGATGTGGAGGCTTCCCCCATGACGGACCTAGCCAGGATCGGCCGCACTCCAACCGTCGGGTGCTTGCGTGCTCCAGATATCACCAAGTGGACCTCTTGGTCCCATATATCGGTCTGGCCCGAGTCACATCGACGGTCCTCATCTGCCGAACTTGGGAGCATCGCCAATACTCCCACCCTCAGACTGCAACATCCATCCACCACTTCACGCTCAGGACAAGACGGACACCATGGGCAGACTCTCCAGGGCTTTGACCAAGCTGGAACTCCCTGCCGATCAGCAGATCAACAAATGGATCAATGACGACCTCAGGCCTGTGCCTCCAGAGCGGCAGACATGGGGTGAGTACGACATTTTTCCATTGGGAGGCGACGTGCATCTAATGATTGGAGGCCCGCATGTTGCTTGTGCTTGCTGACAATGCCCTGGCGACAAAGATGCACTGCAATATGCCCAGCTATGGTTCCTGGTCAACATGAACATCAGCACGTACCAGACCGGATCGTCCATGCTGGCCGCGGGACTTTCCTGGTGGCAGGCGCTCATTGCCATCCTTGTCGGCAACTTCCTCGCAAGCGGTTTTGCTGTGCTCAACTCCTTCTCGGGGGCTACCAGCCATCTTGGCTACCCCATAGTCTCCCGTAGTGTATGGGGTGAGTCTGCCAATCTTCTTCATGCCTTCTTCATTAGTAGCGTCACTAAAATTACCCTAGGCATGTACGGCGCCTACTTCCCTGTCCTCAACCGTATCCTCCTCTCAGTTGTGTGGTACGGCGTCCAGGCCGTCATTGGTGGCAAGATGGTGTGGATATGCCTTCGCGCCATCTGGCTCGACATTGACGCGCGAATCCCAAACACGCTTCCGGACAACATTGGCATCACATCCTCCCAGTTTGTGGGGTACTTTATCTTCAATGTCTTCTGCTGTGTCTTCATATGGTTCAAGCCCACTCAGCTGCGCCCTTACTTTCATGGGGCTTCAGTCATTGTCGTCGTTGCCCTCTTCGCTCTGCTTGGATGGGCCATCGCAACAAGCCGGGGCTTCGGGTCCGTCATCGGCGGAGAGTCGGTGCTCTCAGGATCGAAGCTGGGCTGGACCCTCTGCAACTCAATCATGGCAGTCATTGGGAGCATTTCGGCCGGAATCTTGAACCAGAACGACTATACCCGCTTCGCACGAAAGACTAGCCAGGCCACCTGGCCTCAGTTCATCTCGTTCAACTTGAGTGCCTCGACCATTGGCACCATTGGCATCTTCATCACTGCTGCCACCCAAGAGCGTAGGCAATAACAATCCCATGTCGATCAAGACGATATACTCATGCTAACATCATGTTGCTTGGCCCAGAGTACGGTAATGGACAAGCCCTATGGGACTTGAGCTCGCTCTTCGCCGCCATGCAGGACCAGGGCGGGTCGGGCGCACGAGCAGCCACGTTCTTCCTGGCAGTGGTGTTCATGCTCTCCCAACTATCCATCAACGTTCCCGGAAACGTCCTCGCTGGGGGTCTCGACGTCGCAAGTGTGCTCCCCAAGTACATCAATCTTCGTCGCGGAGCATACATCCTCGCAGCTCTCAGCGTCCTGCCCAACCCATGGCAGCAGCTGGCTTCAGGGTCCACGTAAGTTTCTCCCTTCACATTCTTTTGGCGATGGGGGGGGGGGGGGGGGGGGCTCGGAGTCTTCATGTGACAATGACTAATGCTCGGCCTGGCAGATTCTTGTCGGTTCTCTCCGCCTATGCCGTGTTTCTGGGCCCGATGATCGGCCTGCTTTGCACACATTTCTACCTGATTCAGCATCGCCGCTTCCACGTACCGGACCTCTATGATGGTGTCAAGGAGTCCATTTACTGGTACAACTATGGCGTCAACTGGCGGACCGTCGTCGCCTGGGTCTGTGCTGTGTTCCCCAGGTAAGTGCTCGTTCTTCACCAGCAGCTCTCATATTGTTTTATACTGTTCCAGAAAGCTGGGATTTGACATTCCGTGTAGCATGCCCGGATTTGTGAGCTCTGTGAACCCGTCGCTGAAGGTCAGCGAGGGATGGTCACATGTTTTCAGCCTTAGTTTCGTCTTGGGCTTTTTCTTAGGTTAGTGATCCACGCCAATTATATCCAAAACGACAGCCCGAGAGCGACGTTGTCCGACCCCTTTTTGCTCGCGTTTGGCAATTTAGCTGCCGTACTGTCGTACGGCCTTCATTTATTGTTCCCGGTTCGCTATGACGGCACGACCGTTCTCGAAGGTCTTGCGTCGGATACAAACAGCGGCAGGTTCGAGGAAAGACATGTGGATGACAAGGGGGCGGACGTGACGATGACCAAGGCCGCGGAGTCAGTCTGAAATGGTTATCAATGGGTCTAGGTCCCTCAAAGCAGGACCGAGTACAGTCTAGCTGCACGGGGTGGCCTCACGGACGAACATATTTGCCATTTTTCTTCTCTCTGATTTTCGTTTTACTGTGTTTCAAAGATCTCGCTTAATCCTACCCATAATGTCGGCCTTGCGTGCTGTATAGATATTTTCCGGACCCGTCTGCAGTGAATGGAGGGGTCGTTGCAAGAAAACAGCAACATAATAACACTTTTGCTGATCTGCATGCACTCTGGGAGATCTGTCAAAATAGTAGGTCATGCCCGCAACTCCGTATCAAGAAGCAGCCTGCAGGTTTCAAGGATTCCTCCGAAGATTGCGAGATGGATCGTGGAAAGAAATAAAGTATCGTGATTTGAGTCTACCATGTAATATGCAATGAACATCATGCTGGCCCAGCCCATTCCCTCAGTTGTGGTGCGAGCCTGTTCCTCACCGCCGCGTTCGCCTTGATTCGATCCAGGACGACCAGGAGAACCTGATGAAAGGAAGACGTGTCCTTGCCCGCAAAGAAACCCTCCATTTCCTCATGCAACTCCGCACTGTCAAAATGGCTCAATCCCATCTCGAGACACCAGTTCATCACCACTGCACACTTTGACAATGTCTCGTGCACCTTCTGCCAATTTGACTTGACATACTCCCACAGATACACCCTGCCCTCCCCACTGGCCCCCAGCGAGGAGAACACCAGGTGCACATTCTGTAGCGTCATCTTGTCCGAAAACGCAAAGTCGAGCAAGTCCCACGCAAGGTCCTGGTCCCTGACCCTCCCGAGAGCAGAGAGGCAGACTTCTTTGCCGTCGACGGTCGTGTCAGCCACGTAGCTCGCCTTGACCGCCTCGTAGGCAGGTCTGCCCAGCTTTGCGACCGCATATCCGAGAATGATACCGCGGAAGCTCGGCGCGAAGGCGATCTCGCGGGCCTCGGCCCAGTCCGCGTAGTATTGCTCGACTGCTCGCATCGTGTCTGGGTCCTCGTGCGCCAGCAGAGTCTGGATGTACACACGTTGGTATTCGATGGCCTGGTACTCTTCTGTCTTGATGCCCCAGTTGATCGATTGTGAGTGTTGGTTTTTGGAGAGGGATCGCCGATAGTCGAGCAGTGCACGACCGACGCGCCCGTTCCCCTCGACACCTGCTTCCAGCAGATCGAGGCATTTTGCGATCTCACCCAGCTCGAATACATTACCGTTATGCTCCAAGCTGGTGCAAGTCTCCAACATGTCGATAATGGGGAGGTGCCCAGAGGCGACAAGAGCTCTGATGTCTCTCAGAAGCGGTATAATCTCGTTGCAGGTGAGAGTGGACTGACGCGCGAGCATTGAAAGCCGTTCTTCGGACGAGTACTTGAAGTGACAAAAGGTGGAGTCGCTGGGAAGCACAGAGACCTCGGTGGTATCCGCTGTGGCGATGGTGCCTTGCTTCGCCTGGACGATAACATTGCTTTGTCCAGCTCCATTCTGTGCGCTCACTTGCAAAGGAATTTGCCATACCGTGTTGGTTGGAGCTGGCGCAGACGGACTCTGCCCTTCGTCCTTCGCCGAGCACAGCAAGAAACGGGACTGTTGATAGTGGAGTTCACCGCTGCCAGTCGGCTTGGTCTCTACCATTGGAAAACCGGGCCGTCGAATCCAGGCGTCCATGAATCCAGACACTGCGACGCCGGACACGTCTTCCAGTGCCGCAAACAGGTCTCCTGTTGTCGCGGTCCCGTACGCATGCCTCTTCAAGTACATGGCGATGCCCTTGAGGAAGACGCTGACGCCCAGGTGTTGGGAGAGCATCCTTATGACAGACGCCCCTTTGAGGTAGCTGATGTCATCAAACATCTGCCGAGCATCCCAGGTTGTACCGACATCGGCCTCGATGGGGTGTGTCGCATCAAGGGCATCTAGGGAGAATGCTTCAGACATAACATTGGCCTGGCCCTATAAGTACGTGCTCAATCATCACAGGCTTGTTTGGATACTTACCGTGAAGTGAGGCCAGATTTGCCACTCTGGTCGAGGTGTCAGTGAGCATTCCAACGGCCTGATAGACGACCTGAGCTACATACTTACCAGGATAGAAGTGGTCCACGGCAAGGTATCCTGCCCACGTGGCAAAGCCCTCATTAAGCCACAGCGCGTTCCACCAGTCCATCGTGACCAGGTTGCCGAACCACTGGTGAGCCAGCTCGTGCGCGATGACATAGCAGGCTTTGAGCTTGACGCGGTTGTCGGAGGTCTCGTCATCGAACAAGATCTTAGGCGGTCTGTAGACAATCAGGCCCCAGTTCTCCATCGCTCCGGAGATGAACTCGGGGACGACGACGTGGTCGCACTTGGGCAAGGGATAGTCTGCCCCGAAGATGTCTGCAAAGTAGTCGAGCGTGGCCGCGGCATATTCGACGGCGAATCGGGCGTGCCGTGAGTAACCGGGGGCCGTGTAGACGCGCACCGGGATCTTTCTACCCTGATGCTCCCGCCGTGTCATCCGCTCGAGGTACTCAAAGCTTCCGATAGCCCATGCGAGGAGCTGGGGGTGCCGGTCAGCAAGTCGCGAGGATGACTGATAGACTACGTACGCTGAGCTGATTATAAAATGGGTCAGACTCACATAAGTGCTCATGGTGACCGTCGGCTCGAAGCGGACTCGCTTTGTGCCCGGCGAGTCGCCAGCTGTGACGGCGGCAACTGGCATGTTGGCCAGCGCAGTCAAGCCCTCGGGGATATCGAGCTCAAGCTCGAACGTGGCTTTCAGGCGCGGCTCGTCGAAGCAGGGAAATGCTGTGCGCGCATCACAGGGCTCGAACTGCGTGACGAGCGTGTATCCTGCTCCCCCATCGTCCTGTGATGTCCCTGCCGCCTTTAAGGACTGAGGGTCGTGCTTCGCTCTATAAAAACCTTCCATGGAGTCCTTGACCACGCCTTGGAATGTGATATGGATGCTCGCCACGCCAGGGCTTATATCTCGTGGGAGTTCAATCGTCAAGAATCCATTTGTGGTGTCCACGTTTGTCGCGAGGAGCTCATGGCCATTTTGGCTGATGTCGGCTTTCTCGACACGGAGGCCTTCGGCGTGCAGGATAATTCGGCTCGTTGGTTCGTTGATTGTGGCCGCAATTGTTACTTGACCACTATATTTCCAAGAATCGCCCCATTGAATGTTCCTGATGGCGAGCGAGTAGTGCGTAGGTGTGACGCTTTGGTTGATTAGAGTAGACTAAAGAATTACAGAAGCAATGGGGTTCTGGAACTCACCAGGTAGGCAAAAACCCGCCCTCGACCGTAGTTGTCTGTTTTGAGAGCATTGTGGCATCGCATGGCCTGATTTCTCAGACAACTTCACGTCAAGACAAGGGACTGGTATCAGTTCGCACGAGTTTGTTTCCAATCTTTCCGTCAATCTGTGGAAGAATGAGATCTCGAGCTCTTCGTTCTAGCTCTTGCCTGCATAGGATTGTGTCGATGCGCTAGTCAGCGCTAATTTTGGAGATTGCCACGCGGATCTGCCCACAAAACGCGGCCGTAACTCTGTTTCCCTGTTGGTCTGCTGGCAAACTCCACATGATAAGAGGTGGGGTGCCGCGGCGTCGGCGAGGCCTTCCCGGCTAGTAGAGATCGCCCATCCAGCTCGAGCGACGACGCGGCCCGATAATGGACCTTTGTGAGGTGCGAACCTGGGTGAGTCGCCGACGATAACCAAGTCCCTGCTCCCATGAGCAGATGGCAATCGCCCGCACCACAGCCACCCATGCCGTCGTCGAAGAGGGCAGCGCCCAAGCCCAGGACGCGCACGTTCTCGGGGTGTCTTACCTGCCGCAACCGCAAAGTCAAGTGCGATCTCGGAAAACCAACATGCAGCAATTGCAGCCGGCTCAAGCTGACCTGCCGAGGCTACGGGGCGACGCTTCACTGGCTACCGCAATGGCACCCGTCGATGGGCGCCAATGGAGCCGGGAAAGACAGAGAGAGCAGCCCGCCGTCGCAAGGAGGTCGAATGCGCTCGGCTCTGGACTCAGGTGCGTGCTCACTCGGCGCGACGATGTGCTAGATCACGTTTTAATTCATTGATACTGAGCATATGATATCTTCAGAGTCCGGGATGCTGCAAGGCGTGGGAAAGGAGGACAAAGATCTGGACATTGCAACCCAGCTCGACAAAATCCTGGCTGAGCTAGAATACGAGGCACCCGGCCGGAATCAGGATCTCCTCTCCTGGCAGCGCGTTCAAGGACCCTTTGGCGTGTTCTCGGCATTCCAGAGCAAAGCAAGCTCACCAGCGCTCCAGCCGGAACGCCAGGACGGAGACGGTCATGCCCTGGGCACATGGGGAGACAATGAAGACTTTGGCACGGAGCTCGACCAGATAGGTCTATTCGCAGATGCTGTCGATCTCGGAATGCCCAACCTGATCTTCCAACAGCCGCCTCTCAGGAACTGGGATCATCAAAAAGCATCATCACCAGAGCCTGCGACTCTGGATGGCAACGGCAACCCCTTGTTTCAAGCTTACGATCTATCATCCTCGGCACCCACTTATGGCTCGCTAGCATGGCAAATTCAAGCAAGTGAACCAGAGTTGCCGGCGGCTATCTCGCCCCAAGCACTGCCCATGCACGAGTCGCCATACCTGCCCCGATGTGCGCAATACCTGCTCTGGCATTACTCGAACCACACGATCCCGTCGTTGTCTGGCATCCCACTGCAAAATGAGAACAGCCTATGGAAGCGACTGCATTTGCCGACCGCGCTGCAGGCTTACGCGGAGCTGGGTGTCCTTGGCGATTCCAGTTTACCGCGCGTATCGCTGCTGTACAGCCTGATGTCAATCGCCTGCTTCCAGCTCAAGGCACTCCACAAGGATGCCCCTGGACATGGAGTTGTCGCGCCCTTCAGCTTGGGGCCGGCGTTCGCTGCCGAAAGCTGGAGCGCAGCGGACTGGGAAGCGCAAGGCATCAAGTTTCGAGACATTGCTCAGACGGGGCTCCAGAAGTTCCTCCGCAACGCAGAGACATCTCGGAGTGTCGGAGCCTCGTACAAGTACAAGGAGGTGCTGGTGGCTGCGGTGAGCCTTGTGTGCATCCGGGTGAGTCCATCTGCGCAATCTCGAGTGAAACTCTCAACCAGGCTCGGGCACAGTACAACCAGAGACAGCCTCTGACAGATGTTAGATCGTGAGTGGCGATACCACGGATGCGCGGCCTTACATCCTGCAGTGCGAGCATATCATCCGAAACATGAACCCGAGCAAGAATCGACTGTCCCGCAAGACGTCAAATCTTCACGAGATATTCTACTACATTCAAGTCATGGAGTCGGCGTCATCCGTGCAGCATAGCTCGCACCACACGAGGAGATTGTTGCCGTATGCTGCGGACCAGGACACGGGGGACACTGATCTCGAGGTTGGCGCAGGAGTCACGCTTACGCGCGATACAGACATTGCTCGCGTGTCGTCCTCGGAGCTTTGTCTTGACGAGACAGACGGGGAAGAGGATGTAATGTACGGGATCCCAGGCTCCTTGATCCACCTCCTGGCTCGGACCACGGCACTTATCGAGAAGACTGAGCAATCAGACCCATCCCAAGGTGACAAGCCGAGCACATCATCGCCCATCGAGGTGGAAAAGATGACCAGAACTCTAGAAAACGACATTTGCGCCTGGCCTGGGCAGCGGAAACATCGCAGTATCGCCACTCGCCCTCCCGCTCGTGACGTGCTGGCAACCCAATCTGGTGTCGACACCGACACTATCTTCGAACCAACATCTGACTCCTTCCACAAGGACAGCGTGGTGGATTGTAGCCTGCCACGCCTAATGACCGACTGTCTCGCCCAGGCGCTGCACGCGGCCATCCTGATCCATTTCTTCCGCACCGTGCGCAAGACACACCCGGCCATCCTGCAGCACTACGTCGAGGCCGTGACGAGCCACCTGGAGATGCACGCCTCGCTCAAGACCATGTCGGCGCCCGCCCGGCTCAACGCCATCGTGTGGCCCAGCTTCATCGCCGCCTGCGAGGCCATCGACGAGGGCCTAAGGCGGCGCGGCATTGCTTGTCTGCGCCAGGCGGCCTGGGCCGGCTTCTGCAACTGGGAGGCCGCCGAGGCGGTAACTCGCGAGGTCTGGCGGCGGCGCGATGCCGGCGACACGTGCGCCTCGTGGCAGCAGGTCGTGCGGGACTTGTCTGTGCACATGGTTCTGACTTGAGAATCTTCGCGACCTACGTTGAACATCAGGAAATGATCTGAACGGCTGAGACCATGGTATTCTCATTGCTGTCCATGAATAGAACCCATGGCGTCCCACCTCACTCGCAATACAGGCCTTGATCTGGCTGCGCATCGACTCACACTGCCGGCTGATCCTAATGCGGGAGGCTTACCCGATGTGTAGGTGCGCGGAGGTGGCCAGGGGGTCACTGTGGCAATCCCTACGAGCGCAACGTTCCGGGGAGTCATCGTTGCATAGGGACTGCCAGCAGCAAAGCCAGCCATTTCGCTTGCTTCCAATTCACCCCGCCTGTATCAACGGAGAAAAGGCACAGCACAAGGGCCACTGATGCCGTCACCATGGGCGTGATTCAACCAAGCACACACACAATTGCAGAGGTCACACGGCTGACGGCCTGTGAGCAAGCCTGATTGCGTGAAGTTACTGCAAGACCTTGGAACCTGCGCTGGCACGGCCCCCACAAAGGAGCACGCTGTGCGGGCATACCAAGGCCGTGGCTGACGCTCAGGTCCTTCCCTTCTGGGAGGTTCCCATCTTGAAGAATGACAGGCACCCGGATCCTTTTGCCGCTGTAACGCACAGGGGTAGCTTAGGTTGCGCCCAGAGATTGCCTTGCCTTGCGCTGCGTGCATATTTTGTTGAAACCTGCTTTCACGGGCAAGTCTCGTGGGGCATTTCTTCAGTCCAGATTGACTGCCCAAGGTGAAGATGAGGACAACCTGGACGGAGGCCGCAGGTGATTGAGAAGGACGAGGCATTACAATGTGCTGCTGCACGATGCGCCTGGCGGTCTCTCAGTTCGAGCTGTGGTTTATTTGAAAAGTCACCCGTAGATGCAGGGAGGCATTGTGCTCATGATGGATTTGTGCTCTTTTGCCACCACAATAGAACTCACAGCCTCGAGCATCAGTGAGAAGGACCACGGGGGATGGACAGAGCCACGCCGTCGCCCAAATCCCAGGGGCTCTTCGGCCTCGGGAATGATACACGGCTCCGCACAGCGTTCAAATTGGCAGTAAACACGAGTTTGATCATAGACCGCCCGACAACCGTCGTCCGACCGCCGGGGAATGCAAACTTACCAATTAGAGAGACGGCGGTAGCTAGGTGTCCTGGCACCACTGGGGACACGCAAAATCGAGCCCCTGTTCTATGCAGCGAGGCGTGAGCGGCTCGAACCGCACCCACAGCTGGGGCGACCTGAACATGGACATTATTACCCTCAAATGCAACCCACGTGCAGCCAATACCAAAGCCTCCTGCAGAATAACTCCCTTTGGCTCCTGGCTACAATTTTTGGCATCGGCTGGATCTGGAAATATTTCCAGAATGCAGTGACTTCACATGCTTCCCCACCACAGCCCGCTCGCTCAAAGGATCCAACCCCATGAAGTCCCCGCGCAGGCTTCATACGAGGTTGCATTGTAGAACTCGGCGGTAGCAAAAGTCAGGCGAGAAGGAATTTTTCTGAGAGAGACTACATAATCGTCATGTATCGGTAATCGTTTTTGCTCCTTGTCTCTCACATCCCTCAGTCAATCACTTCACACTATCACAATGGTCGCCATCAAGTCTATCCTCGCCATCGCCAGCTTCGGCACCCTAGCTGCCGCCGTCGCCAACGTCGGCGACACCTGCAACTGGGACCCCAAGCAGCCCGTCAAGACCGATTGCGGCCCTGACGGCCAGCAGTCTGTGAGTAGTGCCCTTCTCTTGTCCCGTTGCAGACGCTGCGTCTGGCAAATTGTGCTTCTTGCATCATGCATACGTTTTACTGACTGTCTATTGCGTTCTCCCTGCAGCTCATCTGCCAGAGCGACAACAAGTGGCACCTGTCGACTCTCTGCAAGAAACCTACCGTCTGCCCGCCTGGTGGCGGCTTCTGCGTCATCCCCGTTCCTTTCTGAGCGCGTGAACATCCATACGATGCGCGAGCTCCATTTGGGTGATGCAGGGCTTCTAAGAGGAGGGCAAAGAACGCACATGTGTAAAGAAGCGCCTTCGCTATGCATCGGAGGAGGGATTACCTATCGAGGAGGTCTCTTTCCTTGTTGGAAGCAAATAGTCGTGGACATAATTTTACGGCTACAGTGATCATTTAGGACAGACCAAAGCGTGGCATCGCCACTACCAATGATGAAATTTCAAAGGACTTCGCTGAATTTGTCAGTCTTCAGTTGTTCAGAGTGCCATCAACCTGTTTCACAAAGATTATCCCAAGGCAGAATGAAGGCCGTCTATATTTATGTCGTTCCGCCGGGGCTTGGAATGAGCCGATTCGCCCTGGAGTTGGGAGGGATTTGAGTTTGAAGCGCAGGGCCGCGTGGCCTCGATTGCAGCCCGCCCACCAATCAGACCTCGTGGCTGTCCTCATGTCTCGCGTCTCTTTGTGTCTTTTACTGAGACACTTTTATGTGCTGACTTGCTTGGCCGTTCGAGCTACCAAAACCCAGTGACGGAAACAGAAAGGGTCCCACGTCTTCAATCAGGCCGCCCCCCGCTCCACAACGGCCATAAAAGGGGGTTGTAGCTCGTGATCTTTTATGGCCATATTTAAACACCAGCGCACAACCAGCTAGCGATCCTACCAGCATTCAATACTTGACATAGAAGAGCTTCTGCAACGGCGTTGCACAGAAAGTGCCATCATGCTCCTCAGCCCCTGCATCATTCTGCTTACTGCGGTAGTCACGTCCGTGACAGCGAAGCATGACTACGGCGCGACAGTCTATCTTATCAGGCATGGCGAGAAGCCAGCGGACGGCGGTCAGGGTTTGAGCCCTGCCGGGGAGCAGCGCGCAGAGTGCCTACGGAATGTATTCGGGGCCTCGTCGGGCTACAACATCGGGTACATCATTGCGGAGCAGCCTGAGGGCAGTGAGTGCCACCAGAAACGTTTTGGCTATGATCGTGCTTGGCAGAGAACTCATAACTGTCTTCAACACAAGACGAACAAACATAATGCTGACCACACCGCTCACAGATGGGGACAGGGCACGGCCTTACGAGACGGTCAAGCCGCTCGCCAACGACCTCGGCCTGATGATTGACACGTCGTGCAAGAAGAAGGACGCCAAGTGCGTGGCCAAGCTGGTCCGCAAGTACGACGGCATCGGCAACATCCTTATCTGCTGGGAGCACGGGATCCTCACCAGGATTGCCGAAGCGCTGGGCGCGGAGAACGCACCCGAGTACCCCGGCGGTCAGTTCGGGGACATCTGGACACTTGCGCATGACTCTGATGATGTTACCACACAAGCGATGGAGGACTGTCCTGGGCTTGGGCCTTGACTGGACAGGTAGGAGAGATTCGGCTCAACAGAGGCCAGAGGGATTCATGTAAAGAGATACGAGGTCAGGGACAAAAGCACCGAGCAGATTATAATCGCCCAATATGTTCTGTCACTGTTCGTGGAGTTCGGTAACGCGACCGCTGGTCAAATCATTGGCCACCCTATGGGCTTTTCTCGGAGCTAATTGTCGTCCGGCTGTCAGATGGGATCCGCTTGACGATGGCTTCACGGCCATTCTTGACAGCCCAGTGTAGTCGCGCGTGGATGTTACCATTCACGTCGTGATTCATCACGGCGAAGACACGACTGCCTCTTCCCAAGCAGCAAGAAGTAATTTGACAACAGCATCATGGCCCTCTTCAATGGCCAGCTGCAGTGCCGTCCTGCCATACCTGTCCTTCGCATGGACATCGACCTGTCCAGTTGCGAGAAGGATCTGGACGATGTCATCGTGGCCATTCCTCGCAGCCCAATGCAGTGACGTGCCTTGAGAAGTGTGGTCCTTCTTGCCATTGACATTTACCCGGCCCGTAGCTAAAAGAACCTCGACAACGGCCTTGTGACCGTTCCTGGCAGCCACGACAAGGGGCGTCCCGCCGTTGATCTCCGGCTGGTCGAGGTCAAGCTTTCCATCAGCGGCAAGCCGCCTGACCACCTTGTGGTGGCCACTGGCTGCGGCTGCGTAGAGCGGCGTGCTGGTGGAGAACGGGAACTGGTATTGGCTATTTCCTCTCAGCCTGCTCGAAGGATCTGCCCCTTTGTCCAACATTAGCTTGACGACAGGTTCGTACCCTGCCTGCGCTGCCCAGAGTAGCAGTCGAGGGTTTTGGAAGTTGCGGATATCCTCGATAAAGTCCTCTATTGTGTCATACGGCGGTTCCTCAGCAAGGTCCACACCCAAGCGGCATATATGTTTGAGGGTGTTTCGGATGACCTGGTGGGTGCTGACTCTATAGTCAGGCTGTAGAGAGCTTGTGCCAGAATCTGTAGCCATGCCCAGGAACGCGTATATCCTGTCGAACGGATTCGTAGCTTCCGAGGAGGAGAAGGTGGTGATGAGGTCATACAAATCTCGGCGTGGGGGGGTTTCATAGGGAAGTCTATGCGACCGCAGCATTAGGGTCAACACTGATTTCGCAGCAGGGTGTATAGTACCGCCTGTGAGAGTCGTGATGAAGGTCCCACACACGGCAAAGACGACTGCCGGCACGGACTCCCTGCCGCAATGTACTAATGCGTCCCGAGCATTGTTTACCTCTTGCACGATCCAAAGCCTTCGGAACCAGGACTCCACGGAGACCGCATTGAATGCCAAGCGAAGTCTTTGATCGCTCATATAGTGCTGGCTACGAAGTGCGCTTGTAAAGTCTTGCCACATCGAACGCAGTGGGCTCTCGGAACTGTTGGCAAAGTCTGCAAACAGCCTTAACCCGTCGCCATCCTTCTCGGCTTGGGTGACCTCCTGGAGAAAGGCGGCGAGGGATTGGAGGAGGAAATCTGTCAGCTCCGTCGGACGTCCTATGCAGAACAGCACTCTTCTGGCACTGTCGAAGACGTCTCCCATCTGTTGTACTTGCTGACCTCGCTCGACAATATCGCCTTGGTTGATGCAGGTAGCGTCGTTCCATAACACCCTGTCGGCGTCGGGCGAGCGGAGATCTCGTAGGACCAAGCTCAGGTTGTAGGTTATGCCTAGTTGCCTGTCGCCGATGTGTATGACATCGTGGACTTCGGAGCTGCCCCATGTGTAGGAGACGGCTTCGTACCGGCCCTTCTCCAGGGGTAGTTCTGTGTGGAGCAGCTCCCCTTCCAGCCTTGAGTCGGAGCCTCTTTTGAGTCTGAGAAGTCGGAACGCGCCCGGGCGAGGCTCTAGTGGCTGATATGCGAAGTCTTGTGTGTCTGGCGCCATCGTTCTCAAGGCAGCCTGGTGATGTGCTCAAGAATGGGAACTCGCACCCAACGTCCTGCAGGCGAATGCGGGGTCGCCAAGGACAAGAGATCGACACCTCAAAACACACATCAAAGGGGTGTGGGGCATTGTAGCGGTTGTGCGCTCGTGGAGCAACAAGCCGTCCTGTCTCTAACAACCCTGAACTAAGACATGCTTCACATGCAGGACCTCAAATGCACGACATGACATTTGTGATTGGCCATTGAAATCCCATTCGCTGTCTAGCAGCATGATTCAAGGGGGCAGTGGTTTTCATAGCCCTAACCATGGCATGGGCGGAAGCCTGCATGTGAACCTCGCTTTGTATTTTTGTTGTCTAGGTCGAGTGTCGTTCAGTCTCAGGTACCGGTCTTTCATTGAATACAATGATTCAATTGACGCATTTTCAGCCACACGACCTTGCCGTACTTCATCAGCTCCCGGAACTGCAGAGGCATAAGGAGTGCAAATCCAACTAATGTGCAAGGACGTCTACCACGTCCCGTGCGGGTTCCTCCTTCCCCCCTCCTCCCCAATCTCTTACGAAGTGAAGCCATTAAAGTCGAAGTGAGTATCGTAGCTGCATTTGTGCCACACCCAATTCTCTCTTCAGTCCCGGGGGATGGACTGCAGCCTCTCCCCTGGCCCGAAGAGGGTACAGGTGAATCAGCTGAAGAGCGTAGTCCTCTATCTGTTGTTGACGAGTACCATAGGTCATCGCCGTGTTTTCAACATGTGGGAGATACGAGCTGCGAGGCGTCTGGTGGAGCGAGCGTGCCGGTGATTTACACGCAGCAGTCGATCTGCTACCTGCGCATGGGTATCGCTCGACATAGCAAGTACAAGACGTTGGTAGCCGCCATCAACATTTGCAGGCATGGGCGGCGTCTCGGACCAGATGCCCCGTTCTAGGCCATTTTCAAGACCGCCACTACGTAATTACCCGGGGCCTGTTTGTCTCATTGGCGGGCACCCCGAGGGAATTGTGCACTTTGGCAAGCCACCATCCGACCGCCAAGAAGTATTGGACCAGGTGGCCAGGCAGTCAAGCATTTGCCTTTGAGCTTGCTCATCGTTCCTGCTTGGAAGAAAACGAAAATGGTGCAGTGGTATGGCTCATTGGACCTATTCAGTATTGGAAGAAGCCAATCGGGCATTTCGGGAGCAAAGCAGGTCCTTCGAGGCTGCCGGTCACGGGAGACAGACCCCAGCAGTCTCTGAAGAGCTTGGTCAAGGCTTGCGATATGGCCGAACACAGGCCCTGGCAATACGCACGCGACCCAAGGCTGACCACAAGTCCCCATTCGTCGGTGGGAGCAACTTTGGCGTACAATCTGGACTGGATTGCCCGAAGCTTTTCGAAAGACAATGAAGGAGGCGTCGACAGTGCTCTGTTTCCGAGGCGAAGGGCTGCGCTCATTAGTGGAACGTCATGAGCTGGAACTTCCTCAAACGGGTTTCGCGGGAGCCGATCGCCCGGGGTTGGGAGGTAATCTATTCACTTAGGGTTCAGGAGCAGCTACTAGACCAGACAAGCTGCGCCGCAGCGCAGTACAGGTGAGTTGAGCACAAGGCGGGACTATTTGAAGACACCCGTAATCTCTCAGATTATGGCCGATGCTCTGCTGACCCTGAGATCTAGGCTCGACCTTTCGGATCTTCTGTGTACATTAAAGTACAGTCGCTCTGGACTCGTAAGCTAAACTATAGCCAGTGTCCTACACGTTGCGTGAGCCAATCTGTGCCACTCGAGTCGATTTTGCCTCACCTAGCGAGCTTAGGTACTTAAAGAACGTACGTACGGAACAGCTTGAAGTGAGGTGTCTGCACCTCCACACTTTAGGTCGACCCTAGAATCCGCCCTTGTGTCTCGTCTAATCCCGTGGCCGTCACACCCTTCCTCGTTACAGCCCCTTCATTACTGCCACATTCCCAGGTCTTACAGCAGGGACCGTTGGACCTTGGGCATGCATAACCCCGCACGTGTTTTTGCTGAAGAGGCGGTATTGTCGTGTCAGCCTGATGTTGTGGTTCGCTCGGTCTTCCTGTTACGTATCTGGACAAAACTTCTATACGGCAGCTGCGCCAGTAAGTTTGGCATTGTTACCAACCGACAAGGAGGCACTAGCCGCCCTGTCGCTGGCCTGTAACATACTCCAGCTTGTAGGTACTGGACTTAATGTCACCTCAGCGCTTAAGCAGATGCGTGACGAGCTAGGCCCGATGCGAATCTCAAGGCGAATGCAACTGTCCTGAGGCAACTTTCACACGAGGGCAGACAAGAGTTGCAGACACAGAGCTTACACAGTGCCCCAGGCGAGGAGAAACGGCTGCAAGAGACCTGACAAGCATTGCAGAGTACCATTCTCGCCGAGCTACGGTAAGTCTTCGAGGACGCCACGTATACAAAGAAGTGTGGCTGAACCATTCGTGGAGCGAGACGGTCAATAAGGACCGGACCACAGTTAGCCGTTAGCTCCCACCGTTGAAGTGTGAGCTCCAAGCCCATGTGACAGAGCTGCACAAGGGCAACACTAGCGTCTCAGCTCTTGGAGACCAGATTAGCGACGCACTCAGCCAAACGTTGGCGTCCATCAACCTGAACGCAGCTGCAACCACAAAGGCAACTACCGAGGTCCGCAATACGATGACCAAGCATAACGATGACCTCGTGCGGTCCCGCCAAACCGAAAAGGATGTAGCAGTCATAGAGCGAATTCTAGACAGCCTTTATTTTCCAACCATGAACGCACGCCGGAATATGAGTTCGCTCGAACACGCTGAGGGGACTTTCGACTGGGTGTTCAACGACGAATCCGATCCGGACGATACGGACATTCACGGCAGTGGACTTTCCACGAAACAAACCTCGTGGAAATCTGATGATGAGTCTCGCGAAGATTGGGACGACCAGAACAGTGCAGCCAGCTACACGAGTTGCGCTGCGACATCCCGTGCACTGGAGCTTTGGCTAAAGAGCACCGATCAACAACTCTTCTGGATCAGTAGCAATGCAGGCACTGGTAAGAGTACACTAGTCCACTACTTGATCGACCGCGTCGCGCCGCCTCCGATTCTGGAGATGTTGAGAAGGGGAGATGAACAGCCTCTCGTGCTCTCCGTCTATATTTGGGCTTCCGGAGATGGAATGCAAAGAACGATGCAAGGAGTGCTGTGTGCTCTCCTTCCCCAGGTGATGTCTTTCGATCACACAACCAGCAAAGACACGTCGTGGATAGAGTCTTCCTGGTCAACCAAGAAGAGCCCAGCGGACTGGAGCGAGCCCGAGCTCCGCCAAACTTTCGCCACTGGGCTGCAACGGCGTACGCAGACGACATACATCTTGTTGGATGGGCTTGACGACATCTCGCCGAAGGGTGGCAATTGCGACCGGCTGCTCAAGCTGATGTGGTCATTTCGAGATTCCCCGACTACTTCCAGTACCCGTTCAGTTCCCAGACAGCTTGGACCCCTGCCCACGAACCCACACAAGGCTGCATGCAACGACTGCCCTACGCCCATCGCGAGTTGAAGACACTAGAGTAGATAACAGAACTGAACCATCTCAGGTCTTGACCAGACGATTATTGCGGGGGTATTTGATTGGTACGCTTCATTCTCCCGGGGTTAAGATGCGATGCTGACTGGCCCGGCAAACGTGGGCGACGCTTGTCCAACACCTCACAAGGGCGGTGGTGTCTCAAAGGCCCACAATCGCTGCTCCTCGACTAGCTCGGCAAAATCGTGAAGCCAGCCGCCCGACTTGATCTAGTCCCACGCGTTCTGCCCGTCGTGGGCCATCTCGTCGTCGACAGCTATGCTTGAGACCAATTCGGACGAGCAGAGCTCTTGTCCAGTGCTAAAATAGGTGTAAAAACAAAAACGTATAACACTAGGGATTCGCTGGTCGTCACCGACCCAACTACTAGTCTAGCGGTAGTGAAGCTCAACTTCAAGGAAAGTGACTTCCATTCCTGGAAGACTCTACATCCGAAATCGGAAGCTACTTTCCCTCACTAGCGCAGCTACGCCACAGGCCACTAGTAAGGGGCCTACTTTAATTTCCACTACGTCTATTTTAAGATGATTCCCCATTTCTGTTTCCCGTTTATAACGGTTCCCTATAGTTTTAACACTGCTTATATGTGACGGCCAACCAACAGGGGATGCTTGTTACGGACGCAAAAGAGCCCAAACAACTAGGCCACAGGATCAGGCCAAGGACAAGGGCGGATCATGTGGCAGCACCGTCACAGGTTTCTTATGTAAGCACGATAAGGGACGATAAGGAAGGTACGTACCGGTCATGCATATCTGCATGACTGACGCTGTGCCAAGAAGGATGGTCACCAATATCTGCATGACCGTCAGGACCAGATTCATAACCTGGCCGCGACCATCGGGCTCAGAGTCATGACCACGATGAAGGACAAAGGATATATAGAGTACGGAGGATCTCCTTGTGGACAGTCATTACCTTTGTACTTCAGCGATCAATCTAAGTATCAGTTTCACCCACACTTGAACTAGTCACTCAATTGCCGAGACTGGTATCTCTTCCAAGAGACACGAACGACAACCCAGAGAGAGAACGACAGCAGAGTGTTAGTTGTTATTGTACAGGCTTTACCTATCTTGCAGAACAGCAACCCCAGCGCCCTGCCAGACGGTTGACCCCGGAGGCAGGATCGTGACACCGGACTCGAATTATATATCACGAATATATCCCGTACTAAAAAAGCCTCTAGGATATCCTAGATTATAATTACGGATACCAGCTAATTCCTAAGCATAGGCAAGGTAATATTTAGTATACATCTATATAATATATAGAGTACGTAATTGTGACGACCCGACCAACAGGGAAACTGCTTGGGGCTGAGGTAACAAACAAGCCCAGCACAAACAAGGCCGCAGGATCAGGCCAGGGACAAGGGCGGACCAGCGAAAGGCTGGCGGGGAACACATTATGTAAGCACCCACCTTACGTCAGCAGCCGACGATGAACGGTCGCACGGCGACCATCATCCGTCGGTCTTGCGACAACAAACTGTCGGCATGCGACCCAACGGTGTCGCAGGACGACGGGCACGATGAAGGACAAAGGGATATGTAGAGCCAGAAGGATCTCCTAGATAGACAGTCATTACCTTTGTACTTCAGCGATCAATCTAAGTATCAGTTTCACCCACACTTGAACTAGTCACTCAATTGCCGAGACTGGTATCTCTTCCAAGAGACACGAACGACAACCCAGAGAGAGAACGACAGCAGAGTGTTAGTTGTTATTGTACAGGCTTTACCTATCTTGCAGAACAGCAACCCCAGCGCCCTGCCAGACGGCTGACCCCGGAGGCAGGATCGTGACACCCGGGTAGGTAGCTATTAGCCTTTTTTTAACACTATTCGAGGTCGATTAGCAGGCATAACAAAGAGCCGAACGCATTTCCCACTCCTTATTAATGCTCTTCTTCATTCGTAGTATAACATAGATAGCCAGTTCGAAACGGCCGTAAATAACGGCCGTATATAGAATATTACAGCCATTTTGCTATATTTCCTTAAGATCGGCGCCGTAGCGAAGGAGGAGTTCGATCATTTCTATAGCACCTCCTCTAGGACCCAGGGCGTAATACCATAATAGCGACAGATTGTGCTCATTTTTGGTTTTGACGTCCACCTTTCTCGACGCGAGGAGAAATTCAACGATTGGAAACACACGTAACCAGATTGCGAGCATGAAGGCGTTAGTAACAGCGTCTTTGTTAAGGCGTGCTTGGTTGAAAAGCTTCTCGAATGTATTGATAGCAGACACCGAGTTCCCGAGCTTCTTGGTGGCATATATGACCGGAGCCAAAACAGCCAGGTCCAGCGGTGTCCATCTCCAGTATGCGCGCTAGTTTCTGGCGGCCGGCAGCGTAGGCAAAGATCTCGGATCCGCCGCAGCTTTGTCGGCTTGCGCTCCATTCTTGAGCAGGGTGTCGATGATCAGGGCTTGACCCAGGAGAGCTGCAAGATGCAGCGCAGTCCACATCCTCGAGCCAGTCTTCTTTCCATACAAGAGAGGCGACACCAGCTCGTAGTCACCCCGTGACGGAATCTCGGGGACTTCGCCGAGGAGGAACTCCTCCTCATGCCGACAGCCCTTGACCGGCAGCACGAGCGAAAGGTCGATGGGTGCAAGGTATGATTTGACGATCTGCCCACCGCTGGCAAGTAACAGCGAGATTCCCTCCGCATTGCCTTCAATGACGTGAAAGGCTAACTTGAACTGGATGCTTTTCTCCGCAACAACCTGGTCTATGAAGCGCGGCCGTTGATTTTGACCTGACATTGCAGGGAGAGAGTCTTTGCACTGAAGCCTGGTGGCGGGTGATTGAAGCCGTGGATTGGGATCCCGGGAGACTGGGGAAACTGAGAATGAGCGTGAGTTTCGCGTTCTGGTTGCGGCGTGTCGGTCATATTGTACTGCATCTAATAGTCGTATTGCATGAAAGGAGCAACCGCTGAGCCTGTTGGTGCGCGCACCGCGACGGACCACACCCTGGGCAAGGTCAGGGATTATGATGTGGTATTTCATTACCGATCGTTTACATGCCGCCGAGAGTCCGGATCGACTAGCGGTGTGGTCACTCGGCTGTTGTGCGAGGCTCCAGAGGGATATAACTGAGGCGAACCGCCGGCGTTGTTCTCTTCTAGCCTGATCCACGTCTGCTCCATATTGATTCTCGCCTGGCTCGACCGTTCGACTCGATTCGCTCATGAACTCCATCTGCGATCATGTCAGCCGGAAATGCTACTCCTCAGATCTCGGGGGAACCAGAAACAAGCTCCCGCACTTGGTGGCACCTTCTTGGGGAGCTGTTTAGATTAGGTAGGAACATTTCAGGAGATGATTGGTCGGCGGTTTCGGGCCCAGAGAGTAAGGTTGTCGAGACCGGGTTCGCCGTCGGGTCTGAGGGACAGCCGCACACTTCTCCTGGTATGACCAGTCCACAACTTCCACAGATGGATAGATTCAGGACAACTTCTAACATGAGTTTCTTCGATAGATGACAGGGTTTCCGTCTCTCAACCCCGACAGGATGACATCGCCTTGAGGCCTCATCGATGGCGCGTGGAGCGTTGGAACTCAGACCAGGATCTCCAGTCGACCATAGAGCTTTCGCTGGATGCCCTTCCATCGCGGTTCCATCTCCCTCAAGACATTCTTGGGCCCCTACTTGGCAGAAGCAACGCGCATCATTCCGTGGTTCGCGATCACACCAGACTTCTTGGATTCTGTGCGACATATATCACGAACGCGGATAGCGCTGGGGACTTCGTCGGGTCTCTGGGTCCTGGTGCTGTTTTGTTCCAAACATCTTCCCCTGTCCGCTTTTCGAAGTGGATAGGGCTGGCGATAAGGGATATATTGCAAGGGAATTGATACACGGGCGTGATCTTACACGGGCATGACTTTTTATGATACATCATTGGCTGATCTCGGATAAACCCCACAGATACTTTTTCGCAAAAGCGGTGTGAGAAGCCCTCTTAACACGTTCTCTCCTAAGCTCCGAGCCGCCGGACCTTAGTGTTTCGGGGCGTCCACAGGAGCTTCTTCCCAGCGTCAAATCTCTCGATTAATTAATAAGTCAAAGAATTTCGCGTGAGGGACCAATGTCGGTCTACATTGTGAGAACTTGTTGTACATTGGCCAGCACTGCGTAAGCACTCGGCAGACGGGTCTCACCACTCCAGTCAGACTAACCCTGGGACCGGGGATGAGAACCCCACCCATGACCCTGCAGGTCCACTGAACCGCCCGAGATTGCGCAGGGTCCTTAGTCCTATTTTCCACATCAAAAGGTAATTCGCGGACTGATTGATGACCCGGCTACCTCTATGCCACCATGCTAAATAGAATCCATCCAATTTAATGCTTGGGAGAAATTTTAGGGGTACTTATAGAGCAAGACAGACCTCATTTTCAACATTGGTGGGACCGTCATCTTCTGTCAAACAGACCATCAGTTACCATGCGCTTCACCACCCTTTTCGCCGTCGGCCTCTCTGCTCTGGCATTGGCAAGTCCCGTCGCCGAGCCCCAGGATGACATTCAAGATCCCTCTCCGCTTGCCCTCGAGGACAGGGCGTACCAACCAACCTACTACGTTATCTCTTGCCAGGTGACCGCTAGCGCCTTGAAATACCGGACCTGTGGAAGCTCGACCTGCCCCGCAGTAGGGCAGTACACTAAGGGCAAAGTCCTTCCAGTCCACAAGGTCCTGCGAAACGAGATTCCGTACGTATCATTCTGGCCCGCCCGCTTGCATGGCGACTCAAAGCTAATCTTCGTATAGCGCCTGGTACCACCTTAAGAATGGGTACTATGTTTCCTCGCAATACTGCTCCGTCTATGGAGGTTCGGCGACCTAGTACAGTTGAAGGGTGTATCGGCGCTTCCTATGCAATGCGCCGAGGAGTACTGCATGCGTCCCAGGTTACTCAAGATGTTTAATATAACCGCGGATCCCATTCTTGCAACAAATACGAAGCATGGCTCCCGGGGGCGTTCAAGAGAGTGTGTGTTCGGGCGAACGTTTGTCGGTCAAGACCTACGATAGATATGCCCGCACGTTTGGCACCAGTGCTGTGCAATTTTCAAGTGGTGTCTGGCATTTCCGGCATCTGTGCTCGCCAAAACATTGAAGTGTGTAATGAATTCCTGCCGATTGCCTTTTTCGTCAGGCCTTCGCAATAACACTTGGCCGCCAGCAGGTGGGACGAGTCCTACTGTGTTTGTCTTGACGTCTGTCTGTCTATCAGGCAGACAGGGTGCTGTTCGTCGAGAGGGTCGCCTCCCTCGAAATCCACGAATAATCAAGTCCTGTTGATTGGACCTGCCCAATTAGGTTGGCCTCTTTGTTGTCTTGGTCAGAACAGACATTGAATAACGTGACAATAGTAATTCCGTCGTGCTGATGTTGGTGTTTTTGTGCTACAATGATTGCTTGCTAGCTTTAACATGACTTGTCTCTGGAATGCTGGCGTCCTTGAACCACAAAAGTTCAGCTGTGTCGTCCTAGATTGTGTGTCTTGTGTGCGACCAACATTTTACCACAGGAAGTACAAGCATCAAAGTACAACAGCATGTGCAGAATATGAACAAACAAGTCTGGCCCAATGCTTCCAACCTCGCTTGCACCCCAGACAATGGTGTGGGATGATCCGTGAGTTCAATTGTCGGGATTCTCGCCGAGAACAACACCAGGAGATGCGCACTATGGGAGAAGGACAAGCCAGTGGGCGATTATCACGGCTTGCGTAAGCTCACTTCCGAGTATGGTTTTTTTCCCAGCATCTGTCTTGGATGTTGGAAACTACGGATCTCGCGATCAATCAGCCGGGCGTGGGCTAATGAGGATGACACTCAAGTTTGAGCTCTGCGAGCAAGCAAGTATAAGTTTACAAAGCAAGAGGGCATTTCCATACTGGTAAATGCTGGTCTCGTCTGGGTCACCTCTTGGGAGATTTATGTTAGCTGAGCTGAGGTGGCATGGGCGAGGCCTTGCCCATAGTGACGTAGATGTGCATGGTCCTCGGCAATCGACATGTTGAACCGGCGGGATATGCAAGTAGGATTTTGGGTGTGTCTGACGTGACTTTCAATCAGATGTGCTCTGTGAGTGAGCAGCGGCGATGAAGAGTCCTCAAGAATGCTTGCTATACGGATAGAATGTCCCGCGCGTCTTCGTGGCATATTGTGGCGCCAGCGGTTGCAGGCGAAAAACCCCATCTGGCCAATGGAGTATTTGCGTATTGACGCTTCGAGTGTTTACTATGAGGCAACCTCCTAGAATTTCAAGCATTTTCATCTGCAGTCTCCACACGTCCTACCTTACACACATTGAGTTAAACTATCAGAATGCACCGATATTTAAAGGTCCAGGTGAAAGGGGATGTGGTAGCTGCCTGACTCGGCCTTCCACGCGTCGCAGTGAGCGCTGATCGCCAAATATCAGTGCGCAGCATGATATGCTAGACAGGGTCGTCTGTTCAGAAGGCTGAAATGCTGAGGGCCGGTTCTCTTCAGCCAGAACACAACACTGCTTACCGGAGCACTTGAAGGAGGTGACCAGCACTCGATATGCTCTTGTTCCGGACACATCACAGCCATGGACCATGAGTGTCGCGCCGTCGTGGCACTATTTTGTATCTGCGAGCATGTCAACTCGAGATCCTTCATTTTGCCAAACCCCCAAGGCCTGTGTAGCGCCGTGATGGGTTCCCGGGTCTACCTGCCGACACATGCTACTGCGCACTTGTGAAAAGGTCACTCGCATTGACCATTGTGAAGGGAAGGGATGCTGAACGGGGCCACATCATTGTCGTTGCAACATACTGCCACTAGCCCATCTCTGCACACTGCATCCTGCGTCCAGAGTGGTTCTTTCAAAGGCAGGCAGCCCTTCTGTTGACAGTAGCCTTTCTCTATGCAGTCAGTGCAGTAAGGGCATGCAGTCAGATATCAGCCGATTACCATGCCACCAGCAACGAGCAAAAAGTTGCACTTCCCCGCGCGCCACGCCTGTGCTGATCCGTGCTGATCATTCCCCCTGGAAGAACGCTCAGCTCACCTTCGCCTTTAATACGACGGCGAGCTGAAGGAAGAATGCACGGCTGTTTCTGCCAACGGGGTGAGGAGCCAGCTAGACCAGAAGCATGCATTTTTTTTATTGACGCAAGACAAGGCAGCAGAGGTCAGCAAATACGAGGAAGCAAGAGCACTAGCGTGGCTTGGGAGACATGCAGGTCCTGCTTGTAGCAGGGATCGCCGGCCATCTACAACGGGCTTTGTTTACGGTCTTGGCGCAGGGGGGGTCAGACGGGCTCGACGACTGCCGTTGCCGCCACACGAGAAAGAAGCTCTTGATGGCTGAAGGACTAGCATTTCAATGACGTGATGGGAATTGGTTCGATATGCATGATGAAGCCGGCCAGTGCTCCGTCTGTTTCTCACCCAGGTCGCTAAAAGGTTGTGTCTCTGGCAATCTAGATTGTCTTGCAGATCCTCTGGATCCTCTTGGAGCATGCTGTCTAGAACGGGCAGGTCTCCCTGGCCACGACCCACAGCACTTATCGGCAGGCTAAATCTGGGGAGAGGAGCGGGAAGCTAAATTCCACCTTGTTTTTTCTTCCAGGCTTGAACGAGCGATGATCAGCCCAGCTGCACCCTGCCACGGTTGTGCTGCCAGTGGAGCCTCATCTCGTCATTAGGGCCAATGCGGTGTGCTGGGAATTGGCACCCTGGCCGAGCACTGCCCTGCCCAATGGCACTCGATCCTCTGTGCCAGGCACGTCAACAACGGGCCCGCACGTCAGCTGACAGTGGCTCAAGCGTCTCTTGAGTCTCTGGCAAGGCAGATTATTCTCCTCCCGTTGCTGGCGCTCGTCAGTTCTGGTAGATGGAGTCATGTCTCAAACTCACCAGCAGCCGATCCGTTCGTGTCCTATGCTTGCCTGACAGTTGAACGTCAATCCAGTGCTTCACGAGTGGCCATCCTGCTGCATGTCCTCGCCCCTCCCTCCAGGATGCTCCCGCCAAGCAGGTCGGCTGTTGAGCAGCAGCAACGTAGGATCCCTGCCCCATCAGCACAGCGTGACTGGACTTGCACATCACAGCCAAGAGAATAAGAGTGGCATGGAGGAACCGGCACCCGGCACGCCAAGACAACTGCCCACACCGCGAGCCCCCGCTGCTCCTTGCATTGCCCAGCCCCCAACTCGCAATCTGCGCTGGACAACGTCGTGCTTTGGATGAGTTGCCCCGGCAGACAAGGGGAAAGGATCCTCTGGTCTTGGCAGGACCGCAATGTTACTTAAGACTGGTGACATCCCCACTGGTTCTTCTCGAAGCCTTGGATGGATGGTCTTCACCACCGGTCACCTCGCCAGTCGCCCGCTGCCCACCGAGTTTACATGCGCTGCGACGAATAATTAATTCTTAATCTTCTGCCTCAACGTCCAATCGAGGCCCGCCCAGCCATGAAGTTCTCCACGGCCTGTCTCCAGGCCCTCTCCCTGGCCGCCTTGGCCACCGCGGCTCCGGCCGCCGGCACTGTCGCGTTCCCACCGGAGTCGGCCAAGCCAAAGACCATCACCTTTGAGGAGGCCGTCGAGCTCATGCAGCCACCCGCCAATGCGACCGAGCAAGACTCCCTTGCCGTGGCCGCTGTCGGTGAGGAGGGTGGCGGCATGACCGTCATGGCCGGGTGCCGCAACGACATCCGGCGGCGCTGGGGTACGCTGTCGGCGGGGGAGCGCGACAACTTTGTTGGGGCGATCCGGTGCCTGACGCAGCGGCCGCCCCGGGGCATCTGGGGCGGCGCCCGCAGCCTCTACGACGAGCTGGTCTGGGTGCACTCGCAGCAGAACGGCGAGATCCACGGCCTCGACCTGTTCCTCCCGTGGCACCGCTACTACCTGCACGTCTTCAAGCGCCTGCTGATCGAGCAGTGCGGCTTCAACGGGCCCATCCCCTGGTGGAAGGAGACCAACAACGCGGGCAACTTCCCGGCCTCTGACATCTTCAGCGATCGCTGGTTCGGCGCCCTGCCCCAGGCCAGCAATGGTGCCGGACAATGCCTGACCAATGGTGTAAGTTCTTTAATGACATGGAGAAACATTCGATATCCTTTGCAAGACTCTCTATCAGAAGGCTGACTTGGAGTAACCAGGCCTTTGGCGGCCTCGTCGACCGTATCAACAACCGCTGCGTCGCCCGCGGCGAGATCAAGTCCGAGACCAACGAAATCACCCTCGGGTGGGAGGACATCTGCCACGGCCAGCAGGGCAACACGTTCCCCCAGCACCGCAACTGCGTCGAGCTCTCGAACCACTCCCGCATGCACCGCGGCCTGGGCCCGACCATGGCCAACGCCGCCACCTCGCCCGCCGAGTAAGTCCCCTGAGCCCACCATCTTTCCTGACTTGTGTCAATTTTATGAATCAGAATGCTGACCATAGGAACTTTAAACAAAAACCAGCCCGGTCTTCTTCCTCCACCACCAATATGTGGACTGGCAGTGGAAGCGCTGGCAAAACGCCCAGCCCTCGCGCTGGCAGACCATCTCGGGCTGCGCCAACAAGGCCAACCCCTGCGCGCCCTTGACACGCGACACCCGCCTCAGCTCGCTCGGCCTCTACCGGGACATGACCGTCGGCGAGATCCTCGATACTGAGGGCGACGTCACCTGCTACACTTATGACAATCTCATCTAATTTGAAATTGCCATGTTTCGGAGTGCTCTAGTCTTTGCTTAGCTTACCGTAGCCAAGGAAAACGCAATGGTGAAATAAACAGCCGACGAGACGAGCATGGTGGGATGGAGTCGGGACCGGAAATACACACACGATTAAAGTAATTAAAGGGCAATTACTACACGGGCATGAAGAATTGCTACCCGGGCATGACTCTTACACGGGCATGACCTTTTGCAGCCTCTGATTGGTCCATCCCTTTTTGTTAGTGCATCTAGATTCTGCCAACGCTTCCCTTGTACCTCGGGATTAGCTCTCCACCACGACGATCGACGAGACATATGGAAGCTATTCACTAGCTAGCTACTACACCAATTACCTCTTGTCGCATGTCAAGCCTACTGATAATGATTGTTCGTGAAAGATACCATATTTGTCAAGGTCCCAGGGCTCCAGGCGTGGTGTGTTAGGCCCCCTGCTGAGACCAACACTCAAACACACGCTGTATCAGGAATATCCAATAGCCTCATCTTCCAAGGCATCTGCATCACAAAGCAGGTCATTCCTTTGTGCTGAAATTGGTCCCCTCTTTCCTTCTTTCATAGTCAAATCAACTGCCCCTTTAACCATGCGCTCATCCGTGCGTGCGACACTCTTCCTGTCGCGATCAAGGCCGTCATTATGTCCCAGCCCGGCTCTCGATCTAGCTCAGCAAGCAACCAACGACTTCGAAGCTATCAATTACGTCCTCGAAAACGACAGCGGCAGAACCAATCTGAGAGTTCAAGACCACCTTCGTCTAATAGCACAGGGACGAGCATTGGCCCACACTATGGCGTGGGAGACGACGAGGCACTCTGTAATGCTTTCGCCTCGTACCCAGAGACCTTCACGACCGCTCCACGCCCCCATGGATCGCGTGGGCTGAACGAGCCACCATGGGAGCTGCGATTCGATCATGAGATTCACCTATCGAATGATTTCCCAACCCGAGGAAGACGGTCGCAACGAGTAAGAATGCCTATACCAGGCCCGGAAATCGACCAGCCACCTGCCTGCTCTCCACAACAATCAGCACAAGAACAATTCTCTCCAACAAGACCCCAGTTTCAGTCCGCCCTTAGGCTAGTGCGCGAGGTGATTGGGACAGATCGAAGACTTACCATCGAGCTCGTCCGGTCATACGAACGAGTCCGCCAATGGCGCGAGATATGGGGCTACTCGCCGCTCAGTTCAACTCCATTCGAATCATCTCCGCCATACTCGCCTCCCCGAGAAAGGCACTCTCCGCCTATCGCCTCGCCGCCCTCGCCCGACCACCCCTTGTCGCCTGTCCCTGACCCGATCCCGAACCCACCTATCCCAGACGACCCAGCGCCGTCAGCCGAAGTCCTGTTCGAGTGGGTGAATACTTTCGCGAAGGCTAATGGCTTCGGTATTGTTCGACGAAATGCCTACTCATATAAGGGTCGGAAGATCCGGTACTCTTTCCAATGCGATCGATTCGGAGAACCACGCCCCTCAGAGAGTACCGGTATTCGGCAACGGAAGTCTCGAAAGTGTGGTTGTAAATGGATGGTCATTGCCGAAGCACTGGAGGAGGGTAGATGGCTTCTACGACACCACGATAATTCCGAGCATAGCCAGCATAACCACCGGGCCAGTATCAAACCATCCGCCCATCCCTCCCACAGACGACTCACTACACCTATCAGGGCAACAGTCGAATCGACAAGCCGTCGGGTCGGAATTCGGGCCCGTGACGTACGCGCGATCGTCCTGGAGCAGCATCCCGAGTCATCTTTTACACGAAAGGATATCTATAACGCCAGGTCTCGTATCAGTCGAGACAAGTTGAGCGGCCACACTCCTACTGCAGCACTGATCAAGCTGTTCGACGAGATGGAGATTCCCTATCTTGTTAAGTGGGCGGATGATGAGCCAAACCGCCTCGTCGGTCTTGTCTGGACCTTTCCGTACTGCCTCCAGATGTGGAAGCGGTTTCCTGAGGTCATCAGCTTCGACAACACATACAACACCAACCGCTTCAAGCTTCCATTATTCCAAGCAACAGGACAGACCTGCCTTGGTTCTGTCTACAATGCGGCGTTCGGTCTGATCGACAACGAGAGACGGGAGGGGTTCCAGTTCCTCTCTGAGAGCATTCGACAGATCTCAGAGCAGCACTCTATTCGCCAACCGGACGTTATCATTACTGACTTCGACGGTCAGATGAAGGCCGCCCTGAATGATCAGTTCCCTGATGCACAGCAGCAGCTGTGCATCCACCACATCAATTCTAACGTCTTGCTCAAGTCAAAGCAGAAGTGGGTCAAGGGCCAATGTAGCAGTAGTAGTCCCGACAGCAGCAACGGGGAGGACTACGCTCCACAGGCACAGGCTGAGCTCGGCCCGAAAGACGGACAGTTGGTCAACGCGCAGACAGCTGAAGTCGTCCCTCATAGCCATCGAGGGGTTCTCATGATGTGGAAGGTCGTCTTGTTTGCGGAGACAGAGGAGGCTCACGAGAAGGCGTGGGGAAGCCTCTGTAGGGAATTTGACGATCAGCGGGCCATCCTGCGGTATCTCCATGGAACCTACATGCCTGTCAGGGCGCAGTGGGCACGATGTTTCATTCGCAACTATCGCAACTTCGGCATACGCGTCACATCTGGGACAGAAGCAAGCAACAACAACATCAAGAGCTATCTCCTGAATGGTATGAGCAATCTCTATCGGCTTATCGAGGCTATGCAGGACATGATGAAGGACCAGGAGCGAGATTTCAACGACGCCTGCGCAGCGGACGAGGTACTTACCGCGCGAGAGTACATAGGGTCCAGCTCGGAGTATCTAGGCGAACCCCGGACAGCACTCTCTTCGAAGGGTCTCGGGCTTATCAACAAACAATATCGGCTAGCAAGGAAAGCAATGCCGACGGGGAAGAATCCGTTCCCTGACCCCATTGGCGATTGCAGTGAGGACTGCTCGGTTTCGACCGAGCTTGGAATCCCCTGCTGCCACACAATCTACTCAAAGCTGGTGAGTGGCACGCCTCTCACCAAATGGGAGGTCCATCCTCGGTGGCGCCTACGAGAGCCATCCTCTCGAGATCCATACCGACGAATCCTCGACCCTAAGATCGCCACTGCTCTCCGTGGCAGACCTAAGAACACCACACAGGCTGTTCCAGCGCGGCTAGCCATTGAGGCAAGCAGCCAGCCGAGTGGCCAACGAGCCAGCAATCCAGCAAGCCAAGCGACAGGGCGCAGACGAGGTCGACCACCAGGAAGTCACAACAAGTCAACGCTAGCTAGGCTTGCTCTGGAAGCGAGCCAACAGGCCAGCAGCCAGGCTAGTAGCCAGGCCAGTGCCTCATCCCAGCGCCAGACGCGCAGCCGGTCAGCTGTTCTTGGAGCTGGAAGAACTACAGGAGTACGTGCCAACGGACGGAAGACGCAATCTAGCATTCGCAGGCGAAGGAGTCAGTGGGAGCTGCTTTACAGCGACGAGGAGGTTCTTCCATCTATAGTAGTTAGAGGATAGAGATATAGATAGCTGCCCTCTAGGGCGTGCTGGAATTGGCCGTGTTCTGTATTGAAAACCAGACCTTGTTTTGATATACGCCTAAGACCTGTTCTAGAGGCCTGGTTGACCTGGTTGGTTCTGACTATACCGAAAGCACGGCCTTGTTAAGAGAGCTTGCTTCACCGCCTTTGCACTGATGTACCTGTGGGTCGAAGGAAAAAAATGAGCGAATCAGAGGCGATAGAAGTCATGCCCGTGTAAGAGTCATGCCCGGGTAGCAATTCTTCATGCCCGTGTAGTAATTGCCAATTAAAGTTATGGCTTATGATCCCACGCATATTTTCCCCCCTACGACATCAGTCGTACGGCCAATCGTTGTGCCAATGCTTTGAATGAAAATGTCAGAAGAACCCAGTCTCTTGTAATGTCGCGTTCTAGTGGTATGCAGACAACAAATTGTGCCATGCCTGCATTCTATGTCTACTTCCCAACTTTATTTGGCTCTCCGCGCCCCTCCTATTATTTCCCTCCAACTCCGCAGAACACCAAGATTCTTGATATGCCAGCCAGCCTACTCCAAACCAGCCCTCCCATGTATCCTCCGAATCAACAATCATTACTCCTGAAACTCATCCTTCGCAATCAGCCTGCAATCCAGAGCCTTGCCTGTATGCGTCTTGTCAATCGTCTCACAGTTGCGCCGCATCTTCATCATGACGACATTGAGCAGGCCCACCAGGTGCTCATCCAGCACGCGCGCCACCGCCACCGGCTCGCCGTTGGCCACGATAGCCTGGCCATCAACACCACCACCATCACTGCCAACAGACGGACACGCCAGAGGCGGTCGAGCAAGGAGATACTCCCGGAGCGCCTCGAACTCGGCAAACGTCTTGAAGTACAGCTGCCCGGCAAACAGGTCCAACTCGAGAACCACATCCGCGGGAACATCCACATCCAGCGGTGGAGCATGATGAGGCAGAGGAGGAGTAGCAGAACCCGGGGCGAGTAGCGCCGACGATGACGGGGACGCGGAGATCAAGGAGGGGGTGGGCGACGGGACGGTGTACAGATCGAGCCTGTCCAGGCTGCGGAACCCTTCGTTGAGCAGCGGCGCGTACAGGTGCAGCGTGACCGCGCGGGACTGCTTGATCGTATCCATGAGGCTTTGCGCCTCGTACGGGCTGATGATGACCATGTGCTTCAGCGCGCGCCTGCCCCCCGCCTTGCCACTGGATACATCTCGCTCCTTTGCTGATGATGGCGACGAGGAGGAGGCGGAGGCACTGCTGCTCGTCAATATCCACTGCACAGGCCGCTGGTACGAGTCCGACACGTAGCCCACGGCCGGCGGCTTGATCGTGGCCTGGAAGTCCCGCGTGCAGTGTACTCGCCCTGTGCGGCCACTGCGGCGCAGCTTCGCGATGTACTTGGCCGCCGAGGAGTCAGCGAGGGAGTCGTAGACGGGGATGAATGTCGCCGCGCTGTTGGCGGGGAAGCTGCCGGTCTTGACAAAGGCTTCGACGTGTGGGTGGACCGCGTGCTTCAAGGGTTCCGCCTTGTCCGGCCGCTCGAGCTGTCTCTCCTCCTCGACCTCGGGTGCCAGCTCGCGCTCCTGTTCCTCCTGGAGGATCGCAGACGAAGGCCCCATCGTATCGAGGTCCTGGCAGCGCTGGGAGATGAGGCGCTCTGTCTTGCTGAGGGCAATTTGGCTACAAGTAGCAGTATCTTGCTGCGAGGTTGGGCGGTATCGGGTTTCGAGCAGCTGCGCCTCGTCCTCGAGGAATCCCTTGGCCAGTTCGTCTGGGAAGTCCAGGTCTCGCGACTGCTGGCGATGAAGGACAGGACCAGTTGCGCCTTCGCCGCGTGCTTGTGCCCACAGGAGGCTGTGGCTCTCGTGCCGCCTGCCCTGGTTCGCCCATAGTGCCGTGTTGCGCCGGGCGTCGTGCCATGTCTCGGAAATAGACCAGGCCAGGACGTCGGCGACGGATACTTGTTGCACGGGGTTGGTGCGGCCCATGAGCCGGTTGATCTTGCGGTGGATTTCCTCTGGCACGCAGAAGACGACGGACTGGTCTCTGCCCAGTTCTCGCATACGCATGCAGGCTATATCACATCAAAGAAACACGTTAGCATACCTATCTCGTGATGTAGGACTGATAAGAACTTGTGTCAACCGTGGGTCGAGTACTCACCCTGAACCAATCTGTCCTTGACCAAATTCGCACCCAGCGTGACTGCTGCGCGGTAGTCCTCTGGTAGCTTGAGATCCGTGCCACGGGTGTGGGCGTCGTCGAGGAACACGACACACAGGCTGAGCTGGGTGCAGTAGGGCGACGTGTGCAGAGGCTCGACGCGGCCCTTGCGGTCGACGACGCAGATGTTGTCCTGTTTGTCGACAAACACGGCTGCTTCGGTGCCGCTGTCATTAGCAAGCAACGTCAGCCACCGCTGGGCGACGCCCAGGTTGTCCAGCTCGATGATCTGCGTGCCGACATCGAGGATCACGCGCACAGGGGGCTCCATCCCGACAACCATTTGAAGAAGCTGCTCAGCGCTGGTACTTGCCGGCGAGTGGCCAGGCGTGGATGACGTGGGATCAGACGTTGAAGGTTGGAGGGATTGAATGGCCATCACGTTGTTCTCTGCCTGCAAGAGATGCTGTAGGACTAGCGCGTTGGTGTGAGCCTGAGCAGGCAGAGCAGTCTGCGTGACGCTGAGCGGGAGCACAATCTGGGCGTCATTGGTGCCGCTGAAGCCCGTTGTCGGATGGGGCTTCTGCTCGCCAATGTCCCAGCCCGAGGCGGACAACCGGTGGGGGAACTCCTTCATCTCCTTGGTGAAGACCACGTGGGCGAGAAAATAGTCGACCGCCGCCTTGGAGTGGCGGAAGCACGGGAACAGCCTGTTGGAGCAGAGGTCCGGATCTTCGAGGTTCACACCGCCGAGATGCTCTAGGGCGCCCGGAAGGTTGTCCGCGTCCTTGACCCACGTCGCGTACTCGTCAGCACGCTGGTCAGACCGGTCGAGATGAGAGAGGGCATTGCCCAGCTGTTCGTTGGTGAGGCCCTGGTAGTAGTAGCTCAGCGATGTGAGCACAATGACAACATCCGGGTGGCTGAACTCGGAGCGGGCGGACGGGTGGTCTTTTGCACGGTAAGGCACGGCTAGTCTGGTGGGTGGTGATCGCGTGATGTCCAGGCCGTAGTCGACCCTCCACCGCTTGTGCCCAAATGCGAACGCCAGGATGCCATTGGCAATGAGCCCGCGGAGAAGCAGTAGAGTGTTCTTGGTTGTCTCGGCCCAGAAGCCCACGGGAGGAGCGCGCTCAACCAAGGCGATGGTCTCGGCAGACGCATCTGGATTCCTGATGTATTCGCGGACAGCGCGACGAAGCTGTTGAGTTGCCTGGGCAATGGGGAAGCCCATGAGGCCGTACCGGCATACGTCATCAGCAACGATGTCGAGCAGCTTGTCCACGGCCTTTGGCTCGATCAGCCGCGTGCGGGGGAAGCAGCCCAGCGATCCAAATCGAATATCAGTGCCGTGCGGGAACTGCTGCTGGATTGCGGGGAGACACTTGCGGACCACGTCGAGCACTTCCTGGATGCAGGTCCAGCGCTCCGGGCTGTGGTCAATGGGCTGCTGCAGGCCGAGCGAGTAGACGAGCTCAAATTTTGGACTGAAGTTCTCGTCGCTCTCGTCGACCACATCGCGGCTGTGCCGGCGCATGAAGTCGTGGAGCTGCAAGAGCTGGTCAGAAGTCCTGTGCTTCTGGCTGATCTTGTGCTCGATGCCCATCAGCTGGAACGACAGAATGTGCTCGGGCTGGACGAGCAGCACGCCGCCCTGGTCACGGCAGCGACTCAGGAGCTCCTTGATGGCGTTGATCTCGGGCTGGCCGACCTTGATTGCACGAGAAAAGGGGAGGTGGAACACCTGACGATCGACAAGACCGCCGAGCTTCGAGACGAGCATGTGCACCATCTGCTTACTCTGAGGCTTGGCCACAATCACTCGCATCAGGTTGTTGCCATCGGCGAGAGACGTGACCAGCATGGGCACAATGACTGAGGACTTGCCCTCGCCCATGTTCAGTTGCATAACCGCGTTCTTGCCGTGGGCGGGGCTCTGCATGTGTGTGGCAATGTCGACCTGAACTCCCCGGATAAGGATCGAACCTTCAATCTCGAGAAGGAGCCATTCAGGGTGCTCGGCCGGGTCCCAGTTGGCATGGCCGTCATTCTGGAGCTCCTTGACCAATGCCGCTCCGCGGGCCCTGAGCAATCTCTGAGCGCGTTGCAACCGTGTCAAGCCCACTCCGTACTCGATGAGAATCTTCTTCCAGTCTTCGCTAAGACTTGCCCAGTGCTTGCGGTTCAGCCGCTCCAGGAGAAGTACTGGGGAAAGACGCGGCAGCTGATAAGTATCTGCGACATCGTTGGTCATGGCCTGGGTCATCCTATCATACAAGGAGTCGACATGGTTTTGGCAAGCAGCAAGATGGGATTCGAGGATCCCCCGCATCTTGAAAAAGTCCGCCGCCAGCGCTTTCTGCAGGAACTGTCCTTGCTCAAGGGCAGCGAGGCTCGACTCCAAATTGGCAATGTAGCTGTTCTCGTACTTCGACTGAGCCATCGCCTGAAGAGATCCAGTCAGGATCCTCAACCGAGATCTGGCGAGTGTCACAACGCTATTGTTGGCCCTGGACGACACGCTGAGCGTCTCAGGCAAGCTCGAGGGTGCTGGCGTGAGCCTTGGTGGTGTGCTCCGATCAAACAAGTCGGTAGGAGACACATATCCGCGGCTGCCATGAGGCAATGTCGGCAAGATCTTCAGTGCTGGGCGTACAGGCTTGACCACGGTGCACTTGTCCCGCGACACGATCGCACAAATCTGCTGGAGATACTGAAAGAACTTCAGATTCTCAAACCACAAACGGAACAAGCCGGAAACCTCGGACATGACGCTTGGTCCCCATTGGAAATACTTCTCAGCGTCCGCGAGAGCAGTCCCGGTTGGGGCCGCGGGTACAGCACACGGCCACTGATCGCCGAAGTGCGTGGTTAGATCCTGCGCCACCTTCTCGGCGCGGGTCTGCCACGCGGTGCGGCCGCGGTTGTGGAAGTCCTGGAGTGACTCATACTCCCTGCGGGTCTCAATGATGTCTTTGAGCGGATCAAAGCTGCGCTTGCGGTCTCGCACAGTCTGGAGGACGTCTTCGCGCTTGAATGCGCGACCGCGGCTCAGGGCGAACTGCGTCGACGAGGTGGGCAGGGTGACCTGGCTCATTCTGCTCGAGCAAGTGGAGAACGTGGTCAGGACGTGCACGATTGTTTCGTCTGCTTCCTCGGCACAGGAAAGCGAGGCCAGCCAGGTGGTGAGGGTGAGCCACTTCTTCTTGGTGGCGGGCTGGCTGAGAAGGCGATGCAATTTGAGCCAATTCTTCACGATGAATGGCTTGGTGGCCGTGCTCCAGGGCATGAACCACTTTGCGTCATAAGCGAGCTCCCTGGTGTCGAGGTCGGCGGAGCCATTGGCGACGGGCAGTTTCTCCAGGAATCTCCAGATATGCATTACCAGATCGCTGACAACAGCAACGTGAGGATTGACCCGGATGGTGTGGAGCGTGTCAGCCACGGCGTATGTTGCAGTGGCGATCGCAGAGTCTTGGACAACGTCCCGCGCCTTGTAGACGAGATCGTGCGCGGTGTCGTGGTCTTCGGCGCCGAAAGTCGAAACACGGAATTGGGCCACTCGGATCTTGTGGCGTGCCAGGAGGCCTCTATCAATGCCAGAGTACAGATCCACAGACGCTGTTTCCGGGTGGCTTTCGTGGAAAAACTTGTTGTTGGTCGCCTGGTCGAGCAACGCCTGGGCCTGTTCGACGAAGCCATCGTGCTGTGCCAGCATTCCAATCTTGTTGTCAAAGTACATGGTCTGCATCACGCGCAGGTGCTGGGGGTAAAATTCCCTCTTTGGAGTTAAGTCGGCAATCATTGTAAGTAAAGAGATGGACATTTGCTTGAGGCCATTGGCTGACTGGACAGCAGCGGATTGCAGAATGCGTAGCGCCTCCTCCGTGCCTGTCCGCGAGGTGAGGCGGTCGGGCATGCAAAAAGACGTCAACGCATGAAGTAGACACAGAAAGAGCTTGCTCTGGAGATCACCGCCATCCACGAGACGTCCAAGAAGTGTGTCGACTCGATATGCATAGAGGCATGTGCTTGGACCCTCGGTTATTTGCAGCGACACGTGAGCTGGCGTTCGTTTGACTTGTGGAGTACCGTTTGGCACCAGCACAATCCGATCAGACGACGAAGATGTGCTCTTCAGCACGAGTTTGTTGAACAGGCCGACCAGGGTGCCGATTTGCTGATCCTCATCGACAACCATGCCCCGAAAGTCCCTACAGGATACAGCAGTGTCTCCTGCCTCCAGAGAGAACCGAGAGCGAAGCACGGGCAGCTCAATGTCGAGCCGCCGGTGGTTGGCAGACAAGACGCAGTGGATGCGCGCCTCCTTCTCGAGAGTGCCCAGGATGTTGGCTAGAGTCTTCGAGGTCGGCGTGCGAAGGCTGATGACGGTCATGTTGTCCTTGCACAGCTGCCATCGTCCGCCGGCAGCTTCATGCGAGAGGGTCCATGGCTGCCGCGGGACGTCCCAGGGCTTTTTCAGCGGACGCAGGCTAACAGTCTGGGTTGTTTCGTCGTAAAAGTGGACATAGTCGTTGATGAAGGCCTCCGGATACGAGCCAGACAGGAGCCTGCTGGGTACATAGTAGAGCACGCGGTCGCCCTTTGTCGCTCGAACGTATAGCTCGCCCGAATTAAGGGCGAATTCCACATCGTATCCGGCAAACGGAACATTTGTGGAGAATGGGAAACCGTGTGAACCCTTTGGCATGACCTCGACGATCGACCTGCCAAACAGAGTCCTATAAGTGGAGTGGCTCTCGTAGTCTGACGGGAGCCGATTCAGTGGGAGGCCGTTGACAAGCAATTCTCCTGTAAGCAGATTGAAGCGCACGACGGGAGCACCCATCTCGCATGCAGAGCCCACGAGCCACTCTGGGTATTGACTCGACACAGGCGCCCAGTTCTTCTGTGCCCTGTGTCCAGACCAGGAGCTGCTGATGGCATCGTCAAGAGCGCGACTACCGCCCGTGATACAATCCGAGAGGATTCGGAAGGCGCGGTGACTGAGTCGCTTCCATTGCCAAGTAAGACCATCATGGGAGTCAGAGCCACTCTCGCTGTCGGTGCCCTCGCGAGCGATCAAGGAGCACTGCAAGAATTGAGACGCAGCGACCGAGGATTGAAGTGCAGATGAAATGTGACCTTGATCCATGTCGAAGGACATCGAGCAGATGAGAGCACATCGAGCGGCGCGGTGTCGGAAGTTGTTCCGGATCCGCGTATCGGTGCTCGCTCGAGCCTTGTCCCTGAGCGAGATGGCCCAGCCAAGAACTGTATTCCTTGCAGACGCCAAGTACTCCACACACTGAGGAACGGTGATGGGATCTGTGGTCAGCTGTAGAGTGCGGGTGGCAATGAGGATGAATGTCCGCAGAGCTTCAACGGACTGCCACGACTCTGCGACTCGGGAGGTGGCCGTGACCACGCCATCCAGCAGCGTTCTTGAGAAGACTGGGTCACTCAGGATGGCATGAGATGCTCGTAGGACGTTGTCTGCGAAGGGTGGCCCGGCCTGGGTAATGCATTGAGCGTGGAAGACAAACGTGGACAGCTGGTTGAAGTCGACTGAAGGCGCATGGAGCTGGCGGAGCATATTCTGCCACTGTAGCTTAAAGCCCAGGGGCAGGGCACAAAGCTCCCTGAACTCGGCGAGTGTCATGTGCTGTGGGCACTCATGTTGGGAGGCAATGACAACGTTGGGCGTCGGGCCACAGGAATTGTTTGCCGGGCGATAAAGAAAAGGCTGCATTGCCAAGTCTTTGACGGGTAACTTCAGCATACAGCGCCGTGGAATGGTGTCGGTCAGCGTGGCGGGACCGCCGAAGACGCGCGCAGATGTGTTGAAGTATTCATAGTGAAGGGCGTGGTCGACAAGGACTTGGGAGTCGCTCGTGATCGAGCCAATCTTGATTGTCCTGTAGTGCGAGCTGAGGAACGACTTTGCCTGAGAGATGGCGGTGATGTTCTGGCTCGCTGGGCCTGAGTAAAAATGCCTGAGCCCCTCGTACTCAGATAGCACATGCATCTGCCGCGCCCTAGACTCGACCTGGTACGACAGGGACAGGACTTTGAAGAGGAGGAATGCTGTGGCGTCTCTCCAGGCTGGGAACCATTCTGTGGGCGCGAGCTCGAATACGGCATTTTGTGCCTTCAAGGGGTCTTTCGGGAGCGGCCACTCGTGCACTCCGATCTGTAACGACTGATATTCTCCCACGAGTTTGCACTTGCTGCAGTTTCGGTCATCATGTGCTGTGATTTCGTAGCCACGGCGATTGATGAAGGTGCGAAAGGTGCAGCTCATGTTGTCGGCCTGAGCTTTGAGATTTGAATATTTGCTTCGCAAGTTCGCCAGCTCGACCTCCTTCTTCCGTCTAGTATTGGTGGCTTGCAGCTCTATATGACCATACAAACGCTGCTGCTCCTCATATGATTGAAAGTGCCTCACATAGAAAGCGTTCTTCTTGCCGAAACTGTCGAAGATGGACGGCATGGCAGCTTTCGAATTACTAGAGCACACGTCGAGGTACGACTCGATCCGCTGGAGCCTCTCGAGCTGAGACTTGTGCGGGAGGATGAGGCTCTGGAGCAGGGCACGAATCAAGCTGGGCTGAACGCTTGCGTCATGGTACTCGCCGAGCACGGTGCAGATCTCGAGTGCCGACTTGTTACAAGCGATCCACAACTCGAGGCAGGTCAGAATCATAAGTGAGGTGGCTTCCGGGTTGTTCTGGTACGGGTTCTGAGCGGCTGTATGGTAGTCGTAAAGCAATCGGTGGAGTTTGTCGCAGGTGGTCGGATCCGAAAGATTTCGTTGTAGCCAGTGGTCCAGGGAAGACTCGACCCAGCTCTCAAAAGCTGCCAGCTGGAAGTCGTGGTAGTTGTTTGCGCCGGCAGAAATACGGGGTAGCCTTTCCGAGTCAAGCAGATTCAGGGTATACTTGGGCGAGAAAGTGGCCGATTGCTCTCGCAGATTGAGCTGGGTAACCGTCTCGAGGTACTTGTCCAAATCCGGCAGAGAGGCGAAGGCGTCCTTGTGAAAGTCGAGGGTTGGCAGGGAGGCGTAGTCCGGCTTGCGAGCATCGTTCTTGCAAATTACCTTCCACCGGCCCTCCAGGATATGGTTTGTTTCCCTGATTACATCGCTGCTGTACTCCTGAAGCCAGCTGTTTGCGTTGGCGCCGAGTTTGCGCAGGCGACGGCTGACCTTTGCGGTCATGGTGGTAAGAAGGTCGGATTCGATGTCTTGCTTGAGGGCTTCTCGCAGCAGTGCGGCCATGAGGAAGGCCGTGAATTCCTTGTAGGCTGGGGCTTTCAACTTGGCGGCGCTCGAGTCGACCTTTGCCTCCAGCCTCGACATGGTCAAGTGGAAACCCACGCGAAGGAGCAGCCACGTTGGTGACCGCGTCCAGGGAATGAGGGAGGACTTGTACATGATTTCCTCACGCATCTTCTTATTGATGGCCTGCACCCTGACAGATGAACCAAGGGCGAGCAAGATGGACGAGAGGTAATAGGTCACGATGCAGGGATTGACGGAGTGGCGGATTTCTCCAACCGTTGCGCCCGCTTTCTTGGACGTCGGCTGCGAAAGTGCCGTGCTCTGGCCGCTCATCTTGCTGATCGCAAGGACCAAGGTCTCCATGACGTCGTCTTTTTGGAGAGAAGAGACTGGAACGGCGATGGCCTGGCCGGGAAACGTTCGGATGAGTCTGCCTTTGGTATCGTAGATGGATCCATTGGAGGGAGTGAGCTCGAACAGCTCGAAGTGGATATCGTTGGCGACACGAGTGATGAGCATGCCGGCGTTCTGAGAAGTGATCTGAAGGAGCATAAAGCCACCTAAACGAAGGCAAGGGTTCCTCAGTCAGTCACCAAGTACGGCAGTACAAAGATGGTGATACATACCTTTGGTGCAAAGATCTCGGAGACTTGTTGCAAGCATCTCGGGCTGGACGGATACCTGGCTGTCGCCAATGGCGTGCAACTTGGAGAAGGTGAGCACCACATGTGCAGCTTCCTTCGTGATGGATTGGTGAGCGCCATCTGAGTTCTTCTCAAAGTCTTGCAATGTTTGGGCGAGGAATTCCACGAGGCTGCGGACATGCGCCTGGGAGTAGTCGTGCGTTTGGGGCAGCTGCGGCGGCAGGAAGAGATGATTGATGGCATAGAGGATGCCCTCGCGAGTCATCCCAGCCTTGGCCGGCGCCATGGCGTGAATCCAGTACGAGCAGGAGTTGAGGTCCAATGACGAAGATGCTGGACAGTAGATACGAGAAGATGAAGACAGCAAGCTGCAAAGATCTGCAATGGTACCTCTCTGAGACTGACAAGAAAGGTGAAGTGGAAAGAGTAAGGTCGGGTCGAGAGAAAGGTGCAGGGCGGAGGTGGGTGTTAAAGAAGAGGGCACTGAACTTGGCCTGCAAGGCAGAAAGCGTCGAGCTTGACGGAGCTGCCCTTCTGCGGTGGTTCTGTTGGGTGAACGCCTAGGCGAGGCAGGCAGCCTCACGGTTGGTGGTAGGCGTGGTAGGCTTCCGGCAGACACAAGGACCAACAATACCACGGCACTGCAAGCCCCCGACCATCCCGCCAACGCCGCAGTCTCACATTCATCTTTTCTTTTCCATGCAGAGGCAGACGGTCCTTTCTCTGCAGCAAACGCTTACCAACGCTCCATTTGGCTTGTCTCACCTTTCTCCGTTCCTCAAGTCAGGGTTTGAGGCATCCACGGATGTACTTCAGCCGGTGTGGGGTGCATCTCTTGCGGGCTCCCTTTTCGTTCAAGAAACTGCATCCAGGACGTTGGTGCCGGACCAGATACCATGTATGCACTCTACTTCTCATAAAAGCTGAACCAGCAAAATGTATGAGGTGCAAAATCCTCGAGAAGTTGGTGGGTGAATAATGGTTGTGGTTCGTAAGCCTAGAACCCTATATCTCTGGGAAGACTGGTTGTGGACAACAGACGTAGATTCAGTCACTAATAACAACATCTACATAGCCTTGCCAGAAGCCGAGGAGAAGAAGAGTGTTATGAATACTCAAAATTATAATTTGTTCAAGAAGCGAAGTATAGGAGCAGTGCTGAGCACCACTATGGTTATTTTTATGTGCCACCAACTCATGTCTGCCTCACACACACCGGGCGTTCTCCACAACCCGAGATCAATATGCTACGCATCAATATCCAAAGGGCGATCCGTGCCACAGCCCCGCGCCACGATGTCCGCGGATACAAACGGAGCCGTTGGCGAGTGCAACCACGGGCCGACGCTGCTGCTTAGCGGAAGTCGTTGCGGGCGGAAATTACCGCATTAACCAGGGTCTGGCCGGTTGCCCACACTATTTACTCCCACGCGGGTGTCAGTAAGTCAAAGGTCTTGAGCAGAGCAACGAGAAAGACACTGGTGGCGGAGTTTTGCAGCTACGTACCAGACGAGGCCGACGAGGAGCCGTACAGCGTGCCCATGACGTATCGGTCGCCGGTGCCGGGGTACTCCCTGAATAAATCACAGTCAGCACACCTAATACCATGCAAGAGGGAAAGACACGGGTCCTGCAAAAGAAGGTGCGAAACATACCAGATGGGGCCGCCAGACTGGCCGCCGGCGGTGTCGATGTTGCCGAGCGTCGGGCTGTCGCTGCCACAGCCGCCCGACTCGAAGAGGCGGCTACCGCCGGAGCGGATGGGACGCTCGCCGTTGTTGCGGTCGCCGGGGTAGCCGACTGGGGAGGGGCCCTTTGGGTTAGTCACAAGTTCCTGGGGAGGGCCTGTTTGGGAATATCTGCAGGGTGCTTACACTATATCAAGAGGGGGAAGAGTTAGCACAATGTATACGTTGTAGCATGATTTTCCAGGGCGGACACAGAATACAGCTAGTAGCCGTCTTGGTCACTTACGTTGTAAAAGATGTCACGGTTCAGCCACTGGCTCGACATGGTCCGCGCGCCAAAGTAGCCGCGCTGCTCACCGATGCGGTCCTGGAGGATGTGGATGGCCCAGTCCAGACCTTTTCAGCATGGTCAGCATCATTTCCCCCAAAAGGTCTCCGGCTGGGAGGAAGACTAACCGTAAAGGCAGGAGCCCGAGGTGTCGGTAGAGTAGATGTAGGTCGTCACCTGCGAGCCCGGATATCTGGTCTCGCCGTTGTAGTAGAAGGGCGAGAAGCGGACGCTCACGTTCTCGCCGTTGGTGGGAGTGCAGTGGCGAGCCGTGATGACGTGGCGGGGACCTATGTGGTTCCGATGTTAGTCCCTTGCATTCTGGGTATTCTCCTCCCCAAAACTCTCAATATTCTACGGGACTTGTGCTCACCAACGAGAGTACCAGTGCACCTGTTCCGACGAATTAGTAATAGTCCACCGAGGTTTGAGTCCAGACAGGAGATCTCACCAGACACCGTTGGACCACCTGACCTTGCCGATCGCAGAGTACGGGTAGTTGCCGTCCTCCCAGTTCTGGCGGTCATCGGCTCCGTAGATGGCTCTCTCAGCCAGCTCAACGTCGGTGTGGTTGCTCGGCTCGGCGACAAGGTCGCCCATGGCGAGCAGCACGGCTGGGTCGTAGTTGACAGTCTCGGTGTGGACGCTGCTCTCGGCCACATAGAAGGCCTGCGTGGGGTCGAAACCCAGCGCGACCTGCACACCATTCTCGTCGACATCAGGGATCGTGAGACCCGAGACGACACTGGCGGCGGCGCCGAGGCCGGTTGCGAGGCGAGAAACTCTGACCATTTTGGTTAAACTCGTGTCGAGCGGACTTGAGGGCGGAGAGGAGCAAAGGTGTTGATGTGTAGGGATTAGGGGCAGAAAGGCAGTGAGCGAGGATGCGGATGAGAGACCGTGAGGAGGAGTGTTGGATGATGATCTGGTCCAGAGGTTTTATACCTCGCGACGTCTAGGCATCCTGCAATTCAAATAGACATCGTGAGAAGGACTTGGGAGTTGAAGGATTCGCCAAACAGCAACGCTCATCCAATGACATCCGATAGCTTGCAAGGGTCAACAGTATGCCGGCTGGGTACCGATCCCTTCCACCAAGCACAAGGGTGCAGGCGCCACTAGCACGTTAGTTGTTCTCCACGACCAGGGTACACCCTCCCCCGGTGGGAAGTTTGTGGCTGAGAGAGTCAAGCCAATTCGAGACTCAGAAGTTGCCCTGTGCCTAATGAGATATCACGGTCTTGTGCCTGTGCAGGATCAGACTGGATGGGGTAAAGTCAGCGAGGTGGCCTAGCTTCAGGCTTCCATCTGGAATGGGACCGTGTGTGCGCCTCAAAAGGATGCTCACATCAGGCTTTGAGTCCAGATGAGGCAGGTCACGACGGTGAAGAGTGTTGTCAAAGCCTGACATGAGGTGGACGGGTTGTGCCGTTTGTCATCTGTGCCGGGATTGGCTGGTCCGCATTCCTTGGACCCCAACTTGACGGTGAAAGAACCGAGGACAGCTTGCGGGGACATTGACTTGGAGTAAGCTGAGAAGCCAAGATTTCGTCCGCGGATATGCGCAGGTATCTCTAGATGTCGTCCATGCCGTGGCATAAGCTAACCCTGAGCCAAGCATTGGACGAGGGGTGCCCCTGTAGGAGAGCATCAGTGGTGTGACAGAAGCCTTGCAATCGTCCACGGCAAAGTAGAAGGATCAACCTAGAGCCTACCGGCCGCGTGCCAAGAAAAAGATACTGCACGCCCTCCGAGAACAAGTGACAATGCAGCCGTCTTGACTTGGCTGAGCTCGGCAGGCTTAGAGTACCACAGTCGAGCAGTCAGCTCGTATAGTGCGCTGTGATGTGGGGTGAGGTCGACAGACTCCCTGTTCCGAATGGGGCCAATAGTCTCGTAATCTACCCGGACTCTGGCCCCCATGCATAGCTGGCTGTTCGCTTCGAGGCGGGACGCGGATGTTCCCGCAGGGGGCAGTGGATGGAGCCTTAACCCCGGCTGGCAACGGAGGTTGCCCAAGCGTTGGATGCATGCAGAGTCCGCACGGGGCTCGAGAGCACCCAGAGCCGACGCAACAAGTGTCGGCTAATGCCATAGGGACGGGTAACCGCAGTCATTCTTGGAGACTTGACCTGGCCGAATACAGGAGTATTAACCAATCTGGAAACAGAGTCTCCTGGCAGGCCGCCGTATTGTCAAGTTTGCGCTCCCGCACGCAGTGCAGACATCTCATCGACGCCAGAACCGTAGGCTGGCGACGCTGCTGTCCTGCGCAGACCCGGACCCGTAACGTTGCAGAAGCCTTGCAAGACACTCGCTCATTTGCAACGGCGTACGACTGGTGGAGTATGCGCCAGACCCTGGCTGTCCCTGGGCCCCGGCCAGAATGGCCGCCAAGCCGGAATACACATGCAAGTCAATTGCCGCACTTTTTCGCCTGTGGGCGGTGCCCTGTGACGGCACTTTACTGGTTGTCACATGGGGCGGCGAGGTAATGTCTACATGCCCTGTGATCCTTCGATGGCCAAAGGCCACCAAACGTCAGCCACCGGCCTGTGTCATTGGCCAGCAGGATCATATAGGACACGCGCGACTGTTACCGCTGCAAGGATAGTAGGACTCTCGGCAGAATGCTCGCAGTGCTAGCTATGTTTTGCCATGCTATCGTTTACTAGATGCGTCGAATGCTGCGGATACACCAAGGGAGCAGGTATCTCCACGAATGCACCAATACAGCGAGAAAGCCATGTCGCTTATTCTGACTACAACGCCACGATCCACATTCCGCTCAAGACAATCAGGCGTCGAACTGATGAGGTAATCAGCCTGCTTCCCCCAAGCCCAAGAATGCCTTTACTAGGGTTTCTACGGATGACTCATCATTAATTAGTGGCATGGGAAGCTGCACGATTATCATGCTTCTTTACCGAATTGCCTACTAGACCTAGTCGCCAAGATGATCCTTCAAGTATGTCCGCCCGCGCCGGATATGCACAACGCGCCAACCGCCGCAGTCTCTGCCAGACTCCCTGAAGCCCAACATCATTCCAAATTGACGATGAGAAAACTCCACTGCCCCACAGGCAATCCTTTTGTTGCCAGTATCAACTCAGAATTCCACATGCGTGGGAGTAAATCCAACCGTTCGTCCCTGAAGTGGCATGGACTTCCAAATACTGAGCGCTTCAACCGGGAGAAAAGATCTTGATGTCCCTCGGATCTCCTGCAATTGGCCTCTAGATCCGATCATGCAATATTCAAGACTTATTGTCCTGCAGGACACGCCTGGTAAGGCTGAACGAGGGCCAGGCACCTCCCTTCATGGCTGTCCTCCACCAGCTCCCATTGGACCAGCGACTCGGAAACTCTGGCGGCGTATAGGTCCAGCATTGTCCTAGACCCCAACTGGGCCAAGGCTGACCGATAACCTGCAGGCCCAGGCGAAGCGCGGCACAAGTCGGGAGGGGGACTGCGGCCTGCAGTGTCACCTTTCCGGAGGATGAAGCATGACCGCATGCGACTGGGGATATGGGCCAGTGAGCATTTATGCTCCAGACGTCGGATCCGAGAGCGAATAATGACCGACTAGAATGTCCTGCCTGGAGCTGCATAGAGCGCCCGCGCCAGGGTGGTATTGGTGCTGACTGTGCTGTGCAGGCAGGACTCGAGCACTACCCCAGACAGCTGGATGTCAGCACCTAGCCTTCAATAACTCGTGGTTTGAGGAATACCCTTGCCTATATTTGAGGCGATCCCAAAAATGACAAACGACCAGATGACAAATATCCCAAAGTCAGCTTTTCGTGCTCCTTGGCACCACATCATGTTCATGACCTCTCGCTTTGCGGTGCTCTACTGGAGCTGTTCACTAAAAATTCTGGCGGTCAAAGTTGAGTCTTCTGACATCAGCCGCCACAACTGAAATGGCGGCAGTTCTCCCGAAGCTGTTGACCAAACGGGGCAACAATTCCAGTCCTCTTGTGCCGGGCTCGTCTTTCGTTGGCCCGGGGCTTGTCAGTGGGTAGTATGGCATGCTGTAGGTCCCGCAAGCCTATTTCTCGAATACACATCTGAGGCTCGGACATTCTGTTCTGCGCCGAAACGGCAGAATTCAACCCTGGCCTCTTTCGGCTGGCGCCGGCCTCAGACCACTCCTAAGGGTCTTGGAATTTCTCTCTTGCGAGAATTCTAAGCGTGCTCGTGATTCAAACTTCTCTTGGACGCCATTATACGGCAAGAGATTGATGGCCTTTTGTCACGTGTCGAACAAGGTGCTTGTGTCAGACTTCTGTACCCCCCTGAGCCTACCCCTAGTGTGTCGATAGGCCCCCAAACGCGGAGGCGGAGCAACGCTGCGGGGTTTCTTCGCCCGGAGGTCCCGTCCCTTGGCCAGTTGCACCAGCGCTGATGCTCTTGTACCGAACATGTGCCGGCCGTCCCCAAGGGGGCGTCGAGCTGAGCTGGCCGTGCCACCATGTGCCTGACGCCTCAATCTCTCAGCTGTGGCTGCATTGCTGTGATAGAGTTGCATCCTCATGACGACACGATTGGTCCGCACCAGCCACACTTGCTGTTGCTAGTCGCATACTGAAACCACGACTTGAGGCATCGGACAGGCGCGGTTCTGTGCAGCTGGGAGCGGGCTGCGGGCTGCACAGAGTGTTCCGACGCAAAGCAGCACGGCTAGTTGAGCGCACAGTGCTTCCGAATCGTGAGACAGAGGACTTTCCTTCTCTGAACCGCACGACTCATCGCGTTGCATTCTTTGCGTACCAGATGCCGCCATTAGCCGCCGATGTCGGCGTACCCCAGCCAAGGAGCATCACCATCATCACTATACACACCACCAGCATCACAGTTCGAACCGTGTACAATGCCGGATCAGATAGCAGGCCCAGACCGGGCCACGCAGCCTCTCCTCCAGCCCGCGTCCGCCCAGTACGGCGGCATCTCAGACACAGATGCCACGCCCAAGCCTCCGTGGCCCACGCACGACCAGCACCACATCCACCATGACGGCGTCAGCACGACGAAGGGCAAGACCCTGCGCATAGCCGCGGCCATGTTCTCCTTCTCGGCCATGGGCCTGCTCCTCTCGACCATCGGGCTCATGCTGCCCGCCCTCGAGGCCCACTACCGCCTCGACGACGCCCAGGTCTCGCTCATCTTCACCGTCGCGCCCGTGGGCTACATCCTTGCGACATGCCTGACGGGCACGATCCACGCGCGCCTCGGGCGCAGGGGCATCGCCCTCGTCGGGCCGGCCTTGCAACTCCTCGCTACTGTCGGCGCGGGACTGCACCCCGGACGGTACGAGGTGTTTGTGGCGTGCCTGGGTGTCGGGTCCGTCGGCATCGGCCTGCTGGACGGCGCGTGGTGTAGCTGGGCCGGCGGGTCGATGGGAGGGGCCGCGAATACCGTGTCCGGCTTGCTGCATGGGTCGTTCTCGGCGGGTGCTGGGCTTGGGCCGCTCTTGGGCGGGCTGGTCATGGTGCAGGGTGGGCTGGAGTGGTTCGTGTGGTATTATATCCTGGTAGGTTGGGCTTTCTTTTGTGTTTCCTGCCTGCTACCTGACCACGATGTGTGGTAGGAATGTGCTAATAGGCGATGAGCTTGGACAGGCTGGTGTCACGGTCATCGAAGGTGTCGTGCTCGCTATTGCATTTAGAAACGACACGGCCCAGAAGTATCTCGAGGAGCGGGCATACCTCGTTACAGAACTCAGCAACGGTGCAGAGGATGAAAGTACCAGCCTCCTCAATGGCCCCAGCGATACTGACGACGCTGGGCCAGCCATCATTGCCTATGAGAACGGCATAGAGCAGGACAGTCGGGGGCCGGCCAAGCCGACAGCACATCACAGCTTCTCTTCGTCTTCTGCCCGCGCCATCCTGACCCACCCGGTAGTCTGGATCTGCGCGGCCTTCCTCCTTGTCGAAGTTGGCGTCGAGTCCTCCGTGTCAGGCTGGGTTGTGCTCTTCCTCCGCCGCGCGCGGAATGCCCCCGTCCAACTCGCGGCCGCAGGGTCCTCGGCTTTCTGGATCGGCCAGGCTGTCGGGCGTCTCTCCCTCGGGCCGGCGACAGACCGATACGGACTACAGCGAGCTGTGACAGTGTATCTTGTCGGGGTTGTCGTGTTTGGTATTGCCTTTGCGCTGCTCGGCCTTGGTCAGCAGGGTGGTGAGGATGGTGAGGAGCAGCAGAGGAGCAGCAGCAGTGCGAAGCTATCTGTCGCGCTGGTCGCACTGATGGGCGTCTTCTGCGGCCCGCTGTTCCCCTCGGCGATTGTGCAGCTTACGAGCGCTCTGCCCAGGGAGCTGCATGTCGGTGCAGTCACGTATGTCGCCATGATTGGGCAGATTGGCGGTGCGTTGCTGCCCGTCTGTATCGGTCTGCTGATCCAAAGGCTGGGGATTGAGACGTTCCCGAGTGTTGTGGTTGTGCAGATCGTGTTGGCGCTGGGTTTTTGGCTGCTGTTCCCGGTGGCGGTCAAGGGGGAGGCCAGAAGGGATGAGCGAGAATCACTCCGTGCATGACGGATTCATAGAAAAAGATTAATACAGACAAGCAATGGCTGATTGACCCAACTTGAGGTTGTTGAGCATTTGACACCGGACTATCGTCGAAGCATACATCTGTTGCAGCCTTGGTCATCTTCAGCATCTGTATCCCTTTGACTTCAGTCTATCGGATCAACCTTCTTGATCACCTTGGCCGGCACGCCCACCGCAACCGAATAGTCGGGGATATCCTTGGACACCACGGCCCCGGCTCCAATCGTGCAGCCTTTCCCAATCTTGACGCCCGGCAGGACGGTCACATTCGCGCCCAGCCAGCAGTCATCCCCGATCTCGATGGGCTCTGCGTACTCGACACCGTCTCTTCGCGACTGCAAGCTCGTCTCGTGCGTGGCTGTGATGAGACTGACGCCCGTGGCAAAGAGCACACGGTCGCCAATGGTGACATGTGCACAGTCAAGAATCACACAGCTAGATGATGGACCCCGTCAATACATGAGTTTCTATGATGGGGGTGAAAGTGAGAGGGACATACTTGAAATTGGCATAAAACTTCTCCCCGACAGTGATGTTGCACCCATAGTCGACCTGCAGGCAGGGCTCGAGGTAACTGCCCTCGCCGACCTTGCCAAACAGCTCGCGGACCATGGCCATGCGCACGTCGGCCACCTGGTCGGCCGAGAGCTCCTCGGGCGGGACGTACGTGTTGAACCGCTGCGCGATGCGCCGGGCCCGGCTGCGCGCCGCCTCGAGCTCCGGCGCGAAGCAGCTGTACAGCATGCCCGAGACCATGCGCTCGTAGTCCTCGCACCAGGGGACGTTGGCCATCCCGCGGGCGCGGGCGATGGCCGCCTCGTCCTTGCTGGTCTTGACGGGAGGGACCATGGTGCTCTTTTTATGCTGGGAGGTTTGTGGTGATGGTGGTGGTGGTCTTGATGAGTGGCTTTGCTGGCGGGGTATTTTCAAGGAGGCCTGTATCTTTCGCCTAGTCTCTTTCGTCTGCCCTGTGCTTGTGTTGTCAAAGCTGACAGCGCCTTGTCAGTGTATGCCTTGAAGTTGAGACTCTCGAAGACTTCGGGCCCCGGTGTTTGTTCTGGCCGAGTGAAAAGGACAGCTGGACCTTGTGTGCCATTGTGACACATTAAAAGTCAGCGGCGTGAATACAAAGCAATGGCGGAGTTTCGCCAGCCCGTGTGGACCCGGAGTGAGCCGGCGCGTGCACGGCGGGGAAACAACTCCGCGGTCTGTCGGTCCGGGATATGCAGCCCAGTTGCTATTCCGCTTGTGCCCACTTGGTGGCGCTGTGCTGAGCCCGGGGATTATCCGAGCGAGGAGGTAGAGGACGACGTGAATCAACAGCCAGGAGATGGCTCCAGCAATATCACCCTCGAGTTCATGCTCTTTGAATCAATGGTGTCTCGTAGCGGTCTTTACAGAGTCAACACCTACCATCCTAGCCAGGCCGAGGGTACACATTCCCATTTTGTCTGGTGTCATGCCAGATAAGTGAGTATTGGAGGCTGCTGCCCGACCCAGGATCAAATAGACACGGTACGCGACGGACTTGCGACCAACAAGCTGGGCACTGGGCCGTGTTGGGCACCTGCAGGGGAACAAAACGACACAAAACCCTTGCCGTGCGGGGCAATGGCCAGGCAGACAGCTGATCCTCGCCACCTCTTCCCAGTTGATCAAGTCCTTGTGCAAGCAAAACCAAGCAGTCTTTATATTATCGAGCTTTCATCGAGCTTTCTGTTGGTGTGTGTGTCATGATGGACTACCCTCGCCGCCGTCGGTCTTCGTCAGATGCGAGCCGCATCTCGGCCCAGCCGCGAGCACAAGACACTCAAACTCAGTCGGCGCAAAAACTGGTGTGCCGCGCCAAGATCCTACTCGATGACGACGGGAGATATACGCTGCTCATTGCGTCGACGCTCCCGCGCGTGACTTACCAGCCTGCATGCTTCAAGCCAGTGAGTCGCGAAGCCGGCATCAAGACCACGCTCTCGCTCTGCGAGCCTTGCAGATCCTTTGTGTTAGATCCAGCCCCGCCTATGAAAACAGGGAACACGCGGAATACAGGCGATGAAGAGTGGTGGCGCTCGCACCACGGCTCGGTGTTGAGCTGATGGACTGCCGTTATGGTCGTGAGCAATCTTGCCAACTGTGTGCCTTAATCTGGTTGGAGATCTGCCGCACGCTCTCCATGTACAGGCATCATCCGAATGTCACGGGCGACTTATTTCCCAAAGGCGTCCCTCGACTCACCGGAGACGGCATGAAAATAACATTCGCGGAGGCACCGAGCCTAAAACGCATTATGGTGTTAGCTGCCTTTCTTCAGAGACCTTTACCTAAATACACTTCCATTTCTTTGACGCATGACAGTAAGTACATGCTCGGTATCTCAAACCCGTTTGATGGAGACGCCAATGTCGCACGAGCTGCCGGTGCGATGACTTATTTACTTCGTCTTGGTTCTGTAGCTAACTATACTGCAGGAGCCGTTCCGGATGAGGAGGCTCGTCGCCCGCTCCCCCAAAGCACGTCTTCACCAGAGACATTCCAACGGATCAAGAAGTGGATGGTAACGTGCGATGATAGCCATCCAAATTGCAAGGTCGAGTCGTCGCCGCACTTTAGGCTGCCTACCCGGTTGATCTGGGTTGATGATGCGCAGGGTATCGTGCGGGTGATCGATTCTGCGACCATAGACCAAGAAGCCGGCTCGACTAGCAGCATTACTGCTGGTGACCAGGAGAAGCCAGCACTGTAGTATCTGGCTCTGAGCTATCGCTGGGGGTCTGCCACGAAGGGCAGCAATATCCAAGCAGCTCAACGGTCCACGGTGATGCTCACATTGGAGATGGAACCTGCTCTCAGAGACGGGTTTCCAATTTCGCACCTCCCTCGCACCCTGCAGGATGCCTGCACAGTGACGAGCCGCCTTTGGCTTCCGTTTCCTGTGGGTGGACCGGCTCTGCATCTTCCAGGACTCTGCCACAGACTGGGCACGCGAGGCAGGCCAGATGGCATCTGTGTACCGGCATGCGACCATGGCCATTTCAGCAAGCTGTGCCGCTTGCGAGGATGCAGGTTTCTTCCGGCGCCATAGCAGAGGTCTGTGCCATGTCTGGCTTCGCGTGGATCTTGGATCAAAGGCAGAATCCTTTATCTGAATTGAGGGGTTTGATCTGAAAGAGCCGCCAGCACCTGTCCTTCTTGATGCTCAACCCAGTCTTGCAACAAGCGCCCCCAAGACTACGTACTGGCACCGAGTAGTGGAGGGTTACAGCAAGCGTGTCCTCACCTATCCGACTGACCAGCTCCCCGCCCTCTCCGGTCTCGCCAGGGAGATGGCTCGGCTCTTCAATAGTCGAAAGGACAGCATCGCCAATGAACAGGGATGTCGCTACTATGCGGGCTTATGGGAAAACAGTTTTATCAGAGACCTGTGCTGGGAAAAGACTGATCCAGTCGGCCCCAGTGTCCTGAGCAGCTATATTGCGCCGTCGTGGTCCTGGACAAGTTTCCCACGTGCGGTGCGAATCTTGTTCCAGTGGCCTGGGGAGTACCGAAGTCATCCCCTCGCGCGCCTCGTCGACCTTCGCCTGAGCTACATGAGCGACGAAAGTTATGGTGCGGTAAAAGACGGGTGGGTGGTCCTCCGTGGCTACCTGAGACGCGTCGAGGTCAGGCAGATAGCAGGCAGCTGCCATGGATGCGTCACTGTCTACAGGCCCGGGGAGGCAGGGCAGCCGCTTCTAGATCGCGGAATCTTCGACTATCCAGCGTTGTTTGACATGATCCTCCAAGAAGACGGTGACAAAGCGGTGCCAACGTTCTGCATGCCGCTCTACAGGACTATTCCGAGGGCGACGCCTACCATGGAGGTCTGCTGTCTGCTTCTGGCGCCAAGAGGAATTATTAAACAGAGACGGCCTCACTATGCATCGTCCCCGGGTGGGCTTGAGGGTGATGATAATTCTGAAGGTGTGTTGCTGGAGTCACCAAAGGATACCGACTCTCCAAATGAGTGCCAGCGAGTAGGTATTGCTGAGTGCTACGAATGCGATCCAGACCGGTGGGATTCTTGGCTCGCCGAGGAGCTGGAGCGAGACGTTATTGTTGGATAGACGGGTCGAGGCCACGAATTGAAGTGAATGCGATTTCCTTGTTCATTTCTTCTCGAGCGCACAAGATCAGGGTTGATGAGGCGATGATTGAAACTACACAAAACGTTGACCTCAACTGCCTTTACTCCTGGATGCTCAGTAGTCAGTGAGGATGTGATTGGTTCAGTCAACTATACTGCCATTGGAGAGTTACTCTATAAAAGTCTCAGCAGATTGCTGACAAGCACAAAGAGCATCTCCAGTGGAGCAGATGAGCAGTTGTCTGGAGACGATCACGTGAACTATGCTTGAAACCTGAGAATCTTGGAATCAAAGTCAAAATAGGCACGAATAAACAATGAATTCAGCAAAGCATATGCGAATGACACTTGAGCTATATTTCATCCATTTCCCGCGCAGATGATAGTGCTAGAACATATTATGCAGATACAACCATGCTGGACTCTTTTGCTTTGTCAGTTGCAGTACCAAAGAGTGATTTCGTAACTTTGAACGCGGGCGGCTTTGGGGAATACGATTTCGACTTCAAAGTGAGCTTGTTAAAGTCAAAACTGTGTCCAGACCGTGGCAGACTCGTCGCTTCGGGTTTCACGGCGTGTTGCGCGACTTGTTTGTCCTGTGTTCCCAGACGTTTGACGTCTTTTCTGTTGGCCGTTGCCGCGAGCTTCTCTGCAGCCTTTGGGGATTCCTCGTGCATAGGTTGCGGAGAATACTCCATAGACGACTGTAAGTTCAGCGTCTTGCCAATTTCCACTGTCAAGGCATGCCCAAAATCCAGTTTGGCCAAACTCACGGGACGCGCCCTGGTGTGAGCTGGTGAGCTCTCAGCAGAAGCGAGCAAAGTCGAGCTGGAGGACGGCGCGGGGCTTGCCGCCGGCATCTCCCTTGATGGTGTCGGGCTCGCGGACGGCTTGTCTCTTGACGGTGCCACTGGTCTGGCAGGAGGTGTCGTGGGCCTACACGGAGGGTTCGCCGCGTCTGGCTTGACTTTGTTGTCTGCAGCAGAGGGCGTCTTGGGGCCACAGGTGTAGTTCTCGAAATCAGACATTTCACAGATTACTATCAAAGCGTAATTAGAATTATATTTGGTTGGAGAGCCAAGGGTTGTTGATCAGATAGAGAGACGGGGAAAAGAAACAGATACATACTGCGTTGCTTGCGAGGCCGAAATGGCCGTAAGACTTTTGCTGCTTGCTCGAGTGCCTGAAGCTGCGCTCGGGTCTCTTCGCGCTCCAACCGGACACCCGGAGCTTCGGACGCAAGAAGCCGCAGCTCATCGTCATTCATCGTGCTGACCATCTCTGCCGTCATCAAAAAGGGAAGTTGTCGGATTAGACAATTCTCCACTGCCAGGATAATGACGTTGTCGACGAAAGTCCGATTGCACATCTGTACCAGGAGCGTTTTGATTAGTACAAGAGACTGAACACGATTGTACTGGCTAATAAGTCGAGCGTGGCTCAGACTGACCTGGTAATATGCTTCATAGTCAGTAATGGTCGTTGAAGGAAGACTTGCATCGTCTCGTGTGTACTGGAGCAGCTCTGCTTTTCCTTTGGCTGAGAGAAGCTCTGGGTTGAATCTCAGATTAAACAACTCCGAGCTGACATAACAGTACTTGGAGAACGGCCTCATGGCCTTGAAGCATGCAAAGAATTCTTCAGCAAACGGCTGCGGACGGCCATGCTGGTAGTGGGAAAGCAATTCATCCACCTTGGCGCCTAATATTGCTGTTCTCGCCTCAAAAAAAGGCTCGACGATATTCTGGACCAGGGCATAGTACGCAGCGTTGTCATTGGATGCGAACAGATGAGACATGAGCTGTTCGACGAATGACTTGGCGAAATCCATGACATGCTTGACGTGGAAATGCGCAATATGCTTCCAGGGCGAGATTTGGTCGCGGAACAGGATAAGACTTGATTTCTCATTTGTGTTTGAGGGAAGATCGTGGCTCCTGATCTGCGATTCGATGTGGTCGAGTTCCTTGACCAGATCTTTGGCGCAAATATCCTCGGGTACTTTGAATTTGTATGCACGTGCGAGACGTCTAATCTCCTTCGACACGTAAAAGGAGAAAGGCATGTCACAACCTATTTCCTCGTTGTCGCTCTCGAGAGATTCTTCAAAGCCAACTCCTTGTTTCGCATTCTTTGCATCGAGTCTGGGCACAGGATCAGGGCCCCCGCTACTGGTATGGAGAATGCGACGCCGTGAACCTTTCGTTCTCATGACATAGGTGAAAGTACGATTGAGGTCAAGGACGAGAGATCCGAATTTTCTGACACGCTCTTCTTCTGAGTATGGCGGGTATAGGTTGCCAAAGAAGGGGTCATCGTAACGGGCGTCAAGAGCTTGAGAGCATATCAACTGGTATTGGGACGCAATCTTAGTGAGGAAAGTTCGCATCTCTGGGAGTCCAGTTCGGGGCTGGCCGAGACATCGTAGACTCTGTTGGAGCTGACTGAGCTTTATTTGAACCGCATCCGCAATGCCTGGCAGGCTCTTCTGCAGATGTCGCTGGAAAATGTCGCTGAGCTTTACTCGTAGCTGCTCCGCACCTCGATCTGCGTGCCGGAATGTGCTCCACGGCGCCTGGAGGGACAGGTGTCGTTCTATGCAATCTTTCCCAACATCCGTGTCGTCCTTCTCAACCTGGGTTCGCATCCGAAGTACATGCCATCCCAGCTCGAGCTTGTAGAAAGGGGTCTCATTGTGCGCAAGTTGCACCATGGCCTCGCCAGGATTGCCTCGAGTGAGGAGGTCGGGTTTCGTAATGACACCGAGGGCGCGGCAGCCGCCCTTCACGTACTGGAATACCTGTCTGTGTAGCACTGACAGGTTGGTGATGTTGCTGTTGGCGGCAACAACGGCCAGAACAATACTCGAAGCCCGGCCCATGTACTTCTCGATCAGGCGATGCATCCTGACTTGCTTTTCGATCGGACTCTTTGTATGGTCCGACTGAGAGAGACCAGGTAGCTCGACCAGCGTCAGGGACGGAACGTCAGGCCGGCTGATTTCAATCTTCAAGATGTCTTCAGAAAACCCATCGACATCCCGCATCTTGAGGCCAGCCTCATCAATGATTCGGGTCAACAAGCCGTTCTCAAAATCTGCGTTGGCATCATCTCTGCAGATCATGACAGTCTTGCCATCAACGCGGTGGACGTGAGCTCGAATGGCTGATATGTTGCTTGTTGTGAACGCCGTCTCAACGGTAAATCGTTGACCTGTGGTGCCTCGCACTGGGAACGGAATTCCAGAAATGGCGCTCAGAACAGAACTCTTTCCTGAGTACTGGTCACCAACAACAACGATCTGTGGTGGGTCGACATGGCAATCCAGACCATGCCGGCAGAGTTCGTTGATGGTGTCTATGAGCCGATTCGATTCGCCAGCCAGCTGGCGCAGAGTGATTGGAATTGTACCGCTCATCTTGTATCGTTGCAAGGAATCCTGATTTGCCCAGGTCAAGTCTCCGCACGCTGCTTCTGGAGCTCGGCCATCTGATCTTATAACCAACCACACCTCACAAGAGCAAGATACAGCACCGACTTGTCCATCGGAATCGTTGCTCACCAAGCGTCCCGCGTGCACCATCACAAAATAGACCAACTGGTTATATCCTCACCTGTAACTGTTGGCTGTGTTTTGACGCAGGGGAAGCTGCCCGCGGTAAATTCTGTTGGTGCCGAGAGGCGGCTTGGGCGCGTAAGCCGCCACTAAATTTGTGAACACGACCGCCCTCCATGTGTCTCTGCCATTTCCTGTTGACATCTTGCAGGCTGTGGTGAGCTGATGCTCGCAGTCCTAGAAGTGATGGTTGCGCCCTGGCATGATGCGAGCTGTGCTCAGAGATACCCAGCATAGGTTCTTGATGAGCCGGACGGCAGAGTAGTAGGTTTCGGTAAGCGCGCGGCAGCGAGACCGCTCTCTTGAGCCGTTGTCCTCCCCCTGCATGTGTTGGTGTTTGGTGTATGGCCCCCCTGAGACCTACTCCAACGACCTCGGGCATTTCACCGTGCAAACCTATGAGATTGAGCCTGGAAGCGTGTCTGTATTTCCTCTTTCAGACTCTGCTCAGCTCTGCGACCCCTGTGTTTCATTGCTTCCACCTCCAAGACTGAAAGGTCTCTCTTTTCCATCCATCTTTGTAATAAGCGACCTGAACTTGAGGCCCCAATCACGCATGGTCCGAGTTGAGCTATCGTTGATTTGACTCAAAGGATCAGCGATGAATTGTCGAGCCTTGCAGCTGTTCGCAAGCGCAATGACATTGTCCTCAGACACGGCATTTTCCGGCTGCTCGGGCCAGCCCAAATTACTCTCCACTCGGCCGTGGGATGCACCCATGGCACAAATGCACCCAGGTGCACAGTATTGGAACAAATTGAACATCGAGATGAGAAAGTGGCTGAGGCGACATCTGTCCATGCCTGGTGCCTTGATCAAGTGTGGCTGAAGGACAGGGCTCAGCCTCCACCACGGCAAGATGCGAGCTGCTGCAAAGGTGTTGGGGCGGCCCCTGGCTCTGGCCCAGCCCCTGAGTCAGGGGCTTGCGTGCTTGGGCCGGGTCTGGTGGAGGGCCGCCACCCACCAACGACGCGGCGGGCGGCTCTGCTCATGCTGACTTTGTGCAGGATACGACCCTCTGTCCCCCTCCTCCAACTCCGCCAACCCGAGCGAGTCGCGTCGCAAGTGCGGCCCCAACCCGAGATCGCAACCCGAGAGCGAGCGACCGAGCGAGGGCATGCCCGGGCCCGCCCCCGGCCACCGGCCATGAAGAGCCACACAAAGTCCCGCCGCGGCTGCGTCCAGTGCAAGCACCGCAAGGTCAAGTGCGACGAGACGCTGCCCTGCTGCGACCGCTGCCGCCGCCGCCACGAGCACTGCTCCTACCTCGACGAGGTCTACGGCTCGCCCGGCGGAGGCCAGGCCGGCAGCGGCAGCACCACCAGCAACAACAATGCCTCCAGTAACAACAACAATAGCAACAGCAGCAACCCCCCGAGCACCACCTTGGCCAGCTCAGGCCTCGTCACCACACCCGGCTCCTCGAGCGGTGGCAGCACGATCGGCGCCGGCCCAGGCGGCGTCACCGGAGCCTTTGGGCCTGGGTCCTTCTCGGCCGCCGGCCACTCCTCCGGGACCGCACAGCACAACAGCTACCAACATGCCCAGCGAGGTCCCCTCCCGTCTGCCAGCCAGCTCGGCATGCTCGACACCTCTGTCGGCGCCTCTGGCTCCCTGGGCATGAACCAGTCCCCCTTAGGCACCCCGCTCATCGGCCCAGGCCTGGCAGATCCGTCCAACGGCTATGTCGTCGACATGGAGCTGCTGCACTTCTACCTGACCTGCACATACAAGACGCTCTGGGGCCGCGCCGAGGGCAAGCTCGTCTGGCGGGACGTCATCTTCCGCGAGGCCCTTGCCCATCCGGCCCTCATGAACGGACTTCTGACCACCGCCGCCCTCCACCGGATCGTGACTCTGAGTGCGACCCACGGGCCCTCGGCGGCAGCGGTCTATCACTCGGTGGCCTTGCACAAGCAGCGGCAGGCACTCGAGGGTCTCGTCGTGCTGCTGAGGTCTCTCGATCCGGAGAGCTGCCGGGCCATCTTCCCGTTGTCCATGATGGTGTCCTTCTGGGCGTTCGTGTCCCGCGACGTGCCCGAAGAGCTGGGCATCCTCACGACGCTCGACATCAACGGCGGCATCCAGCCGCCTACACACAACAATAACCACAACATTAACAGCAACCATGCCTCCCCAGCCGGGTTCACAGACCCAGGCACACCACACCAACACCAGCAACAGCACATCACCCTCCCGCCGATCAAATCCACTCTGGACCTCTTTGTCGAGCTCATCCGGCGCATCCGGGCCGTCCAGACCATCGCGCAGGAGTCGATATCCTGGCTGACCCAGTCCCAGTTCCTTCCCCTGATGGCGGTGCCCAACTACGACACCCTGCCCGCCCTGCCGCACGGCATCACGCAGGCCCTGCACACCCTAGACGCCCACATCCAGCGCACCCCGCGCATCGCCGCCATGCTCTCGGGCCTCGACAACAGGTACTCGCTCAGCACCATGTACAAGCTCTCGCGGTGCCCGGACTGGCTCGAGCTCGTCACGGGCTGGCCCATGACCCTCCCGCAGAGCTTCGTCGACGAGCTGCAGCGGCGCAACCACGCCGCGCTGACCGTCTTTGCGTACTGGCTCGGCTGCTTCCAGGTCCTCGAGGACCGGTGGTGGGCTCGCGGGTGGACGGCGGCGCTGATTGTCGAGATTGAGGGCACGGTCAGGGGCGGCGAGTGGGCGCCGCTGGTGGACTGGGTCAGGATGTATCTGAGTATCATCAAGTGATTTGCGGGTCTAGGTGGTAAATGGTTTTTCTTGGCTGTGCAGCTATCGGCTACGGAGGGAGGAGTTTCATGGAATATCAGAATTCTAAACGGGCCAGTCTCGCGGTCATGGGACTGCGGGCGTATACAGTGTGCTTCCTTACCAATCAATATCGGACTGGGCTTGGCCGGTCTTTGAAACATCAATATGGATCATCTTGGTGGCCTGCATGGGGTTGTGCCCACGCACTACTCGAGCGAGCCGGCATTCATGTTTGCCATGGCCTTTTATGCTCACATGGTGGAGGTCGGGGCCTCAATCTCATGCTGCCGCTTTCCAGGATACCGTTGCCGAGCGAGCCTGGTAATCCGAGCTCGTGCCCGCTTACGGCCCGTGTTGTTCTTCATGAAGCTTTGCTAGTGCCTCGGATGCTCAATGAAACTGACACTTGACCCCAATTCGTCCTTTGTCATAAAATGCCGCGAATCACCACCCTCGGATTGATCATGGAACAAGCTCGTGGACATCCGCACCTTGCTGGCCGTTGTCGAAGCCTGTTAGGATATCACAACCTCCTCGGCCGTGGAAGTCACTGTGATTACCCCGGGCCGATGACGTTCGCGTACCCCCAGCTCGGCACAGGAAGACTACGTCCGGGCAAACACCAGAACCCCACCACCGAGTATCGGCTTCCGGGGGACCCTGCCTGGCCCCCCCCAAAACTCGAGTTCGCTCCCGAGGGCCCACGGCCGACGGAATGCGATGCGGGGAATAAGCTTTGCCCCAAAGCGACAGGACAGGGGCCATGCCAAAACGGGGCGGCGAGGTGTCGTGACACTGTAAATGGTGGGTGGCGGGACTAGGCACGCAACCTAGTGCGGTAGCTGGGGTGTGCCTGGGAAACGTTAGCCGCAGTCCGTGCCGGAGCTCTCTGTGTGTGTAATCCGGCCGGGACTTAACTAGGCTCCACCAGCACATTCCAGAAGTGACCGATGCATATTGAGATTATTCACAACAGAAGCTTAAGCGTTGGCTATTCTTCTGAGCGCTTCCTGAACTGTGTGGTTTCTTCATGTACTGATTCAAGAGATCAACACACTCCGGTCCACCAAACAGTGCTGCCCTTCCGATGCCGTCCGCCACCACAAAGCGTGCCGTCCGCATCGGCGGCTGCTCCGGCGGCTTCGCCGACCGCCAGCGGGCGTATCACGACCTTGCAAAGTCTGGCGAGGTCGATGTCATTGTCGGAGGTAAGTTGTGTGGCCACATCAAACATGCTCTTGTTCTTTCAAGACCATAGCCATGAGAGCCATGCACCTATACCCACATCTACCCTCTCCCTGTACGAGCAATGATTAATACTGACAACAAGACCAGACCACATGTCCGAATGCACAATCGCCATCCACGGCACCAGCAAAGTCCGCAACGCGGAAGCAGCCGCCAAGGACCCGCGGGCAGCGCTGCTCGACATGTTCGACCCGTCCTTCATGGGCAGCCTGGCCCCGGCGCTACCCTGGTGCCAGAAGAACAATGTCAGGGTCGCGGTCAACGCGGGCGCCAGCGCGCCGGAACAGCTGGCGCGGCTCGTGAAGCAGGAGATCAACAACCAGGGACTCACTCTCAAGGTCGCGTGGGTCGAGGGCGACGATGTGTCGGAGCAGGTGTTCGCCCTGCGGGCAAAGGGGGAGAAGTTCAAGAGCCTGGACACGGGGAAGGACTTGGCAGACTGGGGACACGAGCCGATCTGCGCGCAGTGAGTTTCTGGTTTTTGCCTTTCCATTCTCATTTTGACTGTCCACATGATACCTAGCATGTTCTCTCTCGCTAACCGGAGTCTCTACTGTGTCAAGAGCCTACCTGGGCGGCATGGGCATCGCCGCAGCCCTCGAGGCCGGCGCAGACGTCGTCATCTGCGGCCGCGTAGCCGACGCCGCTCCCTGCGTGGGCGCCGCGGCGTGGTGGCACGGCTGGGACGCGAGCAACTTTGACGCCCTCGCCGGCGCGCTCATCGCGGGCCACCTGATCGAGTGCTCGACGTACGCGACGGGCGGCTACTACTCTGGGTTCAAGGACCTGTTTGACGGGTGCGAGAACCTGGGGTACCCCATTGCCGCGGTGGAGAGCAACGGCGACGCGGTGCTCACCAAGGAGAAGGGCACGGGGGGCGAGGTGAGCGTCGGCACGCTGACCTCGCAGCTCGTGTACGAGATCCAGGGCCCGCTGTACTACAACTCGGACGTGGTCGCCCGGCTTGAGGATATCAAGCTCGAGCAGATTGGCAAGGACCAGGTGCTGATGACGGGGGTCAAGGGCGTGCCGCCTCCGCCGACGACAAAAGTCGGGGTCACGGGGCACGGCGGCTATCAGGCAGAGTTTCACTACCTCTTTGTGGGGTTGGACATCCAGAAGAAGGTGAGTCGTCGGCTTGGTCAACTCTTGTGTCAGCTCCCAAGTTTGCTGGTTTAGCCAGTGTGCTAACATATACCCGACCCTCACCACCACAGGCCGAGTGGACGGAAAAGCAGATCCGCCACGCCATGCGCAACCACATTGACAAGTTCTCCGTGCTCAAGTTCCACCTCATCGGCTCGGCGCCCGCGGACCCGGAGTCGCAGGACTCGGCCACCGTCGACTTCCGCATCTTCGTGCAGACCAAGGACCCGTCCATCCTGGGCATGGGGTCGTGGGCCAGCCTGGGCGGCGCCGAGTCGTTCACCCGGTGGTGCATGCAGAACTTCCTGACGTCGTGCCCGGGCGCCAGCGTGGTGCCCGACGGGCGGCAGTCCTCGGGCAAGCCGATCTGGGAGTACTGGCCGACCCTGCTGCCGCAGTCGCTCATCCGGCAGAAGGCGTGTCTCGAGTGGTCCGGTGAGAGGATCGATATCCCGAGCCCGACGGATACGAAGCCCTTCAGCAAGCAGCAGGACTCGTACGACACGGCGAACCCCGCGGACCTGGGCTCGTTTGGGCCGACGACGCGCGGCCCCTTGGGCTGGGTGGTCATGGGTCGCTCTGGCGACAAGGCGTCCGACGCGAATGTCGGCTTCTTTGTGCGCCATGATGACGAGTGGGACTGGCTCAGGAGCCTGCTGAGCACGCAGAAGATGATTGACCTCCTGGGCAAGGAGTACCTCGGCCACGGCGTGGACCGGTTCGAGATGCGGCATCTTCGCGCGGTGCACTTCCTGGTGCGGGACCACCTGGATCGCGGGTTCAACAGCACCTCGTCTATGGATGCGCTAGGCAAGAACCTGTGCGAATTTATCAGGGCGAAGTACGTGGATATCCCAAATAAGTTTTTGGAGCGTGGGAAAATCTAGGGGGTGGTATCGATGGACGGAATGGCTATTCGGATCCAACTGTTAAGCACTTCTGGCGAAATACCTATTTATCTTTGATCACTCGAAAATATATATGCGGTGCTCGGTCAAGCCATCGTTTATCTCATGGTTGTACTGCAAAGGCTGATGTACCATGCTATTTGGTCACGATGCATTCAGTGTAGAATATCCTTGGCACGGGACAGAGTTGTTGTCGGGCTGCCCGTCCTTCAACAGTGGGTTCAGGTGAGTGACCTCATGCCCTGCACCGCACGGTCTGAATCTGGCGCAGAATTCTGCCGAGCGGCGCTAGTTGACGACCCATGACATTGAGGTCGTATTGCACGTTGCCGGCCCGCAAGCCATATGAAGGGACGACTGCGAGCTCTCCTTTATAGCCGATGTGGTCGTGGCTGAGTTCGGTACTCAAGCACCAAATGTATAAAAATCTTTGAGGCGTCTAGTCGAATCCGTTGGGCTTCTGAGCTATTCCACATTCGTCACCCTCCATGGTGTGAGATGAGCCAGGAGGTCCCGAAGGATTCGCGCTAAGCGCCACGATGCCATGTGGAACACTAGGCCCTTTTGGCTCACCCGAATCGTACCCCGCGCCTATGGGCGAGCAGCCTTACGAGGGAAGGGGTCATCAATGCCAAACGACATGCTCAGCTCGATGAGGCGAAGTTGCCGGCTGATTATGGACGATCTATTTAGGAGAACTTGTGGGGCCAGGTTCTTCAGCTGGCAGGTCGAGGCTGTGTCTCACATTAAACTCTCTGCGCCCCAAAGTGGCTCGTATTACTCACTAGCCAGTCTAGAATGAGACATCTGGACAAACTGGCTGGTCAAGGTTTTGTTCACCCGCTGGGCACGTGGGCACTCATAAAGCCGACGGTCTCGTCTCGAGATATAGCAGATTGTGACACCGCGGCAAGTACTGATTTCACCAAACCCATAAACTGCATATTGCCAATCCCAGCGATGCTTCCACTCTCATCAATCAACACACTGCTGCTACTAATCGCCAGCATCACGCATAGCGCAATCGCTACTGATGCCGCCAGTGTCGCTCCTTGGCGGCCTACGCCCGGAACACCCTGGCAAATCATCCTGGGCGGCAAGATCAATCCCTCCTCGCCCTTTATCAAGCAAGTTTCCGTCGTTGATGGAGACCTGTTCACCAACACCAACAACGGCGCGGACCCAAAGACAATCTTTGGCGCGCTGCACGCCCAGGGAAAGAAGATCATCTGCTACTTCAGCGCGGGCACATATGAGCCGTACCGGCCGGACTCGGGGCAGTATGACAAGCGCGACCTGGGCGCCACGCTGCCCGAGTGGCCAGACGAGCGATGGGTCGATATCCGCAGCGAGCGGGTGCGGGCAATCATCCGCGCGAGAATCGAGCTAGCCGCGAAGATGGGCTGTGACGGGATCGATCCGGATAATATGGATGGCTATGTCAGTGCACACTTCCACCTCACCTCTTCCTGTGTGAACGGCTCTTGGCTTGGCCTGGCCTCGCAGGTTCGAACAGGGGATTTCTTTATTGGACTGACCGGAAAACAGGCCAACCAGAACGGCGGCGGCTTCAACCCACCCCTAAGAAAGCAGGACTCAATCGACCTGGTCCGCATGATGGCGTCCCACGCCTCGTCGCTCGGCATGGCCACGGGGCTCAAGAACGCGCTGGCCATCATCGCCGATGTCGTGGACGTGGTGCACTTTGCCGTCAACGAGGAGTGCGCGAGCTACAACGAGTGCACCGCCATGAAGCCCTTCATTGCCAAGGGGAAAGCCGTGTTCCACGTTGAGTACCCTCCCGCGGCGGGCTCGGATGCAGGCGTGGCCACGGCGGCGAAGAGGAAGAAGTACTGCCAGCCGAAAGGGGGCGAGGGGTTTTCGACGCTCATCAAGACGTATGACCTGGACAAGTGGACGCAGACCTGTGATGGTAGGGTCTACAAGAGCTGAGGGGGTTTTGTTGATGAGGTTGCAGCTAGGATGGCCAGGAGGCCCGTCGTGAACCGCGACTCGTGCAGTCGGTGGGGGTTTTTGGTTGGCGAACTTTAATCTGGTGGCAGTGTTGTGAATGCATGAAGTCTGTGGTTAATGCTGCCAACTGTCCAGGAGGACCTTGTAACAGAGTTCCCTAGGAATTGTGGATGCCCTGCCAGCCCATGATCCGCTGGAGGATGGCGAGATCAGCGCCGGCTAGCCGGCTTACTCCTGGCACCCAGCAGGGCGCAGCACCAAATATAGCAGCGTGCTGTCCTCGTCCCCCCACTTGACGTCAGCAGGTAATCCTCCATGCTTCGCTTTGTGTCCGTCCATGTGTCTCCGGGTTGATCAGCACTCCTCGTCGATCGCGTATTTCATTCCGGAACCCTTTCATCTTCACGGTCTGTGGTTTCTTTGTGTACGCTTTGCCGAGACTCTATGTCGGTTCTTGTACATCCGCAATGGCGTTCCACAGCACGAATCCGTTCTCCAGGAAGGCCCCGGACACTAAGCAGCCACCACAAAATGAGAAGCCCGTACCAGACGAGAAGTCACAGCCGGTGAACACAGATGACGAGCCGCCGCCCTACAGCGCCAGCAACGGCACCAACAGCAACTCTTTACAATCACAACCACAATCAGCCTCATCTTCGGCGATACCACCACCACCGCCGCCATCCGCGCCAATATCGGCACAAGCACAGCAACAACCGCGGTACTTCTTCCCCCAGAATGGGCCCTCTTCGGCAGCGTCTTCGAGACCAACCTGCTGCTCGGCGAACACTCCACCCGGCCCTTATACGCGGTAAGCCAGCACTCGGGCTGGTCCGGCAACCCAGACGTCATCCTGCACTGCGGGCCAGACACGCGCATGCCGGCCCTCGCGTCCGCCGCCAAGGACTTTAGCTTCGGCAACCAGGGCCCGAACCAGATCGTGCTGCCAGCCCTTGATCCATCTGGTGGTGGCGGCGGCGGCGGCGGGCAAGGTCTCAATGGTGGCGGCATGGCCGTCGTCACCGAGGAGCTCTGCGCGGCAGGCGGGTGGACGCCTAACATGCTCTTCTCCATCGAGGTCGGCCCGGCAGATCCCCACACTCCTCCGCCGCGCAGGGAGATGTTCGAGTGGCGGCACTCGCGCGGCGACGCGATCGCCGGCCTCGGCGCCGCGGCGTACGGGTACAAGCTCGTGCGGCTGTCGAGCGATCCCCCGCCGGGCCTGCCTCCGGGCTCCGCGCAGTTCGTGGGCGGCGGGCACGCGACGAGCGACGGGAAAGAAGTCGTCGCCGTGTTCGCGCGGGTCGTGGGCTGGGGCGGCGGCGACGGGACGAGGATGCGGTTCAGGTATCTGGGCACCGGGGCGAGCGGGCTGCTGGGCGATCGGTGGGCGCTGATGGCGGCGATCACGGCTATCCGGCTTTGGCAGAGGGAGCAGAGGAATCGGAAGTGATTCTGGGTATTGCGGTGGAGGTGCTGAGCAGGACCAAGGAAGGAGATGATGAGAGAACAGATTATGAGAGGACAGATGTGTGCGTGAGTACAGTTTGAGTGGCTCTCCGTTTGTTTTATTAGCCTTCCGAAAATTTGCAGTTGCCATTTGCCATATTTCTTCGAGTAGGCGTCAACTGAATGGAAGTGCAAGCAATGTTTGGTGATGCTACTCACCTTCTTATCGTTCAATGCCACAATACTATGAGTTCCGCCCCTTTGACATCAGCCATGGCTAGTCACGGTGATCGACGCATGCTTCAAGGCTCAAGATGCGTAACAGCGAAATCTGCATGCTTGGGGGATGATAACTCCGTCAGCCCTACTGGCTCACTTTTTAGGATCTCGACGATAGACTCGTCCTGAATGGGATGATCTTTGCTCAGCATTGGTGAACTAGGGGCGATATGCTCATGTGCAATCGACCTATGAGAGCCCGCATGCCCGCATGCCTTGCTACAAGGGGCTTCTTCCCCTCCCCGGGGAGCTATCCGGTCCTGCCTATTGTGCCCGCCTTGAGCGCCAGGGGTAGGGGTTGTCTGCATGTTCGCCTGCATGAACCCATGTGAGCTGAGTGCAATCTCGTGCTACAATCCGCAGGAGGTACGCCACGGCAGGATTCAAATCCAGGCATAGTCCCCGGGATCTTGATTCTGGCTTTTCATGTGCGATAAGTGGCTCGGTAAGCTCCAGCCGGAGGACGAGGGTGTTTTCTTAAATACCATCCATCATCCCCTGCTCCTCTCCCCGCAGGGTGGAGCGGTGATCTTCTCCGTCCCCCTCCGGGCCCGTTCGAACCAACGACATCCGCGACTCCACGAGGTAGCAAGTGATGGCCGACTTCAAGGACGTGCTGTTGTCACAGCCGCGCTGGGTGGCATTGACGTCCGCACTCGTCCTGCTTCTGGGCCTGCCCGCAGCGCAATGGATCCTAAACACGCTCCGCCCGAGCCACTTTCCCCCGGGACCGCCCATCACCCCCGGGCTGGGCAACTTGCTGCAGATGCCGCTGAAGAAGCCATACCTGCGCTTCCAACAGTGGTCGCGCGAGTTCGGTCCCGAAGGGCCTGACGGCAAGACCGGCAAGAAGGCGGAAATAATCGGCCTCAAGCTGGGCACGGCCAACATGGTCGTGCTCTCGTCGGCGCGCGTCGTGCACGAGCTGCTCGACAAGCGCGGCGACAAGTACTCGGACCGCCTGCCCATGTGGATTGTCGACAACCACATCCTGCACCAGCCAGAGGAGCGCGGCCGCCTGATCATGGGTTACACGGAGCCGTTCCGCAAGTGGCGCCGGTCCTTCCAGCACGTCCTGGCCGGCAGCTCAATCAAGAAACTGCTGCCGCTGCTCGAGGCCGAGGCCGCAGAGCTGTGCTACAAGCTCGCCATTACGCCGCCACTGGGCTTGGCCAACTCTGAAGACGAAAACAAGGACAGCAAGGACGACAGCAATAACATCCTTTTTGAGACTCTCGTCCGCCGGTGGGCTCTCGCGCCCCCGCTGCTCATGACCTCTGGCCAACGCCTGCGCGACCTGCCAGACAGCTGGCTGGCCGACTTCTACCACGGGCAAGACTCGCTGATCAACATGATCCTCCCCGGCAACACCCCTCCCGTGGACCTGCTCCCTCCCCTGCGCTACATCCCGGAGTTTCTCGCCTCGTGGAAGACCAAGGCCCGCGAAGCCCGGCGGCTGTTCCTGCGCGACGCATACGGCCTGCTGGACGCGGGCAAAGCCCACCTCCGCCGCACGGGGACTTCTACCCTGCGCACGTTCGCGGGGATGGACTGCCTCGTCGCCAAGGCCGTGCGCGAGAGGCAGGACGGGACGAGCGACAAGAAGCCCGAGCACGAGACGGACCAGTTTATCGCGTTCCAGCACACGGGCTTTCTCGGGGCCGCGGCGGACACGAGCATCGCCACGCTCAGCACGCTCGTGCTCGTGCTCGCCGCGCTGCCCGAGGTCCGCAGCAAGGCGAGGGAGGAGGTGGATCGCGTTGTTGCCGGGGTGAACAAGGGGGGCCCGCCTACCGCGGATATGCTGGGGGAGTTTGTGTACTTGCGGGCTTGTATGAGTGAGGTATGTGTAATTCGAGAAACCAGCCCTGCACGTTTACAAGCAGGCCTTCATGGGAAGGCGCGGAACATTCTTTCCCGCCCAAATGGCTTGATACTAACGAAATCAGGTTCTCCGCTGGCGCCCAACCACCCCCGGCGCCCTGCCTCACGTTCTCAACCAGGAAGACTCGTTCGAGGGATACGTCTTTCCCAAGAACACGACCTTCATCATCGACGCGTGGACCATCGGACACGATGAGGAAATGTACGACCGCCCCGACGAGTTCGTGCCGGAGCGGTTCCTGGACAACCCGCTCGGTCTACGCCGCGAGGCCGCCGAGGGGGTCGAGGGGTCGGGTGGCCACCGCCGGCCCGTGTACGCCTTTGGCGCGGGGCGCAGGCAGTGCCCCGGCGAGCAGTTCTCGTACACGTACATCCCGCTCACCGTGGCCAAGTTGCTGTGGGCTTTTGATATCAGTGCTCCCGCAGGTGGGATCGACCTGAGTATCGAGACGGGGTTCGTGGACGGGGTGGTGACGAGGCCTGCGAAGACGCCGGTCGTGCTGACGGTGAGGAGTGAGGAGAGGAGGGCGGCCTTGGTGGAGGACTTTGAGAGGACACAGGCGGTCGTGCAGGGGTTGATGGGATGAGGCTGGAATCGACAGTATATGATAAACTGGGGCTTGGTGAAGACCAACGTCACTAGTCGAGGACCGAAGACAATGCTAATGATCATGATCGAAACACCAAGAACTTGTGCCGTGGCTGATTGATGGTGCTAGCCGAGGCAAGCAAATGCGTCTCATCTTGAGATGGATCTGACCTGAGAATTTCGTGTTACTCTCGGGGCATGAACCAATAAAGATGACTTGCAGCTTCGATAGTTTCATCTTAGGAAAACAAGATGAAGTCTACTCGCAAGGGACGATACGTGGTTCGTGGATGATGTGCGTAGTCAGCGGGGTCTCGGCCACCAGTAGCCCGAAACCAGTGGCCAAGGTTGTTGGCGTTGCTGTGGGCTCAGAATGATTCATCTCGAGTCGTGCCCAGAAAGGCTTAGCCCCCCGCCCACACAGCCCAGATTGGGCAGAGGACTCGGCTTGGCGCGGTTGAATCATCCAAGACACTCGCGGATAGCAACTTGACATGCCGACTGGGTATTCAGTTGGCCCTCTGATGCTCGAGTACATAACTCCCCGTTGATCATGGTCATCTTCTTGTTGGCTTTTGGTCACACATCATCACAGTACAGTACCACACAACACAACAGCAATAACACAACTCACAACCAACAACTCCCCCAACACCACTTCAACACCACCAACACCACAACAACAATCTCCATGGTCGGTGCAACATCTGGTGCAAGCTCCGCAGCCGCCACAACAATGAGCCTATCGAACCACAGCCACACCGAGTCAGGCTCCACAATGGAGTCGCTCAACCACTTTTCCACGACAACAACCAGCCACTCGCGCGACTCACAACCCCAATATCCGCTTAGGACTGCCAGCCCGCTCTCCGTAGTGTCAGACCAGTCATCCTCTACACATGGACACGAGGAAGACGACGATGACCTCGAAGAGTCGAGCTGGGACAGCGAAGACTTCTCATCTGATGACTACGAGGCCGACACCCGCAGGACTCGTCCCGCAGGGCCGCATCTTGTGATTGACTCGGACACGATGCGGCTGCCTTCAGGACGGATCATATCCTCACGGCCGGCAGTCGGCGGCAGCACATCCTCAAATCACATGCGCAGGCGACAGCAACGTCGTGCTTCACCCCAGCTCCTCGAGGAAGACCTTTCACAGAACGATCTCAATGCCACCTACAACAACACCAACACGACAGCAGCTGCAACACCTCACGACAACGCGGACCGATCGCAAGGACAAATACCACCAATGTCACGTTCCGCCTCTCCCGAGACAGCACTGGTTTCCACGACGACGACGACGACGACACCCGAGACCAGCCTCTCCAAGCGCGAGACCAAGCGCCGCGCCCTGACCACGCAGCTCGCCTCGCGCATGCGGCAGACCGACCAGCAGACCCTCGCGCGCCTGCCCCACGCCGAGCAGCGGAGCCTGCTGGTCACCGGGCAGCGGGCGGTCGAGCAGGCCCAGCGCGAGGGGCAGCGGTTCACGGGCAAGATGGACAGCCTGGGCAACATCCAGGTGTCGGAGCGGTTCGTGAACGATGTCCCCGGCGGCAAGGCGCACAAGAACCGGTTCTTTGCGAGGTGATGCGGGCGGTCGTACATGTGTTTCGGTGTGAGCAATTTGCACGGCATCCTTATGAAGAGCGATTGGGGCGGAAAGAGAAGGGAACAGGAGGAGGGGAATAGTGTAGAGGGTTTTACTTTGAAGCGAAGCATGCGTTTACGTGTTTTCAGAGGATGTGTTTTACTCAGGACAAGCTTTTTGGGTTATCGTCACCTGTCTTCGATTGCACAGGACTGCCAATCGGAGTCCAGCAAGCGTTTGGTGGCGCCCAGGCACGCAAACAAGGCTGGAATTATCACAACGGCTAAAATTAGCAATTGAATCCAGCACCTGTTTGTGTCCCAAACTTGATTGTCCTGGAGATGCACTTGAACTCTAGGTAGGTGCCTCCAGCACCAGTCGTGCACGGCAATGACGCACAGCTGCTGACAAGCGCATCGCCTCATGCTCGTCAGGCAAAGCAGCCAGATGGGTAATTGACGCCAAACAGTACCTAGTACCTGCCATTTCCCCATTCAGGGCTGCATCCAGGCCCTAGGAAACGGGATGTTTAGTGCTTACCACCCTCCCCCGGCCTGCACTGCTGAGCCGCCCCCACCGGATACCATGCTCGAGGTTGACTACTTGACCTGGGAGGCATGTCCAACGGGAGACTGGTGGCCAACCTGTATTTTACTTGTGCTGCAGAGCAGATCTAATTCCGGCACACCGGGCCCGGATGAACAGGTTCTTCTTGTTAGACAGCGATGCAGGTACGCGCGGTAATGTACCCACGGTGCCCGTCTGCCAAATGCTCTCCCACAGTCGTGAAAGATGCTCCAGCGGGACCATCTGCCCTCATGCTTTGCGAGCACACGTCTGCGCGCGTTTCCTAGACATCATAGAGCGATCATGACGGGATCGCCCCAAGTGAAGTGGAGGCCCAACGGACGCCCTGCATGCACACACGTAAGACTGTCTAGCCCGAGCGAACAACGCTCAAGTTCCGCGATGGTGGTCCCCGAGGAGCTTGGTTGTCGATTGGCAAGGTGGGCCTCATCTGATGTCATGATGGGCTTTGCCGAGTGCCTGGCCTGGCCAAGCTCGACCCGCGTAGCTCAGCCATGTCCGCAGCTAATAGGAAACGCACGAGATGCCTAAGTGCTCATGAGAGCACAGCAAAGCATCAGCATCTGAGGCCATATTGCGCCCCATCTCGTAAGGCGGCCGTTCCCGAGCAGAGGGGGCCTTGGCCATTCCATTTGCTGTATTGGGGAAAGCGTCGACGGGGCTGATCCCGGCCCTGCCCCAGAGGGCACAGCCCAACGAGGTTCTACAGCGTGGAGCGTGGAGACTTTGTTGTAATTACTGCATCGAGTATAGCGCTTGATGAGATGCCAGTGATTGGGTAGCTGATGCCCGTAGAGATCCTTACGGCGCAGATCTGGGCAGTAGCTACAGGGCTGAGTCGTCCAGGTCAGCTTTACACGACGGGCGGGAGCCTTGGGCTCGGCAGCCACGCCCTGGTCCTTGTCCGTGGTAGTGCGTAGTACATACAATGGCGCTTGAGGCGATGTCAGGATGTATAAAAGACTGGGTGCTGGCGATGCCGTAAGTCGTGGTGATTTGCATGCAGCAGCAGCATCAGCCTTTCCTCTCGAAGACTTCGTCCTGTTTCTTTCTTATCACGACCACAACAGCCACTATGAAAACAACCACCCTCGGATCCCTTCTGCCTCTTGCGGTAGCCAGTGTGGCGTCTCCTCTACATGACATCGATATCTCCTTCAATCATGGCCCGCGTGCAAGTGGGAGCAGCCTGCAATGGGGCAAGTGTGCAGGTCTCAACGACACGCTGCCCCGTCGACTGCAGCACGCTCGACGTACCGCTCGATTACACCGACTCGGCCTCGGACAAGAAACTGACTCTCCAGCTGCTGAGAGTGCCCGCCCCTGTCCAGCCCAGCAAGGGTTCTGTCCTTGTCAACTTTGGCGGGCCGGGCTTTGAGGCACGCAACACCCTCGTGACATATGCGGATGCGTTGACAGAGTGAGTCTGAGCGAAGGAAAAAAAACACCATTGCCTAGTGGTGACTTGGAATGCTGACAGCTGACTCCAATGCATCAGTGGCACTGGAGGCGAGTTCGACATTATCGCCTTCGACCCGCGCGGCACCGGCCTCACCATGCCCTTCAGCTGCTTCTCCTCGCCTGCCGCCTCGGCCCTCATGACGGCGACATACCCGCTCAAGGCGCCCGGCCAGGCGGACAACGGGATGGGCACCCTGTGGGCGGAGGCAGGCGCCTGGGGCCAGGCGTGCGGCAAGAACGAGACGGCGGCCGAGATGGGTGGGCTGGTGGGCACGGCGTTTGTGGCACGGGACCTGATGCAGGTCGTCGACGCGCTGGGCGAGGACGGCAAGCTGCGGTACTGGGGCATCTCGTACGGCACAACGCTCGGGGCGACGGTGGCGGCCATGTTCCCGGACCGCATGGACAAGGTGATCCTCGACGCCGTAGTCAACAGCCACCGGTACTACCACAATAGTGGCGTGTAAGTCGGGCCCCCTTCCCCTGACACTCGAAGCTACAACACATAGGAAACCCGCGGCTGACTAGCAGTAACTCTCTCGCCCTGACACAGCGATATTGATCAGCTGGACTCGGCAGACGAGGCCTGGCGCCTCTTCCTGTCCCAGTGCATCGAGGCCGGGCCCGAGAAATGCGCCATCGCCGCGCTGGGCTCGAACGCGATAGAGCTCGAGACCGCCCTCGAGATTGTCCGCGCGTCGTACCGGACAAACCCCGTCGCCGTCAACGGCACCGTGGTGGACTATACCCTCGTCTCCAACCTGTATTACTTCTTCGCCCGCATGACACCCGCGCTGGCCGCCGCGACCTCGCTGCTGCTCAGCATCGTCACGCGCGAGAACCTCGAGGCCGTGGTCAACGCCTACGCCGCGACCATGGAGGTGTTTGGCGTGTACGAGCCGCACTACTCGATCAAGTGCGGCGACCAGTTCCCCCGGTACGACAACCTGAGCGCCGCGGAGCCGGACATCGAGTACTACATGCAGTCGTCGCCCCTGTTTGGCGACGTCGCGGTGTCGATCAGCGCCGTATGCGCGCGGTGGCCGTTCGCCGCCAAGGAGCGCTACGAGGGCGACTTCCGTGTCAAGACGGCCAGCCCGGTGCTCCTGCTGCAGAACACGTGGGACGCGGCTACGTCGCTCGACTCGGCGTTCAACATGAGCGCCGGGTTCGAGGGCAGTGTGGTCGTGGAGCAGGAGGGTTTCGGGGTGAGTGTTTTTTCCCCACTCTTGTGTGGTAAATGATGGTGTTGATGATGGCGATGAGAACATATTGCTAACCTCACTTTTCTGGTTTACAGCACGGCACCTTTGCTCAGCCGTCCAAGTGCTCAATGGAGTGGACCCGGGCGTACTTTGTCAACGGCACGCTGCCGGACGGCAATGTCAAGTGCCCTGTTGACGTCTCGCTCTTCTCTTAAGCGCCAGTCCCCCAATAAGCCAGAGTTATTGTTTCATTGCGTTGACAATGCTGGGGCGGCGGAAACGGCCTGTATTCATCAAGCATCTCACTTTTCAGCAATATTGCTTATCCATCTCAAACACTTCCACCACTCATTAATCTTATTGTATCATACTTGTAGAACAAAACAATGCCTGAACGGCTGTTACGTCTGGCGTGTCTGCGGGCTGTCTTGACCATGGTGGAGTTGACTCTCCTTGATCTGGTGACAGCTTGTTTGTCCTTCTGCTGCAGATTCACCACAACGAGAGGTGACACTTTGCGCATGAAGGTCGTGCATTTCTTTATCTTCAAAGTCAACAGCACGTTCTAGTACAAAAGACACAATAACAAACGCTTTCTATACACTGATCATGCATCACTTTCTTCTCCCCATAGCGTCTACCTCGTCATCGTCATCCTCATCGTCCTCCTCCTCGCCGTGCTTGACGAGCTCATATTCGTGCTTCTCTGCCCCAGCCGCCGAGCCCTCTCCACGAGCGCGCGCCCTTCTGCGCCGCACGTACCATGTCGAGGCTGCAGCCGCGACGGCTATGAGCGCCAGGCCTGCTGCTCCAGAGGCCACGGATGCGCTACTGTTTCCGAGTGAACAGGAAACCATAATAGTCAGCCTTCGCCCGCAAACACGGGGAATAAAAGCAGCAAAGACGAAGAAGAAATAAAACATGAAAACATACCTGATCTTGACCCCGCTCCCCAGTTCCACAATCTCATGCCACTCCATGGCCGGGCGCACATCCTGCATCTCACACACTCTCTTCGAGTCCGTGCCCACGGGCAGCGCCTTGATCAGGCCTTGCCGCTGGATCTCCTCGGGCGCCTCGATGATGGTCGCCACGAGCCCCGAGTGCGAGTGCCACTCCATGTGGCAGTGAAGCAGCCACACGCCCGGGTTGTCCGAGACGAAGCGGATGCGCGCGGCGCCGCCGCTGCGCACGAGCACCGTGTCCCGCCTCACGGGAGTCGCGTTGGGGTCTACTACGGCCCAGACGTCCTGCCGGGACGACGCCGCGGTGCGCTGGAGGATCTGGAACGAGTGCCCGTGCAGGTGCACCGGGTGGTCCATCGGATGCTTGTTGATGATGACGAGCTCGGTGACCTGGTTGTGCGCAAGGACTATAGGCTGCGAGTTCTTGCCGTACAGGTCCGGGTCGGTCACGTTGGCGGCCTCGTCGAGCGCGCTGAAGAGCGTGGGGAGAGAGGGCGTCTGATAGGTCGAGCTGTTGAAGCGCCAGCTGTGTGTGGTGTCAGAAACATTCTTAAAGGAGAAGTTTGGGATTTTCGAAGAGAGATCGGAAATCTGATGCCTCACACAAGGGGCCAAAAAAGAACTTACTGGTGACCGCCGTCCATGGCCATCCCCATGCCGATAGCAAGGGTGATGCTCTGCCCGACCTCCGGGCCCAGGACCGGCTGCTGGTCATACGGGACGAGAGCCATGTCGTCAAATGCCCCAGAGAAGTCTTCCACGACTTTGGCGTCGGGAAAGGGTTTCTGGTCGTCGTAGGTGAGCCAGCCAACCGCCCTCTCCGATTCGTCCAGGTATTGCAGTTCCTATCGGCCCCGTCAGAAGGAAAAAGATCTCGCACGCCGTCAACAAGCGCATAACTCACCGGGTCCATGCGTGCAACCATGGCAAAGTTGGCCTGCGCATCCGGCCGCGTGGTCAGCAGGAACGAGTGCCGCTGGCCCGCGGCGAGGTAGATCAGGGTCGCCTCTGCCGGCTGCGTCCACACGCCGTCAGCCTCGACGATGCGCATCACGTGGCCCTCGATCCAGAAGTAGATGCCGACGTACGCGGCAATGTTGGCCACGCGCACGAGGTACGTCGTGCCCGGCTTGACGGCGACGGTGACGTTGGTCGTGTCGTTGATCATGATCGAGTCGGGCTCCGGGTCGCCGCCGTTGGTGTCGTAGTCGTCCAGCAGCGTCACCATCTGGTCGTGGTACCAGTCCGACAGCGACAGCACAATCTCGTCGCTGTACTGGCCCACGTAGGGCGAGTCCGTGTCCGCGATGACGAGCATGCCCCGCAGCCCGTCCGGGTACTGCGACGTCGTGTGCGAGTGGTACCAGTACGTGCCCGGCTGGTCCACGCGGAAGCGGTACGTAAAGGACTCGCCGGGCCGGATCGAGCACTGGCTGACCCCGGCCGTGCCGTCCATGTGCGACGTCGTGTTCATGTAGATGCCGTGGAAGTGCAGCGACGTCGACTGGTTGCCCAGCGAGTTCCACGTGTTGATGACAACCGTGTCCCCGACCGTGGCGGCGAGGGCCGGCGGCGGGAACACGCCGTTGACGCCGATGACGGGCCGGGCGCGCTGCCCGTCCGGATCCGCCCATACCCAGGTGATGTTGAAGTTGTGCTCGATGACGGCGGCCGCCGCGGTCCGGGCAAATACGGCGAGCACGGCCGCGAGCAGCAGCACCGGCGACGGCCACTGCCGGCGTGGTTGTCGTCGCGCCATGATTGGTGCTAATGGTGTCTGGACGGTGTCTCTGTCGCTCTCAGAGGTCAGAGGACGTCACGCACTCACTCACTAGGCCAGCACGGGAGTCATGTAGACCCGAGAATGGCAGCTGTCGTGCCTCGTGCTCGAGGATTGCACCAACAGCCAGCCGGTTTATCGCGGAGGACAACTGGCCCCCTGGACCCTTTTTTCCCGCCTCGGGCCTGGCTACTGCAGGGGTTCTGCCGAAACGCGTTAAGGGGCTGCCACGGCCAGGCGCCCAGGAATGCGCGACAGTGGGACGATCCAGGGGCTTGGCAGCGCCACCAGTCATTTCATTCCACGCCGACCCGCCGCGCGGTCAGGCTAGGGTGGTGGCGAGTGGTGATGGCTTCCTCGAAACAAACTAAAACAAAAGCTGTTTGGTCTCCCGTGTTTTGCTCTGATCGTCCGAGCTCAAGTCTTTCTGGTGCGACAAATATCAGCTGAGCCGAGAGCATGGTGACTCAAGAGCAGTTGGGTGTTTGAAACGCCTTGAAACATTTCACCCAGTCAACTCTATCAAGTAACGAACCAGGTGCATTATTGCCTTGCTATCGTCGTCTGCTTCACAATCCCCAATTCCCCCTGTACTCGATAACTACTATCGACCAGCTCGCAATTCATGGCAGGCTGAAGTCGACAACAATACGCCTACAATAATCAGCAGTGCCACATGCAGCGGATCCAAGATCAACTTACCCAGCGACTTCGCCCCTCTTGAGCTTCTGCACCGCCTCGTCCCACTTTGAGAGACCAACGACCGTCGGCTCGAGCTTGAGTTTGCCTTCACAACGTAGTTTAGCAATGTCATTTTGTATATGGACAGTGGCTGATCCTGGGTCGCGTGAAACTTACCTCTACGTGCAAACTCAAGCGTCGCGTCCACATCCGCAAGGCTGCTAACCATAGTGCCCTTGATGGACTGACCGCGGACAATGATGCTCGTTGGAAACAGGTTGATCTTGTGCTGATCTTTAGGTGGCATTCCGATGCTATACACCTCGTTAATCTCCTGCAGATGAGAGCAGACCTCGAATAACCCTGCCGACGGCAAGAAAGAAGAAGCTCACCACATGACGACGCCGCCCATCCGGTAACCGATGTAGCTCAGAGAAGTCGGGTACGCCTGGACAGCTACCATCCCACAACCCGAGTCAGTCAGTCAGTCATGAGTACGCTATACACATCCTCGGAGACCATCGTGCCTGCGTCTAGAAGCACCAGCACTCACCCGTGACAAAACACACGTGCGCCCCTCCGCCCGTGATCTCGACGACCCTCCTGGCCGGATCCTGCACCTCTTTGAAGTCCACAAACTCCTCGGCACCCATCTTGAGCGCGAGCTCCCGCCTCTCGCTTCCCGTGTCGACCACCACGGCGCGCAGGCCCATCGCGACAGCCAGCTGCACGCCCTGGATCCCCACGCCGCCGCCGCCGCCGGGGAAACATGCCCACTGGCCGGCAGTGGCGCCGGAGGACCTGATGGCCGTGTACATGGTCGATGCGGAACACATGACGGGTCCCGCTACATGGTCAGGCACCGAGTCCGGGATGATTGTGGTGTAGCGCGCTGGAGAGGCGACGTATTGCTTGTAAGATCCTGCACGTGTTGTGTAATTGTCAGCTCGAAGCACGGGAGTCAACCCAGGGGTGACACGCCACGACTGCCCGTTATCTACCACGCAGGTCTCCGTGTGAGAAGCAACAGGTCAAGAAGACGTACCATCAACGTGCAACCCCGTATACTTTGCGCCCAGGCAGTAGTTATCGTGGCCTGTCCGGCACGCCTCGCACGTGTAGCACACGTCGGCGACGGGCTTGAACCCGGCCCGCTGCCCGACTTTCAGGTTCTTGACGTCGCTGCCAACGGCGACGATCTCGCCCGCGCCCTCGTGGCCGGGGCACTGCGTCCCGAAGCTAGACATGGAGGGTGAGTCCCAGTCGTGCAGGGCGTAGTGCACATCGCTCATGCACAGACCCGTGCAGGAGAGCTTGATGAGGACGTCCTGCGGGCCTGTTATGTTTGTCTCACGCGCACACAGGGTGCAGTGCTGTGGTTAGCCGCGGTGTGTGTGTGATTTGTCAGGGCTGGGGAAGGATAAAGGGAGGCTGGAGAGTGGATGTGAGCAGTATGTCTGGACTGACCGATCTCTGGCACAGGGACTTTCTTGACCTCGATTCGAAAGTCGGGGCCTTCGTTCACCACGACGCCCGCAAGGCACTCCTTGGGGATCTCGGGGGCATGATGTCCGTTCGTGGTCGTCTTGGCAGTCATTGCTGTGTATGTAGGTAGCTGTTTGGATCCTAGAGCGAAGACAGGTCCAGATTTTCGCTACCAGATCGAGAGGGGAGGGTTCTGGGTTGTAAGGGCGTTGTGATGATGACGGTACGGCTAGCATAACCTTCTTCCTTAAAACCCCCTCCCTCCCCACAAACCTACTCCAACCTCGACGGTCTCTTTCCATGCACAGCGCCTGTTCTCTGTCGACTGTAAGAGGGACCTTATGCAGCTCCAACGCCAAGAAGTGCGGGGAGGACATGGGAAAGCTGGGGTAAACCCACGGCCGGGCAGCCAAACTCCGGGGCACCGAGAGAGGGTGCCGTCATATGGGCGTGGCTTGCTCCAAAGCAGGTGGCGCACCCTGGAGTAGTGAGGGGCTTGCGTCTGTTGTTCCTCGGCATCTTGTGCTGGGCGGGCACTAGCACTAGTGGTTGGGAGGACCGCGACGATCGCAAGGAGCTGTGGAAACTCTATACTTCGTGATGAGGCCATGTCTCTCGGTTCCCCAGATCCTGGGAAGGCTGAGTTTTGCGTAAACCTCGGAATGAAAAAGAAAAGTACGATAGACCTGCAGGACTGCACGCATCCCATTCAGACGCTGCATTTGCTAAATTGGGCAGCACATGACTCATCACGAATCCAGTGCAAGCGGCAACGGCCGCGAAGAAGGCGTGTCTGAGTTACCGTAATGAACCATCTCATGAATTGCACTAATGCAACCAGCAAGCGGAGAATTTATCAAACACAAGTCTCACCAGGATCAATGGCTAGTGGCTATCTTGCAGGTCCGGGATCGGATGGGGCCCATAACTGTCTTGAAACTTGTTGGGCGCAGATCAACACTGTCTTTCCACGGTACCGCAGAAGCTATGCCTAATGAGCTAGGTTTTCTTGCACAGGGATGTCTTTCTACAGAGATGCCCAGACAATCAGTGTTAGCCGCCTATCCACCGCATACTCACTTCCCACGCAAGGCTCGAGAGACAGCATCTCAGGTAGTCGTTTTGTTTGCTCCTCTTCTATCTCTTGCCGCCCAATTTCTCCTCGGAAACCTTTTCCCCTCTATTTTCTGCTTGTCCGCATCACTTCCCTTTGCACCAAAGTCCACGAAACCTTCAAAATCACCTCTCAGGCTCGTTCTTCCTCGTCGCAGAAAGTAGACCATCAACCCGTCATAACACCATCATGAAGATCTCCAACATCGCCATCGTCACCACAGCTGTTTTGGCTGGGCACTCGGATGCCTGGTTCTACTTCAGTATCCCGCTCGCACCGCTCAGGCTTCCTGCCATAAGCAATCCTGCTCCTCCTCCTGCTAGCAGCTGTTCATGCCCAGCTCCGGTGCCTCCCCCCGACTGCCCGGCAGCCTTTTGTCCCGACCCCAATTGCCCACCAAATCCTGTATACGACGCCTACGAAAACCAGCTTGCCGCCTGTGGAGGCAGTGCTCTCTTCAACAAGGACGGCGCGTACGTCAGCTGCTAAGGAAGTTTTATGCCAAGGACAACAATATTGGGACATCCGGTCAAAATATGGGAACACTTGGGCGAGCCGCCGGAACGAGATCGTTCACATGTCAACTTGTCACGCCCACGTCGTGACGTCGATGGTCGCCGAGAGGACTTGACACACACACCATAATCAGGTGGAATGATGGAGGGACGACTATCGAGACTTAAGAGGCATAATTCAATGAAAGTGAAATTGGCCATCTGGGAAACTAGCCCTGCCCCTCGAGTTTGCGTGCTTTGTGTGTCGAGAATTTGAAACTTCATGGATGGAAGGCCTCTGCACTACTCGAGCCATCGTGACTATCTGGCTCAGGCAGGGATGGCTGCAGCTCTCGTTTGCTTGCCCGTCACGTCCAACGAGGAGTGCTCATCATAGAGGCACCTGCGGTTCATCGCGTAGAATTTGTCATTGCAATCCCGGCCAGGAAGCTCAGCCTCCCAATCCCCCCACTCCTAGGATTGACTGCCCCGTCTCGTCGAAGACACATCCACAGCTGCATCGACATGACATGCAGTATCGGCTTTGGTCATAGCCTAGGTGCCACTCGGGTCATATGAACTTCTACCAAGACATCCCTCGCCTTGCCGTGCCCTTGTGGCAATAGGGTCTGACACACCCACCGAGACACAGTAGTGTCCCATCCTGTTTAGGCAGTCCATGGTCCAAGTTGTTGCCAAAAAGCTGGTTTGTGACGCAGAGAGCCGAAATAGTTGCTATGTCTTATCCTGGCCTTTGGAGCAGCCTCGGCCTGAATTGTGTCTCAACCTCTTCTTCGTGCATGTCTGAGAATGTGCTCGTTCCCGCGGCGGTGGTTCTCCCGAACCAATCCAAAATTCCCCTTTCGGGCCTTTGCTTCTCTGCTCAAGTATGTTTCGACCGTTTGGGATATTGTTCCAACCTCGTTTGATTCAATGCATTTTCCAAATTCGAGCAAGACGTCATATATCAGAGCGGGGTCTCAGCCGTTGCCGTGGAGCACTCTCCTGTGGCGCTGTCTGTTCTCGTGTCATAAGATGCTCCTCGTCCGGGTCGCATGATATCCCTGCAAGAGAAGCTCCAACGCCCTAGCGATATATGTCTAGCGTGCCGCCCAAGCCAAGCCCAGGGTTGTGGATTGTCGTCAATTAATCATCGTGCATGCGTCTGCCGAGACTCGCACGAAAAGCAACCAATTTCTCGGGTGGGCTGGGAGGTTGGATGTCGCGGCTGATGTCGTGTCTCGGCATACTCCGGACCCGGGCTGTAGGTTTGTGGGGAAACCTCGCTATTGCCTGATTGCTCGCTTCACTCCTGTCCAATGCCATCCAATTTTTCCTCGCGGCGGCTCTCGGGACCAGGCTATTTAAGCTATGTCTCAGTCACGTCCGGAGCACTGACAAAGTGTCTTGTCCCACTTATTATGATATCCTAGACTCGCATAGTCGCGGGACTTGTAGAGACAAGACAAGGCTAGGTCGAGACATGCTTGATATTGGGCTTTCATTGTCTCGAACCGAGTCCGAGGAGGCAGGAGGACTTCAGAGGCGATACTCCGCGTTACGCGGCAAAACGGAGCCGGTGAGCCGGATGACACCCTGAGTCAAGCTGGGCAAGACACAGCCTAGGGATGCTGTCACAAAAGGGCGGGTCGCGCCGGTGGCCGGGCCGTGCCGTGATGTGACAGTAACGCCACCTCCTGCAGGCAGGCTGGGATCGATCTTGGAGAGGAACGTCCAAGCGTCGGCTTCCTTCTCCCACTGTACCCCACTCAGTTTTTCCGTGCCTCATCGTCTCAGGCCTGTGAAATGGTGCTTGGAGCTCACCCAAGCCTGGCTCGAGGGCCGCGTGTTACGCGCATCGCTGCGGTTGTGATCGAAGAGGAACGACTCGTTCTTGGAGGATTACAGCGATCTGCCATTGGAGCTAAGCCCGCCCTTGCCCAGCTTGAAGACCCATCGCCAGCCTCCTCGAGAAGTCTATTACCTGCTTGCTAATCACGTTGATCTCTGGAGACGAACATGTTATCAGTAGTACTGGGAAGTCAGGCACGTATTGCTGCATCTGTTCAACCGAATACCCAGTCCAATTGGCTTTTCTACTAGCTAGCCTTTGTCTCTGACTTCGCATCCTCCTCCTCCTCCTCCTCGTGCTGCTCACTCCGTTATACCATGATTGTTCTTTTCCCCGCGCGCTGACTGCAGTCTGAGCAGCCTAAAAAGCCTCCTAGACACACCTGACAAAGATACCATTCTGGTTGAACATGGCCCTGTCACCCATGGACTCGCAGTTGTCCACCTCGATGGCTCTGTTATCGTGGTTGCTCCACACAGGGCGGTGGCCTGGCACCGGGCATGTTTTGACGGGGCAGGCAGGAGGCGGCCTTGCGGCCGGACAGCTATGTTGGGTACCGACCAAGGCACCACCACCGCCACCGCCGCCGCCGCCACCACCTCCGAGGTTAAAGGTAGGAAGCTTTAGAGGGATCCAAGGGCGTGGCTTGAAGCAGAAGAAGGCGTCTGCAGTGCCGGAGAGGGCGGTGAGTACGACGATCACGGCGGCTTCGGTGATCTTCATGATGGGTAGGTAGACGGCCGATGGAGTAGTGTCCGTTGTCGCGGTAAACTTGATGTATTATGTTAGGTGTTGGTTCTCCTTTTGGGGGTTGCGGTGAGCTGTTGACTAAGGAGGAAAATAGACACAAGGTCGTTACGAAGAGGGTTCTTTGCGGTCCAAGTGATACCGCCGGAGAGGGGAAGCAAAACTATGAAGGAAAGAAGCCGGAACTTGTGGCAGAAGAGCTTCACCAGACCTTTCATATCCTTAGCCTCCCCGGAGAGTGTACCATGCCAGAGTACTTGCAGCAGAGGACCATGTCCAGCATCTCCGTCTAGATCCTCACCGCCATGACTCTATTCGTCCCCTCGCTCATTACTCCTGACAGCACCGCGGCGGCGGGCGTGAGACCTCTGTTGTTTTTCTGTACCTTGAGATCTTGGTTGAGACAAGCGGGACGGGACGTTTGTGCGCCACTAAATGAATCCTTGTCTTTTGGCCCTCCAAGTGGTTCCTTTTTCATATACCAAAAACGGCAGTTGATGTCTCTGCAGAGAACACCTCCGGCATGGACGCTCAATTGTTTCAAGGATGCATTTTCTGTTTAAGGCTATAGGACATATCCGGTCCGCCGGCACGTATGATCGCCCACGTCACGGGCCCTCAATAGCAGAAATACTAGTGAGGAAACGGAGCTTGCCCATAATGATGATAATGATTATCCGGTCTCGGCGCTACAGGTGATGTCGGAGCTTTGTCTTGTTTTTCTTTCTGAAGTGGCTGACTGCAACCCTGTCATGTGTTACCCGCAGATCACAAGCGTCAGAGCAAGACTGTGCGGTGGACTCCGTGAGGGCGCATCATGCCAAGCCAGAGTAAAGTCATGCAGGAGGACCAGTCGGCTCGATTACACGTCGTGATTTCAGCTGCAGCTCGGCTTGAACAATATTAAAGAGCTGGCCCGCATGGTCTCTGTAGAAAAGCTCGACCACACAGCCTCAGCATCTGCACCAAATACAGTTCTCTGAGCCTCATCACTCTAAGGAGCAAACCATGAAGGCCGCCATCAGTCGCAAGTTGGCCGTCCTGGCCGTGTGCCTGTCGACCTTTTCGTCGGCTGCCATGGGTGCCTCTTGTCCCGAGAACGACGGCGAAGAAGTCAAAGCGTGAGTAGCACTTTCTCTGGCAATCATCTTTTTTTCCCTTTCCACGCGAAGGCTTTGAATTATGGACTGAAGGACTGACAAGTTCCACAGCCCAGGAAAGGTCTATAAGCTTTGGTGCAAGCACGCACAGGGCGCTGCAAACAGCATCACCAAGCCCTGCAGCTCCATTGACGAGTGCGCGCAGCTCTGCGCTGCAGCCGGCAACGACTGCCTCCACGGCCAATTCCAGGTCAAGACGAACGAGTGCTTCCTGCGCAGCAACGTCGGATCGAAGACACCACAGACCTACGCCAACGGGCATGTCCTGCAGTGGATCCGCGATGAGCCCATCGACCCAGTGGACGGTAGTGACGGCACTGGGACTACTACTCCTCCTCCCAGTACTGACGATGGCACGCCTACTGACGGGAGCGGCCTCGACAAACATGGCAACAAGCTCGTCTATAAGTGCGGCGACGATCATGGCGATTACTTTGAAGCGTGAGTTTCGGAGATTATCCCTTACTGCGCCGTCCAAAAGAAAAAAAAATGATATCGCTGACATGACACACGAGCCAGTGATAACGGCCGAGTCTTTAAGCTGTACTGCAGCCACGGCTCGTACATTGCCGACATTGATAGCTTCGCCTCGACCAGTCTCAGGGAGTGTGCCGAGAAGTGCGCCCTGCGCTCCGACTGCAAACAGGTTGACTTTGATGGCACAACATGTCACATCAAGGGCGCTTCCAAGACCCCGGCCTCATGGACTGGTCATGTCTGGGTCGCGACAACGTGTCCCAAGACGAGAGCCACCGCCCAGAACAAAGATCCTGCCACGACCACCGACGTCACGTGCCCCCAGAGTAAGCTTACCCCGGCCTGACCTGAAAGCCATTGTCTCTCTATTGAGCATATCAATTGACATGTCGTGCAGATGACGGCAAGATCTTTGAAGGTTCTGACGGCACCTGGTTTTATAACCAGTGCTGTGCCGACACTGACGCCGCCAGCGTGCTCGGTTACAAGACCGCAAAGGACCAAAAGGACTGTGCGGAGCTGTGCGTCCAGGACAAGGCTTGCAAGAGGTACGTAATTTTGCTTCCACACTTTCAGAGTCCAGTTTCGCGGGTCCTCCCACAAGATTTGCTGACTTGTCCCGTGCCGCACCACAGCGCCCTCTTCGTGACCGAGACCGGCGGCCAACCTGAAAACTGCAAGCTCTACGGCCACGGCAGCTTCTCCACGACTGTTGCGGAAGGTGCTCACTACATGTTTGTGACCGACCCGCCGACCAGCGCCGCCAAGCTCTCCGAGTCCAAGCTTTGCTCGACCGAGTGCCCTGGTGCCGACGGTCAGATCTATGCCAGCGTCACGGGAGAGGTGAGTGTCCCTGTGCTATGGCATCCGTACGGATTCTGGTAAAATAGAGTTGCTCTGCTAACACGGTCCTTTCGCCTCACGCTCAGAACTACCAGATGTTCTGCAAGAAGCGCCACGGCACCAACTACCTCAAGATCGAGCGCCGTCCCAACTTTGAGGCCTGCATCGCCTCTTGTGCTGCCACCCCGGCTTGCGACAGCGCCGACTACGAGCCTCGCACCAAGAAGTGCTTCTTCAGCAACGACAACAACCTCCCCACCATCGACGCCCCGGCCTTCATGTCTGCCCACTCCCTCGGCTGCGCCGGCGCGTGCGCCAGCTGCAACAAGGACAAGGGCTGCAACGCGACCAAGGAGGCCCTGGGTGCTGACGAGGCGTCCTGCCCCGACAACGACGGCGAGATCATCACGTCCAACCTTCTCGACTTCCGTCTCCAGTGCAAGCACTGCTTCACCAGCGCGACGGGTTCCTACTGGAGCCTGCCCGGCAAGACCGTCGAGGACTGTGCTGCCCACTGCGCCAAGGACTCGAGATGTGTGGGTGTCAACCTCATCAAGGACGCGTGCTGGATGCACCCGGCCCGTGGTGTTGACGGCAACGAGGTCGGCTTCAAGAAGAGCGATGAGTGCCACGCTATGGCGCCGTTTGACAGGGGCCATGCTGACAAGCCAACCGCCTAAATTAATTGGGTGAGTCTGTTGGCCACGTGAAATTGGAAGCCGCTTTTGGCGATATCTTTCCAAAAAGCCCTGGAAGTCGATGCCCGCCGTTACAGCTTCCTTGCTTGTGGGACATCCAAGATGATGGTGGAAGAGCATGGTGGTCTGTTTCGGACAGAAATCCACAAAAGGTTCCTGGTCTACAGGGGGACCAACTTTCAAAGAGGTTGCAAGAAATTACGTAGTATAGATGTGACTTCAACAACAGTGGATTGCGAACAAGGAAGCACGGTCATAATAAAGAATGTTGTTGTACCAGCTACTGGAACAGTGATTTTTCCACCGCGTTTGGTGCGTTCCCCTTGCGTCTTTGCAAATGTGTCACTCCGTCCTACTTACCTGCCAGCAGTTTCCTTGGCCTGCAGACAGGGCAGGCCCAATTTAGCCTGTGCTGGTATCTATCCGTGAGAGCCGGCCCAGCCATGCACGGATGTAGGGGTTTCGATCTGAGGAACTGGGTCGACGGACATCAGATCAATTTGGCGATAGCATTCTCTACTCCATACTCTGTCCTTCAGGTGCAACTGCCTTAAATCTCAATCCATCGTCTTGTCGCAACCGGGCACGACCACACCGCTGAGCAAGCACGGACAGCCAGATCCCAATAGCGACCAACCAAAGAAATCCCGCTCTCTTCCCCGACAAGAAGTCTTGATGCTGTCTGCGTGTATCTATCTAGACCTGCTCAACAGGCGGGATATCCACGAGCCCAAACTGCGCCGAGAACGGATCGTCATCCGGCGTGAGATGCCTGACATGCTCGATCCCCGCGCTGATGGACCGCGCCCGCTCGGCGCCCCAGATGTCCTCGATGAACTGCAGCGTCGCGTCGATCCCGGCCGTCACCCCCGCCGACGTGTAGATGTTTCCGTCGACGACCCACCGCGCGTGCGCCTTCCAGTAGGTCCGGGGCCCGAACGCGGCGGTCGAGTTGAACGCGGCTTTGTTGGTGGTGGCGGTCCTGCCGTCCAGCACGCCCGCCTGGGCGAGCAGCTGGGCGCCCGTGCACACGGACACGAGGTACTTCAGGGACGGGTAGACGGTCCGGATGTATGCGATCAGCTCGGTCAGGCGGAGCTCCGGGTCGGGTGATTTCACCGCGCGGGTGCCCGCGCCGCCGGGGACGAAGAGCACGTCGAGATCCGCGGGAGGGTTTGCAAAGGTGTGCGTGGGCACGACGGACTGGGAGAAGTTGGAGTTTGCCTGCTGGTGGTTGCGCAGGCGCGTGGTGACCGGGTCGAGCGTCTTTGCGATGAGGGCGAGCTCGAGGGGCTGCGTGAGGGAGAAGCTGTTGAGCATGTCGAGCGGGCCGAAGACGTCGAGGGGCGTAAAGGCCGGGAACAGGACCATGCCGAAGCGCACGGGCACGCTCGTGTTGGTGAGGGCCCTGGCGGGCATGTTGTTGTGGCCGCCAGACGTTGTTGGACTGGCCGAGACGCTGATGGCTGCTGGTGTGAGCATCATTGCCAGGGCGAGCTGCCGCTTGAGGGAGACCATGGCCTGTGCTGTCGTGATGTTCACCTAGACTAGTCTGTTGTTTTCCCAGGTGACTAAAGCTCAATGGCCGTGCTGTGAACCTCGCCTTCCTCGTCATGACTTGGCTGGGCATGGACATCTTTATACCCTTCCTCTCCCCTCGGTCTATAGACACACAGCCTTGTTCATTCCCTTCCCGATTTGTATTCTTCAGCACCTAGCACAGAAGAACCCGCATGCCAAGGTCAAGGGTCTAAAAGTGTCCGCTGCAGGCCGGACTTTCAAGATGCGCAAGTTTGTCAGCAGGACCAATATGGATTGGACAAGCACGCGAGACCTCCTGCTGCAGGATCAGCTCGCCAAGAATCCCTGCGGAGCACCTCCGTCCGGGAGCCGGAATAGGGGGCCATCCATCCATGATGTGCGACAGCCACAGCAGAAGAAATATCGGAAACCCAACAACGAGATTGGTTCCCATGGCAGGTGCTATGTCTCGCAACCTGCAAGTTTGGCGTGATGTTCTGCAGAAAGGCTTGCTGCGTGAACGTAGCAGGTGTGATCCCATCCAGGGGTAACGGAATCCCGTCGTACATGGAAGCTTGCTCACGTGGAGCTTTACCCTCACGGCACTCTCCGTTGTTCCCACCCAACCATCTTCTGAAGTTTGATCCATCAGAATGCACAGCTGGAACATGCAGTGCACTTACTCTCTCACCCAAGCCACACCAACGAAGTAACGCAGGGATCCTTGTCGATCTACGACCAGAGGGCAAGGCGATTCGGCCTTTTTTCCCCACATCCCCCACATGGCATGGGCATGTTTCAACGCCGACGGACGCTGTCGAAACATACCTCGTATGGACACTACAATCTCGGCCCCGAACTGGCCCGCCATCCAGGCAGCTTCGGATGGCCAGACGAATTCGGCCAGCCCGAGATTGAGCCAATAGAAACCCGCAAGCTGCCTACAGGATCGACAGTTCAATGTGTTTCCATCTCTAGCCTGTGGGTTCCCTTCGCGCGAGGCGGGTTGGCGAAAACAGCCTCAAATATGCTCGCGGCGGAAAGATCATCCGATTCGCACCGGCCAACTAACTCATGCAAGCGCAGCTGGGACAAGTATTTGCCCGTCATTCAAAGCAAACTGGGGCGAATGCTCGCTGAGATAGTATATTGAGACCACGCTGATAATGCTAACAAGAACTGTCCATGACATGTTGCCGACTTTCCGCCTCCCCCAACCGTAATTATCCGCTGTAGTGTAAGGATATCACGCAAAAAAGTCCCGTGGTAGTTAGATAGCAGCGCAGTAGCTGGTCTCTTGCTTCGCAAAGATGTCAACCTCCGGAGCATCACAGCATTGGCCTCTGCACTCGGCTGCTGTGAGCGTGATGCCGCGTCCCATGCTGGAAACCCAACAGCCCCATGAGACGCCTGTGCCGGCGCCACCACTTGCGACGGTATTGCCGTGGCCCCAGAGGAACCGCATCCCAGCTGCGTTGTGCCACGGTCTGCAGTGTGCTGCCTGCCGGCCAGCCGAGCCCACGGATGCTCGAGGCAGGAGCCGCTGCACTGCGCTGGGCACCCGCTTCGAGAAAGATCTGCGCCATGCCTGGGTGAGTCTGCGCGCAGGCCTCGTACAGGTAGTCGTTGAGCTCGGTCGTGCTCAGGGGCGGTTCCATCCTCGCCACCATGGCCCGGACGAGGTTGCAGCTCTCTGCCGAGTTCGTGTGTTGCATGAGCAAGCCGATGACGTCGCCACGTGCGTCTGTAGCCGCCCGTCGTAAGAACCGCCGAGCCATCTTCGCGCCGTTTTCGAGTAGCGCCATCGCCATGGACCACTTGTTGGCCGACAGCGCGTGCCAGAGAGGTGCAGCGAGGTCGAGGTCAGCGCCGCGGAGTCTGAGCAGGGGAACCAGTGGCAGAATGGCCGAGCGGCTAGCCTCGCAGGTCGCATTGAACGCTTGGACAATGTTCTTGACGCACGTCTCGCTGCCTGCAGGTGTCACGATCCTGCCTCCGGGGTCAACCGTCTGACAGAGCGCTGGGGTTGCTGTTCTGCAAGATAGGTAAAGCCTGTACAATAACAACTAACACTCTGCTGTCGTTCTCTCTCTGGGTTGTCGTTCGTGTCTCTTGGAAGAGATACCAGTCTCGGCAATTGAGTGACTAGTTCAAGTGTGGGTGAAACTGATACTTAGATTGATCGCTGAAGTACAAAGGTAATGACTGTCTATCTAGGAGATCCTTCTGGCTCTATATATCCCTTTGTCCTTCATCGTGCCCGTCGTCCTGCGACACCGTTGGGTCGCATGCCGACAGTTTGTTGTCGCAAGACCGACGGATGATGGTCGCCGTGCGACCGTTCATCGTCGGCTGCTGACGTAAGGTGGGTGCTTACATAATGTGTTCCCCGCCAGCCTTCGCTGGTCCGCCCTTGTCCCTGGCCTGATCCTGCGGCCTTGTTTGTGCTGGGCTTGTTTGTTACCTCAGCCCCAAGCAGTTCCCCTGTTGGTCGGGTCGTCACAGCAGGGCCGCGGCTGCTCATGTCTGGCCGCCCAGCCTGGAGCAACAGCTGTGCAAAGGGAGTGTGTGGCGCAAGCGATGCCATCCAGAAGACGCCCCGGTCAGAGAGGATGCTGCCTTGCGTGTCGCATTCGAGCAAATGGCGGAAGACGATCCGAGTGTCATTGTTGTATGGCTCGAGGTCACTTGCCCTGCAATCACAGCCTCTCCGCCTGCAAGGGGCCAGAAGCGATCTCTTGACCATGATCGTCTTGGCGAGCGACACAAAGTCCCAGTCAAGGCCCACGGTGGCTCCAGCGTCAATGAGATGCGCGGCTGCCAGTATGTTCCCGGCTCGGAGGGCAGCATCCAGGGGTCCCACGCCCAGCATGTCGGCCAGGTTCGGGTCCGCGTTTGCCTCGAGAAGCTGATCGATGACTGGGATCGTGTTGCGATGGCCGGAAGCGCCTTTGGCCGCCCAACACGCTGCTTGCAGTGCCGTCTCGCCCGAGGTGTTCTGCTGGTTGGCGTTTGCACCTTTCTCGAGGAGGTATTTGACAATGTCGACGGTCTTGGGCATTCCCATGTCCACGTCATTGTTTCGAGCATGCCCGGGCCGCACGAAGTGTTGCGCTAGGAGTCGGCTGGCAAGTACAGCCGGCAACTGCTCGTCCAGAGACACCGCTGCTAGCAAGGGAAAGAGCCCATCATGTCCCACTTCATCCACCGAGACAGAGAAGTGCTCGACCAGCACGCGGACTTTGTCGAGCGAGCCGACTACAATCGCGGCAATGAGAGGCGTGTACGTGCTGGAGGCGTTGGACCGGGCAACCGCCCGGCCACCATATTGGAGGAGCAGGCCCATGAGATGACTCCGCCTGACCTGAATCTCGACGGCCTCTTCGCTGTGGGTGTTCCCAAAAGTGGCACCTGGTAGGACGCGGAAGTGAGGGAATTCTGCAGGAGGCCTGGGGCCCAAGACGTGACCGCGGAACCGGCGGCAGTTTTGTACATCATATTGAGAGGTCAACCAGGCCAGTAGTTCGATGGGCCGAACAGCCAGGTCGGCACAGCCGGGGATGCCATGCCAGATTGGGCCAAGGCTCGAGTACAGCGGCATGAGCATCTCTTGGACTCTGCCGGTCCAGCCATAGTAGCAGGCTGCGTGAAGCAAGGTGCAACCATCGCCGAGGTCCACGTTCGGGTCAGCACAGTGCTCGAGCAGAAGACGAGCGATCTTCTCATAGGCGTCTGGGCTGCGAGACTGCTGAGAGCCGACCAGGCAGTGGAACAGTGGCGGCAGACCGTACTGGTCCCTGGCGTGGGCGTAGATGCCCTCGGTGGCAAGTAGCTGTGTTGTGGCGCCCACGCAGCCGTGACGGGCGGCCGAGAAGAGAGCTGTGGGTGTCGTCTGACTCCGGTCGACACAGAGAGATGCGCCCATGGAGAGCAGCAGCTGGGCAGTCGAGTCGTGGCCGCCGCACATGGCCAGGTGCAGCGGCGACCAGAAGACTCGGGCGGCAATTTCTGCTGACTGGGAGGCGACAGGCGAGCATGTGTGGCTGCAGTCGCAACAGCCCGAGGAGGGGGCGTTGATGTGCGCTCCGTGCTCGAGGAGCAGCTGGACAATATCGTCGTGTCCTGCCACGGCGGCGGCGTGCAGAGGGAACCACCAGTCGTGTTTCTCCAGACAGCCTCGAGCATCCCAGAACATCGGGTCGAACGGGTACTGGCTCAGGCACGAGCTCTCGTGGTCCTTTCCGAGATAGTTGCGCTCGTACATGGCTGTGTAGTACTTGGCGACGGTCTTGCGCAGGGCCGGCGCCCGTGCAAGCAAGCCGTCGGCGACTTGACCGGCAGCAAAATCGGCTGCCCTCGCTGCGGCCAAGAGCGGCCTCGGGCGATTGTCTGGTGGTGGGTGCGTATGGAATCGGAGCCAGGCGTGGTGGTGGTAGAGGGTGTCAAGCATGCCCGTGGGGGACTGAAAGTCTCTGTCGATGACGGTCCAGCGGCGGAAGCAGACGTTGGGGTCTGCGCCAGCGGTGAGGAGGGCCTTGACCATCGAGGTGCGGCCGACATGGCAGGCCCAGGTGAGGAGGTGTGGAAGCTTGTCGACAAGGGGCCGGTGGACGAGGACGGGGGAGAGGCTGCGGTGGAGGCGGTCGATGGCACAGAAGGCGGCGGCATCGCAAAGGTCGAGGTGCTGGACGATAAGGGCAAACACCTCCTAGGGGAACGCCTGCGCCGGAGACGGCATGATGGGGGAGACGCGATGCAGATGGTGATCGATGGTTGGCGATGGCGTGGTGATGACAGTGGGTGATACTGCTGTGTCTGTCTGGAGGAGGAGGACTGAAGGATGATGGGAATAGGGGAGTGCAAGGTGATATGGTGAGGGAGTGTTGATGCTGAGCAATAACGTGACGAGGATGATGATGATAGACGCGTGTCGAGAGCAGCGAGCGTGGGTGCTGAGATGATGGATGCGACTGATGCGAGGATGGTCGTGAAGTGTCAACAAAGAGAGCCAGAGACGCGCGCTGCTTCGCTGCCTGGACGACACCCATTCTCGTGTCGTCGTGTCGGGTCAGGCAGGAAGGAGCATCCAGGCCGCTCCTGCCGTCGGTTCTTGCGAGCCACACGAGCAGCCAGTCAACCAAGACATTGACTTGATTGTCATTTTGAATACAACGAGAGAACAAGCTGTGCAGCCTGGCTTCGCGTGGACAGTATACGAGTTTACAAAGGGCTCAGAGTTGTCTTGACCAGGTTTGCCATTCTGAAAACCAATCATCGCAATGCACGCCCGGCCAGACCTCAAGCGACACTGACTTTCTCCTGTGCTTCAGCCACGATCTGGTTTGCTGGACCGAGACAAATTGAGAAGAAAATCTGGAGCACTTGATTGAATATTGAAAAATGACTAGCCCATGTGGTCTCGTGTGTCACGACGTCGTCGAGTTGTGCACAAAGGCTCCAGTCCCGTTCTCCTGATCAAGCCAACATGACCTTGAACTTCAGTACCTAGACCTAGCAGATCGTCTTTTCCTGAGTCCAGGCCAACATGCCTTCAGTAGTATCACTCTTATCGTGAAAGATGTAGCCACTCTTGCAGATAACGTAATCCACGGGTGAGCGGGTCACACGGGTGAACGGGTCACTTTACTGCAATTTAATTGAGGTTCACTTCCTTCTCCTTTTTCTCCACCTCCAATCATGGGACGACAATCAATTGAAAGTGATTTGGTTCTAGCGTTAAATGCGCTCCAATCCGACCCAAAATTAAGCGTACGAAAGGCTGCGCAGATCTATAATGTATCTCGTACGACACTCCAGCAACGATACCACGGCCGAGCTGCGAAACACGACACCCGACCACCCTGCCAGAAATTAAGCTCATACGAAGAGGAGAGTATCGTACGATACGTACTCGACCTAGATTCGCGTTCGTTTCCACCGCGGTTAAGTGGTGTTCGAGAAATGGCGGATCGACTCCTCCGCGTACGCGACGCGCCACGCGTTGGAACGAACTGGGCCTCAACCTTCGTACGACGACGACCTGAGCTCCGTACGCGTTTTAATCGAAGAATCGATTACCAGAGGGTCCTTTGCGAGGATCCGGACGCGTATCGCGCGTGGTTTGAGCTCGTACGAAACATAATCGCGAAATACGGGATCCACGATGACGATATCTATAACTTCGACGAAACGGGCTTCGCGATGGGCAAGATCTCCGCCGAAACTGTCGTTACGACCTCCGATCGACGCGGGAGGCCAAGAGCCGTACAACAAGGCAATCAGGAATGGGTTACAGTAATCCAGGGTATCGCGTCGTACGGCTATTCAATCCCGCCCTACATTATCTTCGCCGGGAAGGTCCACCTCGACTCCTGGACCGCGAATAGCCCTCTACCGGCCGACTGGGTAATCGCGCTTTCAGAAAACGGTTGGACGACGAACGAGAGAGGCCTAGAATGGGTAAAACACTTTGATTTCCATACAAAGAGTCGTACGAAGGGTACCCACCGCCTCCTTATCCTCGACGGCCACGAGAGCCACCATTCCGTCGATTTCGAGCTCTACTGCAAGGAACAGAATATTGTCACGCTCTGTATGCCTGCTCATTCGTCGCATAAGCTCCAGCCTCTCGATGTTGGGTGTTTTGGACCTCTGAAACGGGCGTACGGTAAAGAAATCGAAGGTCTAATGCGGGCGCACGTAACCCACGTTTCAAAGGAGGACTTCCTCCCAGCCTTTTATAAGGCGTACGACGCTGCAATGACCAAATCAAACATCCAGGCAGGCTTCAGAGCGACAGGCCTAGTACCGTACGACCCGAATTATGTGATTTCGCAGCTAGATATGAAGTTTCATACGCCGACACCACCAGGTTCCTCTGCTGGACTACCACCCCCATGGGTTTCAAAGACGCCGAACAACCTAATTGAGACCGAATCTCAGACGAAGTATATTGAAAATCGCATCGTACGACACCAGAATAGCTCACCGTCGTCCATTGTTGAGAGCCTACGGCAGCTGAGAAAAGGAGTTATAATGATGGTACACGAGCAGGACCTTATGCGCCAAGAGCTCGCCGAACTTCGAGATGCAAATGACCGCCTCAGCCGCCGTCGTCGTACGAAAAGAAAGCAGCTACAGAAAGGAGGGTCCCTCACGATTGATCAGGCAAAGGATTTGAAGGCTCAAATCGATGCGACGCAGCAGTTAATAGCGGAAACGAGTCAGAATAGTGGTCGTACGAGGAGGCCCGAAACGCGCGCGCGACGATGTGGCGTCTGCGGCGAGCCCGGTCATAATGCTCGTACGTGTCAGAAAGTTGTATCTGCCTCTGAAGAAGAGGATTCTGAATAGTTTGAATTGATTTAAGGCGTTGTGGTTAAATTGTCTTATATATTGTCGTACGAGTTACTGGAAGGTGACCCGTTCACCCGTGTGACCCGCTTACCCGTGGATTACGTTATTCTCTGGAGCTCAAAACTGACGTCACCTCCAAGGTGGGCGGGCTTGTGACAGCAGGGGTTCAACTCAACCATGTTTTTAGAGCACACCTTGGGCTCCACCATACAGAGTGTCACGTTTGTTTCGCCTCAGCGACCCCTGTATGTGACAAGACAACCTCAGACAGAAGCGGCGAGTCTCTCGGCAGCATGTCGAAGGATGGAGGCTTTGCCAACGTGCGCCGGTCGTCCGTTGGCTATACAGTGGGAACACGAACTTGGCATCACGGACAAGCTTTGCGATCGTGGTCTGATCTTTTCCCAGGCCGTGCCCGTCGACGCCAAGGCCCAGCAGCGAAAGTGGAACCTGGCGCAAGTCCGTGAACTGCAAAAGTGGACGGCGACGTTGCACACCCGACTGCCGCCGCAGACGAGCGATATCGGTGCCATCTTGTTCATTATCGCGAGATGGGCGTTTATTACTGTACAGCCGATATGCACCACCGGCGCGCCAACAAGCGGCCTGTCAATTGTGGAAGCATGGCCTCCACCTGGCACGGGAGGGCGCTTAACGGGCGGTCCTGGCTGGGCAGTGTTGGCGCCGCCCCCTGCTTGGCGCTGCAGGATGCGCACAACCAACAACCAACAACCAACAACGAGCACGGCGGCATAGATCCCCGGCGATGCTCCGTCTTCTGGCTCGGGTGCAATTCATCTCTCACGTCCATAGACTGCCACATCTCTCTCTCCTCGTCCTCGAACTTGCTCTGAGCAGACACACACAAAACAGAGCCTTGCGGTAATATCACGATCCAAAGAACCGCCATGCCGCGCCTCACAACAGACCTGCTCTCTAGGCGACCCAGCACATCATCAGCATGGCTGCTCGCCACGGCGACGGCGATGGCGATCCTCCCCACGCTCGCGACGGCAGCGTGCTACGACCGCGGCGGCAAGCTTCGCGAGAGCTGGGTGGCGTGCAACCCAGACCAGCCCACCAGCAGCTGCTGCTCGTCGAGCGACTTTTGCATGTCCAACGGCCTGTGCCTCAACGCGGGCGGCAACCAGGCGTACACGCAGCAGGGCTGCACCGACAAGAAATGGGGGCCGCCGTGTACCTTCTACTGCCGTGAGTCTTTCTGTATTTTCTCTCCCCCTCCTTTGGGTTCGAAACGTGTTGCCCCATTCGCCAATTTGCGACGAGAGAGAATCGGGCAGAGAGAGAGGGTGTTTCGTCCGGGCTCAAAACACGCCCTTATTGTACCCGCTCTCCCGCCAAGACCGAAAGATGTTATATATATCCCCATGACTTTTCTGCCAAAAGTCCCACCTCGCTGACACGGCGCCCCTGTTTAGCTATCGGTAACCCCTCCGACGGCCTGTACTACATGGACTACTGCTGGCGCGGCTTCGACGAGCCCGCAGACCACTGGTGCTGCGGTGTCGGGTGCTGCGGCGGCAACGGCACCGCCTCGGGCCAGTCCGGCAACGACGACATCACGATCCCCGTCGCCACCGAGATCTTCCGGCCAGGAGCCAGGGCCGTCACCTCCTCTGGCCCCGCCGGCGCGGCGACGGCGACGACGACGGTGACGGCCGCGGAGAAGACCGTGACCGTGACACAGACTGTGCCTGCGGGTAGTGCGGCGGCGCAGTATGGCCCGGGTGGCGGTGGGGATGCCAGCTCGGGGCCAAGCCCACTGGCTCTAGGGTTGGGACTCGGGCTGGGGATCCCCCTGCTGCTGGTGAGCGCTGCGGCCGGGTGGATGTTCTTCAAGAGCCGGCGCAGCGGGGAGAACAACCCGGTGGTCGCCAGGATGATGGAAGGACCGCAGCAGCCGAAGGACGGCTGGAGCGAGAAAGGGCCCGCCCAGGTGCAGCAGCAGTATCCGCAGTATCAGCAGGGACACTCAAACTGGACACCGTCGGAGCTCGAGACGCAGCACTCCCCGGTCGAGTTGTCGGGCAGGCAGAGCCGGCATGCCTGGGGAAGTTGAATATTAGTGAAAGATTGGGTGCGGATTCTCCCCAGTAGGAGACTCTCGGCGCAGAAACTCTCGACAAGTGGAAGCGTCGCAGAAATACACAGGCTCTTCATATCACAACGATGATGCGACCACGAACTAGTAGCATTGACAGACGTGTTCTTTTCATTGTTCGACCGTGCTATACAAGAAATATAAGTTCTCTCAGCCGCAGCGAAGTAGAGGTAATCTTTACTCCGGGATTCCCGATCAGCCCGTTCCATGGCACTGCGCCACAATGAGACAGGCCTCGCCCTTCTAAGTTGACCAAGTAGGCGTAATTCAATTCTTGTAGGATGCGTACTGCGCCTTGCGCACCAGGATGAGCTGTTATTGGCGTGTGGCTGCGCAAAGTCCCTCGCATTTTGTCGGGCTGTCTCGTCAGAGTCTCGGGGCCTGATGCCGCCCAGCATGCAAGGTTCCGACCTGACAGTGTCCTCGCCGGTGATGGTGGTGATACCGTCGACATCGCATCGAAAATGCAACGGATTGCGCCAGACTGTGATTGTGAGGACTGGTCGTCGGTTGACGGAGAGACGGCGGGCCTAACAAAAGACCCAGAGCTCCATAGCATTTGGGCGTCGTCGAAGTCGATTGCACCAAGATCAATCCGCCCGTAATGGAAGCTCGCTTTCCCTGCGCGCGTGCAGTTCGTGCGCTCTTGTTGAGGAACAATCTTGTAGACGTATGCGGATCTAGCCGCGCTCCTCTCTCGGAGAGGATCATCCGACCATCCACGGCATCACCGTGAAGAGGCAGCGTCGTCGGGCGGCACGTTTGACAATCCCAGTCGGGTGCGCTTGGGCTGGGCTGGCTCTGCAGTCGGTGGTGATGCGCGTGCCTGCTGGTTCGCTGCTCGGCCTTTCTTTTCTCGTATGTGTTTCGAGCATCCCGGCCCCGATACCAGCGCGGGACCCGGTCTGATCGAGTAGTGTTTCAGTCCGGGTTTCCTGTGGGTGTGTGCGTTGAAACATCAAACCGCGGGCCTGGGCTGGCTGGCTCCACCAACGCTATTTTTCGCGGATGGGCGGACGGACGGACGGACGAGACGCGGAGTTTTCCGCTCCTCCATTCTTCGTTATCTTTTTTCCTTCAGGGATCGTTCTCCATGGTGGACCGCAGGAACTCGTCCATGGTCTCGCGCTCCTCGACAGACCGGATGATCGAGTGCACCTGCGACTCGGACACCCAGGCGTCCCAGATCTTCTTGGGGAAGTGCTGCAGGTGCACCTTTGGCGGCCGCGGGGCGGTTACTTGCGAGATCATGGTTGCTGTGTGGATCGAGATGGGGACGTGTTAGCTTGTACGGCTCATTGAGGAAAGAGAGAGAGGAAGAGAGCGCATTGCGAGGGATATAGCTGCTGGGCGGGGGTGTTCTTACGTAGATCGACGAAGCCTCCGCCAAGGGCTGACCACGTGTGGATCGACAGAAGCAGGAAGCAGAACGAGAGGACCGATGCAACGGCAAAGGAAAGCTGGCGGCGGTTCATTGTGCTGGTGGTATACAAAGACCGGATGAATATGTATCGAGTTTTGCGTATAAGGTGGTGTCGCGACGGTCCAGCTAAATGTGCTCGACGGCGTAGGTGAGGGACAGCAACGTTGCCAATAAGAAAAGATGGCGTCCCAACGATGAAATAAATGAAGAACAAAGCAACCCGGAAGAGAGGAAATAAGGTCAACAAGGTGTGGTGGGCGGCACACACCAAGATCATATACTATTTACGGTCCAGCCGGGCGGGAGAGACAAAAAACCGTCTCAGGTCCAAAAGGTCACACCCCTCCACCCAGACGGTTCCAGCACGTGCAAGGGTGGTGGCTTGGGGCTGGCCCGGTCGGTCGCCTCTTGGCACCTGTCCGCCTCCGCACGGCTTCGGGGGCTTGCCCGTTGCTAATGTAGTTGGTCTTGCCGCGGCTCCAGACCGATGGCCCTTTGTAGCAGAGGTCACTGGCCAAGCCGCCTGGTGCGTGCTTTACTAGGTGCTGCGGCCAGAGAATGCGATCCTCTTAGTAAGTATTAGCAGCTCGTGGCTGATGATATCCCGCATGGCATCATGGCCCCCAATTCTGGCTAATGCACACACGCACACACATGGGAGAGGTCACTCGTCACTGCCCCAAATGGCATGACAGGCTGTGCTGTGCTGTGCTGCAGTCTCTATTCCTGGCCCCCCTGCTTCGTAGCTGTCGCTGTCCTGTGCCGCCCGCTAAACTCTGATCATGCCCATCGCCGGCCCAATCGCCGGCCCTGGCGCGCATGAGAGAGAGCCTCCAAATTTATGAGCCGGGGATCTGACGTTGCATTGATTGAATTTGCGCCTGCGGTGACCTACTGGTTAGTCTGTCATTCATCAGTCAAGCCCATTCCACAGCCGCGAGCGAGACAATTGAATGGTGTGACGCGTACGCACGCCAGCCAACTTAGCGAGCCAGCCCAGCTTGTCAGCTGGAGAGGACGCAGAGGATGGCCCCCCCTGATCTGATCCACCCAGCTCACAGCACGCGCACCAGCCTTTAACAAAGCGTGGAGAAGCAAGCCCAAAAAGCTTAGCACTTGGACTTGGTCCCAGCGCAATACGAGAGCCGCCAGTCGCTCAGGAACTGGCCAGGCAGGCAGGGGCAAGCTGGCCTGCGCTCTCCCGTGTTAGTCAGTCTGTCAGGCCACACGCACACGGCTGGAAGGGATCACAGGCCAGGCCGGCTCGGCCAGATTTGCACGTGTTGCAGAACACGGTCATGCACGTGGCGCCGGCAGATCCTCTTTCGCATGCACACTCGCTCGTGTTGCTTCTCTGGGCAGTCTTGGACGTCAAGGCACCGCCCCAGATGCCGTGCTGGATGATTAGCAGAGTTTACGAGTCGCAGAGGCAGAGCCGCCTTGGCAGGAACCGCGCTGCGTATCTTCGCCCTATGGGACCGGGCCTGCCTGGGCTGTCAGCAGGCAGTGAAGATCCCCACAGCAGAATCCAAGTTAAGCTTTCCCTGCAATGCACAAACACACGCCAGGCGCATTCTCATTCGCCGAGCTTGGGTGGGACGTGGGCTTGCGCGTCCCCGCGCCGGCCGGCCCCTGGCTGTTGTCTGCTCACTGTACCTGAACATCACCACCACCAGGCACTAATTAATTTAGTGACAGCACCCACCACTCCTGACAGCAAAGCACATTCCTGCCGAGCTGCCGTCACATCCTTGTCCTCATGCGGGAAATGCTGACGTGTGCCCTGTCTCACGATCTACGTCCTCATTATAAGCCATTTGTCCTAGTACGGATCGATCCATTGCCAGGTCCGTTCAGGCACCCCCAACTTGTAGTTCAGCCCTACGCGCGCCGATGGACTGACAGCCGCTTGTTCCACGCGTCGTAATCTCGTCCGGGCAGGAATGGAGCGACGCAAAAACCCGCGCTCCAGTGCTTCACAGACGAGCGGCACAAAGCAGCTGAGCACATGGCCCCCCAGTGCATGGGAAATCTGTCCTGACATTTCCTCACCATGCCAATGACGTGCAGATTATCGAAGCTGCCGCATACATTGCTGCTGTCGTGAGCAGCAGAAGAACGCCACGGCGTGATTGATGTGACACCCTAACGCTAGCCCGGTCCCGCGATGCATCGAAACACGCGTCGGCCGTGGGCCGACTGATCCGGCCGGAACCAGCCAGGGGTGCCCTAATAACAGCGAAGTACGGTAGCTGCTGTCAAGCGCGACCATGCATACCATAGTAGTTCGTCTGGCAGGACGGGCTGCACTCTCTATCCAGCCAGAGCTCTCTCGGCTGATGGCGCAGGTCCGCGCCTATTGGTCGGCGCGTGTAGATCTGGACAAGCCCCTGGACGAGTTGGGGTCTGGGATGGCTTTAAGCATGAGCTTATATGCAGGGGCAAGTTTCTCGCTGACTGTGACAGGATTTTGTTGTATTACTGTTGTGGGATGTACTGCGTCTGCTGTTGACACATCAATCGTTTGCAGGGAGGATCGGTAGACCAACATTGCAAACGAAAGATGACGCGGCCATTCTTCGATATGAGAGGGTTTTGCCTGCCGGGGTACTTGGTGGAAGCATGCTTCAGAATGACTGACCACAAACACCGTCGTAGCTGGCAGACAGACCATATCGACGACATCAATGCACATTGAGACCCGGCATTCATACTTTTCCAGCGGTTACAGAGGTTCGCAAAGTGCTTTGGAATATTCTGTTACGTATTCGACATTATTGTGATGATAAGACAATCCGAGTACAGGTTTGCTCTGCTGTATAAGTCGTGTTCCACCGTCTGCGTGTGATTGACGGATGCTCGCAACGAGACTGGTTTGTCTTTGCCAGTGGTTGAGAACCGTATCGTGCCCGTCTCCAAATACCACTACTACGAATCCCGAGCTCTTGAATTCAACCACCCCCCGCCGCCTTTCGTCGGCAGTCTAACCAACAACAGCAGCGTTCTGCTGCGGCCGCTGCTCACCGAGCATCATCCTCGGCATCTGGCTCATTGCTGCAGTCTGGCGGCCCAGGGCTTCGAGGCGCGCGTTCTCGTGCTTGAGCTGCTCGTTCTGCAGTTTGAGGCGGTCGGGCACAACGAACTCCCGAGGGCCCGTAATCTTCCAGCCCTTGAGCTTCGCGGGCCCCCCGAGGTCCTGCATCGTCTTGAGCTCGACGAGGCTGTACTGGGTCGGGTCCTCGCGGTCAAACTGGAATGGTTCACGGAGGGAGACGGGAGGATTGGTGATGATGCCTGCGCATAAGGGAGATTGTCAGTACTGAACACGTGGGCTTAGGCAATAGAACACATATGTGGAGAGAGAGGGGAAGGAAGGGCGGCGAGAAATGTGCGAGGGCAAGACTTACGGATCGCGCGCTTGGCATTGTTGCTCGCGCTGTGCAGGGTCAAGGGGTGCATCAGGATGACATCGCCCTTATTGCCCGTCATCTCAAAGAAGCTGTCGTCGGCAGACTGGCGGACGGCCTTCTTGTATGGGCTCTGCTCGCCGAGGTACGACGACTTGACAGCAGGGGTATCACGGGACTGCATGGCCGGATTGAGGCCTTGGGGGTTGTCGAACTTGACACGGGAGGAAAGGGTCAAGGTCAGCCAAGTTCTGATTCCATAACCTCAAATCAAGGCAAGAGCATGGAATTGGAGCTTGTAAGAGGCGGGAAGGAGCTGGGGACAACTCACTAGCAACTGCCCAATCCGCTTCGGGCCCTCGGTGCAAATCACGGTTGCGCCGCCACCTTCAACGACATCACTCCAGCACGGGATCACCAGCAACGCCTGCTCCGGTGAATCCAGGAAATGCTGATAGAAGTCCCCGTCCACATGCCAGTTATTTAGTTCCCGTGGCTCAAATGGTTTCCCCTCGCCGGCCTCAGTCCCCAAATTGACGATGAAGCTGTCGACCCAATATTTTCCCTCTTCCGCAATGCGGTCTTCGCCGCCTAAAAGCTCGCATATACCGGCCCAGGCCGTGGGAGCGATCTCGTCAGCGGCAATATAGTTGTGCTTGGCCATGTGTACGCGATCCTTGTCGCCCCAGGTTGCCTTGTCGTTGGGGTCAACACCGAGGCGTGTCCATACGTCGCGCGCCCACCAGTCGCACTTGTCGGACGGGATCGCGCCGGGGATCCGCAAGAAGCCGTGCTTCATGAAGCTGGCAACCTGGTCTGGTGTGAGAGTCTTGAATTTCTGGTGGGCCAAAAGTTCCTCCATTGTGGGCAAGGTGGTTGTTGTCGCCATTGTGAAGGTTCAAAGAGGTTATCAAGCTGCAGAAAAGGGATATATATTGTTTCCTTCTGCTCAGAAAGCGCCGCTGCTGGTTGCTCGTCTTGCAAGACTCCATCATCAGCCTGTCCTCTGGTCGTCGCTCCGTCTTATTTATATACGCCCAAGGCCCGCCCACGCTAGTGCCAAACTCTAGTGGCAAAAGCAGGCATCGTGGGGAAGATGCGGGGGAGCAGCCAAGCCCCGTCGTAGCCCATCGTCTCGGTACCGTCCTGCCGATAAGCGACATCGGCGAGAGCGAAGCAGCACACCGTGTGTGATCATGCGACAATGTCTGAGAGAGCCTCGCGACTGGCGAATAGTCGTCATCCTGATACGTCAACCAAGCACTGTCCGGCGGTGAGTCGGAGTGTCTGCAAGCCTGATCATGACTACGGCACAGCTGGCAAGCGGCGTGTGGTGAATAGCTCGAGTTTAGCCAGCCAATAGAGGGGATGTGGATAAATCCCTAGGACCGCCTGCTCTTCTTGGTTGTTGCTCTTTTGGTCAGACCAAGTCAGGTGAAGCACTGGATTACTCCCTACAGCCAATCGGCGTTGCCCGCACCTCGGTATGGCCTCGATAGTGGCACAACACGGCTGAATAATCGGAGCTGACTTTCCTCTTTCGATTTTTCAATCTACTCCCGCCTGCCCAGATTTTTCGCTCGCACGATTTCCTGTGAAACTCGTTCCAGGCGTCATTTTGCTATGAGTGATGTGTGAGCTGCCATCCCATCCAATGAGAGTCGCCTCCTCCTCGAGGCTTGTAATGCTGCCCACGAGACCTCCTTCGGATTCTCCCTAGAGCTCAGCCAGGCATCAAGCAGGGATATCACCAACCTGCTGTCAGAAAGCAATCAGCTGATGCCGGCTCATTATGCACATCGGAACTGGAGGGCACATCTAGCCAATTGATCCGTAGACCGGTGCCTGCCATCTTGACCATCATCACGATGCACCTTTTTCTGCAGATCTTGAGCAAGGCAGCGGCTGAGGTGCCAAGATTGGTTCAAACGACCATCTTGCACTGCATTATAGCCCGTTTTAGCGCGTGTAATGATTATCCGTTTGATCAACCGGAAGTCCGAAGCAAGTATCAGCAATTGCAGACTAGCCACTCCATCCGTTTGGTGGCCTAACCCTTTCTCGCCACCATATATCTCTGCTTCGATAGTCTTGATAAAGCTGGTGGTTTGCTACTACAACTTCTCTGCTGTCCCTTATTGCGTACTCAGCAATAACGGCATGAAATGCGCATCTTCAACAGAGTTTCCTTTTTTCAGGCCTCACTTAGTGGATGCAGAACAGCTACTTAGCCGTTGTTGACATCATGCCTCGCCGTGATCAAGCGCAGCCTAGCCAGGCCAGGCTAGCCGTGTTGGCTTTTCGAGGGTTAGATATCTGGAACGCCTTCGTCGATCGCGAGAGGGCTCTGAACTGATAGATTTCTGTGATACTTGAGCTATCCATCTGACCCAATGCATGGCTGGCCATGCTATGTAGATAATACTCGATACTTTGTTCCTGAGACACCCCCGCACAATTTAGTGCCAATTTCTCCTTCAGCCCTTGCTTAGACTCTGTACAGTGTAAACCTCGTAGGCCTGCCCGCACCGTGATCTTCATGGGCCTCCATTGAAGATCCAGGAGCGTCAGCTCGAGTAAGGAGCTAGAGTGATAAGGAGATCGATGCAATCAGCAAATGATTCATAGGCAGACCTCCTGTCTGCTCCTATAGTGCTTTCGTTCGCACAGAACAGTTAGCATGGCTGCTAGCCTTGCGGCCTTAGTGTTCGAACATGATTTGAGATAAACTTCAAAGGAAAGACAGAGTATTCAGCGCAAACCCAAACTTGCATGTGGGCATATCTTGTCGAGGGACCAAGCTCTTTTGTGTTGGCCGGCTTCCAAGAAATGATATCGAAATACCATTCCGCGTTGCTTGCATGACTTGCCTTCCTATATAAGCCGGTTGCGACCCTAGTTGTGATGTGCTGGCCTTCCTTCTCTTCGCCTTCGTTCATCTCGCTTCCTCGTCACAGACTATCCCCTATCGTCCTTCCAGGATTCCCGCAGACGCCGAAACCAGTAAATATGATCGAGATTCCCATGGATCAGGGGTCCAGTGCTGCGCCTACGCCCGCTTCTTCGACAGACGGTGCAGCTTCCCCCGCCAAGCACACGTCGTAGGAGTTCCAACCCAAGCAATTACCAGCGATTCATGGTCTAACATGAGCTCTAGGCCTTACGCAGACATCATCACTATTCGCTTTACAGATCAAGTGCTTCACGTACACAGCTTTTTGGTCAAAAGATTCCCCAAACTTCATGCTTTGGTTTCCACGCACAACGAAGTGGATATGCATGATGTATCTGGCGCGGCTGGCCATACCATTGTCAATTACCTTTACAATGGCACCTACGAGATTCTCACCTCGGTCAATGACGCCGGCATGCCTGCAAGCCACAACGACGATGCCCTCCACAGCAGCCTCGAGGTGTATGCAGCCGCGCGCAAGTTCCAGCTTGACGCACTCCAGAAGTCGGCGGAGGAGGATATCAAGAGCCGGACTGCACATATCAAACCTCTCGATGCCCTTGCCCTCGTTAAGAAGGTCTTTCCATTCCACGATGCGGGTGATACCTGGCTGCGTGGCTACATGAAGAAACTGCTGGATGCCGCTTACTCGGACGTCGAAGCGATCCTGGCATCGAACATTTTGACTGCTGATCATACCGATCAGACTGTCTCAATCACTGAGATGCTTCTCCGCACTGTTATTGATTGCATGAGAGAAAGGGAGGTGCGGAGCAGGAAAGCGCAAGAAGCTGAAGAGCCAGAGGGAGATGCGGCGAGCCGGGAAGCCACAGATTATTGGCAGCTCTATAAAGGTCAGCTGTGTGCTGAAAAGGCAGAGCTAGAGAGCAAGATGGTCAAAAGAGGGGGGAGATTACTCAAAAGGGATCAGCAAAGGCTCACGGAGATCAATGCTGAACTTGCTCACCTCGTGGCCGGACAATAGCTAGTTCTGACTCCAACGGCGGGTCAGAACCCCATCGTGTAGCCACCACAATTGATACCTGAGAAATACCAAGGAGTGGATGGCTTGCAGGACCAGGTATTGATGATGGACACTGTCAATCACAAAACTCGCCAGGCAACCAGTTGTCCTTAAAGCCATGGTCTCCAGCATCTACGTTTGAAGTTGTACATGTGCGGCAGCTGTTGCCACAGCCAAGCCATGTAGATACGGCCGAAGAAGGCTTGCACCCGAAACTTGGCGTTTGTTCAAGGCATGGCATTCGCAACGCGAAGGTCGGCGAAGATTGGCGGCAACCTGATCTTCCTAGTGACAGGACGGGACCCGCTCCGCCAGCTGTTTCAACAACACGCCGCAGGAGCAGCACAGCTGAACGACTACCTTCGCTTAGCGCCGACTAGCTCGACTCGAGTGCGGGGAGCCTCGGAAGTTTCCACGTGAGACATTCATCCGTTAGCAGTAGCTATGGCAGAGAGAGGCAGTCGAGCTGAAAGCCTCGGCTCGGCTAGTCGCGTTTGGCCTGCTCAAAAATTCATTGTCTCAGCTGATCTGTCCAACGTACTGAACTCAACACAGAACATTACAGGCAGGTTGCACGGACACTCTTCATCCACAGGACCGAGACTCCACGAAGAGCTCCTAGTCATACTCGAGCCATGGCCATCGACACGCTCACCGAAACCTGGGCCAGGCTGGTGCACAAGTACAACCCGCACCTGGTCGAGTTTGCCGGCACGGTCCTCGTCCAGGTATTCTTCTTCTGGCTCCCGTCGTTCGCATACCTCGCGCTCGACCACATTGCCCCGGCCTTTTCGGCGCGGCACAAGATCCAGCCGGCCCCGCGACAGCCCACGGCAGGCGACATCAGACAGTGCCTGCGCGTCGTGCTGCGCAACCAGCTCATCAGCATCCTGCTCTCGCTCCTCATCGCGTCCAGCTCCATCCTGTCGGGCAAGAAAGAAGGCGGCTACCGCGTGACCGCCACTCCGCCTTCGCTAGCCGAGCTCGCGCGGGACATGACCTTCTCGATTCTCCTGCGCGAGGTCCTCTTCTACTACGCCCACCGCGTCCTGCACACCAAGCAGCTCTACAAGTCCATCCACAAGACGCACCACAGGTTCACCGCGCCCGTGGGCCTCGCCGCGCAGTACGCTCACCCGCTCGAGCACGTCCTCGCCAATACCCTGCCCATCGCGGTGCCGCCGCTGCTGCTGCACGCGCACGTGCTGACAGTGTGGGCGTTTCTGGCGGTCATGCTGCTCGAGACGGTGACGGTGCACAGCGGCTATGACTTCCTCGGCGGGGTGGCGAGGGGCCACGACTTGCATCATGAGGTGTTCTCGGTCAACTTTGGGGGCATCGGGTTGATGGACTGGATCCATGGCACAGGCGCGAAAGGGAAGAAGGAGGTGGCGATGGGGAGCAAGGCCCCGGGCAAGACGGACTGAGAGATTTCGCTGTGGGTCAGCAGTTAATACGCAATATCCAACATCATAGTCCGGGCGTCTCGTTTGCTGGTGAGATGCTGCATGCACATACGCAGTGATGTGAGTGTGTTGGGATGGTCCCTACGGATGTCTGTTTTGAGATGCTCCAAGCCCTTCGACAAGGCACGTCATGAAGACTCAAGTTGCGAAGAAGGCATCAGAGATCCAGAGGTCCAGAGGTCTAGAGGTCCAGAATTCCAATAGCTTGGCTGTAGATAAGTCCATGTGACGTTTATTGGTCTACATCTCTACTAATAGAAGTCGCAAGAGCGTCATTCACAATGGCCACGGCTTGCTCCTGTGTGGGCAGTCCGCAACTCTCTCATTCGGAACCTGTTCAGACCGAATACTTCAACCAGCGGTCCAGCTCGGTCGTCCAGGTCCTCGCCGGGTCGTCCTTCTCCTCGGGAATGGACAGGCCGTGATTGCCGTCCGGCAGCACGAGCAGGTGGAAGGGGACCTTGTTCCTGGCCAACGCGGCGGCCATGAGCATGGCGTTGTCGACCGGGACGACCGAATCGTTGGCCGTATGGAACAGGAACATCCGGGGCGTCTGTGGGCTCACGTTGGCCTCGGCCGAAAGCTGAGCGGTCAGCTCGGCCGGGGCGTCGGTACCGATAAGGTTCTCACGGGAACCTGCGTGGGTGATGGACGGGTCCATGGAGATGACGGGGTAGGCGAGGATGGCAAAGGCGAGACTAGCTGCCCCCTTAGGATCCGTGATGGTGGTGGCGGCGAGGTGGCCCCCGGCCGAGTAGCCCCAGATGCCGAGCTTGGAGACGCGGCCCTGCCTGCGGATCGTGTCGATGGCGGCGAGGGCTTGTTGCTGGGGCTTCGGGTAGAGAGGGGCTGGCGAGGTGGTGGTCGTGGCGTAGTTGAGCATCCAGGCGTCGTAGCCACGGGCGTTGAGCCAGGCAGTCGTCTTGAAACCCTCGTGTTCAGTCGACACAAACGAGTACCCACCGCCAGGCAGCACGAGGACGCCGGTGCCGTTGGGTTCCGGGGCGGGGTAGAAGTCAAGCTGGTTCTCGGGGATGCCCGTGGGTGGTGGTGGCACCCACACGGATGGCGCTTCGGCGTCGGTCGAGGCCGTCATGGTCAAGTTGCTGGAAGCCGTCGACTCCCCAACTGCGGGCGGAAAGAGTGTAAGAGATCAAGAGATCAAGAGATGGGTTGACTGTCGTGGTCCACGAGCTATCGGGACAGAGAGGTCCGAGAAGGGTCCTTTTAATCATGACTGGCCACCTCGGCTCCACAAGCCCGACGGACAATTACATTAGCCGGCAGCCTGTCAGCAAGCCACTTCCCCTGGTCCCCCTGGCTCCACCACCTACTTCACAGTATCGTTCACTTCACTCGTGGACACACTGCCTGGCTCCGATCCAGGCAGCAACGGGAGCTCGGCACATCTCTCATGCCTGTCATGATCACAGTGGGTGCGCCAGTCGGGTCGAGCCCATCTCAGAAAGCGCAGCATGAGAGGCTCTAGGACTTTGATCAGTCCTCTGGCGTCAAACCGAGCAAATTGATCCCCGACACACGACTCGCATTGCCAGTGCAGTGACCCAACTGTTCTGATCACGCCATGGCACTTGCCGAGTCGCCATCAAGCTCCCCATCATTCTACTGAGCTCAATTCGCCTGCTTATCCCGGTTTCACATGTGGTCGTGCCTCATTAGCCTCATCGAGCAGCTTGCCATTCTAGCCTGTCAAGAGGTACAGAGTTGATTGCTCGGTTGAATATAAGGAGAGTCTATGTGGAGTCATGTCTAGTGCCAGAGCATAAAATGAAGCCAGCACTTCAGACTACGCTCATTCACATGCGTAACCTCGTGCCATATTCGCCTGACCTGGGGTCTTCAGTACGCGCAGGTGTTTGCGGACGCGACTTGCGGCCATTTTGTAGAAGAGAGGTCAGCCCGACATGAAGAGCTCGGAACAAGGCGAAGAGCAGGCCAACAGTCACGTCAAGAACGAGCCCCAGTGCTGCTGCTACGCCTGCGATGTGATCCGATGTCTCCGTGCAAAGAATCCCACTTCAAGGTCATAGTCCGCACCACCCTTGTCATTGCTCGGCGAGTCGCACCGAGCCACGAAACGAGCTGTCAGCAGTATAAATGTAGTCCTCTGACCCTCTGACCCCTGGACCTCTGCAGCTAAAAATCACGCTGTCGGTAAGTCTTTGCTGAACCAGTCCTGAGGCGAACAGGCATTCCTCCATCGTTGGATGCTGATAAAGTGATGGCGGAGCTCACAAAAGTCCTGATACACGCCCAGCCTTCCGACATCAAGCCTTACAAGCCAATCCACACAGCTCTGAGCAAGGCATTGGAGGCAGGGCAGCAAAGCAATTGGAAGAACGCGGTGGCGCTCGACAACGTTCTCACACCCGAGGCCTGCTGGGCCATCATGATCCACGGCAGCGCCAGCCAAGGCTTCGGGCACGTGCCGGGGCCGCATGCGAACGACTGCCCAGCAGGCTAGGCTGCTGTGGCTGTGGATGGATCCTGCCGTGCGAAAGGTTCCAACAGTCTGGCGGGCAGCAGCGGGAGCCCGCGGACAATCAAAAGCACAACGTGGCGCCACCAAAGGCACGACCAAGCCCTCGGCTGCCAAAGCTGCTCCGTCTAAGCCCGCAGCCTCCGAACAGCCTACATCTAAGCTTGCTGCTTCCAAGCCCGCTCCTGATGGTCCCGCCGCTTTGAGCTTGCGACCTCCAAGCCATCGGACAACAAGAGTGAGCATGAACCGGCAACGGAGGCACCAGCCGAACAGGGCGCTGCCCAGCAGCTCGCCATTTCGCAGCTGTCCGACACAACATTCGCAAGAGGGGTCGAGACGACGCTGGATTTGTTCGGTCTGCGAAGACATAAGCTCAGAATGGCGGGCCTGTCCGAGCTCGACGAGCGTACCGCGACTATGCTCGAGTCGGCACTCGCCAAAAAGCCGGACGTGACTGCGGCTGTGAAGCAGGCTACACTTTCGGATTCTTTTGCCAGCAAAGACGTAATGGAAAAGCGCCTCGAGGCATTTCCGGCAATCCCCGTCCTTGACATTGATGAGCTCGCAAGGGAATTTCTTGGCGACGCGGCCAACGATAATGGCATGTTAACGATCCTGAGGACCATGGACGACGCAAACCTGAAAAGGACGAGTGTTGCGGTGGAGGCGGCTGTCCGGCTGACCATATATGGAGAGGGCCCGAGAGAAATTATTGCGGACCTCATCACTGAGAAGATGTGCCCCCCAGTGGAACTCGCGGCCAGCCTGGGCGCAACAGGCATGGCTATGTCCGCGACAGCTATGACGGAGCTGCTTCTCGAAAACGCTTCACTTCGCACGGAGCTCGGCCAGCTACGATCTCAGGTAGTCGAGCTTTTGACCAAGACAGAAGCGATCACCGAACTCTGAGGGTGGATTGGAATGGTCGAGGACGACGTGCGAGCGCGTGATGAGAAGCTGGCCGCTCCCGAGCCCGACTTCGGGAAGAAGAACGAGTATCGTTGATAAATGCAAGATTAGCTTCGGGGGAGTGACATTCAAAACATACAATGGCTTTATGGCATCACCGGCATAATCAAGTCACCCAGTCTTGGCTCTACATTTGTGTGGACTTAGTCTGCAGGCTTCATGCGACGGGTTCATATGCCTACCTTGGTTGTGTCCGGCAGAGATCCGCCTTGAGGCCATAGCCACAGGCTCATCGCGCGATGTCTCCACCAGCCTTCGACAATATGGCATTGACCTCATCGGCATTCTCCCATCCGAGCCAGTGACCGCCTTGCAGCTGATACTCCTCGAGCCCGCGCATCGCGAAGGGCTCCGTAACGACTCTCATCACCGCCCCGGGGGTGATGGTGTCCAGCGAGCCCCCGATGATGGTGACTGGCACATTGAGTAGCTTGTTCACTTCGGGGACCGCATTGTCATCTGGGACATCAGTGCCGGTGAGAGCTCGGCGGTACGGGTTCAGCGAGGGTGCCACGGCGCCCGGCTTGCTGAACTGGCTGAGCCAGTCTTGCTTGTGGGCCTCGGTGTCCCAGGGCGCGAGCGGGATGGTCCTGTTGGCCTCGAGCCGCGCCCGTGCGGCGCCGATGTGGCCAACATCGCGGTTCTGCGTGGTGCTGTTTGCTGCGTAGACCGCGCTGTAGAAGGACTCGAGCTGTCCAAAGTGGTTAATCGTTAGTATTTCCGCTCCAAGTATCAACGCTGTCTGGTCTTTGGACTGCTCACATGGTTGCTTATGAGATCTGTAGCCGTGAAGTGGTTGAAAAAGTACCAGTACCCGCACTGCGCCAGACCTGTCGCCGCCAGAGTCTGCGCGTTGATTGCGTCAATATCTATGAACCCCGTAGGGTGCACATAGCCGACAGACATGAAGACGAGTTTGGAGAACCTGTCTGGGTGGTAGTTGTAGGCGCGGGCCATCGCTGTCGCGCCCCAGTCGTGGCCGACGCCAATGACCTGGCCGAGGCCCTCGGCGTCCAGGAGCTCAGCCATGTGGTCTGACACCACACTCCACCGGTATGCTGAGAGGTTGTTGGGATCGGGCTTGTCAGACTCGCCAAAGCCCAGCAAGTCAGGCGCCAGGACGCCAAAGCCAGCCTTCTCGAGTGCTGCGAGCTGAGGAGCCCAGTCGCGCCGTGTCGAGGGGAAGCCGTGGAAGAATAGGAAGGTCGGTTTGCTGGTGCCATTGTAGTCTGTCGCAGGTGAGTATTCGTAAGTGTACGACACGCCACCGGATGTGGTGAACTGCTTCGTCGACGTGGCGCACGCCAGGGCCGAGCTGAGAGCAGCAATGGCTGCACCGGCCAGCGCGATTGATGATCGCATGATGCAGCAATGGGCTCTGCGCTCGATCGATTGCTTATTAAATTCCAAATAAAGGATGCAAGGTATAAGCTGGGTGTTTTGTGAGTGCTGTTCGGGCGAAAGAGCCGCGTAGGTATGAAGGATTGGTCAACAGTATCTACTTTTATACCTCAACACCATGCCATACTGACCTTGTTGTTACAGCGCGTATCAGATCAAATCCGCGCGGCGACCGTCGTCATGCTCAGCTTATGCGTTCCCATCTCCATTGGGCAAGGTGGATCGCGCCCGGAGACATTTCCAAGCAATAGCCTAATCGGGGGCGGCAAGACTCGAAGCGCGCTCGGGTAAAAACTGCTTTCAATTACACCGATCCGGATCGTGGGTTATTTCTCTACTTGTTTCGGCATTCTTGTAGTCGAGACGGTTTGCGATAGACTCAATGTTCCCAAGGGCAAATGCATTTGCATTGTGAAAATGTCGCGCATCGTCCACAGCGTCCCAGCTACAGTTCAGGCATTTCTGGAACAAGCGCGCTCCTCAGTTGACCTTGGCTTCGCTATTCTGAGCCTCGATATTACCGTCTGTCAGCAAAATGGTCTTTGTCGTGTAGAGAATGCTGAGTCAGGCGTGCAAGCTCTCCTGAGATTGTAACGGCGGATGCCGAACATGTATTTAGCACCGCCTCATGTTTGGTTGCGTATGCCTTATCTCAGAAAGACCTTTAAGTACACAGGCTGTAGAAACAAAAAGGCGTCAGCTTCTTTACGGGATCTACTGCATGTCTGGGCCAAATTAAGAGAATAGCCTGCTACTACACTACCTCGCGATAAATAAATTGTGCTGAAACCGTGCCTCAATTGTTTGGCAATATGACCTTCAACACCAAAAATGGTCTTCACATGGCAAAGAAGCGAACATCAAACGAGACTCATATCAGCGTCGGGGATACATGTAAGCAGCTGTGTGTATGACTATCTAGTACATGAACCTTTGAACCTCTGACCCTCTGACCCTCTGACCCTCTGACCCTCTGAACCTCTGAATTTCTGACCTCCTGGCCCGCTAGGCCTCTGGGCCTCTGGGCCTCTGGACGTCTGCCACATTGGTTACTAGCAGTCGGTGCTTGTTGGTGTTGCGATAATCGGCCGGTTGAACTAGTTTGGCAGCTGCTGAAAGCGCTTGACTCGCGCGCGCTTGCGGCCCTGGTCGTGGAGATGGCATGGCAACTTTCAAATGCGCAGAAAGCCTCAGCATACGGAGGTGCGAGCTGGTGACCTTGAGTAAGGCGGTCGTGGTAGAAAGTTGCCGACGAAAAGGAATGCATACCAAAGAACTGGCGCCTGTTCACATCAAGGTATGATATCGTAAAGGTTGGCGAGGCGAGCATTCTGTCCACCTCCGAAACATGCGAATACAGACCGAATGGTGACAGAAAGCCATCTTTCTTCTCAGGTCCTCTGGAGAGGTGAGAGTTGATGGTTGGCGCATATGCCTTGCACTGCGCGGGGTCGCCAGCACTCATCCTCACTTGGGCATCAGGGAACGCAGCCCACAAGATGAGCGCTTGAGCCTGTGTGAAGCGGCATGCCTCATCAAAGAGCAGCAGCTGCGGCTCCCAAGTTGAGCGACGGGACAATATGGCAGCTGGCACAGGAGTTCCAACCAGGCCACAGTACATACCGATGGCCTCCTAAAATACTTTCTTGACGCCGTCAGCCCAGATTTGGCGGTCAGGGACAAACTGGTCTGGGTGTGAGAACTGGAGCCGGTGGAGTGTAAGGACCTTGGCGAACCGGGAATCGGTCAGAATCAACTCCCAGGCCATGATACTGACATCCCGAGCTCCACCCATGGCGACACGGCGGGTGACTCATAAACAAGAGCAACGCGGACATTCGTAATAAAATAGTAGCGCGTGTGCGTGTCGTGGAAGTCTCCTGGTGCACCACTGCAGAGGCAGTCCATGTTGGTCAGACCGCTAGCATCCCACAAATCCTGAAGCCGCTCGGCTGGGTAGGCTCGATATAGGGTCGTATATCCGTGTGCGAAGCTTGCCGCGAGAGGTTGCGCTACAATCCAGCAAGTAGAGGAAGAACCTGGCGTCATGCTCGAGTCGGAGTCTTTTCCCCAATCCGTCGCAGGGGGTGGGGGCGTCCTCGTTCGTCCGGAGACACCTGCTGGGCAACATCTGCCTATATGGTCTCGGCCGGCAACTGTTGCACGGTAATTGGCAAAGGAGAGGCCTTCAGTGGAACCTTTTGCATCACAGCCAAGATGATCATCGCGAGTTTAGTCTTGCCTTGCATTGCGAGTGGTCGAGATGCGCAATGAACTGCCAGACCTTAGGCTGGGATGCAGGAAACCCACCGAGGTCCTCTCCCTTCAAGAATCTCTCCAGGCACTGCCGCAAGAGGCCAAAGTAAGGGAAGGCCTTCTGGACGTGGTGGATGTCGGAACGGCCGTGGTATTGGAGAGTGTCCTCCGCGCACCAATGGAAGGGCACAGACTTGTTCTTGCCGTGGAGATGATTGAAGGTGTTTACAGTCCCGAGCTAGCATCTAGCGGTCTGGTCGTCGATATGCGTAGCCACCCGCATGTTCAACAGGCCAAAAGGTGACAGTTCCAGGCTCATGAACGTACCGGGCTCATGACCTTGGTACACTGCTAATGATGTTGCCTGCTGCGTGCGGCAGCGCTCTGAGAAGATACATTGGTCGTGGAGAATATGTTTGATGGCGCTCCTAGGCGCCAACAGGTTGTACTGTGGGGTCGATGATTGAACCTCTGAGCCTCTGAGCCTCTGAACCTCTGAGCCTCTGGATCTCTGGGCCTCCCGTATAATTTGGGCTGGGTGGAGGCGCCGCTCTTCTCCTTGTAATAGTAGGACTTGTGCAATATTAACTCGCCACTCTCGTGAGCGTACATGCGGGCATTCTCCAGGACAAAGTATCCGCACGTCCAATTGTCGTACTGCCTGGTCGAGGGAGCGAGCTTGAAAACTATGTCCTGGTGTGGTATGCCATTTTGGCAAGGCCACTGGTCCAGTTCCGTGCAATGTTGCTATGATGTTCTGTTGCGGTGCTTCTGAAGCTGTCGAAGATGATGACAGTATTGTAGCGCTTCTCATGGACGAGGAGCCCCCAGTGTTTCATGTTTTTACTTGCACCTACAGATGCATCGTTCCAGTATGTGATTATCACCTGTCGGGAGATGAACAGTGCGAGGGCCTTGGAGGACAGGACGAGAGGCTGAAACCTTTCCGTCTCAGAGTGGATCGCGACGTCAACCACAACAACACCTGGCATGCCACGGACCATGAACCTCAGCACAGCGCCAACTTCGAAGTTGCTGAGATACAGGGATTCTGCGTCAATGGAGTCTGGATCTGCCCTGGCCCGGAGCTCACGGGCACTCCGACGAGCTAAACGAAAGAGACTGAAACAATCCCGCAGGTCTTCGCGTGTCGTGAGAGCGGTCGCGTCGTTTTGTGCGATACATCATCGGCAGTTCGTCAACAGCATGTGACCAAGGCTGACGTAACGTGTCCATATAAGGCTGAGTTGGAGGAGGACGAATGTGGCAGCTCCGGGCTCTGATCATCCGTGCCCGCGACCAGAAGTACATGCAAACGCTCAATGACATGGCTTTCAATGTCGTCATTGCGCTGCCCCTCAGCGTATGCTTTGGTAATGGCCTTGAAGAGCATGTTGACCTTTTCCGCGGGCTGGATTTCCTTCGGCAGTGGCTCGAGTCCCCATTTGCCGTCAATGGTGATGTTCAGGCGCGTGCCCGCGCGTGGAATGTAGTCCTGGTTTTCGCACTTCGTGATGACCACGATGTACTGGTATGGCAGACCACGAACCATCTTGGTTTCCTTGGGGATGAGGAAGCCGCGATACGGAAAACGCGCAAACTCTTCTGCGACCTTGATCTCGTACCTGTGGGCGTAGATCGACTGGTACGCCCTGGCCGCAATCGCACTCTTGGCCGACCAATACAGAGGCTGGACAGGCTCCTGGTTGGTGATACCCTCTGCGCGGAGGTCTACGGCATTGCTGAGATTGACCTCGCAAGCACGAGGCGAAGCACGGAACAGCTTGTCCAGCGCCGACTCGTCGCGGTTCTCATTCCACACGGTCTCAAAGCTGTCCATGAAGCTGGACAAAGTGGTCAGATCCGGCGACAGGATGAGATCCAGTCTTCTGGGCTCGTCCGAGGGGGCGAAATGATCCGAGGTAAACTGTTGGAAAGCCGCGGCATCAGAAACACCATGCTCCTCCAAAGCCTGGGTGAGTCGGTCTCTGGTACCGTGGACCACGAGAGGTTCAGGCGCCCCCGGTCAAACGTCGAAAGTGACAGTTCCAGGCTCATAACTGTACCAGGCTCATAACCTTGGTATAATGCTCATGGCAATGCCTGCGGCATGCGATAGGGCTTTGAATAGATGTGTTGGTTGTGGGAAGTATGTTCGGTGTGTGAAGAGGGGGATGGATGTGTAGGACGTGGTGGAGGCGTGAAGTGTGGATGAAGTCTTGCTGGAATAATAAACTGTCAGTGCCTGCATCCTATTGACCACGCAAGACAGCCTCAAGGTTGAAAACGTACCGCTAGTAATAATGCCGTCACAACTGCTGGGACTGACTGGCGAGGAATGGTGCAAGACAACACCTTGCTGAGCCTGCGCGAGACCAGCCAGTCTTGACCGTGGCTTGTGGCAGCACGTCTGGGACGAGACGTGCGGTCTTGGGTGTCAGGTGGAGGCTTGGCGTGGTCTCAAGGATTGGACTTGTCGGTAGGGCATAGCGCCGCCCTTTGACAGCGGGGGTGGAACAGAAAGAGCGGAGTGAAAGCGAGTGAGGAGTCTCAAGAAGAATGAGGATTGTTTGTGCTAAGATGTGTGGCGGAGAGAGGGAAATGATGAGAGCAGGTAAGTGCTGAGGGATGTTGATGTTGAGTTTGCCTCTGGGGAGATGAGTAGAAATGGGAAGAGTCATGGGGATGGGCGAGGTTTATATCATGAGCTCGGCGAAGTACAGTCAATGGTTGTTGAGCCTCCTTGACAAACAATGCTTCACAACACTCATTGACACCGCACGAATGACTGCCCATGGATGCCTGTCCGTGAGTGGTGACCAACGGCTCTTGGTTGGTTCATTGTTACTCCGAGACAGTGCGTTTGTGCTCAGGCCTACACATCATAGGCCACAACGGATGGAACTGGGTCACTGTCTGACGTGCAAACACCTTGTGCATTTCACAGTTGTTATTGTCGCTTTGAGCAAGTTGATCAGTCAGGACTATTCTTTATGGGCGCTTCCATGCACTGGTGAGTCTTGATTACCGCCCTGTTTATGCTTTTGAGTCAAGTCCACAAAAGAATAGGCTGCCTTCTCGTGGATTCTCTATGAAAGACCGTCACACAGCCAATGGATCAATGCAGTGGCATCACGGCCCACTGCAATCACAATGCTACCAGCCCGCGCAGGTGTTGGACTGAGAACCTTGGAAAGACAGAGTGGCGTCCACTCTGCAAAGGCAAGTTGCGCCGGCGCAGCCATCATACATTGACGCATCATGACGGCACAGCAGTGTTGTGAAACCGACACTGTTCGCTGGTTTCACACGAAAGCACGCCCACGAAGGCCAGTTCACATGGTGCCTAGCTCCCATTAAGCTCGACTTGTGCAAGTCCCAGGTCAGTCAAAATAACCATACGTAAGGCTCTAAGCCTCTCTGGAGCTAGGTGCTTCGTGAGCATCCCTAATGGGTATGTGCACATCAACTTTGATTCAATCAATCTGGGATTTCATTTTGTGTGGCCATTCTCGGGTTCCAAGAGGCGTGATGTTGGGCCAGGTACTTGTTGTGAATGGGCAGGCCTCGCAAAAGGACCTCAAGCAAAGGCCTCTCTGCGGTGCGGACTTGTGTTTGCACTGCCCGAGTCGTGGTGTGGCCAGCAGTCGGGAGGAAAAGGGGTGTCTCCATAAAGGCAACTGGGCCGAACTCACACTTGGACAATCCTCCGGCTATATGCGGGGTGCTGCAAGGCCTGTCCAGGAAATTATGCTTGTCCATCGAAGCCTAATTCCGACTGGCCTGCTTGCACATCAGTGCGTGAGCCGGAGAAACTGATCCGCATGCTTGGGCGCCTTCTTGTGGACAGCCAGGCCATCATTTAGCTGGTGGCAGCCACATCAACACTGGAGTAGCCAGGGAATTTTTGACGATCAAATTGCGATATCCGTCATCTCCTGCCCAGGGCTTGCTGTGCACTAGCCGCTCTTTATTAGTAACAGAGCCATCCAGCCGATGGCACATTTTGGATCTCATCGCCCTACGGCTCGAGGCTAGGCATGTATCGGGGATGGGCAGCGGGGAGGCGGGCTGCCGACGCCTTGTGCCTAATGAGCTAGCGCGCGGTTGTCCGATCGTGGCGCCAGGCACAAGACGCGCCTCGGCGACCTCGCAGGCTCCAGAAAGTGACCGTTGAGCTGTGGGAGATGAGGTGGCTTGACTGGCGCTGCGGAGATTTAGTATTGCGCCGCCGCACCCGGGGGATCGTGGCGTTCAAGGTAGCCATCCTCTGTTCTCTTCGACTCCATCCCCAGTGCTCAGGCACGTACAGTTCTATGCTTGCGGCGTTTCCAAAGTCCTGAACATTAAGGGCTGTGCCTCATCAGGCGGATCCTCAGCTCAAGTCGTCAGAGCTGAGTACAAGGGTGCCCTGGTCTACCCGCCGGGATTCCGTGGGCCCCTCCGCGGGCCTGGCCTCTGTGAGCATGGGTGCCATGGGGTTTTGACAGAAGGCTTTCAGGGGCACAAACCCAAAGCGGCATCTTGGCTCGTCTTGAGGCTGGCTGGACCATCAATAGCGCGCTGCACGCTCAGATTCGCACCCGCAGAAGCAACAACGACGATCCACCGTTGAGTCCGTGACTCCCTGGACCTCGGGTTGCGCCGCAGATCTGGCGTGTTGTGTGTGGTCAGCTATGCATCTGGCCTCGTCGTCCAGCCGGAGAGAACATGTACGAATGGTAATATATCTGGCAAGAGGCCACACTTGCCTTATTGCCCCTGCTCTGCTCTGCCATCTGCCTCACACTCGTTTACCACAGACCACGCTCTTTAATTCCCAGACACCAACCATGGGCCTTTCGTTCCAGACGCTCGCCGTGATCCTTTCGGCCGTCGCCGCCGGCGTCCACGCCCACCCCAAGTGCGGCGGTTCGTGTGCCGCTGACAAGTGCTTCGCAAAGGCATCACTGCCAGCCGAGTACCTGCCCACGCTGTCGTCCTTCTGCTACGACTACCTGAGCACCACGCCAGGGCTCGTGACTCTAAGTGCCACGACTGTCGCTACCGCCACGGTTACAGCTACCGTCACAGAGACACTCACGGGCACCGAGACAGATGTCCAGACTGCCACGGACTTGACCACGACCACCCCGTCAGCCGACCCGGCTACTGTGACAGCTACGGAGACGACAACAATCTCCCAGACCGAGACTGTGGGCACTGTCTGTGTCACTACCACGACCCTCGCGGCCCTGCCCACGGTCGTGTACTACAATAGGCCCGGGGCCCCGGCGGATCGCAGGCGTCATGGTGGCTCAGTCGAGATTCCTCCCGTGCTGACCGAGGGATGCAAGCCTGCCCACGTCTCGGCCAAGGTGTCTTCGGCCTGCTCATGCATCCTCGCGACGGCCGCTCCCTCAACGACAACCACGACAGTAACTGTCACGGCCACGGCCTCTGCCACGGCCACGGCTACCGCCTCTACCACAGCCACCGATGTCGTCTCGACCACCGTCACCGAAGTCTCGACGGCGCCCACGGCCGACCCTGCCACTATCACTGAGACTGTCTCCAGCTTCACCGTTACAACCGAGCAGCCTTGCACCTCTACGTCGACCTCGACCGTCTACGAGAACGGAGTGGGCCCCTTCTGTGGCGTGCCCGTGCCCTCGACCACCACGAGAGGCGAAATCTCTTGTACTGCTCCTGCCCCGGCCGGCCAGACCAACAACCTCTTCCGCATCGAGGGCAACAACAACGAGGGCACCCTCTTCGAGGGCTGCATCACCTCGGGCCCGGCCAACATCACCACCCCGTCCGGCGGCACGCACCTGTGCGACGGCACCAACAACAACAACAACCCGGCCCCCGGCGCGACCCTGACGACCGACATCGCCGCCGCCGGGGCGCAGGAGGGCTTCGACTTTGACGGCACCTACAGCAACCAGTTCCAGGACTTCTTCATCCAGCGCATCGGCGCCTCGGCCCAGACGAGCAACCAGTTCTGGGGCGTCATGCGCGACCGCGTCTTCACCTCGGCCGGCGGGTGCCAGGAGCAGGTGATCCCCGGCACCGAGGGCCTGTGGGCCTTTGACGCCTTCAACGCCAACGCGTTCCTCAGGCTCAGCCCGGCGTACCAGGTCGTCCGCGCCCTCGAGACGCTGTCCGTCACCGTCACCGTCACGGGCACCAACGGCAACGGCGGCGACGACTACCCCGTCGGCGGGGCCACCGTGGGCGGGCAGACCTCCGACGCCAACGGCAGCGTCCAGATCCCCGTGCCCCTGACGCCCGGGTGCTACCAGTACAAGGCCCTCCGCAGCGGCGCGATCCGCAGCAACGTCTTCTACCTCACTGTGCTGCCGGCCAATCCCTGAGTTCGAGCCGAGGGCCCTTTCGGCGGGATTGTTGCAGGGCAGTGGGGGGAGTGGTGATGTGTTTGGGGTTGGGCTTACACATGATGGTCTCCTTTCTCCGTGCCACCTGGGGGCTGGACGGCCATGTTTAATTCTTAACACTTGTATATAGCTCACAAGAACTATACAGCACGTTAATATGGATAATGTATAACTCAATATCCGCCGCAGGTGACGCCGTCATCAACGCACAACGGCTCGTGTTCGCCACTTGACGCGCGCCGTGATCCATTCTCGGTGTTGGGGATGGATAAACGGAGCCCGAGGGCGCCCGGTGGCAACGGGTCATGAGACAGCAGGAGTGTCATGAACATTTGGTGTCTGCCTCTTGCGCTCTTCTAAGGGTCGACATGGCAGCACGCATGTGGTGGTGTTCATAAAGAGATATGAATTATATCCGTGAGTCAAACTAGGCAACTCAGGCAAGTAGAGTGCCTCCTCGTTCGCCAAAAGCCCAAAAGCACAATCACAAACGCCTAGAACTCCTCAGCGCTCTTTGCGAGCCACCTCGAGTAGTTCCTTCAGTTACCAGCTGATACCCAAGAGAGATCACCAGTCAGCATGCAGATCAAAAGATTCAAGACACGGCAAACGAAAGGACAGTGACTTACGAAAAGTGCTCAGTATGCAGGTACACCTGCGTCCGTGCCCCCTCTCGACCAGCCAAGATCCGCAGCTGGGCCTGCGCAGCCGCGGCCTGGACCTCCTCGAGCACCGAGCCCGGCCCGCACGCCACGATGGCCAGCGACGATGTGCGCGACTGCTGCTGCCGCTGCCCTGTCGAAGAAGAAGAAGAAGCGCCGTGTATCAGCGCGCTGATGTCAGGCCGGCCCGCGATGGTCTCGATCTGCAGTAGACCGCCCACGGATGGTGCGGCAGTCGGGAGGGACCCGACAACCACGGCGGCGGCAGCATCCCCTTTAGTCTCGACATCCACTTCTTTCGTGGACGGCGACGACGACGACGACGATGACGATGCTGCGGTCGGGCCTGTCCCTGCTGTGACGTAGACCGAGATGCGCACCCCCTTGACGCAGTCTGCCGGAAGGCCGTTCGCATGTATAAACGTCGCCAGCGCGTCTGAGTACCACCCCAAGAGCGCTCTGTCACGCGTGGCAATCACAACCTCGAGCCGGGGCGTTATGCCGGCTCCTCCTTCGGTTGCAGTAGTAGCGTGCCTCCTCGTCGCGGCCCTCAGCAGCATTGCGTCCATCACAAAGCCCAGCGAGAAGGCGGCGCCGGCGCCGCACGCGATGATCAGGTTGTCGTCGAACGAGTCCAGGGGCCGGCCCTTGATGCCCCCGTACGGCCCGTCGAGGTGCACAGGCACCGTGGTGCGCGTCGATGACGTTGACGATGATGGTGATGATGATGGTGAGTCCCGGTGTGGTGTACCGGAAACAACAGCACCAGCAATACGGCCCAATTTGCCCGTGATGCCGCCGCGCACGGCTGCATAAAAGACCAGCTCGTTGCGCGGCTCGTTCTTCTTCTCGCCGTCGTTGTCGTCGCCGCCGTTGTTTCCAAGACTCTCCCCCGTGGCCGAGAACGGCACGCTGCAGATAGTGAACGGGTGAGATGTCAGGCCGTGAGCCGCACCGCCCACTGCTCCTCCCCCGGGGAACCGCAGGAACATGTGCTGGCCCGGCCGCCAGGTCGTGTTGCGGCGCGCGGGGACCGTGACGCGCACCATGCCCGGGGCGACGAGGTCGAGCGTCGCGCGCAGGGACAGGCCGTGCTCAAAGCACGTGCGCACCTGCGCGAAGGCGAGGGACGAGAAGTACAGGACGGCCGCGGCGATGAAGTAGTAGCAGGACGTGAGGGTGAAGTCGCAGTGGAAGAAGAGGAAGAGGACAAAGACGAGCGCCATGAGGAGGTGGGTGGCCTTGAAGAACTCGTAGAACCGGTTCCTGCGTGTGTGTATCAAGTCTCGATGAGTAAGTGTGGTGCGTCACGGGCCAGAAGTCACGACGGTAAGGGTATGGTCTCAAGGAAGCGAAGGACTTTCTTACCGGATGAAGGATAAAGAAAAGAACTGCAGGTATGCCTGGGCGATCAGTGCCACGACCCCGGACCAGTAGAAAATGGAGCCTGTCCACTGCTGCTCCATTATGCCGTTTTGGAAGTCGACCACGAGGAAAGGGAATGTGTGGATCAGTGCAAGGACGAACATGGCCCAGCCAGTCCAGTTGTGGAAGACAATGAGCTTCTCGTGGGAGACCCCTGTGACGGCGGCAATCATGTTGGCCTTGGTCGAGAGCGCCCTAGAAGTGGAAAGTACAACTTGATTAGCATGCCGTTTTCCAGCCGCAAGGCCCGCGACTTGGCCAGAAATCGTCTGTATCGTACACTCACAGCATAAACGGGAGGCATGCGAGCGCCATCCATCCTGCCCGAGTCGCGATGGGGGGCGAGCCGCCCCAGCTAATGTCCGGCCAGTAGTATGGCTGAGGTCCCAGTGTCATTGCTGTTGTTGTTCTCCAGGGTCAGCTCGATGTCCACGCAGTCTACGGATGTTGCGCCTGGAACAAACGGTGTGGGTGTCTGGTAAAGCAGATCTTCACAAAAGGGCCGTGCTGCGACAATAACACACCTGCGAAAAAGACCGCCCCGCACGCGATGAGCAGTGCAACTCCCACCGATACAGTCGGGTAGCCCGCGATTGTCCAGCGACGGTACGCCAGATACCGGAGGAGTGCTTCGGACTTGCACCAGAGCCGCGTCTTGGCCAGAGACGATGGCGCAGTGCTCGAAGCTGCATAGGCGAGCATGCAGGCCCCAATGGCAGCGACAAAGAAGTAGGTCGCGCCCTGCGCATAGACGTAGTCGGCAATGTACCTGCAGGTTTGTGTGTGTGTGTGCATTAGTCGCTGCCAGTCAATGGAGGCTCACACAAGCACGCCAAGGTCTGGGCAACAAAGCTTGGCTTTGACCACAGGTGGGTTTCCTACCAGTTCCTAAAGCGTTCCGCCTTGTATGCGCACTCGTCGGCAGTCTGGTCGCACATGCTCATGCGCGAGCCTTCGATCATGATGGGCTGGTCCAGCCATGGCAGCGGCATTGTGTATGTGGTGACCGGAGTGTTGGATCAGGGGGGATGACTGGAAAGTCCAACAGTCGGTCCATCGTCTGGCACGGGCAGCAAGACGGATTATAGATACAAAGCTTATCAGGCCGCGTCATAATGCCCTGCGTCCTGCGAGGCCCAGATAGCCTCCCCGTACGAGCCGTTGGTGGTATTACTCGGCCGGGACACCTCCTCCTCCTCCTGCGGGGCTGACCCTCATTGGCGCATACTTGCTCAAACCCTCTCAAGTGTCGGGGTCCATTGTTTGGGCCTGCCGTTGCGCACGTTTCCGAGCGGGTCTAACCCCGGACTAGGTGGTGATACCCTGCCCCAGGTGATAACGTGGACAAGTGTGCCGTCGGGCTCTTCAAGTATCAGCCAGGCCTTCCTCTGCTGGATCATCCCGTCATTCGCCCTCTGTAACTGCCTTCTGTCTTTCGCAGCAAGACGAATCGACTTCTTCTGCTGTCAGTAAAGTCACAAAGGAAGACCACCCATACAGCCAGTAACAATGGACATGTCCATGCCCACCACCACAACAAGCCCCATGCCAATGGACACTGCCGGGGCCGGCATGGACGGCGGCTCAATGTCCATGCCCATGACCATGGACATGAGCGAGATGGCCATGGTCTTCTTCCAGTCTGTCACCTCGCCGCTCTTCTCCAAGGCCTGGACCCCCGCCGACCCGGGAGCCTACGCAGGGACGTGCATCTTCCTGATCGTGCTGGCAACGGTCCACCGCATCCTCATCGCCCTGCGCAACATCTACTTCTGCTCCGCCGTGCTGTCGGACCCGCGGAGGACCAAGGAGCTCTCCGGCGGCAGCGGCAATGGTGGCGCGGATTGCTGCAACAGTAATGGCCCCGACGACGACGCGGTGGTCGGCCCCGGATACCGCCGCCATCTGGGACGACGAGAGGGGTTCTGGGCGGCCCTGCGACGAGCGAGGAGGAGTTGTCCGTTCCGCACGAGCACCGAGACGGCAAGGGCCGTGGCAGAGGTTGTCATTAGCGGTGTCGGATATCTGCTGTAGGTAACCCCTCCTTCTCTATATATTGTCTCCTCGCTCCTATGATCGGGATGCGGCTTTCTTCATTGTTCATAAGCGCCGTTTAATGCTGATCATCCTAAATCTTGATAGTATGCTTGCGGTCATGACTATGAATGTTGGATACTTCTTGTCCGTCTTGGGCGGCATCTTCCTGGGGGCTTTTATGGTGGGCAGGTTCGGTGCGGAAGATCATCATTGATCGCGGCATGCGATTCATCTGACGTCTGGAGTGTAACGGGGTGGACAATAATCGATTTTCTTATGGGTTGGTTCTCTCCCCACATACAGTCTTAGACACATCATTGTGGCTTGGTGGAGCGGCAGCAAAACATCGTGGATCAGCATCAAAGTTTAGTGGAGCAGCAACCAAATGCTCCCCGTTGTGAAGACCACACAAAATGCCGGTGAAGACGAGCTTGGGAGACAAGAGGAGTAAACATGACCGGCAAAATGATAATGACTGGCGTATAAACACAGCACCAGAGTTCACGCGCAAAAAAGAAGGGCACCATGGTAGCAAAAACATACAACACCGGGGATTCGCTGGTCGTCACCGACCCAACTACTGATCCGGCGGTATCGAGCTTGTGTACAGGGGAGCGGACGGGACCCTCAATTTTCTCGATCCTATGGTCGTATGTGCTGATGATGTGGGATAGTTGGGGATATATTCAATGTGAGATGCGCGGTGGGTGAACGCGTGTGACCCCTGCCGCAGGAGCGGACAGGTAATGCCAACGTCAACATCACGCAATTTGCTGATGAAGACGAGATTGAGATTCGAATAGAATTAAACACAAGCGGCGGCCTGATAATGACCAGTGTAGAAACACAGCAGCGAGACAATGGACATACGCCTGTGCGGCGGGTCGATTGGCTGGCCACGTGATGCACTGATGGACAATTGTGATCAAGAGAGGTAGTGAATGTGTTCGAATGCATCAAGTGGTTGATTCTGGTGATTCCCACGAAGCCAGCCCGTTGGGTGGCAGAAGATGCTTGTGATATCAGTGATAAGAGCAGTAGCCAGGCCAACGTCTCCGCACCGCCCGTGAGGGGAACCTTGAGACCAGTGAGTCAGCAACTCGTCTGCATGGGCATTAATATATCTGCCTGCACCCATACAAGACACCCACTTCGTCTGGCCAAGACCTCACGCCTCACGGATGGGTCTGAGGTCGACTTGCGCTGCACTGCCTCATCTCGAAAGACAGGCCACCCCAGCTAAACCCCCACGCCAACAGGCCCCTCATTACAAATACAGCAGTCTGTATCATTACAAATATCACAACGACTTGGAGCGGATCCGGCCAGAGAGGCATCACCAGTGACGGGGTCGTCGTTGATAAGGAGCGGCACCAGCCGGCTTGGACAATGCCCACGAACAACATCGCACAACCGTGAGACTCACAACACACCGCGGCGTCATGGACGTCCCGTCGTCCTTCAGCGAGCCTGCAGGTTCCGGCTCTGCTTCTGCGGCCGAGCACGGCCTCGTGTTTGCCAACTTCTGGGTCGCCGTCGGCTTGTCCTCCGTCTTCACGCCCTGCGCGTTGGTCCACGCCGCGCAATTGCTGCGGCGGGCGACAGTCCGCCGGACGTCGAAGTGGCTCCTCGCGGGCAAGATCGTAAGTGTGTGCCTCAGAGCACGAGCGCTGCTCTGCCAACTCCCAGAGATCCAGCCAGATCCCTGACTCTCATTCTCACAGACATCTGGCGTGGCATTCGTGGCCCTGAATGCCACCCTCGTGGCGCTGGGGCGAGACAATGACACCTTCGTCCCGTTTGTTTTAGCGCTGGTCGCCTCTGTTGCCGCATTGGCTTTGTCCATCGTCGCGCAATTCAAGCTCCGCCGGCCATCCAATCTCCTCGGCGCGTACTTGTTCCTGTCCCTTCTTTCGTCGGTTGCCAGGGCACAGCAGCTTTGGCTGGACAGCCGAGACTCGTCGGATCGCACGGTAGCCATCCTCCTCACGACAACGAGCATTGTACACTTGCTCTTCCTCGCCATCAACACCAAGGAGAGCAAGCAATCAGCAGACTACGACTATCAGAGCCACAGCCCCGAGGAGACGAGCAGTATTTTCAGCCTGAGCCTATACTCGTGGCTCAATCAGCTGCTGTGGAAGGGCTACAAGCAGGTATTGGCACTCGAGGACCTGTACCCCCTTGACCAGGACATCTCGGCCGCGCGCGTGCCATCGACTGTCTCGCCATCGCAAGACGCTGCCACCGGCCACAGCCGAGCATGGACAATCCTGAAGTGGGCGACGCGTCCTGTGCTCAAGTCTCTGCTGATCCCCATCCTCCCGCGGCTGTGCCTGCTGGGCTTTACTTTCTGCCAGCCATTCTTCATCCACACGCTGCTGACGTTCCTCTCATCCGATGGGGGCGACACGGGCGCGGACCCACGCGTCACTGCGAACGGCCTTGTCGGTGCCGCCGTGCTAATTTACACGGGGATAGCCGTCTCCACGGCACTCTACTGGTATCACCAGGAGCGTGCGCAGTCGCGGCTGCGCGCTTTTCTCGTCTCGAGCATCTACGAGCGGACGAGCATCTTGTCCTCCTCTGCGTCCTCCTCGCCAGCGACATCAGCAGCTAAGCCCAACGGCAAACCCACTCCATCCAACTCGTCCTCCTCCCCGTCATCGGCAGCACCATCGGCAGCAGTGACGCTCATGTCGACCGAGGTGGACGCCATCTACCTCGGCACTCGCAACATCCACGAGCTCTGGGCCAACGTCATCGAGACGGCCCTCGCGACGTACCTGCTCTCGCGGGAGCTCACCTCTCCCGACGGCGAGAGCGGCCGGACCAACACCCCCGCCGTCGTGGCGGCGCCCCTGGCCATCGTGGCCGCGGGCTTCCTCGCGAGCTTCGCCATGTCCAAGTACGCGGTCGGGTACCAGCGCGACTGGATGCGCTACATCCAGGCCCGCGTCAGCGCGACCGGCCACGTGCTCTCGCACATCAAGGACCTGCGGACGTCTGGGATGATCGCGCCCGCGCGGGACATGGTGCAAGACGGCAGGGTCGAGGAGATTGCCCGCGGGAGCAGGATGCGCGGCGTCATCAACCTGTCGGCGAGCATGTCCCAGATCCCCATGGCGCTGGCGCCCGTGGCGACGTTTGCGGTCGCAGGGGTTGCGGGCGTGCTGGGGAGTGGTAGCGGGAGCGGGAGCGGTACGGCCACGGCGTTCACGGCGCTGTCGTACTTGAGCTTGCTGACCAGTCCGCTCATGGTCGTGCTGCAGACCTTGCCGATTCTTGCCGGGTGCTGGGCCTGCCTGGACAGGGTGTGGGAGTTTGTGCATTGTTCTGGGGTGAGAAAGGATGCCCGTGTGCTGGTGGCTGGCGGTTCATCGGATGTGGTTGCTGGTGCCGACGGGGAGAAGCGAGGAGCCCTGGACACGACACTGGGGGCCGATGATGATGCGGTCGTCATCAAGGACGGCTGTTTCGGCTGGAAGCAGGGCGAACCGACCCTCAGGGACATCAACCTCTGCCTCCCGCGTGGGTCGATCACGATGGTCACGGGCCCTGTGGCGTCGGGGAAATCAACTCTGTGCCGTGCCCTGCTGGGCGAGGTGCCCTTCTCGACAGGCCGGGTCGTCATCGCATACGGGAGCTCCAGCGGCAACGTGCCGAGGACAAGCTACTGCGACCAGACTCCATTTCTGATGAACGGCTCTATCCGGGAGAACATTGCCGGCTTCGACTCGTCATTCAGCCAGGAGAGATACCAGCAGGTTATCCACGCAACGTGCCTGGAGCAGGACTTTGATAGCCTCCCGCTTGGGGATGCCACGCATGTCGGCAGCAAGGGTGTCTCGCTCAGCGGCGGGCAGAGACAGCGCATCAGTCTGGCCCGGGCCCTGTATCACAGTCTCAGCGGCAGAGACGGCGAGGGTGGCCTAGTGATTCTAGACGATGTCTTTACCGGTCTCGACGGCAATACCCAGAACTTGATTTGCGACAGGGTGTTTGGGCGACAGAGCGGCTTGCTGAGGAGAAGGCCTGGACTCACCGTCGTGCTGTGCAGCACGCAGGCTGTCAAGTTCAGGCACTTTGCGAATCGGCTTGTGTATCTTGACAGTGATGGGACGATTGCGAGGCAGGAGGCGCCTGAAGAGGCGATGGAGATGAGTGGGCGGGACAAAGCCAGTCTTGCGATCTCGCCCGCCGCTCCAGCAAGCACTTCCCCGTCGATTCTTGGGCAGAGGACCTCGGAGAGCTCTCCCCCCAACAAGAACGTGCTCAGTCTTCCCTCGAAATCAACTCCACCAGCAACTCTATCAGCGTCGGAATCACCCTCTTCTCGCCCACTAACAGACCGCGCCGTCTACAAGCACTACTTCTCCAGCATCGGCATCCTACCAATCGCCGTGTACGTCATCCTCGTCGCCAGCGTCGGCTTCACCACAAACTTCCCAACCGTCTGGCTGCAGTTCCTCGTCACGGACCTGTCGTCTTCCACACCCGCACACAGCTTCGCGTACTACATGGGCATATACGGGCTGCTCGCTGCTCTGTCCGTGCTGAGCGTCTTCCTCGCTGGTGGCATCGTTATGCTCGTCTTCGTCCGCCTGTCGGGCACAAACCTGCACCAGCAGACCCTCGACACGGCCCTGGGCGCCAGCCTGCGCTTCCTCACGACGACCGACACGGGCACCATCCTGAACCTCTTCTCGCAGGACATGACGATCATCGACACCCAGCTGCCGCGCATGGTCAACAACTTCTCCTTCAGCCTCGCCACAGTGCTCGGCCAGGCCGCCGTCATCGCCGCGTCCAGCGGGTACCTGGCCGTCAGCTACCCGTTCTTCGCGGCCCTGCTATGGGTGCTGCAGCGGTTCTACCTGCCGACGTCGAAGCAGCTGCGCATCCTGGATCTCGAGGCCAAGTCGCCGTTGTAGTATGTTTCTCAAATTCCAGATATGATTCATTTAGGTTTCCTTCATTTTGTGGCTGACGCTTCCCCTCTCTGACGAACAGCACGCACTTCCTCGACACCATTGCCGGCCTCTCCACGATCCGCGCATACGGGGCTTTCCCCGCGCAGATCGCCCGCAACCGAGCCCTGCTCGACACGTCGCAGCGGCCAAACTACCTGCTCGCCATGGCGCAGCAGTGGCTGCTGCTCACGATGAACATGATTGTCGCGGTGCTGGGCGTCATCCTCGCTGTGCTCGCGACAAATCTGCCGCGTGACGGTGGCGGTGGTGCCGGGGGCGGTGGTGGAGGAGGAGAGGCCACGACTTCCTCCGGGTCAGTCGGTGCCGGCCTAGTCATGCTCATGCGCTTCGGAGCTGCGTTGAGCATGGTGATCAATGCGTACACTGGCCTCGAGATCAGTCTTGGCGGAATCGGTAGGCTGAAGAAGTTTGCGGAGGACACGGAGCGGGAGGATAGGTCGCCGCCCGGGACGATGGACCAGCATGCTGCAGAGAGCAGCCTTTTACCTGCCACAGAGCTAGGGCTGGACAACACCTGGCCGAGGCAAGGCAGGATCGAGCTGCGGAACGTGTCTGCAAGCTACTCGGGTGATCCCGAGGCCTTGGTGCTCAAAGATGTTTCGTTGAGTATCAAGGCGAGGGAGAAGGTCGCGCTGGTCGGCCGGACTGGGAGGTGAGATTTGTTGCTTCCTTTTGATGAACACTACTTATGGCGGCGCCTCGTAGTCCTTGTGGAGATACTCCTTCCATCACCCCATCCAGCCTCTATGCGGGCGTATGCTAACATACTTTTCACGACACAGCGGCAAATCCTCCCTCGTAGCCCTCTTGTTACGGCTTTTCGACCCCATCGCCACCGCCGACCACGCCCACAGCTACAGCGGCATCACAATCGACGAGGTCCCGCTCAACACCATCGACCGCACTGCCCTGCGAGCCCGACACATCATCGCCGTCTCCCAGGACGTCGTCTTCCTGCCGGCCTCGTCGGCCGCGGAACCGACCTCGATCCGGGACAACCTGGACCCGTGGGATGCTGCGACGCTGGACGAGGCCATCGCCGCGCTGCAGACTGTCGGCCTGTACGAGACCTTGCTGGCCAAGTTCCCCCAGGGGATCGATGGGGCTGCGGTCGTCGCGACCACCGGCGAGGTAGGCAAGCAGCTCACGGACGAGCTGAGTGTGGGACAGCGGCAGTTGTTCTCGCTCGCCCGGGCGGTGCTGAGGCGGAGAGTGCGCAAGAAGGCGATGGACGCGAGGGGCCTGGAGGAGGGCGGAGTGCTTCTATTGGACGAGTTTACTGCGAGCGTGGACGCGCAGACCGAGGAGCAGATGCTGGACATCCTGCGGCGCGAGTTTGCGGCGTACACGGTGGTCATGGTCACTCATAGCGTCGAGAGTGCGCGGAGGTGGTGCGATCGGGTTGTGGTTATGGATCAGGGCAGTGTGGTGAGTGAGTGAGGACGTGCAGTATGAGATGTGACCCTGAGCTGGTTGGTTGGAGGGCTGTGTTTGGTATTTGTCCCTTTTGTGCTTTGTGTTTTGTGCTTTGGTGGTGGAATTCTGGGAAGATTTTCAGTTTCTCGCAAAGTTATTCCAATGTTACTGGGTATAGGACAGTAAGGCTATGCATATTTACTCCTAGCAGCTTGTCCTAGCTCACAATCAACATCATACTATTTTCATTGGCTTTCATGCCTTGCGTCCTCGGAATTCGGTCGTCCTCGAACTTTGTTGTGCCTAGGCTTGTCCAGTCGACAGCCTGTATCTTCCAGTCAGTCCATGACAACCAGAGTCTTTAAGACTCTTTGAAGGGCGCCTGCTATGATCAATGCTGTATGTCAGACACAGCTCGGCACGTTCGTTGACTGTGCCGACGGATCCGGGCCCCTCCCGCCGTTGACGGTGCCGGCGCCGGGAAAACTCGCCGAGCCCTCCACTTTGCGTGTTTGGCAATTCCGGGGGCGGCCGGGGCACTCCTCCCCACAGTCTGAAAGATCCCCGCACTCGCGCCAGCAGCTGGACGGCAACCTGAAATCTCGCCGGCCGAGAAGCGCTGCGAAGGACAGACGAGACGAACCCTCCAGCTATACATAATTACCGAAACACCCTGCCCAGTCTTCCTCTTGCAAGACATAACCAACCATCCGCTGTTCCAGAGACTAGTCCTACGAATCTACACCAAAAGTTTCGGCACACTCCCTCATGTTACAACCTCGCTATGGCCACTACCCTTACCCACAACCCTGAGGCCGCGACCACCAACACAACAACTCCATGGCGCCCGAAAGCCATAGTCTTTGACCTCCTTACCGCACTCCTCGACTCCTGGTCGCTGTGGGACGCCTCTACCCCGTCCGGCACCCCCGAGGAAGGCCACCGCTGGCGTGTGAGATACCTCGAGATCACCTTTGGCGCGGGCGCATACGTCCCCTACGAGGATCTGGTCCGGCAGTCGGCGCGTGACGTGGGCCTGCCCGACTCGGCACCGCGGAACTTGCTCGACAGCTGGGATGTGGGTCTAAAGGCATGGCCTGAAGTTGCGGACGTGCTACAGAGGTTGAAGGCAAAGGGCTATGTCCTTGGTGTGTTGACGAACTGCTCGGTGGACCTTGGCCACGCTGCTGCACGGCAGGCTGAAGTTGGTATTCTGTCCCAAAGCGGCGGGGGGTCTGTGTTTGATAAAGTGATCACTGCGGAGGAAAGCGGGTTCTACAAGCCGAGAAAAGAGGCGTATCAGGCCATCATGACGGCGATGGCCCTGACGCCAGAACAGATTCTCTTCGTCGCGGGCAGTGCGGGGGATGTCGAGGGGGCGACGAACGCAGGGATGAAGGTTGTCTGGCATAACAGGGTCGGGCTGGCAAAGAAGGGCCATGCGGTGCCTTTGAAAGAGGCAGCGAATCTAGACGCAGCTCTAGAAGGTTTCTTGTAAAGTAATACAGGGCCTCGTTTCGTGTGAAGCCGCGACAGGTCCTTGATCTTAACATTACCTTGGCGGCACGCAACTCAAGCAGGAGAAGTCGTTCGATGTACATGTTCTTGGCCGGTCCATTGGGGTTTGCCGAGCTGGCTGCCCTCTCGGAACGGTTTCTTCTCGTCCTTGAAGTATCCAAAATAGATAACTCAATCGGTCACGACAAGCCAGCAGGAAGGTAAGGTCGCGAAAAGCTGGTCCGGTCGAGGCAGCGACAAGACATCTAACCAGATGCCGAACTCACCCTCGCGCGGTACGACTATGTCGAACCCTCGGGACAAGGACGGCACGCTTGAGGACATGAGCCACGTCATCTCGGCGGCCCGTGGCATGAATGGCTGCGCCACGTTCACCGGTGCCAACAAGCTGGCCAGGGGCGCTAAGTACGAATACATGTGGAACGGCAGCTGTTGCTTCCACAAATCTTCGGGCCCGGAGCTGCCGGAGGCTTTAAATCCTTATGTCCGAAAGGTTCCCAGGAGACAGGGGAATCCGGACTGGTACCGTCTGCTTGTCGCGCGCGCAATTTGCAGACTCCAGGAAGAGCTCATGGGGACGATAAGTCATGTCTTGATACTAATTTGGCCAGGCCAGGAATACGGTGATTGAGGCACGATAGGGGTAGCCGCATGGCACTGGCCTGTTTCAAGGATCGGGTTAAGGTAGTACTCACCCCATCGCCTTGGAAGACGTTGCCTGAGCATCTATCCATTACTCTTTGGGGCCTGCAAAGCAGAGTTATCAGTGCCTATGGACTGTATCACGCTCCTCGCGGTTCTTGCCAGCAGGTCTCGAGACTTCTCGGTTCCATTTGGTTCGTGCTGCGAAAACCGCGCAGGTGCCTGAGATAGCTCAACTGCAGCAAATGAGGTGACGACGGCAGCTTGCTCAAAGAGCGATCAATTAAAATGTACGAATTCTCCCCGTCAAAGTCTAGTTGATCAATACTTGCAGAGTGCTGTTTTGGGAAAAGGGCACTCCCTAAAATTCCAGCGAGGAATTGTGCGTCCTTTGCTTGAACCGCGGGGACCTGGACCTGAGTGCACCGTTGCAGACAGTCTTGGTCTGTGGCAAGCGTCTATGATTCGAACCATCTGGTCTCAATTTCGTCTCGGTGAGCCCGTGTATGAGGTAGATATTGAAAAGGCATAGTGAGGAAAATAAAAGCCTTCTCATTGCGCGGGACTTGGAAAAGCAGCGCTGGATGGCAGCTAAACCTTGTTCGCCTAAGTGGTCCGTATGTTGGCTGTCAACCTCATTCGTAGCTGCGAGTTCCGGAGCCTGCTGTTGCGGCCACTCACCTCTCTGAGCATCACGAAAGAGAACTGACCAGACCAACAATGATGGAATTGATACGCCACAAAGTAATTGACCGAGAACAGATCGCCGTGCCCAATGGGCACCACTGGTCAAGCGCGCCGACTTGACCCAGGATATGCCGCCAACGGAGATACCCTCGGGTGCCAGGGTATTGCCCGTGTCGATCAAGAAATACAAGCACACGTTCGTCGGAGATTGGCCGCACAGGCTGCAGCTCCGGCCGGGCCAGCCGGGGCCGCAAGGCGGGCTCGACAACCCATATTGAGCAAGCAGCGCCAGGCGGAATGGAAAGAACCCATACAGCGCGACAGTTGTAAAAGACGACGCTGACGGTCCTCAAATGCCCTGGAACGGGAATGGAAGCTCATTCCTTTTTCGGCATAAATAAGCTGGAGGACCTCATACCTCAAGAGCTTACAGGCACGTTCACCAAATGTGTCCTACTCGTGTCTCATTTGAAAAGCCATAGCCCATCCATAGTACGGCCCACGGAGACCTGCCGCTCGCAACGGTTGGTCGGCACGGGAGAGCACGAGATTGAAGTTTGACGTTACTGGGTTAGCTTGGTCAAGATGGTGCAGGTGAAGCTTATACATCCGGAGCAATGCGTCACCCGCCAGCCCGCCCGATTTGTCATCATCGTCGGCATTCGACGCACGCCATTCGATGCACGCCGCGCACCTTTGTGGTTGGCCCCTGACCAGTTTCTGGGTTTCGCCAGAAAGCTATCGTGCATGGCATGTGCAGTGATCCCACGGAGCGAGCACGACATTGTTACTGGCTATGCGGCAAGCAGACCGGAAGTCGTGTACACTGGCCTCTGTCTGCTCCGTGATCCGCTTCGTCCGTGTAGCAAAGGACGGGATTCGGCACTCGGTAGGATATCATGCAGGTGATCTTTGGTGTGTTCAAACCTTCCACGAGGAGCCGACTAAGCCGCCCAACACGGAACTCCGCCGCTGACACAAGGATCACTCCACTTCCATCCCAACATACATATCAAAGCGGATACAAGACGTACTTGATGGGATGAGTGGGCCGTGCCTGTAGACGCCCGTGCGACTAGTGGGGACCTACCCATCCTTACGAACCCCAACACTGACTCACGAAAGGAAATGATCCTGCGCAATATGACCGTGGCCCTGAGTTTCTTCTTTTGGTCATGGCAATAATCCTTCTAACACCGAAACGCAGCGGGGAAACAATGTGGGCCGCACCGCATACATGCAAGAATGCTGACGTGATGCGGACGTGTTCCGCCGTCTCACTCCGGATCTTGGCCCTGAATAGCAGAAGCCCAGGGCCAATGGGCATTCCGGATGGTTTAGAGTCAGCAACAAGCATGTGCATATCTGAATCACATACCCCACCACATGAGGATATTGTCTGGACGATCGGGACGGGACGCCAAACCCGTGGTCCTAAGCAGAGCCCTCCCAACCCCGATCAGATCGCCCAAGCACTCCATGGGGTTGGGGGGGCCGCTAAACCCTTTATTTCCGAGGCGATGCCCCTAGGGACAAGGCTCGACAGGGATAATCAGCCAAAGACGCGAAGACGCGAGAGGGGGTGGAGCCCTGCTGGGCACCAGCGACCGCTCCAGGCAGAACAGAGCAGGGGGACCACGATAGCTCTGTAAGCCCTGGCCCATGCCTGCCGCCAAAAGCCAACCGCTCCTCGTCTTTCGTCACCGTCAAGTTCCAGCTAGCACGCGGCTCCCGTCCCTCAAACCCGTTGGTGGACAATTCTTGGCATAACACGGAGCCATAACCCACGTCTCAAACTTGAAGCTCTTTGTCACAGGAAGCTGGCGTGAGCATCTGGATCGAGATAAAGGCGCCTGGAACTCGCCAGTTGCTGTCATTAGCGACAATAGGGACACCCCGGAGCCCCCTCGAGCAATGGCTGACTACGACCCTGAAAAGGCGCCGGCGGCGCCAGCCGCTGACGCAACCTCCAACCACCACCTGCACCTCACCACATCGTCGTCCGACTCGAGCCTCCATGCGAAAGAAGAGGCCGACGGGCATCATGATCATCACCACGACCACGACCACCACGACACGGCAGAGCATGCCTCGCTTGGGTCGAGCGAAGAGGAACACACAAATGCAGACATCGTGCCAGGAGGGTGGCTGGATCGGCAGCTTGTAAGTGAACATTTTTGCTGTGCGCTTTCATCCCCGGCTGTCTGATTGTCGCCGTCTCATCCATATAATGACCCTCTTGCTGACGCTGGCTGGGCCCCTCGCAGTCCCACAACAATCGGTCACTGGACCACGTAGAGTCTCGCGCCAGCGGACCGAGCCGGCTGTCCAATGTCTTGTCCAACACCATCAGCCGGGTGCGCTCGTCCCGGCGGCGCGCCGGGCTTGAGCGCGCGCCCATCCCCGAGTCTAACCTCGCCGAGGGGATCGTGGCATGGGATTCTCAGGACGACCCGGAGATGCCGCTCAACTGGCCTGCCTCGCGGAAGTGGATGCAGGTCGCGGGCATCGCCGCCATCACGCTGCTCACGCCCTTTACCTCGTCCGCACTGGCTCCGGGGATTTCCAACATGATGCGCGATCTGGACGTGCAGGACCCTGTCGTCGGATCTCTGACTGTGAGCATCTACCTGCTGGGCTATGTCATTGGTCCGCTGGGCCTGGCACCCTTGGCCGAGATGTACGGCAAGAAGATTGTGCTGGACGCGGCGAATGTGTCGTTCTGCTTGTGGCAGATTGGATGCGCGCTGTCGCCCAACATTGCGAGCTTGATCATATTCCGCTTCCTGGCGGGCGTGGGTGGCTCCGGTTGTCTGGTAAGTTCTTCCTGCCGGCACATGCTGCGATTGCCACATATCTGAGAGGTGAACGGCAGTGTCGCTGACAAGACTTTGCTTGTTTTCTTCCAGACGTTGGGTGGTGGTTTCATCGGAGACATGTTCCCGCCCGAGCAGCGCGGTACCGCGAGTGGGTTGTGGATTCTTGGGCCGGTGCTAGGTGCGTGACTCTCGTTTCCCCCCTATCTTGTCACACCCGCTGTCTGAATCAAAACACCATCGCATTTGCATGACATCGGCGTACTTAAGGTCTTTAACAAGCTGACTCGCTGGACAGGTCCCAATCTCGGGCCTCTGGTCGGTGGTTTTCTAGCTGAGAGCATCGGCTGGCGGTGGAATTTCTGGATCACCCTGATACTTGGAGGCATCATCACGGTCATGATTATTGTCTACAACAAGGAGACCAACTACACCACCATCATCGACCGCAAGATCAAACGCCTGGAGACGGAGCGGCAGCAACAACAAGACGCCGGCGCCGGCGCTGACCAGCCACCGCGGCTCATCAACCATTACGCTCGCAGCAGACTCACCACGCGCGCCCTGTTTTCCAAGAACTTCATCCGGCCCCTCAAGATGCTCTGCCTGTCGCGCATCGTCACCCTCCTCTCCATCTACATTGCCTTCCTCTACGGCACGCTCTACCTGCTCTTCACCACTTTAACCGGCGTGCTGAAATCCCAGTACGGCTTCACGACGGGCCAGTCCGGCCTGGTCTACCTGGCCCTAGGCCTCGGCAACCTCTCTGGCTGGGCCATCATCACCTTCCGCTCGGACAAGCACGTCATCAAGCTGACGCGCGCTAACGACGGCGTCTTCGTGCCCGAGATGCGCCTCTCCATCTCGATCCCCTTCTCCGCCCTGATCCCCGTCACCTTCTTCTGGTACGGCTGGTCCGCCGAGTACGGCCTGCCCTGGCAGAGCACCGTGTTCTCTCTGGTGCCCTTTGGCCTGGGCGTCATCGGCGTCTTCATGCCCCTGACCACCTACCTGATCGACTGCTTCCCCATGTACGCGTCCTCGGCGATAGCGGCCAACACGGTGCTCCGCAGCCTGGTCGGCGCGTTCCTGCCCCTTGCCGGCACGCCAATGTACGACACCCTGGGCCTGGGCTGGGGCAACTCGCTGCTGGGGTTCTTGTGCGTGGCCATGATCCCCCTGCCGCTCTTCTTCCACCGGTTCGGTGGCCGGCTGCGCAAGAAGGAGCGTTTCGAGCTGTGAGGTGGAGGACGAAGCAAGAGGATCCCGCGCTGTATTTGAAATTGGACTGGTTCATAAGTTAAGGAGAACGAAAAGGTAGATAAAAGGTGCAATTAGATATTACTTGCTTCCAGCTGCGCGTCAAAGTCTGCTACCCAAAAATGAAAAATGGGGGCTCCTGGTCCTCCCGATGAACGTTATCAAATGCCTGACCATCCATGATCCCGTGGATGTAGCACTCCCCCGTGAGCAGCCAGTGGTTCATGGACGCATTCCAACGCATTATAAAAGGGGTCTGCCCGCCAAGCAGAAGGACGACCTGGTCGCCCGGCTGCATGTCCGCGGGGCCAACACCGAGAAAGCCGGCCGTGGTGACAAAGGGGCTGCGAAGGCACTGGGCGCGGAACACGGGGCCCGGCCTGGCGAGCGCCATGGCGTGGAACGTGTTGGCCGCGTCGAGTGCCTCGCTGTCGAGGGTCGCTTCGAGGGCCTTCATCTCTTCCGCGTCAGTCCGGTTGGACACTCGTCCAGCGTCCCGGCGCGTCGTCAGCCCCGCGACACTGATGAATTGGACCGCCTGCTTGAATGCTGCCGTGCTTCCCCCCGTCATCGGCGCCGCCATGTCACGCCAGCCTTCGATCTGGGTGCCCAGGGTGCGCGCCCAAGTCTGTAGCCGCGCGCCTACGAGGACGTGCGAGCGCGTGATATACGGGGCGTGGTGCTCGGCTCGGTCCCTGACGGAATCGATAATGTATCCGCTGAGCCCGAGGAGTAGAGGGCACGGCCCACTCTGGAAGCGCTGGACAACGCGAGGACGCTCGTCGCGGGTGGCGTGGAAGGTTGGCGAGGCAGAGTCGACAAGCTCGTTACCAGGGCGGGGGATGTGCTCGATGATGGAGTGCCTCACCCTGACGGAGCAGAAGTTGGGGATCCACGAGGGCAGGTGAGGCCACGGGTTGCCGATGTCGCAGGCATTCAGGGCGTCCAGGCGGCCGTGTAACAGCGCCTCGTTCTCGACGAAGCGCCCGCACACTTCAACCATGCCACAGTATGACTGGAGCCCATCGATATCGGGCGGGTTCGAGAGGAGGTCGTTGTAAGTCTCGCGTATGTCCTTTGCGTGCTGCTTGGCAGCGTCGGTTTCGCCGCCGTCCAGACCCCGCAATGCGTCGGCGATGGGCTGCAAGGTGAGTTTGGGGTTGTTGGCATCGCGGTCCTGAGAGGAGACGAGTCCTATGAGTGCAGATATCCTGTCGGCCGGGACTAGGCAGTTCCAGCTGGTGAGCCCTTGCATCAGGCGAAGCAGGCGGATCCCACCACGCTCATGGCGTGCTCGGTATCGTTGCCGCAGCCACTGCATGATCTTGAACCGGTGTCGAACCTCGTGGAGTGAGCCCATAGCGTTGTGCCACGGGTCGACAGAGGGCCCCGCAAGATCTACGGCAATGCTGAAATCATCCGTGTCCTGGTGCTGGGCGGGATTGACGTCGGTAATCATCCCAGACACGTCCTTCCAGGATACCTCGAGGTTGCCGATCTGCACGACAAGAACTTGGGCCAGGGTGATCTCCTGGAGGATCCATCTCCTTGTCCAGAAGGGCAGCCTCACGATGCGGCTCAAGGAGAATCGTTGGTCATCGTTGAGCATCATCCACAATCTGCCGTCAGCGACTTCGTCATTCCTGCCGAGCCAATCAATGATTGCGGCGGATCCCTTTCCGACGAGGGACTCGGTCATCCAGCGGCTCTTATCGACCAGATCTTGCACGTCAGTCTCGTCCTCAGAGAGCCAGGCAACGACCCTGTCTGCATTCTCGTACACTTGACGCATCAGCGGGATCTGTCTGGCCTTCTCAGGTTTTGACTTCTGATTGATGCAGATCGAGTCGGTCCAGATCACCCTGTCACCGACGGGGCGTCGAAGGTGTCGGATCGCCATTTCCAGATTCTGTCCGAACGCCTCGAACTTCATCCTTTCACCCTCGTCGCCAAACCTCACAAAGCAGTGGCCATCGAGAGGAACACGACCCTCGGCTCCGGTGTAGAGAATATCCGGTTCCTGAGCCCATACATACGATAAGGCCTCATAATGAATAAAGCCAGGGGCAGTCCTGGCTACTTTGGTTCTGCGCAGCGTGCATTCGATTGGATCGTGCTTGCCACCTGGATGGACCACCAGCACTCGGATCTCGTTGTCACTGACCGCTATGGAATCGTAGTAAGGAGTGAGGGGATCTTTCCTTGTCGGAACAGCTGTAGTTCCTCCAGACCCGGTGTGTGCAGATTGATCACCAGGTCCTGTAGTAGATCCAGTCGGAGTTCTCGATCGTGTAGATGTCGAAGTCGGCGGGGGGCGACAACAGAAGTACCAGATGATGACACCGAGCAATACAAGTCCGACCACGGCGCAGCCAGCAGCGATTCCGCCGATTGCAGCGGGGGAGAGGGTCTCAGATGACGGGCTGAATCCCTGTCCAGGTCCATTAAAAGGCCCTGTGGAGCTGCTTGGTGTTGCAGATGCAGAGCGCGACGACGACGTGGAAGCGGTACGAGTGGACGTGGTTGACGAATAAGTATAGCTGCTGGACGACGAGGAAGACGCGGTGCTGATGATGCTAGAAGGGACACTCGGGGGCGGGTTGCTACTGACCGCCGAGCAAGACGGAGTGCCAAAGACGTCAAGATAGCAGGATGATCCAAGTGGACAACAAAAGCTGTAGTTTGTGCATGGCACATAACCCGACAAACTTCCACACGGCTGTTCCAGAGAGAGGTATTTTGGAGGGCATCGGTCAGTATAGCCCAGCTCACCCGAAAAGCGAGGAGGTCGCCACGTACCGATGTGGAGGACCCCAAACATTGGTTCGTCACTGCGCCAATTGCAACACAGCATGGGGAGCCATCTGGTGCACTTCCAGAGCAGACATAGCCACTGGCACAGCACAGAGCGCCACAGCACGGGTTGTTGTAGTCGCAGCAGCCTCCACCTGGGCACAGCAGAGTCAAATTAGGGCAGCCCTGGCGCCGAAACAACCTCAAAGGCGAGTTTGACTCGTGGCGCGGTTGCGGGAATGCGGCGCCCGTGAATGGTTGTGGTACCGGTTGAAGAACCTCAGCGTCAGGCGCCATCCTGGTTTGGTCGCTGCTCAGTGTGCTGAAGACTTTGCAGGAGAGGCTCAAGCTGGCCAAGATACAGGCCACTGCTTCCTTATTTACTGTCGTTCAAAAGTGCCACTCGTTAGTTGTGTAGAGCAGCCGGTGCTGAGCAACAACCCAGATACTTGGGGGCGCATCTTCATTTTATGACATTCCACTTGTGAGCAGGCTCGCCTACGCAGGCTGGTGTGATCGGATTCTGTTTATCAGCCATGAGACCACCCTGATCCTCTGCGTCCAGGGCTTTGCAAGCAATCTATACCAACCAGCAGCGTGGCATATGTGCCGTGTTCAAACTCTATAACTTGCAGATCTCTGCCTCCTAGGCGAGCGGAACAGACTAGATGTTGTGGCGACAAGGGTCATGGCTGCCGAGCAGGGGGTGCCCGCCTGACAGCTGAACCATGTGGCGCTCTCAGCTCTATCAGGTCATTGTCAAAGGAGGGTTACACCAACACTACTCGTTCGCAAGGGTGGTTTCTTGTAATGATTGGTATGATGGCCGCACGAGTGCCTTGCTGAGATGGGTCGCTTGTTATCCCCCTCGTGGATGCGGCTATACAACTCCAGGCCCCCAATCGTTGCAATGAGGTGCAAGGCCTACCTAGTCTTTTAACAGCCTCAGCTGAAACCATAGACTCCCTTTGCGGATGCAATCTGAATCAAGGTAAATGCAGACACCACAGCCAGGGATCTGACAAAGAGCTATTGGCGTGCCGAAAGCATGAAGACGTGTGTACTCCAATTTGACACCACACAGATCACGTTGTAGTGAAGCAAGCAGCCACCTAGATGGTGCTGATTGGCAAATAAAGCATGTGGTTTGTGCTCGACCTTCCAGGTACAGTCTGGAACGGAGTATACACCAGCCGGCCAGCAGCTCCTTCTTCATGGGTCATTTCTGCGAGGAGAGGCATTCGGTTGGTACGGGCTTGCCTGCAGGACATCATCTTGTATCGCACCCACAGAATGGCACAATGTAGAAAAGACAAAAATGCATTTGTGTATGGTCATGATAGTGCCGTAGAGTGCTTAGTGTCTGAAAACACCCGTCTCTCTAGCGATGCAGCCTGCGCAGTGGGCCATCAATGTCAGTCGTGCTGCGTGGCTATGAAGTTGAGAGAACGGGAGTATGGCCAGTTGCAGGTCTTCGGATCAATTTGATATTCTGGAGCTGTGATTCATTTGGTCGAAATCCCTGTACCTGGTTACATCAGATCTGCCTTTTTTTAATGCCTTACAGGATACTGATTGAGAAATCCAGTACAATCGACAGAATGGCAATTTGTGCCAGTGCGGTCTCAGTCTTTGATTGGTGGAAGTCGGCTTCGGCACCAGTCTTGGCGACTGAGCAGCTCGCGCCATCTTGTCCCGGGGCCCTGGGCTCGGAAACCAGGCCGAAGTGTGGAGAGAAATACGCATCGTTCCCCGCTTCTACCCCATCATGGGGCGCGGGGGAGGCGCGGAAAAGTCCATACATTACCTCGTTGGTGTACCCAGCCTGGCCTTGCTCTTTGCTGGCTAAGAGCTCTTCAGAATCATCAACGCCCCAGGGACAACATTATCATAACACCCAGCATGACCGACTCGACCGTTACGGGCTCCTCGCGGCCCCTGAAGCGGTATGCCATAGTGGGCACGGGCGGCCGCGCCATCTTCTTCTACTCGTCGATTGCGCGGGACTACCGCAACACGTCCCGGATCGTGGGCTTCTGCGACACGAACCAGACACGCATGAACTACGCCAACAGCAAGCTCGCCGAGCTCGGCCACGACCAGGTCCCGACATACCTCGCTGCCGACTTTGACGCCATGATCCGCGACACGAAGCCCGACGAGCTCATCGTGACGACCATCGACCGCACGCACGACATCTACATTGTCCGCGCGCTCGACCTCGGCATCAACGTCATCACCGAGAAGCCCATGACCATCGACGTGGCCCGGTGCCAGCGCATCTTTGACGCCGTCGAGCGCACCGGGAAGAACGTCCGCGTCACCTTCAACTACCGCTACGCGCCGCACAACACAAAGGTCGCGGAGCTGCTGTGGTCCGGGGCCATCGGCCAGGTGACGTCGGTGCACTTTGAGTGGATGCTCAACACGTCCCACGGCGCCGACTACTTCCGCCGGTGGCACCGGCAGAAGAGCAACTCGGGCGGCCTGCTGGTGCACAAGTCGACGCACCACTTCGACCTCGTCAACTTCTGGCTGCGCACGCGGCCCGAGACGGTCTACGCGCAGGGCGACCTCAAGTTCTACGGCCGCGAGAACGCAGAGGCCAGGGGTGAGCAGCCCGGCCGCGCGTACAGCCGCGCCCACGGCAGCGAGGCGGCCCAGAGCGACCCCTTTGCGCTGCACCTCAAGGACAACCCCCAGCTCAAGGCCATGTACCTCGACGCCGAGCACGAGGACGCGTACTACCGCGACCAGGGCGTCTTCAGCGACGGCATCAGCATCGAGGACACGATGAACCTGCTGGTCCGGTACAAGAACGGCGCCGTCATGACGTATTCCCTCACGGCGTATGCGCCCTGGGAAGGATTCCGGGTCTGCTTCAACGGCACCGGGGGCAGGATCGAGCTCGACGTCGTCGAGAACAGCTACGTCAACTCTGGAGGAGACCAGGCCGCCGAGGGGTCGATCGAGAAGCGGTCGTTGCTGCTCAGGCCGCTGCTGGAGAAGCCTGTCGAGGTGGAGATCCCAGACGGGGTCGGAGCGCATGGCGGTGGCGATACTGTGCTGTTGCAGGATCTGTTTGGTGAGCCCGTGTCGGACGAGTACATGCGTGCGGCGAGCCACATAGACGGGGCCATGTCGATCCTGACAGGCATCGCAGCGAACCGGTCGATTGCTACAGGGCAAGTTGTCAAAGTCGACGATGTGCTGAGGATACCGTGAAGGCGTTTAAAGTAGGAAAACTAAGATGGAGAGATGCACATGGCAAAAGTGGAAGGCGTAGTACAATGAGATTCAACAGAGACGCAAGCTACACTATACACACGCCGTCCGAATGTAACAGGGAAGTGAATTCAGACAAAGATATGCCATCCTCACATGTACGGAACATCTTCCGCATGTAAGCTGTTGATAATCCTCAAAACCGGCTTCGTCCTCTTGATTCCTCAATCAACGGGCCTTGTTGGAAGCACTGCGAATGTATGGCTCAAGCGGCAGAACAGATGCCTCGGGCGTCACCCCGTCATAGAGCTGCTCCCATCTTGGCTGCAGGACCTCGGGCGTGGGCCATGCATTCTCCGAGTCGCGCAGCCAGAGGCGGAGGAGGTGTCGACTACAGGGTCCTTGTGTTAGCTCACTGCCTTCAAGTCTGCTCACTGACATGAAATCTCCTCTCTCCTGCCATGTCATTTCTGGCACACGGCAAGATCTTTCTTGGCGCTTTGGGAGTATGCAAATTGGAGCCTCGGGAGACAACTCACTGCTTCCCCTCTCCATCGACAAACCCGTCCCTGGCATGGAACACCGCGAGGTTGTTCACATACTGGATGTCCCCCTTCTCAAACGAGGTGTTGACGCAGAATTTCTCTCCCAGAAAATGCAGCGTGTCGAGCGCCTCGGCCTGCGCCTCGGTGATGGGCGGGATGTTGTGGCTGCGCGGCAGGGCGCCGAAGCCGACAAAGTATCGCCGGGCATATTGCAGGATGACGCGCTCTGGCGTGCTCGGGGAGGCCGGCTGGTGGAAGACGAGCGGGCGGGTTGACCACTCCTTGCCGGCAACATGGTCGAAGCTGCAGTTTGGAAAAACCCATGTCAGTACGCTTCCCGCGATCGGCGTCCGAACACCCACGGTTCATCATATAGACAGAACTCCTTGCAATCCCAAACGGGAAACTCACACTTCCACATCCCAGTTCTCTGCCAGAGTATGAATCAGGTCCGGCCGCGTGCGTGCAATCTCGTTGTACACGCGCCATGTGCTTGCCAGCTTGCTCGCACCGCCATGCAGCGCCGTCTCGAGCGCAAACAGGCTCACGATATCGCCCGAGTCGGTGTGGAAGACCTGGCGGTCCGTTGTGTACGCCGGGCTGCCAATCACGGTGCTGCTGTTGCTGTTGCCACTGCCGGGCGACTTCTTCTCGCTGAGGTCCTTGATGTGCGTGAGCACCACATCGGCAGGTGCTCCGTTGAACTTGTGGTCCTGCCGACCGCGCTTGTCCGCAATGTGCGACGAGATGCCCGTGTAAATGAGAACATTGTCGGCACGAGAGTACTTATCTGGCTGTAAGCCGCGAAGCACGAAAAATCCGTGGCCACGGTGCAGCTCGCGAGATAGGCGCCTGAGCTCCGCGTGCAGGGTCGGCAGAGGGAAGGTCTTGCTGGAAACGTGGCCCGAGGTGAGATTGAGGGCTGTGGGTTGGAACGGTCAGCCAGGACATCCGAGAAAGAAGGCCCTTCAAATTTGTCCCGAAAGGCAGCCTTTGAAACACCTGGCAAAGAGCTGTGCATGCTTCTGAAGTGGCTGTCTCTGTACTTACACTTGAAATGTTCAACGGCTGCATCAATCTCTGCCAGCTGTGCCTCGCTCAACACATACGTCCAGGCGTACTTTTCGGCCAATGTCTGGCCCTCCCATACCAAATCGCCTTCAAGCTGTTGCGGGAACCCTTCTGGCAACGACTTGGTCAAGCCACCTTGCGCAAGGCGACGTGCAACTCGGGCCTGCCACTTCTCGCGATCTGGAGCGTACGCAATGTCTGGCTGGCCCGGCGGCGGGAGAGCCGCCGGTGTGACTGAAGCAGTCTCGACAGAGGACAGGGTGGCTGTGGTGGACATTTTTGTACAGTGCTGGGGTCGCTGAGGGGCGGATCAGGGTTCTTGAAATGGAGGTTTAGGAGCTACGGTTCGAGAGGCTGCGCCGTTTAGTTGTGAGTGGGAAGCGGCATCGGAGGATGGGCCGTGTATGGCGCAATAGTGGTTGTTAGTGAGGGGAAAAGCACGTCATTGGATCGCCCCGTTGTGAGATTGGGGCGGCATGTAGTGATTGGAATCAGAGACCCCCATTACCCCGACGTGTTACACTTACGGACGACGAATCAAACATTCTTGTTTGTCAGGCGGATGCTGTGAACCGACAACATGCCTTGTCCCCAACGCTTCACCGCCAAGAACATTGAAATATGGCCAGCATTTTCACCGTTTTGGACCAATGCCACTCGACTGAGAAAGTGATAGCAGACGGAAGACGCGATCTGGGTCCTAGAAGGAAGCAGGGCCCAAGGTAACAACCCCATGCGCACGACTCTGCGAGTCCTAGTCGGAATTCCATGCATCGGAAGACGGGGCACAGGTAAGCCAACATGGATTTATTTGTTGTTCACCTTTTGATGAGTGAAACTCGATGAAGCCGAGCCATTAAAGTTCACCCGGTCGTGATTTGATGCTCAACAAATAAGTTTTGTTTGGCCAATTCATTGTGCTAGAGGGGTCGCTTTCGAGTTTGCCTTTATGCGGCGGCACAAGCCTTGGACAACCCTTTTCGCTGCAGGGTAAAAGAAAGAAACCATGACCAAGTGCTCAAGCTCACAAAGAAACAGCTTCTTCGTGTATCTTGCACTCTTTCATCATGCTGTATGTGTATGTGTCTATCGTGGAGGGTCTTGATGCGGTTTCATTTGGACTGACCAAGTCACTTCTCGCTGAGCAGTGGATTAGCTTGTGTTTGCCTCGTTGGATAAGAGACAAAGGAAGGTCTATCTCTCCAGGGTATTCTCAGACTGCGCAGTCTCACCGTCCAGAAATCCTTGCTCCACCGTACGGCATCCATCACAGCTTGCTTATTTCAAGGCGCACGTGATTCAGTAGCAGAACGTCGATTGTTGGATGGGCGGTGACAATTGTACAGAGGACAATCGCAATGCCGTGACTTTCTGGCTTGGTCCTACTGCCCAGACATTACTGGCCCTTTGGACGTTACTGCAGCTTTTCTTATAAAGCATCAGACCGCGCAAGCCACGATTCCAGTTTCATCAAATCGTTTCCAACCACTTCTCTCTATTTCCCAAGTCCCAAACCGCCCTCCAAGATGTACTTCCCCATGCTCTCCGTTTTCGCAGCTGCGGCCACGGCCATCGACATCGGCCTGTACAACAACGACATATGCAACCCCCGGTCCACCGTGCACGTCATGTGCACCAACGCGGACCCCGGCGAGTGCTGCTCGGCTTCCACGGACCGCTGGAGCTCCGACAAGGTCTGGGCAGCCACGAGCTTCCATCAGATCCCGACCGAGTGGAACATTGAGGGCAGGACATACCACGAACGCGACTGCCAGGGCGGCTTCAAGACGGCGCGCTCTGAGGGCAAGACGGAGATCTGCAAGGCCTGGGCGCAGGTCCAGGGGCCCATCATCAGCGGCAGCTACCACTTTGTCGGCGCCAATGGCAGAGAGCGGCGTCGCGGCGACAGTCGGCCATGCAGACGGGCCGATACTCTGGTGTTGGCTGATGGCGCCGAGTATGATTTGAGAAGCCTCGATGAAGCTCATTTCAGTACACTGTAAGTTGCCAATGAGTTGTATCGTAATTGGATTTTCAGTGTGCCATGCTTCCCCATGGTTTCGCTTTCCGCTCAAGGGTAAATTTTCGGACCAGGCCACTAACACTCCGCCTAGTTTTGAGCTTGCGGCCAACGCGGAGAACCTGACGACGGCCGACATTCCCGCGGGGTTAGCTGCTTTTAGAAAATAACTCCTTGGGTACAGAGCCAGTGGTTTGCTTCTCCCCTGGAGGCTTGTAGTGTCTGAGAACGCCTGGTGACGTCGCCCGTTTGAGGAGGCGAAGACGCCTTAGTTGTAGGATCTATCACGACATACGAGTGTTTGACTTCCTCTTTCCCTTGCCCGTAGGTCAGGATATAGATACAAGAACACAGACACATGGCAGGGTAGGAATCTCATTTCCTAGCTGGGCAAGTTGATACGCTCATTCATGTATGTGGGGCGGCAGAGAAGACGCTTTGTGACACAACATTTCAAAGCTAAAAGACTAATGTTCCCCAATGGGAGACCATACTCTTGCATTATATGGCTGCACAGGCACCTCAGAGAAATGGATATCGCTGAAACGCTAGAGAATCAACGAGATAGTTAAGTAAAAATACCAAAAAACAAAACGTACAACACCAGGGATTCGCTGGTCGTCACCGACCCAACTACTAGTCTGGCGATATCGAGCTTGTGTACAGGGGAGCGGACGGGACCCTCAATTTTCTCGATTCTATGGTCGTACGTGGAAGGATGATCTCTTGAAAATGATTATATTTCAATCTGAAGACGTCTTTGTTGCTGGTGTACATAATCGAGCGACGCGTGCTTCAACGTCCAGACGTCCTCAAGGCTGCGCTGTTGCATTGGCAGCATTATCAATTGCAGATTCTTTTTGATATCCATACAAAGGCATGGGTACAACATCCCCAGCTGTTGGCACTTCTGTACACGTACTCGAGTTCTGTGGCTTCTCTACGAGACCACCACAGCAGCAACCATACCAGCCAAAAGGATCCCCACTCCCTGCGGCACGAAGTCCGCAGCCGCAGCGGTATGTGTCGCCGACGCCGACGCGGAACCCGCCGCGCCTGTGGCCGTCATGGACATGGTCGCACCCGAGTCGCTTGCTGTGGCAGTCCCCGTCGGGCTGTGTGTCCCTGTGTGCGACTTGGTCGACGAGCCGCCGGTGCTGTTGAGCGCCTTGACCTCGCCGCCAAAGACGTCGGGTGGCACTTGCGACAGGCCCGTGTAGGCCTTGGCCGCGGCGGCATATGCCTCGAGGGTGTTGGTGCTGTTGCTGTCGGAGTGCTTGGCGTTGATGACGCCGACCATACCGCTCTCGCAGTGCCGGGCGGCCGTGCAGTAGATCCAGATCGGGTCCGTGGTGTCGACCTTTACTTCGAAAACGGATTTCTATGGGGTGGTGTATTGAGTCAGCCTATGGTTCGATGGCACGTGGCCAAGCATGAAGAGATCTAGTGCCAGAAAACTCACTGCTTCTCCGGTGGTGACGTTGAAGTATCCAGAGTAGAAGCCGTCCGTCGTGGCGGCTTCACAAGGCTTGTCGAAGATACCCCTCGCCACGCTGTGTCGCTCAGGGTAGAAGTGGAACTCGATGGTGTCGCCGACTGCGGCGGTCGTGGTGTTGGGCTCAAACTTGAGTCCTCCTTTGCCAACGTCGATGCGGTGTTTGGCCGCGGCAGCAAGGCCGAGAAAAAGTGGCAAGAGCTGTAAAGACGGCATGTTGTTGTCTAGCAGCTTGTTTGATGCGATGAGAATTGTGGTTTGACTTGGGTTTGTAGGATGTGTTGATGGGGGACTGTTGATTTACATGATATGTAGAGCTCTTTCAAAGCACGCTCACAATATCCGTGGTCGACTCATTGTTTTATATCGATCGCTCCGAAGCCATTGCAGGCCCATCGTGTGCACCACAAAGGGCCCGTCTCCTGATTGCGTATGCTCGCCCCCTGGCTAGTCCACAACATCACGTCGTGGCTGAGGTCCGCCCAACCGCCATAGCCCATTCTCGACCTAGAACTCTTGTGCGTGGGCCAGATCTAACTGGCAACCCCATCATTCTCCGCCTCGGGCCGGTCAAACGAGCTCTGCAATTGGCACAACGCATTCATCTCAAGTAGGTCAGGGCGGCAGCGGGAGCAGGGGAGCGCACGCGTCCATGGTTTCGCACTAGCCCCGTCCAGGGCGAGATTGCAGCGGTGGACGACAAAACAAGCTTTCAGCCCCTGCTAGTTACCGAACCACTTGCTGGCGTCAGGGTGCCCCGTGGTCGGCAGTGAGCGGCTACTCGGCACCAAAGAGTGCACTCAGCCCGCTACACTTCCAGTGAGCTTGACGCGTCATCAGCGCGACGCCAGTGGTAACTAGAACGCCGGACGTGGCGCGGGTGCTGGCTGACGACGAGCCACTCGGGCCCCCTTTGTTGGAGATGTGCTTCATATGTTCAGATCCGCGCAGCTGGTCGTTGGGGGATCTGGCAAGGCTGTGTCTCAGGATAGCTCTTGCACTTCACAGCGCGGTGCTGCCGAATGTTCACATGTGCGTGGAGGCGCAGCCTCGGGGCGTTGAGATGACTTGTGCTCTAAGATTCTTGGGACGACGCCACAGCAGCTCTATGAGTCCAGTCGATGCCGTCACAGCATCTGCGCCAGTGGCGGATTGCCAGAGCCAGCTCAGCTCGAACGAACATATACTCCCAGCTCTATATCTTGTGTGCTGTTGTTCTTGTCATGGTGATGGTGCCCCGAGGCGGTTGGTCTTAGCGGAGGCGGGCGACAGACACAACGGTGTTGTGAGGCGGACTGTCCTCTGCTCACGGCACTTTCCCGTGTCAACTAGGGATGCTTGAGTGGGCCCACAAACCTCTGTTTTCCACAACTGTGCAATAATGGAAACTATGAAGTCATGGCAAAGTCGAAGAACATGCCAGACCTTATTTCGCAGTGGTTCGCATGGTGGTGTTTGAGCCACTCGAAGATGGAGCGATGTAGGGAATATGGAGAGCTCACATAACGTAAAGTGCAACGATGACCGCACCAGACATGTCCCAACATGCAGTCATGGGCTATTGTACAGATATGCATCATCTCGGCCGAGGTCAGTCACAAATGCTTGCTGATTCATCTGCGCCCATCTGATGCGAAGCCTCGACATGCATGGCTGGCTGGCCGGTAGGGTAATTCTGAATGATGCACGAAGACCAGGTGGTTTGCAGCTGTCGTAATTCTTACAGATTGCACGATGTGGTTAGTCTTCATACATCACCTGGTGCACATACAAAGAAGATTTGTCTTTGTCGTCAAGCATCATCATTGCCCATAGCTCGGCTTACCAAGTTGCATGACTTTTCAGTGACATATCGTGTCCTAACCTCAGTACCGGTTGTATTGAGAGACGTAATAGAGCAACCTCAACGGCTCCGTCTTCGCAACAACAGAAATGGCACATGGCATGTATTGCTGGGTGCAATACCACCCACATCTCAAGCTCCATGATACACAGGTAGACGACACTGGGATGCTGGTCTTCTGAACGAATCACTGTCATTTTCTGTACCTGTGTCTGAGCCTCTTCATCGCAGAAACTTAAATTGCTTTGTTTGCTAGACTTGCTATTGGCGTCTCATTCTAGATTGTATCTGTTTTATCGCACGACTATACATCCATGCAACCATCCGGGATCTTACTTTTACACACGGTCTTCAGCGTGGATGTATCATATGTTACGAGGTCATACGAACAGTCAAACTGCCAACAAGAAAAAAGCAAGAGAAAAAAAAGGCGGGAAATCATCGTGGGAAGAATATCCGCACGAAAGGACCAGTCATGTAAGCTTAGACTGTATTAGCTCATTTCAAGTCAAAAATACCGAGGGTCATTTCCAGAAGTCCCTTCGCTAAGTCTCGACTCTGACTTCCACAATGATGACCGATCTCATCTAGCTTTGCGATAGAGTGGCCCCTGCAGAAGAAGCAGGCTCATTGTCCTGCCTGCCCTTGCCAGGACAATCTTGTTCAATATCCTGCCGACACATGGTCTGATATGGCAGCTCTAGCCCCACAAAGCATCCACTTGCTCTCATTTGTGCCTAGATCTGATGGGTGCCTGGATCTGCACTGCCATTGCTGTGCGGGGTCCGTTTCTCCCAGCGCAAACCTCCGCGGAGCCGCATCGGTTCATCCGGACCGATGTGGGTATACCCTTACGACAGTAGACGCTAGGCTTCCACGAGATGCATGCCGGATGACGGATTTACCACGGCTAAGTCCGCGTGCGGGTGAAAGCCCATTCCAAAGTACTGCAAAGCACCAGAGATGCCGACCGTGGTGGGTCAGTCACCAATGTTCAGCCGCCGAAGTGCATCATGCCATCAAGTCCGAAGGTATGCAGCAGTATAGAAGTACCTGAAGGTGGATACGGTGAGGGACACGCAGATTGCCCGATGACGGTGGGGAAAAGGAAAGTGGCCCAGCTGAAGGAAGCTCCAAGCTCAAGCTTGGTTGACACCTGACGTAGGTAGCTCTAGCCGTTCTCGGCCCCGACCCGGGCCATCCCATAAACCATACGGATGTCCGATAAGAAGCGAGACAGCCCCTCACGAGCATGTGAATCAGCGTCCTTCCTGCCCTTACGTCCCTTGAACCAAGTACCGCAGGTCATTCCAGGACCTGACTGCCACCACTGACGACAACAACAACACCATCACCACTACCACCACCACAGCAACCCCGCCCTGCCATCCCGCGCCGATTCCACCATCTGCCTTATCGCCACTATGAGCTGTCCCGACTGCTACCGCGGCGGCGTGACGACCGAGCACCCCAAGGGCAAAGAGACGACCATCCACGGGCTGGCCACCTATGTCGCCGAGCCGCCGGCCGGAACCACGCCCAAGGACATCATCCTCTACATCACCGACGCCTTTGGGTGGCAGCACGCCAACAACCGCGTGCTGGCGGACCACTACGCCTCGCGCGGGGGCTACCTCGTGTACGTGCCCGATTTCATGGGCGGGCACGCAATTGACGCGTACGGGCTGGTCGTGATGGACAAGGTCGCGGGCAAGGCGGCCACGTGGGCCGACACTTTCTGGAAGCCGTGGTACATTGCGCGGATGGTCCCCTCCATCATCAGCTTCATGTGGTTCTGCAGGCCCGCCGTGCGCAAGGGCCTGGTGTATGAGTTTGCCCAGAAGCTGCGCAGCTCCCCGGCCCCGTACCAGACCAACGGCAAGCCCCTGCGCATCGGCGCCGCGGGCTTCTGCTGGGGTGGCAAGTTTGGCGTGTGGCTCGCGCAGGACGAGCCCGCGAGCCGCCTCGCAGAGGCCCAGCCCCTCGTCGACTGCGTCTTCACCGCGCACCCGTCCTTCCTCTCGGTGCCGGCCGACATCGAGGCCGTCACGCTGCCGCTGAGCGTCGCGGTCGGCGAAGACGACATGGCGCTGCCCGCCGACAAGATCCAGCAGATGAAGAAGATGCTCGAGGCCAAGCCGGGCGCCGAGGGCCGGTACGAGGTCAACATCATCCCCGGCGCGAAGCACGGGTTTGCCGTGCGGAGCCACCCGAATGACGCGCACGAGATGGAGTGTGCGCTGCGGGCCGAGGACCAGGCAATTGCGTGGTTCGACAAGTGGTTGGCTAGGGATTGATCGTGCGTGGCGTAGCATCCATTGTGATGGATGGTGACGGGCAGCTTGATCTGGCAGTGTCGGCTTTCGCACTGGCGTGGACCGCCAACTGCCCGGTCAAATCATTTTGTGTGTGTTGTGCAGTTGTCGACAATGCTGACGGCGAGGCGAGAGGAGGTTTGCGTAGTGGAGTGAGCTTTTGGTATCTGAGGATTGTTCATCTGGTCTTTTCGTCCGAATCGGTTCACCGGCGCATGTATGTCGTTACAATGGTGTTCGTGTCAGACTGAAAGAAAATGCACTTTGGATCACTCACCGACAGTAGGAGGCCTCGATGCGAATTGTGTGCAAGGTGTTCGCCTTCTCCCATACATTTACGTGTCTAATGCGATGCAGCAACCCGAGACAGGAAGCACCAGGGCTGCCTTTTGTGCAGCTCGGAAGCGCAGTCATCCGATGACCAAACATGTCAGCAAGAGGCACTCCACCGAATGCGGCCATTGAGTTTCCCATTGCCCCTGTCATCGCGGCGATCTGTGCTGACGGAGGCTAGTTATTGTGCATGTCATCATCTGCAGTAAGACATCGCTGTGGAAAATGAACTACGTAGTACCGTGCCTGGCTACTGCCAGGAGTACCGCACCAGGGCAGCCAAGCTCTTGGACGTGCTTGGCCATGCGCATTCGGTCTGTGACATTAGCACTGGCAGTGTCTTGGCTCAGATACTCCGGCATGACCGGAAGTATGCCTGGAAATAGCACCTCGGAAAGAAGCTCGAACCCTTGCCCTGGCGATCCCCAAAGCGAGACCCGAAGCCCAGTGATTTGGGACGACCCTGGATTCCCAGGGCAGAAACGGCGGCCTCTCTGGGCAAGGCCGGGATGCTGACGCAGGCCCATGCTGGGATGCTGTACCCGCCCGGCTCTTGCCCGACTGGGACAATGAACGGCCCCGCGTTTCGTCGCCCTGTCGGAAGTCTGGGACCCAGAATGAAACAAGACACACGCGGCACTCGGTCGCTGACCTTCTGAGGATGAGGCAGAGGAGAAACACCCAGCGAACCCTTGGCCTTGCTCGACGCTCCGTGTTTCGGCGCGAGCTAGCGCCAAGAGAATGATCCGATCCCACCATTGCATTACCCGACGGCCGCTGGCGCCATCGTCCCGTCCACCGTCGACTGGGCAGCTCAAGGTCCAGACCGTCCGTTGGGTTATTGTTGTTGCTCGTGGTCCGCCCTCACGGCGCAAACTGCAGGAGATTCTCATGGAGATCTGGGCTGCTAGCTGTTGTTCTAGTGCTCTGGCTGCATGCCAAGTAAGCTTAACAGTGCTTCGCGCCATCCAGCGCTCTAGGCCTGGGGCGGCTGCAGGAATGGGCAGGCTACTCTCCAACGAGGCGTCGCGTGGCACTCAGTGTGGCTACCGTGATGAAACCCGATGGCCTCCAGTCCAGGGCGAGTTCGGCGCTTGCTGAGGGATGGGTGGCACTGGGACTTCTCAGGAACCATCCATTTGAGCACAGACGGCTGCGTGTGCCCCAGATACAGTGGTGGAGCTGAAGCTTCCTGGGCTGGGCTGGGGAACACAGGGCACAGCCACCACTGACTGCATTGGAGCGTTGCCAAACAGCCCCCTGCTTCCCGAAACGGGCAATGAGACGCTGCGTCTGGACAATGAAGCTCGCACGCTAGACACGAGCAGGCACGCACGATGGCTTCAATCCTGCAGCCGGGGGGGCGCCTCCAGGTGTTGTGTTTCCTGTTGAGACAGGAGGCACGACGAGTCCGTCTGGGGCGCAATGTCCCAGAGCTTATTGAGCTGTGCTAAAAGGGGAGGTTTTGTATAAGAACTGCCCTCGACGACCCGGACTTGCAACCAGAAACAAATCCATCATCCTAGCCATAATCACCACTACTCAAATCACCAGCGAGCAGGTTCTCCTTCTACCAACTCCTCTGCCCTTTTATCAAACACACTTAAAGGACAACCCCACAATCTACGCAGCCATGCTCTTCAACACTCTCCAGCAGACCCTCCTGCTCGTCGCCGGCAGCTCCCTCGCCGCGGCCAAGACCATCAAGATCCAGGTCGGCGCGCCGGGCCAGCTCATCTTCACTCCCAACAACGCGACCGCCGCTGTTGGCGACGTCATCGACTTCCAGTTTGCCGGCAAGGTGCACGATGTCGTCCAGGGCCCCTTTGCGAGCCCCTGCGAGCCCGTCAAGACCGGCGGCTTCTACTCGGGCTTCCAGCAGGATGCCACTGCCCAGTCTGTAAGTCACTCACCATATATCATCTCTCACTCGTGCATCAGGCACACTCAAGCTAACGTCTTGTGCTTTTTCCCCACCTGCAGCAAAAGATCTTCCGTGTCACAGTAAACTCCACCGACCCGATCTGGTTCTACTGCTCCGCCACCTCGCATTGCCAGGGCGGCATGGTCGGTGTCATCAACGCGCCCACGTCGGGCCCCAACACGCTCGAGGCGTACAAGGCCGCGGCCGCCAAGACGAGCAGCTCGGGCACTCCCCCTTCCGTGTTTGGCGGCAGCATCGTCGCCGCCGATTCGAGCTCCGCGTCGCCGAGCGGCAGTGCCACTAGCGCCGCCCCCAGCGGCAGCGCGACGGTCAAGCCCAACGGCGCTACTTCTGTCCGGGCCGGCAGCCTGCAGATTGGGGCGCTGGTCGCCGGTCTTGGTGTTGCATTCTTCGCCCTGTAAGAAGGGAGTTGAGGAACGACTTGTTTTTTTAATCATCGCGAAGGGGAAATGCGGTTCAAGGCTAGAATACGCAGAAAGTGAGCAGCTTTTTGGTTTTGTCGGATAGACAGATTTTACAGAGTAATGAGATATGCATTGCCTCGGACCTCGAGCCCGTGATCTAGAAATCCTGAGAAAGCAAGCATGCATGCTCCCCTGCCCCACCATGTGTCGATCCGTGTCTTGGCTATGTCCAGGGGCGCCAGAAGGTTACAGTGAGAAGGATGACGGGCATGAATATCAATTATTGATGGGCTACCTGACCAGCACCTGCTGCAATCGTTCTCTACGCTCAGGGGTCCGTCTTCGCGAAGTACCGTCTGATCTCTACACTTTACTGAGAACTAGTAGAGGTGCCAGGACCGTCTGACCATATTCCCTACAGGTTACTCATCCCCCCCATCCTGTACGGTGGTCTAACTCGCGCTCTGGTGCTAGTGACCCCTGCCGTTCTAGTCCTGAAGCCCTTTGGAACCCCAGCACATGGGGCCAAACCCCGATCCAGCAGCCTATCTGGGGAAACCTTCGGGCGACCTCTCTGCCCATCCGTCCGGGGCCCCGTCCCCGCACCACAAGCAACCGCATGGCCTCGGCTCAAGCTCGTTAGCTCCAACTCTCTCCAACATTTTGGGCAATCATCACATCGCTCGTCGACGGTACGTTTCCCGTCGACTGCACGACATATGCTTTGGCACCAAAGACTCGTGACGGCCCAGTAATCCTGCAGTTGCCCAAGATGGCGGCCATCAACAAGCCCCAAGTGGTAGAATTCTACTACGATGTAAGCTCCTTCTCTGCTTCCCTCCCTTGCCTTGCTCCCACGATCCAAGCCTGCTCGGTCCAATCGCTCATGCTCGCTCCTGAAACCTCGGGCTCCCCCAGATCGTCTGCCCCTTCGCATACATTGCGTCTCTGCGCCTTCCCGCCATCGCCGCCCACGCAAGCGCAAGAATCTCGTACCAGCCCGTCCTGCTCGGCGGCATCTACCGCGCCACGCAGGCCCAGCAGGGCGCCCACGGGTCCGCCAGCGACGTCGCGAACCCGACGAAGCGCGCGTACGGCAGCAGGCACTTTGCCCGGACGTGCCGCCGGCTCGGCGTCCCGCTCACCTGGCCGGACAAGGACAACCACCCTGTCCGCAGCGTCGACGCGCTCAGGCTGCTGTACGGAATTCCCGATGATGACGGCGACGGGCGGGGCCTCAGGGCGGCGGTGAGTCAGGCGCTGTACAGAACGTACTGGGTTGAGGGACGGGGGAAGGAGGTTCTAGGGAGCAGAGAGGCGCTCTTGGAGGTTGCGAGGAAGGCGCTGGTGCCCATCTTGGGTAGTGGTGGAGAAGAAGAAGTGGACAAGATCGTGACGATGGCCGTGTTTGACGATCCGGCGGCCAAGGCTGCGCTCGAGGAGAACACGGCCAAGGCGGTCGCCCGCGGGGCGCCGGGCGTGCCAGGGTTTTGGGTCCCTGATGTCGAGTGGGTTGGGCCTGCTGGGCTTGACGATGTGAGACGGGGCCGATTCTTCTGGGGCCAGGACCGCATGCATTTCTTGCACGCTGCCCTGCTGCAGGCCGCTTCTGGCAAGAGCGGCGGCAGCCAGCCGGTGCCCAAGTTGCTGTCGCTTGTGCCGCGTGCTCGACCCCTGGGCAGGCTGCCGGGCGGAGAACAGGTCAGGCTCGAGTTCTGGTACGACTTCAGCAGTCCGTGGGCCTACCTCGGCTGGTCTGGCCTGGCGAGGCTGCAGCGGCAGTTTGGCGGCAAGGCCAAGCTCGAGATTGTGCTCCGGCCAGTACTGCTGGGCGTCGTCTTCCGGGAAATCGGCGCCCCGATGCTGCCTCTGTTTGCTGCATCACCGCAGAAGCGCGCGTGGAGTTCCCTGGACATGCAAGACTGGGAGCGCTTCTGGCAGGCCGTGGACAACCAGGACGGCTTGGAGGGCAAGGACGTCATGCCTGAGCCGCTCCGGTGGCCAGATGTGTTCCCCATCCGCTCGCCAAACCTGTCGAGGTGTGCCCTAGTGGACGAGGCGGTCGTGCCCACTCTGTGTGAGTGGTTGTTGTCCTTTGTTTGACGCTACGCGTTTGCTTGCACGTGCTGGGCATTAGCTGACATCAACCACAGACCGTGCCTGCTGGGTGCAGAACAAGAACATGTCCGACGATGCCGTGCTCGTTGCAGTCCTTGACGAGGCGGGCTTTGATGGCAAGGCCCTGCTGGCCAGGGCCAAGACGCCCGAGATCAAGCAGCAGCTTGCCGACAATACCAAGGAGGCCATCGATGCTGGTTTCTGCGGAGCGCCCACTTACAGAGTGTTCCATCGTGACGCCTCATCCACGGAGCGCGGGCGAAATCAGGGATGGAAGCAGTTTGGCAGCTGTGTCTGGGGTCAGGACGATACGGCCCTGGTCCAGGACCTGATCTCTGGATGGGATGAAGATGGATCGTCGCGGGAGGTGGCTAAGATTGAGGCTATAGAAGCTACGAACAAGGCAAGACTCGAGAAGCTGTAGATATATCTAGTGAAATTGATTATTCTCTGAGAACGCCAGTAAGGAATATGCTGTGCTTCCGAAACAAAGTCTAATCAGACCTAAAGCTATGTGCGGCCGTGTACGTGCAGCCAAACAGCTTTCTGTGCTGCCCATGAATCTGTTCTGGTAAATTCGCCCAACTTGTAGAATGGTCCAGGGAAGGCAGATGAACGGACATCTCATATCAGGCTAACACCAGCAATGATAAATATGCCCATCAGATACGCATCGAGCTGTGCATGGACATACCCCAGCTGTTCCCTCGTTGTTGATGTTCCTGGGCAGGTTGCTGCAAGTGCCGCCGCTTCGTGTTGGGCTCTTCCTCTGCCTCGATTCGCTCCTGCTGCTTCTCTTCAGCTGCGGTCGATGAGACTTGGGGTTTCTCGTCCGGCTTCCCAGGACTCTGTGGATGTGCTGCGTCGCACTGCAGAAGATAAAGCTGCCGGTGCTGCTTGTCCAAGATGTCCTGGTCCTCGTCGCTGATGAGTTTCCAGTCATCAACGGTCCTGCCGTTGTGCTCGTCTGTTGGAGGAGCAAATAGCCCAGCATCACCACTGCGACCCTGTTCAATCTCCGCCTCCCCGTCGCGACACAGCCCGAGCACCGCATCATCGCGTCGCTCCATCGTGGCGACCTGCCTCTCCCGCAGTTGCTCCTTGACCCTCTCCAAGTGCCTTCCTACATCCTCCACTTCAGCAACCCTCGCCTCCAGCACCACAAGGTCCTCACAAACCGCAGCGAGACGATCGTACGTGTCGTCAGCAATCTCCTGCAGTCGCCGGCTCAGCTCATCAGTGGTGTCGTGCTGTTCGTCCCGATGCGCCGTGATCGTCTCGTGTAGGTCGGTCAGGCGGGCGTCTGTGTCGATGGCGAAGTCGACGAGATCATCGGCATTCATGGCGATATTGGTGACGGATGTCAAGATGTCGTGTTGAGTGGCGCTGGACGGAGGTGAACAACGGGCGATGCCGTCAGCTGGTAGTATCCCACTTTCTTCATGCGCTTCGGGGTGATGCGAAGTACTGGATCGCATGCTGTGCGCGAGGTTATCGGCGAGCTGGTCGAAGTCTGCGGTGTGATCTGGAACGTCCATATTGGAGTTTGACTTCTCGCCGGCTGAGTCGCTCGCAAGATCTTGCTGCGCGAGGTCTTCCATGATGTGGATGAGCGTGCTCTGGGCGCAGGAGAAGTCCACAAAGGGGTCCTCCAGATCTTGTGGCTGGCTGCTGAGCCGCTCAAGTTCCTCATGGACCCGTCCACCCAGGTCGTCGACGATCTGGTCAACGGTTAACTGCTCGGCGGCAAAACCCAGCTGGGGAGGTTCGAACCATGAATTGTTGTCGTCCTCCTCGAGGCCTGGGCCGTTGGCGGTGGGAAGACCGGGGCGTATGCTTGCACCAGGAGACACGATGCCGCCTTCGTTTGACACGCTCAATTCGTCTGCCCGCGTATGATCCTGGCCGCAAGATCGTCGAGGGGATGAATCTGGCGTCATAAAGGGCTGCGAGGACGAAGCTGATGATGCCTGTTCGGCAAGTCTTTCTTGTATGAAAGCATACTGCGCGAGTAGTGCTGCCAGTGACTCGTCGTCTGGCTCAGAGGCCGAACCGCAGACGCAACTGCATGTAGGCATGATATTTTGTATACGGGACGTGTCGTTTCTTGCAGAACTGGGTGAGGTTGCTCCAGCCGGCGAAAGTTGGATCCTCACAATCAACCCTGTTGAGGACAGAAGCGTAAGAGCGCAGTTGTAGCGATGTAGAGAATGAATTCTTCCGGCACAAGATATACACGGAATTATTAAAGCGGATATGGCCGCGCAATGCCTCGATGATTGAGTGCCTGGCTGCAAACAGTTCGTTTGTGATGCCTTGGTGGGTGATCAAACCTTATTGACTGTTTGCCAACGTCGTTACTGGTTGTTTATTGTATTAGGCATCGTTTTCCTAGACGCTCGCGTTTTGAACTTTGATAAGTTCGTGCAACAAGATCCTGCCTGGGCGATTGCGACAGAACATTGCCATGTAAGGCCTTTAGAGGGACGTGCCTGATTTCCGGGATCCTAAGCACGAACACAGTTGGCAGGGAACTGAGGCACCCGAGCACTGTTGCGATGTTTGCGCAACCTTGCGCAATTCGGAACGCGAAGTCGATCGTCACCGACACATCCTCATTATGGATGTTTGCACTTTTATCAACTTTTGGGTGGTGTGCTTATAACAGCAGTTCCACTGCCGCAGGCGCAGTGGCCCTGGGGTTCTGCTAGAACGATAAGAGTCATCAGTGCCATACTCAATCATCTGGTGTGGTGCATCATTTATTGAGGAATGAGTGTTGGGTGCCCAGTGGCTCGAATGGTTCCATGATGCGTGCCTCTAGAACTTCGGTACTCAAACCCTGGACAGCAAGGGAGTCAAATGATAACAGATCAGATATCCCCTGGGCAGTGCTTCGGCCCAAACTCCGACAACGCCACCGATCCTAGCTCGAGATGTTGAGATGACCTGCATGCTTACGGGGAATTGCACTTTCGGCACCGGGATGGGGAGTGCTGTGCCGAAGTGTCGCGCTGGATTGGCTGCGCAAAGTGAGAGCTGAACGACGGCCCTGGTCGGCAGGGCTTGGCTGTCACACCACATCGACCTCGAGCCGGGAGCATGCACGCACGAGTTGGTGGCGCTTCTTGACAGGAGGGCTGTATTGTGTTGTGCTGATGCAAGGCTTTGATTCCGCGGAGATGGAATGTTTCGTGCTACTGGAGATTCTCGACCTGACTTCTTTCACTTCGCAACATTGCCTGGGCACAAGTATCACGGCCTTGTTGTATGGTGAGGATATCAGCTGTCCATTTGCAATCCATCCATACGCCGTTTCCAAACAGAGTAGACAGCGGCCAGACGTACAGGCCAGCTCTAAAAGGATGCCGGCATATCGCCACTCGCCCACGCCGACGATGCCCACGGCGGCCATCACCGCCAGAGCCGGCAGCCTGGCCCCTTTGACCACAACCTTTACCCCTGATGCTGCCTGCGCGACGCCACTCCTGTATGCGTGTACTCTAACGTTCGGTCTCGACTCTCAGCCATCCGCTGTGTGCATGGCCTCCGTGAACGAAGAAAGCCACTGCACCCAGTCGCTCTCGTGCTACCCCGAAATGGGTGACATCCTCGACTCGTACACGTACTCCCCCGCGAACATCTGCCCGGTGGGCTTCTCGACGGCTGGATATCGCAAGGGATGGGCCGCCGCGCCGCCCGGCGTGGTCTGCTGTCCGACAGGTTACAAATGGAATGGGGTTCCTGGTGGGGGATATGTGAGCTGCGTAAGGAGCCAGATGACCGAGGGCACACTGGCTGTGATTGTGGGCGACACGACGGACAGGTACACGACCTGCACGCCAAAGCTGACAACCATGACTTTTGGTCCGAACTCGACCGCTTCAATCGAGTACATTACCCTTTTCGAGACGGAGACAGCGTACGGGTTCCTGCAAGTGAGTTTCAGGGCCGATGGGATTCTGCTCCAGGGCCATACGCTCACGGGCTCTTTTACAAACCTGCTTTCCACCACGGTCAGTACTAGCAAAACTTCCAGCTCAACAGATGGCGTCGACTTTGGGGGGATCCCGCTAGGTGGTGGTGGCGACAGCGCGAGTGCTTCGGTCAGTGGAGGGTTCTCCTCGTCCTCTTCGTCTTCCTCGTCCCCCCCGTCGGATCCGGGCGACGACTCCAGCAACAGGCTCGGCATTGGCATATCTGTGCCTATAGTGTTCATTATCCTCGCGACATTCATCGCCTGTCTTGTCCGGCGAGCGAAAACAAAACAGAAAATGTTGCAACGAGCGGGTCGTGGTGAGCATGGTGCTCCCGTCGTCTTAGGAGAAGACGGAAGCATGCTACCTGCGGCCAACGGCGGCAAGGCTGAGCTGCAAGCCGGTTCCAGCTCCGCTGTTTTCCCCTCCGGACCCGGCCAGGGTACTAGAGTAGTGGCAAAGGAGAAGCCGGAAATGGACGAAGATGCGGCACTTCGAGAGCTGGACGGCCAACAGCCACGTGCCGCACCAGAGCTGGACAGCAGTGGCTTGTCGCCATGTCATGAAAGCAGTGCCAATCTTCCGAACCAGCCCGACCCCGTGGCCATGGTCGGGGCGAGCTCGCTCGCCGGGGACGCTCAGCATGTTCATCAGTATCAGCCACCACAAAGCCTAGAACTTGGTGGCGATGCGCGTTCAGAACTGTACGGAAATGATGGCTGGTATTTGCAAGATCAGCAGCAGCAGGGCCCCTACGAAGTTTCGGGGCCAGACAACGACACCCAGCAGCAAGCTCAGCTGAACAGGGAGTTGTATCTCCGGCAGCAGATAGAGGCCATCCGCGCGCAGGAACAGCAACTCACACAAGAACTTGAGGGACTGCGCAAGTGATGCGGTACAGCGGTAGTCCGAGTGATTTCTCGTGGGTATGGGCTTGCCCTTTGGGATCACCATGAAAGCTTTTATTTGAGCCCCGATGATGTCCATTCCGGGGTATCAGAAAATTGACGACGACAACAAAAGGAGCACAACTTCTCGCACGTCTGGGGAGTTGTACATGAAGATATTGGAGGCGCTGCGGGAGCCGAGCGCAAGCAGTTCAAGAAATGGTGTCATGTTTTCGGCTTGATGCGACAATTGCCTGATTCGAACGAACGCGCTTTATGCACTCCACGACAGGCTCTTGACATGAACATGTATACCATTTCTGCGTCAAGGCGATGTTTTCCTGTTTCGATGAGAGAGTGCAGCAGGCAGAGAGCGAACAGGGCCAGCTAGGAAAACTGTACATAGAGGTGTGGAGTACCTTTTGCTAGTGTGGCGATTCCATCTCCTCCCCACGACCCCCCAAAAAGTCAAAAAGGGGCACGTCGGAAATCGATGATTCCAGCACGACACAACTATATGGACCACTCAAACCACCTTCAGAACATGCAGAAAACCCAGCTGGTCGTTTTGACACACATATGGTAGCTATGGCATTGTTGTTTGCAGAAAGAAGCAGAGAAAACAATGCGAAAAATAGTACAAAAATTCATAGGAAGCCCAGGAGGCGTGCAACAAACACCAAAAAAAGATTGTGAAGCATCTGAAGATGCCCGCTAACTATCCGTAGCGACATTGGCCTGATTCGAACAGACGCTCCCGAAGGAAATAGATTTCTAGTCTATCGCATTAGACCACTCTGCCACAATGCCTTGTTATTGGTTGGGATTGGGGTCTTTTATGTGTATCCTTGTCCGTTACGAGTGTGGCTTTCGTTTCGTGTGTGGGGTTCGGCTCAAGAAAGATGTCTGAGTGCCTTGTGTGGCTGGGAATCCTGGGAGGGGAGCGGGGAGCCTGGGGGGGGCAGGGGAAGGTACTTGCCGAAACGCCGAGAGCGATGCTGCAAAGGGCTTGTGCGTGGATGGAATACAGGCATGCGTAGATGGGTGGACTTCAAATGAGAGTAGAATCGGTTCAAACTCTGTAGCAATGTCGAGAATGGCTGTGGGATGCTGTACCAGACTTTGGCATTCCCAAACGACGTTCTTCCCCATTGAAGCATTGATGAATTCCAAGGCTGGGGACTCCGATCTCAGCTGGACAAGCGCAGCGCAGAGCCATTAATGCAGTTGCACCCATGCTAATGCTAATGTGGTCACAGTGGACTGGCACCAACTGGTGTCACAAAGAGCGAAACATACCAGGCGGCGCGCGCACCCTGACAACCCCATTGTCCCATCAGCAAAAGAAAACAGCCCGTCTACCGCGATTTGCAGTGCAGGACCAGACAACTTGCACCGCCCTGGTGATTCTGGGTTCAACAGCGAACTGAGAAATTGGCAAAAAGAAAGCTCCCCCGGACAGGCTTGAACTGTCAACCTCCTGATCGCACCAGATGTAACTCTTGATAACAGTCAGACGCGCTAGCCAATTGCGCCACGGAGGATGCTATTGGTTGTTATTGAAATTGCTTTGTTTTATCATCTTCTATGATGTTACGGTTTTCTGCTCAATTGTAGATCGAGGACCACAGCCGTTCCGAGGCGTCAGCTACAGAATGGAGTTGCTCTCGGCATTCGCGGTTTCATTACTCGGCTGCGATCATGGCGAGAAGTGTGGCGTTTAAGGCCATTAGATGATATGTGCATGACGCCCAGGCAAAGAGAAATGGAAAGGTGCATGCTGATGAGGGCCGTTGCACGCGGAACGGTGACAACGATCGAAGCATATATGACGATACCAGTCTACATAGACCTGTGCACTTCTGTTCGGACCAACATAATTCGTGTCCGCTTGCCATGACCAGCTGAGGCCGCTGCACAGACAGAAGTTCCATCTTTGTGATCAAGAGGCACCCTCAGGATGAGCAAACCCGCGCGATGGCATTGCTCACACTCGTCTAGCATCAGCAACTTCCCTCCTTACAGCTCGATGCTGTCCCAAGCCACATGAACCTGCAGAAACGCCCGTGCTGCGTGACTATTCAGTTCTTCCAGCTCTGGAACAAGCTCTCAATGCGCAGCCTCTCCAAACGAGCTGACCCCTGGTAGAGGATCTCGCCCCTGCAATCTTGGGCTGAGTAGGCTCAAGCGCCGGAGCTGCATCTCGAACCCCCAGTGGAGAAGATGAAACCGCCCCTTGGACTGAAGCCCAGGACCAACGAACCTCGATTTCCACAACATGCTGGCCAAGAGTGCCATCCCACATCCCAATCCACGACGTCATGACCTCGTCGAGTGCGCACTTTTGCGGCGTTGCGGCGAATTGCAGGATGTCCTTTATGTAATGTCAAGCTTCAGGAGATGGATTAGCGGGTGAGCCGTATTGTCGTCCTGGTCTCACATCACTTGAGCACGTGTTGTCTAGAGCGTCATGATCGCAGGCTTTCGGTGTCATTGGCGTCAAGTATGGTTCCAGGCCCGTCTGAGGGAAACATTCCCTTGAATCCGTGATGACGGCCCGCCTCGTCGAGAGATCATCTCATTCAGCTGAACTTCGTGATGTCGGTCGCAGGTCGGGCACTCAGCTGGGCATAGAATTGTCCTCAAGCTCATGGTCGTCAGGGGTAGGGCCGCCTGGCCGTCTGGAGCTCTGTTTCCTGCCTTGCCACAAACTCTGCACTGGCTGTATGCGCGTGGGGAGAGCAATGTCGCCGGTGTGCTCAGCGAAAAAGCGGGCGTACTGCAGGCACACGACAAAGGCACAGTATAGTCGATCGCGAGGTCAGGTGGCATCGGGCCTGGCAGAGACTAACCCAGCCTAACGAGGTCATTGATTATGTCGTGCTCCAGGGTAAACCGAAGCTGGGGCCCAGCTGCCTTGACCAGCGTATCGACGAGCTGCCAAGCAAAAGGCTGTGGGCGAGCTACCACAGTCCTAGTAATTGATCTGGGTTGTCTTGAAAGAGGGATCACACCTTGCCTGTATATGCGATGCGGAGGGGTTGCGCCACGGCGAGGAATGCTTTTGGCCGGCTGTGAGGAATCGGTCCTTAATACTCGCCAGAGCCATGGCACACATGAGGTCCGTCGACTTGCAACGCCAATACGTCCTGGAGCTGAAGAGTAGGCGCAGATGGTGGAAGGCGTGGGTGTCAGAGATGTGTCGTCCCAGCGCCAGCACCACGCTCGATTGCGCAGCTGCACACTATACTCCTGGACGATCCACGGGTGTATCAGCCTCGGCAGGTCCCCGCGACTGCAAACACGTTCTCCCTTGAATCGTCCGACTTGGGCCTTCGGAAGCCCACTTGACCTGTGTGTGTGTGTTTGTCTCGGTGTCTAGTCACATGGGCAACAAGCGACGTGTCGTTTTGGATGCTTAGAGTCGCCCATCGTTACTATCGTAGCGGCTGACGTAGAAGGCGCGTCGCCGGGCTGAGCCTTTTTAGCACGCCTCCTTGCCAGAGATCGCGCGCCCCTCTCCTGTGCCTCGGTCGTGAGGTTTCTTCCTACATCCGACGTTTCGCTGATCGTGTCCGAACTCCGTCTTGTCAGCACAGACTTGGACAACCATCCAAGGACCTCCTTGGCCGTGCAAAGATGTCAAGCATGCGAGCAATTAATTGCGCCTTTTCCGCAGCATCGTCCCGGTTGATACAAATCGCGTCATCCCAAGACGGCGACTCCCACGCTTCGGATTGTGGTTCTTGGCTGCATCTGGCGACAACATGCGAGGCACCTGCGTAGCGCGTAGTATAGATTAGTTGGGATCTCAACAATATGGCCCTCGAGCAGAATCGTACTGGTATCCTGATTCATTTCCTCTTCCTCCTCGTGCGCATCGAACGCTTGCTGCAGGGTACCGGCATGAGCTGCGTTCGGGATGATGTCGCTCAGCAGCAGGTGCACCGGCTTGCGGCGGGCAGATTGCAAATCTCGGATGAGGTGCTCGGGGTCGCTTTGGTTTACGGCTGCGGGCTCCGAGGATACGACTGAGGCGTATTCGGTCCCGGGCCAGGGTCCGATAGGGTAGCTTCCTCTCGTGGGACAGCTCTACATGCTGTATGACGATAGAGTGCGGTAATGGCAGGGAGTAATGACGAGAGAGTGGCAGCACTTGGCAAGACACCACAGTGCCAGTAGTTGACTCAGAGATGGAGCAGGGATAGCCCAGTCATGCTGGATGGACAATCCAAGTGCGAACCACAAGCCGCCAAATTGACAGTGTCAATGGGCATGCCTGGTCTTGCCAAAATCGCCCTTGGAGGGGGCTTAATCTGCGTTGAAGTCTGGATCTGTAAGGCGCTCTCAAGCTCGCCCAACGCAGCCGGCGGTGGACATGTTGCGACCACCAAGCTCAGGCTGCCTGTAGGGTGGGAAGCAGTAGGTAAGAGGTTTGCGTTCTGTTAGGCCCACAGGGGAGGCGCAGTCGCCTGTCGTGGATGGATTATGCCTCGAATGTCGAGATGCATTCTCACAACCAGGTTGACTTAACTAGAAGTTCAGTACCGTGCCATGTGTCAATCAGCGACGCCACTCGGAGACGGTTCCTCGCCATCGAGCTGTGTTAACTTCATGCCTTGATGACGATGCAGCTCACGATGAGATGTGGAGGCACGGATTGGCCCCAGGTTTGTGCTCGTGTACCACGGAGGCCAGGATCTCGAGTATGTGGTGCCAGTCTGGGATGTTTGCACATCTAGGCCTCGACTACACAGTAGTCTCTGTCGTGTCAATGGCGTTCTTCTTCATCTTGTACGCATAGCGCACTCTTCGTGCGTGGGCTATGGCGATGTTCGAGGTGGTATTGCGCAGGCCGGCACCGTGAACGATCTTTGAACCCTCTAGACCTCCTGAGGTGTACGGACTGCCCAGCTTCAACCAATCCGGTCTTCTTCCTTCTATTGTAAGCCAGGTGTCGGAGGTTCTTGGGTCTCAGGCTGAGAAAGGTTCTTCGCCGCGTTGTGATCGTGTTCTATCCAATGGGCGTGGGATCTCCCCCCCCCCCATCTTCGTCGTCAAACAAGATCGCGTTGAGTGGTCGGAGAATTCAGACATTGTGGGATGACATCGTTCTGTGCGGATAATTCTACTGTTCTCGCGTCAAGACGTCGGTTTTGTTTCACTTCGGCGGCGTCGTCCCCTGCTGGCTGTTGGGGCTCGCAGGCAGTGTCACGGTCTGTTTATCTTCTCTAGCCGCCAGCTACTTCAATTTTCCAAGGAAGGTGTGGCTGCGTGAAGGCTAGCTAAAGCAGTTCGCGCTTCTCGGAGTCTTCAGATTTATGCTGGTCCACGCAAGTGATTGATGATTCTGCGTCAAACGCCGAGCTTGACTTGGAAGAAACATGATCGCAGGGGCGCGACTTCGTGTTCGAAAATAAGAGGGCGATCGTATAAATGCATGTGCAGAGCCGTGGTCTTATGATGCGATCGACGCACTGTATCGGAGTTCTTCACGGTCGGCGGTGGAGGCTTGTTGATTCGGGCAACACAGACGAGGTCGAGAAACGATTGGGGCTTTCGTGATTGGAAGTCGGTAGCAGGAAGAAACACGGTAGAGGGACTGCAAACAAACAAGTCCAAGGGTATTACGAAGACGGGACGATACCAGGGGAGGAAACGCGTCTCCTACCAGCATCCCCGGTCGAGGACAGTTGAGCATTGAGTAAGGGCATAGCACACCGGAATGTGATGACCGTCTCTGCTCAGCAAGGCGTGGTAATGATTGCCTCCAGCTTGAATTTCTCTCTCCTTCAGAGGTACAGAACCCTGCGACGAATGGCCGAACATCACTGCAGAGATCACAAGAACAGCTCCTTCGCCCAGCCTCCATGCTGGAAGGACGGTTCCGGGACTTCCCCAGACTCAGCCCAGCACCTTGATTTCGTCTTTGGCAGTGTAGCAGGGCCTAACGATAATATGGCCTGAGCGCCCCACGAAGAAGCTGAGTGATCTTTGCTCTGTTGGGAAGTAGGTACATTACTCCCGGAAGATGCCGCTGAGAGTCACAGGTCATCACATCCTTTACCCTCTGGCAGTGCAACCCTCCGGCATGTCCTGTGCCTGTCGAGGCGGGTAGCAGAAAAGTACGGGCACTGACCCAATCAAATCCCCTCCAGAGTGTCCGGACTTTTCTGCTCACAGCCTGCCTGTGTCCCTCCTGGCATGTAGTAACGCAGCCGCCCAGCTGAAAAGCAGTCGTCAGAGTCAAGGCACTTGGTGGCGTTGGGCAGCGCCACAAATACGGCAGTGAGACTGTCCTCTCCACGGGCCACGGCTGTCACTAGACTAGTAGCCACTCCCTAGCCCGTGCCTGTCACGAACCCGACAGAAGGAAAGGCACGCACCGGTCAGGCGAAAGATTGCACTACACCCGAAGGACGGTAAGGGCTTTTGCTTTTTTCCGGATGTCCACTGGGCAAGCTTGGCCGTCATCTTCTCTGCTGGGTGAAGTGCCCGAAAGAATCTTAGCACATTGTCTCGGAATATGCCACGGTTAGAGCTGCTATGCAGGCACTCTGTGGGGGTTCCATGTCGCACCCACAACCGCCTTGCAGCAGTCCGGAGCTGTTCATGATACTCTCGCCCAGCCTCGAACTGCCCAGTTGTGGCTCTGGATGCAGACTGTCGCCATGCTGACACACGCTTAATCAGCGGTATTTGTTGTCCCGCCGCTAGGCAGGACGGTTTCCTCTAGGCGTCTAGAAATCTTGGCAGGCAGTGGTGGCTAGAGGCTAATGATCCCGCTGAAAGGGACCGCCAGAGATCTCCGAGGAGGTTTCCGACCCTGCCTGCCCTCGCCTGCCTGGACTGGATGGGGCTGGACCAGGCTGGCCGCTGCCTCACCCACGGCACCACCTATCACGCCCGCTGAAAAGTCTCCGGCTGTCTCTCACATTGCAGCTCGGATGAGATCTGGTCGTGCATGAAAAGGCGGATCAAGCTACAGGCACTAGTGTTTGCCGACGTCCCACTGCCATGGCAAGTGACAGGCACGCTCTGGCACTGGCACGGGGCTGGGTTCGGCCAGAATGCTTCGATTGTGTTCTTGGCCGGCGGGAAGGTCTCAGACATGCTCTGCCATGACGCAGCTGGCTGCTGCTTTGACGCCGAAACGCAACGAGGTGTGGTCAAGACTCAGGAGTTGGCCAACCCCGTTCCGCCAAGATTTCGCCAGTTAGGTTTCTGGGTATTTCTCTCGAGTCAGGGCCTTGCACCCACGGGGCACACGGATCGCCGGGCTCACCAGCTGCTGCCAGCAAGCAGGCAGGGCCATGAATAATGAGTTGCATTGCCGTGGATCAGAGAAACAAGGAGCCGAGCAAGGATGGTGCGCCCATTGTGGCATGTGGGTTGGCGGCCGGTCGAAAAGGTTGGCGCCCGCAGGCATGGGCTCGATGGGCTCGCGCATGGTCCGAGGTGCTGTCCTGTGATGCCGCAATGCCCGGAAATGCCACCCATGGCACGCCTCGCTGGGACACGGCAGGTGGCGCTCGTAGCCGGCGTGGCTTTCCACCAAGCATGCTCGTCTGCAAAAGTGCCCTCCATTGCTCCACTCTGGCCAGCCCAGCCAGATTCGCCCCTCGCCTCTCTTGCTTGCTCGTCTCAGGTCCGCGGAGCTCTAGCTCCTGTCAGCTTCCTGGCCTGCCTGCCGCCAGCTCGTTGCAGGCAGCACGCACCGAGGAATGATGATGAAAGGGCTCTCGGGCGTTGGTTGGGCAGCCCGCTCGGCGCATTCCTGACGTCAAGCGACGCTAACCACCTAGCTAGGCACAGGGCCAACCTCCGAGCACGCACAAAGACAGGCCAAGCCGCTAGCTCTGGCCCGCCCGGTGCAATCCCCGGCAGCAGCTCCTCACTGGCAGCCTGTGGGCCGACTAGCCAGCGCCGTACGAAGTACATACAGACTAAGCTTTAGCGGCCAGATCCACGCGCTTTGCGGGCCTTGTGGGAAAGCGTCGCTCGGAGCCAATAGCCGTGCTGGGGCAGCCCTGGGTTCGGGCAGGCGTGGCGGCTGCCGTTGAAACAGTCGTTCCGAACTCCTCTAGCGACGACCTTGCCGGTCACGGTCTGCTCCACGTACGGCTGCTCGGTGCTCCTTCTCGTGGTCCGTTGCGGCCCGAAAGACAGGCTGGGGATGGTGCTGATCACTCCCGAGGGCAGCATCTGCTCCGCGCAGGGCAAAAGAGCAGTGAGGCATGTACATGCTGGGCTTTCCCAAAAGAGCCACCAGGCCTGCGACGGAAATGTTCTGACTGGCCGGTCGCCGGGTTGGGGCTTCTGGGCCTGAACGTTGTTGAAATCCCAGATTGGTCGGTTGGTCCCTGGGCAGGGGGGCAACGCGTTGGTTCGGCCGCTCCAGCCAGCGGAACGGAGGGATGCTTCCTGGCCACCACCATCCCCGGCAGCCACCGTCCTACGGCCTGCTAATTAGCCCGGCAAGGCAGGCCCAGTTGTTGTTGGTTCTGCACATCATCGGCACCTCCATCTCCTGCAGGGCCCGTCGAGTTACCTGTTCCTTAGCTACTGACCTTGTCTGTCTTTGTCAACATCCCATCCCATTAGAAATCTCTGCGCGGTGCAGCTCGCCGCCTCGCCCCTGTCCATGTCTGCTGCTTGCTCCGTCACACTCAGCGGCTTTTGCCGTCCTCATCGTCGTCCTTGGTGTGGCTTGTCAGAGCCTGGGCCCATTCTCCTTGTTCCTTGACTTCATTTGGTCCTTCCTCTTCTTCTGTTTCTTCCTCCTCTCTCCTACTTCTCCTCAACCCTCCTACATCAGTCCGCTCCTTCCTCGAGTCGGTCTCGGTCAGTCGACCTCTGGCAATCTCTTGCTGTTCCTCGAGACGTGCTCCCATCACCGGAGACATGTCTGTCTACGGCACCAAAGAGGTCCGCGAGAACTTCCTGTCCTGACGCAACATACCGACGACACAGCAGCCTGAATGGACAGGCCTCCTCGGAGGCTGCTCCCTGGCTATGAGCCGTCCGATCAGTCGCCTTCGTCATCGGCGGCGGCGTCTCCGAGCAGCAGTAGCAATAACAACCCTCCTCCCGTACCAACCTCGAAGCCCTCCGCCGCAGCACCCTCGTCATCGTCAAGCACCACAGCGACCACATCGACTACTCGGCGACAAGTCACCTCCCTCGCCTGCAACGAATGCCGACGCGTCAAGTGCAAGTGCGACGGGGAGCGGCCGACGTGCGGCCTGTGCGAGCGCAAGGGACTGGTCTGCGACTACGATGTAGGCCCTCGAGGTCGGACTGCCCTCATGGCGCTCCGGCACCAGTACTCGCTGCTCGAGACCGAGAACAACCAGCTCCGCGAGCTCCTCCGGCTGATTGCAACACTGCCACCGACCGATGCGTCCGAAGTGCTCGGGCGCCTCAGGACCAACGAGGACCCGTTGCGCGTGCTGCAGATGGTCCAGGCGGCGAGGCTGCTCATGGCGGACTCGGGTCCATCTGGAGAAAATTCCGGCGAGGGAAGCTCGATAACCTCGCCGACAACAATGCCAATGGCACGACAACAAATACCCGACTCGAACACGAGACCATCGTCAGAGCCCTCCTTGGTGACGCGAGACAACTCGGATGAGAAGCCCAAGCCCACAAAGCGGACCTCCGGATCGAGTAGTGTACAGAGCGATCTACGCATGATTCTGAACGAACAGGAAGACTAAGACACGGCTCGCACGTGCGTGGCGCCACCCATCATGGTCTCGACCTCCCTGGTCTCCCGCAGCTCGTTTGCTGCCATACAAGGGATCTGCAAGTCGAGCCAATATTGAATGTCCCTCGGCGCTCTTGTTCCTCAGTTGGCAACGCAGCACGCTGTGTTCGGCCGCTCGCCATTACAACACCGCCAGATCTGCCCTGGCGCGCTGCAACCAGTTACCCGGTGGAGTCTGCTACTGAGGTGTGTCGACGTGGCTGTGTGAGGTGGGAACGGGATCATACTTGAGACGGGCTTGAAGTCAGGAACGATCGGCCCGCGGGCGACAATTTCGAGTGCGTCAACCAGTCCGCCCGCCGTACCACGGAGTTCTCGAGCTGGTGGCTTCAACTGCGAAGACAGATCCAACATTAGTGCCTTGGCCTCGGTATCTTTCTCGCGGTTGCGAACGCGGCGTCCAACCTCAAATCCGGTCAACTAGACTACATTGTATTGCACGCGGAATAGACTGCGGTCGACAAGCCCCGAAACGGGACCAGCTCTGACTGACCACTCCTGCTCGTTTGACGAGCTGCAGTCCTTTTGATCACCTCTACGAGGCAAGCAATCATGAAAGTATCCCCCGGTCGAGAGCAAACGAGTACAGTCTCGTCGTCGAAGGCGTGTCTCTGATCGCGGAGGCAGTATGCGCGAGTACGGCAATAGCTCTCCAGCGGTCAGCGAGCAATATTGGCTGGACCACTGGGAAGCCGCTTCCCCTCGTCTGTACTGCGCGTCAGTCATGGTTTGGCGCTGTCAGGGCTCAGTCACGTCACGTTATGCTCGGGTGGGCCGGAAACGGACTCCAGGATCAAAGCGATTCTCTGTGACTGGACATTCCGATCATCTGCATAACTTGAGGAGGCTTGAGCTCGCGATCTGACTGCTCCTGGGGACAGCCTAGGGAGAGGTGTCCAGATCGGCGGATCGCAAGCTTGAACGACTTGAGGTGGAACGTCCTGGAGATCCAAAATATAATTATAAAAGCCTTGAAAAACAATGGAAACGTGAGATCAAACAAATTCAAAACCGTGGTTGTGCCGAGGTCTGAGAGCTGTTCTATTTTTTAAGGGCTAACTGAGTTTCATGCTGGCTAGCACATTTGACTGTCCCTCAGCTTTATGCAAGGAGGGACGGCTCAGATCGCTGTTTGGCTGTTGCCGGGCAGTTCGACTTTTGCAAGCCACCATGTGATCGTCCCGAGAGCGCGGTCCCTACCTGAGACAACATGAAGAGATAGATAGCAAAGGCGGAACTGCGTATTCAAGGTGGCGGCGTGCCCTTCGGCATTGTGAGCTACCTAGTGAGTAGCTTTCCGAAGCCGGGCTTCCATCTTTGATTCAACCTTTATTCGTTCGCTACCGATCTTTGCATATTGGATAACCCAGTCCACGTCGTTTCTAACTGATATATCAGCGCGCGGCCGAGTGCCTCTCCATCACCGCACTTCCAATCCCGAGTCGATGTCTCCCCACTTGATCCGAAACAAGTCCTTGAAGTAATGTGTCCTCGGCTCCCACTGGCCTGTGCCGCCCTTGGGCAGCTCGCCGTTTGCAACCTTGAGATATGTCGACGACAGGTCAAACATGGTCTTGGGCTGCATCGTTTCCCTTTCGCGCCCCGTCAGCCGCGGCACCACCGAGGTCTTGCCCTGCCGCCGCATCCGCCGTAGCATGCGCACGATGAGCGTGGCCGTAATGTCGGCGCCCAGCGTCCAGGACGCGTTTGTGTAGCCCAGCACGTAGAACAGGTTTGGCAAGTCCTGGATCATGGCGGCCTTCCAGATAAACTTGTCTGCCGGATGGATTGGAGCGCCGCCGTCGATTGAGAAGGGGATGTTTCCGGCGAAGCAGATCTTGAGACCCGTGGCCGTAACGATGATATCTGGGTGCAGAACCTGGCCTGAGGTCAACCGGATCGTGTCCTTCGTCACCTGCTCGATTGTGTCTGTTACCACACTACCGTTGCCCTGCCGTAAGGTCTTGAAGAAGTCACCCCGAGGCGAGGCACACAGGCGCTGGTCCCAAGGGTTGTACCGCGGTTTGAAGTGCGGGTCGTAGCTGACCTCCTTGGGAAGGAGGCGCTCCGTGTTCTTGCGGATCAAAGCAATGGCCTTCTGCGGGAAAGTCTGGCAGAACCAGAAGAGGAAGTATGTGCGGGTGGTGTTGTACAAGCGCAGCAGACGTGCAGCCCAAGTCACGGGAAGGAAGCGGTTCAAGAAGGCACCAGCGCGGTCCTCGGTAGGCACCGGGAACAGATAGGACGGGCTACGCTGGAGCATCGTCACATGCCTGGCGCCTTTGGCGGCCAAGGCTGGGACCAGCGTGACGGCGGTGGCGCCGCTGCCAATGACGACAATGTTCTTGCCCGTGTAGTCAAGGTCCTCGGGCCAGAATTGTGGGTGCACAACCCGGCCAGCGAAGTTGTCGATGCCAGGGATGGTGACGGCCAGAGGCTCCTCGTAGTTGTAGTAACCTGTGCCGAGAACCACGAAGCGGGACGTCAGCGTCCGCTCGCCTTGGGGCGTCTGGACAAAGACGTGCCAGCAGCTCGTCTTGGAGTTCCAGTCGGCGGAGGAGACTCTGTGGTGGAACTTGATGTGATCTGCGATGCCGGCATCGTGGACGGCCTTGTCCATGTACTGCTGGATATCGCGGCCTTGGCCAAGATACTCGGAGCCGGCCCAGGGCGCCCACTTGAAGCAGAAGCTGGCAATGTCCGAGTCGGAGCGAATGCCGGGGTAGTTGAAGAGATCCCAGGTTCCGCCCACGGCTCCTCGGGCCTCAAGCACGGCATAACTCGTGTCGTCGGGCAGCTCGTACTGGATGCGGTGGGCAGCGTTGATGCCTGAGATGCCGGCACCAACAATGAGCACCTCGAAATCGAGGCCGGTGTCGGCGGACCCCATGCTGGTCGTATGCAGAGCGTATCTCTGTGTAGGGTTTTCAAAGTCGAAGCGTGGTTGGGTGTGCAGAAAGCTGGTGTACAGGAGGAAAGAAAGCCGAGAGCAGATCAATTCGAGGCGGGAACGGCTTCAACAGCACAGCCTGAGGGGGCCAATGGAGCGCCAGTTGAGGAGCAAGGACGTGCAGGACGCAGGCGACGGGCCGTGTCTTAGTTAGTGTCTGAGCGGGGAGATGCCACGCTGGTAAGAACAAAGGCCTGAGAATAAAGTCGTGAGACCAACAGGGCGGTCGTAAAAGCAGCCACGTCTGGGCACTTGAATGATCTCCTCTCGGGCTTGCACCGCGACTTGGCCGCCTGATATAATAAGGAGCAGCAGGTTCTTGAGCTGCCCTCCGTCCTGTGCGGCTGCCCGGCCGCATGCAGGGGGCAAACTCTGTCCCCAGGCACCACTCCGTTGTTAGTCCCGCCGCCAGACGCTAGAACGACGGGGCCTGGGCAAGCTTGCGAGGTCTACATATTGTGTACGTCCCGAGGCTTACTGTGACTGAGTGTCCCGAGGCTTTCGCGTGCATGCGGTGCTGTGCTCGTTGAGACACAGCTCTTTGAAGTCCTTCTTTGTGTGCCCGTCACTAGCCCCCTGCTCGGCGCTGACACCACCACGTTCAGTGGCTGACCAGAATCTCGGGGCCAGCGCCGGGGATTCCAGCGCAACCCCGGAACGGCTCATGCTTGCGAGGTTGCAGTGCATCACCAGAGCAGGGTCGGTCCTGGAGCCGATCTCGCTCGCCCCGCAGCCAGTGCCACATGCGATCCATCCACAAGGCACTTCGCCATGACGTGATTTCAGACTGCGATGTGCTGCAGTATGCGTCCGTCTGTGGTGGCAAATTCTCTAAGATCTATCCCGATAGATGGCGTGAATCAATGCTCCTCGCAACGGGGCCCTGGCCTCGGGGCGTGCACCTGCCGACCCCGGGACACCCTCGTCGGCCAATTGCTCATCTCCAAGACTTGTCCAGCTGGCCTTACGAATGGGGTTGTTGTGCAGCCATTATGGACAGGTCAGCGCCATTCTGCACTCACATGCTGTGTATCCTTATCTGCTCCGTCGGCGTTGCAAGGTCCAGCCATGACTCTTCGTGAAAATGAAATTTGTTTGCTTGTATGGCCACCCCTTGTATTTCTTCTTTTCCCTTGAGTACAAGGTAGAGACGCCTGGCAGCTGAAAGCATCCATTCCAGGTCTACATTGTTGCAGAGAATAGCTTCAGCCTCGGTATCGGCCAACTATCTAAGCGAGTATTGCGAAAGTCCATCTCCCATTTACCTCTGAGCCGCGAGATCCGCAGCCGTGACTCTACCAAACTGCTTCGCCGTGCCCTTGCCCAGCGTGTCTCGAATGACTTCCTGCACCCAGTTTGGCCAAGCCCTCAGCATGCTCAGATACCACGCACTACTGGGGACAAACACCTGTCCCCCCTTGCGTCTCTGCACGACCTGCTCCAGCACTGCGTCGCTGACCTGCTGACTGGTCAGCATCCGCGGTAAGCCCCCGTGCTGCAGCTTGTCGGCAAACCCCTCGGTCAGCGGCGTGTCGACAAAGTTTGGGTGCACAACGGTGCACACCACGCCGGGGCTTGCGTGAATATGCTTGAGCTCGCAGCTCAGCGCCTCGTGGAAGGCGAGTGCCGCGGCCTTGGTGGCAGCGTAGGCGCCGCCGTAGGGCAGCGCAACGTACGACGCCAGGCTCGCGATGGTGACGATGTGGCCCTTGTTAGCGGCGACCATGGCCGGCACGAACGCCTGCGCGAGCGTCCAGTGCGAGACGGTGTTGACCTGGAAGATGCGCTGCACTTGGGTCAGGGGCACCGTGAGGATGGGCAGCTCGTGAGACACGCCCGCATTGTTGATCAGGATGCTCGGTCCGCTGCCGCGGATGCCCGGCTCCGCGGCGATGGCGGCCGCTGCGGCCTGGACAGACTCGGGCGAGGTGATGTCACACTTGTAGTAGAAGAGCCTCTGGGGCGATGGGGTTTTCGAAGCCGACGCAAAAGTCGTCGAGGGGCGGAGTGATTCTGCTCGCGCTCGCATCTCGGCGGGCATATCCTGGATGTCGAGCACAATGACGGTAGCTCCCCTCTCGAGAAGACCGTACGCCAGCTTCTGTCCAATGCCGCTGCACCCGCCTGTGACCACGGCGACCTCGTTTGGCCAGTGCCAGCCCGGCTGGGCAGTGATCCGCCAGTGGTTCGTGGCCGTCCTGTTCAGGATGCGGTTGGCCGTTCGGAGGAGGTCCAGAGCAAGAACAACCTTGAGGACAAACCGGAGCGTGCTCACGTCATCGCCGACCAGGTGCAGTCGGGCGAGTAATGCCGCGGGCAGCTTTGCGAGTAGAGCGTGGACATGGTCGGGGTAGTAGGTGGTGCTGGCCAGCAAGGCCCCGGCAAGAAAAGATGGTATCGTCATGGCAGCTCTTGGTTGCTTGGGAGTACGATGCTCGAAGACTCCAGCTTGGAACCCAGCCAAGGTAGGCAAGACGATCGCGATTGGCGCATGCGATGTTTTATGTCAGAGATCGTGGCAGTCGGTGCTTCTGGCGCCAGTCCAGCGCCGTGTACGCATTACCCGTGTCCATATGGCTACTCTACCAACCAGTTTGCCAGCATGCATGACGGGTGCTCAAACACAAGAGCGGCGGTCGGGAACGCCGCTCCGAAGCGGGCATCGGGAATCTTGACGAGACAGGTCCATGACGCTGCCAGTCCCCGCCTCAGGGTCGTGCTTGCGAGGGGTTGCCTCCGTGACTGTGAGCCGCGGCAAAGCACGAGAGGATGTGGGGGGGGATGGCGTAAATGCTCCGAAGGGTCGAAGTATGAAGAATCATCGGCGCTGGAAGAATGGAGCAAATGGACAGTGAGTGCCTAGTGCTAGGGGCATCGGCCTGCTGGAACAGTCCGCAGCTTGTGAACACGGCAGATTCCAGCCATGTTGTCGTAACTGTGGCGAGCTTGTCGGCAGCATGCTCTGGGGCACGGCGTCAAGAGAACAACGGCAAACACGACAACATGGATCGTCCTCGAGTGCCTCGCAAGATGGGACCCGATTGAGATTAGAGCCAAGGGGAAAGTTGAGCAAGCCACCCTTTCCAGGGCACTTTTGCCGGCTCCATCCGGCACGCCCACCGCGCCAGCAGGCCTTCCCCAGATCCTGGATGGATGGGGCCGCGAAGTCAGCCGAGGATGGAGCCAGGGGTATCCCGCGCGGTTTCGGACACTCGAAACCTCCCAACCTTGGCGGATGGGCCATCGTCAGCCACAGTGGCCGGCACAGCGCGTATGGCCGTCCCAGCCGCGGCCCTCAGGATGGCTAGGCTGCCAGGACAATCAGGCATACAGAGTACTTACATGGCTACCGGCCCATGCGCGCCGATAAGCAAGACCTCGACCGCATTGTGACAGAGCAGTGGAGACAGCCTGGGAGGAGACTCGCTCCCTCTTGCCTGTTCCTCTTTTCGTGGCAACCTGGTCGGCCGTCGAGCCTCCAGCCTACAGACTACCCCTAGCCGTCTTGATCCAGCCAGCGGCGACACAGCTGCCCGGGCCCTGCAGCCCGCCACTACGACTGTGGTGCTGCTGCTGACTTGGGAAGCTCGCAAACCAGGGACCTCGCAAGATCCCACCACCACGATCCTAGCTCGACACACTAAACACCCATCAATCCACAGCAACAGCGCCAGCTCACTTGCATTGAGCAACCAGCTCGCACGTACCCAGGCCAGCAGGTGCCGAGTCAGCCATGGTCTTCCCGGGCCGCCTGAGCACTGGTTGCAAGCTGTGTCGCCGCCGCAAGGTCAAGGTCAGTCTGTCCCCAGACCCGTCGTGTCGTGCTTCGGCCCTTGCCGATCACCACTGTGGCCTCCCCAGTCCTCTCCTCCCGTCATGCCTGCCTGCCACCAACCCACGCAGACCCAGAGAGTCACTGCAGCCCTTGAGCAAGGGTCTCAGCACGACGAGAATGCCTCGATGGCGTAGGCAGCCGAGAACCCAATGCATCCCCTGTCGGCTCGAGTTTCTCTGCCTCTGTATTCTTCCCACACGCCATGCACGCCTTCTCCTCGGCACCTCTGTAACTCACGCTGTGCATCATCTTTAGTGCGACGAGACGAAGCCTGGATGCAACCGCTGTGCTGTCTACGGGCGACCCTGCCCGGGCTATGGTGACAACTTTCAGTTTCGTCCCCAGGAGGCGAAGATCAAGAAGGCCGTCTCGTCAAAGTCACGCGGGCCTGATACAAAACCGAGTGCCACTCCAAACGTGAAGCAGAGGCATGACAGCACTGCCAGAGACAGCGGAGAGAGTTTTGCTGGCAAATTGACGAGCCAGCCGGCTGGTTTTGAGGAAGTGGTCTTCAAGCAGGAGCCATTACAGAGTGACCAGAGTGACCACGTCGTCTCGCGGAAGCCAACGCTCAAGCTTGAACAGTGGCAGCCAGAACACCAGTTCTTCGTCACGCCATTGCCAGCCCCGCAGCAGCGGCGACACTCGCACCAGCATCAGCCACCTCGCCGGCATCGCCAGCACGAGCATCATCCGTCGCGAAACCAGCCCCAGAATCTCGAGCTGAACTTCGCCTCGAGCTATCAGCAATGGCTCGAGGCGCCTCTGCCCTCACCGCCACCGACGCAATGTCGTGAGCAGCAGTCTCTATGCTACTTCATGAGCCGCTTCGTCGCTCGCAACATGTCCGACCCCTTTCCGGGACACTTGAGCTTTCTGTATGATTTGTATGATGGGGACCACATGTCGTCGCTCGAGCTGGCAACCCTCAGCGCGGCCGAGATGACAGCCTACAACAAGTTTGGGGTCCCGGAAATGAAGCAGCGCGCGTACAGGCATCGAGGCGCGGCCTTGCGAGCGTTGTCTACGTCGTTGGGCAGCTCGGACCGGAATGTGCGGTTTAGTGACAAGACCATTGGGACGGTCTTGTTGCTGGCTACATTTGCCGTGAGTGCCTTGAAACGGAATCAGACCACAAGACGGAGATGGCTTGGCTTTACTGACAACAAGTCCATTTGGTCTAGGACATCAATGGCGAGGGTGCAGCTGGAGATGGCGGCCACGCAGCTGGCCTGCACTACCTGCTCGAGCAAAGAGGCAAGGAGCAGCTCATGACCAAGACAGGATCCGAGATATTCTTCCTTGGCGTCATGAGGCTGGTATGTACAATAACCACTAGCTTTCGCGAGAGCGCCATACTGACTGCTCCTTGAAGCACATACACGCATTCGTCACCAACGACTTCTCATATGCCGACCCTGGCGGCTACTCGGAGCTCATGCAGGATGTAGACCCTCTCTGGCGTGGACGAGCACTCGTCTGCAAGATCCCGCGGCTGCGCAGTGCTCTGAGCGATCATCTCGATGCTATGGCGAAGAGGTACGAGCTTGAGACGGACGGGAATGACAATGCCACACAACCAAAATCACGAGAGACATCGCCAGTGCGTGACGAAAGCGCGCTGCCGCTGCCACCATTGCAGGAGGACGACATCCAAGAGATCATGATTCTGTACATGGGCTGCATGAAAGTGCTCCATGAGCTGAACGAGTGGGACCAGACCATCGCGACATCCCCGGCCTTCAACCCAGACATTGCCGAGGTCAGCACGCCAGACCTCAACAGTCCAATCAGTCCGTTGAGCGCCAAGCCGCCGTCTAACTCGACGAGTTTTGATGGCACATTCTCATCCCATCCACAGAAACAGCCTCTCCCCAAAAGATACGACACGGGCACAGCATGCACAGTGATCCTGCTCAAGTCGTCTCGTGTCATGCTCCTGCTCAAACTGCTTGCGTACTTCAAGCAGCTCAAGGACTGGGTCGTCGCGTACCCGCGACTGCTCGGCGACCCAGCCAACCCTAACCCACTGCTCGCGGCCGTCTTCTCAGACCCCTCGGCGAGCATGGCGGACATTGAGAAGATGCTCGACGACGTCCGGGAGAGCTTGAGTGAGATTGAGCGCTGCGTGCCGTTCGCCGTCGGCCACGAGGAGGATGACCTTGACGGGATCGCGAGTTTCCAAGAAGGCGGTGGCGGGTTCTACGCACGCACTGTGGGCGGCATTTCCGGCAATACGAGGAGGCTGGCGACGAACCAGGTCGAGGTCGCTGCAGCCGCACTGATTATTATGCACTCCCTCATTCTCGTCGCCATGTGTCCGTACTCGACGCCGGCGCAGAAGAAGATGAGCGTGGACGTGCTGAGCCGCATGGACAAGAACATGGGCATCCGGGCTGCGCGGCTGCGGCTCAAGGAGTTGACCGAGACCAGACCCCGGGGGCTGCACTTTTGAGGATGCGCCGCTGTGCCGTGGTGATTTTGGGAGGGTAATGATCTGATCATCATACAAAAGCAAGAGCACACTGGACTCTCATTTGGGTTGCGGCTGGATTCATGGTGGCGTTCTGTACCTAGCACACTCGAAATCTAGATGCTGCCCATTGATGGACTACACGATACGCGGTTCGAGGCAATCTAGCAAGTCCTGATCTCAACTGGGTGCTGCCGAGTCCTTCTCCAGCTGGCCAGCCCTCACCACATTCCCAGCGCATCGAAAGCTAGTTCCTCGGATGTCTTGACGAAACTGGAACGCATCTTGTGAAAAGCGAAAAACATGTGTCGACTTGTGTGTGCGCTCTTTGGCAACAGGCTGGACTACCTTTCAGCAGTTTTCCGATAGCGTGGGGATGACGCCATTCCAGGCACCATTTTTGTTACAGGATAAACTGCCTCGGCACTTGACAGCTCGCCGCCGCTAAAGCACGCACTACTTCATTAGTCTTGCGTTCCCGCATTCCCAAACACCAGGCGACCAGATGATAGGCGCGACGGAGCGCGTTGTGACGACGAAGCTGACGACAAACTGGTCTGAGGTTGCGACAAAGGTGCCCTGTCGATCTAGCATCGGGAGTGGTTGGCCATGGGGGTTGGGGCGCCGGAGCCGAGCGTCATGCTGCAGGGTAACTTCGGCTTGTGACAACTGCAATGATCGACGTCGGTGCAGCAGCCCTGGTGACTGATCCTGTCCATTTGACCGAAACAGGACATGCTTCCGAGCTTGCGGCAGGCAGGCAACACGAGCTTGGCCTAGTCGTCCCGTTCTGCTCCAGCTCTCTGAGCCGGGCACAACTGACAGATCGACAGAACTCTATTGACCCTGGCTCTACGGATTACATGCATCAGTTCCGAGCCAATGCAACGGCAGTATGTGTCAACCTTCGCTCCTCGACCCCTAGACAAGGACGAGGCGAGACCTCTCGAGGCCTGCGAGAACCCATTGTTGACCTCGTTTCCCCAGACTTTTGTGTGCCAGCGAGGGCACCACAGCCAGCTGACAGGGATGCCGACCCCCCTCTTCTCTCACCCTGGTCCGTAACCACTTTTCGGACACTCTTGGATCACTGATCGCTACGGTGGTCACGCAACCTCCCCATGTCGCTGCTTGCTTCCCCTCATTCTGGCGTTGGGGGACCCTGCTCAAAGTCCAGACCCCTTGTCCGCATGCCATCCATCTTCCCAGCGAGTCAACGCTTCCTGTTCGGCAATGACATGCGTGGGCCCTCCATAAACTGGTCGCACGGCGCCTGCCCGTGCCATGAACGACGTCGTGGTCTTCTGCAGAGTTGTGTCACTTGCCTCACTTTCTCTCTTTTGGGCTAGCTGGGCACGCGGACAAGAAGAAGCTGCCCCCCCATGCCGAGTCGATCTGCACACATTCAAGGTGCGAGAAGCAAGTTGATATTTCATGTGATTGCGAGCACAGCTGCCGACCAAGACTGTCCATGACACTTCCTCGGCACTTTTCCAGATCGCCATCCCAGGCAGCAAGATATCCAACCTTTCGCTTCCAGAGGGTGTCGCACCATTGAGAGCTCGTCTTAGTGCCTAGCCCATTGACCAAGAGCTCGACCACCGCTGAGCATAAGAGCACCATACCCTGTTGACGAGCACACCAGGGATACACATACGAGACAACCAAGTATATGGGCTTGTCTTCTGGTTAGAGCCGCATATTCCCATATCGCCAGCAATAATAGTCACAAGCGACTACACCGAACGCTCCAGCCATGCCATCAACTCTTCTCACACCATCCAGGGTCACCCTGGCCGCAGCGGTGCAGGCCTTGGTGCTGCCCAGGCTGTTCAAGGAGTCCCTTAGCACGACGAGCCAACTCAAGCTCATCCTGGGTATCTTTGGTGCCAACTATGCCGCCCTGTTCCTGCACTTTCTTGTCATCCGTCCTTTCCTACTGAGCAAGCTGCGGCACCTGCCTGGGCCGAGGGTAAGCTTGATCTCTCCACCACGCCACAAGCAGAGACAAAGTGCTCCCACTAACATTTCTCCCCAGTATCACCTCACGGCTCTACCGCGGAGCATGGTCGGCCGCCAATCTCCGCCGGGCGAGATCTTCATTGACGTGATGAAGCGCTACCCGTCGGACGAGCTGATCCTGTGCAGCATCTGGCACGACTATCTGCTGGTCGCACGGCCGCGCGGGCTCGCGGACGTGCTGGTCCACCGGCCCTACGACTTTGTCAAGCCGCCCAACATTGCGGGTTTCCTGCGGCACGTGCTGGGCGATGGGCTGATTGTCGTCGAGGGCGACCAGCACAAGTTTCTGCGCAAGAACTCGCTCCCCGCGTTCAGTTTCCGGCACATCAAGGACCTGTACCCGATGATCTGGAACAAGGCGCTGCTGCTGACCGAGGCGCTGCGGGCGGATGCCCAGGAGGCGGGCACACGGGGCTATTCGCTTGCCTCCAACAACACAGCGTCGTCGTCGTCGCCGCCGCCGAGCTGGGCGCACCCGGGCACCGTGGAGCTCAACACGTGGGCGTCCCGGGCGACGCTGGACATCATCGGCGTGGCGGGTCTGGGGCGCGAGTTCAACATGATGAAGCGCAACGAGGACCCGCTGATGGCCGTGTACGAGGAGCTGCTCGAGCCGACCAAGGAAAAGCTTGCGTTTTTCCTGGCCACGGCGATGCTGGGCGAGAGGGCTGTCAAGGTCCTTCCGTGGAGGATGAACCAGGTCTTCAAGCGGCTCACACGCGCGTTGGCGGACCTGTGCGGGCCGATGATGCAGGAGAAGCGCGAGGCAATCGTGAAGAAGGGCGATGATCACTTTGATGTCCTGTCGTTGCTGGTCAAGTCGGACAACTTCTCGGACAAGGAGCTGACGGATCAGCTGCTGACGTATCTTGCGGCTGGGTAAGTTCCGGCTGTTGTGCCTCGGAACATTATGGGAAAACGAGAGTGGTGAGAGGCGTGCTAACGCTTTTTCCTGTGCAGACACGAGACCACCTCGTCAGCATTCAGCTGGACCAGTTATCTGCTCGCGAAGCACCAGGACATCCAGGCTGCGCTGCGCAGGGAAGTCCAGGATGCCCTGCCGCAGGGCTGCGCCGGCACGGATCCTGCAACCACCGACATCGCCAGCATCCTCGAGTCGCTGCCCTTGCTTAACGGCGTCATCAACGAGACGCTGCGTCTCTACCCGACAGTGCCCATCTCCATGCGTGAGGCGGTGCGCGACACGGTCATCGCGGACCACCCGGTCCCTAAGGGTGCGAGGATCTTGTTGGTCCCTTGGGCGGTGAACCGGTCGCCACAGATCTGGGGCGAAGACGCGACACAGTTCCGGCCGGAGCGGTGGATCAATGTCGATGGTGATGGAAAGCCGAACATGCACGGCGGCGCGGGGAGCAACTACCACTTCCTGACGTTCTTGCATGGCCCGAGGAGCTGCATCGGGCAAGGGTTTGCGAGAGCGGAGTTGAGGTGTCTGCTTGCGACGGTGGTGGCGTCGTTCGACTGGACGCTGGGCATGGATGAGGACAAGGTGGTCCCGGGTGGTGTGATTACGATCAAGCCGGCAAACGGCATGTATGTCAAGTTGCGTCCCCTGGAGTGAGCATCAGGGGACCATAGGGAGCAGCACCCTTGGTAGCAGGCACTGGCGGGGAGGGAAGTCTATCTCACCGGGGTGGATCGCCACGCTCAATCATGCGTCAGAAACCACTGGGTGCGATACCGTGACAACATCTTGTCATATGCCTGCAAGATGTGTCACAATGTAGGTACTCCTCGTACTTGTGAATCAATATCTCCTTTCTATTTTGTTTTTGCCCGTTCTATGTTGGTATCCACCTGAAAACACCCACTTAGAGGATCTCTTCCTTGCAGAAGATACCGTACTTCTCCTTGAGTTCCTTGATCAGGGGACCGTTGATCTTGCCGTTCATGGGAGCCAGGATACCCTTCTCGGAGAGAGTGCCGTTAAGCACCTGCTGGACAGCGACGGCGCAGGGGACACCAACTGAGACACGATGTTAGCCTGGACCTCAACCAACTACAAACATGGACAGATGAAGGTACATGAAAGGAAGTGAACGTACCAAGCTTGGCCATGGCCGAGTAGCCCTTGGGGTCGGAGCTGCCGTACTCGATGAGGGTCGAGGTCCGGGTCTGCTGGGTGCCGTCCTTGAGCTCGACGCCAAACTTGTGCTGAAGGCTGTTTAGGAAAAGTCACATGTTAGCATTCGCACTTGTGATAGTCTGCGGGGTATGGGGACAACATACATGAGGATGTCGCGCTCGCCCTCGCCAAACTGCATCTTCTTCTCGAGTGTGGCGCACAGGGTGTCGAGTGGGTTGCCTCGGGGGATGGTCTTGTGGAAGAAAACATGAATTATTAGCGTGTGCAAGCTCAATTCGGGGGCAGGGGGGGAGGGGGGTTCAAGTGTCATCAAAGGCCTACCTGCTCATCCGAGAAGAGACCCAGCCAGCGGAGGCCACCGAGGATGTGCTCGCGCTGCTGCTGGTCCTTGAAGGTGGTCTTGGCATCGATGCTCTTGATGAGCTCCGCCTCGTCCGACGAAGAGGCGCCGAGCAGCTGCTGGGTGACCTGGTTCCAGGATCCGGACTGGGCAAAGTATGGCTGGGGCTCGTCCTTGAGGAAGCCAATGTCGACGAGGACCTTGACGAACTCGGGGAAGCCGGCGTAGCGGAGGGTGCCGCGGATGATGGTCTGGGCCTCGGGGATGTTGTAGCGCTCCTTGTAAGGGGTAGAGTCACGGTTGGGGTAGGCGACGGTGGCGAAGCCGGGGCGGATGTGGTAGGGCTTGGCCTCGGCCATCAAGTCGGGGCCGTCGACGTCGACACGCTTGCCGTCCTGGTAGAAGCTGGCCGGGTTGCGGAGGGCGAGGAGGACGCCGCGGGGGGACCAGGAGAACTTGTAGCCGAGGGGGTTGCCCGAGTCCTCGGGGGCAGGCAGGCCACCGCAGTAGGAGAGGAACGAGGTGATCTTGCCACCCTCGGCGTGGACCTCCTCGATGGTCTTGATGGCGTAGAGGTGGTCGACGCCCGGGTCGACACCAATCTCGTTCATGACGGTGATGCCGGCGTCCTTGGCGGCCTGGTCGAGCTCGAGCATGGCCGGCGAGACGTACGAGGTGGTGACGACGTGCTTGCGGTTGCGGATGGCCGACTTGATGACGGTCGCGTGGAAGGTGTAGGGGATGAGGGAGATGACGAGGTCGTGCTGGGCGACGGCAGCGTCGAGGGCGGCGTCGTCGGTGACGTCGAGGGAGATGGGCGTCGTGTGGGCGACGCCGGCCGAGAGGGCCTGTGCCGACTCGAGGGTGCGGCAGGCGACGGTGACGGCGACGCCAGACTCGGCGAGCACGTCGAGCGTCGGGCGGGTGACGAAGCCCGCGCCGAGCATGAGGACCCTGGAGGTGGAGGCAAGGCAGACATGTCAGTAGTGGTGCTTGTTTGGTTATCAACAGGCCAGGCCCAGAGACAACCGAGGGAGAGGGAGAGAGACATACTTGTGAGACGACATGGTGGGCAGTATGTGCTATTGATGGGGGGCGATTGTGGTGGTGACGGCGATGTGTCTGGCCAGAGATTAAAAAATTAAAAAATAAAAAGCTCCAAACTGTTGTCAACCACTGACTGACTGCTCGCTCTCTGGCGCTGCGTCCGCATTGCTCCGGTGCGGGGACTGCCCACCGCGGGGTGCCTGCCCATTGCCCAATCGCGGGGTCCGGCCCCGGCCCTGGCCGTGTCGCAGTGGTGCCTCAGGCCAGGCGGCAGAAACTCTTTGCGGGCGGTCAGCGCGGACCTCTCCTCCGGTCTCGGCCGTGGCTACAGGGCCTATTTTGCAAGGCGTGTCTTGCCTGTTGCCAGGGTCCTCTCTCTCCTCCCAACCTTGAGGGGCCAATGACGTCAAGTTCTGCATGGCTCACTGCCACTGCTGAACAATCTTCATCCCGCTGTCCCCCGAATGTAATCAGTAGCTCTCGTCGGCGTTAACTCTGGCTCGCAAGACATGAACACGGCAAGGCAAGCAGCCAACCAGTGCAGGCCTCAGCGCCACTGCCCGGCTCACGTCAGCTGCTGCCCGACACGGAGACCTGACCAGGCTGCAGACTACCCCAAGTAGGTAAACCCGAGCTTGTTTCCCGGCCGTAGCTTGACGCGAGCCGCCCAAACAAGAGGCGAGCAGCCGACGCTACGAGCTGGCGATCAGCACCCCTAAGGCCGGCCAGTATCGCCGAAAGGCTATTGCTCGGGGCTGGCGGGGATGAGTAGCTCCCGAGGCTGGCGGTCTGCTGCACGAGTATATATTAAAGCCAGTGTGCTTCTTGGTGGTGCTGTGATGATATGTGTTATAGTGCCCGCATCGCTGCCAACGTTGTTCATCTCTCCCAAATGGCGGACCACTCCTCTCTCTTGCTGCGCGGGGGCACGTTGCTGCTCCACGATGATGCCGACCATGTGGTGCCGACAGTGGCAGACATCCTCGTCGAGGGTTCTCTGATTTCCAAGATTGGCACGAACATCCAGTTGGACTCCCAAGAAGCTACGCGCGTGATCGATGTGTCCGGCAAGATCGTCGGCCCGGGCTATGTCGATACTCACCATCACCTCTGGCAGACCCAGAACAAAGGAGCCCACGCAAACCATACACTCCTACAGTACATGCCCAGGGGCAACAACGTTTCCGTCCGCTACTCGAATAGGGACCTGTTCTATGGTCAGCTCTCTGGCTCGCTCGAGGCCATCGATGGCGGCACGACCACCGTTGTGGACCACGCCCACTGCAATGCATCTCCTGATCATCGTATGTGACCCCCTCGCCTGCCTGCTGCCCGACACCAGTAAACTCTCGATATAATGTTCGAGCTGACTTGCAACGAACCTCTCAGCCCACACCGCCATCCAGGCTCTCGTCTCGTCTGGCCTTCGGTGTGTCTACTGTCTCTCGCCACGCATCTCGTCCGTTACCAGTAACCCCCCTACCGTCAAGGTCGACTACTACTCGGCCGAGGCCATCACATCGTTCCGCGCCCTGGCTGGCAGGGCACCCTACGGCAACGGGCGCATCCACATTGGTGCCACGCTCGACAACCCATTTGTCGACGGCGACACCATCAAGGCCTACTACGCGGCGCTCCGTGGCACCGATGGCGACGGCAACCACCCGGCAGCCAAGCTCATCACCTCGCACTCCGCCGCGGGGCCCATCTCCGGCGGTGACAGGTCCCCCTCGGTCATCCAGATCCTGCACTCGCACAACCTCCTGGGTCCAGACATTCTCATCTCGCACGCGAACCACCCGAAACCGGGCGACGGGCAGCTCTACGCCGAGTCCGGCGCGCACGTCTCCAGCACGCCCAACACGGAGCTGCAGATGGGCGAGTATCCCGTCGCCATGCGCGCAGACCATTACGCCAACGCCAGCCTCGGGATCGACTGCCATACCTGGGGCGCCGCGGACATCCCCAGCCAGATGAGACTGGTGCTGCAGGCTGCGAGGGTGGAGAGGGGCGAGAAGCTCGCGAATGGCCTGTATGAGGGCAAGGAGGGACGCAAGATGTGGAGCCGTGTCACGGGATTCCAGTGTGAGGATGCGTACAATCTGGGCACGATCAAAGGGGCCAAGGCTGCCGGCTTGGAGGGCGAGGTCGGCAGGCTGAGGCCCGGGTACAAGGCCGATCTGGTCGTGTACGAGACTGAGTCGCCCAGGATGTTGGCCGCCGCAGTCGAGGATCCGGTCGCCGCCGTGGTCTTGCACAGCTGCCCTGCTGATATCTCCATGGTGGTGATTGACGGCGTTGTTCGCAAGGAGGACGGCAAGTTGGTTGACGTAGTTGTCTCGCCGGCAGAATCGGCCCAAGGTGAAAGTCACCCCGGTGATGGATTTGCTGCGGAGCCGGGCACGCGACTGACTTGGAAAAGGATTGCTGCCGAAGTTCTGGACAGCAGACTGAAGTTAAAACAGAAGTTTGCAGAGCTGGACTTTGTTGGCGCGGAGGAAATGGTCATGAAGGGCTTTTACTGGGACGAGCAGGCATTGCTCGAGGCACAGACTTGACTGTGGTGGCCGATGGCTCGCATCTTCAGGATCGTTATCGGTTGCGTCCTGAGCAGGTATACGAGAGCAGTCATAGTAATTTGTTGATTTTGCGCAGTGCATACATTTACTTTATCTGTACGCCGCTGCCAACCCGAGCTCCGAACTTGAAATGAGAGGACTTGAAAAGACATTTGCGCGGAAATAACCACGAGAGAGTGACTTGAGAGACGAAATGTGTACAGGCGGGGACTACCAGAGCTCTCGGTAGAGCGGCCGGATTGCTTCTTCAGGGGCGAGGATATTCGTAAAGGTCAAGTGGAGCGGACAGAAACCATCCATCAAGTCAGGATCGCTTACGGCAGAAGCGCATTCAGCCCTGTACAGTGAAGTCGTCGGCGGCGTCGCGGCAAGGAACACCGCACTTGTAGATGTGCCAGCCGGACCACTTGTCCGAAAGGCTGCCATCGTCGATCTTCATGTTGCAAATGACGTTTCCCTCCGACTCGAGCGACTTCTCGGCCGAAAACCAGACGGCAGGGTTCAGCTCCATAAAGCCAAGCTCCGGTGCCCAGAAGCCATCGTTGCCTCCCGCGCCCTCCTTGGGACCGTCTCTCGTCCACTGCACCTCGATAGCACCGGGTCCCGGGCGGCCAGGAGCGTCAGGAAAAGTGAACTTGTTGATGGCACCGATCGAGCAGTCCTGCCACTGCTCGTTGCCAAAGGTGGTGAAGGCTGGCTCGCCTTTGGGAGAGCCAGAGATGGAGCACTCGGCCCGGCCGTCTGCGTGCGTGTTGGCCTTGACTTCGACTGTGTGCGCAAGGACGTGTATTAGCCCCTGTGCAATAAATCAAATAGCGATCCTGGACCTTGGCCACAACCGGGGGTCTTGTCTATCACTTACTGACGCAGTTGTTGCTCTCGGGTTCCCACACTGGCGGCGGGGACTCTAGAAACTCAAGGCCAGCCAAGACAAATTTGAAAAGCGTGATGCCTGCCTCTGCGATGAGCCAGATTCCGCGCTTCTCGTGAACAACGCCAGTCTCGGGAGTTGCTCCCCGGATCGCAGGCATCTTCTTGTAGGGAATTTGGCGCTCTTCAAATTCGCCAGCGGTAGACGAGGGCGTCGCGGCAGCGACCGAGGCGAGAAGGAGGAGGGCAGAAACGTTGGCCTTCATCTTTACCGTGGTAGTAGGATATATTTGATTTGGTCAGGTAAGCGGGCGAAGTGATAGCTTCGAGGCGTAAATTTCGAGATGTTGGGAAGAACGGGTTGTGGTGGTAGTCGCAGTGTTTGTTTGGTTGTTGATGTTGATACTGATGGAGTCTTCTCGACAGTCATCGTGAGCAGATGTCGTGATTTTTATACACGACAGGCACTGTCGGAAGCGGTTGGTCCCCAGGGCAGGAATGATGTCTTCGAGAGTTGCTATTTCCAAAGATCATCGACGTCATCAACGTCAAACGCAGAATGAGCTTCAAAGACCAATGCTATCACTGCCATGACGCCAGGCACGGCCAGCCAAGGCCGATTAGAGATCGGCATGGTTCCCGAAGGTTGAGCAATGTCCACAAGCCTCATCGCTGGTTGCGAAGCTCACGCCAGCAGTGTGTATGCAATTGGCTCGGACACGCAAATTACAGGTGATACCAGCCGGACAGTCACAATGCCAAGACTCGACACTGGGCTTCGGGTTTTAATCAGGACCCTGTATTCTGGCGATCGTAAGTGTCATCATGCAAGGATTCCGAGAGTGTGGTGCCGTGATGCCGTGCTCGACGTTTGTGGGACCAAGACAAAGACAATAAAGTCATGGTGATCGAGCAGCATGGTGTGGAGATTCCCACAATCACGGCTGCGATTCCAACTAAGCGTCACGACCCGCTGGAGCATCGGTCCCGCCTCCCCATCAATTCTGGAGCCTGTGACGTCCTGGCAGGTTGAATCCCTGCGCGGGTGGGCCGTCTCCAGCATGGGATGTCCATATCGGGAGAATTATTTGCTGTGAGTGTCGCGCGGCATGGGGCTATCTCCTCGCGCGCACTGAAGCTGGCAGCCGCCGAGCCGCATCGGGGACTTGGCATCACGAAGTGGTCCCCGCAAGTGTCTAAAACAGACTGTCAGGGATGAGCTGTTCCCGTTCGGGGTTGGCACGAAGAATGTGTTGGGCCCAGCCACGAGCAGATCCTCTGGACCCTGAAACACGGCAAATTCGCCCATAACAATGCACAGAGTTATGGAGACCACGTACTTGGGGCTCCTCTACACGTGCGTCACGAGTTGCCAGAAATAGCACAGCGCCCCTGCCGTCAACGTCTGAGCCCGCGCTCAGTGATATAATGGAACCCTGCAACTTGACGTATCTCAGCTACGCCGTGCTTAAGAGTAGTCCAGGTTGAGTAGGTGACTGGTGGGGTCGATGACGCCCAAAGTTCGCCGACCTGACTAAGCTATTCTTGTATTGTCATGGATGACTCCTTAGAAATGCTCATTTGTTTTGATAGACTATCTGGTGCGACAGAAACACTATTCCTCTGTCTCTGAGAAGGCAGGCAGAGCGGCGACTACTAGGGTTTGATGCAGTGACTCTGTTGCTTTCGAGCTATCACCCCGGCATCGTACAGAGATGGAGCCCATTTTCTCTGACTCTCTCGTCTCATGCTCAGGATTCTGCTGTCGCAGCACAATAAAGCTCCTGAAACCTCTCGGCCGCAACCTGCATGCAGTCATGCGTGTAAATCATCTTTTGCACATCGGGCGACGCCCACTTGTCAGGGACATTGCCACCGTTCTTCTTGGCCTCTGCAAACTGCCTATCGCGCTCCTCCTTGGCCTTGCCCTCGCCCAGATGCAGCGTTCGGCCGGAAAAGGCAGCCAGGTCCACGAGCGTCGAGGTTCGCTCCTTGCGGAGCTCCTCATACACAGCAAGGGCTTTGCTGATCGCGCGGGCCGTCTGCTCACCCATCGAGTCTGATGCAGGCAGCGGCACTCTGGCCAATACCTCGGCGAGCACGGCGCCGTCCTCGATTGCCATGGCGGCCCCCTGGTTGAGATGCGGCAGCGTTGGGTGGCAAGCGTCGCCTAGAAGAGCCACGCTCCCGTGCGACCATGTTGGAAGGGGTTTGTGCACGTGCAGCTTCCACTCGCAGACCTCGCCGTCGGGCACGAGGTCGAGCATCTTCTTGACCAAGGGGCAGAAGTCGTCAAAGACGCTAAGCATGGCCGACTTTGAACCCTTGGTCGTGTACGTAGCCGAGAGGGAGGGCGCCTCGAAGTTGACGTCGGGCTGAATCGAGCTCATGTTGTATATCTGCCGGCCGTGTATCGGGTACGCGATCCAGTGCCGCCGCTCGCCGATCCAGCGAGTGACCTGGTTGCTGTCGAGCAGAGCCATCATGTCCGGGTCTGACTCCATCTTTTCTCGGGGCAGCATGACGCGGTAGGCGGCTTGGCCTGTGGGCTCGGCCTCGGCTGCCAGCCCCAGCTGAGAGAGCAGCGCGTTCCGAGTCAGGGACTTGACTCCGTCAGCAGCAACAAGGACGTCGGCAGTGACCTGCCTCGTGCGGGAGTCGCGAGTCTGAATAGTGAAGGTCGGCTTGGGGCTGAACGTGTCGACGCTCACCAGAGCGTGGCCAAAGTGGAACGTGATGGCCGACTCCTTCCGACAGCCGTCGTAGAGCCCGCCGGCTAGGGAGGCGCGGTGTCCGGTGCAGTGGGGGAAGCCATACTTGTCACGGATGTTGCCCATGTCGACGTGGGTCAGCTCAGTGTTGCTGGCTCCATCTGTGTGGCCAAAGGTCAGCACGTAGTCGCCTCGGCTGAGATTCTGCGGGCCGCCATACCTCTGATGCTCGTCTCACGAACGTCTGTCGAATCGGCGGCAATCTTGTCCCAGCAGTCCCAGCGGGTGAGGATGCGGACGAGGTTGGGCGCCATCTGGATGCCGGCACCCACAAAGCCGAGGTTGGATGCCGTCTCGTAGACCTGGATGTCCGTGAAGCCCTTCTTGGCCAGGGCCAATGCACATCCAAGACCTCCCATGCCCGCGCCGATGATGGCAATGCTCAGCTCTGATGGGCTGCGGCCCGCCGCGTCCGTCGTGCTTTCCACTGCCATGGCTGCTGCTGTCCTGCTGTTGTAAGTGTGCCGTCCGACAAGATCTCGACCATGTGGCTCAAGATCCAGACCGGGTCCAACAAGGTCCGCGGCGGCCAGATAAAGTATGCAAGCACCTCCGATCCTGGCCGATGCGGGCGCCCGGCCGGAAGTGACGTGCGGAAATGCCGGTGTGCGGGGAAAACTGGGACCGGGGGATAATAACGCCTGCCCTCCATGTGGTGGGCTCGGTGCGTGGAGCAGGAATTGGCCTGGACGCTTTCTCACCGGGTCACAATCCCATGTCTCTTAGCATCAAGCATGCCTCTCGAGTGCCAGGATTCGTGCCCCGCCTCCAGAACAGCCCGATATCGGCCAGCCGTGCCTAGGTGCCATCATAGCGACAGTCAAGACTGGGTAGCGAGCCATATTCACGCTGACGTTGCATAGTTAGACGGTTTCAGAATGCAGGCCAACGAGTCACTTTTATCGATACAAGAGATCCTCTTTGGCGTCTGGACCCATCGCTCGCATAAGGACGATGATGCCATGCGTGATTTTGGCTGGCAGTGGGCTCGAGTCTCATACGGGTTGACTACGTCACGTCCCAGCTACTTGAAAAGAAAATTTAAGCGGTATTTAACTACTACTTGAGGAACCAGAGCACTGAAACAGACAAGGATGACGTCTTGAACGCCACCTTAGGCGGATTCCAGGAAAGCTGGTCAGCCCGCTACCAGTCATGTGAGGATATCAGACATCAGTGTGCGGCTTGAGTGTCCAGCAGTCGTGGGACTAAGCCTGAATCAAGGTGAACCATGTACGAGAATCCAGATACCTAGGTGGATGGGGGTCCCATATCTTACACGCCCTCACTTATTTTTTTGGGCGTTGTCGTTGCCGCGATGCATTTAAGAAAGGAAACATGAATGAAGTATCCGTAAGGCTCTCCGGGGTTGACCTCTGTCTTTCGTATCTAGAATGAGGTCATGCCGATGAGAAGTAACCCATGCTAAAATTAAGAGCTCGCAGTGGGGTTACCTAGCCGCGGGCGTTGCCACGAGGTCGTTTGAGCAGAAATCGCAACCAGCTCCATGCGCCGGTGCCGAGAACCACCCGCTCGGCCTGAGCCAAGCCACGTGTGCACCACCATACCGCTTACCGCTATGGCCTCTTCCCATATTAGCCTCTACTATGGGCCAAGGCGAGTTCTTCAAAGCAAGTAGAAACAAGGTTTATCTGACGGTGTTGTCCATCCACGATTTAGCACTTCCACGCCTGTAACGTGGAATAATGGTCTGTACCACGAGAACATGGCACTTCCAAGTAACCACATTATCCAAGTCGGGCAGTAGCGTCCCGCGGGTAGATCAGTCATATGCGCAATAGTGGACGTGGCACCCAGGAGAGGCATCGCCGCCGAACTCTATCGCGTACAAATTTCTTCACCAAGGGGCGACAGTAGTGGGGCACCGTGATTTGCGCTCGGAAACTATCCCGCATCTGGCCCATTTGCTGTGATGGACCGTATCGCATCTGTTGTGATGGCCCCTGCCGCATATGCTGTTCTCGATGCCGGACTGAGCCGAGCAACAGGTCGCCTGTATTTCAGGATCCTCGGTGTTTTGCTGGCAATCAATGAGTACAAAATGCGCGGTACTGCCCCTCCCAACATGGCGTGCTTGTTCATTCAATGACACAATTCTCCCGACCGATCTTGGTCTCCACTTTGTACCAAGTTATATATGCAACGCCGCCCCGCCAGCAAAAAGCGGCACAATTTGACGAACCGAGTGCTCATCATGGCACAGACGTCTACCATGCTGCAGCAGGCCATCTCGGGCGCTGCCTTTGGTGCAGCGCTGACGCTTTCAGGGGTGTGGGTACCATCGGTCGTCCTGGGCCAACTGAAGCTCGACGACTTTCGCATGCTGCGCATGTTTCTCACAGCCAGTGGCACGAGCATGTAAGTCACGGTCACCAACCACACAGGCAACATTGCCCATGTCTCGGACAGCATATGCTGACGCCCGTTGGTCTTCTCCACCATCCACAGACTCATCTTTGGCCTCTTGTCCGGCAGAGGCCTGCCCAAATCCTCCCCTCGCAGGCCTTCACCGATCTCCGGAGTTCTTGGTAGCAGCGGCAAATATGCCGGCAACATCATCGGCGGACTGATGCAGGGACTGGGCATGGCGCTCGCCGGAGCCTGTGCCAGCACCGTCCTTGTACAGGCCGGCCTGGGCACTTACCCGGGCCTCTACACCATCTCTGGCGCTGCGGCTGGCGGCTTCCTCTTTATTCCCATCAACAGTTGGATTCAAAAGAGGAATGCTGCTATGAAAACTAAGACAATGGGTTTCGACCAGAAAGAAAAGGCGGCGGATCCTCCAAAGCTCACAATCTATGAACAAATCGGCGTCAGCCGCTCGACATGCATACTGGCCATGGAAGCTGCGCAGGTAGTTATGATCAGAGGCTTGGCCCTGCACAAGAACGGGAGCACCACTACTCATGCTACTGACAAGGCTTTCATTGATCCGATTGTGGGCGGACTGCTTGTGGGACTTGCGCAGACCATCGCGCTCTCTGTGAGGGGGTCACCGCTCGGCGTGTCAAACGTGTTTGAGGAGATGGGGAACATTCTCTGGGCGGGCGTGGACGCTGTGACTTCACTCAGAGGAATCAATCATCGTCAGCCGAGAAAGAAGCTGAGTGTCACCGGCCTGGCCTTTGCGGGTGGTATGGTCCTTGCTGCTGCGGGGATCACACGCTTTGTACTGCCTGCGTTCAAGGACCCTTCTACAATAGCAGCGCTGGTGGACCGAGGGCGGCCGCGGTCGCTGGCCAAGAGTCCAACGGCACTACGGGCGATGGTCGGCGGTGTTCTGATCGGGCTGGGCTCAAGGATATCCGGAGGTTGTACTTCGGGCCACGGCATAAGTGGGCTCGGCCTGCTCTCGACTTCGAGCTTGGTGACAACGACATGCATGTTTGGAGGGGGGATCGTGTTTGCGCAGCTGCTGTAGATTAATCTCGTAGTCCAGTCTCTGCTTCATGCCCAGAAGCTCGTCTCTTGTGGGCGACTTCTGGCATTGGCAATGGCATGCGAGTTCCAAGCATCCGTCTCCCTTTCAGGGGTGTGTCATGCGCTGTTTCAGGGGTTGGTTGGTGTTGAGGTGACTAAGGCGCCACGCCCAGGCCACCACCAGCACGCTCCACTGAACAAGCTTCGAGAGAAAAAGGCTGCGGGTTTCGGATTTGATGTTGTCCCGCCCATCTCCGGGCCTTCCGCGTCTCCCTTCCATCCACCACCTACTCACTACACGACCACCAACAACATTCGCCGTGCCGTCCTGGTTCTGTGGAACACAAGACACACTTCTCATCTGCTGCGGACCACTACGGTCGGGATTGGCCGCCTCTGGACCACGGCCTCACCGTGTGGCTGCAGCGTGCGACGATGCCTGCGCCAGCCATCTCCAAGCCCAAGCCAGAGCCTGCCAAGTCGGCCGCCTACGGCCACGTCTGCGTCGACTGCGCCAAGGCCAAAGTCAAGTGTTATCCGCGCCCAGAAGGTGTCTGCGTCCGGTGCGTCGTTTCGTCCGCTTTGTTCCTGTGACTGCGACTGGCAAGGGGTCATCTCTGGAAGAAAATCAACTGACGAGAAAGGACCCATGCATTTGTCTACAACAGCTGCCACCGCCGCGGACAGCCCTGTACGCCCGCAACCCCTGCTAGGCGCCTTGGAGCGAAGCGTGCCTCTTCTGCCACGAGTCCAGGCCGCAGCTCTCGTCTCGAGGGTAAACTCGATCACCTCGTCGACCTCATCCGCTCACAGCAGGCTGCGCAGGAAGCTGCCGTAGTTGGGTCGTCTGCGACACAAAGCCCCGTCCAGCAGCAGCCGCCCAGTGCTGGTGCTCATATCGACCGTGGCCAGCAACCAGAGGCGGCTGCTGTGTATGCACCAAAGTACAATTACCAGGCGTTCCCTACTTCTCACAACAGACAGCAGCACCACTCGTCACTTGCGACCCCTTCAGCCACAACTGCTGCGTCACCAGCTAGGGGTCCTGAGTCGCCGGCTGGCCCTACGCCCTACGAGAATGAACTGACCATCATGACGCCCGAGCAAGCTGAGCAGTGTCTTCAGACCTTTCGCTCAGGGTACATGAAGTACCTGCCATATATATATCTACCAGCAGACGTGGGTGCGGAACAGCTGCGTCGAGATCGACCTTTTCTCTGGCTCAACATCCAAGGAATCTGTGCTCGGCCTCCATCAAAACAGATGGCACTGGGTGGCTTCATCCGCGAAGTACTCGCGAGGCAGTACATGATCGAGGGGGAGAGAAGTCTGGATTTGCTTTTGGGAACGCTGACATGTCTCACATGGTAAGAGGCATGCCATCCTCGTTGCCAGGACTGTTTTAATACTAACAATGCTCTCCTTGCTGTTGCAGGAGTCATTTCTACAACCGCGGACGGCCCATGATGACCATGATGTCCCATGTTGCCAGAGCGCTCACGTACGATCTCAGGATCAACAAAGACTTTCCTGACGATGCCCTGACAGGATCCGTCTATGCTAAAATCGTGGAGATACCAAAACCTCCGCTGAGTCACGAGGTTCGGAGGGCATTGTTGGCGTGTTACATTACTTCTTCTGTGTAAGTACTATCCGGTCTTCTCTTCATCAACAACCGACCGCCTTCTAAGCAAGTCACACATGCAGTTCTACATCGTTTGGCCGACACGCTCCTCTGCCATGGTCACGGTCCATGGAAGAGGCAGCCCAGCAGCTGCGTGCAAGCCCAGAAACTCCCAGTGACGAGATGCTAGTGGCCATCGCGTCCGCCAGGCGGCTTATTGACGAGACGAGTTTGCTCAACAAGCAGCAAGCCGACGACCCAGCCGGTTTTGGAATCATCACCGCGTATATTCCTGCGCTGAAAGCTGCTCTGCAATCAGAGCGAGAGAGATTGCCGTCCGCGTTGCGCGCGAACCGTGAGTCTTTGCATCCTTTGCGCTTGGCTGAGTAATCCGCGGAAAGATCCAGATCACCGAGTCCAAGCTCGTTCTTGGCTTGCTGAAGTGCTGACCCCCTGTGGGATCACAGGCCTGATGACTTCATACTTTGATCACGTCGAGGTCTGCATACACGAGCTCGCACTGCTCCAGCAACCTTCAGATACCTACACATCCACGAAGCCTGGCGCGACAACCTCTGCCCCAGGTGCGAGCCAATCAACAAGCTCTGCTTCTGCACCAAAACACCAAAGCGCTGGATCCCGACCGCCTGCGGAGCCCGTGGAAAGGACATCCGCAGAGACCAGCAGCACGACGACGACCTCGATGCTCGTGACAGCTCGCACCAATAGCCGACGACTTGCTTACTTGACCACTTGCCTGGACGCCGCGAAGCGGTGTCTAGACAATCTCCTCTCCCTCGACGCTGCTGACTTTTTGTACATGACCTTCAGCGTGACCGTACAAGCCCTGTACTCGCTACAGACCCTTAATCGGCTTGCGCTCGTGGAGGGGGTGGATGGTTGGGAGAGAACCGAGGTTCGGAGTGTCGCCGACGGCCTGGAGTATATGGGTCGCTTAGAATCAAAGATGAGACAGGCCGGACGAATCCTCAGAGAAGGGAGTGTGCGGAGATTTGGTTGTGCCGCAAATGGCAGCAGTATCGACGGGGCAGAACACCCACCGCCGCCAGCGGAGCAAGATGGTCCATGGGAGGAGAGCTCTTTCACCAAGGGCGCCGAGCTCCTCAGGAAGACCGCCGAAGCGTGGGGCAAGGTGCTTAATGCCAAGCAGCAGCCTGTCAACGGCAAGTCTCGCGAGCGAGGACTCGAGATTGACTTTCAGTGTATCAACGTTGCCGAAATTGGCCAGCAGCCTAGGAGGGGCAACGACACCCGAGAGCCAGTAGGACGAGTCCTGTCGCATCGCCATGACCCCAGTCGAGGAGGCGGTGCAAGTTTCGACAATATCCTCAACCACCATGACCCAGCAGAAGACGTGGTCATGGGCGGCAACATGGTCAACCAGGTGGGGATCGGCGGTGTTGCGGGCGGCGTGCCACTTTACAGCAACAACCCATATGCCCCCACCACCGCAGGAATAATGCCTGATGGTACAGCCGTGTTTGGCGGGATGGGTGACCCAATCCTGTACCCTGGCGTGCCGGACTATAGCTGGATGTCTGACATGCTTGGGTACTGGGAGCTCTAAATAGCATCGGGTGTTTAACCCCGTCACAGATCAAACCCGGACAGGCAGGCGTTGTTCCCTGATGTATTTAATTTGCATTCGCCCTTGGCACCAAACTTCCACCTGCGAGGTCCGCCTGGCTCTTGTAGTAATACGAAGCATGCTTGTGAGTCGGGAAATGGCCATGCCATTGTGCTGTCATCTGTGCACGACGGAAAACGGTCCTGGAGCGAAAAAGAAACGTCGCCCTTCTTTCCGCGTGGCGGCCAACCGGCTTCAGCACTTGGTGTTGGGCAGAAGTGATCTCAACGTTCAAAGTCAGGGCACATACTTGACAACCAGCATTGACCGCAGTTTTCTCGGGGTATGCACCGATAAGCGTCTGCCTGCGCAAGGCCAGATTGCCTTCGGCTGCAGGTAGTCATCCCTCGACTAGTTTCATTGTGCACTTGCGCGAGCAATGAAGCCTCGTTCATAGTGCGCGAGACGGTCTAGCTGCTATGGTCGTGACATGGCCACTACCCAATGACGCACAAACAATTGTGCGATCGTGAGCTCAAGCGAAGGCTGACACCAGAGAATGAAACCTCGCTACAGAATCAATCTGCACCACGCCAGCATTGATACATGTGACCAGGCTATTGCCATTCTGGAGGCAAACCTGTCTGATTGGCGCCGAGTGTTCCGGTATATGAATACCAAGGATTCGTAAAGTTTATAGCCAGTCGAACAGCAGTGTGAGAATCCGCTTGGTACTGCATGAAATTTGCGCCTAAGTATATGCCTAGGCTGTAGCAGGTACGGATCGACAGGTCGCCTGTGGTCCGCAGTGGGAACGTATGAGCAAAGTTCGACTTCCTGCGAACGGGCCGAGGAGTCCAGGAAGAGATCTGATAAAGAAAAAGCAGTTCAGCTATTGGATCGGAAGGCTGGGAAGTGGGGGGTGGTCCGTTCGCTAGAAGTCGAATTTGCTGAGGGGAGGCGGAACACCCTACAATTTCAGGGATATCGCGGGTCTTGGAAGTATTGGAGTTAACTCGGGCGTGCGAGAAGATACATGTTATCATTGGCAGGGGGGATGTTGTCATCTTTCGGCAACGAGCACTGGCATCCTGTCAAGACTGGGTGACTCACCGCATTGCTTGCATTTGAGAACAAAAGGACCTTGTCTAGGGTGTCCTTCCGAACCCGTCCGGCCCAGTCACAAGCGGCGCTCGGGTCTTTGTAAGTACCGCGCGGGGTCGGTGATGTCCACGCACTCTGCAGATGTGGCTCTAGCCGCCCTCCTTGTCCTATCATTGTCCCTTCTGCAGAATCGGTTGCATAGTGGTACTGGTGTGGGTACAGCCCGACTGCTTACCTGCCCGGTCGAAAATAAGTGCGAAGTTACGAAAGGGCAGGTTAAGCCGACAGAGATCGGACCGTTCAAGTTCCGTGCTCCGTGATCTGCTCGCCATACACAGATGGTTCTCAGAATCGCGGGTGGCCTATGCGTGCAGATCCCATGCCGCTGTGCTTGCTCAGCTTCTTGGCACTCGGCACTTAAGCATGTGTTGTAATCTCGGGGCCCGATGTTGCAATCGCTGCTCGCGCTCAACCCGCAGCTCCGTTGGTAAGCAGAAACTCTCATTGCCATCTGACATGTCGTTTAGCTTAACACTCGCGCCTCTGTTGTGTGACCTGTCTATCTCTTTTCTGGCTAGGTTGCCCTGTTGAGATTATCTTGAGCAGGTCTCATGGTGGTAAGATTGCGAACTGCTGTGCTACGCTCACGTACAGACAACATTCTGGCGGCTCACGTTGGCCCCAGGTGCACGCGGTTCCACTCACAACGCACACGTGGAAGCTTGCCATTCCGCAACATCCCTGGTGAAGATTTGGACGCCATGACTCGAAGTATTTGCGCCTCTGGTTATGATTGCGCCCTAGGCAACCAAAAAAGCACTGTCTGAAGTTGCAGCTCCACCGCCTGGCACACACTGTTCCCGTCTGCGACGCAAGGGACCATGCTACAAGCACTCGGAATGTTATTTGCTCCGGGCCCCACGTCGATGCCGCACTTGGTGGCAGTGGTCGGAAGAATATAAGAGGGCTCTCAACCCTCCATGACTTCATGATACAAGCGCAAAGAGGTCCAGTCTCAAGACACATTCTCATCACGTGTAGAGCAGCCCACCCATCTCATCGCTTTTGTATCTCGTTCTTCGACACAGTCATGGACCACAATACAACCGACACTAAGCCGTATCCTCGGTACTGGCTCATCACAGCGGCACGGACTGCCTCGAATATGCTCGTCACGATGCTCAACCTGGAGGAGCAGAATGTCGCTCTCCTGCGTCATGGCGGCTACTTCTTCTTCCCGTCCGTTTTCAAGCGGTTCCCTCTCCTCTTTGGCAAAGGTCCCATCGATTTATGGACGGATCAAGAGAGGGCAGAAGTGGACGCGCTCTCACAAGAGATCTTTGACAGGATTCAAGACCATATAGAGGCTAGCGAGAAGAGCGGCAAGACCATATTCGTCAAGGAACACGCGCTTTTCATGAACGATCCGAGAATCGAATCGGACTTTCTGCACAGGAACTCAGCGAGCAGGAGCAAGAGCAATGGCGACAAGAGTGCCCAGACAAGCCGCCACGAAGACCTCAGTGTCCTGTCCTGGCGCGGCAGTTCGCATGGCACTCGTTCGAAGCATAACCTGACCGTGTTCCCGGACGAGTTTCTCCACACAATCACGCCCACATTCCTCATCCGCCACCCGGCCATGATGATTCCATCATACTACCGCACTGCCCTAGACCAGGTCAAGCTGGGCACCATCGTCAGGCCTGACTCGATGGCTGGCGGGCCCTCGGAGATCGAGGCTTCGATACACTGGAACCGAGCCCTGTACGATTTCTACACGGAGTATTTCGCCGCGATCGGGCATGAGCCACCCATGGTCCTCGATGCAGACGACATCATGATCTCAGGAAATACACTTGTGCCGCAGTACGCCAGCCTGGTTGGCCTTGATCCAAGCAAGATTCGCCTCAACTGGGAAAAAGGCGCAGTCGATGATGGCAAGCTCGCCCCTATAGAGAGGCGTATGCTGAGCACCTTGCTAGAGACTTCTGGTGTGGACAGGTCCAAAATCGCCGGAGAGAATATTGACATTGACGCCGAGGCCGCCAAGTGGAGGGAGGAGTTTGGTGAGGACGGTGGCAAGCGGCTTGAGCAATGGGTGCGCGCCGCAATGCCACACTACGAGCACATGCGAGCCGGGCGGATGCGCCCGGGTGGTGTTTGAGACTGACCAAGCGCGTCGTTGTTGGCTCTGAAAAGTCATATACTGTCTATGGTAATTGAAAGCAGTGAGCAGCGTGTGCCCCGAATCCGGTGGATTGATACCTCCATGACTGTATTGTGTGAGTGTGCTCTTTGTGGCGAGCTCGAGCACGATCTTCATTTACCTGCAGCTTATGCACGTGCACTGCCATCCTCTCGTCGAATCTAACTCTCACAGCCACCTCCGGATGCCACCACGATTCAGATGCGAGCTAAATTCTCACTTGTCTCACTGGTGCCATACTCCACAGTGGTGGTCAGTTCTGCGGACCATGTGCTAATAGCATATGTTGTCACGGAGATGCCACGTTAATCTCCATTCGTGGATCTTCGGAAGTGGAGGCAAATTGTCTTCTTTCTAAACCTCTCGCTTGGTGTAGGGGACCACAGCCTTGTATGTGTAAACGCGAGCATGGGAGATGTCAAAAAGTGACGCGTTGGGCGATGGTTCTTGTCGAGGTGCGGCTTGCTTCAAGTACAATAGTAAAGTGCGGGGAAAATTTGAGGGTGTGCAAGCTATAGCATTTGTCAGGCAGTATTGACAAAATCGAGTAGCTCCGAGCTGACTTCGTCGGCCTTCTCCATCTGCAGCCAGTGTCCTCCGTCAAGTACAACACCTCGAAACTTGTCTCTTGCAAAAGTCCTTGTGTTGTTCACGGCTGCTTCGGCGAAAGTGACCTTATCCTGCGAGCCACCAATGACAAGCACGGGTACATGGATAGTGGCATTCATGGGGTTTACTCCAGCTTCGTCCACGGCATTGACACCTCGCATAAGACGTCTGTATATACCCACGGCGGACTCGATCGCGCCCGGCCGGCTGAAGAGGCGCATCCAGTTGTCCTTGTGAGCTTGCGAGTCCCATCCGGCCAGGGGTTCGGTGCTGATCCCGCTGGTCAGCCGATTGCGAAGCCCTCCTATGTGCGCGAAATTAGGGATCCAGCTCGCAGCGTCCGACGTGTATATGGTTGAGTAGAAGGATTCAAGCTGCAAGAGTAAAAGTGTCAGAAGTGCCCGAACTATGCAGAACGACAACCCAGGAGAGGTTCGCCGCACGCCGAGCCATCGACTCCGCAAGTCTCTACTCACGTTCTCGGTAATGACGGGACCTGCGTCGTAAGAGTTCATAAAGTACCAGTAGCCGAACTGCGTGTATCCCAAATCTGCCAGACTTGCCGCATTGATGGCGTCCACATCCAACCGAAAGCCCACGGGCGCGTAGCCGACAGAAAGAAATGCCAGCTTTTCAAGTCGGTCCTGGTGGTAAAAGTACAAGCGCGACAAAAAGTCGCTGCCATAATCGTGGGCAACGCCCACTACCGTCTTGAGGTTTTCAGCATCCAGCAGGGCAATGATATCGTCAGTCAAAGGCTTGGTCCGGAAGGCGTTGACATCAGTGGGCCTATCGCTGGCGCCGAAGCCGAGCATATCAGGAGCAAGCACTCCGTAACCAGCTCTTGATAGTGTCTGAAACTGCCGATGCCAATCTGCACGCGTCGAGGGGAAACCGTGGAGCAGAAGGAGGGTGCTCCGGCCGCCAGTGGCTGGAACATAGTCGTAGGCATAGGAAGTACCAGTCGTGGTCGTGAAGTATTTCGTGAGAGCCGCTGGGTCCCCGCTGTCAGATAGTGAAGTCATGGCGGGTGCGGAGTTACGAATGAAGCAGCACGCTGGTGGGTAGATGGCTGCAAAGTGTGTTGCTGTGCTTGTGCGCGGCTCACACTGACCGACGTGAGCTAGGACATGCCTCCTACTTATATCCGTCCCTCTGTCGGCATCGTCAGTCACACCTCGTTCGTTCCTGACCCATGGCTCGTGGAAAGTTGCTGGGCGTGGGATTGCGGTTCATGATCCTGGCTCCACTTTGCGAGCTGTTCGCCCAATGGGACTCTCTCTGCCAGTCAGCATTCGATCATTCCTGCCGTCTGGGATCCCCTGGCGATGATCGATTGAGGACACTGTTCACGATCATGGCCCGTCCCGTGACTCACCAGGCTCACTGACAAATCGACACCGTCCATCCCACCATGCTGCACCCTTAGCAGCGCTTATCGTGGTCTGCATATACTGCCTCGTCACGGCGCGCTCTACGTCATACAAGGAACACCGGGGGGGTCCGTTACAGAGGTGCGGAGGGCATGTCGTGATCTGTGGTCGTAGGGGCGCGGAGGCGGGATCCGCTGGTAGAGGAGCGTGCCGCAGCTCCGCTGCCGATGCGGCCCTGTGGGCACGTACCCGCCAATTTAGATGTGATCGACACCCAGTGAGGGGTTGGCAACCCGCGACCTCTCCGCCTCGCAATTACTGCCAGCCTACTCGCTCGCGTGCCAACAGCGTGTTGCATCCTAGGCGGAGGCTCTCTTATCAATACTGGCTCCTTTACGCTTGGCAGGAGGTCCAAGTTGACAGGTCTGAGGGGCCGGCTTCATCAACCAGCGCGATCTCGGAGGGGGTAGTGTCACTGGCACACGAGGCTATTTGAACACCACAAGACACCGGCCGTCGCAACTATGAGGCCATCTCTATTTTCACACATCTCACGCTGGCCAGGCGCGCTCTTCTCCCCGGCACGTCCTCTACCTCCAAACCAGCTCACCATGGGCACCGTTGCAGATCCGTCCAACATCGTCGTCATTGGCGGTGGCATCGTCGGCGCTTCCATCGCCTGGCACCTCGCCTCGCAGGATGCCAACGTCACCATCGTTGCCGAGAAGCTCGGCGGCGTGGCCACGCCAAACTCATTTGCATGGATCAATGCCGCTACGAACGACAAGACCTACTACGACTTCCGCATCCGCTCTATCGAGCACTGGGTAGAGATCAGCAAACGCCTTCCGCAGCTGCCCATCCACTGGAGCGGGTCTTTGAGCTTCCACATGCCGCCAGACGAGCTCGAGGACTATCTCCAAGAGCATGCCTCGTGGGGCTACGATGTGATCCGGGTAGACAGGACAGAGATGAGCGCCATTGAGCCCAACCTCGGCGCCGATTCCTTGCCTGACTGGGCGGTCTATTCAACTCAGGAGGGTGCGATGGAAGCTGACGAGGTTGCACTGCAGCTCATCGAGAATGCAAAAGCCGAACTGGGGGCAACCGTTGTCGAGGCCAGTGTGACGGGCTTTTTCAAGAACGAAGACGGCAGTGTGGGCGGCGTGCTCACCTCTGCGAGCAGCGAGGCGATCCGGGCAGATCATGTTGTGCTTGCTGGAGGGCTGGGCAGTGTTGCCCTACTGGCAGCTGAGAATATTAGGCTGCCAGTCTCTGGTCGCGAAGGGCTTCTCATCAACACCAAGCCTGTCCAGAATGCGTCAACAACTCTGCTCAATACGCTGTACAATGGCAACGAGTTGCACATGCGGCAGACGTCGCATGGCCGCATCCGGTCTGGCAAGGACTACGCGGGCGGCGACACGGGCGACGCACCCGAGGATGCGGCTGCCGAGCTGTTTGCCAAGGTGGAAAACGCTTTCAAGGAGTCTTTTACGGACGGAGAGGAACTGAGACTCGACTATGACTATTACACGATCGGCGTACGTCCGGATCCCGAGGACGGCCTGCCAATTCTGGGTGCAACTGGTTTGGAGGGGCTGAGCTGTGCTGTCATGCACTCTGGTGTGACCAACGCTGCTATAGTGGGCAAGCTCTTGGCCGAACAGGTCCTTCACAGTGTCACCAACCCTCTGCTTGAGCCTTATAGGCTTTCGCGCTTCTCGAGGGATCAGTAGGACAAGAAAGACCAGCACAGTCATGCCCGTCGACAAAGTTTGAAACGAACAGCATCAACATGACCTCTCGAACATTGTCGGGTGCGGGGTGAATCAACCAGACCAATTCGTCTCGCACTGCGAGAACATGGGATGCACAGACCATAGTCACGATACCTATCCAAACACGGCTAAAATCGTCGTGCGCCCTTTCTTGTGACCGTGCTGGTGCCTGCATATAACTGCTGTGACTTCCCGCACTGTGTGTGCTGGGCATCTGAGCCCTTTGAACCCTCCTTTATTGTTCTACAATCATAATGCCATGAGAAACGGGCCTTTGAGCACAGTCTGGACGACCATCTCCAAGTTTGGGACTCACGTCACCAGTAGCAGCGGGGACTCCACTAGGATGAGCCAAATATGGATCATGGTGATTCGTCGCTCACTAAGTTCTTATATATGTACAAATACGATCGATCACTTTCACGTACGACCATAGGATCGAGAAAATTGAGGGTCCCGTCCGCTCCCCTGTACACAAGCTCGATACCGCCGGATCAGTAGTTGGGTCGGTGACGACCAGCGAATCCCCGGTGTTGTACGTTTTACATTTTTCTTTTGTTTCCCGCCTTCACCATCAAGTGCACTACTGCACTTCCGGGACGAGCGCATAGCAAGCTGTTGATTTATTTTTTTGTTGTATTCCTTTTAGTGCGTTGTATGGTTGCTTTGAAGACTTGTGCAGTGCTTGTACACGGCCAGCTGGACAAAGGCTTACGTAGTCCCCTCCACATCACTATCTATCACGTGATATCGAGAACGCAATCGCCCACATGTCCTTCTCCTTGTCCCTCCATGCGCCCCGACTTCTCCTTTTCCCACAACATTGTGGAGCAAATCAACAACCCTATCACGCGGCAAGGGCGACTCCGATCGCCATGTCTGAACAAAGTCGTCATAGATTGGCCAACAGCCACAACTACCAGGGAGTTTGGGGCCCTCCTACCAGCAGCGCAAAGTAGGTCGGTCACTTCCGTTTCTATGTATGGCACTGACCTCGAGCTGTAGCTTCTGCGAGGAGGACTATGACGTTACGCGCTACATTGCAGAGTTTATGAACTCGGCCACGAACTTGGCCTACAGTGGGTTGCACGTTCCATCGCTGCTTCCAGGGCAGCTGGGCAAGACGACAACGGATTGACTAACACGCACGACAGTCTATTATGCGCTGGTGCACATGTATGGGCACAGGAGGCGGGGTTCATGGTCGCCAAACTACGACTTCATGTCTGTCTCCATGATCATTCTGGGCATCTCGTCAACCTTGTTTCACTCCACGAACCGCCAGACAATGCAATTCGCTGACGAGCTCGCCATGCTTGTTCTCGCGTGGGCCATATTCCATGCCATGTGGACTAGTGGGCCTGCTAGCACAAGAGACGGCCCTTCGTCCTTGTATGAGCGCCCCATCAAGATTTTCATGGCACTCTTCTTCCCAGCGTTCGGAGCTTTCTATGTATACACGGGCAAGCTCGTCTACCATTATGTGTGCTTCTTCGGACTAGTGATCCTTATCATCATGAGGGGATACTATCTTTTCTGGCTGAGGACTCCGTCCTTCCCCGAGGAGAAGCGCAAGGACTGGAGGTGGCGTGGTCGCAAGGCCCTGGCCATCTTGGTGCTCGCCTACGTCCTATGGAACATCGATCTTGAGTTCTGCACCGAGCTCAGGGCTTTGCGAACTCGCATGCGTCTGCCATGGGCATGGCTATTGGAGTTGCATGGATGGTGGCACATATTCACCGCAACCAGTGCAGCCTGGTATATGGATATTCTAAGAGAAGTCCAGGACGAAATCGCGAAAGAGAAGCGGGTATAAAAGTCTTACTCAAGTATATCGTCTTCGGTGGGCCGTAGCTGCCAGAACAATATCATATATGCACAGCATAAACTCCGAGGTCATAGCCGCGAGCAAGAAGGAGACTCTGGTCATACGCCACGTGGATATGTCTGCCGAAAACCCCCATGGAAATCAAACCATGGCGAACCATTCGTCGTCCCGCATGTACTGATCCTGTGCCAGACCCACAATGTACGCAGGGCCAACGTAGCGGAACAGTTGACCGGTGTCACTAGTCTGACCCTCCCAGGTTGGACGGATCACGGAAGCATTCTTACTCCCGTGAAATACAACAACCAAGTCACCTTTCCTAGCACCAAACGTACATGCCGCCAGTAAGTCTTTCTCTGTTCTCAGCAGGGTCTTCCAGTTCATGGCGATAAAGTTCATCAGTAGCGCCCTGAGCTCGAAACTGATGCTGTAGCCATGCGTAAGAACCCGCCCAGGTTGATCCCACGGGGAAGCAAGATCTGGTATCACGCCCGTGGCACCTGTGACCGACTCCGTGCCATTCTGGCCTTGAAGTTGCCGTGCGCAGCTCACGAGAACACTGAGATAGACCGCCATTACCTGTGGAGGCGGCTTATTGATGGCGAGTCGAGGAAACAAGGCCAGGATGAGTTTCGCCATCGCTTCGAGCGCTTTGTGATCCTGAATGGCATCTCGGTGAAGTCCAGACGCGGCCTCGTCATTGGTCAGTCTGGGCTGGGAAGAGTCGATAGCAGCACGAGCAATTTGAAGCCATGAATCGACGCAGTCCACCAGGCTCCCAACCTGGATAGGCGCGGTCAGGTCTGGTTGCTCACCCAGCATAGTGCGTGTGAAATCGACCTTCCATGGCTCGCCAACGGCAGCCACTACGTCCACATGTCGTCCCAGCACCCGTAGTATGGTGGTGGTCAAGATTGCTCCCCTTGGAGTGGGTAAATCTTCCTCAGAGATGTGGAAGTCCCATGGGCTGCTGCTCAGTCCATGCATAGTATCAGGGGTCTCGGGTGCTACGCTCAACCACGGGGGGTTTGCGGGAGTCACATCGCGGCTGCAAGGACCGAGATTTGGCGCCCACGAAGAGAGTGTATCATGGTCCCAAGGATTGCACATGTCGCTTAAAAAATCCAATTTGGAGTCGTACTTCGCGATCGCCAGTGCTGCTTCTTTGAAGACCTGGGCGGCGTCTTTGCTGTAATCTGGCCGAGGCAGTTCGTAGCCGAGTCGTTTGCATATGCCGTACAGGCCGAACACCTTGTCTCGATGGTCTGTGGCCCTCAAGCCGTATCCGACCGTCATCAGAATGTCCACTAGGCCAAATGCCGCGGAGAGATCTTCGCCTTCGGCCTTTCGGCGGATAAATTCCTGCAAAGCAATGTGGTAGTCGAGGTAGGCTTTCCAGTGACTAGCCACAATCGCCTGTTGGCTCAGTTTCGAATACGGTAATCTGGTGAAGTCTGCACCAGCCGCAAGAGTTGTGAAATGCATCAAATGCTCGCCAACATAGAAGAATGTTTTCTTGGACAAGGCCACTTCTTGCAGTACCTGCGTATTTCCCCAGTCTTAGTGACACAGCATCACATGGATCCTCACCGCCGCGGCGCTTACCCAGAGTCGCGTGAACCAAGGTAGGCGAAAGAGACCGTATAGTTTGGTATAGGGATATTCGGCCGTTAGCTCTAGAAACCAGAAACTCAGCTGCTAGCACTAGAATGAAAACCTATACTGATCGATACTTACGAAGGGCATCGTCAGCGAGCCGTTCATACTTCTCTCGCATCCGTTTCTGCAGAGGACCTGGCAACTTGGCACCGAGGTAAGCATTTGACAAGCCCTTGAGCGTCTCGATGGCTTTGTCCGAGGCTCTGTCACCGTCGCCGAGAAAGACATTGACCTGCATCGCACGGGAGTATATCTCGTCCATCATAGCGACCTGACCGCTGCGCTCCTCACGGGCTAGTGGGTCATGAAGATCTTGATTGATGCAGATTGAATCGACCCAGATGATACGCGAGAATTTGCCGCGGAGCATGCGATGCAGCGCAGCAGCGCAGCTTGCTGTGATACGGAGTGTTTGTCCGCCTTCGAGCATGATCTCGTCAGTGGGAGAAGGGTCTCCCCAGCAGTACGAAAGAGCGAAATACTCTGGGTGCTGGTCAAGGGTCACCTCGACCAAGGAGCCCCTCAGCGGCGGTTTGGTCGACTCGGAAGTGGGCGACCATGAGTCGTCGGGCATAGCTCTGACAAGATTAAGGATACGGAAGCTCCGTGCTCCATGCAACGGCACATATGCGTATGGTCTGCCATGGCCAGTCCCGAAGCTGGCCGTGCTTTGATGACCGCCTGAGCTTGTGTGTGCACGGACGTGTGGTTGAGTGGTGTGTTGGGCTGGTGTGTTGATAACGCCGCCGTTCTCGGGCTGTGCTGCCTCCGAGGAGCTGGCTTCTGGCAGCTGCGTAGCTTCGCGCTCTCCTCTTGCAAGACGCTGGACGAGTTTCCTGATCATACCCATTCTTGCGATTGTGCCGCCACACAGATAAAGGTTTGACAAACAGAGTCATGTACTTGGTCACAATTGATTAGCTGACCGGGTTGTGGTCATGTTTTTGGTAACATGGACGGTTAGGGGTTAGGATCTCAGCCGCACGGATCCATATTACGCCGCGATTGGCATAAGCGAGCACATACCTGGTCAGGTTCCAACAATAGAGTCGGAAAATGAGTATGAGAAGGGAGTCGATTATTGACTATAAGTTTGCACTACATGAAGCCGGCCTGATTCGCAAATAGCTGCTGCCTCTTCGCCTCAATTAACCCATGATTCCACCAAGACTTATTGTTCGCATGCACGCGGTCCGACTAATCAGGATCGACCTTCTGGCAATTGCTTTCAAACCTTCCGGAGACACGGACAGCGCGTCATGCCATGCATCTCGGAGAATCAGTCATAACATGTACTTTCCCTCGATCGAGATGCCCTTCAAACTCGCCGCGCCTGCGCGTGTCTCTTGTGTGCTGAAGATAAGTAAGGTAGTGGAAGCAACCAAAGATGGCTATCCTAGCGATCAAAGAATCTTTCCACGCGAACAGACCAAGATTGTAAGGACTGAAGTCCTTGTCCCTATTTATTTGTTCCCTCCTTCAAAAGTGTCACTAACTGCGCCATCAAGTACTCATTGAAACTGCTCCATAAGCACTTTCACAGGGACCTAAATGAGATTTTGTTCACGTACCCGCAATTCGCGTTATCTCAGGAATAGACTATGACACGTAGCCGGGACCAAAATAAGGCACTGCTCTTAGGCCAGAAATTGGGTATGCACTGCATAGTTGAATGGCAGAACAGCTGTAGCCCTATGTGGGGATAATTTTTCTTTCGACAGCTTGTAATAGCTTGAAAACAAATCAAGATCTTACAGCCCACCCACAAGCGCTGAGAAGCGAAAAGTATTGTCTGGGGCTCACCACTCTGCGAGGGTATATATGCAGGTAACATTAGCCAACGCGACGACCCCAATGTATATTAAATTATGTAATATTACTACCTCCTCCGGTCATAATACATGGTTTGATATGGGTCTGCATTCACAGTCTGGCATTATATTGTGATACGCGTGCTGTCTTCACGACTCGTTCAAAAGCGGAATTATGACCAATAGTCGGTTATCCATTCGTATCGGAAGCTGAAAAAGTCAAATCCTTATGAAGTGCGTTTAGGATGATGGATTGAAACATACATTTGATTCAGATGAGAGTGCATATATACAGATGGCTTGATTTGTCGAATGAAAAATCATGAAATTCAGAAGGAATGTTGTTTATCTTCAGCTGCACATGCTGACTAGGTAGCATACGATTATCCCCGGACGTATTATGTATTTTACCATTCAGGCCCGTACGTCGTCCCGCAACTGTTTCTCCAAATCACACAGTCCGCCGATTTCTTATTCTGAAGCCAGCCGCACTGGCTTGAAGGCGTCGAGGGTGGCGACCAACCTCACCCAAAGAATGTTTGGCGGGTGAGAGCCATTTGTGATACGCGACAAAACCACGTAGCGCAGACGCCGCTTAGGCGTGCCGAGTACGTAGCGTAACCTTTTATTCGGCTCCGGCACGCTTGATTATATAGCAGATTTGTAGGCTCACGAAACTGAAATAGATAGCGCGTACTACTACTACTACTACTACTCATAATAATAACATGATCAATCTTGGAAATTCAACCCGCTGGGTAACTAGAATTATTCTGGGCTGTTCAGCGACTACATTTGTTTATTGTTGGTTGTGGTTCTACCCAAAGAGGTGTTTTTGTCTAACGCTCATTTTCTGTGGCTACTAGCTCCCTGTACTCTTGAATGCTGTAGAGCTATTTATTCAATATTAATGCACGTACCCCACCAATTCCAGGGGTTTAGCGGTGCTGCGAATCTATCGTGTAATGAACCCTGCCATTAGGCTGGACTAAAAATACACGCTGCGTCTTCTTCGCGCCTAAGCGGCGTCTGCGCTAAAATCCTCATTGCGTGTCAGAAGATGGCTCCATACCAGCCAAACCTCGTCAAAAAGGATGCCAGGGGTGGGGGGGGGGGGGGAGGCAGCCACCTCACCTTCCCCAGGAAAAGGGGCTATGCATACTTACCTGGTAATTTGGCGTAGGGGCTTTCACTTGATTAGGAAGAATCTGACGTAGGATGGTTCTATCATGATAGGCGACTATGGCGGTCAGGTTGAGAGCGCGGAAACAATGGGATCGGTGTTCTTTCCAGAAGCACCAGACAGCACCTCTACAGAGACTTTCCCATTGTTTTCAGAGTGCTTCTTTCGAGCCCTAGCCAACTTCCGAAAGTGTGATAAATTTTTCATGTCGAAACGCATTTAATTGAGTAGGAGACGCTCATCCTCTGTGTAGCATGTATGTGTTGGAATATTAGGATCTGGAAAAGGAGGTAGGTATTTACGCCAAGCACAACCTACGATCAGGTTAGTTGAATGTGTGAATAGAAGGTTCAGAAGGTAAGATCCTGAACTTTTCGATGTCCTTATCTTAGTAACACCATCGCGATATACGTAGATCACAGCCCCTCTATCTTAAGGGCAGGTCATACTTCTCTGACTGTGTGTGTTATGGTGGACACTCTTCATGCAATTTGCAAAGAACCCAGTCTAGGCCTAAAGCTTGAACGTTGAAGCACAGCGGCCAGTTCCAATCCTGATTCCAGTATGAATAGTGTACTTATTACTGTCGAGTGAACATGCAAGGCATGAATGATCCGTGCTCACGGTATAAACTAGAAACAAGACTTCCTCACCACAAGCACAGCGTAGCGTGCCTTAATCTAGGCATGAGGAATATCCAACAGTCGGCGGCGTCTCCCATCTCGTAAGTTACAAGTTCACCATAATAATAACAACCTTTCCAATTGTCCGTCTGTCTCTGACTGCAGTATGTCGTCGCCCGCAAAGATCCTTTGCTATATTATCAATAGAGTTTTTAAGTCCCTCATCTGGCTTATTTCCTCTTTGTTATTTGGGCTACGAGTCAGGAGTGTTGATAGTACAGCATGGTGCACTGAGTAACTAATGCACTAGCTGAGGAACAGTGAAATGGGTCATCTTACATATATTACCCAGGGTGTGTTATTGAAATTCGTAGCTTAGTAAGTACAGTCAGTCAGTCTACCTAGTCTTGAAGTTTTCTGTCTTTTATTAATCGCTTCCGAATTCCTGGAAAAGTGATCAGTAGTGCTCATATCACCGACGCAGTGTAGTTCATGCTGATATGCTCAATCTTCGGCGGGCGAAACCATCCTGAGAAGATGTACGCTCGAAATATGTATTTATAGTTTCTTCAGTGTTTTCCTTGCCCCTTACCCTGATTCAAGATCATAATTGATGTGCTCAGATACGGCAATTAGGAAGACATACTAAGCACAAGGTATAGGGAAATCTGACTTCTCTTCTACAAGTTTTCGAATACTGTTTTTTTTTGTTTCTGTGATCCGGCTTTCTCAATTATCTGTGAACAAGATCCTATTCCACAATACAAGACGAAAGGAAACTGCCGCGGCATAAATGGATATATGCTACGTGGTAAGTGGTAGAAGTGGCGTTCTCCTCTCACACTAATAATCTATAGCTTTACCAGTCGATGCAGACCATTCCGTATACCTTAATGCTACACGCTCACTAACGGGGCAAACTGGTACATGCTTATCATATCTCTAGGAGAAGAACGAAAACTGTCCCCTCCCGCGAAAACCATTATTATTTCCAGCGACGAAGTCTTGTTGAAATTCGGGGCTTGGTCTACTTCTGTATCATGAGCGACAAAGATGGTTAACGGGCCGAGCAAAAAGAGTATGTATTATGTTCGGAGAGGCCATAAGGCTCCGGTACGAAAATGATAGAGAGAATGCAGGGATCGGAGCCAACACGATCTGTTATGTTCGGAGATAGTTTGTTTGCTTTGCAAAATAGCAGTCATTTTG